TATAATTCTTTAAGAAGGCTTAGTAGAAATTATAGAAACCTAGAAATAATTAAAGGCTCTTAAGAGTTATAGGTACGGGCTAATTCTAGATAGTAGTAACCTTCTTAGAGTCTTTCTAAATTCTATTAGTACTTATAATTAATTCTAGAAACTTAGTACTTTTAATAGTAAATTTAGATTTCTTAATATCTACTTATAACCTAGCTTTATATAATTAATTAAGTACCTAGGCAATATAGGCTTTATACTTAAGCAAATTCTCTAAATAAATAAGAATATTATTAATATATACTATATAGAAATTATCTAGCAAGCTATATAACACCTTATTAATATATTACTAAAAGGTAGTAGAGCTATTATAGAGGCTAAAGAGTAGAACTTAATACTTATAGTTACTATACTACGTATAAAAAGACGTTAGGTTCTCTACTAACTTATTAAGCTAAATCTAGTAGAAAGCTTACCTTATATCTAACTTAGTAAAGACCTTAGCGCGTAATAGGCGTGTAAGCGTTTTCTAGATAAGAGAAATAGAATAGACGTCTTTTTTTATAATAGTATTAAGCTTTTAATAGTTAACGTAGAACCTCTATTCTCTATCTAGCTTTTTAGTAAACAGAACTAGTAACGCGTATAACGTATTACTATAGATAATAAAGCTATAATAAAGATAGTTCTCTAGGTAATTCTATACTAACTATAGATACTCTAGTAATATACTATAAAGAGAACTATTTATTAAGGTATTTTTTACTATAAGCTTAATATTATAATCTACGCCTTCTCTATAGAGTAGTAGAGTATTAGAATTCTTTTTTAAGAAATAGGCTATAGTTACGCTAGTATATTCTAGAGATAAGAGCTTTTAGACAACTAGTTAGTAGAGTTTCTTCTCTAGATTAGTAGTAAGAGTTTTCTTTCTATTAGTAATAAGCTAATTAACCTTATAGACACTAAGATACCTAATTATAGTATCTTTTTAGCGCGTGTTAATTATAAAGGTGGCTGCGCTAATTATATTAACGTTAAGCCTAGCCTTTAAGTATATTTTCTATAAAATAGGTAGCTTTTTTAGCTTATAGAGCAACTTAGTAGATAGGTTAAGATTCTTAAGCTACCTATCTATTTTACGCAGGTTTTCTTAAAGCTTCTAGCGTTAAAATTCTCTCTTTTCTTATTATATTACTCTTAGCTTTTCTACTACTAATATTAAGGCGTTATAGTAATTAGTATTAGCTTAGTAAGCTACTTAAGCTTTAGTATTAGATTAAGAGAATTATGTAGAGATAAACGCGTCGCGTTTATAATTAATTAATTAATTAGTGTCTAGCTATATTAGTACGCGTTACTTATAGTTAACCTAAACGTTAACTTCTTTAAGTAACTTATAACTAATTATTACGTTATAGTAGCTAGTGTTATAATATATAAAGTAAGTATAGATTTAGTAGCTTTTTAGTACTAGATTAGCTTTAAAATACTTATCTACTTAGCTATTAAGTTACCTATTATACCTAGTAAGAGGGATTAGTTCTATACGCGATAGCTTAACGTAGAGGTTTTTTCTAAGAGTTTAAAGGTGCTTTAGATATACTAAGACGTAGCTGCCTACTCTTATATTAATTAAGTTTCTAAGCTTAATTACAAGACTATTTATAGATATTTAGTAGAGTAAGGTAAACGTAGAACTACTAAATAGCTTCTTACGTAGATTTATTACTCTAGTAGATAGTTCTAGAGAGAAGACTTCTTCTAGAGCTAGACTTTTTCTAAATTATTAGATTTATATTCTAACGTGTTCTTCTTAGGTACTTATAGCTCTATAGGCTCTAAGAGCTCTAAGAGCTTCTTTAGAGTAGCGTTCTTAATAGCTTTCTACGCAGTAGAAGCTCTAGAGTAATTATAGCTTAGGTAGCTAGGTTAGTAGTATTAAAAATAGGTAACTAGCTTCTAGATTACTAGAGCTTTATTAGATACTAAAAAACCTAGAAGAGCTAGAGGCGCGCGTTATAGTATTAACGCAATTACGTTATACTTTTTAGCCTTTCTAGTAGTAACGCGTGCTTCTCTAGAGATAAGCTCTTAAGTAAGATCTTAAGTAAGGTCTATATAGTAGTTATAGTTATTAACGTATTAATATTAGTATATACCTAACTACGTGCGTATAGTCTCTAGTAGCTTCTTATAAAATTTCTCTACCTATTAGTCTATTAGAAGCTAGCGCTTCTATGTAAGGTAGAAGAAATTATTCTAAAAGTAGGTGAAGTTAGTAGCACTTTAGTAATAAAGCTTTTAGAAATTATAGTAAGCGTTTAGTCTCTTATATAGGTCTCTATAGCTTCTTTCTAGCTAATTAAGAATATAATTATAGAAAACTACTACGCTACTATTCTTAATTATTTATAGTATTACTAATAGAGTCTAGTATATATCTCTTTTAGTTTACGTATAGATATAGGTAATAATAGTTTTCTTAGTATCTTCTAGTATATCTCTAGTATACTAATTCTAGTTTACTTAAAGTTTATTATATAAGCTATCTCTCTACTACTTAAAGATAATACTCTTACTATCTAATAATAATAGTAGATCTAGAAACTTAGTAGAGCGCGTTAATTAGCTCTCTTATACTTATAACGCTAGAGGCGTAGCTAGCTAGTATATAGAGAGATAAGAATCTAGAATTAAATTCTCTAGTAGTAACGCGCTTAAATTACGTATAATTAGTATTATAGAGAAACGCGTTATACGTTAAACTAGTATAGTAGACTAGTCTCTAGAGTAGGTTAATTACGCTTATAGTTACTAGATTTTAGCGTTCTTTTTAGCTAGAAGAGTAGCCTATATTAGATTTTTCGCGTATACGTTATCTCTCTTAGTAAAAGCGTTAGTAGTAATCTAGTAATATATATAAATTTATTATTTATATACCTATTATATATATAATTAGCTAACTATTTTATTAATAATTTTAGCTAGCGTTTCTAGAAAGAGCTCTTAAAGCTCTTTAGTAGAGGTAGAGAGTATAAACAAACCTAAGACTAATAATAGCTCTAGTATTACTAAGCTCTAGTAGAGCCTTATAAGCTTCTAGTTAAAATTATTATTCTAATTCTTATTAGTTATCGCGTTATATTACTAAATAGAGTTTTTATAATAGAAATATTAATTAGTATATTCTACTAGTAGGTTCGCTACTCTAGATTTAAGAACTATTAGAGTAAAGAGGTATTATAGAGCTAAGATTCTACCTCTAAATTAGCTTTATAAGGGTTCTTCTATAGTGTTTAGATTTATTTAGCTTTTTAATTAAGAAAAAAGTAAAGAGAGAAGGTATTTAGCTACTAGCAGAGTAGTAGGTTGTTAGTTCTACTAGTAGAGTAGAGAGATTGTTAGCTCTACTAGTAGAGTAGAGAATTATTAATTTTTTGTAATTTATAAAAGAGAGAGGGGAGGTTTCTACACGTAGAAGTTCTATAGAAGTTCTTCTATATATAGAGCTCTTAATAGCTCTCTTTAGCTTAGTACTAGTATCTTTCTACTACTAACTAGATCTACTAGTAGTCTTATATAGCGCTAAGAGGTAAGTAATTAATTAGTACGTTAATAGATTTTTAGAGTAAGTAACTAGGCTCTTATAGCTCTAATTCTTAGTATTAGCTATTAGTAAACACTTCTTAATAAGGCTACTTAGTTTAGCTAGATATTATGCTACTATCTCTAGCTAAAGAAGTATTAATCTTTAGATAATATAAGAGCTAGGTTTATAGTCTCTACTACTATAAGCGCCTCTAGAATACCTAGCTAGGTAAGTTAGCTATAGGCAGTACTATCTCTACGAGCTATAAGAATAAGAAGTACTAGTAGAGTAGGTTAGGTTAAATTTAGCTATCTAAAGGTAAGAAGTAGAGAAAAGGCTCTAAGAGGCTCTATATACAGAGGTGCTAAGCGCTAAGACGCTAGGCTAGGTCACGTGATAAGATTACGTAACTCGAGGTTATGTAACCTAAGGTAAATTTCTAAACCGAACCGTTACACTACGCAGGCGTAAGAGGGCGAGAAGTAACTCTATAAGCTTAAAACATAGACTACTCTACTAAAAAAAGCGTTAGTATAGCTCTATACACGTATTTGTATAGCCTTACAACTTACTAATAGTTATTTAACAGTTTGTAGACTGTTATTAACGCGTTACAGTTAAATTCACAATTTATATAAGGCTCCCCGCGCGCGCGCGAATTTTCAGGTGTCGCCAAGATTTCCACGGATTTATGCATACGACACCAGGTGTCGCAATAATTCGTGTCCGCTTACCTCAGCCACCCCACCATCAACAAACCGTCAAAACATGAACAACAATTATTCGCGATAATACTACTCCACCAAACCAGCCCCGATTTACACGATTATGGCGTCAAACGAAAGCCCTCGAACTCCTGAACAATCCAAAACTCAACCTGAGTACGATACCGGCCACCGTTGGGCGTATTTCTGGCGGCGCGATCATATGAAGGATGGCGAGAAGGTTTCAGATGTTGCAGAAGAGCTGGGCATCCCCGATCGTACTGGAAGAAGATGGATGAGGGAGAGGAAATTGATGGGTACACCAACTGCTAAACGCCGTGTACGAAAGAACAAAGCAGCTTCAAAAGGGAGCAAGCTTGGGAGGCCTTGGTTAATACCCCAGGAAGTACTTGACGAGATGGTAGGCGGCGTGTACGCTCTGCGCTCTAGTAACTTGGCGATTCTGTAACTACAACACTAAGAAAACAGCTTGTATAGACTTTTGTATATATCTCTACAGCCTTACGTACGATAATTATAAGTTTCCTAGCGAAAAACCATGAAAAAACCTTCGTTGTGTGTGGATTTGTATGGGGCGAAGGTTTTGTGTTGGTTTGCTGAGGTAAGCGGACACGAATTATTGCGACACCTGGTGACGATAGATGTACAGATCACGTAAGCAATATCATGACTGGTCCCTTGCACTCTGGCCTCATGCGTGGTAGTGAAACCCACCCTATCACCACAACGCGTCGTTTAGCAATTGGACCCAAGAACAGAACGATGACCGACGGCGCGAGCTACATTAGGAAGCCATTAGGAATGTATGAGCGACACTGGCATCAAGACCGAATCGAGAGAGGAGAAGCTCGCATTCAAGATACAGACTATTCGCAAAGGCCACTGAAATGCCTTTACGCTATGGAGAGGTAGGAAGGGAAAGGAACACGAGCACTTAGACATGCCTTTGCCGACCCGTGGTCGTTGTTCGCAAGGTGAAAGGAAAGCTTACCCGCGATACACCCTTTGCCAGACTTACTAACGCCCACGGCGACGCCTAGTCGACATCCTGAATCTCCGTCGAATATTCGATATGGGTATCGCCTGGATCGTCGGTGTCCGTCTCCCAGCCATCGTCGCCAACATCCCCCTCGTCAACGCTGTCCCCAACAACCGAATCCACACGAGGAGATCGCTCCTTCTTGGAGTTGCGTCGGGGCCTAGCTGCACGACCTGAGAGCACACGACCTAAGGTACACTGCCCTTGGCAATTGAAGGAAATGTGGCGCTTCCGGGCCCCCACAAGGCGATGAGGAGTCCAGCCCTCCTTCATCGAGCGCACGACCAAGAGTATGGACGTGAGAACTTGCAATGCAGAAACCTTGCGCCTCCGCGATGCGGCGGCGCTGCGGTACGTGAAGCGGTGGAAGAGGCCTTTGGGTAGTCCGGGATCCTTGCCCATTGTAGAAGAAGATTCGGTGACATCCCACCATCCCCCGGGTCGCCGCATGTTCTGCTTCGCGCTCTTGAGCTCAGCATCACCCTCTTCGCAAATGAGGTCCTCCATGACCTTGGCAATCTTCTTCAACTGGTCGGTTGCCACCACATCTTTGGACAGCTCGTTGCCCTCGACCTGGATCGTCTCGTCTTTAGCCTTGATCTGTAGTGAGCGAAAGAGATCGATGAGGAGATCGAAGTTTGTAGGATCCTGAAACTTTGTTCCTAGCGTCGTCAGTTCCTTACTCTCGTTCCACAGGATAGCGCTGCGGACTCGCGTCACTAAAGCGAAAGCCCGCCGGAAGAACGAGAGGTAGTCGAAGTTGGCGTGCAGCTCGTGGTCTTGTAGTTCAGCACTGGCGATGCCAAGGAGTTTCGCGTGGATACAATCGATCCTGGAGAAGTCCGGCGGTTTGACTCGTGGGGATTTCTTGCGCTTGTTTCGATTCCTCGGCTTAGGTGGGGTTATTTCACTCACGATAGAAGAAAAGGCTTCCTGAAGGTCTTCTCGGTCCTTGAGCATAGCGTCGGGATCTTTTTCTGGAGATTCTTCTACCTGCTTTTCGAGCGCCTTCTTCAAGTGGGCGAAGAGGTTGTGAAGACGGATCCACCGATCATCGTTCGAGTTACAGCCGTAGTACTCCCTAATCTTTGCTTCGAGGGGGAAGTGGGTGCGGAATCCACGCTTTGCTATCACTTCTTTCGGCGCCCGCTTCCACTTCCCGTAGTAGTCCTTTGAAAGCCAACGTGTCGAGCTGCACATGGCCAAGGTCAAACGGTTATAGAAGAGATTAGGGTTGGTGGGAGGGTCTGCTATGAAGATGCGCTTCGTGCCTTGCATCTTGATGATGAAGTCGAGATCGTGCCAGGGGACCGTCAGGCCACCTATCTGACGACAAGCGTTGTAGAGATGCGCGAAGGCGGTTACGAACCACTGCACTTTCTGTATGGCCAATGACTGGTAGTACTTGTGATAGTGATACATCACTAGGCCGCCGAGGGTTGGGTGTAAAGTGATGAATACGTGGTTGTTGAACTCGTCGCCTGGACTGCCCGTTCCCGTGGGCTTTTCGTCGGTCAACTGCTTGAGCCAAGCTAGGTTTGACTGCATTGTCGGTATAAACAGATTCGAGAACTTGGTGGTTCCGGTGGACATGTACTCCGGGGGTGTTTCGGTAGCCCACATATGATCTTCCTAAAATTGGGAGTATAGGTCAGCGTACGCTCTGTGGGCTGGCAGAGTAGGGGAAGAAGGGAGAGCCGTTAGCAACCGAAAATGTCTCGGTCCTATGCTGATAGTCATAGTCCTTCGGGAGTGGCTTTCCTGCGCCGCCTTGCCTGACTCTGAAAGCTAGTCGCGAAGGCCTGCAACTGATGTAGAGACTGAGACATATCGGCATCCGTGCCCTGAACTTACGTATTCAATATGCGCTCTCATCAAATCAGACATATGCATCCCGTGATCGGAGACATCCTTAAATATGTCCTGATAGCCGTCCCCAATAGCGTACTGTATGTCGATCAGAATCTGGAGACCGAAAGCTAGCCACGGCTCCGAGCCAGTCTTTGACAATCGCATCCCTTCGGTAAACTTGTCGAAGATCGGTACGTGAAATTTGCCAGTTTGGATGCGATCGAAGTATAAGAGGAAGTTCATTAGCTCCCAATCCTTTACGTTGACTTTCGATCGTTCTTCGGGGCTCCCTTGCTTCAGCGTGCAATATGCCTTCATGTGGCCAATCCCATCCAGGCAGAGAAGATCAAACCACACCCTGTTGGCCTTTTCGACGTCGATCTGCTCGGACTCGGGAACAGAGTGCTCATCGGTCGTCATAGATCGATAAAGCTTGATAATGATTTTTGAGATCTTTCCGTCGTCGCCGTTGTTCTCAAGGTCTTCTATGAGCGCATTCACGTTCTGCTGAACAACGCTTAGAGCAAGGTCCGTCACGAGAGCCGCCGGGATGGCACCGATCTTCCGGTCCTTATAATCGAGCCAAGCTTGAGCGACGGATTCCCGAAGTTGGCTGAGATCGTACAGAAAGCACAGTACCTCAAATTGTTCTTCCAGCTCCAACTCTTCGTTTGTTAAAGGAGCGCCGCCAGGCTTCTTCGCAGACGAAGGATTGTTCCAATGCTTCGGTAAGAGCTTAGGATCGTCCGAGGCGTGCGGTTTCAGTTGTGAGGTATCCTGATCCTTCGCCTCTTCCTCGTCGTCGCTATGATCGTCGCTGGTATTGATCATGATCGAGATTGTGATGGGGCTTGACTCGTCCTCGACATCGTGTTCGTGTGCTAGCGTAGGGAAGATCCAGCCCTTGAAGATGTCGTGGACATTATTTAGTAGCGTGATAAAAAACGGATGTCCTTCGTCTGAAGAATTGTTATGTTTGTACCACTGTGTAACTTCTTTCCTTGAACGAATGGCATCGCGCAAGTCTCTTAGCCCGGACGTATCCTCGAGAGGCTGACCTGCTTCCACGATACCCTGCGCCAAAGGCAGCAGGTGTTCCGCGGCAAGCTTGTACGGCTTCTTTCCCTTGCCTTTCTTTTGGCGTGCCTTTTCCTTCGCAGCGGCCTCAGCTTCGCGGGCGAGCTCAAGTCCGCGCTTCTTCGCGGTCTTGATCAACCAGTCCTCCTAATGTGGCGGTACGATTAGCATATGACTCAGAATGGTATGCGTACCGCGCAGTTGGCTTACGAATTGGTCCGTGTACGTCTTGCATTGCTTGTACGTCTGCGGCAGTTCGTTCAACCGGTATCGATCCATGGTAGCAGAGCGAGTTGGGCTGATCGGGGATGTGTGTCCGGGTCGGCGCTTCGAACACGTTGTGTTGCGAATGACCGATATGTCGACGAAGAAATTTATGAGCCATGGTGCTGAAAAAGTGGGATGCGTTGCTTGAGTGCATTCACTTTGGTGGCGTTGCCTCCGGGGCCTCGGAGATTGTGGGTTAAGCTCGATAAGGTACTCACAAGGACGGTCGAGCGTGCCTTTAGGCACCCGTCGAGGGCTCTACAGGCGGGACGGTGAATGAAGATTCACTGTCCGCAGGCGCTAGGCTGTCGCGCATCTGAAATTGCTGCCTTCGCGCTGGGCGGGTCCTGACCGCGGAGCGGGTTTTTGAGCAAACATTTTCCTGGCGAAGCGTTGCGTCGTTCCAAGTCGGTTTACCGCTAGACGCAAGTAGGGTGCAACAAGTGCCTCAATTAAGATCTCATCTGGGCAAACGGGAGGTGTTAGTGCACTTTGCGGCGGTGAAAGAGACGCGGTCGACGTCGGAGCTCAGGAGGGAAAGTCCGACATTGGGAGGTGCACGTGATGACAACGTGATGGAAGTTTGGAGGTGCCCGGAAATGCTAGATGGGAGGTCCATCATAGCTCTACTTAGCTCTAATCGCAGGAACTTCTTTGATGAGGGTACTCTTAAAATACTCTACCACTCCCCCTCCCCATGCAGCCACTCCCTCGTCCACTGCACCTGCGCCCTTTTTGCCCTCACCATAGCCCTCCTCTCCTTCTCATCCCCCGGATTTCCCCTCGTCACACACCCGTGCACCACGCCAGGAAAATGCTGATAATCGAACGGCACTCCTTTCTTCATAATCTTCTCCTGCGCATACAGCTTCAACTCCTCGTCGAACACCGGATCGATCTCCGGCGCGATGATCTGCACCGGCACGCCGATCTCGTCGATTTCTTCTTTGGTAAGCCCTAGGATGACAGTAAGGTCAGTTTAACGTTCGTAGCGAGTGCTGTGCGCTTTACGGTGACTTACACGTTGGGTGCGCGGCGGAGATGCAGTCGACGAGGCGAGGATTGTGGGAGGAGGAGCCTAGGCGGAACGAGGACCATCCGCCGTAGCAGTACCCGATAACTCCGACACGTTTAAACTTTGAGCGCAGGGCCTGAGCGCAGGAAAACAGTTCGGGCCAGCGAATTTCTTTCGAGTTGCGGCCGTGCCAGGCGTTGAGGTCGATTTCGTGCCAACGAGAGGGGTCGCGCACGATATCCGAGTGAATGACCTCACCTCCGAAACTAATCACACGCATCAGCTTCGAACGCGATTCATTGGGGTATTCTGTTTGGGCAAACATGATCTCCTAGGAGCAGAGTAGAGATAGTGGTAGCACTTACAAGTCAGGCATGTACACCGTGGCATCCGCTTCCTTTGCATAATGATCGCATAGGAGCCTTTCGTTAATAAACGTCCATCCAAAGAGATCCGCAATGACGAGGATGGCAACGCCAGAATTGGAGCCCGCAATGTATGCTTTGTTGTTTGCGAGCGTGCCTTCGGTGCCGGAGGGCGCGCCGTCCCATTGGAAGCCTGAGAGACAACATGGAGCAGCCATTATGATGTTATCTCAAGCTGGGAGAGAAATGAGGAGCAAAGGGGAGTTAAAACTAACGAGGTGACGAGACGAGCCAAGTCGCATACCCTTCGCATACACGGAGATATCGGTTCAGATAGTGTAAGCAAGAATCCTGATTTCTGAAGATCATTTACACGTTACGAGGCCTATGCAACCTAACCGAAACGCCAAAATCCAACACGCATGTTCCCCACATGCCACCCTTGACTAACGCATGCCGCCATACACTACTCGTGGCCGACACTGAGGTCCGCAGTGAAATCTCTCCGGATCGTCAAGTCTTCAAAGTTTTCCTGGTTATTGATAATGAGGCCTTTTTCATTCGCCAGATGCAGTAGGCAGATGAAACAGTAGGATGTCGAGATATCTGCCATCGCCTGCTTGGGATATACTGTTTGCAGGCCATTCATCACTTGGGTGAACTTCAGAGAGCCGTCGACCGCTTTCGATGCAGCATCGTCAATTGCGTCCGCGGCCGGAGGTGCATTGATCTAAAGTGTGTTAGCATCAGCAGTGACTTATTACGGTAAGCACCACTGACCTCTTCGAATCCTATGCCTCTCCATAGCTCATCTTTCAGCCGCTTCACATCTACCTTCTTAGCAACTCGCGCATATTGCACGTATTCCGGTCGGAATCTTCGACTCTGTGTGACTAGCTGGGTTCCAAAGGCGCCTTCCCCGGTGCCCACAACAGCACCGTCTAGGGGCTGCATTTGTCCCGGACCTCCAGGTGCGTCCTCGGCTGGGGGTGAGAAGTGATCGCGAGCATCGGCGAAAGCGTCGTCATCATCGTCCAATGGTCCGCCAGGAAGGGGCAAGCCATCGTCCTGGAAGAAGTCCGCATCGTAGTTGCCTTGAGCTCCTTCCTCCTCCGCCAGCGCATTCTCCTCGTTCTCTCTCCTGGCCCAGTAAGCTTCGTCGATTTCGCCGTTAGCCCTATCATCAGGCTTCTGCTGCTGGGGTCGTCTACTATCTCTCCGAGAGCCCATACGAGCCTTGGGCTTCAGGAAGAGTCGTAGCAGTTGCCTCGAATTGAAGTGCTTGTCGTCGGGTAGTAGGTTTCGTGTCTTCGATTTCCACTGTGCTTTTGGTAATGATATGGTAGAGTTAGAGGTAGCCGGCGTGTAGAGCATGTCTGCGAGAGACTGGCTCATCGGCGCTGCAAACTCGATCTTGAAGGGTTCCTTTTCCTTGCGCTTCGTAGTGGGGGGAGCTTTCCCGATGTCTTTGATCCGCCGGATGCGCCAATGTTCGGGACCGGCCCAGTTTTTCTTCAAAGCCTGATCGAAATAGCTGAGGATGTTTTCTTGCTCGTCGCCGCGGCCATGAGTTAACGAGAGGCCATATTGTCGTTCGTCCGCGCCAAGAGCTCCGTCACCACCTTCGCCAACCTCTTCGTCTCCAGCTCCCATACCAATGGTATGGACACGTGCTTGGGGGTCGCGTGCGGCTTCTCTGGCCCAGACTTCGCCGCCTTCACCAAAGCCAGTCTCGGGAGGTAGATCGAATCCCCCCATATTGATGTCATCGTCATCGTCAAAGCCCAAAGCGTTGTCCTCATCGAGCAACAGTCCAGATCGATTGCCGGCATCTTCATCGCCCTCATTGTCTTGGTCCTGCCGCCAGTCTTCCGGAGCCTTGAGGAAGGGTAGGTCCATGGATCCGCTCGCATCGCCCAGCTCGAAAGTCTTCATTGACGGGCACACGTCTTGCTCGTCTAATCGCCCAAGGTCGGGGAAATACTTCGCGGCGAGTCCGGAGATATCTACCTCAACATCAGATGATTCCTCTTCTGGCTCGTCTTTCTCTCCTTGCGAATTGGCAGCCTCCTCCGGCGCAGGAGTGGCTCTTGAGTCGCTAGCGGTCGCATCGTTGGCGTCGTCGCTGCTATCGAAGACAATTCGTCCTTTTGCATCGATTGCTAAGTGGTTGAGGAGGAGTCCTTTGGCGCCGCCTTCGTCGAAATCTGCGGAGGCTTTCTTGAAAAGAGGGTCGACTGAGAGTTCTAGCTCCATTTTCTTGTTCTGCAGCTGTGCGAACGATGTCGCAAGTGTTGCTTCTGCCGATCGCGCGGCGCGCTTCTTTCGCTTCTTTTGCCCATCCTCACCGTCTTCTCCATCTTCGTCCTCCCCATCTTCCTCCGCCTCCCCTCCGCGGCGCTTCTTGTTCCCGCTCTCCGCAAGACCGCTGAGCAACTTGCCCGTGTCTGTGGCGACACTGTCCACTCGACTCGTGTAGATCTTGACGCAGCCATCCAAAGTGCAGCTGGCTTTCTGGAAGTTGACTCCATCGCCTTCCTTAAGCAATGACATGTCGTGGAAGTAGTCGATCAAGGCGAAATTCCACGAGTTGGTCGCGTTGATTTTCTGCGGGCTCGTCAACTAAACGCGAGCTTCATACCTCCCGTGTTACCATACATTGTCCGTTGCCATCTTCATCCACTCTTCGAAGTTCGCCAGTAGAGGCATTACGCGCTTCATGGGCGTCACGGCGGTTCCGGCGACATCGGGCATGCCATCTTGGTCATTTGAGGGCGTATGCGGACTGTTCTGTGCAGCGAGCGATACCCGTCGTCGGTTCGGTGTCGCTGATGCTCTAATGGAGTTTCTCTGGGCCTCATGGAGTGCTTGCCGGCGGTTGGCCTTTTCCTGTTTGTCATCGTTCAAGGGAACTCTGCGCGCAGTGTTAGCGCTTGATGCGTGCAATTTTCCATACTGTACGCCTACTTTATGGGCGACTTATGCGGCGTCGCCGCGATGCTGTACTTCGTGCTAGTGCGCGGCATGGTTGGCGTGAGTATGCCGTTCGATCTGGCCGTGGTCGTTGTTTGTTGACGGTTCGCGTCCCAAAGCGGAAGCCACACAACATCGCCAGGGCACGTGCGCTGTGCCGCCTGCCGCCACAGCTAAGCCACACTTCACGCAAGCTTTCTTGGAAGCTTGACGTAGTCAGGTCGGTCGCATGAGCGCACGCTGGCACCCGTCGTTCGCATGCTGTCGGCTGCCTAGACTGCGTTTACTGAGCTTGATTCTTATATTCTTATTGTGCTTCCACCCTCCGGTCATTCTGTCGTCCGCGACGTCGTTTCAAGGGAACCTGACTTGAGGCAGCGTGCAAGAAGCGCGCTCAACGAACGAACGAACGATCGCTACCAAAGAACCCTCTCTCCCACAGAAACCAATATCGACTCTCTATCCCAAGGCGCCGCCGGATAGATACCCCCGGTTTCGCGACATAAGCGAACTCTTCTTTGCTCAAAGATGCCGTGAACAATGGCTTCACGGGTTACATCGCAACGGGAGCTACGGCAGCGCACACGATACTCCGCCAGGCCTTTCGCCCTCACCGTACTCGCCATCTCGGTCATAGCACTGCTCGCGTGGACGAAACAAGGAATTGGGCAGCATTGTAGCGTATCCGTAGCGCCCGCTCTTTTGAAAAGAGATGTTGTGATCCAGGACGAAGATGTACGCACCCTACGGCTTCGGCCTTCCTCTAGAGTTTCGCTAATGGGAATGCTGCGCAGTGTCGATTAGTTCACCATGCCGCCGACCAATGCGCCTTCGTTCTCGCCAATTGCCCCGACGAGGAAGCTGGGATATTCTCATACCTCTCACTTTACTACTGCCGCCTCCCGCACGCGAAGCCCGTGGCCTTCATCATTCTGGTACTATGGCTCAGCACCTTGTTCAGTACAATCGGCATCGCAGCAAGTGACTTCTTCTGTGTCAATTTGAGCACTATAGCGCATTTGCTGGGCATGAGCGAGAGCATGGCGGGGGTCACCTTCTTAGCATTTGGAAACGGGAGTCCGGACGTCTTTTCCACATTCGCCGCTTTCAGGACCAACTCGGCAAGTCTCGCGATCGGGGAGTTAATTGGCGCGGCAGGTTTCATCACAGCGGTTGTGGCAGGATCCATGGCTCTAGTGCGGCCATTCAAGGTGGCGCGCCGAAGCTTTGTCAGAGATGTGGGATTCTTTATTGTCGCCGCGAGCTTTAGCATGGTCTTCCTCTGGGACGGGAAGCTTTCCTTATGGGAGTCGGCTACCATGGTCGGATTCTACATTTTTTACGTATGCTTCGTCATGGTCTGGCACTGGTGGCTGGGGCGAAGGAAGGCTCGAAGACTCCGAACTGCCGCTATGAGGAGTCACTACGTCCTCCCAGGTGGGGAAGAGGAGGAAATACCCCAGGAGTATCATGATGAAGACGACGGGCCAGCTACTGAAGGCCGTCGGACTCCACTGCGGGGAGTGTCGGCCGACGACTTCGCCGCGCTTGAACGCGCCGGTTCCGGAGGTTTGATTGAGGAGGATGACAATGAAGAGATGCGCGAAAGATGGCTTGGAGAATTGAACAACAACATGCGCGTTAGTAGGCCCCCTCTTGGAGCCCGGCGACCAACACACACGCCTATTCGACCTAGCCTCGTGGGTGCCCTTGAGTTCCGCGCTGTCCTCTCGTCGTTGCAGAGGTCTAGAAATATTCAGGCAATGCCTATCAGCTTGCGCAGATATTCGGATGACCCAGCATTCACAACTGCGCAACAGCAGGATCTCATTTCTACAACCTCGGACCCTGCACCTCGACCACCATACGAAGTTCAACCAGGAGTTTCCGATCAAACTCCGCTCGTGTCTAGACCCACCTCTGAGATCCAAAAACACCTGGCAAATCGTGCGAGAGCGGTCTCTACAAATGATATAGAAAATGCGCGCCTTGAGCCCGACACGCTACGTTATGGGGCTATTCCTACTATCGACTTCGGCCCAGCATCGCCAGAAGATAGTGGAAAGGCTCGACCCACCGGTGAGCGCCCGCCACTCTCGCCCACCATCTCTCTTTCTCCCCCGCCGTCTGAGCGACCCTCAAGATCGACGAGCCCGGCACCAACCTCAATTCGACACACTTCTCACAGACTCGCTCCACCTGGCCTCGATGGCCATGGAACCTCGGTCCGTCAAGGAACCACTTCGCCAAGTCCTCTCTCCTCCCCTGCATTAGAGCCCGCAGCGCATTCAACATCTCGCCCACCGAAATTGATAGTTCCTGGCCCATCTTCGCCCCCTGTTCCCTTTCCTCCCTATACGGACTACCCCACTTCCGCCCACAGTTCCTCAAGGGCACCAAGTATACGCTTACCCTCGCCGAGTGCTTCACCTGAATCTTTGTACCACGGGGAACATTTTCTTGGAAGTAGCGATCGCCCTAAGGTTCCTCGTTGGTGGCCTTCGAAGCTTCTTCCTCCACCGGACATCCTACTGTCTACCCTGTTTCCTACTTTGACTGGTTGGAATGATAAGAACATTTGGGAGAAGATGCTGGGTGTTGTTGCTGCGCCAAGTGTCTTCCTTCTCACGGTTACGCTGCCCGTTGTAGAATCGCAGAGCGAAGACAGCAGCGACGAAGATCCTATGTCTCCAAGCCTCAATCTTCCGGCTGCATTATCGCCAGTTAACGGCAGCCTCAACGCGCATCAGCGTAGTATGGTCTCAGTGCTCGAGCCAGAGAGTCCATCAAGCTCGGACGCATCCAACTCCAAGATCAGCGTGGGCAACAACAACAACAACAACAACAACAACAACAACAACGGAAGAGACGGTGCCCCCCGAAGCACTGCTAAGGTGCCTGGAAATCAGCTACATCACGTTTCGATTTCGATTACAGATCAAGACAACATCATACAGTCCCCAGAACAATTACCTACCAGGCCATCAACCTCGGAACCGAAGCCGTGGAATCGCTGGCTTGTAATTATTCAGAGTTTCACTGCCCCTTTCTTTCTTGTGCTTATCATTTGGGCAAACACCGAGCCTGAACGTCCTTACGCTCTCCTAAGACCTACCTTGTATGCATTACTCTCTTCTCTGTGCATGCTTGGACTGCTTCTCACGACGACAACGCCGGACCGACCGCCGCGCTGGCGCACCTTATTATGTTTCCTGGGCTTCGCTGTCAGCATCGCCTGGATAAGCACCATTGCGAATGAAGTGGTAGGAGTGCTCAAAACACTGGGAGTCATCCTGAACATGAGCGATGCTATTCTTGGCCTCACGATATTTGCGGTCGGCAACTCACTGGGCGATTTCGTGGCTGATATCACCGTCGCGCGCCTCGGCTTCCCGGTTATGGCTCTCTCAGCATGCTTCGGCGGCCCGATGCTCAACATCCTGCTCGGGATTGGCCTCAGTGGTTGCTACATCACCATCAAAGGCGGCCAGCGGCGCCATGAAAAGCACCCGGACCGACCGATCAGGTTCAAGCCATACCACGTTGACGTCAGCACCACGCTGGTGGTATCTGGGGCTACTTTACTCGTCACCCTGGTCGGGCTGCTGTTGGCTGTGCCTTGGAGGAGATGGAAGATGGACAGGACCATTGGCTGGGGTCTGGTGGCGCTCTGGTGTGCCAGCACAGTGGCCAACGTGATTGTTGAGGTGGTGGGTCTCGGTGGCAACGTAAGTTGAGCAGGGCGCTCTCAGCGATGTTTCAGATATGGATGCTGCGTGAGGATCCGGTTGTGCTTTTGGATAGACGGAAATATACCCCCGACACACAGTGCGCTCTTGCAGAGCTTTGCACCGGTGAGCAAGATTGTACCAATGCAAGGTGACGGGCGGCTCCAGCAGCGGAAAATATGGAGAGAAGGTTCTGGGTGGCCGAGGCCGGGATGTCCTATGAATATCCGGCCACACGTGGCCCAAGGGAAATCGCCAACATGAGATTGGGTTCCCAGGTTGGGCTGCATGGCGGATCCTGTCGAGGCTCCGGCTGCTGTGGGAGCGGCACGCACGCAGCAGTTTGGGCTGAATTGTACTGGCCGGGCGGCAAAACGAGAGCAGAGTGGGCCGGGGCGAGCAATTGGGAGGCACCACGTAGACTGCGAGCAGCGCAGAACGGACGCCGACAAGCTGTTGCGGCACGCAGAAGATGACTCCTTCTGCTTTCGATTCCGGTGTGCAGCAATAAATAAGAGCAAAGAGGGATAGCTCTCGCCATTCCAGCTCACGACACAGCACGCTCTTGCATACCTTTCGCTGCCTCGCTGCCTCGCTGCCTCGCTGCCTTGCCGCCTTGCCTTGCTGCCTTGCCTGCGTCTACTGCCTCCGCTCGTCTGCTGCTCTCGGTGCTCCGCTTCTGTGCATCCCGCCAGTCCCCCCGCCCCAGCCAGACTATGTTCCACTCGGCATCGAACACTACGCATCGCTATCTGATTCGAAGAGTTCGGCGCAGACCGTGTCCCTGAGCTGCGCGCAGTCCGCATTCCGCATTCCGCATTCCCCATTCCCCATTCCCCATTCCACATTCCACATTCCATCCCACATATTTCTCCCCTCCCCAACACCACGGCAACGCCCCCCTCCCCGTCCACCAACGGCCGCAAAGGCAACAAGCAGCAGCCGTCGTCATTGAGCATTGCCGACCTCTCGCTCGCCGCCGCGATACTGCACGTCTCTCTTGCGCGTGCAACGTCCCCGCTAGTCGTTTCAAGGGTTCCCAGGTTCGGCGTCCACTTGACAGGCTGCCATACCACACCCGATCTGCGGCCCTCGATTGCCCGGCGTCATCCTGCCTCAGCGACCAGGTTGCAGACGCCCAAAGGACCCGCCCATCGCCCTGTTTTGGCCGCTTCGTCCCGCCGCGCCCAGCGTTGGTTCCCCCTCTCTTATCGATTGCTCGCATCGCAGCGCATCTCGCCCTCCCGCCCTCAGCAGCCACGCCCGTCCGAGCCTAGCCCCCCGTCTCAAACAATCCCTCCGCGCCCGCTTCGTCGTCTTCTGACGCGCAGACCGAGCGCGGCAAGGGAGCCAGGACCAGCATCTGCCCAGTCCGCGCTTCAGCCGACTCTGTGAGACGAAATTTACCCCAGCGTCGAATCACGCCCTCAGCCTTACGGCGGGCCTGCGCTGCTTCATCAACCTCACCCACCCCTCCCCCTTATCCCGCGCCCGTCTCCTCCTCAAATAGCCCTCGTCCGCCGCCTGCAGCCCCGCCGCCTCTGCAGCTGCTGCGTCGGACCAGGCAGCTATAGCTCTCTGTTTACCAAACACCGCCACCACCACCACCACCACCACCCCCCGCCGCGCACCGGTGAGCGCAACCCCGCTGTCAGCGTCGCCCGCGCGCGCACGGTTTCCAGGCCGCAAGGACACAGGTCCGTCTTCTCACCACCTTGATTGCGAGGTTACCGGACTCGGCGCCTTCTCTGGAAGAACGGGCTCGAGTGCGGTGACGCCCCCGAAATCCAGCCTCATGCCGTTAGTGATAGCCCTTCCTCATCGTCGCGCTGTTTCGTCCTCCCGGCGGTCGCTCTCGCGCCGCCCTGTCCGTCGTCGAGCTGCTTCCTCTTCCTCGCGTGTTTCTCGTACAAGCGCCCCCTCCACCATTTCGATTTCTCCCATGGGTAAACGAGGCGACACTAACGTCGAGATCAACTTTAGGAGAGACATCACCATCAGCCACTCGACCGGCTCCGAACACTACTCCTTCACCGACGAAGAAGACTCCTCCGGCGTGCAGGTCTCGTCCGGCAGCCACGAGGACGAGTACACCGAATCCGACGAGGAGGACGACGAGGAGTGGGACTACATTGACGAGATCGAGCCCTCCGACTCTGCTTCGCGCCCCCGCGTGAAGCATCGCGGCGTCCCGCCGCCCGCGCCTGCCCCTCGACCGCAGGCATCGCGCCGCAAGTCATCACGCCACGTACCTGTCCACGATCCCCCTTCTCGTCCGCGCTCTCAAAGCAGACACACACTGGATCGCCAACACCGGCCGCGACGGCCAAGGCCCCAATCCGTCCATTCGGACAGCCTAGACGGCCACGACGACTACCCGTATGCGCCTCGGCCTGGACAGTCTCCCCACCACCCTGCCGCCCAGTGGGCACACGTTCCCCAACAAGCTCCTCCTAGCGGATATGCGCCCAGCATGATGTCGGATCCGCGGTACAACCCCTTTCCAGGCGGTCCCGCCAACCAATTGGTACCTTTCGGGAGCCCCGACCAATATGGCTATAACCAGAATCCTTTCGCTCCCGGGGGCCCGAACCCTTTCGCTTCTCCCCCTGCTGGTGCTGGCCCGAACGGCTACTTTGAGGGACCCGGCGGACATGGTCGCCGGGGCCATCGCAACTCAATGCCCCCGGTCCCATCTGGCGAGATGATGCCGTACGGTTACGCCAATGGCTACTACCCACCATATCCCGGCATGCCCTATGGAATGCCTGGGATGCCGCCCATGTACCCTCCGTATGGCGCTCCCCACACCACGCCTCCACCTCAACACCCTCCATCGAAGAAGTCCACTCCGGCTCCACCACCACCAGAAAATGTGATGGGTGCTCCTCCACCTCCACCGCCGCCACCACCACCTTCTCAGGCACCACCGCCAGTAATGATGGCGCCTCCACCGCCTCCACCGCCTGACACGGCTGTGCAGGACAGTATGCTTGGCAAGCTCGAGAAGCTCCTGCTTGGGAAGCAAGAGATGGAAGAGAAGAAGGCAGAGGATCAGAAGTTTTCCCGACTGGAGCAGCTCCTCATTGAGCAACAGCAAGCTCGCGTCGAAAAGGAAAGGGCTAAGAAGAAGGCCGCCGAGGAAGCCGCTATCAAAGCCGCTGAAGCTAAGAAGAAGGGAGATGAAGACAAGCTAGCGAAGCTGGAGAAGCTCATCCTCGCCCAAAAGGATGAGCAACTGAAGCGAGAAGCAGCATTGGAGGCGGCCCGTCAAGCGGAGAAGGCCGATGCCGATGCTAAGGCCGCGAAGGAAGCCGCAGAGAAGAAAGCTGCTGCGGAGAAGGCAAATGCGCTGCTTGAAGCGGCAAAGAAGGCCCGAGAGGAGGCAGAGGCCAAGGCAGCGAAAGAGGCGGACGAAACCAAAGCCGCCCACGAGAAGGCCCTCGCCGAAGCCAAGGCGGCTGCCGAAGAGCTCGAGAAGGCGAAGAAGGCCGCGGAAGAAGAAGCCGCCAAGTTGAAGCCCTCGGATGCACCGAAGCCCCCGATCAAATTCAAAGACGCCGTCGGCCGCAAGTTCAGCTTCCCTTGGCACCTCTGCAAGACCTGGAAGGGAATGGAAGAGCTCATCAAGCAGGCCTTCCTCCACGTCGACGTTATTGGTCCGCATGTGCACGAGGGACACTATGACCTGGTGGGTCCTGATGGCGAAATCATCCTGCCGCAGGTATGGGAGACGATGGTGCAGCCAGATTGGTCCATCACGATGCACATGTGGCCCATGCCCGAGCCTCCACCACCTCCCCCAGGGCCGCCGGAGGGCGCCCCGCCTCCTCCGCCCCTGGACCACCCAATGCCACCTCTCGCCAAACCCAAGGGCAAGGGCAAAGGCAAAAAGCGTGAGTCCCATCACAACATCGTGATCCCTCCTCCAATGTTTCCTGGAGGCCCACTACCACCGCCGCCACCACCACCTGGTATGGTACCAGCAGATGCCGCACCACCTCCACCACCGCCCGGTATCATCAATGTGACGCCTGGTGCTGCTCCGTCCCATATTTCCCGACCGGGACGGAAAGTTGCTCCTTCACCTTTCATGCGGTGGGCAGCCGGAACTAAGCGTTCGCAGTCTTTAAAAGGGCTAAAAAAACCTGAGGGCCCGACTAGTCCAATCGCTGCAGCAAACGCCAATGCTGAAGGATGTCTCGTTATGTAAGATCCCGCTGACGAGAAGACGTAGTGCCCGACGCCGAGTGGGACCACTGGAACCAAGCGGAGAACGTGCGCATCATTCGAAGATACAGGCGAGTGGGCTGGTGAACTCAAGAGAAGGGATGCATTCCAATCGTTTCGTTTGCTTTGCGGCATTATCGATACCCACGCTCCGTCTTGGTTCGGCGGCTCCTTCGTCCTGTCTTTCGCATCGTTCATGTTGCGTTCCATTCCCGGGAGCATCTGCGTTCATTGTCAGCGTGCTGTGTCATAGCGAGCTATTCTTACCTATTACTGCGTGGTTGGACTGGCCTTCAGGAGGCATGGTTTTCCCCCCGCGACTCTCGCGGGTCTTTCATGCCTCGGGGGATTAGTTTCGATGATTTTCCTTGTTACTTTTCATCTACCTTTCAAGCGATTTGTTGTTTTCTCCTCTTTTCTCAGATTTGCTTCTTCTTTCCTTCTGCTAGGCCACTCCGTCTTCTCTCCCCTCACCGCAGGTGTCTTGGACGTGTTTTCCTCCATGATTTCTATCGGCATTCTTACCCTTTCGCGTGGTCTGGGGTGTCCGGTTCAATCGTTTGGAAATTCTGACCGGGTGCATGGGGGCGGCGGACTTTTCGGGGACCGCGAGGAAAAGTTCAGATACCATTGCCATTTGAGCGCCTCATATTCATATCATCGGTATTTCTATCCTTGGGTTTGGGAGTTTGGATATCGGTTTTTGCGCTGTGATTTAAGTCATCGAAGCATGGTGCGGTTGGGTTGTGTGGAAGGTATGGAGGATACGAGCATCACGATGCTACGAAGAGAGCCCGGAGACTGTGCAGGCTGTGTGAAGGCTCACTGCGCAAGACGGCTGATGAGACGATGAGACACGATGGTGTGGTTAGCGCTGCGATTGAGATGTGTTGCGAAGTTGAGCTGCGTTTCCTCTTCATTGCTTTTATCTTAAGAAATTCTTTTCTCGCGAAAAAAAATCTAATTCAATCATGTTTCCAATATCATCAACTCTCACCTTACGCCCTCCGTGATATCGATATCCATCGTGTCATGCGCTGTCTTTCGTTTGGTGATGATCGGCAATCCGTTGGTTTGGAGCAAAAGTTGGCTGGGCACGTGACGGACTACGTCACAGATTAGCGCCCGCTTCGCACCTTTCAAACGTGGGATAGCCGTTGAGACTACGGCACCTCGACAAGGGCGAAACAGGCTCAGGATTCCTTGGCGGTGGTGCTGGGGGCTTTGTCGGTCTATGATGTGTGTGCATGGAGGAAGAATGCCTCAAAGAAGTGATCGTTTCCTTCCTTTCGCGTGAGCTCTAAGAGAATTCACCGCGACTAAAGATTTGGTTGGCTGTACTGTACAACGCGGCAACGCTCCCGTTGATAGCATTGACAGGCTCGTTGATTCTGTGGGAAAAGAGACGGCTTCGCAAAAACGCTCCGCATTTTCCTTCCTTCCTTCTATGGCGTCAACATGTTCCTCGCTCTGCCGATAACGCTTCTTACGCTGCTGCTGCTGCTGTGTTCCCTCCAGCAGCCAAGCTTGGCTTCGACAACCTCGTTATACGCATCGCTCTGGTTTAGAGGCTCGGACGCCCAAGAAGCATCAGCAGAATACACAGACGACGATGTCTTCCAACAGGCGGTGCTGAATGTCACGAATACATATCGCAAACAGCACAACGCGACGAGTCTGGCGTGGAACGAGAGTCTGGCGGAGTACGCGAAGGAGTGGAGCGAGAGGTGTGAGTTTGAGCATTCGGTAAGTGTGATATTTCTTAGTATTGCACGCTCGAGATAGGTAGAGAGAACGTCAGAAGAAGAAGACCAGAGCCGAGGTTTTGAGGAATTAGAATGGGATGGGCGGGCATGTTTTCGACTTGCGCAAGGCGCTATCGAGCATAGGGCCTGCCTCCCTATCTTCCGAATCCTCCCTACGCATTTCCCATTCTATACTCTGTCTTTCCTCCATAGACTAACAGGACAAACAGGGCGGTCCCAGCGGCGAAAACCTCGCCTCCGGCTACGCCAACACCTCGGCCAGCATTATCGCCTGGGGCCACGAGCGCATCGACTACGACTTCGCCGCCGGTGAGTTCTCCGAAGAAACAGGCCACTTCACCCAGCTCGTCTGGAAGAGTACATCGAGCGTCGGCTGCGGCCGTACGGAGTGCAACGGCGAGTCTGGAGAGACGAGAAATGCGCCCGGGTGGTATGTCTCCTTTTCCGTTCCTTACATACATTTCTTCGCTTGCTGTGAAACTAGAGTGGGAGGCGCTAATAGGCCTCCAGGTTCGTAGTCTGCGAATACTACCCACCGGGCAACGTCATTGGCGCCTTTGCGCAGAACGTGCAGGCCGAAGTGCCCGAGGACGAGCAGCCTGAGGGGCCGAGCGATCCAGTTGTTCCCGATGATGATGGGGATGAGGGGGATGAAGGAACGGAGTGTCCGCAGGGAGGGGTGTGTGGCGGCGCGGAGAGAATAGGAGGAAGTGGGGAGATGGGGGCGTTGTGGGTTGCAGTGCTTTTGACTTGTTTGGGGGCGGGGTGGGGCTTATGATGAACAGAGACAAGGGCGTATGGATGCGGAAGCCTGGATGTATGAGGCGAATAATACCATTGACGTATTTCGAAATGGATGTTTCCGAGGTATACGACTTTGCATTTGATTGTTACAGCTTACTAGAGCTGCATATGAGAGGCCTGTTGGACTTCTGTGATATCGGGTACTGGACCCTTCTGAACTCTTTGCTTTGTCTCCCTCTGCAAGCCTGCTTCGAGAGCACTCCCTCAATGAAATATGAATAGTAACACCGCCCATGCATTCGCTTCCCGGAAACGCCTTCCAAAAGCAAGAATCCAGCCGAAATCGGTAACGAACGAATGGGCAGGTTTGGGTATCTCTTTTCTCTCAAATCTTTCGGCCGTTCTTCCCGAGATCCAGATCACCACACAATCCCCTTCCAATCAAAATCTCCATCAATGTTTATCCAGTTGCCCCTGGTAATTGCGCTGTCCCAGCCTAGCATCACAGCTAGGATACGACATCCGATGCTCGATACTGTGCAGACTACTGTATCCGCCTTGCCGACCACCGCAAGATCCATGAGATAAGCGCGGCCGACAAGTTCGCGGAGCTTCATTGCCCCTTCCGGAACATCAGTGTTGTCGAGCTTGCTTATGTCGTCTGCATTGCCAACAGGGCGACCGAGGCTGAGGAAGACGTCACGGTAGAAGCCCCCCTCCCAGCCAGTGATTTCGTCGATCCACGGGTTCTTCTTGCCTTGGGCGGCTTCGAGAGTGGCTTTGGTGGCTAGGATGATACGGTCCTGAGCGCGCTCCGCGTTGGGTCCTAGCTCGCCAGATTCGTAGACGACCGGGTCATCAGAAGCAAGCACGAGCTTAGACGATGTATGACGGGCAAAGAGGTTGTTCTCTTCTAGGCTTCGCTTCTTCTTCGACTTGGAGTTTGCATTCTCCACACGGTCGATATAGATGTCTCGCGCGGTATCCATGTACCGCCCCAGCGGAATGTAGTCCTTCTGGTATTGAAACTCGAAGGGATGCTTATCCCCTCGTCGCACGTGAATGCCGATGCTGATGCCACCGTGCTCGACGATCGGGCCGTAAAGATGTTCAGCGCGGTCAAGGACGTATTTGGCATCATCGGTGCGAAGCTTGAAGAGCGCTTCGTACCCAGCTCTCACTAGGCCGAATATCTTGTGTTGGCGCTGTACATATCGCTGAGTGGGGTCCTCCCATTCATCGGTAAAGGAGTGTCCAAAAGTGGACCCTACTGTTGCGCCAGAGACGACAATGTGTCGGGAATTGTGAGGGCAGGGAACCATGTGGGACCTTGGCGGCGGTAGACAGCCTGCGGTCGGAGGCGGCGTGAAATAGTCGGAGTACTTGCCGTAGGGCCTGCCTATAGTTAGCTTTGATATACTAGCCGAATACGAGCCCGGGGGTTTGGGGGAGCTTACCACTTGGTATCATCCACAAAGAAGGTCCGATTCTCTGCCTGAGCCAATCCGTACGACATCCACAAACGCATCAACGTGTTACCGAAGCCTGCGTCCTCTGTCTCCATAACATATGTGAGCGTCCTGGCGCACACCTTCAGCCCACTTGTGGACTCCCCGTTGGCGATAGCAACGTCATCCACAAAGCTCTTCGGTCTCCCTGTGCTCTTCGAAGGCGGAAGCAGTGCCTGCTGCTCCGCCTCCTGGACGTCGATATAATATTTATCCTTTTGATAGTAGGCAAGCATTCGCTTCGCAATGTTGCTGTTGGCTTGGGCTTCTTGGCGCAGCTGCTTCGACAACTCCATTGATTGCTTGCAGATGTCGCGATACTGTGCCGGCTTCAGCGGAAAGTCGTAGCTCGATGGTATTGACACAGTCCACTTGGAGTTCCCTTTGGCATCCTGGACCACCACCGCAGACGGCTCCTCTGGAAGGAGGCTGCCCCCGACCATTTCCCACTCTTCTCCATCGTCCTCGAACTCGACCGGGTGTTGCTGAGGGGTATATAACTGCTGGATGACGAGCCATACCAAGATCGCAACGCCACAGAAGCCAATGAGCAATCGCTTCACCAGTCTGGAGTGGCTTGATATCGATGGCTTCTTTCCGTGGCGCGGGATCAGAGACGGAAGGCTCGGGGACGGCGGCGGTGAAGGCGAGAGCAGACCGCGGCGGGAGGCAACCGTGGGAGAGAGGAATGTGGCCGACGTCACGGAGGGGCTAAGCTGTGAGTAAGCGGCCGAGGACACGGGGGACAGATTAGGATTCCGCCGGGCATGCATCTTCTTCATCTTCTGGGTTGCGTGATTGAGCATGTCGTGAGTGCAAGTCTGCTGGTTCTTGGGGTCGCTGGATACCGGCCAGGTCGGGAAGCTGCAACCCAATGACGAGGTGATGCAGGAATGAGCTTTGGGAAGCCACCTGGCCCTGCAGGTGTTGAGCAGCAGAAACGGCGGAGCGAGGCAGCGTCGAGATGCCGTCGGTCAAGGAGAGTACGAAGAGAAAGACGAAGGGATACGAAAGGACGGTCGAGAGGGCTCAATGGTCGCACGTTGCCGTCATGAGCGGTGGCGAGAGGCACGCTGCTGCGCGAGAGGAGAAGAGAAGCGGGAAGAGTTTCACGGCAGCAAACAAACGCAGGCGACGATCTCCGTCAAGGAGCTGGGCGAATCGAATGGGCGGCCGAGGAAGAGAGCCTCACGGAGGTGTAATTTGAGGAGGAAGCATCAAGCCTGAGGGAAGGGGACGGCCCAGCACGCTCCTCCAGCACTGACACGGGCGGGGCTTGGGGACGGCTCGAAGGGGAAGCGCGGGCGGACATTCATTTTGAGCAGGCCCTGGATCTGCAGGCGGCCAATTCATCGACGTCGCATCTTTTGCGTGCTGGCGGGCTCTGCGTCGGAACCTGAAACAGCGTGTAACGTCTGGAGAGTGGCCAGCGCGCGATGCACTAGACGCGAATGCGGGAAGGCGCCGCCCAAGGCTCGAATTAGCGGGGCCGGACTCCGCTGACGATCAGCTGACGGCATGCCGAAGCACTGCTATAGGCGGAGCCCTGCGAGCGTCCTCATGTAGAGTGCTATACGTATGCAGCGTCGAATACTAATACTAATATAGAAGCTACATACTATAAAGACAGCCAGTGATCCAAGGAGAAACGGGGTATCACGGAAATATCCCTCGGCACGGTACAAACAGAAGAGAATGCCCATCCCAGGCGAGCCCGACCCGTCCCTAGAGTAAAGTGTTGAGAAGATAAAGCCGGCCTGGCGCCCGAGAACCCCATACCGACCAACGCCCTGCGTGAAAAGAGATGCTCCAACTGTTCCGTCCTTCGGACGTTGTTGGTCATTAGTTTGTACCCATTAAGTCCTCGCTTCGTCTCTCCGTGTGCCCCCTCGTGCGGTAGCGAGATTATGAATGCCGTGTCATGCTCCTCATACCGTGCCAGCCCTTACATTCCAGCAATTCGTGTAGTACTCAGGCTGCTTCGTTCACAAGACCCTCGCCGACCGGTCGGAGGCTGTTGCTTCGTCGCGTTCCATTGGCATTGTCGGTGAGACTGCTCCGTCGTGCTCCGTCGGCTCGCACCGAGTCCACCTGTCTCGAAATCATTTCGTCCAGCATGCGCGTCACGTCCTCGATGTTCCTCTCTGGCCGTGAGTTGGGCGAAAACGACTTGGGGCTGATCATCGGTGAGGGCGATCCCTTTTGGATCATGCTACCGCTGCTGCCCTCGCTGCGCTGGTGCGATGTTCTCCTGCTCCCCGGTGACCCATCGCTACCAAGCTCCTGTGCCGCCTCGCTCTTTTTGCGCGCTGATGTTAGAGCTGCAATCATCCGCTCTTTGTCTTCCAGCTGCGCTCGCAGAGTGGAGATCTCCGCATCTTTCTCGGCAATGGTCGCGATGAGGCCGCCGTCGTCACTTCCTCCTGCCATCTTTTGCGAGAGTGTAATCGACACACGTGAGTGGCTGGATCTTCGAGCTTGGAGGAGTCGCTTTTCCAATGTCGCAATATATCGGTTTTTATCCGCTAGATCCGACTGCAGCGATTGGATCTGTGCGGATTGGCTCGCCATCCCATCCCCATTTTCTCCAAGAGAATCTTCCTCTTCGGAGCCGTCCAGTGGAACCGAAGGGAACACAGCCTGCGAGCCGTGATGTCCAGGTACCTCGAGAGTAGCGTGGCTCCCCGACGATCGCACAGAGGTGGGCCGGATGTCGTTGCTGAGAACAGAGCCCCGTTGAAAGCTCATTGCTGAGAACGATCGTCCGTTGTTAACGCCTAACGATTTCGAGCTCAAGATTAGGCGATTCAAGTGCTCGATGCGCTCTTTGAGCGCAGTGCGTGCGAGCTGCATCTCGAGCATTTGCTCCTCGTGCCGATGCCTGTCTTCAATCTCGCGTGCCTTCTCCTCCTCTTCTTCCTTTTCTCGTTCCTCTTTTGCGTCTTTGTTCTCCTTTGCCTTGTTCTGCTCCTCCAGCTGCTTTCTAAGCTCCTGGATTTCAACGCGATAACGGTCCAGCAGCGCCCGGCTTCCTGCATCCCCGCCAGAACCGAGAGACTCATCTGCCTTCTTGGCGTGGCTGACGATGTTGTTCTTTGCGCGCGATGCGAACTTCAAGGTATTCAATGTCTCGCCCGTATGGCTGTTGGCCGCAGCGATGCTACCGCTGGCGCCAATCTGGATCGTACAGAGAATGCTGACGAGGGAGTTTCCAGACAACGCAGGTTGTAGCAGTCGGGTGAGCTTGCTGTCTCGGTATGGCAAGTGCTTCTCCTTGCTTGCCTTGTCTTTGTCTGACTTCTCCTTATCGCTAGATAGACGAGCGATGACCGTTCCGAGGGTGAGCAGACTCTTGTTAATGTGGGATCCTTCGGTTCGTCTTTCCTTGCTATCGGCTGCCTTTTCAGAACCTGCCAGGTCGATTAGGCTGAGCGTCGAGACACGGACACCGCCAGGAGCGATTGCTGTTCGCTTCGGATCCTTGAGGCTACCGCCGGCTACGCGCTCACGACTTTCGACGACGATTTGCACGACAGCATGACTTCGAGAGCTTCGTGCATTGAACTGTGTTCCGGCTACTCGTCGGGCCTGGTCACCGCGAGCGATGACTCTTAGAAGCTGTGTGGGACTCTGTACGATCTCTTCTTTCAGAGGCGTCGCGTACACGCCGCGCTTGCTGTCTTCCCTGAGTTTGATCTCTTCCTGAGGCCCAGGTTGGCCATTCATGCCGGGGAGGGGTCCGGCGAGCAGGTCATTGATCCTCTCGTTGTAGATCTCCAGGTAGCTGACCCTTAGAAGGAACTCCCGATGGGGCGTCTCCCGGATGTACGAAAAGATGTCGGTAATAGCCAATGGGATCACTCCTGGATTTGTCGCGGTTCCTTGCATAGAAAATGTCTTACCAGTTCCGGTCATGCCATAGGCGAATACGGTGCCATGGTAGCCCTCCATTACCCTCCGGACGAGTCGCTTAGCTGCAGCATCATAGACGCGGGCATTATTATCTTGGGTGTCGAACACGTTGTCTAAAATCATCTCATGTCAGCCGCAGCTCCGTCTTCATGCGCCATGTTGTGCAACCGTACCATAATAGTAATCTCCGCCCTCGCGACCTTTATATGCGATCAGTGAGCGCTTGTTGTTAATCTCCCACTCCTGCTCTGTCTTGCTGTCTTTGGTTCCGATATCAGGCCGTATTCGCACGCTGACAATGACATTGCCTTTGCCATCTTTATGCGTGGAATTTCTGTCCGCCTTCTTACTCTCCGACCGCCCTCGTGCGTCATCGTCGCCGATATCTTCGAATGTAGTTGCGCTCGTCGCGTAGGATCCCTGAGCCGACGAATTTCTGCTCTGCGGCGGTGAGGGGAGGCTCAAATGGCCATTGTCCACTGCCACCGACTCCCCACTGCCGTTGAGCAGGCTGGGAGGTGACAATGGCGACTTCCCCAACAATCCTCTGCCGCCGCCGACATTCGAAACTCTTGGCTTCTTGATACTGCCTGCTCTCGCGGGTGTTGTTGTTGCCGACTTGGATCCCGACGACAGCCTCTGATCTACGGTGTCACTATTGGGGGTCGAACTCGCCGACAACGGGCTGGGTGGATGACTTGCCGCTTTGCCCGCATGCTTTGGAGGCTGTGGGAATGATCCAATGCTAACTGTCTTCCGCAGTGTCTTTCCAGGTGGCAGCGGGCCAGCCGGAGAGTCGTTCGTCGTAAGCGTCGGTATCGTTGAGGTAGAGTTCGTGTGGCCCTTCGCGGTTGGTCGCTGGGGCAGAGCTGAGGAAGAAACTGCGCGGTTCGCTGTTGCAAGCCCGGGAAGGAGCGAGCTCGAGGCGGTGCGCGAGGCGGGGCTGATGTTCGAGGCTCTGGATTTCGCTACCGGCAGAGCAGGCAGTGGACCCGTGGGAGGGGCGATTGAGGGCCGCGAGGGGCGCGGCAGCGAGTGGTTCGTCATGATGGATGACCTTCTTGCGGCTGGTGACTCCTGACGCAATCTTTTGGTCTGCGGAGGAGCGCCTTCAAATCTCAAACCCTTATTTCTGGGGCTCTACGCCGCCGAATTCATATCCTTTTGCTTTGCCAGGCGAGGTCAACAGAGCCAGAGATTGCGGGCAGCGTGCCGCGAAGAGTCGTAGCAGAAACGTCTGAAGTGCCTGCCCAACGTGGCCGTGTCAAGTCGGACGGGGAAGACCCGGCGCGCTCTGCAGAGTGAGCGCAGAGAGCGGAAGCGGGTGGACGCAGTGAAATGCAGGGTTCCTTGGTTTGAGCGCGAGTCGGCGCACGTCCGCACACGTGTCGATGTCGTCCGAAGGCTGGGAAGAAAAAGAGGCGCAACGAATGGACGACGCTTCTTGCACAGCAGCAAGAGCTCTGGTGACGGAGGGTTCGGGGCCTGTTTGCCAGAAGAAATGAGAGTTCGCCGGTTGAGAAAAGGAGCGTTTGACAGGGAGGCCCGGCGAAGCCCAACGAGCGTGCAGGGGGCAGGAATACTCGGCCGGGGTCCGCTAACGCGATGATTCGACAATCGGCCGCTAGTGAGGGGAAAGAGGAAAGGGCCGTCTGCGCTCAGTGACCGTGGAGCCGGCAGCACCGTCGCCGCGAAAAGCAAATGTCACCGCGAGCTTGAAAAGGGGGCGATGATGCGTGTGGGGTGGTGGACTTCACTGAAGAGGCATCGGGCGGGCGTGACCTACCCAAAGCGGAAATTACGACACTGCTCACCTCTCTCTCGCCTGGAGTACTTGCATCCCGCCCGCGCAGCTGCAGATCCGCAGCAAGCACCAATCATCCGGTAGCGACCGGCTATACAAAAGCCCAGGGAAGATGCACAGAAAGACAAGAAGGTTCGTCTCCGCTGCCCGAAGTTGACTAGATTCTCATGTATCTGCAGAACGCCCCAGTCTACGGCCCAATATCGTGGAAACTTATGCATTAACACGAGATCGCCAGCTACTCAGTGAGTATTGTCGCGTCCGTCTCCTGCAGAGAGCGCATTCTTGGCAGGCCATACGAGAGTTCATCCCAGCCCTAGGACCCTCCAACGACGGCCTCCAAGAAGGACGTTGGAAGTCCAGCAGCCATCCAGACGCAAAAGCAAGCGACGTTCAGCCCTCTGCTACACAAGCCGTCGCGTTTTGTTAATCCTCTATAATCTCCGACGCGCCAGCTCGGGAACCACCAATTTGAGCAGCAGGAGCGACCGGGGACCAATGGCCAGGCGAGCCAGGGCAGCCGCGCATCACGCCAAGGCTCGCGAGAAACACGCCTCAGGCACATCAGATGTCAACGATGGCGCCACGCTCCACGTGCCTGCAGGCAATCGCAAATCATCCAGGAGCCGCCCCCATCTCGAAGCAGGTGGAGTGCTGGATGCCCCGGATCCGCTTTCTAACAAAAGAACAAGGTGTCTTGAAGATCAAATGCGTCCAACCAGCATCTGACTGGTGCGGCCTCCGTATACCAGCGAACGCATTGAAACACTCACGGATCATCTTCCGGATCCGCGTTGGGTACACCAGCTACACGGTAGAGAGCGAGGTCGTCTGTTTGCTACCCATTGTCAGCTGGTGCGCCGTACAGGCCGGAGCCGTTTCTCTCGACAGTCGCTCCGCTTTCCCAACTTTCTGCTTCTGCAGTTGAGGCTTTCACAGTGAAACGCGGTGCTCATGACGGTGCGTCACCTCCAACCGTGATGCTGGGTAGCCCCAGATCATCGTTTAGCCGGTCCAGGCAGGAGCGACCCGCGAAGTTGGACGCGAGTGCCGCATGAGAAACCGTCGATGGATGACAGATCTGCTGTGCATGGCTCTTATGCCTAGAGAATAGCTAAATTTACCTCACAGAGCACCCCAACCAAATGATTTGGTGCCCATCCAGGTGACTACCACATACTGGCAGCCCCAGAGGGTGAGGTCGATGGCAAGCTCGAACGCTCCGCAAAGCGCTATGCGTGACATCTGCACACCGATGGATGGCCAATTCGAGTCGCTCATCGCGGGTAGGGGATCGAGCACGCGGCGCGGGCCGATGTAACCTTGTCGGCGGGCGAGGTAGTGGGAGGCGACGAGGCGAAGGGTGACAAGCTTGAGCGGCAGCGTCATCCAAGTGACAATCTGAGCTTTGCATATGGCCCCTATCATTTGGGCTGGCTCCGAAGATAGCGTGGTGACTCGGTGATACATTCGTGTGTCCGGCGTACGAACAGGATTCGGCAATGTAGCGTCACGTTGATCAGGCGTTGAGGGACCACTTCCAGCAATCTCAGTGTGAGAGGAGAGTACATGTGGTGGTAGGCGGACCTCCATCTCTACGATCCCCTCTCGAGAAGTGATCCGAATCCTTGGATCATTGTCGTGCTCACTTGTTTGGGAAGCCGTAGGTGACTGAGGAGTAGGCGGTCCCGGCGTTGATTGGGTAGATGTGTTTATAGGTACAAGGAGGCTCTCAGGTTCGAGGGCCTCGGTCGCCGGCGGAGTGTTTTGACGGGCTAGTGGAAGCTCCAATCTGTTGAGGTTGGTTACTTGATTTCCACCGACCTCGATGGCATGCTCGCCGCGGATCTCCGGTCTCCTAGGCGCTGATGTAGCCTGCTCTCGTTCTGTTTCTCCCAAACGGGAGAATGGTTCTCCCCAGCCGATTGTCACCAGCAGTTTGTTGACTGCGCCTCGAATCAAGGACGGGGATCGCCGTCGCAAGCCAAGGATAGATGTTGTCCGACTCTTCGACCCGTCCTCGCGACCAAGCATGTCCGGATTATCTGGATGGACCACGCTACGCTCGATCACCTCATAAACGGCGGCGTAAACCCATCGCTCGTAGAAATGCTCCATACAAACAAAGACGAATGGCGATGTCATTGCCGCCTTGAAGAGATCAAGGGCCGAACAGGACGCACCGTAATGGAGAGAAAATGGTAGTAGAGGTGACCATTTAGAAAAGGGAATGAATGCCCTCAACGGGGGCAAGAGCGGCTTTGCAGAGACCAGACCGAGCCGCTGTAGGTAGGAGTGGTAAGCGAAAGGATAGAACAAACACTCCAGGAACAAGCGCAGACATAGTGTAGGTAAATCCTGCCACCGTCGGAAAAAGCGCCGTGTCCTAGAGCTTGCACGCGTTGCGAGCAGGATGCGTTCAAGAGGACGTAATACGTAAGCAACGTAAACGGTAGCTTGGATGCTAAGGGTCGACAGTAGGCGGGAGGTGAAGCCACCATAGATCAGAGCCTTGCCAGAAAGGCTACGTTCGGAGGCAACGATTTGGGTAAAGGGAAGAGCGTCCCGAAAGCGGAACGTCTGTAGCCTGTTAGGTATTGCAGGCAGCTCATCGTTCAAGGCTCACCAGAATCCTCTCCCTCAAAGACCCAACCCACCAAGTACACAAGTTTTCCGTCAGCGTAGATGCGAGGGCTATAGCATTGCCTGCGGTATCCTCGTCTTCCAGCTCCAGCAGGCGCTCTTCGTATGAGCCCGGAAGGTCCTGCGACGGCGAGCGGCGTCTCTCCACTACTCCAATAGATGCCAGGACATCATTCTGTGCCTCTCTCAACCTACGGCCATGCTCGTTGGCGCGAGGGTTGATCGGGTTGCCTCGCTCATCGTACAACTGGATGTATCTGTTCGGATTTTGCTCTCGCGCTTCGGCTGGGAGGTCCCGCTGAGATGACCCGAGTTGAACGTATTCGGTGGTCTGGGTAGCTGTTTGGCTTGGTTCGAAGGCCGATCGCCCCTGCCTTTCGTTAGAATGAGCTTTGAGGTCGGCCCAGGCGGCGCGTTTAAGGTTGACATACCAGCGCGATTTTAGTCAGATATGCTTGACGGCCCATGGCTGCTTGTCCCGTCAGCAGCTAGGTCCAGAGGAAGGGGCCCCACACTTGTAGTAATGGCGCTCCATCGCAAGCGCTACGAGCGAGGTGGGAATATGTCGTTTGGAGGGAGGTCAACGCGCTATCCGTATCGATAAGGAGCTCCAGAAATTTCCCGACGCCAAGATTTCGCTCACACTTCCAAAGTTCTTCCACCACGAGGTTATGCGCTTATTCTCCTATAAGGTGTCTATAATACGATGGCCCAAAGAGCGGCGGTAAGGAACACGTATGCGGTCGACCGCACGCTTCAGCCCATCTACGCCGGTGGCAGCATTGCCTTGAGCGAAGATGGGCGCACACTGGCGGCATCCGTGGGCGAAGATGCGACGCTCACAGACCTCACAAATGGAAGAGAGTTGGGTAGAATAGAGGGTGTAAGCTAAAATACGCCCTTTGAGTCATACTTCTACTGACCGCCTGCTTAGGACGGTGAACCCGTTACCGCCTTAACCTGTAAGTACGTCCGTTGACCTCCAGATTCGCTGCTAATGTACACAGTAACGCCCGATGCTTCGCACCTCATAATATGCTCCCGATCGCTCTCTATGCGCATATACTCTCTGCTTCCCTCCGAAACCGACGACGAATCAATCCAACCCGAACTCCTCCGATCGCTCCGACCGCATACCTCGCCAGTAGTCACTCTGACGGTGGACAAAACCGGTACACTTCTGGCTACCGGTGGTGCAGACGGTATTGTGAAAATCTGGGATATTCGAGCGGGCTACACCACGCATACGTTCCATGGCCACGGCGGTGTTGTCTCTGCGCTCCACTTCTTCCAGGTCGGCGTTTCCGCGACAGAAGAGTCAGCCGAAAAGAGCAAGAAGAGAAAGCGAAGAAAACCGCAACAAGAAGATGCTAGTGCTGAGCATGGGAATGAGGAAAGTACATTGGAGTATAGGCTTGCTTCAGGCGCAGAAGATGGCAAAATTCGGATATGGGACCTTCACAAAAGAAAGAGCTCAGCCGTCCTAGACTCACACGTCTCCGTAGTACGGTCGCTTGAGTTTTCACCAGAGCAGAAAACGCTGGTGTCAGGAAGCAGAGACAAAACACTAATCCTATGGGATGCGGAGAGGTGGAAAGCGAGTCGCACCATCGCAGCTCTTGAAGGGATCGAGAGCGTAGGGTTCACCGCTGGAGGACAAATTGTCTTCTCTGGTGGAGAAAACGGTCGAATACGGCTCTGGTCCACGGCGACCGGGCGGGAACTTACGCAGGAACAAGAAGCCGGGACCGAGACGGATGCGATCGTAGGCATTCTCTATCATGCGCCCATGCCACATTTGATCTCAGTACATGCCGACCAGGTACTAAATTTCCACTCACTAGGATCACTGGAACTTCCCTTCGTCGAAGCGACTATTAGTCCGTTACCCATCTTCCGAAGAGTGTCCGGTACCTACGACGAGGTTATTGACATAGCCTACGTTGGTTTGGATAAGTCCCTGCTGGCGCTCAACACAAATTCAGAGGATATCCGGATAGTAACGCTAAGGTCCGAAGATGGGAAAGAAGGAAAATACTTCGGCGCAGACGTAGGCTTATTGAAGGGACATGATGACATTATCGTATGTCTCGATGTAGACTGGTCCGGACACTGGCTCGCGACAGCTTCAAAGGACACGACCGCTCGGCTATGGCGCCTGGATCCTGAGCACGACTCGTACACATGCGCGGCTGTACTCACAGGCCATGCTGACCCCCTTGGAGCCATCGCTTTGCCGCATACAACGCCCCCAGAAACCTCAGCAGCGTACACACACCCTCTATCGTATCCGCCAGCATACGTTGTCACCGGCTCCAATGACAAAACACTGAAGCGCTGGGATATCGGCAAGGAAATGAAACAGAAACTGCGAGCGAAGTATACCCGCAAAGCCCACGACAAAGATATCAACGCGGTCGATATTGACCCATCAGGCGCCCTCTTCGCCTCAGCATCACAAGATAAAACAGTCAAGATATACTCAGCCGCGGAAGGTGAGGCAATAGGGGTGCTCCGTGGACATCGTAGAGGCGTCTGGACCGTCAAATTCCAGCCCAAAGAGTCCCAGGTACCCAATTCTGGTAGCAAAGGCTTGATAGCGACAGGGAGTGGAGATAAGACGGTTAAGATCTGGAGTCTATCGGATTACAGCTGTCTGCTCACCCTCGAAGGCCACTCCAATAGCGTGTTAAAGCTCGCTTGGTTACCCTATCGATCAGTCGATGCTCGCGACAGACGTGGCCCGCAACTAGCATCTGCAGCTGGTGACGGGCTTGTCAAGATATGGGACTCTGCGTCTGGTGAGGCGATGTCTACCCTAGATAATCACACCGACCGTGTCTGGGCACTGACTGCACATCCCACCTCCGGCGCTCTTGTATCCGGTGGCGGCGACAGTGTCATCACTTTCTGGGTGGATACGACGAGCGCAACTCTGGAAGCCGCTACTACTGCCGAAACTGCACGTGTAGAGCTCGATCAACGGCTGCAGAACTACGCATATGCGGGGAATTACCGCGAAGCGATTACGCTGGCCTTACAGATGGATCAACCAGGCCGCCTCTTCACGCTCTTCAAATCCGTCGTCGAGACCGAAGCCCCAGACGAAGATAGCATGTCTGGTCTAACGGCCGTTGACGACGTCCTAGCCAACCTTGCAGACGAGCAACTTTACAAACTTCTCCTACGATTGCGCGATTGGAACACGAATGTGCGGTCCGCTGCCGTGGCTCAAAAGATTCTCTGGACCGTAGTGAGATCGTATCCAGCAGCTAGGCTAGCGAGCATAAAACCGGCAGGTAAGGTGGACACGAAGGGGAGTCTGAAGGATGTGCTCGACGCAATCAGGGCGTACAGTGATAGGCATTATAAAAGAGTGGAAGAGCTGATTGATGAGAGCTATCTGCTAGACTTTACGCTCAGAGAGATGGATGAGGTGGGCGATGTGAGAGCCGTCACGAATGGGACGCCTCGGAAGGGGCTAAATGGGGATGTGGTTATGGCGGATTAGGTCAGGAGCGCAATAAGTACTTGAATATACCCTTCTTCAATGTCAGCCCATTATCTCCTTCCTCATCCCTCACGACTGAAACACCTTCGTCGTACTGACATTCACCCTCGACCACCCCTGCCCTTTCAAAACGCAATTGAGAAACTGCATCGGCCAGTAAACATGATACAAGACGAAGAACGGGACCGGGTCCCACAACGCAAACATCCCGTCTCTCCAGCACAGCACATGCTCCCAGAACTCCACCCCTGCATCGATTACATCTTCGAACTCCACTTGCCAGGAAAATAGGGCAAGGACCGGTAGAACGAGAAGCGTGACAATATCGTGGCCCAGCCAGTAGTAGCTGTGCGTTGGCAACCTCGGAACGACAATCTCCCTAGTGTCCAGCGTCTCGTCAGACTCGAAGACGGAAAGATACGCTCCCGCCATCTGTGGCGTATCCGCAAACAGCACAACCGCAGTGTGCGCCCGCGGGTTACACTCAATCGGATAGAGCTGGATGTCTCTTCCCTCTCCTTCGACCAGGAAATCGAACGAAAGATGGCCGGTGAAGTCCTCCCCACCGTCTTCCGCCACACGCTGCGTGAACGCCAGCATCTCCCTGCTCAGATAGCTATCCGGAGACAGCGCTTCGTAGTGCATGAGCATGTCCGAGCTGGGGCACGCGACGAACGCCATAACCCTGCCGCGAACAATAAGCGCATGCGTGCAGTATTCGTGCCCATTGATGAACTGCTGCAGCTGGAGCGGATTGCTCGACGAAACATCCAAGCTTTTAACATACGCCGCGGTATCCTGCGGAGAAGGGAATGGCAGGAGCGTCATCATATTGCCCCTCGCCTTATCACCCACACCAATCGGTTTGAGGATGAACTTTTTCCTCTCGTCTTGCTGCTGGTTGAGAAGGATGCTGAGCACCAATTCTGCGCTCGTACATCGGTAGGATTCCGGCACCAATAGGCCCAGGGACGCGATGTATTCGATGAACAGATCCTTCTCATACAGCACGCCCACAACTTCGTCGTGGAATTGCACAGCCTTGAACGCTGCTCCCCTCTCTCGTTCCGCCAATCTTACAACTTCGCCATCTTCCACCGCAGCCACAACGCTGCTGCAGCTAATCCACAAATCGACCTTCTGATCGAGGATCAACTCGAGCAGGGAGTCGATGTACGGCTCTACATCCTTGCCATCCGGTGGCGTGAGTTTGTAGAAGGAAGACAGGGAGGCTGAGAAGCGGCCTGGGGAGAAGGACGAGATGTCCGCCCCGATGATGCGGTGCGGGGTGTGTTGTGAAAGGAGGCGTGCGATGGTTAGGCCTTTAGTCATGGAGACGCCGGTTACGAGGATGGTTTTAAGGGCATCGTGAGGGCGAAGGGGACGTGGCTGCGGACGAAGTTTGGAGCTTATGAGGCTGAAGAATACGATTGCACTAGATATCGGAATGCATATGAAACTAAGAAAGACAAGGAGAAGATTCTGGGGAATGTGACGGTAGAAGAAAGGAGTGGCGGGTAGCGACGACATGGTGGCAGGAACGTGACTTCGTGGGTGCTGCATGGCAGCACAGCGGAGGTCCTGGGATCTAGGACTGCCTTTGATGGCGTGTGTGGGTGGAAGTATATGCCTTGTTCTTCGGAATGCAAACGGGATCCGGGTCGTTGGGACAAGTCTACACGTCATAGTTACCCCTTGATATGCTAAAAAGCGCACATGTTGGGATATTGGAGGCCCTGCGTTGAGATGATACGGAAAGCGTATTGACGCGTTTAGCGGTCTCTGAAGTTGCTGTACACAGTGCGGCACATGCGAACATGTTCTGGATCACTGGCGGTTATTAGCCCATTGACGGAAATCCAGTACAATACGGATGCAAAGATTATGATGTGGCGCCAGTAAAATACAAGAAGGTATCTTCGGGAATCGTGCGAATTGCATCATCATTGAGAGCCGCTGTTCCGAAGCGGCCAAGCGGTCTATGTCTGCTCCCCGGTACACCTCGTGATCTCGATGCCATCCTACCAACACATTAGCGCACATAGCACTGCTAAACAAACAAAAACTTACCGGAACTCCGGTAGGCTCGTAGCTGTTCACCAGCTTACTATCGTATGCCAGATTCGGATTCCCCTGGCTTTGGCTGAACTTTTCCTCTGAATACTTGTTTGCATACTGCTTCACGGTCCGCTCAGCGATCCCCTCGACCGTAACCCCATCTCGATTCTCTTTAAATTTCTTCCTCTTTTCTTCTACGCTACCCCGAACGTATTCCAGATACGGCGGGTTGCCTGGCTTGATGACGTTGTCGGCTGCTAAAACTGAGCCTGGCGTCACCAGTTTCAACTCTTCGCAGAGCTTGAGGTCAGTCGTGTATGCGGGCTTGTAGTGGTCGAGGAACATCAAGTCGATGTGTTTGAGGGCTCCGAATGAGTGTAGCCGTGCGACGGATTCGTCGCTGGACCCTACCACGACTTTGACGAGGTCCGAGAGGCCGGCGAGATCAACGAGAGACATTATGACGGCGGCGAACTCCGGATTGCGCTCCAGGCTATAGTAACGTCGACCGCCAGCTTTGCGTACTGCGTCGCCGAAGAGGATGCACGAGTAGCCCACATAGCCTCCAAGTTCAACCTATGCGCACAGGTTAGCATAACCTCGTGCGACTATTTTCATATGGAATCTACCATGGTCTCTGGCTTCACTTCTGCGATCAAATCCGTGACGATGCGCCCCTTATCCTCTCCCACATTCATCAAGTACTTCTTCGTCCTTGCATATTCGTCAATGGCGGCAAGAACCTTCTGGGGCGAGCCTCGAATACGTTTCAGGTCTGGATGCGAGTACACAAAATGGAGAAGCTCAATTTCGCGGCCATCGTCGAAGAAGGTGTCCTCTTGCGGCGCGTACGCTTTGGCCTGGTCGAAGCTACCCATTTTTGTCTAAAAAGCAGTACTCAGCTGGGCCGGTGGCTACACTTTCGGCAGATGTGTACGATCACTTCAGCGCGTAGACATTGGCGCAAGGTAGCAAAAGGGAATAACAAGGTCGGCTCGCGACTGTGCTTGGCTATGAGCCCAAAACTTTGCGCGAGATGTTGGCGTCACTCCTTAGGTGAGTGAATTAAAAAGAAGTCGATCCAAGACTCTCCTTCCATAAAGGCGATGCAGATCGGTCATGCAGCCGGGAAAATTTGTGCCTGTCAAGCTGCCATGTGATGCATCAAAGGCCTCCTTAACGCCGACTTCGGCATGGGCCCGTGGGTATAAAGTGGAGCTGCGTACCCCAATCGGATACTGGGTGGACCTATCGATTGGCTCGTAGTGGGGAACGCGGGGAGTCTTGACGTTGAGTTGGGTTGAGGTCGATGTACCTGTCGTCAACGACTTCTAGCGCCATTGTGCTCACTCCAGCTAATCTTAGTTGACAAAGAGAATGAAGCCGTGCAACTAACCTTGCAAGGAAAGTAGTCTGATCAATCCCAGATCGCCTCAACTTTATCTACCCGAGACGGGAACTAAGATCTCGCAGCACGCCACCGGGTGTCCCTGAATGAGGTCTAGGGTAGGATCCGACGTTGAGCCTCAAGACTAGGATTTGAGGCAGGAACCGCGAAGCACAAACTGCAACGGAAGAACTTGCCGCAGTACCTGGGTCCACGCGCCGATCCAGTCGCAAAGAGCCTACAGACCCCAAAGAAGGGACTGAGAAGTAATGAAGTGATGGTTGCAAAGTTACCCCGCAGAGGTCGACAACTCTCAACAACCAAAAGTCGCGTACTCGTTTGGGCCCTAAGCCAAGTTAGCGCCTCGTGCTAGGCCTATCTTGTTCCTGACAAGGCTCGGGGTACAATTGCATGGTCGTTTGTTCGTCAAAGATGCCAAAGCGCCGAATTTGCATGCTGAACCAACAATCCATAACGTCAGATCTAGACGACTTCGGATTTCGACCCACATTTCTTGCTCGAAAAGTCGTTTCATCATGTACCTCCCGTCGAAGCCTAGTCTTGGGCCATGCGAAGTCGCTCGATATTCGCCGCGAACAAGGCACTTCCTACGCGGAGTGATGAGCAAAGAGGCGGCGTATAGTTGACGTTATCCGCCCTGCCTCGACGTTGCAACCAATTGTAGAAGAAAGCGGGTTCAATGCTGGAGGACATCGAGAGTGGACCTTTACATAGACTGGACGTTTCCGTACCGTTGTACTGTTCTGTAACAGATATCAACTATCTCCTGAACTCTTTGACCGTAATTTGTTACTATGTCAGACCTCAATGCGACCGTTCACGAGACCAAGAATGGGTTCCACGTGGAGGGATACGAGAAGATCGAATACGACTTCACCTTGATGGCATGTTCAACGTCGAGAACCCGCAGCTCGCGAACTGCTACGAGCGATGAGACCGCGCTCTCACAATCATGGACTTGAACATCTTCAACCTCTACGGCCAGCAGATGCAGACCTATTTTGCCCATCACGGCCTGGAGTTGAAGATCCACAAGACCATGATCGGCGAGAAGGCGAAGTCCATTGAGACGTTCCTGAACATCGTGGATTCCTTGACCGACTTTGGCGTTATCCGCAAGGAGCCAGTGCTAGTTGTGGTATGTTGAGCGACGTGATCATCATCTCACAGGAACTAACTGTGTTCCAGGGTGGAGGCTTGGTTACCGACGTTGCTGGGTAAAGACTTGTCGCTAGTCCAACGCCGAAGAGCTCTTCCAAGGCACTCTGGCCTATTAGACTTTGACATCGTTGTGCTGGCTAGTGGGAATAGATTTGCTTTGCGCTGCGTATCGAAGAAATACCAACTTTATCCGGATCCCAACAACCGTGATCGGCCTCATTGACGCCAGTGTCAGCATCAAGGTCGCCGTAAACTACGGCAATTATAAGAATCGTGTGGGAGCGTACCATGCACCCATGCACACCTTCCTCGATTTCACGTTCCTAAAGTCGCTTCCGGAAGCTCAGGTTCGGAATGGCTTCGCTGAGCTTATCAAGACCTCCAGCTGCGCACATCTGAGAACGTTCGATCTGCTTGACGAGTTCTGCGAGAGGCTAATTCAAACGCACTTCGGTCGTCTCGGTGATGAAACGGGTGAGGCCAAAAAGGTTGCGGATGAAATAAACCACGCCGGGACCTTCGAGATGCTGAAGCTCGAAACACCTAACTTACACGAAATTGGATTGGACCGTGTGATAGCATATGGCCATACCTGGAGCCTGCTGCACGAGGTAAGAAGGGTTGATATTCCTGTCTACAGTGACATAAACTGACCCATAATCAGCTGACGCCCGCCGTACCGCTTCGCCATGGTCATGCCATCTCAATCGACATGGCCTATTCGGGAACATTGGCGAACATGCGCGGACTGCTGAGCGACGCGGAGCATCACCGACTGCTGAACTTGTTCTCACGGGCAGGGCTGTCGATGGACCATGAGCTCTTCAACGAGGAGGTTCTCGACAAAGCTACCAAAGCCATTCTCGAGACCCGAGATGGGAAGCTGCGAGCCGCTGTGCCTAATCCCCTCGGAAAATGCGTCTTTCTGAACGACGTCACCACGGAAGAGATGAACGCGGCCTTGCGACGGCACAAGGAGATCATGAAGCAGTGTCCTCGCAACGGTGAGGGTATCGATGCCTCCGTCGATGCTAGTGATACTGGTTACACGGTCAATGATGTGCCGGTCGAGCAGACCATGAAGGGAGTCAACGGCAAGATGGTGAACGGTGTGACCAATGGTATCAGCAATGGCATGCCGAACGGACTGCAAAAGGTGATGGCAAACGGGTATCCCACCGGATATCGCAACTGAGCGAAATCTTGAAATGCCAAGTTGGTGAACGACAGTTTGCGATACCGGAGTTGATAGAGATCCGCCAGATATTCAGAGGGAAGAAAAATTCTCCAGGCGGCTTTCTGGGATTGAGCAATAGCGCAGTTCTACCATTGAATAAAAGACTCGTCAGCATTCTCCGAATGCCCGCATACACAATTTGATGAAAATTTCACATGCACAAGCAATGATATGTTCTCCATAAGTCGACACCGATGCCCCATCGCCATCACTTAAGACGACCCACGAGACGCCAGTTTCCTACAGGAGGTTTCTTCTCCGGAGCCACGCCACTGAGAAGTGACTGGCAACCAAAAGCAAAAGTGATGCTGGTGGTCGTGGCTGGCTCCGTTACTTTTTTGATCAAGGAAGCAAAAAAGGGTCAGGGTGCGGCGAAGATTTTATGTGCGCTGAATGCCAAGGCGCTAGACCTGAACGAGAATTATCTCAAGGCAGGAACTACTCCATGCAGCACTGCAGCTGGCCCTCATATTGTATGGCGCGTATGCTTAAAGGGACTAATTAGAATACTTGGGGATTAGGCGTTGAACTAGCTCGATCTGATGAGTAGCGATTGTACCGTGACATGGGAGCTGTACCTGATATTACGAAGTGATCGGCGGGCATTTGGCCCTGGCATTGTTCTCAAATCCCCAGAATTGATTCACGAAAGTAGTTGCCCGTCATCGGACATATGATATTCTCTAGCGCGGTCCCAGGATAGGAAACGCGCCACAAGCTAGAAACGTCCGGACACGTCTACCATAGAAGATATTTTACACTTGTCGCCGGGTTACCAGGACTCCGATGTGCCCTTCATGCAGCCTAATGTGTAGTTGATCATGGCACAACTACCTTTTCATCATCCGCGAATTCCACTTCCCTCACACCGTCCTTCGTTATCACCTTCACCGCGAGGCCCTTGAAGTCGATTGGAAGTCGTCGTTTGAGCTCTTCGCTGCACATGCGCAGGATCTTCATGCCCTTCTCGAAGTCGATGTCGGGATGGTGATGCTTGTCTAGGAGAGAGAGGCAGTAGTACCTGGTGAGCAGGCTGGTTAGCTCGGGTCAAGCGTGTAGAGCAGGAGATGGGTTCGTGTCCGCATAATAGAGGTCTAGGATAGGGCCGAAAACGTACTGTGCGTAGCCGTGGGCGGCATATGGGACTGGAGCTTGGCTGGCGAGGTAGTCGATCCAGTATAACGTAGGCTTGTCGGCGATCTTGTCGTAGCCTCCCAGCAGCAAGTTTACCGTATACGGCCTCCTCGATCGCAGCGCTCGTGCAAGTTCTCCTCGGACAAAGCTTGCTGTTGCGGAGGGTGACAGCTCCATGCTGTTGCGCATTGAGTACAGCTGAACGTTGGCTTGGATGTATTCGGCGAATTGCACTACCATGTCTGTCAGAGGGAACATCCCGACAGCAACACACGATCCGCCAAGGGAAAGAGTCCGTCACGCACCCGTATCGCCAGCTTCACCGGAATATGCCATCAGCGTGTGCGGATTGAGCTCCCGGGTCTTGTCATCGGAAGCTTTGAGGATGGTAGCGCCACGCATGGCTGCTTTCGAGGCGGCGACGATGGTGAAGTCCTTGCCTGTTATTCCGAGTAGAACCTCCCTAGACAAAATTCAGGTACATATTGCCATGCAAACTCGGGACATCTTACATGATGAAGCTTCGGCGGCGTAAGGTGGGGAGTCTGGGAGTAACCGGGGTTGGCTTGAAAAGATTATGAGTGGGCAGAGGAGAGTTTTGGGGATTTAGAGACTCTCACGAGGCAAGCGGAGAGAAGACGTTCGATAACAGGCTTGTTCGATGCGGAGTGTGAACGCGACGCCAGAGCTGCCTTCGATATGCCAAGCCGGCCTGAGGCCCGAGCTCCAAAGCACCGTGTTTGCTGTGTTTGCCGCCCGCCCACGTGACGTTACTAAACCCCGAGGTCAAGCTCACAAGGCGAGATGCGAACCAATCGCGGGGAGAAGCAGAAAGAATTGATGTCAATTTAGTTGTCATTTGGGGCTAATCACAGAAAGTCTAGCTGGCAGCTTTGGGAGCTTCTCGTCACCAGTTTTGTCGATGTAAACACAGAATGTAACTGTTACTGCAGCCCTTCCTCAGGCGAGACTCCAACTGAATGCGGGCTTGCCGGATTCCACGGCCGCGAGCATCGTATTGGCCAATGAAGCCACAGGGCTGGCGCAGGCAGGAGAGAATGGAGCATCATCGCTCAGCAGATCCTCAGCCCCGCCAACAATACCCCTCCAAACCCTCAACCACTTTGCTAGTCCGTTCCCCATCACAACACCATACTTTTTCTGCATTGACCGATCTGACCACGAAAAACAGCACGTAAGTCAATCGATTTTCTAATTGCCTCATCCGCGGCCGAGCCTGTCATCCCACATCCCACAACGCCCACTCCTTCGGAGCCCGCAAACTTTGGCCCGTTGAGCCTGGGCTGAACTGCGGTCTTATCGAGGGCGACGCTGCTTTTTCCTCGACTGCAAGCATTCTCTTCCACTTGACATCACTCACCCTCTCTCCGCTATATATTGCCCATTTCATCCTCTAGCGACTGCTTCTCCTCCCAATTGCTCCATTGTTGACCCTGTGCTTACACGTCACACCACACAGACACCATGGCCATCACTAAGATCCACGCCCGCACCGTCTACGACTCCCGCGGCAACCCCACCGTCGAAGTCGACCTCGTGAGCGAGACCGGCCTGCACCGCGCCATCGTCCCCTCCGGCGCCTCGACCGGCTCGCACGAGGCTTGCGAGCTCCGTGATGGAGACAAGTCCAAGTGGGGCGGCAAGGGCGTCACCAAGGCCGTCTCCAACGTGAACGACATCATTGCGCCCGCTTTCATCAAGGAGGCGATTGACGTCAAGGACCAATCTGCCGTGGACGCTTTCCTGAACAAGCTCGATGGAACGTGAGTCGGCCCCGAGCTCTAAGGAGAGACAATGGCTGACATCGAGGCTCCTCTAGCCCCAACAAGACCAAGCTCGGTGCAAATGCAATCCTTGGAGTTAGCATGGCCGTCGCGAAGGCTGCCGCCGCTGAGAAGGTAGCGTTCCTGGCTACGTTCCCTGATGGTACATGAACTAAATGCGTGGCAGGGTGTGCCTCTGTACGCTCACATCTCGGATCTTGCTGGCACCAAGAAGCCCTATGTGCTTCCTGTCCCGTTTATGAACGGTAGGCAAAGGCACCGGCTTTACTGGAAAGCGGCTAACAGATAACAGTCCTGAACGGTGGCTCCCACGCTGGTGGTCGTCTCGCCTTCCAAGAGTTCATGATCGTGCCTTCCGAAGCCCCAACTTTCACCGAAGCTATGCGCCAGGGTTCCGAAGTCTACCAGAAGTTGAAGACACTCGCCAAGAAGAAGTATGGACAGTCTGCAGGAAACGTTGGTGATGAGGGTGGTGTTGCCCCGGATATCCAGACGCCAGAGGAGGCGCTCGACCTCATCACCGAGTCCATTGAGGCGGCTGGCTACACTGGCAAGATCAAGATCGCCATGGATGTCGCCTCCAGCGAATTCTACAAGGCCGACGACAAGAAGTACGATCTCGACTTCAAGAACCCCGATAGCGACAAGAGCAAGTGGATCACCTACGAGCAGCTTGCCGACATGTACAAGTCTCTAGCCTCGAAATACCCGATTGTCAGCATTGAAGACCCATTCGCGGAGGACGACTGGGAAGCCTGGAGCTACTTCTTCAAGACCTCCGACTTCCAGATCGTTGGGTAGGTACTAATTCTCGAGATCGTCATACCCAGGCTTACCGTGGCACAGTGACGACCTGACTGTTACCAACCCTACATTCATCAAGAAGGCGATTGAGCTCAAGTCCTGCAACGCCCTCTTGCTCAAGGTCAACCAGATCGGCACCATCTCCGAGGCCATCCAGGCCGCCAAGGATGCCTTTGGCGCGGTAAGTATTGTTCGAACTGGTTTTATGACGAGACGACTAATCAGGTGCAGGGCTGGGGCGTGATGGTCTCCCATAGATCCGGTGAGACCGAGGATGTGACCATCGCCGACATCGTAGTGGGTCTTCGCAGCGGACAGATCAAGACTGGTGCGCCAGCCCGATCGGAGCGTCTCGCCAAGCTCAACCAGATTCTCCGCATTGAGGAAGAGGTATGAAGGCCGATTTCTTCCGCTGGAGCACTCTGCTAACATTTGTCAAACAGCTTGGCGACAACGCCGTCTATGCCGGGGAGAACTTCAGGACTGCTGTCAACCTCTAAGCTACTCGCTTGAAGCCACACCAGGCATGAACAGGGGACGGGCTGAGCGGTGGGCTCCATTTCAAAACGCGCTACGAAGGCATGAACTCAGCAAAAGTCGGTAGAGGTAACAAATCCCATCACGGCAATATATAGTGCACAAGGTGTAGAGCCTTCAAATTGAAAGGTTAGGATACGCTAAGAATCATTGCTTTGCCAAAAGCGGTAAGAACGGCCGTGCGATCCACTGCGAGATGTTGACCGAGGATTCCTGCTAATAATTTTCTTCCCCTTCCACATCTCCGGCGACGAACACGGAATGTTTCGGGATGCCCTTTACGCTACGGCCCGCGCCGCGATGTCACCCTTGCCTCACGGCAAATAAGACCTGATCTCGAATGTCTTACACACGATGTCAAATTCTATTGAAAGCAGATCATCACATCGCTGGATACTGTTGTCCGCCATCAGAAGGTGCCGTTTCCTTGAGCACCACGAGTGCATGCATCGCAGAATAAGTGCCGTCATTGTCGATGGCCAATATACTAATGACACTTCAGTAATAATCCACTGCGCTACTTCATAAACAGCTTTGGAAGTGTTTCCTAGTCTCCATCTACCACGAAGTCCGCCAATCTCCCTCACAGCTTCCAGTTTTCCTCGACGTTGAGCTTCGCGAGCAGCTACGGGTCGCAGTTCCTAAAACAACCCAATCAGATCGGCGCCACGTATCCGAACTCCTCGATCTCCCTCAAGTTAGACTGCTTTTCACGTCTCAAACATGGTTCTCTTCTATTAAAATTTCAAATGCCATAGTTCACCATGGAGACCAGGTTTTTGGCTTGTTTGGAAACGTCTGCACGCTTTTAAGCAGCCGTAATGCCGTCTACCACCTTCTCAGTTCATCTCACATGCCATCCTATCGACATCTAACGCGCTCGCATTCATTTTCTTCCCAATTCCGGCAGCCTCACACTTAGGCCCTGTTACAAAAATGACTAAGTCGTCTGCGTTACGGCTACTACTCGCTCACGCTTTCGGCGTCGATGCCTACTTCAACGCAGCCCACGACGTCGGTTCCGTACGCGACTTCCCCAGGGCAGCGAATCTCTACGCTCCACGCTCGGCAACGAACGACGGCAAAACGTCCTCTACGGAGCCATCCGCTTCCCTTAAAGTCTATTCGACATTTTCATCTAGTCCAAGCACGGCCCTATTCACATCGAATGCTAATTGCTCCTCGGAGGGAGTGTCCACCGTCATCGCCGCCTCTAGTCAACAGCAACACATCACGGATGGCGTCCATCTTTTAAGCACAGCGACCACCTGCCTCGCCAGTGGATCGGCCATGTCTCTTCCTTTTACAAGTGAACCTTGTCCCGGCAACACCGTCAATATCACGGCATCGATGGAAAGATCTCCGACCGCACAAACGAAGACATCAACACCATGCGGTAAATGCGCCGGCCCGGTTGCCACCGCCTATCTATGCAATATCTCCAAATTCTCCAATCGTTCCATGACCTTGAGCTTCACTCATCCGCCAGGGCCGCGCCAGACGAACTACCGCACGATGAATATGGGGACGAAGGATTCTATCTGTTCGCTCTTGGGACGTGGAGTCATTGGCTACATTGTTTGGCTCATAGTCATGCTGTAGAGTCAGACAAGTAGGAACGTGAGAGGACCGAGCCATTCTCAAACGCGTTGTGCTCGGTTGATAATCTCTTTATTCGCACTATGCTTTCCATTTCTCCTCTTACTTGCTATTGAGGCGCGATACCTCTTCTTCCTACCTCTCTTACCTAGCAGCCGGCTATTGGCGCCCCTCGTACAACATTGTGCACTCCTGCTGTCCAGTTCTGAAGAAAACAAAGGGGCTTTGTTCTATTGTTTCATTCCTTCTTCAAGCCTTCGGGAAGAATACTCCTGTACTACTTTGGTAGCTTCTCCCTTTCAATTCGGTCTTCTTTGTTCACCCTAATCCTAAACTTATTGCGCGATAAGATTACCCCAGTCCTTCCCACGATGAGAGTATACATGCACACGTCAAATTGTTCGCATACATTCATACCAGCGAAGCATTTGTTTTCTAATTAGCGATATCGCCCATTCGTAGTCATCGGCATATAGCATTAGAGTCCCTCTTCTGTATCCGACCTTAACTCAAGATCCGAGACCAGGTTCATACTATAGCTAACAGACCGCCGCAATTGCCTGATACACATAAGCGTCAGGAACGCATTTTCAACGGTTCGTTATCTCTCATACACCCAGTCGATCCATTAACCGAGTGCCGAAGCGGAACCAACGACTATCTAGGTACCTATATAGACGCATCGGCAAAGTGTCCAAACCCCCTATTCTACCAACCATGGCTGACCAAAGAACCACAGCCGTCGCCAACCCCTTCACCCGAAACCCTTCGCGAATGAAGCGCAACACCCGTGGCAGCAAATGGGTTAGCGAAGGAGCACCATACAAGCAGAATCGCCGCGGACCAGAGCGGCCCGTTGAGCTTTTCCGTGGAAACGCATATAGAGGGAGCCAGGCAGCTTCTGTCTCTGAAGTCTCGGCGAGCAGGGCGAGCTGGAGGGAGAGTGCCGAGTCTGTGTATTCGCTGTCTAAACCTGCTGTGTATGATATCAGGGAAATACCGGATGCTAATCTGCGGTTCAGCGGGTTTGACTGGGATGATGATGATGAAGCGGTTTCTCCGAGGACGAAGGTTCGTTCTGGGGATCAAGCTCCTCTTTTCCACATCCCGACTCCACCAGAAGTCTCGCCTCTCTCTGCGAATTTTACTACTCGGCGAGATAGCCCGGTGTCGGACCTTGATGCGATGAGGTGGTCGCATATGAAAGATCCCGAGGAGAGGAAGGAATCTGACGCTACTGTGTTTCCTCGCTTCTCTTACACTCTTCCTAAACTACCGCCAAAGCCTAACAAAAAGGAGAAGGGCAAGAAGGAGAAGCAAGTCCGCTTTCCTGAGGCATCAAGCTCTGGCCATGAAGAACGAACTGACACCCATGAAGCAAGCGCGGGGAAAAGCGGCTCTAGGCTTGCTGACCTATTCCGTAGCGCGAGGGAGATATACAGCGCGGGTCCTAGAGGCGAAGGCCAGAAAATCTGGAGCGGGATACGGAAGAAGAAGCGCGCTCAGAAGCAGGCGGCAAAACAACACCAGCTGCAAATCATCCGCGAGAATCCACAACCACAAGCATACGGCTCGCCTACTCCTTTCACCCCAGCCCGTCCCTCACCTCCTCCACCTCTCGGGGTCTCCCGGGGTCGGTCTAGTCCCCGGCCAAAGCATGCCCACGTACCACTGACTCCTCACTCGTTAGCTGGCGCGGGCTATTACTCCCAATCAGGATATTCTATTCCCGTAGCAGCATCGGCCAGCGTCCAATACGACGGGCAGGAAGTCGTTGTTGATGGGTACAAGCCTCTTCCCCCAGTGCCGAAACTTGATGCCGCACCAAAGAACCGCGACGAAGTGAGGGAGAGGAAGACTCCGTCTCCTCCCCCACCGCCACCACCGCGCCCTGTGCCATCCAAGAACCCCGAGAGGGTGATACGGCAGCAGGTAGGTACTACATCCTCTACCACAGCGCCTCAGCCTCAGAGTAGGACGCAATGGTTCTCCGAGCTCGACGACCAGCAGACCGAACGCCCACGCCGCACTCCCCAGCGCAAGGAACCGGGCCGGCTCAGGCGCTTCTTCTCTCTCTTCCTAAACATCGAGGAACCCTCCGATCCCCATGCCGGCGCAGCAACTAACCATCACCCTGCGAAAAAGCACTCGAAGCTCAAGGCGCAAATCTCGCACCCAGGCCCCATGGCCGTGCTTGATAACCGGACCGTCAACGTCGCCGTCGAGAACGGTGGCGTAGGCGGCCCAGCAGCGGCTATCTCCCTCCCTCTGCGCAACGGCGAGATCGTGCAGCCCAGAAGGCACGCAGCTCAAGGTAAGAAGGGGAAGGGAAAGCAAAAGCGACTGACCCCTCCTCCTCCAGTGGCGCAATCCGAAAGCCCTGCTTCAGACAGCAAGATCCTGGATAGCAGTAGTAGTAAAGCAAAGGACCACGGCGCATCCAAAGAAAAGCCATCCCACTGCTGGCGGGACATGCTGCTAACCAGTCCCTCTCGCCCTTACTCAGACAGCAAAGTCCCCTCCGGCAGCAAACCGCAAAGCAAACCGCACGCCGGTCTGAAAGAAAAGCCGTCCCACCGCTGGCGCGACATGCTGACCAGCCCCGGCGAGCACGGCGGTAAGTCTTTCTACAGCGGGCTGCGCGAGACGGAGCGCGGCTGGGGCCGCAGGCGGAAGAGCTCCGATGTGAGCTTTGCGTGCCAGGGAATCATTTCGTCGGCCCTTTGCGCTGACTATCCGTCACATCCGGACTATCCTGTTATGAACCCTTATGCGAGCGCGGCCCAGTACCACGGGCAGCAGCAAGCACGGGGGGGAGGTATAGCACGTGCGAATGCGATCCGCGACCCTGGACCGTCCTCCCAAACCCAAACGCAAATCCATAATCAAAGGTATGAGTTCGAAGATAGAGATGCTGTCGTCGCGCCGCTGTTCTGCGGCATCGGAGGCACCATGGCTTCGAATGGCGGCGGAGACAGAATTAGGGACACGCGGTTCTACCAGGCCTATGATGACGTGCTGGGGGAGTATGAGAAGAACTGAGGAACGGGGTCTAGAGCGTGTGGTTTACTGTACAGAGTACGATGGGATCTGATCCGATCTGCGCGGAGCGGGATGCGGATCTACAAATAGCGCAGCGTGGGGTAGAGGAACGGGCCTTGACGGGAGAAGGAAGAGGAAGGTTTGGAAGGGGGGGAAGAAGGGGCCAGGGGATGGGACGGGAGGGTGGTGTGAGATGTCACCAAACATATGTTCGACTGGCGATGAGAGGAGCTATTGATTTGAGAGCGGGTTATTCTGGTGGTGTACCTGCATTCTGCGTCGAAGCGAGCGATCCTTCAGCATTTGCATCGCCATTTCCATCATCTTTCATTTCCTAGCTCACCTCTCCAATAATCCATCAGATACTCAGGATATACAGTAGACATCGCTTCGGCCTCAATACATCAACCATGCTATTAATACCCGCTCTTCCGCGCGTCTTCGCTGCCGCCAGTCGCCGTGGTACCCCACCCGCGAGGCAGAGCTGCGTCGAAGAAGGGCTGAAAGCAATATATAAACCCTGTTGCACGAGCAGGGAGACAGAGGTCAGATAGGGAAGCGACGGCCGAAAGCGGACTAAAACGTTTCGAAACAATTTTCGGAAACATGTGCACAGGGCTGATGATGACCGACGGTGAGCAGCACGTTGGAGTGAACAGATGGCCCGGGTTGGCGGGGCGCGAGCGTTGGAGGACGTTGGGATGGCAGGGAGGGAGGGAGCGAGGGAGGGAGGGAGCGAGGGAGGGAAGGGGGGATAAAAATAAGTGTGATGGATGTACAGGTTGATAGCGGTAGTGGGAGTGGAAAAATGCTCGCGACGAACACAGTTAATCTAGGTCTACGTGGTGGCAGCGGAGGACGGGCCTAAAGCGTGTCTTAAGTGCTGTGCTACCACACTTTCTCACGGGTAGTAAGAGAGGGCTGGGCAGTGCGCGGCGCACTCAGAGCCGTGTACTGTGTATGAACCTGCAGCGCTCACACCGGTTGCTCTCACAGCCGCGGAAGGGAAGGGACGGGCCTCATCCTTCTGGCGTTCGTGTTGGCTCTGTGCGGCGTCTGGGGAAGGCGCGAGTTGCGTCCTTCCCGCCGCCCAACATGCCAGTGACGACAGCCACGGCTCACGCGATGCTCATGCAGAGGGAGAAGCCAGCGTGGACGACGTTGCCAGAAGGTGTGGAGGATGAGGACAGCACACACCGTGTTAGCCTGGTCCTGGGCCCTGCTCAACGGCTAGTCGTGAGATATGGCCCCAAAAATAGGCGTGTGCGCGGAACGAGGATCTTGTTCCTGCTTGAAACGAAACGCATCTTGCCCGATGCAGGCGGGCTATCGAAACGGCCGCTAATTCGACCGTCATGGGTAGCTATTGCCACCGCTAATATCTGCATTGGGGGCAATTAGCTGTGCTGGGTTGCAGAGGCCTGTCATGCCTTGGATGCATGTCGGTCCCTTCCTCCGCAACTTGCCGAACTCTGGTGCTGACCGGCCACAGCAGATGGAGGCAATCAAGGTAATCTATGCGGTGATGACGCTGGAGTGCCTGCGGGCGCGGGCGCGGGTAGAAGGCAGACTTTATGCGACGGCTGCGAGCGCGACGTCGAGGCAGTGTCTCTCACCAGCGGCGACGACGGCGGGCGAACTCGAGCGGCACAACGCGGACTCGATCGCGCCCAGCAGAGTGAGCAGAGTGAGCAGAGTGGGGTTTCCCTGGCGGACGACGAGGTGGAACGGCGGATCTGCGATGGCGATTGGTGCGTGCTTTTCCCCGCCAGCGCTTCGCGGGAGCTTGTTTCGCTCCATCGTTTATGCGGACCCTGCAGCCCCCGTCCACTCACGCCTCACAATGCCCTTGTGCGTTTTCCCAGGCGCGAAACACGCCCGATCAATTGGCCGCGAGCTGCCGCTGCCCTGGCTCCGAGCAACGCCCTCCGAGCTTGGGGCCGTCCTCTGCCTCCGAATGGCACGCGGCCGCAGATGGCGCAGATGGCAGAGCGCGCGAAGACGCCGTCTTTGCTTCTTCCTCTCCTCCTCTCGGGCGACACTGCGGCGCAGACGAGAGCACGACTTCACGACTGACGGCCACCTGACGGCTCTGACGGGCGACGACGACGACGACGACTACGACTGCGACTGCGACTGCGACTACTGTCTAGCTGACAGCGACGGCCCCGCAATCAGCACGCTGTCAGCACGCTTCAACACCAAGAGTCTTCGGTCCTTGTCTGCAGCGTGCGCCGCTCGGTCTGGAAGCGCATACTTTTCTAATCGTTTATTGCTTTCACCCGGGCGTCTATTTCTGGGCCGCCATCCACTCCCCTCCCTCCTCTGCGCGCCATTGCGAACCTGCTCGTCTGCCCTAGTGCAGCCTATCACATCCCGCCCAGCAGTCGTGCAGCTGCCTCCATTGGCGCCATACATTTAGTCCTGCTGTAAGTACCCGCCAGCCTTTCCATCCCAACTCTCTCTCTCCACCCTCATCCGTGCTCCCCGCCTGTCCAATCCACCGTGCCCTTGCCCGCGAAGCGCCGCGAGACAAAAGGCCAGCGCCTCGCCCTCCTGCTCGCCTCTCCTCTCTCTTTCTTCCCAGCAGGTCTCTTATTGTAATACTTGTGTGCCTTCGTCGCTTTTGTCTCCCCCTCATCCTTGTTGGCACTTGGTCGAAAGCTGGGCTGGTTCCAAGTCTTTCCCGTAGACACACACATTTCTATCCCCCACTCCTCGCCATCGTCCTTACTGTTACGCCGCCTCCTCCTCTTTCATGACACTCTCACGTCGTCGATTCGTCTCGTGAACCTGGAAGACGTCTTAGGATGGCCGCCAACGATAAGAAGAGTGCCACAGTTACTGTCCTCGAGAAACGCCGGAATTCGAAAGACTCGCTCGCCCCGTCTGTCAAGACGCCCCGCACAGCACGCTTCGCAGAGGCAACATCAGTGTATTCGCCCATCGATCCGCCCAGGTCGCCCTTCGACGGCAATATCCCTACGAACCACTACAAGCCGCAACCCCAAGTATCCGACGTCGGCTTCGGCTACGTCCAGTCCGTCGAGATGGAGGAAACCGACAGGAGGTACCTTCCTCCGCCCACGCCAAAGACGCCACTCAAGAGCCCGCTCAAGAGCGCTATGAAGTCGCCCGGTGCTCCGCCGCGGACACAGGAGACCATGATCCTGAGTCCTTCGTTCAGAGAAGAGGCAGAGCTGGAGAAGAGGGAGGAGATGACGGAGAAGGAGCAGCAGAAAGATTTGGTAAGTCTTCGCCCTGCCTCACGTTGAAGTAGTGCATCACTAACAGCGAGCAGAAAGTCAAGATAAGAGTACGGGTAGCAAAGATCTTCCTCAGAGGCATCAACTTCGCCTGCAGTCTGATCGTCCTTTCCATGCTTGCGACCGCCTTCTCCATCTTCAACGCTACCAAAACCCTCGCTCCAAGGAACGGTCTCCCGGCATGGGCAGCCAACACTAGGATCTGGCCGCAGGTCCTGCTTCTCAGCATCGCCTGTATCTCGCTTGCCATGTCCGTCTTCGTCCTGATTGCGTACGGAAGAGGAGGGCATCACAGAGCAGAGAAAGTAGCCGCGTACTATACCGTCTTCGCCGTGGGTTTCTTCGTCTTCAGCATCATCATGTGGGCAATCGGCGCCGCAGTCCTCAATCAAAGTAAAGCCCAAGGGAAAGGGAAAGACATGTGGGGCTGGTCATGCGTGGACAACAAGCGACGACACTTGTTCGAAGACGATGTGTCGTATGCGCTCGTCTGCCGCCTCCAGGTAAGCTCCACCAACTCCTCCTCTCCCCCTCACACCCTTCTAACTATTCGACTAGAACTGGGCCCTCGTCTGCTGCATCATCGAAGTTGTCATTGAAACCCTCTGCATCATCATCTACGCCATCGTCTTCTACCGCTTCTGGTCCAAGCGCAAGCTCCGGAAGTCCATGGCCGTCCGCGACAAAGCCCGCTCAGATCTCTATCTCGCACAGCTGCGAGGTCAATCCGCACCCAACACGCCCGGCTTTGGTCCCCTCTCCCCTCGTTCTGGCGGCTGGCGCCCTCCCCCAGGCCACCCCGCCTACGTTGACCCGCAGTCCGCCGCTGAGAACGGCGCAGCGGAGACAATACAGTACGCGCGAGAAATCGCGCAGCCGCAGCCCTTCCAACTTCAAGCACCCCCGATCAAGATCCAGGGCGCTACGCCGAAACTCGACCAAGATGGGTTTGAGTCGCCGTCACGATCACACACCGTCTCCCCGCCGCTACCGCCTGCCTCCCCGGGCTTCAAGGAGAGGAACAACGAGCATGTGGGCGCCGCACCGGGCGAGCAGACTTATGCTTCGGTTCCGATTCCCGGAGCTTACACACCAATGACGAGCCCACAGTATCCGCCGCCGGGACACCCGCAGCCGACGCCGACAGCGGCCGGCTTCGACTTTGGTCCCAGTGTCACGAACGGGCGGCAGTAGACTCGTCGGTCTGCGTGCGTGCGTGTGTGTGTATTTCCAATGCTCAAGCTGCATAGCGTAGCGTCTTTTTCCTTCTCTTACCTCGGATCTTGGGTCAATCTGGGCATGGCTGGCGAAACGATCTCCGGGTAACTCTGTATATGATTTCGATCTACTTTTGGCCTAGGCCACATTTCCTTTACCGTCAATCTCTCGCTCATAATTATTTCCTTAGGGTGTTGTTGTGGACGGAAACGGGTTTTCCTTTTGATACCTCCCAATGATGGCTCTCTCATATCCATCGATCGCTCAAGTCACGAAAGATGAGATGGCCGTCGCTTTGTACAGAAGTTAATCGCTGCTGCTGCGAACAATGAAAAAGATGAACTCAGACTTAATTATCTGCTCCAGACTTGAACGAACAAATTTTCAACGTGATGCTTTTCTGCGCTTCGTGATACATGGTCGGTTCTAAACGTAGTTCGACATGCTCATTTCGCGTCTATCCAGAAACCACCATCAACCCTCCCTCCGTCGGTCGTTCATGCATATCCCCACCATCGCAGTACACAGACCTACACTGCGACCCGCCCACGCCACACGCACACACAAGAGTCGTCCAGCGTCTCGCCAAACCCCAACCACCGCACCACCCACCTTTCCAAAACGCTACGATTTGCCACCAACATCCCATCCATTTTCCCAGACGCTATTGCCTCCAGCAACCGAACCCGTCGCTCGGTGCTGGATCCCAAATCCAAATTGCTTTCATGCCTACTGGAGAAAAATCGGGGCAGTCCGCCTATGCGGCCACTCTTCCAGCCGCCGAGCAGTAGCCGCCCGGCAACCCGGCCTGGATACAGCACCCGGCCGACGGGTGGGTATGTAATGAAGTTCACGCGCGTGCAACGGGGGTGCTAGCGAGCGGTAGGGAGGAGGCAAGGAGGGGGGATGGTGCAAGGTCGCATAGAGGGCGTGATTGTGTGACTGTGACTGTTGCACGACGGCCGTGTTACTCACTTTTAAAGTGGGTGGTACAGTACTTGGTGTAAGTAGGCTGGAAAGAGAAATGCATAGATGGTAGAGTATGGCGACGCAGGCACAAAATGGCGTCTAGTTTCGAAATTTCGAACACTATGGTTTTATAGGTACAGTAGTCTAAGGTTGGAGTGGAGTTGCGTAATGCTCCTCGTGCGTGGTTCAATTCAATACTACTTGTTTGATCGAGACGAGAGAGGAATGTTCATAACGAACTCATCAAACATGTCTTTCTTACTTTCTTTCCTTGCACCCAAAAAACCAAACTAACTCACATCCATTGCAAAAGCCGCTGAGAACACATTCCTCGTCCGTCTCGGAACGCAACACAGTGTCCACCAACACCAACGATAGCCTCAGCCGCCGGCCCGGCCCCAGAGACACCGCCTTCGCCGTGCATGAGCATACTGTATTCTCCGGGGGCCGAACCAAACCCCCATCCCACTCTTACACACTGTTTCCTCACCCCTGCTGCGCCTTACCTTCACCGCCCTCACAAGCAGGCTTGTACATACGGCGAAACACATTCATCATGTTACATTCTTTTGCCTCAGACATCTATCTCCTCACGAGATGTGTCATCAGGCGACCCGACTTACGCGTAGCAGCAAGTGGGGGTTGGATAAGCACCTAAGAGCGACGTCCACGTCTCATGTCTTCGCGCGAGAAGCTAAAAAAATAGACTGCTTACGATCGACCTTTTGCTTACTCTACGCTACGTCAGAGGAAAGAAGATGCGAAATGCGGACAGATCGGTCTGTGACCCAGGTGACCGGTCGCCTTGAAAACGGGGATGTGAAACCGATGACATAAAGCCCAAAGGGTGAGGAAGTACGAGCGGTGGTAATAAGCGTTGCACCCTTAAGGCCGTTCATGGGGCTCTGGCAAATGGCCTAGACCACACTGCACGACTCCGTCAGATTCTGAGTGGCATTGACGAGATCATAATACTGCAGATGAAGGAGGAAGAGATATCGACTGATGGGACAGTGTAAGTGTGTTGGACATGAAAGTAAGGAGAACATGGTTCAAAAAGGTTCAGGGCGATCCGGACGGAGAGTCTTGGAGAGCGGGCCGTCCGATCTAGCCGACGTTAAAAGGCCTTGCATGCTGCTAGAGAAGCGTCAGTAACAAGGAGAAGAAAGACATCCACAGCACCGAGGTATGGACGGTATCGTCCAGCGACGGAGAAGATCACGAATGGTTAAGCGGCAGCCACCCAAGTGACGCCTCCATTGTATTGTGATCGAGACACTCGCTTCAAGAGCAAGGTCGGCTCCATTGATAGGCCGCAGGTTGATGCTTGCTGTTTTTGTTAATTACACACCGGGACTCCGCAGGGACCCACCCTCCGAGACCGAATATGCTGCTGAGCCTCCACGTCTTTACCTCATCACCCATCTCCGCCAACACTTATCGCACGATACCCTCGAATCGGTTCTTGTACCACTTGATGGTCTCGGCCTGGTTGACGCGGTGGGAGGCGCCGATCTTGCTCTTGCATCGCCTACGCTTGGCAACGCGCTCGCCGGGTCGGGTCATGCAGACGTAGAAGTCCATGCCGTAGATACTGCGCACCGTCAGCTATGCACCAAAGATCTCATGTTTCAAATTGACATACCCAATGCTGGGGTCGTACTTGATGCCCAAGTCGATGTGCTCGCTGATACCGAAGCCGAAGTTGCCAGACTCGCTGAAGTTGCGCTTGCGGAGTTCGTACTCCTTGACCTTCAGGCCGCGCTCGAGAATCTCCTCCGCCTTGGGACCGCGAATGGTGACATGGACGGCAATCCTAACACTCGTTAACCTCACGCGTTCTCCCCATTGTTGGATGCCATACTTTTCGTTCCTCCTGATACCGAAGGTACGGACGGTGTATCGGGCCTTGCTGTAGACGGGAGTCTGACCGCTCAGCTGCTCAAGCACCTTGGCTGCTCTAGTCAATCGATCGCCAGACTCGCCGACGGAGATGTTGAGGACGAGCTTCTGGATGCGGAGCTCCCGCATAGGGTTGGAGGCTTTGGAGTCGGCCTGCAAGAGGTGTTAGCAAGCGCACTGCAATGCAAGCGTATACATCGATTGCGTACCATTGTGTGTGCTGCGGTGTTAGTAGGAGGTGGATGGTCGAGGTGGTTGCTAGACGAAGTTTGTCAAATTCCATCGTGTGGTGGAGAGGCGCCAAGGAGTAGCCGAGGACGCACGGACCAACAAAGCTCGAACATTTGCGACCGCAAAGCTTCACGAACTTCGACAGCTTCACATACACCCCACCACCGCCAACCTGGGACTGTACGCGCAAAACAGCTACACTCACTTTTTGAATTACTAAGTCGTCTTCGGACGCGCCGCCTTCAGCATGTCTGCTGCCGCGAATCGACAGGGGAAGATGGTAAGTAATGCTGCCTGCCTGCCTCGAGTCTTTGACCTGAGAGAAGAACTGTGTAGAGCTGACTGACTGACGCTTGGGATGTAGCAAAATCTGGTAGGTGCCCTTCACCTCACGCTCGAAGCCTTAGACTCACAAATTGTAGATCAACTACCGCATGAAAGTCACTCTTCAAGATGGTCGACAGATGGCGGGACAGATGCTCGCCTTTGACAAGGTCTGTTCTCAACCTCCCTTCCCAAGCCTCATACTGATTTTAACCTAGCACATGAACCTGGTCCTGGCCGACACCGAGGAATTCCGACGGACGCGACGAAAGGGCAAGGCCGCACCGGGCGCCGCGCAGCAGATCACCGAAACCGAAGAGCGACGCGCAATCGGACTCACCATCATCCGCGGCGCGCACGTCATCTCCCTCTCCGTTGATGGACCGCCCCCGGCAGACCCCGCTGCGCGACTTGGAGCAACGAGCGGACCATCTACAGCTGCAACTCTGGCCGCAGGACCGGGAGTCACTCGACCCGCTGGACGTGGAATGCCCGTTGGACTGACGGGACCCGCTCCTGGAGTTGGCGGTCCAGGTCCAGGAGGCTTCGGGCCGCCGGGGGCTTTTGGAGGACCGTCCGGCTTCGGAGGACCACCTGGATTCCCAGGACGTGGAGGACCCCCAGGAGGACCACGTAAGATTCCCCAGAATAGTCTCTGGTTGGTAATATTAGCTGACTTGATTCTAGCCGGAGGCTTTCCGCCGGGAGGCCCGCCGGCTGGGTTCGGCGGAGGCCCACCCTTTGGAGGTCCGCCAGGATTTGTACCGGGACGCGGTGCACCTCCACCAGGCTATGGCGGCCGATAGACCTAAGGGGTAAGACTGATACATTCATGATTCTAAAATCTCAATTGGACTGGCGGATTTGCGTCTGGGAGAGAAATGGCGATGGCAAATGCACATGAAGCAAAATGCTTGCGGGTATTTACTGGGAGGAACTAAACACCACTTGTGTAGGGTGGTTATCGCTTCGAGGAGTGGAAGGATGAATGATACCATATCCGATTCCATGCCAAGCTGCTATCAACCCATTCTGGTGTCTTTGATGGCTTCCAATGCGCACAGCAACGCTTGGATACCTTCGGCAAGCTATCAATTTGAGCGACATCCTTGCCGTACTGTGTATAGGGTTCTAAAACCCTCCAGAAAGAGCTATTCAAATCCGCTCTTCGTTAAACGACGGCTGCATCGTGAAATGTTGGATCATCATTAGGCATTACGGGTTGAAGCCAGCCCGACCATATACTCCCGGCGCAAATTCCCCTTTTTATTCAAGCTCTACGTCCTCAGATTCCAAGGTTCTCGCCTACGCACGTGACCATTTTCCTAGTTCCGACGCGGCGGCTCCATCGGGCCCGAAACTCTTTTCTTGGCGGACACCTCTCAACGGAACGGCCAAACACTCATACCGCTGCTCAATCCCCGACGCCTCAACGAACTCTCCCCGTCCACCCACCCGCTCTCCACTCAGATTTCACAATGGCAGCCGCGGTAAAAGCACTCAATGCGCGGATACGCGCCAACAAGTACCTGGATTACTTCTGCTCGACCCGTAAGTAAAGCTCCGATTGCTGCGCAAAGTTCCCGACGCGGAGTTAAGAGGAGGTGAAAGGGAGATTGGTGTTGAGACTTGATAGAGAAATTGTGGGAGTACTAGATGGCGGACTAGGGCTAACTGTGTGCAGATTTCTGGGGTCCGGCGAGTAACTTTGGTATCCCGATCGCGGCCGTTGCGGATATGAGTAAGGATCCTGAGATGTATGTCTATCTCCCTCCTCCCATACCCTATACTTTCTCCCCCCTTTCCCGTCCATATCCCCTTCCATACTGTCTCCTCGCGCTCCTTGCGCCTCTTAAGCCTCTCGTGCCTCTCGGACCTCCATCATCAATGACTCCCCGAAACTAACAAATCCGACAGCATCTCTGGCCGCATGACCGCCGCCCTCTCGCTCTACTCCGCCGTCTTCATGCGCTACGCGCTCGCAGTCTCTCCCAAAAACTACCTCCTCTTCGGCTGCCACTTCATCAACTGCGCCAGCCAGCTCACGCAGGGTTACCGATATATGCAGTACTGGAACTTTGGCGGCAGGGAGATCGCGTTAAAGGCTAAGGAGGCGGCGGGCAAGGCCGAGGGGATGGTCAAGGAGGGGGTTAAGAGTGCTGGGAAATAAGCGGAGGAAGAGGGGATGCGTGTGGGACGGCGAGTGGAGGAAAGGATGTGGAATGTTTGGGGATGGAGGGGGGATGGGATTGTGGGTGGGGATGCTGAGGAAAGGGACGGATAGAGCATGGGAGGGATGTCTTCCTGATCTTATCTTCGGCGTAACACTGTACTTTCTACATCTTTGACGCTCAGGCACATAGGGAATGGTTCTTCTGGAAAATGGCAATTGCTTCAAAACCTCAATCCCGCATGTCTATCTACGCTCTATTCATGCTAACCATACCAATCTATATGAAACCTAGAGGACAACCCCCTTTACACTCACTCACTCCTTGCCTATCTTCCCCAATACACCCCTAACCAGCGCACTCCTCTCCCCGCCCTCGACCTCCGCCCTCACCTTCTCAACAATCCACACACAGCTCTTCACCTTGCCAATCTCCACTAAGGCTTCAGCACGCTTCATCCGCATGGCCTCCGGCAAGCCCTCGAATGTGGGGTCGAAGAGCAGCTTCTCTAAGTTATTCTTCGCTTGTCCGTCATCGAGTGGTGTGTCTGCGGGGAGCCGCTCGAAAAGGGATTGGATGGAGGTGAAGGCCATGAGGTGGATATCTTTGGCGTGCGTGGAGTTCGCTTTGACGACGAGTGGGAGAATGGATGAGATGCATTTGGAAAGCTCGGAAGAGGAGAACTTGGATGGGTTGGGCGAGGAGAGGAGGGCTATTATGCATGCGGAAAGTGTCTTCTCCTTTCTGTACGAGGCCGTTAGTTTGCATCTTTATGAAAGGGCGAGCGGAGAACTTACAATGCAACATCCTTCATCACCTCCCCACCATCAACATCCATTTTCTCGCCTTCCTCTTCTTCGTTACCCAGCACTTCATCCAATACACCGTGCACGATCTCGGCAACCGTGCCGGAGAGCTCCAAGTCCGTCCGAGCCTTACATATATTGCCCAGCGCCTCGAGCGCAAAAGGCCAATACGCTTTGTTTTGACGCTTCGCCTCCCTAATCGCGACTTTCTCAATCTGCTTTGCAATCTTGGCCTCTTCCTTCCACAAAGAATCTCCGCGCTCGACAAAGCGCACGAAAGCTTCAAGCACGATCTCCTTTCCCTCCCACGTCTTCCCACCCATTGCTTTGTCCAGGCTTAGCCATACGATCTCTGCATTGCTCTTGCTGATGGTCTCACTACCGGTAGTGATGCACATCACAGCATCCGCAATCGTCTTCGCAGCTGTGTGCTTGAGGACCCATTTCGGAGACTCTAGGTGCTGTTCTGCGAGCGCGACGATCTCTTTCAGGTAGAGAAGCACGGCCCGGCTGCCTGCAACGTTGTCCGACCATGTGTCTTCAAAGAGCTTCTTGACTTGGACGTCGCTGTCATGTTTCGCCAGGAAGATGAAAGGTAGAAGCTCGGAGGAAAATGAGGTGAACCGGTCCGTGGCGTTCTTGGAGATAGAAAACACGATGTCGCCGGATGTCAATCTGCCTTTATCGTCCTCAGACTCGAAGTAGAGTCTTTGGCAAAAGGCGACAGTGGAGAGAAGTTGTTTGTCGGAGGCAAGACGTGCGACGTAGCCTGCTGCTGCGGAATAGGACGACGAGACCGTGTCATTGCGGTCGCGGACGTATTTCTGGATCAGCTTCAGGAAGCTATCTGCATAGGGCTTAAACAGGAAGTTATGCCTCGTGCTGAGCGTCACGAGGATCCTAGAACAGCCCACTTTTGAAGGCAGGCCGATTGCATTCTTCATCGCAGCCTCGACGTGCGGGACGAGGTCTTTCATCGTAGCAGCGTCCGCAAGGTCGAGACAGCGGTCAATGGACTCGGTTAGCGGAGAGGAGCGAACGCTTTGCAGGCGCATGTCGTCGATCTTCTGCTCCGTGAGCTTATACTTAGAAGCGTTGAGGTGGATGTAGTTAACAGCTTCTGGTTCAAGCGAGCTGAGGAGTCCGAGAAGCCTCTCAACGAGCTCGGGAACATGCTGGTTAATGGTCTTTGCGTTGCTCTTCTTGACGATCTGGAGGAGGGTGTGGACGGCGAACATGCGTACTTCTTCAGCACTAGACTCAAGACCGGAGCCTGAGAGGAGAAAGGGAAGGACGCGAGATAGCATTGCGCCGGCATTCTTGAGAGACGAATCTCCTGCCTCTAGCGAGCGTGTCAAGATACCAGTCAGAACACGAGCAAGCGAAGCTGCAGCCGCTCGGACACTCTCTTTAATATCGTCGAGTACTTTGAAGCACTTGTCCCAAATATCTCCAAGATATTTCTCGTACTGGAAGCATTAGCCAAGGGCTCTTGTACACTTACTACATAGACGTACCTTCTCGATGTTCCGTCCTTGCACTAGATCGGCAATGGCCGCACAGGACGCCTGACGGACTCGCCATTCTTTCGTTAGGATGCTAGTCAACAGGTCGTCCATAATCGCATCGAAGTTCTTGTCAATGGTGGTCGAAGAGTCCTTGACTAATGCATTCCAGATGTCAGTCATCGACCGCTGCACGTTTGGGTTCGGGTCGAATCTACGTCCCGGGTCAGCGTGGTAGTAATCAGGCGTTCGACACCAGTAGCATACCTATAACGGTAGAGCTTAGGGTAGAGCTTCGGATTCTCTGCAAGATACCCATCGACGCTAGAGTCCGAGAAGATGTTGCTCAAGCCGAAACGTCCAAAGGCTGCTCGGCTTGACCAAATGGAGTTGTTGGAAGCAAGCGACATGAAGCGGTAAACTAGACTTGAGTCTCCAACCTCAGATGCGAGATTGAGGATGTCCTTGTAAGTTGTGATGGAGCCGTCTCCAGTAGGTAGAGCTCCAGGCTCAAATAGCTGGGTGTCCTCCGAAACTGTACCAGACATCTTCGACTTGTTATCCGAGAACGAACTCACAAGATCGCGGACGAGGTCATCTCTGAGCTGCCGGTCACCCTTCTCATATACTAGACCAAGTCCTCTAGATGCTGCTTCCTGCACTACTTCGTCTCTATCCGACAAGCACTGCTTGAAGGCTATCTGGCATTGGGTGAGGTACTTCTGCATTTCCGGCTTGTGTCCGCAATACTGAAGCAGACAAAGCAACCAGATGACCGAAGCCTTCTTCAACGATGGTTTCGACTGTCGACAGCCTTTGAGGGTCTTCTCCAGTACCGCAGCCAATGTCTTCTCGCGTTTTGGACCAGGAGGCGTGATCAATGGGACATCCCACGGATCATGTTGCTGGTCTGGATGCTCGATGTCCAGCTCAGCTGCGAGGGCTTTGGAGTCCCAGCCGCAAGCGAAGCAACTCAATGCCTCTCCAACGGAGAATTGCACCTCTGACTGGCGCACCTCATGAAGCTCGTACAGCTTGTCAGCAACGAAGCTGTAATCCGTAGGTTCTTCAGAGGTGCCGTCGATTTCTTCTGTAATCATGGACAGGTGTCCCAGCGCGAGAATCGCAGTAGTAGTGCCCGTCTTTGCAGAGTCGTATACCTGCTGGATGACGTCCTGAAACTTGGTGAAGCGAGAGATACTTGAGGGATCGATAAGGTAGAAAAGACTGAGTTGGTCAAGGCATACGTAGATTGAACCTTTAAGGGTTGCATCTCTGGAATCTTTGAGGATATCGACGAGCGTGCTCAACAGCTCAAAGACCGGATGATTGTCGGAGAGAGTAATGGCGCTCCTCCAGTGTGACCGACTGAAGTAGTAACCCAGTGCACAAATGGCTCCGCTAATTTGGTTGATTTCCCCGCCCACGGCCTCCTTCCAGGTCATGACTTTCTCAAGGAAAAGCGCCTTTGACTTCTTGATCGAATTGGTGTCGCACTGTCCATGAGAAGCAATCAGACCGTATGCGTGCGCAGCGGCTAACCTTCGATTCGGATTGTTGGAGAGAATGGAGGGCTCAAGAGCTCGAACTTCCTGGAACAAGCCAGCTTGAGCCCATATCTTGTCAGGACACAGCGATAGGAGACGAACGAAGGTACTGCCGAGATCACCGACATCGATAAGCTCATTCGCAGTAAGCCTGTCGAAACTGGCCCTCAAGAGTGTGGCGAGAGAGAGCCCGTGCCTGCTATCAGCCGCGTAAGCCCGGAATGCTTGACGTGCACGAGAGTCTGTAGACATCAAAGTCTCTAGTTTCCGTCCCCAGTCTTCGGACAACTTCTCTTGTATGTCTTTATCTGCCAGCGCTGCGTGCATGGCAATCTCAGAGCAGAAGGTAATCACTGTAGAGAGGGTATCCGGAAAATTCTTCTGAAGCCTCTGCACTCGGTGAATAACGTCCTCATCGTCGACGTCCATTTCATCTTCATCTTCAACTCGGCGCACAAAGATGAATTGAACAAGCTTGTCGAAGTCCGGAAACGATAGTTCCTTTCGATCAGAGTCAGATCCTGGTACTGAGTTCGACATGGAGAACCAGTACGGATCTAAGCCTTTCTTGCCTTCTTCTACGACCTCATGCCTCTCGTTGCTCCCTCCGCTGACGGCGAGGGTGTCTATCCATCGGGCCAAAACATCGTCGTAAGGTAGACAGCGGTTGGCGAATCTTGTCGCGACATATCGGGTTCTCCTCGAGAACTTGGCAGAGCTGTCAGAGCCAGAGGCTAGGCTGGCGGAGGAATACTTGAGGAGGATTTCTCTGAACTTTCGGAGAATGGGATCGCTTAGTGGCTCAGAAAATGCTCCCAGCACGGAGGAGAGAGCTTCTTCGATACTGACTGCCACGTCCTTTCCGGACGCGTCCTCCTTCAGGGAACGAAACAGCCATTCGAGAAGATCTAGTGTCGGCTCCAAGAGGATCTTGCCGGGCGCAGCCTTCGCCAATAAGCCAATCGTCTCATACCCATATCCGCGAAGCTCCATGTCCTGATCTCGGTCCGGAGTGGGCCATCCTTGGTCTTGGAGGAACGCTCGCAAATTGCCCACTAGGCTTTCTGCCACTGTCGAAAGGTGCTCGGCTGACCCTCGCCGAGCGACAAAATTGACAAGCGAAAAAATGGCAGACCGAAATTTGGAGGCTTCTCTGCCTGCTGTGGTCCTGCTTGTTGGATTCAGCTCGGGCGAGAGTAGGCCTTCTTCCACCATTCTAGCAATCTCCCTCGGGTAAGTCGTGCAAGCCACTGACTTCGACAGGATTCCCAGGATCTTGATTTTGAGCGGGACCTTCACCGGCAATGGTCCCTCAGGGGTGTTTCTGCGTCCTATTAGCCCTTCAAACTCACCCATCGAGTCCTCGCCTAGTTCCCTGGGAAGACCGCTTAGAATGAATAGAGTTTAACTTACGACCCGAAATAGAGCTCTAGCAGCGTTTCCACTAGCTTTCGATCTTCTAAATCTTTCGACAGAATAACGCGTTTCAAAACATCGTCTCCGACTTCGTAGATACGCGAATTGGTGTCCGCAGACGCGAATAGCGCGGGTAGAAACTTCTCGTCATCGGAAAACATGCCGCTCGCGAGGAACCTAGTCACGAGAGCCTTGGATTCAGTCAAGTTCAGGCCGGCATCTGCACTCGGATCCCAAGCATCAGGTTTGCCCTGAAGCGTGAGAAAATTGTATTCCTGCGCTGACAGGCCAGGGCACCTCACGAAGGGTCCGCCTTCAGGGTTGTTTTGGCGGACAATGCTGAGTAGAAGCAGCTTGCCGAACCAGTTGGAAAGGAAGGAAGCATCCTCATCATTTAGACCAAGTGTGGTCCTCAGTTCGTCGTCCTCCTTGCTACCCCTTAGAGGAAGTTTGAAGTGGATCAAAAGACGGAGGATCAGATGGAATAACTGGGATGCGTGCTGCGAAGACTTGGCGTAGTCTGCAGCAATCCCTTGAATCAGAATAGGCAAAAGCTCAATTCGATCAGCAACTGGAAGCCGCGAGATGCCTTGCTGAATGTACAGAATGTCGAAATGCCGGATTAGCGGTACATTGGCGTTCTCCTTGAACTGCTTCAGAAGGGCGGAGACTGGAAGCTTGATCTCTCTGCGATATAGTCAGAGAAAGTTCGAGGATACATTGTGCATCTTGAAAGGGGCGTACTGTGGTTTTATGCGGGTGTTGACATGTTGACAAATGGATATGACCTGTAAGAGAGACCCGCCATTAGCGGTGTTCAGAGGAAGACGACCTGAAGAAACAAGGAATGAGAATCAGCATTGTGAGAAGCCGTACCTTGTTTCTCACGGCCACGCTTTCCGAACCAAGTTTGAGAAGCAGAGGCGCAAGGTAGACCTTCAGCAGATCTTCTAGCTTCTTTTCGGAATCTGCCAGAGCTATCCGCATCTCCACCTTGCCCACAAGGACCAGCTCCTTCGCCTCTGGGCTTTGCGTCGAAGCCATGATGAGAGCCGAAGGTTGAGGCCCGCGGGAGTGAATGACCGACTGAGAGGCAAAGCCGGGTGGGACTTTTGATAACTGGGTATGCGCCACAGGCAGCTGCCGATGGCGTGGCTAGTTTGTCCGGGCGGTCGAAGCTCGCTGAGAAATCAGGCGAGGCGTCAGTACTCGTCGGCCTTTCGCTGCTCGCCACATCACGTTCACACATTCACTGCGTTGGTGCAGGGATCAAACGGTGGCAGGGGCGCCGCGGTCGGCGTCGGGAAAACTCAGGCGCACGGACTGAGGGAGTGACGCAGCCAGTCACTTGCCTTGAGCCTCTCAAACAATGCAATCGCGTCTTCGGCCAGCTTCTCTCCACGTCGTCACCTGCTGCCTGCCGCCCACTTCTGCGCTCTGGAGATCTATACTAATCCGCGTCTTGCAGGCCTCTCTCACCCCGTTCTTTGCTCTCAGCAAGTGCTCCGCGATTTGTTTGCAGGCGCAGTCGCATCGCGGCCTCGTGCAATCGCTATCCGCAATCAGTGCTCACGCTCGACTGGATTTTTACGACCGTCGCCTGCACGAGTGCCGACCGTCGCTACGTTCACTCACATCGCAAGACGAGCCCGCACTATCGACCTAGGCAACATCGGTTCTCATGCGTACATAAACTGCCCCACCGCCATATCGCCTCGGACATCCCCCGCCACCCACGCAGCTTCCACACCCTGCAGTTGCATTTCCTGCCTCTACACAACCAACACATAGAAAACGCTTCACCAGCAGCCCGTCATGGAGGAGGAGCAGGTGCTCAACTTTGTCGCCATCACCTCATGTGATCCCGACAAAGCTGCCCAATACCTGAGCTTAACAGACAACAACCTCGAACAGGCGATACAGCTCTACTTCGACAGCCCGAATCTCGACTTCGGTGGTGCACCCGTCTCACAACCGGCCGCCACAAATGCCGCCTCAACACAGAATCCCATCACGATCGACTCGGATGACGAGATGGACGACTTCGATGCGGGTCTACAGTCGAACACGCCACCCGGCCCCCAGCCGAATATGGAGGATGATGAGGCAATGGCTCGCCGGCTACAGGAGGAGATGTATAGCGGCGGCGGAGGTGCCGGCGGACTCGGCCCGGACGAGGTGCGCGCGCCCATGGAGCGTAGGACGGAGACACTGGTGGGACCTGGCGCTAGTATGGGGCCAATGGAACATGATGCCGATCTCGATGCCCTTGTCCAGGAACAGATCGCTCGTCGGCGAGCCCCAGGTGAGCTCAATTGGGTAGACCAACGTTTCAACACTGCTAACGTATGAACAGCCGGCCGACCGGGCATCTTCAATCAGCGAACGACCCAAACTTCTGTGTGGGACAACAGTGGCGATTCTAGCGCGCGACGCCGCGAGCTAGCCATCGCAACCGGTGGCGCCTCCGAGCAGTCATCTAAGAGCAACATGCTTGCAGAGCTTTTCCGGCCACCCTTCGAGTTGATGTTCCAGCAGTCGTGGGACAATGCACGAGACGAGGGCAAGGAGCAAGAAAAGTGGCTTCTGGTCAATATCCAGGATGCGGCCATCTTCGACTGCCAGCGCCTCAATCGGGATATCTGGAAGAATGACGAAATCAAGGCCACGGTGCGAGAAAACTTCATCTTCATGCAGTACACCAAGGATGACCCGCGAGGGCAGCAGTACATGAACTACTACTTCCATGCCCGGGACAGCCAGGATGCATACCCGCACATTGCTATCGTGGATCCTCGGACTGGCGAGCAGGTCAAGGTCTGGTCTGGTCCGCCGATCCCGGATCCGGTGGAATTCCACGCCCAGCTTCATGAGTTCCTTGACCGCTACAGCCTCAATCCTACAGCAAAGAACCCTGTGGCTAACCGAAAGCCGGAGCGCAAGAAGGTGGACGTCAATCGGATGACCGAAGAAGAAATGCTAGAGATGGCTCTGCAGAATAGCCTAGAGAACGGCAAAGGTCCGAAGGATGAGGACCCGGACGAATTGACGAAATCCGACTCTAGCGACAAAGGCAAGGCCAAAGCGGAGGAGGAGCCCGCAGAATCAGCCCCAAATGGTACCTCCCCATTCGCTCAGATCTCGTCGAGCAATCCGCATACCGAGCCTACCTCTACAGATCCCAAGGTCACTACTCGTATCCAGTTCCGGGGTGGACCCGGACGGCCAATCGTTCGGCGATTCAATCTTTCCGACCCGGTTCGACGTATCTATGAATGGATCAAAGCCGGGTCACCGTGGGAAGGCAAGGAGGGTGCCGAATTTGACCTATCCTTCATGGGCAAGAACCTGATGGACTTCCTGGATTCCACTATCGAGGAGGCTGGCCTGAAAGGCGCCAGCGTCATGGTGGAGTTTGTGGAGTAGAGGAGAGCTCTTGAGGAGCGCTCGAACGGCATATCGAGGCGTGCGGCGTTTGGACATCAAGCACGAGCACCATGGTCACCGCGACATTCATCGTCATATGGGACAGGGTTATGGTAATGTAGATGCTAGTCATCTAGTCATAGCGGATTGGCGGGTACAGTGCTAGACTTCTTCCTACCACAAAATCTGTGGTGTTTCTCAACATACCCTTGCATTCATTGGGGTTATCCCGGCTTATCATAGCCCGAGTGTGTAGAATACAAACTTCGTCTATATCTAAGTCCCAACTTCCTCTCGTCATTTTCTCCAGTTCACGAAGTCATTTTTATTTCGTTCTTAGGGATCTTCATACATTTTTCCTTCAGCACCGCTACTGTCCTCGTTTTCAATAACCATGGTCGTGAAAGATACCTAACTCCGTGCTGCTCCCATCATGCAAATTTCCGAATTTCGTCATATTCCCCCCTCCAATGCGGCCTATCCACGCAAACCCCCCACGTCGGGATACTCTTAGTAACCATTTTCACCGATCTTTTTGACAACTTGGCTTTTCGGCGGCCTCTCGAGATCTTAGGGCGTCCTGGGGCGCTGAGCCATTCGGTGCTAGCGGCGAAGCAGGACAGCATGCAGGAGCTTCCATCAAGGGGTTGGCAAGTTTGGCCTGCAAACGCTTGGCCATAGGTGTTGCACTCGCGAGACGAAAGGTTGATGCGCATTGTGTACAGCCGTGGGTGCGAGAAGGCAGTTGGTGTGCAGGCCTCGAACACGGTCGTAGGGGTCGGGTTTTGTAGGAGGAGGGCAACGTGTGGTGGAGTCGTTGGAGGCTGTGGGCATCTTCGCGGAAGGGAGCAGTCGAAGAGTTGCTTGGAAGTTGAAGTTGAAGGAGGAGATTGCGAGTCTGGCTTGGGGCCAGGATACTGCGTTAAAGCACATGCGTGTGTAGAGGGAAGAAGAGTGTTTCTTATGCTTTTTTGCCTCCGTAATGCCGTATGATATGGTGGGTGGAGTGGTGGAGAGACAAAGGCATGTGGCTAATTTCGAGAACAATAGTAACACTTGGAGAGGTTATAGGCTATAAGAAAAGCCATCATGCAGCGTTTGTGCAGACGTCACATCCCTAGCAGAATGAATGTTGGCATTGAGGCTGAGATGCTGATTTGGTGTTGGTTGTTTGAGGTGGTACGGCAGGTGCGACCGACCAATAAGAAGCGAGACATTCAGCTCTGGCATCAGCTTCTCACCAGACTCCAATTTCATCCTACACACTACCTCTACTCAGGTTCACGCATCTAAGCATCTGCAAAGGTGTATGCAAAAGGACTTCCTTGCGCGGACACCGATGAGTACCCCACTACAGCCTGTCCTGATCATTTACTCCCACGGCCGGAATCCGCCGCTGCATCCACCACCACACCTTAGATATGACCTTCGGAATATCCCCAACCCGCCCAAGGAGCTCCGCGCAGTTAGCGATGGGCGTTCAAAGCGCATCCGCGAGCACCTCCTTTCCGAACCGAAGTTCGTCCAGCGATTAGAAGCCGTGGAGCGTGACATTCTCCGCACAATGGAGGCCAAAATCGCCGAGCATGCCGCGCAGCTGATAGGATCCGAGCTTGAAGAATGTACGTCTGTAGATGTTGCTAAGGAGGAAGAAGAGGGGCACGAGGATGAGAGTAGGGCTTTAGGGGCTGAACAGGAGAATGAGGAACTTTCGGAAGCGTCATCATCCGACCACGAAGTCATCCTCCGAGTAGGCTGCAACTGCGCTTTGGGGCATCACAGGAGTGTAGCTTTTGTCGAAGAGCTATCACGACGTTCGTGGCCCAAGGAATGGCAGGTTCTTGTCGTCCACCGCGATCTAGAAAAGAAGAGAGCTGGTGGGGCGCGCAAAATGCAGAAAGCAAGTTTCAGGGAGAAGAGGAGGAATATGTGGGAGGAATAAGACGAGCAGGACATCGTGATGATAGTCAAAGAAGTAAGAAGGCGTATCACGCGTGGTGTGATTGGCAGTCGCTTCAAGGGGAAGAAAAAGAAGTTGGGCTTCAAGAGTGCTGGTCATCTGAGGTTTGACTCGCCATTTCTGAGTCCCATGTTGGGCAGGACTGCGGCTTCATGGCGCATGAGAAAAGGAGGTGTCAAATGATGGCGGGACGGTGAGTCTCCAAATGAGAGCAGATGGCTGAGGCGAAGGTGTTGATGAGGCGCTCGACTAGCCGCACACGGCTCAGTCTGCCCGCTCTCCCTGGGTGGAACGAATATCGCTGAGCTGTTATCCCGTCTCGCCTCGCCTCGAAAGGCGATGTTGGTGGTGATAAGGCGCTCGACTGGATTGGAGTATGGCTTGAAAATGCTCTTAGACACCCGAGGCAGCATCTATGCCCACGACTCAATCCTCCTTGTCCCTCTGCACAGAGAATCTCCGGATCCAACGAACCTCGCCTCGAGCACTCGGACGCTAGATGTCACCTTCGCCTTACTATGGCTGTTGTGTCCTCGTTCAGGCCTCCTGCCCCTCACTACGCCGTGTGCCGCATCATCACCAACCGCGCTTCTGTTTCCCGGAATACGACGTTTCTTGCTTCCGTCTCGCCTCGGACGCTCAATGATGAAAGAGGGAACTTCCGCTAGAGTTTGGATCACAATAATCACACGCCCGTAACTACGCCGCATCACCACCGAAACCCTTAGTTGATCTACCGGTCACTCCAGAAGCACTCCAGAATAGCCATCACACGGCCGTCCTCGCAGCAATCGGGTTCGCTCCGTCTCCTCCTCACCTTGGCATATCAATTGGCTCGGGCAAGGTTCTCCGGATATCTCCACCAACTCACAACCCAGGGCTTCCTTACTCGAACCCCAGAATTTCAATCTTTCGGAGGAAAAGTTTGGTCCATCGCAAGCATGGCTTCCCTTAACAGCTCGGCATATCTCTCCTTTGTGTAACCAGCGGTGTGCCGCACAACCTGCACTTGCATATCACCCACAACTATTAACCAGGACTCCGCTGTCTGTAATTGCTGCACCTCAAACCTCAGACATCACGCACTTGCTTCTTCAAACGTTCTAGGCGGGACTCAAACAAGCGCGCTTTAATCTCCGCGCTACCTACTGGAATACGAGCCCTAGTCACAGAACTTGTCTATGAGCGGAATAGCTCGCTGCTTGCGCAAGCTGGTGGAGCCTCGGATGGATGATCATGGTGCTTGGCGTGGGGACAGGGGGGTTTTGGCGCACGTGCGCGCCTTTTTCAATACTGCGGTTTCATCCTTTTCTGGAAGAGGGAGGTCGGAGTGCATCTGCACTGCCTCTTGAGCAGCGCTGCAGCGGGCGTTCCTCCTGTCACCACATCGCGCATACCCGATGTACCCTACTCAGGTACAATCAACACCACTACTCATGTACCATGTACCCGTCCCTCATCTTCCTTCGGGTGTATTTACGCGTACCTGTACTTTCCCATGCTGTACGAGCCCACCTTGGCACTGCGGTCGCAATAGCGCCAGCTCCGCTCATTGGACAGGAAACTTTATCGGCTGCTGCACGTGATGATCCTCTAGCTGCACGCTCTTATCCCACTGCGGCATAGCCCCATCGTCGTTCTACTCCGTGGGCACACCGGCGGCGGGGCTCAGATTTCCCTTTGCTTTTTGCGCGCTTGCGCACGATCACATCTCGCGCGAAGGCGCTCGTCTTTTTCCCACCAACTCCCTCCCTTCTTTCAACCGCGTATGCCTCGATCACTCAGTCTTCCTAATCACCCTTTTCTACTGCACATGACCCACCCAAAACCAATACTTCCAGAGAGAGCCTCATGCGCACGCACCCTAATCCCTCAACCCGCCAATCACGCCCCCACTCCTCAATTACCACCCGGCCACCCTGGCCCGTTACACAGTCGCCGGGCGCTTAACCATAGGTTCGGGCTCCGCCCCGCCATTCAGCCCTTACCCCTGTCCCACGTCTCTTCGCCACGCTGATTGGCCAGCCTAAGAGCGGGAGGTTACAGAGCGCTGGGTTGCCTTGATTTTTCTGGTTGACCGGTGAGGGGTTGAGAGGGTGGGCGATTGGAGCGAAGGGGGACTGAAGTGGGCGATTATTGGAGAATGGGCAGAGCCGCAGAGGTTGGGTTGGTGGTTTGCCGTGGTTATTGGAGGAGGCGGATTACTGTACAGTAGTTAGGACTGGAGATCTGTAGTTTTGCTGTGCATCTGGGGGAGGGTGGCGGTATTGGATGGGTTGGATAGAAGATCATCAACCGCGTGGCAAGCTGGCTTGGGAGGTGGTGTATAGCAGTTCTCGCAATATCGTTACGTATCTCTTACTCCATGGTAAGGGCCAGCATCTTTCACAATGCACCTCAGAGTTGGGCAGCCCGCCTCGCCGTCCCAAACGGACAGGTCATCTCGGGAAGCCACGCTGCCGCGCTGGTACTATGGCAGGGAAGGGCATAAGATTCTGGAAGAGACACGACTCAGAGGCACGACTCAGGAGATGTTTCGAAAACAGGAGGTGTCAGAGCAATGTATGAAAGATGCAGGAAAGAAAGGGTTTTGAACAGTGTATGAGAGTAGGTATCAATTGCTCGATCCACTATCATCAGAGTATCTACCAATGCGTCTTTCATCTCGCAGGGACCAATGGCTGCCGAACACGGCTGCTCCATTGCCGCCAAACCATCCGCTGGCTCTCATGCTCCCAGCCACCTCCAATGGACAACACCAGTAGTTTCTCTTCGTCCAAAGAAGAAACGCACAAGAGGCCTTGATTCAACTCCATGCCCTAGAACACCAGGTTTCCTATAGCGCCGGCGCACCCATCAGAGGTATCCGCATAAAAGATAATGATCCAATAATGATCCAAACCATACAGAATTCCAAGCATTTTCCGCACCGTGTGAATGGTATTTCGTTAGAGAACATGAGCTCATCGTTCCTCTAATAATAAACATTGGACATAAGGAAATAATTCGTGAAAGGAGTGGTGCGATCGAGTCGCCGGGACCCGACGAGATTATTGATAGGTCGGGCAGAAACATAGACCATCGAACAAGATCCGGGTAGAGTTCGAGGCCGAAGAGATTACGTTGCGGTGCGTAGAAGTGGTGAAGGTAATAGGCGCTCTATGAACGGCGCCAATTGAGGTCGAATCATGGTCCGAATCGTGAAGGTAGTATTGAAGTGACTACGCGGCGGTTGCGTAACCGCCCAAATTTTGAGGGCGCTGAACAAAGTCGCTTCGTAAAGCGCCGACCCGTTTACTCGATCTTCCTCCTCTTGCCGCGCGGTGCGGGGTCGATCTGTGGAAAGTTGGGCGCCTTAGGGTCGACCGGAGTGTTTCCAGTGCTGTATGTTACGGTCCGAGTAACGACTTCCCGCACGCTCACGCGCCGTGTCCGGCCAGTCTTCTTTTCCAGATCCCACGTCTTCGGCGACACGGCTGAATATGGAGAATTTGTGGAGTTCGCGCTCGCCGGTGACCGTACCGTCGCTGGTGAATATGGCGACTGCGGGATGTAGAGTCGTGGTGTTCGCGCCGACTGCGGGCGCGTGAAGGGTGATGGTGGAGGAATGGTGACGGTTTCGGGTTTTGTCTTGGTGGGCGGAGCGGACTGCGGAACCTCTTGCTTCTCCTGCTTCTCCTGCTTGGAGTGGTCACAATTGCAGCAGCTGCTTGCTCTTGAGGTGGCCGGGGAATCTGTTTTGTCTGCAGGCGCAGAGGTCGACGTGTACGAAGCACTGGAGGCCGATGATGTCACAGATGTCATGGAGGCAGGTCGGTTGCCCTCAAAGACAAACTTGGAGCTGGTGCCGGTGGACATGGGACTCATCAGGACCGGCGACAGAGTCTTGAGGAAGTCCAGGTAGGCCGTCGGCGGGGTGATGGGCGTCTTCATGGAGTCTCCTTCCTTCTTGATGAATGCCGATGTTGGCGTCGTGGCAGAGAGGACCATTGGCGACCTGAGTTCGGAAGGATAGGTGGCAGACACCGGCGTCTTGAGGGTCGAGAGCGGCGGCTTTGAGTCGGTCGCCGCCATGATGGAGTGGTATGCGGTGCTCTAAACGAAAGACTCGGGGTGCTTGTCGACACTGGGAGCGAGAGTGGGCTGCGCTGTGCCTCTTCCGCGAGGGTGGTGGCGGGGAAGGAAGAGCAGGGCAGGCAGGCAGGTACTTGACGCCGGGAGCAGTGTGTTTATTGCGTGTAGTGAGACTAGCTCGACGCGGCTTTGTTGGTGGTGGTCGCTGGATGGGTCGTGGAGCCTGCTAAAAATATGGGCGCGTACAGCTGCTGGCGTCGGGGCGCGGGGCCTGCTGGTGGCCCGCCGCTGATTCGAAGTGTCCGCCGCTCGGGCCCGCTGCGGGCGGTGATGCAAAACAGCCGCCGCGCTGCCGTCCACTCGGGCGCCGCGACAAATCACAGGCCCCGCTCGAAGCGCCGGGGCAGGGTTCGCGCTGGCGAACAGTCTCAACACCAGGCCGCCGCAATTGGCCGCCGGGCAATGAAACGACGTGTGTGATTTGTCTGCCGCCCTTGCAGCTCTTCCTTTCAGGTCGTCGCCTGCCGCTGCTGATTGGCTGCCAGGGGCGCCGGGTGTTTGCTGGGGGCGTCGCGGTGCGGGAGGCTGCGAGTGCAAACACGAGCCAAGCAGGACCGGAAGCTCGTCAAGCTGATGAGGGTAAACGTGGCCGCCCGGTCAGACGGTCTATCTGGGACAGTACGAGGAGAACCTGAGACAGGCTGAGGAGACGAGGCGCAGGCAGGACGGGAGAAGGAGTGATGCGAACGAGTGCAGAAGCGTGTCTGGAAATAGCCCGAGAACGCTGTGGAGCAAGACAACATCTGGTCTCGTGGAAAGGCCGGCCGCTTTATGTTGCTTGCAGGCGCTGTGTATATTCTCTAGTTGCGTTGACCAGTCGCGCGCTTCCAGCTTAATGCTTCCCCCCGCCGCTTTGGCTGTCGACGGACCACCCGTTGGATGGCTTCTCCAGCAATCTCTGGTTCGTCTTTTGGGCGCGCGCCTCACCACTCCAGCGCTTGGCTGTCTTCGGACAGAGGCTGTGCGGAAGATGGCTGATTAACTCGTCTTTACAGGTCGGAGCGGGCGCGGGAGCGCTTTCGTTGAAACCCCAGATTACAGCGCTTACCACCTGACCGTTCAAAGTCCAGTGCGTGTTCCCGATGCTTCAGCCATATGAGGCGTCGCACTGTGTCAACTCCGTTTCTGGGGTAGCCTTTCTCTGTCAGAGCTGTCGTGCCGTGGCCCTGGAGGGGCCAATTGCTGCGAGGTGCTGCACGCGATGTGAATCCCACGCGCGGAGAATTTCTCGAGGTGAGAATGGGGCACAGCATGCAATGCCCCTCGAAAGAGGAAGAGCAGCTATGTTTAGAAGCTCGTGAACGGAGATGAACACCTGAGACAGGAATGCATAGACGCTCTGTCAAGTGACAAGAGCGCTCAGAATTGGGTCTTCGTCCACTCCGTCGTCAAGGTACGGGCGGACGGAGTCGCCTACGGAGATGGTAGGATTCTGCACCAACGGCGATGCGGGGTCATCCATGGGCAGATGGCATGTGTGCTCACCGAAGTAGACTCGGCCGTCAAACCTCCTCGTCTTGGAGAGCGTGACGAACGGTTCCTGATTCCGCTCAGCAGTATGCTGATCCACGCAAACCATTTGGCATCGGCGGCACGGCCCCAGCATTTCGAAATACTGTTGGCCGATCTGGACATAGCGCCAGTCGTCTTCCGCGTAGGGTTGCTCTGCCCCAGGCGGGTAGCGTGGGTTCTCGGCAACGACGATGTTGGCTCTGAACACCTCTGCTTGCGCCGCCTTACCGCCCTCAGCTTTGATTAGTTCGTTGATGCGGTTGAGGCTTGATCTCGAAATAGTAAGAATCGGGCTCTCATTTGATAGAAGAATCGGTTTCGAAACCGTTGTACCCGGTATGAGCGGCTTCGTATCTGGGAAAGCGCCGGGAATGTGCATGCTGCCCGTCGAACTCTTCTGCAGATGAGGCTTCGTATGCCTCGAAGAAGCCAACGAGCCACTCCCGCTACCGACAGCTGGGAAGCGGGCGAGATGACAAGCCACCCCGAGAGCCTGGCTGAAGAAGGATGATATCTCACTCGACCTGTAAGTCTTCGCCCTTATGGCGTCTCCACAAACTTTGGCGTTGGCGACCTTGTAGATTGCTTCGTTTGAAAACATTCTCGGATCGGCTGAGAGGGGGATGGTGATCTCGTTCCCAAAAGTCGTGTCTCGCAAACAGCCTGCTAAACGTACGTGTAGAAGCCCCTCTTCCATATCGATGCTTGGACGAATGAGGGTCATCTTTGGATAGCGCTTTTGGCTTAATGCTGCTCCAGTCCCCTGATGAACGAGACACCATTCGCGGTCCCACGCAAGTCCTTCCCGCCGCACTTCCCAGGCTTTGCCGGGCGGCACGCTGTACGCCGCACAGCTCTTTATAGGATAGATAGACAAGCTCTCCACGTGCAGACGACATGGTGTTGGTGGCTCGATATATGAAGACGTAACTGGTAGCGCCATCAGAGGCGGGGTTTCCTGCACGAAGAATTCGCGCACGAAATCCACAAATGAGGTTACATCGTGCAATGTGCTCATAGCCCCGAGACTGACACGGATCATGCCCGTGGGCTTTGCCCGAATGATATCGTTGTCGTTCCCGCATCGCTGACCCGCCGAAAAGTTCTCCCTCATCTCCCAGGGCGCTAACCCGAGGGAGGATGCCACACCACCTGGGTTGCAAAGCCCGCCGGTGCGAAGCTGGAAGCTCTTAACCGCCGCAACTTTTTCAACCTCTGCATTGCTAACCCAGCCGCCGCATTGGTTCCGTAGGTTAAAAGCTACAATTGGTCCTTGGGTCCTCGAATCACCGTAGACGGAAGTTGCGCCTTTGTACACCTGGCAGACGCTGCTGCCATTTCCGTGTCGTAATTCAGATAGCTCCTGGAATAGTCTGGCGGCCAGGAATGCCGTGTGCCTGGACACTTGTTCCAATGAGGTGTACAGCTCTTGATGCACGCTCATTGCAGTGTCTAGAGCCATAATGCTGTGGATAGGCAGAGTCCCATCCTCAAGCCTCTCGTGAAGGCTATCGGACTTCTTCGCGTGCCACTGCTCCGTCAAGCAGACCACCATTTCTACAGTTCCTCCCCCAAAGTAACGGCGCTTATCGAACACTGAGCTGGAGGCTTGCCGCACGATCAAAGCCCCGAGGTCAGGGAAGCCAAACATCTTGTACAGGCTCAGCACGGTGAAGTCAGGCGCACTCTCGGAATCGCTAAGGTCAAGCGGCGAGGTGGACACAAAGGCGGCGGCGTCCAACAGCGTGTAAACCGGGCCTTGTTTGTTTGTTCGAATGCGGCGTGACCAATTGAGAGGTAGACGTCGCCCGTTCATGTTGGATTGCGCTGGATAGGCAAAAAGACTCGGTCGTATGACTCCACGCCCCCCTTCTTCTATCCATTTATTGACCTCTGCATCTGATGCAAAACAGCGGTGTGATGCGGCGCTCTCGCGCACACCGATCAAGCTCGTGTGTGCATCCCTATGGTATCCATACCAATAACCCTCTTCATGATCTCGGAATGCGTCCATAACTAGCTTAATCCCGGCGGTGGCGTTGGCCACAAAGACCACGTCAAACTCAGCGGGGTCTGCATTGAAAAGCGACAGAAGCCGCAGCCTAATGTCTTCAACACGTCGTGTAGTCAATTGCGACGAGTTCGAAGCGGAGTGCGGATTCCCATAGAGATTGGAGATCATGTCGGCGGAGAAGCGATCGATGAGAGATTTAGCGTAGAGGGTGGTTCCGGCATGATCAAGGTATGTAGTGCCTGCAAAAGGTCAGCTCCTTAGTTGTCAAAGCTTTTGGAGGAGCTCGGCTTACCTTGAAGCATAGGGTACTCTTGGAGGCGAAGCTCCTCGATAGCTTTGTCATAGCTGATGCGCTCGGCTTCTCCCATGGTGCTGTTATAGATATTACCTGCTTAACTCTATCCACAGTCCTTGAAGGAAGGGCAAGAAGATTGTATGAAGAGTCCCATTGACCTGTGAGCTTGGTGCTTTGCGAAAGTGGGGGATGGCGAATCGGCGGAGTCGCGAGTGATACGGGGAGCTCCGATAGCCGAAAAAGCACGACGGCGAAAGGAAAATCGATCCGGAACGTCAGGGTGCGGATTAACCTCTGCACGAGACCCGAGAAAGTGTCTTCTGCAGACGCCTTGCTTGGGCGAGATGTGGCGATGCGATGACATCGTGGAATGCTTGTTCCTTCGTTGGAAGAAAGACGTGGGGGCGCACAGGCCATTCCATGCTTGACCTAATCTGGAAAGTACAATGACGAACAACGCATGCAGGATGTGGATCAACTCAGTGACATCTATAATCGTAGAAAAGTAGCCAAGAGTACCAGTCTCGAACGTGTCACCTCCACTTCTCCGACCCCGCGCATAGTGAATGCTCGCACCTCAACTGGCTATTATACGGAAACACCTGTGACCACAGCAGATCTTAGGCAAGGAGGGACCATGTAGCACCCAACACCCCACATACCCTCCGCCTGAAGCCAACAATTATAAACCTTTTCGGACCATCCATCGGGGTGCTTAATCCCAAGCACATCATAAAAAACAACTCAAATGAAATGGACCCTGTCTCTCGCTGCTTAGTAGGATCCTCATGGCGGGATTGACCACGGTTGGTATCTCCAAGAGGGCAATGAGAGCGTGGACATTAGTCGCTGTCTTGAATGGCCAGGCGAACTTTGGCCATCAATCCGTAGATAGAGCCGATAGTGTGAGAAGCTTCCTTTGCCGCCTCCAAGGTGTACATGTCGACGTAGGCGGTTCTGGTCCGTCTGATAGGGTCTCGCTCATCCAATATCTTGATATTGCGGCTATGATCAATGTTGTCAGCAGGGACTTGTAAACGTGGCCGAAGCACTTCTTGCTGGACTTACATCTCGAACCTGAAGTCCCAGAACAGAACGGCCAACTCCTCCTCGTCTGCATCCGCGGCGATGTTGGTTACCAGGAGCCGAAAAGGAAGGCTCGCCTTCTCCTCCGCCGCTCGGTAGACTGCCTCTTCGCTCAAGACATATTCCTTGGTTTGCTCCAGCTCCAGCTCAGCTCGCTGAATAATAGCTTCCTTTTCTTTTTGAGCTGTGTATCCATTCAAGCCATTGCTAAACAGATACTCCGTCCAGGCCTTCACCTGCTCCCAGTTGCAGCCAGTCTTCTCCAGTTGCAAGGCCACCACAGAGGGAAGACCATCCTTTTCCAACGCCACTTTCGGCTCATGGGGGGCTTTGGAATCTTCGGTCTCAGCTGCTTGGCGGAGCATCGGCGATGATGGCATATCCACAGTCCCATCGTTGTTGTCCTCTCCATCTGATTCTAAGAGCAGGCTCGCCATCTCAGCGCGGAGGCGGTCCAGATCATCTTCGATTTCGTGGGTGACCGCCACACTCGGCGAGCGCAAGTTCCGTTCGAGGTCTGCTAACATCTTCCTAGGATGATCGTTGATCTGCGGAGCTTCTCCTACGCGTAGAGATTCTTGGAATCCAGAAAAAGGATCCGAGAATGACTTAGCTGAGCCCGTGAGCGTTGTGTCTGGTGTAGAGAACACACCCTCCGCTTTCGCTTCCATCGAAAAGAATGTCGGAACGAGGACGCTGATAGGCTCATTCGGAGTCTTTGGTGAGCGGTCAGTGTCAACGAGCTCGCTCTCTGATTCGCCCGCTTTGCCTCCATTGGATGCAGTGTGAGTAGGTACGGCGGACATAGGCGACTTCACGTAAGGGGCCGGAGTCGGCGGTCCACCGGCTTCACGGCCGGCTTTCTTCATCACCTCAGAGTCCCGCCTCTTAGACGCTTGAGCTAGAGATTCGGTGATGCTTGCCAGCTGCTTGCCCAGTACACCGTTCATGACACCAGCTCTGGCCTTGGGAGGCATTTCCGTGGCATCATGGGTACCAAAGTCTTCTCTAGATAACACTTTAGTCCTGTAGCCATAGTAGATGCGAAAGGATCGACTGTACTCACCTAGAAATCCCGAAATTAGCTCCGGCAGCCATCATCGAACCAGTTTCCGCCCCGCGCTCGAGACTGGACAACGTGTTCGATACGCTGATGGGTCTGGATAGAAGATGGTGTTGCCGTTCGTTTTGCAACGAAGATTGTGGCGACGTGTGGAAAATGAGGACGCGACAGGGAGAAAGACGAGAGCGTGGAGCTACTCAAACGTGTGGTGGCAGGAGTCGCGCGAGGCGAGGCGAGGGAGTGAGGCCAAAGGTATTAAGATGCTGCAGTCGGCGGTGCCGAAGCGAGGTGAACGTAAACAATTTCGCTGGTCGAGGTGAAAGCTGTGGCAACACTGACGTTACTTCGAGTTAGGAAGCCACGACGGACTTCGGGGAACGCAAAACCAGCTTATACCGCTCGTATAGAAGATGGACTGAACAGGAGTGCGGCAAAGAAGACATATGTAGCTTATGAACGCTCCTTACAGAGATCAGACTACCATAATCGCCGCACATATTGAATAGGACGGACAAAATGGATACAAGAACATGTCCAACTATCCTTCCCAGTCGCGCCAGGCTGGCAAGTCTCTCGTCTTTCCAGCCCAACTCACTGCTTCTTCTTGCCCTGCTTCTTCTTCTCCTCCGCCTTATCCTCAATCTCCTTCAACTCCGCCTCCTCCTTCCTCAGCGCATACCACTGCCCCGCCTGCAGCACGAGCACGCCTACCAACACCAGCGCTAAAATCGTGTTACTCGCCGCAAACACCCTCAACGTATCCTCCCTAGTAATGTAATCCTCGGCATTCTTATCCTGCTCCGGCGTCACGTTCCCATATATACCCGCAGTGACCACCCGGAACCCCTTCACGATGTTGGTGACATAGACCGTGATGCCGGCCATGTAGAGCACGAGGGAGGCGCCGTCGAACAACATGTTGGCTTCGGACGCCTTGTAGAGCTTCATGAGGAAGCCAAGCAGGCCCGTGCCGATGGCGATGTGTAGGATGCGGGATATTATGGGCGGCGAGGCGTGCAAGAATTTGATGTGGTCTTCGAGGATCTTGAAGTAGAACTCGCGGTCTTCGGGCGTCTTCCACAGGACATTGTAGTCGTAGGGGAAGGAGGAGAAGAGGATTCCGAGGAAGAAGCACGTCGCTGTGTCGCTATTAGCAAAGATCTCTGAGTCTGCACGGTTGGGCGCAGTTTGCCGGAGGCAGTTGGGAAGCTTTACGGCCGATGATGAGGAATGCCGCGAAGGAGTTCGCTGCCATCTTGTGAGTATCGCGATAAGACGCGTTCTTTTACTTGAACCGGACGACGAGGGAGACGCGCGCGGCGAGAAATTCTGGAGGTCTGTCGTGTGAATCCGGGGTGTTGGTTTTTGGGCGCTGACGCTTATCGATGTCTGTATGCGAGATTCGCGGCGGGCGTAGCCTCTTTGCGGAAGGTGCTTCGTCTGTGGCTGGAGGGCGCGGCGCTTACCGGACGAGAGATTCCACTCTTCAGTAATCGGCGCTCGAGCTGTATCCCCAGCTTGGAAAATAAATTGTGGGAGCGAGCTTGCGAGGCACGATGATGTGTGAGTGCAGCGCGCGACGAACATTACTGCATAGCCTTGGCGGGGCTGTTGAGTAACCACGGCCGATCAAGGCTGCAGACACCATACAGCCAGCGCACGAAGTTGAGGTAATCAAGAAGTGTGCGGGTTTCGATTCATCATTCCAAGTGCTGTGTGAACCAAAACGCAGCTCGACTCTATCCAGGATCAAGACGTGTATCCAACCCGGACGAAACTCAACGCCAGAACGCGCCATGTCATGAGCCACCATAACTCCTCACTCCCGTCATTACAGGCTCGTGCCTTAGAAGTCCTCGTCGTCCATATCCTGGTCCTCATTACCAGCCTCAATAAAGACAAGTCTTGTCCCTTCACCTGTGGTTTGCCAGACCTAGTTGACATTGTTAGCTGCTTGAAGCGCGTGTGAGCGGAGAGAACAGTGACGGTACTTACGTCCAACATGGCGTACTCATCAATCGCCTGCTCGAACTGATCCGCCGTGAAGCCCTTGGCCAACACCCTCTCCCTGACCCTACGAAGGTCCAGCTCACCCCGCGTTCCATCGCCGACAGCAGCCGCACCGCTGGCTTCCATGGTCTTGATAAGGTGGTAGATCTTGCTGCTCGGGGTATGGTCATCCCTACGGTTCTCGTCGGCATACAAGCTAGCCTTGCTGACTTCGACGAGCCTCAATGCCTCATCCACATCCTCGGTAATAACTTCATGAGCGAATCGCAGACGTGCCAACGCCTGTGAAAGACGGAGGACACCAAGCAGCGTACGCGGGGAGGTGTGGGTGAATGCCTTCTTGGAGCCCTCGTCCCGTTTCTGCTGCTGCCGCATTCGGACGTATGCGCCGACCATATAGTCCGAAACCTCCTGGGGTACGGTTGGCCGGAAAGAGCGAGCGCGAGCAACCCATTGTCGTACTTCGGGTGGGCTGAAAACAACGCCTCCTGGTGCCTCAGGGTGAGTGTTATGCATGTGGACGTGAGTGACGTGACGAGCCAGCTCCTCGTCTGAATCGCGGGAAGGGGTATCGAGAATGAGGAAAAGAACATCAAAACGGGATAGTAGCGCAGCCGGAAGGTTGATGTTTTCGACGGGGGAGATGCGAGGGTTGTAGCGGCCGTACAAAGGATTAGCGGCGGCGAGAATCGAGGTGCGCGCGTTCAAAGTCGTGGTAATCCCGGCCTTGCTGATCGAGATAGTCTGCTGCTCCATGACTTCGTGGATAGCGGTTCGGTCGCCATCGTCCATCTTGTCGAATTCATCGATGCAGCACATGCCATTGTCAGCCAACACAAGCGCACCACCTTCAAGAACCATTTCGTCTGTAACGGGGTCACGCATAACGGCTGCGGTCAGACCAACGCCGCTACTTCCACGACCCGTGGTGTACACTCCGCGAGGGGCGATCTTCGTGATGTACTTCAGGAGCTGGGATTTGGCAACACCAGGATCACCCATCAAACAGATGTTGATGTCACCACGGATTCGCATACCGTCGCCAACTTCCTTGGTAACACCACCAATAAGTTGCAGGAGAAGCGCCTTCTTAACATCGACGTGGCCGAAAATCTCGGGGGCGATGGACCGTGACAGGTAGTCATACAGCTGACCGCTCCTTTCAAGCTCATTCATTCTTCGGAGCGTAGGCTGTGCAAGGACAATGTCGTCGTACGCCTTCTTGTGTTGCATGACATGTTGGGCTTCCAGGTATGTGTCGGTGAGCAGACCAGCCCGGATCGCTTTGAAGCCAGTGTACGGGGTAGGAAGGAATATTCCGGCGACATCGATGACATCTCCAGGGTTGATTTGCCGCACGAGAGGGCCGTGGCAGTGGATAGTCAATTGCCGAGGAATATGGCCAACAGGTACCTGATCAGCCATCTCCTGAATCTTGACTTCCTGAAAAGGCAGGAACTTTGAAGCGCGTGTGGACAAGAACAGCTGGCCTTTGGTGTTGTTCTTTTTGCAGTCTGACGAAGGACACTCAACCAGGGGAGTGAACTGCTTGGTGGTAACCGGCTGGAAGATCTCACATCCGCAGCGATCACAAGAGTAAGCGTTGACCTGCACTGCAGGCTTGACGTCTGATACTCTCGTTGCGATACCTCGAACGGTGATGAGATGGCCAAGGTGCTCTCCTCGGACGTTCCGCACGGCTAGGGCCTTCATGTTGCGCTGGCTACTGGCGCCTGACGGTATTCTAGGCTTGAAGTTCAAAGTGTATCGTCGGGTTAAGGCCGGTGGGAATATCATTTCTGGCGGAGGCTGGACGCCCTCTTCGCCTCCTTGCAACTCCTGCATCCGCTCATTGCGCTTCGAACGCTGGGTCATGATAATATCTAGGACATCGTCTTTGAAGCTACGAAAGTCAGTAATGCGTTTTCAGCGGAGATTTTCGTTCGTACTTTGGTTCCCTCGATGGTTGCGGCATGACCTTGTCCACTGCTCGGGAGAAAATCTCAATGTAGTGGTAAGCGTTCCGCTCGATGGACTCGATCAGCTTATACTGATGTTCGTCGTCCAAGGTAGCTTTCTCCCACTTTTGTACATTAGCTTCAGGCCTCGCGAATGTGAGAAGGCTCGACGTACCGCATCTAGGTCGTTCAGGTCTATTGGGACCTCTGTCCGTATGCGATCTGCGACTTCCTGCAGCATCTGCATATATTTGACCTTAGACGGTCGGTTGCGCCTCTGTGATCCATCTGGCGCCGGATCGTCGGAATCATCGACCATGTCATACTCCTCGCTGTCGGCGTCGCCGTTGATGCGGAGGCCTTCTAGCTGCTCGGCGGCTTCTGTCGAGGAAGACTTGAAGTTCTGGAGGAAATCGGCGAAGGCGGCTGCACAATACTTCGTTAGTCAAGGTCTCAAACAATTTGCGCTGGAGCACACAGACCTTCCTGCTCCTCGTAGTTGACGAGCGCTCGTACGGTAAGAAGCGCCATTGCTTCTCAAACTCGAATTGGAAACGTAGTGTCGAGCGTAGTGACCGATTTTCTGCGTACGAAATGGGGGTTGAGAGAGGGATGCGGTCGCAATCTTGAGGACGGGACGGGGCTGGCGATCCAGGCGCGTCAAAGGTTCGCGTCGCGCGTTTCGACAGGGGCGCCCGATGGTTGGCTGAGAACCACTCACTTTCTGCCGGTTGCGACCGCCTTCACAGCGCCGACAACCTCGGCAGCGGAGCTTCATCGCAATTTACGCAGGATGCGGACGCCGTCTATCTCACAATTCACTCTCCAGCACCATGGCACCGTCGAAGAAGCCTGCTGGTCAGACCGTGCAGGCCGAAGTCGCCATCCAGCAATCTCTTAAGAACTGCCTTGCCAATCTTCCGGCGTCGCTCGTTTCCGTTCTTGTGAATGCAAATGCCGTAAGTCCTTCTCCGGTTAAGCCTCTACGCTTGTACTGACGGGTGTGCATATAGATCGCCCAGAATGTCGTCGTCGAGCTCTCATACCGGCAGCCTCCTGCAGCCGGCGCCCCTGACGCAAATAGTACTTCGCCGCAGAAGTCAGTGTTCCTAGGATGGACTGGCATGCAGAGCAAGCGCAAGCTTGCACCGGTAGTAGGGCGCGAGGGATTGAGTGGAATTAGAGGCGGCCCCGCAGGAAGAGAGCAAGACATACAGACTGTCGAGGTGGATGCGACATTTGCGAGACTGATAGGTCTGGGTGAGGGACAGAAGGTCGGAATATCACTCCATCTGGACCCTCCCCAGGCGCATACCATCAACATTGAGCCCCTAACTCCCGTGGACTGGGAGATGATTGAACTGCATGCTCAGTTCTTAGAACTCAACTTCTTGTCCCAGATCCGCGCGCTTCCAAATCCTCAGGCTCAATCTCCACATCCCTTGACGCTCCACTTGTCTCCGACGACTACCGCGAATATCATCGTGACCTCGGTCACTCCTGCACCGCCTGCAGCTTCGCCTTTTGTAAAAATATCACCAGATGCAGAGGTCATCGTTGCGCCTAAAACACGTCAAAAGTCGGAGAGGAGTTCGGCACGTGAAAGTCGAAGCGTTGGTGGTGCTTCGCGTAAGAGTGGGAAGAGCGCTGCCAGCACCGTCAGACGCCGTAGTGGTCGCGACGAGCAGACTAGCCGGGGTGCTGTTTTCCTTCGAGGGGTTGATCGAAGCGTAGCTCAAGAGTGGTTTGATGAAGAATTTAATACAGACGGCGAAGGCCTCAAAGTCTGGGTCGATAAGGACGTTCTTTTGACAAAAGCTCTGCGAGGAGTGACATGGGTCTCGGTAGCAGTTATCAAACCTGCAGGGTTGCAGGAACCAGTCGACATGTCGAAAGAGCACGAACAAGAGAAGCCCGCCATACGGGTGATCGCAAAACTCGGGACGTGGGAAGACGCACCAGACAGCCGTCATGTCGCGCTTTCCACGGATCTATGCAGAGTCATTGGTCACGAAGGCTTCGTGGGTGGCCTTGTTCGAATCGAGGCGGCTCCAAGCCAGACTCCGAAGCCATCCGCCATTAAGCCCCAAGGTTCCGGCTCAAAGGACTCCAAAGAACCTGTGGTGAAGATAGCTAAGATCTTTCCCTTCTCGCCACAGGATCAAACAAATGCTTCACTAAGGTTCGGGGGCGAGTCTAAGCAGGAACATGAGGATGCAATCCAGAAGATTAAGTCAATGTACGGCAAGAAGAATGGCCTCCTAGATGGGGCTGTCACTGATGGCATGGTTTTGCCTCCTATTAAAGAGCCTGGCGTAGCCTGGCAGGGAGGTATTATTCGGTTCGACCCACCACAACCTCCCACAGGTGTCTCGTGGATCCTCTTTCCCGAACGGAAGCCGCCGGTCGAACTAGGCGCAGAGATCTCGAAACCGTCAAGTTGGAGTAGAGGCTGGCAACATGGCGAACCTTTACCCGCTATGCCCCCAAAACTAGTCGGCATTAGCCCCCTCGTCGAGCAACTGAGATCGCATCTAACGCATAATTCCTCTGTGCTCCTGACCGGCGGTCTTGGTGCTGGAAAAACGAGCTGCGCACAGCTTCTTGCCCATCAGCTCCGTGCAGAGTACCTATTTAACACGGTTTACTTCCCCTGCCGTAAGCTTGTGACCGACGAGACGAGAGTCTCCACCATCAAAGAGACCTTGGATAGACTATTTGCGTCGGCTTCCTGGGGCGCGAGATCTGGCGGCAATGCTCTCGTTGTTCTCGACGACCTGGACAAGCTTTGCCCGGTAGAGACCGAACTTCAGGTTGGTAACGAGAATGGACGAAGTCGACATGTCAGCGAGAGTATCATTTCCATCGTCCGGCAATATTGCTCCATGGACTCTGGTGTTGCGTTACTGGCAACTGCGCAGGGCAAGGAAGCCCTCAACAACGTCCTTATCAGCGGCCACGTCGTGCGAGAAATTGTTGGTTTGAAAGCACCGAACAAGGACGGGAGAAGGAGGGTGCTCGAGATGCTCGCACACCAGGACGAAAAGCCTCAGTCAAGCCAGCAGCCGAACGGCATTCCTTCGTCCGGGCATGCATTCCCTCCGTCACCGTCCACCAGCCGACCGAGCACATCTCATCGAAGCCAACCCAGCGCTTCTAGCATTCAGCATGATACTGCACTAGAAGAAGACGGGTTCATCGTTGATCCTACCATCGACTTCCTAGATCTCGCTGGCCAGACGGATGGGTATATGCCAGGTGACCTCGTTCTCCTTACATCACGGGCTCGCAACGAAGCTCTTATCCGCTCCGTTACGGATTCGTCCAACTCAACGACGGTATCACTGACGAAAGAGGATTATGCACAAGCTCTAGCAGGTTTCACTCCAGCTTCTCTCCGCAACGTGACGTTGCAAACGTCAACAACAAAGTGGGACTCTATTGGCGGTCTCCATGCAACGCGCCAGATCCTCCTCGAAACCTTGCAGTATCCGACGACGTACGCGCCCATATTTGCACAATGTCCTCTCCGCCTACGATCCGGTTTGCTTCTGTACGGCTACCCTGGTTGTGGTAAAACATTGCTTGCCTCTGCCGTTGCTGGAGAGTGTGGGCTCAATTTCATCTCCGTCAAAGGTCCAGAAATTCTTAATAAGTACATTGGTGCTTCCGAGAAGTCTGTAAGAGATCTATTTGAGCGCGCTGAAGCCGCGAGACCCTGCGTTCTCTTCTTCGACGAGTTCGACTCCATAGCGCCAAAGCGTGGTCACGATTCCACAGGTGTCACAGATCGAGTTGTCAACCAGCTGCTCACACAGATGGACGGGGCGGAAGGTCTGAGCGGAGTGTATGTCCTTGCTGCTACGTCACGACCGGATCTGATTGACCCTGCTCTTCTGCGCCCAGGACGTCTAGATAAGAGCCTGCTATGCGACATGCCAGCCCTAGAAGAACGTATTGACATCCTCAAAGCTGTAACGCGCAAACTTCATCTTGCGCCCTCCATTCTCGAAACAGGACACGAAGGCGAGAATCTCCGCGAGATCGCCCGAAGAACAGAAGGCTACTCAGGTGCAGACCTACAGGCCGTCGTATATAACGCCCAACTTGAAGCCATCCATGATGTTCTCGGAGATACCGAGCTTGGAGATCCTACCAGGGGTGGTGCTAAGAACAAAGCTACTAGCGACGGCGCAAGCAAGCCAGGAAAGGAGGATCGTATCCCAGAATTCACACACTTCCGCTTCGGCGACGAAACGCCCACGCCCCCGGACCCTTCCAAGCACATCCCATCTTCACAACCCACGGAGCGTGCTCTCATAGCTCAAAAGATCGCTGCCTTGCAAGCTCTCCGCCGTAAGCAAAAACAGTTGCAGCACCAACAGCGGCCCGGCAGCAAAGACGAAGACAAGGTGGCTAAGGAGGGCGATGACGTGGATAGAAAGGAGCCACAGATTCACTGGAAGCACATCGAGAGCTCATTGGCAACCACGAGAGGTAGCATTAGTGCGCAGGAGAGGAGAAGGTTGCAGGGGATCTATAGAGAGTTTGTGGTGGGGAGGAATGGCGAGATGCCAAGTGGGCAGGGTGGGACTGAGATTGGTGGAAGGACAAGCTTGATGTGATTTGAGTTAGTCTAAGCGCGGCCTGACTATTTTGTGTATATGCTATATAGAAAAGGTGGTTATGGCGATGTACGCAAAAGCCCAAGGATCATCCTTCATCCCGCGAAGGACACCGACTCTGCACATCACACCAAGGAAGCCCTGCGAGAACAGCCATGCTTTGATCGCAGTCCAAAGCCGTTGGGGTTGGGGCGCATTTAGCACTGGGCCTAGCCTGACTAGTATTGGACGCATTAACGCCTTTGTGGTTAGCTTCGGATCATACGCCCCGAGCGAGGCGAAACGTCCACGGGTCCACGGCTGAACATCTCAGCCACAACCCTTCGTAATCCAACACGAGAAGGCGTCTTCAACACGAAGGTGCGATGTAATCAAGGACGTGTTCTACTTTACAAACCAGATCAGTCGTGGATGGACTTGAGCGCCTTCTTGTACAAAGATGCCTAACGTCGGCAAACCGTCGAAAGGGTGCAAGAACTGCAGGGACAGGAAGGTCAAGGTAGGCTGTTCGTCCTTTTCGATATGTCGTATTGCTCAGTAGTTCCCAGTGCGACCAGAAACGCCCATCATGTACGCAGTGCATCAGGATCAACAAGGAATGCCACGGATATCGCGACCCGCTCTCGATGATGTTCAAAAACGAGAGCGATGTGGTACGTAGGTCGCGGTACACACTCCAGCATCTCTCAGATTTCTACTGTGTAGAGTTCCTCCCAAGGGCCTCCAGTAGGTAAAGGGCTTGAGACATGCTAGAGTGTCCCCTCCCCTTATCTAGACACCTGCTAAGTCTACCGCCACCTTCGCAGGTTGTGAATAAAGCGCAGAAGCGGTATGAAGAGCTATCGAAAAAGAAGAAGGAAAAGGAGAAAGTGCCGAGCTCTAGAGGTTCCGAGAGTCCGCCCACCGACTTCAGCAGCTCAAGCACTTCCTCGGGGCCTCTTTCGACTCCAGGAAGACCTCAACGAGTTGTGCCGAGACGACAAGATGCAAAGCCCGACATGATCGCATGGGAAATGAAGTCCTCGCTCGAGGACCAAGCTGTTGGCTTCTTCTTTGCTAACTACGTTGTGGAGCCTTCCATCGTCCCGAGAGGCCAATTCGACTGGCTACCCGAGCTGCTCAATCAGCCTAATACCGAAAGAGTTCTACAGAGCAGCGTCAATGCTGCGGGCTTAGCAAGCCTTGCCAACACCACGAAGTCTCCCGCCATCATGAAGAGAGCCCAAGAAGAATATGTTGCGGCTTTAGCCATGACAAATCGAGCGCTACAGTTCAAAAAGACAGCCATCAAAGACAGCACGCTAATCTCAGTTATTTTACTGGGAATGTACGAAAATTTCCAATACCAAGATAGCGATTCCTTGAAAGCCTGGGCGCGACACACCAACGGCGCATGTGCATTGCTCAGACTGCGCGGAGAAGAGCAGTTCAAGAGTTCCGTCGGCAGGCGTGTCCTCCACCAATTTTACGGCACTGTCCTCTTGGTTGCCCTAGAATCGGGCACGGCTGTGCCCCCAGACATATCAGAGCTGTGGGAGAAGCTCACTACGACTGGGGACTACCGCATTCACGGCAAGCACTGGACAGTCAACATGGTGCGCTTCATGAAGAACGCCATATCCTTGAGTGGGGACAAAACAAGCGACCCGGTCACAATAGTGGCAGAGGCGATGAAGCTCGACCGCGAGCTTGACGAGATAAAGACACTGATCCCAAGCGTCTGGAAGTACGAGACATTTCAGCTGGAGAAGCCTGTGGAACACGTTTTCAGCAACACTTATCACATATATCTGGATCCGTGGATCGCGCAGATGTGGAATAACCTCAGAGCCTGTAGGATGTTTCTCCACGCAGTCATCCGCCGCCAGCTCCTGAAAGGCTCCGAGTGCCACCCTCCTCTTTTCCACCGAGACAGAGTCCGCGAGCAGATCGCAGCATCGGAGCAGGTCATGCGCGCGGGTGCGGCAGGCGTCTGCGCAGCGGCTCCACAGATCTTAGGACAGGTTCCTTTTCCTGAGTTCCCAGGGTCGAAAAAGTCATTCTATTCAGACACCTGCCCCGAGCTTGTCGAGCCCCGAGACCCAACATTCCAACTCCGTCCGCCTGGAACTTTTCTCAATTCGACGAGACCTACTGGCGTCCACCACCTTATCTGGCCGTTGTACGCTATCGGTGGAAGCGACCTCGCTTCGCCGGAGCTGACGCAGTGGGCTATCGATCAGCTGTACTTTATAGCGCTGAGACTGGGCACCCGGCAGGCTGTCGTGCTAGCGGAGGAGCTGAAGCAGAAGCAGAGGGCAGGGTCGGTATCGGAGATCTCGGACGATGGGAGCCTTGCTAGTTCGACTTCGAGCTAAGTCATACATCAGTGTTCATGGGATCGAGATTCAATGGAACTAAAGCGACCGAACTCTCGTCAATGCTCCCTAAAAGGTTTTAAGTAGCAAAGGAAGGTCGACCAGAGTTATTGGAGTAAAGCTTCAACGGCACACCAAGTAAGTTAATTCCATGTCCTATTGCACGCATTCCACGTACGCCATGCTCATCAGAGTTCCAGGTTGGCCGCGAAGCATATGTTTGTCTGCCGAGGTTCAGTTCATTCGTACCAAGCCCTCGATCGAAGAACGCCGAGCCCTACGACGTAAGGAGAAGCGGAGCGCACAGCTAGGGGAGCACGTGGGGAGCTGCACTAATCCCCGCACTAGATGCGGAGTTAGGAGCTTCAACGTCACCATTTCCTTCCCGAACCGCATCATACCAACCACGACCCCTCTACGAAACATGGAGTCTGGACTGATGGTCGCCGCGGAAGGAAAAAGATCACAGGCCTTCAAATACGCACTGCTTCCCGTGCTGTGCCTTCTCCTTGAAGGCTCTCATCCCTTTTACCCGTCCTCCCTTACTTGAACCGAGCGACTTTAAATCCTCTGACTTGGACCTACGTACGACGACTGACTGCCTGGATCAAAATGGCTTCACTAAATATCCCTGAGGAAATGCTCGCGGCGCAAGTCGTCGAGGTACGTCTTCCTCCCCGCTCACGCCATTCCACCCCAACTCTCCGAGACAACCCCTAACAATCCACCCAGTTCAACAAACCCTACAAAGTTCACTCCATCCCCGTCCCCCACGAGCTCGCCCCCAACGACCTGCTCATAAAAGTCGCCGTTGCCTCCCTGTGCCACACTGACTTCATGGTACAATCCGGCGTCTTTGGCGACATCCCGCGCACCGGTAGCCACGAAGGCTCTGGCACTGTCGTCGCAGTCGGGTCCTCCATCTCTCCATCCCAATTCCAGCCTGGCGACCGCGTCATGGCGGGCATAATTTACCACGCGTGCGGCGCGTGTGGCGACTGTCTCGGCCCGGACGATTATACCCAGTATTGCAGGAACAGCGGCGGGTACTGTGGGGTGTTTGGCGCGGACGGTTTCTTTGCAGAGTATGCGCGGATCGATGCGAAGTGGGCAGTCAAGATGCCGGATCGGGTCAGCTTTGAGACGGCGGCGCCGTTGGCGTGTGCCGGATGCACAGTGTATCGAGGCGTTATACTCGCCGGGCTGAAGAAGGGCGAATGGCTTGGTATTGTGGGCAGTGGGGGCGGACTAGGCCATCTCGGCGTGCAATTTGCCAAAGCGCTGGGTCTCAACGTCGTCGGCATCGACGCGCGAGACGAAGGGCTGGAGCTCACACGAAAAGGCGGCGCAGACGTCGTCATCGACGCGCGAATCGGCCACGACAAAGTCGTCGACGAAGTCAAGAAAGTCACAAACAACGAAGGCGTAGCTGCAACCATCAACGTCAGCGACGCCGAAAAAGCAATGGCGACAAGCTGCGCTGTCACTCGCATGCACGGCACGGTCTTTCAAATCGCACAGCCGCCAACAGTCTCCATTCCCTTCCAGGAGCTCATCTTCCGCGATATCCGCGTGCGAGGCTCCTTGATCTGCTCCGCACAGGAGGCTGCAGACATGCTTGCACTTGTTGCTGAGCATGGCATTTCCGTGAACACGAATGCTTTCAAGGGACTCGGCGAGATAGAAGAGTTGATTGAGTTGGCGGAGAGCGGGAAGATGAAGGGCAAGGGCGTTGTTGTCATGGATGAGGAGCAGGTGAAAAGGGAGAAGGAGAAGGTAGGGGGTGCGAAGTTGGCGTGAGTGTAAGGAAGCCAGATTGAGGGCCAGGCGAAAGGAGTCAGTTGTTGGAGGGTGATGAGATTTGTGGTAGTGATGGCTCGAGGGGCAGTACAGGAAGCCGAAGGAGCTTGTTGTACTGTACGCATCGTGGATGGAGTGAAAAGAAAGGACCATGAAGTTCAAATGTTAATCGCTACGTGAAACTAAGTCTACTCCGGTATAATGCATACGTTAATCGATACCAAATTTCCATCGCAGATGACTATTCCTACATGAGGAACATGCTGACGCCTGAATATGATGCGACATGCCGAATAATTCCCTCTTCCTCCTATTCTATAAAGCTCCCTTAGCGCTCATTCTCCGAAACCGCTCGAACTGAAGACATCGCCTGAGATGGCAAGCGAGTAGACGATGACCGCGATGTCGAGGTGATCCCGGAATCAATCGTGATGACTGATGGTTGACTCGTATGTGTGCTCGGTCGCTCTTCGTAGCTCCCATCCCCTTCCTCTTCGTCCACCACACTCCTATCCCTCATTTCCTGATCCTCATTCATCTCTTCCTCACTATCCTCCTGCGCCCGTGCGGTATCCTCATCGATAGCCGTCATCCGATTCACGAACTCTCTCTGCAGCTCCTTGAGCCACGAAGCCAGCAGCTCGCCCTCCATAGTACCGTTGTATGCTTGGACGAGATGTTCTTTGAGGTCAAGGATTAGTTTGCGACGCCGCTCATTGATGACATTCGGGGAAGTTTTCTTCTTCTTGAGGAGGCGGTGGTGAAGCTTGTGCGCGAAGTAGGTAGCGTCTTCAAGAACTTGCGGAGGGAGCGGAACGACGCGGGCGAGTGCGAGACCATAGTGAGATTCTTCAACAGCGCCCTCGACAGCTTTGTAGAGCATGGTCATCGTGTCGTTGTCGCTTATCTAGAATTTGATCAGTACGATCAAGGAAAGAGGCTATGGAGACGCACCTCAACGGCGAGTTGCAAGCAGCAAACACCGTTCCGTTCAGACAGAATAGTTGCAACATCCTTAAAATGAGTAGCAAACCACACGAGTGCCCTGCTGTCCACCAGTTGCTCGGCAATTGCAAGAGCAATAGCCAGTCCGTCGCGGGTGCTAGTCCCTCTTCCCAGTTCGTCGATGACAGCCATGCTGCGCCTGTCAATGTTCCTCAGAATGAACGCAATCTCTCTCATCTCCGCCGCAAAAGTCGACGCATTGCTCTCAATGCTGTCATCCATGCCGACGCGAGCGAAGAGCTGATGAAGGATCGGAAAATAGGCTGCGCGAGCTGGAACGAAGCTTCCAATCTGGGCCATGATAGATAGGAGAGCGACAGAACGGATAAAAGTGCTCTTGCCACTCATGTTGCAACCGGTGATGATTTGGAACCGGGTTTGCTGAGTGGAGTATACATCGTTTGGAACAAACTTCGTCTGCATGATCTTCTCAAGGATCGGGTGACGAGCGTCTTTGAGTCCAAGGGTATCGCTGATGCAAGGTCGAACGTAGTCGTTAACCGTTACAAGATGTGCAAATGCAGAAAGCATGTCGAGCATTGCGATAGCTTCGCAGATCTTGAATAACACGGACATGTGCCCACGTACCTCCTGAATGAGTGCCTGCACGGCCTCGTCGCTCATCAGCACTACTTCCTGATGCGAGATGGTAATCTTCTGATTCCGCTTCATCAGTTCCACTGTCTGGCACTCGATATGATTTTTCTTCCGGAAGACGTTGGTGAACACTGGAGGAAGCGACCTGTTCTCGAGCTCAGCCACGGGAATCCGAATGTAGAAGTGGCGAGCAGCCTCATATTTAAGATCAAGCTGGATGTCGTATTCCTGGCTCAATTCAGTGCTGTGCTGGTACGCATCCTCCATCGCTTCTTTGTACGTGGTGCGAGCAACGTCGAGCAGACCGTTGACTCCCGATCTTACTGCGTAGGTACGCTGATTTCGGAGCTCTAGCGGTTGCTTCGCGTAGGTGGTGTCTTCGTTAATGACGCTGTCGATGACTTCCTGGACGGGTACGATGTTCTCTGGGGCACAGAGCTCGCGGATATTGTTGAGCATCCAGCTTCTTGCTCCGGTGAGCGCTTCGTAGACGGGTTTGACCGAAGTGACGAACTGCTTCAACATGATGACCTGGTTGATGCTCTGCTCGGTAGTCTGAATGCTGGGTTTGGTCGGAATGATGATTAGCTATTCCAAGGTTAGCCATTACATCAATAGACAATAGACTGCGTACAGCCGTGAGTATCCTATCAGCGTCCAGGAAGTTCTTCAGAGCTGTGAAGGGTCAGCAATCGAAGACGTTACTGTGCTCTCCGCGCTACTGACCTGCACGAGTAGCATAGAACATATCTTCCTTGATCTGCAACTCATCCACGGCATCATACCGCGTATTCAGCGTCTCCGCATCAGTAAGTGGTTGCAGAACGTTGCTGCGAAGTAGGCGCGCCCCCATTGGCGTCTGCGTCTCATTCAGAAGGCCGAAGAGGCAATTCCGCGATTTTGGGTGCTGTAAGTTCTGGACGAGTTCGAGTGAGTGGATAGTCGCTACGTCAATCATCATTGAACCTTCAGACGGCTCATACTTGATCCTGAGGGAGTGGAGAGGAAATGTGACTTGGAGACCCAGTTCAATGTACTTCAGCACCTGCAAAACGATCAGTTATAAGTCCTTCTGTCAGAATGAAGCACATACGGCTGCTATACAGCACACTGCATAGTAGTTCCCAGATAGGGAGATCTTGATGGTCTCCATATCCTCAGCAAATGCCGAAGTCTGGATATAGTCAGAGCCTGCTCCCTCGGCCCAGAACCTGCGATCAAGTAGCGTCAACCTGCTCTCCATAATGTCGAGATTCTCCTCGATAATGGAGAAAAGCTTCGACTTTGGACTAGCTGCACTTGTCATAATGAGGATCTCAGACGGTCCATACACCCTCAACTTGTGCATCGTCCGCACATATGTCTGGCTGTCGCATATCTGGCAAAGGACGGCTTCTCCCGTGTCGAGGTTGACGAAGGCAAGGCCGACTGTTGGAGAAATGCCGCGAGATTCAGTGATGGCGCAGACAACTTGTTGTGCCTCGACGCGGGCGATTGTTGATGCACCAGTCCTTGGACGGACTGTTGAAGGCCTTCCCGTGCTTCGGCGTGTCCGCGGCCACGATGTTGTTGTCGTGTTATAATCACCATAGGTGTAGGAGGGGTACGAAGTTGGTCTTGAGGTGCTGTAGGATGTGGGCGGCCGCGACTGTCGAGACATTATGGTCAGTGATGCTGTGCGGTCAGCCGGCGATCAATTATGTGTCATTCCTCAACCCTCAAAGGTTGAAGTGTGAGGATGAAGGGTCCGATCGGAGTTCAGACGGGCGAAATGGACCCTGCTTCGCTTAACCTATAATCCCTGCTAGCACGATTTCCATATCGATAAGACACGAAATTTTGGATTCTGTACATGTCCCACCTGCAGCCTCAAGCATTTACTCAAACCTTTAACTTGACGCGCTCTTCTTCGCCGCTCCCCCAACTGCACCATGGCGACCCTCCCGCCGCCTCCCTCCAAGCGCCAAAAGCGCGAAGCCCTCGAAAAGTCCTCTCTCCAAACCGACCTCACAAGCACCATCCCGGACGGCACCATCCGCACCCGCTTCGTCGACCAAGCCACCGGCTCCAGCGACACGCTCCCCGTCCTCACAGTCCCGCTCTCACAAGCCACCACAAAGAACCTCGAGATCCTGCTCAACGAGCTAAAAGAGCAATCCGACGACCGAATTCCATATCGCTTCTACCCGGACGGTTCAGCAGAAGCGCTCGGCGACAAGGAGGATGTATATAATAGCTTGGTGAAGACAGGGAGGGTGTCAGCGGAAAGCGAGGTTGTGCTGCAGTATGCGCCGCAGGCTGTGTTTAGGGTCAAAGCGGTGTCAAGATGTAGTGCGGCAGTGAGCGGGCATGGGGATAACATTCTCGCGGTGCAGTTTTCGCCCAAGAATTCGGCGAGAATGGCGAGTGGGAGCGGGGACAAGACGGTGCGGATATGGGATTGCGATACGGGGACGCCCGCGTTTACGCTCAAGGGGCATTCCAAGTGGGTGCTTGCGGTGAGCTATTCGCCAGACGGGAGTTTGTTGGCGAGTGGAGGGTATGACAATGAGGTCAGAATATGGGATCCTGAGACGGGAAAGCAGGTCGGTGGGCCGTTAAAAGGGCATACGAACTTCATAACGAGTTTGTCCTGGGAGCCATATCACTTGCAGGAGCCGGGGAGGCCAAGAGTAGCTTCGTCATCGAAGGATGGGACTGTTAGGGTCTGGGACGCGATAGGAGGGAGGGTGGATTTCGCTCTCTCGGGCCACAAGAGTAGTGTTACGTGCGTCAAGTGGGGAGGCACCGGATGGATATATACCTCATCCCACGACAAGACCATCAAGGTCTGGAATGCTGAAACTGGCACTCTGGTACATACGCTCTCTGGGCATGCACACTGGGTAAACCATCTCGCTCTCTCCACCGACTTCGTCCTCCGAACATCCTATCACGACCATACACGGAAGATACCCCCAACGCCCGAAGAGAAGCTGGCGAAAGCTAAGTCGCGCTTCGAGAAAGCGGCAATCATCAACGGCGAGATAGTCGAACGCTTAGCAACCGCTTCCGAGGATTGCACCATCTTCCTCTGGACACCTCTCAGTACCTCGAAGCCTGTCACACGGATGACAGGCCACCAAAAGCAGATCAACCAAGTGTGCTTTTCGCCCGATGGGACTCTCCTAGCCTCTGCGGCTTGGGATAACCACGTCAAACTGTGGTCAGCTCGGGACGGGAAATTTCTGTTCACCCTGAGAGCGCATGTTGGTCCGGTGTATATGGCCAGTTTCTCTGCCGATAGTCGGTTATTGGCGAGTTGCAGTAAGGACACCACATTGAAGGTGTGGGATATGCGAACGGGCAAGCTGAAAGAGGACTTGCCGGGACACAAGGACCAGGTCTTCGCGCTGGATTGGAGTCCGGACGGAGAAAGGGTGGGTAGCGGAGGTGCCGATAAGCAGGTTCGAATTTGGAGGGGTTGAGTAGGAAAGAACGAAATCCAGTCTGGGGGCTGCTTCTCCGGCTCTGGCTCTGGCCTACATAGTAAAGGGGGCTGCGGCTTACCCTAACCCTGGTGAGCGCGTGGAAGCCGTCGGCAAGGCGTGCTGGTAGGATCTTATATACCCTTCGTCGAAATCCAGGGCTCAGACTAAATCGAACCATTCAGTGCCCAGGTCTCTTTTTGCAGCATTCCGTTGTCTTGAGTCAATTGCCTCACCCTCCATGAAACCGTCAACATAGCACTCTCCGACGAGCTTCCACTGATCCTCTGCTACTGCTCTCAAAACGAACGGAACTTTACCTCCAAATAGTACAACCATGACATCGCCAGACATCATGCTGGACGGACCGAGCCCGAGGTGACCGGAAGAAGTGATGAAGAGTCGCCGATGAAGAAGGGGAGCTAACGCGGACGTATACCGGGTGGGATCAGCTTGATCTTCCGCGGATAGAGACGAAAGCGTCGACGGTGAAGAGCGAGATCGATAGAATGGTGTCCGCAAGGTGTCGGTTGATCGAGGTGGTGATACGGCGGGATTCAAAGTAGATACGCTGAGACTCGACTTCAGCGCTGCACTCAGGCTATACATAGAATCACCGTCGTGCTCTGACTCTGGCGTCTTGGGTGCAGTTGAGGAGAGAAAAGCACGAAAATGCGCTATGGATTCATGTCTTGCGTTTTCCTGCTCTACCGTCAGGCCAGCTGTTGTGACGAGGAGGAATGTCCGGGAGAAGTCTTCGGGGGTGAGATGACTGAGGTGAGACCTGCACATTTCGTACAGCTCCGGTATCTTCTTCGGCAGATCGGTATGGGAAGGAGCATTAGGTGAGATCGAAGAATCTGCAGTTTGATCGGGAAGCATGGCCGGCAAGCATGACTGTACAGTACTGATACGGATTCCCTCTAAGCGCAGGACATCTGACGGTGTATACGAGTCTCGAGAGACCGGTAAGTCTTTTGACGCCGAGTTGAACCTTTCGGTTAGGAACTTGCAATCGGTTGCAGACCGAACGACCGCATACGCGCTGAGGCTGCCAGCAGAATGTCGAACATCCCATCGGGGAACCCAAGAAGGATATTCCATGTCGTCTCCGGGCTCGTTGTCAACTTGGGAGAGGATAGTAAGTGTCCTGGTCCTCTGAATGCAATATAATGTGACTTCCGTATAGACGTCTCTTGTAGAACGACCGTAGTTTGGCAGCAGAGCTTTTGGCCAGGAATCAGGCGTTCTTGACTCTCCTGAGAGACCGAAGAGCGCGAATACTTTGTCTCTTGGATCCGTGGCTTGGAAAGATCTCGTGGAGTGAAGCAGCGATTGCAGTTCCCAGACATCTCTCGTCGACGATAGTTCGAATATACTGTTGATGAGCTTCATCCGATCTGTGCGATATCCAGCGTTATGTTTCATTAGCCACATCATCGCGTCCTGAAAGCGTGACCAGAGCATCTGAAATCCACCGCAGAGGATCACTGGGTCGCCCTTCGAGACGACGACTATAAGGCAGCGGGGTGCATTAGCATATGCTCTACCATTTACAATGGGTCTTAGAGACAAGACTGATTAGAATATCCGTACCTTCTTGAATTATCCAGCAACGCTCGAACCACGCGAGTTCTAGGAATCGAGAAAGACCCGCCCATCTCTTGTCTTCCTCCGAAGGTAGTTCGATAGATGTTGGCAGCCTTTGACCAATAACTACGTGTTCATTCTTCGCTGCTGTACCTAGAGAGTACTGGTATATATCGGTCGTAAGAGAGAAAGCATCTCGCGTGTTCCCGTCGTCTGGGCCTAACCAGATTACGGTATTCTGAGCCCGTTGATAGATCGCTCGCATAAGGCGAACTTGCTGGGTCCGCTCTGCGAAGTCTTTCTGGTTGATGCATATCTGGTCTATCCAGAAATACCTTACTCGAGACCAGGCGCCATACTTGTCCAGTCGTTGTAGTCCTTTCTTCAGGTTGGAAGACACCTTAAACAAGCGGCCGTTGCACCAGATATCGGAGGTCTGGCCGTATTTTCCCCAGCAATAGCTGAGGGCTTGGAAGGGCGGTGGGTCGCTTAGGTGGAATGTTGTGATCTCACAGGTTACGTATGGACGAGAGGTGAGGACCTTAACTAAACGGAAGGTGTACTGTGTGGGTAGTTCTTCGTACTCGTATCGTTGTCGATGAAAAGGCGCTCTAATCTTCTCGAAGAAGGTCTCTTTCTCATGCTCGTCCTCTGGGGTGCTTGATCCCGTGGGTTGACTCGCGAGAGGTGGCAGGGTGTGAAGCGGTACCGCCCATTCCGAAATCTTGGAGAAAAGATCTTTGAGTGATTTCAAGGATACCTTTCTGATATACTCTGACTTCCGGAAAAGGAGTGTATAGTCCACGATGACATAACGCCGGAAGGAGCCAGGCAGATGTGGTATGCCTGATATGGCGTCATCCGGGGAATGCTGAAGTATTTCGATGACTTGGATCGTGAGGATATGGAGGTGATTGGCGAGCTCGCTCTGAATATCAGCTATAAGTAGTCAGCCACCGCTTCTTGAAGGGATCGTTCCTTTGTAATGAGATTGGTTGAGCATCTGGCAAGGCTGAAGCAATACGCAAAAACTCACAGTCGCCATACGCAAAATGCTTCCCAGCCTGCCTATAATAATTGCGATACGCTCGTCCCAGTTCTTGATGTCCCCTCTCGAAACTTTCCCTAAGTTCTTCCGCCCTCTTTCCATCCTGTCCTATCGCCAGATGCCGCACGCGCTCATCATAGATTACAATACCGTCTTGAAACGTCTCACACAGATCTTCGACAAGATATTTGATCTCCGGTTCCCTGCTGCCTGCGTCGGAGAGGATGCTCATGGCGTGAATTATGCATCGTTGAGTCGTGCGGATGATGGGAAGTTAGTGTACTTGATGATTTTTGGGGGCCAATTCTTGCCGGTCGCGATGTTGAGCACGTGAGACAAGCTGTAGCCGATGTTGGTAATCAAGCCGCTACAGTAGGCTATTGTCTGACATGCAGCGGGATGACAGATGTGTGCACACTGGAAGTGGGATCGAGGTCGGAAGTCGGAAAGGGCGAAGGAAGAAGAGTTACGAATGCTTAGGTAGAAGCATTGCGAGGTTGAGTTCGTGCCTTCCTCCAGCATCCAGCCTTGGCAACAATGTCACATAGGCGATGCAATTCCAGCTTAAAGAGTGCACATTCGAGGTATCCTGACTATCTTAAATTACCATACCACGGACCCTTCGTTCCAGGCGTCCGATCCACAGCGCGATCGAAGGGAAAAAAGCTCTCGTTCAACAGGTGCAAACGTGGTATACAAAAGGCAAATATACACGTCGTCGGGGACAATTAGAGATGCCGAAGATAAGATCTTATCCAAAAGTCGATAGATCTCCATATATCTATCTCTTTTGCAGGATCCAGCATCTGTGTGCTCCAGTGTCCATTCATTTACAATGTCCGGCTCTGCCTCCGTCTCATCCTTCGTGACCAAGCCCACCTCATTACGGCGTCGACGGGGTATCTTTACTGCTTCGCGGCTTTGCGGGCGGCCATCTGAAACACATGTCACTTGCTGCTCTTCAGGGCTATGGATGGAGGCAGCCTTACCTTCTTCTGGACGAACAGACCAATCAATAGGATAGCGACGGCACCGACAATACAGAACACGAGAATGACACCGGGTTCCCTGGCGGCCCAGTTCTTTCGCTTGATGAGGTGGTGGACGGCGACCTCGCTGCGCGCGACAAGAGACATATCGACGGCGGCCATTGCGACGGATTTCTGCGCCAATGTCAGCTGGACCGATCTGAAACATGGAAATGAATCTCCTTGAAGGATGTTCTGCGGTAGAGTCTCCATAGAGGGCTTGGGTCTTGGGCGTAATTGTGGAAGGGTTGGCGCAAGGCTTGTCACGATGCGCTGGCGTAACACCCGGCCACGATGCGCCCCAATTGCTTCAGAAAAGGCTTCTCTTGCATACCTTCGCGACTAGATTCGATCCCGTCGAAGATTGGAAAGGGATTCGGCCGAATTGAAGCTGTTCGGGAGCTGTAGTAGGAAGAGAAAGCTGGTCAGCGCACTCAGTTCCCTCAACGTCGCGTGCGATGTGGATAAGATGGGCTCGAGGAGGCGACCAGGCGGAGCATTGAGAACAAGAGCGGGCACATTTCGAGGACGGTTTTGCGCCTTATAAAGCTGCGGGCCGCCGAAAAATCTGCTGTGATGAGGCATTTGTTTGGTATCGGTTCGCCGCGCGGGACCAGCGGGTCATCCGGCAGGGAGCCTCCAATGGCCAATTGATCGCCTGGACAAGGAGATTATATACTTACTTTGGAGCGCGGAGCTTGGGGAGCAGCGAGGTCCAGCTGGCAGAGTGGAGAGGAAGAGGCACGGCGTTCGTGTGATGAGAGGCGGGAGGGTTGGGGAACCTGCTGCTCGAGGCCCCGAGGGAGCTAGAGCCAATGCAGCCAATCATACGATAGCGGGGCCAGCCAAAAGGAATGATGAATCTGCTGCCGGAGATCGGCAAAACAGCGTCTGCACCGCGACCCAGGCCCCCAAGAGACCACCCTTGAAAGCAAATAAAGCAGACTGAGATCTCTTGTTTCTGGAGCTCTGTACCGCCGGAATTTCGTCACGCTGCCCAGCTGCCCCGCTCTGTTGCGCTGCAGAGGCGCTTCGCAAAGCTTGCGCCGAGCTGTCCTGCAACGTTCGGCTCCACCCCGGCATCCCTACTAGCGCGCTGACCGCTGCTCTGATGGCCGTTATGTCATTGTGAATGCTTATCTGCCGCGCCTGGGCACAACAATTGAGCCGCTAAAGCTGCCGTGGGATCCAGGCACCGCCAGGAAAACTTTGAGCATGACAGAAATGCCTCATGCTTAGGGGATTGGTCGTCGGCCGAGCAGGCGTCAATGGCGCCCTAGATTCATCCGGGCGCGCGTGGGATGGCGAATGAGTCGCGCCCGGGGATCGTCGTCAAGCTTTTCCGTGCGCGGTGCCAAGTCTGGGGTGTCGGGTTGGCACCACATTGGCATCGTCTATTTCATAAACGGCTCTCACGGTGTGGAATTCTCCGGATAGAACGACGTGCGTAACAGCTACCCTGGAGGCCTTCGCTGGTGCGTACAATAGGACAGCTAATCTTACTTACTTGTACGGCGAGCCCTTAGACCCGGAGAATTCCCTACCGCAAGAGAACGGTTCTTGAACCTCATCTGGCCTCATTCTTCCAAGGTTATCCGTCGGGCCTGAGGATATCCCCTCGCATCGTGGCCGTTTTCGTCGACTTTGCCGTCTTGGCCGGAGCTGCAATCTCATCGTGGATAGCTTTCAGGTCGCGATCCCCTGCGTTGTCGAAATTTACTGGCGGTCGAACACAAATTCTCCGTCTCAACAAAAAAGAATGCCGTGCCAAAGTGCGCAAGAAGAGGGCTTTCGGGAGCACGATAGACACAGAATGTGTGGAATTACCGCGGTCCGTCGGCAGCATAATCACGCCTGACTCGCCTTCTATTTACTAGGGAGCCAAGGGTGGACGTAAACACCGGGTATCAAACATGGTAAATTGGTTCTACGAATTACTAGTAGCAGGCACGCGACATCTATCTCTATTCAACGTGGTTGAACATCAATCTCTAGTCTAAAGATGTACGCCACTCCTATTTACAACTTCAGCTCCCTACTACCCTCCACATCCACACCTACCACACACTCAATATCCTGCGTCGACTGCCCAAACGAGAACTCATACCGTCCCCTATCGACCTTCCATTCGCCGGCCGCTTCATCAAAATACGCAAAGTCCTTCAACGAAACCGGCATCTCCACCGTTTCTTCCTTGCCAGCATCCAAAAACACCTTTTTGAACGCAGCCAGGCCCTTGATAGGGTGATCTGGACTCTTCTGCGCCCTGCCGACGTACAGCTGGACAACTGTTCCGCCGGCCTGCTTTCCAGAGTTGGTGACAGTGACGCTGGTCTTGAACGAGTCTCGAGCTGTTTGAGAGACGCTCCCATCTTTAAGACTGAAGGTTGTGTATGAGAGACCAAAACCAAATGGGAATTGTACCCTGTTTTGCGCGATGCGATCGTAATGGCGATATCCGACGAAGACGCCCTCATCATATCGGACTGTGAGCTGGCCATCTTTCGTCTCTCCCGGGAAGTTCCCGTATGCTGGTGCATCCTCGATCCGCTTAGGCCAGGATATCGGCAGCCTGCCTGAGGGATTGACCGCGCCCGAGATAACGTCCGCAATGGCATTTCCAGCTTCTTGCCCGGTAAACCAGGCTTGTATGAAAGCTGAGACTTTCGAGATCCAAGGTGATGCGACAGCTACGCCGGTACTGTTCACCACAATGGTCTTCGTGTTTGCTGAAGCCACCGCCTCGACGAGTTTGTCCTGGGAGCCGTCCTTGGGCAAGTTGAAAGAAACCTGGTCTTGGCCCTCCGTTTCCCAGACGGGCGTATGACCGGTGAAAACGATTGCGTAGTCGCACTCCTTGGCGATGTCAACGGCCCGAGATAGGAGATCCTCATCATGTTCTTTGTCGGGTATGAAGCCCATACGGAAACCCGGTAGACCTTCGAGAATCCCGCCGTTGTCCTTCGCGTCGCCACTGCCGGGTGGGCTGGAGTGTATGCGGATCTTGTAGGGCTCGCCCTTGGTAAATGAGTACTTGAATTCTTCTTCCGGGTTGCCACCGAACAAGAAAGCCATAGCATCTTCTGAGCTGTGTTTCTGCTCGTAGACAACTTCGTCGTTAATAGTGACGACAGTGGGACCGATCCCGGAGCAAGAGAGATAATGTGAACCGCTCTCTGCAGGAATAAATGTGGTCGAAAGCTGAAGGTCTTTCCACCTGGAATCCTTGCCCGGTCCTCCGAGAGGGCTGAAGGAGGCTTCCTTGTGTCCACCGATCGTCTCGAGAGGCTTCTCTTTCTCACCTTGCACAAAGAATTCCAGGGTCCACCCCGACTTGCCGTCTGCATCCGTGCAGTTACTAGCTAGCGGCGGTAGCAGTCGATATGTGTGAGCACCTGAACCTTTGTCAACACGCTAGAAGCAGACAGGTAGGGAAACATCAACTTACCCTTGGCGAACTTGAACTCCACGCTGTCACCGTAGGCGGCATGCAAACCATCCCAGGGCGAGATCCTGTAGTGGGAGTGGAGAGACGCACTGCCGCCACCATGGATAAGCGCCTCCTTGGCCAGCCCCAGCAGAGCGATCTTCTTCCCCTTGATTTTCTCCTTCTTCAGCGGAAGAATTCCATCATTGTTCTTGAGCAGAACAACGCCTTGACAGGCAACGTCTCGGATAAGCTTCCGGTGTTCAGGGTTGTCTATAGATCGCTCGGGTGGGATCTCCGGGTTCTCGAACCCGCCAACCTTCTCAATAAGTTCCAAAACGTTCCGCGCGCGGTCATTGATCGTAGCTTCTGAGACTTCGCCAGCCTTAACGGCGTCTTTGACAACCTTGTACGATCGGTGCCGCGTCGGTCCCGGCATTTCCAGATCCAGTCCAGCGTTCAGTGCATCCGCCGTCGAGTTAGTGCCGCCCCAATCGCTCATGACGAGACCCTTCCAGCCCCATTCTCCGCGAAGCACTTTCTTCAGGAGGAGAGGATGCGAATCGGCGTGCACTTCGTTGATCTGATTGTAGGCCGTCATGACCGCCCAAGGGTTAGCTTCCTTGACGCAGATTTCGAAAGGTTTCATATAGATCTCCCTCAGGGCCCGCTCCGGGATAATTTCGTTCACAGTCAGTCTGTCCGTCTCTTGCTCGTTTGCAGCGAAGTGCTTGATAGTGGCCGCGACGCCTTTCTCTTGCAGTCCTTTGCATACTTGCGCAGCCAACTTGCCGGCTAGGAGAGGATCTTCCGAGAAGCTTTCGAAGTTGCGACCTCCAAGGGGATGTCGGTGATTGCACATGGTGGGACCGAGCCTGATAAAGTCAGCATGATTGATATAGTGGATGGACCTTCTCATCATACAATACTCGTGCACCCTTAGTCTGGGTCTCCTCTGCCAATGCATTTCCAACCCGTCTGGAGAGGTCTGGGTTCCATGTAGAAGCAGCACAGACGGCAGCAGGGAAGCAAGCCGCTCGTGTTCCTCCCGTAAAGACCGCGCCTCGTGCTCCGTTCGGACCGTCCGATGTCTACAAAGTTTAGTATCCTTGAGATGAAAATAGACAAAGAAAATACCTTGATAGCAGGAACTCCCTTCGAAGGAACCGGGACCGTTTCCCAAAAGTCCTTCCCCGCAAGAAGGGACACCTTCTCTTCGAGCGTGAGCGACTCTAGTATGGTATCGATCTTGGAGCTCATGTTGATACGAGTGCAAAGTCAGATAGAGAGAAAATGCAGGCCGTATGTGATCTCTTATCTGGCCAAAAGACATCCTCTGAGGCACTAATGTACCACCGCATCTTCCCCAACCCTCATGACCGTTTCTCATTGTCCGGAAACCTCGCCCGAATCTCCGAACGACGTGGATACCCCAAGCCCCGCCATAATTGGCCACTATGCTATTCCATCAACCCAAGACGGATCAAGCGCTGCCGAAGATCTACCATTCCCTTTTTCATTCGCTCTCGGTTCTTCGGCAGGGACCGCAAGAAGCGATGATTGCCCGAGGATCTGCCGTACGCATAGGAAGCGTAGGTTCTCGGTGTCAGATGATGCAAGTGGGGTGGAAGGCTAGAATAATGACATAGGACGTGAAACGGACGGGAGAGGACGGGATGGGCTTTTTGCATCGAGGACCCCGGTTAGTCAGCTGTTCGCACAGACCAGGGGCTAGCAGATCGTCGGCTAGCGACCCGCGTTTCGACCCACGTGCTGCAGGATGGACTTTTACATCACCTTTTTGCCCGTGGAACTTTCTACATTTCTTTGAATTTCTTCCCTTAGGTTCAACGCTATACCACTCTGCATAATTAATGTTAAGTCTCCAAATCTAGATCGCAAGATGAGCGCATCTAGGGTTGCTGAGGAGCTGAGCCGGAGGCATCCGTTACAGCGGCTGGAATCTCCGTCCAAAGGCTTCTCAGGCGTTGTGCATGTATGCAAAGGTCTCGATTTTAGCGAGACCGTATGCTGATCGATACGTACTAGGTGCTTGGTCTCATCAGCTTCTACAATTCCTTCAAATTGTACGATTGTCCTCTCTTCAAAGTCATCACGGTGTGAGCGAATGCTGATGTCATCAGTTTGTTCGACAACCCGAACGTTATCGTAAGTCGAAGATTTCCTAGTCTCTCAAAGGGTCTTCAGGAGTGCCGAACTCCTCCAGATAGGGCCTTTGGGGGCTATCTATGAGCCCTATGTCGAACGTATTGCCTCTGGCGAGCCTAAAGGACCTTGCTTCTCATAATCCCCTAAACTTACATAATCACCAACGCCTCTTCTACAGAACGACTCGTTCGGGTGGCATCTACAATATCTCACCATCCTCGGGATCTCCATCTCGACCGGATGTTTCATCTGTGGCCTCCTCGCCGACATTACCTCGTCACACATTCTCTTCACGCTTAAGAACTACCTCGCCCTCGTCGCCGCGCCCATAGAGATCGTGATCAGCATCCTCTACTGGGGTCTCCGCGCGGTAAGTCCCCCTCCAACACAACCCAATTCTGTCACAACATCAATCTAAACAAAACAGATCGACGAAACCCTCGTCATTCCCCCCGACCTCCCCAAGCCGCCACTAACCGCAGACTTAAACTTCCATCTCTGGCCATCCGTCCTCCTCTGCATAGACACACTGCTGCTCAGCCCACCCTGGCCTACAACTCCAGCCAACCCGCGCGCTTCCCTACTGTCCCTCGTAACTTCTACTGTTATCGCCTTCCTCTACTGGTTCTGGATCGAGCTGTGCTACTCACGTAATGGCTTCTACCCGTACCCTATTTTCGGCCTACTGGATACGAAACAGCGTGTGGGTTTGTTTGCTCTGAGCGGCGTCACGATGTGGGCGGTTGGCGCGGGACTGCGGTGGGTGTATGTTGCTGTTAACGGAATGGAAGAGGAGAGGGATGCGGAGGGGAGGAAAACGAAGAGAAAGATGACTGGGAAGGCGGAGTAAGACGTGTGTTGTTTGGGGCTGTAGTGATGATGCCCCGATACAGATGGTTAGAGGGCGCCATGTAGATTAGAATAACAAATGTGAGCCTTAGAATATAGATGGTGGATTGCATTGCATTCCAGGGCTTGGTTTGAGTCCTTTACCTGTTACCGAAAGCATATGCCGGAGAAGGCTGACCGCCATTTGCACCGATAGAAGGCACGCCCAAGCGCACTTCCTTCAAAAGAAATAGACTTTCCTGGCCCCACCCGCGAGATTGGCGTCGGATTCCATTGGCTGGATTTCTGTTCCGCTGTACCGGCATCCCTAGGTAAGACGACGTCGGGACTCTTACGAATACAAATACGAGTGCGCGATACTGAATTAGCAGAGAAAGCTAGGTGCTTATGCGGAGTCATAAAGGGGATCACGGGTACGGTGGCCTCTGATCACATTCTCTTCTACCGAAACACACCTGTATTAAGACATGCAGTTTGGAGAAGATCATACTGTACAAGCCCACCAGGATCTCACCAGCAACACATGCTCGCGAAAGAAACCGGTCGAAAAGAGCTTTCCCTCGCTCATACATGTGCGGCACTGAGAAGACCCACGGCAGTGTGCATCAGCTGAAATCCCACGCCCTGTCCCTTCATCGAACCGTCGTGCTCGTAATACATACTCATCCATATCGTATATCATTATGGTAAATCATGCTGAACCGTGCGTTGTAATAGAAGAAAAGCAGCCGTGCACATGAAGCCTCGCTCTCGCTCACTGAGGCTGAATCGTAAAAGCAAAAATGAAGCGAAAGACGACAGTTGGATATTATGCATCGCGGTATAGGGCCGCATCGGAAGTGAACGAGAGAGACAGAGGCGCTGATTGTGAGCCGAACCAGAAAAGTCTCTTTGTTGATTAAAGTTGATATTGTGTGTCGGTAGACATGGCTGCAGCAAGTCTAGCCGGTAGATGGCGAGGGCGGAGCCGTGATGGTACGATTGTCATCATCCTCCTGGTTCTGTTGCTGGTAGCTGTTGTTCATGTACAGGTGACTATTGTGGTACTGGAACCCGTGATGCTCCTGGCCGAGCCCGTAGGCATAAGCATGGTAGTGGTAGCCGGTCGGCTGGTGGTGGTGATGATGCTCATACGTCGGCTGATGAATCGCAGGAAGAATGTTCTCCTTATTCTCGTATTGAAAAGGCTCGTTGAGGGCTTTGTACGAAGGCAACGCAGGTGCCGGTGATGGCGAAGCTTGCTGGAATCCAGCCGTGAGGTAGTTGAAAGGTGCAGGCTGGGTAAACGAGACCTCTTCGTCCTGGAAGACGTCGAACGCTCGCTTTCGCTTGGGAGCCCGATCGCCGTAGCCATAACCAAAGTCGGAGCGGCTTCGGGTATCGTCGTACTGAGCACGCGTATGGTATGGAAAAGTCGGAGGCCGAGTAAGCTGGCGCGGCCGACGCGGGGCATTGGCATCCATGTCTGTTAGGACGGGTCGCGTCAATGCTTGTCTCGGGCTCTCTGTCTTGATGAAATCCTCTTCCTCGTCGTCGTAGACGGAGCTCGAGATCCTCCGCTGGCGTTTAAGTGACCCCTGTGGGGTAAAGATGAGCTCGGTAGGCTCGACATCCTGCGAATTGAGCTCCAGCTGCTCGACGACCGAGCTGTCTTTCTTCTGATTCCGCTTGCGTCGCATCTCTGGGGTTGCAGAGTCGAAGATGTCCATGCCTGGCCAGTAAATGCCCTTGAGCTTGGTGCTCTCGCTGACCGCCATGGGATCAGCTGTCGCTGCATCGGCAGGATCGTCCTCGATAGCACAGGAGTCCTCCACGGTGTGTCGGTACCGTCTCCGCTCGCTCGGATCGGAGTATTCGCTGGATGTCTCGTAGTCTGGGTTGGTGTAGCCGAGAGAGCTCGCGCGAGACTCCGTGGGCCAGTATTGCATGTGAGGGGCAAAAGGACGATGGCGTAGGACAGGCCCTGACTGAGGGGTGTGTGTGGGCGTGACTGCGTTCTCGACCTTGATCATCTGTTGTTGTTCAGACAGACGTGGATCGAGGAGGGCGCCAAAAGCAGCTCGAGGGCGAGCAGGACGCGGGGCTTCAAGCTTGGGTGCAGGCGTAGCTCGGGCTGCAGCAAGGTGAAGTCAGTAGCGGTCCCCGGCAAGGAGGTGGAGACCACCGTACCGGCTGGCCTTGCGCGAGACCGGCGTTTGTCCTTCTGGCTCATCCGCTCCGACATGAGCTCCTCGACGTTGCATTCGGAGTACCAACGATCGTACGACTCGATCAGTCGGCGAGAGGCCTCCTCATTGGTTGCCCGGACCTTGACCTTGTAGTAGTTGGAGAGGTGGCCTTTGCTGGCGACGTGGGTGAGCAGGTGAGATACATCGCTGAAGTTTGGGCGCTTGGGACAGATGTTGCAGTGCAGTGGAATGCTGTTGGCCGCCATCGCAGCACCGTAGTAGTGAAGGAGCGTGATGTTGGCCGAGCAAGGTGAAAGTGCTGTCCTTGCAGCGCGGTTGGTGGAAAAGAGGACAGAGTGAAAGGAGCGGACTGGTTGTTGAGTGGAAGGTGAAAAGAAGAGGCGGTGGAGAGCAGATCAGATAGAGGCGCCGAGTCACTTCCGCGACTCAAGCACCGTTGTTGATAGCTGCTCACGAAGGCAGGAAGTAGGCACAAAGGTACGCTTGTTATGAAGGAGGAAAGGATCACGCAGTGCGAAGAAAGAGAAGGATTTGTAGTTGGCAGTTTACTAAGGCCGCCCCACGTGGTAAAGCTTCCGCGTCGGCGAATGACCGGCAACACGTCGCTATTCTCTGGTTTTGTATCTCAAGCCTCATGGAGAGGAGGACAGAGTTATTAGATAGCCAGAGAGCCAGACGAGGCGTGAGCTGTGAGCTGTGAGCTGCCAGAGTGCACAGCGCCACAAGGGTGGTGAGATGCAGGGTCATAACAATGGCTGACATTCACTGTGGGCACCATTGCCAAGCCCCCGCTCTTCCCATTACCTCGTCCGTACACACCGTAATTACACCTGGGCAGGGCATGATATGGATTACGTCCTCAGATCTAAGGGCGGTTCATTACCTGGATAGCCGCTTTTTCCGGAAGCCCTCATTTCCCGAGGCACCGCCGCGTCACGGCCCGGGGCATACAACTACGGCGCGGTCAGCCTCTCTTCTCGACCCGCGACGAGTGACCTACTACACGGGGTCTACTTCTACAAGGCCGGGGTATTTCAGTAGACTCAGGCCTGCAATACCGAAGACGGTGTGGAAGACATCTACCATGTCGCCGGGTCGGTCTGCGAGACCTCCCAGTTCGGGATCCTGTGCCAATTAGATAAGTCTACCATACGACGCGAACCACCATCGCTCACCTGGCACTGGAGGATGAACTTGGTCAATTTCTCGCCGTCTATCCAGTGCAGCTTGTTCAGCATGGCCATACTGCTCATGACCCACCAGCTGTAGCAGACATCCTCTTTCTTCTCAGGCCTTCCGTTAAGTCCACCGTTCTTGAGCTGGCGCTCGCTGAGCCACGCACCCAGCTTCTCCTGATTCACGAGGTCAAGTCTGCCCGCGATGGTCAGGGCCGCGACGCACGTGAACACCTGTCCAGAGTGAGACTCGGCGCCCGGACTGGTGCCATAGGCGCCATCGAAGTTTGCACACGACTGGATGTGCTGGACTGCTTTCTCGATGTCGACCAAATGCAGGAGGCCCATGAGGGAGAGGGCATTGAGCGCCCCGTACAAGAAGCGCGTGTCTTGCTCTCCCCACTCGTCACCGGCGAAGGTGCCGGTGTCGGGATCCTGCAGATTTGCGATGTCTGGTTCTATAAGCATAGTGATATCAAAAGCTGCTCTGAAACCAAACGTACACTGGCCAATCTTCTGGCGACCCCCCTTCATGCGCTCTTCAAGCTCGTCAAAGGCATCAAGCGTCGCCAGAATTTGCACGCCGCTGACGGTGTACAGCATGTGCGCATCGTGGCCCGGCGCAGCGCCGAAGCCGCCGTCCTCATGCAAGCACGAAAAGACGAATGCCAGAACTCCTTCACGTGCAAGGGCGTCTGGATGCCCCAGCAGATGCAGTGCCGTAAGGCCCCAGTAGAGGCCGTTCAGGCGCAGATGCTCGGTGAGCCAGTACTCCAGCTCGTCTTTGCGCTGTGTCTGTCAGCGCAGTCCTACGGTGCGCATATGCAGACGACGCGCAGGATCAGGCAGACGCACGGTGTCCAGACTCTGGATATAGCGGACGTGCCTGTCGACATACAGCTGCATTTCAGCGGGCATGGCGGTCATGCCCCGGCCGGGCCCAGACACGAGGGACATTGTGCTGGCGAACGGGTTGGGTGGGCGTGTTCGGTGAGGACGGGGAAAGAGCACGCATAGCGGACTGCGTTTCGGCGCCGGCTCTTGGGCGAGGGCTTGACCCGGCAGTGGCCGGGGCCTGAAACGATCTTCACGGGAGCTTGGCGGCGCCTCCGCCGATTGCGACTCCTCGCTCACGCAGCGTTGCAGACTCCAGGGCAGCCGCCGCCGCCCCCTGACCCCGAGACTCCCGCTGCATGCGCCTGCAATCTGGCTGCAATCGCTGTTGCCGGTGCTGCAGACATTACATTGTTGTATCGAGCACTGGATGGCGCGCAGCCAGAACCACAGGCACAACGGCCCGCAGGCAGTTCGCATCTCCTACCTAGGCACTGCGTAGTCGCGCGTCCCTGAGCGTTTGCCCACCGCCTTGCTGCCCTGGGCCCGAGCGTCGGCGGATACTCACACGTCGCTCCTGCCGCCGCTCTCCCTCGCCGTCCCGCAGGCCACGGTATGGGCTCGCGCTGACTTTTGCTACGGCGTACGCTTCCCCGCTCCATTTATTTTTCCAGTCACCGCTCTGCGCCCATTCACGCCTCGCGCGCCCCTCGCCGCGGCCTATACCACGCCTTTGCTCTTTCGCACGGCGGAGACCAGGGCCTGTAAACAAGCCCGCACCATCTTCAGCCCCGAACTAGCTCCCCCAGGAGTCGAGCACCCAGCTATTGAAGCCGCCTGCACCGCTCCCTGTGAACTTGCCACTACGACAGGACGACGCCTCTTTGTCTGCCCCCGAATTCAGACGGCCCTCCCTTGTTCAGGCACCGCTGGTGAGTGTTGCTCGACGGCAGCGTTGAGACTGGGCCCCTCCTTCTTTGTTTCAATATCGTGGCAGATCCAATGTTGTACAACAGATCGGCTATTGCAGTCCTTTCACCTACCGCAACGAGGCTGACAGTGTCGAGCGAGCAGACCGGGGCTTCGTCCGCCGTCCTCCACGTCGCCGTCGAAAATAATCGCATTCTGAGTCGACCACACCGCGGGGCGTATAGCTAAGGCAGTTACGGGTTGCACGAGCGCCGTGTCCGGTCCGGCGAGCGGGTTCCTGCAGGCTCGCTGCTCCTTGCTCTACTTGGGGCATCACGCTCGACTCCTCGCAGAGCACGCATTGGTGCACTCCTGCAGACGCTGCTGCGAAGGGAACGACTCCACTTCAGCAGGGTTACCACGGTTCGTACTACTACCTTTCCCAGCGCCTTCTAATACTCCACATCTTGGTACCAGCGCCCCATATGCCGACCACGCTGACAACCATGAGCAAACACAGTCTCCAAAACCGCGCATATACGCTCGATTGCTCTCCCAGACAAGGCCCGCCCTATGTGCCCACCCCCATAAAGCCATCGCCCCTGCCTCCGACGTACCGCTCTCCCACCCCTGCCGAATATTCCCTGGCCTGTCCTCAAATCGAGGCGCTGTTGCTGAACACAATCACCGAGGTATTTCGCCCACTGCTGGCAGAAGCCTGAGACGCAGAAGGAAGACGGTCGTGTGCTTCATGGTGCAGCTGTGCTAAGAGATCACTAGCCCCGGGAGCCGCCGAGGAAACCTCTAAGGAAGATGCCCAAGTCATCTTCTCTGTCACTGGCCATGCGCTCAAAAGGGGGAAGGGAGAACGTGGGCTCGCCGTTGAGCCCACGAAGCCCTGGTTCGCCCAATCCAATCAATGGGAGCGACCCGGATGCTACAACCCCGACTGCCCCGTTTCATGATATGCCCCAGTCACCGGCATCGCCTAAACCCCGCAAAGATTCCAAGAATATATTCTCCAACTTCTCCGCGACGAAGTCCTCCTCGCGGATAACAAATCCGGAAAACTCTCTCCGACAGGTACATCATCAGGAGGTGCCCACAGCACTCTACGCTAATGGCCGCGGGGGGTCAACGCCGGAGTTGAACCGAACGGTCCTAACTCCTACTTCTGACGGTAGGACCGCATCGTCTTCATCTGAACATGCCTGGCTAACCAGTGCAGATAATCGGTCTGATGTGACAAGTTCTGAGCAGCGGAGTGGATCCGGCAGATCTACCGAGACTTCGGATCACGCATTCGACAACAACGCGAAACGCGGTGGCTCGAAACCGAAGAAGGCCGGCATGCTCGGGCGGTCGAAGTCAATCAAGCTCGAGGAGGGCCCGGGCACCCTCGCTAAGCTTAACAAAGCTCAACCTGCCCAACTTTCCCCCGATCCGACCGCAACATGGAGCCATAACGGCGAAGCAGTGCCGCTGAAAACTGCTCCGTTGGAGAAGGACAAGTCCTGGCGTCAGAATATCGCATTTGGAAAGCTGCGTACGCATTCAGCGGACCGTCACGATGGGTCTCAGCATGCCCAACGCGTCGACGACGATAACGCCTCGCGCAAGGATAAGGCCGAGCAGAGCTCGCTTGCATCGGGCTCTTACAACGAAAGCCGCGGTGCTCAGCTGATGTCTAACATTGGATTTGGGGCACGGAAGATGGGAGAGAAGATTGATTCGGCCCGGAAAGGCATGTTTGGAAAGTTGGGACGCAGCTCCAGCAATCACGAGAGGGAACTACAAATCCCCAAAGAGGCATATCAGTTCAAAATCATCCACACACCGCTCGTCGAACAGACAAGGCTTACAAGGATATCGAGCCGGTTGGAGAATTCCAAGGACAAGACTGAATTTTGGATGCCGGCACTTCCTTGGCGCTGCATAGAGTACGTTGCCAGTATTCCTTTAGGGCGAACGGGGAGCTAACAGGTTCTCACAGCTACCTAAACATGAAGGGTTGTGAAGAGGAAGGTCTCTATCGCGTTCCCGGCGCCGCCCATCAGATCAGATATTACGAACAGAAATTCGACCAGGGTATGCTTTCATTGTGCCTACATTGAAGGCGCAGCTAACGTGCATAGACCGCGACATCGACCTGATTGCAGACGAGGATCTCAATGATCCCAATGTCATCGGCTCGTTGTTCAAGAATTGGTTACGACAACTCCCAGACGAGATCTTCCCGAAGGCCACTCAAGCACGGATCCAACAAGAATGTGCGGGCGCCAAGACGACCCCCCAGATGTTGAAAGATGAGCTATCCAAGCTTCCGCCTTTCAACTATTACCTCCTGTTCGCTATCACTTGCCACATTAGCCTGCTGCATTCTTGTTCAGAGTTCAACAAGATGAACTACAACAATCTGTGCATATGCTTCCAGCCGGCTATAAAGATCGATGCATTCTGTTTCCAGTTCCTCATATTGGACTGGCGCAATTGTTGGCAAGGCTGCTGGACTGAGAAGGAGTACTTGGTTGAGGAGGTGAAGTTACTGGAAGCCCACGAAGCCCAAACAAAACCCCAGCCTGCTCCATCGCGTAATGGCCACAGCTCCGGGAAGAATAAAGGCTCACATTCGTCCGGACATCTAGGAGAAGCCCTCAAATCCTCTTCGGCGCGAAGCAACTCCGCAGACCGTATCAAGTCCTCCACGCGGGGCGTCTCGTCAGACAGGAGCATGGTCTCGGGCCGCGCTACTCCACCCAACTCGTCTCTCCTTGCTTCCGAGAAATCGAGTAGCTCCAAGCGCGGGGCCCCCAGCGAACGCGACTCTTCCACGGACCGGGCGATCTCTTCGTCGGATAGTCGAGAAGCGTTCAATGCCCGCGCGACTCCCAAGCGCGCACCGCCTACTGTGAACGCCGAGCTAGTGGATGATGAGGACAACAGCGCAACCCCTACTCAGGCCCAGCATAGCCGGGGCCCGTCCGAGAACCAATTTCGACTGGATCTGAGTAATCCGCCCAGCTCTCCCTTCTCGATAAAATTTTAATGCCCGGTAATGGACGTCGACGACGGCAGGATCTTTTGCATGAATTGGGATAATAAAAGGGGGTTTGGATTTTGTCTTTGCACTTTTGCATGTTCTGTTCTTATCTGGCTGCCACGACGTCGCGATACCCATCCTTCGATCCTCTTTTGGGCTCGTGGTAGCACCTGTAGTCGTTTGATCAGTTAGCCTCAGCGGTGGAGTTTGGCTGCGCATCTGCACGGTCTTGCATGTTATTGCATTGGGTATCATGCTTATGGTTTATGGCTTGAATAGTGCACTAGCGCTGGCGGTTGGAAAGGGGAGAGGCTTGTACGATAGCAGGATGGAGATGCATTCCGCAGTGTACCGGTGTGCGTGCTTGACAAGCGTGCGTTAGTGGTGCATGCGAGTGCGGAACCATGGCAGTTGACCGCTGAGGCGGGCAGAAGCGACATCTTGGCAATTTATGACGTAGTTTAGGCGGTACCTGACTGACTTCGCGCCCCTCCGCGCCTGCTCTCCGCCGCCGATCCTGCCTCCAGAGGTGCAGCACGAGAGCTTCTTCATTGAGCCTCAACTCTGACAGCGAGCGGGCAATCGCGCCCTCACTCCTTCCGCCGGCCTCTCCGGGATTGTTTATGACCTCGATCAATCCGCCGTCCTCTTCGGCTCTCCTCCACACACCCTCACATCCTACGCACCACCGCTAGGCTTATTCATATTCCGCCACAACCTATTGCACGCGTTACCATTGTTTACGAGCCAGCCCACCGCATCAACTCAGCCACTCTCCGCCAAACCGCACACACATCGCCATGTCGCCGAGAGAGCGAACGCAGGACTGCTACCTGCTGCCATTGACCGACAAGGGTGCTCCGGACGTCGCAGGGCAATACATCTACTTGCCCCCACCAACAGACCCCTCCTATCTCGTCTGCTTTCAGATCGAGGGTACCAGCTCAATATGTCGGCACGGCAGCCTCTGGGTCAACGTCCCCGCGAAGGGTGAGAAGTTCACGCGCGACCGCTACCGCGAGTACAAGTAAGCAATTGCCATCTCATCCCAGGCCTCAGCGCGCACACTGACACCCCGCTACAGGCTCAAGCCAGACTTCAATGGCATCTGCGAGATCAAGATCCCCATCCATGAGGCCAATGCCTACTCCTTTTACACGACCTACACGCCGCTGCCGAAATGGTCCTTCACCGACATCGCCGAGCCGACACCCACGCGAACGGAAAAATACTTCTTCGATGTCTGCCCGCGGCTCACGCTGCAGGGCCAGCAGATGCCCGTCGAGTCGATCATCGTCTTCTCTGTCCTGTCAAAGTTCATGGGCAAGTACCCCCACGACTGGGACAACCACCTGCGCGGCATCAGCCAGAGGGGCTACAACATGGTGCACTTCACGCCGCTGATGATCCGTGGTGCCTCCAACTCACCCTACAGCATATACGACCAGCTGCAATTCGACAAAACCGATTTTCCCAATGGCGAGAAGGACGTTGCCCGCCTCGTCAAGAAGATGGAGCAGGAATTCAATATGCTGGCCATGACCGACGTAGTGTGGAACCACACTGCTCACAACAGCAAATGGCTGGAGGCGCACCCCGAGGCCGGCTACAACGTCGATACTGCGCCGTGGCTGCGGCCTGCCCTCGTGCTCGACACCGCCCTTCTCAAGTTCAGCCGTGAGCTCAAGGTGTTTGGGCTGCCAACCAAATTCAGCTCCGTGGACGATCTCTTAAGGGTCATGGATGGCGTTAAGACCCACGTTCTCGGCGCATGCAAGCTTTGGGAGTTCTACGTCGTCGACATCGAACGAGACACAAACGCCGTCGTTGATGCCTGGGTTTCCGGCGAGGCCACATTCCCTGATGGCAGCTTTAGTGATGCTGGCCTCCGGGGTCTCGACGCTGTCAAAGAGTGGACTTTGAAGCAGAAGGCAGAATGGATAGTTGACCACGCCCTTCGTGGCGGTGACAGGTTGGGCGAGCGATTCCGTCGCCGCGTGGATCCCGCGATCGGTGCCGGTTTTCTTTGCGCCCTGTTTGGCCGATTCGATACCCGCACTAGCAGTACTCCAGACCGGAGAGCAGCACATGGTGCCATCTACCGGATCCTGGAAGACGTCAATCTCCACTTCTACCGCGAGTACGATCTTGATGCAGCGGAGATCATGGAACAGCTTTTCAACCGCATCAAGTATTGCCGCTTGGACGACCACGGTCCTAAGATGGGTGAAATCACGGAGTCCAGCGCGCTCATTGAACCGTATTTCACGCGACTGCCCCTCAACGAGACGACAAAGAAGCACAATCCTGAAGCGCTCGCACTAGTCAACAACGGCTGGGTTTGGGCCGCGGATGCAATGAAGGACAATGCTGGACCAAATTCCCGCGCATATCTAAGGCGAGAAGTCATCGTTTGGGGCGATTGCGTGAAGCTCCGTTATGGGAGCGGACCGCAAGACAACCCCTTCCTTTGGGACCACATGGCTAAGTACACGCGATTGATGGCTAAATACTTCCACGGTTTTCGAATCGACAACTGCCATTCCACGCCAATCCATCTCGCCGAGTATATGCTCGACCAGGCTCGCACAGTCAATCCGAATATGTTTGTCTGCGCTGAGTTGTTTTCTGGTTCAGAAGACATGGACTTCAAATTCGTCAAGCAGCTCGGCATCAGCGCTCTCATCCGGGAATGCATGCAGGCGTGGAGCACGCAAGAGCTGAGCAGACTCGTACATCGCCACGGCGGAGTACCCATTGGCAGCTTCGACACGGATGAGGTCCTGAACGCCGACCCGTCGATGTCCAGCACTTCGAGCGATGGGACCCGTCTGATCATGAAGAAGATAAAGCGCAGCCCTGTTCATGCCCTCTTCATGGACTGTACTCATGACAATGAAACGCCAGCGCAGAAGCGGGATGCACGCGACACGCTTCCCAGCGCTGCTCTCGTCGCGATGTGCTCGTGTGCCACTGGCAGCGTCTTCGGATTCGATGAGGTATATCCCGAACTCATCGAGCTTGTCCACGAAAAGAGGCTCTACTCATCAGTCAACTCCACCGGTGGGCCTATCAAGGCTCAGACTGGCGAAGGCGGCATTGGAGGTATCAGGAAGATCCTCAACCAGATCCACGTCGAAATGGGCAAGAAGGAGTACAATGAGACGTACATCCATCACGATCGCGAGTACATTACTGTCCATCGTGTCAATCCTCACACCCGAAAAGGATACTTCCTGATTGCCCACACCGCGTTCCCCGGCTACGGTAACGGGAATGGGGGCTTCGGTCCGACCAAGCTGCCTGGGACTAAGGCCAAGCTCATCGGCAGCTGGAATCTCGAAGTGGACAACAGCTCAGAGACGAGATCTGCTACAATCGGCGACAAGAAGATTCTGCGGGGGCTACCCAGTCAAACCAAGGAGCTGAGAGGGGTGATGATCGACTCCCTCGGCGATGACACTACCATCAACATTCCCGACAAGTTTCCTCCGGGTAGCGTTGCGCTCTTCGAGACTTGGGTACCAAGTGCGGAGCACAGTGAAGGCTTGGACAAGTTTGTCACCAGTGGGGCCCGAGCAGCCTTCCGAGAAGTCAATCTCTCAGATCTCAACTACATACTCTACCGTTGCGACGGCGAGGAACGAGATGCCTCCGACAACAGAGATGGAACGTACAATGTACCTGGGCACGGCAATCTGGTGTATGCCGGTCTACAAGGTTGGTGGAGTGTACTCCGAGACATCGTCAACGACAACAACCTTGGCCATCCACTGTGCAACCATCTTCGCGAGGGGCAGTGGGCTCTCGATTACTGCGTCGGGCGGCTAGAACGCATCTCCGAGAAGAAGAAGTTTCACAGGATCCGCGGCCCAGCCAGGTGGCTCAAGGAACGCTTCGACGCCATTCGCAAGGTTCCGAGCTTCCTTCTTCCACGCTACTTTGCCATGGTAATCCAGACAGCATACAACGCCGCCGTTGACCGGGCCACTGAGCTCATGGGCGAGAATATTCGCAACGGACAGACATTCCTCCGTAGCCTATCCCTCGTCAGCGTCCAGGTTACAGGATACATGAATAACGCTTCGCTTTGGCCCGACAAGAGCGTTCCAAGCATGGCCGCTGGCTTACCACACTTTGCCTCCGATTGGGCCCGATGCTGGGGTCGTGATATCTGCATATCTGCACGCGGTCTTTACATGGGCACCGGCCGATATGCTGACGCAAGAGAACATATCTTGGCGTTTGCGAGCGTCTTGAAGCACGGCATGATCCCCAACTTGCTGAGCGGCGGCAGACTTCCTCGCTACAACTCCAGGGACTCCATCTGGTGGTTTCTCCAGAACATCCAGGATTATACCAAAATTGTTCCGGATGGCCTAGACCTGCTACAAGAGAAGGCAAAACGTCGTTTTCTCCCGTACGATGACACATGGTTCCCCCACACCGATAAGAGAGCCTATTCCAAATCATCAACGATTGAGGATGTCATCCAGGAGGCACTGCAGCGGCATGCTACAGGAATAGACTTCCGCGAGTACGATGCTGGGCCCAACATTGACAGTCAGATGAAACCGGAGGGTTTTGACATCAAGATCTGGACTGACTGGGACACTGGCCTCATATTTGGTGGCAATCAGTGGAACTGCGGTACTTGGATGGACAAGATGGGCGAGAGCGAGAAGGCCGGCAACAAAGGTGTCCCTGGTACACCCCGTGACGGCGCTCCAGTAGAAATGATTGGGCTGTTGTACAGCTGCCTTCGCTGGGTGGCTCAGCTGCACGAAGAAGGCAATTATAAGTACGAAGGCGTCACCCTCGATGGCGGCAAGAAGGCCATCTCTTTCAAGGCTTGGGCAGACAAGATTAAATCCAACTTTGAGCGCACCTTCTATATCCCGCGAACTCCACAGGAAGACGCCAACTACGATGTCAATCCGAAGGTCATCAACCGTCGTGGCATATACAAGGATCTCTACCGGTCCGGAAAAGAGTATGAAGACTACCAGTTGCGACCGAATTTCCCTGTGGCTATGGCCGTTGCACCCGATCTGTTCGATGACGAACATGCCCTTTACGCGCTGCAGATGGCGGACAGGATTCTGCTCGGACCTCAGGGCATGAAGACACTGGACCCCTCGGACTACAACTATCGTCCGTACTACATCAACAGTGAGGATTCAACGGACTTCCACACATCCAAAGGCCGGAACTACCACCAGGGTCCTGAGTGGGTGTGGCCAACGGGGTACTTCCTCCGCGCTCTCCTCAAGTTCGACCTGAAACGGCGAAAGACGCCGGAGGAGCGGATCGAGAGCTACCAGCAGATCACACGCCGGATGGCTGGATGCATGAAGGCTATTCGGGAGAGTCCATGGGCAGGCTTGACGGAGCTTACCCAGAAGGACGGCGAATTCTGTGGCGATTCGTGTCCGACGCAGGCATGGTCAGCTAGCTGCATGATCGATGTCTTCCAGGATGCGCGTGAGTATGAGCTTGAGCTTGCCGAGCAGTAGTAACCTTACTTGGGTTCATGGTGATACCTTGGTAGGCTTCACTTGGAGTTGTGTGGAAAGCCTTTGTTGAGGCGGGTGGTTTGCGGTGGGTTGGCTTGTTTGGACGCGCATTAAATTGCATCGCAAACTTTTCGTAGATACCTAAACCAAGTATAATAGACGCCTTTCTTCCTATTTGATGCCCTTCCACACACTGCTGTTCTGGCTCTGAAGTCAATGTTGAGCGCACGGCCTGCGTCACAGGATCTCGCGTCTTAGCGCGCTTTCCAAAGCTTATTATCTGTTCTCCGAAACCCCAGTTCCACAATTCCGGGACAGGATCCCTGCTCCTGCTCCTGATCTCCTCCACTATCTTCACTACTCAACAACGAGACACGGCAAGAATGGCGCCGCACAAGCGACGGGCCTACGAGGTCATCGACCTTACAAGCAGTGACGAGGATTTTCCCTCTCAAGCCTTCTCCTACCCCTCCTCATCTCAGCGCTACGCAGACTCGCATCCTTCGTCATCGCAATCGCAGCGCGCCCCCAAGCAGCCGCGTACGGGTTCTAACGCGCATCCTTCGCGGACGAACTCCGCATCTTCGCAATTTGAGCCTCTGGTGATTGGTGAAGAAGAAGAGGACGAGGACGCATCACAGGAGATGCCAGATGCGACGCAAGCCTTCAATGAGGTCGAAACCTATGTTCTGTACGGCGAGAAGGAGGACAGAATTGTCGGTTGTCGATTTTACAATGGATATGCCACCGTCGGCGAAATGGTGATGGTTAGAAGGGAGCCCCACAACCAATATGACAGTGAGTGCACGCGGTGATGCGTCGGACGCGTATACATTGACGCGATGGTTCAGGCAATGCAATCCAGATCCTCAACGTAGAGGGCGAGCAAATCGGGCACATCCCACGAGTACTCGCGGCAAAGTTGGCTAGGTATATGGATAGCCGCAGCCTCATCGTCGAGGGCATCATCTCTGGTCAGAAAGGCTACTATGAATGTCCTATCCGTCTGAGATTCTACGGCACGGCTGACCCGGTAGCGCGCGAGACCCTCGTCAACCGGATGAGGGCCGATAAACTGCCTGTCACAGGGGCGACAGCGCAGAGAAGGGAGGAAGAAAGAAGGCAGAAGGAAGAACAGAGGAGGCAGAAGGTCGCTGCACAAGCTGCCAAACGGGCTAAGAAGAAAGGCGCTGCCGTCGTGGCCATCGCTAATGAACAGTACTATGAGAATGGCCTAGCGGAGTTTGCGGCTGGATCTTCCCAGGGAGCCGCCGATCCTGCACACCCTGAACGCTCGTGGGAAGACATCGTTGGGGCCAGTGAGCGCTTCAATCCGCGAAATTTTGAGCAATACACGGAGGAGTTTGGAATCAAGGAAGGAGATTTGGTCAGTTTGCTGACACCTCTTTGAGGAGTCGTCTAACTTTTATAGGCTGCAATGCCGAAAGCTGCCCAACCGAAAGCTCTCCTTACAGAGCTCCACGACTTCCAGCTGCAAGGTCTCCAGTGGTTGCTCGAGAAGGAGAGCCCTCAACTTCCTGCTGCTGGCACGAAGGACATCGTTCAGCTTTGGCAGCGTCACCCGACTATGCACAACGCCTTCACGAACTTAGCTACAAATTTCTCTGTCACGAATCCCGCTCTTGCTAGTGGAGGCATCCTTGCGGATGATATGGGGCTCGGAAAGACGATTCAAGTCATCTCCCTTATCATGGCTGACCGGGAGCTTAAGCGCCGCGCGCCTGACGCATGTGACGCCACTCTGATCCTCGCTCCGGTGAGCGTAATGAGCAATTGGAGCACTCAGATCAAGAAGCATATCAAAGAAGAGCATGCCTTGCGTGTCATGTTCTACCATGGCACCCGAAAACAGCCCATTACCCCTAACCAGATTAAGAACTACGATGTGGTCATCAGTACCTACGAGAGCGTCTCTTCTGAATGGCATTCGCAAAAGTCGATGAAGCTGCCACGGCAGTCGGGAGTGTTTTCAATCAAGTGGCGCCGGGTAATCTTGGACGAAGGTGAGCATTAGATTTGGACGAATTTATGACAAGTTGCACTGATATCATACAGGCCACAACATTCGAAACCCAAAGGCGAAGAAGTCCGTCGCCGTGACGAATATCATGGCCCAGTCTAGATGGGCTCTGACTGGCACTCCCATCATCAATAACCTCAAGGATCTGTACAGTATCGTTAGATTCCTTCGCCTCTCCGGCGGTCTCGATACGCTCGAGATCTTCCATGGCGCAATTATGCGGCCAGTCTTCCACGGTGATTCTCGTGGGAGTAAGTCCTTGCAGCTTCTCATGGCCGGCATTTGTCTACGCCGCAAAAAGGAGATGTCCTTCATCGACCTGCGTCTCCCGGAGCTCTCGGAGTACGTACACAAGGTCACACTCCTCCCACACGAGCAGGAGAAGTACGACGCGCTAGACGCCCAGGCGAAGGGAACACTTGATCTCTATCGCAACAAGATGGGTGGCAGAAATGCATCCGACACGTATCGTCACCTGCTCGAAGTTCTCCTTCGTATGCGCCAGCTCTGCAACCACTGGAAGCTTGTTGGCGAGGAGCGTCTAGATGCCATTATGAAGCAACTAGAAGCTGAAGGCGTCGTCGACCTCACTGAGGAGAACAAAGCGGCCCTTCAGAAGCTGCTCCAGTTGTCCATCGACTCGCAGGAAGACTGCCCGGTCTGCATCGATGTCCTCAAGGAACCAGTCATCACCAAATGCGCCCATGTTTTCTGCACGGCCTGCATCGAGCGCATTATCGAGATTCAGCACAAGTGCCCCATGTGCCGTGCAGAACTCGATTCCCTCGCCACCACAACAGTCAAGCCCGCAAAGGAGACCGCCGCCCCGCCGCCTCCTACGCAAGAGCAAATCGCGGACAACCAGTCCCTAGAGACAGAAACGTCCAGCAAAGTTTCCGCCCTGCTCTCCATCCTTAGTGCCTCTGCGAAAGATCCTACGAACAAAACAATCATCTTCAGCCAGTGGACCAGATTTCTTGACGTCTTACAACCACACCTCTCCGCCGGCGGCTTCACGTACACGCGCATCGACGGCAGCATGTCCGCCGTACAGCGCGACGCCGCTCTGGAAGCCTTCGACACCTCCTCTACAACCACCATCCTACTCGCCTCACTCTCCGTATGCTCCGTCGGTCTTAACCTCGTTGCAGCCAACCAGGTCATTCTCTCCGATTCGTGGTGGGCACCGGCAATCGAAGACCAGGCGGTTGATCGCGTGCATCGCCTCGGACAGAAACGCGAGACGACGGTTTTTAGGCTAGTAGTGGAAGGTAGTATTGAGGAGAGGGTGTTGGGCATTCAAGAGGACAAGAGAAAACTAATGGGGCTTGCGTTCGCAGAGAAGGAGAGCGGGAAGAAGAAGAGAAGGGGCGCGGCAGGGCTTGCGGAGCTGGAGAGGTTGCTGGGTGGGAGAGGTCAGGCTGTGCAGACGACGAACGGTCAGGCAAATGGGCGCAATGCGGGCCGCTCAGGCTAGACGAAGTAGACGGCTTGCGGAGGTTTTCGTTGACTGATGTTTTGACCATATGCTGTGGTATATACGGTGACGACGAGATCTCCTTCCCTCTATCGGAGTTTAGAGGATATCTTCTAGCTGCGAGGCTATGTGCAGGGGTATATGGAGTTCAATGACAATATGGATATCAACGCAATGACTAGAACTCATCCCTTCCCTTTCTCCCTTATGACAAGCTCTATCGGCACATTCAAGCCCACACACTTCCCCAGCGACCCTATCCACAGCAGCAGATACTCCTCCGCCGTGACGTCTCTTCCGGCAGCACTAGCTTCCATCACCGCCGCAGTTTGACAAGGATGGACAAAGAACTCCGGCGAATTCGTAATGGGATGATCCTGTCTCCTGTTAGCCTGGCTGCATGCCCTTCGCATAGAGTAGATTTACCGTGATTGTAATGCCGCCCAGCACGCCCACGTCCTTGGTCTGCGACTGAAAAACCGGAGGAATAATATGCCGATACAGCGTATCCATAGTCGGCGGATACCGATGCAGCGTGTCTTTGATGCTGACATACAGCGCAGGTACGCGATATGTGGGCGAAAGAAGGATGTCGTACTGGACAACCGCTTGGGCTGTTGGGAATGGAGCCTGGAGTGCTTCGTCGTCGTTTTCTTCTTCCATTTCGGGCACTTCTGAAACCGCAGTTGTAGATGGAGAAGGGAGGGGTCTGGTTATCCGAAGGTACTTCGACTCATGTTGGTGAATGAGCTCAGCGGATATCCAGTCGTGTTGGAGATGGCTGTGCTGGTTGAAGCTATGGAGGAGAGAAGTGCATGCTGATTCGAATTCTGGCGTCGAGAGGTGAGGGAAGGAGGATAGTTTGGAGGTCATGGGTAGACAGGAGCCTAGCGAGCTTTAAGGGTTGATGCAGGTTGGTTTAGCTAATGTATAAGGCGTTGAAGAACTCTAGGATAGGTAGTGCACAGGGTCCTGGATCAACGGACGTGCGAAAGAGGCTAAGAGTGTATAGGGGAGCCTAGAGTCCTTCAACGCGCAATGCTAAATACTTCTGCCCGTCATAAACCTCCCTTAAAGTACTTCAGGGTTGGTAATGAGCAAGAAGTAGAGCGAATTTCGAGTGGTATGTGGAAAGCGTACCCTAGAGCGCTTCAACGGATTATGTAATGTCTGGTCTTGACAAATACCACGTGCTTACGCGATGTGGGTGGTCAATGCGCACATGCGTCAATAAATCGCCAGCAGCTTCAATTTTGTGACCGCATTGCACAACACAGCCGTCACCATGGTGCAAGAGGGGTCCGGGGGCAGCTCTCATGAGCTTGTGGTTACCGCCGCCACTGAACAGCAGTCACAGACTGCTTTTGATACCGTCACTACCCGCGCCGCCGTCGCTGCGCAAGATCATTTCTCCAAGGTCCCCACAGAGATCAAGGACCGCATCTTCGCGTGCCTGGACGCGGACGATGACCTGCACAGCCTCTGCCTCACGTCCAGGGCCTGCAGGGAGAGCGCCGCCCCTCTACTGAACAGTTTCTGCGACACAACGGCTTATGCTAATAGATCTGGACGGGTCGACTATAAGCCATATCTGACCAAGTTGGCTTCTTATCCGCGTCTAGGCAAGTATGTACGCCATGCAGCGCTTGGCCCGTCGATCCGCCGCCGATTCTCTTGTACCGAGGTATTTCTTTCGCTTTCTTATTTCAGCAATATCAAGAGCCTCTTTCTCAAGCGCGTCAACGGACCAGCTTTCGTGGACACTCTTACTTTCAAAGAGCGCTTCACCTGCCTCTCGACTCTGATTTGCAAAGCAAACCCGAGTAGAGTTTGGTATCTCTCCAACATTGGTGCACTGCTTACGGTACCCACGCTGCGCAACCTAATCCTGGAAGGGTGCCATGAGCCTCAACGCGCGTGGGCCACAAGAAGATCGCCCTTATCCGGAACACCCCTCGGCCTGCGGCTCGTTCAACTCAGAAGTACAGACATTAGCGTCCGATCTCTGGGGGAGCTCATTGAAGCCTGCGGACAACTTGAAGTCTTCGTTCTGCACAACTTCAACGCCGCCTATCTGGAACACTTAGAAGGAAGACTCCCGAAATCCATCGGACGTCGCAAAGACTCCTTACGATTCTTGCGACTAACAACGTCGGATGCGTGTCCCGTGGAATCCTGGGAGTCGCTCAAGGAGTTTTCCCGCCTTCAGTTCCTCGAAATGAGCTATCAATTTCTCTACGGCATTCTCGAACGTCTGGACACCTGGTACATCGCACATATCCTGCCGCCTTCTCTGGAAGGACTGAGCATTTCCCAGATCGAAGAATCCGATATCGAGGACTCCGATCTCGACGAACTGCTCGCGAGATTGGGTGAAGCACGGGACCAGTACTGTCCGAGACTCGTCGATATCTACTTGTCCGTTCGGAAGCCATACATGATCGATCGCATCGATCGTTGGAATGAGGTCCGCAAGCTCCACGAGCCCAAGTTCAACATCCATACCTTCTGCATCGGCAGTCGCAGGCCCTTCCATGAGTGGGTGGCTGCTCGCTATGGGGGCTTTCGTGAGCTCGATGAGGCATATTGGCGATACTTTGACGAGGGATACTGAGCGGAAATTCTCCCGGCGGAGGTTTCGCAGGACGAATTGAGGGCAGGTAAGTAGATGCGCAGTGGGAGGACGGCGTTGAGGCTCTCTGTTAAGGAGTTGGATATCACGATACCCACTGGGCTGGTCTACGACGTTCTGACTTCGGGGCACTTCCTCTGTTTCTCACCATCCGGCTAGGCTCTGATTGCCTTCCGGATGATGTATCCCACCCAATCCTTTCAATCACTTCGACCCTGTACAATAGCTATGGCGTCCCCCGATACGCTACACATATTTCATGGTCCATAATCCATCCAAAGTCACGCACGACATCACTCGCGGACGCTACAAAAATGCATGATCCGTAATCCACTCGAAAGTCGCGCTCGATCTCACAACTGTTGCCGTCTAACAAAGCGTCACAAGGCGCCGCCACGTTCTCTTCCCGCAGCAACTTGCCGAAGCTTAGCGCGTACCCGCCGCTTCCCCATTGGCTCGCGTCCCCGCGCCCTCCCCGCACCAAGCTCGAACCCGTTTCTTGGGGCACGTCAACGGCTCCATGACGTCCACGCATCAGCATTCGCGCTCCACCGCGCATCGCAGCGCATCGCACACGGCACGCGAAGCGATGACGGAAACGGCTTGGGTTTGGCCATCCCGTCCAGCGCGCGGGACAAAGCAGCTGGCCAGTTCGTAGATGCTTGGTAAGAAGTGATGGAGCGGGGGGTGGCGGACAGAGGGAGGATTGTTGGTGAGTGGAGTGAGAGTGGGGATCGTGCACTTGGGTGGGCGAAGGGTGATAGGGCGGTTCGACCTGCCTCGGGTTGAAGATAGCCCATGGGTCGACAAGGGGATGATGGGCGGACGGCATTTCTACTTAGGGGAGGTGCGAAGAGAAAGTCTGCGAGAAAGTCTGCGAGGTTGCGCTTCTAATCTTCTTTTTTTATAAACTCCATCTCCCTTGCGCGTTATAATTCGGCTCTTTTCCCTCGTCGCACAAGCTCTGGACGGACGCTTTGGTATTGGATCCGCGCTTGACGAAAGCTCAACAAGATGGTGTCCGCGCTCGAGAAAGAGCGCTACGGCGATAATAGCAGCAATGATGAGAAGATCGCGGATGAGGGACAGGAGCGCGAGTATGCGCCTGTGCTGGAAGGCGTCCCGGATCCTGATGCGGGTTTGAGTGAGGAGGAGAGGGCTGCTCACGTATGCGTTATCCGGTTCCGTTCTGCATGTTGTTCTGGGGTCAAGGCTGATGTGAGTGCAGGACCGCAAGCTGCTCTGGAAACTCGACCTCAAACTCATCCCATGGCTCTCGTTCTTGTATCTGATTTCCTTCTTGGATCGGACGAATATTGGTATGTTAAGCCGCGCTTATGTTCTCCATCTTATGTCAACCGCGCTGGAGTGTTGAAGCGCCTGCTATGAGCAGCATCGCAACGTGCTACATTCGATCAGCAGGGCACACGCGCAACTACTATCATATCCACGAACAGCACTGATCCACCTCAGGAAATGCAAAGATCGATGGCCTACAACAAGATCTCGGCATGACCAATGGCCAATACAACGCCACACTCACCATCTTCTTCATTTCCTACTCACTCTTCGAGCCCTTGACCAACGTCCTGCTCAAGAAGCTGCGTCCAAGTGTCTTCCTCCCAATCATCATGTTGTGGTGGTATGTATCCTCGCCCTCTCCTTTTCCCCACTCAACTAAAACGTATCAGGGGAATCTGCATGACTACCATGGGACTCGTGCATAACTTCTCAGGACTCATGTGCGCTGTAAGTCTCCACCATTCCCAGATCTCGCGTGCCACAATAGGCTAATAGACGGCAGCGATGGTGGCTCGGTGTCGCAGAAGCCGGTCTCTTCCCCGGCGTCAACTACTATCTCTCTTGCTGGTATAAACGTTCCGAGTTCGGCATCCGCGCTGCAATCTTCTTCTCTGCTGCCGCGCTCGCCGGCTCCTTCGGTGGCCTACTTGCTGCTGCAATCGCGCAGATGGATGGTATCGGCGGAAAGCCTGGTTGGGCATGGATCTTCGTATGAACCGTCTCTGATTAATTGTTGCGATGACACTTACACCTACGCTAGATCCTCGAGGGCCTCGCTACAATTCTCGTAGGCATTGTCTCTTACTGGATGGTGCACGACTTCCCCGATGAGGCTAGATTGTAAGTATGATCTTGCATTAATCACAGTGTCTCTCTCGAGCAGCTACTCTGGTGGCATCCACAGACCCTCTAGCACCCAGATAACCCCTTCCCCTTCCACTCTTCCTCCTTCCGCTAACTCCCCCTCCCAGCCTCACCCCCGACGACCGCGCCCGCGTAATCCGCCGCCTGAAAGCCGACAAGCAATCCTCCGCCGAGCACGAATCCTTCAAAATGACATATTTCTGGAACTCAGTCTTCGACTGGAAGACCTGGGTCTTCGCCGTCATCTACATGGGCTGCGACGGCTCGCTCTACGCCTTCTCCCTCTTCCTCCCCACCATCATCAACCAGCTCGGCTATGCTTCTACGACCGCGAACTTGCTCAGCGTGCCGCCGTATGCCGCTGCCGCTATCGCCACGGTGCTGATCGGCTGGCTTGCGGACCGCACGCGGCAACGAGGCCTGTGTAACATTGTGATCTCGCTGTCGGGCATCGTGGGATTCGCAATGCTGCTCGGTTCCGGCAAGCCTGGCGTGCAGTACGCAGGAACCTTCCTCGGCGCCATCGGCATATATCCCTGCATCGCCAACACCATCTCCTGGGCGAGCAACAACGTCGAGGGCGTGTACAAGCGCGGCGTAACGCTCGGCTTCGTGATCGGCTGGGGGAACCTCAACGGCGTCGTTTCGTCGAACATCTATCGCGGCCAGGATAAACCGCGGTTCCTGCTCGGGCACGGCGTCGTGCTGGCGTATCTTGTACTGTTTTTGTTTGGCGGGAGCGTGATGACGCGGTTTTTGTTGCAGTGGGAGAATCGGAAGAGGAAGAGGGGTGATCGTGATGCTTGGATTGAAGGGAAGAGTGAGCAGGAAATTGAAATGCTCGGGGATAAGAGGCCAGATTTTATATATACGCTTTAAGTTCGGGGCAAGGCGGGAGGGATAGCTTAGTTCAGTCTTTACTGGAGTCAGAGCCGCAGAAGTTGGGAAACGGAAGAGGATTCGAAGGGGTTTTGTTGGGATGAAGAAACATGTGCGCGATCAATGTAACGAACTAATGTGCGTTGATCCCGAGCGGAAGGATGAGTTCTAATTTGGATAGTTATCATTACTGCGTCGCCGATTATTAGACTATTAAGCTACTTCACAACGGTACGTGCAACCAGGCCATCAACGCATGACCGGCGCGGCTCAGAAGCGAATCCGATATCTACATCATGAGCCATATATCCCCATACAAACTCTTTACAACTCCTTTCCCCTCCTCTCCCACTCCACAACCGCAGGCGCCAGCGGCCTCGAGAACAAACTAGAATAATCCGTGCCGACAATCTCCTTGCTACCACCCGGATTTCTCATCTTAAATTCCCTCACAAAAGCCGCAAGAATCGTCTGCAGCTGCAGGTAGGCAAACTGCTCGCCAATGCACCTGTGGCGGCCCGCACCAAATGGCAGATACGGCGAGTTTGTACCCTTTGACACAACGCCCCAGCCGTAATCAATCGTGTCCGCATCGTCGTTGTCTTCGAAGTTGTGCTTTCCGGCGTCCCAGCGATGTGGGTCCCAGACGGAGGCGTTGACAAAGTGCGAGTCCATTTGTGCGGACACGCCGGGAGACGACATGAGCGTGTGGGAAGGAGGGATGATGTAATTGGTACCTTCAATAACGAGAGGCTGCTTGACCTTACGCATGATGGAGTGGATTGGTGCGTGAAGGCGGAGGGTTTCTTTGACGGTCTGGGCGTGGAGGGGCAGGCGGGAGAGGTCGTCGTGGGTGAGCGGAGGGAGGTCCTCGCCGAGAACGGCCTTTTGTTCAGCGAGCAGCTCTTCGACGAGCTCAGGCTTTTGTGCGAGACGGAGGAGGATCCACGCGATGGTGGAGGAGGAAGAGTGCTGGCCGGCCATGAGGAGCGCAATCATGATGCCTGCGATCTCGTGGTCAGGAACCGGCGAGCCGTCCTTGTACTTGCAGTCCATCAGATGCCAGATCATGTCATGCCCCTCCTTCTTTACAGCGCCCGACCGCCTCTTTTTGACAATCTCGGAGTATAGGTTGATCATCGTCTCGCGTGCTTTGTCGCGCGCTCGGTTGTGCGGTAGCGGTGCCCACGACAGCATGAAGTTGATCGGAGAAAAGCCCATATCCAGATCGTGGTAGAGGTCGGCAAAGCGGGAGTCGAACATGTTGCGGACCTCCTCGCCCTGAAGGGAGCGGGATGCGGTGTAGATGGTAAGCTCTGCCATGACCTTGGGGACGTCAAACGTTCCCTTCTGACCCTTGAACGACTTGTGGCGCTTGACAAAGTCCTGTACCTCGGCTGTGATGAGCTGGACGTAGGAGCGCAGGGCGTCTTGAGTAAGGCCGAACTTGACGAACTGTTGCACATGTCAGCGATCCCCTAGTCGTACTATAGGCTTATGCGCACCTTCTTCTGTTCCATGAGCTTCGAGTTCGGGCAGTCGTACACGACATCCTTGCCAAAAACAGGTCCGCAGAGCGGGTTGTAGATCTCCTCCGCATTGACGTCCTTGATCTTCCCATTTAGGATGAAGTTGTTCCCTTTCGTGTCCAGGCATACAGTCGTCTTCTTCCCGAGCAGAATGAACGTGAAGGTATTTCCGTACTGCAGCCCAGTCAGTATCTCGGCGCCTCGCCACAAGGCATCCCACGCACCTTCTCCTTGTTCGAAAAGAAGAACTTATACGGGTCCATGCCATACGTAATCGTGCTGCCGAGGATCGGGAACCAGTGGAAGACGACTGGCGGCTCATTGGGGTTCTTGAACAGCAATTGCTTCAAGACATTGAGCACGACGGCGACGACGATAAAGGAGAAGGCGCCGGCGGCGACGAGGACGGGGAGCGAGGCATTCGAGGTAAAATCGCCCAATGGGCCGGCAACTTCAGCAAGGAGACCCATGGCGCCAGAAAGCAAGCAAAAGAGCGTACAGCGAGCGTGTGGTAGGGAGCGTTGATGTTAATAAATTTCCCAGAAATCAAGGCCGCTCGGACCACGTCCTTCCCGTTCCTGGCTTTGGCGCCGGCGCGCTCCCCTCTCGGCAGCTGCCCGGCGAAGTGTCATCCGTTGCCGTTCGCCGTCACACCATTAACTGACGACGCAATGCTTTTGCTCCGCCCCAGCCCTCACCGCCATGTACATGCTTTTCTCTGTCACGTCATTGGTGGCACCAGAAAGGCGGGCCCTAAATTTCCACACCGGGAGAAACTGAACTGTCCATTGAGGTTGACCCGAGTACGCATACACCCCACATCCGCTATAGCGTCTGCGAAACGTCGTCTGAACTGCTTGGCGAAGAAACATGTCAAGGTTATCTTCCTCAATGTGGCAAGCCACTGTTTTCCTGCCTTCTGCACCATAACACCAAACTCCCCGTCCAATGAGGAGGCCCTGAATACGCGGTAGGCATGCCAAAGGACTATGATCAACGTGCTCTACTCCGCTTCATCTCCCTTCAGCTATCCTTGCCATCAAGGGCAGCAACGTCATCTGCGGGATACCGTGAGCCGTCCTCGGTATCGTACAGAGGCTGATCTCCCTTGCCGCCCATCTGAATAAACTCGTCGGGGTTCCTGTTGGCAGCTGGTGTCGCCTCCTTCCCTCCGTTCTTGTTCTTGACGCCGTTCTTAGCCGATTTGTTCTTTTCATAGACTTTGATGGGCCGCTGTCCGTGCGGAGCTTCGATAACCCGTGTCACCCTAATGTCGTTGATGCTACTAAGCAGCGTTCGTTCGCGGTGGACCTTGCGTTTGGAGAAATCGAGGTTAGCGATAGCTCCTGTCAAGCCGTCTGTGCTATCATTTGGGTTTAAGTCTTGCTGGGTCGTCCACGGGTGCTCCAAGCACTCGTCCATCGTAATGCGTTGGTCCACGTCCACCGTGAGCATGCGATCAATGAGATCGAGAGCGGGATCTCCTACAGAGTCCCAGTACGGCGACGGGTAATCGAATCGGCCCATTTTAATCTGCTGAGATAGCGTGTACGGGTTCTCTGGGCTGTAAAGCTCGTCCGAGAACGGAGGGAATCCACATAAGCAAATGTACAGCACGACACCGAGCGACCAGACATCTACGGCGCGAGTGTATCGGCGGTGGTTCGAGCTTTCTAGGATCTCCGGAGCGACATCTACAGATGTTAGTCTAACCACATCTCTTACAGGACATCACATACAAGACGGAGTTCCACATCTGCCTTGAGTCAGCAAAGTACAAACAGGCTTGGTAGGGTGGATCCTCACAGCGTGGTCGTGAAAGATTCTTCGCCGATGATCTTAGCGAGTCCAAAATCAGCCAGCTTGACATGAAGATCCTTATCGGTAAGAAGGATGTTTTCCGGTTTGATGTCTCGATGCACGATATTTCGCTCATGCTTGGGGTGTTAGCAACCAAGATTGTGAAGGTGCAACTGTATACCTACCAGGTATTTAACGCCCTGGAACAGTTGTATGAACACCTTACGAGCTTCCGTCTCGGTTAATTTCTGCTTCATAACGATCCAGTTGAAAAGTTCGCCCTCTGGAGCAAGTTCGAGCACGAGATAAACTCCATCATCCTCGTTAAAGGTGTCCTTGAGACAGAGCAGAGCCGGATGGCTCACTCCCATCAGAACAGCAATCTCCTGTTGGAGGCCGTCGACTTTGGACTTCTCTCCCGGACCCGAGCGTTTTTCGAACTTCTTGACAGCGTACCGGATGCCCGAGTTCTTCTCCACGCACAGATACACCGACGCAAAGTGACCTTTGCCAAGCTGTTCCTGGATTGTGTATTGTTGCCGGAAACCATTCGTATCGCGACTGTGAGGATAGCGGAAGACGTAGTGTGCCTCGTCGAGAATTCCAATCTCATCACCATCGTTCAATTCCCGTCTCTTGTTTCGGCCAACGAGTGTGTCGTTCACGAACGTGCCATTGCCGGAAACGTCTTCAAGCACGGCGATTGCGTCGCCGCCCTTATTCTCGGGAAACAGTAGGCAGTGCCGGTTTGAGACGGTGGGTGACTTGAGGACACGGTCTGTCATCCATTAGCAGCGGCCCGAGCGGCGTAGTCGCTGGAGAGGCACCTACCACACTCGGGATGCCGTCCGATAAGATATCCGCTCGCAGTCACGCCCTTTTCTTCCTTGTAGTCCTCGTAATCCTCCTCCTGGCGCTCGTAGGTGTCTCGCGGTACCTTCTCTGAGCCAGATGGCTTTCCGACCTCCGCGATCGGAGTTGGGCATGCGGCACGTCGCCGAAGGACAAGGACATCACCAGAGTGGGCGTCTAGCGGTACTAGGTAGCCCCAGACACCCTCAGATTCCTCGTCGTCCACTTCATAGATTCGGCTTGCTGGCGGGAATATGAATTGGGAGAATGGCTGGGTATCCTGCGGAGGTGAAGACAGACCTCCCGCACCTCGCGGACTGCGGAATGCCTGGGACTGGGAAACGGAGCTTCCTTTGCTCGGGGGTGTGGCAGTTCCCTCTTTGAAATCCTCGGTAGCGGTGGAGTCTTTGTGAGTGACGGGTGACGGTAGCGGGCCTTGCTTCAGGTGCGGATTCGGATTGTGGGACGACGGCGACAAATTACGCTGGGAACGGCGAGGTTTCTTTGGCTCGATTTGCTCGTCTTGTGACTGCTGCAGGTTGGATCGTCAGCCAACGTTTGCCTGCTTTTGAAGGCAGCTTCCGGACATACTCGACCGCGTTTGAGCTGACTTTTCTCCGTCGAAGGCATGCCGACTAAGCTCTGCGGAAAGGGCGGAGGGGGGTCAATGTTGCTGCTCGTTTAGGGAGCCGTCGAGCGTGTTGAAGGCATCTCCGTGCGTAGGAATGGAGGCTTGTAGGCGGCGACGAGGGTCGGATAGGTGAAGGGACTGGACTGTCTTGCTGCCTCAGTAGCAGGTGCCTTGAGAGCCCAGCTAGGCTGCCAAGCCGACCTCCCGCACGCCGCCCGTGGGGAGCTGCAGGGTCTGTTCATCGCACCTCGCGATTCGAACGACGGGACTTTTCGCCGTCGTAAATAATGACAAATCCAGCTTCCCCCTCGATGAGCTCTGGACTAGGTGGCAAACCGTCCGATGTTCATACCACGGAAAGCGTCCGACTAGTCGAAAGGCTCAGCAGCCGCACCAAGGGTGACACCCATCTATCTCACTAGCATCCAGCATCTCGCATCGCAGCCAGCAAATCGGTCTCAGTCGTTGAACTGAACTGCTAGTTCGCGACGACACCTGCCTTTTTGCCCATAGACGTCTAACGTTGGCTTAGGGGCCTCTAAATCGTGCCACTATTGCCTCCTAAAAGCGAGGCGTTTATGCCGACAAACTTGGGATTTTAGAAATTTATAAATCTGTGCCTAACTAATGTTACGGGCATATTGCTAATAAAGCAAATAAGATTCACAGCACCAAGCAAGCTATTCTGCGCTGGCGCTCCTGCTGGGCCTTGGAGCTTTCCTTCCTGTGCTGTATTCCCCTGATTTTCAGTCTCTAGACGTGCTTTCGGATCGCTCGCTAGGCGATAGCAGTTCTTCGGTAGAGCGGTTCCTCGTTGAAGTCGGCTGCCGGCTCCCCAGGTCGGCTCCGTCCAGGTGCTAGCTGCCGTCAAGTGTCGTGTTATTTCATTCGCGGGGGCCAGACTTCATCGAAGCAAGCTTGCTGCTCGACCTAGGGAACGGACCCTGTGCCGTCCTCGGAGCGGTGTCGGCGGCGAGGTTGTGGCTAGGTCTTGCATCGCTCGCTTGCTCAGTCGTGGGACAGCAAAAGGTCTGGGATACACTGCCATCCCGACGTTTGGATCCAGTGCACCAATTCTCTCGCACCCAAACGATCGATGATTTGGTCCGTCGGCCGATGCGTATTGGTAGAATCTATATTTCGCTACATCGACTTCGCGACGAGACGTTTGTGAGAGAACCGCATACTAGATCCCCTCGGAAACATCTTGGTACGGCCAAATCCTGGAGTACAGATCCCGCTCGTACTGGTTCTGGGCCGCATTCAGAAAGATCTGCTTGTACTTGCGGCAGTTTTCAATCGCTGTCTGGTAATCCTCGGGCTGCACTATACCATCTGCTGGCAGGACGCCTTGGTCTCGAAAGAGCGACAGCATTTTTCCCAGGCCGTCAACGTTACCTTCCTCTCGCGCATGCCGTTTCAGTTCTTCTGCTGAGAATGTAATTGGGCACTGCGTATCTTCGCCAAAGATCTCGTTCCATCTAGTGAAGAGAGTAATGAGCGAATCACGCAGGAAAAACAAATCGCCATTATCCCACACCCCGGTTACGAGCCAGACGGGTTTCCTTAGCACTGGCACCATGGGTTGTTGAAGATACTCCCAGTGGCGTGGCGCCCGCTTCAGAGTCTGGAGCTCGTAGTATTTGTGGATAGTTTCGCTCTCCAGATCCCGATCGACTCGTTTCTGTTCGTCAGGAGGCAACGCGTCGAAATTGTCTGGCTTCTCCGGCACAACCCAGCCCTCGCGGACGCTCTTGTAATGTCGGAACGCTCGATGAATACCGGACTGGTAGAAGAGCGGGGCTGCCATCGTCGACTGCCAATCCACGATACCCGTGATTCCGTACGAGGTAGGATCGACAAACACATTGTCGAGATGGAGATCGGGATGCCATAGAACGTTCGCAGTGGCGGACTCGTTTTCCGGGGGGACCATGGCTGGTGCGACTCGCTCGTATTTGGCAAGTAATTCGAGAGCGTGTCCAGGGAGCTCCGGTTCTTCCAGCGACCAGAAGTAATTCATGCGAGGTTTGGCAAATCTTCGTGTCCATGCCATCTCGTTCGCGCCTAATGCTCGCGTATACGCCTGAGAATCTTGCCCTAGTTTTTATTAGTACTAGACACCGGCCCTAGTATTCGGTCATTAACCTACACGGACCTCGGTCAAGGTTCATCTGCTCCCGGCCGCTGGCCCAGAGTTCGGCTTTAGTCAAGGGTCCTATAGCATATTGGTCAAGATTCAAGCTTTGCCGGTCCGCGGTGAACCGTACGGCGTCTGAGCTGCCGGTCAATCGTCGGAGGTCATCCTTGAAATAGATACAACCATGGTTCTTGAACTGCACGCCGGTCAGCGAGCAATCGAAATCGACGACCTGCTCAACAATGCCAAGTTTTGTTCTCCACGGCAAACTTGGCCACAGAGCGCCTAAACGGACACCGGGTGCCTTTTCCTCGAGGATGTACTCGGCTTGGACCGGGTTATTTGCGGCATCGTAAGACCACGAAAGCACGCGAGGAACCGGTATGGAAAAGACATCTCGAAGCTAATTCCATCAGTTATTTCGGATTCTCGGGCCAGGATGCATGCTTACCATTTTCCGGGTGGCGACTTCAGATGCCGTCGTGTAATGGGCCGGCCCGGCATTTGGATTCGGAAGTTTTGCGACGACTTCGATCCCGTTATCCATGGTGAGAACGAAGCTTTATTGTGCAAGCCTTCGGTAAGCTTCAGGACTTTGGTACCTGTTCGCGAGCTCAGCGAGTGTCCATGCCTATTACTGGATCCAAGATGCCTACAACGTCGGGCCCCTTTGCAAACGCCAACAGCCGCTTCGACTAGACGTGGCAGGCTGAACTTGAGATAGCGTTTCGCCAGTTCGTTTCGTTCGTTGGTTCTGGAGATATCACCATAAGTACTTTTCTGAAGCGGCGTCAGGCAACATAGGCGGTCGTTCTTACAGCCACCGCTGACGTGTGTAGCGATACAAGTCCGCTTCAAAAATGACTTCTAGCTTCAGTTAGATGGTGATGATTCTGTTAGGTTGAGCGAGAGCCAGACTTACTTTCGCCTCGAGCTGTTTCCGCAAATAATGGCGGTGTTCGTGATGTAACTGGCGGGTTGCCAGTGTGCATGAACGACAGGGACCTCATATTGAACGATTTTTGGCGAGGCGGAAGAGCGGGGGGCAGCCAGTAGATTATATGAGGCCGAGTTGGGGACAACCCAAATGTCATGGTAGGTGCTGTGTCATATAGAAACCGCACGAGGCCAGTCCCAGATTACCTAGATGGCGGGCTCTTGGGATATGCGAAAGGATCACGTTGTCGGGTGAGTGCTTCAGAGCGAGCAGATTCCAATCGCATATCAATCCGGTTAAGGGACAAATACGGATAGAAGGCTCTCAGCCAGTCATTGGATGGAATGGGGGTTGTAGTGAAAAGAGGTTTGATGAGTGTGGGAGGTGGCAATTGAGCGGCTGTTGCAGTTGCCGCTGCGAGAAGAATATCGGTAGCTTGCAGAAATCAAGGACGAAATGTCGTCACTTCCAAAGAAGGCTTCTCTGCTCCATTTCGCCAGTGCTAGTTATGAGTTGTCTTCGTCTTGAGCTAAGGCGCTAGCGACGAAAACGCTCGCAGATGCTGAGTCATCGGCACGCCCCACTACTCTTCCAACTTCTTCCATTGGGCTACTATCTCGACTTTCGTCGTGCGCTAGGCCACGCTAAAATTAATATATATCCCTTCTAGAAAGCATTTTGCTCTTTGAGTCCGGTAATGCTTGGATGCGCTTCAATGTCTGGAAAGTTGGAATAGACTTCTAATACGATGCGAGTGCGTCAAGGGTTCCCTCAATTCTTCATCTTCCTCTCTTCTTCCGCTGAGCTCGGTGGGATAATTGATATCTTATCGGCGTAGTCCTGCTCCCCACCTGCTGCTACGTGACTAGGCACATCTCGCACTTGAGCGTCCTTCTGTACGTCCGAGCGCGCCTCCTCATCTGTTTTCGCAGGCCGCTTCTTCATGAACTCATTCTCCTCTTTACGCTCTGGCAATATGCCAAAAATGCCCTTCTTCTTCCTCACAAAAGCCAGCGCAACCACAACCAAAACGTTCAAAAGCGCGAAACCCAATATAACCTCGAATTGCTTATTATAACTCTTTCCGAATACTCTTCCGAGCTTCATCCGGATATCCTGCGGTAACTGCGCGATGTAGTAACTCGAGTCCTTCGCGGCTTCGATTTGGGCGGGGCTAAGAAAGGTCGCAAGTTTATGGTCCAACTCCGAGTGGTGAAGGGCGGAGCATATTGCTACTGCGACAGCGCCACCGAGAGTTCGCACCATGTTCAACGCGCCGGTAGCGACCGGTATATCTTTCTCCACACAGCTGCTATAGAGCAGGACGTAGTACGCAGGGCTTCCCAAACCAAGTCCGAAGCCAGTGATGATTTGGTAGCCGTAAGTTCTAGCGGGGAACTGGGAGTCCACAGGGAGACTGCTCATGAGGCCAACACCGATGCTTACCATCGCTGCCGCGGCGAGGAGGGAGTACTCTCCGGGGCACTTCTTGCTTATGATGACTCCGGCGAGCATGGCACCCAGCGGGGTCAGCAGAGTTGTCGGTAGTAGAAGGATGCCGGCTCGTTCAGCGCTCGTGAAGTTGACGCCTTGAAAGCGCTGAGGGAGTTGAATGAACATGGCGTAGAATGGGAAGCCGAGAAGTAGCATGCTGAGAAGCAGGAGCAGCATAGCGGGATTAGTGATGAACCTCATCGGGAAGATGGGTTCTATCTTTGTCTTGCGCGAGATCCAAGCTTCATACAGCCCGAAAAAGAAGAATAGGACAACACCGGCTACCAGAGTCCCGATGATAACTCCGCTCTTCCACTCAAACTGAGCCCCGGCCTCTTGAAGCGCGAAGAGCAGCGGAACCGGCCAACATACGGAGAGGATCCCGCCGATGCCGTCGAAGCCATGGAGGCGGGCCCTATTCGACTTTCCGGGCATGGCGAGGAAGAGGGTCACCGTGGATGCAGCGGTGATTGGACCGTTGATCCAGAAAATCCATCTCCAGGTTGTTCGATCAGTTATAATGCCGCCGAGCACCGGACCTAGTAAATTTGCCAGCGCAAAGACGGAGCTGATGATACCAGATACTATGCCCATCTTTTCTGGCTCGACCAGTGTCATGACCGCGACGAAGACGAGGGAGTAAAGCCCTGAGCCGCCTATGCCTTGGAAAGCGCGGAAAACGATCCTAGACCGGTCAGCACGTTTGCACTGTCATACAAGGATCTAGCCTACAATTGGGTCATAGTCTGGGCTCCACTACATGCCATGGAAAAGACGAGGAATATGAGATTACAGATAATAAGCATCGTTTTGACTCCGAAGACGTCGCTCAACTTGGCGGAAAGCATCAGGAATGCTTCACCTCTTTAGCAGGGTCCGAGTGTTTTGATAATAACGAGAGCCTACAATTATATGTGGGGAGATATGCTGTGACAAGCCACGATGCTTGTTCAAGTGCGTGGAAATCGCTGGAGATCTTCATCAGACTCGTGGTGATGATGGTGGTATCCATCGCGGAGAGGAAGAGCGATAGCCTGCGAACATGGGGGTACACATTAGTGTGCGTCTTGTAGCGGAGGGGCAGCAGTCTCGCATGTCTCAATGTCGTCTCGGTCCCCTTGAGGTGCTCAGGAGCGGTCGGCCGCAGCCCATCCATGGCGGTGCAGCAAATCTCCTCCGGCAGGCCTTCAGCAGATGGAGGCAAATCCAGGGCATGCGTTCGTGTTGATCGATCCACGTACCATAGCCTATCTTCGTCAGTAGGCGCCCATGTAAAGTACCAGGTAGACATACCCGATGATGATAATGCTAAGCCTCGTCTTGCTAAGAATCGTCACAACCGAAGGTGTCGTGTCCTCGTTCCGTCCATCTTGTGCCATTATGTCATACTGATAATACTGCAGGCTTTGCTTCTGCATTTGCCATGAGCATCAAGAACGTGTATATTTATCCTTTGGGTGCGTTCCGGAGTCGTCAGTTTTTACGAGCAGCCCTGGGCGCTCGGGCGAAGGATGCATTGGGCAACGTGACAGCGTCGAAGGATTGTGCCGCTACGGCCGAGACGACTCGGCGTCCGACTCCGGACACGCGAAGCTTCGAAGGCTCGATACCATAGAAAGAGAGATGGGGATTCGCGTTATGCTCCATCTGGTCTCCGGACTTAAGAGCAGGCACTTCCACTGTCATGGTGGCCGATATTCGGCGCTATCGCCAAATAGGGTACAGCGTCGCCTTTCGCACCTGAGCAACTTCACGGACAGGACGACGCGTCGAGCTTCATCACCATACAGACAACGATGAAGCTCGTTCGGCCGTAGGGAGCTCAAAAGCTAAGAGAATCATGATCGATGCTTTAAAGGGAAGCTATCTTGGGTACCAGTGAAACGCCTCATGCGCGCGCGTGTAGTTCGCGTGTTGGCAAGGTAAGGCACGACAGCACTGACGACATGGCAAACGAAGGTATAACCCTGAGTTCTTTGAAATCCTTGCCGCGCGACATACTGCAACGGGCTTTGTATCGCGGACCGACAGGTGAAGGTGATGCACTGCTCGACTGGGAGATGACGGCATAGGTGTCGCGCATCGACCACGCTCCTTCCTCACATTGAACTCGGATCAAACGCGCCTTCCTTTGACCTATCCCCCGCGCAATCTTCTGCGCCGCATATTTCCTCCTGCCTCTCTCCCTCTCTCTTCCACTGTCGCTCTCTCCGCTTGCCTCTTTCTGCTCTTACCCCACTTTCCGCGAATCCCTGCCCGGCGCGTCCACGGGTGCCCGTGCAGTCGCGTCTGGATCACGCTCGGATGCTTCCCTACTACGGTGTAGCATCTCACAATGTCCGCCCGGGACTTCGACGCGGCCCTCAGTGCGCCCGATAACGACGCCACCCACAAGCGTCTCCAGCAACTCGCCTGTGCTAATTCCACCAGCGGCGCTACTCTCCCAGCCACAGCCGAGGCGTACCTGCGAGCATTTTGTGCTGGGGCATCGTCTCTCACTCGGCGCAGATGGGTTGGTCTGGGACTGAGAAAGATGATAGACAAGTCGGGCGTCGTTGTGGCGCATATGAAGACCCTCACACAGGAGCTTCCGCGGCTAGGCCAGGTGATTCTCCACAACACCGAAGCAGAGGAGACCAAAATTGTCGCAGCTTTAGTCATACGGCAAGGGCTGGAGAGCGGCATCGATTTCGCGCGGTTTTGGCCGTCACGAAAGGTCCAGGACAATGCCCCCATTTTCCCAAAAACCGCCGGTCCTCGGTGGATGCATCAGTTCCAAGAATTCCTGGACGTGTTGAACGATCTAGTCGTCGCGAATCCAATCACCGACCCAGCTGTATTATATCCCGTCTCTCTACTCGCTTCCGATGGTTACAAATGGCGAGACGACGTCATATCCATCGTGCTCATGCAGAGCGAGCTGGTCACTGTCGTCATTCCAGACTCCTCAGTCCACGATATCAGTTTCATGGATATACCGTTGCATCACATTCACAATGTGACAAGCCAGCGCTCAAAGCTCCACGACTCTCAAGGAATAGGGACGAAGCTCGAGCCTTGGGAAGTCGTTCTGACGCTCATGCCAGGGCAGTGGACGTATCGCCTTGACTCGTCCGAGCGCGAAGGGCGCTTCTTGACCATCATGTTCGCGAAGAAAGACGACGCCGTGGAGTGCAAAAATTGCATCGAGAGCTTTCTTCCCCAATCCTCGCCTCCAAGGATTCAGAGTAGCGCGCCTGTCAACTTTGAGCAAGAATCCGTCCAAGAGGAGGGTCTTGTGTCCGATGATGAGCTTGCTCAGTCACCGCCAGTGTCTCAGAGGGAGGTAGAAGGAACCCGTTCAACCCCGCACGCGATGGCGGTTTCGCAGTCGAAGGTCGTCAAGTCGCAGACTGTTACAACGAAAGAACCTGATTCATGCTCCGAAGGTTTAGAACCGCGTTCACACCCACTCCTGTCAACACCGATGAACCATGAGTCTCCCAAATCCGGCATCGGGGACGGCACCCCGATAAGTGCCGTACAGACGCGAGCAACTCGGCCTAAACTCGGCGCTCTGCCAATGGTCAAGAAACCAGCAGGACCGAAAGTGAACGGAAAAAAGTCCATGGTGGAGGTAGATGATGCGACTTTTGAGTTTCCTGACTGGTCACCAAGGATAAAACGACGCTCTGTCCCAACACAGAAGAGATCGAGAGTCGGAAACGCCAATACCAAGAAGTTTATCAGCAAAGCAAAGCCCATAAGGCCCAAAGCAAAGCCCAAGACAATGCAAGCGAACGATATCGAGGAGGAGGGAGACCCAATAAGCTCACAGGTGCTCCAACCGTCCGGCCCTGAGCCTTCTCAACTACATAGCCCAATCGATACTCTCGACAACGCAACGAAAACTTCTGTTGTCGCACCCAAGTCGCCGAACTTACCAACAGTAGGTAACCGGACGGACGGAGGTGCTTCTAAATCCCAGCGTCTTGCCTCCGATATCTTTGCTATCCCGCAAGATGACGATTCTCAAGCGAGGCCGCGGGCGAGACGGAAGGGAGCCAAGTCGGTTATCTATCAAGAAGGACACACGTCGGGCGAAGAGAGTTCTGGCTCCGAATATGCCGAGAAGAAAAGCAGGACGACCCGCTCGCCGGCGAAAGGAGGCCGTCCTTCGAAAGCAGTCAATTCGAAGAGGGCATCGAAGGCCCCAAACCCAAAGAGCAAGCCAAGCACCAAGAATGTGAGGAATTTGAAAGCAGAAACCCAGCCAGGATCACTCCTTCGAGGTTCTCTATTAGCCAAATCGATTTCAAAATCACAGCCTCCCTCAAGCGCTGAGCCAAAGAAAACTGAGTTGGATCCTGGACGAGCGCTAAAGGACAAGGAGAACAGGCCACCAGCCGTCGACCAGTCTGCCCGTGCAGTATCGCACCCAGCGGACGACACCGTGTTGAGCTCAGAGATACATATTCTGGATCGTCTGAACGATCTAACACACGAGGATGAACACGGCTTTGTGCCTGTTCACGTGTCTGCTAGTGAGAAGAGCAATGTTCCCCAAAAGCGGCCAGCAGTGGACTCGTCTCCGTTAACTCCACCCTCAAAGCGGGCCAAGAAAGAGCAGACATTGCCGAACGGCACGGCGCCTAAGTCCAGCCCCTTACTCAAGGCTCCGACGATGATTGCACCTCCGCGAGTGCTGAAGGATCCCTCCAGTCCCTGTAGACAAAAGCGTCCGCCATCTTCCATCCAAACAAGAAAACCAATGCATGAAATGTACACTCAATCCGAAGAGGATGCTGGACAAATCGAGAAGGTGGAGCGGCCCGCGCGGAGCCAACGGAGCACCGCCGATCCGAGGAAGCGACCGGAGCGAGGACATACACCTATACATCACCGCGCACAACGCAACCACTCCAGCGGCTCGGTCAATCAGCAGATCCTTTCAAGCAATAGTAAATTACTCCCTGCTTCTCCGCGTGCGGAATCTACAGCAATATCAGGTCATGCGCATCGCGACCGCGTGGCCATTGAAAGGGAGATTGGAGAACATGAAACAGCGAAAAGCGACCCTTTCAGTCGCCGATCCAACTCACAGACGGTCACCGCGTTTACGCGAAGGCTGACAGGAGAAGCGGGCATTCCGAATACGCCAGTCGGCAACTCCCAGCATCGACCTATAGAGCTGATTGATAGCGGGAGCTCCAGTGGCGTGTCCAGCGACGTTGAACCTATGGTCGAGTCCCCGAAAAAGCCCTTCATTTTGCCTAAACAGCCTCCAGTGAAGCCGGCCAGCGTGGTGCAGATCAAGGTCGAGAACCCCTTCCTACACCCTCGCATCAAGATTTCTGAGCCTCTGGAGCCAATATCAAATGGCCGGGCACCTGCCTTGGTGCAGCCAGGATTGGAGCGGAGGCCCAAGGAAACCGAGAATGTAGTCATGGATGAGTCTATTCGCAACGGCCCTCCACAGCTTGTTGAAGAGACGCAGCCGCAGGACGTCAGTTTACACGCTGGTGACGTGGGGATGGAAGGTGAAACCCTCGTTGAGCAAGAGGAAGAAGAACTGCCTACCCAAAGGCTTTCTCCTGTTCACTTTAAATCGTCTCCACCACCTCTGGGCTCACCCAGCAGCCACAGCTCCACGTCTGCCGAAGATGAACCCCGTACCGAGCCTCCCATCCCAACATCTGATGCGGACGAAATGGAATGGGAAGCGAGTCTGCAGCCCCACCAACGATCCTTGCAGGAGCAGCTCATACGTGTCTCGAAGCGCGTCGTGCGCCACATCGTCGACAACGAGACTGCTGTCGACGATATTGCCCAAATGTATGCTCAAGACAGTGAGCATATGCTGCGGACGCTTATCGATCGGCATACCGGAGAATCCGACACCATGTTCAAGAATGTGGAAAAGAAGAAGGGCAAGGTCCAGAAAGCATCAGAGCAGCTGCTGAAGAAGCTGGGCAAGGAGCGGCAACAAGTCCTCGCCGACGTGCCTTCCGGTTAATAGCTTGAGCAGCCTTCCCGGTCAAGGTCGATAGACTCCGCCCAAGGCACAGAAGCGGACCGCTACTGTCGACCCGATCCCTATCGACTTTCTTTCTGAAGCTTCTTAGCAATGTCGGTGCGTGTATGCGAACCGAGCGCGCTTTCCACTGCGAAACTGGGTTATAGTCCGTCTCTTATCTTACCGTCCCTGTCTAATTTCACTTTTTCTTTCACATTGCAGGACATGATACCCAGGGAGGGTCGGCTATGACGGCGTATGAGTGGGTATCTTTTCAGAGAAGGGACCTGTACAATTGGGAACGGTGTTCGTGTGTCTTCCGAATTACCCTCATGTACAGCACATCATCTCAGTTGTATCTGTCTTACAACAGCGGAGGATGTGAGTGTCAGGTATGTCGGGGGCAAAGCATAGCCGTGCATATCACGAAAAGTAGACTAGTCACATCGAGACAAAAGCATCGATCACTCTTCTGTCCTACTCCATTCCCACTAACCATTACACCATGCTAATGCTCATTTGGTATACGCCACTCATAAGTCCTTAGGATAGCCATAATCGTCGAGCATTCGCCCAAAGACGTTGCCGACGCGATCTCCACCCTATGAAGCACGTCGCCGGATGCGTTCCTGCACGCAGTAACTCGCGGTCCTCCTCCACCGGTAGAGCCCCTCAGCCGCGTGGGCGCCGAGCAACTGATCGAAGAATTCAATATTAAGTAGAGGCCAGAAAGCAGGTTGTCGTGCGAAGAGTCGATACGACTTCTCGGTCATTTCGACGATACGCCAGCAAACACCACCGCAACTCGCGCGTTCCGTCGAGGCAAAGATTTCAGCAATCGTAGAGTTTCCCCAGTATGCTTGTATCATGACGAATTCGTAGTACTCAGTTTTTCGTTCTCTTCGCCTATCCGCGGCGGGCTCTTGGAATTCGAAGACTTCGGTCGGAATGGTGACACACTTCGCCTCCAGACGCTCGTCAGCATGCCATCTAGCCAACTATAATCCAGCCGAAAGCCCGTAGGTAACGAAACGGAGCACTCACGATCGTCTCCTCTCGCCCTCCTTCCTCTTCGCCTCAATAATCCTCAGCATCGTCTTCCTTCCATCCTGCGCATTGATATGCTGGTCTTTCATACTCATGCTAATCTTCCTACTTGAATCCGCCTTGAGCAGCCTCTTCAGCAACAAATGCTTCATCAGCACGCACACGAACACCCCACAGTCACTTCCATTCTCCTGTTGCGGTGCATCATCCATATGTATAAACCTCAGCGTCTTGCCCAGCAGCCGCTCCAACTTGTGGCTCGTATTCCGCGCTTCCCTATCGTTGGAGGGCGATAGCGAGTCATAGTGGAAGGACACGCCGTCGATTACGCTGACGACGAGGAGTGACCAGTGAGAGCCTCCTTCTGCGTGTGTGACATCTGCGTTGTCGTTTATGGGGAGGAAGATGTGTGTCGTGTGGGCGAAGTTCGGGAGGGCGCCACTCAGGGTGAGGGGATCGGGCGTGTTCATTAGGAGAAAGGTCATGCTAGGGCGGAGGAGGACGATTTGTGCTTTCGGAAAAGCTTTGAGCTCTTCGCGTTCAAGGTATCTGCAGTGTGTGAGTGGTGGCCGAGGGGGTGGGGAGTAGCGGATAGGCGCATACTCTTGCCAAAATGCGATTGCCTAGAGTAAATGTTAGCTTTGCGGCATGGGCTTCTGGAAAGGGAGGGGAGGTGTACATTGTCTGTTAGCCAGTCGTGCTTGATAGTATCCACGTCCAGCTTCGTCACTACGTCCCGTCAGTCCTGTGCTCTCGAACGAAGCAACTTCGCGCGGGCGAAGAATAGGGTGCCGCATACTCACACCGTACATCATGGTCTGCCGTTCATTAGCATGATGCTCCCTCCAAGCCCCAGGCAGCACTCACAAGAAAGATAGGCATCATCGGGGCTCAGGCTATCTCCAAAATGCCTCCTGGCACCGTCCATTATCCGCGAAAGTGACGACGGCATTCTCCCTGCTCTTCCGCTGTATACCGCTGTGGACGGGCTCTGCTGGTGGGCGTGAGAGAAGAAGCTTGCGTAGGACCGCTGCTGGTGCTCGGCGGGCGTACGTGGACGTGGATGTGGGAATATGCAGGTGAGATGCGGCTGCTGCGTCTGCCTGTGAAGCACCCACGCTTCGGTGACGGACTCGAGAACCCGATGCACCGTCCGCGGGGCATGCCACTCAGAGTCGCGGGCAGGAGCAGGGATGACGTGCGTGTGGCTGGTGCGCCGGGGATCTGCCGTAGATTGAATTCCCAGCATGCGGAGACGTGATTGGCCAATTGGGAGAAATTGGGCTGCTTGTGAAGGGATTTTACTCTCCTGGGTTTCCGCGAACAAAACAACCCCAAGGGAGGACGTGAATGGGGAGAGCGGTTTGCAATGGTTTACGAAGGTTTGCGAGGCTTGGGATCTGGGGGAAGTAACCAACAAGTGGCCTGATCCCTGGCAGTCGTACGGAGCCATTCGCGCGGTCATGTGCTTGAATGTCGTCTGATATTGGTTTGTCTCTCAACTCAGGGTTTGGACTAGTCTACCGAACGCCCTTCTCCACATTCCTTGAGATTTTTGGCCACGACGCCTAGATGCATGACTTTTGTGGTGGATCCCTAAGAAAGTCTTCACCCTTTCTCTGGACGAACGACCTTCCAGATTTCACGGCAGCTGATCGACCGTCTCCTCGGCGCCATTCACCCTGTTCTTTCCCCATTGCTCCGGCTTATCTACCTTAAACAGCCAGCCCTGTTTGTCTTCGATCTTGCCTTGTTGAATACCCTTCAAAGTTGCAAGAAGCTTGACGCAGGCTGGGCCTGGCTCGTCTGATCCGTTGCGATAGCTGAACTTTTCGTTCTTGGATTCCAACGTGATCGATTTGATGGGTACGAGAGCCGCAGCGGTGCCCGCAGCGAGAATTTCATCGAAATCATTCAGCTCAGTATAGGGGATCTGAGAGAATATTGGTTAGTATACTCAAGGACTGGAAAAGATCCATCATACCTCTCGGGACTCTGTCTCCCAACCAAAAGACTCTCCGATCCTGAGGATACTGTCGCCCGTGACGCTCTTGATGACGTTCTTGCTGTTTGACGCTACGAGCTTGACCTTGTCTCCATCTCTCTTCACACCAATAAATGCTGACGTCGAAAACTCGTCGATCACCGTCCGGGTCTTGCTGTCCAAGTGGAGTGTGATTCCATAGCCCGCCTTATGTGCCTTCTCACTCCATCGCAGCACCGGCGCATAGTTTCCTCCGACCTTGGCCGATCCAGTACCCTCAGGCGCGGCGCGATCGAATTGTTCCAGGATCAGGGCATCAACGGGATGTGTACCATGGTACACGCCTGTAGGGACGACATAGACGCAGAAAGTGTACTCTTCTGGTGGGTTCAGGCCGAGCTGTGCGGAGCTTCCGAAGAGCAGTGGCCGGACATACATCGCTGCGCCTGTCTCATGTGGCGGGACATAGGCAGCGTTCATTCCTACCGCTAGCTTACAGCATGCGAGGAAGTGCTCCGTCGGGACTTCGGGAATGGAAATAAAGGAAGCGGAGTGCTGCATTCGTTCAGCGTTCTTGTTGGGCCTGAAGATATTTATGGTGTTGTCCGGTGCACGGAAAGCTTTCAATCCTTCGTAGCATTGCTGGCCATAGTTTAGACCTGGAGCCATGCCGTGGATGCGCAGGTATGGGTCCTCGATGAACTCCAGCGCGGTCCATTTTCCGGTCTTGACAGAATAATGCGATTCGACATGGCCGGCAACTGCAGACACTCAGCTTGGATTGTACACTCATAGATCCATCTCAACAGCCGCGCATTTTTGCAAGATTCCGGCTATTCCGAAAGTTGGCGTAACCCGCACACTAGGAATCGTAGGCACAATGCTCCCTCAAGGCTCGGGACAAGAAGATAGATATCGGATCTACCGACCTTCTCGAATCTTGAAGCCGATGTTGCTCCAATCTGTCAAAACTGTCAGTCGCTGTCTTCATGACATGTGTCTCAGCAGTAAGCAAATTACGCAATCGACGTACCAATTGTGTTCACGGGTTGTGGGGGATAGTCAGACATTGTGATAGGCGTGCAGATGAACTTCTGTTGGGTCGAAAAGGAGGAGGAGTTACCTGCACGAAATTCAGAACTTTCGGCTGTATTTGAGGCTCTGTAAGCTCTTTGGCGGCGAGCTCAGCTGCGATATCGGTGGAGCAAATCCGGCAATATCCTTAATCAGCCGCTGGAATATATCAAAATGCCGGATGCTGCTGTCGTCAGATTATACAGCTACTTCAACTCGTACGTTTGTGCGAATCTTCTTAATCTTTACTCATCAGATAACCATTGTGTTCCTGCAGCAGGCTGAGACGGATATGGAAAGTCGAACCGGGTGGTGTGAATCTCAATAAGGGCTTGGCGTTGGAGGAATAATCCGAAACATTGAATCTGAATATCACTCAAATTTCACGCCACGGTCGCCTCTCCTCGCTCAGCGCGTCACAATCGCGGTTGTCTTTTGCTTCTGCACAGAAACCCGCCTCTTTGTTATTCTTATCGTGATGCGTGCCGGCGTGAAAAGCCGCCTTATCCTCCTTGCCTTGCTCGGATTCGCGGGCTTCACGATACTCCTACTCGGCGCATACCGAGAGCCCCCGGGCTATCCGGCGCCTATAAAGCAAACAAAACAAGGGACATCAGGAGGAGGGTCTAGTGGAGCGCTGCTGACAGGGCATGCGATTGCGCCAAAGCTGGGGAACGCAACGGCAAAGTAGGTTCTGACCAGAGCAAACAACACCACCGCGCGTGCTCACGATGGTCAAATGGACATGGCTGACAATCTTACTCCACGGCAGAGCTGAACTCGGTCGCGCAGCATGGAAGCTGCTTCACACGACGTTCGCACGCTTCCCCGAGCAGCCTACGCCAGACGAGAAGGAAGCCTTGCGGTCATTCGTTCACCTGTTCCAGCGCTTATACCCTTGGTACGCCGTGGCGCTCTCGCAGTTGGGATCATGCGCAAGCTAACTGTGTTGGAAGCGGAGAGTGTGCTGAACACTTCGGAGCAGTGTTAGCCAAGTATCCTCCTCAGGTATCGTCGCGGTCTGCAGCTGCAATGTGGGGCTGCATGGTACACAACATTGTCAACAAGCGACTGCACAAGCCCGAGTTCAACTGCGAGAACATCGGGGATGCTTACGACTGCGGTTGCGGAGACGAAGACCCGAAAGACAAGGGCAAGGGCGGGGATCCCGCATAGACCCTGGGACGAGGCGCTTCCAAAAGAGAAGACGGCAGTGATAGAGGCTCCAAAAGGAAGAGGCGCAGGTCGAGTCCGTTCCAAAAGCGATACCGTAGGGTTGTTGAGCATGGGGCTCGGTGAGCGATGTTGGAGGCGAGGTTCAGCATTGGCGCCCCCATCTCGGGGCTATCCCGTGTCTTCGACCCTGCTGTTCCGTGAGAGATGGGACAAAAGCAAATGTCTCACAGGCGTGTATTAAGAGTAGCAATTGCTCGTCAGGTCGACGTCTTCAGTGAGTTCCTGCGCAGTGGATGGCCCAAGACAGTGGACCTCCGAGGGTTCCGCAGGTCACGTCAGCGGGTTTCACAGAAAAATGTCTCAGATAGCTTGTTGTGGGTGTGGAGGGTATAGCAGCTGGTGTGTGCGAGATAGGGCCGGACTCGACATGGCAAATCGGAGCTCACGCGGTCAGCCCGCCAAGTGGGCTTACAGGAGGGAGATAGTGTGTAGACACGGGCAAGACAGGTACCTCGAGCTATAGCAGCCCGCAACGCGGATAGTTGATCGTCTACGTGCGACGGCGCGCATTCTTCCCAGATGAGCTTGTCACGAATCCGCGTCATACTGTATCGCGGGTTCCTGCGATGCGTGCACACCCACAGCGGGTGTCCGCCCGTCCAGCAGCACGACGGCGCGCCGTACGCCGTGACGTCCTCCCGGTCGTGTGGCTTGCGACGCGGTCCCGTAGCCTGCCCTGATGGGCTCGTCGCGTGATTATTTTTGGCGCGAAAGCGCGCATCGTGCAGGTGGGCGGCAGTGTCAAGCAGAGCGCTGCAGGGGTCCCGCGTCCCGGCAAATGGCACTATCCCGTCTCTAGCGCGAGGAAAATACGTGTTTGATGAGCGCACCAACACCACACTGAAACTCCAGACCAGGTCCCCGCGCCGCAGCAATCGATAGCCATGCCCGCTACCCCGTCCTGACCCTCACCGACACTCCTTCATCTTCCACTGAGGCCCCGCCAGCTGTTCACCGCCAGTTTGCATAGCGAAACTCTCCGCGACCATGGTGTCGTTCTCCTGCGAGGTGTGTTTATATTCCCCCTCGGCGCCATTCCGCCCTCAGCTGCCCCGATTGGACCCCTCAGCCCCTGGAGCTGCACTGTAGATGGCCGCTGACTGCGAACTGCTGCGAACAGAACTGTGGGGACGTCCTCACGAAAAAGAAGCTGGATGGCCACCGCAACCAGTGCTACGGCGCATCCTTCACCTGCCTGGACTGCATGGTGCATTTCGAGGGGACCAGCTACAGAGCCCACACGGTATGCCCCTCCATGCTTTGCCGCAGTCGGCGCACCGTGTTTCCAAGTTCAACACCAGAGTCGTTCTCGCGATGTTCGCCAATGCGGTGCTGCTCGCGGAAAATTCTTCGATTCGTCCCGCATGACTGAGGCTAACCAATGGCCCGCAGTCCTGCATCACCGAAGACCAAAAGTACCAGGGCAAGCTCTACAAGGAGAAGAAGAAGCCCCAGCATCAGAAAAAGGACAGCGCCCAGCAGAACAACTCACAGGCACTCGTTCCGCGCACTGCTTATGTCGAGGATGCCCCCGACGCAGAGACCGGCGCTGTCGCCATCGTCGATGCCCCGCCCCGCGCCCCTACTCCGCCGCCCGCATCAGCCTCCCTAGGCTATGAGGAGACCGCGGCGCTCCCACCAGTGAATGTATTCGACTTCCTGGAAGCATCCGAGAACCTAAACCCGTCCCGGACACATCTGCCCGTGGATGAGTCGCGCATGATCGAAGACAGCATACCGCCTCCATACCAGGAGGAGGAACCTCAGCCGGTTCTGGATGTCCTGAAGTTCCAGGTAACAGACGATGAGCACTATGCTGAGAATGGCTTCACTTATGACGACGAACCCGTGCGGCCAACCAGCGAACGATACCACTCTTCCTACAATGTCCGGGAGCAGGACCCTAGCTTCAACTTCACCACACCGGCTCCAAAGCCCAAGCACAACCGGACCAAGTCCCGGGATAAGGGTCTCGATACGACAATCAAGAAGGAAGAGCGGAAGCGAAAACGCAATTCGCCGGCCGAGCTCGATATGTCGCTCGTTCGCGCTCAGCAAGAGAGGGATGTTATGATGGCTAACACTCCGCCTGTGCTTCATTCTGGCCTGACCGGCGGTCTCAGCCGAATGCTTGCTCGTCCTGAGTTTCCGCCTTCTCCTGAATACTCTGGGGACTACGTTGAGAACTCGCCTCTCAGCCCCATGAAGCGAGCTAAGCAAGGAGCCTCAAAGGCCTTCCTCCGTGCGCAGAAGGAATTCGAGATACAGCAAGAGAAGGACCGCAAAGCCGAATTGAGAGGGGGAAAGGCACGAGAAAAAGAGGAAAAGAAAGAGAAGGAGAGGGGCCGTGAGCGCGAGCGCAGGGAGCGCAAGGCCAGTACCGCCCTCGTGAAGATCAAACCCAAGATGAAGAAGCGGGATGATTCTACGCGGGAAATCCGAAAACACCGTGACGGCGACCGTCGTCGCCGCCGACAGTACTCTTCGTCTCCGTCCCCAGCGCGCGAGCGCAGGACTCTCAAGGCTATTGAGTATCATCCATCTGCTTCGCAGTCCCCACCACCTGATAGCAACGGCCAACTAATCTTGCGTCCCAATGGAGACATTGCGCCGGTCAAGACGGAGGTTGAGGCCCGTGCAGAACTGTTCATGTCTTTCGTCACCAAGGGCCCTGAGTCCGAGCGGGGCATGAGCGTCAACAAGACCCTGAAGCGATATCACCGTGAGCGCTACGAGCGCTGGGACCGCGAAATCTCCAAGGCGGACGAAGAGAAGGAGCTTTGGAAGAGTCTACGCCTGCGGAGGAACGATAGGGGCGAGGTCGTACTGTTCTTCGCGCCGCCGGAGAGCGCGTGACTAGATCTGGATCTCGATATCATCATCCGGATGGAAGGCTGGAGCTGTGACGATCCATCCCCGGAGCTTACGCAAGATGGTTTTCAGAGTCAAAGTCTGGAGGGATAGGGAGAGTGGAGCATTTGGTGGTCATATCCCACGCATCTATGGAACGGAGCAACTGGCTAGGATACCTACACTTACTTCTTGGTTGATACCCGACCCTTGGTCAATTTCCTTCGGGTGGATTGGAGCACTTTTTGGACCGCATTTTCTTGCATCAGCATCTTCATACCCGCATCATCAGCATCACCACTCTACAATCTCTAGGCGTTTTCCTTTGTCGGATCTTTCTTTAGAACGGCGACTGCAGACTGCTCTCTTTTTTCCAATCGGCGTTCTCTATCATTTGAGTTCCGCGCAGATTTATCTACCCCTAATGCTCCTTTGGGCTGGGCCCGTTCCCGTCCGTCGACAGTTCTTTTCTTTAGCTCTTTCGAACTTGCATATATATCATCGGATAGATATAAGCTTCATTGCTAGATCCATCACTCTTCTTCATTACATATTCTCGTCGTCGACGATTGTGAGACAAGCTGCCCCAATCCCAGGACGCATACCACAGCAGAGCGCCTTGCATGCTCATGTGATGATTTATGTAATCCTGACGTTCCTCTCATGGTGTTCGGAACCCTGTCGTTGATCCCATTTCCGATGTCGTCCCTTTTATCTATCCCGATCCCATGTCGTCCAAATCGTGCCTCGTGACTCGTTACCCAATGTGACCATGCCAAATCCCGGTCCCGATAGATTACACTGCAGTAGATGGCGCCTCGTCCCACCCACCACTTCCGTGATGACCGCGATCCTCACACACCCTCCTAATCCTTCTGCTGCGATGTGCTTATGCTTATCTCCACCACAACCGCGCAACCACCCACCGCAACCCCCACCAGAGAGCCAACGCTAACCCCACCAGCACAACCAACATACCCAGCATAACACGTCCGCGCATCTCAAACGCGTCGCTGATCTCCAGTCTGGCTACCTTCCGTATATTCCTGTGTAGATGCCATGATTTCCTTTTCCTCTTCCCCTTGTCTTCCGCCTGCCGAGGCGATATTGCAGCATGCGGCTCGACGTGCGGCGCGGAGTCGCGTCGATCCCAGGTTGTGTCTACGGGGTCCTGATACGGCTCTGGATCTATCCACGCGCTGGGCCACAGGTAGCTGAAAACGGTGGATGTGCGCGAGGCGGACGAGGCGCGGCGGGCGCGGTCGGAGCGGTTCACGAGGAAGAGGGAGATGAGGAAGGAGGTGAAGTAGAGCGGTGTAAGAATGAGCTGGTGAGGATGTTTAGCAGCGCGGAAGGCCACATTGGGGTCAGTCGAAGTAACGTACTCGCGTGATGAGATACTCTTGAGGCTCGTCGCGCTCGTTGCTGGGCGATGCGGGTGGGGAGGGAGAGGGCAGGGGCGTTCGCGCGTGGCCGAGATCGAAGAAGGGATCCGCGTCCTTCTTGGGTCGTCGTCGCGTTGTTGGGGGAGAGGGCGGTGGGCTTGGGGGAAGCTGTTGCTGCTGGTGGTGGTCGTGCGCCGCATCCATCGTGCTTTAATGCTCAAAGAAAGTCGAAGAGTAAAATGGAATGTTCGGAATTGGAGAAAATAGGGCGTTTACATGGGCAGTTGAATCCGAGTATCTGGGTGTAACGAGCGGGTTGGACAGCGTTGGACTGGATTGCTTGTTCGATGGGTGGGCTTGGTGGGTCCGCATGCGGTTATCGATAGGGCTCGGCCTCTAGCATGTCTGCGCTGCTCGCACGGCTTTGTCCTTTCGCATCTCTACAGGGCTGGCAACGTGACGACACCTAGGCACAGAGCACTCAGTAACATCTCCTGACTACTTGTCCAAATCCGCCACTCTCGCCATGCAGGCACTCGTAGTATGTACGCGTAGATCTGCTGGAGACTTCACACGGTAATCGGGGTCGGGGCAACTATGTCGGAGGGTCGGTAGGCTTATTCCAGGGCCGAAAGAGGTGCTTCGTGTGCGCAGTCACGGATTTCCCAGTCTCCCAAAGGGGAATATCCATCGTCCGACAGCAACAGACATGCGCATGCCCGCGCAATCAAAGAATGAAGTGGGCACGTCGTCGGATTTAAACGTCGTATGGATATCTTGGCGCCGGTCCTATGATGCACTGCCCTAAGGCTCATGATCTTCGCGGGGTTCTTCGCACTCGCGAGCGACTCATTGGCTCGCTCATCTCGCATCTATCACCGAAACAAGCCTACGCTGCAGCAACACGATGCAGCAACGCAAGCTACACAGGCAGTGTCTGCCTACGATATCTGGCCTCTGGCATATATGAAACCGCGCTGTGCGGCCGTAAAGGCGTAAGGCCGCCTAACGCCATTCCTTCGCGCACCTTCTGGGCATTAATCAGCATCCTTTGCGCGCTGTCTTGCTGACTCAGGCCGGACGAACAACGGACAAAAGGGCACTTTGTCCCCAGCGTCTGCCACCAGTCTGTTTCTCACCCGTCACTTTGTAAAATCGACTTTTTCGCCTTCCTGGAGCTCCGATCGTGCGAGCAAGATACAGAGGAGCGAGCCGGCTTATATCTTGATTTCTGAGCCTGAGGTGGAGCGCCAGTATTTGTTCCACTGCTGCCGGACGAATCCTCGGATACGAGCACGCGCCCAAAGGTACTACCAGGCGAGAAATGCCCAAGGAAGAGTCGTTGCCGACGCGCAAGAAGATGCGCAAGGGCACTCACAGTTGCTTCGAGTGTATGTTGCTCGGTCCCGTTTGATTTCCGTTTCCGCCGTCAACATCTTTCCAAACCGTAGTTCACTTCTACTGTCACTTCCATAGCGTCACTGCCCAATGCCCACTTTCCCCTTTAGGAATACAATAGTTCTATTCGGTTCTTGTTCTGATAGCATTCAGGCCGTCGCCGAAAGATCAGATGCATATATCCACCGGACAACCCCAACGTCTGCTCAGAATGCTTTGCACGGGGGAGCAGGTGCATCGACCAGGAACAGGCCGACCCAGACGTCATCGTCGACCACAGGAAGAATCTGCGTGAGAGGGTCTCGCGCCTAGAGGCGCTCGTCGACTCCTTGCTTGAAGAGAAGACAGAGAAGACAGAAAGGAGTTACCCGGACACGGCATCGTCCAAAACGCCGGACCTCATTACCAAGCATGCATTTCCGCCTACACCCCTCTCTTCAGAAGCTTCCTCGTCGGTCCTCCAGAATGTGCAACGCGCTCCTTCCGACAGGGGACATCATGTTCCTATTCTCTCCGTCTTTGAAGATGCGGTATGTTGGGCTGGCTATCTATATACGGTCGCGTACTGACACGGCCAGCTCAACGATGCCGAACAGCGGATCAAAGCACGGATGGAGCCGTTCCGCAAAGATTCCATCCCCAACTCTAACACATCTGGAGAGCGAGAGCGCTTCACTCTTACCTACAAGGACAACATCGTGGACGATGGTTCCCTAGCTAACCAGGCCAAGAAAGAGCGGACGAAGCAGGCCCTACTCGCAATGCTTCCGCCCTACGATAAGCTGAACAAGATATTAAACAGCAACAGTGAGTGGTGGCAGACGTGGCGGCGGAAGTGCAGCGGAACGTCCACCAGCGAGCAGACGCTCTCGGAATTTGCATCTCAGGCCCTGGCTGAGGGAAACATCGGCGCCATGGGAACAGTCCTCTTGTCTGTCGGTATCTGCTCGGATGACGAGCGCGATGTCGAGCGGTATATCGAGGCCGTTGACCGATGGATACTGGCCGATGATGAATACGCGGCCACGCTAGAGGGTATGGAGTGCATGATCCTAAAGGCGAAGTGGTACGCAGACGTCGGCCAGCCACGTCGAGCATGGCTTGCGTATCGGAAAGGTCTTATGTATACGCAGCTCATGGTATGTACCTCCAAACTCGTGCGAAGTGCCAGAGTATTAATCTTAGCATAGGGACTCCACCGCAAGCGCACCTCATCCGCAGCTCATGAATCGATATGGTGGTCCCTCTACCACGGCGACCGCTTCCTCTCGCTCCTCCTCGGCCTACCCTATGGCATCAACGACGCCCACTGCGACCTCTCCCTCCTCGAAATCCCCGACTCAGGCCCACACCTCCCACCGCTTGTCTTCATGAACAAGATCTCCACCCTCGCCGGCCGCGTCATCGACCGCAACCAAGGCATCGCCGAGCAATCCTTCGCCTGGGCGCTCCAACTCGATCAAGAGCTCGAAGATCTTTGGAAGCGGCTCGACCCAGCCTGGCTTGAGTTCTCGGAGCTCCTTGCAGACGTGGAATCCAATGCCGCGGAGCTCCGAGAGAAGATCATGGCACAGATGATATACCATCAGATACGGGTGTATCTGCACCTGCCCTTCATGCTGAAGAGTCAGGCGAATAGCAGGTTTACGTATAGTCGGACCGCGTGCCTCAACGGCTCTCGCGAGGTCCTGCGCCTCTACCAAGCCCTCCGAACTGGCGAAGTACAGCCCCTCTACGAATGCAAAGCCGTCGACTTCATCGGCTTCACGTCCGCAGTCCTCATCGTGCTGGGTCTCTTCAACTACGGCTCGACCAACACACCCATCTCACCCAAAGACAAAGAAGCCGACGTGCGCCTCATCGAGATCAGCATCGACATCTTCCGGCGTGCCTCCTCGGAGAAAGGCGGCAAAGTCGCACTCCAAAGTGCCGAGGTTCTCGAGAAGATGTTGAAGAAGTTCAAGAACGAGATGGGGCAGCCGCATTGCGGAGCGCCCAATACAGACCACTGCCCCGAGATGACCGAATTCGTCATCCCCTACTTCGGCACGATTTCGATCCGCAAGGGAGGCAAGCAAGTCATGCCCGGCCAGATGCACAAGTCCCTGTCCACGACCTCGCCTTCCACCTCCCTCTCCCAGCAATTCACGCCCTCCTCTGAAAACCCATCCTCTTCCACAGACTTCTTCTCCCAGTCCGGCAGCACGACGAACGCCCCCCTCACCACCCCCTCCTCAACCACAAACCCCACCTCCGCATCCACCGACCCATCCCAACCCTTCAAGTTCTCGTCCACTTCCACCGACCCCTTCGTCTCCTACGACGGCTTCTACAACTGGGGAAACATCAACGCAGACAACGCCAGCAACGCTGGCTCCGGTCTAGGAACGCAGATCAACGATGATAGCATGAGCAATTTCCCGCTGCCGACGAATAATTTCAGCTGGCAGAATATGCCGATGGATATCGATCAGGATTGGAGTTGGTTTTTGAACGATGGCGCAGGGCAGACACCCGCGGCGGGGAATTTGGGAGCGGATGCGGGCAATCTGACGGCGGATCAGTTTGCGCAGCAGGGGTTTGGGGGGTTTGGATGAATGACGGGGCTGTTTGTATGATATGATGACGGGTTATGAGGTTTTTCTTTGTTGTTTTGGCTTTAGATATCCAGAAACTCTCTCCGCTTTTGTGCGAAGAAATGAATCAAGCTTTCGTATGCGACGGCGATTCCGCCGGATCCATGTAGATCTGACCAAGGTCAATCCCGTGAGATACGATCATTGATTCATTTTCACCAATCCTTTCATAGTGTCATTTTGAAGACCTTTAGGATACTACACACCAGCTTCTTTCCTAGCACTGAGATGAGAGAGCCTACAAGCTCCAAATGACCACCCTCCCATCCACTCCAGTCGAGCTGATCTTCGTGACCCTTCCACCACTCCCCTCAAAGCTCCGGATCGTGCTAATAGTATTCTGGTGCACGGTCTTCAACTTCGTATCGTCTGTAACCTTACCCTTCAAATCCATCTGCCTGAACATGTTCAACGCAGACTCTTCCCTCTGATCCTGCACGCCGGGCCGTCCCTTGCTCTCAATTGATCCCGCAAGCTCCCAGCCCTGCTCAGAGCCCTGCAACCGGTAGGCCTCGCAGTTGTAGCCCGCGGCGATAATTTCGGATTCGGAGGACCAGACCAACGACATGAAGGGGAGCAATTGGGTGGAAAGGCTAAGGACGGCGCGCGGAGGTTGTTCCGGGCCGGAGGGGTAGACGACTGTGAGGGTGCTGTCGTGGGCGGCGAAGGCGAGGGCGTTGCCAGACGGGGAGAAGGCGACGCTGTGGATCCAGCCCGCAGTGTTGTTCAGGAACTCGCCGCATACAGTGTTAAAAGGTAGTCGCTCGCCCCAAGCGGAGGGCTCGGGTCGGGCATCCACACCCTTGATGAAAGCCGAGAGGACACGCGCATGCCCGTCAGTCGATCCAGCAGCGAGCAAGACTGAGTTCGGATGCCACGCTACGGTGGTGATGGTCGAACGTATGGGCTTCTTGATATGCTTGGACACCCACCAGTTGTCCTCCTCTTCGAAGTAGCATACCGGGATGAGGCGAGCACCCGAGCCGACGGCGAACTTGGTTTCTGAGGGCGCCCAGCGGACGCAGGTTGCGGCGCGGTTGATGCGGAGAAGGACGAGCGTGGGCTTCCAGCCTTGCGGGGAGGGCTCCCAGACGTATGCGTTACGGTCTTCGCAGTATTAGCTACCTGATGCTGATGGTTGGGGTGGAAGTGTACCTTGAGAGCATGTCACAATCTTGCCCGTATTAGGCGCAATATCCACACCCGTGACAGTCTTGTCATGGCCTGTCAGCTCATCCTTCAATTGGAATTTCCCACCCTGTCGCTGGTACAAGTCGACGTTGTTTTCGCGGGCTACGGCGAGCGTCTGGCGGTCGGCGGAGAAGGAGTGGTCCGCGATGGGGTGGTGGAAGAGGTGATGGACTTCTGGGGGGGCCATTTTGTGGGACGATGCGCAATAGGAGACTCTCTACTATTGCAGGTGCGAGCGTATAGAAGGTTGGCGGGTGTGGAAGTGGGAGCGTGGAGGGGCAGGGCTGTGATGAGTGCACGGGCAGCTTGGCACTTCGGAAAAGTTGACGTTCAGAGCAGCCATCAGACACAGACGCTGGATTCACGCATTGCCATTGACGAGTCGGCGCGTCCGACATTACCCTCATTCTCATAGTATGTCGCCTTCTGCTAACAGAAATAAAGGACTCATTGCTCACATTCTAGCTGGCAGGTCGTCAACATGATCCTCCGAAGGCCCCTTCTCCGCGCAACCACCGCAACAGTATCAGCACCTCATGTGTGCATCCGAAACCTCCATGCCTCGATTCCTATCCGTCCGATTCCCAAACCCACGCCTTTTATTCCCGACCACGCCTCCTTCCTCACCGCCATTGGCCGAGGCCTCGCTGCGCACGCCGCTAAGATACCCTCATGGGACGCGCTGTTCACGCTCAATTCCAACCAACTGAAGGAGCTTGGCATTGAGCCCGCTCGGTCGAGAAGATATCTGCTGCACTGGCGCGAGAAGTTCCGGAACGGAGAATACGGCATTGGAGGCGACTGCCAGCATGTCACAGATGGAGTCGCCGAACTACGGCTCGTAGAAGCGCCTGTTGGACCTCATCCTGTGCCGGGCATGAGCGCACGCTCTGCCATTTCGACCGCGACGCACGATCCGGGAACGAGGAAAGTGGTGGTCAATGTGCCTGCAGGTGCTGAGGCACCCGCTGAGGCTCTTGAGATGCTAAAGGGCGTGCAGGGAGTTGTGGTTAAGGGCGCCCAGACTATCAAGGGCAGTTATGTGGAGCCGGTCAAGGGAAGCAATGGGTTGAGGGCGAGGATAAGGATGCAGGAGGGGATTTGGGAAGAGAGGAGAGGACACAAGGTGGATGGTGGCGAGAGGAGGAAAGCGGAGGTTAGGGCGAAGAGGAGGGCAGCAGAGAACAAGGAGAAGAAGAGGTAGATGTTGGATTGGATGTAGAAGCTCTAGGTTAGGCGAGGTTGAAGTGTATAGTACACATTGTTCGACTATGGAAGTGTAACATTCTAGCGAGGCTTCGATACTTTCGTCCAAATCCTCGAACCAGTCTACAACATTCTCGGATCACTACAGCTTCCTGGCGATTTCTAGACACCAATGCCTTAGGTGTATATTCCACCTACAAGCTTCCAAGAAGCTGCGGTATCTGGGTGTGCCCAAGACGGCTGTTCTAGCCGCAGGGACTGGCTTGCGGGAGAAGTACTGGCACGTTTATGTGAGGGGCTGTTACGTTCTCAGTGATGGAGATGAAACCTGCCGGTTCATTCTAGGCCTTGGTAAGAATACAGCTATGCGGCCACATAGACTTGGTGCGTGTCTGAGTGACAGCCTTCCTGCAGTTTTGGTTAGTCAATTTCGCTACATGATGGTGCAAACCCGGCCACTTTGGATAGGGCGATATCTCACCTGCATCATTGCAATATCAAGGTTACGGACGTACACGGGAATGAACCAGTTGTTTCTTATGGGGTTTAGACTAGCGCGTCAGGCGTCTCGTAGACGACTCTTTCCATTGTCACTTATCTTCTCCCGCCCTAGACCAGTACTATCGATATTATTCGGTAACGAGGGAGGCCGGCTTACTTCCTACGCCGCATTGAACATTAAACTTTAGCCTCACCCACTGTTTCCTGCTTTCTTCCCAATATGTCCGAAATGGAGTTCGGCGCCATTCTGTTACTCTACGGCATCATAGCCGTACTCCTGTACACCTTACATGGTGCATTTTGGGACTCTATCTTTCGCCTGTCGCCAAATTCTCAGGTCCAAAAGTTGCTGCTGTCACTTTCTGGTATGAGTTCTATTTTGATGTCCTTAAAGGCGGTCAGTATGTGTACGAGATCGATAGAATGCACCGAACATACGGTCAGTGATAACTTCCCCATTGTACTAGCATAGCTGAGGATAAAGAGCCTATTGTTCGCATCAATCAATACGAACTCAGCGTGAATGATACAGATCTGGATTACGCTGGGGTATCTGTTCAGGCGGTTGGGGAATAGGTTGTAGTTGTACGATACGGAGTATGAGCGCGATATAGCGTATGTGCAGAGTTATTTCATTCCGGCGTCGAGTAGGCAGAGTAGACGATGTAGGGTAGTGGAGAAGAAACACGCAGACGAGACGACGCGTTAGGTAGATAGTGAGTAGGATGCGGTACACATACCGGCATATCTTAACTTCGACCCTATAATACCACTGCTGAAGGCCTTCAGCGCGATGTACGCGCGATTTGGGTCGCAGGAGAAGTGTTGCTGCGCCGAAAGTCGGTCACGCGTGCTGGCGTCGAATCCCCGCGCTCGGTGCCTTGTGCCGACTTGAAGTTTCGCAACCACCGTGTCGAGCTGCGAAATGATCTGAGGGCGATTAATTTGTCGTATATATATTTTAAAAGTGTGCAGGATCTTCAACTAATTCGATAGCGTGGGTGGTTAGCGTTAAGACTTCTCCAAATGATTGTAGCGAGCCAGCGCGAGGATTCGAATCTAGCAAGAGTCATTTGAATTTGGGGTTTGACTCTGAGAGATGTAGCAACCGACAATGAGCGGCTCTGCGAACTCTTTTTGCTTTTTGATTTTTGATTTTGTTCTTCTTTTTTTCTGTTCTTTTGACGTTGTTTTACTGCTGAGGGTTGGGAGGAAGGAGCGGAGAGGAGCGGAGAGGAGCGGGGTTAAGAGCGACCGGAGCGGGCAGTCAGTAGCCTGGAAAGGTCACGATAACGCTGTCTAATCTTATTTTCAAACATTGGTATGACCGGGGCAGACATGTCTCCACGTCTTAGGTGCTCAGGCTCCTAGAGTGCTACAGGTTCGCCAGGAACGTCCAGGATGGCTTGAGGGACGCTCCAACTCTTAGCTGTCTTTTGCTTCCTTTTTGAACGGCTGCCCCAGATTGGCAGGTACTCCGAGACAGTTTCGAGAGGCATCGCCCTTCATCTTCTACGGCCGGGCTGATATCACGCGGTCGTCCTCGCTGCGAATCTCCTGTAGAATCTGCTATCATGCTCTCGCCGTTTCTCCTACTTGCTCTTCTATGGCATCTTTTTTTGGCTCTCAATCTTTCGGCATTGCTCAGGATCCCAATCTTCTCGCTTTCTGTTGCGGGCATTTCTGAGGTACGAGACGGAGGGGTTCCGTTCGAAGGACGCAGGACTTTCCACAATTTCGCCCAGGCTTCCGGGCCGGTGGCTGACAGGAGCTCTGTGATGAAAGGACGATCACTGTGATATCCTTTGTTGTCGTCGCTTTGGATAGTCGTGAGTCCCGAGAGGTGTCGCGGGTTGACGTTCATCCCGGACAGGCCCAGCTGTCCAAGGTCGCCTACGCTACCCCACCCAAACCCACCAACCACATCACTCCCAGTGGTAACACACCAGACCCGACACTTCGCTTCGATGCTGCGGCATCGCTTTCTTTTGGTCGTTTCATCAAGAGCATGCCTGGACGTGCATCTACGCGAGGCCGACACACAGACGCCACCACCTTCCCGATGCGCTAGGATCTGGCCGTCGGTTAGCAGTTCCTCCGTTCCATTTTCAACGTCATGAGAGGCTGGCACTCTACTTCAAGACCATTCTTTCATGGCATGCGCCATCTGACCTTTCGACTTGCCCCCTTTAGAGTTGGATGATACCCCGCGCCGCTTGTACCGTTAACAGCCCGAATCCTGTGCCGCCTGTGCCACTGAACCATACCTCATCGGACTACCAGGCGCCGTGAGTAGACGGGCTCCTGGAAGAGATGGCAAACACCGTGTACGCAGTTCTGGCATTACTGCCAGTTCTATCGTGGTATCTCTACGCACGACTAAAAGACTGGCGCTTTAAGAAATACAGCCATATTCCCGAGTCCTTCCCAAATTCTCTAGCACTCGGACATCTCAAGTACATTGCGGAAGGATTCAAACAGTTTGGAGATTCAAGGCGTCATCCTGGTGCGCTCCTCCCTTTTGTCCCTGAGAGCTCGACTGATGGGTATGTCAGATTATGTGTTCGATCTTCTGTGGAAGAAAGCTGGATGTCCTCAGCTGTTCTTATTGGATTTGCGGCCCGTCAATTATGTCACGGTTTTTGTCGCATCGCACGACATTGCCGAGCAGATCTCTAAGGTGACGAAGCTGCATCCTACTGGTGTCACGAAATCCCCAACTATTCAATGGTCATATGGGCGGCTAGTAGGCAAACGGTCGTTGCTGAGTGAAGAGGTAATCATCTTTCTGTCCCCTTCCACAACCTTGAAGATTAAGCTTTGTGGTTGACTCCCACAACGTGTCTGAAAAGGCTTCGTCACCATGCTTACGGATTACAGGGAGAGTCTTGGAAATCTCTACGAAAGCGTTTCAATCCCGGGTTCGCACCGCAGCACCTTCTCACTCTTCTGCCAAAGATTCTGCAGAAGGCTTCCATCTTCATGAACAAACTCGATGCTCTCACCGATTCAGGCATCGAGTTTGATATGGATCCTCTCTGTACTAATCTTACCTTTGACATCATCGGGGATATTGTAACCAATGTCGATTTCAGAGCCCAGGACGACGTGTCTGGGGGTAACGACATTGTGCACTCTTTCCGCTCGCTCATTGAAACATACACGGACACTGGCCGCATTTGGCTGTGGCTCAATGTTCCCGTACGATTGAGAAGGATATACTATAGCGTAAAGGTTGATGCCGCTATCAAGAGGTGCATCAAAGAAAAGTTCAACGAGATCAAGGCAGCCCAGAGCACAGAGACTAAGCAAACCAAGGACCGATCTGTACTTGCTCTCGCTTTGAAAGATACAGATGTCCTGACGAACGACATCTCACAGACCACGGCGGACCAAGTAAAGACGTTCCTGTTCGCTGGACACGATACGACATCTATATTGCTTCAACGGCTGTTCTACGCACTTTCGATCCACCCAAAGTGTCTCGAAACCATTCGCGCTGAGCATAACGCTATGTTCGGGGACAAGGATCCACGAGACGTCCTACTAGCAAAACCCGACGAAACCATCAAGGCCCTCACTTACACGTCCGCCTGCATCAAAGAAGCCCTCCGACTCTGGCCACCTGCTGGAACTGCACGTCTCGCTCCTCCTGGAACGGGATTCAAAGTGCGGTTGGACAATGGCGAGGAAGTATGTCTTGATGGAACCGTTCTCTACTCCTGCCAGTACCTCATCCAACGCGATCCCAAGGTATACGGCGAGACTGCTGACGACTTCGCGCCTGAACGCTGGATTGGTGACACCGACACTAGCTCTACAAGTAAAGACGAAGATAGCGCCGAGATTGGAGCGAGCAAAATACCGATCAGCGCTTGGAGGCCGTTTGAGCGAGGACCCCGGCATTGCATCGGCCAGGAGTTGGCGAACCTGGAGGCAAGGGTGATCTTAGCTTGTGTCATGAGGAGGTATGACTTTATCAAGGTCGGAGCTGGCGAGGTAGAGTTGGACGAGAAGGGAAACCCGACTGTGGATGAGAAGGGAAGGTATAAGACGAAGTCTGAGCTGTTTAATGTAAGTTTACCCAATTGTGACTATGGAGTGGATACTAACGCTCCTGTAGTCCATGGTTGTCACATCGAAACCTTTTGACAAGACCCGTATGCGGATAAAATGGCACAAAGCCGGGAAATGAGTGGCGATTCGAAGAGCAAGCAGAGCGTACGTCTCGTTGAAGGTTCCTTGGCCGTGTCTTCTTCTAGTTTAGGATAGGGAACCTGGTAATGGATAGCGTTTACTTAACGACACCCACTTCTCAAGGAAGGACCTCGGCTACTCTATCCTCTACATGTTCCATCTGTGACCGAAGAATGATTGATGCTACTTGACTGGACATCCGCGATCACGTGCGCGGAGCGATCGGCAACCGGGCGCTCGAGGGGCCGATGATGAGAAATCCAACCTCATCTGTTGTCGAAGCATGGGTATCGGACGAAACATACGGACAACAGTCCTATATACTTCTCTCGACCTTTATTTCTTTGCATAAACATCTTGACTTTGCTCCTACATAGAATTGACCTCAAAAGGTAGGTTCAGCCGCGCGACAGCTGTTGCAGGTACCGTCCAATGACAGCTTGTGCACAGACAGCACGCAATTCGGGTCCACGATGACATCTAGCCACCCGAACCCCGCAAAGCAGCCCTATGGCACACGCCAGGTGTCAACGGAACGGTCACAGGATTTGAATTGCTGGCTCCGAAAAGTCGGCAGCTGTCTGCATCTCGCCCAATGCTCTCAGGATGCTTCCAAGCGCGTCTTTCCTCGACTCCCCGAAACCTTGCGGGATCGTCGCAATGCCTCCATCACCGAATTGCCTTTCGACGCCGGAAGGCTCACACCGTCTGAGATTTCCGCCGCAGAGGAGAAGGGGAAGACAGTGCTGTATCTGGCATATGGATCGAATCTCTGCGAGGAGACCTTCAGAGGCGTACGAGGCATCAAGCCTATTTCCCAGATCAACGTCCTGGTCCCCTCGCTCCGGTTGACATTCGATCTTCCTGGGATACCGTACACGGAGCCTTGCTTTGCGAACACGGCCGTGCGAGATCCAGAGTCGGGGACCATCAGCGATGGACACGCAAGAGGCACTGATTACCATAAGGATCGGTGGCACAAGGGATTAGTGGGATGTGTATATGAGGTTACGCCGAGTGACTTTGCGCACATCATTGCAACGGAAGGTGCTGGTTCGGCGTATCACGACATTCTAGTGGATTGCTATCCGCTGCCCGACTCAGACACCGTTCCGGACATACCCTCAACAGGACACTTCAAAGCACATACCCTCTTCGCGCCAGCCACAGACGCGAAAACTAGAAATCTCGTTCACATCACAGACCGTTTCTCACGCCCCGACCCAGGCTACGCCCAACCTTCCCCCCGCTACCTCAAGCTCATCACGGACGGCGCAGCCGAGCTCTCCCTCCCTGCCGAATATCAAGCCTACCTCAACGACATCCGCACATATACAATTACGACCAAACGGCAAGCAGTTGGCAAAATGCTGTTCACGGGCATATGGCTGCCTTTCATAACCATGATCTTCGGGCTGAATTCGAAGTTGCAGGATAAGAATGGGAGGGCGCCGAAATGGCTGGCTACGCTTAGTGCGATGTTGTTTTTGAGCATGTGGACGAGCTATGATGTGGCCTTCAAGAGGTTGTTTGGGGACGGGGAGAGGACCGATGGGGATGATGCAGGAGACCAGTATGTGTATGGTCAAGCTGGCCAGGACAGGGATATCACCGATGAGGATAAGTTCCAAGGGCATAGAGGAAGATGGGGGAGCTATGTTCGGAACGGGATGGATTTGGTATGAGGTGGTAGCGCCCGATAGCAATGCAGGTTCCCTTCGTTGTGCGTGCATACATAGCTGTACATGGTCGAGATCGCAGTGGAAATTTAGCTGCATAGAGCGGCCTTACCTTTACGATAGCCCAATCGCTTAGTCAGCCACAGGCGAGTTTGCTCACGTTATCGTTTGGGCTGTACTTGTACAACCAACGTCGAACCTGGGTTGGATGAACGTATTGTCATACACATCGTTTCAGCACTTCCCCTAGTCAGATAACGGTGGGACCTCCGACACCATGCGACCTTGAATCTGTACGATGAGGTTCGTTCCTTTGATTCCAGGATTCCCGGCACCCGCGTAGCATCAACCTTGGAATCACTCGTCTTTTCGAATGACACGCGTGCTGCCAAACTCCGATCACTGAAAGAGATGGGGAAAGAACATAAATTCTCTCTCCGCAGTCTGTTCCGCAGGGGTAAGACGGCAAATGGATCCCCATACGACCTTCAGCTTGACTCTTCTGAGCCTGTCTCTGGCCCCGAAGCTTTTCAGACAGCAACCTGGCAAAATACGGAGCAAACGGTCGCAATGCAACAGCGCACGGCGAATTCCTGTGCAACGTTCTTGGACATTGGCTCAGGATACTCTTGCGACCGCCTTCGGATGTTGGAGTGCCGGGAGGAAGGCTGCACATTTTGTACTCTAATCCTCGAAGGTCACGCATCAGTTGGTGTAGGGAATGTAATTGAGGTACGTAGGTCGCGGCACACTCCTCAGCATGTCTCAGCTTTGGCTCTTGCAGGGCCTTGCTGAAGACCTTTTGTATGTACAGACATACTGGGTATTGACTGGTACCACTTTTATGCTTGTCAGGACATATGCTAAGCGTACACCCATATTCACAGCTAGTGCTTCGCATGGACCAGGAGCCATGCTCGGTCTTGCGGGCACGCGTTCATGACCCCTTGGGTTATCGGAATTTTGAGTTCTATCGATCGCTAGGCCGTAAGATCGATCATCACATATGCACCGCCGAGCTTACGATTAGAGGCAGACAACGATGCAGATGGTACTCCAAGCCAATTGTCTGTATCCCGCCCAGAAAAGCACATGGTCTATGGGAGGGACACTATCCATCCACAGCCCCTGTCCTGGATTGGCGCCCGCCCGGAAGTAGCAGAAGATGGCATCCGCCATGAGTGCCTATCTCGTGCTCGCGTATGGCTACAGAGGTGCAAAGAACAACACAAGCTCTGCTCTCCTCTACACATTGGGAGTGACCTCCCGGGTGGCTTTACAAATTACTCTCCCAATTCTCTCCCAAGGCGCGTTATTGATGTTGGCTCCGTTGATGAGCTTCCACGGTTATGTGACTTCACAGCTGTCTCCGCGCCTAGCAAAGCATACGCTACCCGTAAGTTGAGATATCCTTTACGTGCTCCTAGCCGCAGCAGTGTTGGGACATTAACCTTTCTAGCGCATACGATAGGGTGAATTACGGCCAGATCCATTGTCTTGGATACGATGTTGATTTTCGAGACGTCTCACAGAGTTGGTGATCGGAACCATGCTGACATATAAATCTCAGTCAGTCATTGCTGGGGTACCCATCAGAGCTACAAAACGGAAAGACATACGCTTCGCGGTCGCATGGCGGGGATGCCGTGGGACGAGATACCAAAAACTTTCAAGGATGCCATCATTGTAGCCCGCTTCTTGCAGCTACGATTCCTTTGGATAGATTCCCTCTGTATCGTTCAAGACGACCTAAACGACTGGGCAAAAGAGTCGTCCAAGATGTCTCACATATACGCCAACGCCACTATCACTATTGCAGCGGCCGCAGCGGCCGATGATATGCGTGGATTCTTAGGCCAAAGGCATCACCTCAACAGTCCGGTCCTTCATTCAACAGATGGCTTGATTAAAATCCGTAGAGACATTCACCGCGATCTTTCCGAGCCGGGCCGTCTCATGACGCGGGCTTGGGTATTCCAGGAAAGGCTCCTCTCGAGGCGAATCTTGTACTTTGAGGAACATGAGATGGTGTGGGAGTGTAGGAGTGCGAAGCTGTGCGAGTGTGGGTCGGATTTGACCTTGGCCAAGTATCGACTGCCGGAGCAGATGCTCACCAGGGCCACTGAAGCAAAATTCAGGGAAGCTTCACCTCTCACCACATACGACTTTACCCATCCAACGAAGGAGAACAGTGAGACGTTTGCATGGTGGCGGGAAACTATTGTACATCAATACACTGCGCTGCAATTGACAAAATGGACGGACCGACTCCCCGCTCTCTCTGGACTCGCAGCCATTACGGTTGCAAAAACACAGGACACTTACCTCGGTGGAATCTGGAAATCGGAGCTGATTCACGGATTGCTTTGGGAGCCAAATTGGGGTAACCAAAGCCCAAAGATACCGAGTGATTATCTCGCACCTTCATGGTCATGGGCAAGCCTCCCTTGCCAAATATCGTATACCCGGGTTAGCCCCACCACTGAGCTCGCTACTCTTGTTAACCATGATATCCGTCTCGCCACTGTGGATCCAACAGGGTCATCTCTTCTGGGATACTTCGGTTGCGATGTCACATAGTCCGCCAGACCCTACACTGCTCGGGAGACGGCAAGTTGTCTTGGTCAGGCAATTTCACATTGCCAAGGCGCATCTTCGACCTTCGCATCGTTTTGGATGAACCAAGCCGATCGATACAAGTGGACACACGTGCCCATACAGCAAAGGTCTGGACCGTTGGTAGAGGGCCTGAAAACAACTGGCTCAGCGTTGACTGCGTGGTCGCGCTGGCTTTCTTGGGGATGACGAACCTGTCTGGATTTTCTTTCCCCTATACTAGCTACCAGGGGCTCGTCCTAGGTTTATCGGCGTCTCATCCCGGAAAATACCAGCGGGTGGGTCTCTGGACTGCAGACAATGCGAAGTCCCGGGAGGCTTGGCCAGGTATACACGACTTCTCAGAATTTCCAGCGCAAGATATTGAGATCGTGTGAGGAAGTTGCTGGCCGCATGGAAGAATGAGAGGCCCCATTATGGGTTCCCTGTTTGAGTCGAATATAGCGAGAGGATGCCGTGGGACGATATACCGAAGGCTTTCTATGACGGCATTATCATCACGCGCTTCTTGCAGTTACGGTTCCTCTGGATTGACTCTCTTTGTATATATTCGCATCGAAACATTATGACTTACTCCAGATGTGTGAGGGTTGAATCTCAGGTGTTTGAGGGGTCTAATTGTTCGCATTTGGCTAGTTAATATATTCGTCTGCGTTTTCAATTTGCCGCGTGCAGTGAGTGAGGCACCAGGTGAGCCGTGGCTGAGCAGATAAGTCCCAAACGGGCTTCTGAAGATCCTGAACAAGCCCCAAGGAGCCAGAAGAGCCCTCTCAAGCACATATATAGTCTCACTGCCATAGAACCCTTGGCAAAGCTAAAATCAAAACTGAAACTTTCTCGAACCCGAGACCAGGACGCCGCGTGTGTAGCTATCAATGTCCTAGAAGTTACACTATGCAAACCCGTTCCCTTTTCATCTTTGGTAGTACCATATCCCGAGTAACCCGCGACACGTCAATCCCACTTGTTTCAGAAGGCTTGAAGTAGACAGAATGTACAGAAAGAGATATGTGCCCAATCACTTCATAATTTTCTCCAGACATACGCAAAACTTTCCCTTCTGTAGCGCCGAATCCTCCCATCATTTGCCGTTCCTGTGACCCGCAAAGTACGACAAGTACTTTGTATGATTTGGCCATGGCCAGGGTTGTCCCAACGTCGAAGGAGTTGAAAGAAATGTAAGATCTGATGGTTGAATCCGCTTCCCAGGTTGCCCAATCTCCTGCAGGTATTGCGCAGAGGCGTTGCCCAGATTCGTGGTATCTGTAATGATTGTCTCCAAACGTATAACACCCTTCCAAAGAATTGCTGAGGTGAATCAGGTTTACCTCGTACGTCTCTGATTCAACGTGGATAATTCGAGGCAAGCTCAATCCAAGGGTGTTGCCCTCATCTCTGTACGTTTCTAACCCTCTGATGCGGCCGCTGGAATCCTCAATCCAGACAGAGCCACTGAAAAGGGCAGAAGTATCGGTGATTCCATCGATTCGAGGCTCTGAGTGGCCGTTTCCGCCCCAACTAACCGCTCCGGCCCAAGAAATCCAAGACCAGGAAGGGAATTCTTGATTTCTTCGCATACCAGCCTCTACATTCCAAGTCATGCCAACCATGAAAGCGGTGGTGATGGACCATACGGGGCGGGGGACCTGAGGGCCCCAGCAATTTCTCGGTGCTGGAGTTGAGGTGATGATCGGAATCCCCTGAAGATGGAACACTGGATATTTGAGCTCCGAAACGACGTTTAAGACTCCCAGGAGAGCAAAGAGGCGGTCGCTCTCAAAAGTAAGCTGCCTCCTGGAGTAGTCAGAGATGTAGCGGAAGATCTGTGTGCTGGTGGACCACTCAAAGGTCATGTCTTTAAACATCGACTGATTCGGGGCGCCTGGTGCCATCCTTAGGCCTAGTCCACTATCGCCAGAATACAGGGGTTCGCCCAACCCATATATCTCGTCCCGCACAAAGTCGTGGCGGCATTCGAAATACGCCTGCTGATCGGTTAGGAACAATCGACGCCTCGAGAGCATAGCTTCTTGATAGGTCCAGCCTCTTTGCATCCACACAGAGCCTCGAATTAATTTTCGAGGATGATCTAGAAGGCCTACCATCTCTCGACCGTATATCTCTCTCTTGATCTGGATTTGCCTTGGCGTTTCGCCCACTCCTGGTAGTCCATGTCGAGGGCCGGTTCCGCATGCAGCAAAGATTGTGAGGGAACTGGCTTGATAGATGTCGCCCATTTGTTGAATCTGCGCAAGCTTCTCTGCGGGATTTTTCTGGTCGATGCAGTATCGGTCAATCCAGATGTATCGATATCCAAGCGCAATCGTCAGGCTCAATGCATCGCGGATCGTAACAGGCAGGTTGATCAAAGAACCTCCATCCGAGACTTCGGAGTCATCCGGCGATGTCCCCCACACGTAACTCAGTGTGGTATAATGAGAATTCTTCGGGGCTTGCACAACTTTGTCCATCATACAATCGATTACTCGAATAGGCAATTCAGGATGGCTTGATGGTTTGCAGTGGTCATGGCTCCGACTGCAATACTGCAGCCACGAGTGAATCGCGGTACAATCCAGGCGACCGGGGTTAACAGTGCCAGGCATGCAATAAGCCCACCGTTTCTTCTTGAATCTGTCCGGGTTGGGTGAATCGGTAAATGTCGCAAATCGTGGGATATCCGAGATATCATGATATGGTCGGCCCCAGTGCTCTACGATGTCTGACGGCCTGGCAATTTTTATGAAGCCGTGAGGCCATCTATCTGGCTGACGGTAGTCGTATCCTTCCCCCTTTCCTGCCTCAAATGATGTACTTCGAATTAGAGAGAGATTGTCCCGAGCAATTCCATTAGGGGGTGCGTCAAGCATCCAGTTCATAATATCGCATAGCTCACACGTGCCGGTGGGTGACAGTGCGGAGCTTGGTCCGATCTCCCGGAGAACCTGTAACTCATCGCGGCTAGGCGTCGTTGAGAAGTCGACAGCGCCACAGTCAAGGCACAGGTTGGATACCGAAGGAGACGCCATTTGTAGTTGCAATATTTGCGGTTATGAAGTTAGCGAAAAGGCGTTAGTGTGCGCCAACTGGCTGGCAGGGTTCTCTGGACCCTAGGCATTGTTAAATGAGGTGACGCATTAAAGACCTGCAATCATGCATACCGTCTATGCTCGGGACAAATTTGTCTAGGGCAGTACAGAATGTTTATATGCTCGCGTTCGACGATAGAACGAAGTTTATCGATTATTGCAAAGCTAAAGGAGAGAAAGCTAGGTGTATGGTCGATATCAGGCGTTGGCAGTAAAGGGCAATCAACTCAATATGACAGTCAGAATGAAGGATAGAACACCAATGAATTGCTTAAGATTTCCTCTTTGCTTGTAGCCGGGGTTCCTTAGGTAGAAAAGGTCGCGGGCTTCGGTAGAGGTAGTAACCGGCCGCGTCATACGGCCGTGAGGCACATAATGGCGCGTTCTAGCCCATCTTGGCGTAAAACGGCACAACTTGACCCCGCCGTCTGACACGAAGGTTCCTGCAAACTTCTCATTATGTACCAAGCTTCAGGTCGATGCCTAAGACAAAGGAACCAGAGCACAGCCTGGGAGCATTACACTCGTCACTCCTTTAGCAACGCTTCTTGCCGCTCCATAGACTGTTTAACATGAGGGACGGGAGATGAGTGAAAGCTAGTAGAGAGAGGAATTGGGTTTATAGAGGACGAAGAGGGAATGCCCATGGTTTGGAGAATCCAATGCCCGTTTGGGCGCTACAACCCACGACGGGCGATAGGAACATAAGCGCCCCTGTAATCTTTACTTTCATAGTGTCAGTTAAAAACACGGCGAGCAGCGTAGGGTTAGTATAATCCCAAGCAAACAGAATTCAGTTTGAAGCGAGTCATGGGAACAAGACAATGGTTTGGTGCTCCGCCGCTGCCTCCAACGTGCCTTCCTGAGCACTACCCCACAGTCACGCCTCATCCCACTCCGCCACTCCCTTAACGACGCCAGAAGTACCTCTCGTATATATTACGCACTATTCTACGACTCTTTCGTCTTCGGACATTTGGTCATTGAAACGATACAGAGAAGATTAGCATGGCCCCTGCACTAAGGATGACTCGCTCAATCGCCCGTCTCCCCGTTTCCGCAGCTCAGGAAAGACACTAACAAGTAACAGAAAGAGATGCTGCCTTTTTTTTGGCGAAGCCCATGGTTCGAAGCCGCATGGGATGATTTGCTTTCGCTTTACGGTTCTATTGTTCGTGGGTAGATGTACGAGGAAGGTACAGTGAGACAGCGTGACGTGGCTTCCGCTTTTGCAGCATCTGGGCGAATATGGCCCGCGAACGCTGGGCCTACGGGTCGTGCTCCTAATAGAGGCTTGCGTGGAACTGGCCGGGAAGAAGGACTGAAGGTATTCGGGCTGCACAATGCTCACTTCGAATCGAGGTGCCTTCGATCTCGGGGACCATTCCCGACTGGTTTGCGCTTTATTCACCTCCGGTCGGGCTCCTCTCCTCTAAGGCAGGAATCGTAGTCAAAGGGCGGTTCTCACTCACTATTACTAGGTCATCTACCCCCTGTACATACATTCTCTCTTCTCCCCAACCAACCGCATCCAGCTTCAACCGACAACCTCTTGCCCTAAACTCCTTGCAAAACTACATACACTGGACGCCCGACTCGATCACAGCCAACAACTCTACAAGATTGGGAATGGCCTACCCCGTAATCACCCTTCTCAGCACTTTTCTCCGACCACTCCGACCAATCGTCCGGCGCATCACAAAGTCCCACTGCCGCCCAAAGCATGCACCACCACCTGTTTAACCTCAACCGCAATACCTTCCCGACCCCGTTGAAAATGCACGCTTCTGGGCACTGTACACGCAACTGCGGTATCCGCCTCAGCATCAAGCGGGACTCACCGCTGAAGCTTCATTGACTGACGAAGAGCGCGTGCGGTGGGACGACTGGAAAGCAAAGCTGTATGAAGACTTTGCAGCGTGGCAGGCTAGGTTACAGATATTGCATAGGGCAGATGAGGCGCTTGATAGGCTGGAAGATGGATTGTTCGAGCGAGACGAGGAGGAGATCGAATTGGTGGAGTGCATTGAGAGGGCGAGGAGGATGGGGTATAAGGAGGTTTACGGGGTGGATGTAGGTGGAGATGGAAAAGGAGAGGGTGGAGATCTATTGGGTGGCAACGACGTATGAAGCTCGTCTGCATCGAGCTTCCAAGTCTGCCACAGATAGGTCCCACCCGAAATGATTGTAGCACTCTTGTATTAGATATAATATGGTCAACTGCTGCTTGGTAATTAGTTGACCCTTTGCTGATATCTTTCGAGGTCTCAAAGAAGGTCCACGGTTTCTCCTGGGGTGAACAGTGAATTCGCCGAACGCTGAAGAACGTATGGTGACAAAACTGTTCTCGCTCCCAAGCGGAACCTCGGGCATCGGCAGGCTGTTAGACCCTTGTAAAGAGCATTCAAGTTTCTGCTGTGCAACAATCGTATAGACCTTGGCACCTAATCGCTTTATGGGTAATGCTGAGTAAACTGTGCTGACTGTGTCGTAGGACAAGCCTCAGATTGGGCGGAAAGTCGCAACAGTGCCATATCTCAAAGAGAATTACAAGGATAACGATGATGAAGCCGCACACGCATCTTACCGGAAGCGGAGGACTAATTGATCCTACGGTGTGCACAAATTACTGCGACCAATCAAGCGCATAGCTGACCAGAACGAGCCGCGGCGATGCGGCATGTGCGGCGCTCACGCATGGGCATATGATATAAGAAGCTCCCTTTCGGTGTCAGCTGGATCCCTCTTTACCAATACTACCGCTAGACTTTCCCTACAACATGTCAACAAACGAGAAGGGTCAGGAGTTTGATATCGTCTTTGCGGGAGGAGGAACTTCCGCCTGCGTCGCCGCAGGTCGTCTCGCAGCGGCGGATCCCAATCTCTCCATCCTCATCATTGAACGCGGAAGGAACAATCTCGACGACCCCACTGTCACTACGCCTGGGATCTTCTTCGCAAATCTCGCCCCGGCTTCGCAGAATACGATCTTTTACAAGGCCGAAGAAGAAGTCGCACTGAACAGCCGTGCGAGAGTGGTAGCTACAGGCGGGACGCTTGGCGGAGGTAGTAGCATAAATGCAATGATGTATACGCGTGCGCAGGGCATCGACTTTGACAGCTTCGGTATGGAAGGTTGGGATCGTGAGAGCTTGATCCACTATGCGAAAAAGGCGAGTGAAGCAAGCCAGATCAACCAAGTCACTAATTGAGCGTTACAGCTTGAAACTATCCATCTCGGAGAAGACTTCGTCCAGCGTTCTAGTTCGGTCCACGGCTTCTCTGGGCCCATCGGTATCAGCTTTGGTACTCACGCACCAAAGGCTCCTCAAGATGACTTCCTAGCCGCTGCTGAGTCACTTGGTTTCCCAGAGATCAAGGACTTGCAGGACTTTGATTCTAATAATGGCTTCACAAGGAGTGCGAAGTTCATCGGGCCTGACGGAATCCGGCAAGGCGCTGCGCTGCGATACGTCAAGCCCCTTCTAGGCGATGGAGGGCATCCCAACCTTCACATCCTGCCGGAGACAAAGGTCAGGCGCGTACTCTTCGAAGGCAAGCGCGCTGTTGGAGTGGAGTATGAACCCGAGCCTGCCTTCCTCTTGCAGAGTACGAGTCTCACAAAACGAATCACGAAAGTCGCGAAGGCGAGAAAGCTCGTCGTAGTTTCATCTGGTGCTCTAGGGACCCCATCCATTCTCGAGCGCTCTGGCATTGGCAACAAAGACTTGCTTAAGGGCTTCGATATCCCTGTCGTCTCAGACCTCCCTGGCGTCGGCGAAAATTACCAGGACCATCAATTCGTGCTTTGCGGATACAAAACCAACCTCAAACCTGAAGAAACCATGAACGCCCTTCTCACTGGACGTAAGGACATCTCACAAGCACTCTCGGAGAAAGACCCCTGCCTGGGCTGGAACGGCCTCGACATTGGCGGAAAGCTGCGCATGACAGAGGAAGAAGCCGCAGCGCTAGGCCCGGAGTTCAAAGCCTCATGGGACAAGAACTTTGCTAATGAGCCCTCCAAGCCCGTCATGCTCATGGGCGTCATGGCAATGTACATGGGTGATGCCAAGATGTTGGACGAGCCGGATAGACAGTACTCGACCATGGCGTCTTACACTCCTTACCCATACTCCCGCGGTAGCATCCACATTACGTCGTCGGATGCCCTGATTCCGCCAAAGCTCATCACGGGCTTTCTCTCCGACGCAAACGACATTGACCTAAAGAAGCAGATTTGGGCGTACAAGAAGGGACGGGATATTTACAGACGTACTAATGCTTTCGCAGGCGAGCTGCCGATAGCCCATCCAAAGTTCCGAGAGAGTAGTATGGCTGCCCTGTCAAAGGGGCCCCTGAAGGAAGGCGGGTTCGGCAGCGCGGAAGAGCGAATGGCGATTCCACTAGTGGAGTACGATGAGGTAGATGACCGCGCGATCGAGCAGTTCATTCGAGAGAACGTGGAGACGACGTGGCATTCTCTCGGCACGTGCAAGATGGCGCCACAGGAGAGGGGCGGAGTTGTGGATAAGGATTTGAATGTGTATGGGACGGAGGGACTGAAGTGTGCTGGTAAGTACTCATCTGCTGGCGAAACAAGTCAGCTAACGGAGGATAGATATGTCCATCATCCCGGAGAATGTGGCGGCTAACACGTGCAACACGGCACTCATTGTGGGCGAGAAGGCGGCAGATGTCATTGCTAAGGAACTTGGTATCGTTGCGTGAGTTATAATTGTATTAGAGATGGCCCCCAAGGTCTTTTCTCCAGAGAGAACTACTCGAAAGGAACGAAGGAAAGATCAACAGAGAACAATAACGCCATAATTCAGGACAATACACCATCTTACGTAGAACCAATGCCGCCAGGAAATTGCAGTCGGGCCGTGACCACATAGCAGGGCACCCAGGAGCGAATTCCAGCCCTCAGCTTCGGCCGTGATGACTGACGCTCCAATCGCTGAGGCGTCTGGGGCGCTGCCTGCATCCGGGCGCTACGCACCCGCAACTGTCGAAAGCTCAGTGAGGAGCATGTCAGTGGGTATATCCCGAACGGAGCCATGCTCGATGTCATTTCTAAGCATGGTTACAGAACTCGACCCGTTCCACATTAGCACTATACTACAAATTAAAGCAGCGTTAAAGTCATGTCTGCACGGTGTCAATGTGCCACTCATTCAGAGATCAAGTGAGGACTCTGTGTCCTGTATTGGCTGAATGACCTGGGGCGCATTAGACGTCAAGAAGGATCTATAAACCATTCGCAGAAGACCATCCGATCGGGGAAGGCAATCATGCTCTGTGATTGAGAAGTGAACGAGAACAACGGTCGAATCGGATCGCTCTTCGATGAAGGGTTGTAATGGTCGAGGATCTGGGCGACAGGAACGTTTTGGGTAATAGCCCCTGCATCGGTCGGGGAATCGCGAGTCCGTGAAGCAGCTCGTGCTTATGCAAAGGTCTCTGTGAAAAGCAGATCCAACTAAGCATCCGTGGAACCCCTCCGTAGACGTGAGGACCACGGGCATTAGATAGACGGCCAAGAATGCATCCGTATAGAGCTGCAAGTTCCGATGGCAGATCTTCGACGAGTTTGCGGAGGTCCTCGAGGCTGTAAAGGGTCTATAGCGACTCTAGAACAAGACGTATCCACAAAAACATGCCTGCGCTCGAGTTAGCCTGCCCCTTCATAGACCAAATATATATCCGCGATCTTGCCATATGCCTCGATGAGCTTCTCAAACGCGCTCAGCGAATCGACTGTTATCTATTAACGCGAATCAATAAAGGCTTTAGCACACTGGGATGGAGAACGACTTACCATATGTATCAGCTTGACTGGCGGTCATACCCATGAGAGGTATGGAGTCCCGTTACAGAGTAGTTCGACCACTTTTGAATATGTGCTCCATGCCGCGCAAGAATGGCTCCGAGCGGGCCATGTTCCTCTGGGTGCGGCGAGCGCGGAGCTGCTGCTCGATCTTGATAGCTTCGTCCCCAACATTCTTGAGCTTTGTATTAGTGAATTCACGGTTGTCGTCTGGGGTAGCGGTGGCCGCGAAACGCTCGAAGGCGTCTTGGAGTGTGAGGCACTGACTACGACATCAACATGGCCGGGACACACTGTTCGAAGTCGACGAAGTGTAAAACCTGTCCGCAAGGCGGGTGGGCATCTTCAGCCTTGTCACTGGAGCCTGTGTACCACCGTAATCACCCTCCCATTGGCCAGCTTCTTGCAGCCCTCACCGACCTCGAAATACTGTCGTCTAGGCACCTAGTGTACGAGTGTTCCAGACGCCCCCAATTAAGAATGCTTCATTGATGTAATCGCTAGCGTCAATATAAGTGACTTTGAAAGCCGGGGTACCGCTAGCACCAGCCAACTCCTTCTGGTGCAAGAAACCAGAGTGGCGGTCTCACATCCGATTAAGAAAAGGCGGCTACAAAGCAGTCAATCGCAAGCATCATTACCGTAACACAAGACAAGCAATGTCCAACAAAACTAGCTCGTGCAGTCTGGAAGGCCTCTAATTGATTGATCAACCGTTTTTCAATACAGGACGCTGACTGACACGTCGAGGCCTAGATCTGCATCGAAGGCTTCGATTCCCAACAAACTGTTGAAGAGCCTACGTGGGCGTGTCGCATTGCTTTTGTTTACCCCTCATCTACTGCATAGCCGCAGCCGCGACCGCTGCCCATTGACTACGTAGGAGATGCGTCCGGAATCGGGACAACGGAGCTGTCTAGGGTTTATTCGAGCTCTTGGTCCAGAGCCGGACAGGAAGCAGAGAGACAAGATGAAGGATACTCAACTGGTCAAGACGCTTCTGTGGGCTTGCTCATGGCCTAGGTCTCCCATTGAGAGCAACACGAGTCCCCTGTTCATCGACCATCCCCGCGAGTCCACTTGCCTTTACACCCTCACGCTCGAAGCTTGCCTCCGTTTTCCGTGCATTTTGCTTTGGCATTCAACAGCATCATCGACATGAGCCAAATAAAGTTTTGTAGAATACGTGGAAGAAGCGGGGATTTCGGATCGGTGGTGTGCACCGAGACGTATTCCACGCTGTGTGGTTCACGTTCTCACCGCTTTCTGTTGAAACATCCGCACTCTCGCCTCTACCTACCTACCATGGACAGAGTCACGGCCAAATCAACAGCATCGAACAGGTCCAACATGCTATTGGTTACACTGCGGTTCAGTGGAGCGGTTCTTGGTAAGACAGACTCTTCACGTACCGCACATTCGGGCTGAATACGAAGCAGCTCATCACCACCGATCAGCCTGCTCCTCAACAGCGCATACCCAAACTTTACATCTTGGCGTGAGGTTCCGGCTGGGTCACAGCAGCGGCTGATCGATGCGGTCAAGGCCCGACTCGTCAACGAGGACACCCGCCCTCCCGCAAACGACGACCTCATGCACCGAGCTATCTGGTGGAGCATGACCTAAGTCATCAAAGGCAAGAAAGCTAAGTTTGCCTGTGAGCTCCAGCACAGTTCCCCACCGTGATAGAACCAATCCTAATCCGGCGAAAGTAGCCTTGTAGCAGCAACTACTGGCAGAATCAAGCAACGCAGTCAGCGAGTCCCTCGAACGAGTCTCTCCACAGCCTAGCGAAGGTGGCCCCATCATTCACTGGAGAATTAGTGGAAAACTACATGACTGCATCGACCCCCTGTAATGCAGCATGCGTCCTGCAAAAGTTGCCTGATTAGAAAGAACCTGGGAGTTCTGGTCCTTCAGAGACCAAGCATGTCTTACACGCATCTGCGCGAAACATCCGAAGTCGGACAGTCAGTCTAAACAGGTCAGCCTCCAGGCGGCAGACTCCAGGCATTGCCAGAGCTGGGCGGCCGGGTTGAGGTATTAATGAAGATACCTCCGCCCTCCTAAACCTTTTCTCTGGTCTCTAGATTGGTATGCACCGTTGATCGAATCTCCTCCAATCTAAAGCTTCTTATTCTTTAAGCCTTGTCTCGATCAAGCTCATTCAATAGACACCGAAGGACTCAAACAAGGGACAATGACACTCTATCAATGTAAGAGTTCAGTCATCACCTCTGTATAAGTACTGATGAAGGGGTATTCTAGAATGCCTTGCTACAATCTCGAGATCATCTCAGCCACTTACGGCACCAACATCGTCACTGCCCAGGCCCGCCAAGCATACAGCGACTTCGTCAACAGCGATGACGACGACGCAAGAACGAACATTTTCAAGATCACGCCCGATGATTACAAGTTCGGACCAGACCCCTCAGGGGGTGAGCATAGGAACATGTTTGTGATGGTCTGGAGGGTCCCACTAGCCAATGACGCGGACACCACCTCCACCAGGCTTTCCTATAGCACCTTCCAAGTCACACGCGGTATTCAAGACGTGGAGATCGAGGTTAACTACGATGGCTCCTCCCTATCCGTTGCCAAAAATCCAACGAATTCCCCGGGCGACATATACTTAGTGGATGCGAGCTATTACGACAAGGATGTCACTGCGGATGTCCAGAATACAGTGACTGGTATGAGCAGCGATAAGACCAGTGTGGTTATATCGGTGCCCCCGACTGGATATGCCATCAACTCAACACATAAGAGCCAACTCTCAGTTACCTACGGATACCTTCTGCCCGATGGGCAATATCAATACAACGTCAAAACTGCCTGGGACGGAGGTATCATTTCCATCAGGAAAGGACCAGCACCACCACGCCTCCTGATCAAGGCAGCCAATTTTGGTGGCGTTGATTTCACGAAGCAGGTTCAAGCATTGATAACTTTCGATCAGACGATCTCACTCGACATGACTCACTGGGCTCATCTGTACGGCTGGACCGATCCCCAAAACAGATTCGTCTTTTGGGAAGACAATGTCGATCTTGTACCAGTGGAGTGACCGGCCACTGGAACTCCTCATGACTCCAGATAAGTCTGGCATCAGTGAGCTTGACCCCACCACCGCAGTTGACAACTCCCGCACCCTGTTCTTCAATCCAAATGGTCGCAACGCTGGTCAACTTAACATTATTGCCGTACTCTGGGGCAGGATGGAGGGCCAAACTGTTCTAGGACCAGTGGACGGTAAAGTTTTTCAATACCTGAAAGACTTCGCCATGCTTCCAACACCAACCCAAGCTTTTTTCGGCTTCGAGGGTTGGAAGGGTAAGACGCCATGCGCACAAGTCTTCTACCAGTACGGAGTTTCGGGCACTATTCAATGCTCCTCAGCATGGGAGAACGGAGCCTCAACTAGTCTGGCATCACAGACTGCCTCTTTCGATGACCCTTTCCGATCAGGCCGCCTTTTACAGGCTATTGATGGACAAGCAACAAAAAAGACTGGATTCCGGTTAAAAGATCCCAGGAGCCAGAAGTACCTCTCTTACGTCCCGAACAGCGGACTGTTCGCCAATACAGCAGATCCGTCTAAAGCCTCGAGCTTCATGCTCGACTCATCCTCTGGAAGACAGCTCCTTGCATGTACGGACAAGAAGACCTATTCCTATGCGTATATTGGGGCAACCGACAACGGCGTCGACTTCGCCACTGACACAAACAAGGCCGCCGAGGCCCACTATGAATTGCCGGGTAGCTACGCGACTCTTTTCCTGATCTTGAGCTTCACCTTCCCAAAAGCCAGTTCAATTCCTATTGTGTTTTCGACGTACAAGACTGGAGACACCTTGATCAGAGCTATCCCTATTCATCAATACAAGATCGACAACGTCATAGTCCCTACCGATACCTACATATTCCAGTTTGAGTGGGCAACAAAAGTCAACGCCTCAACAGCTGCAACCGGATCATGTACAAAGACACACGTTGTACATAGGAAAGCTCTCCGCCAACATGACGCCTCACCTCTTGCAGTAACAACTGGGTTTCCATTCGGTAAGTAATTTCCAACTCCCATTCGGTGAGTTCACAGACACTAAAGCTTGACTTTGCAGATCCTTGCACTTTGGCCTAGTTCTATCTGATCAAAGACTTCTGCTGGGACTTACCCACCCTCATGTTCGGAGCTCCGTCCGTCACCTCGACCAAAGTCGTCAACGGGGTGATCGCCTGGTGGAAATCAATCCCACAAGCCGCCCGTGATAAAGTCGCGCTCCTAGTGACAACCTTGCACGTCAATGTACAAGGCGCCGCAACACCCGTTTTGAAAAACCTGTGGGAAGATGCCTGCAAGCTTATCAAAGGGATCCACAAAGCGGATGTTCTCTGGTCCCTGTATAGATCCATCGTTAGCGACTTCGACTGGGTCGACTTCGGCATCCTCTGCGCCAACCTCCTCAAGTACATCCTCGCAGGCTCCACAACCGGTGCTGGAGCAGCCATCCTCTACGCCACCGATGTCGCCCTTTGGGTCCTCACCGTCATCAAAGACGGCATCGCCTGGGTCAAAGTATGCATCCCAAGTATTTCCAAAGCGGCGAACGACAACATCCAGAAGTTGGCCGCGAGCGTTCACGCGGCCATATCTGTGAAGAAATATTCCTATCTGGGAAATGAAGAGCGTTTTGACCTGATCAAAGCCCTCCTGGAGCCGCATTTCACAAGAATCATCACTGGTGGGCATGGCATGCCGCCTACGAAACACTTGCGGCCATCGCTACCGAGTCACTCGAGTCCACCGAAGTTGGGTCGTATACCAGACGTCTTCAATCGGCAGATGCATTCTTATCTGCATGCACAGCTGGATTTGAGTCCGGCTGGTCGAAAGGTCGAAAGGGAGCTGAGGGGTGAGGTAGAGAAAATCATGGAGGGTAGGAAGTGGGAGGTTTTAGCCTCGTTCGAGTGATCGCAGCTCAAAATTATGGGTATATTTCCTTAGGGACTGAGAGACAAGAAGTGCCACTGTTGAGTGCTAATGACTGGTGGAGGAAGGATGTGACTTTGCCTATTTTGTGGTATGTATCTCCTTACTTTTCCCCTACTGTCGATATGAGGACATGGACAAACACTCGTTTTTACGACCTTTCTGTTCCGACTTGGATTATGATATCAAATGAAGATCAAACAGTATTCTAGATCAACACATTCATTCCAGGCTTAGAATATCTAAGTGGTGACTTAACACACTTCTAGATTAGGTCTAGCGATTCATCTCTGGCCTCTTTCTTGTAACTCCTCTTAATTAGCTGTCTTCCAGCTTGTCAGCAGTTAGACATTGCAACTGCAGACAAGTTCGTCGAATGGGTGAAAGGAATGACAAATTTTCTCTACGCGGAAATGGAAATTCCATGCCTAGAATGCATGGCCATAATAGAACTCTCACACACACATATGCCGTGGTGCAGGCGATGGGGGAGTGATGGGGGAGTGAAGAATAGATAATCCGTTCACGTGGGAGTTGGGGTTTGGCGATTGAGCGCTTCTTTTCCCGTACATAGAGGCGTCAGCTTACGAAGCATAGACAGAAATGGCATCAGAGTGGGCGGACCACTAGAGTCGCTGACGCAATGTAGCCTCGATGGGTACCTTACTACTTCCGGTGTCTTGGCACTTGCGGTCACTTGGGGTAGCCCCGAGGGGAAGGACAACGACAAGTACCCAGCTGCGATACAACTATGCAAAGGCTCAGTCACGAACATCAGGAAAGGGGTGTTCGATGATAATGGAAATTTCGGCAGCAATAAGTGGCTTGGAAAATTCCAACGCCGCAGGTTCTCGAAGAGCAAATATGGCTTTAAGCAAGTTGGTAAGTGTTTCTGCTACAGTCGTGGAACATGAAGTAATACTTTAATTAAGACAGGTTTAATCTCCTGGCGGTGGTTCTGTTACACGAAATGACGCATACGCGTGCAGCTGTACCTGGTGGACTTGCCGATGTGAGTACTTCCTCTGATGGCTCGAGATATCCAAAGCCTTACCCACCCCACTAGGTGAAAATCTCTTTGAAGACGCTGCCCCTGCTTCCAGTTCGTATCCTCCCTGCTTACCGATGGGACCAAATCAAAGCACTTGCCAAGAGGAAACCGTATGTAGAAACCTATGCGAAACACGGGCCTGACAATAATTCCGACAGCGTTGCATACTTTGCGCTAGGTACATATGTTCTGACCGCCATTGATATTGATAAGACCAATGCTGATCAACCTAGGATGCTGGCTTATGAGTCGCACCAACAACCCGATGGCGATCGGGGGCGATGGCACAATGAGGAGCCTCAATGCACCGGTGACTTTCCCCTAAGCCATCTGGGCAGAAGAGAAGCAGGGAGGTCTAGGCTATCCAGGCAATTGTTGAAAGAAGATAGAGATGGCGTTGGTGGCATGATTTCTTTGAAAAGTCGAACTTTTTCCGGTCTTGCCTCTTTATGTATCTTTGTGGAGTTAAAGAGACAAGCTTATTCCAGTACCGTACGCTTCCACATTTTCTGGTCTTTCCCTGAACGTGGTGACAAAGTTCGCCTCTCTCAACCGATCCCACACCGCGGGCGACGGCTTTACATTTAGCTCCACCTCAAATACCTTTGCATTGGCGCTCTTCAGTGGGTTTAAAGCGGCCATCAGTAATGAATCTAGGTTGCGTGCGTCAATCTGCGCAGTGATATCTAGTTTCAAAGACTCGAGGCTCGGTAATTCGCAAAGGAGTCGGCCACACTCTTCCCAGTTCAAAGGGTTTTCTGGTGGCCATACCTCATCCTGGAGATAGAACATGGCAGCGCGATCATAGAGAGTAGAGAGGTGGATATGGTGGACGGCGTGCCATTGAACCGTTGATATGGAGGATTGGAAAGCCAAAAGACCCGGCGCTCCTCTGAAATGGAATGTGTTGTCTCGATACAAGATGGGAAGCGCTTCTGAGTACCTGGTCGCTGAGTTAGAAGCCATCACTTGTCTGCAAGTCTTCCAAATCTGCACTTACACGATACGGCATGTTAACAGGAGCGAAAGCAGCTTGTCATCCGTCTTGGTTATGCACCGAGAGACGAAACGCGGTAGTGACCCCGGATTTTGTTCGTATCTCTCGCCGTAGCATGCGTGCTGCCATGTCGGAAACGGCGAGTCCATGTCCATACACCAGAGATGGGCGACCTTTCGCTGCTTTCGTTCCCAGGCTCTCCGCTTAGGCCATTCTCTGTTTCTGCATATATGCAGGAAGCGATGGGGGTCGGTGAGCACGGCTCGGTAGATCGTGATGCGAAGCTCCGCGCTCAGTTTTTCAAAGAGCGGGCATCGTCGCTGTGGATTCAAAGCGGGCTTTGCAATATCTCCGTCACGAAGAGGCCAGGCCGCGTGGTATGATGGTTCGAAGACGGAACGCGCCCTTCGTAGGGCTTTGTTCAATGTTTCGCGCATCGTAAAGGTGAATGTACCGGGGATTCAACAGGCCGGGCTGGAAAAGCAGGAGTTCTCGGTGGGAGTATTGTTGTCGGGGGTTGTGCGAATGTTGGAGGAAGGACACCTCTGCTCAAGATTGTTGTTGGCTGCGCCACATGCACCTGCTGGACTCCACCTCGACATAAAGATAATGCGCCGCATGCCACGTATTCGTTATCCGAGTTCTCGCAACGAACTGTGTAGGCAGAAGCTCCGCTTTGCTGTTAGTCAGCATACCCACTCTAGGTTGGCGACTCAAAACGAAAAAAAGTCCATCAATCAATGAACTGCATGTTTCCTAAAGGCTTACCAGCCCGGATTGATGTACTGAATTTCCGTTCCTTGCAGTGAAGAACCTACGAAGATGTCGTACTTTTTGAATCACCGAGCTAGGTAGTCAGTTCGCCAACATCGGTGACTAAAAAAATACGACGATTTTCGTAGTGCCATATACGCTGTTTCTGAAGTGCTTCGTAGCCCTTTTGTTGCGCTCAGCAACCCTACGCTTCCTGTCTTGCTTATCGCGTGTGCGGTTCCCGATTCGCACTTACGGCTTCCCTCTCCGTGTCCACAGCGCCTACTAAGAACATATCCCCCTTACGATAAGCATAGCACAACTCGCGCCCGGACTTACCTAAGCATCCATCCCTCCAACCCAGCATTGTAAAGCCACACCCTTCCCAACCCAATTTCCGAATCCCGCCCTCGCCCTCGCTATCCTACATCAAGCATCAAGCAGACCCCAATCCAGCAACGGAGTATACATTCTCCCGGACACTGTATCGGTACTCTATCAACCATCTCTTACAACCTCCCAACCTTCCCCCTTGCTACCCCACACATCGAAGAGAAACACTCACCCTAGGCACACTCAAAAGATACCCACCATCACCATCACCATCAACACAGCCCTCCCCTCTCCCCTCCCCCCTCAGCCCCTCAGCCCACTCGCCCACCGCCTTACCGCACTTGAATTCCCTCGCTGCTCTCAACACCACACCCGCTTCCTCCGCTCCCAGCTCCTCGTCGCCCGCTCAACAGCCATCATCGCGCAAAGCGGCAGGCGCTCGACGAATCCCTCGCCGCGGACGATGCATACGGCAAGCTCTGTCGTGGCTGGGAGACCGAGGAAGCGGAGCAGGAGTTGATCGAGGTGTTGGAGCGGTATCGACGGGGGGTATCTGGAAAGGAATTGGTATTGCGGTGATAGGGATAGGGATAGGATGTGTGATTTGCCGCCGTTGGGAGGAGGACCTGTGGTGGCGGGTGGGAGAAGCGTTGGAGTTGTTTTGGGGATTGAAGCTGTCTGTCTACTTTTGAGCAGTTTGCTTGCTACCACATAGGAATTAACCACTAGACACAAACCATATCAACACTCCACCCGTCCCGTCCTATGAACGAGAGCAACAACCTCGAACACCCATCTCTAACGTCAGCGAACTCTTATCTAATCCCCCTTCCTCTTCCTCCTCCCTTTCCCTTCCCTTCCCTACCCTCTCCACTTCCCATCACTCCCGTGCACCCCAGCCGCTCCCACTACTCGCCCACTCGCATGAAACGAACCCCTCGGCAGATCCCTCCCACCCCATTCATGCGCACAAAACGGGCGCGCGGCGCGGGCGAGTCATGTGACAGCCGCGGCATAGCCGTTTCGCGCCCTTGCCACAGCCGCGCGTAATGTGCTGATCTCGTTTGCGTTTATGGGCAGCGTGCAGGGATGCGCGAGTACGGCAGTACGAGAGTACGGCGGGGCGAGCAGGAAATGAAACCGCGGCAGTCGAAACCTGAGGCTGCCCGCGGTCAATCATGACGGGAGCGGGAACATGGATGACGTGACTTTGGGGGAAGGAGGAGCATGGGCTGAATGCAGAAGATTCCCCACCAGGAAAGATGTTCGATTCTTCTCAACGCACAGAGGTGCGCCTTCCGTCTATCACGATAGCCCGTTGAATACAACACAGAGCTTCATACGCTCCCATACATGCTATGCAGTCAATGCAGCCCGACCCATATATACGCCTCGAACCATTGCCATGAAACGACTGACAGGAAAGAAAGAAGGATATTTACATTCGCATTACAATAAGCGATAATGGATATCAAAAATGGTCTACCAAGTATGCGAATAGTCGTTACCGGACCGCCTCCGTCGTAGGTGGGTGAGCGGCGAGAAAGACGAATCGCCGGTGGATGGGGTGTTCCGTTCGAGTTTTTGTATATGTGAGACATCGAGTGACGCAGGATGGATGATTGGCGATTCGCGGGGGGAGTCGTCGCGGAGAGATGAGGCGGTCGATGGTAGGAATGGTCGATCGTTCGGGTAGGCATGTACGCGCGCCAATTAGAGGGTCCTCGAAATACAGGCCGAAGCAGCAGTATGTATACGTGAACATGCCATGATACAGGCGGTCTACGAATGTTGGAATAAGCATAGCAACATAGAAGTCGATGATATCGAGGCAGGTAGCTCTGCGCTCTGTTAGCAAACGTGCACATCACTCGAAGGTTTATCGAGCACAGTACTCACCGGGAGACGTCTCGTCTAGTTATTCGGAATTGGCTTGCTCTGTCCCTGGCCAGACCACACACCTCCGCCGACGGCCCTCGAGATGCCAACGCCCAGGCCCACAGCCGCGGCCACGACGACCAGAGCAATGATGATCTTAGCCCAAAGTCTCTGCTTGCTGTTTAGACTCCGGAAGAGATTGCAGCCCTTGGCGCGCCGGCTCATCTTCCGCTTCTCCGTTATCGTCTGGCGCGACGGCCACATGGTGCACTCCTTCACCCGGCCGTCGACGGACACCTTGGGGTTCTGCGTGGTGGCGGCGCTGAGGGGGACGCCGGCCTCGAGATCGCGCTCGTGGAAGCCCACGTCGAGGTGTACTTTGCTCTGGGCGCGGCTCTCATCTAATGAGCGACGGGCCTCGGGGTGCTTGTAGAAGGCGGAGTAGGGGTTCGTCGAGTCGACGGGCGTCTGCTTCTCTGCGGAGGCGGACATGGTGGAGTCGTTGGAGGGCGGCGAGCGCAGGGCGGGCTGGGGCTTCGTAGGGGCCTCGATTGTAGCGCCGAAGGTAATTGGTTTCTCGGTGTTTGCTGCCATGCTGCGGTGGCCGGCTCTGCTTCAGGAGTTGGTCGTCGCGGTGGTGCTTGCGTCAGTCGAAGGGGCAGCCCAAGGAGAGACGACGCTGGCGACGGCGGAGCGCAGAGGCAGAGGCAGAGGCAGAGCAGAGGCGGCGCTGCACTGGCGGGCGCTGTGAGGCTTTTGGGTAAGTCGACGGCGATTCAGAGGCGAAATAGCATGGAGCTCATCAGAGGATGTGACGTTTATCCCGTGGTCCGTGGGTTCAGCTCTACAAAACCGGCAGGCGAGACACGGGCTCGTGCAGGCGGCGTGCAGGCGGCGATGCTGGGGAAGGAGCGGGAGGGTAGCTGGTCGGCCAGCGTCAGCTACGGGCTGCTGCGAAGAAAGAATGAACGGAGACGAGGGCGGTGGAACGAGTGGTCAGTCGTACGACGAGCAAGAGAAGGGGCTGGTGGTGGTTGGATTTGAGGAGTCCCCCGGCCCGGTGGAGGGCCAAAACGTTCTAGGCAAGGGCCTCCGATCGCTGCGGCGGCGCTAGCCGTCTGCAGCTCCGCGCCCGGCTGTCCTGCCTCCAATTCCTTCGAATTGCCAGCGCCCGCAAACCTTGGACGTTGCGTTAGATGAGCCGAGTATATCGCCGCCCTGCTGTTCTGCCCCAACAGCCTGCTCGCCCTCGTCAATCCAGGACGCCGCCCGTCTCAACGTCCCAAACTCCCCCACCCTTTTCGCCCAAACCCGAAATACCACAGTGCTGCCATGCGCACATACGATAAGCAAGCAATACGCGGCGCATCTGCATTTAGCTTGTGCCATGCACGCCCGCATCACACGGCTCAGCGCGTCCCTGAGCACCGTGGGAGGCTTGCCGAAAGCGGCCAAGCGCAGCTGGGCTCTAGAATTGGCGGATGCACACACTCACTGGCGGCTGGGCGCGCCGCCGCTGCACAGCTGACAGCGTAGACTGCAGCGGGCTAGACGCATGCACAAGAAAGATTGGAGAACGCATCTTTGCCGCTGGGCGAGGGGCGCGACACGTGCACGGGTGGATTCGTGCATTTGCCGCTCGATGACATCCATGCAGCCACAGAGGCCTCGTATGTAAAATTCAGACTTGCTTTTCGCTGCATAGACTAGCCATCTGTGCGCCAGGCCGAGATGAGAATGCAAATGCTCGCTCAATGCTCTTACACAGTGCTCCGTAAAGACGTGCAACTGCCATCCAGCGCTCTGCCGAGTCCCTACTGTGTATATGTGGAGAGGAAAAGAAACCCCGCCATGTGTAAACGCCCAAAGGTATGATGCCGCCGCTCCAATCTATGACCCTGCGCAAATGCGCCATTAGATATTACATGTACCAGAACCCAAACTTTTTCAACCCTGATGAAGGAAGTCGTCCCTGCGAATCCCGCTCCTATCGCACATGCTCCTGAAAATCCCACCTGCGTCGTACAGCCTCATCGGCGTGTCGAGCTCCGCGATTTGGCCCGCGTCCATGACGCAAATGCGGTCGTAGCCGATAATCGTCTTCAGCCGGTGCGCGATGCACAGCAGCGTCTTGCCCTTGAACCCGTCCACGATCGTCTTCTGGATCTTCTGGTCCGTCTCGAAGTCGACCGACGATGTTGCCTCGTCGCATACGATGATTTGGGACCCGCGCACTAGCGCCCGCGCAAGCGCCATGAGCTGGCGCTGCCCTAGCGAGAAGTTCAGACCTTCCTCTTCAACTACCGAGTCTAGGTGGATGCGGCCCGACTTGTCGTCCATGGACGCATCGTTGGAGACTAGGTCCGCTTGCCGTAGCGCACCCCATAGTTCAAGGTCCGAGTGCTCGTTGAACGGATCTAGGTTGGAGCGCACTGTGCCCTTGAACAGAGTCGGATCTTGGGGAATAATGGCGAGCTTGGAGCGCAGGTCGTGGAGACCAATCTTGCTAATGTCGACGCCGTCAATGGTGATGGTCCCTCCGGAAAGCTCCACCAAGCGGAAGAGGGTGCTCATGATGCTGGACTTGCCGGCTCCCGTCCGACCAACCACGCCAATGCGCTCGCCTGCTGCAACGTGCATGTTGAGCCCTTTGAGAACCAGCGGCAGTCCATCCCTGTAGCGCATCTGGACCTTGTCGAAGACGATCTCGCCGTGTTCTGGCCACGTCTTCCTGACTTCACCCATGTGGAGAGGCGCCTCCTCCTCCAGCATCGTGCCGTAATGATGGATGCGCTCTGTCGCGTTCATGTTGTTCTCAACCTCGGCGAGCTGTCGCACCGTGAATTGGATCATCTGGACGATCGTGAGAATGTACGAGAGCACCAGTCCTGCAATACTCGGGTTGACGGAGAATCGAGAGGTAACCACCAGGATGCCGGTCGTGAAGACAAGGAGAATGCCGATGACGTCCAGGCGGATGCTGAGCCAACGCTGATTCGCAAATGTCAGGTAGTATGCGCTATTCATGTCGTCGATAGCGTCGCGGACACTACGAGAAAACTGATCCTGAAGTCGATAGGCACGGATCGTCGGTGTTCCCATGACTGCCTCACTGAAGCGGGCGAAGACACTGCTACGGAGGACCGACTCGTGCCGCTTGACCTCGCGGGCAGATGCTCTGTAGTACGCAGCGGAGAACATGAAGACGAGAAAGAGAGGACCCAGGGCGATGGCGTAGTAATAGTAATAGGCGATGATGAGGATGAAGACGGATATAATCATGGCCAGTGTCATGAAGTACATACGGATTGCGTCCGTCAGCGTGTTGTCCATGACATCGATATCCTTCGAGAAGCGGTTCGTGATACGGCCGAGAGGCGTGGTATCGAAGAAGGACATCGGAGCGCGAAGGACGCGGTTAATGGCACGATGGAGCATCACCTTGCCAGCCTCAGTGCCGAAGACGGAAACGGCGATAGAGAAGGCAAACATCATCAAAGCCTGCGAAGCTCCGAGTGCTGCGTAAACACCGATCTAGACAAATTAGCCAAGAGCACTGCGTTGAAATCAAGGCACTTACGTAGGTTGCTTCGCCGTATCCGAACTTGTTGGAGGTCCACCATGAGAGCCACAAACTCGTCGCAATGTTGGCTCCTTGGGAGAGGATGAGGAGGAGTATGACAAGCGGGCCGACCCAAAGTCCACCTCCAGCTCTCAGGTAGGCAAGCCAGACACCCCACGACACACTCTTGACGGCGCGGTCTTCTTCCTGCATGAGCGCCACAGCAGGCTTTCTCTTTCTCGTCTTCTTCTGCATCTTCTTCTCATCTTCGACTTCGTCCTCGTTGACTTCCTCCTCCTCTTCCTTCTTCTCTTCTGATGCTGTCATGGTCATGAGCTGCTGGAAGTCTTCGTTGTGCGCCATTAGGTTGTCAAACGTGTCTATAGCTTGGATGCGGCCTCCTTCGATCCAGACGATCCTGTCGCACCGGCTTAGGACATGAAGCTGATGGGTGGCGAGAATGCGGCACTTGTCCTTGAGCAGTCCGCAAATGGCATTGTCCATGATATGGCGGCCAACGTGCGCGTCCACAGCAGAAAGAGGATCATCCATGAGGACAATATCGGCATCGAAATAGATGGCACGAGCGATATTCATGCGCTGTTTTTGACCGCCCGACACAGTAATGCCTCGTTCGCCGATTTCGGTCTTGTCGCCATTGGGAAGCATCTCGAGATCTGGCCGAAGCGCACAGGCATCGATGACCTTGTTGTACCAGTCCTGCTTGAACTCTTTGCCAAATACAATGTTCTCCTTGACGCTCGCATTCTGGATCCAGGCGTATTGAGGGCAAAAGGCTCGTGAAGCTCCAATCGTCACCTCGCCCTTTGTCTTTCTCATGTCGCCCGCCAAGGCAGCGAGCAATGAGCTTTTTCCGGAACCAACACTGCCAATGACAGCAAGCAGCTCGCTTCTCCCGACGGAGAGATCCAAATCTTTCATTTCGAACGGCTGCTCCTCCTCTTCTGCTTTCTCCGCAGTGCCTGGGGGCGTAGGACTGGCATTTCCCTTCGCAGACTGAATGCTCGCTCGCTTGTCCTTCTTCGTCTTCTTGTCTTTCCCAGGCTTCTTTCCGGGAGGGCCTCCGCCGGACCCCTTCGTAGGGGCGTCTTCATCTTCGCGCGTGGGGTGGCGCTCCCAAGTGAACTCCGCATTCTTCAACACCACAGCGTCCTGCGCATTGTAGTCCCACTTTGTATCCTCTTGAGCTTCTTCCGCCAGTAGGAACTCTTGGATTCTCTTGACCGAAGCATTGGCGTCGATAACCTGGCCGATGACGAGCGGGAGGAAGTTGAGAGGAAGACGAAGCGAATTGAACAAGGCGAGAGACGAGAATATGGGCGCGGGATTCAGCCCGTGGTCGGTAAGCGAGTATGTGATGAACGACAACATGGACGCGAAAACGGGCATCGACATGCCAACAGCCAGAATACCGTTTCGAATAGCGAGCAGAATCTGGACGCCGTGGATTTCCCGCCTCCTGATGGCATCGATGCGCTCGAGAAAAGCGGTCTCCCATCCGAAGTATTTGACAAAGCGTACGGCTTGAAGGATTTCCTGCGTCAAGCCGACACGTTGATCAGTCGTTTTGTTGATAGCCATCCTTCGGCGGAAGAGAGAACGGACTGCTCGCCCTAGCAATGGCATTGTAATTATGAGAAGTCCAAGACCAGGAAGGGCGCTATAGGTCAGATTGACGAGGAGCAGAGCTATTGTGACGAGGATTGCGATCGGAGAACACCAGATCATGTGGAAGAAGCCGCTCGCTTGGTCGACGCGGTACGTATCAGTCGACATCAGATTGATGATCCTGCCGTTGCCCCAGCCCTGTCCATCCCCAGACACGCCCTGCTGACTCTTCTGTACTTCCTTCTGCTTCTTCTTCAATATCTTCTTGTACCACTTCTTCTCCGCTTCGCTGCCAGGCTTGACCTCCGGAGGTGGTGCTTCAACGACTGCTTTTCCGCCTGCTTTGGCGCGACCAGAGAGCTTCATGGCTTTGTCGAATATGACAGATATCAGGACTGCCCTTGCTTGGCCGCCAACCATCATGCCTCGGTACATGAAGTGGTTCGTTGCCATGCTTTGCGTGAACTGCATCGCGGTAATACCGATGACCAAGCCAATGCCTTCTCCAATGTTCGGTGCCGGCAGGCCGGTATGCTGAGAGATATAGGCTTTGAGCGCGAAGTTGATGAGGTATCGTAGGACGAACGGCGCAACGGATTGGATAATGCTGCCGAGAAGCTGGCATAGACCGCCAATGATGAATTCCCACTTGAACGTGTCAAAGAGAGCTCCGAGAAGTGGTCGCTGTCCACCTAGTTCTCTCCGCCTCTTGAAAGAGGTCTGAAGCCTTTCGGCGAGAACAGCTGCGCTTCGATCTGGATTCACCGTCCAGAGATCGTTGTGCTCGAGAGGGCGCTTGTATCCAACCTATAATGATCCCGGCATTAGCTGCAGCACTATTCGACCACTAAGATCTCACTTACAGTCATGAGGGGTGCCATCCATTGGAAAGTGATCCGGCTCAATATCCCCGCACGATACTCCGGGCAGACCTCTCTGGTCTCTGGGACGGGCGGTTTGCGGCCCCATCTGAGCGGGTTCGCCTTCTTGTACCACTTCTTCTTTGCGCTCGCATGGCTTTTCGTGTCGGATAGCTCGTCGCTGAACTCTGAGACTCCGCTGGTGCCGCTCTGTAGTCGCGACAGGCCGCCTCGGGTACTGCGCCGTTCCATATTCGCCTCCAAGTCCTTCTCGGTCTCCACAGCCTCCCGCGGCTCGGTCACAATAGGCTCATACTGCTTCGTACTCTGGACCGCCACCTCTTGATCATTCAGGCGCCACTCCTCGTCTTTCGCCTTCTCGTTCAACGAGGAAGAAGTCGAGGTCGACATTCCAGCTTAGGTGTTGAAACCGGAGCGCACTTGCGTGTTGCCTAGAGAATGAAAACCAGCTGCCGGGTGCTGCTTCCAAATGGGAATTCAACAAGTGAAGCGAGTGTCAGGAAGCCAGGGTCGCTCTGGTAAAGTGCGCCATGAGGGCTGGTAGGGATTCGGTCGATGATGTTTCCGCGCAGTAGGCAGGCGAGAGTCATATACCTCGGTGGCTCAAATGGTGAGGTCAAGAGTCAAGCTAACATCGGCTACAGAACGGAGATAATACCTACCAATTAGGAGGACGACAATGCGCTACTAATCTGTGGGGTTGCTAAGCTTCAAAGAATATTTTACGCCATCGTATATCGGTCGGGGGTTCTTCTGCGCCGATCCCCGAATGCGCGGATCTTTAGCGAAGTGTGACCGGATTGGGGCCTCCCGGCGGACTAAAATCGCATATTGACCGGTCGACTGACCCGGGCACTGTGATATGAAATGGGAGGTGAGCCTGGGACCTGGAATTCTGGCCTTGTGGCATGTGGCCTCTTGACACCTTCAGGAGTGGTCCAACACATGCGCGGACAGACTGACAGAACGGGACCAAGGAACCAGAAGCTCGCTTGCGCAGAGATCGCTTGCTAGCGGGGCGGCTCGTAAGGAATTCCGAGTCCGATGAGCTGTCCCCGACCGCCTGCTACAAGAGTCGTGTCGGGACCGAAATCTCGTCCGCGGTCTTGACGCCTCGTACACAGCACATCGTGTGCACTGCTGCCTAAGATGGATGACTAGCCATCCTTCTTTTCCCCTTCACGTTTTGGCTCCAGTCTGCTCACCGACTTGCTGCAGTCAGCAACTGCCGATACGCCGTCTTTGCCCACCGCCGGTTTGTTGTGCGAGTGTGGCCTGGGAGGATCTGCCTTAGGAGTGGACTCTTCGGTGTGATCGAACCGCGCGGTCGGGATCGGAATGCGGGCATGGTGTCTGTCACCTGCGCTTGTATGCTTACGATACAACGCTGCATGGTTGAATGATACTGCTTCCGTTCGATGAGTCTCTCTATTCTGTAATACGATTGTGGAGCCAAACGCTACTATGCTCACTCGGAGGCTATCAGATTCCGCTCGGATTTTATTCCGCTCCGAAAGAGAGGGAGCCTGGTATGCAGGTCCGGCTCCACTCTCCACTGCGGTACGCGGGATGTGGAGCGGGCGGGGAAACGTCGTGGGCAGGAGAGTAGGTGTAGATGGCTCGCGCCGGCCTGGAAGACCACCTGGGCAGGCTTCCATCTGTCGTGCAAGAAAATTGGAGCAAGCGTAGAGTAACAGAACGTGGACCTCGCACGATGCTCAAGGCCCGATCTTAATACCCAATTTCAACCCTGGAGGGCCGCAAAAGGGGCCGTTGTAAGATGATACAACACAACACACATCTGCCGTCAGCGCTTGTGTTCGACCCTATCCAATGATACACAGCACTAGCCGCAAGTTTGCGCGAGTTAAGTTCTATTGCATTTAAACTCCCAATCAAGGTGCCTTCTGTGAAACAGATGTCTCGGCCAAAAGCATGACCAGTGCTTCCCAAAGGATGCTAGGCGCAAGCTACAGTACATTCTATCGTTTCTGCCATTTTGTTCCTATTGGTCCCAGTATGCTATAGCATAGAATGTCTTGAGCACCACAGAATGGATGAGCTCTACCAATTTCTTTTGTACGCCTCAATATGACCGAAAAGCGATGCCAATTTCGCACGTGAACGAGTGGGCTACATAGTGGTACATCCAGTCTAATTCTCGATGCCGATGTGAACATTTCTCTCGCCCGGAGGAAGTATTTCCTTCTCTTTCTCGCCCTTGAGGTTCGGTAGCTCCTCCATGGCATCCTTGATGATAGCGAGGGCGCTATCGATTTCTTGCTCGGTAATGACAAGCGGCGGGGCTAGACGGATAATGTTCTGGTGAGTCGGCTTGGCCTGTCCTTCAGCATCAGTACTCTGTATATTCGTGACATGTGCAATCTTGAGGGCTCTTCCTACCAGTAGGCCCTTCTCTTTGAAGAGCATACACAGATCCCAAGCGCTGTGGCCGCTCGTCTTGGTCTCATCAATTACGATAGCGTTCAGCAGACCCTTTCCACGGATGAGCTTGATCATGGGGTTGTTAATCGCCTTCAGACCGTCGCGGAACTTGTTGCCCAGCGTCTCGGCACGCTCGACCAAGTTCTCTTCCTGGATGATTTCGAGTGCTCGGATGGCGACAGCAGATCCCAGAGGGTTGCCCCCGTACGTCGAACCGTGTGTGCCGGGCTCGATTGTGAGCATGACCTCTTTCGAGCCCAAAACACACGACACAGGATACATGCCGCCTGAGATGGCTTTTCCGAGCAGAACAAGGTCTGGCTTGATTCCGCTCCATTCGTGGCATAGTAGTTTGCCTGTCCGCGCGATGCCGGTTTGGATTTCGTCGCAAATCAGTAGCACATTGTGCTTCACGCAAAGTGCCTTAGCCTCCCGCAGGTAGCTGTCGTCTGGCACCACGATACCTGCCTCACCCTGGATAGGCTCGACAAGGAAAGCAGCGGTGGTCTTTCCATAGCTTTCAAGAACTTCGCGCACATCGTCCACGTTGTTATATCTGATTGGCTTTCCAGTCGAAGGGTTGAAGCTGCCGATATTGGGAAGGTATGGGCCATAGTTGTCTCGTGATTCGGGGTCGGTCGACATAGTGATCGCGGCGAACTACTCGTGTTGCATTAGCTTTTGCTTCCAACATCTCGACCTGAACGGGGAGTCCTCACCGTCCGTCCGTGGAAGTTCTCCTGCACTGAGAACACCAATGCCTCATCGTGCGGTATCCCCTTTACTTTGTAGCCCCACTTCCGCGCAATCTTCACAGCGGTCTCAACCGCTTCTGCGCCAGTGTTCATCGGCAGCAGCATATCGAAGCCGAACATCTTGGTAGCGAATTCGGCGAAGCGTGGGAAGACATCATTGTAGAACGCCCGGCTGCTCAGCGTCAACCTCGAGGCCTGCTCGGTCAACGCCTTCACCAGCTCTGGGTGGCAATGGCCCTGGTTCACGGCGCTGTATGCGGAGAGGAAGTCGAGGTAGTGCTTGCCTTCGGGGTCCCAGACAGAGCAGCCACTTGCTCGCGAGAAGACTGCATTTGATCAGCATTCGAAGTGTGTAAAGCGCCTATTGGAGCATACCAATTGGCAGCGGATGATAGTTGTGAGCAGCAAACTTGGCCTCCGCCGTTATGGCTTCCTCAGAAGACGAAGCATGATACTTCGCAGGGTCCGGAGTGCCTGTGGGGTGGAATGCGCGCGCCGTTGGCTTCAAGGTAGTTCCATTGCTACCTACGGCTGCGCTGCCGTTCTGAACTGCGCCGGGAGCCATGGTGGTCTTCGATGTTGAAAGTTATCACGACGTGAGGTGGTGGGGCGAAAATCGGCCTTTGTTGGAAGTCGACGTGAGAGAAATGAAAGCCCCGCCTGGGAGACACAGGGGTTATAAGAGTTTGCTCGAAAGTCCGCAAGAAGCCTATTCTTGTGCTTAGGGGAAACGATCGTGAATTCCTGCCATTAGGGTTAAGCCTTGCGGCTCGCAGCGGGGTGACAAGCCCGCATTGGACGGAAGCTGATTGGCGCGTCCGAAGTCGGGCCAGAGATCCATGGTCTCGTGACCCTGCTCTAGGTACGGCCCGGGGTGTAGCTAGGTAGGGTGAGATGGAGGAGCAGAAACTGGAAGTTTGAGGTCGGAGAATGATGAGGAGGCGGGCGGAGTGTGTGTAAGGGCTGGGCCCGGCAAAAGTTGAAGCAGATCTGCTATTTCTCCTGTTCCTGCCTTCTGCGACATGCGCCATTTTCCCCCGCCATGGGAAACCGCCAAAATCCCATGTCCGGCGCATCCGGGCCGCAGCATTAGTATGTCCGCTGCAATACACAGTAGTCACAGCATTACAATCGGCTGGAGACAGTGTTCTCTGAATGCATCATTTACGGCTATCATCTCGTTGTATGGCAGCGCTAGCAATTCTCAACAACGACTAGCTCTGTCGCATCTGTGGCTTTCCAAGACGCGGCCAGATATACTCCGTACCACCTCGTGGATTCCAACCCCCCTATCCTTTAATGCAGAGGCCCATACTCGCAAGAAATGCTGATAGTCAAGGCTGCTATGCACAATCCTTCGCGGGAATGCATGCGGGCTTTTTCGTGCGCATATCGTCATGATTCTCGTCTCCAACATACCCAGAGTTGGCGCGAGACGCCCAAGGCACCTCCTAATCCTGGAGCGGTTCTAGAATGTTGCCACTACGTAGTGTTAGCGGATGCGGTTTGTTGTTGACGTCGGCGTACTCACGCTACGATGTTTGCCCATCCGATCAGGCGCCAGTGCTTCTCAATACGTCTCGATAGCGCAACCTTCTCGCCGATCTCTGTGCAGGCGGGGGAGGTGAGAGAGAGACGTGCAGCGTCAGCCTTTACGGCGATGACCTTCGCGCCAGTTGCTGTTGAGCCGATGTTGACCATCTACATCATAATGTCAGACTTCTGAACCGCGCGCTTCGTTTATGATACATACCAAAACTTCGTTCTTAGCAAGCTTTGCAACCTTGGCTTGCTTGCCATCGGCGGTCTTGACACCGAGCAATCTCCGCAGCAGGAAGTAGTTCACTTCCAACTCTGTATATATGTTGGGGAGATGGCCACGCAAACCCAAGACGAAGCCGACAAGACGGTCAGCACGACAAAGGGTAGGATCTACCCTAGTACCGACACCTATCCTGTGTTAGACTGATATATATTTTGTGCCAGACATGGGGAACTCACCGATGAGACCACCAGGGACGGCGAACTTGAGGTCGTTGTGTTCCGCGAACAGGGAAACCACTCGTGAGTAGATAGGCTTGCACTGGATCTTTCCGGAGCTGTCTTTCGACACGATACCGGGCCGAATCTCGATCTCATCACCCAGCTTCAGGACACCGGTCAAGATACTGCCACCGGCGACACCACCCTTGAGCTCATCGATCTCGGCACCGGGCTTGTTGACATCGAAGGATCGAATCACAATCATGTGCGGCTTTGCGGAAAAGTCTCGCACTGGAACGGGGATCTTGGTGATGAGGTGCTCGTTGATGGCGTCGATATTGAATTTGAGCTGCGCCGATATAGGAATGATTGGTGAGCCGTCGGCGACCGTGCCTCGGATGAACTTCAGGATAGACTCGTAGTGCGCTGCGGCGCCGTCTTCCCGCATCAAGTCGACCTTGTTCTGGAGGATGATGATGTGGTTGAGCTTCATGATCTCGATAGCTGCAAGATGCTCGCTCGTCTGCGGCTGCGGACAAGTTTCGTTTCCGGCGATCAAAAGTAGTGCGGCATCCATGACGGCTGCTCCTGACAGCATCGTGCTCATGAGAATATCATGGCCCGGGCAGTCTACGAAGGAGACGTGGCGCTTCAGCCGGTATGTGCCTCGGCATCCCTCTCGCTCACAGGGCGGATTCACCTCCTTCTCGCTCTTGAACGACCTGTAGCATGTCGGCCGCGGGCACTCCGGGTTATCGCACTGGTAGATCTTTGCGTTGGCATAACCAAGCTTGATGGTAATATTCCTCTCGAGTTCGTTTTTGAAGCGCACCGTCTGCACTCCTGAAATAGCCTTCACCACCGTACTCTTGCCGTGGGCGACATGGCCGATGGTCCCGATGTTGATCGTGGCCTGGCGGGAGATGATCTCGGGGGACAGTGGGTTCAACGTCGAGAAGTCTACTGTCGATGGATCTGGTTGTTCGCTGGCAGGCGTTAGCGGACTTTCGAGGAATCCAGCGACGTGATAGACCTACGGAAGCACCGGCCGCTCAACAGGCGGGAGCACTTCTCTCGTCTTTTTCAGAACGGACTTGGGCTTTGCCTCTTCTGCCTCTTCGGGCTCGGAGACGCTCTCGTCATCGCGGTGGTCGTGGTCGGACTCGGAGTCCATGTTGGGTGGTAATTCAGCTGGCCTCAATTCTTATATGCTAGCGATGGGAGGTACGGCAGGTCTGGCGGTAGATGTGGTGAGAGAGCGAGCTTGGGCAAGTGACAAGTGAGGTTACGGCGGGCCGCTTTCGAGGGAAATCGCACACGCAAAGGCGAAAAACAGCCATGACTCAATCCGTCGAATGGCGGCGGGGCGGCGGGCAAAAGATCTGCCGAGCCCGGGCGACCTACAAAATCTGCTGCCGACACGCCTCGCCTTTCTCTTCTTCATGAACAACGCATTTTATCACACTCACACAAAAGCATTTTCGATTCGAGATGCCCGCTGTCCTTGCGGCAGTGCGAGGTTCCATGAGAACGAAAACCGTCCGTGAAGTGGAGAAGAGATTCCAGTGGCTGATCTTGGGTGCGGTTTCTCTCTGCTTTCGAGCTGTGGGAGAGAGCGCAATGATTGGTCGTACATATATTCATCTTGCATTTTGCTTCCACCCGGAGTCACCGAGTCTTTAGGTTGTTTAGGTGCTCTCTACCAATTATATGGCATTCACACCAGCGTTTCCCGAGGGAGCGGGGCCCATGTGGACTCCAAAGTGCATCACCCTTCTAGCTCTGACGCAACTGTTGTGGCCATATTAGATGAAGTTGGTAGAATGGTGCAGCTCGAGAAGCCTCGATTTGCGGTTCTCCTCGCCTCGGCCTCGGAGTGTCTATCACACGCCTAAGGACGGCCTGCCCGCATTGAGTAAGCCTTCAGTGGTACCGTGGGATACTATCTTCAAAGTCACAAAGTACACATGACGAGCTATGAACAGACATAGCTACTAGTGCATTGAAGCCTGACCCCTTCGCCGTGCCATTGCGTTTGCTAGCCCATTGATGCTACTCTACCTGGGCACACGGTACTAGCTAGGTAACATTCACATGCTAGTATACTCACATGCCATTCTATCTACTCCACAGGGTTGTCCACGAGTCTGCTACCCGGACATCTTCCGCTTCCCATGACTCCATGCCCAGGCATCGATCCCTCGACCCCTCTTCGCAATTCCGCCGTCAGACTCTCTGGCCTTCTATATAAACCCCTCCCTCTCCCCCTTCAACTTCCCCACAGCCCATCAACAGCTCTTTCTCAGGCTTCCAACGACTAAAGGCCGTTGGTGACTACGGTATGAGCTGTGCTTGTGCCGCCTGAAGTAAAAACGACCCAGTCACTGATCATGCCTGCCGCGTGCGTTGTCTGACTAAAACCAACTCCGTATCACCGATATGACTACGGCGTGGGTGGCTGTCTAAAACGATTACTGGTGTACCTTGGCGTTGTCTGTGTGGCCTGGGTATGGGTATGAGACGTGCTTCAAAACTTGCGTGCGTTCTCTGGCATTGTAAGCATGATGGGCATCACTGCGACGCATTAATGAATTGTATAAAAGGACATCTTCACGTTTTCTCGAGAATCACTTTTCTCTAGCCGCCGCCCATCATGGAGAACGAGGACTCGATTCGCACTCGTTTATCCCAAATCCTGGATTCGATCGGGTAGGCTATCCGCTACGAAATTGAGATGTTGATGATCTTAATATCCTCCTCCGGTTTCTCCTTGTAGACCTTCGCGTTCTCGATTTTATGCACGACATCTAAGCCCTGAATCGCTCGTCCGAAGATGGTATGAAGGTTGTCGAGCCAAGGCTGCGCTCTAGTCAGCAAGGGAATCCCTCCCAACTGCTACGCACGTAATGACTTACCGTCTTCTCCGTAGTGATGAAGAACTGGCTGCCGTTCGAATTGGGCCCTGCGTTTGCCATACTGACTGTGTACGGCTTGTCGTGCTTCAGACTCGAAAACTCGTCCTCGAACTCCTTGCCCCAGATACTCTCACCACCTGTTCCATCGCCCATGGGGTCGCCTGTCTGGATCATGAACTTGCGGATCACGCGATGGAAGATGATATTGTTGTAGTATCCGTTCTTTGCGTGGGTAACGAAGTTCTCGACAGCCTTAGGAGCCGCTTCGGGGAAGAGCCGGACAGTAATATCACCGTAGGTTGTGTGGATAGTGGCTAAGGTACCGGTGGCTACGGGTTTATCTTCTAGCTTCTGCTTGGTAGAGATGTTGCGTGGCTTCTCATTTTGGATGTCTCGTTCGGATTTCGCGACGCTATTGCTGTTAGCTGAGATACCAATCCAAGGGCGACGGGGAACATACTTATTATCGTTTGTGAACATGTAGAATCGCACTTTACCAGAGCCGGTGGCCACAAGCATAGCGTCACGCGCCTCCGCTTCCTGCAGCAGCGGGTTTTCGCTGGCCGCCATCTCTACGGTGACAACGCCCTTCTTCTCCGGCTGGCCTTGGTATAAGCATAGCCACAGCGGTCGCAGTGACTCCTCTTGTCCATAGAGTTTGACTATTCGGTTGGTGAGTGTGTTGAGAACCTTGACGCCATACATCGAACCGTAGAGGATGAAGTTGCCCGTCTCGTCGAATATGACGTTCATCCGGGGCCGGATAGACGGCTGATCCAATTCGCGCTCTATGCTTAGCCTTCGACCAAACTCAATGTCTTCCAGTCGTTGAACGGCGGTACCAGCTTGCTGCATCTCCTGGACGGTCTCAAGAGACTCGTCATAAGTTCGATGGAGTTTTCCAGATGTAAAGTCGAATACCCTAATCTTGCGATCCGGGAACGAGAATGTAGCGAACTGCTTACCAGTTGGGGAAATAGTCAGCGACGAAGGTACTGATTTGGCCCTTTTGAACTCGAACAGGCTGGTCGAGCTTTTCATAGCGAAGACGTTGTCTGGCTTCTCAAAACTGCCGCTCGGCTGCCAATATTCCACCATGCCGCCTTGGTCCACGGAAACAACGCAGTCGAACTGGTTGTTGTACGCCATGAGCGCTACCGGCGTCTTGTGCACGCTCTTCAGCAAATGCAGTGGCTCCGGGTTCTCTCCTCTCCCGTCGTATATCCGTATCCAGGAGTTATCTTCTGACGAGACCGCAAGCAGTGGGAACGACGCGCCGCGACCATGTACCCAGCAGACCGCCTTCGGCGCATAATCCAGGCTCAGCATAGCCAGCAGATCGAACGTAACCACGTCAAAGATTTTGACCGATTTATCTGTGCCTGCAGTCGCGAAGCTCCTTCCATCCGCGCTGACGCTGACCGACCGTATTTCTCCATTATGCGCCCGGAACTCCTTCACGAATTCTATGCCCCCGAAATCTTTCTTCCAGAACTTTACCACGCCATCGATGGAGCTCGTTATCAAAAAGTCGGTAAATGGGGTAAGGGTGGTAAAGCATAGCTGGTCGCGGTGCATCAACGATTTGAAGTAGCGGCTCGCGGTCGGCAAGGCGGCGATGTAGAGTTTTTCATACGGCAGCTTCCTCCTTTTCTTCTTCGGTGCAGAAGAGGGGAGCGCGGGGCCAAAGTCATCGTCGGAAGAGGTATCGTCTGCTAAAGTGTGAGTGGAAATCGGCGGGCTAGTCAGGATTGAAGGGATGCATACCGTCGTTGGCATCGGCTGCAGGTTTTGGAACTTTCCGGTCATCGTCCTCCACATCTGACCGCGACCTCTTCCTTCCCTTTGGCGACTTAGTTCCGTCAGATTCCATGGCTTGTGGTTTCCTGGGGAAATGCGTGGATGGTTGAGAAGCAAGAAAGTGGTTCCGTGCGAAAGTAAGATTCGTGGCTGCCCAGGCTCCACGGCTGTCGCGCGGTCACGTGTCATGTCCCGTTACCGAGACGGCCTCACACAGATCCGTTCAGGTTTCCGAACATAGGGCTTGTAGAAGCTGAATATCATGGAGAAGATCACCGAAATACTGTCCGGTTGTTGGAAATGGTATCATTCATGGTATAGATAGAGAGGAGCCGAGCATTGCCTTAGTCCTTGTCCTCGTTTTCTGAGCCCAGCGCTTCCGTTGTGGCATTGGCAACAACCTTCTTCGGCACTTCGAACACATAGATCCCATTCGGAACCTTTCCAGACATCCAACGCCCTAGCCTGGCCTCCTTTCCGACGGCGGCCACAATGCACAAGCCTTCCTTGCCGCGTTCTCCTCTCTCCTGGGCTGACAGCCCATTTACTATCCCTCGAATAATGATGGAGTCGTCCTCACCATCTACATTGCCATTCATAGTAATGCTCTCGTCTTCATCCACAGGGATTCGACCAACCTTGCCCATCGGCTCAATCGTGCGCTTGTCCGGCCCCACGCGCCATGCTCTTATCCATCCATCCCAGCTCGCTGTCAAGATCAAGTCGGCAAAGGGCACTGTCGCGAGTGCCGTGATGTATCTCGCCAATCGCGGGCCGCTTTTGCGTGATGTTGCTACGTCGTCATCGGCAAACATCTCCTCGGGTGGGATGGAAGGATCGCGTCCATGCGCGAGGGGAAGAGTGTACAGTGGCTTCTTTCTGTTGACAGCCCACAGCGACAGCGCTCCGTTGTCAGAGCCTGTGACGAAGAGTTGTGCGTCCAGAAGAGCAACGCAGTCTACGGATCCTTCAGCATACGCAATAGGGACATCATCGCGAGCTCCGTTTATCTTCTCTTCTTCGTTTGTCGCGCCGCCAAATCGGCCCTTCTTCAACTTGTCCATGCCTTTGTGTCTCGTAGACGTGCCACTGCGGAACACTAGCTGGTTTTCTTCAACCACTTTCCATAATCTTGCAGAACGGTCTCGTGCACCAACACTGACACAGGTTTCTTGGTTCACCTCTAGTCCGCCTGCAACCCCGACGACGGTATCTTCGTGTCCATGCAGGGTTTCAATGTAAGCAGACTCTGGCGCACTCCAGACCAGGACTGCTCGATCCGCGCCTCCGGAGAAAAGCTGCTCTGTGCCTCTCCGAAACGAGAGCGAGGTCACGGCATCTCGATGTCGTGTGAAAAGCTTGCGTGGCGTCAACGTGTTTGCGTCCCAGATGATTAGACGGGCATGCTTGTCTCCGGTGGCGAGAAATTTCCCGGAGTCTGAGACTGCAATGGATATGATTTCGCCAGTGTGACCCAGATAGTCTTTATCGCCCTTCTTGTTCTTATTCCCTTTCCGCCAGAACAATCGTTTTGGTGTTCTTCTCGGTGTGATGTTCGTTCGCTGGCTCGGGTCCGTCGCATTATATACTTTCGGATCTGCAATTTCCCACTTCTCCACTACGAGGTCTTTACTGACTGTCCATGCATAAGGTAACCGGAGCGCACATCCTGTTATCGCTTTTTGAAGACCGGACTTCCCAAAGACGTGTGGGGTCTCTTCGAAGTCCAATCCTTCCGCAATGTTCCTGTAGATTTTGCCTTTGGTCTCAGCAACGTCTTCCTTCAGCCTTTGGGCGATCAAGTCCCGGTCGACATCCGCTGCATCGAAGCCTACGTCTTCCTGTACTTCGTTCTTGATGCTCTCGAGGTACTGTTCTGCTAGCCTCAGGCGCTTTTCGGCTGCTGTCTCGTGCTCGTCCGCTGAAGTCTCCGACTCGTCCTGGTCTTCGAAAAAGCCAGCGCCCTTTTCGTCTTCTGAAATATCGCTTCCAGATATCGACTCTTCCCGTTCGGTGCGGCGGGGAGCTCGCGTGGATTGAGAAGTAGCCGGTGCTACATTGCGCTTTTTTGAGGCTGTGGAGGTGGTTAAGGCTCTTTTCCGTTTCCGCTGCGACGCGGGTACTGTAAAGAAGGAGGACATTGCTGTGTTAGCGAGAAGCAGCGGCAAAGCTGTTTCTTCAAAAAGTTCGAGCATCGGCGTGAACTTTTTCTGACGCCGACACGCTTCGGAACAACCTTCCGCCGCGCCGCGCCGCGCTTGCCCTCAGCCAGAGCTCCGTCCGCGAGGTGAACGAGAAGCTTCCCCATTATCGACCGCCATCACCTCTGTCGCCATCTGCTTACCCTGTCTCGCTTGTAGCAAAGCCCGCGGAAGCTCTAGTGCAGCTCAAAGAGTCTCACTCTCGCTATTTCCACCGAAGCACAACAGCACCTATTCGCACATCCTCGTCGCCCATCGCCCGCCTCCCGGCAATACCACACGTTACCAAGAACACGTCATATACTCCAATCATGAGCGGCAGCAGCGATCCGGAGCGCGACCACGCTCTCGAGGAGTACAAGGGCAAGCTGCTGGAATCAAGAGAATGGGAGGCCAAGTTGAAGGCGCTCCGGTTAGACATCAAGGGCCTGCAACATGACTTCGACGTATCAGAAGAAAACATAAAAGCGCTACAGAGCGTGGGCCAGATAATAGGAGAAGTCCTCAAGCAGCTAGACGAGGAGAGATGTAAGACCAAACCCCAGCCCACGGTCCCCGGATTCCTAGAGCTTGAGCTGACACCCTGCAGTTATCGTCAAAGCCTCGTCAGGTCCTCGATACGTCGTCGGCTGCCGGTCGAAAGTCGACAAAATAAAGCTGAAGCAGGGAACCCGAGTGGCGCTGGACATGACGACACTCACCATCATGCGAATGCTGCCGCGCGAAGTCGACCCGCTCGTCTACAACATGTCTCTCGAAGACCCCGGACAGGTCAGCTTCGGCGGTATTGGTGGTCTGAACGAGCAAATTCGCGAGCTTCGCGAGGTTATCGAGCTGCCGCTGAAGAATCCAGAGCTCTTCCTGCGGGTAGGCATCAAGCCACCGAAAGGTGTACTGCTGTACGGCCCACCGGGAACCGGAAAGACGTTGCTAGCACGAGCGGTGGCAAGCAGCTTGGAGACGAACTTCCTGAAAGTCGTCTCGTCCGCTATTGTCGACAAGTACATTGGAGAGTCAGCACGTCTCATCCGAGAGATGTTTGGTTATGCAAAGGAGCACGAACCATGCATCATCTTCATGGACGAAATCGACGCCATCGGTGGGCGAAGGTTCTCTGAGGGTACCTCGGCAGATCGTGAAATTCAGCGAACGCTGATGGAGCTCCTCAACCAGCTTGACGGTTTCGACTACCTCGGACAGACCAAGATCATCATGGCGACAAATCGACCCGATACGCTCGACCCTGCGCTTCTGCGAGCAGGACGTCTGGACCGAAAGATTGAGATACCTCTGCCTAACGAAGTTGGGCGTCTGGAGATTCTGAAGATCCACGCTAGTGGCGTGCAGATGGAGGGTGAGATCGACTTCGAGAGCATCGTCAAGATGAGCGATCAGTTCAACGGAGCTGATCTGCGAAACATTGTCACAGAAGCGTAAGTTCAGCCTCGCTAGTTCGCGATACCTGAAGCTAATAGGACGCAGCGGTCTATTCGCCATCAAGGACTACAGGGACGCCATCAACCAGGACGACTTCAACAAGGCGGTGCGCAAGATGGCCGAGTCGAAGAAGCTGGAGGGCAAGCTGGAGTACCAGAAGTTGTAGAGAAGGGTATCTCCAGGTCGCGCGCTTGGAAGACAATGACGGCACGCACGATGAAAAGAACCCGTCATGTACAGTAATGATATCTTGGTAGCAGAATGGTCTATTCTGCACTCCGCGGCTTATGGCTTATACGCTATCCTGTGGGGCACCGTGCCCATCTGTCTCTCAATCTCGCTCAAAGACATGAGCCGAACCTGCCACCTTAGCTCCAATTCTCCGAAGTAGTTTGGCTTCTCTGATACCTTCTTGAAACCCACGCTCTCAAACAACTTGATGCTTCTCGCGTTCCCACTGTCGATCTTAACCCGCAGGTAATTGAGATAGCTGCCTGTCTTGCCATTTCCATGCGCGATGTGGTACTCGTTCATGATGCCGCTGAAGGAAGTCAAGATGTACCACAGGAAAGCTAGCAGGGTCTCTCTTCCTAGTCCTTTGCCTTGGCAGTCTTTCCGAGCAATCATGATCTCTACTTCGCCAACGACACCATGCATCTTCCCCTCTTGGATAGTTTTCTTCGTTCCCTCGTGGATGAGTCGCCAGTGGGCGTGTTCCTCCTCTCTGTCGTCGTCTGCGTTCAGAAAGAGATTCACGTCGCCGATCATGGTTTCTGGTGCGTCGTCCTTTCCTGGAGTGACTTTGGGGTGCGCGTCCTTGACAAGGATCTCGGAGTGGTTGATGTGGTTTGGTGCCGATGGCGGCGTGCACACGATGAAAGTCAGCTTGTCAGCGTCCGTGCGCCAGGACTTCTGCATGGCGTATTCTTCGGCGAGCGTGAGCGGTTCTGAGGCGGTTGCTTGCTGCAGGGACTCGTCTTGCATCCATTCGTGGTAGGTCGGCACGTGGTGTCCGCTGTAGGGGACCAGTAAGACCTTTGAGGTGAGTAGCGCTGGAGGGTGTCAGTACATGAGAGTATATTTGGTACACTGGAGGGATCCGGGTGCGTGCCTTCGTGCTCGTTCAGCTTCATTTTTGGGCGTTGGTACAGCTTCCGAGAAATTTTAGGCTGGGTATTGGTACGGCGAATTGTTGGTCCTAGTGCTCTCCGGAGTATTTAAGCCGAGTCAAGCCTAAAGAAGAATGCAATATCCTTGTGCTGCTTTGGGGTTTGAAGATGAGTCGGCCGTTTGGTGGATCGGAAAGTGCCCTTCGATGGTAGAGATGATTGCAAAATCTTTCTTGAGACGTTCAGCACTTCCGTCATCGAAATTTATCAGCTCAACCCACCTATATAGCGAGATGGCTCTCGAGCAGCAAATGGGTGCCTATTCTCTAATGTTAGTGTAGTGTTGGAGTTGGATATGTTGCCGGTTCTGGGCGTTCACAGGCACCTCTGCAGCTAGTCTCCGAATGGTAAGAATAGGCCTCCAGGATCTTGCCATCGGCCTTTTTCCCCTTGCCTTCCCACTTCAGCATTTATCATCATCCACACCAGAATCTCTGCGCTCGAAGCGTCTGTTTGACTCCAATTCGTTCTCTCACGCCTTTCTGCGTCGGTAGAGTGAAAGATCCAAAGAGCATGCGGGAAGACGGCGCCAAGCCATACATTATTTCCGCTTCACATCAGTAGCTTTCATTGGTTTCTCCTATCACAACATCAAGACATATTCGTCATGGCACCGATAAAAGTCCTCGTTACCGGCGGTACCGGCTTTCTAGGCTCAAGAATTGTCGAAGCCCTCATAGAAGCCAAATCCTTCGAAATCACGGCCCTGGACATCAACCCACCCGCACTCGGTACCCAATCGTATCCTGAAGTTAAATATGTGCGCGCCAACGTCCTCCAACAAGAAGAACTGCGGAAGGCTTTCAGTGAGGCAAGGCCTACTATTGTGATCCACACGGTGGCCGTTATTCCGCTCGGGGACGCGCGATATAGTACGAAGGGCAAAGAGGCGGTGTTTGAGGTCAATGTAGGAGGTACGAGGAATGTTCTCAATGTGTCGAAGGAGTGTGGTGCAAAGGGCTTGGTGTATACGTCGAGTGTGACTGTGGTGCTGGACGAGCTCGAGGTAGACTTTAAGAACGTTGACGAGACTTGGCCAACTGGGAGGGCGACGACGACGTATGGGCAATCTAAGGTAAGGAAGCAGTTCACAATTCCATGCTATACCTGCAATTGCATAAGAGGGCCTAAAGCCTTCAGCATGCCCTTTACAACCTCCGATCCACCATCACCACGGTCGTTTCATTGCTCTCTCCAGAGCGGTCTCGTAGCTCTATTGTCGACAGTTACATACCCAGCTTGCTTATTCTCCTGTATCCTAGGCGGCGGCCGAAGCCCTTGTTCTATCCTTCAACACTTCCGACTTCTTGACGTGCGCCCTTCGCTCGGCCGTCCTCTTCGGACCCCAAGACCCAACCTGTATTCCCATCCTCCACGGTTGTATCGCGCGAGGTGAGACGCCCTTCATACTTGGCGAGGGCACCAATCTCCAGGACTACGCCTATGTGTGTAACGTCGCAGACGCGCATGTCCTTGCCGTCCGCAATCTCCTTGACTCTGGCACGGCAGCCGGGGAAGCCTTCTTCATCACCAACGGTGAGCCCGTAACGGCACGAGACATCTGTATCGCGGTCTGGAAAGAGTTTGGACATGTACCGTCGTTTCAGGTCAGGATTCCAGAAGGACTGGCGTGGTGGCTGGCACTGGGCATGGAGCGGCTAACTTGGATGACTGGATCGAAGAGTACGTTGAGTAGAGGTATGATTCTGGATGTGACCAAGAATAGATATGTAAGCATAGCGAAGGCGAGAAGGGTACTGGGATATGAGCCGAAGGTGAGCTTGCCGGAGGCTATGCGGGTGAGCTGTGAGGTCAGTTAGCATGCTCTCAGTGATGAAGTGGTGTTGACCCGCGTCTAGCACTTCAAGCAACGATGGAGCGAACAAGAGAAGAGGTGATCTGTTGCTCTGCTGTATATGTCCCTGCGGAGATGGCGGTATACATTGGCCAATTTCAGTTGGAAGGGGGTTAGGGTCGGTGGGCGGGTCTGCGAGGAGTGCAACGTTTTAGCGTCACCCACGCCCCTGCCTGTTCAAGACTTTGAGGAGCGCTCTGCGCAGCCACACAGACGCGCTACGCAACCTAGGAACTGAAATGTGGGGAAGGGGCTTGTCGATGAGAAAACGCGTGCGGGTCACTATGTCAAAGGTTGTCATTATAATCCCTCTTATGCAGTTAGGCGCCTTCGAAAACTGGTGAATCCGCACCTGGATTGCTCCAGCGTATATGGAAATGCGATGTTTACCTCCGGCTACTCGCGGGGTGGACATCACGCACACATAGCGGTTGAAAGTGAATGGCAACCGCGAGGGGACAAAAACAGTTGTCCGGCCCGCGAAAGGCTTTGCAGTGACTGTTCTGATACCATATTAGCGAGGCTTGACGTGATCAAACTGGAAGAATGCTTCTGAAGGTGACTTCGAAACACTTTGGCCGCGGTGTAGGCGGCTATGTAGGTGAAGTTGGCCCTCGCAGTATCGGCTTTGCTTCCCGAGCCTTAGCAACGGATGGGAGGGCAGCTGCCTTGACCTCTGCTACGTGCCTGCCTGCCAGTTTAGTCGCACCTCGTCAAAACTCTTCCCTCGCCCTCGCCCACTCCTTCTCCTCACCTCACCACCACCCTCTTCCTCTTCCCCCCTTCGCCTTTTCCTTCTTCTCTTCCTACCTAGGGGGCGTTTCTGGTTCGGGATCGCTCAGTGACGTTTACAAGGTCAGTGTTTCCCTCCTCTTCTTCAAGCAGGACAGTCTCGTGGGCTGCAAGCGCCGCTCAGGTGATGCCGTTGGGACAACATCCTTTCGACGGGCCTGAGATGGCTTTGCTTGCACTCACCATAGGCCTCGTCTCTTTTAGGGCGCTGCGAATATGTGCCTATGCCTAACATGTCGCTGACCTTGGGCTGATAGGTTTCCTTGGAGCGTGATCGGACGTCTAGTCTTTCGTCACAACGCGCTGACCTCTTTTTCGTTCCTCGACGTTTGTTCCAGCGTCAGGCGTTGCGGAGTTGAGGTGCTACAGTGCACGTCTTCAAATCGTTCCCACGATCAGCGACTCTTTCCCATCTCCTACCCTTCAGTGAGTGACGATTTTTGCCTTTGACGGTCTCTAAGTTGCTTGATGCATGGCCTGCTCTAACACCAAGAAGTAACACCGACGCAATGCCGAATGTGTACTCCCGAGTTGCCCCTGAGCAAGCAACCTTAGGTCGCGGGCTCAGTGCCATCGTACAGATCGCTATACGCTCTATCTCCAACCCGCCAGTCAAGGGACAGGATCTCCTCCTAAAACTCCCCGCTGAAATCCGCCTGATGATCTACGAGGAGCTCCTTATCGTCTGGCCGAAGACTGTCTTCCGCGGCGCGCGGCAGTTCGGTCCACTATCACCGAAGGAGTACAACGAGGATGTGATACTACATTGGCAGATCCTTCTGACTTGTCGGAAGTACTTCGAGGAGGGAGCCCCAGTCATGTACGGCGGCAACAAGCTGGTCTTCTGCACTGGCAAAGGAGGTGACCCTGGCCAGTTCTGGCGCTTCCCAATCAACATCCGCTACATGCGCTACGTAACGGACCTGGGTATCTACCTTCGAGCCGACAAGCCAACGAGCCAAGCTAGCCAGCGAGTGGCTCACTTCATGAAAGCTCTTGCTCGCCACGGAAAGAAGTTGAACCGTCTTGTGGTGCTCCTCGGCTCTGACCGATACTACGAGGCGGCCTGCCCCTGGGATATTCCTTTCTTTGATCATCCAGTGTCCCAGGCACTTGTTCAGCTCGTCAAGTCGCAGACAGTCAACCACTTAAAGATCCGAGTCCACGACGGGGCCCTTCTCTACAACGGATTTGGTTCGTATCTCTGTCAGACGTTCCGGGAGAACGGATCTATCGCCGGGCGGTCCCTTGCGTTCACTTTCTCCTGCACCTGCCCGCCCCACTGTCCTCTGTATCCGCAGAATGACTGCTTCCTCTGTGGTTGGCCGCTGGAGTTCCCGGACCAGGCGCCCGTCGAGTTCCCCTCCAATCCTGCAGGTGTGGAAGCTCTAGTCGAGCGAACCATGGAGCTACAAGACGATCTCTTCCAACTTGGTCTCCTCCCCCCGAAGGATGACGACGACGAAGAGGCTGACGAGGAGGACGCCGGCCCCTACACGACGGGACAACCGGTTGAGGACACCTATGAGGATAATAGGCTGGCATTTCACTCAGGCCTGTATTACACCGACCCCAACTGGACATCAGAAGAAGTTCTAACAAGTACAGTCTCCTCCACGGCCAGGTCCACCGCTACCGAGGCGGCATGACGCCTCCCAAGGTATGGTATTATCGCCAGACGGAGCTCACGGAGTTCTTCCAATTCGTGGAATCCGATCAGTACCACGCGACGGTCTTCGGTGCTGCGATTTAATCCTTGGCTCGGATGCCTCTCCTCGCAACCCGCTCGTTTCGACGAATACCGCGGCGTCTACCTTCTTACGGATCATTTCATTCAACCAATACTCGGATATTATGGGTGAAGAGGATGTGACCATGGGGTCTATGTCGCGGGTTTACACTTAGCTGACTGAAGCTAGCCGCCATCTCCTCTTCTATGCGATTTCATTTTCTCTTTCAATTTCTCGGCTGCTATACATCTACTAACCTGGGCGTTCGCTCCGTACGAGAAGCGCAAGACATGGGCGAGAAGGACATGGATAGGAGGGATACATCTGGAGGACATGGTCAGCATCCGCAATAATTTACTCCGTGCGGTGGTACAAGCAGACAGTCATACAATGAGAGCAGTATACATACTATCACACGCGGACACTGAACGCAAAACATACAAACCTTCAGCACTTGTTAATCGGCAGTGGATTCTATACAGAAATCGTCGACTGTGATTGTCTTTGTGCGCCTCATGATGCGTCTAAATGTTTACAAACCTGTTCAGACAAACCAGAGTAGGGTTCCCAACACCTATGCCCATCCATATTGTACAATCCTCGCCCCCAATGCTGATGTCGACGTCTATACAATCTTCTCCGCCTCTTCTAAGAGTCGCTCCACCCTGAACCCACCATCTCCCTTTGTGAACATCTCAAGCAGCTCGCCTCTTCCCTTGCCTTCCTCACCCACAACGTAGAACTTCTGCATGCACATCACCAGCCACCGCGCTTCGTCCACGCTCACACCTCTGTTCTCGACTACAGTCCCTTGCCCCAGCACCAGATTGTGTGAATCCGCAAGCTCGGAGTGGAATGTTATCGTCGTATGTGGACTTGCGAATTCGCCTCGCAGCTTGAACTCCGCCAGTGTTGTGAACAGAAGCGTCGTGGTATTTGGATGCGGGTGTGCAAACTGCAAGTAATGTAACTCGGCAGCTTGCTGTGTCTGCCCTATTTCTGCAGCTGCTCCTTGTTCTGAGGGAACTTCCCGCGGGAGGGGTAGAACGAAGGACGGATGCCTTTTTGCGGTCTGGAGGAGGGACCCGAAGGTGGTGGCGGGGAGGGCAAAGTGGAGCGATTGAGGGTTCGACGCGTGTCGCAGCCGCCAGAGGGTTTGTATTTCTTTCTCGGGGAGGGTGGAGATCTTGGTGAGGTCGAGGAAGGAGTTTAGAATCTTGACGCCGGGAGGGGGTTTCGATGCGGTACTATTGGGCTGTGGTGCAGGTGGAGGTGGAGGTGCCGGCCATGGCGATTTCGCAGTTGAGGGGGATGCCGATGCGTCCGAGGACGTAGAGGGCGAGGGCGAAGGTGTGGGAGAAGGCGTCAGTGGTGCTGTTGCGCCTGGAACTGCTGCTTCCTTCCTCAGCTTGTCTATCTTCTCCTTGTATGCTTCTTTCAACTCTAATATGTCCTTCATTCCTTGTTCTTTCGCTTTTGATTCTAGCTTCTCCCTATACTTTGCTATTATGCGCTCTTGCGTTCCATGCGTTGCGAGGAAGCGGACATCTTGGACGCGGGCCCAGCGGCGTTGGCAGGTGCGAGGGTTTGTGAGCGGTTGACGGAGGAGATGCCGTATCGTAGGTACTCGATATGAAGCCATTGTGGGTAGGAGAATGGGGAAAAGGATGATTGGGACCTATGGGCGCATCGTGAAAGTCGAAAGGTCGACCGGGATTCGTCAGTGAACCATGCATAACAAGAGCTTTGCCGAGATCGATCCGAACAATCACCAAGCCACTGGCAGCCTCGCCCAGCCATGGTCGCGTCGGCTATCATTTGCTTTTCCAAACGGCTACGATGTCATCGAGAATGTTGGCGGGAATGCGCGCAGGGTTCGTGTTACGAGGGTGGGCCAAGGGTAGTTTGGCGCAACGGTGCATGAACGACATCGAGGCTGACGACCTTCGAAAAGGCTGGAGGCTTGTCTCCCCCATGTTCCTGCGTCTGCCCGCGCACGGAATGGGGTAGCTTGCACATGGCACGCAGCGAGGGGCTCACGTAGCCGTGTACCTGGTCTTGCGCCTTCTAGATATGACCAGGCTACAGTAGCTTTTGGCCGTGTCGACCCTCTCTCAGTAATCGATCCGCGTCGTTTTCGGCCGTTTGTGTTTGAAAATGGCAGTTCGGTGGTCAGAATCCAATACTGCTGCCTGCGCACTCGCGGGGATGACGATGGCATAGAACGTCAACCTGTGGCGGAACCTCAAGGCAACGGCCGCGCAGGGGCCATGAACACATGGCGAACGGTTTTGTCTCTCATGCTACGAACGTGCGTGACCATCTCGCTTTTGCAGTTTCTCCTAGCGTGCGGTGCTTCCTCGCCGCTGCTGTGCCCTGTGTGATCGACACCCAAGCTGTCCCGCGACGGACTGCGGAACTCGACCAGCAGTTCCCCTCCCCCATTCTTCCCCCCTTCAACACACAACACTCTTCACCAACCTCGCCGTCCGCACTTCGCAGTGTTATCACCCAAGCTTTATTCCGCCATACAAGCAGCATAACCCCCTCGCGAATAGCGCGCTTCCAACAATAGCGAGCGGTTACTGTTCCGACGTCCTTCCAAAGCATTTCCGCGCCCGAGGACTATATTAATTAAACACCTAATCCTGGAGGCCGACCAAACACCGCGCCAAACCCAGCGACAGCGTCCTCCCTATTTGGGGACAGGCATGTTCCCGCGCATGTCCGCTGCGACGCCCGCGACTTGACTTAAGCCACGTCGAGAGAGTCCGACGCTGCGCGTCAAGCTGGCAATAGCAGCCACTCCCGGGCATGGGGGCCGTCAACAGTATACCGCAGGAGAACTCCCTGTTCCTCCGCGACCAGAATAGGTGTATGTGCTCCACAGATCGCTTGTGAAGACGTCACTGACTCGCTCCAGTCTCCATTGCGGCACTCAGCATCACGAATAACCGCAATCGCACGCTCCTCAACATTACGCCCAATTCTTTCCCCGCCACGAGATACACCGCAAAGCGGGAGCTGGGAGACGATAGCGTGATAGAATACGTCCAGGTACTGTTTCAAGGGCCCAACCACAGGGAAGCAACGCTAACCATTGTTTGTAGGACCCCGAATCACCATCCTCCAGTGGACCGCCATCCTTCCTCATTCGCCTAGGCAACGAAGACGAGTTGAACTTCACCTTCAGATTCATACTTCGACAAGCCCAGGCGCCGCCCAGCATATACAACGTCAACAGCGCTTCTACTATCACTCCGAACGCTCTTGTCGATACGGTTATCAATGGGTTGACGTTTATATTTGCGTCGAGCTCAAAAGAGCTGGAGAATCTGGTGACTAGGGAGTTCCATGCGAATCCGAATCTTCATAAAGACCCGCACGTTGAGTTGGTGGGCGATTACTCAACAGGCGGAACACCCTCCGTGCAGTTCCAGTGGACCTGGAAATGGAAGCCCCCGAGGACCAACGAGGACCGCGGAGGAGGCTGGCGCACAAGCTGCAGCGTAAGTGTTCTCTATTTGCTTCGGGGGATTGTGCTGACAAGGTGAAGTTCGTGGAATACGATCAACGCGCACACAAGCTGGAAACTCTGGCAAGCTTTGCTATCTGGGTTCATAGTATGCAGAGCCCCTCACCTACAAGACGCGGCACTGACGATATAGATACTTCACGGCTCGTTCAGAGCCCGAAGTCGCCTTCCCCGCGGTTAGAGCTCGGCGTCCCTCCTCGGCTTCGCGTACCCTCCGCTCAGTCCATTGAGTCACGCGTGAGCGACTCCGATGAATACAAGGACGCTTTCGAGGCAGCGCCTCCAAAGTCACCGACCTTCGATTCAATCCCGGAATATGGTCTGGGACTGGTTCCGAGCCAAGCGACGACTGTCACTAACAATACGGTCAAAGTTGATGTCAGCTGCTCAAGGCCTGGTGAAGATCTAAGCCAAACAGAAGATGGTCCGTTATTCCGAGCTACCATGAAGTCGCTGGAGCAGAAGACCGGCAACATGCGCGCAAAGTGGAAGAAGGTCCTCAAGCGGGCCGAGTCAGCGCTGGAAGCCCAGGTGCAATGCAACAACGCAATGTCTGATCTAATGGAAGCTCTGCGAGAGACATCCACGTCCAACGCAAACGCGGTGCAGCCAGCCATCGATCATTATTTCGACAGGATCGCGAAAGAGATTCTGGTCTACGAGCGATCAAATAGCGCGAATATCCAGAAGCTTATCATTGACCCCATTCATAAGCTATACAACATCGATATCAAGCAGGCAGAGACGAAACGAAAGGACTTCGAGGAAGAAAGCAAAGAATACTATCAATATCTCAGCCGATACCTTGGGCAACGGCAGGATTCCCTGAAGGAGAAGAAGCGCGCCGAAACCGACTCAAAGTATCAGGCGAAGCGTCGTAATTTCGAGCTCAAGCGGTTCGATTATTCCTCTTTCATGCAGGACCTCCATGGAGGCCGAAAGGACCAAGAGGTACTATCACATCTTACTCGATACGCGGACGCGCAAGCCAAGAATTATCTCGAGACAGCTAAGAAGATCGAGACGATGATACCGCAGCTTGAGGCTCTGAGTTTCGAGGTCAAGGAGGCGGACAAGGAGTTTCAGCTGCAGCGGACGGAGAGGGAAGAGAAGAGGCGCGCTCTCGAGAAGAGCAAAAAGCCGTTCGACGAGCCACCGCCATCGCAGGTACCGCCAACAACCCCCGCTAACGGCAGCGCATCTCGTGTGGCTCCTGCTTCGGAGCCAGAATTTCCAGGTCGCAAGCCTAGCATCGCTCCCGTCTTCCAGAGCACTGTAAGCCCTCCACCAGCCGCGACGTCCATGTCGAGTATCCCGTCGATAGCGTCCCCACAGAGCCCCGAGGCTACTCAGGCAAGCTTAACGGCTGCTGGTAGTCCGCAACCGAATAAGTTTAGAGGTATTCGAGATCTCGAGGACAAGGACTATAGTATGGGTGCTGGGCTTGAGCCAGGCTCAGGAACGCACCGCAAAGAAGGTCTCTTGTGGGCACTCAGCAGACCAGGGAGCCATGTCGACCCCAAGGGTCTCAACAAGCAAGCTTGGCATAAGTAAGTCTTTCGTTGTCTATGGGTCGTTCATCTTCTGACATTGTCTAGGTTCTGGATCGTCCTAGACCAGGGCAGGCTCTCTGAGTACACAAACTGGAAGCAGAGCCTTGAGCTCCACATGGACCCTATTGACCTTCGCATGGCATCCGTTCGAGAAGCTCGTAATCAGGAGCGTCGCTTCTGTTTCGAAGTTATTACGCCTCAATTCACCCGAGTCTACCAGGCGACAAACGAAGATGACATGAAGTCCTGGATCGCAGCTGTGAACAATGCCCTTCAGACCGCCGTGGAGACAGCCGGCAAGCGCGAGCGCCCGTCCACGGACTCGCTCCCGGGGCAGACTCGCAGGGATATCGCGTCTGTACTTACAGGAAAGAGCCCTTCGTTATCGAGTCACCGGAACAACTACAAGTCGCAGACTCCTGCTCGGCATGCCACCGTAGGCGATCGCCCAGGCTACCGGAGAGAGGACAGCGCAGGTGACGACGGAAAGCTACTTCAGCAAGTTCGCGATGCCGATGCCGCCAACAGATTTTGTGCAGATTGCGGGTCTGAGAGCAAGGTTGATTGGGTATCCATCAACCTTGGGATTATCATCTGTATCGAATGTAGTGGCATTCACAGGTCGCTGGGCACTCATATCAGCAAGGTGCGCTCGTTGACGCTGGATACGAACTCGTTCACGCCGGATATCGTTGAGATTCTCTTGAAGATCGGCAATCGAGTGAGCAACATCATCTGGGAAGCCAAGCTGGACATGTCGTTGAAGCCGGGTCCAACATCCACCCGGGAGCAGAGACTGCACTTCATCACATCCAAGTACGCAGACCGCGCCTTTGTTGCGCCTATTTCGCCTACGCTGTCCCATTATGCGACTCCTGAGGAGACGTTGCTTGCCTCAATCAAGAAAAACGATATTCAAAACGTTCTGTACGCCCTGGCTCTGAAAGCAGATCCGAACGCGAAGGATCGGTCGCGAGGCACCCATTCAGTGTTCCTAGCGCTGGCAGCAGCAGACCCCGCCTCACCGTCAGCCACTGCGTCGCCTGCGAGCTCACCGGTTCCTGGTGCTCGGCCGACAAGTGCTCATGCTAGCCGGAAATCGTTTGCTGTCGCTGAGCTACTTCTCCAAAATGGCGCCGAGCTCCCGACACAACCAGCACCCATTCCTCTCACCTCGTCAGCACGGCTGTACCTGGAACACAAGGCCGATCAGCGAACCGGAAGACGGCCAGCGCCTATGGTGGGGAATCAGCCAAACGCTAGCGGCGACACTCTCACTGCCCTTCCTCACATCGTAGCTGGCAACGGAAGCACCCCTGCTGAGCGAGCCCGAGAGAGGGAGGCGAGATTGCAGAAACGCGTCAGCGCCAGCGGAAGGTTGGTCAAGAACCATTCCGATAACGCTGAAGGTAGGCGAGGCCCGTAGGACTTGCTTCGCTCACACTTTTCTCTTTCTAGTTCATATTTTCCTTGGGCGACTTGTGGTATCAACCTTTGGACATCGGAAGGCTAGCAGCGGCTAGCTGACGGCGTTCTGGGGGAGACGAGAGACGCTTCCACATCATCGGGGACTGGGATGGGTTAAGCGTTCTGTGAACGGTCTTGAATATTGGCGCGCACCGATGGCACGATTTAGTTGACGAAGGCATCAGCATGGTTTCAGCGGATTCTCAGCATTATCGAAGGGCGATGTTGGTTTCCGGTTCCTTACGGTCCCGCTCTTGGGGAGGTGCACCGCTTCCGTCGACGCAGTCACGCCCCCTCGAGTGAGTCATTTCCGTGCTCTTCCTGGGCATATTGATTGGATGGATACGATAATTATAATGAGTAATGGTAGGGGCTGGGCATCGCTATCATGAGAGAATGCCATGCTCAGAATCTGACTGGGCCTCGATATGGGTCGCTCTAGGTAGCTCAGATGAGTCAACTGAGTTGACTCATGTCTAGATCAATGCGAATGACCTTTCCGCGATGAGTCCGTTGCACATTTCAGGCAAATGCGTCTCCAGTGAGTCAGGATATGGACGATGATGGTCGGTATGCACCGCCACACATCACGTGACACCCCAGCCGCTGCGGCACACTGAATTTCGCGATAAAAGAGAGCGCAACCCCACTCCCAACGCAAAACCAGCAGACAAGATGGCACCCTCATACGAGAACCTTCCTATGGAAGATGACGAATTCGACGAATCTCAAATCGATTTTACCGATCTCGAAGAACAGTACCAAGTGCGCTTAGATGAGGGGTTGGACGCTTTCGTGGTCATCGACGGCTTGCCCGTCGTGCCGGAAGACAGCAAAGCCAAGCTGATAAAATTCGTGCTGAGGAAGTTGAACTCAGTGGGGAAGGTCAAGGACGACGGGGTCTTCATGCCGCTGGGCGACGATGGCAAGACTGAGGGGTTCGTTGCCGAGTTTTGCGGGGGTTGGAGATTTTTCTGACGCGGCGACAGTTATGCCTTCGTCGAGTACAACGCGCCGAGCGAGGCCATCGCGGCCGTCAAGCAGCTCCACGGCACCCCGCTAGACAAGAGGCATACCATGGCGGTCAACAAGCTTACGGACATCGACCGCTATGGCCGCGAAGGCCGCATCGACGAGGAATACCACGAGCCCCACATCGAGTCGTTCCAGCAGACAGATCATCTGCGGTCGTGGCTTGGAGATCCGGAGGGACGTGACCAGATGGTCATGTTCCGCGGCGAGAAGGTGGGCGTGTTCTGGAACAACAAGGAAGAGGCGCCGGAGGCAGTCGTTGATCGCGAGAACTGGACTGAGTCGTTCGTGCAGTGGTCGCCGCAGGGCACATTCCTCACCTCGATGCATGCGCAGGGTGTGCAGCTGTGGGGCGGTAAGGCATGGAGCAGGCAAAAGCGGTTTGCGCATCCCGGCGTGAACCTGGTGGACTTCTCGCCAACCGAAAAGTACATCACTACCTGGTCACACCGGCCTCTTCAGGTCGACGAGAACCATCCGGTCCCATCGCTTTCCCTGGAAGAGGATGGCAAGAACTATATCATCTGGGACATTGCCACCGGCAAGCCCCTGCGGTCCTTCACTACCCTCGACGTACCGAGCACAACCGACGCGGAGGGTAACCCAGTGAAGAAGAAGATGCAGTGGCCGACATTCAAATGGTCATCAGACGATAAGTTTGTCGCTCGAATGATCCAAGGCCAATCCATCTCCATCTACGAACTTCCTCGGATGAACCTTCTGGACAAACAGGCCATCAAGATTGAGGGCGTGATGGACTTTGAGTGGGCTCCTGCGACGCCGAAGCGAGAGGGTATCAAAACCTACGAGCAGCTCTTCTGCTACTGGACTCCTGAGCTTGGCAGCAACCCTGCTAAGGTCGGTCTCATGACGGTCCCGACAAAAGAGATCGTCCGTACCCGAAACCTCTTCAACGTTTCCGACGCCAAGCTGCACTGGCAGTCAGACGCCGCCTACGTTTGCGTCAAGGTCGATCGCCATTCCAAGTCCAAGAAATCTCTCGCCACAAATCTGGAGATCTTCCGCATCAAGGAGAAGGGTGTGCCAATCGAAGTCGTTGACTCTCTTAAGGATACCGTCATCAACTTCGCCTGGGAACCTCATGGTAACCGCTTCGTGCTCATCACGACCGGCGAAATCCCAGCTCAGTCGGCAGTTCCTCCCAAGACCTCTGTATCCTTCTTCGCTCCCGAGAAGATTAAAGGTGGAGCTGTTGGCAACTTCCGCCATGTCCGCACCATCGAGAAGAAGAACAGCAACGCCATCTACTGGTCACCCAAGGGCCGCTTCGTTGTTGTTGCCACTCTTCAGTCCCAACAGTCTTTCGACCTCGATTTCTGGGACCTCAGCTTCGACAAGCCAAAGGAAGAGTCAGAAAAGGGCGAGAAGGAGCTGAACGCTAATTTGCAGCTCATGGATACGGTCGAGCACTACGGTGTCACTGACATCGAGTGGGACCCTTCAGGCCGCTATGTTGCCACTGTTGCAAGTGCCTTCAGGCACCGCGTAAGTTTTGCGATACCGGCGTTTGCTGGTCATTGTTGATGTATACTGACTCCCTCCCAGATGGAAAACGGCTACCACATGTACGACTTCAGGGGCAGCCTCCTCCGCGAAGAGCACATCGACCACTTCAAGCAGCTGATCTGGCGTCCGCGACCCCCGACTCTCCTCACCAAGGAAGAGCAGGCCGAGATCCGCAAGAACCTCCGCAACTACTCCAAGATCTTCGAAGAGCAGGATTTGGCTAAGAAGAACACTGCGAACAAGGCGGTCGTGGATGCTCGTAGGAGAATGCTGCAGGAGTGGCTCGCTTGGCGCGAGAGCATGAGGCAGATGCTAGAGGAGGAGGGCGCGGAGATTGAGCTTAACGCTGGGCGCGTGAAGCAGGATACAGATGATGAGGTCGAGGAGGTCGAAGAGATTGTTGAGGAGATCATTGAGGAGACCGAGGAAGTTATCGGTTGATTGCTTCGTGACCGGGAAGACGCTTTTGGACGGTGTATGTCAATCAAGCGAGCAATTTGCGCTTGCCCTTTCGACATGCATACCAATAGATTGACCATCGGAATGAAAGCAATGGCATATGCCGGACGACCGTGAACCAATCCGATCCGTTTTCCCATTTCCATGCCCGTGCCTTTGCTCGTGACTTTTCGTATTCGGACAATAGCTCAACACCGCCAACATGAGCATGGCTTTATCCAAGCCACAAGACCCAGACGCCCATCAAACCGAGCCTCAAAACTCCACGCTAAGCCTTCAGCTGCTCACCAAACTGCCTCGCTTTCGCTCTAGAATCGACCACTACCTCACCGGTCTGAGTACCTCCCATCCCCTCAGACTCTCCATATCCTCCGGCTCTTCATCCATCAGACTTCTCCCTCTACCTGCTGCACTCCCATTACTCGCCGCACTCAACCCCGTCCCCGTCCGAGGCGGCAGCGGCGGTTTATCCTCGCTCGTATCGATCAAACTCGCCGGCGCTACAGGCTTCCTCTCCGTCTTCGGCGGTGCCATCGAGCGGCGCGGAGGTGGAGGCTGCGGTCTCGCATCTACATGCAGATCTTCGCGGTGTCTTTGCGATGGAGGGGAGGGTGTCGAAGCGGGCGAGGGTGAGACAGCGGTCCCAAGGAGAGAAGGCTTTTTCGTCGGGACGGGAGGAGCGGGTTTCCGGGAAATTTCTCGTGCGAGGTTTGAAGGGGGTGGTGGGTGAGCTTGTTGAGTAGGGGGTCCGCGATGGGGTAGGTAGTTGGGAAGGGAGTGTGTCGATGTGTTCGACGGCGTGCGTTTTAGAGCGTCGATCGCACCGTCGACGTTCGGGATAGGTGTTGTAGAAGGGTTACTGAGGTTGAATGGGGGCGCTATGAGCTTGCGTGCCATGGAATTTGGCTTCATCTGATTCAGATTCGTCGTTGAGCCAGACAGGCTGTTCGGTGTACTCGTGCCGTTGAAATCGACGGTATGCGCTCGCGCTGTACCTCGTGCGGGAGGTGGCTCGGCTCTACTACCCATACGCTTGACTTCCACCCAGTCCGGTTCTGGGGAAGGCGTGAAAGGGTTGCTAGGCCGCTTGGGGTTCGGGAAGTGGTCGTTGGATGGCGGTTGAGCTCGGGAGCGAGCTGGGAGACCATTATCAAGCCACCACTTCCTACGATCTGAGCTCGCAGGTGGGAGACCCGGCTCGATAGAGTCATAACCGAGCAAATCCTCATCATCTGTATCCTCCATGATTCCTGTCGCTCTAGTATCCCCGACTATCGCTCTTCTCTGGTGATAGAGATCCTCGCTCAGCTGGTCTTTTTTCTTCTCATCGACTTTGCTGACAAGGCATTGGAAGGTAGCGTATACAGGGCGATGATCGGAGAAGCGCAGAGGCGCCGCATCGTAGTTGATTTGGCGGATGTTGTCGCCTTTGCGGAGGACGCGGTCGCACCAGGCTGGGATGCGCGCTTTCTCGGAGGTATCGTAGGTGTCAGTTCCGATGTCGTATTTGTAAGTGGGTAGAAAGGTGATGCGGGCTTCGGAGTAGTAGGGGAATGTGAGGCCAGCGACCATTTGCACGTTGAGCTATCTGCTGTCAGCATGGCCAGGAATAAAGGAATAACGAACGACGTACCTGGTCGTTCTCATATAAGGTCTCAAGGTCGACGACGTGGCACAATTTCTGCACCTTCTCGTTGCTCAAGCCTATGCGGTAGTTGAAGTCTCCAAGCCAAATGACCGTATCATGGTCCTCAATCGACCTGTTCCTCTGGAATCTCAAACCGTGGCTGATGGTCTTGTAATCGCGATTCCGCTCCTCGTAGTTGGCGAAGCCGGCTGCAAGATGGGCTGTGACGAAGCAAATCGAAGTGTTGGCGTACTCCATGCGGATGGCAACAGCACCTTTATTACCCGCAATGCCAGACATTCCAGTCTAGCGACACGTCAGTCAAGCTCTCAGCGCATGAGCTTGCTAGCTTACCTTCTTCAGACTGCCCTCCACATTCTTGATAAACTTCAGCGAGTTCGCCCTTACAAACACGGACAAACTTGCACCAACGAGCTGGCCACCTCTTAGTAGCACATAATCTTCCTTGCCATGCTTCGCCGCATTCTCATTCAAGCAATTCCTCACCGCTTGCTCCCACATTTGCCGCCTCGCTGGATCTGTCGACATGATCTGTTGTGGGCTCAGCTCTACGATTTCTTGAAAGCCGACTGCGACGATCTCAGGACATTGCTGCGATGGATCAACGTTGGGACAGAGCCAGGGCGACAGGTCCTCGTGGAGACCGTTCGTCTTGCCATTGAGATTGAAGGTTCCCACAAGGATGTGTATGACTTCTGTCTGTGTGAACTCTGCCGCGCGCCTGCTGAGCTCCGTCATGACGTAGTCGTTGATAGGGTCGTAGAGATGGACGGGGACTTGCCCCATCAGCCGGCCGAGAAGCATATCGATCGTGTTCTGCCGTCCCTTGTCGGCAAAGTTGTTGATGTACATCCTCGTTGCGCTCTTCCGTGCATCAGCCAGTGCTCCAGCGAGCGACATCTTTCCATGTCTCGTAAACGAGGACTTGAGCGCTCCTGTACCGGCGTATATGCGTGATAGAGCGTCGCCGTTATCTGCCCACATGCTCGAATGTCTTACCCAGAAGTCTTGACTTGCACCTACCGCCTTATGACCTAGGAAGATCTCCAGAGCCATCCTGCTAATGATCGTCTGAACAAGATTTGTCCGGTCCAAGCAATCCAGACAGTTCGTTCTGAAAACACCCTCCTGCTGCAAAATCGTAGCCGGCCGTCGCATGACATAATCTTGACCATTCGACTTCGCATGCTCCTCCACCTCTTCGGACAGATAGTACGCAAACCCATCTGCAGATTCCCGTATCCACTGTGAGATCATGCTTGCCATCTCGTAGCCGCCCGGCCCTCTCGTCTCGGCGTGGAAGTCGTATTCTGTGAGCCTAATGAGCTCATGCTCTCTTGAGTTCTTCTCATCTCCAACGTTGAGTGGACTGTTTCTGATGTGGTAACGATATCTATTCGTGAGTTCAATCTCGTTGGGCTTTTCGTTGCTTAGGAGGTTGACGACGTGTATCGCACCGTAGCTGAGCTCCAAATTCTCAAAGTGCTTGTCGAACGCTGGCTGCGTAGCTTCTGGAGACCGTGTAATCGTGATCTTTTGCTGACCAGGTAAAAGACCAGTCGCTTGCTCCCAAAACACCGGCACGCTTCCTCGTACCTGAGTATACGAAAAGCACACTCCGGTCGGCGCCCAAAAGATAGTCTCGGTCTCGACGAAGTTCGCAACGTTTCCGTCATCGTCGATACCGCGGGCATTGAACCTAGTCCCAGCTCTTCTGCAAGACAATCTCGAAATAAGGGTCATAGACGATGGCAATCCGGACCGCGGTGTACGAATAGGCGACGAGGAAGACGGCACCGTAATCGTAAGCGCAAATCCTCGAATAGCAGACGTAAGGATCCCCGAAGCATCCAATGCCTGCTTCTCCCGCGGTGCTAATCTCGACCTGAAATCCACTAGCGGCTGAATCATATACGAATTCCAAAGGAAGCCGGCGTCGAGACTGTCGATCGATACGGTCGCGGCGTCCGAGGACCTGCGTTCAAGTTAGCAATGCTCTTCCGGCCCAACGTCCAGCGCCATACCTTTCCTGCAACCGCCTCGTAAGATCAAAATCCGAGCTATAATAAAACGTTCCACTGCTCAAAAGCTTCTTGAGCGCCAAACAAGGATGCTCCAGCGGACCCTCGCCCTTCCCCCTCCCAAAACCCATCTCAAAGCCCTCATCGTCAATCGTATCGGTGGGGTACGGATTGACCTCGTCGTTAAGCAAGGAATCATAGCTCGAGCTATTCAAGCAATCTGGCCTCTCGTCAGCAAGACCCTCTTCCAAACACCCGTACTCTTGGGGCAGAAAGTATAGCCGTACAAAAGCCCACGGAATGAATCCTCTGTACCGTCTCCCCCAGCCTCACCGTCGCAACCTTGCTGGCCCCATTGACAACCACCAGAAAAATATCCCCGTTCACGGTGATTAGCCCCAGCGTCCCATGCGCATTCACCATATTCAGCGCCCTGTAATCACTCAAATCCACTTCCTCCACCGTGTTGAACTCGACCATACACCGCGCTGCGCCCACGCCATTGCTCCCCAGCGACGTTGTGCTCGCATTGTAGTTCGCGCTCTGATCAGTCGAAGTCGAGGTGTGTCGGAGGACTAGCGCGTGCGAGGACGTGGTGAGGGCGATGGCGCGGTGTGGGAATTCTTTGATTAGGACGCGGATGGACATTGTCGGCGGCGGTGGACAACGAGGGAGCGCAGTGGAATGGAGCGGCCAGGCATGTCCGAATGTTTACTGAGCGAGAGCAGGCAGACGTGTAATTCGAGGAGGTTCGAGGGTCGCGGTTGTGGAAAGAAAAGTAAGCACGTGTGCGCTGCTCAGCCTGGGCTGCTTGCTTGTGCGTGCGAGGGCTGATCGTGGATGACAAGTTTCACAAGCGCACATGCCAAACCACAGAATAGGCGTGCGTCATGCGACATCCAATGATATAAACAGCTGGCAAAGGGACCTGAGTGGATCTGAAAAGCAGTACCATGGAGGGGTGTGCAAGACCCTTTCTCCTGCGATTTCCAAATCCCACTAAATGGCAGGTTCCGATTTTGGTTCTCGGAAATGCCCCACGCTTCCCATTTGCCAGGCGAAAGAAGGCGATTCAGGAACCGATTGACATCATAGACGAATGAAATCTATTTTGAGGGAAAATATCCGACTACGAAGAAAATCCGTAAAGAATCTTGAAACGCCTTCGTCAATCGTGAGTCTTAAAATGCTGCAATGCGCTTCCAACGAAACGCTGCAAAGCGAGAGGCCCAAAGCGTCCACATGCCAACAATAAATAAATAACCAAACAAAGAAACAAGCTCCATCTAAACCAACTTCACTGGGAACCTGTCTACCTCCGATACTCCCTTCTCCTTCTTCCATCATCATCCACAATCGTTATCCTCTCCCTCGTGACCCTCTCCCCGTACTCTGGCCCGTACCCACCCCGTCCCCTACTCAAACTCCTCTCCCTCACCCTTGACCTACTCCTCCTCCGCTCATACCTGTCAAAATGGTCGCTCTCGCTCGGCGGCGGCTCCACGTAGCGATAATGCTCATACCTCTCGGGACTATGGTCCCTCCTCTCCCTTCTATACTCCCTCTCATGCACCACATACTCGCTCCGGCTGGGACTATGGCTCGTGACGCTGCTGCGAGGGCTCACTTCGACATAGTGCGGACCGTGGTGCGAGGAGACGTGCGACGGTGGTGGAGGAGGAGCGTGGAAGGGTGACGGAGGAGGCTCTACGAAGACTGGAACGGGCTGCGGCGCGGGTATGGGGAGCGGCTTTGGAGCGGGCACCGCGACGTAGGACCGCGAGGGTCGCGGAGATTCGTGGACTATTTCGGTGCGGGAGATGCGGCGGGTGGAGTGCGAGTGACGGTGCGGTGGTGAGCGGGTACGGACGGTGCGGTAGGGAACCACGACGTCTTCTTCTTGCCGTACTTTGACGAGACACATGGCGCTGCTCGAGTACGGTATGCTGAGGCAGTAGTGTGCGATCGGGCTGTGATTCGTGGGCTGATCAAATGTGGGGGGTTGAGGCTGAATCGGACGGAAAGCGACTGCTGAGAGCTTCGGAAAGTAGATGCGTAAAAGCGAGAGTGAGGATGACTTGGAAGCTCAGCGCAAAACGACGGGCAGCTGAGGTATTAAGGAAACCGGGCAACGCCGTGAGCAAGGTGTTGAGGCGGAGACTGGGCTGAGAGGACGCCCAGCCACATCGATGCCGCCCACGCTCCGCCTTGGAAATCGAGTCCGCCCGCGCGCCCTGGTCTTTAGGGCTGACTAAATTCACCCCAGCCCGTCACCCCGGTTAGTTCAGGTACCACGGTTGATGTACGGCAACAGCTCTCATCCCCATGGTGCAATCCATGGATGTTTGGTAATGTATGCTCGTGATCACATTTCCGGCTAATAAAGACAAAAGAACCAAAGTCTACACTAGGTATGTTACAGCACTCATCCGTCCCAGAAAATGCCAATGTCCCTTCGTAGCCACCCTCAAGATCATGGTCTCGGTAGGCTCCACTTCCAAATGTTGCACCTGATGTTCATATATGTCTGCCATCATCCTACTTGACCAAATGTGCAAGAGAGTGGTGCTCTCACGCAAAACCCTTCCTTCCCGCCAAATTATGACATTACTGAAACCAGAGTCAGACCCAAGGATGGCTACTAATCATTCATAGGCCTGTCTTCTAGCTGAACGCCTCGCGGGGCGCCGTCCTCTGCTCTCAGGCTACCAGTCGAGTCCCTGTTGCTCCTCGCCAAGCTTCCCGCGTGTTTCCTGGGCAATGGTACACGAGTGCTGGAGGGCGCAGGATGCTCCTGGGGTTCAGTCGAACCATTCGTTCCGTTTCCTTCAACAACCGGGCTGCTGTCCAGGCTGCCTGGTACTTCAAGTGAGTTCCGCGTCCCAGTCCTTCGGGTGTCGGTAGGAGACGACGTATTGACCGGGAACCTGGTCCGGCTTCGGTCACGACGATGGGATCCATCCCCTCGAGGTCCTGGAGCAGGTGACGTGGCACGAGGAGAACGTTGGGCAGCAATGGCACGGTTACGCTCTTCGTAGTTCGCGCGTCGATTGCTCTCATCGGTCGATATTGCGCGAGGGCGCTGCGCACCGGAGGACGAGTGAGTGAGAGCACTGGCGCGCTTCAATTCTCCGAAGATAGCATCCTTGTGAGCAAAGAGGTCTCGGATCAGACGGTAACTGTAGCGCTCATTCATCGTTAGGCTAGACTCTTGTCTCGGCCGCAGGATGCAAGGCGAGAGAGCATTTGCAAGAGCCATCACATAGGCTTCATCAGCCGACGTCAGCTCGATCAGGCGAGTGAAGTGAGTACAGATGGCGTCAAGGGTGGCAATATTGGCGAGTCGAAGCTGACCAAGCGTAGACTGGATGACCGAGATGCGGGTCTCTTCAGAAGCGTCGGTGGCCGTGGTGCTGTAGATCGTCTTGACAATCTCGTAGACGTGAGAGGAGACAAGAGAGTCTAGGATGATCAGTACAAGCAGACGATCGTCATAGAAGAGACTTACCAGGTAATTCGAGCAGGTAGAGCTTCAAGACGCTGGCAACAATGGGTATGTCGTACTTCTCGAGAATTTCGTGCGGGAATGTCTTGCCAGTGTTGATAGAAGCTCGCAGATTATGTGTCTGCGCCAGAGGAACATCGACGAGCCAAATACCGCGGCGGGCTTCATCACCTTCCAAGTCAGGGTAGTGATTATCGAGGAATGTGAGGATTGTGGTGACCAAGAGCGGGACGCGCTTGCGGTCAGACCTTGCTCGTGCCTCTAAATCCACGCCAAAGGTTTGTTCTGCGAGATCATTAGCATCTAGTCGCCATCAAGTACACCCTGGCAGATTCATACCATCAACAGAGTTGTAATAGTTCTCATACGTCGTAACTCTCGGAACAAACGGACCGGTCCTGTAGTTCTCGAGCATGTACCTCAAGTCGCCCAGTGGCTGAACGGTCTCCTGGAAGAGCATCATCTTATCGACTGTACTCTGCAGACTCGGAATGACGTTGCTGATGGCGCCGGAGAAGTCCAGAATCACAGCTTTGATAGCCTTCAGCCTGTCGAGCTCGCATCGCTCCATGAACTTCAAGTGGTCGACCATGGCTTCTTCCAGGTTGCAGCGCAACGAGTCAAGCTTCTTCACCGATTGCTTGTAACGCTCGTCTGCTTCGCGCGCTTCTCGTCGGAGCTTCTCCGCGGGCGTCTCGTTGGGATAGGGGTTGTTGAGCGGGTTCCACCCTGAGAGGTACTCTTGCACGGTCCCTACAGGGGAGTCAACGCTGAAGCTATCATTGGACATAGTGGAGGACACGCGGTCCAACGGCTTCTTCTTCTCTGGGATTCCCGTCATCTGGAAGACCTTGGGTTTCCACTGGTAGTTCATCCTCGAGCTGTTGGCGAAAGTATTGCCGACGTTTCCAACGAGGCGGAGGAAGCCATTCGCGATCATATCCTGGCCAATTCTTTCTGCGTAGCTGACGCTGGTAGCTGCCATGTGTTTCTGGATGTAGTCCGTGATATCCGCGCCGGTCGAGCAGTTCTGGTACGTTCCTAGAATGGGCACCTTGACCTCGGCGAGCTTGATGTTGTCCAACATATGCGTCAGAATCTTCTTGACCTGGTCAGGCTGGTATGTCTCGTCACCGAGGTCAATGGGCTCCTCCTCGTTCTCGTCAGGCTCCGACATCTTGATCGTGGGCACCTTCATCTTCGGGCTCTGCGCCGCTTCGCTCTGCGGATCCTGGAAAGCGAGCTTGTCCTCCTCTTCAAGATCTTCCACTAATCTACACTTGTTGTAGTACTGCGATCGGAACTTGCGAACAGCGTCAGCCTGTCGGTCGTGGATCTTGATCCGAGATTGGAGGTCGTCCTGCGAGTTCTGAACGCGGGCAGCATGCGCTTCGCACCAGCGGCCGAAGGGATTCACAACGAGCTCTCGGATGTTGGACGCGATCTTGTGGTGGTTTGAGGCCGCTGCTTCCATCTCGGTGCGCACGCCTTCGTAGGCCTGGCTTTGTGAGTCTTGCAGTGCAGCATACAGCGCTCAGCTTGACTTACCTTGCGCACGCTTGCGCCCTCATCCCTAGTGAAGCCCCCGCCTATGCGCTCTGTGGCAGGTGAGATGGCGGCCAGGCTGTTCCCATACTGCTCTTCGGCATCCGCTCGCATGCGAGCCACGGTGAGTATCTGCTGGTTTTCCTGGACGCCTTGCTGGAGCTTTCCGAAAAGCACTCCCAGCCCTGCATACGTCAGTGTACGCCTATCGGGAGGCTCGCAAACTGGGGAACGCACCACCCGCATAGTCGCTGGACCAGAAAGAGCCAGCGAAGCCTGTGGCCATTGTGACGTCGTGTCGGGTATCAAAATCCAAATAAACGCCAGGCTAGTCGTCGAGAAAGCAGACAGAAAGTGGTACGGGATCGTTGAAGGTCGTAGCGAGCGTCGAGAAGGAAAGCCTGAGGAAGCGGATAGCGCAGCCCCCGGCGATGCAGTTGGTAGTACGGCGTGACACGTGCGTGTGCGTTGGTGAGGCACGGCGTGAATGGGGAGTGTCAGACAAAGCGCGTCCGCTGCGACCGCTGCTGGCCGACGTGACGGAGAATAGGAGAATGGCCGGCTTCAGGGGAGTCTTCTGTGGGTGTCGAAGCCAGAGCTGAGCCTGAGAAACGTCAAGCGGCGGGACCCCTGCTGAGCGTTGCGACATGTCTTGGCCCGATGGAGCTAGCGCTGCCTTGTCAACCCGCTGCCCGGTTTCTCATACCTCACCACTTTGGGTATGAATTTCACGAACATCCCACGTTCCTCTGCTCCTCTGCTCCTCTGCTCCTCGCAAATGGTCGCGGTAGTCCGACAGGCCGCCACAGCCTCGATATAAATACCAGCCTTAGCATCCACCGAGCCGGTCTCGGGGCGAAGCGCAGTATGGCCCCCGGTCTTCCCGCCGAGGAGAGCAAGCTCAACTACGCGGCACACATCAGATACTGGCGGCGCAATTTGAAGACGTTCCTGCCGCACCACTACACTGGCAATGACTCCAACCGCATGATGCTTGCTCTTTTTATTCTGTCCGCTCTGGATATACTCGGTGACCTGCAGGGAGCACTCTCAGCCGAAGAACGCCAAGGCTACATAGACTGGGTCTATCATTGCCAACTCCCAGAGGGCGGTTTCCGACCTTCTCCTGCAACAGATTTCGGGCCTGCTCGGAATGACGAAAACAAAGTCTGGGATCCAGCTCATGTGCCGGCTACTTTCTTTGCTCTCCTTATACTCACCATCCTCGGCGACGACCTGGAACGGGTGAAGAGAAGGGCGATATTGGCCTGGTTGCGCACAGTGCAAAGACCGGATGGAAGTTTCGGAGAAACGGTGGGGGAGGGGGGCCGGGTGGAAGGGGGCAATGACTCCAGATTCGGTTACATGGCCACCGCCATCCGGTGGATCCTTCGGGGTAACATTGAAGGGCCATTGGGCAGGGTGCCTGATATTGATGTCGACAACTTCATCGATTGCATACGGAAGGCCGAAACCTATGATGGCGGCTTATCCGAATCGCCTTATCATGAAGGGCATGCCGGATTTGCCTGCTGCGCCGTCCATGCTCTGTCATTCCTTGACCGTCTACCGGTCGACAAACCTGATGGGCGCTTACGCGGCATCACGAACTTGCCGTTGACTCTGCACTGGCTAGCGTCAAGGCAAACCCTTACGCTCGATGATGAGGACTCGATTGACACATTGGGAGACGAGAGCGACTCAGCAGCCACGTGTCACGACGCACATTCTTTTCTCAAGCTAGGCAGCTATCCGTCTTCAGCTGGGGAGCAGTCGTTCAAGGATCAGCCTACATCACATTTCGAGCTCCAATGGGTGGGGGTGAACGGCAGACCGAACAAGATAGGGGATACATGCTATAGCTACTGGGCGTGTGCTCCACTCAAAGTCCTTGGTTACCTCGACATCGTTGATGGCAAGCCAATTCGACGATGGCTACTTGACAGGATGCAGCACCTGGTAGGAGGATTTGGAAAGCTACCTGGAGACCATCCCGACATATATCACTCATTCCTCGGCCTGGTAGTTCTATCCATCTTCGGGGAAACCGGGCTGCAAGACGTTGACGCCGCGCTCTGCATCACCAATCGAGCGAAACGACAGCTTGAATCACTACCCTGGAGAAGGAAGATCCTTGGTCTCGACGGCGTTCAGAATAGTGATTGGGCTCAAGATGGTGGCATAGCCTCAGTAGCAGGTTATGCCTCGATCAGTGGGGGTTAACAAGACGGATGATTATATAAATTATAGATATGTTGTATGTACCATGGTACGACTGAATAAACGTAGATACGATACCCAGGGACCCTTCCCGCCCCTTACCTAGGTAGCCTGCCATCTGACGTTCCCCTCCACCTGTGCCACATACCCCCACCAGCCACATCGGCAAAAACTTCCAAACTAAACTCCACACCCAATCCGCACCGAACTTTTCTAGACCCTCACACACGCCATAACCCCTTCCATACCCCCGAAAACCCAACCAACACAATGCCGCCCCCCTCCAAAAAGCGCAAACCCAACCCCTCCGCCCCCGAACAAATAGCCTTCGACCCCACCGCGCGCGAAGAATACCTCACCGGCTTCCACAAGCGCAAGCTCGCGCGCATAAAACACGCGCAGGAAGAAGCCGCGAAGAAGGAAAAAGAAGAACGCCTGCGTTTCCGTCGCGAGGTAGGTGCGAAGAGAAATCCCCCCAATTCACGAACAGCCAGCGAATTGATTGCTGTCGAGAGCTGAGCTGGAGAAAGTGAACATAGCTAATAGAGATATATCATAGCTCCGGCAAAAGCGCAAAGAAGACCTCGAGCACCACGTGTCGGAGGTAAATCGGCTCGTCAAGCAAGCAAACGGCGACATCAGCAACGCGGGCGAGACGACTACGGATGCGGCCGAGGACGACGAGGAAGAGCAGGAATGGAACGGCATTGAGGAGCCGCCGCCCGAGCCGGAAGAAATAGACCAGGAGGACGAGTACATCGACGAGGATAAATATACCACCGTGACGATTGAAACGGTAGGGATATCGAGACATGGGTTTGAGAAGAGAGGCGGTGGTGGGGAGGACGGCTCGGACGAAGAGGGGGATAAGGAGAATGGGGAAGGGCGGGATGGAGAAGGAGATGGGAAGAAGAAAAAAGTGTGGACGAAAGAGAAGCCCAAGTCGGATCGGCCGAAGAAAAGAAAGAAGAAGTTCCGGTATGAGACCAAGGCGGAGCGGAAGGTAGAGAGGGTCAAGCAAGGCCTCAAAAAGCGGAAGATGGCGGCGGCGAGGAAGGAAAAATAGGCGCCTAGTCCCGCTGAGAGGGGTTATGATAATACTGTTGGTATTGCATGCAAATTCACAAGATACCCAGGGCGAGCCGGTCAATATAGAGGGCAAGTTCGAAAGCAGCCGGTCCATGTCCCGCGGCCAAGATACTGTGCAGAAGATATATTCCATATCCTCTAGGAACGGCTATTGATGTATTGCAACGCTCAGAGATTATCTAAAGCGCACAAGCCCAGCTCATCTCCCACCCAAGCAGCCACACGAAGGAAAACCAAGATATGCAGGTAAGGGGTGTAATAGGCTTCCTTCCACTCAATCCATATCCGCGCTCGAGCATCCGTGCCGTCCCATGCCCAGCTTTAGCAATTCACTAGATAAACGTCAACAACCACGAAAGAGAGACGACAGGACGATCAGATGTTACCGATCTCCTTGACGAAGTCGTCGAGCTCCTTCTTGGTGTCGGCGTATTTCTTGGCCATCTCCTCGTATTTGGTTTCCCACTGGTCGCGCGCCTGCTCGAGGGCTTGTACTTTGCGTTCATAGTGGCCGGATTTGACGTCGGTTTGGCGGAGCCTGGGGAAACGCGTCAGCGGTCAGATTTCCAAGACAAGCAAAAGTGGCTGCCTTGGGACACCTCGGAGAAGGGGGAAAGTAACGAGACACTCACTTCTCGTTCAGCTCGCGAATGGTCCTGTCAGACTCCTCAGCCTCTTCCTCGAGGACCTGGATCTTGCGTTGCAGAGCTTCTGCCTGGGTGCCGGCTGCCGCACCGCCCGCCGCCTCGTCCTTGTAGGTCTTGACTGACGTTTCGAGCTTCTCGACCTCGGCCTCCAGCACTTGGTTCTTGTGCGTCAGCGAGGTGATTTCCTGCTCCTTCTGCGTAGTCTCGGCCTCCAGGGCCTTGACCTTGGCCTTGTACTCTTCGGCTTTGGCGGAGCTCTCGTCGGCCTCGATGCGGAGGGCGTTCATGCGCTGTTTCGGCAGACATGTTAGCTATGCTGGTTTGACGGCTGTAGGCCTGGCCGTTCGGCGCATGTGAGTCCTCCGGCAGGGCTTGCAGCCCGCATAAGGGACATGGCGGGGTAGTTTGGGAACACGCACCTGCTTGATCTGGTCCATGGCTGCGGTGGTGCGGTGTTGCTTTGGTACGAAGGGTTTCTGTAGGAAGCAGAGGGATTATGTGAGAGAATGTGGGCGTAAGAGGGTGTGGGTGGAGTGCGAATGTGGTTGTCTGAAGAAGTGTCGCTGCTGTCAGGGCCTGATAAATGCGGGCATGGGGCACCTCTTTCGGCAAGAGCAGGGGTTGGCCGCCAAGCCTCAGGGTACTCCGACCGCCGTCCCTAGCAACCAATTGTAAACAGACGACCCTTCCAAGCTTCGTTCTGCAAGCATCACATTACACGCTGGACATACCACGGCTCGCTCAATGTACCAGTCGCCATGGATATCCTCGCCGCCAACGATCAAGAGAACCTGGTGCACAATCTGCACGCCGGCGCTGCTGGCAAGTCGCTCAATGCCGGCCTGAAGGGATTCAATGCCAAAACACCAGGAAAGAAGGCCCCGAAGACGCCGTTCAAGGTCCCGCTCAACGACGAAAACGCAGTGGCACGAGGTGGAAAGTCAGTCTTGAAGACCAATGGGAAGGGCAGTGAGAATCTGTTGGTGACCGGCAAGAAGGACGGGAAGCTGGATAACAATGCATTCGTTACGCCGGCTGGTGAGTTCTCATCGCAGGACGAGGTATGAGCGCGACTGACAGCAATCCAGGTCCTCGCACACGCGCGCCCTTGGGCATGAAAACTACCAACGCGAAGACCAAAGCTTTCCAAACCCCTGCCCCGCTCTCCGCGTCCGCAAAGACACAGAAAGCTAGCCCTCGCCTACGCCGTCCGAAGGTCAAGGTCCACCAGCCTGAAGTTCAAGATGAGGAAGACGACGTTCCGGAGATCGAATACATGCCTCCGAAGGAGGTCCCGCTGCCAGACGACATGGATGATTACTTGCCTCGCGACTGGAAGTTCCCCATGTTCGAGGGCAAGAACATGACGCGTGGCATCTGGGAGGCATATCACAATCCGATTGAGGATGATGGTCGCACGAAGCTCCGACGCGAATTTGAGGAGGGACTGGACCGTGATATCAAGAAGAAGAACGAGGAGTTCGACAAGATGTTCGCTGAACAGTGGGAGAAAGACCAGGCGGAAGCTAGGAGACACTTTGGTGTTGAGTCGCCGAAGAAGACTGCGCCGAAGGCTAGCATCAAGCCGGATGCTTTGAAAAAGAAGGCCACCGGTCCCTCAACCCTGAAGGCCAAGTCAGCTGTATCAGCTTTCTCGGAGGCACCCAAGCCCCACTACGCAGCTCCAACTGCGGCAGCAAAGTCAAAGATTCCCGCTGGCCTCATTTCAAGCAGGAGGTCGTCGAAGGCTGCCGTTGATCCTTCCGCTTCCCGTCACGCTGCCGCTACCGCCGCCTCAAAGAGTACCATCGGTTATGCTCAAGGTCGCGCAGCCAGAACAAATACCACCGCGCGTCAACCTCTCTCCAACGTCACGAAGCCCGCTCCCTTGTCTACCGCTACCCGACGACCCACCACTTCCTCATCCCTCCATAACCGCAACGCAAGCACCAACTCGGTCATCGCGAAGCCTCGTGGCGCATTCTCTCGTTCAAGCTCAACCTCCACCAACGCCACGCTCGTCGCGCCCGCGCAAGACGAGCAGCCTTTCCGTACTGCCGAAGACGTCGAGCGCGAAATGGAGCTTTTACTGCTCCAGAACTCTGATGACGAGGATGCCGATGCCTGGGCTAACAGTTTCGCTAGTCAGCTGGAGGGTGGTGACCCTTTTGATGAGGATCTAGAGGGATTTCAGCTGCAGCTCCCGACTGGCTTGTAGCCGGCCGGGTGTGAACTTTGGGTGGTCCATGATCCAGTGCCGGAGGACTCGGACGGAGCTCGTCATTGGGTATCGAGGGAGTTCAGAGGGCGTCATATGACGGATGAGTGGGTTGTGAGAAGTTTCATTCTTTCAGGTGTTTGTTTTTGTGTGGAGTTGATATATTGTATTGAAGTACCACTTTGGATAAAGCCTCTGGATTTTGCGCCTTTGAGCACCCTTCTCTATCGTTTGTGGTCAGCGCAGATACGAAACAAAGTTGAACCTATGGGCCTTGGAGTGAGATGTACTACCGTGCAACAACGCCATGGCCTATCATTGATGCACACTGTGGTCTTGGCTTGCAACGAACAAGCAGTAGATGTTCAAGCCCGGTACCCAAGATCAACCCCAGTTCTTGAAAGACTCCATCAGTTACACGTCCCACTGATTGATACCCAGCACATACAGCCTCCGGGCGCCGCGAGATTCCCTCGCCTATCGACCGACCAATCGTGGCCACTCATACAACGAGCGATTTCTCTCTCCATGGCCAAGGGCTTTATCGCAGTGCCCGCCCTCCTGCTTTCTCATCCTGCCACGCTCACAAATGGGCTTCAAGCGAACGAACGACGAGGCGACGGAGATTCCTCCTCCTCCTCCTCCTCCAAACCCATCCCCAGCACTGCTTATTTACTCCCCAAAGGCAATCAGCCTCCTTATCCCCAGTCAAAAAGGGTCCTTCCACAGGAGCGCTCCCAATCCCTCAATACCGTGGCCTCTTCCTCTCGCCCTCCTTCCCGTCCCCATCCAAATGCGTCGTCCGATCAATATCCAGCCTCTTCTGAAAATACTCCCCGACGCCAATATCCTCATACTTCTTATCCCCCTTCCTCAAATGCTCCACAACGCCGACCCGCGCATCCTCATTCGGGCTGAAGAAAAACGGCATGCTATAGCGCTCCTCGCCGCCCATGTTGCGCACCCGGTGCACGGTGCTCTGCCACGTGCCACCCGTGACCAGCTTGAGGAAGTCGGCGACGTTGACGACGAAGCTGGCGGGCTGCGGCTGCACGGGGATCCAGATGCCGTTGCCGTTGAGCACCTCGAGCGCCGGGTACGCGGTGCGCGACTGGCAGACTAGCGTGAACCAGCAGAAGTCCGTGTGCGCGCCGATGCCGACGTCTGCGTCGCTGTGCTGCGGCGGGTAGTGCACGGCGCGCACGTTCGTCATCGGGTGTGTGGTTATGGCGTCGAAATGCGTTTCGGGGAGCCCGAGGCCCAGGGCGAAGATGTGGAGGAGCCGCTTGGAGAAGTGGAACATGGAGGTGTAGTAGCGGTAGATTGCGGGGCGGAAGAAGAGCGCCGAGGGGTGGGACGGCCATTGGTTGCGGGGTGCGCTGGTGAGGGAGGTGGGCAGGGAGGCGGGGGAGAGGAGGGCGAGTTGCTCGGGGTCGGTGAAGTCTTCGCCCATGAGGAAGCCTTCTTTTAGGTCTAGAGTCGTGCATTAGCTTTGCCGGGTTCCGTGAACTCGAGAGAGGGTAATGGGAGGAAGGAAGGGCAGTGTTGACATACCACCCCTCGTACTCGGATCCAGCTTCCCCTCCAAGAACGCCTCATACCCCCTAAACTTCTCCGTCTTCTGATTATGCGTCTCCATCTTGACCTCAGTCGGCAGATCAAAGTACTTCTTCACCGCCTCAAACGTGTCCTCCAGCACTGCTTCATCCACTCCATGGTTCACTGCGTAGAAGAAGCCCACGTCTCGACACGCAGCGCCCACCTCCTTGGCCAGCTCTTGCCGGTCCTCGAGCTTGTCTGAGTAGATGCGGCGGAAGTCGATTTTGGGCACGGCGGAAAAGGTGGGCTTTGCGGCTTTGCCGGTGAGGACGCGTCGACGACCTGGGACACCGCCGTCGTGGTAGTGGACGTACGTTTCCGTTTCCGTTTGCGTAGTGGACATGGTGGGCGGCGAGTTGGGAATCTTGGCTTCCCTTTCTCTTCCTTTCTGTGTAAGGTAGATAGGTAGTCCAATTGGTAGAAGTAGTAAACCGTCTCTTGCACACCTCCAAGTAACGACACTGCGGCCTTATACCACCCCTACTCGACTCCCGATACCAAGCCGTCCCTTATTACCATCGGACCGTCCAAAAGTAAATCACCCGTCGCCTCAGATAGGCAGTTCATCCTTCTATTTGTAACCAATTGGATCCAGACACGTGCGGGGGCCCAGAGACCCGTTTCTGTAATGCTGCATGAGGAGCGAACGCTTGAATGGCCTCACTTCATGGGGAGTTGTGGGACGGATGAGGGCGCACCTGCAGCGCCTCGCCGCACCTCGCCGTAGTTGAACGTATATTTCTGGGCGTTCACGCCCGGCGGTTGGGCGGCAGGCTTGCTTCGGAGCTAGGCCCCCCCAAAGATCCTGAGCCATTGTTTGGAGCCTCGGGAGCACTTGCTCCGTCGAGAGGGAGATCGTCCGTCCAAGGGGTGTGCACTTGGCTGATGTAGGGGCTCGGGGATAAAGAACGCGCGTTTGGATGGCATGGGATTTAGGTGATTGTCATGCTGATTTGTTGTTATTTCTTTTTGTGCGTGAAAGTGATGAGACAGGGTCTCTCTTCCAGGATTCTTTTACCGTTCGGAGAGATGATGCGGAAACATGGGCCGGGTGCTGGGTCAAGGGGTCCAAGTGCTGGGTGACGGAGCAGCGCGCACTGCGCTACCTTGCCACCACGTGCTGGAGATAGGCATCCCAGGATCAACAGAGTACGGAACTCAACGCAACCTTTGTGGTTCGACGCTTCTTGTCCGGCAGTTCTTCAGAGCTGAATACTCACTCAAATCTACAAATCTGCGGAGCTCAGTGGTAACGCGGTTTACCCCGCAATCCCGCCATGGCGCGACGTTTGCATGCTTCCAATGGGGTTGGAGTGCCAAACCGATTTAACGCATGTTGGACTCACGAGAATGAGGCGAAAGTTTGCCTCCCTTCGATAATAATTGTCCCGCTTGAGAGTTCATGCAACTTAGCATTGCGGTTAGCTCCGCTCTGCTACCCCGGATCAGCGTTACCGAGAGTAGATAAGGCAGTGTGCGGGATCTGTTGATTGGCTTGCGATGTGCTGCCCGGTTGTCACATTTTGTGCATTCGACTCCGCTTGTGATGTGCATGAGCAGTATGCAGGTGGGTGCTTGGAACCAAGGCGGTGGGATTGGCAGCTTCACTCGTCTTGAGTGGCGAGAATCATCGTTGAGAGGGTTGATTGAGAGCCGCCGTCGAAGACGGCGATGCATGCTGGCTCACCGAGCTATTTCTCCTCCGCAAGATAGAACCAGACTTTTAGGAAACCCGACCAACTCCATACCCGCAGACCAAGCCGAGATCGAATGACAATGCAGAGGAAGAGGGTATATCATAATCGCAAATGGTGCTGAAGGAAACAATGAGACCGTGGTAGTTCCTCAGCCGTGTATGTCATGAGGGCGTGTGCTGCCGTGGAGCGCCTATTTCTTTCCGCCCAGCTTGGAAAGTAGCTCCTTGCCTTTGTCCACGAGGCCCTTGCCCTCCTCGCGCTTGGCTTCCTCGCTCCTCTTCCGCTCTTGCTCCTCGGTAGTACCCGCGACGTTGGCCGCGCCGCCCCGACCATAGTGATGTGGTCCTTCGGGCTCACGGAGAGAGGGCGCTTCGACGTCCTGGCTGGCACGAGCGATCTCTGGATGGTTCGGATCGTTCTTCGCCATGTTGCCCGAGCCGCCTCGACCGGTGGTATAGTGGTCCGACTTTAGGGTGGGCGTAATCAGATCTTGGGGGTTCGTGTGGGCGGTGGGGTCGTCCTTGCCAATGTTGCCTTCACGCTGTTAGCAAGCACTGTCGCAAGGGTGTCTGACCACGAAGAAAGAGGAATGAAAAGTAGACTTACCGGCGCCACCACGACCATGGGAAGCAACACGATCCGTCGAGGGAGCCATTGCGCTTGAGTGAAGTCCTGCCTGGAGTCTTCGAGGTGTGATGCGAGCTTTGCCTGTGGAAGAGCGGGTGAGGGGTGCTATACGAAGTGTTGACGTTGGAGTGGTTACACCAGCGGAATGCAGGGAGACAAGTCGGCAGTTGAGCGGGGGAAGCTGTTTAAGAAGTCGAAGAAGCAGAGGAGCCCTAGAGGGGAAGAAGGGTGAAACAAATTGTCAAAGACACACAGTAGATGACGCGACCGCAAGAACAAGGCACCACTTATATAGCACCCTCTTGGCCCTCACCGCAGAACAGGGCAGCAGTGACCAGTCTGGCGTGCCCAAGCAGTCAGAGGAAGGCGCCACGGTACACAGGCATCCTCAGCTTTTCCTTCACTCCAGCGTGACCAACAACGGGCGGTCGATTCGACGTCTGGGAGCTCTGGGCAGCGCGCCGACGGGCACGTAGAGCATACACTACATGCTCGCAAACACGCTCGCCCGGGCGGAGACCGTTCGCCCGTCGAAATTTCTGCGTCCTGGCGCGCTGGTTGCGGAATATCTATTAGCTAAGAGAGTGAGCGGATGGCGGGGTTCAGGACGCGCGACGGCGCGCGAGTATTAGGCGACAGTGCCTCGTGGTTCACGCATGCTGGCCCAGTGGAGCGATGGCATGTGTAGTTGCTTGGTGTTGCGCTGCGTGCGGGCTTGCGACGATTCGACTCGCCATGATGAAGACTGTGGTCAGGACGATAGAAGAGGTCATCGAGCTGCTATGCGTGAGGGTCCCTTCGCACGAAAAGCAAACACGAACGTAAGCAAATGGTGTCATTGCTATGGTGCCAAGACGAGCGGCAGGATGCAGGCACAGCACAGATCAGGCGGGGCATGCCACCAAGCGAGGCGAGTGATGGGCTTCTTCTTCTTCTTCAACATTCTGTTATTCCTCTCCACTCCATTCTCCCATTGCCGGGGTTCTATCTACGAATACAGTCAAAATCAGTAATAGTACAAACAAGAGGGAAGACCACTCGACGCCAAACCGATGCCAGCGCCAATTAGTCTTCCCGGCCGGAGCTACCGTCGCCTTGAGGTCGCGAAACCCCGACGAAAGACCCAAACGTTGCCGATCCATCAAGAGAACGCCATCCATGCAATCTGATATCCAAGGTTGAGATACCATATGTTCCGCATAAGATACCAATCCATCCTCGCGACTAATCGTACAGGCCAAAGAGAGAAAATGCCGTCAAACCCGATACGCCGAATATGCATCGCTGAACGCTCCAAATACCAGAAAGACGTGCCGAAAGATGCAGGTGGAATAGTCCAAAGCGAAGCGATCGAGAGGGGGAACCGAAGCCGAAGCCGAAGCCGAGGTCGAATTATGTGCACATTGGCAAGCAATTTGGAGAAGGCCTATGTGCACGACCGAGTGCCGTATCGTCCGAAGTCATAACGAAAGCAAGGGAACCTCGGTCCACCCGTGATGAGTTGCAATGGGTGAATAGAGCTTCGAAGGTTAGCTCGGCTCAAGCTGGAAGATGTATCGACCGACATACTTGAGAGTTGCTTGGAGTAGGTCGGTTAGCCCCCGTCTCGGGGCTGCGGACCCTCCTTGGCCATGGACAGGAGCATTGCTGAAGAGGATCGTGATCGAGTGCTGGGGTTTGGAGCTCCACCGTCGCGGGGTTGCGGATCGGAGAAGGTGAGGTTGAGGGTTGTGAACAGGACGCGCATCGTGGTAGGGCGGTGGATGTTTAAGAAGTCGAAGTGGATTTGTCTCGGCAGTTAAGTATTGTTGGGTGTGGCTATGAGCTGCGGTGCGTTGTGGATGGGTGTAGAGGCAGACACAAGGCGTGCTTTTGTATGCAGGTCCAAGACAGGACGAAGTATGAGTGTTTATAAAGTCCCGAGGCCTGCCATAGGCGCCACTCTCCCTGCCACGATCGAATGTGCCTTAGGAGATGCCATTCAGCTTCCATTCAGGTACGGCATCACTTGCCTTGTTTAAGGCTCTGACGCAGAGAGTTTCTTCGGTCAACCTCAAGGTCAAGCTCAAAGAGCCAGAGGGAGCTGCGCCACCCCATATAGGGCGGAAGATCATTGGCTTTTGACATGGGGAACAAGGCGACAGGTAGGCGGCAGACCTTCTAGCGCGGCTTCGAGAGCATCGTAATCAGGGGTCCCGGGGTGAAGCGTTGACTCTTTTCGTTTACCGCGGTGTGGGAGGCCATGGGAAACGCCGGCGGGTCACTCGTTCGGTCCAAGCCACGCCAAAGCAGCCATCAACACGAGCTAGACCGGGACTGAGGCAGCAGTTTGTTAGCGGTGGCCTGTAGCTGGTGGATGAACGTCGGTGCCTGTTGGCTGAGGTCGGTGTCGTGACCCTGTGCACAGCCGCAGCGGTGGCTTGTCACATTGGGCAGACACAAGGCTTCTTTTGAGGCCATCAGGCTGGCCCGGCCGCACCACCGTCTCTGTTGATAAGAAGCGGCGAGAGGTCCTCCAAAGCTCGTTTCGATTGTGCTGTGCTGGTCCGCAAGTTCGCTGCAGATGCCTTCTTGACCGGAAAAAGACACAGCCCGCGCACCCGCGCGCCCTCCGCCCCCTTGTGTACTGCTGCAGGCGAGTGAATTGTTGCCCACGCTGGGCGCATCCGAACTGGACGGGTCGGGCTGCCTGCGCCCTCCGATTTCCGCCAGGCTGTCCGGCCGAAGCTGGTGACGTGCCGTGAAGTCGACTTCAGACCGAAGGGGTGACTGCTGCTGCGCCACGAGCCACCTCGGTTCGGTTCGTATCTTATCGAGAACACCCGAAGCGGGATAGTGCGGCTCTTGCAGCTGCATTGGGCTTGTGCAACATGGGGCGAGGGTGGTAGAACGTATGGCGAAACGACGGTCCGAGAAGTTGCAAAACGTCGTGGAGGGAGGAAAATGCCGAACTCCGAATCGAAACGTATGTCGCACCGTCGTAATGAAGCAAGGCAGTGGCGATGTAAGGGGAAAGGCTGATTTCGGTTTTACGATCCTGCCTCCAAAGGCCTGCCTATATGCAACCGTTAGATGCTGTTCTCATTTGCTATTTCGTGGACAGGGAAACTCACTGTACCCATCGCGGGGCTGGATTTCGCCGCTGGGAGGATCTTGTGGGCGTTTCGTCATATTGAATTCCGGCAATCTGGATCGGGGCTCAGGGGCTCGCTATCGTAGTGTAGCCGGGTTGCGTTTTGATATTGACAGAGTAAGACCGTTGTCTGAGACTTGGATGAATAGTGTTTGGGGGTTCTCAAGATGTATTCTGCAGTAGCACGTTGAAAGTTGGACAGGTACTTCGGCGACTTTGAATCACTCTTATATATCGCTCTTAGGAGGCTCTTCCGCGCGCTGAATCCGTCTACACCCACACAGTCCTTCACGGGGCAACGCGAAGGCAAGAGGGCAATGGCAGGTACGTGGCCCTAGTATCTCGAGCACTGCGCACCAAGTGAAGCGATCTCAGGTACCTGCGGTGACTCAAATGGGAACGGACGACAGAGGCCCAAAATTCCTGAATTGAGGTCCAATCATGCCTCACCGCGTATGTGCTTCATTTTTCGGCGTCTCAAACGGTCGCCTTCAAAGAGGAGCATCCGTGCTGACATCTGGAAACGCGATCCTGTGCGAAGGGAAGGACCATGAGGCTAGCACTGAAACGGGTAAACGATGGCGGCGCCTCACTTTTCTGATAGGCTACCACGTTTGGCCAGAAACCCACCATCTCTACGGCTGCCACGGCTGCAAGCATCAGCCATCTTGCAGCTTTCTAGACGCCTTTCCACGCACTTGGTCGTCGGGGAGACGGAGGAGGACGCCCTATGCGCCGCCGTGCGCTGGCCTCTCTGCATGTGACAGTTCCGTCATGCTGTTGTCACACTTGACGTCCAGTCGGCTGCATCCCTAAATGCAGGAACCCACAGTCGATAATTCGGAGAGCTGCTCGCCGAATAGCATGGACCTTGGTCGAGCGTGCCAGTGTTTCAACCCCTTTATGGACAGTGGAAAACATCGCCAGATTTGAGACAGGAGGACTACTGGCGAACATTGCCCCTCCCCATGACGACTTTGGGCTGCGCCCCGACGCCCTCTTTCCAAGCCGATCTGGCCAAATTGATGCGAGGCAAACCACATCCCGGAGTCATCGTCAAGTGCTCTGAGAATGCCTGGGCAGCCCGGCAGTGCCTGCGCTAGACGATATGTGGACGGTTATGGCAGTGTCGTTGCCATCCGCGCTTATTTTCTTTTGTTTGTAGGCATTATGAGGCTTTTCTGCATCAGAAGATACCGGGTTCTCATCGGTCGTATGGCAAACCGAAGGGGCTGCGCAAGTTGATAACGGTACTGAGCGATACCTAAGCGATAAGGGACAGCTCGTGAGGTATTTTTCTCGCCATTTGCCTTCTAGGAACGTGGACCAGTGGCTTGGGGGACGCCAACATGGTCCTCTGTCGTCCGCAGCTTGAGCCGGGAGATGGTCCGAATGGAAGGGCACCGTGAGGCATGCGAACGGCCGCATGCGGATTTCGAACTAAGACAGCAATCTCGTCTGCCTTCTGGAGAGCGGTTTCTTTTGCGGAAGTGAGCGGATCGGTTCGCAACGGCTAGGTTGTCTTACTACAGCGCTTCGGAGGGAATCCAGCCTTGGAGAGTAGCGAACGTTGGTTTAAGGTTGGGTGGCCCATACGGCCCCGATTTGAGGTTGCATCTAGATGTAAGCTCCCGCTACCCGCCTGCTGCAAGACGAGGATTTTTCTTTCATGAAAGGCCCCAACGCCCTCAATACGCGAAAGGAGCACCGATCTCGGATTCAAAAATTGATGTCTCAGTTGTTAGCAGACAGAATCAGAGCAGCGTCACGGCATCGCGAGAGAAGACATCCGATTCAAGACGCGCTAACCCAATCGCTCCTCCCGATCGCCAGACAATGCAGGGGATTAATTTGCGGGGAACACGCTTTTTGTCCTTACAGCTTCCCGTCTAGCCCAAAGCCAGGCCCGACGTTCGCATGCTGTACCAGCTATTTCCCTATCTACGGAGCATGCCGTCCCCAATAGGCGCGCCGAGTTCAGCTTCACCAAGAGCGCCGCTAATTGCTTGCTTCCGAGGAGATCTAAGCGGCGTCCAATGATACCGTATTCGAAGGTGATCCAGCTCAGTCTGGAAACTCATCTAATTGACCCCTCACGATGGACCTTCCCGTTCCTGGCAGGGCCCTCGGCGTCTTTAATAAACGCTTGGTCTCCCTCTCGTGAGTACCAATCCCCTTGACTTCCTTCAATCACCATACTGTAATTCCTCAAGCTGCATATCAAATTTTCCGTGTAACAATGCGCTACTCCTCGGCGGCCATTTTCGCGGTCTTGAGCTCCGCTGCTCTTGCGCAGAACCCCTATGACGGCCTCCCACAATGCGCCGTAAGTGCCAGCGGACGGTCGGGAATCGATTGCTTACCCAGAAACAGCAAGACTGCTTTGGTACCGACTATGGCGGCTGCAATCAGGTCGACATCGGTTGTATCTGCAGGAATACGCAGCGCATTGCTGATCTCTCCTGCTGCGTTTTCCAGACCTGTAACCAGTCGGATCAAGATTGTCAGTGTTGCCGTTGCAATCGCCGTCTCTCTTTGCTAACGAGACCGCCACAGTGACCATCACACTCGCCCACAACCTTTGCAAGGCGAACGGAGTCGATGTCCCAACGTCCGCTTCTTGCGCCTCGACCGCTGCATCCACGAGCGCACCCACCGCATCGGCGTCGGGCTCGAGCGCATCCGGTTCGGCTGCTTCAGTGACATCCACTCCCAGTGGTAGTGCGGCTGGAGCAAGCGGTGCTGGAAGCACTGGCGCAGGTGTGCCGATGGCTACCGCTGGCCCTGCTCTGGGTGTGGGTATGGCAATGGCCGGCTTGCTCGCTGCGTTGTAATTGGAGGCGACGCGACATGGACGAAGGATCGATTCGACGCGCGGGCGTGGTCCCTTGGTTTAGATTGGAGGGAGGAGGATAGCAACATGATTCGGACTTCTACTTCCTCTTCTAGAACACCTTTATAATACTTAGTGTATACGAATTTGAGCCACTTAACTGTTATGCTCGCACGCTATGGATGCTTGCCGTCCACTGAGCCATCGCTGACAGAACGCCGGGACCCAAACAAGCTCACTGCCGTGCTGTGAATCGCGACCGCGCTTTCACTATTAGCAAGCGCCATTGGCAAGTAAGCCTTCAAGAGTGAATCCATCGGGAAGGAACGTAAGGAGGGAAGTTGGGATTTATGTGGCCCTCGAGCTCCAAACCGTTTCTCGCTTCGCACACGGCCGGCGGAGCTCCTCCCCTCCACCTCCGAACGAAGCCCGCACCTTGTGTCCCCACAACGCCGCCTACGCCAGCTGCGCCCGCGCCTGGAGATGGAAAACACCTATTAGAAATAATAGTTCTCCAACCTCTACGCCGGCCTCACCGACATGGCGACGAAGTCGAATTTCAAGCGGGCTCCGGCCCCACCGCAGCACGCCGTCCTCGCCTCGTTGCATACTACACAGCTTGTAGAAGATTCGAAAGCTGTGCTGCCAGCAGGTAATTCGCCAGAAAGCATTGCACGCAAGGCTTGTATTAACTTGTACAGAGCTCATCAATACCATCCTCGACTACTTACCTATCCCCGACATGTTTCGCTTCGCGCGAACGTCGAAGCGTATGCAAGAGATGGTCTATGATGACACGCGCTGGATACAGAGGCTCAAGAGCATGGGCTGCTGGAACGATGTGGAAGCTCGCCAGAGATTCGAGGAGTCAATGCGGAGGAAACTGGAGGCCCAGCGAGCAGAAGACGCTCGGAGAGCTGGCGTGGCCTTGAACGGCAGCGCGAATGGTATTCCGAGGCCTGAGGACGAACAGCGGAAGACCAGTGTCACACTCTTTGACGCCGGTCTAGAAGAAGAAATGCAGAGGAAGCCTGTGGACAGACAAGCCAGACCTCGAGCAACCACGCTGGACAAAGGGTTCGACGACATGACCCTATCGCCTCCTAGGACAATGACGACGCGCATACAACGGACGGAAGCATACGCTGTCAGCCCGTCCGAGTCGCCGCTGGCGATACTATCGCATGTTCGGTCTATAAGAGGCATGGCACGGCAAGAGTATGGCAAGGTCTATCGAGCATTAGCGCCACTCTACTTCGACCTTGGGAGAGCAGAAAGCCACACGGACCCCATCGTGTTCCGAATCTGGCGTGACCCGGAGCACCAAGCGCAAATACTGGCCCAATTGAAGATCTTTGCGAAGAGTGATTACGCACAAGGGTGGAACCAACGCGAGGAAAAGTTGGATACAATGATGAGCATCTTTGAAAACGCCCTACTCCGAGAGTTCGAACATGGCTACCTGACGAAAGACTTCGATGGCCGTATGAAAAGATATGCTCAGATTTTGGTAGCCTTGAATGGAGGCGCGGCGTGCATCGACTCCTTCATACACAACCACCCATTGATGCTCGAGAAGGACGAGTTGGGGAACCCTGCGGATTGCCTACGCCATGGCCATCTTACGCTACAGCCGTCGCACGACTTCTTCCATGGTCTGGCCATCGCATTGAACGATGAAGCTGCCATCATTGATCGCGTCTTTCCACCTACCGTTGATGTATTGCAACCATTCCTGGAACGTGTTGCCGAAGACGTCATCTCGGAGTACATTACGTCCTTATTTGACGAAGCGCACGACATCAGTATCGAACTGTATCTGAAATCCGTGGCTGGTGTTTTCGAGCAAGCTTTGCAGCTTGCGATTTCTCTTAAACCTACGAAAGCCTCAAGACCTGATTTCCGGGAGGAGGCGATGCGCATCATCTCGCATTGCTTCGAACAACATGTGGATCTTTATCTGCAGGAGGAGCTCGACTTCTTCAAAAATAAATCAGCTGCAGAAGTGGAAGCATGGGAGAAGCGCTTGACAGCAGAGGAGCAAACCACGGAAACGTTCTTCATGTCAAACGTTAGCCGACAAGCAGCCAAGCGAGACTTTCTGAGTTCGTTCAAAAAGGTAGTAATGGCACCTGTGAATGTTCTCCCCACCTTTGGAGGGTCTGGTTCGACCAGACCTACAGCACCCGGTGTGAACGGTGCTGCCCTGGACGTGACCTCACGCTCGGCTACGCCTGTTCCTGGCGAACGTTCGGCGTCTCCTCGACCGGAGCCACCAACCACAGAGCTTGCTGCGAAAGCGGCCATCATGAACTCCCGTCTGGAGGGCATACGGACGCTATTCAGCATCGAAGTAGCTTTGAACTTGACTCACACTGCCAGAGCAAGTCTCGAGCGAGCCGCACGTTTCGTGAGGCTTGGTGGTCAGTCCGGCGAGGAGGCAAAGGAGCAATGCGAAAACATGTTCATCAGCCTGCTACAGATACTTGGAGGACGGCACATGAAACCGGGCTTCGACAAGGCGGTCGCTCATCTGTCAGCATACAGGCCGAGGGAGGTGGCTGATCACAGCAAAGAAGGCGTGGCGCCGCTTGTGGCTTTCCTCGAGCTGGTCAATGTGGGAGACCTGATCCAGCAGATGATCGACGTCTTCTATATTCAAGAACTGGTCTCTCCTAAGCTCACTGACCAGGACGACTTCCTCAGTGCAGCCTGCAAGGAGAAAAAGCGGTTTGAGCAGATGCTGGATGAAAGGGTGGCTGCAGGTCTCAACAAGGGCATTGACGTACTCATGGACGAGGTGGAATTCATTTTCGGAAGCACCCAGCTGCCTACAGACTTCAATCCTCCGGTAGGCCCCGATGGGACGGTACAAATGCTTGACATTGGGCCTAGCCAAACGGCCAGGCGGGTGGTTGACATAGTGTCGTCGCACACGAGCATGCTGGTTGGTAGCACGGACAAGAACGTGCTCGACGTCTTCAACCAGGAAGTGGGATTGCGCCTGTTCACAGCGCTTTGCAAGCATCTGAAGCGACAACGGGTCAGCGTGGACGGGGCAATCAAGCTTATCAGGTAAGAGCGGATTGCTATGCTCTTTGTCTCACTCCTGGTCACTGACTCCGGCTAGCGACATGAACGCCTACAACAGCTACATTGTCTCGCTGCGCAACAAATCGCTGACTCAGTATTTCGCTGCATTGCGCGAGCTGTCTCAGATCTATCTGATCGATCCGAACCATGCTAAGGAGATCGCAACTATAATTGCTGACTCAGGTCGATATCATGGCATCTTTAGGGCTGAGGAGGTCTACGAGTATGCGGAGCGCAGGGCTGATTGGTACCAGATCAAGGGCGCGGTGGAGAAGCAGATGTACGGTGCCGGGTGCTTAGTGATGTAGATGCAGAGCAGGCAGAGGCAGTGTACGAATATGCGATCGCAGGGCTGATTGGTACCAGATCATGGAGAAGCAGATGTACGGTGCCGGATGCTCAGTGATGTAGATACAAACCCGCATTGGCGAGCAAAGCGCAGTATCGATGTCTTCGGACGCCATTTTGCAGAAACAAGCAGAGCAAGTAGGATGAATGCGTGATGATGGTGCGGTGGCTGGTCCGTCGGCTCTTCTGTGTCTGGATTGGCCTGTGCTCGGCGTCAACCACTACCGACCACTTGCAACTTCACCTCACCGTTCCCCTGCGCTTATGGTTCACTTGTCGCAGACTTCTCGTCCCTGGTTGTATCGTGCGCGCCGAATTGCCCGTGAAGACGGTTTCCTCAGCTTCACTCGCCGCAAACCCTCTGGATTGCCGCCCAGTAGGAGCCCGCCGGACCCCCACCACAGAAGTTCCGCATTGAGACCATCTGATCAGTCGTGACAGCCACGGCTCTCTCTGTCTCTCCCGCTCCGCTGCACGACGCCTCGCCGAGTGCCTGCTGCTCGGTGAGAGACGCCGTCATTCTTCAGTTCCGCGAAATCATCTCCGCCAACTACCCTCGCCGAGCAGACCCTTCTCCACCAGCCACAGCAGCTTGGAGCCAAGCGCGATTGCACTTTGCGGCTTCGACGCGTCGCCAGTGTCGCTACTTTCGGCAGAGACAGCAATACTGCGACTAGGAGCTTGCAGTGATTATATACTTCCATCGTCGGTCCCACCTGGCGTACTGTCCCGCGACGAGCTTCATCCAGCTTGCAACCATGGCTGGTCAGTCTGCCAACTTGCTCCACCACGGCGCGGTAGCATCATACTGACAATTTTATGGGCTTAGCTCTGCCGCCGGAAGTTGAGGCGTCGTACTCAGCCATCATCGACAGCATCCTCGCGAGCAGCGACTTGAACACCATCTCCGCCAAGCGCATACGGAAAGGTCTCCAGGAACGGATCGAGTATGACATCTCGCACCAGAAGGTACATTCCCTGACTCTTGCAAAGCAAAATTGGCGCTGACCATTGGCAACAGCAAGCTGTCACGGACCTCATCATGCAGCGCTTCGACAAGTTCAACGCCGAGCAGAACGGCGCCGCGCCCGAATCCGAGCCCACAGAGCCCGTCCCCACCGTCGAAGTCCCCACTGCGAATGGTACAAAGGGCACCGCCGCCGATACCCCCAATGGAATCTCAAAGCGGTCGCCAGACGAGTCGGCCCTGTCGGAACTCGATGAGTCCCCGCCAAAGAAGAAGCAGAAGAAGCAGAGGAGCATCGAAGATGATGATGCGGCTTTTGCGGCGAAGTTGCAGGCGGAGGAGAACAGGCGCGCTAGGTCAACGCGTGGCGCTAATACCAAGAAGAGGGCGACGGTGCCGAAGAAGAAGACGCAGAAGAAGAAGAGCGCGAACAGGGTCAAGGATGAGGATGATAGCGACATTGGCTCTGGGAGTACCGCCGAGAAGAAGTCGCCTAGCCGGAAGGGAGGATTCCACGTAGGTGATCTTGACTCCATACCTCTTGTAAAGGAGCTGACAGCCATCGCAGAAGCCAATGGCTCTTTCGCCTGCCCTCTCGGAGCTCTTGGGCGAGACTCAGGTAAGTTTACTCATCCACACTGCGCCTCGTTACGGCCTGTTCACACCTTCCCCTCTCTATCTATGCTGACTGGTATTCTGCAGCTCTCACGACCCCAAACCGTCAAGAAGATCTGGGAATACGTCAAGGAGCGCGACCTACAGGACCCAAACGACAAGCGCCAGATCCGCTGCGACGAAGCCATGCGCGCCGTCTTCAAGACCGACCGCGTCCACATGTTCACCATGAACAAGATCCTCAACCAGAATCTCTACGCCGTGGATGAGGAGTAGTTGTAGTACGACTCCACGCCGGCAGCCCCTTGACGTTTCGTCGCATCGGTTCCGCCGAGGGTACACACGCACACACACCATCTATGCATCACATATCAACCTCACGAGTTTCACGGGACAAGGGCTATTCGCCCCTTGTCTCTTTTGCATCTTCGTTTCCTCTTACTTCAGCTTTTACCAGCATGGCGATCAACGGAGTTCTCACGGGGGGATGCTATGCTTGCATTTCTCGGCCTGCGCCTACCAGCTATGGATTAATGCTCGGAGGCCCAGGTCTATGTCTTTCTTGTTTACAGCGTAATCGTAGTCATGAATGTCTTACGGAACCGCTGAAAAGCTGGGGGGCGCTTCTTTCCTCTTCTAGCGAGGGAGTAGGGAGGATATTTTCTAGAGGCGATGGGTGGTGGTGGAAGGAATCGCTTGAGCTGTAGCACTGCTCTCTAGATAGAGTGCGAACGAATTAAATCACGTTCAAAACGAATGCTCTACTTCGTGTCCTCTTGTCGAAAGTTGCGGGAATTTTCTACCTGGCTAACGTCCAGCTTGGGCCATGGGCAGCGTTTGTGGACGAGAATTTGCTTCTTTTCTCGGATGGGGAGGAAATGGGAAGTAGTGAGGTCTGGGATTGAGGACAAGTTCTGCACGCGCGTAGTCATCTTGACCGGTCTTGATTTCCAGTGCTGTCTTGGACATGTATAGCTAGATTATCAAGGGCCAATCCAAGCGCGCGAACCAATCTTTCGCCAAAGCTCTAGACATCGAACCCACCCACCCACGTCCTACCTCAGCTTGACCTTCAGGACGCCGCTCAGCGCCTCCACCGCCGACTCCACATACTCCTTCGCATAGGACTTCACATCGGCATCCCCTAGCATCACCCTCAGCGCCGAGCCCGTGGGACCCGCGCGAACGTGCTTCTCAATCGCAGCGGCGCCCTTGTTCTTCATCAAAGCGAGATACGTCTGCGTTTCCTTCCGCACAAGTGCGTAGCACTCCTCCACTTTCTGGGCGGTCTGGTCGACGGCTTTCTTAGGGATCTTCGACTTGAGCGGATGAGACCCTTTCCGCGACATGCCGCGCAGTTGGTCGGTAAGCCGGATGAGGACACGCAGGAGCTCGAGCAAGCCGTAGAAGTACATGAGCATGTCTTCATGCAGGATGAGCGCCTCTCGGCTCAATCCGTCGTTCGCTGGGTCGGATATCGGGTAAGACTTTAAGGCGATAATGTGCATATCGAGTCCGTCAAGAAGCGAATTGAAGAGCTCGTCCAGCGTCTTGCCCTCTGTGTTGGCGTTGTGCATCATCAGCGCGACCTGACTCAAAGCATCCCATAAGAGGAAGAAGACGGCCTCGATTCGATTAAAATCCGGCTGCTTATCAATTTTGAGCTTGTAGGCATCGTGATTAGCGTTCGCCATGACTCGAAAGCCGTCGGACAAGGGCTCCTTATAGGCGAGCTTGCACGAAGGCTCCCAAGTGGTGTGGAAGTAGTTCACCCAGGACGCCGAGACGGGCGGGTTCATCATGACTAGGTCGATGATTGTGTTATCCTCTGAGTATTCAAAGCCGGGGAGTATGGTGAAGTCGCAGTTATCCGAGATGTTTTCGTGGTCTGATGCAAGTTAGATAGCGCTCTCATTCTAGGGATATACAATAACCGGATGTAGAGGGCAACTCCTCTGCTACACTTACTTGACCAATGGATGCTCGGTGCCTGATCGATTGGGTCTCCCCTGAGGCGGGCGGCGCGACGAAGCTCGATCACGCAGAGGTGTTTTGTCAAGCTGCATCTCAATTTTTGTTTGAAATCCTGTAACTCGAGGGCTTTGTCGTAGTTAAAATTCTGCAAATCGGTGTACAAGAAATCACTCGTCTTGTTTTCCATCCGCTGGATCGTGCCGACGACTCTCGACATTTCAGCCTCTGCAGAGAAGCCTTTGGGCCCTTGCACTTCGAATGGATGAGTTTGCGAGATGCGAGAAAGTAAGATCCACGAGACGCTTTCATGGAGCATTTCCTTAATCCTGGCATAGGTGTACTGTTGGAAGGCGATTGTTCCGAGACCAAGGTTTAGATGCAACCGTGTCGAAAGTAGAACCATTGCCCTACGCTGTTTCCCGGCGTCGTCTGCAAGAAGATGTCGCGCTAGCATTGCTGCTTGAAGCAGATAACGAGGAGGTTCCGGCGCCTTTGCGTGTAGATGAAGCAGCCCTAGGATCGCCAAGTAAGCTGCGACATAGTTCTCGCCGGGTAGCTGTGCGGCGAGGTGGTAAAGCTTCAGTGCGTTGGATACAAAGTCCTCTAGCACCGCGGTGCTAGGAACTGGACATGCCGAGACCGTCAACAGATAGTCGAACTTCAGGACGTTGACTTCCGCTTCTAACCATTGGGAAACAGATTCCTGCGTATGGAGTAAGTATGTGTCATGAAGATAGCTCAGTGTCATAATACCTCAGGAGCGTCGGTTGATTCTGGCATCAAAGACCGAGTTGTGTCGCAAATGAAGCTGTGAAATGCTCTTTGATCGTCTGCTGACATCTGCGGCACGAATCGACGCAGGTCATGGAAGCACTGGCGTAAAGACGAATGTCGACGCCAATAATCCTTGCAGAGCTCAAGGATGGGCTCGCGAACATAGGTGGCCAGGGCCATGTGCGTGAGCTGTATCCCGCGACCCTGGGGTGGAACCCGAACTTTCGAGAAGCGCGTTATAAGTGTTTTTACCTTGAGTGTAGCCCTAAAGCGATCAATACGACTGTATCCCGGTGTCGGAATGTTTTGACGCCACTCACTCGTCAAAGGAGTATAGGTGCTTCACCGCTTCCATGTAGCCTCCCCATATGGTCCATGAGGTGGAGCATAACTCAAACAGAGGTTGAGAGGTCTGGCAACTTTCCGCTTCCCCCAAGGCCCTTTCAATAGCCTGCAGGCAACAAGCTTCGACGATGTACCAATCTTTCAGCTCTTCAGCGAGTGACGCTTTGTAAAGCAGGAGTTCGCTGTACTGCTTGTCCATGTATTCTTTTAGGGTTGGTGGAGGCCGGTCCCAGAGTTCGAAAAGCTCGGAAAGGCGGCCTTGGCGCTTGAAGATTTCTCCCATAAACCGCAAGTCTTTCACGTCTTTCACTCGGATTGTATCATCCTGGTCCGAGTCAGCCACAATGAGAACGATATTTCGTAGGAAAGGAGGCGTTTACCGTAGGTTTTGGAGAGTTGTCGTACGCTTCCTTCAACTGGCGAAGGGCAAGATTGAGTTGGATCTGGCTGCCTAGATCGGCTTGCCCTGATCCCTCACTCGCAGCGACCTTCTTCTCGGCTGCCAGCTGGTTCGCAAGAATGAGAGAGTAGTAGGCGGCCTTCTTAGACTTGAGCCCCTCTTTGTTGGCTTGTACGATCGCCTCCAACAGTTAGCGTACGGTCCCATGGAACGGGCGAGCAAACCGGGTCAACTTACGAATCGGACATCTTCCCAGCAATCCGCCCTCATCGCAGAAATAAAGAGGTCAGACCACAACTGCAACCTCGCGTTTCGGCTAGGCAGAATCTTGGCCGCATTTTTCCAGCCCTTCAGCGCTTCTTCGCCGATAGAAGCCAAAAACAGTGTCTGCGGGTTAAGCCGTCGTATCGTTTCTGGCAGCAGTGAATACACGAAAGAAAGCAAGGACCGGTCTGTCACGGGTGGTTGGCGTTGACACACGGATAGTAGCAGGCCAAGGACCTCGTTGGCGTTGCTCTCTAATGATAGCAAGACGTCCGCTTTCCAAGCCTGAAACGACAGTCAGTACGCAACCCAAATTGAAAATCGAATAGCACTTGCCTGGGCGTATGGGTCTCCGGGGCGCTTCTTGAGATGCCTGCCTATCGCCTCGAGAGCAAATTTCGGTTTTGGATAGTCTCGTCTGGCTTTGGAAAGTTTGTCCCAGTTAAACGCCATGGCGAACGGGGAGCTTTTGTCGGGGCATCCAAAGAGTGGTATCTGATGCAGCGAGAGTAATAGTGGCGGTAGTACAAATGTAAAGCCGCAGCGTGGGGGCGGTGGGGATCGAGTGTCGAGGTGAGAAAGGCGCCTGTTGTGGAAGTCGGCCGCGCCCTCGGCTGCGCTTTCCGCTTACCCTTCGTGAGCAGGAAACTGCGCTGAACACCATCACGCCCGCTGTCCACGGGTACTCCAGGACGGCGATTCACAAACTCAGCAATGTCTCACCGGGCGTTCCTTGAATTACGTATGGGCAAAAGGGCAGAATTTGCAGGACTATAGTAGAAAATGCAGTCGAAATGGCAGAGGACCCTCCTGAAGAGCACAACTATCACTCCGGACCGTGCAAGTGGATGACTCTCGGATTGTCTACTATACTACATATGATACAACGAAGCGCCTACTCTTCGCTTGAAAGAGGCGGGAATAAAGCTCCCTCGTGCCTCACGCCCAAATCAATCATTGGCGCCCCATACTCCAAATCGCGACCGGGCCTACAATACGCAAACGTCCGCCGCGACCCATCGACACCAAGCTGGTCAAGCAGCATCTTCGCTTTGTTGGGCATATATGGCTGCAGAAGAATACCAGTCATGCGGAGTGCTTCGGATGCGAGGTAGATAATCTTGTCCACTTCTTCGCCAGGTTCACCAGGACCGTAAGGCAAGACCTTGTCCCAGGGCGAGGACATCTGGAAGAACCGGTTTGCCTGGAGGTAGTCAGCATACGCATTAACAAAGGACGACGGGCAGCAGTCGACTTACAGCTCGGACGAGCTCGGCAATATGAGATACCGCCATCCTCGGATCATGTGCGTCGAGAGATGCTGCGGCTTTCGGAGGCGCTACTAACAAACTATTGTTGTAGAACCGTGAGCCTGGTCCTTCCTGCCATTGCTCTGCTGGCCATGGCCCTATTCGCTCTACTGCTCCTCGCACGCTCCATTTCCTGCCTCTCGTAACTCGGGACGCCAGGTTGCCGAATGATGAGTTTAGGAACTTGTTGTACAAGGTTATTATGCGAATATTGTCGTAGTTCGAGTCGTCCTGAATGCCGCCGTCGTGCGCCAGGTAGAATCGCATGACATCGGGCCCAAATCGGTCTAGGGCGAGGAAGGGATCGACAACTCGTCCGGTGGACTTGGACATCTTCGCGCCCCCGAGGGTCCAGTGTGCATGAGTGAGAATCTTTCGTGGGAGTGGCAGTCCCAGAGCCATCAGAAAGGCTGGCCAATAGATGCAGTGGAATCGAACGATATCCTTCCCGATGACATGGCAGTCAGCGGGCCAGCCTCCGGCATGCTCGCGGCCGGGGGTCCAGGGATACCCAGCTTTCGTGGCGTAGTTCATGAGGGCGTCGAGCCAAACGTAAATAGTCTGAGTGTCGTCTTCAGGGACACGGATGCCCCAAGTGAGACGATCAGACGGACGCGAGATAGAAAGATCTTCGAGGCCAGACTCTACAGCTTGTACAACCTCCTTCATGCGGTGTTCGGGTGCGATCCACTCAGGATTCTGCTTGTAGAAGTCGAGGATACGATTGCGGAATGCAGAGAGGCGAAAGTGATAGTTCTTCTCGGACGCCCACTCTACCTCGCTCCCCGTCTCGATGGACGTCTCCAAGTATGTTAGCGGGCTTCCAGCAACCGTCTAGCGGCATGCTCACCATTATCTTCCGCCCAGTAGGGGGGTCGAGATACGGCTGAACCGCCGACTGCGGATAGAATGCCTCGTCCGTGACGGAGTACCAGCCCTCATGCTTCTCGGTGTATATGTAGCCCTTCTCTTTTAGCAAGAACTGCCAGCCATCAGCCTCTGCTCCTCACGGCCATTGAGAGCCAAGCCCATACCCAGGCATACTCTACTGCGTCTTTGTGCTCCCGGTCCGTCGTTCGTACGAAGTGGTCGTTCGTGATAAGCGCCTTCTGAGCCAGTTGCTTGAAAATAGCGGCGCCTTTGTCACAGAAGAGCTTAGGCTCGATGCCGGCTTTCGCAGCCGCTCGTTGAACCTGTGGCCTGTTAGCTCTCGAAGGGATCACTGTGTTGTTAGACAACCTTTAGACCATGTTCGTCGGTTCCTGTGCAAAGCAAGGCCTTCTCTCCCTTCAGCACTCTCCACCGTTTGATGATGTCCGTGAGGACCATCGTATAGAGATGGCCAACATGGGGGGCTGTTACACGGCGTCAGTCGATCTCTTCTCATGTTCCGGGGCCAATTGAAGGAACCCGCACCTGCATTGACGTAGAATATGGGGGTGGTGATGTAGAACGGCTTCTGGTCGGGGAAGGACGGAACTGAATAGTGTCGGCTACGAATGCGCTGTGCCTGGCATGCCTTGCAAATCCATGGTGCGGTTTGGAAGGAATCGGGACGTAATCTTCGAATAGCGGGCGTCGCTGAGCCGAGGATGCGTGAGCGCATTCTTCCTCGATTGCAGCATCCCACGAACAGCTCCGACGCGCAGCTTCAAAGTTTCGGTGCACGGACCACATCTCGCTTATGTGACGGGACATCTAACTTCACTCCTTGGCGGCGGCCCGTCTCTCTCCCTCACCGATCACCACAAGAGCGGCGTCGATCATGCCATTGGCATTTCTCACACCTCCTGGTGATGTGGGGTTGCCTACGCGGTCGTATGCACAGCGCCCACTCGACAGCTGCACCAAATGCTGTGCCTCAGTTTGCCTAGTCTGGGTTTGATCCATGCGTCAACTCATGAAGTCCTGTATAGCCAGTCGCTATGCTGAAGCTAATTCCTCTTCCGCTATCTCATTGGTCTTACTTGCTGGTTTCCCGTTCTTTTTCTGGCTTCTTTCTCCGTGGCTTTCCACCATGGCTCCGGCTTGCACCCACGCACGATGCTTTCGAATCCGGAAAGAGATAGCAATGGTATGAATCCAATGGCATCGGTCGCCTCTGTGGTCGCTGCTTAAGCGGCAATTGGTGCCGTCCTCATTGCGCGGGTACAGCAACCTTTCACACCCTCTCCGGGTGACACCCAGCCCGTCGCCTACGATACACTGGGCAACACTAGCTGCCGACTCGTCCTTGTTTTCGAGATGTACCCCGCTGCTCGATCACGTTCAGTCAGTCTGTCGGTGGCGCATGTGCGCGCCATCGCTTCTGCTATGCCAAGACTCAACCTTCTATTGATCCTATTCAGACCCAAATCCGGAAGTCCACCTCGCCTCACCTCCCTTCACCCCCTTGTTCCCCCCTTGCGCAGTTCCTTGTTGCTATTCGAGCCATATACGGATTCTTTGTAATTTCAGGCACCTCGTGGCCATGCAGCCCGTCCAATTCCTTTCTCCGAATATTCTGGAACAGGCCCATCCGGTCGTTATTGAGCGCTATTGACACTTTAACCGCCGACCTCGCCCATCATGACCCGTCGTGTCGGTGAGCGCTTCACTTTAATTGGTCCCTATTCAAAGTGATCCCCGAATAAGCCTTTCATTTCTCGCCGACATGGACCACTCGCCTTGCCCTGGCATCCTTATTGAGCCTTATGCGAGAGCCATGTTCTTTATTGATCCTATTGAGGCTCGTTCAGGACGGCCAGTCTTGCGTGGCCCCCTTTATCTTCTCCCACGAGGCCCCAAAGCATAAACTTCTCCTCTAAACCACTTCCTTCAACTCAGCATCGACATCCATTCAAGCCAGTCTTTCAGACACTGCAAACAAGTCGACAGAACTCCATCTAACTCCTACCACTCATTTGGACTACAAACCTTCCGTCTTCACCATGAAGCTCAGCGCCATCATCGCCGCCGCTATCCTCAGCGCCACCGCCTACGGTGCTGCTATCCCCGACCCACACTGCAAGTTCCCAGGCCAGCCATGCAAGCGTGAGGCTATCCCCGAGCCCGTGGCTCTCCCACAGCCCGTGGCTGATCCTCACTGCAAGTTCCCCGGTCAGCCTTGCAAGCGCGAGGCCGAGCCCATGCCAGAGCCTGGTAAGTACAAGTTCAATGGTTGGACTACCAAGGGCCCGCAGCGATTCCCCGGTCAGCCAGGATCTACGAAGCGCGAGGCAGAGCCCGAAGCCGGGTACAAGTTCAACGGCTGGACTACCAAGGGCCCGAAGCGGTTCCCTGGCCAGCCCGGTTCTACGAAGCGCGACGCAGAGCCCGAAGCTGGGTACAAGTTCAACGGGTGGACTACGAAGGGCCCGAAGCGATTCCCCGGTCAGCCAGGTTCCACTAAGCGTGAGGCAGAACCGCAACCGGAGCCCGAAGCCGATCCCCACTGCAAGTTCCCGGGCCAGCCATGCAAGCGCGATGCTGCTCCTGAGCCTGGTAAGTACAAGTTCAACGGCTGGACTACGAAGGGCCCCAATCGTTTCCCCGGTCAGCCAGGTTCGACTAAACGTGAGGCAGAGCCCGAGCCCGAGCCGATCCCCGAGCCAAAGCCTCACTGCAAGTTCCCTGGCCAGCCCTGCTAAGCGGCTCGTCGGAACCGTCGACAACGCTCTCATAAGGGCGCCGATACTTCACCTTCTTCTTTTTTGATCAAGTTTTCTTTTCCCCTTTCGACTTCTCTTCTTCCGCCGACACTCGAGCATCTGGACGATCCACACCGACAACACCATTCTTCTGGATTTTCATCCGAGCGTCGACGCCTTGTACATTCGATGCTCTTCATATTTACTGGCTCGTATATCATACCGACAACGGGATATGTGCATGAGCAGGTCGGTCCTCCCTACGACAGTCTCCTACTCGCTTCACACACCACACGGCTATGGACCGCGAGTCTGGACAGTGGAAAGGATGCCTGGCCTTTTCTTCTTTCTTGTTTCATATCCACAGAATCTTGAGCAGGGAACATATGCGATATGGATACCTTGGTGGTGGTTGGCCGTCGCTCTTTCATTGCTGGTTCTCTTCGAGCTCCTTTGTATGTAGTGACTTAAGGGCTTGCGGTCAGTACCGTGTAGCCGTCCAAATGTATATGTTTGGGCTCTTGCGCTTCTCATCCTTTCTCCTTTGCGTCACCGTGACTTACACAGTGATACTAACCCGCCGTGTCTTTCCTTGTCATGCTTGCCTGACCCCCATTACCCACTCTTCGCATCTTCCCTTTCTCATTCCAACACATACCTTCCTTCCCTCCTCGCTGAAAGCCACCACTCGCCTCAACCATCTAAAACACCCCGGGCCCTTGACGCCTCCCTCTTCCCGCTCACAATTCCGACACTCACTCGCTCTGTACTATCAAGCAAAACCCAAGCGAACAAATCAGGCTCCGTACTACCAACACTCACCTTGTCCGTATGTACCACTCCCCACTCCCCCTCCCACCCCAACAATCGCTCCCGTTAGCTCCTTCAAGCCGCGATCTCGCTCCCATTCAAGCCCTACCGGACCCCTTACCGTCTCATCCCACTGCCTCCTCAGCGCTCCAACATCTCGCCGCGCCTCCGGACTCCGCGCAAGTTCCGCACAGCACGGTATCCGCAGCAAGACTGCTTGGAGCCCCAAGTATCCACAGTCGTAAAAAAAATGCCTTGCGACGCCTTTCAAACCCTCCATCCTTGAGGCGTAATTCCCAGAGCGTAATGAACCCAGAGTTAGCATTACACACTGCCCCCGTCCGCCGTCCCTCCTCCCTCCTCCCTCCGTTTCAAACCCTTCACGTTTCCCGCCTCGCACAACCTAATCGCAATCTTCCACCGCCACGGGAAACTCAATGCAAGCAAGCAACGCCTAAACACTCACTCAGCCCGCCGGCATTTCCGCGCGACCGCGAACGTTCGGAACGCGCGTGAAACTGTGGAACCGCTAAACCTAAACATTGCGCATAGGAAAGCATATGAACACAGCCCCCATTGTTTTTTCTTGTTTTTCAAGGGCGTTGTTGGGTTTATAGCCGCGTGTGCGTGTGTGTGGTAATTAGCGGCCTTTTTGTGATGGGGTACCGCGATGCTGGTTGAAATGAGGCATGAGTGTGTGACGTTATGCGCAGCGTGATTGGGAAACTCCCTAGGTTTGTCGGGAAACTTAGCATGAAGGGACATGGCGCGTGCGAAACGCGAGCGCACGCGAAGTCCGAGGGCGGAGGGGGGAGGGAATTGATGGCCTTTATGTGCTTTGTGGGTGGTTTTTGGGTCGTGGAGAGGATGGAGTGCGGGAGCTTACTAGGAGTCGCATGCGAAACGCGGGCTCCGACGGCGCAGTAAAACTAACAACGACGCACGCATCGACGTCACCGCGATCGAAACCGGAGATATAGGGCATAATGATGGTTTTGGTGGTATTTAGTTTCATTTCGTTTCGTTTGACTAGAGGTACTTAATAGTGACCTATTCGACTACGTGCCTCCCACTCCAACTTTTCGCGCGGGCAATGACTGCCCTACAAAGTATCAAGGAGCGTACTCGAAAGCACCAACGCGGTGCCAAACATGCTCCTGCGAAAAGTCATTACCTGCGACGACCATGCGTCTGTATTCCTCCACGGCCCGGCCTTGCGGTCCTCCTCGATGATCCAAGTCTTGAGTGAAGTAAGAAGTAGACGAGAAGGGTATAGATGCTAATGCGTAGATGAGGGAGAGGAGAATGCGGAAGCAAACAAGAAGGTATATAGCATCTCGAAGGGTATCGTGGCTTTGGAAGAGAGAGCCAGGGTATAGATGGACAAAGGATAGGAGAACATCAGATGCAAGAACCGAAACGCTCACTCGCTCGCTGGTCAAAAGCAGATAAACGCACAAGAACAAAACAACAAATGCGAGATAACCGCCCAGGGTCATTCTAGGTCATTAGGGATTCTTTTCGGAGGAGCAATGTGAGGTGGTCAACACGGCTTCACATCTCGTGGCCGTTGACGTTCACCTCGTAGCCTTCATTCTTAGCCCTCAGGGCTTTCGCGAGCATCAGCTCGCGCATCCAGTCAATGCGCTCGTCGCGCGACTTAACGGCAAAGTGATGCACCTTGCCGTTGGGGAGCACCTTCTTCACCTCGCCTTTGCTAGGGGCGGCAGGCACAAGCTGGAACTCGAAGGCGGCTGGGATGCCAGCCTTGTCCTTCTGTCCCGAGGAAAGCCTCAGCGCACGAAGCTTGGCGGACAGCTTGTTGGACGCCAGTGAGGAGCAGGCGACGGCATAGTCGTCCACGTCGATGGTCTGCAGCGCCGAGGAAGACGGGAGCTCGTTGGGATGCATGGCCAATGTCGTACCCTGCAGACGGAAGTGGTGGTCCTGCCATTCGTGGCGCAGCAGACGAGTCCGGCGCTTCTTCATCCAACCATGGTGATTCACGCCCTGGTACGCAAACGCTGCCTGGGGTGCATCCTCGGGCCGTGCGGTCTTGATTGGGTCAGAGCACGCGCTGTTGCCCTCCGAGAACTGCGTCTCATGCAAGGTGTCGGAATCGTGCTCAGACGCGCCCGTTGCGCTGAAGACTTGGTCTTCGTTTAGCGCCGGGAGGGGAAGTGAGGGTCGGCGCCAGTCGACCCGTGACCCGGTTCGCTGGATCGGGTCTCTGTACTGCATGTTCGGTGGTACCGACTGGCTTGTGTCGCGTGAAACGGGTCCCACTGGAATTGCTGTAACGGGGGCGTCCATTTCAGAGAACGGTGTACCAAATCGGTATAGGCCACCTGGAGACGCTGTGCGACAGGGCGAAAAGGCGGTGTCTGGTGCCACCTGGGGGCTTGCGGGGACAGCACTGCGTGAGCCGCCGTAGGAGGTGTGGGTGGACGTAGGGCGGGGTGGTGGGATACTGAGCTTAGGTAGGCTCTTCAGGTTTGAGTGTGGTGCTGGTTGGAACTCTGGCGGATGAAGCGCGGGTGTCGGGAGCGCCGACGAATCGAAAGAAGCAGATGTATGTGCTGAGGTAGAAGCGGAGAAAGCGGAGGCCTGCTGGTACTGCTGGTACTGCTGTTGATATGGTTGCATAACGGATGGCCGAGGAGGAAACATGTCCACTGGGGGCGTCGCGGGAGCTTCGATTGGGGTTTGGGTTGTATATGGCTGCTCAACACCTTGGAGGGTAAGGAATTGTCGTACATTGTCTTGAGGGTCGCGCGATTCCACTCTCTGCAGGGCATCCTCGTCGATGTTGAACTCAGGGAGCTCACCAGGGCCTAGAAGGTCGGACGATGCTACCACAGAAGGTATCGCATCTGAGCTGGGACGGTGGACGTTATCCACAGCACGGTTCGCGGTTTGTGGGTTGCCAGGGTCGCCTGCGATGAAAATTTGCCCACCCTTCTCGGGGGATATCGGAAATCCATGCTCTTGCTGTAGCCTGGCAAGCTGCCGTTGCTGCTTCTTCCATTTGGCGCAGCGCTCACCTTTTGCGCACTTGTGGGGCTTGGGTAGTAGTTGCTCGATAGCGACAATAGAGACAGATTCGGCAGGCGTGATAACGTCGTCTCCATTCCGGTGTCTTCTTCCTCTTCGTCTCCGACCACCTCCAGGGGTGATTGGTGTCTTCGCCTCATCTCCGTCACACTCATTGGCACCTCTGGACTTATCGCGGTGTCGCCGTTCTCTGTTCTTGCTCTTTGATCGTTGCCTTGCCTCTTTGCAAGGCCGGTCGACGTCTTGAAAGGGAGTGGGGACGGGGGCGGACGGCGAGACGAGACCGTCGGCGGTTCGCAGGGAGTCGATCTGGTTCCATAGACGATGGCGCTTGCCGAATGACTGGATTTCCAGCTCTTTCAAGTCGTCGAATTGAAGGTCAAGAAGCACGGCGCCGGTTATGTCGTGGGCCTCGAATCGGTCGATGATATCCTCGTCGAAGCCGTTCTGATACATCCAGGTAGCGACCTCGCGGGACGTCCAGGCTCGTACTTCGGCATTATCGAGGTGGGCGACGGCGGTAGCGATGGTGTTGTACTCCTTCTTCGGAACAACGGTCTCTGGGGTGGCTTCTCGAAACGAGGTCTGGATGCGGGACGGGGGTTCCTTTGGCAGCAACGGGGAAAGCTGCAGAGCGAAATCAAACGGGAAGTCATTTGAGGATTGCGAGGATCGGAATAGATGAGGTCCTCTGGGGCCTTCTACTGGCTTTGGGAGGTACCATTCGGCGAATTGAGGTCGAGCTTCGGTGTCCCTGGGAGTTTGGACCTCCTCGAAAGTTGATATCGTCGTCTGGCTACGGCGATTGTCGCTCTGGAGAGTCTTAGCTATGCCAATTGACCAGGCGTTGCATGTGCAACTTACGGAAGAGCCAAGACTGTACTCCTCAAACCCGCTCGAATCGTCTTCGATATCCGTGTAATCGCTGATCATCGAAACGGGACGCTCCAGCGATGTCCGCGCGGAGATGGCGCCCACAAACAGTGACTGCGACTTCCCTCTCTCGAACATCTCCACGCCCGGCTCCAGCGGGGTGATGGGTGTCATGCCCTGCTGTATGGGGGTCAGTCCGGACTCATCGATAACCCATGTGGTAGCCAACCTACCATGATCACGGTATTTGGTGCGCACGAGCTCAATTGCTGGGAAATAGCAGCTCCAGAGTGCTCTACTGAAGGTTCCGAGCGAGTGTCTCAAGCATGGTACGCAAAATGAAGCAGCACAACTGGCGAAAAACGGAGAAAGGACCCTTCGGGTGGAGGGCGCTTGCGAGTGCTTTTGTAGAAGCTGACTGAGCGGTTGTAGAGGTGGAGGCCGTGGCTCGATATTGTGACAGTCCGGCTCCTGCAGAGACAGCACAGTGCTGGCTTCTTCCATCCAGTGAGGGTCTCGAGTCCAAGACGAGGGCAGCCTCCTCCGCCAATCCACGCTCGGAGCTTTCCCGCCCGCATGCCTCGAGGTGAGGTGGGCGCTTAGACTAGGACGTTGAGCTGGCTGACGAGCCCGATTCGCTGCGGTGTTTCTGCCAAAGTCTGCTAAAATAGCTCGAAGAGGACGCCAATGTCCATTAATATCTCCCAACACAGACTAGCAGTAGGCCTAAGTACAGTAGGGTAGCGGGGGCCCACTCTGATCAGGGCTCGCTTCGGCACGAGGAGGCTCGAGCGGGTAGAGATGCAGATTCGGCCCTTGTTTCAAACCACCAGAGGCGATCATCGTGTACGACGACGAGTTCAAGCCGCAGACACTGCAGATCTGAGTTGTCACCGCCTCTCGTTCGCATGCCGTGATCGCGTGCGCGGCAGGCTCTTTCGTTGCGCAGCCCCACGAGTACGTACCTCGGGGCGGGGGCGGCCCAATCGTCGGTGCATGGCAGCCGTCCCGGGGTCAAGTGATGTCTTGGGCCCCAATGCTGCGATAGCCGCCGCTGGTTGGGGCGCTGAGCCTTGGGGCCGACCACAGCGAGGTTGGGATTAGATTGATGTGCGCGGAGCGCGCTCGGGAAAAGCCACGGCGCAACGTCGCACGGCCACCCGAATCGCAAGCCTCACTGCCAGCCATGCTGCAGCGAAGAATATTGGAAACGGCGCTATCACCGAGCATTCAGCAGCTTTCGGACGGCTGCGTGCAGCAATGCACGCCACACGGACGCACTGTTCATCGGGAGATGCATTCCGTCATTGTGCTGCACCTGGTCCTGCTGGCCTGGGGAAAGCGACCTCCTCGCGCTGTAGAACATATATCGAGCATCTCCGTCCGCCGTGAAACGTGGACTCTCCGACGGCGGAAGCAGCTTTGGCTCATCCCGAGGTCCTCTCGAGCAGCACAGTGGAGACATGACTATCCCAAGTTCGCTCTCCTCCGCCTCGCTTCTACCATCCCCTCAGACCGCTCTTCCGCCCACCATCTTCTCCTCCCGTCCAAGGGATGCTTGTGCGAGCCTACGATGGAACCATCGTCTATCCGAGAGCCAACAGCTCTTCAGAGAGCTGCCACACTCTGCTCACATGATTCAATGCTCATGCGGGCTCGAGCCCATTTGTCCCTCGTGCTCCGCGACCACGATGGTCCTGTCAAGGTGTGGTGGGCAGAGGGCGAATCACCTTGTGTAGACGGCTCTCGACGCTCCTCTGCCAGACCGCTAGCCGGCAAGGCATGAAGCCGCGCCCATCTCAGCCGTTTCGCCACGGGAATCGCAGAGCTGGCCCAGCTGCTGTGGCCAGGTACACCACCCACCAGGGAGCGTATTCTGCCGTACGCTCCGTTGGTGGGATCAATGCGGTTCCGGGCGAGCGGTCGTTGTTCCGGCCTCAACAAATCCTATCAGAATCGTCCAGACGTGCATCCTATTACAGAAGCTCTACCAATCGAAGTGTGTATGTCGCTAGCTACGCTCGCGTTACCCTGCCGAAGAGGGGCTTCTGAATCATGCTCAGGATACGAGCTCCCCGCAAATTTGCCATCCAGAGACCTGATCCGTCCTCAAGATCGATGGCAAATCCAGATTCCGGGTAGACGAGGAGAGTGGAGTCCGTCCAAGGAGCTCAAGGCCGGGCGCAGCTCGCGGTTTGTAGCGGATACATAACCCTCAGCATAAGATCCGCGCTGTCAGGTGAGCAATCTACGCGTAGGCTTGGTCGGGCAAGTACCTACTACTTAGGCTTATTCGCGGAGCTACCAAGTATTGACTATCAGTGTCGGTAACCAATCGCAGCGGATAGCAGCCACCTGTCGTCGAGACGGGAAAATAGTCCAGCCGTGCAGAAAGCCTCGTCCCGTGTGGGCTAATTATGGGCCATTTCTATTCACTCCCGCCCCGGCTCAGGTTAATTAGCGGTCTTTTAATAGCAGCGGACGGGAGAGGATGCACGAAATCCAACCGAAATGGCCCCTGCCACCAGAGAGGTCGCTCCACGCGCGATAAGCCCTACCATTGGACGGGTCGGCGGGCTAATCTAAAGCTTGTCATGCACAGTCCGACCGCTCTGACACCACTCGTGGAGCTATCCCGCGCAAAGGCGGCCATCACGCCTTCATTCCGTCGCTTCTGCATGTCGCACCCTGGTCCGGCCGCCGCGTCACACGAGCGGTCTCCGGCCATCGCTCGGAAAGCTCGTCAACGACGGACCTGCCGTGTTTGGTCGCCCATTCGAACAACCTTTCTCGCCCGTCCAGCCAGGTCGCCAGCTTCCGTGGTGGAGATGACCACGGCAGATTCGTAGGTGGATGGGGCGAGCACTGCGAGGTCACTTGGTGTCTTCTCCGCAACTCCCCAACCTGACCGTGAACAGTACGAGTAATACTCGCTATCACCAAGCACATTGCAGACCCGCTCGTTGCCAGCTCCGACGGGTGCCCTTGCGGACGCGGAAGAGTACAGTCCAATTCATCCCTCCGCCCAAGACTGCGTGGCCCGGAGCGGCACGTTGGTTGTTCGAGCTTTTGTATAGTACAGTGCGGCAACACGAAGGCGCTGTGCATCCCTCGGGTCCGACAGCACAGCAGGCTTGTGGTTATTCATGCCAGCAGTTCCAGCATTCTGGACGCCAAATGCTCGCAAATGCAGAGCTCACATATGGCCTTGGCAATATTGCAGCTTCGAGGATCGACGGTGGTCAAGGCGAGCAGCAACGTTCGGGCCGGCCAGTTATCGCAACCGCTGCAAGTGTTTGATCTGGCTCCTACGCCGCTTTCGGATCAGGTGGTTGGGGTCAAAAGGAGGCCAAGACCACTGTCCCGGTCAGCACTCCACGCTGTTAATCTCACCGAAATGGGTCATTTAGTGCTAAAAACGCCGTGCGGGGGCCGCCAACCCAGATCGGGTCCCATGCAGAGGAGCACTGGGTTGTGAGTGGCTCGAGCTGGCGGGTAACTGCGAGCAAAAATAGCTGCAGTTCTGGAAATGCCCCAAATTTCGATATCAACCTGCAGGCTAACCAACCTCTGCCCAATCATTCATCCGTGCCCTCGTTGAATATGGCGTTCGCAATCCCTCCCCCGTTGGAGGACAACTTCTGACCGCCTGGCCAGGTCCAAGAATAGATCCGGCTCATTTTGCTATCAATGTGCCATTTGTGGCACTTATAGGGTACATAACCTTCACTCCTTCTCTCCCAGAAAGGCAGACTACATAATTTGCTGCCGTTCCTTCCCTTCACTTCGAGGTTTGCTGGTCAATCTTCGAAATCCTGTCTTTAATTAAGAGCAACCCGGTCGAGCCCTGTCATCCTGTCCCTTACGAGATCCGTTCCGTCGCGCGTTAGTCGTTATTGCCGCATTGTTTACTAGCCTTTCATAAACCACCTTACTGGGCCCAAGTACATGAGCTGTCCATGTCCTCCTCCTCAGCGCCCTCGTCCGCTGGGAAACCAACTACAACCATGGTGGGCACTACGAACGCTGCCAATTCAGCAAAGCAAGCTGCTGCGAAAATGCACCGTCGCTCGCGGACTGGTAAGTTTTACGCTGTCTGCCCTTCTGCAGGGATCCCCGCGCTTGGACCGGTAGCTAACGAGAGCTCCGCAGGGTGCTTCACATGCCGCTTGCGAAGAAAGAAGTGCGACGAGGGAAAGCCCTCGTGTCGCGCCTGCAAGCACCTCGGATTAAAATGCGAATACAAGAGGCCAATGTGGTGGAGCAACAACGAGCAGAGACGGAGCCAGAAAGAAGTTATCAAGACCATTATCAAGCGCACGAAGCTCAGCGAGAAGAACGCGCAGGGCGTCGCCATGGGCGCCAATACCCCACCAAGCCTCTGCCACTCCGTCCCGACCTCAGAGACCTTCTCAGATGGAATGGGATGCACCCGCGCACAATCAGTCGACTCACAAATTTCCTTAGATTACAACTTCAATTCGCTCCCCACCCCCGACCTTTACAACGTATCGATGCCGCCGCCGATGTTCCCTCCCTCGTTTCCCCACCCCGGGCAATTCACACCGTACGAGGTCGATATCAAGACAGAGAGCCAGATGTTCATCAATGACATCCCGACCCGACGGGATTCAACAATATCCACCTTTAGTACCTACCAAGCACCGCCCGTCGTCGGCCACCCGTTCCCGACCGAGAACTGGATACAACAGGACTATTTCGAGAGCCGGCGCGAGTCTTTCGCGGAGGAGCCCCTGGACTTCCAGGTCTTCGACTTTCCTCATGGATCGTTTAGCCCGTCGCACCAGTCAATGATCCAGGTCGACGAGTGCGATCAGCACCTCCTCAACCACTTCATCGACAACGTCCTCCGCTTGATCTTCCCGATTCTCGAGGTGAACCAGCACGGCTCAGCCCGCTCAGACGTAATTCTTCCGGCATTGGAAACGAACAAGACCTACCTCCACTGCTGCCTGAGCATCTCCGCAGTCCATCTCAAGGCGACCCAGAGGATACAGGGCGAGCAGATTGATAGCGACATCATGCGCCACCGCTACGCCACGATTTCGGAGCTCTGCGAAGCCTTGAACCGCGACACCGAACATGCGCAAATCCTTGAAGCCACGCTCGGCATGATCTTCTTCCAATGTTCAGTCGGCCGCCCCGACGACGGTCTCCCCGACATCCCCTGGCACCAGCATTTCCAGGCGGGAACAGATCTGATCACCAAGCTGGATCTGCCGGCGCACCTCGTCGCACTGAACGGACAACCGCATGCGCAGCCCCCCTTCAACATGACACTTGCGTCGTGGATTGATATTTTGGGCGCTACCATGCTGGGCCGCACCCCTGCTTTTGCCGACACCTACCGAGAGAAGCTCATTGCAGATTCGCCCTCCGGCCTCGCCGAGCTCATGGGCTGCGACGACCGGATAATGTACCTGATCTCGGAGATCGCCTGTCTAGAAGCGCTGAAGCTGGAGAAAATGGATGAGGTGCAGCTGTGCGCACACATCAAGCTTCTCGGCGACCAGATCAGCTTGTCAGAGCCGCCGCCGGGAACGATCACGAACGCATACTCGTCCACGGGCGCTATCCGGCCGAAGCAGCTCAGCAGGAATATGACGGCAGTGTTCCGTCTAGCTGCGCGCATCTATCTCTGCAGTCTCGTGCCCGACTTTGACCGCACCCAAGGCAGCATCGCCAACCTGGTCGACTACCTGAGCGACGCTATGGACTTTATTCCCGCTGGCCCCGACGGATTCGATCGTTCGCTTGTGTGGCCCCTTCTTGTGGCCGGATCTGTCTCACTCCCGAACTCATCTTTCCGCAAGATGTTCGCAGATCGGTCGAACCGGTTAGGCGAGGCTTCGGACTTCGGTTCATTTGGAAGAATCAAGGAGCTCCTGAAAGACGTGTGGCGCATTAACGACGACGCCCTCGCGAAAGGCGACAAACAGAGTGTCCACTGGCGGGACACGATGCGACAGAAGGGCTGGGATTTCTTGTTGATCTAGAGACCCTGGCCATTTTCTGCTGGACGGCATCCTGGTCTGTACGGACGGCTTTGCGAATTCCCTTCTCTTTTCGTCGATGTGGGCTGCGCCTGGGCTCTCGGTACGTCCCCCCAAAAGCATCGCTATTCTCTGCATATATTACCTTAACCACGCTTTATACCCACTTTGTAATTTTTAGATTATCCACATCTGGCGGTGCGAGGGACGAGATTTACGGGCATGGCGGCATCTGATGGCATCATGGATGGCGTTGGAGGGATTCTGGTGACGATCTCACGGCTGGCTTGATGTCCTGCACGCCCTGGCAGGCATCTTTGGGTTTTGGGAAGGGCGCGCACATGGAAGCTAGTGCAGCTTCCAGCACATGGAACTGTATAGTAATGCGAGAAGAGGGCCCGCGAGCGCACGCAAGGAGGAGCTCCGGGTGCCGACAGTGCGGTGGAAGGAGAGAACGGAGCGGTGGAAGGAGAGAACGGAGCGTTGGAAAGCACGAAACGAGCGTCTCGCTCCACGCGAATTTGCCGCTCCTTGTGCTGTGCCTCTGTGATTGGTCGCCACACTCCGCGTCTCCTCCTCCGCAAGTGGCGTGCAGCTGGCTGTTGTGCTTCCTGACGCCAGACGCATGTTCTAATTTTAGCGAGGAACACCGGGGAAGATGTCGAAGCGTGCATTTGGACGCATGGCAGCGCTGCCTGCGTGCGGCACATCCTCAGGCCCACCAGGAGCTTCAGACGGTGCTCTGCCCTGCCGGGCTGGCCCGTCACCTGATTCTCGCATTTCCACGTCGAAATACGGCCTTGGACGGCCAATTTCCCGTGTTCATTAACGTAACACGTAAAGGGTATTCCGCCCCCACCCATATATACGACGCCTCGTCTGTAACGCGCTTTCTCCAACCCCTTCGTACTCCACATCCCAATGTCGTCCTCCGCCACATACCCGCCGTTTGCTCCAGTGGACACGTCAAGCCACCCGGTCAAGGACGACCTTGAGTCGCCGAGCATCTCGAGCACCAACGCTCTCGCCCGCTTCGAGTTTGAGGCCGGCCATGGCAGAGAAGGCACCAAGATTCTCATGGTAGAGTGGGAGGACGACGACACAACACGCGGCGTCCGCGGCGACTGGCATATCTCTTGGGAGGGCAAGGGCAAGACCACAGTGCTGCCCGCTGAGGACCAGCCGAGCAACGATGTGAACCGCATCTATTTCCTGCTCGCCCCAGGGGTCGCCGTGCCCTCTGGCGTCACGCTTACACACCGGCCGCAGGACAGCAACAGACTGACCGTAGTATGGCACACAAACCCGCTCCCCGCGATATTCCCTCCCGAGCTAGGGGCGTCGGCGCGCGCAGCGGGCAAGAAGGGCATCCTGCACACAATATGGGCGAAGAAGCGGCTGCAGGTGCTGCAAAAGGAGATTGAGGAGGAGTCGAAAAACAACGTCGAGGGCATAGGCTTCCTGATGGCAGTGCAAGAAAAGGAGTGGATCGAGCAGACCTTCGGCGTGAATGCGAAGCCTGCAGGCCTCAGCATCTCGCTGGCCGAGCCCACCGTGGCGCCCTTGGGCCCTGCAAGCCCCCGCTCGCCGGGCGGAGGGCGGCTGATGGAGAAGCTGCGCGGCCTCAAGCTCGGAACCAGCGAGAAGGACCTCACTGCGAAATCCGATCCCTCCGAAATGCCGCACTCGAACCCCCTCTCTCCCGAATCCTCGGATGTGGCGGTCTCTTCGTTCGCCGCGTTCAAGGGCACGAATCCTGCAACGCTTGCAGCGAAGCCCCCGCAGCCCCCGCAGACGACCCGCAAAGTCGCCGCAGCGGTCCCGCCGCCCTCCATTGTGGCACAGCAGCAGCAGCAACAGTCGTCCGGCATGGCATCCCTGAATGCATTTACCGCGCCCGAGGTCCCGATGTTCCAGTCCCGGGGCCCGCCCTTACCGGACGACGATAAGGATGAGGGGCTGTTTGCGCTTCCTATATCGCCGCGCAGTCCGGAGATGGGGAAGAGCCCGTTTTCGTTCGCTGGGAACGAGACGGCGAAATATGTCCAGGGAGAGAAGGTGTGAGGCGCGCGGTAGGGGAGTGTGGAGTTTTGGTCTTCTGGTTCTGCGCGGGTATTGGTGGTTTTGCTCTGGAGGCATAATGGCTTTATGATACCTAGAGTACATAGCGATGACATCGATGCGGTTCAGCTGGTTCGCCCGATGCTGAGGCTTGTTTACGAAGGAATGGAAAATTCAACACAGAGTTTGTCTTGGACAAGCGCTTTCTGGATTCACAATAAATTAGGCTCGTGTGCTGCTGGGAGTGGTGCAAACTAAGACGGGCTTCTATCATTGATGGAGGATTAGTGCGATGGAAGTCCACAACTGACAACTCTTTCAGACGGCCTGTGAGAGATTGCTGCAAATGGGTGATAGAAGCCGGCTCTCAACGTGGTGCTCGGGTGGACGAGGCGCCTCGGTCAAGTGTCAATACACCCTCTTGCCTGGCCGTCTACGTGAAATCAAGGTACCTAGGCACGTTTGGCCTCTTTCCATAGACCCGCTCGGCCTCGTAGGGCTCGCTGCAGTTGAGATGGGGCACTCACGTGAAAGGAAGCCCTGTCTTGGCGTAGGCTAAATTCTAGTGCAGATCTGGTGCTCAACTCCCGACACAAGCTCCATCGCCGGCCTCCAACTTTCCCTCACCACCAAACTCCTCTCCCTCACCCACTACCAACGCCCACACAGGGCGACTACGCGGCAATATCGTGCGCCCGGCACCCGTTGTATCCCCTACGGACGTACACTAGCCTCACGCGACTGCCATGTTGGTTCACGGTCGCGGCAGCATCGCGCAGGTGCACTACACCGGCGATGAGGCGGCCCCCGAGATCAAGAAGCTGCTTGACGCAGTGGTGAGTACCCGCCCCGCATTGTTCTGAGAGCCGTCGCTGATGCCGCTGCAGGTCGAGAGCGAAGATGAGTTTGAGAGGTGGGAGGCCCTGATCGCTCGCGCTTCGGACCTAGAGGGTGGTGTCACCCGCAACTCCAGCCCGTCCGCCATTGAGCTCGTCCGCAACGTCTACGACTGCTTCCTCGCCAAGTTCCCGCTCTTCTTCGGGTACTGGAAGAAATACGCCGATCTAGAGTTCTCTATCGGCGGAACTGAGACGGCGGAGATGGTGCGTTCACCGACTGCTCTTCATCGCAAGCGCTGACCCGATGTGACAGGTGTATGAGCGCGGCGTCTCGTGCATACCGAGCTCCGTCGACCTGTGGGCCAATTACTGTGGCTTCAAGATGGATACCTCCCATGACAACGACGTCACCCGAGAGTAAGTCTTGCAGCCTTCCTGTTTTCAGCCACTCAACCGCACCGATAGCCGACGACGAAGCCGCTGCCGTTTGGTCCCGCGCACAAAACACTCTCTTGCCCTTAGCGCTGTTCACGGCGCCAGTCTCTGCCCTTTGCCCTCGCATTTGCACCTCGGCGACACATGAACAGGACCTCCCGTGGCGGAGATGAGTAGCAGTTCGGACCTCTTTTCAGAGCTCTGCATTTTTGTATCCTGCAAGATCCCCCTCCTACCCCTCCCCTTCCTCCCCTTTCCTAGCTATGCTAACCGTCTAGCCTCTTTGAGCGCGGCGCGCACTTCGTAGGTCTTGACTTCCAGAGCCACCCATTCTGGGAGAAGTATATTGAGTTCGAAGAGCGCATCCAGGAGCCGACCAACGTCACGAAGATCCTCGCCCGTATATTCCAACTCCCCGTGTACCAGTTCCACCGATATTATGAAAAGTTCCGTCCGCTCATCACGAGCCGCCCTGTTGAAGAGCTTGCCGATCCTAAGCTTCTTGAGACGCTGAACAAGGCCGTAGAGGCTGAAAACCAGGGGTTTGAGCGCCCACCTCTGGAGCTTGACCGCCAGCTTCGTGGCAAGATCGACCACTACTACTACGATATCTATCTCCGTATTCAGGGAGAAGTCCAAGCGGTCTGGCAGTACGAGAACGCCATCAAGCGCGCCTACTTCCACGTTACTGATTTGGAAGACGAAGACCTCGAAAACTGGCGCAAGTATCTCGACTATACGGAGAAGCAGGGCGATTTCCACCGCACCTCTTTCCTGTACGAGCGGTGTCTCGTCGCGTGCGCACTCTACGACGAGTTCTGGCTGCGTTATGCGCGCTGGATGTTCTCGCAGGGGGGCAAAGACGAGGACACCCGAGTGATCTACATGCGAGCGAGCTGCATATTCGTCCCTATTTCGCGGCCACTTGTCCGTCTCAACTGGGCTCGCTTCGAAGAGAAGCTTGGTCGCATTGAGGTTGCTCGTGATATCCACTTGGCCATTCTGGAAGAGGTGCCGGATCATGTCGAAACTATAATCTCACTCGCTGGGGTGGACCGGCGGCACGAAGGCAATGATGCGGCCGTACGTACCTTGGAGATCTACATCAGCCAGCGCAATGCCCAAGTGGGTGGCTTCCTCGCCGTGGAGCAGGCACGTATCCTCTGGCGCTGCAAAGATTCTCCCAGTGAGGCCCGTCAGCTGTTCAAAGACAAGCACGACAAATTCCTCGAGTCGAAAGAATTCTGGCTTAAGTATCTGGAGTTCGAAGTCTGTCAGCCGGCTCCGGATCAAGAGGAGGCTCATGCTCGCGTAAAGGGAGTCCATGAACTGCTCCGTGCCAAGGGCCGCTTTTCTTCCGACGTCATGAAAGAGCTCTCGCAGTACTACATGGAGTACCTGATGGACTACGGAGGCAAGGGCGCTGCCGATGAGTACATGACGCTCGACAAGGAAGTGAACGGGTATGTATCGTCCAAATACCCTTCTCCCCCTCTCGGCAACTCCAAGGGGCAGCCTCACACTTCAGGAAAGAAGCGGAAACACAAGGCGAAAGCAGTCCAGGCCAACGCCAACCCCCTGGTCAACGCCCAGGTCAGCAACGAAGCTGCCTGAGAAGACAGCCAAGTCACAGGCCTTGTCTGACGTTGGCCACTTTCGTTTTCATCCTTCACACATGTTCTTAGTAATTCTGCACTGCACGGTAGACAGTGAAATGTAAAGATCCTAAAAGTCTCAATCTGGTGGCACAGCTGACCTGGTCCTTTTGCATAGTCCGCATTCCGGCTCGGAGAAGCGCAGTCTGCCTGAAGAAGGTGGCAGCGCTGAATCTCCTCCTGCGAAGAAGGCTCGCAAGAGCAAACACTAAGAGGGAGATGCTGGAGAAGCTGTGAGTTTCCTCGTCCCAGTCTCATACAATGGGCCTTGTTCCTCATAAGATCGCAGGTGAACTTGCCTGTCTTATAATGACTTTCCAAAGCCCGTTTGATGTACAGCTTCCTCGAACACCCCGGCTTAGAGCCACAATGATCGGCATCGTCCCGCACATTCGGCTTGACTTCCAAGGTAACGGTATGGCCGCCATGCCTACTGTCTTTGTTTACTTCCTGTGTACTCTATTTTGCGGTCTTTCATTTCTATGCTTGGCTATGGTGAGAGGGGGCAGCATTTGCGGCTTTGATAGAAAGAGGTGGCATGTGGGCATATTGGGTCTCCTTCGAGCATGGGTTGGTTTGGCGTTGATGGCACTTTTCGCCTGTGTTGATAGCATGTTGAGCGTTGGTCATTCGCCGCGCTCGGCTTCTTGTTAGAAAAGTTATGCAGTTCACTTGTTGCTTGCTGGCCCGACTCGCTTTGTGACGGTCTCTGCGCATCATGGTGTTCTGCGTGACAGATCTGATGGGATACCAGACCCTGGTTTGGCTGTGTTCTCGTGTGGCTAGACGAAGGCTTGCAGTGCATTCAAGATGCTTAGCGTTGCTATGTACATTTGCTTCATATGCTAGCACATATCTACGCGTCTAAATCCCTTCTCCCCCACCTCCCCCTTCCCTACACCACATACCCCGCGGAATTACTCTGCCTCGGCTCCCCCGCCGCCTCAAACATCCCATCCTCCAATCTCCTCAGTCCCTGCGCCGTACTCTGCCCCGGCGCCACCCACGTCACATTCGCGCCCAGCTCGCTCAGAAACGCCGTCGTCGCATTATCAAACGCATACTCGAAGCTGACCTGCGCCGGCACCAGCTGGTCGTGTATCCGCGGCATCGCGAGCGCCTCCGCTGTCGTCATCCCGCCGTCTAGCAGATGCATGATATTCTGGATCGTCGCCGTGATGATGCGCGAGCCGCCCGCCGCGCCGACGGCGATGTAGAACGCGTCTGCGAGCGTGGAGTTGAGGTGCTCGACGATGACGGGGCTGATGCTGGACAGCGGGCGCTTGCCGGGGCGGACATAGTTCGCGGGCGAGGGGATGTAGCCGAAGGCGTTCGTGGTGCCGGGGATGCTGAAGTCGTTCATTTCGTTGTTCATGATGACGCCCGTCTCGGGGACCACCAGCTTGCTGCCGAACAGCAGGTTCACGGTCGTGGTCAGGCTGATGGCCAGCCCCGTGTGGTCGGCTGTCACGACGTGGCTGGTCCCCGGTGTCTCGAGCGACTCCAGCCCTTTCGGGTCGTAGTAGCTCACGTTGAAGGTCTGCGTGTCGCTGATCTTGCTGCGGATTTCGGCCGCGGTTTGCGCGGAGACCATGGAGGTTTGGTAGGCGTCAATGCCGGGGAGGAAGGACGGGTCGCCCAGCTCGGCGCGCATGCCGTAGGCGAATTTCATGGATTCGTCGAGCCGGTGCGTGGTCAGGTTGATGTTTGAGGGGTCGCCGACGCCGCTGTAGCCTTCCATTATCTTGAGCACGGAGAGGGCGACTTCGCCGCCGCTGGGGGCGCTGCAGGCCGTGAGCTTGTAGTCTCGGTATGTGATGGTCGAGGGCTTGCGGATGGCTGCGGTGTAGTTCGCCAGATCGGACAGTGTCATGGTGCCGTTGGCGGATTGGAGGGCGCGGATGGTGGCTTCTGCGATGGGGCCGGAGTAGAATGCATCTGGTCCTTCGAGCGCGATTGTCTCCAGGGTGTCTGCGTATCTCTTTCTGGTGATCGTTTCGTTCAGCTTCAGTAACCTTCCTTTGGGCGCGAAGTCGATGGCGAATTCGATATCGTCGACGAGGAAATTCGATGTTGCGTTCTCCCCCGCAGAGCTGATGGCAGAGTCCATATACCGGACCAGATCCTCGTTGACAGTCCAGCCTTCGCGGGCCACTTTTACAGCGGGCAACAGCACGGTGGACCAGGGTAGCGCGCCGTAGTTTTCGTGGAGGTGCTGCAGACCTCGCAGTTCGCCTGGGACACCGGAAGCCAGCCCGCCTTCAAGAGATGCGTCTTCGTTGTCCTTGTACATGTCTTCAAAGGCCGCGGCGGGAGCCGTCTCTCGGAAGTCGATGAATTCGTAGGTCCCGTTGGGCGCGCGGACGATCATGAAGCCGCCGCCGCCAATCCCTGGAGAGGTATTAGCAATGCTTTCATTATTGAGCATGCGCGATCATTCGTAGTGTCTGATTCGAATCCGGCAGAGCAAGCATAGCATACCAGAGTGGTACATCCCAACCACACCCACACAAGCTACCGTTCCAACCAGCGCGTCCGCCGCATTTCCCCCCTGCTTCAGCAACTCAATGCCAATGTGACTACAGACATCGCTCTCTGACGCGACAGCTCCCAAATGCCCAGCCTCCAATCCCGGCGGCGACGGCGTCCCAGACGGACATGGCGCACTCGCAATCGGATTCCCAAACGCTGTCTGCAGTGCCAACAGACCCGTGACATACTGGTACAGCCTGGGAGCCATGGCGCCAACAACCGACGAGCCCGTGACGGAAGGCGAGAAGAAAGAGAAAAAGAAGGCCAGGAACGCGTCCATGATGCAAGTTCACAACAAGGCTAATCTACTGATCCCCACAGCAGGGACCCCGGAACCTGGGAGCGGGCCACTCTCCTCGCGCAGCAGTATCAAATCCGCCGCTATTCACGCTTCTGGAAGCTGGAGAAGCTATGACCACTACTGACGAGGGGGAGGGGGGAATACGGGACTCGGCTGTCGTCCAGGAACGGGCGGGCGTACGACAGAGCGGGCTGGGATTGCATCATGGCGGCTGGTTGCTAGGCTTTTGTAGGCGAGGGTTATCTGCGAGGCGCTGGCGATCGGAGATAGTGGTTGTGATAACGAGGAACGATGGCAGGGGGTTGCATGATTTGACGTGTGTGGGTTGGGCAGGATGCTACTGGTGGTGTCCACCGCAGCCAGGCCATCGTGACTACTGACTTGCGGCTCAACGGGTGCCCGTGTGATCGAAGAGCAGAGTTCGTGGACGACTTCATTTCTAATCAGTCGCGGTGCTGACACTGATGCTTTTGAGCTTGGGCCGCCACCTTCCTGAATGGGATGGTGCATGTCTAGCCTATTCGGATCTGCGGTGCTGGGATCGTGACCTCACATCCCTCTTGCGGTACCTACCTTTGTAGGTATGGAATTCTCCGGATTTAACCTGGGAAGGGCTCGCCGTACAAAGAAGTGCCTAGGTAAGATTGCTCAGCTAACTATACGGTCCATTGTACGCACCGGCGAAGGCCTCCAGGCTGGCTGTTACGCACGTCGCAGAGCCGGAGAATCCCCCACCGAAAGGGCCTCCCGTGTGGCGCGCTTGGGTACAGTCCCCAATCCTTCAGAACCTCTGGAAGATCGAGTACGGTATACCCAAGGTACAATTGTAGGTGTATGGCAAAGATGTTGCCAAGAGTAGGGCTGGAGCCGCCTTCCTTCTACACCTGCATTGTTCCCTCCCCGCACACCCACCACCTTGTTATCAAGAAAATCTCCTCTATCTTCCCCGCTCGTCTGCATTCCTCTCCTCCCTCTTCCCAGCTTCTCCGTGGTCTTCGTTATTGTTTGAGCTCAAAACACGTCCGCACACAGCTCTCCTTCGTCATCGCCACATCCACCAATACCACATCACAGATTGCGAGACTCCCTCATGTCTTCTTCAAGGAGGCATACAACGCCTTCGTATACCGCTCGCCGGAACCCCGGGTCTTCAAGAGTCGTCTTCCGCTGGTCGAAATCACAATAGATGCACTTTCGAACGGCGCGTTCGTATCGTTCTCCAGCCTCGGCATACACATCGTCGAGTATACGCGTCGCAGTGCGGAAGTCCGCGAGAATAGGATGCGTTTCACCCGCAACCAGGTCCATGGGCTTCCTTAGTTTCTCAATCGGGCTACCCATGCATAACTCGATCAGGAGGATACCGAGGGCAAAGATGAACTCATTACGGATGTTAGGGCATCCTGCTCGTATCTCTCTGGATGCTGATGCCTCTCTCTCTGCCGGTGTGTGGTCCATCACAGCGGATATGGGCACCGAGATGTATGGCGCCATGTATTGTTCCTGTTCGGACGAGCGCAGGAAGACCACATCGTCGGTTCTCCAAGGCTGGGCTATCCAGGGCGTCTCGTAAAGCTGTAGTAAAGTTGATGCGAAGATTATCGCCAACCGCTTTGCGTCAGCCCCTCTCAAAGGCGGTGAAGATCCATCAACGCGAGGTCCCGCGAGGACTTGACGGAGGGATACTGCTCGAAGATTCTGCTTCTCCAGAGCTTTCGGACGCAACAACAGCTTTTGGCTAGTATTTCGGGCGGTCAGATACCCTTGGAATGGCTGAGAGCATTGCGGAGGCCAGCATGTGGCCAATGTTCCGCAAAGGTCCAGAATGGGTGACATCGCCTCCGGCTTCGGTGTCCTGGTCCTTGATCGCTCCCTGCCGCCCCCAGGCTCAGCAAATCTAACGGGCCCCTTGCCTTTCGATGTAGGCTTCATTGGAAGGAGCGCCATAGCCTCTTTCTTCGGTTCGATCACTTGGATTTCAGAAGCCCTCCAAGACCACGGCTTCGCATCGCCATCGGACCCAGGGCCGCTGTATGCGAATATGACGCTGAACATCGGGCCTTGGGGTTCTGGATCCCAGGGCGCCCTCCGGGAGTCGTTATCCCCTCGCTTTTCCAAGAGAAGATTGACTCTATGGGCGGCTTTGCAGTTGCACCCGAACCCAGACTGGACTGCCGACAAAAGGCCGTTAGCGCAAGTTCGAATGCTCTGGAAATCTGGAATCCTTTCAATGCGTCGCGATCGAGCCGGTTCCAGGCGGAGATTCTGAGACGTTAGTCGGTGGAGTGCGTGGTTTCCGTCTTTGATCCTATTCAACAGATCTTCATAGCTTTTTCGGCACAGACTGAACTCGAATTTATGATAGAATCTTCGAAAGACACTGGGCTGGTTCACCGGCTCCTATACCAGGAGTACAGTCAGAAACACCCCAAAGGTAAGGGGGCTGCGCTCATTGAGCCCACACTAACCTTGCCGATCTTGTCTATTCTTAAGCGACTTCGAATCTCTTCCACGGCTTCCTTCATATCTTCCAGTGTAGCCATATATGGGTCGTACGCCCCTTGCAGCCTCGCTTTTAGTTGCTGATCTATCTCTGAATCCTCCCAGGCTGTGCCTCCCGGATTATCCAGCATGGTATCCACGATCGAGGCAGGATCGATGCCGTTGAGGAGTTCTTCGCATGTATTACGAAGAATCTCCGTCTGGACCTTTAACTGCCGGATCAGACTTCCCAGCTCGCGTTCGTATTTGCGTAGTGTCTTAATGGTAGAAACTCCTGCAGCATAGTTTTGGAGAGCGGTGACAATAACTGGTATTACCCCGAGGACGATACCCGCGACTTCGACGCCTGACATTACGGTCGGTACCTATATCATTCGATGTCAGCCCAGTTCGCTGATTGACCTCCAGTAGTACCTTTAAATGTAGGCTTAAGCTCTCTTCAAGCCACCACAGACCCTCGAACAGCAAGAATGGCGACTGTAGCGGCGTTTCAGATGCGGGGTCTACAGTTGCACACTGAAGGTCAGGTGCCGCACAAGAACCTGGCTTCCTTAGGTGTGCGACCCCTCATGTCAAATGTTATACTAACCGCTTATCACCATTTTGATCGAAACAACTTCAGCAGCGCGACGCAAAACAAATCATGGCCATTGCCGCAAGTGTCTCCCAAATCTTTGCCGCGTTTTCGCAACTCCTGGGTGCCTTCGATGCAGGAACGCTTGCCCTGGATGAACGCAGCCGGCTATCGCCTGCGAGACTCGCAGAGCTCCGACTTTCTCTTGAGGAAGAGCTCGGCCGATTCCGGGTATGGTCAGGCAATGTCGGTGCTCATAGGAGTGGCCGCAGCTCTCTCGACTTCAGGCTTCGCGACGCGCCTCATCTGGAGGAGAGGGTGCTTAGCCTCGTAGAGGAACTTCGAGAAGCTTTGAACGACGGTGGGTGACTCTTTCCCTAATCCCACATATGCCGGGGCACCCTCTTTCCTCTTTCCGGAGGCAAGGAGACCTCGGGACTATAGGCTAGGGGGTACCAGCTAATCCTATCGCCGCTTAAAAAGGGCGAGGTCCCAAGAGTCCACACAAGCCAGCTTCAGCGCAACGAGAACTGCGTCCATGGCCGGTTTTGACCACCCCTTCTGTTGGGAGTTTTCAGCAATAGAACCTTTATTAACCGTGTGCAGGTGTTTCTATTCTTTCCGGATCGAAACAACCTTGGGAAACTCAATCTTCGAGCGACGACTCCGGTTCACCATCAGCCAGCGATACCGAAGAAGTCGGCCCGGCAGCACGATCTCCTCCATCGCCCGCCCACGATGTGATAGCGAATACCGAATTCGAACAGATACACCAGGATATTGGCGAAATAATCACTTGCTTGCTGCGGCTCTCCATGATCATTCGGCAACCGATCTCCCACGCCAAATTTGCCCAAGCTGCCAGCGTTGACAAGTCAGCCTTCGAACCCTTTGATGCCAACCATGTCCGAAATAAGTTTCCCAGAACAGAGGAATATCTGATAATCCGATTGGGAAAAGCGATTACAAGCCGGCGACGCTATCTGACGTATCGGGAGAATCATCAACAGAAACTAGCGCATGGTCTAGCCACAGGTCAAGGGTCTGTCGGTATAGAGACCAAGGAGGAGACAGAGTCACAACCAGCTCCGCTAAGCACGGTCGCTTCTTCTCTCCCAGAGAAAGCACTTAACTTCGCTGCCCTCAATGAAGACGAGGACGAAGCGTCGGAATGCGGCTTCTCAGAGACGTCATATGCCAGCTCCACGAATGACGAAACTAGGCTGGCCCCACCACCACTCCCGGCTTCGGCTTCCGCAGGCACACCTTACCAGTGCACCGTATGCCACATGATCATCGATATCCAGATAACCGGAAAATGGAGGTCAGTATTGCTTCTCGCCCATGACTTCTGGGCCACAACCGCTGATCGAGGAATGCAGGAAGCATGTATTCAACGACCTCCACCCATACGTTTGCACTTTCAAGCATTGCGGCACCCCGGATAGGCTCTACGAACGGCGAAGTGAGTGGTTTGCTCACGAGCTTCAGGTGCATCGGCGGAAATGGCATTGCCTTCGTGGCTGTTCTAGCACGTTTACATCGAGTACGGTGTTTGAGGCACATCTGCGGCAAGCGCATGGGAATACTTCAACCGGAAAAGAGCTCTCAACACTTATGGACATGTCAGAGTCACAGCAGAGTATGGAAGACGAGGCGTCTTGCCCACTGTGTAGAGCGTACACTGGCCCGCTCAAGCTGCTTCGCAAGCACATTGGAAAGCATCAAGAGCAATTAGCACTGTTTGCTCTTCCGTTGAGCGTGCGAGAGGATGATAATGAAGAGGAGGAAGGGAGCGACGAACCCGAGGATGGCGACGAGAGAGGCGAATCCACCACAAAAGGAGACTCACGACCATGGTCGAGAAATGATTGTGAAGTCCCTGCAAGCGCATCAGATTCCACTAGCATGCCCGCTGACATCGATCAACGCTTCGAAGATATTAGCGTAAGATGCCCGTTGTGCGGCGGGACTAACGGGTTCAATTGCCCTTGTCAGCTGCCGAGGGTGAAAAAACAACTCCGAGAAGCAAGACTGAGGTTCCTGCAAAAGGCGCCCGATATGCGGGCAACTGAAGCAGCTATGAGAGATGAAGACATGCAAGTTCAGGATCCAAATTCCATTCTGATGCAGCGGCTGACACGCCCTAGTGAAGAGTTTGTATTCCACAAAACCCGGGAAAGAATGAGAAAAGACTGCTTGCATATGCGAGAGTTGTTTGAGAGGGGATCCGATGAGGAGTCTCAGAGGTACGAACATAGAATAGATCACTACTGGCTCCAGTTGTGGAAGAGGTTTCCAGACCACCTTGATACTACCTTCAACCGGTACATGATAGTTAATTGGCATGGGAATATTACTCTCCCAAACCAACCACAGCACTACAGGCCCGCATGAGGAGCGAATAGAAGGCGTCACAGGGGAGGAGCAAGAGCAAAGAAGGGGCTCCTGAGGAGTAAAGAGGGTCGCTGTTGCTGGGGAGCCGGGCATAGAGAGGACTGGAGAAAGGAAGCGGTGCGCAAAGTGAAGCGCATGCCAGGGTACAAGGGACTATCCAGGCTGGTGGAAGATGTGATGCAGTAGTCCCAGAATTCATTCTGTCCGTATGGGAGCGTCGACGGGGTAGCCATAATATTCATTCCTTAGCAGAAGGCCCTCACAGAGTCATGTATGGATGAGGGAAGTCGCCGTGGCATTCACCATGCTGCACCTTACCCAGAGACTGTTCATCGTAGCGTAATCACAACAAACATCGAGAAAATTTTTAGTCCAGCTCTTCTTCCCGCAAATAAACTCCACTTCGTCTTTCATCGTTTGCGTATCGTTGCGCGCCCTGACTATTCCACACCTTATTGTCTTTAGTTGCTCACGCTGCGTGCATGCCTCCGGAGCGCGTCCTTGCTTCGATTGCAGGCCAAAGCGACTGCATAGGCTGCTGACTGTCCGTTGAACTCCGTCCGGCTGCTGTACACCATGTGCGAAGTAGAAGACCTAGGAATACGCGCAATGGCGGAAAGACGCTGAGCCGGAAACGTTGGTTGTTGGTGGTTCGGCGAACCCAGCTCGGAGAAACGAGCGGAACCGACATCGCCGCCATGTCTCCCAACCGGATGCTAGCATTGCCGTCTTTTCCCGCAGGCTACCCCACTCTGCCGCCAGGAGCCAACGAACCCCAAATTTCCCAGCGGCTCACGCTCCAGAGCCACGTTCTTATTAGCTCCGCTTAATGATAACTATATAAATTGATCATTTTGTCACTCAGCCATCAAACAAGCAATCAGCAATCAGAGGTTCTGTAGTGTAGCGGTCATCACTCCGGATTCTGATTGGACTTATCGTCAGAATCCTTCCGGCAACCCCGGTTCGAATCCGGGCAGGACCTTAAGTCTTTTTTTTTTTGGCGCTTTTTGGTGGCTTTTGGTGGGGGGATGGGCTGGACTGACGCGTGGGTTTTTTTTCCCATTGGGAGAGGGTAGGCGGGGTGTGAGGTTTAGGCGCAATCATTTTCTGGTCTTTTTTTGCTAATGGAATTGTGCTAGCTTTGACCTTTCATTCCTTTCGTTGTTGTGCATGTTTATCTGTCTCTATCCTTCCTTCAGGGCCGCAGGGCTTTCGAAAGCTCCAATTCGCACACGCAGCTCTTGACAGCATGTCGCGCTCTATCGTCCACCCATCGGGCATCGCAACCCAAAGCACTTCTCTCTATCAAAAGGCACATGGCCAGCCCTACTGCATCACCCCATAACTATCCCCCCCGCTAAGTAATCCCCCAAACCACATCATTGCTCCTTCCCGAAAGCCTCAATCTTCGTCTCAATAACCTTCGCCATCTCGCCCCTCGTCAGCCCCTCGGGCAACACCCCCAGCATCTTGATCTGCACCGCATGCCTCCAATACGGACTCATCTCCACGCGTCCCTGCCGCACCGCCTCATCCACCCTCTCCACCACCATCCGCGCGAAGTCCTTGGCGAGCGGCGCATTCCCCTGCATCCCCAGCCTGTTCCCCTCGGTCCGCACGTCCCCCGGCACAATGCACAGGCAGTCGATCGGGTAGTCGAAGTGGCGGAACTCGCGCGTCAGCGCGCTCGAGAAGCTGTGGTTGAACGCCTTCGTCGCGCTGTAGATGCTGAGGTACGGCATGCCGGTGCGGGCGCCGGAGCTGAGGTTCAGCACGAGCGCGCGGCAGGCGTTGCTGGACGCGGTCCGCGTGAGATGCGGGATCATGAGGCGCGTGAAGTGCGTGGCGAAGCGCAGGTTGAGGTTTATCGTGTTGTCGATGTCGGCGGCTGCGAAGGCGCGGAAGTGCCGGAACACCGGGGGAGGCAGCGGGACGCTGCCGACGTTGTTGATGAGCAGGGTGATGGGGAGCGGTTCTAGGCTCGCGACTAGGGCTTCTATCTCTGGCAGCGGGGCGGTCATGCAGTTCAAAGTGAAGCTTTTTATGCGTGCGCTGGCGTTGGGGTGCGCTGCGTGCAGGCGGGAGACGGCTTCGGAGACGCCCTCGTGCGCCAGGATTATCACGCCGAAGTCGAGGGAGAGTAGTTTGTTGGCGAGGCCGTAGCCGATGCCGGCGCTGGAGCCGGTTATGAGGGCCCAGCTGGTGGTGGTGTGGTCTTTGGGTTTATATGCTGCGAGTGGGGATCGTGAGGGGAGGAAGTGCAGGGTTATGAAGCGGTGGAGGTTGTAGGCGATGAAGAGGAGGGTTGCTGTGCCAATGGAGAGCAGAATGTTAGAAAGCACGGGAGGGAGCATGGTGGGTGGGTAGGATGTGCTGGGTTTGAGAGGTACGGAGAGGGGAGACTGGTGGATGTTTGCTTCTATAAGAATGGGATATGAGTATGCAGCGCGGCGGGATACGAAGTGAAACTCAGCCCATCTATCCTTTTCTGGATAGTGGGTTTGCGCCACAGACGGGTATGCAGCATTAGCAACTCTTTGCGTGCGGGGAGGCATCAGCACTAGCCGTTTATAGACCGAGATAGCACTCGCACCAAACATGCTAACTAGAGCCTGATAGATCAGCGGGATATCTCGCGGCTTGATACACGTGGGACTCTTGCGAGGAGCAATGAGACGATCCAGCTTATAAGACTGGCATTCGCTCTGCGCCAGCGCCACTAAAAGCTTATATTCGCAAGCGCTTCGCACATTCCAAGCTGAAGCCTCCCTCTTGCGGTAGGGAATTCTGGCTCGCCGTACAAGTAAGATTGGCTCGTCCATTGTACGCACCCGCGAAGGCCTCCAAGGTAGCTGTTGCGCACATCGTTCTATCCGGAGAATTCCACACCGCGAGAGCCTACCTACACCACTACACGCGCCTCCTTCTGCTGCTCCTCGTCCAATCTTTCCTTCCTCTCCGCTTCCCTCCTCCACCTACCCGCAAACCGCCACTGCACAGCAACACCCGTTAACGCAACTGCCTGCACAATCGCACAAATCGTGAATGCCAGCCCAACCCCCACGCTATCCACCAAAGGCATCACGAAGCTCGTGCCGCCGGCCGCAAACAAGCATCTCGCGAGATTGAGGCTAGCACTCGCGGCGGCGCTACGGTCGGAAAAGATGTCGACGAGGTAGGTCATGATGACGGATTGCGTAGAGACGGCGGTCCAGCCCGTGACGAAGGTAGCGATGATAGGGACGGCGATGTGGACGCGATGGGAGTATTGAATGGTCCAGCCGAAGAGAAGAATGGACAGGCACTGGAAGAGAGAGAAGAGGGGGACGAGGCGAAGGCGGGCCTGCTCGAGCGGGAAATGGTCTTCAGGGTGGGTTGTCGTCCGACGGGTTAGGTTTCCCCCTCCTGTTTCAATGTCCGGCCGCTGTGATCGAGCCTCGTGCTTCGCTTTGACGCGGCGGTAGTCTACGTCGAGGATTTTGCCGGTCACGAGTGTACCGATCATCGAGCCCATGCCGTTCGCGATGAATGTCAGGCCGATTTGCGTTTCGCCGAGGCCGTACCGTTGCTCGAAGAGTGAGGACATGACAGTGATGCTCATCTGCCAGACAGCGTAGTAAATGGCGAGGAAGAAGATGATGGGCGCTGCTTGTTTGCTGACGAGGATGCGAAGCGGTCCAGTAACGTCGATATGTTTTCTTGCAGCTGGTTGCGCTGATTCCGCTTCCGATTTCCACTTTACTCTTGTGAGCCTCTGATAGGCAGTTAGAGGATATCTCGCGATTAGACTCGCTGGCCGCCGACCTCCGTTCCCGACAATCGACCGTAGTGTTTCGGGAAGGAGGAAGACCAACAGGAGCAGAAAGACGCCGCTGTAGATAGCTAGGAAGGCGAAAATCGCCTTCCAGCCTAAAGATCCAGCCAGAGCGCCTCCGATCACCGGTCCAACGGCTACAGGGATGAGCAATCCAGCCTGAAAGATCCCCATGAAGCCTCCGCGCTCAGCGCGCGTGGTAATGTCTCCGATGACACCGGACCCGACCGCAATCGTGCTCGCACTGCCGGTGCTCTGCAAGCATCTTAGCACGACTAGCGTGGCGAAGTTCTTCGTTTCTGCGAGGCCGATACATGCACCGAGGAACACAAGGAAGGTGCAGCAGTAGGCTATTCGGCGGCCCTTGACGTCGGATACGGGACCCCAGAGGCTGGGCGCTAAGCCCTGGAAGATGAGGTACGAGGTTACTGTGAGGTTGACTAGCTCCACTGAGACATTCAGATCGTGGGCGATGGTAGGAAGCGCAGGGAAGTAGATGTTCGACGCAAAACCGGAGACTGATTCCAAGTAAGCTGATCAAGGTTATTGTGACCACAGGAGTTGTAGACTTACAGGTTGCAGCGGTGGAAACGATGAAGACGAGCAGAAATTTTTGACGCCTGTCGAAGATGCTGTAAGTTTCTGCTGGCGTTGATGGCGTTACTAGTGGTGATGGCCATGGTGTTCCTGAAAAAGTGATGGGAGGCTCTTCAACGTGGTTTCTGGTGGTCATAGTCCGTTTCCTTTAGTAATATGGGACGAGACTGAGTACGATAACCTGATGGATGTAGAGTGGAAAATCGAACAGCATTTACCTTCATATATTCTACGCCTCCGGATCTGAGCGGAGTTGAGCGCTATAGTGTGCGGAGTTGAGATCTGAGCCAGGCTTTCCGACCAATCATGGCCTACTTCCGGAGTTGATATTCTATCGAGCTTGGGTCTTTCGTACTCTTCCGAGACCGAGGAATACGCACTCTCGGCGTCTCGTTCTTTCTGGGGGCTGCCCACGCCTGGCGCGCAAGAGCTGTGATAGTAGTGTCAACCACCGTGCGTGCAACTCGTTACCGCGTAAAGCACTGTTCCGAACTCATCGACATTCTCTAGCCACTGATCCACTCTGCTGCGTCTTTCGATGATACCAACTTCACCCAGGTTTGCAGGCATCGGCCAAAGTTCGTCAATGCGGAGACCTTCCACCCAGTCCGCCAGGTGGAGGTTATACGCCGTTTCCCACTTGTGACGCGTCTGTGCCCTCCACAAAGAGTGGTTCGCTGGGGCAGGCAGCCCTTGTAGTTCGGTGCCCAGCAAGGTCGGAAGGCCATCTTGGGCCGAAAGGACGCTGTCGAACAGGTACATGGTGAACAGCGTCCGGCGCTTCGCCTCGGCGGTAATCCAGGCTTCCCATCTTGGACGCACACGCTGCTGCTCCGCTATACACATGAGGCCTCGACGGCTGGCTGCGCTGGCAAGATCTTGTAGGTTCATCATTGCCTGTCGGAGGCATGGGCTCGACCCTTCGTTGAGTCTGAAGAATAAAACCATGGAGTAAATGAGGTAGGCTTGGAATGCTCCAAGCAGAGCCAGATCGTCGTACGTCTCATGCTGCTCGTATAGGCTGCTCATCTCTCTTTGTAGCACATCCGCTGCGGCGCGTTCACTACCTGGCAATGGCTTTTCGCACATACGAACCAAAGTCAGGCAAGTAGAAAGCGGCGGCCGTGTTGATGTTGTCGTAATCTGCGAGGTGTGCACGAATGGTGGCGCTCCGCGACCATGTACGGCCACAGCCGCATAAGACTTGAGGATCCTGTAGATAAACGCCGTGATAGATGCGGAATATTCTTTCGTCTTTTGGCCAGGGTCGGGAAGATACGTATTCAGCCAGCGGTTGCGGATGTCGTCCGCGTTGATAGGACAAAAGAGCTCCGGGCCTGAAAGGACTTCCACTAAGGAAAAGTCAGGAGCCTCCAAGCCCGTAGAGAGACGGCTCGGAATGTTCGGCCTTGAAGCTGTTGGAGAGCGGGCCTGACGGAATGTTGTCGAAGAAGTATTTGTCGGGCTGCTATCATGCATTAACCGTGTTGATTCAACGATTGAGCCTGACGTCTCTGCTTCCGTAGGCAGATTGGCGTCCAGCGACGGAAGCACCAGTCCGGATGGGGACAATACGTTGGACGTGGAAGAAAGGCTGCTCAGTCCTGTCTCGCCGTTGCCGCCTGCACCTTTCGCGGAGTCTTCATATGATAGGACTCGAGGGTACGTGCAGGACAGGCCTCGCAGAGCACACCTGGTGCAGCGCCCTGCTCTGCGGTCACATTTCGCCTTGGCAGCCGAACAGCGTAGGCAGGCCTTTTGTCGGGAGGTGGCATATCTCGCCGTCTTCATAACGGGTATTGTAGAGCCCCCACCGGCGCTCTGGTGAGATGTCTCCGGGTGTGGATCAGCTACTTCTCGGGTCGACTGTCCCGGGCGAACCGGCGGCGGGAATCCAGACTCGCGTCTTCGAGACTAAACGGGTCTGCGGTATACTTACATAAGGAACGCTTGTGGATAACAAATAATGCATGAGATAGGATCTGTGGTTGGGGCGAAGGATCAGGCGTGGGAAATGTGTAAGCGGACCAATAAGCCGAGGCGAAGACAGCCATCTTACTCACAATGAGCTCCGCCTTAACGGCGCCAGAACACCCCGTTCTTGCCGACATGGTTGATTCCGTGACAATATATTAGAGCCATGGAACATCTTATTGACTCCAGTCCCTTCGCAACTACGACGATCATTTTGACCTCGTCGAACCGAAGCCATGGGCCAGTCTCAAAGCATCTCCACTCGGATTGAGATCGCAGCATCACCAGAAGCCGTAAGATCAGTAGTACGTCTTCAACGGTCCATAGGCGAACACTGCACGCTCACTCGTACTAGTTATTAGATTTCCAACGCTGCGCAGAATGGACCCAACGCTACGCCTTCTCAACGCTCAATGACAAGCAACCCACCGATCTACAGTCCGGAGACCGTATTAAAGTCGATATGAAAGGGACAGTGTTCCACCCAACAGTCGTGGTAAAACATCGTGTAAACCCCTTTCTACCTACCCGTGAGCTGATACCTGGTGCATAGGAAAATTCACCAACTTCCTTTCAGTGGTTGGGTGACCTCTACGGCCTATTCAAGGGGAAACACCAATTCCACTTCAAGCCCAGCGAAACGAGCCCAAGGAGCACGACGTTAGTCAACCAAGAAGACTTCAGCGGGCCGCTTGCTTTCCTGGAGAGGCCTGGGTGGAAGTGGGAGAAACAGACGCGTGCGAATTTCGTGGGGTTTAATCAGGATTTGAAAGCAAGGGTAGAGTCTCTGAATGCTTGAGGTAAGTCGCTGAGATGAGTTAATGATGTATGGTGATGCGCCTCGGGGTGGAGACAGACACGAAGATCGCCTATATGAGGGCTATATTAGCATCCAGAAAGATATGTGAAGGGAATGAAATGGGATGATCCCATGCTCGTAGTCTTATAAGAATGTGCGAACCCTGGTGCCCTCCCACACGCCCAGGGAACCGTAGCTGCAAACCCGCACTCTCTGAGCGCTATCGGTTCCGAATTGACTAAACAAAATTTGGGATCCCCAGTGTCTCCGCTCACGAGTTGTTAACAGCCTGTACAAGCGCGCCTTTCTTCCCCTGATCTAGACTGTCCAAAGCGCCCATATCCTCATCGTCGAGCTCAAAACCGTAGACGTCCGTATTAGAGACGATCCTGGCGGGCGTGTCGCTCCTCGGAAGGGGCACCCATCCCTTTTGCAAACAATACCGAATGAGGATCTGGCCCGTTTGCTTCCTGTGTTTCTGTGCGATTCCGTTTAAGGTCTTGTCGTGCGCCTTCTGGTTCCGAACGAGTGGGCAGTAGGCTTCGATGACGATCGAGCTCTTCTGGCAGTATTCGACGATCTCGCGCTGTTGACACCAGGGGTGAAGCTATACTCCATTAGCAAGAGAATTTCCAGAGAGTTACCTCGGTCTACGGACCTCAATCTGGTTGACGGCTGGCGGCCAGATTGTGCCAATCGACTTGATCTCCTCGATATGCCCAATTCCGTAATTGCTGACTCCAATATCCCTCACCTTGCCCGCCTGCTTAGCCTTCTCCAGCGCGAGCCACATCAGCCTCCTGCTCTCCTTCCCGCCGTTAGGACTGTGTATCAAGAAGAGGTCCACGTATCCATCCTCGCCGCCCAGCCTCTTGACGCTCTCCTCGATCATCTTATACGTTGAGTCGACATCGTTGCTGGGGTAGAGGATCTTGGACGTTATGAAGAGCTCCGAGCGGGGTATATTGGATTCGCGGATTGCGCGCCCGACAGAGGCCTCGTTGCCGTAGTACTGCGCAGTGTCGATGTGACGGTATCCGGCGCGGAAGGCCTTGAGGCAGGAGTTTACGCAGGTTGGAGGCGGGGATTGGTAAACACCGAAGCCGATGCGCGGGATCTTGTGAGGGGAGTTGGGCAGAGGAAAAGTAGAGAGCAAGCTGAGCTTCGATGCCATTGTGACGGGCTCTGGCGCGTAGTTAGCGTAAGCTAGGAGTCGGAAGCAGCCCTTAGCACTCACAAGGTCGATCGCGGGCGCGGGAGCGGGAGGAATAGATGAGGTGATGCGGTGTGATGTGGTGTGGGGAAACGTACCAATGGCTTCAAGGCGTAATGAGGCGCTCGTTCATTCCCCGGATCTGCCCCAAAGGCCGCATGCCGCAGCTACCCATTCTTCTCGGTCGTGATGTCAGAATTCTGCAGGATTCCAAGCTTTAGTCCAGTTAGTGCGCTGAAGGTTAGCTTGAATACTACTGATTTGACTTGATCAGTCGCGTGTTCTTGGTATAATCAGCTCTATCCGCTAGCTTCTCGCTGGCAAGTCAACAATGAAGACCATGCGCGATGCTTAGGTGCAGGAAGCATCGCATTCCTAGGGATTCCGCTCACAGCTCGCCGCTCGCGCTAACGATGCCGGCCACCGTGCCATCCCAGCAAGCGTTGTCCCGCATTCACGTGGTGTGGCGTCAGGCCTCGTTGGGCAACGGCAACTCGACTTTTTCTTCAACACCCCAAAAATTTGGGGACCCAGACTTCGAGATGGTACTCCAGGCCATCAAGTACTCCAGAGGCCGGCTGGAGATCCTGGACCAGCTGAAACTACCACATTCCGAGGAGTACGACCACATTTACTCGAGCACCGATGCATGGCATGCTATCAAAGAGATGCGGACGCGGGGAGCTCCTGCCATTGCGATCGTGGCGGCCCTGGCTCTGGCAGTTGAACTTGTTACTTTGAAGCTCCCTTCAATTGCTGAAGAGGTCAAGATTTTCATCATCGAGAAGCTGGACTATCTGGTGACAAGTCGGCCTACTGCCGTCAATCTGGCAGACGCGGCGCGCAAATTGAAGAAAACGACCGAAGAAGCCACTGTCAGGGAGGGCGCTACTGGCGAGTCCGTGAGGGAAGCGTACGTGGTGGCAGCGGAGAAGATGCTGATTGACGATGTGAGCGACAATGAGAACATCGGAAAGCATGGTGCGGAGTGGATAGTAAAGAACACCGAAGCCGGGAGGAAGGGCCCAGTCAGCATGGTGACACACTGCAATACTGGGTAGGATGGATCTCCTAAACATCGAATTGACGCTAAACAAAGTAGATCCCTTGCTACAGCTGGATACGGTACGGCACTCGGCGTGATACGGTCGTTGCACGCCTACGGAGCGCTGAAGCATGCCTTCTGCACCGAGACCAGGCCGTACAACCAAGGATCCCGGCTGACGGCTTTCGAACTGGTCCACGATCACATACCAGGTACACTGATCACCGACTCCATGGCGGCAGCGCTGCTCCGACTGAAGGGGTCCAGCGGGAACATTGCAGGTATCGTGGTCGGCGCGGACAGGGTAGCGGCGAATGGGGATACTGCGAACAAGATCGGTACCTACTCATTAGCTATCCTCGCCCGGCACCACGGAGTCAAGTTTCTGGTCGCTGCGCCGCGAACCACTATCGACCTGGACACAAAATCCGGAGAAGACATCGTCATCGAGGAACGGCCAGGAAAGGAGGTTACTCTGGTCAAAGGGCCCAGGCATGACGGCGTAACGCTTGACCTTGGGGTTGTCGAGACAGTCAGCATTGCCGCGAACGGGATTGGGGTCTGGAACCCAGCGTTCGACGTCACTCCCCATGAGCTAATCGACGGGATCATCACCGAGGTTGGAGTCGTAGAAAAGGACAGCGATGGAGTGTTCCACTTGGAGGAGGCGTTCAAGGTCGATGGCGTGAAAGATAAGCCATCAAAGATTGGGATATCTGAGGAGATATAGTGCGGACGTCTACACACCGACGTCTCCAAATGGCCCGGCAGTGTAGAGGAGATATGCCCCACAGTGCGCCATCATCATCCCGTTCGTGCAATATGCCGTGAGCCCTAGTAAACAGTGCCTCCAACGCCGTGAGCTGTCTATCCTTCTAATCTTTCCTCTGATTTATCGTGTCTGCGTCGAGGTTGTCGGCATGCAGATATTAGGATATGCTAGTGGGCCGGCTGCCTCATGCAGCGCCCTTCGTCGCATCGCTCGAAGACGGCGTCTCGTTCGATGGCTTGGACTGCGCCTTCAATTTTCTTTCATCCTCGTCTGCCTTTGCTAGAAGCTCCTCAATCTTCTTTTCTAGCGAGTCGAGGTGGTTCTCTAACGCGGCGGCGGCTTGTTCTCCTCGGGCAAGGTCCTTGAATGCCTATAGCGGCTGTAAGTGAAGGTGCCAGCGAAGCAGGCTTAGGGCTTACTTGAGCAAAGTCTGGCTCTGCGTGAGCGTCTCCAGTGTCTCCGTTCTGTGAGCCAGACATGTCGCAGGTAAATGCAGGTATTGGCGGTGGAGGTCCGACTTCGAGTGGCTGCGGATGGAGCTTAGGCCACTAGATGACGAAGCTAGCGCGAATTCACTCGTCGAAGCAGCAGCGACACCTCGACCTCCCACCTCCACCCCCGACCTCCGTTGTGCTCATTGCCTTCTTTTCCTACTAATACCACCCCATGCGCGCGAACTAATCCACCCAACTGCTCACCGACACCCCCTTCGCCATGTTCTCCGGGTCCAGCTCCTACCTAGGGGGCGGCAACAGCGCCCGACCCGGGCAGCCTCAGTATGGCCAGCAGCAGTCATTCCAGCAGCCCGGAGGCTTTCAGGGGGGACTGGGCCCTCAGCCAACCGGCTTTGGCGGAGGCCCATTGCAGCCGCAGTTCACAGGCTTTCCGGGCCAGCCGCAGAACTTCCAGCAGCAGCAACCCCAGTTCACGGGCTTCCCAGGCCAGCAGGCCCAGTCGTTCCAGCAGCCTCCGCAACAGCAGCCCTTCCAGACTGGCGCGCCGCCCCCGCAACAGCCTCAACAGCCTCCTCCGCAGCCGCAGCGGCCACAGCCCACGGGCATGACGTCCGCGCAGATGGCCGACTCGTTCAGGTCCACGTCCTCGAGCCAGTCGGCCCCTCCTCCGCCCCCTGCGAAGTCGAGCAAGATCCCGAACATCAGGCTGTCGTTCATTACGGCGCAGGATCAGGCGAAGTTTGAGCAGCTGTTCAAGTCTGCTGTGGGCAATGCGCAGGCCATGTCTGGGGACCAAGCTCGAGACCTGCTGATGCGCTCGAAGCTCCCGGGCGATGCTCTGTCCCATATTTGGTGGGTTACCGGTTATATAGTGCTCATAAGCAAGTGCTAATGAAGCTAGGACCCTGTCTGACACCACAAAGTCCGGCCAGCTGCTGTTCCCAGAATTCGCCCTGGCCATGTACCTGTGCAACTTGAAGTTGACGGGCAAAGATATGCCCACCAGCTTGCCGGAACGCGTCAAGAACGAAGTGTCCAGCATGGTCGACATCATCTCGTTTGGCGTGCCAGATGAGGGGCCAAACCGCCCTGCTCCGGCGAGCAATGCCCCTAAGTTCGATGAACCCCTCAGCCAGAGCTCTCAGAACATCCCAACTATCCAGCAGCCACAGCCGCAGCAATCCAACAGCCAGCTGCTGACTTCATTGGTGTCTCAGCCCACTGGATTTGGTCAACCGCAAATGGGTGGCATGCAAGCGCAACCCACTGGCTTTGGGCAGGCTCCTGGAGGGGGTTACGCTGGCCCGCGACCGCCGATGCCACCGATGCCCACAGGATTTGGGCCAAATCTGAATCCTCAACCAACTGGCATGGCTCCATTGAATGCACAACCAACGGGGATGCCAGGCCAGTGGGGATTAGTCAATAACCCCGCCACGGGTCTCCCAAACATCGAAGCACTTGCGCAGCGCATGATGCCGCAGACGGGACGCGAGGGCAATGGCAACTACACCACCTCTGGACTCAGTGGCAATGCAACTATTCCTTGGGCTATCACCAAAGGTGAGAAGAGGCTGTATGACGACACCTTCAGGGCTTGGGATGGTTTGGGAAAGGGCTACATCAGCGGCGAGCAGGCTCTTGAGATCTTCGGCCAAAGTGGGCTTCCCAAACCCGACCTCGAGCGTATTTGGACGCTGGCCGACTCAGCTGATCGCGGTCGATTGAATCTGGATGAGTTTGCCGTGGCCATGCATCTCATCTACCGTAAGCTCAACGGATACCCAGTGCCAAACCGCCTTCCTCCGGAATTGATTCCTCCCTCAACACGCAACATCAACGCATCCATTGGCGCGATGAAGTCTTTGCTGTCTCGTGATGCAGAGGAGCGGAAGACCACCGGGGCTTTCCTTCAACCCCAGCGCACGGGTGTCAGCTATCTCAAGTCGCACTCCTTCCGGTCTGGAAGCCCGGCAGCCGGGGGTCGCAAAGACGCGACCGTGTTCCGAAACAATGATGACAATATTGGGTATCGCTCCAGTGCGAGGCATCGCCTTGGTGCAGGAGGTCGCTCGCCCTCTCCCGCTACACCGTCCTCACCCAGTTCCGAGCGATCAGATGAATTGTCTATCGACCAGCTCAAGAAGTCGGTTAGAGAGAAGCAGATTCTGTTAGATGCCATGGATACCCGAGACGAGAACGCTGCTGATGAAGATGATGCGCTTGACCGTCGGGACCGACGAGAAGCGGAAGATCTCTACCGCCGAATCCGCCGGATTCAGGAAGACATTGATAGTCATCCACAAGCATCTCTCAGATCCAGCGATTCTGATGCCGAACGCCGGGCCCTCAAGCGTCAGCTTCAAAACTTGACGGATCGCTTGCCCGAACTTGCTTCGAACGTTCGTCGAACAGAGCGCGAGATTTCCGATGCGCAGCTAGAGCTCTTTAGGCTTAAGGACGCCAAAGCTAATCCCGGATCAGCCTCCGCTATTGTTGGCACTGGTCCGGGAGGCTCAATCACCGAAGCAGATCGTTTGAAAGCGCGCGCCAAAGCTATGATGCAAGCGCGCTCCGCTGCCCTCACTGGCAAGCCTGTGCCTGCCGGCGATGATACGGGCGCAGCCGCAGAACGTCTAGAGAAGGAGAGCTTACGCATCCGTACTGAGCGGGAGAATAACGAACGCATGATTCGCGACGTAGAGGATAGTGTTAGTGAGTACACCAAAGGGCTGGAGGCAAGCCTCAAGGAGGGCGGACATGACAGCACTAGCGAGCATGAACGACGTAGATGGGAAGATGGGTTGGGCGTTGAGGATGAGGTCAAGGACTTCATCTTTGATCTCCAACGGAGCAGCAGGGCTGCCCGCATTCGAAAGGAAGAGTACGTATCACAGGTTGCGAATGTATACACGATACTAATAGGGTCCAGCTCGTCCCGTGACCGTCACCAGCCGTCATCCCGCGCCATCGAAAATGATCGACCTTCCGCGTCCTCTCGATTCGAAAGTCCAGCACGTAGCGCTGAACCTTCTCCTCGCCCTTCTTCGACTACTCCTGCAGGTGGCTCTTACTCATCCTACAAGACTCCAGAAGAGCGCGCGGCTTTCATCAAGCAACAGGCTGAGCTGCGCATGGCTGAACGGCTGGCTGCCCTAGGTCTGCGCCCGGCAGCCAAGGCTGGCGAAACCCCGCAGCAGCGTCAAGAAAGGGAGAGGAAAGAGCGAGAAGAGAAGCTGCGACAAGCTGAAGAGGAAGACGCCCGCCGTGAGGAGGAGAGGCAGAAGCGCCTCAATGAAGAGTCCATCGCTCCACCGGTCGCCGCGAAGACGAGCGGCAAGAAGCCGCCTCCACCACCGGCTTCAAGGAAGAACAAGGCCGAGGTCGCTCAGCATGATGTCAAACAAGCGGAAGCGGAAGCCAGGAGGGCGGAAAACGAGATCGCTGAGAAGGCACTGCGCGAACAACAAGAGGCTCAAGAAGCTGAGCGTATGCGCATGGAGTATGCACCCAATTCCATTTATGTGAGATTTGTGCTAACGCAACTGACAGGGAGGAGGAGAGACGGCAGGCAGATGAGTTGGCCAAGGAGCGTGAAGCCGCCCAAGCGAGGCTCCGTGCCTTGGAAGAGCAGGTCAAGCAAGGCAAACTCAAGAAGCAGGAAGAGAAGAAGCGCAAAGAAGCGGCACAGAAAGAGGCCAAGGAGAAGGAGGCTCGACTCGCAGCCCAACGCGCAGAGATTGAAGCCGCCCGCGAGCGTGAACGACAGCTACAGTTGCAGTTGGAGAGCCTCGACGATGAGGAGTCTTCTTCTGATGACGAGGGCCCGCAGAACATCACTCCGCAAGACACGACGCCTACAGCCAGTCAAGAACTACCACGGGAGACCGCTCCTCCCGCAGCGCCTCCGCCAGCACCCCCAATGCCACCAGCAGCTCCACCCTTGCCGCGCCAGAACAGCACCCCACCGTCTTCCATGGCAAGTCCGCCGCCCTCATCGCTCACAAGCCCCCATCCCGGTATGGGCGACACAGAAACGAAGAATCCGTTTCTCAAAAAGATGGCTATGTCTAACCAGGACCACAATCCCATCCCGACACCCCCACCCCCACCAAGCAATGCCAGCGAGGTGTCTACCAATCCGTTCCACCGTCTGACGCAGGAGAATGCCAACAAGGCCCCCACCTTCAGCGAACCAGCTGCTCCCCCGGCCCGTACTCGAGGCAGGCCAGATGACGATGACTGGTCGGTTGTTGACTCAGATGATTCGTCTTCGGATGATGACGATGCACCCCAAGGAGGCGCCAAGCAGCTGGCCTCTATCCTGTTCGGCACTATGGCTCCACCACGTCCGCTGTCTTCCATGGACAACAAGAGCCCTCGCGCTGAGAGCCCAACTGTGTCGTCGCCACCTGCAGGCATCCCACCGCCTCCGCCAATGCCAACGGGCGGGGCGCCCCCTCCACCACCAGGTCCACCACCGCCACCTGCTGGGGGACCTCCGCCTCCGCCTCCGCCTCCCATGCCCGCCGCGAGGCCCGCCGGAGCACCTAATCGCGGTGCCTTGCTAGGCGAGATTCAGGCAGGCAGGGGCTTGAGGAAGGTCGAGACGAAAGATCGCAGCACGGCGGCAGTAGCAGGAAGGGTTTTGTAAAGTAGGGGGTGAAGTCGGTAATCAGTCTGCTTGTATTGGTACTTGGCTTGTGAATACATTCAAATTGCATTCTCGTAAATCGCGGAATTGTCTTTGCTTGAGCTCTAGTCGCGGTGAAGCTGGAAATGGGTGACTAAGCACATGGCGATGCCTGATTAGTCCGACGGATACAAAGAATCGCTGCGGAACTTCAACCTCACCTCCGCGCCATCTCCGCAACCAACCTACTCACCACCAGCCCCCGCTCGCACCACTCTCCGTTCTCACGCTTCCTGATCAGTCGACTAATTGAAAAAAAACTCGAGTAGCTATTGCTAGGCCACTGACTATCTGCACCGTGCGCACGTCGCAGGCGAAACTTCTACACCGGCGAAAGGACTTATAGAAGGAGGACACTAGGCTCAGGATGAACGCACCAGACAGGTACGTCAAGCTCTACATAACTGTGATAGACTAGCTTCGGGTTGTCCTTGACGGTTGTCCCACCATCTCGCGCTCCGGCCTCAGTGAACGCGGCTACGCTCGGTCCCTTCGCAACGGCACCATGACGATAACGGCCGCTCACGCTCTCCGCGCCCTTCACCGGGGCACGAAGCGGCGTCGCATAGGCAACGGCAGACGAGCGCACACAGATAAAAGGCTCACTCGCCCTGCCAGAGCAGTCCCTCACCACGACACTCAACCGCTCTCGCAACTCACGACTGAGCATACAACACCACCACAACCAGTTCACAGCCGCGAAAGCCACTTCGACAATCTACACCATGCCGAACCATCTTGCTCGAGCCGAGCAGGCAATCAGGGACAACCCGAATGCGATCCAGCGCGATGTCAACCAGGGACACCGTTTCGTTGGCCACAAAGCTGATTTCGATGGCGAGAATAGATTCGAGCTCTTCTTGCTCGACGAGGGCGAGAAGAAGGTCGAGGTCAAGGACGAGACTCGTAAGTACTTGCTCACTCACCGTACCCAAATATGTGCTAACAGCGCTTTGTAAGGCGTTCCAAATACTGCGGTCTTCACCTTCAACAAGGAGGATCACACTCTCGGCAATCTGCTCTCTCAGCGCCTGCTCAAGTACCCGAACGTCACCTTCTCGGCGTACAAGGTTCCGCACCCGCTCTTCGCCACTTTCGAGCTCCGCGTCACCACCGACGGCAGCATCACCCCCAAGGAGGCTGTCGTCAAGTGCTGCAAAGACGCAGTCCAGGACCTCGAGGTGCTCAACCGCAGCTTCACCACCGAATGGCTCGGCAAGCGCATTGTCACTGAGGGCGATGCCGAGCGCGCTGCTCGCGAGGGTGGCAACTTCTAGGCTACGACTCTCTTCTCGGCCTTGGTGTTAGGGTCCTAAGGGCTTTCAAGGTCGAATTCACGGTCGGCGTTATGGGTGACCGAACCAGGTCTGGAAATGGGCGGGAATTTTGAGCTACGGCTCTAGGATTTGGCGTTTTGGGTCCGGCTTTGCTTGACCAGTCCTTGGCTTGCAGCTAGTCACCTGCTGTTACCTTCCTCGGAGGTTCAGCGAATACAAACAACAAAACATCCACCATCAACTATTGTCCTCTCTGCTTTTGTGACTCTACCTGCACAAGGTGCAGCTTGTTTATACTTGGCTTGCCTCTTTCACCTCTCCCATGTCTAATACGGTGATGGATCCCTCTAGCAAGGCGTGTCCTCAATCCCATTCTAGGTATTCTTGGTGATTGCCCAGCTAATCTGACAGTGAGTTTTCTTTGACTGTGTTTTGCTTCGTGACGCTGGCTGGCAGCCGCGAGAGCGTCCGACGCGCTTACAGTGTTAAACTGACAGGGTTACCAGTTTAACAGCTAATAACGCGCTGAAGTTGTCCAGAATGCTGTACTGTATATACCGTAATCCGCGCTGCCTCTATGGAAAGGCGCCGCTATTTCGGCATGTATTCTTTGGTGTTGTTGTCAAACCGTTACAGCTCACTGGGCTATGCTATCGAGCCACCACGAGACAGAGGGGATTAAAACACAATATGCAGTATTTCTTACAAATATACATAGCAAGCAAGCACGCTATTCCTACAAACCGCACAGCATATACACGTCTTCGCTTCCACTCCACGCAGCAAACACCCTTGTCTATATCCTCAACCTCACACTCACCCGCTCCAACTCCCCAATATTCCCCATCCCCGCCAGACTCCACTTCTCGCTCACAAACCCATCATCCACCTTCGCCCTCAGCATGCCGCTCTCAGCATAATACTCCATAATCGAGCGCGCTTCCTGCTTACTCAGCCCACCCACTCTGATCACGTCCAGCCCCTTCGCACCACCGCTTCCGGGGACGAGCAGGTCCTTGAGGACGTCCATGGCGCGCTGATCCACGTTCTTGTACGGGTTCCAGTGCGGGATGTTGTCCGGGTGCGACTGCATGGCTTCGGCGACTTGGACGCAGTAGTCGAGCGCGGGGGACGTGGGCGCGTTGGACTGCGACGTCGCCGCGAGGACGATGCCGCCGTTGGGGAGCGGCTTTGCGCCTGAGAGGTGGTCGACGAAGTGCCGGATTAGCGTGAGGTCGTGGGCGTGGATGGGCTTCACGTCCGCGGAGAGGTACTCTGAGTTGCGCATGATGTGGGATAGGCCGTCTATGGCGAGCATGATGGGCGGATGGCCGGGCTGGGTGAGTTCTTGCCATAGAGCGACGAAGACGGGCCATGAGGCTTCTGGGTTGGCTATGCCGAGCTCGGCGAGGTGTTTCAACGTCGGTTTTGCGGGGAGAGGGAGGGGGAGCGGGGGGTTGGTGGTTACGGGTGTGGCTTCGAGGAACTTGAGGTTTGCCTTGAGGATTTGCGAGAGGAGGGTCGCGGTGTAGGTGTCTTGGGTGTATTGTTGGGTTTGGGAGGAGGGGAGTGGCGCGTAGTCGGTGTGGGCGTTGGTTATGTCTTGCGCTGGGGGGATGATTAGCAGCTAATTCTACAGCCGGTTGATAGACTCTGTAATACCTTCGGGGAGGTTGATGACGACCCAGTCCCGGAGGAAGGCCATGGCCAGTCCTTGGAGAAGCAGTGTGCTCTTTCCGCTCATCCTGTCTCCACTCAAGACCCGGCGTAGCGTCTTCTTTTGCTGTCCGTCTACGGGGTCTTCCACCTCTTTCAGCAGTTTCGCGAGCTGTATTGTTTCCTTCCGCATCAGCGTCGCTGGTCGCCGGAAGAGACTCCATCCCTGCGTCGTCTTGAAAGCCTCCACAGCTCGAAGCGCGTCCACAACTTGTTCCGGAAGACCTCTAACTTGGCCTTCGTTCTTCTCGCTCAAAGCGGTCGCCTTGTCCAAGTCCTTCAGTGACGAGACTTCCAATGCGTTGTCGTTGGTTAGGACAATTCGCTTTCGCATCGCTTTTCGGTCTCCTGGGGCTGGCCGCTTGCCCGTGTCCGCGCTGGGAGCTTTCCTGCCCTTCTTGACGTTCAGTGTCCTTTCTCCTCTTTTTGGCGGTGCCACCATGCCCTTCCTCTTCGAAGGTGGGGCTGCATATCGCGCGGCGGACGTGGAAAAGCATGCTGTCTGGGGAGCGAGCAGCGTTCGAGAGGTAATGGAGACGTTGGCGGCTCTGTCCAGGGATAGCTGGGACAAGCTACGGAGACATATTGGAGAAGGCATTGCGAGGAGACAGAGGCTCAGGGCCTCGCAATGGCGAACTGGATGCAATGCTCAGGCGATGTGATAGTCTGCGATGCCATCCGAAAAGCTCGGAGGTCCGCTACCTGTGCTAGCACCGAAAGCGGCTAGGCGTTCCCCTCGACCAGAAAATTATTCTGAGCATTACGCCCGCACCAGGCCAACTTTCGCAAACATCACCATTGCACGGCGCTCTCAGATTTGAAATGTCTGACACCGAGATGGCTGGAGGTGTCGCACTGCCGGAGCGTCCTGCGCAGCTTGAGGCAATGGACATCGACACGCCGAAAGCAGCAGCAGCAACCATTTCGGTTGCGGATTCCACTTCGACCAGCAGACGGTGCGTTCCAGAGCTCCTCCCACCACCTTCACCGCTGACCAGCTCCTAGCCCAGTGAACGTCGAGAAGCCGAATCCATACACTTTCGATCTGGGGAACCTTCTCGCCAACGACCCCAATCCCGTCCCCTCCAATCCAGACGAAGAAACGCTTCGAAGCATCGCCCGCGATGCCGGCCAGTCTCTGATCAACCAGCTGCTTAGCACCTGCGAAATCAAGTCCTCAAGCGATGGCGTGCACCTCGTCCTCCCGCCAACCACCACGCCTCTCCCTCGCGAGAAGCCCATTCCCGCCGAAAAGGCGCCCACCAAGTGGGAGCTCTTTGCCAAGAAGAAGGGTATCAAGGACAAGAAGCGCGAGGGCAAGATGGTTTACGACGAGGCGAGCGGCGAGTGGGTTCCGAAGTGGGGGTACAAGGGTAAGAATAAGGACGGGGAGAACGACTGGCTTGTGGAGGTTGATGACAAGAAAGAGCGGGAGAGTGGCGAGGCGCATGACCAAAGGGCGGAGGGTAGAAGAGAGCGGAAGGAGAGGGTTAGGAGGAATGAGAGGAAGCAAAGGGCGAATGACCGGAGTTCTAGAAAGTCTGGTTAGGGAGATGGAAGGACTGGGATTTGAGAGGGATGAGCAGATGGGCGAGGCTTCTTCATGATTGCATTGGGCGGCGTTATGGATATCTGGGCAGAGTTTCCAGAGGTTTGGCGCATACGGCTCGAAAATGGTGGCATCAGTGAGGTTTCTCTTCCGTGAGCCGTAGCCAACCCTCGAGACAAAATGGTCTTCGAACTACCGGACATATCATGGTTTACAGTTCCACCAATCTCAAAATTGCTCTATGGAGTCTCTCCATTCTAGAGCTTTCCTGTCATCGCACCATCACCCAACCATTTTAGAACCGCTCTGGCCCCATCTCTCACCTCCTCGACAATCTCCTTCGCACTCTTCACCTCCCTTACCAATCCAACTCCAGCGCCAGCATACGTAGTCATCCTCGCTTCAACGCCCCAACCTTTATCTCCCTTCTTCATGTCCTCCTCATACAGCTTCTTGTTCTGAGCTTCGTCTAAGCCCGCCACTGCATCTATGTAGCTCTTATTGATGACACCCCTTGCGTTATGCGTTTCTGCCCACCCGGTAGTCCCCCGCAGATTGTCATACACCTTTGTTCGCACGGTATTCTGCCCACCGTCACTAGCGCGGAGGACTTCGTCCTGATACCCCTTCGCTATGACAGCTTCGTGACAGGCGAGAAAGCGCGTTCCCATTACAATCCCGGAGGCGCCAAGGGCGAGGGCGGCTGCGACGCCGCGGGATTCGACGATGCCTCCCGCGGCGAGGAGGACGGGAGACGGACCACCGTGTTCCTTCACCACCGCGTCGACAGCGTCGGACACTTCGGGCACGAGAGATATCACGCTCGCGCCCTGCGCCAGACCGTGACCACCTGCATCCGTACCCTGGACGACGAGGACGTCTGGCTTCGCGCTCTTGAGCGCGTCAACGGCTTCTTTTACGCTGCCGACTTGGACCCAGATCTTCGTTTCCGGAGACGCTTTCCTGGTTCCTTGGGCCCACTCCGTGAGCGAAGTGGTGGAAGAAGGCGCGAAGAACCATACTGCCGCTGGCCGGTACTTCTGAATGAGTGGAATGGAGTCTGAGAGCGAGGCGCCCCAGTTGATGAAGCCGATGCCGATGGGGAGGATGGCTGAGCCAGTGGCAAGGGACGAGGATTTGAGCAGGTCTTGGGCCTTGTGAAGGTGGGAGTCCAGATCTGATACGTCTGTTCCGGCGCCGATGAAGCCTATGCCTCCTGTATAAAGATGTTAGTCTAGTACGGATGTGGGAAAGGGATTATGAGTCTATCTACCCGCTTTCGAAACTTCAACCGCAAGATCTGCTAGTGCAATGAGTCGCATAGGGGCTCCTACGATGAGGGGGTTTTGGATCCATGGGTAGTCCTTTTTGAGAGTTTGGATTCCGTCCATTGCGTTCGCTTTCTAGTTGTCGGGTTTCTTCTCTCGTTGAAACTAAAGGATGCCATTGACTTCTTAAGAAGTGGATTTGGGGCATGAAGAGTCATTGCTAGCTTTAGTGATCATAGCCTGGTGATGCTGTTGTGAGTTGGGTTTCTCCTCGGCTACTCCTGGCGTTCGGCTTGCCGAAGTCGGATCGTGTCGGGGACCGGTGTTATGTCCACCTCATGCACCGATAGGACCGCGGTCACGGGGCTCAAGCACCGATGGCATGACGAGGATTTGTTAAACGTTGTATTTGAGGCTCGATCTTTCACATCGGTTGAATATGCTTCCTTGAGACTTTGGGCTCCTTTGCACTAATACGGTTTCGAGCGTAGTCCACAGACCTATGCGGTTTCGAGAGTAACCCATAGAGTGCCGGCCAACGTACCTCAATTGAACTACCATTCAACCAACTGCTTGTAGGGAGCGCAGTTCTCTCCCGTCAGCCAGCTGCATGGTATACGCGACTAATTGCCCTAAAAAGGAAGCGCCACGGCTGAAATCTCAAAACCCATCCTATCTCCGCCAATCACCGTGCACTGGAATGCTTCCTATCGATAGCCACCGAAAAGTCACCGAAACTTTTCGGCACCGTCACTCTGCGTCGTGGACCCTCTTTGTTCTCAACACACCTCACGACTCGTTTGCTCGCCGATCTCCCGCCGCAAAGAGTCAAATCATGCCTTCCAATTGGTATTTGTGGTGCGCTTGCACTAAGGTTGCGTCTGGCGGTCAAGTCGTTGACGATGATGGTTCCTTCAGACCCACTCGACTGCCAATCTTCCAATGACGAAATTGGGACATGATAAATCCGATGCCTCCGCGGATTGCATTTGTAAACATGGGAATTACTCATATCGGCTAATACTGTCTCTATCATGGCCTCCTTTACTTCCTTGTTTTCTTGGGCTTTCTCTTTCTACTCTCTGCCTCTCACTGTCTCTCCTTTCCAAGCTCCGTATACCCTTCCTTGTTCTACTCCTTTCGTTTTAAGCCTCGAGCGATCGTGCTTGCTTCTTCCGGCAATTCAGCAGCAATATGTGGGGAACCAACATCACGAGGTCCCAGACGGGGGATAACATCAGGAGAAACCCATGGCATAACGAGGCCGATAATCCTCAAGATCTGACAGAAGGGATAGCCGAATCACCGGGCGGAAGCTTTAGCAGCAGCGATATTGGCGAGGCTAGCGATGTGGGCGGCACCTGGGGCGAGAGAGATGTCGGCCATCCCAGCAGGCGGATAGCTCTGGAGGAGTTCGAGGCGCTGAGGGAAACCCTCACATCCATATCACGAACGCGGTCGCACGTGGAACCTGAACGACGGGACGGTCTTTTCAGAACACTCAGTCGGAAGAGTACGCGCAAGAGTGTTCCTCCTCGGGCATCCTTTACATTACCCGATGGTAGTGTGGACGAGGAGCCAGGGGATATCGAAGCGGCTGATGCTGAGAAAGAGGACGACTTCGAGCTGGGAGAATTCATGAAGGAGGGCCACTTCGAGAAGCGCAAAGGTGGGCAGTCGGCGAAGAAGGTGGGAGTAGTCTGGAAGAACCTCACCGTCAGGGGCGTTGGTTCGACTGCCACTTTCGTCAAGACACTTCCGGAGGCGATCATGGGAACCTTTGGTCCCGACCTATACCGAATCGTTTCGAGCTTCATACCTGCGTTAAAGCTCGGTCGCCATTCGCAGACACGGACGTTGATCAACGACTTCTCGGGGGTTGTCAAGGACGGCGAGATGATGCTCGTTCTAGGACGACCAGGATCTGGATGCTCAACCTTCCTGAAAGCGATTGCCAACAATCGGGAGAGCTACGCGTCAGTCGAAGGCCAAGTCTCTTATGGTGGCATCCCAGCAGGCAAACAAAAGAAGCGGTTCAGGGGCGAAGTCAACTACAACCCGGAAGATGACATACATTTCGCAAACCTGAACGTGTGGCAGACGCTCTACTTTGCGCTTATGAATAAGACGAAGAAGAATGATAGGGGCAATATCCCAGTCATCCTAGAGGCGCTGCTCAAGATCTTTGGTATATCTCACACGAAACACACCCTTGTAGGCGACGAGTTTGTTCGTGGTGTCAGCGGCGGAGAACGCAAGCGAGTATGTTCCCCTCGCTTTTGTCGCATTAAGGCATGCTAATCGCTGTCGCAGGTCTCTATTGCGGAGACGCTCGCAACGAAGAGCACCGTAGTGTGCTGGGACAACTCCACCCGTGGTCTGGATGCTTCGACTGCTCTCGACTACGCACGGTCACTACGCATTATGACAGATATTAGCAATCGAACAACATTCGTGACACTCTATCAGGCTGGCGAAGGCATCTACGAGCTCATGGACAAAGTCATGGTAATCGATGCCGGGCGTTGCATCTTCGAAGGACCTGCGAACGAGGCGAAGCGGTACTTCATCGACCTAGGTTTCCGCTGTCCCGAGAGGCAAACGACTGCCGATTTCCTCACTGCCATCACCGATCCAGCTGAAAGACAGTTCAGGGAAGGCTACGAGGCCAGCACCCCGAAGACGTCTGAAGAGCTTGAGGCAGCTTTCAGAAGCTCTGAGAACTACAAACGAGTGCTTCGCGAGATTGATCAATACGAGGAGGACCTCGAAAGAAGCAATTACATCGATGCGAAAGAGTTCGAAGGTGCCGTTCGGGAGAGCAAGAGTAGGACCGTCTCGAAGAAGTCGCCCTTCACAATCAGCTTCTTTCGTCAGGTGTGGGCATGCACGCAGCGTGAGTTCTGGCTAACGTGGGGCGACAAGACTACGTTGACCACCAAGTTCTTCATTATCATCAGCAATGGTTTTATTGTTGGTAGTCTCTTCTATGGAGAGTCTCTGGATACATCCGGCGCGTTTAGCAGAGGTGGAGCTCTGTTCTTCTCCATCTTGTTCTTGGGCTGGCTTCAGCTATCCGAGCTGATGAGAGCGGTTTCCGGCCGCGCCGTCGTCAAGCGTCACGAAGATTATGCGTTTTACCGTCCGTCGGCCGTCAGTCTTGCGAGGGTGGTTCAGGATTTCCCTCTTCTTCTGGCTCAGGTCGTCCCATTCTGCGTGATAATGTACTTCATGACGGAGCTTGATATCGACGCCTCAAAGTTCTGGACCTACCTCCTCATCGTCTACACCACGACGATATGCGTCACTTCGCTCTATCGAATGTTCGCGGCGCTGTCACCGACCATCGATGACGCAGTCCGCTTTTCAGGTCTCGCACTCAATTTGCTAATCGTCTACACCGGATACGTCATCCCAAAACCGCAGCTGATCTCAGAGTACATATGGTTTGGGTGGCTCTATTGGGTAAACCCGGTTTCGTATGCTTTCGAAGGTGCGCTTGCAAATGAGTTCTCGGACCGAACCATGGAGTGCTCTCCATCCCAGCTCGTACCCCAAGGACCCGGCGTGGATCCAGCCTACCAAGGTTGCAGCTTGACCGGCGCACAGCCAAATTCACGAACTGTGACCGGGGCCGCGTACATTCAGACTAGTTTCAACTACATGAGAAGCAATTTGTGGAGAAACTGGGCAGTGGTGATCGCGTTCGCGGTACTCTACATACTCGCCACTGTCTTCGCGACAGAGGTCTTCTCTTTCGCTGCCAGTGGTGGCGGAGCGTTGGTCTTCAAGAGGTCAAAGCGAGCGAAGAAGGCTGTCAAGGATGTGCCTGCCGACGAAGAGAAGGGTGGTGTTGCGGACAGCCCAGGTGGAAGCACGTCGAGCAGCGGAGACGGTATTGCCGCGAAAGAAGAAGAACAGGCACTGGAATCAATCTCAAGCAGCGAAAGCGTATTCACCTGGAAGGATGTTGAGTACACCGTTCCGTATCAAGGCGGCGAGCGCAAGCTTCTGAACAAGGTCAATGGATACGCCAAACCCGGGGTTATGGTGGCGTTAGTTGGTGCCTCTGGCGCCGGCAAGACCACACTTTTGAACACGCTTTCGCAGCGCCAAAGCATGGGTGTCGTATCTGGGGAGATGCTCGTCGATGGTAACACACTCGGACGGGACTTCCAGAGAGGTACTGGCTTTTGTGAGCAAATGGATCTTCACGACGGTACGGCGACGATTCGGGAAGCACTGGAGTTCTCAGCGATCTTGCGTCAGGATCGTAATATACCCCGGAAGGAGAAGCTCGATTACGTGGATAAGATTATCGATCTCCTTGAACTACACGATATCCAAGACGCGCTCGTTTCGAGCCTAGGTGTCGAGCAGAAGAAGCGCCTTACCATAGGTGTCGAACTCGCTGCAAAGCCATCACTCCTCCTCTTCCTCGATGAACCAACTAGTGGCCTCGACAGCAACTCCGCCTATTCTATCGTCCGGTTCCTCAAGAAGCTGGCTGCAGCAGGTCAAGGTACGTAGATCATTGTACACGCTCCAGCATGGCTCAGCTTCTACCTGCGGGAGCCTGTTCCTGGAGCCCTTCAGCGGGTAAAGACAAAACATGCTAGAGACCTCTTTTCTTGATCGAGACATTTGCTAACTGTGCTGCCACTTCTGCAGCTATCGTCTGTACCATCCATCAACCGTCCTCCGTCCTCATCCAGCAATTCGACATGATCCTAGCACTCAACCCAGGCGGTAATACCTTCTACTTCGGCCCGGTAGGTGACAATGGGGAAGACGTAATCAAGTACTTCGCCGACCGCGGTGTGCAATGCCCGCCCAACAAGAACGTCGCCGAATTCATCCTCGAGACGGCCGCGAAGCCCGTAAAGCGGAAAGACGGCACGCGCATCAATTGGAACGACGAATGGGCGAAGTCCTCAAACAACAGCGAGCTGCTCAAGGAAATCGAACGCATCAAAACCGACCGAAGCAAATCAGCCTCCCAGACTCCAAAGCAAGAGGAATACGAATTCGCCGCCCCAATCTGGCTCCAAACCACCATGCTTACCAAACGCGTCTTCACACAGTACTGGCGCGACCCTTCCTATCTCTACGGCAAGCTCTTTGTCGCCATTATCGTCGGAATATTCAACGGCTTCACCTTCTACCAGCTTGGATCCTCTATCATCGACATGCAGAACCGCATGTTCACGTCCTTCCTTATCCTGCTTATTCCGCCCACCATCGTCAACGCAGTTGTGCCCAAGTTCTACTCCAATATGGCTCTTTGGAAAGCACGCGAGCTGCCCAGCCGCATATATGGGTTCTTTGCGTTCACGACAGCCCAGGTTGTTGCCGAGATCCCGACTGCAGTTGTTAGCTCAGTGCTGTATTGGTTGGTGTGGTATTATCCGACGGGACTGCCCACGGAGAGCAATACGGCGGGTTATGTGTTCCTGATGACTATGCTATTTTACCTCTTCATCTCGTCTTGGGGGCAGTGGATTTGCGCTTTCGCGCCTAGCTTTACGGTGATCTCCAACGTTCTGCCGTTTTTCTTCGTCATGTTCGGCCTGTTCAACGGCGTCGTCAGACCCTATGCTGAGATGCCCGCCTTCTGGAGGTACTTCATCTACTACGTGAACCCTTCCACGTACTGGATCGGTGGCGTCCTCGCAGCCACTCTACACAACATCCCGGTCCAATGCACGCCTAGCGAGACAGCAATCTTCAACGCTCTATCCGGACAGACATGCTCCTCGTACGCCAGCACTTTTCTCGCTTCCGCGCCCGGATACTTGCTCAACCCGGATGATAGCACAGGATGCATGTACTGCCCCTACACCTCCGGCGACGACTACCTCGCAACTCTCAACATCAAAGCGAGTGATAAGTGGAGGGATTTCGGCATCTTTCTCGCTTTCTGCATGAGCAATTGGGCGCTGGTGTATTTCTTTATCTGGAGCGTGAGGATCAAAGGGTGGAGCTTTGGCTTTGGCGCACTGGCGAAGGGTGTTAGAAGAGGAGCGAAGAGTCTGAAGTGGAAGGGGAAAAAGGGTGACCGTCGAGAGATGTGAGGGACCACGGAGGCTGCGATACACACCCTATCACGTCTTAGACTCCAACTGCAGAAAGCTCCTCCTGGAGGCATTCACAAGATAACGACCTTAGACACGCTAGGATTCGAGACCGCCGGGAATGTACCTGGAAACGCGGCTATGGCTAGCGACACCACTAGTAGCGTAGTCTCTACCCTACCATTAATGAAGTTACCTTCCTTTGATGTTCATTTCCCTTGCCGCGCCTTGCCCTGTTTTCTACTCCCTCCCCTCTTTGTCCTTGTTGTCAACAACAGCTGACAAAGAGCTAACGACAGAAACCATGCATTGTATAGACCACTCATAGATGCCCCAATTTAGCAACTCTCCATCCTATTACATCTCTCCTATCCTCTCCATTCTTCCCCTTCCGGATTTAGCTTTTCTGTTCCCTTGCCCAAAGTCACGAAACCAACCAACGCACACTGCCTATATATACCAAAACATCCATAGCACATATACATCGCAAAACGATGATCAAATTCGCCGCAGCAGCCCTCCTAGCTGCCCAAGCCGTCTCCGGCGCCGTCATCCAGCAGCGCCACGCCGATTGCTTTTCTTCCAACAACGCAACCGCAATCGCAACGCCCAACACCGCTAATGCGAACTCTGTCGTCATAGTCACAGTTACAGACTACACGACCGTAACTCCCAACCCAACTCCCCCGCCCTCCAGCACGCTCACAAAGACAGTCATCGTAGTCGTCACAGACTACACCACCGTCGAACCGGCGCCAACGCCCTCCCTTGCACCGACCTCACAGGGAGTAGGATACTCGGGGGCAGCAGATATCCCGCCAACTTCTGGGGGTAGTCCCGGTGTGAGCGAACCAGCACCGACGCCGGTGCCGTCGTTTACATTCGTCCCTCCGTCTGGAGGGCTGAATGCGAATCCGAGCCCGAGTCCTTCGCCTTCTAGCCCGCGCACGAAGACCGTCGTGGTTGTCGAAACGGACTATGTCACTGTGGAGCCGGCGCTTACGCCTTCAATTGCGCCGACCTCGCTGGGATGGTATTCGGGGCCGGAGATTCTGCCTTCGTCTGGGGCGACGGGCGGGAGCGGCACGGCGCCGTCGTCTGTAGTAGTGCCGCCTTCTTCTGGGGGATTGGGCGGTACTTCTACGGGGAAGTTCTGTACGGCTAAGTCAAGTGGTATTTCTGGTGGCCCAGCAACCTCTGGTGCTCCGGCGACTTCTGGTGCTCCGGCGACTTCTGGTGCCCCAGCATCTTCGGGTGCTCCAGCATCTTCGGGTGCTCCGGCATCTTCGGGTGCTCCAAGCGGTGGGTTTGCATGGCCGAGTGGTCCGGCTGCGTCTAGTCAGCCTTCATCTACTAACGGCGTCCCGTCCGGCTCAAGTAAGAGGTCTACGGCTCCTGCTGCGTCGACTAAGCCCACACCTACTTCCGGTGTAACTCCCACCTCACGCAACGCTCCTGCAGCGTCGAGCACGCCCACGCCTACTTCCAACGTCCTAGCCACCTCACGCAATGGGTCTACGGCACCTGCTGCCTCGACTAAACCCACACCTACTTCAGGCAACGTTCCTGCAGCGTCGACCAAAGCTCCCACGCCTAGTTTCAACCTTCCGCCCAGCTCGTTCCGTGGGACCACGGGGCCTGCTTGTTCGAAAAAGCCCACTCCCACCTCCAAAGCTTCTCCTTCCTCAGTCAATACAGCCACGGGCGCTCCTGCAGCTTCCAGCAAGCGGTCTTCAGGGATTCCCTTCGAAACTCCCATTCCTGCAAGCTCTACTAAACAGCCTCTGGAGATTCCCTACCTAACTCCCACTCGTCCTGCAGCTTCTAGCAAGCCTAAGCCCACTACCAACACTGCTCCTCCAGCAGCCGGCTCAGGTAACCCACCCCAAGCCACATCCCTCACAACGCCCCCAGGCTACCCAGCAGCTCCACCCCCATCCTCGAAGACTACCAAGACGCCCAAACCGAAGCCCACTACAACAACGAAGATGAGCACCAAGCCGCCGCCCCCACCACCGTCCAGCACGACCCCGGCTGTTGTTATCACACCGGTCAAGTCGAGTACTCCCGCGGTTATCGTTGTGCCAATTAACCCGACAAATGCAGCTGTTACCGTGCCGTTAGGCGACGGTGGGGCGGAGCCGGAGCCGTATCCCGCTCAATTCGGTCGGGTGCAGGAGCAAGGAGTTGACGACCCAAGCGCGGACGAGGAGCCAGAGACATACATTCTTCCTCGAGACGACGCTGCGTACAACGAGTTGGAGCCTCTGCGTCTGCATCGCCGCAAACCAGCAGCCACCATCGTGGTCCCCATTGCCCAGACGCTCGCAGAACGCGCCGTATCCTCACCTACTCCCACATCAAAGAAGCATTCCATCTTCGTGCCCAGGGTCAGTAGCACGCCCGCTCCCAGGTCCACTCTCGTCCCCATAAAGCCGTCTTCTAACACGTCAAAGGCTCCTTCTGGGCAGCCTACACCGACAGGGAAGCCGTCGGCAGCACCGACGAAGACGGCGGGAGCTGGAGGGGATGTAAGGACGATCGTTGTCTCGCAGGATCCGCGGTGTCCGTATCCGTATCCGGGCGTGCACTGCGGAAAGCCGTACACGACGTTGACGACCGTGACGAAGAAGACGAGCCAAATGAAGACGAAGACGGGGGATGAGGCGAAGAGCACTAAGTGGTGTCCCTATCCCTACCCGGAAGGCACTGAGTGCTAAGTCCTCTGACTCTGATAAGATATAAACGTTTAGCTGTTGTTGACGTGTGATTGCTGATAATCCCCTTGATATAGGCGCAAGGATAAGCATCGCGGGTTGACGTTGAAGCAGACGATCGTGATGGTGCTTTCGCTCGAGACCGGTGCTCCGACGAACGCGAGGGCGGCGTCGGCAACGGCAACGACTTCAGTCTGTAATGCGATTAATGACTTAGGTTGGTAGTGTGTTAGGAATATGGAAGGGAAAGGTAAGTATCGCGCATCGAAAAGGATGTGGGAATAGGTCACCGAGAAGCAGTTGGTCTTGTTATATTTTTTGTCTAGTTTAGTCAATTCATTCTTTCATTTTTCATGAAGATACTCTTTGGGTGAGCGGTGCAACTTGCCATTGAGTGGTACTCTACCTGGTAAGCCACTCTGGATGCCCCCGTCTGCTCTCTATATACGCCGAATAGCTCGCTCAGTTGTGCTCTTCCACAGTCTCCATTTCTTTCGTGATCGGGATCTTCTTGCCTGCACACTGCGCAATCAGCCTCCCTTGGACGTTGCTCGCCGCTTGTGCGTATGCCACGATATCCACGTTCCTGCCTTTACCCTCTGGACCGGCGTCGAACACCTCGTAGCTGAACCAGCCTCTGAAACCGGTGCGTAGGACTGCGGTGGTGACGTCGACGACTGGCAGATAGCCACCATTGTATGGGAGGGGGCGGAAGTCGTGGCTCCATCTGCCTCGAGGCCGCATTCCCTGCTCATCGGCTTCCGCGCTGAACGGTGTCGGTACCTTGTATGCGTCGCTGATCTGGAGGAGGTAGATCTTGTCTTTCGGGATAGTTTGAGCGAGATCGTCGAGCGACTTATGGAACCTTTTCTCCAGCTCCTCTTTCGAGACATCCTCCCTCAATCCCGACTGCGTAGTAGGATCGGCCCACTCACCACCAGCAGTCTGGAAGGTATCAAGACAAAGCCCAATGTTCGGTCTGTCCACTTCCTTGACAATCTTCCAAACGTCCTTCCAATCTGGCGCATGTGTGCTCCAGCACCAATTCTCATACGCAAGCTTGAACCCGTGCTCCTCCAGCAAACCACACAGCTCTCTCAAATCTAGGACCACCTTGCCCAAATCCAGATTCTCTATCGGCGTATCGCTCGATCCCACCTGCAGTATATCGGTCCCACAAGCCTGCATGATCCTGATCCACCCCTTCGCACGCTCGAACGCGTCTTTCCGGCCCTCGGAGCCTTCTTTCCAGCCCTCGAAGTTGGAGAAGGGTTGTAGCATCATGATGCCGAGCTTGCGCTTGTCGCATTCTTGTTTGATGGCGGCGGCGACGTTGCAGAGCTCGTCGTAGCTCTTGGGGTCGGGGGAGTGGCCGAGCAGGGTCTCGCCGTAGGAGAGGATGTCTGGAAAGGAGAGTTCGATTGCTGTGAAGCCGGCTGTGGATATGGCATGCAGGCGGTCGAGGAGGGGCGGTGGTTTCGACGGATTGCCCAAGGAGCAGCTGGCGTAGCTGATGGGGATCATCGGTAGGGTAGCGTAGTCGAGTGCTGACATCGTGGGGGTGAACTAGTTAGGAGTGATCAGTGAAGAAGATGGAAGGGAAGAGTAAGGATTGAGGCGAAGGCAATGCGTTGGACACAGTGGGTTCTGATGCGCATTCGAGATTCGTTTGAGTGACGTAAATCCCTAGGTGTTAGCCTATGAACGCATGCTTGTTGAACCTCGAGTCTGGCAGCAGCCCTCAAACTTCTGCCGGCTCATCCATTGATGATCTCAATCTCATTCGAGGATGTCTCTTCACAGCATTCGCGAGCTGTATCGCAGGTAGCCCACGATGCAGAGCGCATAGCGGGGTACACCCCTGGGTCAGCTTCCCCTGGGTAACCTTTCAGTTAACTAGGCAGAGCTATACGATCCAGGAACCGGGTCATCTCGATGGCTCCAAATGGCAATTGACAGATGTCTGGCACGCGGCGAGAGTAATTAATCTAGGAAGAATATTGCCACAGGTTGATGGCGAGAATGACGAGGTGGGATGGAAGGCCCAGGCGTCACCCCATATGAAAGCGGCGCCGCCCTGCCGAACAAAAATACTTTCACCGCCTCCGACCAACCAATCAGCGCTCTCCCGACTCCGGACAGCTCTACCACATGCTCGACTCATAAAAAGCTCCACGTTACCTCGAAGTGAAGCTCGCAAAGTCAGGTTATCCTCTGGACTGCTTCTGAATTCCTTCCTTCTTTCTTTCCAGGCATATAGAAGGCGAATAGAAGCAGCCATGTCAGAAGTAAGTGCAAAGAACCCGACGTCATCGCCACTAAAAGCAGGTACTGACTGTTATTCAGTTCTTCATCGAGAACAAGTCTGTCGGCGACTCGCAAAACTCTGAAGACTGGCGCATTCGAGGCTACAACCCGCTCACGGCCCCAGATCTCCTCCAGCACGAGATTCGCCAGTCGCCGAAGTCGAGGGAAACCGTCCTGACCGGCCGCAATGAGACCGTCGATGTTGTCCACGGCAGAGACGCTCAGCGGAGGTTGCTCGTCGTTATCGGTCCGTGTTCGATCCACGACCCCAAGGCCGCACTCGAGTACTGCGATCGACTGCTCAAGCTGAAGGAGAAGTACAAGAACGACCTCCTCATCGTCATGCGCTCGTACCTGGAGAAGCCGCGAACAACCGTGGGGTGGAAGGGTCTGATCAATGACCCGGATATCGACAACACCTTCAAGATCAACAAGGGCCTGCGCGTGTCGAGGCAGCTCTTCGTGGACCTGACGGAGAAGGGCATGCCTCTAGCGAGCGAGATGCTGGACACCATCTCTCCCCAGTTCTTGGCCGACTTGCTGAGTGTGGGAGCGATTGGCGCTAGGACGACTGAGTCGCAGCTCCACCGTGAGCTAGCATCTGGTCTCTCCTTCCCCGTGGGGTTCAAGAACGGCACCGACGGCTCCCTGGACGTTGCCATTGACGCGATCGGCTCTGCCAAGCATCCCCACCACTTCCTCTCAGTCACCAAGCCTGGCATCGTGTCCATAGTTGGCACCATCGGCAACGACGACTGCTTCGTCATACTGCGGGGCGGCAAGAAGGGTCCGAACTATGACTCGATGAGCATCAAGGAGGCGCGCGAGAAGCTGGGAGCCAAGGGACTTAATGGGCGGTTGATGGTCGACTGTAGCCACGGCAACTCGGAGAAAAACCACAAGAACCAGCCCAAGGTCGCTCACGTCCTGGCTGAGCAGATTGCAGCTGGAGAGACGAGCATCATGGGCGTCATGATCGAGAGCAATATCAACGAAGGTGAGTTCATCCCGCATATGACCTTGGCAGTAGACTAACTGAGTTCCAGGCAACCAGAAAGTTCCGCAGGAAGGCAAAGAGGGGCTCAAGTATGGCGTGAGTATCACTGATGCCTGCATCAACTGGGAGGATACGGAGAAGGTCCTCGAGGAACTCGCGACGGCGGTGCAGAAGAGGAGGGACGCGCTCGGCGTGAATGGCACTCACTAGGCTGTTTTCCTCTTATCTTCCGGCTATTACCCTAGGTATGGTTCCAGGAGCACGGCATTGGGGCATTTCGGCGTTCCCGGGACACCAAAATACTGACCTTTCGGCTTGAATGCATCTGCCTGACAAGGGCCGCGTGTTACCACGCACGTGTGAAAATGAGCACGACGAAGATCCTTGACGGCGCATCGGTGACGCATCATCCTTAATCTGCACAGCATGCTGGGTGTTTGGAGGTGTAGGCATTCCAGGGCGTCCTGCAGCGGGCTGCGAAGAGGTGCGTCGCAGCGTGACTTCCTCCGACATCCAGCCAACAGGAATCCCCGAGCCAGTCCTGCCTTCTCAACATTCATCGTTTTTCTTCACCGGTCAATCGTCGCATCCTTGCAGAGCGTTTCAAGGTTCTGCACTCGTCTTCGATGTTTCCTCCTGTTTGACCCCTCTGCGGCCGCCCCGCAGACCCGCATCCACGAGCGCATGGCCCAGAATGTGGAGGTCCACGAGGCCAACGTATCGCCGCATGATCCACACCCTGGATAGCTCCTTATGAAACGCTCTGATCCGAATGAGCATCGAGCCCTGATAAGGCTGAGACGATCTTAGCTCTCTAGTCGACCTCTCTAAGCTTTTTGCCACACATCATTCCCAGTCCGGAATTTTAGGCGAATGCTTTGATGATGTCGATACAGCAGGGGATGGGCAGATGTGTTGTCACTGCAGCTCATCTCATTACTCCATATTCACGTCGTCAATCCCGCCTCGCGCACATTCTCCGGATTCCACTGCAGCAATTGCTCTGAAGGGCAACTTCTGATCGGCAGTTGTCGCTACCTCAAGTAGAATATGCACTGACATTAACCAGGGTCGACTGTGTCGCTCGGACGCGATCGATCTCTCTACCATTCTGAGTATCGAGACTCCCAAGGCGATTCTGAATATTCCGAACTCGGATAATGCGACTGTGGCGCTGCAGCAGCCTGTTGTTGCCTCATATCAATCTCGAGCGTGGTTCGCTCGCCGCTCTACGTACGCTCATGTGGACCACAACATGCATACAGCCAAGCGCTCTCCTGCATCTCAGATCAGATCACCCCAGAATGCGTTCACAAATTGGCATCTCGTCTTGCTGCAGAACCTCAGCGCAAATGCAACGGCGGTGTACGCTCCCTCGTGCCTCGGACCTCGCTGCATTGACGACTGCCTGCTCTTTGCGCCTGTCTGATCGAATCATTTTGCCTCGGCGCTTGAGTATACTCGTTGTCGAAGGGCAGGCTGTGTGTGTAATGCAGCGAGGCTTGCAGATCCGGTGAAGCTGGCGCGGTGCGCAATCTAGTGACTCCTTCACACAGTGCGCTCCGGGTCTCCTTCTATGCAGAGTACCACTTACGCAATTCCACATTTGTCTTCATCTCCGGCGCTTGCTTTTCCTTGTACGGACGCAGCCAAAGAAGATTCACACGGCGGTCTACGCCGGACGATCAAGATCTGGATTGAGTCAGCTTCGAAAACGGTTCACAAGGCAAACGTGTAGGATGCGCATTGATTGGTCCAGCAAATTAATATCCCTCAGAGCAGCTCGCGCACGCAGGTTCCCAACAATAGCCTCCCAGGTGCCTTTCCCTGGCGTAGAGAGCCTCCTGTGCCTAACGAACTCTGCGGCGCAACGGGCCGTTACTCGTCCCCCTTTGCGCCGCTGGGAGTCCCCACAATCCGGCCACAGCGAGTTGATCTCTCTGTCCGATGATTTCATTCGCATGTTGGCTTGTCGCGTGTGTCTGAAGGTTGCATCAACTAGTCTACCTAGGTATCAACTGCTGCACGCCGGCCCAGAACACTGGCTCTTGGAAGCTCGACCGCGCCCTATGTCTGCGGATATTTTCAGACCGGTCAGAATATACCTGTTGATCGTGCGAAAGGTTCATTCACTAAGCCACCTGTGCCACACTCCAAAAACAGGCAGCGCATGGCCGCTACTGCTCGCCAACTGCCACCCATAGCACTATTCCGCGGCCTGTAGCGCACCATGCAGTAGGTTTCAGCTATCTGATACAACGCAGTCATATCACATGAAGCGGATCAGACTCATCCAAAAAGGACCAAGCGGCCGGGTACCCCGTTCCTGGCGCCCGTTTGAGACCCAAGGTATTGGGCGGAGAGGCTGAACTCCCAAATTGTCTCTTCGGCCGTGGCCTGATGATTGGTAGGCGCTTCGTGCTAGCGATCACAGTGCTGGTCGTCCAATGCAACTAATCGTGAGATATCTCTTCACTCTCCCCTCGCTCGCATTCAGACCAAACCAGCATTGGGCATTGGTCATTTAACAGGCTAGGATGAAGGACGCATCTGCGATGGCCTGCTCAAATTGGAAGCCATCTGAAGTGTGCTGAAAGGCTGCGCGGTCATCAGACGCGAGAGCCCCAGCTGCAGCCCGCTTGCAGATCTGGAGGAGGCCGCCGCCAGCTACCGTGCGTCCGCACCGCAACGGGAGCTAAAACCATCGCACGGTACAGCCGACCGAGGCTGAAGCCACATCTGCCTTCTTTTGCTGTCCCTTGCCTTTCGCATGCAGCGCCATGTGTGCGTGTGGACAAGGAACAATCCCGGACCCATTACCCAGGGCGCGGGCCTCCGTCTACCTCTTCACCCATCCCACGGCATGAGCGCCTATTGCTTTCCTTTAAACCTCGCTCATCACTCCTTTGATATTTGACGGCGACTCCGACACCACTCTTGTGCGGTGCAGTCGCTGAATAACTCCGTTCCTTATTCTCTTCCCTTCGACATTGCGCTCCTTCCGAACTTGTTCGTATACTCAGGTCGCGCTTCGATCGGCCTTGCCAATCCTTGCACCCATCTCGTGGCTGGACCATCATTCGTGCAGCACTTCTGCCCCCAAACCTCAAACGAGTTCGATATTCTAAGCCTCAACACCATGGCTTCCCGCTCGGAAGACCCCGAGACCAACTACGATCAAGTCAACGCTTGGGACGAGTCCGCCCTTCGATATCCAGTCACCGAGGTGGATCAGAGTGGGGCGTCCGACGTCGCCGAGTTCGCTCTAGTTGGGGTTGGCGTCCGATTCGATAACAGAGGAGAACCGTATCCGCCGGAAATCGACATTAGCGAGGAAGACTACACCGGACAGCCTTGTGTGCGCGTGCAGGCGGGATCGTCCGTCAGTGTGTCATCAAGGCTCGGTGACACCGCCTCGCCAGGCAGCTCACCGTCCACGCCGGGGCCGAACCAAGCCCACCTCGAATCTGGCAGACCTTTCATACAACCTGGTGATTTCGAACACATCGTTCGCCAACGGATCAGGCGCAGCCAGCGACTGCGCAGACGCAGCTCTAGTAAGTGCCATTCATTGTTTTTTGTCCTTTGATGGAAACCACCATCCTGCCACTACTTCACACCTCCCCGGCTCTTGAAAAGCTCATATTACTTGGAGAAAGCGCATCGGACGGGTCAAAGAGTCGCTATGATGCTGTTTCGTCATCGTGGTGTCTGTCAGTGAAGCCACCGTCTCGCCTGATGCCGCGCGTTCCCTACGAGTCGTTACCACTCAAACCTTAACTCTTAGAGGAAGTTCGAACGGATTACTCACTGAGGAGCTGTGCTGTCGCAGCGGGCTACGATATGCTTCGATGGGTCGAATTCTGATACCACTTCTTTCGTTGTTGGTCTCTCCGCTGAAGTTAGAGCTGACAAAAAGCAGAGCATCGAACTCGACCCTCCGGAACGGCCTCAACAAGCTGCCACACCACTATTGCAACCACGATCGACGATCCGGAAAACGAGATTGCCGATCGCAGTACGACGCCTATTCCTTATGTTCCTCCGAGTCACACCCCGTCGGAGCGCTCCGAAGAGACCACCGAAGACGGTCACGATGAAGGAAGAGAGCCGGTCTCCCCTCATCCTTTCTCGGAGTATCACACGTACGATCCAACTCATGGAGAAGACGCAGTCGCCGCGTGGAATAACTTGGTTCACAGTCCCGAATGAGTGGCTGTGCGCAGTTGTAGGCGTGCTTAATGCTGACGCTGCGGGGGAAGGCTAGTCTTCAGGCCATCGAGGGTCTAGCCGTCCCGTTGAAGACTGCACCTGACCATGAGGAGGACTGCCTGGGGTTTGATGTCGATTTTCCTGTATTTTTCCCGCTGGCTCTAATTGTGTTCCGCTGCTAAGGAACTGCCCTGGACATGGTTTCCGTTTCCTCCAGTCGACCTCGCCTCCAAGCTTCAGACAGCCACGAATCTTTTCTTTTGTCATTGCATCGCAGCGCGAAAAGCCTCATACCCTCCTTTTTCTCCAGTTTCGTCCATAATACCGCCATTTTCTTTTCAACGTTGGAGCAACGCTGTCTTCTACGTGTATATAGGGGCTCGCGAGGCTGGCACTCCATCCATACCTATTTCATAAAAGTCGGCTTCCCTTTCTTCTCTGTATCACACGACGTTATTCTCATCAGAAAAGTTCCCCGTTCGTTGTCCATAACGCCGGATAATAGCAAAAGCCTTCTTACCCCTTGCTGTCCACTACATATCTGATCCAGGGTGACATGGCGGCTCTACTCACGGTAAGGCGCTCAATGAAGATGACAGCAAGGACCGCAGAACCGCACGACTCGAATCTTATAGCAGTGCCGGCTGGCTGCGCACAGCGTGCGCAATCGATGATGCGCTGGCAATATGTACGATGGCGGGGTGTGCATGCAGATGGCTGCCGTTGGACCATCCATCTTTCTCACACCGATTAGGCTTAGATGCTCGTCGCTGCGTAGCGACGCACAGCATGCGGGCGACGTTGAACGACAACGCAAACATGCTCATGGAGACGAGACGTTACAATTGAGTTGTAGCAGACGCCGCTAGCTTAATTCTCGGCACGAACTGTTCCTTGGATCAGATGCACGGCCCTTGCGGATCGGGAGCTGGTCGGGGCTTTGCGGCTTGCCGGTAGGGCTGGCTGGTTTCGCCCGCTGCCACCGCGGATTCGTCATCATCAATGTTTCCAATCATTACATCTTACCAGAAAGTCCAAGGTGGAAGCTGAGGAGGATAATGGCGAGACTGTCTGGACTGCAGCGAGACGTCCTATCCCTCTATCGCCAATGCCTGAGAGCCGTGCGAGAAAAGCCTGCTGTTCGCGTCTCCCTTCCCATTCGTTCCCGGCACAACACATGCTCACACTGGCACAGGAGTCGAGAGAGAACTTCCGGAACTTTGCGAGGTAGAGAGCGCATGCATTGACCACTATTAATGAGCTACGAATGCTGAGATTGCGGCAGGGAAGAATTCCACAAGCATAGCCACGTCGACAGGAAGGACTTCGCCACCATTGAGTATTTGCTTCGCAGGGGAAGAAGGCAGTTGGAGACGTATCAGGATCCGGGGATAAGAAATATTGCGAGGTAGTAGGAGGGCTTGGGATGGAGGGAACAGAAAAGGGTAGATGCTTGGTGGAAGAAAGAGCTGGGAGACGATGAGGCAGAGGAGCTGGAGGAGGATGGTCTTGGTCGTAACACGTGGCGTATAGCAAGCTCCCGCGATTCCCTGGACAGCGCAGTGCCACCTTTCTACTACTATCGATCAATCGTCGGCCGCCTTTCGCGGACGGCGAGTCGTGTCACGTGCAGCACCGAGCTGGGGCTGGCTGGAACCGCACCCGTTCTACAAGTCTTGCATCCCAGTTACGCCAGGTCAGTCTTTGACCCATTTCAACCAATCGGCTTGAACGCCGTTGGCGTAGCGCAATGTCACCTTGGACGGGCCCCTCGATTATCAGAACACGGGTGGTAGTACGGAAAACTGCTTGAAGCAATATACGCGATCCGGGAGTATTGCAGGTGTGTCAAGTATGCTTCTAGATATGCTCCCCGAGAGGCTAGTCCAGGAATCGGCGCTGCTACACTAGGATATCAATACCGGCCCGGCGTTGCGGGGCGGTCTCTGGGAACACCTGCGGCAGATATCGAAACGTACACTGTCTCACTGATCCGAGACGTTGCTTTATCCTTAACTAGAAGCTAGCTGTCTCTGATGATCTAACGGAAGATGAAAGCCTACTACATCCGCAGACGGGAGATGCTACAAGCTGCGAGGACAAGGGCGGAGGAGCCGGAAGAACAAGGTATGTGTCTGAGATGTTCATCAACATTCGACCCATCAACTAGAGCTACACAGTAACGTGCACGAGCTCTAGCAGCATTATTTACATGTGAGTCCTTTGATCGAGATGCTTGGAAGCTCGCTTCAACTCCCTATTCGACTGCCCCGCCGCCAATACAGTGTTGGGCATGCAGCTCGTCCAATGCCAAAGTGCGGGGAACCACACGTGGAATCAGCTTAGTCTCCGCTTCTGGCGTCCTGGCAGTTCGAAAAGCGCCATGGTGCCATCATTCCACGCAATGACCAGTCACGTGACTTTCGACCAGGCCGTATGATTGGTCGAACCTTCCAGAGCAGCCAGGAGTCTTCGATACAATTCGACACATAGCACCGTACCCACAAAACCACAAAGCACGATCACCGATCACTGCAGCCAGGCACAGACTCGAAGCTTCTCGTACGACCTCGCATCACGAAACGCTTCCTCCAATCATCCCACATTGCGTCATACATCGTGACAAGTCGACCGTTCCAGAAACCGCCCGCCGATTCGCCGAATATTCTCGAGCCCAAGGTCACGCCATGGAACGACGTACCCCCCTGGTTTCTCGGGCCCCGCACGAAAGCTCCAGAAACCCTCCTCCACGGTATTTAAACCTACCCACCGGCGTCCCAGAATCCCATCTCCAGGACATCACAATCGAACACATCTGAATGCAACCACTGCGCAACACCCTGCGAAGAGTTCCACAACAACTCCACCGCATCAGCAAGCACCACTACACGCACCCCACGACGACGAAAGCTCCAGCTCTAGCTCAACAACCCGTCACCACCCGGACCTTTACTTCCACCAGCCCAGCAGCAATGTCGCTCTTCCCGCGCTTCACGCAGGAGTTCGCTCCGCTCTTCCGTCTCATGGACGACTATGACCGCCGCGTCTTCCGCGACGTTGACCGCTCGATCCGCGACATCCGCACCTTCACGCCCAAGTTCGACGTCAAGGAGGTCCAGGACGCGTACGAGCTGCACGGCGAATTCCCCGGCATCGAGCAGAAGGACATCAACATCGAGTGGACGGACGCCAACACGCTGACGATTAGCGGCCGCCACGAGCAAGTGAGGGAGGAGGGCGAGCGGCCGCAGGGCTTCATCGAGGAGGGCGAGCAGCACTACCAGAAGCCGAGCGTGGAGGAGGAGGCCGGCGAGTCGAGCAAGGAGGGCGAGACGCAGGTCGCGAAGAATGACAAGGGCGAGGTCGCGAAGCAGGAGAATGCGCCGAAGTACTGGGTTAGCGAGCGCAGCGTCGGCGAGTTCCATCGCAGCTTTAGCTTCCCCGCGCGTGTCGATCAGGATGCTGTTAAGGCCAGCTTGAAGAATGGCATCTTGAGCATTGTGGTCCCGAAGGCGAAGGCTCCGCAGCCGCGCAAGATCAGTATCGAGTAAGCGGCGAGACTCGACTGACGTCAATTACCTTCCGATCGAGTCGCCTTCATCCACACCACCAACAAACAATTCGGCATCAACTCTCCTTCCTCGATCTGATCTGATCTCGACCTCGACTTCATACACTTCTTGTTTCAGCAACAAACAAACAAAAGTCCTTGTCCATTCCTTCCTTCCTCCCTTCCTTCCTTTCTCAACAACAACACCAACACCAACAACGAGAACGACAACCGGATCTCACGACTAGCATGATTACGGAGTTTAACTTCAGGGAGTCAGGGCATCAGCATGGAGTATTTCAAATGTATGCGGGCTTTCCCTTCACACTCCTTTCTTGGACACACATAGCCTCTACCTTCCTTCTCTTCATCTCTCCACTCTTCGAAAAGCTTCGACGGAATGGTTTGGTTGATTGGGGGATTGGATTGATTCGGGCGCGTGGGAAAGGATGTAGAACAATAGTTCGAATTATTTTTTTAAGGGACAATTGACATAAGTGAATTTGAAGACTTGTTTGTGTGCGCTTAGGTATGTGCTTGTGCTTCGTGACTGACTGGTGTGATAAGGCGATGTGGTGTGTGTATATATGGATGGTACAATGCTGTTCTCCAGGGAAGGAGGAAGCATTGTCCCCGGGGGTTTCTGCCATCTTCGAGACCGATAGGTCCGCGGTCGTCGCATGCTCACGAGGCCGGAGAGAGAGTCTCAACATTGAACGCATACCACTCCACAGCGAAGAGCAGAGATTCAAAGCAAGCTCGACGCAGACAAAATCCGTTTCAAGCCAACGACACAATACCCGTGATAAAAACAGAGGAAGGACAAATCAAAAAAGAAGAAGAGAAGAGGAGAACGAGCACCCGACAGGCCGTCCCTTGCATATATCCCCACGGCGGGGGAGGGCCCGAGCTGGAGCGTGCAAGAAGGGTAGTTTCAGCCTCGTTGTATTGCTGCGTTTTTGCGGCTCTTCGCTGAGCTGTGGATTGCGGTTTGGCGCCACTGCGCCTGTGGAGACTTCGCTGTATATAAAGTCGATCGGCTAAGTATTTGTGGCGCTGCTTCGGTGCCCCGGCACTTGGAGCACGTGCTGCTGGGTGCATTACCATCAGACTCCGGCTAAGTGATCAATAAGAGTTGCAGAATTCTAGCATGATCGCGTTGTTAGTGGTTGTGCCGAATTTTGAAGGGACTTCCTGGTTGCACTCCAGCTAGTGACGGGAGATAGGCCTGGAAAATGGATGGCTCACGATGTCCTCCTGTACATTCCTCTGATACACCTAGGTAGAATGATTATTTCCCATGATCTTTCCCATCCGATCTATGTCGTTGAGAAAACAAAAAGACCAGATACCGCCGGACTCCTGACCACAGAACTTTTCGTGAAATGTTGCCTGGCTAATCTTCCTCGGGGCGCATTACGCTGTTCTAGAGTTCTCGATCTTCATCACCAAAATGTCGCAGGCTCCGGCTTCGGTAAGCCTATCCATTACAACGGCGATCTCTTTCCGTTCGACCATGACCTGGACAGCGACCCAGCCGTCCTCTTCCAGCGCGTTGATTGTAGCGGCGCGCTTTCCGGGAGCGATCTTGCAGGCGGCTTCGAGCTTGGGCCGCTCGATGTTATATGTGCAGAGGACATACTTTTGTGCAGCTACTGGAGGTTAGTACCTGTGAAAGGAACTGGAGGTAGTATGGACTGACTTATGACACCCCTGAGCCTTGCGGTAATGAGGTCAACAAGCTTGGGATCCGACGGGTGTTTTGACTTGATGAGGATAGCGCTCGAGTCGATAACTGTTGAAATCGCCTTCAGTCCAGCAGCACGCATTGTCTCGCCAGATTCAACAAGGTCGACAATGCCGTCTGCAACACCGAGCGCGCATGCGGCTTCCACGCTGCCACCAACAAACTTGATATTCGTCTTCATCTTCGCTCCTCCGGTTGCCTCGCCATTTGTAGCATTTCCCGCTTGCGCTGCTTCTAATCTCCTGAAGTACTGTTCTGCCAGATTTGTGAAGCTCGTCACGATGTTCTTTCCGATCAGATCGTCTGGATTCGCCAACTCCCCCTTCTGTGGCACCTGGACTTGCAGACTGCATTTGCCAAATCCGAGATCCATGACCTCCACTACTCCCGTCATCTCTGTCGGGGGCACTATGCATTCATGCTCGGCGACTTGGTCTCGCCCGGTTATGCCCAGATCGACTCGTCCCTCGCCAACGAACGTAGGGATATCGGCGGCGGGGAGAAATACTAGGGCGAGCGGGTGGTTCTTGACGAGGGCAATGTCGAGCCGTGAGTGGCGGTGGAATTGTATGTCTGAGCCATGGAGAAGGTCCAAGCAGGCTTGGTGGAGGCGGCCCTCTGCGAGCACGGATCAGCACTGCTCCCTGGCTGCGAGCGGAAACATACTCTTTGGCACCGCGAACAGTAACCGATCATTTAAACTATTCCCCAGAACGTCAGTCAAGAAAGGAAGACTCCGGCTCCACGTGCGCGCCCTTTGCACAATGCCTTCCGCTTCCTCCACACCATCGACGCCATTCGTGAACTCCATGTTCGCCAGCATTTTGCGGAAAGAGGAGGGTGGGAGAAGGTCGCACATACGAGTTGACCAAATCCATCTCTTAAATCACCCAATCTGGGGTACGGCGCCGGGCGCGGACCGGTGCGTCAAAGCCTGCTAGCCCCGATGGTTGGTGATGCGGGATTCAAACGAGTGCCCACGCGGAACGGTCTAATTGGATGCTCGGCTTTTGTAACGCAGCTAGAGGTACGCGCGACTGCAGTGGTCGTGGATCGGGGGTGGGAGAATTAGTCGTTTCGTGGTGTGCAGATTTGGGCTGCGTGGGTAACCTCTATTGTGACTCTTTGGCGTCAAAGAGGGGTATTGTTGCACGTGTGGAGCGCAATTGGCGAATGGAATCTAGAGTAACGTCGTCCGCGTTGCGCGCTTAAGCGTGAGCTGTAAATATGCGCATGCGTACCAGCCAGGACAGGGAATGTTGGATGAGGTGGACGAGAAGGCTCCGATATGCGGACAGAAATTTGATGGACGACGCCCCAATCAATGCTCAGGGCCGAAGCCGTGCAGATGCCCCGCGCTCTTCCGCTTTTGGACTAGCGCCATTCGCTTGCGACCCCCGGCCCAACTTCGCACACCTCACCATCAAAAAGTCCAACCTCGCCGTCGCCAACTTCATCTGCACGCCCAACGTACCTCCAGCACGACACCGGTCGATCTCGAAAACACTCTAGTCGCACCTGAACTCAAGCAAACGTACGCAAAATGAAGAAATCTTGAGGTGGCAGTCGCTAATGGCAGCAGACCGCAGTCATGGATCAGACCAAAGTCCCCGTCAAGCTCGTCAAGGTCACCCGCGTCCTCGGCCGTATGTGCGCCTGCAAAAATTACGAGGGTGCTTGAGCTGACCATCTCCAAGGTACCGGCTCGAGAGGAGGCGTGACGCAGTGTCGCGTCGAATTCATGGACGACACCACCCGAAGCATCATCCGAAACGTCAAGGGCCCTGGTACGGATACAAAAGTTGCACCCGGATTCTAGGAATGGAGGCTAACAGGTGGCGCAGTCCGCGAGAACGACATCCTCTGCTTGCTCGAGTCTGAGCGCGAGGCCAGGAGGCTGAGATAGACGGCGCGAGCGGGGGAGAGCATGCGGCAGATACGAGCGGTGATACCGAGATGGGAGATGGTTCAGGCGTGACCGGTCTTGTGCATTTCCACGGGAATTCCTTCGCGGCAGAGGCATGGTTATAAGCAACTTCGGCTTCTCATGAAATAACATTGTCTCTCGGACCATCACCCTCTTATTGTTATGCACTGGGAGACCAGGTATTACTTGCGATTCCCCACGCTGATCGAACCCAAAAGCAGGTCAAAAAAAAAAGCCTTTCTTGTTGGACCTTCCTGGTGTACTTTGCATCAAGCGCATTTCTCCGCAAACTCAACGATACTATCCAGATAAAGCTCAGGGTAACTCAGAAAACTCTCATGACCACCTGGACACTTATAAATCTGCATCTTTCTCCCGCTGCTCTCTTCAGCCTTCTTAACCATCAGCTCCTGGTACCAGCTCGACACCACGCGATCGCCCTCACACAGCATATACGCACAGGGCAGCTCCGAGTACGCATCATTGGTCAGCGGCACTGTGAGGAACGGACACGCGGTCAACGTCTCGCTCCACTTCTCTGCTTCCTCCGCCGGCAAGTCATGGAACAGGAAGTACGGCGGGTCGTTGAACACGGTCAAATTGCGCTCTTTCTACACCCCAAATTAGCCACATTGCGAATCCTCAGAAGAGAAAAGACAAATACTCACAAGCAAACTAAACCACCCCTGCCCCTCCCTCGCCCCCTGCTCCGCTTCCCCCGTCGACGCCGCAAACGTACTCCACACACTCTCCCCCAGCATAACCAGAAAACTCGCCATGTAGAAAATCCCAACAACACCCCCTCCCCTCCCCTCCAGCCCCCTCTTCCCCCGCTGCAGCTCCGGCGTCGCGATCTCAGTCGCCGTCCAGCCGCCGCTCGAGTGCGCGAGCAGCAGCACGTCGCGCCCTTGCTCTTCGACCAGGCGGCGCAGAACCGCTCGCAGGGCCGCGACGTCGAGGTCTTGCGTTGGCAGGCCCTGCGAAGGAGGCGGCTGGTCGAACGAGGGGTTGCGCGGGTCGGCGACTAGGTAGTCGCGCGAGGCGCAGGGGAGTTGGGGGCAGTGTGTTTCATAGCCTTGCTTCGAGAGGAGGGCGCGGAGGCGGGCGTAGGGCTGGGGGGTGTGGTAGGAGCCGTGGGCTAGGAGGATGGCTGGTTTGGGGGAGGACATGGTGGGGGGTTTGGAGGTAAGTTTGAGGGAAGGGGGTTGGGGGTTGTGGGTATGGAGAGGGGGAGATGCGTGGGTGGAGGGTTTAAGAGCGGACTGGGTGGGTTTTGAAGACACTGGGGTTTGGAGATGGAGGTGGGCGGTGGTAGGGGTGAGATTTTAGAGGATTGTACGCGCGGTAGCTTGGAATGGGGTTGAATTAGACGACCAGGCAAGATCTGGAAACAGAACTCTGAGAGATAAAGTACGAAGAAAAGGTTTGAATCTACCTCGCGCGAGATGGTGTCGAGGAAATGCATGGGGAATGCTTCGCCGTACCATGCTTCGCCGCACCATCCTTAAAAATATAGCATGCTATGCCTCAACTTGGCCGACTCCAGCTCGTTCTCTCCGCCGGCCGCGTAAAAAGCGCGAGATTCATAGTCTGAATTTCCACAATCTAAGAAGATGAGACATTGTAGTGTTGTGGCTGTCCATACGTACGATGCGCGGGCGGAATCCCGCGTCCCTGGGTGCTCGCCTGCCCGAACGCCTGGTCCCGGTCCTGCAGCGCGCGGTAAGGTTTACGCGTGCTGACATCCAGACGACATCAAGTCACTTCTCACTCCTGTTCCTATCAGTTTTCTCCAGGCACTCAGTAAACGATGGAATGCATGGAGTCGATCTCAATGTGCATATTGAAGGGCTATGTGCGGCGGGAGGGTGGTAGGAGCAGCGAAGACTCTGGAGACCTCGAACGACCGAATGCGCGCAGTAGGTGGCATCCCTCATTTAAAACTGAGAGGACTGACAATGGAACAGAAACCATGGAGACCCACGGTGGCTAGCGCCATCTCTTCACAGCAGTGGCAGCAGCCTCGACTCCCAGTATACTGTGCTGTGTCATGAGCCGTGCTCGCATTCGCATTCAGGAAGTGGCTCCGCGGACGGTTCTCGACCCGCTCCCATCCCAGCGCAAATCCCGCCAAAAGGAAACCACCCAAACTCGAACACCACTCCGGCATGCTGCGAACGAAACAGCATGATGCTCAGCTCCGAAAAGGCCTGTCGGTTTCTCAGACAACGTCTCGAAACTTCGAGAAATCAAAGAGCCCTCCTTTCAGCCCTGCGCCGCTTGGCTCCCGCAAGCGACCGTCCGCGCCGATGCTCCACAGCCGATCCTCCGCCGCCGTATCCAGCGTATCTCCACTAAGCCCGTGGTCGGACGATGCCACTCGTTTGCGCTGGATCGGAGATAGCGTGGCACCCTCCTTCGCCTGGACGAAAGGCGGGCTCAGCCGGCGCTGCATTTGCTCCAATGACGATGCCTCGGTAGCCTTCACGCCACGGAAGCCTTCCTAAAAGGGGCTTCGCCTCAAAGGCTTGCAGAAAAGCTTGGTGTGCTCCAAGCGAAGGAGCATCGGATTCGGCACCGGCATGAGGTCGTTCCCGCGCCCTGGGCTCCCTTTAAGAGAGGGGATGGAGAGCCCAGGGCTGCGGATTTGCCTCCCACTTCGTATCTCTTTTGTGGCTCTTCCTGTCTTTGGTAGTCTTTCTCAGCGTCCTTCTTTGAAAGAAAGTTATTTGGACGTTTCGCACGAACGTCTGCATCAGACTCCAGGCTCGGATCGCTCCCGTGCTTACGGTTCGAGGGTTCGCAGGGGCCGGTAAGACTTGCTTCCATTGGGTGCGCCACCCAGCGTCCTCAACGATATATCCAAGCATCGTCAATCTGAGTGCAGACATATCTTTTGAATGATTGAGCAATTGCTAACAATGGCTGTCCACAGGAAACTCGAACTTCGCCATGGCCACCCCAGCGACATATTCAAACCCGGCGCGAGAAGCCGAATACCTAGGAGACGAAAAAGCGAGAGAAGCATATGAAGAAGGCCGCGACGCAGATATCCTGTCGGTACAGGAAACGTACACCTCGCCTAATGCCGATCTTGAGAAGGGCGTGCGGAGCGACGCGAGTTCTAATACAACGGACGATCGAACGCTAGGAGGGGAGGCCCCGAATCAGGAAGCTGAGCGAGATCCCAACATCGTGGATTGGGATGGACCGGACGACCCAGAAAATCCTTTGAATTGGCCTGAAAAGAAGAAATGGAGTTTGATCGCTTGTCTTGGTGCAATCACTCTCGTCACGTAGGTTCCATCCCGACCCCATCCGAGAACTATCCTCTAACGTGTATTAGACCCCTAGCATCTTCGTTCTTCGCCCCCGGCGTCCCGCAAGTAATGGCCTCATTTGGTGTTTCCTCCAACATACTAGCGTCCCTCGTCGTCTCCGTCTACATCGTTGGCTTCGCCATCGGCCCCCTCATCATCGCGCCCATGTCTGAGCTTTACGGCCGCTACTACGTCTACGCCATCTGCAACTTCTTCTTCGTCGTTTTCACCATATGTTGCGCCGTCAGCAACAGCATGGGAGTGTTAATCGCCTTCCGCGTTCTCGCCGGCTGCGCAGGCGCCGCACCCCTTACTATCGGCGGCGGTACTATTGCGGACATTTTCCCGCAGGAGAAGCGCGCGGGGGCCATGGCCATCTGGTCTATTGGCCCGCTTTTGGGACCAGTTGTGGGCCCTGTTTGTGGTGGCTTCCTCGTTGAAGCAAAAGGCTGGCGCTGGGTGTTCTGGATCCTTGCTATATTCGGCGGCTTCTTCGGCCTCGTCTTCTTCTTCGTCGGCAGCGAATCCTACCACGCAACCATCTTAGCCCGCAAGGCCGCGCGCCTGCGCAAAGAAACCGGGAACCCGAATCTCCGGTCTAAACTCGCTTTGCCTATCCCGCCCAAGGAGGTCTTCATCCGCAGCATCGTGCGCCCGATGAAAATGCTGTTTTTCCAGCCCATTGTCCTGCTAATGTCGCTTTACGTCGCTGTTAACTACGGCATCTTGTACCTCTTCTTCACGACTATTACTTTCGTCTTCGAGGGACAATACCACTTCAGCTCCGGCGCCGTCGGACTGTCGTATCTCGGCACGGGCGTGGGTCTCATCGTCGGCATGGCGGTCCTCGGCGTCATGAGCGACAAGATCATCAAGAAGAAGCAGGTCAAGGGGAACGCGAAACCCGAGCACCGGCTTCCGCTCATCTTAACGCTCCCCGGATCTATCCTCCTCCCAATCGGCGTATTCATATACGGCTGGACGACAGACAAGCATGTCCACTGGATCGTGCCCATCATCGGAACCGCGTTCATCGGGCTGGGAAACATTACCGGTATGATGACTATCCAGACCTATCTCGTCGACGCATTCACCGTCCATGCCGCCTCCGCCATCGCCGCAAACACCGTCCTCCGCTCGATCTTCGGCGCTTTCCTCCCGCTCGCCGGCTTGGATATGTATGATGCGCTGGGCCTAGGGTGGGGGAACTCGCTGCTGGGCTTCATTGCGCTGGCGTTGATTCCTGTGCCTGTGTTCTTCAGGTTCTATGGCGAGCGCATACGGACGAATCCCAAGTTCCAGGTCAAGTTCTAGCGCCTTGCGGGGGTGGATAGCTTTGATATAGATTTCCCAAGGGGTATTGTTATGCCCATTTGGTTCCAGCGAGCATGATGCATTTTAGCACGGCGTTCTTGGGGGAATAGATAGGACGGAGACTAGTCCTTCGCTTTCTTTGCATGTATATACTGTATTTAATCCACCTCTTCAGCATTTCAAATGTTGGCAGCCCTCGAAAACTGCCTCCACGCTACCCGCGCTGCTCCCCTCCCCCGCGCTTCTTCAAACACTCCCAGCCGTCCCTCTCCCTCCCCCCTATCCGCTTAACCTCCTCCCCAAACACCCGTATGATGCCTCGTCGTCCAGCAGCGTGACCTCCAACCGCTCCAGCCGCAGACTCACACTCCTCAGCGCAGATATCTTGCCCCTCGCGGTGCCGCAGCGCCACAGCGGGCGCCAGAAGGCCAGGCCGAGCACTTTGACGCCGGTGTTGCCGGCGTGGAGCAGCGTCGTCGCAAGGTGGAGTAGTTGTCTGTAAAGCACGGGCGCGGGGCCGAAGGCGCGGGCGTCTGTCGAGGCTGAAAGCCGGGCGGCTGCAGAAGGTCTGAGTAATTGAGATATGCGGGAGGAGTCTAGCAGCGGCGGCGGCGATACTTCGCCCGCGACGACGCCGCCGCTGCAAGGAGGAGGAGGAGGAGGAGGAGGAGGAGGAGGAGGAGGAGGACGATCGTAGATGCAGCCCGCGGCGCAGCGCGTGTGGCGATGCGGCTGGGCGAGTCCTTCGCGTAGGATGGACGTGCTGGATAGGAGACAGGTTGGGAGCGGGACGGGATTCGTGTGTAGAGCGTGGGTGGCGCTGGCGTAGAGTATGCCGAGAGGTGGCGCTGGCGCGGTTTGGGCGCGGATGTGCGGCGTGAGGGTCTAGAGGGAGTGGGAGGTGTGGTCGCGGAGCTCTGGGGGATGGGTGTGAGAATGGGTAGCTTTTTGATAGAGGGGTGGGGAGGGGTGGAATAGGTGTGGAATGTGGAATGTGTGTGTTTGGGCTTTGGAAAGCCGCTTGAAGGCCTAAAGCAGGTAGAGACTTAAGACTAGTTTGTAGAGTGACATACGTACCTCGAGGGAGCTGCATGAGACCTGAAACTTGGCTGAATTCTGCTATTGTAACTTGCGAGCGGCAGTCGAGAGACTCGCGGGACTCTGGTTGCGGAGCTGGACAGTGATGAAGCGCAGTGGAAGAAGAGCGCTTTATACATGACCTTGGGCCGCGAGACAGAGTAACCCCCCAGACTCCTGTGCGGGAACATACATACAGAGGGAAATAGATGGCTCAATAGGTAGTCCAGACACCATTGTGGTGACCGGAGTGGATTGCATTTTGTCTCGTGCTACGTGGGTAGATGTGTACAAAACGCTCAGTAAAACTCGAGGCCGGCTGATGAACCCGGTGGAGCTACCGAAAACTTGACTGCTGAATCAAGAGATTTGCGCTCTCAATTTAGCGGGAATACGTGCCTGTCCGATGCGGAATGAACACGGAGAGAAGAGCCGAAACCCGTCCCCAACGACGCGAAGAAGCCGGATGGTTGTCCCGCTCCTTCTCGTAGACGAACACCCATGCCCCTTTGCTCTTGTCATTTCCCGGCTCCAGCACTTTCTCCATCGTAAGCCGGCCCTTCTTGCCTGCGACCAAAGCCCCAACTCTAGCAACCTCTTCCTTCAACGCTGGAACGGTAGTTGCTTCGAAGGCGGGATCCCCAGTTGTAAAGGGCATCTCAGATACTTTGACCTCGAGACGCTCGACCGGCCGCTTGATCTGCTTCACGAATGAGAGGTCCACAGCCATCGTCGGCTGACGAAGGTACAGAATTTCCAAGTGGAGGACTCGAATCGGCGTATCGCCCTCGAAGAGCCGCATGCACGCCTCGAGGTCCGGAAGATCTAGCGGCCTTAATTTGCCCTCTGGCCGTGCTGTTTGGAGGAGTGGGAGAAGGAACGCCATATTCGGTGCGACGGACGGGCCAAGCAACAGTGAGCGTGTATGACCTATGCGGCGGTTCTTAAGCTGGACGCATTCCCACGTGCTCTTGCGAAATAACTGCTCCAGCCCTTCGTGGAGGATTGATTTGCTGGTACGAAGCCACATTGGGAGGAGTGTCGACCGCCTCAAATAATCACGGCCATAAGTTACCCGGAAAAGTAATCTTCCAACATGGACGTCGATGATCGCGCTGCCTTTCCAGAGTTCATCGTAGACCTTGTCTCTAAGCTCTCGAGGAAGATCGACGAAGTTGCGGCGGGTAGTTGTGGCTGGCTGCGAAGTGGAGATAGACGGACTCGCAGCGGCGTCCTCGTCGGCGTCCTCGTCGGCGCCCTTGGGCTTCGTGATGTTGCCGGCTACCGCCATTGAGAGTTATGGTTGCACAATTATGGGTGGTTGTTCCGCTTTGGGTGGAGCATTGCGCTTGGTTCGGGTGCCGAGTGCGAAGAGAAGAGGCTAGGATGTGTATGTACCTAGGTGGAGCAAGTCAGGCAATATATACCGCGCACAGACTTCCGGGGGCAAGAGCTCTCCGCCGAGGTGCCTCCGCGAATTTTATCGAAGTGAAGCGTGCACCACTTAGCTCCATTGGGAACGCCTACTAGTGAGTTGCAGTGACCGGTCTATATATACCTGCTAGTATCCGCTTTGCCTTGGAGCACCCTACGTTCTCGATTCTCCTCCATTGTCGACCAGCCACAACTCTACCATGCCTCTCATATCCCCATTTCTGGGCCTTTCGCAGGAGCTCCAGGATATGGTCTATCACGAACTGTGGGAGATTACCCCTGCTATCCAGGTCCCGTACCGAATCAGCGGCGAAGAAGATCCAAGACATGGTATATATCGAGAAGGATATCTAAATCGTCGTGTATGGGCGTTGGAGCAACGGGGTTACGATTCGCGCTCTATACGGTTTAGACTCGAGTATGACGCAAGAAGCACAACGGAGATGCAACTACTCCGATTTGGCTTCTTACCTGCAAAGCTATGCTCAACAAAGGTCTCAAACAACTGGTATCCAGAGCAACCTGGCATCTGCACGATCGCTTTGATGTCGTTACCGCGCCCACATTCAAGACTTCCCCGCTGCTAGGCCCAAGTGTCACGGGCAATCTGAGGATTGATACCAACTTTAGTCATGATCGAGAGCCGCCCGAAGCCCAACATCTGTCGCAATACGGCGAGTTTTCTCTGTGGCTGCTGGCGCCCACTCTTGAGAAGCGGGCCGCCAACCTTCGGGTCATACAGCTGGAGTGCGAGTTGGACTTGGCCCAGGCAACGAACTCGGTGCGTGTATTCGATCTCAAGATTTTCGAGCAAGCGCATCTGCAACTTAAGAATCTGGAGAGGCTCGAATTCCTTTTCAATCTATATTGCACGAAAGACCGAGCGGGATCCAGGGATGACGCCTATCGCGATAAGGTCTTGAATGCTCTCGGGGAGGAGATAATTAGAATCGGCGCCTTTGTGACCGACACCGAAGGACGGCTGGACGTCAAAGAACTATGGCCCACGGATTTTTTGCCACCGGAGTGCTACCGCTGGCCGTCCGTGGGAAGGTGGAACCTCACATTTGCGAAAACAAGCGATTAATTGCCATATGGAATAGGCGCAGATAGAAGGGTGCGTTTGCTAGGTTGCGGTGATCGATCATTGTGTCCATCGAACCCGAGGTGGCCGAGTATGAAATTGGGGTGCTCAATCCATCTTCTCCATCCACTCCTTAATCTCTTGAAAATCGTGTGCCCACACTACCTCCCAGTTATCCGCTTTTTGTGCCTCTCTGAGATGAAGACATTGGATCCCCACCCCGATCAAGGAATCCGCCAGCTTCTTCTGCGTACTCGTCATTGGTTCGTCCCGAATGCATATACCCAAATCCGCCGCTATGAGACACTCGAAGTCCGTCCAGCTGTCTCCCACGTACACTACCGGAAGCGGCTTTCCCTTTCGCGAACTGTTTCTGCGCAGTGTTTTGAGGCACACCAGCTTATCGTGGCTTGAGAGGATCCTGAGGTCTCTTCCTGCGCATATTCGACCCGACGACGGCTCGTTACCACTGACGCCTTCCAGTTCGTTCGCGAAGATCGATCTGAGGGGTGTCTGTTCACAGTCGATGTGCGAAGCTTTCAGACAGCCGGCAATGAATCGTTGGCTCCAGTTCACGCTGACGATACTTATCGCGTCTGCATCGTCATTCGGATGCTCGATCCTGGAGTGCACATGTTGCAGAAACTCAACACAGCCCTGTCGCATCTCCACTCGTCCACTTTCAATCGCCGTTGCCGCTCCGTCTTCCAACTGCTTCGCCGTCACCCCCTTGAAGATGCCAGACTCAGCCACGCGGTCTAAGCTTCTTTGCTCTACTTCCTCCAGGATCTTGAGTAGTGTCTTTTCCTCGGATATGGTGGAAGGAAGTTTATCGCGAGGAGTGCGGTTCTTAAGTGTTGCTTCGTAATCGGATAGGTAGGCTTGTGTGACACGTTTCCAGTTTTCGGATATAGGTTCGTTGGGCTTGCATTCTGTCGCAATATTGACGAGCGCGTCGAGTGTGTCCCGCTTGGTGATGGTGCCGTCCCAGTCTAAGACCCAGTGGATGGGGCCTGAAGGGGAAGGGAGCGAAGGGGCCATTGCTTTGGCAGGATGAGTGGAGAAGAGGACATTTGTAATTCGACTAATAAATGGAAGGCTCTTTGGGAGGGCTGAGTCGGTTTTGATACATTGAAAGGAATGGGACTGTCAGTTGCACTCTCCCATGGTTCTCTTTCCGAGCAAAAGGATCGCGCCAATCCTTCTGCTCTTTCAGTTATGACACCTTATATATCCGCTAACATTCTCGCTCCGTAATCATTAGGTCGTTCTGTGCGAGAGGGGGCGACTGTGTTGAAATATTCGCAAGGCTGTAATTAGATGGATCTCTGACCCTCTGCGCGACCCTCTGCGCCGTCCTGCGCTGAGATCTTTGGGATGAATACACACGAATGAAAGCCGGGACGAATCGAAGTGTCATGCTGTGGCGTCGCTTCGCACATGCCGAGATGGTCCGATGGGAGAGCACTGACCGACAGCCACAGGGTTACTTCAGGCGTCGCATGATTGGCCGCACCTAGCTTTGCCCGAGGTCTTGCGCTTCGTTACGTGCACGACATTCGTTCAGTTCGCCATCCCACCCAATTCCACGACAACACGATACAATGGCAGCTACACGCGCCCTCGCTCGCCTGGCTACGACGCGGACGGGTATGTTCACATTTCTGGATCCTCTGCCGCTCAATTGGAGCTCTGCTAACCTTGTCCCCGCAGCCCTCCGTCCTGCCGTCCTCTCACGCGGCTTTGCCTCCGTGACCGACACGCACGCCCGCGACCCTGTCTCCAAGACTGCTGAGAAAATAGTGCCAGACCCAGCTCGCAAGCCTACTCCGGAGAGCAAGACATCGACGGTCAAGGAACCGGAGCCCGCCAAAGATGCGAAGATCAAGTCATTCCACATTTACCGCTGGAACCCGGATGAGCCCACCTCGAAGCCGCGCATGCAGACATACACCCTGGACTTGAACAAGACGGGCCCTATGATGCTGGATGCGCTGATCCGGATCAAGAACGAAATGGACCCTACTTTGACTTTCCGGAGGAGTTGCCGCGAGGGAATTTGCGGGAGCTGTGCAATGAACATTGATGGCGTCAACACGCTGGCTTGCCTTTGTATGTGCACTGAGTGTTTGGTGGCTCTGGACTGAGAAGCTAACGCAGCTTGAACAGGCCGCATCCCCACCGACACCGCCAAGGCATCCCGTATCTACCCTCTCCCGCACATGTTCATTGTCAAGGACCTGGTGCCGGATATGACGCTCTTCTACAAGCAGTACCGTTCAATCAAGCCATATCTCCAGCGCGACACTCCTCCACCGGACGTAAGTCATCATTGACCCCCCGGCCCCTGCGTACGTCAGGCTAACATCGCCCTAGGGTCGCGAATACCGCCAATCAAAGGCGGAGCGCAAGAAGCTCGACGGTCTCTACGAATGCATTCTCTGCGCCTGCTGCTCGACATCCTGCCCGTCGTACTGGTGGAATCAGGAGGAGTACCTCGGCCCGGCTGTCCTCCTCCAATCCTACCGCTGGATAGCCGACTCGCGAGATGAAAAGAAAGCTGAGCGCCAGGATGCGCTGAACAACAGCATGAGCTTGTACCGATGCCACACTATCCTCAACTGTTCGAGGACGTGCCCGAAGGGGTTGAACCCAGCGCTTGCGATTGCTGAGATTAAGAAGAGCATGGCTTTCACATGAGGATCTTGACAAGCTTTTGATGGAATTCGGAAGACATTGAGGACTGGATAAAGCGTGCTATAGCTGGTTTTGCCATTTCTTGTGTACATGTGTGTGAAGTCGCTGGTCGCTGTTCCAGAGTATGCAACTGTACTTGTGAAGTCTGTACGCGACTACCAGAATGAAAATTCCTTTGGTTTAAATAACATCTGTCCGAGTAATCCACGCAAGTCCAAAATACTGTGACAAACTTCCCTTTTCCTAGGGGAATGGTCCTTTCCATGCAGACCACCATACGACAGCACTGCCTTTGATATAAAGATTTTCTTGTAGAGGAGGCTCAATGCACATTTAGACAGCTGTTGACGACCTCCCACGGATGCCAGTGTCGATATCTGGACGGAGGTAAGGATACTATTGCCGACCCCGCGCTAAGCCTAATAGGAGAAATATCGAGCTTCATCCCAAAATTTCAGAGCTGCCACCACGCTTCACGCCTCACAACCACCACGCACTATGGAGTTGGCCGCCGAACAAAAGGTGCCTATACGGCTGAGCACACGCGATCCTAGTATCCAGATCGCAGAAGAGACGGGTGTCTTACTCGTCCAAACCTGTAAGCTCACACTCTGGCTGCGACCAGCAGCATCGAGCCCCCAGCGCAACGCTCCACTGCCTCTGTGGATAATACAGACTGACCATCTTCCCAGCCCTCAATCGCCTGAAGCTCTCGGCACTCGTCAACGACCTGCTGCACAAGGATGAGCGCCGGATTCCGTTCGATATCCTCATCAATGGCAAATTCCTTCGCGCGACCATCGACGAGTTCCTGACGCAGAATGGGATCTCGCCCGAGACGACGCTGGATGTGGAGTACACGCGGGCGCTAGTGCCGCCGCTGAACGTCAGGAGCTTCGAGCATGACGACTGGGTGTCCGCGGTGGACGTGCTGTCGCAATCGTCGGCGGCTGGAGTATGGTCAGGGGCCGTACAGAGTGGCCAGGAGCGGATATTAAGCGCAAGCTATGATGGCTTGCTACGGGTCTGGGACATGTCAGAGAATGTCTTGGCCACGTCGCAACCCCCCAACAATGGAGGAAGGATAACCAGCTTGAAGACGGCGAAGTGGATATGGGACAAAAAGATCGTGGCTGCGGGGTTGGATAGTACTGTGAGGGTCTTCAAGTACGACGACGACACGCGCACAATTACCCAGGCTCTCGAGCTGTACAACCACCGCTGGGGCGTCGAAGATATCGCTGTCCACGGGCCTTCGAATCGCATTCTCTCCGCTTCTTCGGACACCACCATTTCGCTCTTCTCGGCCAATGCGAAGGACAACCCCGCGGCGCCCTCGAACCTGCTCCCGAACTCCACGGCGGCATCGAACAAGCGCCTGAAGACGTCGAGATCCGAGCGAACGGTTCCTGCGCGTGGCGCCTTGACTACGCTGACCGGCCACTCGTCCCCAGTCTCCAGCGTCATCTTCAAGCCAGACGACGCTACGGTCGCTTATTCCACATCACACGACCATACACTGAGGACATGGGATCTTCCTACGTCTACGTGCGTGGACACGCGAACAACGGGCCACTCGCTACTCTCCCTCGCGGCTATGCCGAAATTAAATCTGCTGGCCACCGGAACGTCAGCAAGGCACATCACGCTCATCGATCCGAGGGCTTCCGCAACCCAGATCGCCGTCATGACGCTCCGGGGCCACAAGAATGCCGTCGTGTCGCTGGATGTGGATCCTAGCACCGAGTACAACCTCCTCTCCGGCTCACATGACGGCACGGCGCAGATCTGGGATGTTCGGAATGTGAGACCGTCAACAGTGGTAGGAGAAGGGCAAGCAGGGGAGAGTGTCTATACGATCTTCCGACAAGGCGCTCCGCATTCGCACGGCCATGGAGAGGGGCTGAAGGTCTTTAGCGTGCGGTGGGATAGCGAGGTGGGGATATTGAGTGCTGGGGAGGATAAGAGGGTGCAGATCAATCGGGCGATAGGGGCGTAGTGAGAACCAGGGAGCCTGGAGTAGCTCAAGAGTTGAGAGAGTCTAGCTCGCTCATCTTGGGAATTGGGTAGATATTGAGGCTGTGGAATGACAGCATGGCTTTGGCGTTTGGGTGTGCGCTGGGTAGATACCACTAGTCATGGAAAAGTATTGCATCTTATCCTTTGACGCCCGTCAAACTGCCGTGCGCGTATGATATGTCACATTTGCCCCCTGCAATTGCCAGCCAGCCAAATCTGACTCACAGCAAACGTATTGTCCTTCCAAACTCCTTTTTGCTCCGCGCATATGCTAGTAAGAAAAGGGTATCATATCATATCCATCATCATAAATCCTTCCTCTACTCTCCTGTTCCGGTCCTATTTTCTCCCATCAACCCCATGCGATATCTATTCACACCAAATGCCCCGGCAGCAAGAAATTCGCAACCCCCTCCATGACCTTGTACTCGTGCCCGCAGTTCCCGCACACCAGCTTGCCCTCCTTGATACACGTCTCCAGCAGCACGCGGTGCAGATCGCGGGCCGTCTGGCTTGGTTTTTCTTCTGCCTGCTGCTGTCCTTCCGCTGCGTTCCCAGCGTTCTGTGCATGAGAAATGGTGGTGGTAGAGGAGGAGGACGGTTCGACCAGGTCGTCGCGCGTAGGCGGCGTGGAGGGAAGGGCTGGTAATCCTAGCTACGCGTTGAGTGGAGGGTTAGCACATGCATCACTACAATATATACCCAACACAACAAACCCGAAACCAGGAGCAGAAAATAGCTTACCTCATCCGCAATCACACGCAGCTCATCCCACATCAGGCGCGGCAGGATGTTTTTGAGGAACGGCAGGTTGACGCTCTCGGACTCGACGACTTCGAGCTCGCAGTCGCGCGGGTGCAGTGGGAAGGACGCAGGGGATGTTTTGCACGTTTTTATGGCGCAGGTGAGGAAGTTGAGGGTGAGGAGTTTCATTGTTGCGGTGGGTGGAGGGTTTCGGCAGGGAAGCGAGGGTTTGTAGGGGGGAGAGGTGTGGAGGGAAAGAGAGAGTAGAAGTGCAGGACGTTGAGCAAGTGAGGCAGTGGGTAATGTAGAGAGCGAAATGTTATGGACTGGGAAGAAGAAGAAGCTTGAGGTGGGATGGGAGAAATTTTTGGTGGGGTAAGGAGGAACCTTGGAAGCTAGCATGCGGCTCAAAAATAAGCTTCTTTTCCTGGACAAGGCCATAACTGCCTGGGTAGTGATTAACGAGTGGGAACGCCTATACCTGACGTTCCTAGGGTAATCTTATGGATAAATGATATAGATAGAAGTGACCCCAAAGTGATCGCAGGAAGCATCCTCGACTTCGGCGCCTTGAAGAATTTCCCAAAAACCATGCACCAGAACGTGTTATCCATAGACTGCAATGTAATGACCCCGCCAGCGCCACGCTCGCATATAAGAAGAAACAAAAAGCAAAATCTCTCGACCGTCGAACCGAGGCCGTCAAATCGTAGAAGAGAATGGACCCAAGGAAGGCAGAAAAGCCGAGACGGTGGAGCCCATGCCTCACTTGAAGAGAACATCGATCGAGTCCATGTCTTCAATTTCCGCGTCAGCAATGGTATCCATAGGAGGGAGCCTGTCGCCGTCGAACATCAGGGTAATGGGCTGCTCAGGCGGGACGCCGCGATTCTGTTTGAAGACCGAGGCAAGGTGGCCGAATTCAGTTTCCTGCGCACGATGTTAGCGTCGCGTTTGCAAAGTTGAGGGAATGCATCGCGTACCTGCTTGACGATGATCTTGAAGTCCTCCCTGCCCTTGGTCTTCATGATCACTCGGATCTTCTTGACCTGAGGCTCGGGCGCCGGCTCGGGCGAAGGCTCCTTAACCAGCGGTGGAGGCTCGGCTGCTCTCTTCTTCGCTGCGGCTGCTTCTGCCTCCTCCTTCTTCCATTGCTGGTACACCTCCTCCGTCCAAGCATCCAGATGTACCTTGGGCAAATTGACGTCGTCGTAGATGTTGGTGTCCCCGTCTACGCTCACACACCCATTCGCGTCGACATGAACGCCCAGCCGCTGGATCGTCGTAGTGTCGTAGACCCTGTTGCCTTTCCAAGTCATGAAGACATCCTTCGTCTTTTCGGACGAGAAACCCTGCTTTGCGCACCACGCATCCTTCGGTTTCTCGATCGTAGTGTCCGTCCTAACCTTGACAAGCAAAGGCTTTGTGTCAGGGATCTCGGACGTGATGAACAGCTGCACGATTGCAGTCTTGGGCTTGCGGGCAGCCGGTGTGGATGCAGACACCTGGGTCTGTCTTGCAGCTCTCTCAGCGGCCCTGGCTCGCGCCTGAGCTTTGAGCTTAGCTAGCGAGGGGTCTTCCACCTCTTCGATTTCTTCGGAAGACGCCCGTTTCGCGGTGTGAATGGGTATGCATGGTTTTGTGGGAGTCGGCGATGCCTTCCACGGATCCTCGTCATCCGTGTCCCCAAGGTCTATTATGTTCAACGCTTTCTGGGGTATCGAAGCGTTGCTCGAGGATTTCGTGAGGGAATCGTAGCGGGTGGAGAGTGTGTCCGTGGGCGGCGGCTGTTTGGGAATGGGCGAGAGCGGTGTCTTGCTGCGTCTGAGGTCGAGTCAGTCGAATCTTGCGGTACGCGGATAACAGTGAGATATCGTACCCTTTATTTCCCACCCTACTTGCATGCGCTGAGCTTCCGGATGCGCTAGGCAGCTTCGGTTCATCCAGCTCAGTCGATACCTTTCGTCTTTTCCTTTCTCGCTCTTGGTCTGCTTTGTGCTTCCGGGCCTCTTCGAGCTTGCGCCTCTCCTCGAGCTTGCGCTTTGTCTCCTCGGCCACAATGTCTTTGAAGTCGTTTGAGTGGCTGAACATGTCCCGCTCGGCTTCCCCTCCGGCTTGCGCCTGCTCCTGCTTGCGCTGCCATGCTGATTTCTTGAACAGTGATTTTTTCTTGGGCGGCGCTTCAGAGCCGGGATTGGCATCTGTCATCGTGAATCCATGTAAGTCGAACGAGAGACCTAGGGTAGCTAAGACACGGAGCAGCGTGTAGGGCTGAGATGCCGGGAGGGGAAGCCTACGCGCGATCACGCTTCTCGCGATTGGAAAGGTCTGTGGCCCGTGCGTCGAACGCTGCTTGCCTTTACCTTGCCGATTCCAGGTCAAGGTAAAGGCACCACAGCAGCCTCGATCTCTCCGGTGACAACCCTCGAGTCGTCAAATCCAGTCCCCCATCACCTTTGAACACTCTCAAGGCTCGTAAGGGAAAGTCTCCAACCATCGACGCCGCATTCATCCAAATGTCGACCAACGGCGAGAGTCCGGAAGCGGAGGTCCAGGCCGATTCCAGGGATCCAAGCGGCTTCCTGAGCGAAATCATCGGCGCCCCGGTCACTGTCAAGTTGAACTCGGGCATTATCTACAAAGGTGCGTGCGTCCAGTACTGTTCTTTGTTGCTGTATTCCATCTCTGTCGCACTGTTTTCTCATGCAGCATCTTCCTGTCTGTCCGGATTGCTCCTTCCCATTCTCTCTACAGTACTTGAACATCAACCTCTCACTGCTAAACTTAACGCTAATGTGTCCGTCAGGTGACCTGCAATCCGTCGACGGCTACATGAACATCGCCCTCGAGCGTTGTAAGGAGGTAGCAGACGGGAAGGTGGTCCGCAACTGGGGAGATGCTTTCGTTCGCGGCAACAACGGTATGCTTCAAGCCACTTCGTATCATGTTCCCCTTGCGGATGCTAACCCTTGGGCAGTCACATACATCAGCGCCGACAAAGCGTAAATGTCACTGTTCAGGATGGACTGGGGACGCTTTAAAGAGGGAGGCCTAGGAGGGTCACGAACCTGACAGGCGTGGACGCCACCAGGAATGAGGAGTATCTTTCATATATAGCAGGGTCGTCCACCAGCCCAGCTCTTATAGAGAAGTTGAAGAAAGTGTAGAAAGTTCTTTGAATGCTTTCCTAAGGTGTTGCCTGTAGGGAAGAGGTGGTCTGTCTGCCATAGAAGATGTGCTGTTCCCAACGACATGCGAAGCTGAACCCCTCTTCCGTTTCCCTTTCACTGACATCTAAATGGTTCTTCACTTCAACCCTCTCTCGTCACATTGCTACGTCATCCAACTTCTCCAATGCTTCTCTTCAGTTCTTCACCTTCGTCTCCCTCCTCCCTCAGCTTCCTCTGCTCGTTCGGTACGCTCTTCTACCTCATATCATACTCTCGCCGCTTCGCCACGGTTGGTCGCAACTCTACCTTCTGCTTCCTCTGCGTACTCTTCGATATCATACTCTGGCCGCTTCGTCTCAGTCGCCTGTGGACCAACCTCTCTCCGTTTCTAAAGCGACGACGACAACCAAGTCAACACTTCCCACCAATCCATCCAATTCACCTCCGATCCCAATCTCAATCTCCCTCTCAAATCCGCAGCCATGGTCGCCATCAAGTCCCACCGCCCGCGCGTCCACTTCCCCAACTGCAAGAAGACGACGAAGACCAAAGCACCAACTCCAACACAACAGACCCCTCCCGCCTCCGCCGCCTCCGAAGAAGAAGAAGGAGAAGACGACACCAACTCACCCCCGGCCTCTCTCCTGACCGAAATCCAAGACCTCCCTCCCATCATCACCAACTCCGCCTCCGCTCAGCATCCCAAGGGACCCCAGGATGAGCAGCACGCCCAGCACAAGCGCGCTTCCTCGTTCCCCCCAGCCTTCCAGAAGCTCGTGACGCTCTTCGCCGGCCGCCGCAAGTCCTCCACCGCCGCCGCCGCCGCCGCTACTGCAGAGAAGGAGAAGAAGAAGCACATCCGGCGCAACACAGCGCCGCAGCCGTCCACAGAACCACTGCCCTCCACCTCCACCTCCACCGTCCAGCAGCAGCGCCCGCGCCCAGCAAGCCAGCACTCCCTCGCCCTGCAACCCGCCAGCACGCCACCAGCGCCGGCGCTCCACCAGGCGCAGCCTCCCGCTCCCCGACCGATGCAGCCCTACATCGACATCCCCGCCGCGCCCGCGCACCCGCTCACCGGCCACGCGGCCGTGGCGCCAGACGCCCACCCGCCGACCGTCGTGCAGCGCGGGTTCGAGGTCCCTGGCAGTCCGCCGCTGCCGCGGCGCCGGGCGCAGCAGACGTCGGTGCTGGATCGCGCGGGGGATGCGTGGGCGGGGTATTATGCGAACCGGACGGCGGTGGCGGCGGGGCCGTTTAGGTGGTGAGCGAGGAGAGGGAGGAGAGGGAGGGGGGAGGGCAAGGTGATGATGATGGGGGGAGGGTGGATGGAGTAGAGAGGGGAGGATGGAGTAGGATAGGGATAGGTAGCTGAGGGAGTTCGGGGTGGGTAATACAGACGGCGTTTCTATGTGCTATTGAAGATGAAACTTAATCGCGTGCTGCATCTCAAGTGATATGCTTGCCCTAGTAATCGGCATCCCAGAGACCTCCGGCGGTCTATACACTTCTACAGGGGCATCCACGAAACCAGCCAGACTCATTAAGGCATGCATATCACAAAATCTAAGCGTCATTTTCAAGACCGCGGCAAGGCAAGTATAAGGAAGATTTCCACGAATTCCGCTCTTTCATCGAGCCTACTATAGTATACAAGTCCTATCCCAAGCATCGTCGCGATGCAAATGCCTAGCCTAATCCATGCAGAAATTACGGTCCAGGATGTGACGCCACCCATGCAAAACCCGCCCAGAAGGCCCTTCACCCAGTTTTCAGAAGCCCTAGAAGAAGAAGCCGTCGCAAAAAGGAGGAAAAGGGGAATCATAAGAAGGCAACGCCTGGTAGTGGGACTAAGGAACCCTGAAAAGGCCGCCAAGGGGCCTGACCAAAACTCCGTCAGTCAGAGGGTAAGGAAATGTGAGTAAGGAAATCAGATCAGACCTCCTCCGGGAGGATCCGGGCGAAATGCTTCTCCCAGATCCAGCCCACGGTGCGGGTCGGATCGTCTTGGTTGCGTGCAAGCCAGAGCTCGCCCTTCATGCCGATGACGTCGAAGATCTCGCCGGGCACGTAGACAAGGTACGGAATGCCACCCTCGCGACGATCGTGCGCGATATTGAACTCGAACAGACTAGCAGCCAGGAAGAGAACCTCGGGCTCGTCCATCTCGCCAGGAGTCGCAGGGAGCTCAGTGTCAGCAACAGGCCTGGATGGGGAGTCGGACATGGGCAGGGCCGAGTTGAAGACGCCGGACACGCGGGATGAGCCAGGGTTTGAGCCAGAGGGGGCGGGGTTGAGGAACGAGGCACCGATGCTGGGGGGAACGGCATAGGGGTCCTCGATGGTGCCGTCGAGGTTGGTCCAGGCGGGACGGCGAGCTTGAGTAATAGTTGCCTCACTGGTCTCGGAACGCGGGCTGATTGCGCCACCACCACGCTCGCGGAAGTTAGAAGGACCGGGATACGGAGCAGCAGGCGAAGAGCGAGGCGGTCCCTCGAACGAGGTCATGCCAGATCGGGTGCTGCCATAGCCGCCGCTGTTGCGGTTCCTATTGTTGATCATGGACATTTCGCTGCTGACGGACTCGGTACGGCGGGAGGACGACTTCCGAGACGAGCCGTCGTCCGAATAGAAGGTGGGTACCGGCGAGGTGAAGTTAGCCGCATTATTGAGCAGCTCATGGTTGACGATGGCGAGGCTGTTGGCGCGATCTTCCATCTGACGCCAGTCAGACCTAAAACGGTCGACATAGGTCTTGTAGTCATAAGTGATGGAAGTGGTATGCTGCGGCTCGCTCTCGAGAAGCGGAAGAATCTTCTTAGAGCAAGTCTTGTACCAATCCTTCTGAATGTACAGAAAGATGAGTTGGCACGTGCGGATGCACTTCTTGGTAAGCTCGTACAGCTGGGGCAGCTCCTGCTTGAGGGCGTCGTTGACGGTGAGGAAGTCGCTAGCAGCTTCCTCAAGCCCTGCGCTGACCTTCTCCTTACGCTCAAGTGCGCGCTTATATTCGGCGTATTTGACGAGAGCCTTCTTGCGCTCCTCCATCAGCTTCTGTGGACCGACCCATTGGTCCCAGACTTGGCTAATCGGCTTCATGACGCGGTCACGCACAGCGGTTTTCTGTCGGTATTGTTAGGATAAGGCAACGGTACACGGACAAAACACTTACATGTTCATCTAGAGCCTTGTTCTGCAGCTCGAGGTAACCCATCGCCCAACGTCGCCACGTGCTCTCCATCTCGGGATTAGCAGACGGTCCGACCTCGGACATGGTAACGAAGGCCAGCATGACGATGTTAAGCTGTAGCATCTGGTCGGTGATGGAGTCAAGGTAATTGTCGAAGTCGCGAATGACGATCTGAATCTGGAAGAAGTGGCCGCCGAACTTCTGCGTGACCGAGTTGTACTCCTGATCCTCGAAGATGGTAGCGGCCTCCTGTAGCTGCTTGGCCCGGTCTTTGTTGGAGATGAGAGCCTTGACGATTGACTTGCCGAATCGACCCTTGTTCTTCTGCTTCTTTCCCTCCGAGGTCGCCGCTCGAAGTGTCTCCTGGCGCTTCTTCGCCATATTGATGCGCTCGCCGATCTGCTTGATGCCGTCGTAAGCAGCCTTGAGCTGCGGCAGGTCCGGGTGGTCGGGGTCCGTAGCATCTAGCAACTGCTCTAGAAGCATGTGGTATTTGAGCATCCGCTGGCATGGCTTGACGAGAAGAGAATCGAGGTCCCAAGCATTCGTAAGCCCAGCGGAGTGCTGGAAGCATGCCAAGACCCAGCCAAGGAGCTCTGCGTTGTTTGAGTGCTTCTTGATGAAGTTGGTCGCATCCTCGTGATTGAGGTAGTATGTGGTATACAATCGCTCCATCCTAGGCGTGGCGCGCAACATCACCGCACCGATGTCCACATTGCGGTCGTTGTCCGGAGTGCAATTAATGAACTCGTCGTACGGCTGGTCGTCGATTTGCTTCGCCTGGTTGACGATGGGCTTGATAGCATCTTTCAGCGACTGCCAGAGGGCGTGCGAGAACTTCTCGAGGTCTTTGCAATTGCTGAAGAGCGTGCGACGGTCCTTGTCCTCCATGACCTCGCCCGCGGTGAGCTCGAAGATGTTGTGGGCAACCATCATGTCGATGCAGAAGCTATGCTCGGTCTTGGTGAGCTCCTCGATGACGCGATAGCGCTTGCGAAGCCCGGCCGTCGTAGGGTCGAGCTGCTGGTTGCCGTTAACCTCTGCGACAGACTGCTTCTCCGCAGGCCGCGCTTCTGCAGCGTCTTCCCTCCGCAGCTTGGAGAGGACCTGACCCATGTCTGTGGCCTCCTCCTGGGTGTTATTGCGGCTTAGGACGTGCGGCCTCGGCGGCGGCGGGGGTGAGTACGCAGGCTTTGGCGGCGGGGGCTGTTGCTGCTGTTGTATTTCGTCTGCCTGCTGCTGGTGGTGCTGCTGCTGGTGATGGTGCACGTGTAGGCTGCTTTGCAGGGACAGACCGAGACCTTCGCCGGCGCCAGCTATCTCGGGCAGGTGGTTCGCGGGTGAATTCGACCAGTCCTTTGGCGGAGGGTGAGGAGCGAGAGCCAGCGGCAGAGGCGCGTTGCCGTGGAGCTGGTCACGTGCCAGGGGTCCGGAAGAACTGTCGGGCCGGCTTGGGCCCTCCCAGATGGTGGTCGTCGTCGAGCCGCCAGAGCCGCGCGAGTACCGCCGCGATTCGGGAGGGAATATGATCGCCGTCCCGCCCACGATAGGCTCCTCGGGGTCCTCGGCCAGGTCGCGGATGCTCAGCGCAGGCACGCTTTGGCTGGCCGGGCCGCTGGGCTGCTCCGTTGCAGCTGATGCCTCATCGTCCCTCCTCTCCTCGCTGCCAGCTGCATCGCTGAGCAGCCTCGCAAGATATGTCTCGGTGGCCTCCTTGGATCCCCAGTCTTTGTGCTGGGCGATGATGGGGGAGACGCTCTGGACCTGCTCCCGCGAGTCGTGCGCCATCTCGGGCGTGATCATGTCCGACCCGTGGTACATGTTCAAGACCTTGTTGATGACACTGTAGGCCTCGCTATCCAGCGTGAAGGAACCCGCCTCTGGTACGTTGCCCATCTTCGGCGTCCAGTGAGGGGACCGCTGGCCGGTTTGGCGGTAGAAGGCCACGCTAGCAGAGTCATCGGGCCGGAGCGAGTCTCGGTGCGCAAAAGGGTCAATGGGGGAATCGTCCTCTTCCAGATAGGATATCGTTCCAGTTGAGTCCAGCGGTTCAGCGCGCCACCTGTGAGCACCTATGCTCAGCCGCGGTGAGTGTCGTGAGCGCGTCGCCACCGCGTTCCATCCTGCATGTGGCCCATCAGAGCCGAGCATGATCGGAATAGATTCTCTCAGCCCGAATTCTGACTGCACTTCCTGTGCGCCCTCCTCATGTGAAATCTCTGGTATCTGCTCTTTGCTCGGCGGACAGAATGCACGTGCCGGCAGGAATTCTCCTTCGGGTGCCAGGACCGGCGGGGGCTGAGCCTTTTGCTGCTCTTCATGCTTAGATATTGCTGGCGGGGTATGCTGGACAATCGGAGGCGTCATCATGAAGCTCCCAGGCATTCCTAGCACGGGAGATTCGTCGTACTCAAAGTCGGTCGTGGATGATGTCGGCTGCGCAGGCGGCTGCACCTGCAAACCCTGCGTGTGGAGGCTTAATGATTGCGAATGCATCGGCGCAACACTCGAGTCCTGGCCATTCGAAACCGGCTGCTGCGGTGTTGATAACCTATCGGGGCCATCGGCGAGTCCACTGGCGTTCTCGGTGGCGGAATAGGCATCGTGGATGAGGAGTCCTCCATCTGCGTGCTCCGACTCGGTCATCTGCGGCTGCTGCACGGTCGAGGCAGTATCATTTCCGAAATAATCCTGTCCAGAAGCATGGGCGTCGGCACTCCTGGAGCCGGGGGATTCCTGCAGTGTTTGCCGCTCTCGAGAATTTCGAAGACGAGGTGAGGTGGGTGGAAGCGGGGCGGAGATGACGGCTGGAACACTAGGCCCGCTATTGGGACCCGGTGCAGGCTTTCCGCGCTCGCGATATCCACGGTAGCTTCCCGCCGGCAACGTTGGCTGAGCCACTGGTTTCGACTTCTTTGGAGACGAGCCCGCTCTTCCGGCGGGGGCTCCCCGTTGACGGGTAGGCGACAGCCTGTTATACCCACCGACCGGACGCGCACTACCGAATCTTAGCGATCGGGTTGAGGAACTCGAGTCTGACGCTGCGCTCATGCGTCGCGTCGCTACGGGAATCCTCGACGGTGGGGAGCGCCTCCGCGGTGTACGGTTCTCGGTAGCCTGTGACTGTTGCGACCCCGAAGTCATCTCGCTAGCAGGCCTCTGGTGACGTGCCTGCCCTGGTTGAGCATGAGACCCCTCAGGCAGCAGCTGTGACTCCTCTGTCACGATCTTGATGGTTGAAGTCTCGGCTGGGTGCGAGGTTGAGTTGGGCTCCTCCAGTGCAGACTCAAGAGTTGGTATTCCGTAACCTGGGCTGGATGCATTATGCTCTCCTACCACTTCACCAAAGAAGGGCTGGCGGGCAGTCCCTCGAGTGGGTGAAGACAGCTTCCTCCGGGCAGGCGGTGTTTGCTTATCAACGCTTGTCCGACCGCCGTTAGCGCGACGTACGCCTGCTGGAGATGGCGGGGCAGGCTGAGGCCTTTCACGGGGCTTCAGGTTGTTGAATTTGTACGCGCCATACGAAGCTTCCTTGGCCGGCCGAGCGGGCGACGAGGCTGATGCTTGTGACGCCGGTGAATCCACCATCGATCTTGTATGCGTCGATCTCGCTTGCGTCGAGGGTCGCACCGGTCGAGCGCGCGGAGCTGAGGGGGAGGACTCAGCAGAGGAGGGTTGGTTGAATTTCTGGGCGAGACTCCTCACTGTCGGACGGTTGCCCGGTAGCTGGGGCGTTGCTCGCGGTGCGGTGGAGGTCGCGGGGCCGGATACGGAGCGAATTGAGGGTTTTGGCGTGGAGCGCGGTGCTCCGTTCGACGTCTGTTGGCGCTGGCGTGTGGTCGTCATGTCGTCTGGAAGCGGTGACGATTCTAAGGCGGTGGGCGGCGTGAAGGGCGACTTGTAGAAGTCATCAGGGGACCGCTCTGTGACTTCATCAGAGGCGCCGTCGAGCTGTGCCAACGCGGTCGACTGCACCCAGCTGGCGACGCTGGGGTGATATGCAAAGTTATGCATTGTGGTATGCTCTGGCTCCGCCATTCTTCACCCCTACCGGACCATGGTCCTGTTTGCGAGAGGGCTCGAAGCGGCGGCGCGAATCAAGGCAGCGAGCAGAGTACACGGGAGAAGGTAGGCCAATCAGGCTGTGGCGGTGGAGGCGGGCCTGCGAGAGCTTGAGCACACTCAAGGCGAGGCGGCAAGGGTAGCGGAGGGACAACTCACACCGTGAAGCCTTCAATCAACCCGTGGGCGGGCCAATAACGTGGGGAGGCGGCTGGTGGCCCAAGTTTGCGACCCGGGGCTGCTGTTTCAGGCTGAACTGCTTCACGCGCAACACGGGAGTACGAGAGGGCGAGCAGCCAGCGCAACACCAGACGGGGTGCACAAGAGGCGTCGGGCCGGGAGGCGAGCGCTGTTCGCGGGGTGTAGGGGAGGAGAGGAGGTGGGTGACAGTAAGCGTGGGAGATGGCCCGGTCGAGGTGAGAAGAGTGGGTTGCTGATCTACGGGAGCACGGGAGAGTGAACGAGAGCCCACCGCCGCGGTGCACCGGCCAAGTGTCGCTCGTCGCCGTTGCTACCGACCGCCGCGTCATTGGCTGGGCCCAGCTTCCAGAAGAAACGGCACTGTGCACGCTCTCCCGCGATGCATATTGAGATGCGACGGGCGCCGAAAAGTGTTGAGAAATGAGCACTGTTGGATACACCCCATCCTCGTGTCTGCTAGCAACGGGTCTGAACTGACTGCTCTCATTATCGCTGCCCTCTAACGGCGACGCGGAGCCAGTTCCTGATCCACTGTTTGCTGCGACCAAAGTATCATTTTCTCCGTTTCCTAGCCCAGCCACGCCCGAATATTGACTGGACGTCAGTGTCATGTCAGTGCCGCAACGGCGCCGAAGCCCAATCGCGGCGACGGCTCCACCAATTTGAGCGCAACGGCGCAAATTCGGACGCCCCTTATCGTGTTCCCATGCTACTGTACGAGCCAGACCTTAAATTTGCAGTGTCACAGCCCTGCGACGGATAGAAGGCTCTCACGGGATTTATTGAACGCGTCGATCAATTTCGCACCCCTGGCGTGCTGCTGCATTGGGCAAGTAGCCTAGAACACAACACCAAACGCAGCGCCTCCGACTATCAAGCCGAGATATTGCTCTACGCCTGCCATTTGGCCTCACTGCGCCGGCCTCAGGCATTGCACGTCGCATCGATGCACGCTCGCCGGCATGAAGAGAAAACGCAGTGCCCACGCTGGCGGCAGACCCCCCAAGAGGGCCAGGGATGCCGACCAATCTGCCATCGCCACGGCTGCTGGCATTGAGCATCCCGTGCTGGGACGGCTCTACCCCGAGGTCTCGTCGTTGCGCCACTATTTGTTGTCACGGCTTCCTTCCTCCTCCAAGAACCGAAGACGGAAAATATCTCAATTGGGACTGCCACCGCACGGGCAAGATGCAGGTGCAACGCGTTCCGTCGACCTTGAGCTGGCGCAGCTGCTAGACTCCACCCTGGTTGGCGTCCCGCCCACTGCCAACGCGCCGAACCGAGAGGAAGCGGCGGAGGAGCGGGCCAGAGACATCGAGAGCTTCTCCCAACAGCTTCCTGCAGGGACTACAGCCAGCACATTCAAGCCGGGGTATTTTCTGCAGTCTGAGGTGAGCCATCCCCCCGACATGTGCTCAGTGCAACGCTTCTGTGCATAAAGTCATGTTGCTCGAATCCAGCCTGGAGCGCTGTTACTAAAAGGGACAGATTGTCGACTTTGTGGTCTGGCGTCTTTTCCGGAAATCGACCTCCCACAAGCCCTCGCATCTGCTCTGTCACGGCTTCCAGCGGTCAGCTGCCCACGGCCAAAATGGAATCAACCAAACCGCCCACTCCATTCCCGGACTGGTCTCCTACTACAGGAATACGTACGTCGAAACCGTTAAAGGACCGCTATGGTGTCGACTGCACGCGCTTCTGGGCCAAGGAGGTGACCGCATCATGATGGACATGCTCCTGGACTGCGCCATATTTTCCTCCGTAGGACACTCGGGCAACTACTTTCAGCTGAGCGGCGTGCCAGCCTCGGAGCTGAAGCTAGGCTCCATATTGAACAATCCCCAGGCGGTAGTCGCTGCAGACAATAGTACCAGCAAGAAGCCCACCAACCTGGTGAGCGAGAATCGGAAGCCGAACGCCATCACTTTTGTCCGGAGTCGCATGCTGTACGCGCGGGCGGCCCTTAACGCTAAAGGAGGAGTCCGCTTCGGGATGCGCCATATTCGTACGTCTGTGGGCTTTCAGCGGGAGCAGGATGCTAATGAGATGGTTAGATGTGCTGAATCGGTTCCCAGATCTAGAAGACCCTCACCAGACTGTGCATATAATGCGGCACGTCTTCCCTCGCCAATTTGGGCTGCACAACGTCTTCACGTCAAAGGTGGATACGCGAGAGACCGCCATGTCGTTCAAAGACTACACCTTGCGCGAGAAGGAAATCCATCAGTCAATGTGCCGAGAGCTGTCCGACAACGTCGGGTCGGAAGAGCATGTCCTCAAGTGGAAGTCGCATATCCCAAAGCGACTCCGCGGCGACACGGTTGCGCTGGTCAACAAGCTCCGCAGACTCAACCAGAGGTGCTCGTACATGGAGTTACTGCGGCATTATTGCCCCGTCAAGGTAACTGCTAACCGTCACACTCTCCAACTTGCAGCAAAGCTGACATGTGAAGGGCCTGCATTTATCCTCCAGACCGGAGTGGAGGAAACACCCACTTCAGCCGAGCGGAACGGTTCCCGTAGCTGCAGAGTCAGCGCATGGCGATAAGGAGATCGATCCTTCCATATCCAGGCATCGAACGGTTGAACAAACATGTTTCACAGATATGGCCTGTCCCACGGCGCATGTGTCGGCATTTTGTCGAGCTGTAATAGCTAAGGTGATCCCCAACGGATTCTGGGGTGACGAGCACAACAAGCGCATAATCATGTCCTGGATAGATCAGTTCATCCAGCTCCGGAGGTTTGAGACCCTTAGCCTGCACCAAGTGACGCAGAAGCTCCAGGTAAGGCGTACCTTACATGCCAGCCCACTTTGATGTTTACTCTCCTGCAGATTGTGCATTTATCCTGGCTCCGAGCACCCGGTCAACACGCCACCACAAAGATGGCCAAGTCCGATTTCGAGAAACGTCAGGAGATTGTTCTGGAACTGGTTTACTGGGTGTTCGATTCATTTCTGGTACCCCTGGTTCGTTCCAATTTCCACGTGACAGAATCCAACGTCCACCGCAACCGCCTCTTCTACTTTCGCCACGATGTGTGGCGCATGCTCACAGAGCCGTCGTTGTCGACCCTCAGACTAAGCATGTTCGAGGAAATGCCGACAGAGCGTGCGACTAAGCTGTTGTCCTTGCGTCCACTGGGGTTCAGCAAGATCCGCCTGCTCCCAAAGCGCACCGGAGTGAGACTGATCACGAATCTCAAACGGAGACAGCAAGTGATGCGCAATGGCACCATGGTACTAGGTCGAAGTATCAATGCTGTCGTCGCGCCAGTATTCAATGTTATTACCTACGAGAAGGTGAGTACCCATTCTGAGGGTTTCAGATGTCAATTAAACAGCGCAGTCACTGCATCCCGAGAGATTTGGCTGCTCGCTCTTTTCCGTCGGCGACATGTACCCCAGATTGGACGCGTTCAAGCAGTCGTTGCGACAGCACGGCCTCGCAAACTGTCCGCTCTACTTTGCAAAAGTGGACGTGCAATCCTGCTTCGATACCATTCCCCAGAAGCGTTTACTGACCATGATCGAAAGCCTCTTGTCTATGGACGAGTACCAGTCTGGTAAGCACGTGCAGATCAGGCCTCTGGGCCAATTGCAGCGACTTGATGGCCAGTACGTGGACCCGAGGCCGCTCAAGCGCTATGTTGCACATAGCGGAGCTGGCGGTAATAAGGATTCCTTTGAGCGCCTCGTGCGCGACAAATTCGCCGGCACAAAGGCGAACACTGTGTTTGTAAACACCGCTGCGCAGCATTTCGAGACAAAGGACGATCTGATGCAGCTATTGCGAGAGCACGTTGAACGCAATCTCGTCAAGATCGGAAAGAGATTCTACCGCCAGAAGACGGGCATTCCGCAGGGCTCGGTCCTCTCGACCATCCTGTGCAATTTCTTCTATGCCGAGCTCGAGCGGGACGTGTTAAGCTTTGCGCTTGGCAACGACTCGCTGCTGCTTCGATTGCTTGACGATTTCTGCTTGATCACGACCAACCGCGGGCATGCTGAGCGCTTTATACACGTCATGCATCGCGGACATGCTGACTATGGCGTCTCGGTCAAGGTTGCGAAATCGTTAGCCAACTTTGACGTGTGGACTGAGGATGGGCACTGCATCCCGAAGAGTGTCTCGGATATCAAATTTCCATACTGTGGCGTTCTCATCGATATGCACACCCTGGAAGTCAGCAAGGACTCTGAGCGTTCTGGGCGCGCAAGTAAGTCCGAAGGCGGCCTTATTCCCACCGTAGACTGACAATTACAGACGTTGCCGACTCCTTGACGGTGGATTTGGCAAAAGTGCCTGGACAAACATTCCATCGAAAGACGCTCAAGTAAGTCTTGCTCTCAGCGCACCAGCCGGTTGTGACATGCGCGTACGAGAAAAGCAAGACAGTTGCGGATCGCTAACCTGGAACAGCGCGTTCAAAATCTTGCTGCAAGCCATGTTCATTGACACGTCGTTCAACAGCGTGCCAACAGTGCTGGCCAACCTGCACCAGAGCTTCCATGAAGCGGCGGTGAGGTCCTTTGAGTACGCTCGCAGCCTGTCCAAGACCAGGCCAATACATTCGAGCCTGCTTATCAGTACGTCTATTCCCTAAACGCGCAAGGGTTCTCAGCATTCGAATCGGCAAGCGCATCAGTATCTGCGCTGCATTGTCGATCAAGGCCCGGCTAACCCTGCTGAGCATCACTGACATATCGACCTATTCAGAGACGGTAGATAGTATAATCGCGCTTGCGTTCGTGATGCTGCAGCGACGGACACGCGGCAAGGCGTCGCAGAACGCGGAGACAGTGCGGTGCGTCATCTCGAGGAGACAAATTCAGTGGTAAGTGTGGCGCAACCGGGGCGGTCTCACAGTCGGACCAGTTCGCTGATGAACCACGGTAGGCTGGCTTGTAAGGCCTTCGACGCGGTGTTTCAGCGCAGACAGACGCGGCACCGCGCACTGCTAGCTTGGCTGCGCAGCTCACTGGCGGCCGTCCGCCCGTCAGGCAGCGCGGAACGGTGCATGCTCGAGGGCGCCATCTCTTGGCGTGCAGCGCCGGCGGAACAGTTGGAGGGGTGAGATGCTGCAAGTGCATCGTGGGTGTGCGCGTCAACACTTGGTTCCCCTCACGATGTGCACCATCGAGGTGCGTTGCGCTGGCCGGTCGGGAGTAGCGGCAGCAATGAATTTAATGATACCCCTCCAATTGGCCTGGCCAACTTGCCGGCCTGCCGTCGTGATGTCAACGGCACTGAACGGGTGGTACAGCGGGCGGGTACCAGCCACACCAGCCCCAGGTTTCACAGTTGACCAGTCTCCAACGCAATCGGCATCTGGAGACGCTTGCAGCCCTCCTCTCATCAACTCCGCCGGCGCCCCTTGCGGCGAGGGGAAGCATCATTGATAGTTTGCCATGTCCACCGCTGCTTCCCCCTCTGCAATTCACATCTGCGCACCTGCACAATCTATCGTTCACTGCCCAGTTCCTGCCGTTGACTGGCAGCCTGCTCTTGTCCCGGCCGGCAGGGGTATGCTCGCGATCTGGTCAGGGGCTTAGCTCAATTTACTTGCCCGAAATTGCGGCCCCCCCAACGTTCAAGATGCCCACGACACTCTTCGCGGAACACCACCACAGCTCTGCGCTCGGCACTGGGGCTGGCGACGACTGCGACGTGCACTATATTCATCATTCGAAGAGCCTGTATATCATATCCGAGCATGACTACGTCCGCTCATTGATCCCGTCCCAGCGCGACGTCTGCGCGAAGGGCCGCGGCCAATCCCCTCCCACGCGCCTTGGGACTCCGCTTCGACGACACAGCAAGAGGAAGGAACGGCAGGCACCACGACCCCTCATGGCCACACTGCAATATTCGCCCGACGTCAACATGGCGCTTGGCGGCCCGCCCGGCAGTCCACCAGACCTCACCAACTCCAAGTCCTCCAAGTCGTCCAGCTTCCATTCCTCAGTGTCAGACGTCATGGGGCCCAGCGACCTCGCGCACTTCGAGGACATCACCCTGGACGACGTGCACGGCTTGGGCCCGTCCTCGTTCCCAATGCCTGCCGCCTCGCCGAACCGCGTGCTCTTCGACGCTCCGAGAGCCATGTCCGTCTCCTCGATACCGAGCAGGGCCACCGCGCCGCATGCGGCTCATCACTCATTCCGAGACCTCACCTCGAACACGAAGCCACGGTTCCCGAGCTTGAAGGGACAAGTCAACAATGTCATGCGGCAGCAGCAACGGCTGCATGCGCCGGGCAAAAAGCAGTTTAGGAGGGGCTTCACCTCGCCTTCTGCTCCATCGCTTGCAAACCTCGCCAATCTCGCAGCTCCCGTCCGCCGGTCACGGTCGCCCTCTCCCTCGAGCTCGCGTACATTCCCGCCGGCGCCCCGTGCGCTCGCACGCAAGAGCTCCCACAACCTCGACGTCTCGCCTTCGCCCTCGATGAGCACCCGCCGGCAGTCATGGCAGCACTCAGCTCGCAAGAGCGTGAAGGAGCGGGAGGCCGAGTGCGACGACGAAGACGACGAGGTGCCTGAGGACGCCATCATCTGGAACGTCCCTATCTCGCCTCGACCTGCCCAAGAGCGCTCACCAGCCCCGTCGACCGCCCCTTCTGCCGCCCCTTCCGCATGTGGAAGTCCACCCCAGGCCTCAACGAGTCCTGCAACGAGCCGCCCTACCTCACAGAAAGGCGAACTGTCGTCTGCCAAGACGTCTCCAGCTCTTTCAGACCGCCGCTTCTCTACTCATTCATCACCGAGTCTGGCTGATAAGGAGAACCAGCCACCGACCCAAGGCCTGGTTCGACAGCGGACGAACACATGGGAAACGACGTATACCACGCTCGACGCCGACGCAAAGAAGCTCACCGAGGCATTGGAGGAGTACCAGACCGAGTTCGAGAAACAACAGGAAATCAAGCGCCAGCAGCCGGGCCTCTCCAGGTCGTCCTCGGTCGAGAAGCCAGAGAAGCCAAAAGCTGTCTCCCTCCCACCAATTCGCAAGAGCGATCCCTTGATTGATCCCTTCCAGCCGTCTATGGAGAAGCAGAAGTACCTTTCCCGAACTCGGCCCTCGTGGCTGCCGCCCAAAGATCCAAAGGAGGAGAAGAAGCACCTGAAAGAATACCAGAGAATGCAGGCTCGGATCCAGGAGTCTGGTAAGTACCCACACTACTCACATGTGATCCATGGGACAGCTGTTGACGTCCGGTAGAGCGTCTCGAGGCCCAACGTCAAGAAGAAGAAGCTCTCGCACGCGAGCAGGCTGAGCGAATCAAGGCTGAATACTGGTCTACTTTGCTTCTGCCCAACTGGGATACCGAGATGTGCAATCCTGAGCTGAAAGGATCCCATCGCAAGATGTGGTGGAACGGCATTCCACCCAAACTCCGAGAGGCCGTCTGGAAGAAGGCTATTGGCAACGAGCTCGAAGTCACCGAGACTACTTACAAAGTCGCCCTCGAGAAGGCGCAATTGCAGTACAAGGAACGCGGTCCAGCCGCTCTCGACTACCGCTACGGCGAAATCCTCGAGAACACCAAGGCCGTCTTCCCAGACCTGAAGATGTTCGCACCGAAGACGCGGGAGTCGGAAGAGCAGCCGCTGCACAAAGAGCTCGTAAACGTCTGCATTGCCTACAGCTCCTATCGCCCGGACGTCGAGACCACTACCGCCGTGCACCACATAGCAGCGCTCTTCCTGCTCAACATGACGGCAGTAGATTCCTTCATTGCGCTCTCCAACATTCTTAACCGTCCCCTCCCGCTCTCCTTCCTCATCCGCGACCATACCGCCATAACCGCCGCATACGATTCCACGCTCTCCGCCGTATCCAAGAAGAACCCCTCCCTCGCTACTCGCCTTGCCTCCCTCCGCGTCGAGCCCCGCGATTACCTATTCCTAATGTTCAGCGCGCTGTTCTGCGACCGGCTCTCGATCGAGCATGCTGCCCGCGTTATGGACGTATACGTTGTGGAGGGCGATAAGATTCCGCCGCGCGTTGCGGTCGGTCTGCTGGGCATACTGGAAGGCGCCTGTATGACCGGCGAACTGGATGCTGTGCTGCAAGTTCTGCAGAACAGGACAATCCGAGAGAGCCCTGACGAGTTCATGGGCAAGGTGTACGAAGCCGGCAAGAGCACCTGAGCGTTGTTCCGAAGAGCTGGAAAGAGAAGAGAGCAGAACAGTATCATTGTCATACAGAACTAGAAGGAGGGTGCATACACTATGTCCAGGAGCAAGACGTGCTTCGGGATGAAGACCGATCATCGCTGAGTTTTTTTGGGGAGCAACAAGCATGGAACTATGAGACACGAGCATGACTATACCTACATGGCGCGGAGACAGGTCCGCAGACAGCTGCGTTACATGCATTTTTCTGGCGTTTCCCTCTTTTCCCTCCCACCATTTCCGGGAGTTCCTACCATACCAGCGAATACCTTTCTCATTTTCCTTCCATCTCGGGCTATACATCTGTAGACTTAACTTCTAAAATCTTCCGGAGAAGATAGGAGCAACTAGGGCTCGCTGGTAGTTTACTATACTGTAGGGGCGAAAACCCGCGGTGGGTGAGTAGCTTGATGTTAGCGATGTATATCGAGAAATGTTTGCATCTTAAGCTTTGCTTGTCTATCTCACGTATGTGCTCGTTTAACGGGAAGTAGGCAAGGAACTGGGGATAGGCAGGTGTGATGGATTTATTTATGAGATCGTACGTTTGACCGCAGGTAGGTAATAACGTATGTACATTCCCTTCAAAAACAGAAATCGTTCCTCAGGCATCCAACCCCAGCAACCCGGCTAACCTTTGCAACCCCAAACGCCCAGATCTATTTCCAGAAAGAAAGAACCCACACCATCGAAATCGGCACCACCGCCAGCCACAGATCTGGACCCTTAAACCCCGCCCCTGTCCTGTTGTCTCATGCTCTTTTTTCGGGTGATGCGCGTCATGCGGGGTGGCGCGCTAGAGTTTCAGCGGGCTTCTGAGACGCTCGTGGGGTACGGAGTAGCTGAGAGGATGGTGGGGGTGACGTGGACTGCGTGGACTGTGAGGGGTCGGAGGGGAGTGCTTGTTGGGTTTGTGAGGATGGGCGGGTAGGTGGAGGGAGGGAGGTATTGTGAAGCTTCCTGGCGCAGTGTGGGCGTGGAGTAGTGTGAAGCCTTCCTGGCGCAGTGCGGGCGCGGAGTAATGTGAAGCTTCCTGGCGCAGTGTGGGCGTGGAGGAGGGCACGCGATCGTGATGGGCCCAAAAAAAACCTTGGAGGCGTGAAGATCAGAGGAGGCAGCCGCGAAGGGGAGATCGACCGGCGAAACCTACTAAGCCATCAGTACCCTTCTGAGGACCAGGTAGCTGCTAATCCAGCATGCAGGGTGAAGAAAGAAATGTACGAGATCGGAAAACCACGTATGTACAATAGCCCTCGAGGTAGCTAGGACGCCTGCCACTACCTTGACAGTGCACGGTTGCACTAAGGCGGCTCACGACTTGGTTGAAATCCGGGACTGGGGATTTCAACCAACTACTGGAGGAGTGCCTGTCTCTCTCTCGCAGAGAGAGAAGGTTTGTTTGTTGATGTAGGCTGTGTCCGTAGGACTGGACGAGGGAGAGGATATGAGAGGCCCGGGTCATGGTCTTTGCGACCGCGGAGGAGGGGCGAGAACAGAGAGGGAGGAAAGGGTACGTACCAGTGCTGTGACGAGATTGGAGGCGACTCCGCATCCGCTCGTCGAAGAAGAGGGACAACTGGTGAGGTAACTGTAGGCTATCAGCAACAGAGCGAGAATCTCTGCGCGTAAACAAGCACGAAAGAACGCAAAAAGATATGTCCGAGCTCAGACTACCACATCAGGCATGGGAGTTCGGGTAGGGCCTGTGTGGTTGTGTCCGGCGTCGTCGATCCCTTTCGAGGCAAAGATGCAGGTCCCGAGTTTCCGTTGACCGGAACTGACTGAAAAAAAAGGGACTGAAAGATGCAGTCCGCCACCCCGGGCCACATCTTTACTCAAACGGCTACACTGTGCTACCCCGAAGGGTTGCCCGTCGACGGGGAGTCGCCCCCCCGAAGGCCTGCTTCTCTCTCTAGGGGACCGAAAGGGTGTCTACTCTGGGCCTAGAGCGGAGCGTCGGTATGAGGAACCGGACTCCTTGCTCGCTGGCCGGTGTGTGGTGAGGGAAAATAGGGTTGAGGGAGGTGACAAAAGCAGAACGTACCGTAAAAGTTCAAGACCTTGTCGTGGCTGTGCGTGTCTGGCGTCAGGTTAGCTTTGTTCGTCTCTGTTTAGGATGAGGCTGTCAATATACTGTGCGCAATTCTACCTTATTGGGGCAGACCGAAGCAGCAAGACGGACCACCTGAAGACCGCCTTGAGAAATCTTTTCAGCCAAGCGAGAAATAGAAGGCCACGTTCTCGAAAGGTGTTGAAGTAGACCGACGAAGCAGGTGTTCATGATGGTGCGAGCAAAGGGTGTCCAAAAAGGTGTCAAGCGAGGGGATGTCAAGAGGTGGAGTGGAAGAAAGGGAGGTGGAGGTGAGAAAGAAATTTGAAGTTTTGTCTAACAACAATGTGGGCCGGGCGACTGCCCTTCTCGCCGTCACTCACGACGACCGTCCACGCTAAACCTCATTCAGCCACAACACTGCTCGCCTTCACGCGCTGGAGCACTCCTCTCCCTTTGAAAAATTTTCTCTGGCACTCTCTCAGCCTCCCCATAATCGCTACCAAGTATTTCAGCACACCCACTGCCACCGCAACCGCACCCCTGGCCTCCTTCTCGAATTACCCAGCAGACTACTACAGCAACCGCCAATGGACCCAAAGCTCCTCCTCCTGGGTGAAGCGCTCTTTCTCACCTACCGCCTCTACCGCTGGTCACGCTTCTCTGCCTGGGACGCCATCACTGCCAACCGGAACGCCAGCATCCACCAGAACCGGCTCAACACTGTGGCTCGTCAGCGCCAACGCTACCTCCTACAACATTCTCATGCTGGTCAACGCCCAGCGGGGCTCAATGTCCAGCGTCCTGCCCGGCGTTAGGATGGAGCGGCTGATGAGGCTCTTACCTCGCTCCTCCTACTGTAGGTCAGCCACTCGCATGCTTTGATCACACTTTTTACTGACTTGAGCTGCAGCGGAGGGCTATGGGAGCGACAGCGGGCATTTCCGGCAGCTGTACAAGGAGTCCATCCAGGAGGTGAGCACTCTCAGCGGCTCCACAAGGAGTCCGTCCAGAAGCCGCAGAAGTGCCCAAGCTCATCACCATGGCAGATTCGACGACCGCGCCTAAAAGGCACACATCGAAAGCTGCTTTGGAGCTTCAAGATGTTCTTCGTGGACACGTACGACTTTGCCATTGCGAAGTCAATAGGAAAACACCACCAACGGGCCAGGTCAAGATGTTCTTCGTGGACACATATGACGTTGCCATCGCAAAGTCAACAGGAAAACAGCTCCATCAACGAGTTCGAGGGCCAGGTAAAGCTCCAATCCTCGTAAGCCTGGCGAAACACCGCCATCATAAGCAACCAGCGATTGTCCTGGCTACCAAGGACCTCGTTTGGTTGACGGACGCCGTCGTGTTTTCGATGAACGTTTACGCTCCTTGTCTGGTTGACAGAGGCTGTCGAATGTACGATGAGCATATATGGTACTGTCCGTGCCTCGACACATACGGCCACAGATGAAGAGAACCTGATCTTCACGTTCCGCATCGAGTTCCATTCTGTGGAAGCTGCTAACTGGGCGGTTGCATCCTTGGCTCGTGATCCGATCTGGGGTCTGAGCGACGACGTAAGCACCTCCGTCCGCCATCTTTCGTAGTGCACATGCTAACAGATTCCCAGGAGACCTGGCATTGGACGATGCTTGTGCTTTCAATGGCATTCTTTGGTAATATAACCGTTTTGTCTTGTATTTGAGACCCTGGCTAACGTTCACAGGCCAATGGTCCGGACGACTCTTGAGCCATCTGGCTAGAACGGAACGCGCGCGGCTAACTCACCGCACCATCACAACCCTCAGATCGACGATTTGGGCCGCTTGATGACCCACCGCCACCTTCAGCAAGTTGACTTCCGTGGTCTCACGCGCCACCCCGCTGACGCCCACAACCGCGTCCGTCGAGAGAAGATTATGGACGGAACCGATGTTCGAACGACGATTATGCTTCGTAACATTCCGAATAAGCTTGACTGGGTAAGTGACACGTCCAAGCCATGCAGGGACAACAGCACTAACCTCCTATCGTAGATGACGCTGAAGGGACCCGCCGCCGCCGGCACCACCGCCCACCATCACGCCTATAGCTCCCATCGATCATCGTACGAAGGCGACAGTTCCGGAAGAGAGTCCGCGGCCCTGAAGCCGGCAAGACCGGGGAGAGTAATTAGGCGGCCTTCGGATCCAGGAATCTTTGCCGTGAGGGACCCGTAGGGGGAAGCTTGTGTGGGGAGTTTCACCCCGTTCCATGAGATTGTTCGCACCGACTGCCTAGCGTAGACTTCGAAGTCACGCACGGGGTTCTTCGTGTCTCTACCCAACCCCGACTGCTAGGGACAAGTTTTTGGTTTGGTTTTGATAAAGCTCTGCGCTTGTTGCTTGTAAACTTGTCTATATCTTCTCCTACCTAGGGCTGCGGCGGGGACGCTCGGCTTTCCGTAGCATAGTAGCCTCTGACTGCCGTTGAACCATGTTTGCTTGCTTTCACGACAAAACGGTGGACGTCAGGGACCATTGTACAATTGGATTGGAAGGAAGAGTGATGAACAATATATGATACCAATCTGCACGCACGCTCCTAGCTAACAAATGCAAGGATATCCCACCCAGAAGCCCAAGTGCATTCTGATATTCAAATCCGATCAAACTCCAAAAACCCAAAACCCAAGGACGCCATCGCCATGCCATGCCCTTCTGCCTCCGCCATGCCCAATCCCTCTCCCTCCCATCTCCCTATGTCACATGCCCATTCCTTTTCTTCGCCTCCTCCAAAGCCCTCGCAATCCTCACCTTCTTCTCCTCCTCCTCGCTCAACTGCACCTTCCCGCCCTTCTCCTCGATCAACTTATCGATATCGTCTTTGTCCTGCTCAAGCACACCGACACGGCGCTGGAATTCGTCTTTCAGTTTCTTTTCGCCCTCGGCTAGCTCCTGTTCAAGCTCTTTGATCTTGTCCGGGCCTGCGTTTTCGGCACGCGCTTGTGCGATCTCAGCTTCGAGGACGGAGGTGTTGAGGTCGATTTCAAGGGCGTTGAACAGGGAGAGAAGGGCTTTGGAGGAGGATTTCAAGGCCACGAGGGTTTCGCGGGCGTGGTTGAGCAGGTCCTCGTCAGATTTGTCGGGAAGCTCGCGGATGGCGGCGAGTATGCGGTCGATCTCGCCTTGTTCAACACCTACAGCACCGACGACGATCTCCTCAGCTACCCTGACCAATTCGCCCACACGCTCCGCTTTCTCGCTCTTCGCTCTGAGCACAGCCTGTCGTTCGGCATTCTCAAAGTGCTTCTCCACGTTCTTCATCTTGCCGATGTTCCCGGCAGCATACAAAGGCTGGATCTCCGTCTTCTTGTACCGCTTATCTCGTTCAGAGACAGCTTGGACTACTTTGTCGTGGCGGATTTCGATCTGGTCATGTAGCTGCTTAAGGAGCTCTAGACTCTCTTTCGTGGACGATATCGCGCTCCCTTCTAAGCTTTTTACACCAGAAACGGAGGTATGGACCAGACTCTCAACCTCAATATACAGATCCATAAGACCCTTGATCTGCTCCTGCAGTCCGTCATACGCTTTGTCGAATACGGCCTCCACATATGACCTGTACTCATCGCGGTCTTCCTGGGCCTTAAGATCGCGTTCTTTTCCTTTGAACTCGTCTTCGATAGCCCCAATGTCGGCATAGGAGATCTCATTCGCGTTGAACAGCTCGTCAGTGTGGGCTTCTGACTCCTCTTGGCGCTTGCGGCGGGCGTCATCGTTCTTCCTGCGGCCCAGAGCGGCTGCTTTCTCCCAGGCGGTGGTAACGTCTTGGATGAAGGAGAAGTCGGAGGGGAATTCAGACATTTTCTTGCGGACGGCTTCAAGCTCCGGGTTCGGCGTGGAGGACGTTGAGGGAGCGGGAAGGAGATCCGCCAGCACGTCGATCGGATCCTTCTTCTGCGCTTGCATTGGTGCTGGTGTAGTTGAAGCGGCAGACTGGGCTCCGAACAGGGGCGCTGGAACTGGAACGTCGGATACTATGCTTGCACCCGTAGTAGGCCTCCTCGTAGGCTTCGCGGCTGGCTGCGGTTCCTGTGAGCCGAAGAAGATCTCATCATCATTCTTGCCCGAGCTAGACGTCTGCAATGGAGTAATAGGAGAGGCATTGATACTGGGAAAAGACATCGACTGCCTATGAAGCAAGTTGGCGGAGTCATTCTGCGTTACGCTCGGCGGCACATAGGCCTTGTACTGCGGCTGTGGTTGCTCTTCAGGAGGAGACTGCATCGGCGTAGGCGTCTTATTGAATTCATCGTCTTGAGAGCTCGTGGGTGTTAGAATCGTAGTCGACTGCCCTGATGGCTCGCCAGAGATGCTGAAAGACTGCTGTGTCGGAATACTCTCGGTAGACTTTAATGTCGGCTTTCGTTGTATGATCGGACGTCCTCCAGGGCTATACTGAAACTCGTCCTGGGTCGAACGCTCCTGCGGCACCTGTACATTAAGGTCTTGCTTCCTGATGGACGCGTTCGACGGCCCTCTTGACAGTGAAGCAATCGATTCCACTTGCTGGTGGATAGGCGCCTGGGCGGCCGGTGCTGGTGGAGGCGCGCTGTAATACTCAAGACCACGGATGCCCGATTCGGCCTTCAGGAACGCCGTAAAGACCTTAGTCTTGTCCTCAACTAGCAGCTCATGGGCTTCGCCTTTCAACATAGCGATATACCTCTCGAGCGAACCAGCATACCAAGGATCGATATCTGGGACAAGGTCCGCAGGCGTATGCTTTGGCGGCTCTTTCGACTTCTCAGCCTCTAGTTGCTCTTTCAGGTCCTCAATTGTGTTATCCTTATCCTTTAGCTGCTGTCTCAGGCTTGCGATAGCACCATCCCTCTCTTTGATGACATCGTCTTTGCCTTCAGCATCTTCCTTGAGACGCTCAATGGTAGCATCTTTCTCCCTGTTCAACGCGTCGACGTTGCTCCTCGCTTGTTCCGCGGTGACTTTCATTGCTTCAATCTGTTCTTTGAGCACGTCCTTCTCGTCTTCCGCATGGCTCTTCGTAGCCTCAACATCAGTCTTGAGCTTGTCGATCTCGGTACGTAGCTCCGTCTTCAGCTTGTCAATCTCAGTATGCAGATCCATCCTCTCCCTCTCGGAATCGGACTTTAGCTGCTCGTACGCTTCATCTTTGGCCTTCAATTTCGCAGCGTGGTTCTCGTTCGGTTGTGCTCCCCAACTGGCCGGTGCCTGTGTTGGACGTTGCTGCGAGGCTCCCCAGGCTGGCAAACCACCATCCTCCATAACAAAACCGGTATTTGCTGGAGGAGGCTGTTGTTGTTGCGCTGGAACCTGTGCCTGCACTGACTGAGCCGCCCACCTCCCATCATCCATCACAAATCCCTGCTGCGTAGACGGCGGAGGTTGATGCTGTGCTTGCGATTGAGCTGGCGTACCCTGTTTAGGCGGAGCCCAACCAGCGTCACCCATAACGAAGCTTTGCTGAGCAGGTGGCGGTTGAGTGCCCTGAGCTGGTTGCGGAGACTGAGTGGTATTAGTTGGCGCCGCCATCACATCGCCCATAACGAATCCCTGCTGAGCCGGCTGAGAAGATGGGACAGCATCTCCCATAACGAAGCCCTGCGGCGACGGCCGGGAAAGAGGCCGTTGAGCCGGTGTCCCAGTACTGTTTGGCGGAGGCGTGGGCTGAAAGGTATCGCGTCTCTGAAGGTTCAGTGCTGCCGGTTGATTCGGAGGACTAGGCCATTCGCCGCCCTGCGCCGAGGGCGGAGAAGGCTGCCGCGCTGGTATCTCCGTGCTGTCCAACTGTACCGCCTCGCTCACTCTGCCATCTCTCTTCACACCAAACATCTCCTCGTCGTCGATCTCCTCGTCAATGTCGCCAAAGCGCTCCCAGTCCGACGGACCGCCCGCGCCGAGAGCGCTGAACTTCGACTTATCGTCTCGAGGAGGTGGTGCTGTTGGGAGCTTTGGCGCCGGACTGGGTCTCGGCGACTCTGTCCTGTTACCTGCGCGTTGGGCGTGAATAGCACCCAGAGCTATGGAGCTCACGGATCCCGTCCTGCCTAGACCAGTCTGGCTCTGGCCTGAGGGAAAGCTCATGCTCTGTCGCTGTGACACCGGAGATACAGGCTGGCTTTGCGGACTTGGTTGGTTGACGAAGCTGGGAGGGGTTGTGCCGGTGTGACCACTGATAGGCTTCGGCGCCTGGATGCCCTGATCTTGTCCTTGCGGGTACTGCTGTCCAACGACCGAGCCCTGAGCTTGATGTCCTGGCTGCCATGCTTGCTGTTGAGCAGGCTGTTGTGGTGCGCCATAAGGAGCCTGCACGTTCTGCTGCTGTTGTTGTACGTATCCTTGGTCTGCCGGCGGGGTCGGTTGCCATTGGTTTGGCTGTTGTTGGAATTGCTGTGACTGTACCTGTACCTGCTGACCTTGAGCTGGCTGAACATGTTGAGGCTGTTGTTGCGGAAACTGGGGTTGCTGCTGCATTGGTTGACTGAATTGGGTCTGTGGCGGCTGGACGGGCTGGACGGGCTGGACGGGCTGGACGAATTGGCCTGGCTGCTGTGCCTGACCTTGAGCTGAGAACTGGTTCTGAATCGGTTGTCCAAATTGTCCCTGCTGCTGCACTTGCCCTTGGGGCTGAAACTGATTCTGGACAGGCTGTCCGAACTGCTGTTGGCCCGGCTGCGGTTGCATAGCTTGCTGCCCGTACTGCCCCTGTTGTTGCACCGGCTGAACGCCCTGATAACCTTGCGCATAGAAACTCGGATCCACTACCGGCTTCGTGTACCTGAACTTCTTCCCTCCCTGCAGTGGAGCATGTTGTGCCTGTTGCCACGCCGGAATATCTGGAGGAGGAGGAACATATACGCCAGGCATCGGATTCGTATTCGCGGGCATGTAGGATTGCACGCCTTGGCCTGTGAGCGAAGGTGGGATATACGCGGGCTGCTGCTCGTTAGGGCTGAGGACGGAGGAGGGCGGTTGTTGCGCTACGGCGGATGAGGGACTCGAGTATGTTCCTGCTTGATCAGCACCGTATATCGAGCCAGGTCGTCCTTGTGCGGGGGTTTGCGTGGGTGGGAAGTATGATCCGCCAGGTGTCTGCGAAGGAGGTGGCGGAGCGGTATTGTTGTACTGCTGCTGCGTTGTAGCCTGGGTCTGATATCCACCCTGCTGAGTATATCCTCCCTGCTGCCCTTGTGGTGTGAAGCCCGTGGGCTGTTGCGGAGACTGGAAGCTCTGCTGCGGTTGTTGAGCGCCGTACGCCGGCTGCTGTGCAAAGTTCTGTGGAGTCTGCTGTTGCTGGGCTGCGGCAGCGAAGCCGGCTGGCTTCGGTGGGGGAGGAGGAGGAATGTCTTGCTGCTGGGAAGGATACGCATTCGACGGTTGATTCATAGCCTGCTTGGGTGGTCCAAATGAGCATACAATCGCCATCTAATGCCTCAACCCCACGGTGTCATACCTGCTGTCCCTGCGCGTATCCTCCTGGCATCGCGCCATACAACCCAGGATTGTATCCTCCCGCTGCCTGTTGTGGTTGATTCCATTGCTGGTTCGGCGTCTGGTTTTGAGCAGGCGGTGCCCATTGACTCTGCGTCTGGGGAGCGGCGGTCTGGTATCCTTGCGCAGCTATTCCACAGATCAGTATACAAGGCTACACCCAATGATTCGATGTCTAGCGTGTACCTCCATACGGCGGCGGCGGTCCCGCTGGCGCCGCGAAGCTCGCTGCGCTCCCCGGTCTCTGATATCCCTGAGGCTGCTGGCCGTAGTTCTGCATTACGATTACTTCCCCCTCTTCCCCTTAGTCTCGCAGCGCGACGTCGCAGGGGATTGCGAGCGGAGATCGTTCGAGGAGCTGGGCTGTGTATATTAATAGACGCAAGAGTGACCAACGCACGCGGCAAGCAGATCAAGGCATCAGGGCACGCAAGAAAGGAAATACGAAGATGGTATTATCGAAGTAGAAAGTAAATACAGGAGGCAGAAAGAAAAGGGAATCGAGCGGTTCGTGTCCCGCGCTGAGGCTGAGGGCTGAATGTCCAAAGTTGGCGCCAGAAGCGGAATGGTGGATGCAGCCACGCTATGGATCCGCTTAGCAGTTCCCCAATGATGCTAGCCCCTGGTCGCTCCACCTCAGATCATCAATCCCCGCCTCGAGTCATGACTCGAGCCTCAATGTAATTTCCCAAAAGTCTCGTAGTGATCACGAAGAACTACTCTTGATTACCTTCTCTGCTCAGTTACAGTCCCAGTCCGGCATTCCTCCTGCCCAACGAAACTAAATGAGGCATCAGAATCTATAAACGATCGGCCCGGTGAACAGCGCCAGGGTCCATTATCAAGGTACAGAGCTATTCTTACAGAGAAGCATACTTACAGCATAGCCCTCCACCTCCACGCGATCTCAACCCCTATCTCGCCCGCTCGAAGCAATGGTGCTGGAGCCCTCTCATCCTCTACCCTGCTCAAAACCCCCTCCACCACTACCTCGGCTCCAGCCTACTCTTATATCAAGCTCCATGTCCAAGCATATACGCAACGCTTCATACGGGACCAAAGTAGGCCCACTCACGCCCTCCTCCGTCGCTTCTAATATAAACTTCCCTGCTAACCCGACATCCTTCGCAATCGCGCCGGGAACGCCCATATTCTGCATCCACTTGGGCAGCCCACCCCTTGCATCACTCGCCGTCTTCATCTCCCACTTATTGATCACATTATCGCCCTGTTTTAACTGAGCCACCTTTTCTAAGCTCACATATACGCCCTCGACCAGCTTTCTTCCTTTCCTCGACTTCTGGAAGGGGGTTGGATTGGCGACCGGCGGCTCGTAGACGAGTTTGTTGGCGTGGAGCTGAGCGTGGCTGCGTGCTTTGATGGCGGCGGGGAAGGTGCTGAGGTCGATGGGGATCTGCATGTCCATTGCTTCGGCGAAGTGCGTGGTGGAATGGACAAGGTCCCTGCGGGCGCCTGAGATGACGAGGACGGTGAAGAAACGGTCGCTGAGAAGCCAGGAGGCGGGCATAGCATGGTGCATTTGCGTGACTGCAAGGTAGATGTTAGCAATGATCTCAAAATCTATCGAAAAGTGAAAGCAGCAGCAGAAAAATAAATCGACCAAGGGCAAACCAATGGGGCAACAAAAGCATACTCCTCATCTCAAAGCCTCCCATCCATGGCACCTTCGGGACAGCAGAGGTCTCCTTACTCCACTCTAGGAGCACATTCGCCTCGTAGATGTTTGGCGTATACCGCATTTCGTACTGCTCGTGGTTGCTCGTGACATAATTGTAGAAGTCAAGAAACTTTAGCGGTTTCCGTTCCTCGTGCTCGCTCCTCCTCGCAAACCACACGTCCCCGTTCTCTTCATCCTTGTTCTTGAGCTTTTCAACCCTTACGGGTATGTCCGTCGATATGTGATCGTTCAGCGTGCCGATCTTCTGAAACGTGGAGAAGTCTTCTGCTTTCGCTTCGGCGAAGAGTTCGCCGAGGAAAGTTGAAAGGTCCGGCGGATTCGACTGGTGCCCCTCCAGGTCTGGATGCGGAGGTATATCGTTCATGCCAAGAGGCTTCAGTACGAGGCGGCGCCTGGTCGTTCCGCGGTCTCCTGCTCCACTCTCCGCCATTCCGTTTCCGTCCGCCATGGCTTGCTCGCTTCTTCCCGCTCCGCTGTGCGATCTGGAAATGCTTGGCTCAGCTAAGCTTGGCTTGATTGCTGAAGAGAGAGGAGTGGCGTGCTTGTCGCGCGGGTCTGTGTTGTGATTGAAGAACGTGCGCTGGAGAGCAATCTAGATCTCCCACAGGACCGGCACGCTAACGGGCAGGTGGCTTGGCGTTTTGGATGCAACGTGCGCGTCAAAAGGAGCCTCACCAGCCATCAATGTCTTCAGCACACTCGTACTTCGCATGTTTGCAGCCGGAGAGAGTGCCACAGGCCCCAATTGCCGGTCCTGAGCATCTGATACTTCACGAGAGCTTTCCCGTGTGCGGAGGGCGGCCCGGACTAGGCGGTGGGCTGAGCTGTACGGGATCGCGATGGCGAGAGGCATATGAGAAGGTGTGGGAATATTTGCAAAGGGTCTGCCGAGTTCTGAAACGGTTGCAATGTCTGCAAACCCATGCCTCGGTTGGAAAGAAACGGTCAATAGCATTCGTCCATCGAGTTCAGCATGTTGAAGCCATCGATATCAGTGGTGGAACTCTATCCCGAATCGCAAATGCCATCCCTCGTCTATACCTGCAGTGGGATTGGATGGCACGAAGATCCGAGTCTGAGTAGCCTTCCTCTGCATGTCTAACCCTTGCCGGTCCCACCTGCATGTCACATCCGCGGAACCCACCCCCCGCTAACGCACCACAGCAACTCGTGGCACTGGACACGCACCACCCGCACGTCAGCAAGAACCCAGAACATCTTGGCGCCCCGAAACCTGCATGTCCGGAATCTCGCTCGGCTAACATGGCAATTCTACGATTCGCATAGGCTCCGCGGAGTGCACAGAGCGGGGGGGCCTCGGCGGCACCAACACCCAGTCAGGAGGCATGATCAACAGGGCACAGATACCACGCCGCACGCCGCTCCCCACTGTGGCAGGCGAATCAGCGGTTTGACAGGGTCCTGCAAAGCTTGCGTAAATGGACCTCATCCCTCGACACGAACTGATTTGCGTAAGGTAAAGCTTCGCATCGAGATTTGCCGCCGCGGCTCGGTTCCTTTTTTGTACCCGGCATGCCGTTCGTATCCAACTGAAGCTGAGATTCCCATGCCGCGGAATGCGACCCCTATCCAGCGGGATCTAAGAAGCACATGATCGAGATCTAACACTGAGCACGACGTTATAAGCGACAAAAGGTCTAGAACTTTGTCCGGGAGCTCTAGCAGCGTAAACAGTCCGATTGGAGCACACTGCTGCGATATACTACGCCGACAGCGCGTTCTATTAACACTAAACGGAAGCCGCGAGAGCAGCGGTGTGGATAGAGAGGATGGAGCAATCTAGACCATTTTCATTTAGTTTCTGTGCTGTCTAACTCTCCGTATAGACGTGCTGGCATGTTCATGCGAAGCCGCAATGCCAGCGGCAGAAAGGGGTATATTGCTGCTACGGGAGCTTTCGGGGCTAGATAGCAAAGCGAGCGAAGTAGAGAAGGCCATGGCTAAGCCATGAAACATCAGAGCGCGCCGTAAACCTGTGTCCAGTGAAGATAAAAAGGGGCCGAAATAGTCAGCCGCGCGCGCGCCTTCGGCCGGAACGCTCCATTGAACCCAGCGAGGGACTCGTAGTTTTTCCGGAATAGAAGAAGGCCGGACGCCTCCAAACCGGTCGGCGCGTATACGAGATATCCGAGATGCTGGACGTTGTCGTAATGCTCCTATGGAGAACTGTTGCGAGAAAGAAACGTATCGACGGATGGGAACCGTGTCGAAGACGGATGTTTGCAGGGAAAAGTACTTTGGTAGTCTAGACGTTGGTTTCGACAGACCATACTGAAGCCGTTGGCATGCCTAGAACATGGCATTAATGGAGGATTCCAAAAACGTTACTGCAAGTTGACTACCTGGTGGATTCTGCCAGCTGGAGCTCAATACTTGCGTACTTGGAGCCGGCGGACGGGAAGTCAGACGAAGACACCGACTGACCGGGCCATCCGCCCGTCAAACACTGAGACAGGAACAGGTTCTAAATAAGCGTAGACTCACGGAGAGCCTTCCTTGTCCATTTCCTCGTCGTCTGCTACTCTAGCTAACTCTCCCGCGATCAGCAAAGCTGCAAGTGAAGACGATGTTCGAAATTCTGGCTGGGTCTGGTGGGGGGAGGCGACTTGGGAGGGAAGCCGGTCGAGTGGCGATGGGGTTGCTCCTGCGCTGGGAATCGGCGCCGGAAGCATGCGCGGGTGCTTTGATGCGTCCATGGCAGGGAAGGGCATTCCGGTATAGGGCGGGTGATAGCTATGCCCGCTGTCGGAGGACAATGTCGTTTCTTCATGGGTAAGAGTAGGGAGCCGCGTTGGCTCCCGCATGGATCGTCGTGAAGGAAGTTCAATGGGCGCCTGGTAGTGGGAGGGATAGGAGGCGGCAGGAGGCATAGTTGATGATGGCTGGGGAGGTGGATGCCCGTATGCGATGGGGGAGTAGCGCGAGCTTGCGTCCGAAGCCCCGCGACTCTCTCGTGCTACAGCGCTCGGAGAGCCTTCGTAGGAGCCTTCCTTTTGGAGAGTCACCAAACGTGGAGAAGCGCCAATCGGGGAATAGTGATCACCCATTCCAGGCGAGTGGAACCCGGAGAGCGGGTGCGCAACTGGCGAGGTCGACTTTGAGAGGAGGGGTCCTGAGGGGTGCCGTGCGACGCCGGCTGGGGGGCTCGACTCTGATCCAGGGCGCCCGGGTACTGCGTCCGCCTGCGCCGAACTGATTCTCCTGCCTGAGGCGCGGTCGGGCTGGTCGTGACTGCTACTGCGAGTTGAGGTGCTGGTCTCAGTCTCGAGCTTCGAGCGCTTGCCTTCTTGCACTGTCACCTCGTGTTACATGACGGTGGCGGGAATAACCGGGGCAACTCACCTTTGGCAGGGGGGGCATGCTTTGCCCGGAACTCCTCCAGATACTTCTGGTACGACTCGTATTGCGGTGTTTTCTTGTACTCAGCCAATTCAGCGTAGTATTTTTCCTTGGCAGCGTTTGCCTGGCGTTCACAAGCTTCTCGGGAGTCTGCCGGCAGCACTTGCCACCTTTCGCCGACGACCTTGGCGATTTCCGTGAAGGACAGGTCTTGCCCCTTCAGCGTTTCTCTCACCTCTGCAACGGGTTAGGCGGATATCAGAGGAGAAGCAGTGCACTCACGATTCGAGAAGATGACGTAAGCGGATGGAGGCCGCTCGGGCGCATGCTCATCCGGCTGCGAGGTGTTAGAAGTGCTCAACAAAAGGCGCGTGACTGCGATCTGGGCGCGCTCATGGCGACACCAGGGCTAAACTGACTCTTGGGTGCCGACGATACTTTCGTTTCGTGCTTGTGCCAGCTGCCCCCGCTGCTTGCGTTTCGCCCTGCTTCGCTTTGCTCTCCGCCGCCGAATCGTCGCTTCGATACGACCCGTCGACGCTTGCCGTCTTACCCAGTGCGATCGGCAGTGGGCGACCAGCGGACTGTCCCCGCGAGTCGGCGATGGCCCTTTGAAGCTTCTGCTGACATGTCAGCGGTGCACGGCGGCAAGGGCTGCTGCAAGAGCGTGTAGTTACTTACTCGCCGATGCCCAAGCTTGACGTTGAGAGAGCTTCTGGTCACAGTGAGTCGCACGTTGCTGGAGAAGGGATGCCAGCGCACTCACAAGTCTGACTCTGTGATGTCGAGTACAGTCTCCCAGGTGTCAAAGCCTTCGGCGACGAATGCTTCGAGGTATTGGGACAGTCCCAGTCGCTCCAGCCGCTCCCCCAGATCGCTCATGTAGGAGGAGGCCGGTGCTGTGGTCGAGGTGGAAGTGCAGGTGGGTCGCGCGGCTCGAGGGTCGGAGCGGCGCCAGAGGTGTGTTTTCGACGGTCCGGAAGCCCAGGTGTGATATTGGAAAACGTATGATGCGAATTAGCCACCAGTGGCGACGACTGGGTGGCGGGTGCTCGCGTGGTGTGAGCGTAGTGTATACAAAGAAAGAGCGAAATAGGAAATGCAAATTCTGATTTGGATAGTTGTGATTGGTTGCAGCAGGGAGGCGCGTGGCTGTGGCCGATCGATCGTACGAAAAACAAGTAGTGTTCCAAGTGTTGCAGGGCGCAAACGCGCAAGAAGAGTAAGTTGGTTGGGTGGTAGGCGGGCGTTTAGTGCACGTCCATAGGGTGAGGGGCCCAGGTGTAGTTTGGGGAAAGGTGGGACCCGACTGACGAGACTGTCTAATTATGCTGCACCGCCGCTGGACGCGACTGCCGTGCTCTGGACAAGGCGTGGGCTGAGGGCGACGTGAGGAATCCTAACGCAGGCACGACCGGGACAGCGGCCAGCAGGAGGCAGGGCACTGGCGGGCATTGGACGCGTCGAAGGGCCCATGCAGGGAGAGCATGCGTCTACGGCAGCAGCACGGGATTCAGGAGGGCGGAACGACCAGAGCAGAGCGGAAGGCGGCCTAGGAGATAAGACAGAGCGCGGCGGCCATAGCAGGCAATTGCGGCGTTCCGGGCAGGTGTGGAGGGAGGGGGCAGAGCATGGGGAGGGGAGGTGAAGATTTTGGGATGGAGGAGTGGCAGCCGGCAGCTGGGCGACACGGGACACGGTGTGAGGTTAGAGCATCGATCGGCGAGCGACGGCCGGGGGCTTCGATGGCGGGAGAGACAGGGAAGTTCGGCGAGGCTTCGAATTTCGCGAGGCCAAGGACGCGCACGTACCGGGAGAGTGCGCGGAGCAGACGCCGTAGAAGAGGCCGTCCGCCTGTGCGCGTGCTGACTGGACGGCGCCAGGCAAAACTATGTCATTCGGGGATCGAGGATCGAGAACAAAGGACGCAATCGGACGGTGGGAAATGGGAAATACAGGGCCGTGCTCTGCCAGCAACGCTTCGGGAATGGCTTCGGCGCCGGCGCGAAGCAGATGGGACGCCAAGGGGAACTGTGCGTGTGGAGGGGCGGCTCCCGGCAACATGGCATTTTCAACTTTCGAACAATGACGTCCCGCATACGCTTCAGCAGCTTCACGTCCACGGTGCGCCCTAGGTGGTACTGTACTGTGTTGGTTGGGGCGCGGCCACTGTCCGATGGAACCATTGGCTGGCACAGTCCCCCGAGGTCCGCATCCACAAATTTGCTCTCCCTGGCGCTTCTCAATCCACAACGCCATGCCATCGAATATCGCCGAACTGCGTGTGGGCGTCTAGCGAGTCGTGGCGCCGGCAGATCTTCGATCCGACATACCGCAAAGCTGCGGCCGTAAGATGTGCATTTGAGCTAGCGGAAGAATTTCCATCATTCTTCGATTCGAGCAGCTACCGTACTCTGTCCAGCCCATGCGATCGTCGGCGCTATGGGGGCGGAGAGGAAGTCTGGGCAAGTCTGTTTCCGCTGCCCTTCCGGCCATTGCTAGGGTATGCGTGCCAGCCAATTGCCTGCGCCGGCGGCCCCTCTTCAGCGCCGGCTAGTGGTAGGTTTAAGCGGAGCGGAGGCACGCCAACAAGATCTGTCATACCGTATCGAGATGCTGATCCTAGCTGGCACGCGGGTGCAGTGCTTCACGGAGAGCAGATGGGAATCTTGAATCTGCGATCTGGCCAGATGGGAATTGCGCAAAGGCCTGACTCCGCATGCTGCATTTGCGATGTGTAACAAAACCCCGATTCCACTGCCGCCACTTGAGCGCATCGTGATGCTAGTCGAGCGTCATGCATGACACCCAACTTTGAAATGTGCCCAGGTGCTTCTAACCCAATAATCCGAGGGCGCACAGGTGTGACAGAAACGGGCGCATGTCGCGGCACGTCGCCTGCTGTGCGCTTGAACCTTTACCCACACTGTATCCACCTTGTTTCCGGTGACAGGGGTGCTGTGGGCGTGAATGGCCACATCACGTGATCGGCTGCAGAGATGATTGTCATGAGTGCATTTGTCCCTGCATCGGCGACCTAACAGGCAAACTGGCTACATTGGTGGACGCCGTTCCGCCCTACGAAAATCGCACCCAGCTGAGAGCTGACTCCGAATCATTGTCGGCTCGGGCTGGGCAAGCATCGTGGGGTGTACTGGAATATGCAGGGACCGTGCCCGACAGCCCGCATTTCGCGATTAACGGTCTCCTTCCGTCTTTCGATCGGGAGCCTGTCGACTACTCGCATCGACTACTTGTCCTCGAAGACGATCTTGCCGTCTCCGCCGGGGACCATCTGCGGCTGTCAGCTTCCGCACGCTCCATCGAATGCCGTGAACTCTTACCATGCAGATATTGTTGCCGTTGAGAAGGATTTTCGTTAGCTTTCTGTCGCCCTCGCCGGGGTCGCTACCTGCAGTCAGCATACCAATCCATCCGTCGGCCCGCAAAATGCCAACTCACATCTCGGTCACCTCCTCGAGGACCATGTCTGTGGTGCGGTTAGCAAAGACGGCGCCTAGAGATTCAGGTGCACCTACTGACGTAGTCGTCGAAACCAATGAGTTTACCGACGAACTCTAAATGCCATTAGACCAGCTCTTGCTTTGTGACACTGTAGCGCACCCTTTCCGCTGTTCATGATGACCCATATTTGGGAGCCCACGCACTTGTCGATGAGTTCTGCAGGCCGGTTAGCAATGCACACAATCTGCTAGAGGCTCTGCCTTACCGAGGGGGAGGAGGTTTTCCAGTGACATGGCTGCAGCTTTATGGGCCAAATACTGAGTAGCGAGCGTCAGGCCGAAATTGCTGGAGAGTTGCAGGCGAGGTTGAAGTTGAGGTTGGGTCAGTTGGGGCCCTGGAGATGCTTGGCGGATCGGCAACGGCGCGTCCACAAATTCTTTGGCGCGCCTGGGATCCGACGTCAATTCACCAGGCAGACGTCTTTTCATCCAAACACGGCTCTGCGACGTCTAGTGCCTAGCCGGAGCACGACAATAGAGCCCAATGCTCCGTCGACAACGCGCTTTCTTCGCCAGCGCGCCAAACACAGCCTGGAGAGCTCGCGATGCCAGAGGGATGACAGCAGTCGTCGCGAATGCGCTGCTTCCCTCGGGCACATATAGACCGTGCAGGTATCCGTCTTCTCCTGAGCTCCCTGCCCCATCTTCAGTGTGTCTAATCCGTTGCAGTGCTCTTCCGTCTCCCGCACGCTTCCTCCGCTCAGAATCCCACGCTGAGCTCCGCCGCGACCCTTCTCCCGCGAACTATCCACACCTCCGGCCTTCTTCAGTTGCCCACGCGGAACGTATAGCGTCTTCGTGCAGGGTCGGAGAAGCTAGCAGCATGCCTAGAAGTGTGCTCGCAAGGGTGGTGGCAATTCAAAGACAGGTCGCGCATCGCCAGGATCATCACAAGCTTGGGGAGACCAACCAGCGCACTAGAGGGGTGAAGCAGAGGCAGCGTCGCTCAGCTGCACGAGACAAGAGCAAGGGCGAGACTACATTGCTTCGGGAAGCAGCATCGAGCGAGGAAGACAGCGTTGGTGGTTTTGGCGACGAATTCGGCCTCGATGAGGACTCGGATGCGATGATACAGGATATCCTGGAGGACGATGGAGAGGAAATCGCGACTGCCAATTCCATCTATCTTGCAAATCGCGACCAATTGCGCAGAATCATCGGCCTTTCGCATTACACCAGAAGGATGCAGTCGGAAATCGCAGCAGCAATTATCGACTCATTGACGAAACTCCGAGCCCTCCTAGAGGCACACGGGAACTGCCCCAATGCTACTGCCGCAGCTTCCTTCCAGGAGCTTCGCATAATCGAAGCCATGCAAAGGAGAACGACGGTTCTCGAGCGGACCCAGCGAGACGCTGCTCGAGAAAAGACAAGAACCATCTTATTTCTGTCGCTGGCGCATACGTACCGGAAGCTACAACGGCACACACTGGTGAACAGGGCCCAACTCGATGAGGTGTCGTATGCAGCTCAATCAGCTAAGCTGTTTTTGGACTCAAAGGCGCACAATGTCTGGCTCACAGCATTTGAGCTCGTATACGGGTTACTCCCTCTTCGCGGAGATGCTGTTGCGCCTTCTCGACACTTCTCGCTCTCGAACCCCCTTCATAACTATGCGCGCCTCATCGCTTGCCTCCATCATCACTTATATATCGTGAGTCGGCTCTATGCTGAGGTCAAGAAGTGCACCAGGGCACTGAAAGATCTCACGATGCTAGAGAACAGCGGGCTCGGCCTGACTTACAGTTGCATGTGTTTGTTCACGGCCCGCTTCTATGACCTCCTTGAGCCGTTGTCGTCAATCAAAGCCTGGACCTGGCGCCGCTGGACTCCTTTGCTACCCTCTACAGCACGCTACGCCGAGTCGTTAGCCGCTTCACTTGCTCATATCGACGAGCGTGCTCTGCACCTCCTGCGGGATATTGCGAGCGACATAGAGTCCGAGATTGCTCGGTTTCGGTCACATCTGTTGGCCAAAACGGGAGCTATCAATGCATCCGGGACCCTATTACAGTTCACGGAGACTATCAGACGACAGCTCATTGATCGTCGCTTAGATACATACAAGGCTGAATATGGGAAGGAGTCCTATCACTTCCTCTGGCGATGCGGCTACAGGCCCTCGAACTGGCTTATCAGAGTCTGCGGACAGAAGGTTCCTAGCCGCCGCAAGGCCTTGGTGCAAATACGGAAAGATTATGCCTCCCCGCTTCGCCTACACTATGTCCATTCTGAGTTGAAGATGAACAAGCTTAGATTGCCCAAGATCCCCTTAGAGAGATCTGCTTCGAGACGCGCGGACCGCCGAAAGCCGGGGAAAGCCTTGGACCAGCTACGGAGGCCACTCTTTTCGACACCTTTGTGCCACGATGCACAACACCAAACGAATGGAACCGCCAAGGCTGCCAAAGCATCAAGCAGCGTGCTATCAACATCACGCCGGTCGCCGCATCAGGGCAGTGCGATTCTTACAGCCGGATCGTCAAGTGAAGCTCGGGGGAGGACGAAACAGCCGGGCCACATCAGGAAACCAGGAGATCGCCAGCGCGCGGAGACACATTTCAATGCGCGGCTGCAAGCCAGGACCCCCACATTCAACGCTGATAGCCCTTTCTCATTGACCGCAATGAGTGGCTTTCCCATAACAGCCAAGAATTCTCTTCTGAGGCGAACGTGCAACATCCTAGAGCTTAGAGGCGCACATTACCCGGGTAAGAGGGCCAATACCAAACCCCAGAACGACCGAGGCCGCAAACGCAAAGTATTCTCCGAACCGCAGGTCAGACCGCAGGACGACACGCACAGCGATCGGCGACTAAGAGACCGAGTCGCAAAGATCGGGCCAAATCGCACTTGCCCCGTACGCCGTGTCCCCGTCGATGAGACACCTCACCAGCTGCGATTTGAACCGTCGCCACGAATGAGAGCACCGCAATCAACCCCCTTTTTCGCCGAGAGTTCCGTGTCCAAACAACATTCTGTGGACGGCTGCGGCGGCGTGAATGGTCCTGATCGCAACGATGAAGCTCAGGACAGCGGTGACAGTCCAAGTCCGGTAACAAACCAAGGTACCACTTCTGACAAAGGCGACGATCGCCCGAACAGTAACCCGCCCAACAACGAGCAGCGCCCGCCGCCACCAAACAGCAGCATGAGAGAATCGTCAGATCCAGAGTACCCTAGCGAAAGCGAGCACGAGAGCGACTCTGAGGATGAGCTTGACACAGAGGAGGACGCGGAGGAAGAGCACATACCACTCTCCTATCAGATACCCCCTGACTTGCTGCGTGCAGCCATGGAAGCTTCTCCAAACACCCAGGCCAGCTACTGGAGTCAGAGGCTATACCGCGGTCCGCACGATGAACATCTCTCTACGCATTACTGCAAGACGATAGAAGTCGCAGAGCGGGTTGCCAAGTATTTCCTAAAGGAGAAGGTCGTAGGATTCGACATCGAATGGAAGCCTTTTGCGTTTCCCAACTCCATCAAGGAGAATGCGTCCCTGATTCAGCTCGCTTGTGAGGATCGGATAGCGCTCTTTCATATTGCTCAGTTCTCCGGAAGGACAGCGCAACAGCTAGTCCCTCCGACTCTGAAGACCATCCTCGAGTCTCCAGACATTTACAAGGTCGGAGTCGCCGTCAAGGCCGACTTTACCCGTTTGAGGAACTACCTCGGCATCCAGGCCCGGGGTGTCTTTGAGCTCAGCCGCCTCTACAACCTTGTCCAGCATCAAGCGACCGATCCGAGCAAAGTCAACTTCACTTTGGTATCCCTCGCAAGGCAGGTGCAGCAGCATCTGCTGCTGCCACTATACAAAGGCGAGACCCTAGCTGATGGCACGAAAGATAAAGAAAAGGGGAGTGTTCGCGAAAGCGATTGGAGTCAGGCTTTGGACACGGATCAAGTCCGGTACGCTGCCGCCGATGCTTACGCAGGCTTCCGTCTCTTCGACGTGCTCGAGTCGAAGCGGAAGAAGCTCAAGCCCACGCCTCCGCTGCCCCGTCTTTGCGACCAAGATCCGGTGAGGGAGGAACGACCGAAGACGAAGAAGCTCAAGCCTAAGGCTGCGAAGAAGATCAAAGAAGATACGGCGAAGGTAACGGCCGGGGCATTAGAGGAGGAATTGGAAGGCGCCGAGGAAGACACGCAGGAATACGAAACCGCGCCTGAAGAGTTTGCGGACAGCGACGAGTCCGAAGAGTTGGAATCAGAGTCCTCGTGTAGTGATGATGACCCAGATGCCGACTATGTCGCAAGACGTGTGGGGCGGTTGACCATTGGGCGGGATGCAGAAGGTTCTACAGCAACGTCGCGTACAAACACGAGACGCGTCGGCCGTATTGCTCTATCAAGGGTTGGCGTTACCGACCCCGGATATCCGGTACTCCCTCCCGTATCCTCCGAGAACGGCTCGGAAGAGTCCAATGCCCTTGATGCTCCCGCTAAGACTCCTCTGCGAAGGCACGAAAGTACCCCTGATATTTCATTGCCACAAGTGGATGTCGAGATGGGAGAACACGAATTCTCGGACCCTGAACTTGAGGAAGCCCTCATTGCTATGGACATTGAGAAGCCTAAGGAGGCGGAGGATGTCAACGTGACAGGGGAGCAGACGGAAGCCGAGACGGTGCTGCTGCCCTCCGAACCGATTGAGCAGCTTAGCGAGACTGAGGCCATGGACCTGGATACCAACAGCGCATCCGCAAGGGCGGAAGACACAATCCAGGAGCAAAGAGATCCATCTGTCGATGCATTCATTCCTTCCGAAACTCTGCAACCTTCCACGCCCCCGACCCCGACTTTTAAACCACTCGTCCTGGACACATCTTCCCACACACCCGAATACCTCCATGCTTCCGACTGGGCGCAATCCTACCTGCACTCCACCATTCCCTCCGCCTCTTCGCCTTCCTCTCGGCCCTCCCGTATCCGCGCCACGATGGCGCATCTCCGAGCTTACCATCTATGGCATCACCAGCAGCTTCCGCTAGACGATATCGGTGCGCATTTGAGGGATCCGCCACTAGCGCAGAGTACGATTTCGAGTTATATATTGCAGGCTATCAATCTGGAAAGGCTGGAGTATAGTGATGAGAAGTTGAGGGGTGTATTGATGGGTCTACCGCCGAGTGTGAGGCTCAGGAGGTGGGGATGGTTAAGTAGGAGGGTGGGAATTACGCAGTGATGGGATAGGCTCTTGAGATATACCCTGTATTGTATGTATATTGTACATAGCATGGCATTTTGGGGGTTTGATATTGAGTATTAGACATCTCGGCTTGGTAGATTTATGAATCTCTTTTCGTTGACAAGTCCCATTTTACGATTTCTCTTCTATACCCATGACTTTACGAGGAGAAGAAACAACGATTATAAAGACAAGGCCGAGCTCTTCCCAGATAGAACACTCGCCGCGCCGTAAACCCCGTACCCAAACAAGACCCACTCCACTACTCCATAAGCAGCGACCGCTCCTCACTCCCCTCCCCCCTCTCCTCCCCAGCCTCCTCGTCCTCCTCACTTTCCTCCTCGCTCTGCTCCAGATCAACCGGCGGCCCCCACCGGATCCTGCGCCCGCCCTCAACGACCTTCTTGGACCCCCGATCCACCTTCAGGAACTGGCCCTCCTTCCACTCAAACGCGCCCGCCCACTCTGCGGGAATCTCAATCGTCTGGACATTCGCACACCGGCTGAGCACGTCCACGTACACGTCGAGTATTTCTTTCTGCGGAACCAGGTCCCGCTCGCCGTACTTGGCGACGGCGGCGCGCAGCGCAGCGTTGGCGCGTTTTAGGACGGAGTTGTCTCCTGCGCACACAGAATTAGATTAGCTTCGACTCGGCGACTGATATTCGCTTGATCGAGGAAGGAAGGTAAGGCAGGTAAGGCGGCTTGTGCGTTGGTGGATGGAAACTGGGGGGAAACATAACATACCCGTCTTCAGCGCCATGGCGCCCAGCCCGTTGCGGACGTCCGAGTGCGATGGCCAGTCGGCCCAGGCGTTGAAGCTGAGAATTTTTGTTCTCAGCGCTTTTTGTGCGGGCGGCAGCGTGTAGATGGCGGTGATGAAGGCGGAGAGGTCGCCGGCTTTGCGTGAGATGAAGTTGTCGCTGTCGGCGGGCTGGGACTGCTGCTTCTTGGCCTTGTTCTTGGATGGTGGCCTGCCCATTTTGGAGGGGGGTTCGTGTGGTGGTGGAGAGGTGGGTGGTATGTAGCTGGTGCTGCGGTGAATTTGGAGCTGGGAGCGAGGCAGGGCAGCGCGGTAGAGGGAGCGGGAGCTTGCTGGCTTTGAGGACGCAGATGGATGGGGATTTGATTTTGTTAAGGAAGATTTATTTCAAGTGGTATGGTTGACGCTTTGACATAGTCAGGCAGCGACGGCTGCCTGCCCAGGTGGCTCATGCGAGGAGAAGAGATTGAAGTCACGTTTGAAGCCGAAGCTTCGGTGCCCGCAAGTTTCGCATCTGTACCACAACATTACGAAACACCGAGTCTCTCATTATCTCTTTATGGTAGAATGCAGGAATTCCTATCATGGCTGACTCTGGAATGAAGAAGGCTCAAGAGCTCTTTATCCCGCGTGGAAGACTGCTTGTTCACAGAGAAGAGGCTGATGATTGCTATGCGTACGGAGTGCGTTTAGAAGAAAGAGAATTCAAAGAGCTTGCTTCGTTCCAAGGAAATATGTACATAGTTTGGCAAGGCAGAAATAAATCGATTAATTGCGAAAAGTAGGGGCTGTAGGTCCTTTCTGCTGACCTACCACTCAACACCTCAGCGAAGTGCGGTTTTCGAACGCTCAAACGGTCCAATAGCAAAGGCAGGAGATGGTGATGCTAGTCCCATGAGTATCCAGGCCGATCTATGCGTATGCTCCATCAGTTGATGCCGGATGGCCCCTTATGGCTCCCCTGTTCACGAGAGCCCACCTAGACTATCTCTCCTTCTACAACATCCGCTATTCAGAATCTGAAAGAGCTGAGACTGGAGTTGAAAGATCATATCGAACTTCAATACCGCTTTTGCGAATTTGAGATAGTCTTAATCGTAGAATGCCGTCCCATGGAGATGGAGGAGTTATCTTCGTCCGGTTGGTCGGAATATTCAGCCTGCGCGACTAGGGAAAAAGCAACCTCAAAGATACTTGACAGACGCTGTCGTGCGGTTGTAGACTCCTGCTATTCGTCTCCAAAAGGATGCGAACAAAGATGAGTTGCCAAATGCTCGTCCCAGGCGCAATTAAGCACTCCCGAGGTCCCCTTCCGACCGAAACAACTAGTCGTAATGGCGAGTCCCGTCGGCGCTGTCCCGGTACTATAGTATGATACTCTCGAACCATTATTGGGCCGTCCTTTTTATTCTCATGCCACCGCCAGCGCACCAAGGCCCGAGCCTGAATCGTGTTGGTTTTCAAAGCGGGAGGCCTAACGTGGGAGGCCATCGTGTCTTTCTGGTCCTGGGAGGCGAATTGAAGAGATTTGCCTACGCTACGATGCGGCATTTAGAAAGCCTTATACTAACTCGGTAGTTCACCGAAGAGTTCTTCGTATTTTCTAGCCGATTTCCTGTTCCGGCGTGGTGCGGCTGCGGGTGGTTACCCCATCTTTTCGCGCACGCGCGCCAATGAGGCATAACGGACGCATCGAAACACGAAACACGATGCCCGACCGACGCCCGACGCACTTGGGAGCTTGTGGAGTCCTGATACGCTGGCCGACCGCCTTGCAAAGTATTTTGGATCGAGACTTGCATGTCTGGTTGCTTTCTTTTGCGATTTTTGATACTGCAGAAGGCCAAGAGTGGAGGACAGGAAGCCGTTCGGCCTGGCCGTTGGTGCAGCTTCGGAAGAGTAGGGGTCCTGCGCTATACCCCCGCCAGCTTACGGCTCGTTGGTCGGAGATTTACCGAATGATAACCACGCGACCTCCTACTGGACGCTCATACATTTACCTAACGCTTATCGTACTCGCCAGGAGCGTGCTGGGATGGGGAAAGAATGCTTGGGATGAACCGGTTTGCTATGGAGAGACAATCGGAAGGTTACGAAGGCAACACACCCTAGGCCTTGGGTTGCACGCGCGAGCACACGCCCAACCCACGCTGACGCTGCGTGCGACCGCCAACAGTCCCGTACGCGAGGCCCAGCAGAACGCCCTCTTTATCGACCGTCCGATCTTCAAGAGCCGCTGACGCCTTCGTGGAGAAGCCGTAGACTCGACTCGGTATGCGGATCCCGGCTTATCTCCCACTGACCGGTCTCCAGGGCCCTGCCCTTATCTCGAAGCAACCTCAGCGCGTGGCCTGCCCCGGCGCTATAGCCCGCGAGAGACTCCAGGTGTGTGGATAGGGAGCCAACGCCGATGGCGGGGCTGGGATCCAAGACGCCGGTGGCGCTTTCTGGCTGGCGTTCGTGGGGAGCTTGTGTGCTGCAAGCATGCTGGGTTGCGTGCATGGCACCGACAGGGTAGGCTTGATCTGACCGACAGCCTGCCCTGCTGCGTACAAAAAGCTCGGCCTGCCCTGCAGCTTGCTTGTTGGAACCCCAGAAGCTTTGCAGCTTTCTCGAGGAGCTTGTACCACTTGGCTTCCTTTTCTTTTCCCTGAACCCCCCGACGCTGCTGATAGTCGTCATGTCTGAGAAGAGATTTGAAGATCCGCCTGTTGGCGAGAAGGATATTGGGTATGGAGAGGCGCCCAGAGCTTCGGCGAGCCGGCGGAGGAGTTCGATCGTCACCCCGGAGGTGCTTGCTGGGGAGATCTTCGACGAGCGATATGAGCGTACGCAGAGGGGTCTAAAGTCGAGGTAGGCATCCTGTTCTTTATTAGGTCCTGTTCCGTCTTCAGCGAAGATGGCGTATTATCGTACCAGAGGGTAGTTGCTAACGCGCTTGGACAGACACGCCCAGATGATCGCTCTCGGAGGCACAATCGGCACCGGTCTTTTCGTCGGAAGCGGTCAGACGCTCAATCGCGGTGGTCCTGCCTTCATCCTGGGCTCTTACATCTTCATGTCCTACCTGATCTTGTGCGTCGTGTCCTGCATCATCGAAGTCGCGGCCTATCTGCCCACCCCTGGCTCCTCGATGAACTTGTTCGGTTACCGGTACGTCTCGCGGTCCATGGGCTTTGCGCTCGGCTGGCTGTACTTCTACTCGCTTGGCATCTTGGTCCCGTATGAGATTACCGCCGCTGGTCTCGTCATCGAATACTGGAGCCCCCCGGTCAACATCGCCGTCTGGATTTCCATTATGATCGTCGTCATCGTTGGACTGAATGCGCTTCCTGTCAGGTTCTACGGCGAGACGGAGTTCTGGTTTGCTGGCACCAAGGTCATCATGATGACTGGCTTACTGATTCTGTCTTTCATTCTCTTCTGGGGCGGTGGGCCAAACCATGACCGTCTTGGTTTCAGATATTGGAAGCATCCCGGTGCGGCGAATACGTATCTGGCATCTGGCGACACAGGACGTTTCCTTGCTCTCCTATCTACTCTGGTCCTTTCCGCCTTCCCGTTCACTTTCGCCCCTGAACTCTTGATCGCGACTGGAGGCGAGATGCGGAGCCCGAGAAGGAATCTGCCCATTGCTGCTCGACGATACATCTTCCGTCTCGTGTTCTTCTACGTTGGATGTGTCCTTGCCATCTCAGTTATCTGCCCGTCAGACGACCCAGCCATCACGAGCGGAGGGGCCGGCGCGGGTGCTTCTGCCTTCGTCGTCGGCATCAGGAACGCCGGAATCCCCGTTCTCGACTCCATCATCAACGCCGGTATCATCATCAGCGCCTGGTCGTCCGGAAACTCATTCTTATATCTCTCCTCGCGCTCGCTGTACGCGCTTGCTCTTTCCGGAAACGCGCCCTCCTTCTTCAAGGCCTGCACGAAGAGCGGCGTCCCCTACTGGGCCGTGACCGCCTCCTCGCTCTTCTGCGGCCTCGCCTATCTCAACGTCGCCTCGAGCTCCGCCGTCGTGTTCAACTGGTTCGTCAACCTGACTAACACGTCCGGCTTCATCTCCTGGATCTGCTGCGGCATCATCTACCTGCGCTTCCGCAAGGCGTGCGAGGCCCAGAACATCACCGACCTGCCGTACAAGAACATGTTCGGCCGGTTCGGCGCCTGGTGTGCCATCGTCGGCTTCGTCTTCCTCTGCCTCATCAACGGCTTCAACGTCTTCTGGCCCCAGATCTGGAATCCCAGCTCCTTCTTGACCGCGTATATTGGGATTCCGATCTTCCTGATCATCTACTTCTCCCATCGTATTTGGGCCTGGAGCGATCCGTGGGCGTATCCGCCCGAGGAGGTCGATATGCAGACGGGCATGGTGGAGGTGCTGGCTGAGGAGACGCCGCCGAGGAAGATCGAGGGGTCTTGGTGGAAGAAATTCACGCTGATCTGGCAGTAGAGGTGGGGAAATTAGTCTCTGATTCTTTGTCAAGTAGCTCTGTTCGCTTTGCTAGTCTGAAATACCTTCAGTGCTTATCTCTCCCGCTGGCCTCTTCTTGGTCTCCCGTCTCTTGCAATGATGTCCCGGCTGGTGTCTGTCTAGTCGTGATACTACAAGACCGTTAGAATCTGGCTGGCATCTTAAAGGCATTTAGCTCTGCATGACTTACTGCCGCTTCTGCTATGACTAATGTCTTCCTCATTGAAGCCGGCGTCCGCGCTCTTGATGTCGATTGGGGCGGATGGGGCCTCAGGTCCCGATACTAGGGGAGGATTAGCATGTGGAATTTGAAGGTATTTAGTCTAGGATAACTCACCCTCGCTTCCGCTCTGGGCGTCGCCGCCACTAAGTCCTAGGAAAGCCACCTGGTCGGAGAGAGGCGTATCTGCTCCGCGGCGACGACAGCCTCGCGCTGACCTGGGGCGGTCTCTCTCGTTGAGCAGAGCAGACCGACCTCAGGATACGCACCAGGTACCTCGGAGATGGAGCTGTCCGGCGCTTGTCCAGCGCACTCCTCGTGGTTGGCGAGGGGAGACTTCATCTCTGTTGAAGCCTGTACGGCTACAGACTCGCCGTCTTCTTCGTCACCCTATTAGCCATCGCCAGCCCCTCACCCAGCTCAACGTACTCCTCTGCATGAGCTCCTGGTGCTCGGGGTAAGCGCGGTAGAACGCCGTGGCGGAGTAGACGTCGTCGCGAAGCGGCCCTTGCGGGAGGTCGGCTAGGGAGGCTCGGGGCTGTTCGGGGTGCGGCGCCGGCTTCGTGGTCGCGAATGACGTCGTGGTAGGAGAGGACATGTTGCGAACCATCTTGGGATTTCGAAGTCGCTGGTAGCGGAATGGTAGTGATTGCTGGCGATTGAATGTGCATTTGCTGTGCGTAGCAAGGTATGGGTGGTGTGGGATGCCGCCTGGTGGTAAATTTGCACGCAGAGTTAGAAGACGTGAGGATAGCAGTACGTGAGTGAAAGACAGCATTCAGCCAGACAGCCAGACAATCACGTACCAACTCTGTTTTCGAGCCACCCGCGGGCGCCAATGTACTCGGCAGACTAGAAGGTCATAGATAGCAAATCTAGATAGTTCAGCGGGCTTCTTATAGCGATGTCGAGCTCACTAGCTGGCGGTGTGGAGCTCAGCAGCGACCGCCGCCAGATGTGAGGCAAGAGCAGCTCAAGAACAGTCCCAGAAGGACAACAATCTCACAAATGCCATCAACAACAGGGAGACATATCACCAAATGCCATTGACCTCTCTATATCTAAAAGCTCTTCTTCTTCTTCTTCAAGCCATCAGCTAAAGAGCCAACGAACCCAACGAAAAAGGGCCCCGTAGGGCGAAAGCAAAAATTGTCCCGGAGGAGACCCACCGAAGCGAGTCTCCAACCCTAGACCAGTCCCGCAATGTGCAATGCAGCTGATCCGGAGTGGACTGGCAAACGAAGAACCAGTCCCCAAGTGCACTACCTCGGAAGGTAATACCCTCCCTGGCAGAGGATGAGGAGGGCGAAGAGGTCGGGGGAGAGGCGGGTTTATATAGACGGAGACAGAGGGCGCTAGCGGACTAGCGTCGGTTTAGCGGGGAGGAGTCGGCGAGTTGTCGCTGTAGTGACGATTCGGGACGGGCTTTGTTTACTCACGTGAGTGTGACGCGATCTGGAGGCTGTGGAAGCGCGGGGAAGCGCAGGGGAGAAAGGAGCGCGGTCGGCTTGCTGTTTGCGGTATGTGTGGTGAGGAGGGTGGAGGGCGGCGTGGAGTGGGCGGGAGGGTGAACAGTGGGAAGGTACTCGCGTTCTGGCAGCTTTCTGGCTTCTCGGTGGCTTCGCGAGGGAGATTATCGCGAAATTGAAGATTTGGTGGCTTTCTGAGCTGGTGCTGGAGTTTGTGGATAGATTGCCGCGAAATGCTGAGCAAAGACGTGATGGCGTCACTGAGAAACATTGCGCCCAAAATCGCGCTCTATGGCTACTCGCAAGCGCCAAAACCTCATGAGCCTTTCCGATGTTGATGCCTTAGTTCCGGTGTTTGTTATGGTGGAGGTGAGAGGCGCGATTCCTAGACGCGTCACCCACATGCCCTCAACCACTCAACCAGCCAAACCCCATACACTTCAGGCCAAACACCAAGTAGAAAGTCACAGAATCTTCTTCCTTAAGCCTTCAGCGTTGCCAAATGACTCAATGAAAAAGAGGAGAGGGTTGAACCAAAAATTATTGATGCCAGTCATCCACGCCGAAGCGGGACGCGTTCAGACCTGGCCGATCTGAACTGATCAGTGGACGTTCTGATCCAGTTGGAGAAGAAGACCTGTTATCAGCAAACACCAAAGGAGGGGGGGAAGGGGGAAGATACTAAACCTTGTTGCGAGCCTCTGGTGAGAGCCTAGGTGGGGAAAACAAAAATTATGCCGTCGTCACGCCTGAAGTCGGCGATTCGAAACCCAATCAGTCCTGCGAAAGTGCAATGCAGCCGATCGAATTGGCCCAGGGATTTTTGAGCCCCTGAGACCACAGCGTGGCGGTGGTTTGGCCAGCGCGCCGTGACTTACCGTAGCAAGGGAGATGAAGAAGAAGAAGAGTGGAGGGGAGGCGGGCGGGCGGGCTTATATAGACGGAGGGAAGCTCGCTTACGGGCTCGCTGAATCAGCAGGATTAGCGGGATCACATGGGCAATTGGGTCCTATCTTGTTGAGAAGCTGCTGGAAGAGTGAAGACGAGGTGAAACGGGCGAGATGCTGGCCCTGATTGGCTCTGTTACCTTTTCCGGGCGGAAATTTGCTCAAGTACGGCGCAGCTGGCGTGATTTCGGGCCAGATCACTGGGAAATGACGTTCGTTTGACTGTGATATGGCGCTTTACACTCGATAACGGCAGCTTCTGTGTTCTTGGCGGGAGGGGAGAGCCCTCTGGATCACCAGGGTAACCCAAAGCGGACTAGCCCTGTGATCCTGGGAGCCGCTAGCGGCGTCTATAAAGTCCCCTGCTCCCCCGGCCCTGTCTTCTTTCCTCACACTACTCGCGGGCCTCCAGGGCGCTCATGAATCCCTTGGAGGGGGTCAGAGGCTGACACCCTCTGATCTCTGTTTGCCGCATAATTTTTGCTTTCGCCCTTCGGGGCCCTTCCTTTTTCATTGAGTTCATTGGCAGTTGCTGATGGCTTGAAGAAGAAGAAGAAGAAGTACTTCGTCTGTTTGTGTGACTTGATTGATATGCTGGCTTGACATCACCGTGTCGCAACAGGATTGTCACTTGGGTTTCCTGGAGTCTCTTGTGGGGTAGCATTGGAACTGCTTCTTTCTAGGGAATTCGTTTGAGGCATGGGAAGCGTCGTGGTGCGCTATTGGGGCAAGAAATGCGGTGGTGGGGTGGGAGTGTGGTGACCGTCACCAATGCCCTCACAAGCCCCGAGGTTACCTCGCGCTGACGCGCGATATATTGGCAGAAGAGCGCCCAATCGTTCTCGTGGCGAATATGCTGAAGCTATTTGACCTTCCGCCCTCGGATGCTCGCCGTCTAAGCGCTCCTCGCGGCGGTGGTGAGTCTCGTAGTGCGTTTAGATCGCCCTCGTTAACCTCCCCTACGTCCTGGGAGCCATTTGCGCCTCGTTTCGGGCCCGCTGATCTGATCTCTTCAGTTGCACTATGCTGCGAACTCCGCTGAGAATGTCACCAACTGGACGGGCTGTCGCCAGGCTAGATGCAATTTCGGGATGCGAAGTCAACCAGCCAACTTTCCAGTGAGCTCACCAGCGATTCCATACTCAACTGCGGTAGTTTATGGAGACTGACTGCAACAGAAGCGACTACGAACTACCAAAGCGCCCATAATCCTCGCCAGGCGCTATCCTGCCACGCCACTCCACCCTCACGCTCACTCTGATCGCATCTTGACCCCGCCGCAACCGTCTGGTTATCCCTTCTCGTTACGTGCGAGCGCCGCTGCTTTGGGTCGTTTCCGGTATCTCTCCATATATTTGGCGGACTTCATGGGGCCTACGGGACCTCAACTCACCACCAGGTCGAGCGGCTACGATGGAACGAAGAGCAGCTAGAGGGACCTGCAAAACTTCAACGGGCTCAAATCTAGCTTGGGAACACCGGGAAACAGCGGACATAGAGGGCCATGAGAAGCTATGGATGAATTGTCCGGACTTTAGGGACAGGGGACAGTGACATATCTCCGTGCCAACATACCGTTTTCCGGGAACGTATAGGAGTATCACGGGTGTGTATATGGTCGGGAATTCGCAGGTCGCTGCTACCTTCGACGGCGGGGAGAAGACGCACCTACACTATCATCTGAGCTGGTAGAGCATCACTGACCCATTTCCTAATCCCCGTGACCACACAGGGCGCGAAGAGCGCATTCTCGTCTCGTTCCTGCCGCAAAATCTGCCTGGGACGCCTTCCAACTCCGATCGTGCTCGCCTTCCATCCGCCCCTTCCCAACCCGTGCCTTCCACTTCACCCCACCCGCCTCCGTCCACGGCGCAACCGCCAAGCCCTGCCGACGCCTCGCATACTGTCGGCCCAGCGACTGCTCCGGGCCCGTGCGCCCTGCCGCCGTCTATAAAAGCTCGCCCTCGCCCCGCCCCTCCTTCTCTCCTCATACTTACCTTGCGGGCCTCTGGGACGCTCATAAATGTCCCAGGGGGCTAGGGCACGGGAGTGGCAGCTCCGAGCCTAAGGATGTGGACCCCTCTCGGGTCCCTCGCACAATTTTTGCTTTCGCCCTTCGGGGTCCTTTTTCATTGAGTCCGTTGGCTGTTGCTGATGGCTTGAAGAAGAAGACTTTCGTGTTGGCTCTGGGTTATTTCGGACTTGGGTGTGTGGTGTCGAGCTGGCTGTTGCGAATATTGTACTCAGTTGTGTTACGCATTCATCCTGTAGCCGTTACTGTCGCTGGGACTGCCCTGAGTTTCTGTGGCCTCGAGAGGTGGACGCGTTGGATGGGGTGGAGCGCAATTTTGCACGCGTTGTCGTTACTGAAACTCCGTTTGCGCAGGAAGACCTCTGAGAACTCGCCTATCTCGCTCTAGATTCTTTCATATTCTTTTCCAGAGCCTCAGAAATCTTTTCTGCTTCAATTGACCTCTATGCCCGCTTTTGGGGCTGTAGCTTCACCAACTCGACCTGACTCCAGACGTGCACGACGAACTCCGCCCGCTACGCCGTTCGCCACAAAGACCCCCGGGGGGATTCAGGCATCATATCGCAAATCCAATCTCTCTTTGCTTTCCGAATTCCTCCTTGGGCCCCCCGGATACTTCTTCCACAGGCAAACTGGCTCCTTGAGCGACAACTCCACAGTTTTCGTCGAATCGACTCGCAACGCACGCGAGACCGCCCTCGCCACTACAGCCCGAGCATACTACACGCAAAGGAGCTCTCTCCTGGCTAAATATAGGTAGAAAGGCGCTCCGAAGACCGCCACCCTAGCGACAGCTTGACTCCCCGCTCTCTAAGCGCCCTACGGGATCACCGAATCGCCCCCGAGGGAAACAACAGCGAAATAGGATACAATACGTGGATTACAACGCCGAGGGCATGGATACTTTGGGACAGAGGAGATGAACAAGGAGAAGAGAACCTTAAACAGACCATACGCTCTGTTCGTTGACGACAGCTTGGAGCTCGGCCATGGCAGCACCAGGCGTTCAACTTGGAAAGATACAGCGGAAGGGAGACATAGTTAGGTACAGCCTGGATGTTGGGGACGAGTTGACTAAGCTCAAGGCTCTCTATAGGTCGCAAACCACCGTACTGCCCGTTCGGCTCCTCCTTGCCTTCGTCCGTTCCGCAGTCGGTCTGTCCACGATTCCAAAGATCCCCTTGAGATCGGCACGAACCGTACACCACCGCAGGGAGATACACTGCATTGAAAGTTGGTCAGGAGAGCCTTTTCCTCCCCCACCCGACCCTGTGGATACACGCTTGCCAACATCTCGCTCGGTGTAAGTGAGTTCGTGACTTCGCACGTCCGCCGTGGAGCAGAAGAACAAAGAGCTGATGAGAAAGAGCACGTATAGCAGGGACTCCTTCGAGACGATTACGCCAGACACGAGTCTGTGACCTCGATCCTACAGCCGTTTCGAGCACCATCCGAACATCGATCCATCCTCTTCCCTCCCGATACGACCGGGTGTCGCAGCTCCGCCATTCGCAGCCTAGGGGCAGGCTTCGCTCCCCAGTCACCGGACCGCATTATACGCGCTTCATAACTTCATCCGGCTTTCGTACCACACGTCCGGCCCACTGAGAAAGATCGGAGAAGAAATCAGACAACCGCGGAGGACAGACAGAGGCAGATCTCGGAATGCTAGAGAGCTATGCCTAGGGGGGGTTGTACAGGGGCCTGTAGACAAAGGAACCCTCGTCAGTAAGGGTTATGAACACCATACGTTTCCAATCCCACGCGCGATGCTCTGTCTCTTCTTCTCCCCTCCGGCTCCAGAACTAATGACTAACCACTACGGATACTGGTAAGTTCGTAAAGGCGTTCCTGGCTTGTAAATAGACCAGGGGTTCTATCCTGAGCGTTATCTTGGATTTAAAGCCAGTCGAGGCCCCAGAAGCGCATGGTTGATAAGTGGGCATCGCCTTTTGAAAGACGTCCACAGCCGGGCCCAGGTGATAGCGTGCGAGTAGTTGCGTCGATGGCAAGAAAGCAAACGGCCGAACCCTGCCTTTTCCTAGTAACGATCCGCGACTCGAGTTTGAACATTGGAATACTGTAAGAGGAAGCAGGAGGACATAAGGGCTGAGGGAAAGACTAGGTCGTGGTTTGGATAATTAGTCCTGACGTGGGTTCCTGAGCACAGACTAGTGCGAGTACTAGGTTCTAACGCGGGTAGCCAAGCACGGTGCGAGTTCTTGGTCCTGGCACGGGTACTTGGGCACGGCGTGGGTACTTGAGCACGGGGGGAAGTTCGGGAGAACAGCGAGGATATTGAAGAACAGTGAGGGTGCTGTAGAACGGTAAGGATTTCGCAGAACAACGAGAGTACTAGGAAACACTCGCTGACGTCTCTCGAGTTCCAATTGTCGAGTCCATCCCTTGTCCATAGGCAACCTCACTCTGGCCACGATCAGCTACATCTGAGCACTACCTGGAGGCTGAAGATTCAGGTGAGGAGAGCAAACGTTCTACCGAGATTCTTCATACCTCAACCTTACTGTCTCCCCGGAAAGAAGGAAGTTTCAAGACGTCGAACCTCTCTAAGTAACCGTACCAACCTCCTTTCCTCGATTTGAGCTCACCGAGGTCAAATACAACGATCTCCCGTGGTAATGGAACGAGACAGATACATTGAACGGCAACACTAGAAACGGGAGCCGACGCCAAGGGAGCTCGATGGATGCCCTTGTTCCTCGGTGCTCTGTGCATTGGATCGCAGGGCCTGATCGATCGGGTCCTTCCATTCATCCAGGTACATGCAGCCGCCGTAAGCCAAAGATCCAGGTAAGTCCAGCTGTTCGTAGTCCACCCTCTCGGTCTCCTGCTCATGACCGACTACAAATCAGCCTCACAGAACCTCACACAGATCGACGCTCTTGTCAACACACTACGCCGAACATAAATGACCGCCCCGCCTCGCTCCCATCTCTTCCGAGCCCGAACCCTTCTTCTACCCTATCGTCCTGTCCTGACAAATTTCAACGCCCGTCGCAATATCTCCTCGAACATAATCCGTCTCCACACACCTATTTACCAGAATCTTGGATCGTTCATGCGCCGTGATTGGATCACCAGATGGACGTTTAGCCAATAGACGATGGAAGGGCTAACCGTCTCAGGAAGCGAGGCCATGCAAAACGCAAACCATCTTTTGCCGGAACGGGCATAATGCGAGCTGGAACACCGCATCTCGGAGACAAGAACAGCGCGTATGGCTTGCGCAATCTGTTGGAGGGGCTTGTCGGCAGATCTGGAGATGATGGGTGGATGGCAGGTGGGGAACGCGTCTCTCGTTGGGAGTTTCCTGGTACCACAACCACTATACTTTCGCGCGTCTTCAATCTTTTCGACGCAGTCGCAGCTGTCTGCCTTGCCGCGGATAGAACTATTATCGAGCTTCAGGTACCGCAGCATTCCATCCAATAGCCTTATTTCTCCAAAGAATATCCAGAACCGCCAACGCTTCCAAGGTCTCTTCTGCTCTTCGGCCTTCATGTCCCGCGTCGTTGCGCCATCGTTGTTCGCGTCTTCTTGTTGCTCTTCGACGTCAAGGTAGACCCTTCGATATAAGTGTCTGGGAGGAACTGCTTCGGTCGGCTCATGGCACGCAGACAAAGCATAAAGTCAAATCCAGCCATGACGTTGGGAAATCGTGGTGCAGTTGCGGACTGCGGAAGACCCTCCCATCTTCTCATAATGCTACTTCTCTTCACAGCATGCATGGAGCCCGCGCTTTCGATACCATACGCAAGATACGCCCCTGCGGGACGAGAAGACGAAGGCACCGCGGGACCTCATCTGAGAAAACGCTTGTCTCGGTTCGACGATCGTGGTCTGCTCTCCAGCCCGCACTTCTCGACAGAACAAGAAGAAGCAGGGAATGCGGACGTGCCTCTTTCAAAACGCCAACCCGGCCTCGACGAACGTGGTCTCCTCTCCAACCCACACTTCTCGGCAGAAAAAGAGGGAGTAGGGAACTTGGGCATACCTTTTCCAAAACGTCAATCGCCCTTCGATGACCTCGCCGTGCTGCTGTCAAATCCGAGAATAAAAAGCCCACGCGTAGACGACCGTCCAGGTACGTAAGTCGTATTCATGTTTAAGCTGTCTAAGGTTTTGAGCAACGGGAGACGGACTGGGAAGCGCGTTAGTGTGAAATATCTGCCACTTGGGAATACTTGAGTACTCCCGTTGCTCCCTCCTTGCGTTGTTCCCCTCTCATTGTTTGTAGACCTCCGCTAACACATACACCAACATCTTCAGACTCTACCCCAGAAGCAAGAGAACCCTCCCTATCCCACTCACTTCTCCTCATCCCGCGCCAATCTCCACAATCCAAAACCACAAGCGCCTCCTCCTCCCTCAGCGCCCTCCAAATCCCCGAATGCGCCCTCGGCTGCTACATAACGACCCTCACAACCGACGGCTGCGCCTCCGAAACCGACTTCAAATGCCACTGTTCCACGGGGAACATACTGGGCAAGGCCGCGAGCTGCGTGGCCAAGAACTGTAGCAGTAGCGACGAGAAGGATGCGAAGGACAAGATCGTGAAGGCGTGCGAGAGCGTAGGTATCGACTTAGGAGGCGGAAACGGAGACGGAGACGAAGACAGCAGCAGCTCGCAAGGCAGCAATCCAAGCTCCACAAGAGCGGGAGGGAGTTCAACGGGAACGTCGGCACCAGCTTCTGCCAGCTCGTCAGCAGCATCCTCGCCTTCAAGCACACCCTCAGAAAACCCCAGCTCAGACACCCCAAACCCGCAACCCACCGCAGCCCCCGCACCCGCACCAGCGCCCACAGGCTCCAACCCATCGGCGTCAACAAGCTCCTCCCCCTCTTCGACCTCCCCTCCGCCCATGCCAACAGACACCCCCCTCGCCCTCCTCCCAACCGACCGCCAACTCTCCCCCGGTGCCAAAGCCGGCATCTCGCTCTCCGTCTCCATCCTCACGCTCTCCGTCCTCCTAACAATCGGTCTCTACATCCGACGCTTAAAGCGCGATCTCCGCGCCGCGCAAGCCGCCGCTGGCGTCCCCGAAAGCGTGTGGCGCGCTAGCATACAAACCGCCGCGGCGCCGTCAGGCGTAGGCCGACGCAAGAGCTGGGGCGGGCGCGGGCGGAGTCGAAGCCGACGGCGGAGTTCGAGCGGCGGGGACGACGGGCCCGTTTCGCCGCTAAGCCCGAGAAGTATGGCGGAGATGGAGCAGAGCGGCGGCTTCGGCGTGCTGAAGAAGAAGAAGCGGGGACATGTGCTCAGCGTGGTGGTTGAGCGCGAGGAGGAAGATAGCAGCAGTACGGACCGCATTATCCACGAGCCTGTTCCGGGGCAGAAGGAGGGGCTGGTGGATCCGCTGGAGCTGGATGGCGAGTATACGGGGATTGTGGAGCTGCCGACTAGTATTACGCCGAGGGCAAGGAGTGTGGAGCGGGGGAGGGCGAGGGGCGCGAGTTTGGGGGAGAGTAGTAGGCCGAGTACGGGGGATTTGGAGAAGATTGAGGAGAAGCAGTGGGCTTGAGGGATGTATGTGTGTGGTTTGGCGGAAGGGAGAGGAGGGGGAGGGTTTGTATATACCAGAGCATTGATTGCTTAATATGTGTTGTCTGAGGAGCAATCCCGGTTGATCTGCAATATCTTTGTAATGCTGTTTGTGATGTTGAATGTTCGTTCGGAAATGCCAGTTCATAAGGATAAGAAAACCATTGAAGAGGGTCGAAGGAACGAGTAAATGATACCTACATAGCACCCAACAGCGTACGTGCTGTTGTACACTAAACATATATCTGCTGGATCTTCCAAAGCTGATTACGTGACTAGAAGAAAGACAGAAGCATAGCAAGCCATAATGCGCCAGATACCGTCCCCATTCCATAAGACAGATATGCCTCCCAGACGATTATCCGCACTAGTTCGTTCTTCCAGCCTGGCTCTTATGTAGCACGACGACGTTGTGTAGCTTCACAGGCCATAGTAAAGTCAAGTTCCTGCTTCTGGTCTCCAGCGAGATTAACGACCAGAAGGAATTGGGAAGTCCGCCTCTTCAGACCTCCTCTTCGCTGTTTTGTCATTGTGTTGATCGGGCGTACAAAGGGTCTAGAAGGCGATAGGACGACCGCAAATTGAGTGACCCAGGTCTCGAGCTCAGACTGGGTGGTATCGACGCGAAAGAAACTGCGAATTGGGATACGACTTCCTGGAATGCCGTCAGAGACCTATTGGTTGCCGGCTTCGTGGGAATTGTACCTGGGGCCGGGTTGCCCCATCAGTAGCGGGGTGATCACCATCGCAACTCCTGCGGCCTCCTAGCAAGTTCGTCCGGCACGCAATTCCAGGAGCACACTCGGAGCATGATAGGGAACACCTCATAGAAGCCGCGGCTCCAGAACTCGATCCACTCGGCCGCTGCTACCACATAGTCCTTCCCGCAGGTATGGCAGGAGCGAAAGTGCCGGTACACCGATGCCATATTGTCTGCAGCGCGCGAGAGCATCACATCGGCATCAAGAGGTGGGTCTTCGCCTAGTTTCTCTCGAATCACGGGTATGCCTCCTTCCTCGTTGGCCAGGGCAGTATGGATGCTGACCTTGAGTAACGACGGAGCGCCGGATCGCCTAGACGGTTCAAACCAGGTTGGAGGGACCCTGTATGAGCCGCGCGCGGTGTCCATGATCAAGTCCGAATTTCCCGTATTGCTGGCCTTGAGCGCGAAGGAGCCTTTGAGGATCCGACCTGCTTGGTCGTAGTATGTAATCGGGGTTCTTCCATAACGCATTGGGAAGACGTTGCGGTGATCGGGGGTCGTCGCGAACATTGGTGATGAGTTCCAGGTCTCTTCGAACCGTATACGACAGAGGTATGTCCTAAGGTTCGGCGCCCTCGGTAAAGCGTTATAGAGTTGCTGAATCTGGCTTGAGAAGGAACCTCGCTCGCCCCTACTAATTTCATTCAAACAATCGGTTAGAGAACCAAGGAGCGCGGACCGGAGAGTACCCTCTTCCACGAGGGGGTTGCCGACTAGTTGTAAGCGCTGGAGACGACCCTGCGGCGGAAACAGGTGTAGGATCTCAAAGGGCAGCCACCTGAGGTTGTTTTGGCAGAGGTCCAAAGCCCGTAGGGCGCGTAAATGACAAATCTGCGGCGGCAGCTCCTGGATGTGATTGCCACGGAGCACGAGGGTGGTAAGGTGTTGAAGCGTAAATAGAGAAGGCGTGAGGAGCGAAAGGTTGTTCATGTGGAGGCTCACAAAGATCTCGGGGATCATGGGACGGTACTGTCCTTCGGCTGGCACGTCTATGCCTGGATCCGGTGGGGCAAGGATGACTTGGTTCAGCTGGCCTATGTGATGCAGCTCGTCGTCGTTCAACCCAAGGTCATTCAGTTCGTAGACAGTGCTGCCGAATTCCAGGTTCTTTTGTAATATCCTGCGCATCTCGGCTTCAGCAGGGCTTATATCTTGCGTCCCGGGTACGACGCGCCCCTCCAAAGTGTCCTGAGCGAAGGGCGATCGGTCGGGGACATTGATGTCAGAGCTCGGCGGCTGGTCTCCGCTGGCCTCTTGAGAGCTGTCGGTGCCGTCGCTCTGCAGCCATACGCCAGAGTCGAGGTTTCTTGACATCTTCGCCTTCTTCCTTTCAGGTACTGGTTGAGACGGTCCGGGTTCCGTTTCCCACCATCCGCCGGCGCGTTTCCGCTTGTATCTGGGTGACTCATAGTTGCTGACATCTGCTGCGTCTGGTGGGTCGTCGCTGGAGAATACTGCGGGTTCGCTGGACGTGGGCGATACGCCGCGGTAGCGTGGGTCAAGCGGTGGAGAGCTCGGGATCCAGGTCGCGTGCGAAGAGAGCACAATATCCTCATCCATCGTGGGATGAGAGGCGGCCTAAAGTAAGAGATATTGGGCGGTCGTGCGGGTAAGTAAGGTGTTGGATCCGCTGGCTGCGCTGGCTGCGCTGGAGGACGATGTGGAAAATTAATTGGTGTGGAGGAGATGAGGAAGAACCTGGAACAGTGGACGCGTTGTGGACAGCGGACGCGATCGTTAGCGTGCATGCGTCGTGGGTCCGCGCACGATGAACGCCGGCACGTGCGGCTATACAGGGGACCTGATCCAACGGTGCAGCCTTAGGCAGAGACCCTGCATGGGATGGAAAAGCACTTTCTCAGGTATTGCATATGGCAGTGGAGTAATAATCCAGAGAATGCGAACATGCTGAAGTGTGAGACGGGAAAGAACCACGAGGCATTCAGCAAGGATTGATGTGCTTAGCGGGAACATTGGATTACATTAAATTGCCAAAGGTATCACAGAATACGCTCAATCGTGCCTAGACTCCAAAGCGTATCTCCAAGCCAGAGTATCGCCTATCTAGCTAGAGTCCGGCCATCCTCCTGATAGCTACATTAGGCAGCAGGGTCCCTTCCATCCTGATATCCTTCCCCTCTAATGGCCCTCCCTTGCTCATCGCCAGCTCCGTTAGTGTCTTTCCCAGCGGCTTTGTCGGTGTGATCATGCTCTTTCGCACGGCGTCAATCGGCGTGATTAGCATGCTCTTGTACGCTGCCTGCTGCGGCATGAAGGGGTGGATCTCGGGATGGTGCCGCCAATCCACGGCCGCCGGTCGCACGTTATAGAGCTTGAAGTTCGGGGTCGCTTTGTAGAAGTCGAAGAGCGATTGTTCGGCTTGCCCTTTCACGCGTCCGAAGATAGGCGTGAACATGCCCGGGGTCTGCGTCGCGCCTTCGCCGGATACGAAGACGAAGGTAAACGGCGAGTCGGGGTGGAGTCCTGAGAAGGCTTTTGCGGCGGCGAGGGGGTAATGGTGCGTTATTTCGACATATTCGCTACAGCATGCCATCAGTATGGAGTCCTCAGCGGGAGAATGCGGCATGGGAGGCGCACGTCTTGTTCACATCGTTCTGGGACACTCCCAGCGCCCACACACACCCCTGAGCGTCCTTCAGCTCGTCCAGGAGCGCCGGATCGTAGCTCTTGAAGTCGTTGTGTATGATGACCTTCGCCTTGTCCTCGTGCCCTTCTACCATCTTGACCGGCCGCCTGCTGAGGATGGAGATGCGCGTAACGCTTTCGTTGACGAGCATTTGCTGCAGCACGCCGGAGCCGACGAGGCCGGTCGCGCCTGTGAGGATGAGATGCATTGCGGAGCGGGATCGGGTACTTCGCAGGATGAGGATTCCGGTAGGGTCTGCGATATGAGAGCTGTGTCTATGATGAGGGTAAGTACTATGAGTGTCAGTCAATCGCAGGACGGATCAGCTCTTTATCTTTCTAGCAGGAGCGTTAACTCCGCCGCGCAGGCGCATCCCATCCGAATTGCGCACGGAATCGAGCGTCGTGGGGGCTGATGCTGCAGAGATGCACGTCCGACGGGTCGTCCGCGGAAAGCTAGGGCGATGATTAAGCGGGTGGCTTTTCTGGTACGAGGCCAGCAGCATCGGCGACGGTGGCGCTGTAGCACAGAAACGGCGAACCACTGCCATCCATCAATCTCGTCTCAGCCAAAGCGATCATCTCGTCTGCTGCAGGTCGAGGGCCAGAGACGACGATGAGAGGCTCTTCGGTTCAATCGCACCCCTGGCGATCCTTCTCGCCGCCCGGGCACGGACCCTGGTCGCATTGCGTAGCTGCGTAGCAGGGCTTTATCGCCAGATTCAGGTTCTTCCCAGATGACTGCGGTTCTGGCCTGCGTCTAGATTTCCCAATCGCACTCTTTCCTTTTCGTTCGCCGGCTGTTCTTACTCCAATATTTGTCTTTCCGTCTTCTCCGCCGTGCTGCTGTCGCGGGTGTCGCTCCTTCATCCGACATGGCCGCGGCGACGGCCCTGACTGATCGCCACATCGTTTCAACAATTCTGCACCATCTTTCGGACATGAAATACAAGGACCGGCGACAGTATGGACCAGATCAACCTGTAGAGTTCCTGGAGTTCCGGCCTACGCTAGTACCGTCGATCCTTGTGAATAAGCTCTTCGCGGACGAGGGAACTTCGATCCTATGGAAACGCTATCCGCATCTTCCCGCTTTGAGAAACATGTCTCCGGAGCGGCGACAATACTACGCCAACAAAGTACAGCGAGTCTTCTCATTGAGCCCGCCGCCGGGCCATCCGGAACCCCTGGATTACCTGGACGGCTTAGGGTGGCCAAATTTGAAGAGCTTGGAGCTGGAGGTCGATTTCCAGAGACACGGGGCCAAGTTCGCGTCGATGCTGCATGCGGGGCTGGAGGAACTAGAATTGTCAGGGTACCAAAGCGCAGACTCAAAGTACTTCTCGGAAACCGTGCTTCCGGCGCTCTTTGTGAGTCGGCCCTTCATCAGCCGGGATACAAAGGTTGGACCGCGATTGACGTGCGCAGAACCAGTGCAGAAATCTCAAGAGCTTCCGCATCGGCCCTGATACTATACCAGACGACGACCCGGTACATGCCAACTCTCTATTCGACCACCTAGATGCGATACCGACTATCAGAAGTGTTGAAGTCAAATCTACCAATCTCCTTGACAAGGATGACCTCTTCGTCCGTCTCAGCCAGCGCCCAGGCTTTGAAGCTCTCGAGATTGACCTGGATCCTGGAATCTCTTTACTGCCGCTGCTATCCGGGCTCAACGCGCTTCCGTCGCCATTCTCTTCTTTGAAGCGTCTCTGGATCATGTGCTACCCAGAAGTTGCCACCGCTCTCCCTAGCCATCTTCACCTCATCGAGGAACTGCAGTTCGATATTGGCCGTATACCGAATCAGCCCGTGCAGAACTCAGATTACACCATATTCGAAGATCTGTTTGCGCAGCTGTCACATTGCCATGAGCTCCGTCTTCTCAAGATCGGCGTTGGCCTGATGGGGTTAGACTTCCCTTCCAACTCCGCGTGTCCTACCGTACCTGGGCCAGCTCTTGTCAAGCTTGCAGAGGCCTGCCCGAAGATGGAAGATATCAACCTTCTCGCCGCGGAGCCATCTGCGATTGATGCCTCTGGCATCTCAGCCCAAGAGTTCGACGAATTTTGCAGGGCCCTTCCGCATCTGCGAAACCTCAATCTGAAACTTCATTCGGCTACAGCAACTGCGCTTGAAATGACAGCTCTCCAAAGCTTAGGCACACATTGTCCCGAGCTCGAAGTGCTCCGCCTTCGACTACCGTTTCAGCTTCCAAGCTTACCTGTACCTAATAGAGTCCCGCAGATTCTGATCAATGGAGAACTTACGCCCGGCCCTTCTACTCCCGCATACGTTCCTCCGACTACACCAAGCTCTCAGCACTCCTCTGGCTCGAATTCTTTATCCGCCGCTTCTAGCTACCTGGATGTCAGCCAATCCTCCGCTTCATCTTCCCGGACCCTTATTTCTCCCCTTTTCCCTCGCCTCACGCACCTCGCCATCTCCCGTCCTGAAACCGTACTCTCGACAGCAAGCGACACCTTCACCGTCTCCTCATCTTCGCAATCCGCCTCCGAAATTGTCGATCCCGAGCTCGAAGAAGACATCGTACGCGCCTGGGCTCACCCTCTCCTCACACATTTCCCATGTCTCGAGATTCTAGAAGCGTGGAGTGACTGCGCGGGCCAGGATAACGAATCGCTGAATTACTTCTTGCCTACTGAAGAGATACTGGCGTCTACGTGGGAGTTCTTGAGCGGGGTCGAGCAGGACCTTTGGGAGGATGACGAGGAGCTGGAGGAGGACGATAGCTGGCATACATTGCAGAGTGGCAGGAGGCAGAGTGGCGAGGACTGGGATAAGGCGAGCCTTATGAACGAATATGTGGTGGCGGAGCAGGGAATGGGCAATTTGTCGGTTTACGAGGAAGAACCCGAGGGCACGATCACCCCTGGAAGGACTGTCGACCAGGATGGGCTCTTCTGATTGCCTGAGCTCCCAGTACATTCGACGCGCTTCGCTCTCTGGGGAGAAGCGGCTACCACTTGCTCTTCAGGCCGTTCATCCGGGCCCACGCTCCATCCCAGCCCCGATCAGTTTCGGTGCTGACAGGCATCAAAAGCATACACTCCGCTCTCCTAGATCCTTTCGCACATGCTAGAGCTCACTGGCGAGTGATTTGGCTCGTAATACACAACGCTGATTTCGAGACACGAAGGCTTCTTCCAGCAACATAACAGCCTCTTTAGGCATCTCCACGTTTTACGATACCCGCTTCACGCATACGACTTTCCTACAATGTACCACGAGGACCTACGCATATCACAAAATCGGCCTTCCTGGAAGTATAGACATGCCTAGCTGGTCTAGACGCTTATATTATCATCTTCGAGCATACGATTCGGAGGTATTCACGATGGAAATCTATGGTATAAATGAAGAAACATGACCATTCGGGAGCGTACTTGGGGCAAAAGCATACACGCATGGGAGGATGTCATGACTAGATTTTGGGCTTCTTCTCGCATATGGTTTCGGGGTTCATGTCTTCCTAGGTAGTAGCTTTTCATCCGGCTTACCGTACATAGGGTCCACCACACCATACAAAATCACTTAATATTTGTGCATTTACAAGTCTTCAAATCAAGCAGCTTGTGCTGATCTATTCTCTTCCATTTCTTCGATGTCTTTCTCTGTAACTTCCTCTCCACCTTTCAACATTCCTTACTCAGCTACGCCGCGCTTTAGATTCTCCGTCAGGACGCTCAATAGCGCCCCCGTATCCCCTTCCACCCGCTGCCCCTCCCTCACGCGAAACCCAATCCACGACTTCCAAATCGAAGGCCTAGCGCCACAAACACACTTCCGCTTCCCAAAGCCCCAATTCACGAGCTCCCTATCCCCTTCCTTCTCCACTACACTCGTCGCAACAGCCCTCCAGCTCACGCCACACTCCCTGCAAACAACAACATACGGCAGCTCGCCGTAGTCGCGGTCCCGCAAGCGCAGCTCTGCGCCTTCGGTGTAGTACGTTTTGAGGAGTGGCGAGTTGGTGCTGCACGAATCGCAGCATACGTGCGCGCAGTACTTGCAGGACAGGATTCCGAGGGGGTGCTCCCCGGGGAGAAGGATGATGGCGTTGCGGTAGGTGCAGGCGTGGCACGTCCAGGTGCTGGTTAGCTGACCGGAGGTGTGGGAGAGGACGGTGTGGAGGGCGGATTGGAGGTCCGCGATTGCCTGGCGTTCTAGAGAGGCGATGTGAGCGTAGGCTTGGTCTCGTGCTGAGGGTTTAGGGGTGCAGAGGAGCTTGTGGAGGAGGCTGGTTAGAGAGGGCATTTTGTAGTAGTTTAGGGATGGTTCTAGGGGATGGTTCTGACGGTGGAAAGGATAGTTGGGATGGGTGTGATATAGAGGGTTGGAATTGGTGTTGTGTGTGCACTATGAGTGGGCTGAAGGGATTGTGACGTGTACTGTACAATGTGGAGGCGGGTCTGCTGTTGGCTTCTCCCATTGTTTCTTGCAGCGTCATGTGGATGAGGACTAGAGAAGTCCGCATTGTAAGATGAGGAGTTGCGGACAGCTGGTAGCCACAGGCAGGCAGTAGGATAACAGAACGCGGTATCAGGAATGAGACGAAGAGCTTGTATTGCGTAGCTCGACGAACCCACGCCATCCTTCAAGCAATCCTCGCTACTTCCAGCCTCTATCTTCTGGCTCCCACTCGACGACCGACCCAGGGCAAACTCCAACGCCAGACTCAGACAAGATGACAAGAGCGTACTCCAACCCCATCGACCGCTCCCCTCTCTCCTCATCAGCCAGCTTAGGCTCCGAGATTTCCTCTTCCTCATACTTGATGTCTTCCGGGTTCTTCCCCAAACGGATCCTGCCACCTTCCACGGTCCGCCTAGCCCCCTGCTCCTCTTTGGGAAGTATCCATTCTGCAACGAGAACTCGTCGGTCCAGTCCGCCGGCACCTCGATAGACTCGACGTCTGTGCAGACGCTCAGCAGGAGGATGTAGACCGGCAAGAACTGGTCGATTGGGACGGCGCTCGACTTGTTTGTCGTAGATTCCAATTCAAGGAGATCGCTGAACGTGTTCCTCGTCTCGACGCAGTGTGCGGGCGCACGCCATGCTTTGGCTGGCTCCTCGAAGTGATTGTTGGAGTAGAGACCTGTCCACGGTTAGTGTATGCTTAAGGCAACCAGGAGGGAAGAAGCAAACGTACCACGCTGCTCGATACCCCTTAGCGGAGCCTTGAACAGCTTCTCCACGAGGCCTGACTGCTCCAGGTTGGTGGCGGGCAGGTGGAAGCTGAGAATTCGCGCTTTCAGCGCGCTCCCGGTTTCTAGGTGGATCTTCTCTACGAAGCCGCTGAGGGCTCCCGGTAGCTTTGAGATGAAGTTGCCGCGGGGTTGTGATGAGATTGTGACGGTGGAGAACAGCGCGGCGGTGGAGGACGAGGGGGTGGTGGGAGGAGAAGAGGTTGCCATTTTGCTGAAAGGAGGAGTTTGAGTTGGTATAGGCTTGTAGCAAATGATACTGATGAGCTGCCGTTCGGTCAGTTGATTGATGAGCTAGGATAGGGCGAGAGACTTATGCAGCTGGACGCTGTGGAAAGAGAATCAGACATTCTGAAGCGGCGAAGGCATACGTATTGTCCGGAGATCCACATTTACACGTGCTGGGCTAGGGTAAGGGAGAGAATCAAGAAATTGGAGACGACACGAAGCTCATGGAGCGGGGATGCGTTCACCAAGACTTCGACCTCAGTCTCAAATTCATCAGAGAGCCACTACCGACGATCCAGCTAGGAGAACCGAGGGAGATTCTGGAAGAGACGCTGACGCTGATGTTTGTTAGAGATGTAGCTTGCTATAAGGTTTCGCTAGATAGTTGCGAGGAAGATTCTGGACGATTGCGAGGACATCAAGGCCAGTTTGCCTACTTGTTTTCCTAGGCAAATACGCAAACCATCGTCCGTACAAGCATGAATATGGGAAACATTATGGTCTATATCAAGCGCCCTCGCTCTTCAAACCGTATTCTTCCCCAACCTGTCCCTCATCTCTGACCTCTGTCCCGTCTTCCAATTCACCTTTCACTCCGCCGCCAAAAATGACTCAACCCAGCAGCACCTCCGTTCCCCAAACCACCTCCACTTCCAGCATACCAAATACCAGGAACCAACTCCCCACACCCGAGCCCGAGACAACTCCCAACACAATGGGCCAGCCAAACACCAGCCACAGCGCCTCGTCCGCTCCAGACCCTTCGTCCGAGTTCGACTTCTCCATGTACGAGGCCTATTCGGACGGCGCGATGGCCCGCTTCCTCCGCGCCGTGTACGGCAACCGCGAACTTGCAGAGCAGTGTGGGCTCATCAAGTTCCAGCTGCCGGAAGATGGAATCATCGAGTCTGGCGTTGTGGAGTTCTTGGGCGTGGATGTGGAGAACTTGCTCACGGAAGATGAGGGCGATGAGGACGATGATGGGGACAAGGAGAAGACCACCCCGGAGCAGGCTGCGGAGGCGTTGGAGATGCAGCTCGTGTTATTTGGAGGCAAGCTGGAGCGCATTCCGCTCAAGGTATAGTCTCCCTTTCCCCTGTCATGGATTGGCGCTAATTGCTTGTACTCGTAGACGGTCATCTCGATGTACCTTCTTCTCTTCTCCGTCTGCCCGAATGTCGAGACCATCGAGGTCGATGCGGAAATCGCTGCGGTCATCGACCGGGAGGAGCTGGGAATGCGGTTCCCGAAGCTTGATAAGGACCACACGGAAGACTGTTGCCTCAGTGGCGCCGTGGTACGGATTGGGATTACGCCGGAAGAGTAGACTGAGCAAAAGGGGAAATATGGATGATATCGTGGTCGATGGTGGGGAAAGGTAGTGGAGTACATTTGTCGCGACGGAGTTCGAATTCTCGACTTCGTGCGGCTTGATGAATGAAAAGTCATGATTTGAATGGCCTGCATGTAAAGACTTGATTGCAAGTTCTTCATTCAGCGTGCCTGAAGTTGAAATTCCACCCACGAACAGGCACAAACTTGTCACTGCCCAACCCACCGCCTAGGCTCACGCTCTCGCAATCTCGCCGCTAGTCATTAGGAGATCTTCTCAACCATCAGGGGCCTTCAAACCGGGTCGGGCGCGCTAATGAATGACCCAGCAGGAGCTGTTACCTTCTGCCTGCCGTCCTGGATTGCACGCCGCTCGGCACTTTCTTTTTGTTGGCTACCTTTTGGCTCTTTCCACTTTTGCGTTTAGTCATTTTACGCTGCTGGATGCTTAGGTGGGGAGACTTGTTTGTTGATTAATTGGTCAATGAGCGAGGCGGCTCTCAAAGTCACTACCATCAACACCATTGAGGTATCTATACACCTAGTCGCTTGCTCTTTGCTCTCTTTTGCTACACGTTACTAGCAATTTCGCCAGAAAGCTTTCAGACATCTGCTAGAGGAGAAGAAGCCACCGGAAACTTGCCAATGATTGCATGTGGGTTCTCAACTTCTCTACCATCACCGTCAGTTACACACTCTGTTGGCTAATTCCGGACTATGCCACATATACGTTACTCTTGGCGGCGCAAGGGTCCTAAAGGAATCGTGGATTCTGTGAGAGCCAGGCTAATTATCGCGGACTGTTCCAAAAACATCAACACCACTCGATTTGCTAGCTGTTTACGCCAAAAGGCTTGTCGACCACCAGTTTCTCCTCGCCATAGCCTGTAGCACTCCTTTGGTGATGCTCAAGCCTAAAACAGACAAAACTGCCGTCAGCAATGAGCAAATCGTTGCGAACTGATCCGCCCTTTCACCACCATAGCCGTTTGCTTGTCTCCAGCAGCTCGCCACCGGCTCCGCGGCCTCTTATCAACACATCCAGCTAATTAGACCACCTTCCTGCCGCTCACTGGCCCAAGCTCAGTCACCTGCGGTCACCTGAGCGACGAGCTGCCCAGCCGCTAGTGCCCGCCTGCCGTCTATATAACCCCCTCCCTCCCCCGCTCCTTTTTCTTTTCTTTTCTCCATCACAACTGCCTCGTCTAAAAAACGGGGCCCACTCGGGGGCCACTGGCGCTCTTGAATGCCAGTGTCGCACTCCTGATCGTCATTGCACGCAGGGCGGTCGGAGTTGGTCGTTACGACGGCACACCGGGACAATTTTTGATTCTTCTTTTGCTTTTTTTTTTTTTTTTTTCACGGGGTGTGGCGTCAGAGACTCGAGGCTCTCCGGAAAGGAGAGTAGAGACTCTTTTTTACTTTTTGAACCCGGCCCTCTTGGTGGGTAACCTAACGGTAAACCCCTTGAACGGCCCTCGTGTCGCTCGTGTAAGTTCTTCTCCTCCCCCACCTTACAGCTGACTGACTGAGATCGTCTCTAGATTGCACTACCTCGAGCAGACGCGAGCTCTCTTTTTCATTGACTTAGTTGCCGCTGGTGACTGGTTGAGGAAGAAGTATCTCTATTCGATCGCCTACGGTTCCACAACATGCTCAATCTCTTCCGCTCAGCGTCTCTGGCATTGCTGAAAGTGCGAGAAAGCAGATGCCGTCTTTTGCTGCCCTCGACAAGTGTCTGAGGCCGCGCATAGCCGTTCGTCAACATCGGGCGCCTCACTGACCGACGTAAACACCCGCCAACGTCCTGTTCCTTGGACCCCGGCTGGAGAACGTTCTGGAAGATGACGACACCGCAAATTACAGCCGAATGAGGCGCGGGTCAGTCACATGACCCACGAGCTGCCGAGCCGCTAGCGAGACCCAAAACCTATATAAGCCCGCCCCTCCCACGTCCCTTTCTCCTCTCCACGTACTTCCCCCCTTCCTCCACTTGACAGGACTGCCATAACCTGTCAAGGTCGGGATAGGCGCGCTCCACAATGCGCCTATCAGCTTGGATCAGCTGCATTGCACTACGCGGGTCTGGTTCGGGTCTTGAGTTTGCTGCGGCGACTCACCGGCATAATTTTTGTTTTCTGCCATTTCTTTTTCATTGAGTTGTCCGGCGCTGCTGGATGCTTGAGGAAGAAGAAGATTTTCGCCCTTGCTGTCATCTCCCGTCTCATCACTGCAGTCCGCTGGTAGCTAGTGCCTCAGTGGCTCCCTTAGGACCTCACCGTCTGGCATCTCCACCATCCGCCGTCTTCATCGCTGAAAAGCCGCCGTGACTCCTCGCAGCTCATCATCGCCCTCTACACCGGCCCAACATGAAGGCGGCTCATCGGTGACGTAGAGCTCTCACCGCCGCTCACTGTGGTGTTGGCCTTAACGGCCAGCTGTTTGCGTGCCCGCTATGCTTCACCTCAGATCACACTACGTGATAAAATTCCTCCAGTTTCCCCAACCCTCTCTTCTTCTACCATCCACAACATGACCAACACGAACGTCCCAGGACGGGCACGACTGCCCGACACCGCCCCACGGCGCCCACCGGCCCCCGCGCCACCACCGTCTCATGGGCTTCGTGCCCCTCCAGCCTCTCCTGTTGCCGGGCTACGCCCGATGAATGACCTGTACTAAGTTTGGTGTGCTGTGGCATGGTGACGAATATTAACGAGTTGTGACTCTAGCCGCGACCTCGAAGCGCTCCTCGAGGGCGAGGTCGCCGCCCCTCCGCCGCTCTGGCGTAAGTACAACATCTGCTGGCTACCATACAGGAGCTGACTTTAGATATAGGCCGCCTGGTTGGCGGATTGAGCCTCTGGCTCAGATGGATCCTTGTCTGGCTCCCGAGCCATTGAACGCCGTACGTATTCCTACGATATACTCTGAAGTACACCAGGAGGCTGAATGAATAGGAGATAGCCCGCCGCAAGGCATCACCGTCGCCGAGCAGCCCCTCCAACGTCGTGGCTGCCGGCCGCCCTCCGAGGGCCATATTGGGATAGAAGGATAGACTTTTGTATTACCATCATGTATAGAATATAATTCTTCACACTCACGCGTTATCCCTTGAAGACCTCCTAGATTATGAACGTGAGCCGCAAGTAAACTCTCCCAAGACACGTCCGCAAGAAATCTACAACGACTGCTTGCCTGTCTCTAAATCTTCGGACCCAGAAGCCATTAAAGGCTTTCCGCAAGGGCAATGCCGTCTCTTTCACCTCGTCACCGCCATGCTGTTGTCGTTTGCCATTGTTTACATCCAATCTCTCACGGAGAGAGAGAGCTCACTGCCCGACTGCCCTTCACCTAGGCTTGCTATTAACCCCAAATCACACAGCGTGACTCCCTAACCTCCACATCCTCAACAACACCACCAACCGCCGCCAACATGTCCACACAAGGCGGCCTCACGGCCTTCTACGTCGCCGTCGTCGGCCCTCAGGGCCAAGTCACCCAGCTGCTTCCGCGCCCAATGGGCAACACCCCGCCGCCGACGCCCAGCAGGGGCCCGCCGCCGGCCATCGCCATAGACGAGTAAGACCTGCCTCAGTAGCCAGTAACGGTCTCTTCTAACTGTAGTGTAGCGTCGAGCTCCACGAGCGCCTCGCCGCCGTCCGCGCCGACCGCAGCCCGCTCCGTACGTAACCCACTCCTCTCCCACCAACACCATCACCTTGTCCTAGATGATCCTGGGCTAACACATGGAACTTAGGCCGCTTCCGCGCCTGGGTCACTGCCGCAGCACGGCGGCTGCGGCATACCCGTCACCGATGAGCGCTTGTTTCGTCTCAGTTCCGCCGTGTCCGCCCTCGTAGCATGCTGCTGCCCAACCACAGCCCGCCGAGGGGCTCAGATCGCTCCGCCACGACAACAGGAGAGAGGAGGAGGAGGAGGAGGAGGAAGACGACGACGACGACGACGACTACGGCGGGGAAGGACTGCCTGCCGCGGGCCATTGTTGGGTAGACGGCATAGAATATAATACTTCACATCTGCTTTGTCTCTTGGAGGCCTTCGGGCTACGTGAAGCGGCCTATGGATATCTGCCCATGGATATGAAAGCAATTGCGTATCGAAGCTCTTCTGGATGAGTGAAGTGAAGTCCGGGGACGTGGTCAAGAACGTTCGTCGATACAAAGGGATTGTGCTTTGGAAACCTTCTGGATACGCGAAGCGAGCATAGATACACGATACGCCATTGGGACGCTGGCTGAGTTCGGAGGAAGGTATTGTCTCTTGAAAACCACCGGGATAGCAGAAGTAAAGCGGGATGGTTGTAGCCGAGGACACTAGCTGAGGCCGAAGGGATTGCCCGTTGAAGGGCTGCCGGTTACCTAATCTGAATTGGCGGCGAGGAGATGGTGAAGAGCGTTTACTGGAGCCGAAGTTATCGTGCTGTAGGAAGCGTTCGTAATACTGGAAAGGAATGTGCCGAAGGATGCCCGTCGAAATGGTACGCATCGCTTGTCGAAGACATTCGGAATACCTAAAGCGAGCAGGACACAGAGGAATCCCGCACGCAGGCTGAAAGCTGAAGGGGGTTTGATTCATCTATGTATGTACCATGGGTATATCCGACCACTTATGCTCTCTATATCCAGCCGCAAGGCATGACGATGATCATACTCAGCCAAAACACGCAGAAGCCTCTAGACTTCCTTATCCCGCCTTCTCTCCCCTTCCTCCTCCTTCCTTTACCCTATGCTCCACGGCAAAGTCCCCAACATCCCCACTTCCCAATCCTATTCTTCTTCTTCCCGTCTTCCTCTTCCTCCTCACCGACGACCTTTAGGAAGACCTCATCCAGCGTCGTGGGAGAGACGGAGTAGTACTCGAGCCCGATTTCGTTGCGGTGAGATTCGAGCAGCTGGATAAGACCGGGAATGCCGCCAATGTCGTCGGTATTGGACATCGATGATATCTCCTGGACAGTCGAGCCGTTCTTCTCAGGAGAATGGTGGTGAGGGGATGTAGCCGCCTTGAGCACCTTGAACCGCAGCTGGCCATGTCCTCCACCCCTCGAACCCCACTTGTCCATCTGTACGCATGGTATCTTCTGCCTCACCCACTCCTTAACGGCGTCCATCTCCCCCGTAGTCGTTTCCGGCGCAGACTTGAGCACCATCTGCACCACAAAAGCATCACCGTACTGGTCACCCAGCTCGCCGACAGTGCCCAGCGCAAGCATCTTCCTCTTCATGATGCCCACTCTCGTAGCCAGCTTATCCGCCTCTTCCATTGAATGCGTAGTAATCAGCAAAGCTCGTCCAGGCGCCGCGACACCGAGAAGCGTTTTCCACATGACTCGCTTGGCTGCGGCATCCATACCGGAAGACGGTTCATCCAGTAATAAGACGCTAGGGTTCCCCATCAACGCGATACCCAAGCTCAACTTCCTCTTATTACCACCGGAAAGTTTCGACGCGAGTCGGGTCTGGAAGCGAGATAAGCCAGTAGCAGCCAAGATTGCGTTAACGGAAGACTCTAGATCGGGGACTCCCCGAGCGCGAGCGTAGAAGTGCAGATGCTCGGTGACGGTCATGGTATCCATGGCGTCGAACTGGGGGCATACACCAAGATGGCCGCGGGCTACTGCGCGCTTTGAGATAACCGAGATACCTTCGATGAGAACGTCGCCTCCGCCGTTGATACTAGTGGTGGGGTGGATATCGCCGCGGATGAGAGAGATAGTGGACGATTTTCCAGCTCCGTTGGGTCCCAACAAAGCGAATACCTGGCCTTGCGGGATACCAAAGGTCATGTCGTTAACAGCGTGGTTATTGCCAAATTCCTTATGCAGGTGAAGAACACGGAGACTATCATTACATTGTTCGGTACGAGCGATCTCATGGGCGACGGCAGGGTCGAGCAGGTCAACGTCCTCCTCGGAGTGGCGTTGGCGTGACTTGGAACGGTTGAAGATCGGCGGTCTGTATCCGGAATCCCACCATACCAGCGCGATGAAGAGGATGATGGCCTGTACGATCAGGTACAGAATAGGTCCGCCGTACACGTTAATATCCCCTGGGTAGGCCCTTATCTGGCTGCCGTCGCAGAGCAGGGAGAAGGAGTTCAGCGAGAGGAGCATTGTCCGAAGGAGATTGCCAGAGGGCGTTATGGTTGCGAAAGCAAAGTGGAAGATCTCAATGTCGCTGTCGATGCGGTATGCTGGAGAGTACGTGAGGATCGACATGTATCCGATGAAATATAGAAGGAAGAGAGAGGCTTGACCTCCGGCCGCGAAAGCGAAGGTGGCGAGCTGGGAGGTGACAATGATGGAGATTATGTAGCAGAAGAGGATCGAGGTCAGACCGTAGAGGAAGAAGATAACGAACAGATAGCCGGGATTGTACCATACGGAGGAAGCCTAGAGAATAAAGTTAGCACTAGGCACAGAGACAAACCAACTCTAACGTCAAGTGTTCCGACTTACCCCAACGAAGATTCCGGTGACGACAGCGGAAATCAAAACGACGAAACAGAAATCGAAAATCAGATACGCCAACCACAGCGGCGCCGCTCTGATTCCGTTGCTGTAATGCAATGCTCGCACTTTCCTCAAACGCTCCACAGTCGGGTACAATGCGAAGAAAGCAGGATACACGCTCATCGCTAGGCCGAAGTATAGAATCAGCTGCAAAGTCTTCCCCATCCCAGGAGCAAACGGTACGGCAAATTGCTGATATTGTGTCGAGATCGGAATGCCAGTAAGAGTATCATCCAAAGCGGCCAGCGTCACCAAGCCTCCGATGATACCGCCGTTGCCGAGGTATGCCATAAGTGGCGGGGCGTTCTCCTGGAGGAAGAAGCCGCCCGGCGTGACGTTGTGGAATCGTGCCTGGATAAAGTCGTTGAACTCATCCAGCGTGCTGACAAGATGGAACGCAGACTCATTCAGCCCGGAGCGCTCTGCGAGAATGCTGACGTCGATGAGACTAGAAGGGCCGATGGGAATCAATGGGTTGACATCGACGTTTGCGAGCGAGAACACGTCTGGATCATTGGCTGCATCTCCGGGATCGCAGCCCACTGCCTCGAAACCCTTCAGGAACAACGTGACGAGACCGGCTGCGACGATAGGAATGAGGACAGCGCACACGTAGGGCCAGTAGTTCCGACGAAGGATTGTGAAGCGCTTCTGAATTAGGATAAGCGTCTGCTTGGGCATCGAAGTACCCAAGCCCTTCGACATCTGCGGACCTTTGTCGGCCTCAGAGTTCTGCTCGGACGTGGGACGAGAGAGAAGATCAGCATCCTTTGGCGCGTCGGCGGGCGTAGGCTCCCCCGAGTCAAGATTGTGCAGGTCTTTGATCTCCTCTGCGAGCGCCAGGAACACATCCTCTAGCGTGGGACCGACGATATCGTAGTTCTTCACGCCATGCTGGCGAAGGTCGTCGACGAACTTGGTGGCTGCAAGAGCATCGGGGAACCAATACTGTATCATGGCCTCAGAAGGAGCGGGCTTACGCACTCCGTTACTGGGGGTGATTGGGGTATCCTTGGGATAAGTGACGTGATAACCTGCGCCTACTTCGTGCTTGAGCTGCACCGATGTACCTTTGCTCTTGAGGTTACCGCGAGAGAGAATGGCAATGTAGTCAGCAAGCACATCAGCCTCGTCGAGGAAATGCGTGGTAAACAGGAAGGTGCGGTCGCCACGCTCTGCGAGAAGGATATCCCAAATCTTGCGGCGCGAGAGAGGGTCGAGGCCAGAGGTAACCTCATCAACACAGCATACCCTGCTTCCGCCCGTGAACATCATCGCAAGCTGCAACTTCCTCTTCTGACCTCCCGATAGCGTCTTCGACTGCGCCTTCATCTTGTGTCCCAGGTCGCAGGCTCTAATGAGGTTCTTGATGGTCTCCTTGTCATCCGTGGCACCCTCAGGGTGTGTCTTCAGTCGGTTGAATATTTGGACGTGTTCGAAGACTGTGAGCTCGTCCCACATGACGTTTTTCTGTGGACATAGGCCGAGGCCTCCGGTGCCGTCAATCTCGATGGAGCCGCTTGTAATCGTGTTCAAGCCGGCGATGGCGTCCAGGGTGGTCGACTTCCCGCTGCCATTGGCTCCTAGAAGAACCATGATCTGGCCCCGGCGCGCCTTGATGCTAAGGTCATTGACGGCAAAAACGGTCTCCGGGGGTTTGATACCGATCTTCGACAGGGCTTTTGCGCGGAACCAGCTTGGCGTCCAATGCTTCGAGAAGGACGAGAGAATGATGGAGTGGTTAGGAGAAGAAGTCGACACTTTTCGGTCCTTTGACACGGTGCCGTAAAGCCACCGCTCAACAAAAGCGCCGAGGACAGGATACACCAGGGTCTGGACAATAAGGAAAATCCAGAAGGCTATCCCAGGAAGCGTCCATACGTGGCTCTTGTAGTCAGGCGCCGCTTCGACGAGATTGGTCGGCTGTAGGACGCGCTCGAACCGCGCTACGTAAACGATGAACCACACGTAGTTCATTGACGGGAACAGTAGACTCAGGACGGCGACAGCGCCGGTGTTGAAGGGACCTGCAACCTGCGCGATGATCGCCAGCAGGATAGGAATGATGACCATGGTGATACCGGACAGTTGAGCCTTGCGGAAGAAGCTGGCGCCGAAGATGGAAAAGCTCGTCAATGCCGCACCAACCAGGATGTGGTATATGATCATGATGCCCACGTTCGTAGTCTTGAAAGCGAGCTGCCGGATAATGATGCCCATAATAACCCATCCAGGGAGGTAGATGATATCAAAGGCGAGATGGTTCGACAGAAGACGAGCAGCTTGTGTATGCCATGGGCGCTTCGCAGGTGACATGGCTTCTACAAGCTGCGAGATGCCTCCTTCGCGCTCCGAGGCCATCTGTCCGGTGAGCTGGTATGTGACGCCGCAAACGCCGATGTAGATTGCCACTGCCATGATATCGATCAGAGCACCCATATACAGCGTCCGTATCTTCTCATCTCGCTCCTCCTGTGTCTTGTCGGTAAACGGATATTCGTCGATCGTAGCGGGGAAGTTGGTTCCGTTGAGAGACACAATCGCCCTATCGACAGCGTTCTGGAAAGGCAGTATGTAGATCTGGATATCGTTGTCCTCCTGGTTGACGTATATCCGCTCTCCGAATGCTCCATCCGCCCTGAGTGTGTAGTTCCAGCCACCTCCTTGTCCTTCCGTTGGCGACGAATGAAAGCTGATGGCCCCGAAGCAAGTACTTGCGCCCCTTAGAGAGCTCGCGCATGTCGTGAGAAGGTCGACGTCCTGCTCTACCGTTTGCGCAATCTTCCCAGCGCCGCGGACCGTATCAGTCAGGGTCCCAATAACTCTCTCGATATCCCCTCCGGTATGTCCATTGTTCACGAAGACGACAGTATTGCGGTTGCCGGCCGCGGCGCCGAGCGCGTTTTCGAAGCTTCGAAGGGGCGTGGGCGATCCGATACCGAATTCTGAGGGCGGGACGAAGAAGTTCTTAGCGTAGGTAATGAAGAACATCTGCAGGCGCCACGGTTAGCAAATGATCCGGATTTGAGGGCTGGGAGGGATAGGTCGCATACGAAGATTATAGGCGCCCAGAATGCGCGTATGCTCGTGAAGAACCAGTGCCGCACGAAGACCACCATCAGCGTCTTCTTCGTGAGCGTCCATGTCTGCGAGAAGATGGCCATGACGGCTGTCTAGGTCCGCAATGGGGCGCGGGAAATGGGATTAAGAGCTGTAGGACCTCGAAAACTGTGGCAACAGCCACGTTCCCCAGTACTACGGGATCTCAATCAACGGGCGAAGGATTGCGGCATGCTCTCGAGATAGCGCGGTTCACGTCGCAATAAGGGAATGGGCAAACGGGGCACACGAAAAGGTAACTATGAAGGAATGAGGCGGAGGAAAGAGTGAATTGCAGCTTGGGACCCTCATCGTATCAAACGGATGCGCGTTCCGAGCAGTTGTCGACGTCTTCGATGCGTGGAGTCGGGGCCGAGTTCGCCCGCGTCTGGGATGACGGAGAGGCGCTTGTGGCTTTCCGGCCTGGCGTCTGCCACCCGATAGCCGGGACGCCTCCAACGGCTCGGTTGCAAGCGCACCGCGAACCTTGCCCGATCGCCCAAAGATCTGTCCCTCCATGTCTTCCAATATCCTCCTGGTCTCCTTCGATAACTGATGCCCCGGTATGCTCTGCTGAATGCATGTCCAAAACTGCGACCCCTCTCCACCTCGCTACCCCAGCGAACGCGCGACTGCTATCCCAACGCCGAGGATGCCCAGATGCCGAGCCCTATTCAGTATTAATGAGGAATAAGTCGCGAGGGACAAGAGCTCGCTTACAAGAGGAACTGCTGCTGCGCCTCGAAAGGGCTTCAGAAACGGCGTTGGAGATGCGTCATCGACCTTAGATGGCGGGACATTGCTGTCCGAAGAAGGAAGCGCCGCTAGGCGAAGGGCATTGAAGATTGTTGGCGTGGTCATCGTGGATTTGAATGGCGATATTGACGCCGAGGAGGATCTTGCTGTTGGCATCGGGGATTGGGATGGCGGCCCCGATGTTGAAGATCGTGAAGAAAACGGTGAAGAATTTCATGGTGTTGATTGGAATTGGAGATTGTAATGGAAGATTTTTGGAAGCCGAGGAGAAACTTGAAGAGAGGAGACTGATTTGTGGTGGTGGAAGAAAAAACGGCTCTGAACGGGCAAAGATTTTGGAGGGTAAACATCTCTTCATCCATCGCGGAAAGAACGACCTACACCTCACAATGGCAACAACACAGCTTGGCATAACAAAGAAGCGATGCTTCGCCCTCATCCGCTTTCGATTCCTATACGAAGGCCATCAGGCTCGCTAAAATAAAGACGACGAGTTCGATGCCCCTACAAGGTTGGCCGCCTCTGCTTCCTTCCCTGAAGACCCCCAGGCGGACCCATACAAAGCCGGGAAGGTTATCACCCCTCAGCTCCCATGGGCATGCCCAATTTCCGTCTGAAACCTATCAGCCTAGACTATACAGAGCCGGAGATCTAGGGTAACACCGCACCCCTTGTATCATCCTCGAACACAGCGCCGCACACGGTGTCCTTTCAAACATCGAGACACGTAGTCATCTCTTCTGGCTATATAATAGTCCTACATGCCACCAGCGTCTTCTATACCACCGCCAACCTCAGCCGTTCTGTCATACAACCGAATTTTCACTGTTTCTTGTCGACATGCGCTTCGCGCTCGCATTCGCCGCTGCTTCCACGACCCTTGCCAATGCGTTCAACCTCTCGTCCGACACTCTCACGGACCGTTCTAACTCCACGGGATTAAGGTTCCCTCCCGAACTGGAGAACACAGCTGCATGGATAATCTGCGGCCACTTTCTTTTTAAAGATTTCGGGAACAGAGATTCTCTTCCTGCCTCGAGGGGAATCTACGACCCGTGGTATAGGAACACTACTACCTCCACTTATTATCTCGTTGTGGCGGCGAACTTCCCATATAGCTTAGCTGTTCCTGCCACCAAGTTAAGCAACGAAACATGTATGGAGGGGTACAGGGGTGCCTTGAACGCTCTTGAGCTCCATAAGGATGGTCTTCTCTGGGGAGCGTACGGTGTCTGGCCCTGGTCTTTCTTGTAAGTGTAGTGATACGGCCTATTTCAGGAGCTAATCGAACCGAAGTCTTCATATTTGGGAGAAAGATCATCTACCGAAGTGGTCGATCGACTGGATGAACGGTTCTGCACATAACGGCTAGGAGTGCATTTTGATATACAGTACCTCTTGCACGAAAGGCTTGAGGAATTTCCAATCATCACACTATCGCTCCTGTTGTCGGGATTGTAGCGCAGGATCTTTGCCATATTACTATCTATGCGGCTTGGCGAAGAAGAGCGCGTGAGGCCAGTCGTTGTCAAGGCTGTTTTCTTCAGGCGATTATGCAATCTGATGCTCCTTTTGCAAGTTCTTTATTATTGTCTGTACTGCTTTTAAGGGCCTATCCTCAAGACTGTCGTGGGCTATGGCCTTTGAATATGCTTCAGCGCTGTATCTCGATCTTCAAGAAAGGGGAATCTCTTCCCGTGGCAATCTACTCGCTCTTTACGACCGGGAAAGGATTCCACCGAGTATTCTACCGCAATACACCACTTCCTGGACATCCTCCTCAAGGGCTGCGTAAAGGAATCTGAAGTGCGCATAAAAGGTTCCCTACTGCACGATGTACAGCCTTCGGTACCGTAACGCCGGCGACTCGCAATTTCAACATGCATTTCGTGGTAGTTTCTATCCTCGCTCTCTTCTCCGCTATCAGTGTGTTCGTCCATCTATCTAGTAACTACACGAGCCCATCCATTCCAGAGGACTGGTGGCTCCTCCCTAGTACCGAGAACGCAACCACAATCTTCGCTTCCAATCTAGTCAGTTCTTCGGTATTCTAACACTAGGGTGAGCGCCCGCCATTTACACACGATCATGGGTAAGACATTTAGACCCATGACACGTATTACTACACAGTAACTTTGAACTGTCACATTGCGTAGATGGTCTACTCTTCTAAAATTCAACCTATCAATGGGGACATGCCGGAAAGGTTTCATGACTATTTTGGAATTGGCGAGGCTCCAGAACGACAGCCATTACTGCGTCGGACATAAGTACTGGTCTTGGCCGTTCTTGTATGTACATATCTTCAAGCTGTACGTCCATTTGGCTATCTTGAAATCTCCGTGTATATGACGAAGACAGTCCGCCGGTTCGGCTTCCTTGCATCGACCATCGGAGAGACTGTGCCTGCGTTACCCCACGGTTATAGGGAGGTCTTTGATGCCGGCCGCAGAGGATGCGGTCTTTGGTCAATACGTTGGGCTTAAGTGTTGTCGGCGGGTAACTACCTAGATGTTGGATTGGAGCTTTCCACTGTCTCCCAGGGGTCCTCGAGAGCCCTAGCTCTTTTTGTCCGGCATGAGTATCAGTAGTCGTGATGTCGATGTTCTTGTCTCCCCCGACGAGATTGCTTCATACCTAGGTAGGCGGGATCTCGAACTGTCATGACCTCTCGTTTTGCCCCATTGTACAAGCAAACGAGGAGATGGGCCATTGCTCCAAACTATTAGATCTGTATCACATTTCTCGTGCACGATGCACGGCAACTTCTAGATTGGAAGGCTGCATTGTTCGCTCACTGCGATATCGTGAGAAGTGAATGAGAGCGTACAAGCCGCTGTCAGCCGCTCTATAACCCGACTTCGAATATTCTTCTCACTCCGGAAGAATTTCTTCGCCGTTAACACCACAGACCGCATCACGACATCCACAAACGTCTTACACGCATTCACACCCCTCCCGATCTCATCGCCGTCACTACATACACTATGCTGGACGACATCAGCATCAAGGGCATTCTAGGCAAGGACATCGACGAGGCGGTCAATTCAACAGCATCATACGTCCCGTACGGCGCGCCGAACGAAGTCAATGGAAACCCGGTCCTCTACTGGGTTGACCAATCCGCGAGGAACCCGAATGAAGCACCGCAGCCGCCGAACAAAGCATACTCCGAGTACACAAAGGCCGAGCAAGTTCGATACGGCATCCTGAGCCCAGCAGAACAACGCGCGCAACCGTCTACCCTCAACCCGCAGGCCGCCGCCTTCGCGCCCGCAGCCCCCACCCAGTTGACGCCGCAGACTGCCCTTCCTCGCAAGTCAGTCGAAGAGATTGTGAACGAGCTGCTGAGCCCGGGCTTCAGCATCACGTACAGGGGCGTCGACCACCAGGGCATGGCGACAATCGACCTGCCCTTCGTCGTCAGGTGCATGCGGCATAGCGGTCAGGAGCACCTGGAGTTCAGCCACCAGTTGGGACGCGTGATTCTGCGCAGGGATTCGGAGTTGTTGGAGCGCGGTAGGGAGCTGGGTCTGCCGGACCTCTACATGAAGTGGCTGGCGGGTGCGAATGGGGAGCACAAGTTGCGGATCCCGTTGGTGACGCTGCGCAATGCAGCAATGAGCAATAAGGAGAAGAAGTGAGTTGAGGGAAGGAGAGGAGGTCAGTGGAAGATGAGTGGGTGGTTTGGAGAGAGATTCGGCAGGCAATAGATTTCTGAGGGTAGCATAGAGCTAGCCATGTATTCTGTGGAATATGAAGCACAAAGTCCATATTATGATCCATAAGATTAAATAAAACGTGCCAATCCAGCCCTGTGATAATGAGTGAAGCGGCCCCTCGTCAGTAATGGTGTAAACAAGGCCAAACGCCCCCCACCGCAGAAACGAGCTCTCACTTCGCCTTTTGGCTCCGCACAACAGGAAATTGTTGTATATATATTAATTAAATATCAATCACTTCTAACAAAATCAAGCCATGGCTTAGCGGTCAGTACCCATTACTCCGCTCAAACAAACGAATCGATTCCAAGATGGACTCAAGGTATGTATAATCTCATTACTCATATACGCCTGCACTGCAATTAGATTCCCAATCTTGTATCCAAAAATCTACTCATAAGCCTCCGCTACTAAGTAGCGACCTGAGTTCGAGGCCTAAATAATTCTTTTTTGCATTTTTCTCCTTATGTTCAGAATACCCAAGGGAGACTCGTAGAATATTTTTGCACCTTTATTCAGGACTACTGGCATGAAATTTGGACGCCGATACATGGTGTCTAGCGAGAGTCTATGGTGGTGGTGATGTTTTTGCACGTATGGTTTCGAAGTGACGTCGACACGCTGGGCCCGCCAAACGGCAAGCTTGCTTCACCAGGGCGACGGCTCGCTCCTTCTCTACCCACCTTCTTGCGCGAGTGCTCCACTTAGTTACCCTCTGCCTCAACTACGCTTAACGTTCTCCTCAACTGCATCAGAGACCTCGTACGCTTCCTCGAGCTAGCGACGGGACACGAACAAACGAACCCAGCACCCTGAGAACGAAATCCTCCAATACGCCCATTCAGCGCGGAGGGACACCTAAGACTAAACGTCCGACTCCGTCCTCCGCCCCTTCCACGTCCATTCCTGGTCGACCAGATAGCCGAAGCGCCCTCAGCAGCCCAGGCGACACCACTACAATGTCCGACCAACAGGGAAACACGGGTAATCAGAGAGCGCAGCTCCCTGTGCATTTTCGCGGACTGCAAGCAAGAGAGGACGACAATCCCTTCCTGCGAGGTGAACCCAGTGGCTTTGGCCCTCGCACAGCTCGTCAGGACAATCGGGCGAACGCTACTCCATCACGTGGCGGTCACCGAGGCTCTGCTCGCGGCCCTCGAGGTCGCGGCCGAGTCTTCCGTGGCGGCAGCTACGCTCCGCGCCCGGATCCTCCAGCACAACCGACAGCTCCTCCTCGCGCGCCGGCCAACCCTTTCGCTCAGGGGCGCTTCGACGGCTTCGCAACGCTCCCTTCGGACCCTCCTCAGGCTTACTACCTGCATTCGCCTCCCACACACCCTCCGCGCCCGGCTCTGCCTCCAGCGGCCACTCGCGTCCCGATAGAGGGCCAAGGGTCCGACCACTCGCAGACCTTTCCGCGGAGCGCGGCTGGTGATATCGTCGCGCGTCTCCGAGACCTGCCTTCGAATGCCGTCCGGAGCGATGGCTCCCTCCGACTGACCCGAGACTGGGCACAAAGCAGAATTGGTCTGGGAGACTTGCGGCGCTCAGCGACCACCGGACGACTCGTGCTGACGCCCGACTCGCAGCTGCGTCGCCTCGGAGCGAACCTCGGTGTCCCCGCCCTCTTCATCGAGTGGATGATTGAGGAGGATGGTGTGGGGGGAGATACCATCGAGCTCCCGGCGGCCGTCGCGCGACCTTTCTGGAGGTATTGAGCAGCCCGATTCCTGGGGTCGGGCTCAGATTGTCCTCCGGTTCGACTGTTCGCTGTACGGCAGATCCTGGACCCTTCATCCGAGTCCCGCGGTCTTGGAATAATCTGGTACCGTTTTGCTCCCACCGCAACCCCATTGCCTTCGTGGAGAGATATTCTGTAGCTTCACGTTCCGCATCGAGTTCCATTCAGTCGAAGCTGCTAACCGAGCGGTCATGTCCTTGCGGGAATGCTTCGGCTTCCTGACGACCAGTTCGCCCTCCAGCAGAAAAAGCTTCTTGATTGCGTTGGTCAGTCCATGTCCACGGTGACACCTTCGTCTCATTTCAAGCTGTGCTCAAAGACGGGTTCATCATTGTCAAAACATCGAATCGGATCCATCTTGTATACGCCACTATATCCCCAGCCCCGTTCAGGGCTACCCCGAAGCGAACAAGTGTCGGGGCCCAGAGGCCTGCCTTTGGATTTGGCGGATGATTATGGATTTCGGTTTCACACTTTGCTTTGGGTCATAGACCTCCCTCTTGCTGCTTAGGGATCGCAGCACGAGATGAATTTATAGTCTATTTGGTGTTGGGCATATAGTTTGCAGTCATTCAATCAATCTACCTCAACAAGATTCTCCGTCTACCTTGATATGCCGTGTGATAGACATGTCAGCGAGCAGGGACCAGTGAACGTAGATGCACGTGATGTAAGGAAACAACAATTAATTGCTCGCAGAATTTGCTTTGGTAGGCTCATTATACCAAACTCATGCGATAGCAAACACCTTGATTATACTTCCAGGCATGGGACGTAAAAACGTGGCTCGTTGAAGCTGCTAAGTATGGCAGAAGTCGTCCATCCGTGTAGCTCACCAACGGCATTACGCAGTGTGCAAAAGCGGATTGAGTTAGAGTATGCCATTTGCGATATATCAAGGTAGAAGCTATGTTTTCCATATACCGTCCGCGCTCACATATCGAAGAATCGCTGTCCTTCAAGGGGGCACCTTTGCAGGAGCCCAGAGCCAACCGAAACGCCATATGCGAAGCTTGTAGAGAAGAGAGACGCTATACATCCGTTAGTACCTGAGCCACGCAAAGCCCTCAATGATGAACTTACCAACTTCAGTTGAAGTGGCTCTCGGGAAGCGTAAGCGTCTCGTCGCCGGAGCGTAGCCAATCCATGATCTCCTGGCTCAACCCAGCAGCGACGCCGCGCTCTCGAAGCTCGTCATCCTGGACGAGAGAATGGCGACGGGCGAGTGGCGTGCGCTCGAAACGCTCCGGACCAGCGACGCCCACGGCCCATGTGATCGTCAGCGTGACGGTGCCGTCGCCGTTGTAGAGTTCTTGAGGAGGAGTCATCAACCGAGTGACGACGTCGGTGAGCGTGGTGACCTGCGGAGGGGCAGCAGGGTCCGGCGCGTAGAGGCCGGGTTGTAGAGGTGCCTGCTGGGCAGGAGCGGCGTTGGGGTTGGCGATGGCGAGAGCTCCAGGGGCGGAAGTCTGGCCGGCGGGAGGATTCGGAGAGGACAAGAGGGCATCGATGTGGCCCTGGACGTTCTAGAAAGGGTTAGGGCTGTAAGTACCGAAGCTTTCTGCGCGCCAGACTTACGTTGGTGGCTTCGTTGCCGCTAGGCTCAGGAGAAGACCTTGGAGAATGGGAGGAGGAGGTGGTGTTGTTGCTGGCCATATTGTCTAACTGTGGTGGGGAGTCTGGATGTTGTTGGAGATATAAAAAATGAAGCGCGGCGGGCCTTGATTATATAGAGTACTGCGCCTCTCCGGGCGGGGTCTGGCGAAAGGTGAAGAGGAATAGGCTTCAAGGTCGAATTCTCGGGAGACCTGGAAGCCGCTATCGACGCTGCCCTTCACCCATAATTCGTAGCGAAATGGGAATATTAGAGACTAGTAAAGGACTTCTAGTGAGATACAATGACTCATTCTCGGCTATCTGGAGCTCAGCTTTTATATTCTCAAGGTGACCGTTTGTGGAGCTCTTGCTCCTTTCCAAGTGACCAAGGCAAGCAATTGTGTTTGCTTTCGCAGGCAACTGTCTTTGACGGCTTGCTTCAACAAAGTACTTCGAGTATCCTTTGGAAGTTTTGCTCACGCTGCGTTTCGAGTGCGAAGGTATTTGTTGCTGAGAAAGCAAAGGTGAAATGGAGCCTACACTAAATTTTAGGTTTAGACAAGGCATACTATGTCACGCCGTTCTCGACATTGCTTACTATTTAGACTTACGGTGCTCTCTATATCTCTTTCCCAGATACAAAGGTGTATCCACTACCACTCTGCGGAAATCGAGGCTGCAAGCAATACTGACTTCGACTCGGCTCCACGATCTTCAACTGCTCCTCCCTTGACCAAAATCTCCTCTACTCATCGATTCTCGTGGAAATGGCGGGTATGTCAGAAGGAAGCCAGTCTCTGACGGCTGGTGCCAGCAATCGTGTGAGTGCGATCGACGACGAAAGCATTCAATGCCACTAAAGGCATTTAGCAAGATGAGCGTGGTAGCTCAACGGACCAACAGCCGCCCTCAATCCACCTACTACATCTGCTTCCAGTGGCGGCGCCCCAACGGATCCTCAAGCCTCCCCTCCTCGCTCGTCTGCGCTCTATACTCCTACGTTTCCACCCGCTCACGACGACTTCCCCGCAGCAAACGACCCGCTCGAGGCCATCGTCAACCGCCCGCGCAACCCGCCACCCGAGGCTTACAATGCGAGCCGGACCGTCGTTACCCTCCCACTCCAGTGGGCCATCGGCGTGATTGGCGTTGACCAGTTCCGAGAAGAGGAGACGATCAATCGCCGCATCCTGCGCTCGAGCTCGGAAGTTCGTCAGCGAGGCGTGGCCGCTGGTGTACCGGTAGACGTTTTGGCCTGGCTCGTTGGCGCTCCGGCGACTGAGACTGTCGAGCTCTCGGCTGAGGTATTCAAGGGGGAGAACAAGGACGGCAACACGGATGATAGTCAGGGCGTGGCTTAGAAGGCTGGCTTCTGCCGGGTATGAGTGGACTAATCTCATGGTAGTCTACCCATACACCGAGGCGCTCCTCTAGCCGACTTCAGGTATTGCTTTGTCCGCACTGGGAACAATGACCTTTGGAGGAGATTGGGTCGGGAAGGGTCACTCTCGTGGCCATGCCTCTGGGCCATGCTCACGTTCACTATCAAAGTAATACCAATGAGTCAATGCCTGCCTTGTTCCCTCATACCAGAGTGATTACCGTCTCAGGCTCAGGCGTCGGCTTTGGATCCCCGTTTCTATAGATACACTCATAATACTCCACCCCTTTCCAAAGCTCTTTCCCTCTTTGCACACAATCGAAAGGCCTTTGCTCCCCTCCAAGCGACTCTGTGACATGCTCTTCAAGTTCTGCAATACCCAGGTGCCGCAAGTCTTGTCAGCAGTCGTATCCGGAAATCATGCCCCTTCTAAGCTCAGAAGAGCTTTACTTGGACGGAAGAAGGCCTCGCGAGAGACACGCAAGGAGTTCGCAGTAAGCCGAGACCCTTGTGGGATCGAGTCGGCGGATGTATTGCAAAGTCCCCATGTCAGGCGAGTCACAGGGACAGAAACGTTGAGCGCACTCTTAACTGCCGAGCCAGACTAGGGACTGCGGTCACATCTGTTCGGGTGCAACATAGAGTTGAATCGAAAGTCTGGGCAGCTTCTCCATACATGAGATACACCCTTGAAATGGGATGGCCTTCTACTTCCCCAGGTGAACACCCAGAGACAGTACCAATTGGACCTATCACATTCGACCTCAATAACGTTCTTCGCGCCCCTCGCGTCAACATAGGCGAACTGACTGTGTATCGAAGGAGTCGAGAAGAGCGCAGAGATGGCATCCTGTTCGTCCTGATATTTTCAATGTTCTGAGCCACCTATGGTGACCAAAGACGTCCACATTCCTATTATGATTTGCGGAGTAGGAGTTAAAGGGGTGCACCTTCGTTTGGCAAGAAAATGAGGACCTTTAACTCCCGAACAAACGTCTGGCATCATTTACAGAGTTTGTTACTTCCAGGTACTACGATATCAAGCCCTAGCGTAAGGGCTTCTGGTTCTGTCCTCCGCGCCGGCTCTGAACTGTGACCTCCGCCTCCTTCTCGTATGTTTCTTGTCGGCTTCCTTTTCGCCTTTGCCCTGTCGTCAGGATACGCTGCTGGCAGATCATTGCATCTATGTCATCCAAAAGCCTTGCCATTCTTTGCGATCCCTTTGTCCTTCAGGAGGGAGCGGACTCTTCGGTATTGTTGCTTCTGGGGAAACTGCTCCAAAGGTTGCCGATTCTGTCCTGCAGCACGTGATGAGGCCTTGCTACGCGATGCCTCCGGCAGCGATTTCTCCAGTGCGTGAGACGTAGATATCTCTGAATTTGCGTACGGTATATAATGGATGTGTAGAGGATCGGCACAATGTAACAACGGCGTGGGTCTGGTTCCGCGGTAGGTGCACGTGGTTCCTAAGCTCGAGGGTATGTCAGCGCGACCAGGCGATTTTAGTGTTTTAAGGGGCCAAAAGTACCTCATTGGCTACGGCGTCGTTAAGTGTGAGTCGCTCAACGTTCTGGATTCGGGGCACGATGTGCAGTTCAGGTCGTGGAGGGAGAACGGTGTGGGTCGAAGGTGGAGACATAATGCATCAGCCACAGAGCTAAGCCCCATTGTGGCGTCCATTCCATACGCACGACGCAAACCTGTTCCATCCGCTCACCGGAAGTTTGACTATCATGAAGAGCTGTACTCGGACAAGGAAACTGGTCAAGAAGTGATACTACTTCATGAATATTCGAAAAGATGCTTCAAACAGCTCGGCTTCTTGCTGTTCAGCTATCTGGCCAATCAGCCTCCCACGCGCGGCTCAACTCCAGGGGAAGAGGTTGCCCCTCACTCCCGGCTCACTCTGGGATGTACTTGTTTGGAAGCGGCAATGGGGGACTATACCTGGCAGCCTTACCAAACACTATGATTCTGAACAAAGCAAACTGAGCGAAAAGAAGAACCAGACTTCATGTATGTCGGCTACAAAGTACGTTAACCAAAGTTATGCATACGCCCAAGCAAGCGAGGCCGTGTACTCATATACCAGAAATCATGAGGTCGCGCGGTCCATCCACCCAGCGACCGATTGACTCAACAAGCTATTAGGAAAAAGAGAAAACGACCAAGTCAAACAAGGCAGAAGGATCGCAGTACCTTGGAACGTAACCCATACCAAGACTGCCTAGACGGGACTGTCGGAAAGACCCAATTTGCTCGATCATCACTTTTTTCTGGACCGTGATGTAAAGACAGCTTCATCCTACCAGGTCTCGAGCAGCAAGGCATCTCGCTCTGTTTCCCGATCGCCAATCACCACCCCGGCGGCGCACACATCCAGTTCTTTCCCTTCTCCGCCTTGCACGGCTTCCTATTCTTCGGCTTCTTCGTCACCATCGGCGTCGGAGCCGTACCCGGTCGCGTAACGGGAGGTAGTGTGCAAGGGGGAGGAGTATAAGTCGTTGGCGTGCAAGTATCGTAGCAGCTATATCCCACTTAGAATGATGTTCTTGAAGCTGGCAGACAAGTACTCACCCTCCGTATAACAACGTCTGGTTACCGCACGTGGTCATCATATCGATGCAGAGCGTCAAGGGAGAGCAACCACCCTCTGTTGACATCGGAGGTTCGGTTGGCGCTGGGGTGATTTCGGGTGCTGGTGTCTCTGAGCAGAGCGGTGCGGTGAAGGTCGGGACTTCGGAGGCGGTCATGGAACACTCGTCCCAGCATCTGCTTTCGAGTTAACAGGGTCGTGACGAACGTTAGGGAGAGAAGTGGAAGGGAGGGCGGAAGGAAAGAGGGGAGGAGAAGGAACCCACCCGCCATAGGGCGTGCCGCAGTCATTGGTCGCCGTGTAGCACTTCGACTGAGGACAGTCTCTCTTCACCGCGCTCGACAGTACCAAGGAGGCAAAAGACAACGACAAGAAGTACGTGGCTCTCATCCTGACCAGAAACAATGATGGTTCGCGGCGGCGGCTTGCCGGTGGGCACGTTTCAGACGAACGGTGTGGAGTCCAAAAGCAGTATCCGTATCTCAGAATGACCGAGGAGGCGTCCTGAGCAGAAGCAATGCTCGCAAGGATATACTCAGAAAATGCGATCGAAGAAGGCTGAAGCCCCGATTAAATAGGCAGATAGGGTGTGCGCAACCGTAGATCCGAGAATCCCGTGTCCCCGTCCATCGCGAGATCGATGACTTCATAATATCCTATGTCGGGCCACCAGGCTCGAAGAGTTCTGCGGTCTCAAACTTCTCCTCTCCGCGTTGCTGCAGGCCAGCTATCCAGCGGAGACGGAACTTGCCTGCCAGCATCTGCTACCGCTTCTAGAAGTGATGGACCGGGAGCGGTGAACGAATACCAGGCACGGTGATAAGCCACTGCGTAGAGTTAGCTGGATGGACACCGCGCATCGGAGTCAAACCTCGTGTTGAGTGGAACTGTTCCAAGGCACATTCCACCGGTTCCAATGGGCGGAGCCATAACCGAGATGAGAGATCGATAAAACGAATAGGGCTGGACACATCAGAAAGTGAAGCGGGCATTCCGAAGTTGACTGTGGCGATCTCTGGATGTATGCAAGGTAACCTGTCTGAGGAAGCGGTCGCAACGGGAGCGTGGTTGGTCGGCATTTGAGAGCGTGATGCTGTGCAAGGCCGCCGAGGTCGATAGCGTGACAGAAGCCGTTGAAGCTGACGGTCAAGACATTCGAATGGAACTACAGCGGTATCAGTCCACGTCATGTTATCGTAAGCCATCTCTCTTCCCCCGTCTGTTTGCTCGCGAGCTCAGATACGAGCGAGCAAACCTGCATCTCATATACACCCGCGCACGTGCGGTGATCGACACCAGCAAGCGCAAAAACCTGGATCCAGCCCGAGCACCAGGAATAGCCCGTATGCCATCAATATTACGTGGCCGCAAGGGGTGTGGATATTGTGCTCGCGAGACCGATCAAGGGAGCTTCATTTCGGAGGCTTGGCGGCGGAAGGCGAGATTAGGGTGCATATAGAGAGGTATTGCGGCAGATGCAACGTAAATGAGACCTATAGGTGTATTAGCATGTCTCAATTTGGCTGCAGAAAGTCGCTCCTGGAGGTTGTCGACGTGTAATCCTCGCCTATTTGGTGTAGGAATCGTGGATCGGACGCACTCTCGCTGATATGAAACTGAGACCTGTAGACGGATCAGCATGTCTCAGCCTTGGCTGCGGAAGGCCACTCCTAGAGCTTGTCAACGTGTAAAGTAGATCTAAGAAGTGTAGGTATCACGGATAGAAGGCACCCTGGCTGGTCTAAAGTGCATTGCCATTATTCTTGAAGTCTATCACCAACTATCTCAGCCTAGGATGCTTCGCCAACCTTTACTCAGGCCTGCTATACATGCTTTGCACCGTGTAGTCCCTTTTCGGCCCCAAAACGTCAAGTGCGAGGCTGAACTGTTGAAGGCTCGCGCCGCGGAACCAAAACTCGCTCCTGCTCTTGAATGTGTCCCCGTGGCAAAGCCCCTCTCCTTCACCAAGCCAACCACGGAAAGGTTCTTCAGGAGCGCGGAATTTCCAAGTATCAAGGAGAGTCCCCGTGGTGAAGCCATCTTTGTGCGGGAACCAAACAGTGATCGTGTCCGTGTCTTCGTTGTAGCGGTAGATATAGCGGTCAGTTCCCTGCCGCACGGATCCATTTTCCGCGGTGAAGATACCTTCCTCGACGCAGAAGTATTCGGAAGCGTAAGCGGGATCTGTAGGTTCGCGTGGGTGGAAGTTGGAGATGCCCTTGAACGCCTCTTCAGCCACGGAGCCAAATCGCAAGTCTATCCCGCGTTGAACGCTCCAAATTCCTTGAAGACCCCTGAAGACAGCGGCAGCGACGAATCTGCTTCCGTCTTGGGATTGCTTCAGAATCTCTTCGACTTCGCGAACGACGTTGAATGCGTCGTTGTCGGTGCTCAAATCCACATATCGAGCCGGGAATGCAGGACCTTCTTGAAGACCGAGCGCATAATCGTGACGCTCAACGTTTGTCGCTCGCGAAAACTCCTCCATTAGCCCCACATAGTCTCCCATGGAGAATTGCGGTAGATCTAGTGCCCTGTCTTTAATCGCTTGCCGAATCAAGCGAGATTCAGAAAGGTCGGAGGTTTCTGGTCGTGCAGCCTGACCGGAATCCGGATTCCAAGCTTGCGCCACCAAGCGAGCTTGAGCTTCCATGAATCCCCAATATGGGCCTTCGTAGAAGCCGATGAAAGCCATCTGCGGTACGTTGGGGTTGAATACCGCGCCATGGGAGAGAAGGAAGGGCAGGCGACGACAATTCGGGTCGTAGTCCAAAGCTTTCTTCACGCGGTCCGAGAGGTAGTTAAGATGCACTTGATAACCCGAAGCTTCGATAATGCCAGAAACGTCATCGATTACGAGGCCCATGTTCTGTTCGGCGGGCGCCCAAGGGGATTGGGGCACGACGGTCACGTAGTGCATAAACGGGTCGTGATTATCTTCAATTCCCTGTACGCTGCTAGGGTTCGGTATCCTGCCAGCTCGGCCCTGAATGGGAATGATGATGCCGCTCCTCACGAACTCGGTATACGTATCCGTAACGCCAGTATATGCGGGGAATCGTGTAGCTTCTGGCCTGTAGACCAGCTCTGGACGTCCGAGGTCTCCCTGGTCACCCCCTACAAGGGATCGAATGAACTCGTGCCCCTTCACAGCCTTCTCGGCCGGTACTTGGCCATTGGAGGACGAGATAGGACCTTCGCCCCTGCGCGAGAGGTTGTAGAGCACAAGGTCTAGCGGGAGGAAGTGCGGCGCCGTATTGAAATCGCGAGCGGGTGATGGACGAGGCTCTGAAACACCCCCGGAGGCGCTATCGCGGACTGGAAGGTATGCGTCCTGTGGGATATATCGTGGGAGGCAATAGAAAGGGCGATTGAAGATATGGTAGACCTTGGCGTCGGCGTAATGAGGCTTGTTCTGTCCTGGCGACCACTTCGAGCTCGAGATCTGGAAAGCGGCTGTTGCCGCAGCTTCCGAACCGCTCATACCGCCTCCAACAACAACGATCTTGCCCGGTGTTTCCGCAAGCTCCTCGACGTGGCAGAATTTAGAAGAGTGAGGCTGTCGTGCGGGATAGTCGGCGTCGGGGTCCTGGTTTCGGTTGTCGAGCCATGCGGGCTGATCGAAGAATCCGCTGGCGACTACCAGATGGTCGAAGGAGTCTTGAAACAGCTGCTCTGTGTCCACGTCGACCGAAGACACGTTCCACACTCCAGGAGAGGGCGTATGTTCGACAAAGTCAGCGGCTCGGACCTCGCGGTTCAGATGTATGATGTTCTCGGGTAGGAACTTCCGCGCGTAGGCGTCGAGATAACGTCCAACCTGCCATGCCTGGGGAAACATTGGCGGCGCCCCGGCGTGCGTCGTTCCCGTGAGGGGATTCGTGAGGTCGACAGAGGCCCATGAGAGGTCAGAGAAGGACACGGTGAATCGGCTAAGGTTCGTGCGCATCTGTGGGCGGCATTTGCTACCAAACTCGTCCGGAGCGAAGCCCCACATCCCTCCCACGCGTTTCGCTGAATCGAATATGGTAACCTTGTATTTGGTGCCTCCGTCATGGTAGAGAAGCGACTTCGCGGCGACCAGACCGGCCGGACCAGCGCCAACGACGAGGACGGACTTCATGGTGACGCACGGGGTGTAGAGTATGGGTGCAGAGCTCGATGCTGGCGGGGATGGTTATCGAGGGAGCCGAGTCAAAAGAAGTTGGTCGAAGTGCACCCGTTTGTAGTGTGGAGGCGCGGTGGGCTTTCCCAAGCTTAGCGCGAGTCATCCGGACCCCCGCCGAGGCCAGCCAATGAAACGGCCGGACAGGAAATTAGTGCGTCGCCCAGCTCCAGCGCAGCCAAAAAAAAAAAGCCCTTGGAGTACTCTAGGGGTCCGTGACCCGGTGCAAAGCTGTGCTATTGCGCTTCACCCAGCCTGACTCTACTATCTCTTAACTGCTACGCCGGATGCGCAAGCTAGAAGTCCAGCATTTCAGGTGTAGTTGTGTTCCGCCGGGGTATGCACGAGATGCCCATTACAAGAAGAGTGTAACTGGGCTTTGGCATGTCCCCCTACGGCGAATAGGAACGAAGGGGTCTGGAGTGCATATGTTTACAATGAGACACAGGCATTCCTCTAGCATGGCGCAGGAGAGATGTCTCTGACAACCAGACAAACCCAAATTTCATAGACCAGACCAGAATACTGTCGCTATTTCCAGTCTACCTCCATTGCTGGGAGCTAGGGTTCAGGATAGGAGGCCAGAATTGATTAGTGAGCTCTTCATCGAGTCGAATTGCGTCCTTCCGGTCTGCTCGGCAATGTTTAGTGACCGCCAGCCGCCACGGGAACGTAAGAAGACGTACCGATATCAGGTATCGAATATGGCTCTACTTCAGGTCAGGGCAATGCTCGAGGGCAAGGAAGAGAAGACTCACGATGTCGGTAGCGTGCTTGTGGTGCTCAAACTCCGCTCTGGCGAATTGCCGCATGTCCTTTCTTGTCGACATGTCCGAGATCGACGCCGTGCTGCGCAGAATATCTCTCCATAGAGCCAGTGCGCGTTGCCTCTGGATGAACTGAATGACGGTGAGCCATTATTCGGCCTGGAATGCGGGTGGCTCACATGATCGAGACCCAGGGGCGTCTTCCCACGCATCCGGAGGGCTGAAGGCCTTCGGGCTATAGTGGCATAGCCGCACTTCATCGTATCGGGGAATAAAGGACGCCGGGCTGCATTTTATGATGTTGCAGAGTCAGGGGTCGGCATGACGATCTCTGCATGAGGCTCTGCGCGAAGAAAGCCGGCAGTGGCTGACATAAGGCTGGCCCCTGCGTGAATCGGTCCTGACCGCCCGGCAGAACGGCGCGTCCTCCACACATTCCACAAACGCGCTCCCTGCTCAACTCAGCGTCTCTACCCACAATGGCTCCCACCAAGCAGAAGCTCCCCCCCTGCTCAAAGATCCTTTCCACTTCGCGCGCCGAGGACTCCGAAGGCGCCAAACCCTCCCGCATCACCGATCGACTCACTACTGCGACCCTGCTTCGATTGTGGGAGCTAGCCCCACCAAAAATCGACCTCCACAACGTCAAGCTCGGGTTCCGCCGCGCCGACGACGTTTCGTATTCAGATCTGGACGACTGCCGCAGTATCGTCAAGCACACTTCTTATGACGATTACAAGAATTCGAGCCATGGTTGGAACGAGAAGCACAAGATGAGGGAGATGGAAGACCCAAACATGCTCTACATTCTCGTCCGATCCGCTGACGGTTCCGATGCGACTTTCGCGCCGTCCCTTCCCACGAACATACTCGGCTTCATTTCCTTCATGGTCGCGAAAGATGACCCACCCTACGAAGACGTCGACGTGGTCTATATCTACGAGGTCCACGTTGGAGACCAGATGCGCGGCAAAGGCCTCGGATCATGGCTTGTTCACGTGGCAGAACACGCCGCAGAAATGGCGGGCATCCCGAAGACGATGCTCACTGTCTTCACGAGCAATGAGGCGGCAATGGGCCTGTATCGTCATCTCGGGTACCGCAAGGATGACGCCTCTCCGGAGGGTCGGCGAGTGCGTGGCAGGGTCATCCAGCCTGACTACCTCATCCTGAGCAAGCTTGGCGGGGGGAATGGAGGGGCATTCAGTGGTCGTCTCGATTACGCGTGAGCAATGGCTTCTGGGGGTGTTATGGGTGGCCGTTCTGCGTCTTCCAGCGTTTCTCGCACAAGATACCCAGGGATTTTCATGACTGAATGCATGCATGCGAGCTGGTTGTCTCCAGCCGTCTCTTACCGTCACTTGTCTCTTCTCGTGCTCACTGTTTGTTTTGTCTGCCTACTTGCTCCCCCCACTCTGGGCTCACCGCCACTCGTCTCGCCCCACTGCGTCCGCCTGCACCTTCCCAACCTGCCGCAGTTGCCCCCCTCCTAATCTTAGCGTCCGAGTCCGGTTTAGCGCTGTTTTGCTCCCCGCTTCACCTTCTGCCTATAAAAGCCTGCTGCCTCACCTCCCAAACCTCCTCACCTACATCTCTTCTCGCCCCTCCGGGGTCTACCAGTCTGCTGGGATAAAAGGCTTATGCCCAAACCCGGCGCGGGGGCGGGATGGTAGGCGTTTGAAGCCTCTCCCGTCCCCGCGCTGAGGCTAATTTGAGGCGGGCGGCGGGTGAGTTCCCTCAGCAGAGACATTGTTGGCAGCGATACTAACACGAGACAGCTGCGATGAAATAGGCGGCCGCCGCCCAGTTGTCGACCCTTCGACGCCGCAGCCTACTTTACCGGCTATGGTCCGGCGTCTCGCGCCATCAACGCGAGACGCCGGACGGAATTGTCTCCCTACTCGTCCGCTGGTGTCGGAACCGACCTCACTGCATACTCTCCGACGCCGGCGGACGAGGTGGGGAGCTTTATATGCCCCTCCTTCATCAGTCAAGGTATGTTTGCCTAGCTTCTTAGGCTGGACTACTTTCTAACCAGCGCAAGAGAGTGAGCCGTTGTGAGCCGTTGCGCAATGAGTTGGTGGCAGTATGGCAACATCTTCGCCGCCTCGGGCCCGGCAACCCGCACGTCTACGGAAGCATGACCGGCATGCTGGCGCAGCAATATGCGAATACGCCCTCGTCGACGACGAATGTACTACGGCGCTGGTATGCTCATCCCACCTTTTCTCATTCGCAATCTAGAGCTGACATTGTGTAGCCCCGGGATTGGGCGAGCAATTCATGACTGGCACCGACTAGTGAGCCGGAGAAGCCCAAGGATCCCACCCCAACGCGGCGGACATCTCACCACTACCCCGGCTATCGCCCCGCGGTCCATCCCCGGTTTGACCCCCGAGCAGCTACTAAGCCTGGCGCCTATCTTCGCTTCGACAACCTTCGCCACTACTGTGAGGCTTAGTAGCTGCTTGGGGGTCGCAGCTTCAAGGTGTATTTCGCCGACAGCTATGAATCTTCGCGGCGCGTGTCTTCGGCCGACAACCTCCGTAACTCTTGTGAGTCTCATCAGCTCCTCAACCGTCGGAGCTTTAAGGTCTTCTTCGTCGACACCTACGACTTCGCCGGTGCAAAATTGCCGGTCATCGGGTCCATCGATGAGTTTAATGGTCGAATCCGTTGCATCGCGCCTACTGCAATTAGGTAAGCGGCTATGTCGATTGTTCTTTGTGCGATAAGATGCTAACAGTGCTCGTAGGTTCTGCAGTCTTCTAAGCCTGCCGTATGAACACGCGAGATCCCCACGTACGGCGCAAGAACAATGGGGACAAGAAAGTATCGGCGAGGGAAGGGAGCTCGGGAAGTGGCGAAGTAAGCCGCCACGGTAGAGTAGAACCCTTGATGCCACCATCAGAAGAGGCGACTGGGTGTGGGGACATTACATAGTCATTTGCATTTAAGTTTACGGATTTTATTCACACGCCTTCGAAGATCTCTCTTGGTGATGTGCAGCCCACTACTCGTCGACGTGTATTAGTCCCGTCGCTGGATCCTAGGGTCATCACTGTTGCCGCGTAGGAGGTTTACCTGCAGAGATACACATGCCGCCGGCCACTTCATCATTGCTCACCGTTCTCACTACAGCGACGCGCTCTCCAGTCTTGGTTTATCACCCTAAGGGCTCATCACCATACCCCTTTTTCCCAATCTGTTGTCATGAAGCTAAACTGAGCGGTATACATCTCGACATCCCTCTCGCCGCGGGACTGCCCATCAGGATTCTTATCAGCTCACATGGGCACACTTAGTGCGAGAAAACGCTTCATTCTGCAATAGCTTGACATATCTCGTCCAACGAAACTAACCACTCTTTGTATACACCACGCACCTCCGTGCACACAAAGATAGCTCCTCCACGCCTAGATATCCGACAGCTAGCTTTCATCAACCCCGCCGACGCTTCCGAGCCTCCTGCTTGCAACCAACATCAACATGGAAGAGGATGAGGGGCATACGGGGCATACACTTGAGCCGCTACGTTAGGTGGATGTAGGCGAGTGCGTCGGACGGCATTTTCGGTGATAGAGCGCATCCGACGTCTTCAGTGTGCTACATGGAGACCGAGTTGGGGTATTGAGGTTTAGAAAGAAAGACACCATATATTCAGGAACTGGATGATGAAATACAAGAGTCGAGAGACCTAATCGACGCGATACATTAACACGAGTATCAACGCTACTTGGTACCTGGAAGCATTCGAGCGACAACGTCTTTCTTGCCGTGTCATCTAATGGTATCTTCAAATGGAGGGTGCTACTATCCCAGCCTAGCCCATGCAATACCATACATGTCTTGATCTACTACCCATGCGCAATGAAGAAGCGTCATCTCACGCGCGAGGCTGGTCCCGGCTACTGGGCAGCTTCGTCCCTCTGGAGACCCAGCCGACCTTCCTCTTAACCCACCGCCAAACCCTCACGCACCACATCCGCCGCCGCGAACCCTTCCCCGGCCTAGCTCCTTCCTCGCTCCCATTCACCGTCGAAGCCTCAGCCTGAAACGGGCGCGGGCAGGGCTCCGGATACCCCATCGGCAGCTTAATGGACGTGGTCCGATACGCGGGATGCTGTGCATTCGCAGCGACAGTCACGTTATGCGTATGGAATGTTCCTACTTGGTGGAGAGAGCAGCGCGGATCCTTGCAGCGTGGGAGATAGGAAGAGGCGAGGTGCGAGGGCCTTCTTTCTATTTTTTCGTAGATGGTGGTGCCAGGAGGAGGTGGGCTGCTGGAGAGATGTTGGACTTCTGCGAAAGAGACTCGCTTTTGGTTTGGTTGGTGGGCGAGGGGGTGGGGAGTTGGGGAGTTCTTTGGGTTGCGGAGGATGGAGTATGGTGTCCTGTCTTTCAGAGGGTGTTCTTTCGTAGGATACCTCTGATTATGCTCAGCTTGGAGACAGTATGGCGCGGCCTTCCTAGGCTCCGGCTGCGTCGAATCTCTTCGGGATCTAGAGGGGTTCCGATTCATAGTTCCCAGCGGCTGCTGCTCGCTCCGGTCCAAGTCCCTCTCCAGCGACGAAAGATCGGTCCGTGGGCTGGAGCGCCGAAGCTGGCATCTCTCTGCACCGAGACCCAAGTCCTCCTTTGAACTCGAATGAACAGGTGAACTTCTCTGCCCCGCGTCGTCCATAAGGGCCATATTCGTCAACGTGTCCGCGAGATACTTCCCGCTCTCCGGGTTGTGACGGAAGGTGCGGACATACGTGGGACTCTGACTATTCACACCGGGTGGAAGCTGGCCATCGATGAACTGCTCATGGCCCAGCGGTGGTGAACGAGACGCATGGGAGTAGATCCCCGAGCGCGTGGTGATGGGCCGATGAATGTGAGAGTCAGGGGAGTGTGGTCGTGGGCCGGCTGTTCTCTTCTGAAGTTTTACTGGGCTGGTGCGGTGAGCGCGTGCGGGAGGCGAGTCGCGTCCTTGCCCCTGTGTCCTATTAGCCACTGTGTTTAGCCCAAAATATAGCGGCGAGTACGCACTTCAAGATCTTCGGAAGATGCCACCAACCTCGCTACGTTGCCGCCTACCAGATGCCCGATTACGGCGTCCGCTACAGCCTGGCTCCTCCTCAAGGCCTGCATTGGCGGCCGGTGGGATTCGGGGGCCATTGATGCTCAGGGCAATTGAAATCGGACGGTTTCTGGCATAACCGAAGCATGCAGGAGAGACGAGAACGGAGAGAATAGCTGGCTGTCAGCTGCAGCTAACAATGTTTCGTGCTTATTTTCGCGGATAGAGTGGTAGAGCAGCGCCATGTTACGTGGAGGAGGCAACCGAAGTCGGGATGTGGATCGCTACCATCGTTGATGGTATCAAGCTTCAATAATCGACAGGTTCCACGGGAGGCTAACGCCAATAAACTCTTGACAACCGTTAGAGCGGACCAGAAAACGCCGAGAAGCCGATAGACGCTCCCAAGGTTTGTAGTATGGTATCATCGAAGTGCAGTCGGTCAGAGAACGGTTCAATACATCGAAGCCCTACGGCAGTCGGGCAGCGAAGAAAGATCCTACACCCTCTTCCACACGGAGCGAAAGACCCTCCTCAACACCCCAACCCACCACAAGCGCCCAACCTCTTCAATAACTCGTGTCACCAGCATCCTCGTCCACAAACAAAGCGCCGGCCCCGGATCCTTAGCATCCCACATCTCTTCCTCGAAGCAAACAGCCCAAACCCAGCACATCATCGTCAGGTAAGCTACCCTTGCCCACCATCTGCGTGTCCAGGGTGCAAAGCCACGGAGTATGCGAATGACCTCCACAAATACCGCGGGGAACGAGTAGATGCCCGAGACATCCTGCGTGCTCGTAAGGATGAGTGGAAACGCTGCATCGGAGGCAAGTTCGGGTGTGGTGTACGCGAGCGCAAGGTCGCGGCGCAAAGAAGGCTGTTTGCAAAAGAATATGAGGCTTGGGTGTGGCTGGTTAGAGCAGCTGAGCAGCATGACTCTGCGAACCAGTTCGCCGTTTCTGACTTCTTCTTTGACGCTGAGCTTTAGCGTTATATGCGTTGCCAACGCCTTTCTTTTCTTCGCGCGCGGATCCGCGTACGTTGTCTCCTCGTGCCACGGCTCCAACGCATCTACCAGGCGCTTCGTGAATTTATAGAGAACCGTGAAAAGTGCTTCAGAGGATGGTACGATAATGAAGTCCTGCTCACGTGTCCCTTGGGCGCTGGCTGGTGTTGTGACGATGAAAGTCCGGATGTGTCCGCCGTTGATCAAAGTATGGGCGGAGTACTCTGTGCCTCCATCAACCATCTCAGTCAGCCTGTATGGGTGGGCATCTGACATAGGAAGGTCTTTAATAGCCTCGACTGTCGCATCGTCCAAGGTCGAGCAGGAGAGAATGAGAGGCGACTCCTCTTGCAAGCTCATGCAGGTCGAAGAAGAAGAGGACGTCGTTGTCGGAGAGGGAAGGGAGGAGAGGTCGACAAGTGTGTCTTCGTCATCGTCGTAATCAGTCGCGTTGTACGCCGCTGGTTGGAGGGAGAACGTGGTGGAGGGATAGCAGCTCAGTATCTCGGCGATGCATGTCCGCGAGTGAATAGCGAAGGTAACGGGTACTTTGACGACACTTGGTGTCCGGTTCGGCGTGTTGAGGACCTTGTCTCTGACAAAGTCTTGGAATTCGTACTCGTCTTGGAAGAGCCTGTGTCCGAGCATGTCCGCGCCTCCGTCTTTCAGCCCTGTGATCTGTTCTGGTATGCCGCCAAAGGTTATCACGAGGTCAATGCTACTTCCAATCGCTAGCCACAAGTCTGAAAGCGTATTGAAGCTGCTGATACGGTGGAAGCGTGTATAGGCGCGGGAGTACCTAGCCGGAGAAGTTCCCCAAATGCGCTCTTCGTCTACCGCATAGACGGTATGGCCTTCAGCTGCGAGGACTCGGGCGAGCGCGAGGGCGGCTGGCGTCGATGCTGAAAGGAATAGGATATTCATACTCATCCGTGGTGGGCGCGGGATGGAAGGTAGGAAGCCGCATCGAGCCGGTCGTAGGAGGTACGCCGGCTCAGAAAAGGACCAGACACCTTTTCCATAGCGGTGGCGTCAGGAAAGTAAACAGCGGAAGCCGGTATGAAGCCACGAGCTGTGATGCTATAGGTGCTGTCTTGAAGGAGGCTGTCAGGAATGCCAAGCTTGTGTGGATGTGATGGAATGCGTAGTGGCATTTTCGGTAGGGAATGCCCGGAATTTGACGAGACGAGACTAGTAGTCCGGGAATACAGAACCTGGAAGAATGTTAGCAAGGTAGCTTTATCGAGAGACAGGTATCCGGTACCTTTGCATCATACGGGTGATGCAGTCGGCATTCACGAGCTAGTCTGGGCGCCTCGGCGCTTGGGGTATCACAGCATATTGTACATGCCTTCTGGCCTATTTTCTACACGTATTATGTCAAGATCCACCATTACGCCTCATTATACTCCTCGTCCTTATCCCGCGCCAGGGTGCTCGGATGCGTTGGCGGCCCATCCCTCCCCACGCTCCTCAAATCCTGTAACAGCAACCTCAAATGGTTCTGCCGGTTCTGATTACTTCCCCAAGTCACCGCCTGCGAGTAGTATAGAAGGTCCCATGCATCTTCGGAAAGGTTCTGGAGGAAGGTAGGAAGCGTGCGCGCTTTGGAATATGCGCGCCAGAGGATGCGGCGGATGTCGTCGTTTGCGCCAAGGTATGAGAGTTCGATAGCTTGATTGAAGGATTTCAGGGCTGGCGAGATGTTGAAGGGCGGGAGGAGGTTGACGCGGAGACGGCGGAGGGCGGCGATGTGTTCGGGATCGCTTTGCGCCATCTGCAGCCGCTGCTGTATGCTCGTGAGCTTGGAGGGTTCTACAGTCAGCGGGTCGGGGGCGGTCTGGTGCTGGATATTGGTGAGCTCTGCTGCCTTCCTCTGCTCTTCGGCAACAAAGTTCCGAATGTACATGAGCTTCTCCATCAACTTTGGATCTTGCATGATCTGGTCGACCTTGGCCTCGAGCTCGGGGTCCAGCTTCTCGTCCGGCTCGTCAATCGCTTGTGCGGCTGTTGGCGATTTTGCGAGCTTTGCAAGTTCCTCCGAGAGCTCTTCGAAATCCATCTCCTTTTCGAGGTCGCCTTCAGACTCGGCGAAGGGATCCTCCTTGATGACGGCGTCGAGTTCGGCCTCCAGCTGCTTGTCGCCGCCCATGGAATGCATGAGGTCCTTCATCTGCACCAGGAGCTTGTCGAGATCTTCGGGTGTGTCAATTGGGTCGTTTTCTTTCAGCTGATCGATCTCGTTCTCGATGTGGCTGTCTTCGTCGAAGTGAGCGTCCTCTTGTTCTTCCAGAGCAGCCAGCTTCCTCCTGAACGCCTCATTACCCGCAAGCTTTGTCTCGACCCTCTGCAGCGCGGCCTGGAACTCTGGATTCTCCAAATCGTCTGCCTCGGGCATCTTATCCTGCAGATCCAGCAACTCCCCTCTCGCATCCGCAAGCTCCGGATCATTGATCAAATCCTGTATTGACTCGTGCGTAGTCATCCTCAACGACGCATCCAATTCCTTGAGCTCATGCTCCTGTTCCTTTCGTATCTTCTCCTCCATAGCCCTGCTCTCCTCCTTCGTCATGATATCCGCCTTCAAAGCTTGCAGCTCCTCGGTCAGGTCCCCAAAGTTCGGATTCGTCATGAGGTCATCGAGCAATCGGCGGTTGAGCACAGCGTCGTCGTAGTTGGGGTTGTTCGCGTCTTCTTCGAGCATCCTAGATAACTCATTATGCTTCCGGCGATCCTCGACTGTGGCGATGCGCGATATGAAGCGTTCAGACGAGGCATTGTCGAGATCCTGCTCGTACCAGGATACCACAGGTATGTTTGGATCGTCGAGCTTGTCGTCCGGGATAGGGCTGATGATCTTTTCAGCTTCTTCGACTGTACTTGGAAGCTTCAAGCCTAGAGAACGGGAGATATTGGATTTGAGGGCGTCTTTCTCCGGTTTGGCCGCTCTAGTGCGTTTGCCGCGAAGGAATTGGGACGGAAGCGGTCGCGCAAATGGGCATCGGGGAGGCAGAGGGCGCCACAGGGCGCGCAACAGGGCTCGGGAGGGGACGTAGGCTCTCGAAGGTGCCATTTCGAAACTGTTAGACAGTGCTGGATGATCGTTGGACGGCGTTGGACAACGATGGGCAATCTTTGGACAGTGACTGGCGAGCGTGCTAAACTCTCGGGCAGCGGCAAATTCCGCTGCCTTGGCGCTCAGAGGCCCGCAACTGCCCCCTCCCTAGACGCCACACACCAGCTCGACCCTCAACCAGCTCTCTGGCATACGAGTTCTGCAGGATACGCATACGGTAACACGAACGCCTGAAAACCTGATTTGGCATTTAGATTATTATACAACGAGACCCGCCCCCCGACTCCTCCCGAACCGCGACGCACTCTGCGAGTGCATACCTAGGTATTCCATCGCTGCCGCACATCATCCCTTTCCGTAATGTCCATACGCTTCTGTGGGCACGTCGAAAACGCCTTCCTCCCACTTTGCGCGTTCCTCTTTCACATCATAACTTCTGACCAGTCAGAGACTTCCATTTCTTCAAGTTAATTTCCATCCTTCCATAATTCCAATATCCGCTATGCTATGTTTCCGATGCGTGTCTTCAAATCTCAACATCTTCTCTGTCCTCTCCGCCATCTCTGAAGGCGTCCTTCATGCCAGTAACCACGTCGTAGCTGCGAATGTAACCACCGCCAATGCGAACCAGGACCCCTGAGCTTGCCGTCCAGCGGCATTCAGCTGCTTGATTCCCGCCCCGCCTGGAACAACCTCCTCCGTAACGCTCCGCCTCCCGACCGGATTCTCCACCTTATTGAAGATATCCACCGTGTCGATCGCCGGCCCCACATTGAAGAAATCCACGAGCACAAACGTCGGCTGCCTCGTGACCTCATTCCCACAGTCCACCATATGGGTACCCAGCGCGCCAGGCCCCGTATTCCAGGAGTTCGTCTCATTGACAGTTCGAATATCGGGGACTTGGATGCCGAACGCCTGCTGCCAGTACAGGAGATGGTTCATCATGAACAGCCGCCCCGAGTCGCGCATCTCAGCGATGGTCTTGTTTGCTGGGCGGTCAGGCGTGCAGGCGAATTGCGTGGAATCGGTGACGTCGTACGCGTTTTCCCAGAGGAAATCGAATTCGTTGAGGAGGTATGGCGCGTTTTCCTGGTCGGACTTGAGCGGGTTGACAAAGGAAACTAGGCGTTCGCCCTTGTCGACCATCTCTCCCAGCGTTGGCCATGTCTGAGAAGTCTCGTTCGATTGGGGTGGCGGCTTGTGGATATCAGGAGGAACGTATCCGTAGTGCGCGATGTCAGCCTTTGCGTATTCTCCCTCCAGCTCTCGCGCATCTATGCCATCTGCATTGACGAGCAGCAGCGTCACCACTTCCGAAGGATTTGCATCCATCCACAAGCGTATCTGGTACAGCCAGTCGCTGAGCTTTCCCATGTCGAAGAGTTCGCAGACCGTGTGACAGAGGTGCAGTTCTCGTGCTTTCGTGTTCGGATTCGAGGCAACGTGTACCTGAGTGCTCAGGAGGCGCGCCCCAGCATCGAGCTGTGTTATCGAATCGAAGAACTGGTTTCCGAAGGAAGAGAAGCCTGTGGATGCATCGCGGAGGAATGGTGAGTCATGCGCGCCCAGGTGCGTAATCTGATCGTAGCTTTTTGAGCACAGACCGGGAGAGTTGTTGCAGGCGCGCTCCGCAGCGAAGACGGTGCTGAAGAACACTGACAGGCGCAACAGCTTCATCTTGAGACAGGTGTTGCGTAGTCTTCTGAACGTGATCTTCCTTAGCGGTTCGGTCCCGCGAGGCAGTGCCTGTGGTATAAAAGAAGAGCGCGGTTCCGCACAAAGAGAAGGTGAGGTCCTTTCAATGAAGAAAAGAAGCGATGCTGACGCAGACAAAGGCGGTAACTGTGCTATTCGTTGTTCTATTGTTCTACGAAGCTGAATAGGCGCGCGGAAGCACAATAGCATTGTGAGCGCGGTGAAGCACACTCACGAATCCGAAGATGATGTCAAATCCGGAGGACTCATCGAAGAACATTGAAGCATTGTGCATATGACTACGTTTAATTCCCAATGCTTCCCCTTCGCTCATATGTTCAGATAATCGATACTGACAGCGCGATATCACGATATAGCCCAGGCTTTGCAGCATTTCTCGCCCTTCAACGATCCGCGGCTCATCGCTGAAGCAGCTCTGCGCTCGTGGCATCGACGAGAGGGCGCTCAAACTCTGCAAGACAGACTTTTACTCAGTCATTCAAGGAATCGACCGTGATGGAGCGCCAGGGCTCTCGTGATTCACGCTTTCGCAATGAATACATCCTCCAGAACGTCGTCCACGAAGCGATGTTGCGCGACGCCTCCTCCCTCTTGTCTGTCTCCCAAGCGCCGTACAAAGATTTCACCATGCCGAGCGAGGAGCGCAATCGATACTGGAACAAGGAGACAGCGAAGGTAAATGCAGGTTTGGATTTCGGCGGCTCCAGGGAAGATGGCAAAGAAGCCAGGCAAACGATTGGCGCGTGGTGTTCAAACAACCCGGTCGTGAACATTGACTTCAGCAGCTTCCATGTGCCCTCTGCTGCTCCAGGTACGAAGCCGTCGACGGAGGAGCTCGTCCAGCGCCTCCTCAACCCTCCCGCTCATGCCTTTGTTCATGGTGTGCTATCAATTCAGTGGGTCATCACCGTAGCAGGGACAGAGAACTTCTGCTTCAGGGCAAGCGACGAGAGGTTCGTTCTCAGTCAAACATCAGCGCTTAGGAGGGAGGGACACGCATTAGGGATGCGGACAGCATACCTGGAGTGGCTATGCGGCGATGACCTAGGCTCAAGCGCGGCGGAGCAGGGTATGTTCCTGACACCGGCATTCTTCACGAAGGAGATGTAGCAAGATTATCAGATGCGGTTCCAGAAAGACTCCATTACTCCACTAGCTCTTCAGCATACGAACTAGCTAATATAAACCCATAAAAAAACCTGTCTCGGCACCGGAAACCAAGCAACTGTCCTCCCATCCCGAAGTAGCGCAGCAGTGACCGTGAGGAGCTTGAAGGCGGCCATGGTGGTGATGTCGAGTCTGAGATGAAAGAGATGCTGATTGAGTGTGTATGGCGAGAGAATATGCGGTCGCTGAGATGCGATTGCAGAGGGGTGTCGCTCGTGCTACATCCAAAGGTAAATTAGCTCAATTGCCCAAACCAGCTCGAATAATTATGAACATACTCGCTCAAAGCCAGTCCTTAAACCCCGTGAAGACGGCGAAGCGGGCAGCGCGCATGGTGCGGGCTGTCTCGCGGATTCTGCCCGCCAGCAACAAGGCGAGCGCGATGACGGCGATGAGGAGGACGGCGGAGCCGCCGCAGAGGAGGAAGATCGTCAAGCCGTCCATGGTGTTGGGGGCTTGGGGATTGCTTTTCAAAAAAAAGTTTGGTTTGATGGCGTTTTTTTTCGAACGGAGAGGAGAGTGTTTGTGATCTGGAGAGAAAAGATCACATGGCAGCAAATCTTGCTCTTTTATTCCCGTGTGTGGCTTCGTGGTGAAAGTGAAGGAAGTTCACGTGCATCATTTCGCTTGCTTATGTCAGAAAGCTCGAGAGTTCGAGGCAAATTCGAGGATTCGACGTCACTTCTGCTTGCTATCGGTATCATAGTCAGGTGGACGCGTGTACAAGCGGTTTTCTCGGGGTGAATTGCGCCGCACGTGCTTTTCCTTTCCACGCCTTCGATATCACCTCCTTCTACTTTTCCGACTACCTTCTGCAAGCTCTTCCTATCAAGAACCTCGGTGTATACCCTTTTCGAAGACTCCCAGCAAGTATCTCCTTCGCATCTGCTCTTCTTCTCCCACCGCGAGATATATACTCTTTCCACCAACTTCTAGCAAGCCTCTCCTTCGAATCTCTTCTTCTTCTCCCAAAGCAAAGGTGTCGTCCGACAGCACCTGGAATATGATCGAAGATGGTGGCGAGGACCTCTACCGGAAATACAAGAACCCGGCGGCCTTGGAAGCGCAGGCCGAAGGTCGAGATCCTCGGCCAATTCTGGACGCTCCTGTTTCTCCTCCCCGCGGTCCGTAACTACCCCTCCCCCGCTTCTCACACTTCCACTGACTCCATACAGCCCCCACATCTTCCGCCACCCCGCAGCAGCAGCAACAGCAACAGCAACAGCATGGCCTGAGTCGCAAGCTAGTTACGAGGCCTAATGATCCGGTAGTGATGTGCAACCACTACACCAACCCGCCGTAATATTGTTGTTTCATGCTTGGTAGCTAGCTAACTTGTATATAGCTACTTGGATATGGCCAGAGCAGGAGAGTGGAACAGTGCGAGAGTCTGGTGCACCGTGCTGGGAGAGTGTTCTGCGGATGAAGGAGCTTTGGAGAGGCGGCGTATCACTGAAAGGGGGATCCACCCAGTTCATCTGAGTTCCTTCCTATTCCATCACAGCTCAGGGACTGCAGGCACATCTAGAAGCGCCACTATCAAGAGACTTGGTACTGTTCCTGTTGCATAGGCAAACCGTTCTTGCCTTCATTTCTTACGGAATGGCGGGAGTAGCATGACTTTCCAGTGTCCCGTCACGTCCGGAAAGCTCGATGTTGAGGAAGGCGCGAAGTGCTTATCTCACCTTCCCACCACACATCAGTCACCCCGCCAAAAATCATGAAGCAGTATGACGTGCGTACTGAACTGGTCGCTTCGCTACTTGTACGGCGTCGCCATTGCATTGAAACACATGCTATCTCCCCGTGGTGAAACCATGTCGAAGTCACCTTGACCTCCCCTTCAGCCCACCGCATCTGCATTCCCGTATATTGCACCTTCCAAAAAGTAAAGCGTGCAAAAAAAAAGATTAGTCGCCAGACCTCAGAATCGAACTGAGACCTCCCGAGCTCCCAGCTCAATCACTTCTGCAGAGTCCTTGGTCACATAGACCCCGTGCTCATCGCACTGTATAGCAGAACCGAAGCCTTGTTGGAACGCCGGGCGTGCTACCACTAACACTAATCCGGCTTGTAGTTTTGTTTGTTGGAGATTTCAAGATGGAATAGACATATATAGTAGAGCTTCGAGCGAACGCTAGAGAGTGACTGGAAAGACGCTATGATATGGCATAGGGGAGCTGGCAGCGAATCCCGAGCAATCATGGTGAGAGACAGGAGAGGCAGGTGCCAGGGCCCACTTACAAAGCACGGTACTCAAGCTATATACAGTTGGCCTTCAGTCCCGGGTACTGGGATTTTACGAGGTGTGACCCTGGGTGCCTTCCAGCCCTTGGCTCCTTCCGTACTTCTGCGCAGTTACGCCTCCATATGACTACACCTTTAATAGGCAGAAGCTACGGCTGTCTAATTTGTGTTGGAAATGGACCTGCACAATAGTCATTTAGGTCATAATATAATCAGGGTCTTCACCCGGCCTTCGATAATTGTCTTAGGCGTGAAGGCTGCCTTCACACAGACCTTCGAAAACATCGTTACCTATGTCTATATAACCACTATCCACCACTATATAAATTCTTCTTTTCTTCAAGCTCCACAAGTGCTCTAAGCTCTACGTCTCCACTATTTACTAATTACTTACTCCTACCCTATACCTACTTACCACCACCGCCACAATGTCCGACACTCTTCAACTTTATCGACCGGGCCGGGAAGCAAGTCGTCGCCGATTTCGCAAGTATCCCCGAGATGATGTACCAGGTTGCTTGCGAGTCCGCAGCCCAGTACAGCGTAGCCACTCCTCGGCTGCCGCCTCCTCCCGTTTCGCGCGAAGACGACAACATCACGGACCCGAACGCATGGCGCACCGTCAATGTGCTGGCCGCGGCGCTCCTTGACCCTCCGCGCCAGACGCACTAGTACGCCGCCAGCGCAGTGCGGGTGACGATGACCTGAGTGCTGCGGACGCTCGGCGAGGCCCAACTTTGGCAGAATCCGAAGGTGGGCCGGCCGGCGCCGAAGGACGAGAGCAAGGTCAAGACGCACGGGTGGGTGTATTTCTGCGGCCCTCGGATGTAATTATGAGCTGATGGGATACAGGCTGCAAGCCGGGCTCCCAGAGAGCTACTACAACTGGCTCGTCGGTCACGAGGACGGCCGAGAGCGCTGGGCGCCGACAGAGCATGAGTTCTTCGTCTCTCAAGCCTCCTTTGAGAAGGTACTTCTCCCTGAAGAACGATACCTGGATGTTGCCAACGGAGAGCAGGCCAGGAACTTTGCGAGGCCAGACCGTTATTGAATGGTGGTCGCCTGGACTGTGGTCGCTTTCGGGCCACGATGGGTTTCTGGGACGGATAGATACTCGGAACATATCTTACCTTCGAATGCGTCGATACCTGCCCGTCATGCTCTTCTTTCCCGGTGATCGTGCGAGCCTAAAAGTGCGAAGATCTTCGAAGACCTACGGAGGTACAGGCTTGCGGTTATAAAGCCAAGCACCAATCCATTGCCCATGTGGTTGTGGCTCGCGCATCCTTGCCTAGTCCTGCCGAAACAGTACAACACGAGCCTCCTGTTACACCATTATTCAACCTCCATAGTATACGAGGCTGCGTCGCAAGGCAGCAAGGTGGAGTGACTGCGAATAATGTGCATGGCTTGGCATTGAGGCCCAAAGCTGAGCGGCTGATGATTTCGTGTTACCCACCGAATGTATGCTGGGAACCCAAGGACAAGTTCTCTGAGCGAGAAAGGAGATCGAGGCAAGATACCTCCGTATATGGATGCGAGCGACGCGAAAAGCGAAGGGACGGACCGTGTCAAGATGGGATGATCATGGATTGGGAGATGCGAAATACGGGTGCCGCTGATGAAATTTAATGAACTGTACGACTGCGAATAAGTATAAACTGGGAAGAGGGCACCGTAATGAGAGTAACTTGAAGCTCATCAAGCGGTTCGAAACGTTCTCCGGGCCGGTATCCACTTACCAAACTGTTGCCCATTAAAATGTATACGCAATTTGTGCTCCTCGCGCTCTCTCTCCTCCCTTCAACCTTCTCTTCTCCTATAGAGGCTCGAGCCTGCATTGGGCCGGACGTCAATGCTGCAACCATCGCCCTGATCAAAGAATTCGAGGGCTTCGTTCCAAGTCCAGAGGATGACCCCATTGGCTTGCCTACCGTCGGCTACGGACATCTCTGCCAAACCGCCGGCTGCAAAGAAGTCCCATATCCTTTCCCACTCACCGAGGCGCAGGCCACGAAGCTTCTCCTGAGCGATCTCAAGGTATGCTCCCCCCGCATCCTGATGGCTTTGTTGACCATCTCGTAGCCTGCTCAGCAATCCATTACCCTTGAGACGGCGGACTCTGTGGTCTTGAACGAGAATCAGTACGGCGCGCTTGTGTCGTGGGCGTTCAACATGGGCAGCGGCGCCGTAGCGGAGTCAGATCTGATCAGGCGGATGAACGCCGGGGAGGACGAGATGAAAGTCATCGAGGAGGAGCTGCCGCTGTGGGTCTGGGCGGGAGGACAGAAGCTGCCGGGGCTTGAGCGACGAAGGGCAGCCGAGGTAAGGCTTGCGAAGACGCCGACGAGCAAGGGCGCGCTTCCAGTGGGGTGCTGAATGGAGCGATGACAGCGCCGGAGCAGAGACTCGGGTCCAGGTCGTCGTCGGAGTTGGGTTTCGCGTCCTGTAGTTACTCTCGTTGAAAATCAGCTATTCAAAGAACGCCTCTCTCACCCCTGAGTGCTTTAGTTGGTTCCTGGGATGCCCACTGGCCATCTAGGTACATGGTGCTGGGTTTGCGTCTCGTAACGCGTCTATAGGAGATTGCGGACGGGCATGCGGGGAAGATATTCTGGCGTGCCTGGCGCGGGCCGAATCAGACCGAATTTTGCCGTGCGGGAAGCTCTGCCTGGGGCGTCCATGGACGAGCAATGCTGTAGGTCAAAGGAGGAGGTACAAGGAGCATTGAATAAGGAGGCACCCAGCGCGGCGGCTGTCTTTGGTGGCTGCGCGTTGCCGATGGCCGGGGTGAGCAGAACGTGCCCCTCGACGCGTGCGCACGTGCCTCAGCCTTGTGCTTCATCGGCGTCGCAACCTCGTCCTTCCACTATACTACGATCGACTTCCCCGTCCATCTAGCCGTGGTTTCTTCGTTACATACCGCGGCCGTCCATTTCTCCCTGATTCGCAAACTTGGAGGCGCGGTAGCGTCCTGTTCGCTACAATGACGCACCTCCCTTCCCCAACGACCATCCCAGGGGCCTCGGAGAAAGAACTACGAATACCTGGGGATGTTGAATGGGCAGCTAATGGGCTCCTGAGATGAAATACCGTCCCGGTCCTCGTCAACTGTCAACTGTCCCAGCCCTCTCGCGAGTCGACATCCGCAACTCAGCTTCAGATCCCTGCTGCCGCCATGAAGATCGAATACCACACGGGATGGCCATAGTAGCTGCAGCGCACTCCGGTTCCCCGCACACGATGGAGCCCTTCGTACTTGGCTCTGTCATTAGTCCCGCGCCTGCCGTCTTGGAGAGCTTGGTTAACATGAAAGCGGTATGTTTTGCGCAAGAAGCTCCACCGCTGCCTCGCTCGTTACGATTCTTCGATTCCTTATATGGCCCTCATACGTTCTTCAAGCGCTGTATTAACCCTCGCCTCGGCCAATATCAAAATCGCCATTTCTTGCCCCTGTTGGACCCTCTCACAAGATGGCAGACATCGAAAAGCAGAGCGTCGAGCAGCGTGAAAACGTCGCCCAGACCCTCGAGGAGCTCAGGCATACCACAACGGTCGACACGGTACACCAAGATGAAGCCTTGAAAGTTCTTGCACACTATGCTGGAGACACGACATGGACACCGGAGGAAGAGAAGAAGCTGGTGCGGAGGATCGACCGGAAGCTCATCACGTTGCTGTGTATCACGTACGGTCTTCAGTACTACGATAAGGCCATGTTGTCGCAGGCGGTCAGTCGAAAATGGGACCGTGAAAATGATAGGTACTGATGGGTCTAGGCGCTCTTCGGATTGAGGGAGGATCTCGAGCTTAGCGTAGGAAACCGCTACTCCTTTTCGGCCAGCATCTTCTACCTTGGCTTCATAGTCGGCTCCTATCCAGCGATCTTCATGGCACAGCGGTTTCCCATCGAACGCGTCGCGGCTGGCATCGTTTCCGTTTGGGGCGTTTGCCTGATGTGCTCGGCGGCGTGCCACAACTGGCAGGGCTTCTACGCCCAGCGCTTCTTCCTCGGCTTCCTGGAGTCCGGCATCTCGCCCATGTTCATGCTGGTCGTTGGCGGGTGGTACAAGAAGCGGGAACAAGCTTTGCGGATGGGCGCTTGGTATTCTTGCACGGGCTACGTCTCGGCAATCTCCCCGCTCATCAACTACGGCCTCGGGCACATCAAAGGCGGCGGGTTAAACAGCTGGCAATACATGTACCTGGTCGCGGGTGCCATCACCGTCCTTTGGGCCTTGGTCATCCTCTTCTTCATGCCCCCGGATCCCATTCGCGCGCGCGGCTTTGACGAGCGCGAGCGCTACATTGCCGTCGCACGCATGCGCGAGAACAACTCAGGCGTGCGCAACACCCACTTCAAGAAGGAGCAGGCGTGGGAGGCTCTGCGCGACCTCAAGTTCTGGCTGATCTTCTCTATCGCTTTCCTTATGATGATCGCTAATGGGCCGGTCTCGTCCTTCATCCCCATCATCATCTCCGGATTCGGATACAACAGCCTTAATTCGCTGCTCCTGACGCTGCCTGCTGGTGTTATTATTGGGACCATCGAGCTGGGCGCACCATACCTTGCCTACCGCATCCCTCAGATTCGCACGTGGATCATCGCCGTGTGCCAGCTGGGGACCATTCTCGCGTCCATCCTTCTTTGGCAGCTCCCACGAAGCGCCAAAGGAGGCCTACTGTTTGGGTGCTACATCCTCGCTTCATTTGGCGGGGCCTACGCCGTGACAATGGGCCTCCAGATCGCCAACACGGCGGGATATACGAAGCGCTCTGTGACCTCTTCGGGTATTTTCGTGGGCTACTGTCTTGGTCAGATATCCCCTTCCCGCTGGCATGCGCACGGTGGCAACGCTAATACGAAGAGTAGGCAATTTCGTCGGGCCGCTGCTCTTTAAGCCCAAGGACGCGCCAGTCTACGCACCAGGGTTCATCGCCGTGCTCATTACCTCGATCGTTGCCGCCATCCTGGCTATCGTCTACCGTTATGTGTGCATCTGGGACAACCGGAAACGGGACAAGACAGGCACTATGGAAGGGTTCGAGCATGCCTACGAAGATGACCTCACGGATAAGAAGAATCCCCAGTTTAGATACACGTTGTAGGTATGGGCTCGGGTTCCATTTGTGGGAAGGCCATGCAGCGCAGAGAGATCTGGGCGGGCTCCGGAAGGACGGGGATGAATACTACTTGAACCTTTGCGGCACCCCTCCTCGCGGTGGGCCCGATTGTCACGATGTTCGTCTCCCGGCACATGTCAGCTTCGATCGCCCGCAGTTAGTCCCCATCATAACAACCGCCAACGGCGCGAAGATGCTGCACCGCGGCCACGATGATATCGTGTTCTTGATTCAGAATCTGCACCTGCTGACGACCCCGCCTGTTTCCAAACGCCTCCAACCGTAAACCACCGCTGTTCGCCTCTTGATATCACGACTCATGCGCTCATACCCCTCTCCAGATACCATGTCAGAAGCCAGACGATGCTCAGGAGTGTTATCGGAACGGATGTGTATGGGTGTTGGGCTCCGATATTTGTGGTAGCTTGGTACCGCAACCTCCCAACGGTTTCTCAGTACCACTGTCCTGACACCTCGAGCCATCCCCTCCTCACCGCTAAGACTTTTCGGGCCAATACGAGCGCTCATGAGGAGCCTCCTGCATGTGATCCTCGGGAGGTCTCATCGTCGATGCGTTTTACGTTCGGCACCCCTCGTCCTCTCGAACCCTATATGCTCAACGTCGAATACCATGCTTATCTGCTCCCTCCTCAGGTGGCCTCGAAGTGCTGCCTCTCGTGCTCACGAACTTTCTTGATTGCGAGACTGGCGTTCTGCCTACGTTCGTTACTTCCATTTTCGTGATACCCTGTCATTTCGTTCGAGGCATTTGGAGTCCGGTTTCCGGTTTGGTTGGTCATCACATGTTTTCCCGAAATGTTTGTCTATAGTTGCCTAACTAGAGTACAGCCTTTTTCATCATACCTCGTCCACTACGCTCGCCGCTCTTCTCATGCCTCTTCCGTTCAAGTTGACGAGGAGCAACGCTTCTGTCCGCTCGTTCCACACCACCAACGTATCCGAAGCCTGCGTCTATCATCTTCCGACCAATCTCCGCGACGTAGAAAAGAATATCCACAGAAGCGAACCGCGTGACATTCCGCTCCCTGATGCGGATTACCATGAAGTGCGGTACTTTCTATACCAAACCCTAACTTATGGGCCATACGAAATTGCCAAGCAATGGCCTCAATGGGTGCTTGAGACAGTCGCAGCATGGACTGGCACTGGCGCGGCTTTCCGCGCCTTGCGCACGGAAGACATTCACCGGCTGTGTCCGCTCAACGCGGGGCATGCCGAGCTTGATATTTCGGTCAAAGTGGCTCGTTCTCCTCCTCCGGAATGCAGATCGCAAATCGGCGCTGTCATTGCCAAGACGGTGTCCAGATTGAAATCAAAAGCGTCGAACGAGAAAGGATCACGGCCAGACACGGTTCGCGAGGGATGGGAATACGCCCAAGCTAGACAGCGGTCAAAATACGCATACCATTACGGCGACATCAACTCGATAAACTCCTCCAATCCCAATCTTGCGTTCCAGCAGTACGCGACGGTGCCCCGTTCTCCAAGCGCCATGTCACATCAGACGTACTCGTATCCCATGACAGTGCAGCCGAACTATCTGATGACCAATCCGGGCATGCAGATGCCGATGACATCCCCGCCGAGTCACTATGCGCCGTCCAACTCATGCGGTTCGATGTACGCCCAGCCGTCGACTATCAGTGGAAGGCCATACCAACGCAGCGACACGACACCTACCAGTTCGGGAGAGAGAAGCACTTCCACCGCTAAGACAACGCCGCCGGGATCCGAGGAGGATTACGTGGAGCAGCAAAGAGGATTGGATAGAAGCCAGTCCAAGAGCTCTGGACCTTCCCCACAGATTCAGCGGCTACGCATAGCGACTAGCAGATGCTCATCTCCGCAACGATATCGCAAAGTAAACCAGAATGAAATAATGCCACGTATACGGTCTATCTCTGCCATGGCCCAAGGGCGTTCGGAGGATCCTATGGTCCCTCCCGGGTGTCCATCCGTTCCCTTGACCGCGGAGAACCTGCAAGCAAAGAATTCCTCGGCCCACGCTCAGAGCCTTCGATCCAGTAGAAGTCACCACACCATTTCTCAGCACGGGGATGGCTCCGCAGGCGGTGGTGCGCTATTCATGAACGCAAATCCTAGCGTTATATCCCTGCCTTGTTTTGGAGGCCCTCCGACCACTATGCATCAGGGTCACCTGAGGCCCGCTTCTAGCCTGTTCATGGAGCGGTCTCCTCTAGATGTTCCTCTCATGCACAACAGTGCTGCGCCGAGCTTCATGGACCCCGGCGATTTCCATCGTCAGCAATCTGCTTCCCCAATCCACACGTTTAACACACAAGCGCACGCGTTGATGCAGAGACAAACACCTTCGACTCCAAGTTTTCGGCACCGTTCTGGACTCAGTCATATTTCGTCGGGCTATGGCTCCAATATCGCCGGGCCCAGAGAGGCAAACGCTTCACCTGCGCCATCCATGAGGAGCTTCAGAACTCGCCCGGCTCCTCCTCCTATCCCCAGCGAATTCTCAGTCCGCAGGCGGACTGAGATCCCCGTGCTCAGCTCCTTTACCGGGCCATCTCGCTCGGCGGGGAATGCTTCGCTGGACAATTTGGCCCTCAATCAAGGTGAGTATCTCACTTTTAGACACGGGCGCGGGGACTACGCTGAGAGACGGGAGATCGCCCGCAGAGAAATGGAGCGCATGCACGCCATGGTGCCCAGTAATCTGAGAGGCGAGGGTACCGACCCGATTGGGCCGACAATGCGGATAGCGGGCCCAGATGGGACGCCGTTACCGACGCTTGTGGAACAGATTGCGGAGGTCGAGGCTTTGAGTGGGAAGAAGCAGAGGGGTTTGGAGAGAGGTGGTTGGTGGCGATAGAGTAAAGGGATATTGTTTATCGGTACGCCGTTTCGTTGTTCTCGGGATTGGGGAGGCTTGAGGATGTCAGCGCGTTCATCACACTGTCTAATTTTTCTTTTTGTTCGCAGATGATTTTCACAAGTCACATTTGCAAACGGTCCCACAAACCACAACGTTCGCTTATACCCTCAGATGTTATGCCTACTGTATCTATTCTTATTCTAGAGCGTTCGAATTGTACCTATCTCTTTAATTCCATCTCTGCAAAACCTTTCAGTCCATGCTCGCTCCTCATTTCTCGCTCGAGAGCCGCAGCTCCGTCCATCCGGCGCAGAAACCTTTTCGTCCCACTGAACCACAACCAAACGTCCATCAAGTATTGAACTAACCATTTGTTCGCGCACGTGCCCGGCAGTCGTCAATCTTAATTTCGCCCGAAACGTTGGTCCGCCCTCCGCTTCCAGGGTTGTGATGCGCCTCGCGTTTTGGAGTGAACCACGGAACGCCGCAGTAATCAACGGAAATGCGTGTTTCTTACCACATGTAGCAAAATTACGACGTCGTTGGAGAAAGCTTGTCATTCATCGTGGATTACCGTAATGAGGATAGGCTATGCCTGAAATACCTCCCCCCCCCCCCCTTTCCACTCCTGCACCTACTGATTCGCCTTCACAAAAGCAGCAGCCTCGCCCGCATTCATGCTATACGTCAGATGCGGCTGCAGCACCACGCTCTGCCCCGCACAAATCAGATCGCCATCATGGCAGATAATCTTCGTTTTCGCGGCGGGGATGTTCCCAACGGACTGGCCGTTGTCTGGGTCCCCGAAGATGACGGCCGAATTGACGAAGGCCGTTTCGTCGGCTGAGAGCATGCTGGCCGCGTTGTGGACGAGCTGGCCGCCTTGACTATATCACGGCCGTCATTATCACTCTATGCGCTGAAGGGTTCCAGGAGGGGCAATGCATACCTGTACCCTGATATCGTCAAGCTCGTATTTGGGCAGGTCGCCATGACCATGCTCACAAGCCCCGCCATCGTCGCACTCCCACCCGCATCGCCGCCCGCTAGAAACCCGGGGATGTCGGCAGGATAGTCGATGCCCTGCACCGCCACGTTATCAGCACCGACGGCCTGTCCGACTGCTTGGACGAACGGCGGGCCGGTCAAAGTTCCCATGTTTCCCTGCTCCGTCGTCCCGCGCGCGAAGAGGATGGTGGTCGGTTTGCACTCCCCGTTCTTCACATCGTTTTGCGTCATGTCGCCCAGGGCGCGGGATTGCAGGAAGGAGAAGGGACGGCCGTTGGGGTCGAAGGAGGCGGATGTGGTCTCCATGCGGGAGAAGGAGTTGAGCTCGCTGCGGGATACGTCGGCGAGAGGGAGGCGGTCTGTAGGTGGCATGGCGGCTACGAGGGCGAGGAGGAAGGGGACGGCGGTGGTGGGCTTCATTGCTAGAAAGAGTATTAGAATGTACTAAGTAGATATGATACAAGAATCCAAATTAGTCGTGCGTCGCGTACGCTTCCTGAGGAAAGGAAGCGCGAGATGATGGGGATTTGGGAGTGTGACTGTAGAGGTCATATACTATAAGGTGTACTCGAAAGGGCCGAACCTACAGAAGCCATGCTCTTATTCTCTCAACTATTTTCCTGCTACACTCTTGCTGCCCCATGCCTCGAAATAGCGTATGAAGGTCATGCAGTCATGCCACGCATAGAAAGATGGCTTCCAGCGACTTCCCACTGGCGTGGTCCAGGTCCAGCTTCCCATGTTCAAAAGAATACATCCTCGGCTGCTTTTTGTAAGGGGCGCAATCGATAGGTCGGAGGTCGAAACGGCTGGACAGGAAGTCCTTGTGGATCTGCGACACAGTCCCCGGCATTCGGAAGAGGCGGTGGCCGGTGCGAATAGAGGAGACGCGGGGATTTGGGAGACGCTCAGGTCGCGCTGATGCGAAATGCTCCGAGTGGGCGAGGGAGGGGCACTTGACTGGTCCTGAGGTTAGAGAAGCGCGTGTGAGCGGTGGAACGAGGAATGTTTTGTCGGTTGAGGGTGAGTGTTGGGCGGTATTTGCATATGCTCGTTAGCATTACTGAAGCCGCGTTGAGAGGCCGTGATGTATGACGTCGGCGTTCACGAAGGTCTGCAATCAGCCAAGTCAACACCGCACCACACCCACATGTAGATACCTGGAGTAGATGAAGTCATTTGCACCAAACTGTTGTCTAAATCGGGTCTGATACAATTTTTTAGCGCGATTGTAGGTCGGTATGGACGTGTTTCACGAAGCAGATCGCTGGATCGCATACCGTTTCATCCCAGGTGACCCAACAGGGCGGTGCCATGACTGCCACACTTCGATCATTTCGGTAATCCGTGCGATCGTGCTTGGTGGTGCTTACTTTGATGACAAAAGTACTGGTAGTTCAGGTAGTTCGGGCAACAAGTGCGGAGGAAGTAGAGTGAAGAAGGGCGGTGCGCAGCGTCGTGTGAGAAGAGCGAGAACATATTGCAAAAGAAACGTGACCTATAGTAGTGACAGGGCGGGATCGAACTTCAACCCAAGAGCCAAAAAAGAAATTGAAGATGATTGAAAAATTTGTGGAAAGGGACTTGGGACCTGCCCGAGTCCAACCAGAGCCGCCTTAGCCAGCGAGGCCAACCCTGATCTCTCTCTAACAGAGCTCTTCCACGAAGGGAGCTCGTCGATAATGAATCACATATAGGTGAGATAAGTAAATTATGGTGGCATGGGAGGGTGTGCGCGGCTGTTTGCGGGCTCAATGGGGCTGGGCTGATGAGAAGTGAGCGAGCAAACGCAAGTGGCATGTGGCAGTGAGAAGCGCGAGAGGAATGGCAAACACGTCTGGGCTGGGCTTGTTGAATGCCTCTCACCCAGCGCACGACTTGAAGTTGAAGGGGGAAGTAAGCAAACGCAACTTTGGGATGACGGCACGAGGCATACATGCAAAAGATGAAGCAGAGCGAGAGGAAGCCGATCAACATGCTGAGGGTGCATATCGTCGCTAGACTGCTCGTAAAAGCCAATGCGTCTGACACTGTCATGCACCTTGAGCACACGCAGCTGGATTTCGGCAGTGAGAGAATGTCTCGGTAGCGAAAAAGTACAAGAGGCACAAAGACACACAAGATACGCAGGATTGAGAGCCCGTTGTCTGACATGCCGGTGCGGCAACATCCTCTATATTCGACGGAAGAATCCATTCTTGAACCGGGAGTCGAAGTCATCCAATGGTCTTGATTTGCGCCACGCCATAGATCTGATACTATGTGGAGCGATGATCTATCGCTGCTCTGTTAGCTGTAGGACTGGGTGAGTCACGCTAAAAGAGACGTGCACCACATCCTGTGGCAGTGAGTGCAGTGGGGTGAGCAGAAAGTCAAAGCAAAAAGAAAAGCAGCGGCATAGGCGGCGGCTCGAACCCGGTAGGTGCCCGTCCGGTAGAAAAAAATTGCAGAAAGAAAGGGGCTGAGGGAACTTACCTGGGTACTTACCTGGTATTTACCTTTGCCCCAGCCTGTTCCACTTACGTGGCTTGATCCTCTCTTGAGCGATCTTGTAAATAATTAGATATATATAGGACTGGAATTCCTCGTGGGCTTGCCAAAGAGGGCTCGGAATGGCGCGACTAACGGCTAACCGGCGGGTTCGACTGGGCTCGTTGCTGGAGTGAGGGACGCGCTGCGGGCATTGTTGTGGGCTGCAATTTCGCACCGAACGGCGGTAGCGTGCCTTCCGCAATGTTGTCTCCCTTGACTGCGATCTCCGGCGGCACACTGCCCTTCCGCTCCCATGCTCTTCTACTGACCCTTCGTACACTGACTTACATAGTGTGCACCCTATCCATTACGTTCTGGTCAGACCTTGTATCAGCCCACAGCATCGGAAAGAGGACTATCGCGAGTCCAAACGCCGACTCTGCCTCGATCGACCATAAGCCCATTTGCAGCGGCCCTTCGGTCGAGCGCGACCACCACGCGATGCTTCCCACTATTCTCGGACTCCTTATGCTTCTCGGCCCATCCCGGGGATTGAACGTCTCCACGGCTTTCTTGCGCCCCCGTCTATCGTTTGGAATACGCCAATGGATATCTTTCGTACGGCTCGGTCGCGATTAGTTAGGGGCACAAAGGGAGTACGGTACCCCTATTCGAGAACGAGGCGGACCTATGTCACTGCGTCAAAGGCGCCGGTTCTTGACACGAGGAAGAAGGATATGGGCGGCATTTGAGGAAGGCTGAGCAGGCACTGTACAATAACTGGGGTTGATATGATGATTGACATTGGTGTGATAGAAATGAGCATGCGTAAGAGAGTGGATAGAGCCCGGGTCATCAAAGCCAGAGCAAGTAAGAGAAAAGAGAAGGGGTCGACAAGCTCGGCAGGACTGCACGACAATGACTAGGATTGAGGTAATAGAGGTAGCCTCGATGCGAGAACGAGCCCAGTATAGAGACAAGAAGAAGTGAGAGGGCATAGGGAAATATCTAAAGCGTAGGCTATTCACAGGTTGAGAACAATGGGCACGAACTCGAGGTGACTAAAACTTGGAGGTAAGAGAGCCGGGGAAGGGAGGAGTCCCGCGTGCGGATGTTCAGAGTCGGTGTAGTTTCCGGTTTGAATGTCACTGACGCCGCTAGAGCCTGTCCCCGGGGAGGCTGATACTATCGATGTTGGTGTGCGACCATAGTCGAGCGCGAGAGTTAGACCATCGATCCTTCAGCCACCGAGTATCTGCATGACCACGCCGTGAATCCGCCGGGCCAACCGACTATATTATGGACTCTGCGTACTTGCGTGAACACAATGGTACACGAGCGGGCTTTGCACATTGGTAAGGAGTCGATAGAGAGGCGTTGAGGATTTCCGGTGCGACGCCAGCAAGCACGCTGACGGAACGGCGCTGGACGCTGCAAAGCAGACCACATCATCGCATCTGGCGAAAATAGCTCTTGCGACATGTTCGCCCGTTGTTGGAAGGGCGCGAAGCGACGAAAGCGATGAAGGACGTATTGCACAGAAGGGCTGAAGTCTGAGAAAAGCTTTCACATGAGTCATGACATGCGCTATGTAAGCATCAGCGCCATCAGCTAGCGCCAGAAAAGGAAGGCCTGTGCACACCGTTCAGCAGCCTCGCATTTAGAAATCCTTCCGTAGCATAAAACGTTCGTAAAACCCCTTCATGTAGATGTTGCCAAACTTCACTATCGTTGTCTAAGATTGCTGTTTGACCATCATGCCCCTCGAACTGCACCCCGTCGTCGAATCGGACTTCCCCGACTTCGTCCGCATCCAAGTCGCAGCCTTCAATAATGGAATGACTGCCTACCTCGTCCCGCGCCCCGTCTCGGAAGACTGGATAGAGAAGTCCGTTGATAAGCACATCAAATGCTTCCGCGCCGAGCCCGACTGCCGCTTCCTCAAAGTCATCGATACCGAGCAGAGCGGGCGCATGATCGCGGTCGCAAAATGGCGTATCAATGAGAAGGAGAGGACAGAAGAGCAGATCCAGCCCATGTTGCCGGTGCCCGGAGAAGAGCAGGAGGGAAACCCGGCGGCGCAGGATTTCATGTGGTATCTGAATCGCGTGAGGAGGGAGTTTATGGGGACGAAGCCTTTTTATTGTAAGAGCATGCCGTGCTTCCGTGCATATGGTAGCAGTAAAGCTGACCCTGAAGTCCTTCATCTCCTTGTAACACATCCGGAGCATCAACGACGAGGCGCGGGAGCCATGCTGGTGAGATGGGGTATAGAGCAGGCGGATAAGGTGCAGCTGCCGTCTTTTCTCGAGGCAACAGAAGTCGGAAGGCCGCTGTATGCAAGCTTGGGTTTCAATGGGGTTCACGAGGAGATATTCGATCTGTCAAAGTACGGCTCGCAGGGGAGGGATAGAAGTACCGTCATGATTCGCCATCCGCCGAATTAGCACGGTGACGCTCTCAAGATCTTCAAGAAAGAAGAGCTTTTTACAAAGGAATACACCGAGCATGTCTTCAACAGCCTAACCAAAACGCCGCCCCACCAGCCCCTGCACGCCCGATTCCCTCTTCTCTTTCCCAAACATCCTCTCCAAGCGCCTCCGTTGCGCCATGAACATCAACCACGGCCAGTCCATCCCAGTTGCCCACGTCGCCCAAGATACTTCGACGTCGCCCCTCGTCTTCGCAAACTTCTCCATCTTCGCGAAGAAATCCCAATCGGGAAGATCGCCGGTAGGCTGGACATCTCGAATAGGTAGCTTCAAAACAGAGCTTCCAACCTCCATCTTCAAGCTCTTGAGCGCCTTCAGCTTTGCGAGGTTGGCGAAGAAGATATCTGCATGTGAGCTCGCCATTTGCTCGACGTTCTTGAGACCGATCACGATGTTGGTGATGTTGTCTTGGCCGGTGCTGCTGATGTAGTCGAGGAATGTGTTCGCAGAAGAGACATCGAGAATTTCAATCCGCTTTGTGCTGCAGAGGCGAGCGAGGGCTTCGGCGCGAATTCTGCGCGAGATGCGGAAGACAGGCGAGGAGAGCACCGAGCAGACGATGTCGCGGGGTTGGGAGCAATTGATGATGACGAGGTATTCGTGATTGGGGAAGAGGGCCTCATCATAAATCTTGTTCCGGAGCTCACCGGGGAGCGAAAGGAAAGCCATGGTGCCGTGTCGTTGTATTTGGCTTAAAGGAGCAGGATTGTTAGGGCGGAGGGCGAAGTTGTAAGCTCACCGGAGAGGCGCTAAGCCTAAAGTGCAAATAGCGCGATTCTGCCTTCATGCCGCACGTGATATTTGCTAATATGTATCAAACTACGAAGACGGCACCATCAACCGATCAATATCCGGTCCCCATGAACCGCTCATACTGACTTTGATCGTATTCGAGCCCGCCTTCAAATCTGCGTGGAGCGAACTCGAAACCGGATCCGACCCTCCTGAAGGTAGGAAAGCAACCCTCTGCGCGGCTCCTCCATTGACACTTACATCCGCAAACCTTTGGCTGCTATCCCCATTCAGATACTTGATGCGGATCGTCGTACGCGTCGTCGCCGAACTCTGTACCTCCGAAAACGTAACCACTCCGTTATTGTCTCCGCCGACATAGCCCGCGGAACTTTGCCCTGAGCACCCAGAGCAGGAAACGGTCTTAGCTCCGCCCGAAAGCTGCGCAGACTCGCCTTCGTAGCTGTTCTCGCTAGGGCCGGAAGATGCGGATCCAGATTGCACGTTCGGGACCCAGTTCACAGCGTTCTTCATGCTCGCTGTCGTGCCAGAGAGCGTCAACGGCAGCCATACATACGTAGACCGCATCAAGTTACTTGAGACCCAGCGATCACCCATGTACATAGCATTGTCACCGAGCGGCAGGATGAAGTTTGTTTGCGAGGTGTAGGTTTTGGATCCGGAGTCGGCGAAGGTTTTCCAGGAGGACCACGGGCCGGAGATCTGGGTTGCAGTGCTGTAGACGTTGTCGTTAGGATCCCAGCCTGTTAGCTTAGAGCCGAACATGAAGTAGACGCCGTTCTTCTTGATCATGGCGGGCGATTCGATGCTGTCTTTCCAGAGGTAGGTGGAGCTCTTGACGGTGAGGTAGTCGTCTGAAAGGAGATCGATGCGGAGGCCGTTCTTTCGCTGTCGACATGTCAGCACTTGTTATCCAATATGATGGAGGCCGAGAGTGGAAACGCACGTCTTCGGTCAAAAGATACCCCTTGTCGTCGTCATCCACGAACAATCCCATATCCCGACTCTCAAAATTCAGCGGCCTAAAGCTCCCCTTGTACTCAAACTTCCCGCAAACAGTATCCCCAGTCGCGACACCGACTTTCGCATCGCCGTAGTTACTGCTGTCAATGTGCATCCAAAGTACGTACTTCTTCGTGGCCTTGTTGTAAATGACCTTCGGGCGCTCGATGATGCGGTTCGGTCCAAGATCGCCAGAGCTGGTGCGCGAGAGCAGAGCACCTTCGTATTTCCATTCCACGAGGTTCTGACTGGAGTAGCAGTTGATGTTCTGGAAAGCCGAGCCGTCCGTCTTGTCTTCGCCGACCCTTGAAGAATGTCAGCGTATGGACCGCGCTGGAAAGATGAGGAATACCAGTAGTAGGTCTCACCCATTTTGAGCATGCCACCGCCATGCGCTTGGATATGTTTCCCAGTGTTGGTCTGAAGACAACTCGTCAGCAGGGATTGTTCATGGCGATATTGATTGACTTACAGCTGTCCAGGTTCCACCAGGTACGATCTGGAGCGTCGCGTTCACGCCGCAAGCAAGTAACGCCAACGCCGTAAAACTTTCGAAGAACCTCATCGTGTTGAGGTAGGATCTGCTCTTCTTGTCACACAGACATCCGGAGCCGGGGCATGACACGCCGGAACTGGTATATAAGGCATGTCGGCTTCCATGGTCGACGGAAGAATGGCGCCAAAGTGGTTCTGGACTGGCGGAAAAAGAGCTGCTCCTTGATTGAGATACCGAGGAGCCACATGCTCACATATTGAAGTACAATACTTTAAATGCGACGAGTATAGAAGGTAGATGTAGAAGCCGAGCCGAATAGATTGAGGATTGCAGGGTTTGCGGGAGATATGTGGGGAAACCTGGGAACGGCCGAGGACAGCGCTGTACATGATATTGGACATGGCATAGCTCTTCCGTGGTTTTTATGGTCATCCGCCTGTCGGTGACCCCACAACCGCAAGCCGTAGAAGGCTCCGAGATATCACGTGATGTCAATTTCCGAGCTTTTTTAAACGTTCAATGAGCTCGGAACAGTTGCAAAGACTATTACAAGACAGAAAAGATATACCAAATGAAAGATGTAACTGATTCCAAGGGCACCCTTAGGCATCTGAGTAGGGATTGAACGAGATTAACGAGACGAGATAAAAGCACGCAGTTCCTCATCGCGCTTGAACTTGATCGTTCAGAGGCCGGATATCTATGCCACTTACCTGGTGTGCGTGCTGCAAAATGCATGCTCTCAGCATCCCAGATTGACCTTACCTGACTCTATGTCTGCATTCGCGGTGATGTGTCGTCTTCTAGGATGCGCGGCGCCGCCTGTTCATGCGTCCACCAACGTACCGAAGAGACCCTTTATCCCTTCCTGCTCTGCTTCTTGTTTCTGTAATATGTCTGAGCGTTTGCGGGGGTGTTCAAGCGTCCATATCGGCGACCCGCTGCCGCAATACACGCTGTTCCCGGTCGAGATGCACACAGGCCTTCGCGCTCGAAGCCCGTTGTAGTCCCAGAATCCGGTCTCGTAGAACAGATTATGCTCCATATGCGTCATGCGCGATCCGCGGGCCGCCCATGAGGTGCAGGGGGTTTACATCCTCGCCGTATCGCCGCTCCGTCCGCTTCGACCCTGGGCCTGGGGCCGCTGGTGTCAACGCTGTTCTATCCTCTCTGCAGCATCCACAGTCCGTTGAATCTGCCATGTATGCTTGAGAAGTCGTGTGCTGTTCCTTCCGATCGCCGCACGTCTGAACTGCGGCGCTCGTATAGCGGCCCTCCGTTGTGAGCGTTCTCGCGGAGATTGTGCACCGTGTCCCGCGCCCTCTGCTTTGCGTCCCATTCTGTTCTCAATGGCGCTTCGGCGATGCTCGTATCGGGTCAAGAGGGGGGCGGACGCGGCTTCGTCGAGGGGTACGTTTCGTGAACAGAGATCTGCCGCTCTCGTCCTGGATGATCAGGGGGTCTGTGGAAGACGCGGACATTACTACGAGCTGGAAAGAGCCCTCGCTCGAGCTCGGGTGGGCTTGATGAGGGTCGTGCAATGTTGTAGGGCCGTCGCAAACACTCCACTTGCACGGCAGACGTTTAGCGGCGTCCGCTGCGTGCTGTGAAAGCGATCTGCGGAAGACGCACCGCATGCCGTCAGCTAGGAGAGCGATCTGGGCAAGGCGACCGATGCCGCTGAGGGTCGGACAATGGCGTAGAGGCACCGCCGAGCGTTGAACGCACCGTCGCAGGCTCTACGGCGCGAGCTCGACGCTGCTGAGCCGAGATCAGGGGCCGGGCTTCGGAGGCACGGCATCGCCGACCACAATCCTTTCTGCGTCCTGATAGATTCTGCGGAGGGTAAAACGAGGCCGCTGAAGACGATGCGAATGCTCCGGATGTCTCTATCGGTGTGCCGGTGGTGCTGTTGGCGTTCGGGGGTCGAATCCGCGCTCACGCCGTCTCGCACAGACCCTCAACACCAAAAAAATCTCACGATCGCCAACACCAACTCCCACACCCACACCCCATACCACCTCACCCCCCAACTCTGTACCGCCCTTTGTCTGCCCGCATATTTGAGAGGGCGCCTTTCTCATCCTACTCGAGCAATTTTTCTACGCTCCCGAGCGCCGTTCAAGGTGTGGCTCGCCCTCCTGCGTCTCCCGCCCTGCAACCTCCGCTCTCACCCCTACACGCCGCGACCAGCTCCAGTACGCCCGCGGCCCTCTGAGGGGCTTCTCAGCAGGCTCAATAACCTCAGCGACGGCTTTGCGGAGCTTCCTCAAGCTTTTGCAGCGCTGCCCGCACCGCCGGCGGTGGGGAGGGGTCGCTCGAGCCGCTCCTTCCACTACTCCATGCAGCCGACATGACCTCCGCAGTGGCATGAGGGCCATTATAACGCTGTAAGTATCCCCGTCATGCTCTAGCAGAAGTATTGGCTCCCCAGAATTTGTGTGCTGACGCCGACGGCGAAGCGGCCCGCAACGTGCGCTGCGGCGGGCTTCCAACTTTTCCCGGCGGTATGGGACCTCAAACGGCGACAGCAAGGCCCCCACGAGCCTCAAGGTAAGCATATACGACCCTGAGTCCCCTTCAGGTCCGCCGTATTTGGTTTGCTGACTTATCCCCTGTCGCAGCGTTGGACTGCACCGAACAGACGCGAGCGGGCGACGGCAACTTGCAGCTCTACCTGCGACAGCCATTGGCACTTGTCTCAGAGCACGTAGCCTTCTGTAAGTCTCTTCCGTCCCCCACAACGTCCTCTTCGACAAAGGAACGCTCCTGACTGACATAGAGGCGGCGACAGATCCCTGCCCGACCTGTCGAAGACAGCGTACGCCGACGCCGCAGCTGCTCGCCGAACGCATATGTCTCTGGGCCGCACATAGTTTGTCAATCGGCGCTCGGAGTTTTGCAGTCCATGCTTGAACGACTTCGCCCATCGTCGCGTCATACCATACACCCTCGCCAGCAATACTTGACGAGGACGTGGATGCAGGGGCCATTGGAAGCCTACGGTCGCCGCTGTTGCCGTCGGTTGGGCAGCGCCATATCCTCCAGGACAGCTGCCCCGGTGCATGACCAGCTCTTGTCGCAATTACACTTCGGATCGTCGACCCATCCTGGAGCGGATAAGACCTTCGTAGACGCAAGCCATCGCAGCGTTCATCCCGAGTCAGAACACCTCAAGACAACCTGCATGGTCATAGTCGTTGCTTCTTCCCTGGTACCTCTTCGATAACCTTCGGGTTCTTTCGAATGTCTGGGATCTAGCGGCGATGACGGCTGCGTGGGACGTCTGTACTCTCCGACTTTGTTAAGCGCTTCCATCTCATATGGCATATACTGGACCGACGTCTGCTCCGGTACCATTGCATTGGTTGGCGGCTCCAACCCCATCGACGACCAACACCGACCGTTCGTGCCCTCTCACCAATCGAGTCGAACCTTAGGTCAACCTGCACGGTCAGAGTCGTTGCTTCTTCCCCGGTACCTCTTCGATAACCTTCGGGTTCTTTCGAATGTCGTGGGATCTGGCAGCGATAACGGCTGTGTGGGGAGTCCGCATCCGACATCCTACTCATCAAACGCCTCGTCAAGCACCTCAGATATCTAGGTGCACGCTCGATCAACCTCGTCCTCAACACTGGCTTTGAAACGGTCATTCCAAGTTCATTTTCGACTCGCGGTGGTGACGCCGCCTTTAGCCTTCTCGTCGAGCGTCTCAGAGACTCACGCACATGCTCGATCAAGTTCACCTTCAACCTCGGCTTCGAAACGGTCGCTCCGAGCACATCTTTGATCAGCGGCGTTCGCTCAACCCCTGTCGTCAACCAAGTCTAAGCGCCAAAAGGCAAACTGTATGGTCAGAGTTGCTGTCTCTTCTCCGGTACCTCTTCGATAAGTCCTTCGGGGCTTCTTTCGAATGTCGTGGGATCTGGCGGTAGCGATGGCCATGTAGTGAGTCTTCATTCGGCGTCTGTCTCGTCAAGCGCTCCAGTCACTCAACAGCGCATGCTCGATCTACCTCTTCAAAATTGTGTCGGCCGCCTCATCAACTTCAAATCGAATACCATCAGCGGCTCAGTTGCTGCCTCTCGGTATCTTTTCTCGATAGCTCTTCGATAGCTCTTTCTGGCGCATTTCGAATGTCGTGGGATAGGTAGCTGTCCTGGCTGTTCGCAAGCATGCCCACAACAAGCGCCCCAGTCTTGCCACTGCGCATGATCGACCGAACCAGTCTTAACCACCGCCGTTGACGGTCCGCTTAAAGTCATCTTCGTCTCAACATCGACTCGTTCGTTCGGCGATTACCCTCGTCCAGGGCATTGGACATGTCGACCTCTACCGGCCTGCGTTCAAAGTCACACCGAGAGCCCCTTACGTTACCGCGTGTCCGGATCGATGTAGTACTTGCCGGAGTGTGTGATTGAAGTAGTGTTCCGTCTCCCAGTACCTCTTCGATAAGTTCTTGGAAGCTTTTTTCGAATGTCGCGGGATCCAGGCGGTTCCTCAATCATGTGCGATGGTGGGGAGGCTTCGATTGCGGCACATGCTCTCACAGGCCCGGTAGTAGTCGTCTGGGAAGTATACGTCTTTCTGTCGACTGCTCAATATCTTCGCTCGACTTTCGTATTTTCGTCGACTGGATCCCCCAATGTCTTCATTCGACTCGCCTCTTAAGTCATCCAGTCGACGCTTCCCACCGAATCTCGCACTCTCTGCATTACACCAAGTCTAACGGCGTTCCATCACGCCAGACCAGTACTGATTGTCTTTTACCCAGATAGGTACCTATGGGCCCATCAACTCCCGTCACAGAACAGGCAGCGTCACGAATGGCCAAACCTAAGGCGTGGTGCGCCCTAAAAAGCAATATCCACGCTGGCGGCTGGGGAGGCCAGGGCTCGCGTTCCACTTAGTAGGTGATGGGTAAGCTTGATCCCCGTGAAAACTCAGCTGCTGGAGATCTTTGGTATCTGGGATGGATGGTGATGGATGGTGTGAGGCAGAGGTGTGTGGGATTCCCGCCCTCGTCAACGCTTCGATCGCGCAACGACATCGACGAGCGGCAATCCGATTCGGCACTCGCTCCGCTTCTTCGAAATTCCGATATGCGACACCGCTTCGGTTCTTCGGCTTCAATGCTTTCGACCCGAATGCCTACTCAACACGGCATTCCTCAGGTTTGCGACTTTTCTTTCGGCTTTTCTTCTACCGAATCTTCGACTCTCCTTTGGACTTCTCTTCATCCGACTCTTTGACTTTCCTTTCGACCGCTTTCTCATCTTCTGGCTCTTCGACCCCATTTCTTCCAACTCTTCGACTTCATTTCTCAACATCTTCGGCATTTCCTACTTCTCGGTCTTCTTTCCTTCGGATCATTCGGCTTCTTCTCTTCTCGGCTTCGTTCAGCACCCGATTCCGGTCGATCTCGATGAGGCGCCGGGCTCTCGTGCCTGCTAATACCTTCGACCACCTGCTTCCAGCGTCAAATGGCGCCTGCGCCATATCAGGCTTTAAGCTCTGGGGAGCGTCGAGTGCTGATTCAGCTCTTCGACGCTGAGCTTCATCATGATCCGGGCTTTGATCGCAACCTTTCTCACTGGACTAACACCGACTTCGAATGTCTTCGCGGCTCGGACAGGGCTAACATTCAACTGCAGCGTCTGCATGCATTCTCCAGCATTCCTTGTATCGATGTTTCGCAAGGGCAGCAGTCCAGCTCCTCGGATGTTTGCGACATCTCATTTCCTTTGTCTCTGTTGGTTGGGGAATCAGCTTGGCGGACCCCGCGGCTCGCTCATCTACTGGTCTCATTCCCTCCCCACAAACGATGAAAGTGCCGACTTTGCTCCAGATCTCCATCTTGTAGACCGTTCTTCGATATCGCGGTTCGCCAACGACTGTCTTCGCTGCTTCGTATCGCTGATGCCGCCGGATCCTGCCTGACAAGTTTGTGTCGTTTCGATGACAACCTTTTGTGATGCATCGCTGACTTCGTGTAGGATTTCGAAACCCCTGTCTCCGCTGCTCATTGCTGAGGCGACTGGATCCTAACGCTTGGCGTGTAACTGTCTTTCTGATGACACCTTTTCATAATCCGTTGCCGATCCGCATCCGACTTCCGAGCGTCGCTTGCCGATCATTTGCGACCAAGGTAGGTAAGGTAGGTAAGGTAGGTGAGGCAGGTTCCCGTTTGTCTGCTCTGCGCGCATCTCTGGTTCTTCCCAGCTCAAGTTCGTTCTCTCGCCCTTCCCGTCCTCTTGCGCTCTCCTTTGTTCTCTCTGCTTCTTCAGCACCCATGGCGCACTGCGCACTCTTGCATGCCTCCCATCCTCTTGCTTCATTTCCTGCTCGTTGTTTTCCCCGTGTCCTTGATCATTCATGTCTCCTTTGTGTTTTTCCGGCGGCTATGACGGACTCCGCATTCGACTACTCGCTCCCCTCGGACTTCACGCAAGGTAAGTCGCATAGGTTTGTTCGATCATCAAGCTGCCGTGGATTATAGGTCGTCCGGTATACCCGCCGTCCCAAGGAGAGACTTGGTATAGTCGTCATGTGTCGCGACACTGTGGGAGCCAGCTCGGCCACCCGTAAAACTGCGTTTGGAGCAAGTTCGTCGCCGCTTCTCTTGCCATGGGTGTTTGGTTGCGGCTCTTCCCTTCCTGCTGACGAGAGGTATCGCCTCCAGTTATCGCACAGGAGGTGATGTCACATCCGTTGCCGAAGCAAGTCCCGATGAGGTGAGTGGTCCATTGCGTATAAATGTGGGCATCGATGCTGCACCCACTGACTTCTTCCACACTTGCCTAAGTGGTATCATGCCCGTCAGATCTGACCCCCGATACATCCCTCTTCGCATCGTCCGCGTTTCTGGAGCGGACGAGAACCGCCGGCATCATCGGTTGCTTTTGCCGCATTGCGTAAGGCCGACTACGCGGGCTCCTTGGTCGAATCGACTTGATCTGCCCAGCTCTTCGTCTTTCCGCTTGTAATTCGACCTCGTTATCGACCTTGTTCGACGCTTTGCGTATCGCTTCCCAATTTGCGAGACCATCTTGCCGAGCGTTGCACCATCAGGGCTCAAGGAGTATTCGCCTTTCTCGAAGTTTCACAGCCTCTCGTGACAACAGGCCCTGACTGACCGGACCGGTCACCGCTCGGATATTGGCTTCGTGGAGGCTGGCTTTGCTGGAATTCTCCGTTTTTGCTTTTCCGGTACCACTTGTGGGATTTTTCGAATGGGCCGGTACCGATGCGCTGTTCCGTGGTTCGATTTCCGGTTCCTCCCACATGCGAACAATTATATCGATCCCGTTGGCTTTTTTTTTGCGAGAACATTGTTTCCCCATCAGACTGGTATCTCGACCGATCCGTCGTGGACGTGGATTTAGTGCACCTCTACACTTCCTAGATGCAAGGCCTTTTCGACGACTTTTCTTGCTCAACCACTCCATGCCAGGGATTACGTTCGCATTGACAATCGACTTGCGCCGTCTAGGATACCTTGGCGACCAAATGCTCTCAGGGACCTTTGATGGATCTGGGGGGCCTGTTGGCGGTTTCCATGAACACCCTTTACTAAGACCTACGTACCTAGGATGCTCCGGAGACGTTTGTACCAGACTTATCTTCATGATGGTCGCTATCCATGATCCTTTTAGGTGCTTTAGCTGACGTGCTCAGCCGTCCTAAATCTATTTCCTCGAGATCTATGCCTGAGATCTATGCCTGGGACTCGAAGCATCGGGTTGGTCGAATCTTGAGGTATGAGCGAATCTGAATCCCGGGCACTCCTTGGTCTGGCGGCTTCAAATGGCAGGACAAGAATATCTCATTCGCCCGTGTATTTCGCTGATATCCTTCTGACGATCATGGTGGAGAGAATAACCTCGATGCGGTTTCGAAATGCTCGATAACAAACGACGATCTTGCTGGACCTTGTCGACATTGAGAATCGATATGCGCCTTACCAAATACTCCGGATTGTCGAGACAACGGCTTAAAGGTTTGTTTTCGGGAATGCTCCTGCTGAGAAAGCCAGATTGACGCGTTGATTCGAACCCTGCCGGATTTGTATCTGAGCTCTGAGCTGTCGCCGTGATTGCGCGATCTGGATTTGACACTGTGTTCGCTTCCACTAGCCGCCTCGTTCTGCTAAAACGGTTGTTGCGTGTCTCAACCGGGCCCCATACGGACGATCGACCTGAGATGAAGCATCCCTCCCGCCTCCTCCTTTTTGGGACCCTGCTGTCGACACATCTTGAGCATGTACGCTATCTCCGGATTGCGATATGCCACCAAAGTCTCTCGTTGCTCCATTGTGAAGAGTTTGGTCTCCGCAATATGTGGCCCGTTATCCGATCTTCGTCGTACGGCGCGTTTCGGGTTCTTAGATGCGCCGGAAGACGAATGAAGCCCGCCCAGGAATACGCTGCCGCAGCTTTTGTCATTTCCTCCTCCAATGGCGGCGGGTTCTTCTTGTCATTCGAATTGCTGCTCGATCCATTCCGTTCGGGGCGGGTGGGGTACCATAACAATTCCTATCAGCGCATACGCTTCGTCTCCTTGGTTACTCCAAATGGTTGCCAACGGTTCCGTACAAATCCCGGAGCTTTGCTCAGGCGGGTTTTCTCGGTACTGTTGTGCATTGAAATGCGCTTGCTGACCTTCATCTGTCCCAACCAGCGGTCATCGATATCTCTTGCCGGCGGACACTGTCGAACTTATGCTAGGCCGGCATCAGTTCTTTCATCTCCGGCGTCTTCGGTGTATTTGACTTATCTCCAAACCCACTCCTTCACCCAAGGCCATCGATCGCACCCCTAGCGGAGCGTCCTCGTTCCGAACCGGGATTTCGAGCACGCGTTACGAAAAGGCGAGCGTCCGGTATCCTCTGACCGCCTTGCTGCCGGTCTATGACGCGTGCGAATCTACCGTCGTTAGACCTGTACAGACTGGGGAGTCAGCAATGTTTCCACCATCAGCGACACGAATAAGTATGGATGCTCCTCCAAGGGTACTCAGGCTGCTCTCTTATTTCATATGCATCGAATCCCAGGGTGTACCCGCTTTCGCGCCCGAAGACGTTTCCACGAGCAGGGACCCGGGTTTCTGCGTATTAGATCAAGACGCAGCGAATTGGTTGTTCAGGCCAACCCGCCACGGTTGTTCATCATGGTACCGATAGGAAGGAATGATAGGGCGGACTTATCCTTGCAGGAGATGGGAGCCGAGGAATGTGTCAATCATCCCTGGCCTCCCGTTCGGCATCCACCTGTTCACGATCCCACACTGCTGTCGTTTTCGAACGCTTGAGAAAGACACCGAGCGGTTGCAACGCCATCTCGGTATCTTCAGCCTCTTGTGCCCGTCCCAAGGAATGGCGGTGAGCTGCTCGGGTACCCACAGGCCTGGGATATACCGTTTGCCAGCACTCCGCACCTGAGGCTTCCAAGCTTGCGCATCTATCCCCATCCCCGGTGTATGTACCCGTTTCCGTTCTGTATTACCGTCGGTGCATGTCGGACGTAGACGAGCGGTGGGATGTAATCGTTCAGAGGGCGAAGAGGAACAGTGACCGACGCGAGAGGGACGATGAAACCGGAACGGCGCAATCGGAGGAGTCTACCTTCATTGTCAGCACTGGGATCACATCGAAAGCTCTTCAACTGGGTCCCAACTTGCAGTAGGAGCTCCCATATCGCTACGCGAAGCACCATCGAAAAGGCAGAACCGTCCTAATCGGCCATGTTTTGCTCCCGCTTTTCCCGGAAGAGGTTGCACACGCCTGAGGTCCCAGCCAAAGTTCTCTCGATCCTCTTTTCCAATGAGCAGGCTCTGCCGCCCTTCGTCTGCTGCTCGGCTTTCGGGCATGCGCCATAGACATTGACGATATGATCTTCTTCGTGCTCGATGTCCGAAGAACTTGCAGGTGCCCAACGACACAGCCGGTCTCGGTCTGAATTGAGCTTGATGACAACATCTGAGGACGTTCCGCGACGAATTTCCGAAGAATATCGATGCCGGTGGTCTACTATCCCGTGCCATGAGTGAGTGCTGTTTTGTCCACGGGAATCCTGTCACTTCACTGTTCGGCGCAAGCACGAGCGGCGCCGGGATTGTGGAAGAGGTATCCGTGGCTACTCGGGCAAGTCTGATAGACGAATCTCTCTTGCCGATTGAGGCTGCGCATGTCACTCGGTGTGACGTCTTCGTACTCTGGTCGCACCGCACAGCTGTCAGCCTGCGCTCTATCGGATTGTACTCGGTCGCTTTTTCGTGGCTCCACGATACTGCCAAAGACACCATTCAGTGTATCCTGCCCCCCGCCATGGTGTTATCGTCGCCCATACTGCCGCCACCTTTCAAGACAGGGTGTTGTTCTGATGGATGACGGTGTCGCACAAACGTCCACGCAAGACATGGTGGCGGACATGGCATCCAAGGCGAACGATATGCCGAGGCCGTTTGCTTATCCTGGATTGCTTCCGGTTCGACTCTCAACGCTCTTAACTCGCAGTGCATCTGGCGCCTGATCATGGGGGTTACCGTTCTCGCCTCCCGGGCTTGCTCGCATGTAGAACGACGCTCATGCATACTGCAACGAATCCAAGAAAGCATAGCGACACGTTCGTCTTGGCTGCATCTACCTACTTCGACTCGTGATCGATATGGCAATTTCGATGTGTCGAGGCCTGTGGACATCGGAGGTGGCGTACCGCCGTCTCTCGCGACGCCGGGAATTTCGAGGAGTTCGAGTCGGTGCGTCGTTTCTTGTCCAGATGAGGGCTTGAATTCGCCGTCACCAGCCCGAACAGGTGCCGCCGGAGTGCCCTGCTTCCTGTTTGGGTCTGGACTTGCAATCGTCGCGGGTACGCTTCATTGCGCAGACTTTGTCCGCCACTTGACCATGCCCACAATGCATGATTGCGCTCAGAATCAAACTCGAGTACTGATTGTGCTCATTGTGCAGCATCTTAGTCTTGACGCCGTTGGCCGCCGGCGCGCAGCGTCTCCGCGTGAGAGTACTGTGCTGCAGTCGATATTGTATTTGACGTTGAGCGGTCTTCATGGTTGCATGCCTTTGACTCGCCCCTCTCCTAGTCCCCTGATGCCCTCATGGGTATCGTGTTGTGGTTGTTCCTATCCTTCCACACCGGGACTCGATGGGCTCAAGCTGGGGTTCTCGAGCAAAGCCGCGAAGACGGAGACTTGGACATGCGGCGTATGGATCTGGACGATGGTATGGTAGAAGAACGTTTCCTGGTATCTGCTCTATTACTTGTAAGATCGGAGTTGGGGTTCGACTAGCCATGGCGCCCCCACAGGAGACTCGAAGCTCAATGTGGACTCGGTGAACCGTGCTTGGACCGAGGTGGAGCAAAGACTGTCCCGGTTTCGGAACTACTGTACTGGTTCTCGGAGTTGGGTGCTGCAGCTGGCTTGGGCGCGATCGTCGAAATGGGCTGTCCGCCGCGGCGGTACTCCAAGTGAGGGCCTGTTGTTGTTCCGCCGTGTCAGCACAAGCAGCAGCCAGACCATTCAAGCCGCCTGATTCAGGAACTGAGGGTGCAGTGAGAGTAGAGTACGTACCTGCTAGGTGCACGGGAGAAGTCAACTCCGCGAAAATCTTGCGGGCGGGCTCTATACCCCCACCGGGGCTCTGTGTCAGCGCCCATGTAGAGGATGAGTCTTCGTACCTTGGAAAGCTCGTCGTAGTGCTCTGGGGAGCGTTCTTTGCTCGGGCGGCGGAGGTGTGGGCGGCGCTTCTCAAGGATGCGGTGCTCCGGTGCTCCCGATAAGTCGGCGGCGCAGAAATCCTGCGGGCAACTCTATATCCTAGAGGCTATTCGGTACCGGCGTCAGTTGTGCAGGAGGCGACTTCGAAATTCTAAGCTCTTTAGTACTACGAGGGGCGTTTCCGCTTTGGCTGCGGAGGTCCAAGGCGACGGCCCCCGAGGACGAAGCGCTGCGCAGGAATCCTGCGGCCAACCCTACGTCCTAACGGCTATTCAATACTCGCGCCTGCTGCGTAGGAGGAGACCTCGAAGCTCCCGAGCGCCTGTAGTGCTACGAGGCGCGCTCCCGCTTTGGCTGCGGAGGTCAAAGGCGGCGGCCCCTGAGGAAGAAGCGCTGCAGAGAAACCCTGCGCGCAACCCTATGTTCTAACGGCTATTCGGTGCCGGCCTCCGATGTGTAGGAGGCGCCCTCAAAGCCCCCGAGCGCCTATAGTGCTATGAGGGGCGTTTCCGCTTTGGCTGCGGAGGTTCAAGGAGGCGGTCTCCGATGATGAAGCGCTGTGCTCCATCTCATTTCCCTCGGTCCATATCCTCGCCCTGTTATTACCATCTATCTGTATTCCACCTGTTGTTCCGATCGCGCCGTGTCATAGTCTGATACGCAGTCGATAGAGAAGAGCGGCGTGGGGCAAATGTACTCATCGAGGGCGGTGTATCGTAGCGGGACTGGTCGATCGAGGCTGCTTAATCGTATGAGTAGTATCTCTCCGGGGGGCTTACCGGGATCTGTCAGACCCGCAGCGGTGGTGGAGACGGCTCATAGCTCGTTGCCGCTGCGCATGCGCCTCCCGCTGACGCGCGATGCCGTATTTGCGGTGCGGTCCGGACGCCATGGCGTTGCCCCAAGTCGACCTGGACGCTGCCCCAGCGGTGTCTCCACCCCTGATTATCTCCGCGTGTATGTAATGCGGCAGCATTGATGGATCGTAGGGGGGGCGAGGAGCCCCTCGAGGGCACGCAGGCGGCGTCGAAGCATCAGCGCGACGACTCGGGACGGAGACTCGCGCGGAGGCGGGGCCTGGCAAACAGAACCTGAGTCGGTTTCTGGGCAAGAGAGTAGTTTTTCGATGCAAAGAGGAGGAGTTGTGTCGCTGGTGCAATCCGTGGTTGTCTGTTGGTGTAGAGAGAGCGCGGGGGCGAAGCCGATCGGGCGCTGTGCCTGGAGAAGTCACTGGCAGACCGTATTGCGAAAGGCCACAACATGAGTAGCAGCGCACTACTACTCTCTCCTGACACCATTGAGCAGGCTGAATGCAGTCGCATGCAGCTTAGAAGCCGGCAATGGAGCCTGCAGAAGGTCCTCGCAAAGCGCTATCAGGACTCGGCCCGCATCAGAGCACCTCGAAGGCCTTCACGTCGACGACTACCCGGAGCTCGAAATCGAGTAGAAGAGCGACTTTAATTTTCACCAGGACTTCCGAAGACTTGCTCATTACTATCTAGAAGAAAGGGATGCAATCCGGGTGACTGCAGCCATATGGGCGCGTTGATAACAGCGCAACCCGCTCCGTGCCCCTTATGCCGCATCCTCATCCATTCCAAAAACCCTTGCCTAATAGCTGCCCCCTCCCCCCGGAGATCCTCCTCAGTGTCTTCCCGTTGATATTGTTGATACTGTTGTGCTGGGCATCGCAGTCAACATCCGTGGGTCCGCACGTCTTCATGGCGCTTTCCGAAACGGGACAGCAGGGGATGCGATCGGACGAGGCATCACGCAGCAGGTAGACGGCAGCCTCGCGAGTAGGAATGTGCAGGAGGCTGTAGAGTGATTTCGGAAATAGAGTGAGTGCGGGCAGAGTTCCGGTGGGGCTGGTACAATTGTGGGTGAACAACGTTGGGCTGCGATGTTCGCCACCGGCTGCCATTGCCACCGGCGCTCGAATCAACATTGGAGAAAGCATGAAGCGAAACGGTCACTGCGTAGGAAGGCACGAAGGTTTAAACAGAACGGCGATTTCATTCACCACAGCTAAAACAGCGAGGTCGACGAGACAGGACAAAGACCCGACACCAGACCGACAACTCGACATCAGATCAACCACCTTGTACCAGAGCAACCACTGGGTACCAGAACCACCATCTGACAGCATGCCTGGGGAGTTAGCTCATGACAGACTGCTGCTGACTCTCCTCAATGATGTTGTACGTCGGACTGCCGAGGTCTTCTGTGCTGCTGTTTTATCTGTTAGCATCTGCGGTGAGGAAAGGTGGGAGAGGACGAAAGAAAGGGAAGCGACATACCAGACACCAGAACGGCGACCCGAAAACATTCCCGGTGAGTGGCCCATGGCACACTGCCGCTTCGTCGCGAGTCGAAGTGCGCACCGCTCAGCTGTGAGCTCGCCTCGAAGCTTAAGCGGTTGTCAAAGCCCTGGTTCAGCGAGGGCAGAGCATTGGGCTGTGTCCGGGTCAGTCCGCTATCTTGACCACTAGCGGACAAGCGTACCTGCTAGGTTGCAGACAGTCCGGATGGATACCGAGCCGAGGATGGCGTGTCCGGCACAGAGTTGCGGGAGTGCAGCTGCTTGTGCATTGGAGTCAACATGTCTTAATGGGTTCCATACCAACCCCCCGGGGCAAGCCGCCTCTACGGAGGTCAGAATGGACTGTGAAGGGGAAGGGAGCGAAGACACTCACATCGCGAGGCAGCTCGCCCCGAAAACATCGGGATGCCCTTGTGGAGGTCCCCCCACCCGCGAGGGACACTGGTTGGAGGCGCGGGCGGGGGGTGGGGGGTGGGCATAAGCCCTTTATCCTAGCAGACTGGTAGACCCCCCAAGGGGACGAAAGACGAAGTGAGGAGCCGAGATGAAGGAAGAAGAGAAGGATTGAGGTTGGGGGGACGCGGTATTTATGCCTGGAGGATGGCGTGCTCTTGGCGACGAAGCCAGGAAGTCACGAGCACGTAATCGCGATGACAACTCGGATGAGAGCGCCGCGGAGAGCAGCCGACGACAGGTCATGTGTGATACGGTAACGCTCATTGGCTCAGCCCTTATCAAGTGTCTCCGGTGTTTTCCGGCGAGGAAGGCAGTCCCGTTTTTCTGGCCCGACGTGAGGGCGGGAGGAAGGTGCGAGGAGCCTCACCCCGCTTCACTGCTGAGACGGTGACTGATTCCGACGCAAAAATGTATTCTTATGGCTAGAAATTTGGATTCGTACGTACTCGAACCCTTCTCCATTTCGAAGGTCACGTTTTATAGAGGCATCTTATAGAGGCATTGGCCACAAAAAGAGAGGCTGTTGTTGGTGCGAAAAAAATTGCAATAATTATCCTAGCAGCTGGTCGCCTTAGGGTCTACCAGTCTGCTAGGATAATGAAATGTTTCAAGAATTAAATAATATATATCCAACAAATAACGAACACACACTAGCACAGGTAAGTACTACCTCCCAATTACTGTAGCTGTTCTGTCTCGGAGGCGAACGTAGGTCCACAAGCGCTTGGCGAGGAAGGAGCGCTGTTTACCAAAGCCCCACCAACTTTCACGACTTCACGAATAGGTTTCAAAGGACACAGCATCAGTGGTCTGACGGCTTTTCATTCGCAGTCTCTATCCCTGGGCAAAGCCCACCCAGCTCCTCACGCCCGTAGGCCCCCAATCTCCTCTCCCCGCAGTGTCTACTCCCTGCCGAAGCCGACTGCCTTCTTCATCTTGGCCCAAAGGCCACGGAGCCGCTTCTTCTTCTCCTTCCTCTCCTCTTTCTCCTCGGCGGCAGGCGACGGCGGCAGTGTCTTCTAGTCTCCAGTCAGTCTTGTTTACCTGGCCGATGTTCAATACGCATACCAAGCGCTCGTAAGCGCCACTGGAACAGCCGTTAGCTTGGAGTAGTAGAATGTGCACTCATAACCCCTTACCGGTCTCCGACTCCAAATGCGTTAAAGAACGCGGAAGCGCGGTTGGTCATGATGTCTACTCCAGACAGGATTAGGAGGGGAACACAGTTATCGTTGAGCAATGCCTGACGGACTGGTGGATGTTGATGATTTTTAAAAAATCGTAAGTTGCGGGCGCAGGAGGTTTCTGGACGTGATGAAGAGGTATGTGTCCTGGAGGTCAAAAGTCTCCGAACCTCGAAGAGATTTATAGCACTTCGCTAAGAAGAGTGAAGATGAAAGCAGCTCTAACCACATCGACGATCTGCCTTCCTGGATCCAAGATAACGCCTCCTTCCGTTCCAAAGCCCACTAAAATATCCCTTTGGCTTCCATTCTCGCAATAGCATCTCGAAATACGCTTGACTGAACCCCCCCCTTTCTGGCATGGGCTTGAACGCGTCGTCCAATCCGCAAAAGCTGTTGTAGGTATATGCTGCTGGATCGCTTGTGCCATCGCTTATTCCTCCCCACTTGGCCCAAATGAAAGCATCCAGATTCTTGTCTCCAGTATTGGAGGAGGGACTGCGACCGAATCCGGCTCCATTAACGTTGCACCAGTCTCCCCAGTTTCGACGAATCCCGAAGACCCCTGTGCGAGAGGTGTCCATGATGCCAAAGAGGGGCATGCCGACGTTGAGCTCACTGATGTGCTTTCGCATTATGTTGAGGTATCTTTGCTCGTTGCGTGCCGGGTTCTCTATGTCGTAGCAGGTATTCTCGCCTTCGAACATCTCCCCTGGGGACAGGTCCCTGACGCAATTAGTGAGCCACTCACGAAGGCACATCTATTCACGAAGAACTTACCAAGAATTGTAGCTGGCTACATTGATAGCTATTCCGCGAAACTGCTTGAGCTCACCACTGGCTTTCCATGTATCTACGAGGACTTGTGCACCAGGTTTTTGCGCATCCTGCCATCCAAGCCAACCTCCATGTGCACCATCAAGATACGTTATCACGTTCGGGAGATCGAGGCTCTTTAGCACCAGAGGGACGTTCTTGTGCCACGAGCGTACAACGTGCCCGCACATGGAGTAATTCCCGTTCAGGGCTACTTCTCCTACGACGTTCGGCTCGATGATTACTACAAATGGGATGTTTGGATTCGCTTTAATGGCGGCTTGCATTGCTACAGGATGTCAGTGCGCCCCGGAGGGATGGTTCGCAGTTCCGGGGCATTAGCTTACGCTGGATGATGCGCTCTTCGTACGACCAAGGATCGCTCGCGGGAGGTATGCCAATCGAAAGGCACTCTTTGTATGGCAGAGAAGCGAGCACGAGCCCAAGCACATGGTTGCAAGGGACGTCTTTCACGACTTCTTCGATCCGACCTACATGCTCTGGCTTCTCGCTACGTCGTTATCAGCGTGAGACTATGGAAAAGGGGATATAACCCACATCCACACGAACGTTCCTTGGTCCGCCGCGCTCAATGCTCGCTTCTTTAGCTCAGCATCGGTGATATTGTCGGCAACTTCCAGGATCTGTTTGCGCCACAGGCTATTCGGATGGAGGGTGTAGTTGAGGAAGATGTTCGTTTTGGCGTCTAGATATACCGGTGCATCACACCTAGCTTTTGCTTGACGGCCTGCGATGGCGGATGAAACCACGCCGGAGGCGAGGAAGGAGCTGATCGCGATTGCGACTTTCATGGTGGTGATCGAGGTACTTGCGAAACATTAAACATCACCACTATGCTAGACGGACGCACAATTAAGTATCAAGAGAGTAGGAGTACGCCCTGCATACGGGCAAATGAAATTGCGGTCAGCCAATACGGAATGCGTGCCGAACCATGAAGAGTTTAGCCGGAAGTTACAACGACAATATGTAATCGCAATACTCAAGCACTTGGCATGCGCAAGCGGATTCCGAATGCCTGGATTATTTCTTTCCTGATCTAGACGGGAACCAGACTAGGTATACACACGCCCGAAGTCCTCCGCTTCCCCATATCCTCAGTACTCCAGCAGCGGAGTCGGTGGGCCTGGACGAGCCAGGTCGTACTGGAGTCCAAGGTTCTCACGGAGCACCAGCTCCCGCAGAAGATCTTCCAACTCCTCGCCCTCGCAGAACGGACATCCCGGCCGGTGCTGGCTCACCTTGTCGAACTCGCCCTCGCCCACAGCCAGCATCTTCTCGACAGCGCCGGCGAACGGGAACACAGCCAAGGCCCTCCGATAGTCGTTGTAGTCCTGGTCTGTCATCCGGTACGTCATGTAGTAGACGACGGACGGGATGTATCGGTCGTGGTCCATTCCCATCGCGCGTCCAGCGGCGAAGACACGGTCGAGAACTGAAGGTGACGGTACAATTAGCAGGTGCTCAAAAAGCTGGAGTGCAAATACCGTAGTTTCTCGAGATGGTGCAAATGCTGCAGTGTCGCAGATTCTCTCGTATTAAGACAGCAGTCTTACTTACTGCGCATAAGTTAGCAAAAGTCTCTATCGCTATTCGTACTGGGGGCTTGGTACCACTTCTTGATCGGCGTAAGGAGTGGAACTCGAGCGGACTGCGACCGAATGATGCGCAGTGGCGCAACGAGGACCTTGCGGTCCTTGAGGTGTTCTTGTCCAATGACGCTCACGTCGGACGGAGTATTCGGAGCGGACATCTTGGATTAGGATTGCGATTGGTGATTATTGTCGTCTCAGGGAGTTGTGTGGAGAGTGTTGTGGATTTGCGAAGTGCTTTGAAGCCGTCCCGGAGACCGTATTCTCCGCTGTGTGGGTCGAATGTCGATGTTGGTAGCAGGTGTTAGTGGTGAGGGTTCGAGCGAGCTGGAGAGTCGAGGAGCGCGGAGATAAGGGCTTGGCGGTCATGTGATACGTCATTCACATCGGTACCTGCGGGGATGTAAACGAATCCAAGAAATGCTGAAGATCCCGCGCTGTGTATGAGACCTCAGTAGCATCTTAGAGTGTGATTGAGATATTGTGAGGTATATTTGGGCTTACCTAAGAAGATTATTTGGTGTTCGTGAGGCGTGTCGTTCATGCCATGGCAAACAAGTTGATCAAAGTGCCTCTTACACGGGTATCCGACCATTCTGAGAGATTACAGCATGAGACGGGCGCTATAGCCTTCCCTGACCACCTTGTGGGTGGCTCTTCTTACCTGCCTATTGTATCCACCTGCCTATTGTATCCACTTTGACGTTGCCCGTGAGAAGTTGTGACACCTCATTCGTGGAGCCCTCGCCTTCGATCTGTGTGAGGCTATTTGCAAATCCTCGTCCTGCCCCGCGAAGACTCCCCTGTCATACCAGCCACAGCAAAGACAGCCAGCTTGACCTAATTCGCAGCATGTCCATTGAGATTTCGCCACTTTGATCTCCGTCGTTCGTTCAGCAAACCTTTGTGCTCCCCCCATTCGTATGTCTGCTCGTGTCTTCGCTCCAATGGAAGCTGCCCAACTGACCCTCAATTCTCCGCCTGGCGGCTTGGACATCACTGTTGGCCTTATGTCGCCGCGTCCGTCGAAGCTTGGCCTAACCTCTGCGTCTAGCCGATGTGATTGTGGATGAGGCAGTTCGACTACGTCGGCATGTCTGCAGAGGTTGCAGGGTGGCTGTTTCGCAGGACGATGTCGAGGGCGGGCCTCGGGCACTACAGCGGAGAAGTTAGCTCGTGCGTCACGATGAAGCAAATATAAATGGTGACTGAGGTACTCCATGCCACGCTAATGGTGTTTCTGTCTCCGAGATGCGGTTGACAGACCGGACTTGCGTGGTATCTATCGCGACGAAAACGCGTTGAAGTGGTAGCGAGCTCGGGTCACTGTGAACGTGACGAACTCGGGAGCTGCCACGCCGCAAATAAGAGTAGATGGAACCCATGGGCGTGAGACGATGGATCATGGCTGCTAATGCACATCTGCCATGTAGTTCTCTCGTGCTGGGTGTATGCCGTCACTGGATACTCAGACGCGGTCACGTTGCACCGACATCCAGACAACAACAACAACACGACAACCTCAGAACACCAGAGCACCAACGACAATAAGACATCACATCACAACAGCGTCTTCTTCTTCAAGCATCCAGCAGCGCCAGAACACTCAACGAAAAAGAGAAAAGGTCGCGTCAGCCCGAGGTAGTGCAATCTGTAGTTGAGGTCAATTGATGAGGCCAGAGAGAGGAGATGGGGATGACTTACACGAGCGACACTGTGGCCTCAACTATGAGCAAGCCCAGTGAGAGGAGGCCAGGTTCAAAAATAAGTCATGCCGTAGCGGAATGGAATCCCGTAGGACCCTTCCAAGGGGCCTACCCTTGCAATATCTGATATTCTCATGTATTGGAGCTGGAGAGAAAAGGGAGAGAGGAGGTGCAGGTCGGCCTTTTATAGAAGACGGGGAGCCTTGCACGGGCCCCAAGCGACACGTGATCTCTCGCTTAACAGGCTCTGGATCACATTAAGGGTGAAGATGGTGATCTGACGTGGCCTTGACGTCAGTGAGGAGGCGGAAAGGCGGTGTGGTGGTCGTTGGGCGGTTGTTTGGTGACGGCGAGGTTGGAACGGCAACATGTTCCTCTCAAAGTTCTCAGAATTACTACACCAACCGGCTACTCACTGCGGCTGCAGCAACCTGTTTCTCCTTCAAAGATTCATAGAAAATCTATGATTCTCTGCCTACCATAGCAACCTCCACTTCTCCCGCACTCGACCGCCCTCTGCGTCAACCAAAGGGTACACCACACGTCTAGATCGTCATCACGCTGGCTAACTCAGACTCTCAGGGCTTCCAACTTCGATACCGTCGAACAGAATGTCGAGCTCGCGCTGGACTCCTCCCCCGTGGCGCTCCTCCAACAATCGCGTCACCCGCGCGCAATCCAATCAGGCCACAGCCAACAGCTCTCTCCGCTACGTCAACTCGACATCCTCCCACCTCGCAGCCGCGGCCATCTATCTGCGCCAGCCCGCCCGTATCCGTATCTATACCGCGATTCTCCTTACCGCGCTCTTCATGGGAGCCATGATCTGGTCCTTCGCAACCGTCTTTAACGGGCGCCATACCACCGATATCCCACAAGCATACCGTGTCTCCACGGATGAAGGTCAGAAGAATCTTGCCGCCTTCGTGCTGCTCATGGCCGGCGGGTTTTGGATTACCTATCTCCTCATCGGGTTCTTCGTTGCGCTGGGTCGGAGGTTTGCGAAGGGGACATACGAGGACTTGTTGGAGTTTGAAGAGGTCGACCGATATGAAGGGCATGCGAGGAAGGCGAGGTGACGAGACAGACTCCTGTAAAGTGGGAACTCCTTCTGCCTCAGGAGTGATGCCAATTTCCTTCCTCCAGTATCCGCCTTCGGTCCCGTTTTCAATACGCTGCTGGGCTGAATTGTCTGTAGAATTAGTCCACTGTCCTGGGACATACAGAAGCCGAGAGACTCGAATCGATCCTGTTTTGGCCGTGTAAGGCCGTCTTTGGATGTTCGGAAATGCTTGGAGGACTTCTGGAAGAGCGCTGTAAATATCTGGCTTGGAGTTCTTACGGGACAATGAAGAAATAATGATAGCCTTCTTCCTTGATTTATTAGAAAGCCACCTGTCTTGTCGCACTCTCTATCCCACCGCACCTTTTTCCGTCGTGGCTCCTTTTCTACCACACCTTTCCCATTACGCGTAGATTTCTGCTATGGTTCCTCCTCCACCGCGGTTCCCTTCGTGATACAACGTCGTTCTCTGCTAGGAGCTGTTTGCTGCTCGAAGCCTTTCTGCGCATCCCTTTTGTGCAGCAGCCTCCCCCTTCCTCCCACACATATGTACCGTCTTTTCTGCTGGGCCCGGCTTTTTGCTAGATCCGTTCTCCCGGATTTCGATTTCTTCTCGACGACTCGTTGCTAAATCTCCTGTATTATCTACTAAACCTTGTTTCTGCCTAATACTCCCATAATCATAGAACCGTCCACGATAGGCCCCCCAGAATTCCCAGACCGCCCTAAGCAACACTCGTTTTAATGAAATGCTCTCTAAATTCTCGCTCAAGTATGTCTACTATCACGGGATTGCAGATTCCGTTCATGTCTGCGATGCGCTGAGCGCGTATGAGATGGAAATCGTGGACATGGAGACGATACTTTTTATCACCACCATTCTGTTACCACAAGAGCACCATGGATGTATCATACCTGTGTTGTCGGTTTTCTGATGTTCTCAGGAGGCTGGAGCTAGTCGTTGGGTTCAAAGCGCTAAAATGCCGGATTGGCTGTTAGATCTCGCAGGGACGTGGAACGCGACTCAGCCTGCAGACTGCTATTAATGTCGCTAGTGGACGCCGAATATGTTCATCACGCTAATGCATCACGTCAAGTACAGTGCAGGAACGTTGCCAGAAGTCAATAGACAAGTCGTAACACTCTTGTGTGGGGACGACATTGTATTAGAATTTCCTGCTAACCACACTAAAGAACGGCGACGGAAAGGAATAGCCGCACTGGAGACCGCATTTGAAACCGCCGAGACTCTCGAAAAAGCGTCTTCTTCCACTCTTCATCTCTCTGCCGGGGTATACTTCAACTGGTGCGCAGACGGGAAGATTGTGTGTAGGGACGGAGGGTAGATTTAGCGAGTTCGGGTCATGCTGCGTGTACGCTATGGGTGGCGCGTACGCTGTCGGCTACGCGTGACGTTCCTGCTAGTGGGAGACTGTGCTTCGGGACGGGCCCACACCCCTTCTGCGTGCGGAGTTTGGAATGTAGCCTCTTTCTCGCAGGTATTGTCCATGTGGCATGCTCGCATCTTCTTTGTACTGGGATAGGGCGAATTAATGACTGCGCGATGGAGGGCGGGTTCAGCGAGCTCAGGTCATGCTGCGTGTACGCTGGCGGCTGCGGGGACGTTCCTGCTGCAGTGCTCTTGTATGCCGGTTCGGTATCTTGAAGTGCCTGACTCTATCCATTTCGGAGGCGCGGGTGGGAAAGCGTAGTCGTGGATAGGATACTGGGCATCGTCTGTTCGTACTCTGTCCTGAATGTGCAATCCATTGTCGGGGATGGTGGTCTTCCCCGGAAGCCCGAAGAACGAGGGGCAGAGGTGCCACCGGAGTGCCTGGGGTGGCGGTCTTTCTTGAAAGTTTTAAAGTTCCGAGCAAAACATCCGCCGAAATGTCCGGAATTGTGATCTTCCAAAAGGGAATACCCATCCCACCCCGGGCATATCCGGAATAGTAATTTTCCATGGGGAATAACTATGGGGTAGGGGATCCCACGGCTGTCTGGGATGGCAAACTTCCACGGGGAATAACTGTGGGGTGGGGGATCCCACACCGGTCTGGAATCGTAATCTTCCACACCGGAATACCTTTGGATCCCCCACCCCGTACTTGTCCGGAATGGTAGTCTTTCACGGGGAATAACTGTGGGGTGGGGGATCCCACACCGGTCTGGAATAGTGATCTTCCATACCGGAAAACCTTTGGATCCCCCTCCCACCCCGGACATATCCGGAATGGTGATCTCCACAAGGAATATTTGGTGGGAGAAAGCTGCCGAAACACGTGTCCCTGCGACCGAGAGGTTAGTGGTGTTGCTTCCGTTTATACGTGTCACTTACCTAGTCCAGTTTGTCCGGAATGTTGCGGAGTATGATGTGGTGGTGGAGTAGAAAACGAGGTGGGACCTTAGACAGCGAAAATTTGGCTGCTGGCTAAGCAACCGCCTCTCAGTCAAGGTGAAGGCGAAATTGGAAGGAGCTCTCCCGATTAGCGCGACGTTTACGGCTGGGCCCAGCCTCAACAATTTCGAGCTCACTTCGCCGTTGCTCCGCCACCAAGTCCCCGCTTCTCCCCGCAAAATTTTTCAACTTCTACGGGAGCCACTGAAGGAAGGAGGGACTCGCCAACCATGACGATCGCTGTCTCGGCTATTGCTGCTTCCCTCAGCCAGGCACCGACAAAAAAGTCCACACGAAAACGGCCCCGATCCCTTCAGGTGAGTGCAGCTCCTTTCTAGCCTCGCTACCTTTACGAATGGCCTAACATTCACTCGAAGGGACTTTCACTCGAAGGGACTTATTTGGGTGCCACACCGCCTGGCCGGCGAGGGAAGGAGCATGAGTCTTCGACGACAACGCTCGCTATCGCGGCGACTGCTTCTTCCCTTTGCCGGCCAGGCTCACCACGCCGGCTTCCCGATCCGCCCTCACACACGTCGACATGCACTCAGATTGAGAGCCGCTGGTGACTACGGTATCGCCACCCTGGTTCCGGTGGTGTTGTAGGCGGCTGCACATGGGACGCGGCGCCTACGACACCACCAACGTGCCACTCCCAGCGGGTTCTCAGACCATCCTTCGGCTTGACTGCCCGCTACACGGCGATTCCGGACCGTCACCCGGATTTGATCGCTTATGGGACTCTCTATGCCTACAAGGATGGTGCGACTCTACTTCACCAACTTTGTCTTTCGGCACGGGATCTGACAAGACTAGCCTTCAGCTGTGGCCACTGTCTTCTGGCCTTGCCCTGCCTTGCCTTTGGCACCATCCTCAGACTTATGAAGGCTGGCCCCATACCCACTCAAGGCCCGCCGATCTGCCCCCGCCGATGGCTACATGTAGTCTCCGACTCGACCGAAATGCCGCTTATGTATGGATAATCTTGGAGAAATCTGCGCTGGGTTGGGCCATGGGCGGAACGTATAGTTTCAGTTTACTGTACATCTTAATTTCATGGCTGTCCAACCCAACTCTTCGTTGCCGGCGTGAGTGATGTTCTGTGATCGGCGACGTCCACGGCGTCCATCATGAGCGTGTTTGCGGAGTAACGTGTATATTCAACTCGGAGTTGTCGTACTATGTCAAGTGCCTGCTTACTCTGGTGTCGCTTATAGAACGCAACACGATATCATGTCTATGGGGGCGAGAAAGCCGTAGGCCCCTGTGAGACGGCACGTCCATATAGGTGGCGAGGACGACAATTAAGGCGTTTTGCATCTTGTAATGGATGGCCTATTGGTCATTTATATGGCATTACTAACTTTGGGATTTCCCCAAGGATTAATACAAGGGATTCGCCGTCCCCAAAAGAAACTCCCGTAATTTCTCAGCGGCCTTGGCCTTGAGATATTCGAGCAGATGACGACAAGGACTCCAGATGGACATAGGGACTGCTGCAGTATCAACGCGGGATCTTCTACTGTTGTAGTGTCTGTGGGCGAAAAGATGCTATGAATATATCGCAACGTGCGTCCGCAAACCAGGTGTCCGACATACAAACAGAACGGAGGAACTCTGCAGCATCTCACATCTTTTAAACAATTGGTCTCGTCTCCCATCCGGAATATATCCTCGTGCGCTAGGACTTGCCGCAGTCTGGGTGCTCTGCTTCCACCTACTTTTAAGCTCCAGGCGCTGCGTCCCAAAGCACGATGTGTCTCGACCGTCCGATTGGCCTTTGATACCATAGATAGCTAAATAGGATGATTCCCGGATCAGACAATTTCCATCTCCCGCCCATAGCCAAAGTTACCCACTTTGTCTCCCGTACGAAAGACAAGTGAAGATACGTACCGAGACACATAACATACACGAGGTCCTGACGAACCACACCCCTGTCACTCCTGGTTCTGGCCGCGTTTTGGATCTGTCTAAGCCTTCTCACGCACGCAACGCCACGGCCCTTCACAGCGTTCAGAAGCCCAAGTTGTCCGGCTTTACGTGCCAATCATTAATGTCAGAATATCGCCTCGAAATATCAACCAGGTTCGGCTCAGGGTAGCCTGTTATGCCTCACGTTCCTATCGAATTGGCGTAATCTAAGACCGAAGCGCCATGAGGAGATCCAGCATTTGAAATCTAGCATATCATGGTGAGACATGCTCTCCAGACCCCTCCTGGTGCAGTCACATACGTACATGAACTTCTATTGTAGGTAGCGGTGTGGTATAAACGGGCGTTCTCGCAGAGAATGGTGAGACGGGATCGTAAAGGTGCAGTGGCACGTATGGGCTGGGTAGGCAATCACGTAGCTGGACGCAGTAAAGTAGCAACGAGATAACTTCGAAGTCCTAGAGTGTTGAAGGAATACTCTATTGCGGTTTGCGCGTCGCGTAGCCTAAGAAGTCTACGTGGAGTAACTGAGCTCGGGAAGTCGCTGTCTGCTAACAATCTGGATTCTGGATGCTTTGCATTACTACTCCATTTCCATTCTGTCCTTATTAACGTGACTTTGCACTTCTCATGCGAAGCATCGGGTTCTCCATCGCCTGATGCTGCATACGCTGAACCGAGGATTGTTTCGATAATCCCACTTCTGCCTGCGGAGTCTAGAGGCGAGCGTCTTTTTTTGCTCGTACTGTACATGTACTATGCTGGCACCTTCTGTATGACAAGGTCGAAGCGAATTGACGACTGCTTCGTAGCCTGAAGGTAGACAGCCTATCCGATACATACCCGGTAGTGACAGCAGTGGATTTTCCGGTGTTCACAGAAAGAACGAAGTAGATGTTGCTGTACGGATACGGTGGTTCATGCTTTGAAGCTTGAATAAACCCGGTTATTGGCCGACCTATGCCAAACCAAGGCGATAGGGAACATCATCCTCAAAATAGATTATCGGAGGTGTTTGGGGTGTAGAATCGCTATCGTGTAAGCCTGAGAAGGTGGAGTTGAATCAGAATCCAGTACAAGCAGGGATAGAGAAGAGTGTAGCCTCTGAGAGCAAAACTGCGCACCTGAGGTTGACGTAGCCGTCCTGTTACGTCAGTGAAGGCCAATTGCCCCGCCAGCCACGCAAATTTGCACAACCACGGCGAAATTATCCCACTTTGCTTCTATGTCACGACCAGGCCACTTATTGTATATATATTAATTAATTCTCCATTGCTAGTATCAAAACTTGACCCGATTAAGAGGGTACACGACAGACTCAGTTGGTTCAATTTAATAATTAGTAGGTACTCCCCCTCCCCAATTTCCTATGTCTCCCCAGTTTATCCGCCTACAATGTATTAAGATTCCCAATCATGTTTGCTTTTTGCATTTTTGGTTTTCATATCTACTCCGGCGTCTCTACTTTTGCTAGACTTTTTACCGTTTTGGCTTGTGTTGAGGGTTCGAGTGTTGGCGATCGCAAAGCGTGCTTTTGGTTGTTTTGACGCTTGTTTTTTTGGCAGTTTCTGGGGCTGGGTAGGCGAGGTGAAGGGCAGCAAGGCTGTGGAGACACGCCGGATCTGGACCTACAAACTGTCATGTTTATCCCTTTTGGAACACAGAACGTTGAGCTTTAAAGTTCTACTTTGGGCTTTGTAACTCCAGCCTGGATTATTTCATGTATTTCAGAGGCACAAGCGCTGTTGTATTGCTGGTTTATGGATGCGTTGACGAAAAACCTCGTTGAACCGTTCGCTCGTTCCAAAATACACGGCCTCGCAAACATGGGTATCTATGACCTTTACGCTCATGCTACTCCCGTTTCTCCGCTCTAGTTAAATCTGCTGCAATGGGAAGGCTTTTGAATTGAGGGTGCGCAATAAATGTTTGTGGAATCCCGGTTACGCCTCTCGCGGCAGGGAACTCTCCCGGTTCAAGAGCTCGCTGTGTAGATAAAATTCCTCGTATAGCTAACTGTTATCTACGCTTTTGTACGCCCCTGCGAAGGCCTACACGGTGGTTGTTACGTTCGTCGTTTGATCCGGAGAGTTTCACACCGTGAGCGCATGCATTGCTCATATGGTCCATGTCTAAATCTCAATCAATGCCAGGGTCATGATGCCGATCTACTGGACTTCGCGTAGCAAAGCCACGTCTCTTTTCTTTCCTTCTCCTCGTTGAGAACTGATTGAGGAGGCTGTACTATAGGGGTGCTCTGTATGGTCTGGTCGCGCAGTGGCATCTAGGTATTTGGGGAATTTAGGTCATCTACCTCACGGAGCGGCGCAATTTGTTCTCGAGCTTCTTTTTGCCCAGACGGTTTAAGAGAATTTAACATGGAAGAGAAAGTGGAGATATCCTCTCATAGCTCAGAAGAACCTCTACGGAAAACGCTGCTGAAGACAGAGGATGCGCGTCGACTTTTAGTCCGGCATTCGGGCTGGGCTGCAGCAGCTGCAAACGACGTTGTGCGCCGATGACACGGCGCTTGTGCTCGCAGATGATTTATACGAAAGGGCAACAACAGTAAGGTAAGAGGGAGACAGCTAGCCGCTCGTATTCGAATTGCTTATAGGCGCTGTCATCCACCTATGTAGAACGCAGGCCACTTGCGACGGCATGGATCTGACTCTGGTCGTGCGCGCAGCCCCGGCCAACAGGTGCCACCACCGAGACGACGCTCCGAGATTTCCTTCGAAGACAGCCATCAATAAAGAGTCTTCCCCGTTGTCCAGCCTTAGTATCCAAAAGATAGCACACTGTCCAGATCCTGCAAGCCCCTTCGTCCCAGCAAGCCAGACATCTTCGAGTAATCCACTAGCTCTTTCCAGTTCAGTACGTGCTCTGCAGCGAAGTCAGTATCGTCACTGTTTCTTCAGCTTGGAAGAGAGCACCTACCCCAGTGGATGACCTTGCAGTCCGGCATGCCTTCGCAGTTCTGATGATCAAATGGAACGTCCTTCGAATGCGTGGCGCACCAGTCGAAGTGTCGAGCTCGGAAGCAACTGGGGCCCTTATTGTCACCACAGAAACTAGTCTGATTAGATTCTCCTTCCGCAAGCAGTAATGAAAGGGGACTGTACCACTGCGGAGCAGGCCGTCCCGGAAGGTTGCCGCCGCGACTGAAGAACGCAACCTCCTCGAGCGCGAACGGTAGGTACCTGGCATTCTCGGAACTTCCGTGCTGTGTGCCCTTCTTCGACTCGCTGCGGCCGGGATTGGGAGGACTGATGGAGGGCGGCTGGTGCCTTGACTGTGGCGGATCGAGCCCGGCGGAGGGAGGAGAGGCGATCATGAGAGAAGGTGGAACTGGCTGTCCGTAAGTGTAGGGAACTGCTCCAGGACCGACGGCATGCGCGAGCTGGTACGGCGACGGAACTGCATGTGCTGCTGACGGTCGGTTTATCGCTCGAGAGACAGTGGCCTCTAGGGCGAGAAGACGGTTGTCGATTGCGTTGAGGCGCGTGTGGACGTCGCGCTTGAACGCGCCCATCTGCGCCGACAGGTCATGGAGAGCTTGAAGAATTTGAACAGTTGGATCCACGTCCATGCCTGCACAGAGTTAAGAGAAAAGACGGTGATGTGGTGAGGTGAGGTGAGGTGAGGTAAAGGGTCGAAGAGGAAATGTTGCGGTTTGGCGCTACCGCAGGGCAAGCAAGTTGGGATGAAATTTCACCAAGTCCGCGAAAACACCACGTCAAAATTTGAAGATGCATCATCACAAATATCATAGAAGGGCAGATATGTACGAGGACGAGAAGAAACTTTTATTCGTTCCGAAAACTACCGCCCAAAACCACTCCGAAACTCCAAAAAAGTCCACCCGGCAGGTACTAGGGTTGCTGAAGCGAGACTCCGTCTTCTCGAACGTATACGAGCCGATCCATCAGGTTCTGATTGCTGAGCGTCGCCACGGCGTTCTGCGCCTGCTCTCGAGTTGCATATTCCACGATGCCGCGAGGGCGGAGAGTCTGTCGTTGCCGCTAGGCGGCCCAGTCGGCGCGCAGGTTCTCGACGACCGCCTTGACTTGGCGGAGCTCCTGCTCCTCGGTGAGGTGCGGGCGGCGATGGCGGTATCTGCCCAGCTCCTCGAGGGCCACCTCGACAGTCCGCAAGGTGCGGTCAATGGAGGCTCGGAGGTCAGCGAGAGCGTGACCCCCGAGGAGCTGGTTGGCGCGGGCGGGGCGCGTGGCTTCGAGGCGGCCGAGGAGGGTTCGCAAGGCCGCATTGGCCCGCATCACCCAGAGGATCTCGGGCGCGGTTGGCGGCACGCCGGAGAGGGCGGGGATGAGGAAGATAGAGATGCTGTCAGGCATCGTGGGCTTGTTATTGACGGCTGTGGGTGAGAAGGCGATCGTGAGAGAGATGTCGGTGCCTGAAGGAGAAAGGAAAGGCAAGGGTCACAGAAGTTGATCACTTCAAAGCAGTATCTCTGCGTCACCTACTAACGGCTCCCAATTGGGACTAGCATCTTGCTTCAGATCACAGAATCTTCTGGCGATCACGCAAACGCTGTCTGCCCGGCGTAACTCCAGCGACGCCTCGCTTACTGATCACGTGCAGTGCTGGTGCCAGATCACTGCCAAGCTCTCTCACGTCTATTTAAGCTCGCCTGCTGCCTCATCTCCTTCTTTTCCTTAAGCTTCTGGGTGGCCGTCCACTGGAAGTCAGCTCACCTACCCACAGCTGACTTGTGTGGGGCTTTGCCCTCATCCTAGAGCAACCCTCTTCGCGCGCCCTGTGCCTCGATTCTCATAGTCGTAGGCCCTCGTTTACGGGAGACGGTCCCGCGAGAGGAACATTTCTTGTTTTTGTTGTTTTCTGCTGACCAGCGACTTTCGCGGGGGCACACAATCAGTGAAGAGTTTCTCGGAGGTTGTGCTCAGTCGGAAACCCGACTTTCCTCTTCTGTTGGTCTTCAGGCTATCAGGGAATTTTTTGACACCTTTATCTTTTCTTTTCATTGACATCTATGGCCTTGCTATGGAGTTGAGGAAGAGATTCTATGACGTGTTGCTACTGCCTTGACCTGAGCCTCCCTTCGCCTTCTGTCGGACTACCACAATGCCTCATGTATCCTGTGCAGCTTGTCTTTTGACTGAATGAAAGGAAGAGTACTCTAATCGTCGCCCCAATGTTGAGCGTTCCTGTCGTCTCTGATTTCCCTCGCCCATCGTGAGCGTCCCAGTGAAAAGTCCCAAGCACACAACTGCCACGGGAGATCCACGAGACAAAGACAACGGCCCTTGCCACAGCTACGGGGAAACCCATATGTGAAATGTCTGTGAAAGCCTCCCGGGCTGCTTCGCGAAACTTAGCACGCTGGAGCACTCTACCTCACAATCATACAGAACACCGAGATACGACCAAAGCAACACAGCCCAAAGCGCCCTCATCAAGCCCTCCTCCATACTCTCTACTCGCGCGCCAGGTGCCTCACTTTCCTCCTTGCCCAAGCGGTCGCGACGTGGCGTCCGAAAAGCGACTCGCCGCCACCAACAACCCTCTCAAGGCGAAAGGTGAGCAGCAAAAGCAAGCGAACGATCTGTCCAGCAAGTGTAAGTGGTCTACTTGGTGCTCTTTACACCCACATGCTGACCTGACGCAGATCGCGACATCTTCTCCACCGACCGGCACTCCGTTACTCACACCCCTCGCGATATGACGCCCGCGAAACAGCCCCGAGGAGCTCCAGAGCAAGAAATGGAGAGCACTCAGGAGGCTTGCCATATCCAGGATGACAAGAGAGAGGACAGCAGTCCAGCCAAGCGCGACTTCGAACAGGCGCCATCGGAGCAATTGCAAGTACCGCAACCTGCCGCCGCGCCAAAGTACCAGCCCATCTCTCACGAGCCCATCCTTCTCGGCGAAATCGGCTACGGCCTCTTCAAGAGCCGTCTCGTCTTCGAAGCCGACCCCTGTCCTCCTGAAAAGCTATTTGGTGGCCTTGACTACGAGAATTTCGAGTACACCAACGTGAAGGAAGGCACCAACCGGATTAAGGCCGATGGTACGAAGTCAAAGAAGAAGTACACCGGAAGCGGAGCGGAGATGAACGTCGACACTGTTTTCCAGCGCATGAGCGCGTCAGAGAAGCTGACCCTTTGGCGCAACAATGGAACCATAAGCAAGTTGAAGGACGGCGAGATTCGGAGGAACGAGCGCCTTATTGTTCTACTAGAACATGAGCCGTGTGGTCCCAAGGTAGAAGCATCGCGCTGGGCTGACAAGGTCAAGCATCTCGAGCACGTACTAAAGAAGAACTTACCCGACAGTCACATCACTCTCCGCACCTTCATCTCGGCGAGCGACTTCGTTGGCGACGGCCGATTCCGCCCTTACATCAACGTGCTCCTCGATCTCCTCCGTAAATATCCTCACCACTTCTGCGTCGAGCTCGAAGACCAGTCCATCATGGACGCCGACCCCGCAGACTTCCACCCGACTACAGAAGAAGACGATTACAACGTGGAGAAGCAGCGCAAGCTCCTGACTCCCGAGAGGGTATGCCACATCAAGGGCTTCGACGATGAGGATCCCTTGAATGGGAAATTACTCAAGCTGGCCGAAAACGAGGAATACAAGTGGAGGCAGGCGGAGCAGGAGAAGATGGGGCGGAGACCTGACTACAACTGGTACTGGATCGAAGGGTGGATGAACCAGAAAATCAAGGAATGGAGGGAAGAGATCCTCGCACGCGTCACAGACAAACTTCAGGCTCGCTGTCAAGAGATCAATGAGGAGTTCAGGTTTATTTGGAAGTTCGTGGAGGACATTCGACACTTCAACAGCCACGGAGTTCTCCCAGGGGAGGCTGTCCAGCCCTTCAAACCAATGAAGCAGAACAAGCGAAAGAAGCCTCCTGTGGTTCCCGCGTACTTCGATCCCTTTCGAAAGGCAAATGCCGTTGATCCGGCTGAAGAGGCTAAGCGCATCATCTCGGTGCTCCCGTGGATCTCAGAGGAACGAGCTGAACAGCACGTCGCGCAGATGTTGTCGATTACAGAACAGGACCCGACCGCGGAATACCCACCTCTTGAGAGATCAGAGCAAACCTCTCCTGCTTTACCGTCCATTACCACAAACACACAGGGCCCCGAAGCCCCTCCCTCGCATGTCATGCCCACCTCACCGAGGAAGGGAAAACGTGGACTAGAGCAGGTAGATGTGGGCGAAGAGCCAGAGGATGAGCACAAGAAGGCAAGACTAGGCCCATGAGCAGTTGCTGCAAGGAATTTTGCAGAAGACGATGATCACAAGGGAATCAAGGGGCTCTCGAGTGGAGAAGGTAGATTCCGGGTGCAACGGCTGACAGAATATCCAAGTTTCGGTAGCATTCTTTGAGCGTTGTTCAGTTAGGACGCCTATAGAAACTCGTGGATCGTATATGAACAATTCAGTGGAAGACGTCCCATATGATAACCTCGGAGGGCCTTTTCTTGGTGTCTTATATACCTAAACCTCCAACATTTGCATCAGTCCCAGTTGATGTTTCACTGAGGCTATAGCTTCGCCAACCCCACTACAGCGATTCAACATTCATGGAGTCCCTTTCCAAGACCTCAACGCCGGTGCCCAGCATCATGAGAGGTCTTTCACAGTTCTTTCCCTCCCTCCCCGCCACGAAATTCTAGAACTTCGGATCTTGGCGTGCATTTGCGGGCAGCCGTGCACATCTACGGTGAATCTTCCATAACGCACCTCTACTATATAAAGAATTTTTGCACCCTCCTTCCTCCTACTCTACAGTTCGCCCGAACTCAACTCCGCTCGCAGGATTTGAGGTCAACGCAACTGCAACCACAACCATCAAACTCTTTTCGTACCCTTTCTTAGAATCTTTCAATCTCGTCTAACGACCATGGCGGACGGCCAGCTTCCAGACAAGCGGAGCAAATACCAAGTGGCTCCTGTTGCTGGCGGAAAGCGCAAGCGCCGCGCCAAGGACAGATCGAAAGACGGAGAGCGAAAGCGCCTCAAGGACCGACATGTGAACAGCAAGGTGCCGAAGGGTGACTCTGCTGGTAAGCATTGCGAGGGGTGGTGTGGGTGGTTGAAGCCGCAAGTTACTGACATATCCATGTTCCAGCAGCTGTCCCGACGAACGCCTTAGGTTCGCAATCCCCCACCGCTACCGCCAATTCCTCCGGCGTCTCTCCTGCCTCTAGCGCACTGGTTGCAGAAGAAATCCAGTACGATGACGGCACGAACAACTCTCTCAATGCCCCCGGGAATGACATCTTGAACCAGTACTTGGAGGCACAAGAGGATGACGATGCAGGGAACGGCGACGACGCTGCGGCCAACATCGACCCGGAGTTGCTCCAGGGGCTCCAGAATACTCTTAGTGGCGCCCTAGCTGAACTGGAGGGTGAGAGTGACTCGGATGATGATCTGGATAAGTTGTTCTCGGGCGACGACTCTGAGTCGCAGGCAGCTCCTGTCGTTGCTCTCCAGACGGAAGTCACTACGAAGTCAGCTACGCGCCCCGCCGAGCAGCAACCCGCAGTACCAACCGCGAATGAGCCAGTCTCCGTTGAACTCGGACAGCCCGACGAGCCAGAGTCACCTGAGGAGACAACAGAGAGCCATGAGACGGATGAGGAAGCTGCTGGCTCTCAGTACCAGGCCCAAGAGGAAGCCGCACAGGAGCAGAAACGGTATGGTAAGGGTGCCGGTCCGAATGGTGAGGACGTATGGAGATACGTCGAACCCGTACCCGGTACTAAGGGGCCGACGATGGGAATCCCTGAGAGGAAGGTGCCGTATGAGGTGTACCAACCGGAATCCAACGACAAGGAGAATGGCATCATTGCCTTCCGATCAGATCCACCGGACGACGACACCACCATCGCCTGGAGCGAAGTGATCAAGGCAGGAGACCGTAAGCGTACGATGGATGGGAACCCCTCGCGCCGCAAGGAAATGCACTCCGGCGTCCGCATGCAGGAAGCAGAGGAGCGGTGGAGTGGCTTCTCCAAGATGCTGAAGTGGCGAAGCGAGAATCGGAAAGACACAAAGGACAAGCAATGGGTTGTTTTCATGGGCATACCCTGCAACACCGCGGCAGAGTACAGCCGGTTGGCAGCGAAGCTGGAATCGACCGAAGCTGCCATGTTCTTCAAAAAGATCGGCACCGCGGCACATGTCATCTTGGAGGTCGGTATTCCTTCCGCCCTCCCCGTGGCGCACGGAAAGATGAGGCAGTACATCGAAGCTGTCCGCTACCTGATGACCAAGTATCCTGAGAAATTCACTGTGGTTCTCTCCGACTACAACATCCTCAACGCAGACCCGGCCGACTTCTACGAGGATTTCGATGTGGATAAACACTTCGACGCTAAGTTCAGGGACGCTGATGACTTCCTGAGACTCTACCAGAAGAGCATGGAGGACCTCAGCGACCAAGCCGAACACGCCGACGAAGCTCGGCGCAACGCTCATTGGAGCGCCAAGGGTGAGCGGCTGCCGCGCGATTGGCGTGGTATCCTGGAAGAGCAAATGAGGTTGTACGGGGAGTACAAGGAGAAGTACAAGGAGGGCCAGCGACAGACACACAAGGGCAAGTGCGAGAGGATTCAAGAGGAGATTGAATTCTGCAAAGAGTTCGTCCGCGAGGTCCAGCGCTCCCACGTCGGAAGGCAATTTCCTGCTGAGATACTTGCCCTTTTGCCAGACTCTTTTGTCACAGAGACAAAGAGCCAAGAGGTCGAACCAGTTCCACAGACGCCGGAGGTTCCCCAGTCTCAGGCAGAGGTTGTTGCCTCTAGGGCCACTTCTCCAGAGGCCGAGTCCCTGCTGGCCGTGAGCGCTCCAGAGAACATCGATGACTTTGAGCGCAGGTCCGAGGCGGCTACTGCACAGCTTGAGGCCAACGGCTCAAATGGGAACTCTCAAGATCTGATCCAATCCATTGAGACACAGCAGCAGGCTGAAGATCTAGCGGTAGATCCGCCCAACGTTCGGAGGACCGTGGACGCCGCATCTTCTAAGAAGGTGACGCAGGCTGCTGTCTATATCGATCTCACATCTCCGTCCCCGCCGCCAGTTCACGCTTCTCTAGCAGGAGAAACCCATAAGCCTGCCCGCCTTCCCGTCGACGATGGGCCAGCGTCTGGCGCTCAAAAGCTTCCCGAGCAAGTCTTATCAGCGAACAAGGCGCGTGCCGAATACTCTCGGCAACTTCGTCAGCAGACTGCAGCTCAGACTCAAGCTCTGCTGCGTGCTCCCTCCCAAGCCCTGCATTCTCGACCTCCTGCAGCAGATCTAGCAGGCCTTAATGGTGTGGACAACTGGCCAGAATATGCTGACGGCTCTAACTACATCCCCAAAGATGCCGTAGACAATACCTCGCCTTTCCAAGCCGTGTCTACACAACTGGGTCATCAAGAGCAGGCCCAACTGCATCCGTATCAGGCTCCCTACCAAGCGGAAGTCCCACGGTTGAACATGGGTTCAAATCCTACGACTGCCTCCCAGCCGCGTCTGCGGCCGAACAATGATGGCTTTCCTCCGCAGCCCCAACCGGCATACAACTCAGAGCCGCGCTACAATAAAGTGCAGAACCACATGGCCTCAAGCCGTGCTTACCCCGGTTCTCCAGCACCGCAGTTGCTGCAAGGCACTCCCCAAAACCCGCAACCGAGCTACCTCAACATCAAAGGCCAAAACATGCAGCCGAACGGACGCCAGATGCAGACTCCGACCCAACCCGGTCAGATGCCCTACCCATTCGGAATAGGGCAACCAATGGCATATCCGAACAATGGCGCTACAGTGCAACAGCAAGCTCAACCGCACAACGCAGGATCGTCCCCTTCGGCAGCACCCAAGTTGCAGGTTCCTGAGCCCGACTATGAGCAGGTGTATGCCCAGGAGCCACTTCATGGGCCTCAGTTGCGATCACCGTACATTCGGCAGCCACAGATGCAGAATGACGATTATGGACTGATGGACCCATTCGGCTACGGAAATCCTCAGGAGTATCCTTACCAGCAACTCCCAACGCCGGTGCCGCATGTCTATGGGCAGATGCCACCGGCTTATGGACAAGAATACGGGTATGGACCCTTTAGCGGTCCTCAAGATCTCCCGGCACCGGATGCTGCCGACATGTTCTATTCGGCGCCTTACCAGCTTGGTACCCCGCAGATGCAACCTTCCCCCTATATGAACAATGGGTTGCAGCAAATGGGTGCCTACAACGGCTATGGACAGCAGGTCGAGCAGAGCAGGAAGCGAGGACGCGAAGATGATGCCACGGAAAAGGAAGGTGCAAAGAAGGCCAAGCGGTATGGGGTGGCTTTCTAGATGGAGAGCATTTTGGACACGTGCTGGAAACAGGAGCCTTCTTTCATGTGATCTCTTTTCAAGTCACAGGAAAATAGGAGTGGATTCATGACGCAGCCATTTTGCGCGTGAATAGCTTCAGAAAATATAAAAGCACGTCATTCCCAAGCCAATCGCCCCCGAGAATCTGCATCAAAGGTGAAGTAAAGGCAGTATTATATAATCAAAGTCACCTTACCCTTGTCAGCAGATTTCTTTTTGGCTAGCCCGCTCACTCCCGCTATATATTTCTCCTTCACCCAACCCCCCACGCAGATTTTTTCTTCCTCAACCACCAACAGCACACTCTCCACTCCCACAACACCTCACCTCACTACAACAACACCACCGCAACCATGGCCGACAAACTCCGCGCTCAGCAGAACCTCGAGGCCCTGCAAGCCCGCTACATCGGCACGGGCAGTGCGGATACGGCGGCCGCCGAGTGGCACGCCAACGTCGCCCGCGACACGCTGGCGTCCTTCGTGGGGCACCCGCCCCTCCTCACGTACGCGGCGATCGGGCTGGGGCAGTCGCGCGAGCAGACGCGGCTGCAGATGATCGAGCAGATGGCGTGGGGCGCTGGGCTGCCGCCGGCGAAGGTGAGTTACTCCTCTCTATTTCTACACACATATGTACGTTAAATGGCGCTAACATGTCGCTTTAGAAGGAGAGCAAGAAGGAGGCGGAGGTCAAGGAGGAAGTCAAGATCAAGACAGAGGAGGAGGAGGTTCAGTACGACTGGCCTCCTCCTCCCCGACCGCCGAAGGATGCGCCCAAGGCGGACAAATACGGCTTCGGGCCGGACGGGCAGCGCGCCCGTTTCTGAAGACCCTTCGGCCTCGTACGCCGATACACCTTCGCCCCCCGCCGACAAGGACAAGAAGGTCGCCAAGGGCATTGGACACTGCACCACCATCTCTCCGAGCTCCTAGTTAGCCTCATAATAGAAAACCAGTAATGGAATGAACTCTCTTCTTGATATCCAAACTATGTGCATTGATGCAAGTGTGAAGTCAGAGATGTGTACTTATCACGTATTGCGTTTACGAAAGATATGGAGAGCTTTCAGGATAGGAAATACAGGCAAGGAACAGAAGCCATCAGCTACACGCACTGCGAGTACCAGTCATTGTACCACGTGCACGTACTCCCGCTCTCACACTGCGTAGGCCCAATATAGTTATTCCCACCGCACTGCTCCCACTTCTTCGCCATTCCAGCTCCAGACGTCGGTGTAGGCTCAGTCGGCTCAGGAGAAGTAGGAGCGCAATCAACTCCATCAGGGCAAGGACCCCAAGCTTCGAGAATGGCGTTGTAGACGGATTCCTTCTTCTTGAGGTTCTCATCCCAAGGAAGAGCAGCGCCTTGGCCACTGAAGACGCTCGGTATCCAGGAATACTTATCCGTGTAGTCCCAGATCGTGATGCCAACGCACTTCTCCACGGCTTTGCAGCCACCAACCGCGTTGGCATAGTCTTTGGCTTGCTGCGCTACGGCGGAAGTCGCTGCCGGTGTGGTCGTCCGGATATCGAGCTCGGTGAGGGCAACTTCGACGCCAAGGGCTGTGAAAGCGTTCATATTCTGCGTCCAGGCATTGACTGAGGGAGACGAGCCGACGATGAGGTGGGCTTGCATTCCTACGCCGTCGATCCTTGCGCCGTAGCTCTGGATGAGCTTGACGATTCTCTGCGCTCCGGTCGATTTGCTTCCTGCTGTATCGGTATTGTAGTCATTATAGTAGAGCTTTGCGTCTGGATCGGCTGCTGCAGCTGCAGCAAAGGCAATGGGGATGTAGGCCTCGCCGATGGTGTTGTAGAAGACGCTAGTGCGGTAGGTTCCGTCTTCGTTGAGAGCTGCGGCGATGTGAGTAGCAGTCGTCGGGCTAGAAAGGGCCTACAGCTTACCCTCGTTGACAACGTCCCAATGGAGACATTTACCCTTGTAGTGGGTCACTTCCTTCGTGATGTGGTTCTTCATTATCTCGACTAGAGTTGCGTTATCGAAGTTGCCGTTCGACACTAGTTGCCTCAGCATAATTATTTCAGCAGAGAGTATATCGCGCGTACGTACCCCAGCTTGGAAGTTGAGAATGCCAGACCAGCGTGTGGCATCTGAGCAATTGCCCATTCTTCTCGGCCAGCGCAGCAACCTCGTCGCCTTTGGTGAACGAGAACGTCCCCCTGGATGGCTCAATAGTATCCCACTTCAAGCGATGAGTCTCGTTCTCTTCAATGTCGGGTGGCTCCGAAGATCTTCATACCTTCATGGTATTGCCCACCGTGATCTGTCCAAAGTCGGCCGTATTGCTAAGCCCGGCCAAATAGGCAGCGTCTGATAATTCCGGGTTGTCGGTAGCGCTGCCAAAGTAAAGCTTTCCAGCAGCAACGGCCCGTGTGTTCAAGCCATCGGCGGCCCGGCGCCTGGTTTATGATTAGCCCTGCATTGACGAGCACAAGACCGGAATACGTACGATAGCGGAGAGCCGGCAACAGAGCTTGCGGCCAGAAGAAGAGGAAATATCGTAGCGATCATGATGAGGGTGCACTGTACGGCGATCCAAGGGCAGACGGCAACGGCCGAGAACCTGCGATTGCACCTTTATAGAGGGATTCAGGGCCGACGGGCTGGTGAGCCCACATCACGAGCGCGACGCCCTCCCACGTCTCGATATTACGTGCATCCTCGTCTACACGGAGAGGCTGCCCAAAGTGGTAGGGTAGAATCCAAAAGCAGATCGAAGCTCTTGGAAGCGACGTGGTCGACGTCTTTAACCCGGTTCAGGGATTTATCTATATTCGTCGCGCATATTTCTGCCGTTCTAGCTGCGATAGGGCCGTTGGTTAATCATAAGCGAGGCGTGTAGATCCGTTGGTGGTAGAATTTAGGGGACGCAGGGCCGCTCAATATACGAGGACACGGAAGGTTTCGAGAGGTTCCGTCCAGAGCCAGACTCCTCGCGGCGGCACGCCATTGGGTCCATAAGAGCTCAAGAAGAGAATTAGAAAGCGGAATATCATTTGGAAACAGGGTGGCCTGTTTAGGGAGCATAAGAACGAAATAGAAACCGACGACGGAGCTGGGCGAGACGGGATGACGTTGGAGTTCGCTCGTTGCACGAGTCAGTCATGCGGCGCTCGGACGTTTTCGCCTCCACACCAGACGTCCACTCTTCGTCCTCCACTCCCAGTCTCGCGACCTGTCAAAGTCGTGCCGTTCCCAGTCTCAACAGCTACTCGAGTATACCAGGTTGACTCGCGACTGATGGTCCGCAAGCATTCCAGGCATTGAGCAGCCACAGGCGCAACTACAAACGCGAAGCCATCGATAAGAGATCCGGCTCCCCTAACGCATTGCTAACCGACCTGCGGACAGGATTATTAACATGCAGACTTCCAGGCAACCTCCTAGTCTATAGGTTTCTCCGTGTTCTCATATGCTCCCAGCCCGATCCTTTCAAAGCCACCTTCGCCCCTGTCGGACCTCCGCTAGAACGCCATCTACAAACGAAGCCCCCACGCCCGATCCCAAACCTGACCATCGTTCATGGGTATAATATAACATGGGGCATAGCACCTTGCACTACAGTCTGTATGAAATGGTGTAGCGATGGGCCGGAAACAATCGAGCAGGCTGACCGAATTGCGAGCGTGCAGCTACCGGGAGCCGGGAGAGCAGCGCTGTGTCCACAGGCAACTGCATGTTACTCCCGCTACCGGACATAATTCGTCAGGGGAACGACTAGAATCTCGTTGGGTAGAAAGGCAGCTAAGACACCCGAGGCTGCTACAACGGGTTAGACACGCCGAGGACGGGGTATTCCGTATTCCCTAGACCCAATGGCTTCCACTATGCCAGTGATATGTCTCTAGGTCTCCATTTTTGCATATTCCGGTCCATACTTGCTTCCTACTTGTTTCTGCCGCCCTCCCCCATCCACCAATTCCCGACTCAATCCCAGCATCAGCCACTCTTGCACGCCAATTCGGGTGCCTTTCTTCGCGCTCTTTGAATAGATGACCTTCTTTCTCACCTCTACCCTGCCCGCCTTCCATTTTATTTTCCGCTCTCGTTGGTGACATGCGCGCTCTTGTAAAACCCAGGCGAGTCGGCGGAAACGGGAGCCTCGAAATCGACCTATACTATGCTTCCGATGGTAAGTGCGGCAGATAGAGTCCGAACCATGTCTGCAGCAAATCATCTCCTATGACTGCTTATGTGATTAGGAAGCGATACCTTTCTAGGGCGATGACAGATGCGAGTCCGACCTCGTTTCGAGCAGCGCGGTAGACCACCCTACATTCCGAAATTCAGTACATACTTCTACGCATCTTCGATGCATTTTCTAGAAGCTGATCTTCGCTATAGGGCCACGGTAATCCAATCAAGCGTCGCATTAATCTAATTTCCACGCGCGGAATATATTGCACCCAGGCATCATTTAGCCGCATGGTCGAGGCCACCTGGACAGAACGGCATCAGTCAACCCACAAAACCTCAAGACCGCGCAACCCACGGCTGAATTACTGTACTCACATGCAAGCTTCGTCATCGCTGTTCGTGTTATCCTTTGACTGCATCCTCGCCGCGCCGTACCCGCCCTAGCCGATTTTGTCGCCAACCTGACCCCTGTCACGCGTCCGATCGATCGTCTTACTTGGTAGGCACTATCGACATCACGTTGCGGTGTCGAGAAGAAAAACACCGCCAATATGATTGTGCCCAAGAATTTTCGGAATACATACGAGGAATCTCCAGAGCGGCTCAAGGACATTGTCAAGGATGGCGAGGAGAACGGGCAACATCCGAAGTCAAAGCCGTCACGAGATACTCTTGTCAAGAATCATGAACGACACTTACAGCTACTAGCCGAAGGAAATGTACCGGTTCGCAATATGATCCTACCCCTGCCGTATCCTCCTTCTCGGGCTTCCATTCAGAATAATACCCACCACAAGGTATCACTCCCCTCGTCCGGCTCGACGTCCACAGATACCAATCATGCCGAAGAGGCTCACGTGCTCTATAGGTTCATCTCGATGACCTCCGAATCGAGAGGAGAGATACGAATGCAGTCTTACTCCTCCGAACCATCACGTCTCCGTATGTCTATTCCTCCACGGTTACTGTTGCGGAAGACGAAAATGGCGATGTGACACGACTCACGATATGCAACCTCGAAGATAACTCCGTAGACCCTATTGTTGCCGAGGGCTTCCTTCTTGCTGTCAAGCAGCCATGCTGGAGCAGGCTCGTTGACGGCGGCTACCATATCCGCGTAGACCATCCTTCCGATCTAGTTATTCTGAAGAAGGATGAAGATACCGTCCCGGACGCGTGGAGACAGCCTGAACCTGTCGATGCTAATAAGGACGCTTCCCAGTGGAAGAAAGAAGGAGACATGATGTTCCTGAAGAAACGCTTCCGGAAGGCGCTTGAGCTGTAAGTCTTATGGTCCATCACCATCTTTCCTCCAGCCATTAGTGCACTCACCCTACGTCCTCGGGCTTACCATTTACAGTTACGACCGCGGACTAGCGTGGCTGTCGGCGAATCCAGACCCAGTCTCCGAGATAGATCTTTACCGGAAGCGATGTGGCGTCAACATTGTGCTGCTACGTCTGGACGATGCGGCTAACGACCTTTCACGAGCAATCTCCGTCCACGCAGTTTCGACCACTTCGCTATCATCTTCTCAGCTCGTCAACGCTTCAACAGTAGAATCCTGGCTCCACAATCACAGCACCGAAGATCCGCTGGAGATATCTTCCAACATTCCTCGGGCCTTGAAAGAACTGGCCGCCAGGATCAAATTTGATCTCGGCATCTATCAGACCAACGCAGAATACAACCTCCCGCTCATATCATCCTATGTCGGGCCGCTGACACTCCACGTCGATGCTGCTAATTACACCTGCGATACCGAGGTCCGGCAGACTACCTCTCATGGTCGCGGACTCTTCGCTAAGCGAGCTTTCAAGTCTGGCGAGCTCGTTGCTGCGGAGAAGGCTTTTGTGCTGCCGGGATACTTCATCCAGGACAGAAGCAGTGACTGCCTGCTATATAGCTTGGGAGATGAAACAGCATCCCCGAGGCCCGGCGCGTTATTATTCAAAGAGCTAGTGCAGAAGCTGAATTGGAATCCGAGTTTGAGGAAGGAGTACTTCGATCTGGACGACGGAGGCTATTGGAAGACGAATGGCTGGGAGGTTCCTGAAGGAGAGGATATTCCTGTCGATGTGTGAGTCCACGGTTCCTAATCTCCCGAAAATTGCTCTTTCTATATGGCAACCTGAGCGGTAGTTTTGACTAATTCGTAGCTTCCGCGTCGAGCTCATTCGCCGCTACAACTGTTTCTCCGTACCCACGCGCTCTTCCGACCTGCTCCACCAAGCACCCAATTCCAACCCCGAAATGCGAAATGGCTTCTGGAACCACGCTTCCTACGTCAACCACTGCTGCACGCCAAATGCGGTCCGGACGTTCATCGGGGACATACACTTCCTCCGCGCAAGCCGTGACATCGAAGCCGGCGAAGAGATCACGAACCAATACGTCTCACCGGACGTGGATATCGCCGATCGACAGGAGAAGTACCGCTCGACCTGGATGTTTGAGTGTGACTGCGAGTTATGCGTCGTGGACGATAGCGTCAGCGAGGAAGTCCGACGAGAGCGGATCAGGATGTTCGAAGAGCTGAAGGCTATGGTCATGAGGCTGGGAGAAAAGGGCACGACTGTAACGTCCATCAAGAAGATCGCCCGGGGACTAAGGGAACTCGAAGCTCTCTACACGCCGACCAAGGCAGGTGAGCCAGATCCATACACCCATCTGCCCCGCCTGGCGCTCGTCCACCCGACCCTTTTCCTCACCGAAGCTTGGCGCTCCGTCAAGAACGTGGACAAGACCATCGAATACGCGCTCAAGCTCCTTCGAAACTTCGGCATCATTGCAAGAGCAGAAGGAGGCGAGTTCACGATCACAAACAACGCGGGTCTGGTCAATGTCGAAGCAGCACGAGCACTACGATACCTTGCCGAGGGCTACACCACAAAGGGAGAAGCAGAGCTGGCGAAACAATGCATGGCACTGGCAAGGACGTGGTACGTCATCATCACCGGCGCAGAGGTAGGCATTGAAGAATTTTTCAGGTCATAGAATCCAGGAGGTAAAAAGCTAATCGCAATTCATTCATCATTATCTAAAAAGCAAAAAGTTCTTTCTCTTCTACTGTTGTGTTACTGGCCCCCACTGCATGACCGATGAGTTGCGGAATTTCTGCACGAGAACTGGATCCCCTTGGCCTCCCCTGCATGACGATACTCCGCTGCCTTGTTGGACCGGTATCCTTTCCACCCACAGTGCTCTACGCGGTCCAACATGGCAATCATGCCAGTGATGTCCGAGAGGTTGATGAAGGCGTTGTCAAGGGCGTCCAGCCACAGTGCTCGACTCGGTCCAGTATGGCGATCATGCCCTTCACGTCGGAAAAGTTGATGAACGCATATCCGACGTTGCAGCTCGTCTTGAAGTCTATACGCAAGTAAAGAAAATCGAACGTGCCGAAGCAGACTTCATCAAGCGGGGGGCTAACCCGCTGTCAAGGACGTCCAGCCACAGCTTTCAACTCGGTCCAGCATGGTGATCATGCCCGTCACGTCGGAAAAGTTGATGAACGCATAGCCGACGTTGCAGCTCGTCTTGAAGTCTATACGCAAGTATAGAAAATCGAACGTGCCGAAGCAGGCCTCATCAAGAAGTCCCTTCAGCGTCATCTGCGATAGAAGGTTAGTGCTGTTGTCCCTGCATAGCTTAGACGTGTCACTTACCCAGTCGAGCTTGTTCGGGAGGTTTCGGAACATTAAGACGAACCCCACGGTCAAGGACGCCCAGCCACATCGGTAATCGCTCCGACGGGTTCGTCTTTCAGAAGGAAGTCGCGGAAGTCGAGCAGCGCCGCCCAGGCAGCGACCGCCGAGCCGGTCGCTGCCGAAGACGTGGGCGCGCTGGTGTCCTCGCTGGAGCTGCCAGCAGCTGGATATGTAGTGATGGTGGTGCAGAGCTCGGTGGAGAGAGTGGTGTGGAGGCCGGCGGGAGGAGACGTGCAGCGGAGCGATGAGTTGGTGACGTGGTAGAGTACTATGCCCTCAGCCAGCTGATGGTCGAGCCCTGGGCGATCGGCGAGGGTGGACCAGCGCAACAGACCAGTTCGCCGCCAAGAAGTGCGGCACAGGGCCGGGGTAGGATGAGGAGCGTTGGCGACTGAGCTGCTGGAGCTGGAGGGTGGTTAGCTAGTGGTGGTGGGCGCTGGAGGAGGGTAGCTTTACCTGTACTTTTGGGGTGTTTGTTAGAGATCAAATTTTGCGCAGGAGGAGCTTTTTATACTGTGGCCGTCGCTTGGCGGTCACGGGACGTTAGTCAGCGAGTGGCTGCTGAGGGAACGGCACAACAAACGCCAGTTAATCAGCTTCACCTCGACTTCGAACTGCTGTGCCGCTTCGCTTTCTCCTATTGCTGCTATGCGTCCATGACAGCGCACTTCCCGGTCTCTTAAACCTGGTAGTAGCTCGCTCACTGAGCATTCGTGACCCTCTCCAGATCAGCTTGCAGCTAACAGTGCCACAGATAGTACAACGAAAACAGTCCATCCACTCTACGCTCTACCCAGTAAATGTCTTCAGCCTACATTCTGTGAACTACGTCCTCCTCGAAGCCCTCCCTTACCCATACCCCCGAAGCTCCTTTACCCACCCTACCCACACTCCCCCTGCCTCGGCCTTCACTCCTCGAAACCGCTCCTCCATAGCAGTATCGAGCGAGCAACAAGCCAAGATTAAGAAACCAACCATCACCGCTGGAGGGAAATCGGGGGAGGGAATTCGGCAGGATCTAAACCCGCAGACACTGTGGGGCAGCACAGCGAGAGAAACGAGGGAGCGCACGCGCTGAGCCGGGAGCGCGCAAAGTACGTATTCGTACATGATGCGGTGGTGGTGCGATGTCGGATATATCCCCTAGCGTCAGCCCTGCCTGGCAGTTGATGGCGTGGGTGGTTGTCATGGCTCGTACATTTCTTTGGGGGACGGATGGATGGGATTGTGGTCTTTCTTTTAGGTTATGTGATTCTAAATCGAATACTGAGCGTCTCGAGCGTTTTGCTTCGCGAAGAAAGACGATCTCGCATATCGTGGCATTTCTCCCTACAGTGAAAGAACTTGTGTCTAAAGCTTGGCGAAAACACTAACCTGTAGACTATGTGACGAACATTCAAGCTGATCATCTAAAATGCCGCCAAAAACTATCAATCTACCTCCCTCAATTCGCGCCGCGCCGACTCCACCGCCCTCCGCGAAGACTCCTGCGTCGAATCAAGGTGCTAGCACTACCCTATATAATTCCGGTGATGACCGAACCGGCGCCACAACCACTGACGCGGGCAACCTCGCGTGGAGTGTAGCGCAGCTCAAGCTGAGCAAAGAGAACACTGACGAGCTCAACATGGAATACCCTCCTCCACTGTACGCCTCTCCACCGCGCCGAAACCGCTTCGAAAGAACCCAATCACAAATCGCCCGCCATATCAAAAGCCCAAAACTCCGGAAACGTCCAGCCGGTCAGATCGACCTGCATGTCGCTCAAGCCATCGAACGCTCCGACGTTTCCGAAGCCCTTTCCTTGCTGCGCAAGCTCTACTATACCTGTTGCGCCTGGAATAACTGGTGGCATCAGATTATCGCTTCCAGAAGCGAGTGCCGTAGCGCTAGGAAGAGAGATATTGGATAATGGGGTTTGCGGGGTTATAGCACTTCGGAGGGAGGAAGCGAAGCTATCTTCGGGATCTTTTTGCATGGCGAGCACGCGGAAACAAAGAGATGTTACACGCTCGAGGGCTTTTCGGCCGCGCGAGCGGATGTCTTCCGGAGCGGAGTGTGTGATAGAAGCGATTGAGGTCGCGGGTTGGTTTGAATGGGAGGTTGAAGGCATAAGGCCCAGAGCGGAGCAGAAGAGCCAGTATTCGAGGTATCCTGTTCCGAGGCGCATTACTTTGTGCTCGAATGTCAAGCGGGCTTTCTCGAGGAGAGCTATTGCGGTGGTACAAAGAGTTGTAGTGAGGAAGTTGGACGTGGGAAGCTGAGGTATCTTGACTTCGGGAGCGGGAGGGATAGAATTCTGTGCGTAGGTCTCCGGTAGGTCGACAGCGGGCAGGTGAGGTTCTTTCGATGGAGGAGAAGAAAGAACCGGAGCGGGTCCGGGAGAAGGCGAACAATTGTGGTAGACTACTTGGGCGAGAGTGATGCCGGTTCGTAAGATATCGTTTCGGAGGTGGTTAAGAACAAGAACTCCCTTCGCTACGAGGTCGTCATACGTGGACATTATCGAGCTTGCTGCATCCACACACGCTGTAAAGGAGTAGCTGTAGCGCTGATTCTTCGCGGCTAGCTTTGCGTACGGTCTATGTAACATCAAGAGGAATTGCCGTAGCTGCACGTCTAGTAACGCTGCGGGTACTGCAGCACGCGGATCTTTCCACGAAGGGAGTGAGGAGAGGAGCTGAGTGATTTGGGCGTCATAGTGTTGTACATCTGAGTACTGGAGATCCGTGGTTGGGTTGTTTAGAAGTTGCAGGAGATGGACGCGGAGAGGTAGTGATTGCAATGTTAGAATGAGATACGACGCAGTCGTAAAGTGCTCGAGCGGTCGACTGGCGGGTATCTGCTGCGTGTCCTGAGAAAACGCATCGTCTGGAAGATGCGCTGGCGGGGGAACGTCGAAGTATAAACCGCAAAGGGAGGACTGGAGCCCAAAGTCGATCGACGATTGGAGTTCCATCTCGACGATGGTCACCCAGAGCCGCCTTCTCATCTCCTTATCGTACTCTGATACCCTCCCACCGGACAGCAACGATGGATTGCGGTGCATGCCAGCCGCGATAGCAAGTCGCACCACATCCCCGCAGTTTATCCAGTCCTGCTTCAGCTTCAAGCAATTGACCCTCTTGGCGAGCAGAGACAGGCATTGTAGTTGAAAGAACGAAAGCGTCAGGTGTTTGCGGTTCTGGCGTGCTAACCAAGCATCGCACGTTTCGATCAAGTGCAAAGCGGATTCCCGGTCAACCGAACTATCTCCAACAAAGACGTTCTCATCTCTCGGGGAAAGGCAGCTGGTGATAGCCATGACGTAGAGAAGGATGGCTGCAAAGCTGGCGGGGGAGTCTTCGCTGGAATGCCGTTCCCAAAAGGCACGGTAGTCTTTCCAGAAGGTCGGCTCATGCAAGATGCGATACGACGTCTCAAAGATCCGAAAGTAGAGATCCACTTGGGCGTCCACGATGCCCTTGTCAGGCATCAGCGCATAGATTTCTTCATCGCTGCCCTGCGTTCTGAGGCCTTTCTCCTTCAGGGTGGCTTTGCGGCGGTTTCTGAAGGCTTTGAAATCGGTACGGATGCGCAGCATGGTCGTGTCCGAAACCAAGGCTTCTCGTGTAAACACTTGGAGCTCGGCAAACTGGTCATGCCGTTAGCTTGACAATGTCCCAAATGGCATGGTGATAGGCAAGGGGCGTACCTGGGTCAGCACGCTGAGAGGACTGGTCGACCCGTAGAACTGGGTCTTGAAGGCCTTGCCCCTGAACATCATCTCTTCGCGCAATGGTGGCTCATCCGGCTCGAAGTCGTCGAAATGGGAGGGATATTCGCCAAAGGAAGAGCCCTTAGCACTCCCAGATGCAGCCAACCTCCGTTCAAGAAGGTCAAGACGCCTTTCCTGGACCCTCAATTTCCAGGTCAGGACATTGGAAGAGACGGCTCCAGAAGAGGGATTGTCCGGCGGGGCAAAGTTCCCGAAGTTTGTCGTACCATCCACGTGCCCATCGCCGTTCACAGGCAGATCCTCCAGCAAGCGCGGATCATAAGTGCACTGATCGGCTCGTCCAGTCTTTTGGCATCGCCCACAGACGGGATAGACGCGGTCGCATTTCATTTTGCGGTTGCGGCACGCATAGCATGATAGCACCTTCCGCTTCTTGCTCATGCGCTTCTCGGGAGACGCGTCCACGCCATCTGGCGAATTATCGCGCGACTCAGCGCTCCGGGTCGACATGGCAGGGCAAACAGGTCCCGAGGGCAGATACGAAGGATCCGGACAAAGCGGAGATGGCGATGGAGATGAGGAGATGGAACGACGTTAAAGTAGGCGTTCGGACTTGGGGGCCGGATATCGGATGTGACGGTCCGAGCATGACTAAGCTGGAGGATCCGAACATTGCGCTCTAGCTTTCAAGTTTGGTGTCTGAAGGGATTAAGGATTGCACTCCAGAATAGTTAGGTTGCGCAGAGGCGGAGGTTCTGAGGGCCTTCTCACAGTCTTTCAGGAGAGCGTGATGCCGCGGGAGAGTTGCACGCACCTCCGCGGAGCACAGTCGAACTGGGATGAAACTATCCACAGGCATCAAGATTGCTAGCCTAATGCTTGATAGAAGGTCGGTCTCGTACTGGGACCAGTCAACTTTCATTAGACTGTATTGCAGTTTGCAGGTTCAACGATGGAAAGGAGATCGAGGTCACGTGAAGCTTAGTCATTAGGCGCCTGGTCTGAAACTCTTAGCCCTCGTCCACCCTCCGACCTCCCTCCCAAGTCCCAGGGCATCATTTGAAAGATTTGATCGTCATTTTTCAGGCAGGTGACCGCAGTTGATGACTTTCGTCGATGCTGCTCGCCGGCCCGGTTCCCTTACGATCGGCCACATTTACCCGGTTTGCCCTGCAATGCGCTGTTCCATCTTGACGATCTCGCATTCCTGGAGCCCATATGCCAGGACCCAGAAACCCAATATCGGCCGCGAAATACGACCGCGACGCCCATGTTCGATGCACCACTCCGAATTCCATCTTCCGCTGGTGGCTGGTGTTCCGGATCGCGCTGTAGTTTCGTCGGCTCGAAGCACGCATGAGCGCGTCCTTCACGCCAAACTCCTGACGATTACGGATGCGCTCCCTCCTGCGCCCTCTATGGCGCATATATTACAGCCTCGACATATCTGGCTTTGATAGGCTGTAGCCGCCTTAATGCACCTGCGCTATATCCTGCGGCGCATCGTCGACGCCATCATGATGCTCTGCCCATCATTTAATCCGAGTCCAGTACCTGGTTTCGCACCATCTTCACTCTACCTGTTGAGCCTCAGCATCTGAGCGCCTCGGCGCTCAGCAAAAGCTGTGCTTGACAGCTTAGTTGCCAAGTGATAGACGTTTACCCGCCCTCCTTCTGGCCGCGGAAAGGTACAAAGGCTTGTGGCCACCTTTGGCTATGGCTCCTACTTAAGGTACGATGTCTCGCTGTGCATCGACTTTGAAGGAGGCTCTTTCAGCCTCTGCTGAGCCTCAACCTCGCGCTGCGTACGAAAACCGGGTCAGGGCGGAGATTCCAGAAGCGTTCCGCTCGTGTCAAAACCCCGCACATTTCATTTTCAGCATTTCTCCGATTCCCTGCCTGGTGTCAGGTTTTCTTCACCAGATCTTGTACGACACGGCATCCGATCTAACCAGAAGGACTTTGGCCAGAGAATTTCGAATCGTTCGATGGCCGCCCGATACTTCCGGTCATTGGCTGGTTAAGCCCTTCAATTGTTCTCTGGTTGGGCGCCCCCATCGCATGCCCATGCTGTAACCCTGTCTGTGTTGCACAACGCAATTACGCCTCGACGTTGCCTATATTTTGCATCGACGCCAAATTCTTCAGTCACATGCCACACTCCTCACGCCCAATAGTACGAATATGTCATTCCCTTCCACGGAACATCGATCTACGAGCTTGGGCCGGCTTCGGAGCTATCTTCCGTTCAGTCCACAGCGCGTGCAAAGGCCTTCGACTCCGGAAGGACAGATTAAGAGGTGGATTACTACGAAAGTTTTAACGGCGAACAGTACAGCCACCAATCAAGACATTTCGTGTGTCGGGAGCTCCAGTGCGGAGAACCCCTGCATCCCCGCAGTGCGGAGTAGCGAAGGTAAGCCTGAAATGTACCCTGAACTCCAACTTCATCTATAGAGATTAACCAAGACATCACAGCTTTCAATAGCCCTCACTCCAAAGTCAGGGTCTAAGCACCCTTGCCGTCGACCGATTAAACCACCAAACAAACCCCACTAGGGAAATGAAAGCCTGCTGTGCCCCGCCACTACATTTCTTCCAGAAAGCTTCTGCCATACCGATACTCGCCAAGGAGGAAAGCCAATTAAGCCTTTGCCAACTCGAAGCAAAGATATTCTTTCGTATCCAAGCTTGCCACGAAGAGCCAACACAGCGATGCCACTGTGTCGGCCCAGCACGGTCTAGGAGTTCCCTCCACGAAGCCTGAAGGAAAATCCCGAATTTTTCCAAGTGGAGTTGAGCTTTAGGGAATGTCAAGCGCCTTGTAACGCGGGTTACTGAACGATCGACGGTCATACGATGGACCCCTTTAGCGCCAAGCGGCCTAGGATGCCTAGTCCACGGCATGGAGCTTCTTCCCTCTTAGCCGCCTCTTGCAGCCGATGCTTGAATTCATCTGGCAGCACCTATCACGGGTCGCCATCGCGTTCGACTATGCACAGCAAATAGAGTATCTGAGGCTCATCTGGAAGCTCCTGGATAACACTACCCCCTCAATCGACAGGGCCCAATCAAGGATTGCGGCCAGCCGCGAAAGGAAAGCCCGCGAATGCCGTTGCCGCCAGCCCCACGGTAACACACCCCAATGGGTCCGACGATGTCTGAGTTCATCTTTCCATTGTGGATCCATTTGCGCAACCCTGCAGTCACTTCGTTCGAGAGCTCTGCGCAAATTGGATCGATCATTCTTAAGCACAGTCCAGCAATTCAGTGGAATTAAGGCACACTCGAAACTCTTCGCGAACCCCTACACTTCTCACAGTGCTCCAATAGCCGTCCAACTTCGCCTTCCCGTCGTTCCGCCATGCCATCTGGCTTTCCCTGTCCTAATGTCTTCCCGCTGTCCGCGCTGAGAAGGGCAATACATCCAGCAAGCGCCACGATGTGGCAGCCCAAGATATAAGTTCAAGACATTCCCCACAGGAGTCTCCCAGCAGTCAACCCGCCACTCGCAGTCCACCATGTATCGCCTGCTTACAGTCGCCTCTTCCCTCCTCGCCGTGGCCTCCGGCCAGCTGGTCGGCACCCAGCAAACCGAAACCCACCCCGGGATGACCTGGCAGCAATGCACTGCCAAGGGTAGCTGCACGTCCAAGAATGGAAAGGTTGTGCTTGACGCCAACTGGCGCTGGCTCCACACCAAGACTGGGTACGCTGATGATCCGACCAACGAGAAACTTCAGGGGACTAATAGGAAATCAGCTACACGAATTGCTACACCGGGAATGAGTGGAACTCGACGCTTTGCGCGGACAACAAGTCTTGCGCCTCAAACTGCGCCCTTGATGGAGCCGACTACACTGGCACCTACGGCATCACTGCTAGCGGCAACTCGTTGCAGTTGAAGTTCGTCACTAAGGGATCCTACTCGACCAACATTGGCTCCCGCACCTACCTGATGGCCGACGACTCCTCCTATCAGATGTTCCAGCTGGTTCCCGACCGGGAATTCACCTTCGATGTCGACCTTTCCAACCTGCCCTGCGGTCTGAATGGTGCGCTGTACTTTGTCTCCATGGACGCCGACGGCGGCATGAAGAAGTACTCGACGAACAAGGCTGGAGCCAAGTATGGAACTGGATACTGCGATGCCCAGTGCCCGCGTGATCTCAAGTTCATCAACGGCGAGGTGAGCTCACAGAATAAAATCATTTCTCGATTGCACGCAGCTAACGGAGGGTACTAGGGCAACGCCGAGGGCTGGAAACCTTCCTCCAACGACGAGAACGCCGGTGTCGGTGGCTACGGCTCCTGCTGCGCTGAGATGGATATCTGGGAGGCCAACTCGGTGTCGACTGCTGTCACGCCGCACTCTTGCAGCACGATCGAGCAGAGCAGGTGCTCTGGTGATGGCTGTGGCGGAACCTACTCCGCGGACCGATACGCTGGTGTCTGCGACCCCGACGGCTGCGACTTCAACAGCTACCGCCAGGGCGACAAGACCTTCTACGGCAAGGGCAAGACGGTCGACACGAGCAAGAAATTCACCGTTGTCACGCAGTTCATCGGCTCCGGCGCCAGCATGGAAATCAAGCGCTTCTACGTCCAAGGCGGCAAGGTCATCCCCAACTCGGAGTCGACCATCGCAGGCAATCCCGGCAACTCTATCACCGCGTCCTTCTGTGATGCCCAGAAGGTGGCGTTCGGCGACACCACGTCGTTCCAGGACAAGGGCGGAATGGCCAACATGGCTTCCGCGCTCCAGACTGGTATGGTCTTGGTTATGTCCCTGTGGGATGACCACTACGCCAACATGCTCTGGCTCGACTCGACCTACCCGACCGACAAGTCCGCGGACACGCCCGGCGTTGGCCGTGGCGAGTGCGAGACTTCGTCTGGTGTCCCGGCTGATGTTGAAAGCGCAAGCGCTAGCGCGTCTGTTACCTACTCCAACATCAAGTTCGGCCCCATCAACTCCACCTTCGGTTAAACGGTCTCAGCGTAGCCGTGGATTTGCCCGCAGCGCAAAGCCTTCGGCATCGTGTGAAAAAAAGGTGGCCATGGTGGTGGGTGCGCTCAGTGCTTCACTCGTTTGAACTACAAAGCTTCTGTACATAGTTTGGAATGAAGTCGTGTTAAGCTCGAATGCCAATGCCTCCAGAATTTCTTTGCTTTGCACCAAGCTCTTTGCCACCTTCTTAGGCATTCTTGTGGATTCTTGACTGCCGCTGCGTCCAAGACTTGGTTCAATATTCTTTCGTATCGGCCACATTTACACAGATTGAGCCGAGTGCAGGGGTATTATGTTATTCGCGGGTGCTGAGTGGTGGAGGAGTGCACGGGCCGGGATCGTGAGTTTTCTCCTCGTGGAGTCTTGAGCTGTCCTTCGTTCTTTCCTTCTTGCAGGACTCAGCAGAATCTGTCTTCTTGATGGCTTTCCAAGATCTTTTAAGAGACAGGAGCACATGTGATGGAATATGGCTCAAGCTCCTTCGTCTTGCCTGAAGAAACGACGGCCGAATTGGTAGGCGCTCTCATCCTTCCCCCTTCTGACCTAGGTATACTGCGACTGCGTTAGCTGTTGAACTCTCAACAATCTCATAGACCCTTCATATCTCTAGCATCTTTGCGTCCCCGAGTACCGAGGCGTTCTGCCTGAAAGGCACCGAAGTGTCCCTCGCTTACGGTTGACGTCCCTGAGGCGGAGCGAGTCAGGGAAGTTTTAGCGTCGTCGCGGAGCACTTCCGCCCCGTCACAACTCTCTCATCGAGCTGCCCTACCTTGATCACCGCAATCCCGTCTCAGAGGGCCCGAATACAATTCTGCGAAGGTTAGAAGCAGTTACGCGCGCTCTCCGGCCGACGACAAGTCTTCATTTGAATGCGCAATGGCGTTGGCAGTCGTGGGCTCCGACTCGTCCGAAACGCGTCACCTCGGGTTTCAACACCAGCATGGTTTCGAAGGCGTCGAACGATAGCAATCGCTTATTATTAGGTCTCAACTTGTGTTCCTGAGACAATGCGCTTGTTTAGGCAGCTTGGCTATGGGCTTTCCTCCAAAAGCGGTTCACTGGGTCTCTTTTGCCATCCTTCCTGGATCGCTCCCGTTCACCTCACACAAAGTCGGGCCTTTCGTGCGCCTGGTTTGCGCTGGGTACACTCTTCTTTCCTTTTCTTTCTACCTGCCATCTATACTAATTCGAGTGAATCTCTGTCGCTATCGATCTTTTCTCTCAATGCGTTGAATGAGCTATCTGCAGGACTGATCGCGAAGCATAGACTCGAGCTATTGTGGCCAAAGCTTCAACAGAATGGCAGCCGGGGTCGACAGCCTGGACGACGTGCGATATCAACACCATCTGGAGCATCGAGGAGAGTCCAATCAAAGAATTGCTCAAGCGTTCTGGCTAGCAATCTGGACCCTTGTTGTGGCGAGATTCGCGCAGAGGGTTTGGGCGTGGGGAATTCGAAAATGGTGAGCTCCGCCAAACGCCACCGTTAAACTCTTGCTGATATGTGTAAAGCCTGCACAAGACCTCTGCGTGGTCACATAATTCTCCTCTATCCGTCCCAATCGAGCGCATCCAGGCGCTGTTCAAAGCTATCTCTCTTCTACCGTTCCCGCGATTATTCGGCATCCGGCCCACGAACCTCTCGCTTGGTCACGTCGCGATATTGGCGGTGTATATCTGCACAATAGTGTCCCTATTAGTTACCGTGGATGCGCCGAAGTTGTCTTCGCACTTCCTCGACGACGTCGCGTTCCGCGCCGCCTGGATAACGCTAGCACAGGTTCCTCTCCTGTACTTCCTCTCGACCAAGCGTGGACCGTTAAACCTTCTGGCCGGGCTTTCCCATGAGAGAATCAGTTGGATCCATCGATGGGTCGGACGCGCTCTGTTCGTTTCCGCCACTACGCATATGGCGATTATGATGTCCTCGATATCGGTCAACGACCTGATGCGATCGCCGGGCAAGGCCATGTCCGTGGTACGATACGGCGCGGGAGCGTACGGTACACTCGTGTGGATTGCCCTGTCGAGCATTCTACCTGTGAGAAGGTGGAGCTACCGAGTGTTCTACATCAATCACTGGGCCATGACATTGGTTTTCCTGTGGATTCTTTCGCACCACGTCCCGAGATATGCCCGGCTCCCCATTTACGCATCGGTCGCTATCGTAGCCTTCGACAAGTGCTTGGCGTGCTATGGATTCTTGTGGAATAATGTTAGCGTCCGTCCTTTGAAGAGGAGGTTTGCGAAGTTCAGGAAGGAGCCTGGTCGCCAGGTTTTGGCCATGGGACACCCGGTCAAGATGATGACGCCGTTCATCACAAATCTCGGTCTGCATCCGAAGGAATCGGCTACCATCATCCGAATCTGCGACGCCCCGCTGGCGTGGAGGCCAGGTCAGCACGTCAGGCTCTACCTACCGAAGCTCGGCATGCTGGAAATTCATCCGTTTACGCCCGCAACGTGTTCAGAAGCTTCGTCCGCACCCTTCCCGGCCTACAAGCACCACGATGCGGAGCATAATGGTCTCCTATCGAGCTGCAGCACACCTCCCACAAATGACATGGTCCTTATGATACGGTCTCACTCTGGACTGACGAAGAGGCTCGCCGACTACTATTCCAAATGGCTGTCGCTCCCCTGTCCGAACGCCAGTCGGCCCTGTTCATCTCTCACCGCGTACATTGACGGCCCGTACGGAAGCCCGCCCACTTGGGAAGACTACGAGAACATCACACTGATTGCCTCTTCGACCGGCGTCTCCTTCATCCTCTCCATCCTCGAATACTTGGAACAGCTGTGCTTCAACGGCCACCCGCGGCTCCGCACGCAGCATATCCGCTTCATATGGGCCAATCGACATATCGAACCCCAGTTCGAGGCTTCCGTGATGGACCTACTCTCAAAACACAGCGCAATGCTGCGGGAATCAGACATAATGGTCGAAGCGGAGTTTTATGCGACGTGCCCTCAGTCGGAGGAACGAGGCATGGAGCCTGAAATGAGGGAATACGACCCTTTTGCGCATCTGCGTCGGCCGCGGAGGAACTACTTCGCAGGACGACCGCCGCTGCGGATCCGCAATCCAAATGCGTTGGACGACGAGGAAGACGAAGACGAAGAAGAGGAGGATCTCAAGCACGTCAGCCCGGTAGTCAGCGAGGTCGAAAGCTGCTTAAGCTACGAGAGCGACGCGTCCACTCTAATCGACCAAGAAGAACGGCCCATCATATCAGACCGACAGTCAACGCTAGACGAGCTGGACACTTCGTGTTGGTCCCGCATGCCCTCTCTTCGTTTCCCACGCGCCACGCCAAAAGCCGCCGACTCAGAGTCCTGCCAATGCGGACTCATCCGGTATCAGCAGCGGAAAACAGGGTCAAAAAGACAGCCGGAGTTCATAACGCGGTTCTACGGTTCCCGTCCGAATATTCCTCATATCGTCTCTGTGGCGGCATCGCGGACGAGCACGGCGAAGACGATGGTGGCGGTTTGCTCGAACGCTGGGGTGGCAATGCAGGCGAAGAGCGCAGTAGCAAGGATGAATCTGGATTTCGCGATGGGCAGGAGAGAGCGAGGAGTCGATATTCATACGGAGGGATTCATGTGAGACAGGCACGAGTTGGGAGGAATTTAGGAAGGAATTTAGGAAGATACCCGCAATAAACAGATCAAGAGATATTGAAGCCAACCTAGAAGCACCTGGTGATGCGACCCGTTCTATTGAATCATTTATGAACGAATCAGCATCCCGCAAGGTGCCGGCGCCGTCGTCTTTGTCAAATGCTGACATTCACAGGGCCCAATATGGCGCATCCTAGTCCAGCGAATCAGCCCGCATCGCTAATCTCTAGCGGCCGATCATCCTGCTGCATAATCTTTGTCAGCGCAGCGACTAACTACTACGCAAGGCCCAGCACAGCAAAACCGCGCCCGTCTGTTGCCCTTCTAAATATCCGTTCAACTCCATCCGAAAACCTTGCAATCGCCTAATCGCAAAGACTCGCAAGGGGACTAACTAACTCATCATACGCCATGTCCGCGACGCCCACGCTCGGCTGCCAGATCGCGCCCGACTACGAGCATGATCGCCACCTGTCTTCTTCGGATTCAGAGTCTACGGCTACGGAGGATGAGGAGGAGCAGGTAGAGCCGGAGGAAACAGACGGGACGCTGGATATCGAGAAAGCGGAGACGCAGAGGGATACTGTGCCGACGCGGACGACGACAAGGGCTACTAGGCCGGCGACGCTGCAGAAGGGGAGGACACGGAGTAGCCGGAAAGAGCCTCCGGAGGAGCCGGCGGGGTTTTGGCATTGGAAGATGGTTTGTAGTTCTGTGCGGGCTTTTTGTTAAAGGAGGATAAAGGCTGATACGGGCATGTAGGCTGGTGTTCGGTTGCACGTGATAAAGCTGTGGGTCAGAACGAGTATGTCTGGTCCTAGCAAAGCTTGAAGATGTGTTGAATTTTTTCTAGATCTCATACTCGCTGGAGCTATCTTCGCCTTCCTGTGCCTCTTCTGGGGCGCCCTCTTCCCGCAGGCAGACCGCATCCAGAGCCTCGGCGTCTGGGTCGTCGACTTCGACGGCCAGCCACCCTATAATAACGTCACTCCTTTCGTTGGACCCTTCGTAACCCGCTCCATCCAAGGGATTGTCGACGCTGGAGGACCGCATCTAGGCTACACGTTCCGCCCGCCGTCTGACTTCGACAATGACCCGCTGAAGGTCCGGGAAAGCGTGTTCGACTTCAAGGCTTGGGCGGCTGTTGTGATTAATCCGAATGCGACGGCGATGCTTGATGCGGCGGTGAGGCAGGGGAATGCGAGTTATGATCCGCTGGGCGCATGTCAGATCATCTTGAATTCGGCAAGGGACCAGGGAACGGCGTCGTCGTATATCGTCCCGGGTATAATTGCAGTCCAAAAAATCGCCGTCTCTAACTTCGGCCGCGCATGGGTCACGCACCTGCTCCAGAACAGCTCCGCCAGCGATCTGAATCTCGACGTCGCGCCGCAGGCCATATCCCCCGGCATCGAATTCACGCAGTACGATCTTCGTCCGTTCGGCCCGCCAATCGCGACGCCCGCAGTCAGCATTGGATTGATCTACCTGATCATCCTGTCCTTCTTCAGCTTCACGTTCTTCCTGCCGATTCATATGAAGTATCTCTCGCCGCGCGGCCACCCTCCCCTGCTCTTCCACCACCTGATTGTATGGCGGTACACGGCGACCGTGGTATCGTACTTCTTCCTCTCGTTGATATACTCGCTTGTCTCGCTCGCGTATCTCATGCCAATGGATCGACCGAAGGGCTCGCGCGTCTGGCCCGTGAAGAATCCGAATGCATATGGGAGGGGGACGTTTCCCGTCTACTGGATGGTGAACTGGATAGGGATGACGGCACTCGGGTACGTATATCTACACACATCAGCAGGCATTAGTTGAGGGTCTGGAACACCGACCTTGGAGACCTTCAAGGCATTTAGCAGAGACTGACGTGCTGGGTGCGTAGGCTGGCGAGTGAGAATATGGCGATGCTTCTTGGGACACCGTGGACGGCGCTGTGGTTGATCTTTTGGGTGATAAGCAATGTAGCGACCGGCTTCTATCCGATACCGCTGGCGCCGGACTTCTATCGCTGGGGATATGCATGGCCTATACACAATGGTGAGTTTGTAACACTTGGCCTGGAGTGCCCCAAGGCATATCCCGCCGCCTGAATGCCACTACGGGAGTACTCGGCCTGGAGGCCTTCAGAGGGCTACACTAACATAGCGTAGTCGCCGAGCTTACACGCCAAATCCTCTTCGATCTTCATCCGCGAACAGGGCTCAACTTTGGTATTCTCCTTGCCTGGTGTGTAATCGGGACCGCGTTATTTCCGCTTTGCTGCTATTACATGAGGTGGAATACCATGAGAGTGAAGAGACAAGCGGCGCAAAGGGAAGCGGAATGGAAGGAAAAGATGGAAAAGGAAAGGGAGCATCCTGGCTTGCTGGCACGAGTTACTACGGCTGGGAAGAAATAATTGTGGTGCTTGGGAGTGAGAGCCAGAAGTGCTCCACGGACTAACTTGGAAGCCGCAATGAAACAGTGTGGGAGCGAAGGAAAGAGCTGCCCGTTGGTGTTTACACACGGCCAAGGTTGCAAGCTGTGACGGCGTCTAACACTGGACGTGTGCGTAGAGGGCTAACGAGGCCGCAGTGACGGGGTTCCTAAGGGTGGAGAATCTGAATCCAGTGCAAAATTAAGAGTAGCTGAGCTTTGCTGGGGCGTGATCCACCGTTTGTGGGTGAGGTCACCCACCGTCGCCCTCGAGAGGGAAGCCGCGCCCGCCCACATATATATTCTTCACCTGGCCGCTCGCAACCTTCTCTCCTCCACCACCACACAAGATGACCTCGTCGCCGTCGTCGCCGCCGCCGCCGCCACGCCCACAGGCGCTCGCCGGCAGCAGAGTAAGTACTACCGTCCCATCCTGCCCGCTCCTGCTCCCACTGCCCAGGCCCCAGGCCGTGATGAATTCAAACCTCCTCCGTCAACACTCACCCTTTGACTGTCCACACCATGCTAATCTTCTCTGTGCTCAGGGGCCCGCCGCCGACAACGCCGCCTCGGTGAGGAGGCTACCCCCGGGCGAGTCGGTCTACCGCTTTCGGACCGGCTCGTTCCGGGGGTACAGCATCGAACAGTGCCCGAGCTGGTACTGGATGACGCTGGCGAGGGGTGGGGAGGGGTTCCTGGCGTGGAGGGACCCTGCTCTCTGGCGGGAGCTGGAGAGGATAGGGTACGTCGTGGAGAACATCCCGGCGTACCTGCGCGGTGACCCCCCGCGCATGGCCGACCCCGAGCTGATTTCGCGCATCAATCGATATGCGCGCGAAATCCACGGCCACTCCCTCCTCACCCCGGACGGTCATGTCGCCGCCGCTTCTTTCTCCGCCGCTGAAGCAGAAACGCGGCCCTCCACCCCAAGCCCCGAAGACGGCTTCCCAGAATTCGGGCCCTTCAGCCGCAAGGGAATTCAGTATTTCGCCAACCTGGGCTTCAAGCCCAACGAAGAAACCTCCACCCAGCGCGCGATCGGCCAGGCCCGAGGGCGGAAGGGGGCCCAATTCAAGGCGTCCCAGACAGCCAGCAAACCCAGCGACCACGTCTTCAAGAAGCCGGCTCTTCCTGCCCACCGCGCAGCACTCGATCCCCAGGGCCGCAAGAGAGCCGACGACGACGACGTCCAAGAGATCAGCCCACCGCCCATCCCTCCTACCCAACGCGCGACGCTTGATCGCCGGGCTCGCATCAGGGCCTACGGCGACGACGTTGAAGAGATTCGCCCACCGCCTGCCCCTCGTCCTCAGCACGCGACACTTGATCCCCGAAGCCGCAGCCTTCAAGGGTTCGGCCCACCGTCTGTCCTTCCTACCCACCGCGCGCCACTTGATCTCCGGGGCCGTAAGAGAGCGTACGATGACGACGTCCAAGAAATCAGCGCACCGCTTCCTCACAAGATCCTTCGCACCTCCAACCGTGAGGTCATCGACGCCCCAAGTGCTCGACGAAGCGACGAAAGCATCCAACGTGTCCATGAGACCCTTCGTGCCACCAACCTTGAAGTCATCGACGCCCCAAGTGCTCGACGAAGCGGCGAGAGCATCCAACGCGTCCATAACAACCCGCTCATTCGACGAAGCGGTGAAAGCGTCCAAAACAACCCGGCCGTGCTACCTTCCACATTGCGCAACCTGCAGCCCGAGATCGGTATATTCCAACGTCCAGCGCGCAGCGGCGAAAGCATCCAACGCGCCCATAACAACCCGGTTGTTATCCCTTCCATAGTGCGCAACCTGCAGCCCGAGTTCAGTACAGACCAACGTCCGGCTCTCACTGAGGACCCCCGCCTACTACTGCACGGCGACGACGTAGACCTATGGTCTAGAGCTGGGCCACGAGGATACTCGCAGCTTTATGAGTCTGGCTATGCCAATACCTACATGGATAGCGATATGAGGAAAGGAGTCGACTTATGGAGCTTCTACAATCAGAAAGAGTTGGAGTACGATTTAAGGTATCGCTTTCAGAAATAGGAACACAAGGGACGACGACGGAGATGCCACATACGGAGAGACTGAATGTATCATACGACAAGGAGACTACAGATTTAAACGTTGGAGCAATGTGGTGGCAGACAGACTGACTCGAGGAGAGGTTGGTCGGAGAGCTACGCACTAATGATCGGGACGGTGGGAGCGGCGACACCTGCTTATCTATGGTTTATGAAGGCATCAGATCGTACGATATACGGCTATTGCTGAGTTTTCATGTTTACGAGACGGGGGGAGATGGACAGTGCCTCTCTTCGACAGGTGGCAGGTTCCCGAGGTCATTAGTAGCTGCCGCAGCTTAGCGAATTATGTAATCCATGCCAGACCTCAGACAATTCCCAATTCACCTATGCCTTCATAGCACGTTCCCCTCACCATGCCGCGCCATAAAAACCCTATTCAATTTATCCCAGCTTCTCTCGCCGCTCTATCGCGCAGTTCGTGGACACTGCGCGTTCACCACGCTACGAAATGTCCGTGAGAGCCCCGGGCCGCGGGCGCGGCCGTGGACGCGGCAGAGGACGCGGAAGAACCATGATTGTACGTGATCTACCACTCCTAATTCTCTTAGGCACTTTACAGAGCTAATTAGCGTCCATAGTGGGAGTGGGAAACCTACAAGCCCGGCCCCGAAGTCTACAACAACCTCTTCCGCCTGCACAAAACCCCACCCACGATCACGCAAACCCTCCCGAACGAATGCCCAATCCCAAACGCGCAGTCCCGAATCCTCAACCGCAGGCAGACCGAGGATGGCTTCTGCCGCAACTACTACACCGTGCGCATTACACACCTGCCCGCGGCGCACGACGGGTCTGGTGGAGACGGACACGGCAGCGAACAGACCAAGGATGTGGATATGAGCCGCATACTCAAATACGTGTCTAAGCGCGAGCTGGAGCGCTTCGAGAACGCTGAGTTCAAGGCGGAAGCAGAGGCTGAGGCCGCGGCGCAGCGTGCTGAGGCGGAGGAGCTGGCGAGACGCAGGCTAAGGAAGAATGCTAGGGTTCCCAGGATGGGACGGGGGAGCCGGATGCTGAGTGGGCTGGGATTGGATCCAGAGGCCCCGATGAGGAGAGGACGGCCGAGAGGCAGGGGAAGAGGGCGCTGGCGTGGAAGAGGGGTGCGGACGGAGCTCGGTTCCGGGCTGGGGATGGAGTCGGAGGATGCCCAGCCGCTGGAGGCGCCACATCATGAAGGCGAGGATCTACAGCGGATTATTGCAGAGACGGAGGATGAGGATGAGGAAGAAGACGAGTCGGAAGAGGACCTGCCGCGCTTGAAACAGCCGTCGCCGGATCTCGTACGTTCCTCGTTCGTCGTCAATAGTGCGCTTCCTGTCTCGCCTGTCGCCGCCTACCGGAGTCTCGCGAAACCCCCACAACTGCGGCAGGACATAACGGATGTTGATGAGGAGGAGGAGGAAGAAGAAGAGGAACGGGACGAGGAAGACAGAACATCCATGTCTGGTGCTGCCGCACAGTTACACTTTGAGCGGCACTCCCACGAGAGACACTTCCTCGACTCGGACGAAGAGAGCGTGGAAGATCGCCACCGGCATCGTGCGAAGCGCCGCAGGACAGAAAGCACGTCGTCTTCGCGACCGCGCGCTCCCGCGACCGCTTCTTCGTCTAAACAGCTTCTCTCCCTCGCGCACTCCATGTCGAAGAAGCTCGTCCACGATTCCCCGGAGCCAGAATTGGGATCCGAATCTAAATCAGAAGAGTCGTCTGACGACGCCATCCCTGCCCACCCGCCGTCCCATGGCGCTGACGCCGACGCCGACGCCGACGCCATGGAGGTTGAACCCTCCCACCAAAATGGCCACGACGAAGACGAAGGAGACGAGTCAGACGTAGAGGAATACGTCGTGGAAGCCATACTCGCCCATTCGTACGGAGGGGACAAGAAGTACTATCTAGTCAAGTGGGAGGGGTGTGAGGACTCAAGCGATTGGTTGCCTGAGGAGGATCTGGCTGGGGCAAGCGAGTTGGTAGCGGCGTATGAGGAGAGATTGCAGAGGTGGAAAGGGAAGGGTGTAGTGCGGTAGATGGGAGAAGGGAGAAGGCAGGTCTTCGAGGCATAACGTGAATGGCTTTTGGACATGGCATTGATACCTGGGCCTGGAGGCAAGCTCTTATATGCGCGACTCAAAGGAGATTTTGCGCCTATCCGGACATGGAGCACGACGGAGGATATCGTGCATAGACTTGATAGATATAATACCAGCAACGCGTGATACTTTTATCATTCTACAGACTGCTTCGTTCTCTTTGCAAACTGCGTATCGCTGCCCTCGCTACCGTTCCAATAGCCGTCGTAATTTGCATGGTGTATTTCCGTTTTCTAAAGCACGGTAAGTGCATGGTTCGTTGACTATGCTGCACACTTATCACATTGCTTTACTCGAGCTGGTTTTCAAAGACAACAGACAATTGTTCACAATGCCCAGCACTGCAGTAACCTCCTCAGGGCCATCATCCTTTTTTTCCCTCTCCGATTAGACGACGTACTCATAAATGTCTATTGGACAGTGCTTACACTACAATCCTCCTACACTGATTTCCTGTCCTCGCAGAATGCCCTTAGATAATATCACATCGCAGAATAAACCATCGATATCAGTCAACTCATCTTTGTTCATATGATAGATATTAAGCTTGGATTCTTATCGATAGACTCCCTAGGTCGGAGTTCTCCTCGAATACCACCCACCTCATCCAGCTAACAGCACCCGTTCTAATTCCCACAATCCTACTCCTGCATATACACCCTCCAAGCCCTTTGTCGAAACCGTTCATACACCCTCTCCACCTCCCTCATGCGCTGCTCATCCGTCTTCTCCACCCTCACGCCCGTCATCCACTCGGCCGCTGCCCCCACCATCCGCATGACAACCCTGCGCTCCTCCTCGTCCCGCGGGGCATAGACAAGCGTCCAGCCAGCCGGGACAGGCGGCCGCGCCTCTTCGTAGCCCCAGAAGCGCCAGAAGTCGCGGAAGTAGGCGAGCCAGAGCACGTCGCCCCGAGCTAGCGGGTGGCGCTCCCCCCAGCCGCATGCGAGGACTTTGTCGACGTCGGCGGGGTGTAGGTTTAGGTGCAGAGAACCATCGTAGGAGTGTACGTGCCCAATCTCGCTGTTGAAGAGGCGTTCGGAGGGACGGGACAAGCGCTTGTCGCGGGGGAATAGAGCGGTGATGTGCCGCGAGAGGGAAGATGTCTCCTGGCAGAGATGCGGATAGTTGGTGAGAAAGGCGTCGATGTCGGTTTGGATCAGGGCAGGGTCGGCGTGCTGGTTGCACTGGCGCTGCAGAGCGGTGCTTGGGAGAGACGGACGGTCGCCAGTCCGCTTGGGGATGCTGTGCAGAAAGCCTGTCTGTGGGAACAATTCCGCAGGAATAGCTGGAGGCTGGAACGGATCGATGCCAAAACACAGCGCAGTGAACAACTCGACCGTGTACCCTAGCGCATTGTACGGCGTCCCGCCTTGGCCGAGCGAGAGGAAGACGGCGTAGCCTTTGCGCCATTTAACGTACGACGCGGAGATCAGCGCGACGAACGCTGCAAAGCCGGTTAACCGGATAAAGGCGGGGCAGCGGTTCAGGAAGGCGAAATATCGGTACAGCAGACCCATCGCAAGGCAGATGCCGCTTAACAGGATGCAACATAGCCCCATCGGCCAGTCCCAGCCGTATGCTTCCAGGAGCTTTTCCGCGCAGAAGCTGCTGGTGAGGAGGACGAGAAATGGAGGGCTGACAGGGTATGCGTACTGGAGAGCAGATGTCGCTGCCAGAGCGAAGGATGCAGTTAGGATGGTTGATAGACGGGTACGGGTGTGTGGGTCGCGCATGGCATTAGCGAGGTAAGCCGTCATCGTAGCCACTGTCAAGCCGATGTCATCTATTTTGACGTCTTTGTGTGTGACCACTGGCTTCGTGGAGGGTAAGAACTTCTTGTATGATCTCCTTGGTCTCTGAAGTGCCCTCACAATGATGTCGGGACTGTATTGTGTGGAAGCAAAAGATCAATCTAGAGCTTCTGAAGACTGTACGGTATATGTACTCAGAGCGGGCACCCAGCCATGCGCCGCGACATATTGTATGGAGTCCCGAACAATGCGGAAACAGTGGGGTTTCTACGAGTACCGAACACAATATTGGCGGCAAAATCTCGACGAAAGGCTTGTGTCTCGCACATTGTGTTTAGCATTTTGCTGATCTCCCAATCCCTTCCTGTTTCGTCTCTGGGTGGAGGATGTCGGGTTGTTATTCCCTAGAAGGGACTCCCTTTCGATAGCGCGGAGTGGGAGGCTAAGCCAGTGTCCGAAGAGATTAGTACACCTAAGGCGTCTCTTAAACCCGAGGATCGCGCCTTCTGCGGTTTAAACTTTACGATAAGCAACGTATAGCAAGCGCAACAGAGAAGACTTACCAAAGCTCATATCCCCAGGCACATACCAGAGCTTTCTTTCCCGCTAAACAGGCTTACATTGGCAAGTTTTCTCCGCCAATCCTACGAACTCGACCAAGTCCCCCAAAACGGCCACAAACTCAACCTCCTCTCCTTACTCCCCGAAGAAGCCTCGCTCACACTGTCACCGGCTTCGCTCGCAACCTCCATGATGTCCATCTTCGGTGGCGAAAACCGCAGGCTCGAGTTGCGGAACTTCTTCCGGTATCGGCCTTCCCGAGCTAGGAAGGAGCGCGCTACGATGTGGTCGATGTCCTCCTACATTATGGCAGTCAGCATCGTTGGTCTGGGTGAAGGGATGGGATGGAGTAGCGCATTGAGTGAGGGAAGGGGACGTACGGGTGTCAGTGTGGGGTCGAGAAAGATCTTCCCGTCCTGCTCCTTGTACATGTGACCGAGGAAATCGAGCTCCTCGACTTCGACGAGGTCCTTGCTGATGATGAGGGATTCTTTTTCCGAGCCACGGGTGGCGCGCGAGATATCGAAGGGAGTGACTTGGGGCTTGTACATGTCTGTCGGTTGAAGTTGGATGTCAGTCCTCTACGCGACCAGAAGAGTGGTCCGGAATGTGAGCTCAACATACCACTGAAGAACTGCGCATGGACAGGCTGCCCACCAAAGAACCAGGTCTGCCCCGAAACTAATCGTTATGGTCAGCAATGGTTATTATTGAGGTCAGCTCGCACGCTTACTCGTCGTCCTCACATATGTCGGTCTCCACCCGCAATTACGAAGCGACTTATACAAGTCCGCTTCCGCCGTTGACGCCGGAGGCTGCCAAAACAGCGTCCCGCGTAGCACATTTCCACCGGTCCCTATCTTTTCAAAGCGGCCAGTGGCATGCTGCGACGGGCGCTCTCTCTCTTCGAACATGGCCTTGAAGCCGGAGCTAGATAGATAGTTGCCTAGCTGATTCGGCCCGAACTCACTCCACCCTGCTCGCGGGGGGAATACTATGACATTGGAAGCCTCATCGCTGGATCTAGTGGCCACGGACGCGGTATACCGTCTTGTTCGATCTTGTGGAGCGAAGCGTTCGTAGGGCGATCTGTCGGCCCATGGATTTTGCTCGTCCCAGGGTACCGTTCGCGGCTCTGTTGTTTCCGTCTCCATGGCTGATCCATCGTACATGGAGGAGGCGGATGACGAATGCTGGTGTTTGTCGTAGTAGGCGAAGGGATCTGGTGCTCTCTCTGATGCCTTGGTGCTTCCGGACATGGCACCTACGTTCTCGCGTCCGGCAGTCACCAAGCCATTGTAAAGCGTCACGTAACGCTCAGCGCGGACGTTCGCCTGCTCAACTTTTTGTTGCTCAGCCTTAAGCTTTTCCTCGTACTCACTGATTAATCCTTTGATGGCAGCTTGTTTTTCCTCTTCGCCTTCCTCAACTGCTCGCTGGATCTGGTCATGGGCTTCTTCAAAGATGCTGTCCCTCTCTTTTGCCCATTCGTCCGTCCTACGACGTTCGTTCTCTTGTAGGCTGGCTATAAACTCCCAGAGTCTGTCTTCAGTTTTGTTGGTAGATTGCGTTGTCTCCGTTGCTTCCTCTGCGCGTCTGTTGGCCTGTTCCTCGGATATTCTCGTCTCCTCTATTCTGCGCTCGATAGATCTCTTCTCTTCTTCCCATCTCTGTTCGTTGCGACGTCCGCTCTCTTGCAGGTCCTGTATCCTTCTGCGTAACTCCTCCACCTCTTGCCTTTGTGCTGCGATACGCCGTTCCTCCTCTTGCGCCCTTCTCCGGCCTTCTTCTTTCCTAGCCTCCGCTTCGTCCTTGCGAGCTTGTTCCCGAGCCCTCTCTTCCTTGTCACGGTCATCCATCCTCTGCTGTAGCTCAGTTAATCTTGCATTCTTCCCGTCCTCCGGACCACCGTTCTGCTGAGCGTGAGTGGGATAATATCCACTACTAGCTACTGGGGGCATCGAGTTGCGGTGGTATCCTCTACCGGGCCCAAGCCCAGAAGGGGCGGAAGCTGGTGGAGCCTGCATGTGAATTTGTTGAGTGGGTCCGTAGTGGCCTCCCATTCCGAAAGGGTTCAAAGAGTTGTTGCTTCGAGGATTTGTGGTATCTGGAAACATGGTTGAGGCTGGATGAAGACGAGAGGACGCATGCCGAGGGCCATTCCGGGAGGATGCATCCCCTGGCACTCCAGTGTGAGTTGCACGGTCCGTCTCATGCAATGACCTGCGCCTTCCCCTCTGTCTAGCTTCAGAGGCAAAGCCATCAGAGCTATGATACTCGTCTTTTCTGTGCTGGGTGCGACGATCATCCTGAACGAAATTTACTTCTTTTGTGGAATTCTGCTCGTTCGGAGCGCGTTTGCTACTTTGCGATCTTTTGACTACCACTGCGTCGTCCTTGGGAACCACGGACTTCTTAGTGGAGGAGCCCTGCTTTTCGCGCGCGGAAGGAGCGATGTAAATGGTGTAAGATCGCTCGCCTTTCTTCGTCACAGAGTCACTTGCAGTGACTGTGAAAGGCGCTTCCTTCTTTCGTTCTTCGAGCTTGGTCGGAGGATGGGCCGGCGGCGGCAGCACAATGGTTTCAGGTGACGATGGACGGCTTGGGCTGCCGGCTTTGGGTGTTGCCGTGGCCTGGGCTCCTTCGTCGGGTTTGGCTCCGACGGCTCCTTCGCCTGCTCCTGCGTCCTTCTTGACGCCGTTTGTCTTCTCGCTTGGTGTGACTTTTGGCGACGTTGGAGGCGTTGGAACTTTTGGAGGCGGCTCTCCACTTGTTTGTTCCATTCGCCGCGACCCATCTTCCTTTGAGCGGTTGGTACCTCGAATATCTCCACCGTCTTGTTCCCTCCTTTGCGATCTTCCTCTGCTCGGGTCGCGCGTGGGCTGTGGGCTTTCTTCCTCTGGAGCGGTCTTCTCATTCTCGATGTACCACCGAATGATACGTGATACCGAGTCCTGCACGCGGCTCTTATCTTTGTTTCTCACCCCATCGGTTATCTGGCGGATTGGTCCGGGATCCAGCCCTACCCAAGTCTCTAGGAGCTCGTTCACCACGCCTCTCTTTACTCCGGCTGTTACGTAGAGCTCTCTCTCGAGATCTGGGGGAATGTGGTCGGTGATCTCATCTTGCTCACTATCAGAAGCGGTTGCGTTTCCGTCAGCCGTCCGGATTGTTCTGACGCGACCTCCCCTTGCATTAAAACGTCGCGTTGCCGGAAGGGACTTCAAGGCTCTAGTGAATATGAGGTTGTATACCCATAGCGCCGTGGCGCCGAAGGTCTCGTTCCAGTGGCGCAGCTGCAAGATGTCGCCCGCGGAGCGTTTCTGGACGCGGCGTTCTGAGCTCAGGAGCGCTTTGATAACTTGTCTGCTTGCTTCCACCCAACTTTCTGCAAGTTCAGACTCTCTGCTCAATGCAGTAACATCTTGAACGTGCTTCTTCTTCCTTTGCCTAACGAGGGTTAGCGAACGTTGAAAGGCCGGGAGAGGATCGACTACCTCTTGCGCTGCTGCTCATCATGCGCTATCCTGAGGACGGATATATTCAATCTTAGCGGCTCCTTCACAGACCGACATGTCCAGGTGAGGTCGGAAATATTTTCGCTCTTGAATATATTCTTGAATCGCCTAGGAGCCCGATGTGGACCAGAGTCGTTAATCTCGGCTTCAAACGCCCTCACGAGCCGATCCAAGCGGCTGAGCGCTTTACCTGCGTCGTCCAACAACTTCTCTGTCACGATGTGAGTCTTTGTGAGCACCGTTAGGAGTTCGCCCAGTTGCTTTGCCAGGTCAGCAAGCTCAGCGAATTCCTGTGCGACTGCGTTGATGGCCGGCGTGATGGGGGAGTCGACAAGGCCGGAGGAAATGTCCGAGAGCGAGTGGGACAACAACGAGCTGCGCTTAGTGATAACGGCAATGCTCTCGATTGCGGTCTGTGGCTCTAGTTCCATAACAAAGAGCGGGCGACTTATCGATCTCCAACGGAGCCCAATTGTGTCATTGCGGAGTGGATTCGTTGCGGAGGCGCGCAAGCTCCATTTTCTGCAGCGCTGCAGTTCAGCCCTCCCCGCCACAGCCTTGTGGGGGCGGAGTCGACGAGGCTCTATCTGATGGTCCGAGACGTCCTTCGCTGAGCCGCCGAGCGGAATGAAAATCGCTCACCCCTGTAGCGGCTGCTTATGATACCGGATTAATCGAAGTTTGCCGCTTGCGTGCATTCTGACCCCGCACAAGGATCGAATCATATCTGCGGCCGCTTATCGAGGCTCGTACAATGCGACATGGTTCGATGCACGCCCATTGCATGCTGCCGTGAGCTGAAGGGCCTCCGGCAGGCGGGCTATGCGCGGGCTGAGTACGGCATCGGATCTCTAAGTGCTAGAGGATTCGTTCTGAATTACTCAAAATGAGAGGAGCAAATGCGATGTGAAGATTCCCATCTGAGCCGAGCTGGTTCACGAGAAGAGCTGCACTGCTTCGCCTGGTTTGGCGTAACGCGACACCCGGCTTGCGGCAATTGGGGTATCTGCCCGACCGCCAATCTAAGCATCTTGTCCGCCATGCTTCTGCATCCAGACCTTCATAGCCGCTTCTCCAGCTGAAGACCCGTTTCCGAAAGAAGTGAACTGAGACAGGATGATTAGCTCTGCAAAGATGAACCAGTCCTAGGAGACTCACGGTATGCGACACACTTATCTTGGCTGCGTCCTTCACGGTGCCGACCATGTGGCCAGCGATGGCTCCGTAATTAAGCACTCCATCGCCTTGCTTTACGTTTCCAAGAGTGATGTTGACCCTCCCGTTCTAGGGACAGTTAACGGTGTACAAACGGAGTTAACAGGGGACTCTCACCTCGCGGTCTGCCGTCTTCTTGCCACAATTCTCTATCATCATCTTCATCGTGTTGGTAACATCAACGTAACCAGTGGCCTGGGGGTCCGCGAATCTGCACATGGCACAGTGGTCTGCATTTAGGGCCATGGGGCGGAACCCAGAGATGGTTGCAGACTGCTTCGTCACAATGGTGCCCAAATCCCTCTTCTTCTTCCAGAACGTCTTCGTTGTCGATTTGGTCTCGAAGAAACAGGCCACTTGAATCGGATTCACCCCCTTGACGTCGTACCGTTGCTGCAGTGCTATGTGGAACTCGGTGCTGATTTGCTGCAGCTTCGTTGATTTCTTGTCGAGATCCTTGACTGTTTGGTCGTTGCTATCGCCAAAGAGACCTAGAAACCTCTCCGCAAGAATGGCCCAAGCAGCTTTGTCGGAGCCTTTGAACGGGGTCCCCAAGAAGATAGTGCCGCATGTGCTGTTCACAACTTCCTGTCGCTGCTCATTAGACCCGGCGGCGCTGGCGAGACCATTCGCGACAACCAGTCCTCCAAGTGAATGGGCTACGAAGACGATAGGTCGACCTGACTATGCTTGCGTGAGCATGAGCATTGTATGTGCAAGTCTCAGACGTACGGTGCTCGTCTCTCTCCTCCAATTGCCGAGTTTAACGAGCAACGAAGTCGAATTGTCGTCAATGCCCGTATGAGGTATCAGATCAGACTTCAGCATCGGATAGAAGGTTGCAAAGTCCGTCGGATACCCAAAGCTGAAGATGCGGCTCTCCGGTATAGTCGAGGGTAGGATTTCTTTTGGCCAGAAGACGCGCTCTCCATCGCTAGCATCGAAGGCCTCCCATGTCCTTTGCGGATGGCCCCGAAGACCGTGGACGAACACGATACTAGGCCATTAGCAAGCGTCATTCAGGGATTTCCATTGTCACTCACTCCACGGTTGCCTTTTCGCCTGCATCCCACAGCTCGTTCAAGCCGTCAGGCACGAGTTTGGCAGAATTGTCCCCTTCGGATGCCATGATTTTCGGTGAGGATGGCTACATGCGTGGGATGCCTCGAAAAGCGGCGGCCAGATATGAGAGAATCCATCGTTTTGAGCGTCCAATGGGACGATGACACTTCAAAGCCGTCCGAATGTGGCCGAGCATGTACGCGGAACGCATGCACCAGGTTCGAGTATGACACAGGGGCTGAGCTGTAGCAGCAAGGCTGTCCGCATGCCCAGCGGTCAGTGAGCTGACCGGTCGCCTGTCACTCTCTGCTGCACGACCCCTCATCTGCATAAAATAAGAAGCAAATACGTTGCTGAGAGGACGCTGCTCACTGGCTTTCCATTGGTGCGATTCCGGCCCCACGCGGTCTCGGCCTTCGGCACATATCAATTGGCAGAGTTGATTGGACCCTGAATGCATTAGACTGCAGCATACCCCGGGCCCTGCGTTGGGCTTCATGGTTGAGGCGATGGGGTGAACTTGGGAGCCACTGTCGGTGATCGTTCGTTCCGATCGCGCCGCGCTTATCGATAAGAATCACGTGCGGCAGCCTTCAGCCTCAATCCCAGTCAGCATGCCTCCGATAATCCACGCGAAACATGCCGCATCATCTCACGACATGACTGCTTCATCATCCCCCATGCATCTATCGCGACGATGGCACTTGCAGGTGCGACAGGGCCCGCCCATCTGTCTTCATCCGACCCATCCCCGCTGCCCCTCCGTCCGGCTCTACAATCCCACAGCCAGGTTGATCTGGGTTCTGTGAATCACACAGGAGACAATGTCGCCAGTCCTAATTATGGTGCACAAGTGGGTGGGCATATCGTCGGCCTTGATCAGAGCCAAATACGTAAGACTATGTCCGTTGGATTAAACCCCCCGCTCATCCTGCGCAGATGTCACGACTTCAAATGCCCACCATTACAACCTAGCAGCCGGAACCATTCTCAACATCGCTACAGGTGGCAAGTGAGCTCCTACGACGGACCAGACGATTCGTGAACTGGCCGGCATGTTGGCTAACCTTCCGGCAAGCCGTCGATGAACGGATGGTCATCATAGATTGGCTCGGAAGTCTATCGGGCCTGGACTTCTCCTCTATGCATCGAGCGAATCTATCCAAGAGGCACCACGGGACCGGCATGTGGTTCCTAGAGTACGAGAAGTTCATAGCGTGGTGTGACGGCTCGATAAGAACTTTATGGTGCCACGGAATCCGTAAGCGACCATCAACCGGTTCGATGACTATGCAGCTCACTCAAGAGCAGTTGGCTCGGGGAAAACGATACTCTCGTATGATATGACTTGAAGCTAGCTCAGCACGCGAAGTACTGATCCATTTCAGGTCTATCGTCATCGAACACCTCGAAGAGACTCAAAGGCCGGCGGCTACCGATGCTGCCTGCATATTCGTCTTCTTCAATCACCAGGATAAGGGGGAGCAGGCCCCATACAATCTTACCATTGAGCTCCTAAAGCAACTAGTTTGTCAGCACATCGAACTATCTGATCAAGTACGCCGGCTATACGCGCAGTGCAAGCCGCGAGCAACACCACCTCGCCGCGATCAACTCCTAGCCGTCATCCAACATGAAGTCCAACGTTTCAGCAAGGTGCGGCTTGTTATCGATGCGCTAGATGAATGCCCAGCCCATGCAAAGGAGAATACAAGAGAGGATTTCCTCGGAATGATCCGCAATCTGCCAGCCAACGTAAGCCTTCTCGTCACTTCGAGGCAGCGGACGCATGCAAGGTGTGGCTTGGACCCTGTGCATGAGATCGAGATTACCGTAAACGAGAACGACCTTCACAGCTATATCCGTGGCCAGATCGAAGAACATAGCTCCCACAACGAGCAGCTCGCAAAAGCGGATCCTGATGCCATCATCAACAGCGTCTGTCAAAAAGCCGCCGGGATGTTCCTATTAGCGCGCCTACACATGAACGACATAGCCGCCCAGCGCACCCATGCAGATCTGCAGTCGGCTCTGGAGAACCTACCCTCAGATATCCATGAGACGTACGACAAAGCTATGCACAGGATACCGACCCATGATATGTCTCTAGCAGAGTCTATATTCTTATGGGTAGCCTTTTCTATGCGTCCCCTGACAGTTCATGAACTGCAGTCCGCCTTAGCAACCAAGGAAGGCGTTACAAATGCAACTACTGCTAGGCTGCACATGTATGACGAAGGATGTCTCTCTACTGTATGCGCGGGTCTCGTCACAATCGATCCGGACCCTTCGGCGCCCTTCATTCGACTAGTTCATCCAACGGCTGAATCCTATTTTAGAAATCGGTACGAACATGAAAAGGCTCATAGTACCATCGCGACTACGTGCTTGCGATATCTTCTTTTCGAAGACCTGAAAGTTCACGTCCCCGATCTCAAGCAGTTATTTCTTCGCCTTCAGGAGCTTCCCTTCCTCCGTTATGCAGTCCTACGTTGGGGCGATCATGCGCGCGACACCCAGGATCCCGAGACCGTCAACTTCGCTCTCACATTCCTCGGTCAGAAAGCGAATCTCTTATCCGCTGCCCAAGTCATAGACTTCATCGAGGACGACAACTCTATCTCCGCACTATGGCTGGCCGCGCATTTTGGCCTATGCACTGTCGTTGATCGGCTATTATCCACACGCCCCGATGCGCTCACAGAAACGATGTATGGCGAAACCGCAATGCACACCGCTGCGGACAGGGGGCACCTCAGCGTTGTGGATCGACTTTGTTCGGAACCGGACATTGAGCCGGACCTCACCGGCGACGTGATGAGGACTCCCCTCTCGCTGGCCGCGGAAAACGGGCACCATGCAGTGGTTCAACGCCTGCTATTTACTAGTAAAGTCGATCCGGACTCGAAAACGGCATCAGCATTCTACCAGGGACGAACGCCGCTGTCCTGGGCTGCTGGAAACGGCCACGAAGAGACTGTTCGCAATCTTCTCGCTACGGGCAAAGTAGAAGTGGATTCGACTATCACTGCTGGGTCGTACTTTGGACGCACGCCGCTCATGTGGGCAGCAGCACATGGTCATCCCGATGTAGTAGAATTGCTGCTGGACCAAGGCAAGGCAAATCCTGCCCTTGAAGATGGTGACGGACGGACCGCGCTATCGTACGCGGCACAAAATGGCCACGAGAAGGTCGTTCAGCTACTCTTGCAAACAGGCCGAGCTGCGCCTAACAAGAAAGACGTCTTCAACCAAAGAGCAGTGGAACTAGCATACAAGAGTAAACACGAAGGTGTCGTGAGACTGCTTCTTACATATCCGAGCCTCGATTTCAAAGACGAAGAGGGACGGACGATTTTATCCCATGAAGCAGTACACAGGCATGCTGGCCTTGTCAAACTACTCCTTGACTACGGTGCGGATCCAAATGCCACAGACGAAGAAGATTGGTCACCGTTAACATATAGCGCCGGGCAAGGGAATGTCGAAGTAGCCAAAATGCTTCTCGAACGCGGAGCCGATCCAGATATACAGTGCATCGATTCTCGCACTCCCTTCTCATACGCCGCCGAGGCCGGCCATCAACAAATGATCCAACTCCTCCTCTCCCATGGCGCCCATACAGACACCCCTGATCGATACGGCCGAACCCCCCTTTCCTACGCCGCAGAAGCCGGCCACGAATCCACCGTCACATTCCTCCTTTCATGTGGCCAGGCAATTGACCCAGACTCGCAGTCCACAAGCGGGCCCTTCCCAGGCAGAACGCCTCTCTCATGGGCCGCGGGAAAAGGCAGGATCAAAGTCGTGGAAGCGCTTCTCAAGAGGGGCGTCGATGTGAACCTCAAGCGGGGCGCTTCATCGTTGGCATCACAAGGTCCTGTCATGTGGGCGGCTTTGAACGGACATGAGGAGGTGGTTAGGATGCTTATGGCTACTGGAAGGGTGGAGTTGAGGGCCGAGGACAGGTTGTTTGGGAAAGGGGCTATGGAGTGGGCGAGGGAGAATGGATTTAGCTTTGTGTAGCGGGCTGAGCGCGGAGCTGTCATGTGTCTAACTTTTCAAAGGATTCCTCCCGGACTCCCATGGCTAATGGTAAGCTACCTTCCTTCCATCCTGGCTCTTGCGGTAGGAAATTCTGGATCCAAGGACTCGCCGTACAAGTAGGTAAGATTGGCTCGTCCATTGTACACACTCGCGAAGGCCTCTAGGGTACCTGTTGCGCACGTCGTTCTATCCGGAGAATTCCACACCGTGAGAGCCTGGCTTATGCTGATACAGAATGATTGTACAGCAGCGAATATCCGCTCTCTAGGTGCGTCTCTGCATTACCTAGCCTGAGCTGAAGGCTATTTTCCTTAACGCCTTTAATATCCCTTCTATATTAAACAATTTCCTTGGGTTAAAATTCCTCGCTTGGGCTCTACGTGCTCCTTGTGCCTTAATCTATATTTATAGATTCATGGTCGTCAAGCTTGAGTTGACGTGATTCGCGTTTTATAAAAGTGGTGGAGCGCGAGACGTAGCGCGAGAGTGGTGTTGAGGTGTGTAGATGGGATCTTTCATCCCGCGTTGTTGTGGATGTTGAGATTTCGAAATTGCTATGAGCTGCAGAGACCAAAACAAATGCGCGTCCAAATCAAATGAGCGTGCCCAAAACGGTACCAAAGTCTCCGGCGCTTTCACTCGCGGGTCTTCGTGGAGATATACGGATGAAAGCGGTGAGCAATGTGGGAAATGAACATGGAAGTGACTGGATAATTACAAGCGGTATGGATGGACAAGGTGGGAAATGAATACGGAAGCGACTAGATAGTTACAAGACGTTTGGATGGACAAAGTAGAGTAGACGGCAGCGAAGTCCATGGTTTTGATGTTGCCTCACGAGGCTTTGTGCGTAGCTGCGCGTCGCGGAGACACCAATCCAGCCTTACATCACCACTGTGCCCACAAGCAAGTCCGCTTAGCGTGGAGCCTTGCAATTCGACATAAGTGGCTGAACCGACCGAACAAGACTCCGACTCTATCCTCCACGTCGACAAATCATCCCTTCCTTTCTCGAAGCTGCAGGAGGAAACCACACGCCTTTGCAGGCTGCTCAAGAAGCTCCAAGTCCCTCCCCTTCAACCTCCCCTGAAGAATACTACACACCGCCCAACACGCCCTACTCGTCCGTCTCTCATTCCACCAGCTACGAACCGCACACATCAGCGCCGCCCAATGCGCAAACAGCAACAACGCCCTCGTATCCCGCGCCTCCAGCAATCCAATAAACTCGTACGATATGCCCCCAACGGCGTTGATATACGCATTGAAGTACTTCACGTCAGCAGGTCTCGTCACAATTGGAGCCAGCCCCTGAAAAAAGTCAAAGTACTTATTCCCCTCCGCGGTGTCACTCTCCACATCAATCCCACAGAAAGCCGCAAGTCGCGCGTCGAGATCGTTCTGAGGCGGCTCGACAATGCGGAATGTCTTCGACGCCATGAACATGGGCAGCCAGATGCTCTCAGGGTGGAAAGGCCTCGTTCTAATAAGGAGATCCGTGATCCCGATCTGGATTCTGAGCCACTCCCATCCTTGCTCTGAACCATTTACATCTGCCTCCCGCCAATCCGCAGCGCAAAACGTCAGGCAGTTCAGCAGCATTGCCGTCGTAAGCACCGAATCCGCCTCCTTTACGCCGTTAATCGACGCCACAGCGTTCCGCAGACCCCTGCTCGCTAACTGGCAGTGGAAAGCTTCTGGAACACGGTACTGTCGCGCGTCGATAGGGAGGTGCTGGAGATGGCATGCCGCAACGGCGATCATGGCATGCATGACGAAGGGGCATTCTTTCGCCAAGTCGAGCGCGTTGACGGAGTATATGCCGCCGTGATCGGGAGCTTCGAAGTGCGGCGCCGCGCTCTCCACAAAGTGCTGGATGAGGTAGAGATCGTACTTAGTATGGGTGGCGTCGGAGGGATGGGTTGTCAGGACTGCAGGGGCGTGCGGGCCTGGCCAGAGACTGGGAAGTAGGCTGGAGGTATGAAGATTAAGCGCGTTTCTCTTTCGCTGAAGTGCGGTGTCGTAGTAGGTGCATGGGAGGTTCTTCTTGGCGCAGAGCGAGCATGTTGGTCGTTGCTCGTCGCACTTCTTGCGGCGTTGCTTGCAGGTCTCGCAGCCGAGTCTGGACTTGGTGTGTGGTCGCCGGTGGTGGAATGACGCTGCGGCACTCCCATCTGAGGTGCCTGATGTATGTTCCCTGGGCTGAGCCCGCGGACGCACGCGGAACGTGTGCACGGCGTTGTTCATGGGTCCGGTAACCTGGATAGAGAAAGTAGCGTATTCGGCTCAATGGACTATCGAGAATGTTCCCCGGTTTCTGAACCCTGATCGTCTTTTAAGGACGAGAAAAGTCGGAGACGGAAGGGGCGCTAACGCAGCAATCACCGCCTTTATAGGAATGTATGCCAAGGGCGTACTCGCTTCTTGGGGGCTGACGTCGATCGTTCCCGCTGATTGGTTGACAGGCTCGTATTCAGAGCTTGAGGCTTGGCCTCGTGTTCCGGTGAGGGACGCATCATCGTCGGATTGCTTCGCATTATTCGGTTCCTGCCATCTTCTCCGGTATTTTGATTCCATGAGGGGATCGCATCCCTTCATCGAGTGCGAGTCGCGGATATAAAAGCCGAGCAACATGGCTCTACGGGCTGGAGCAAAGGAAGGCTACCGTAGCACCGTCAACGCAAAATGGCCTCTAAACTTGTCTATACGCTCCTCTTCAACGCTCTGCTCTGCGGCTTTGCACGTGCTCATCGTCCGGCCCCCACCGTCCCAAACGTTATCGACCTTGGCTACGCCAAACACGTCCCAACCTGGACGAACACCACGTCCACGGGCACCCAACTCCTCAACTACAACAATATCCGCTACGCCCGTGCTCCCACAGGCCATCTCCGTTTCCGCAAGCCTCAGACCTCACCCGCCTATCAGCATGGCCTTCAGGACGGCAACCGCACCTCCTGGGAAACCGACTGCATCTCCTCCGCGCATCCTGGCGTCCCGTTTCCGCTGCTGAACGGCACCACATGGGGCTCCGAAGACTGCCTGTTCTTGAACGTTATCACGCCAAAGAGCGCAAAGAAAGGAGATAAGCTTCCAGTTTTGCATTGGGTCGTCGGGTCCGCGTATTCGTTTGGTGGAAAGGATTGGACAGGCTTTGGGATCAACACGTACGGGTTGTATAATCGCCCGCTGAACTTGACGGACCAGTTCATCATAGTGACGCACAACTACCGGTAAGATGTCCTGCTCCGAGTGTGCGGCGACGCTACACCATGCTGAGGAGAAATAGGCTCGGTGTCTCCGGCTGGCTGCCCAAGTTCGACGACGACATGAACGGGAACCTCGGCGTTTGGGATACGCTAGCTGCGGTTGAATGGACGAAGAAGTACATCGGCAAGTTCGGTGGCGACCCGGATAACATCACCGTCATCGGGCAGAGTGCAGGCGCGGGCATCATAGCATGGATGCTGCTGGCGGAGGAGGGGAAGATGAAGTTACCATTCGATCAAGCGTGGATCGCTTCTCCAGCTCTTCCGCCAAGGAAGGACCTTGAGAGGTCGCGACCGGTTTTCGATATGGTGCTTAACGAGACGGGTTGTGGGACCATCGATTGCTTGCGGCGGCTTCCGGAATCCGCGATCAAACAAGTGAACGAGTTCCTGTTCTTCCAGACTCCTTCGGCTGGGGGAGGCTCACTGGGGCCACCGCCGGGTCTGACGCCTACTGTAGACGGGGAATTGGTGTCTGATCTGCCGGAAAGCGCATTCGCGGCAGGGAAGTTCAACAAGAGGGTCAAGCGTCTGGTTGTGGGCAATACCGCTGGAGAGGTAAGTATCATTGGCCATCCGGACATCGGTTTTCAGCCTTTGCTAACGTTGAGTTAGGGCCTCGGATCCTCTGACCGCGATATGCCTAATCGCTTCCCAGACATCGTTCGAGCAAACATCCCAAACGTCTCGAACGAAAGCATCGTCGAGCTTCAGTCCATGTACACATACCCACCTGGTCTCCCAGAAAAACTAGCCTGGGACTACGTAACGGACATCAACTTTGGCTGTCCAGCTCGCACCATTGCAGAGGCATATAAGGACCGGGCAAGGCAATACGTATTCTCTGTTCCTCCTGCCTACCACGGACAGGATCTTAGCTGTAGGTAAACCTTTCCACGACCTCGATACCGGGCCTGATAACATTGCAGACTTCTTCTTCGCCGATAATACGACGACACCTGTTCCTGATGTTGAGACCGCGTTCGCGTCGGAGAGTTACTTGCTACAATACATGTTCCGTAAGGCTTTCCCTACAAACCCGGATGCGCCGTATGCGACACCGCTGTCGGAGTGGCCACTCGTTGGCGAAAATGGTGCGATTGCGAATATTACGTTGGGCGGGTACGAGTTTGGACCAATGGCGAGGGACATACAGCAGAGGTGCGAGTATATCGATGCTTTGGTGATGGATCCGTTGAATGGAGTGTGATTGGGGGCTAGCTGTATTCTAGTAGATCGATGTCTAGTGGAGAATCCGTAGCACTGCAATCCCGCTTTTACGGTCGTCGCTCAATCACTCTCTGCTCCACCTTGTACCATCTAAGGGCAACTCTCTCCGGCTCCCTCATTTCATTCAGCAATCTCATCTCGACGTCTTTCGCGTGCCGTTCCACCCTCTGCCTTGCCTCCTGCATGCTCTCGCCCTTCTCTGGCACAGGCTCAACGCGGTGGTCTCGGAACAGTGCTACAAGTACCGCGACCAGTTCAACCTGGGAGAAGCGCTTGCCTGGGCACACGCCCCTGCCAACCGACCACGGCAAGAAGTCCGACATCACGTCTGAACGTAGTATTTCGGGGTATCCAGCGCCCCTGATGAAGTTCCCGGGTTGCCAACTCAGACCTCGGTCCCAATACAGCGGATGCGTTTGTAAAGCTGGAAGGTTAATCTCCACCGTGGTCTTTTCTGGAATGACGACCGATTGTCTTTTGTATTGGAGTACTCGGGGCCTGAGGCCGGTGGTCTTGACGATTTGGCCGAGCGGGTGGCAGAGACGCAACGTCTCGTAGACGACGGCCCAACATCGCTTCAGCTCCGCACAGTTGACGTAGTCCCATTTGGTCTCATCGTCGTCGTAGAGATGATAGTGTATTTCCTCGGACACCCAGTCTTGAACGTCGGGACGCGCGGCCATGAATGCAATAATGTGGGTCAGAGTAATAGCGGTCGTGTCGTTGCCAGCAAATGCGAACACAAAGAGGTCGCTGATGATTTCATCCTTCGTAAGGATCGCTTGTTTAGGTTTCGGATTGCCGGCCTTGAGGCTCCCGTCTCCTTCTTCGCTAGCCCGGACGAGGTTCGTCACGAGGTTCGGCGTGTTTTGTTTGCCCTGGGCTAGGAGTGCCCGCTCCTCATTGATCAGCTCAGTTACGTAGTTTCGGAAATCCGACACAGCATGACCGGCTCTACGCCATGATGCAGGAAGCCACCAAGAGTCACGCAGCCTCTGTTCTCCGAAGACCATGATCGGAACAATTTGGCGCAGAATCGTGCACAAACTGTCACGATACCCGAATGCCGCATCCTTCGCGCCAACGGCACGCCTTTCGCGAGCCTCGCTCTCTTCTCTGCTTTCGAAAGGGTATGATTTGTCGAACAAAGCGGCCGCCAGGACATTCAACGTGAAAACGCGCGTGTCTTGAGCCAGAGTCCGGACCGGTTTCGGGAACCTGTATAGCCAGTACTCGAGCATCTGCCTTCCCACTTTGAGGCTTTCACGCCATACCAGCTCGTGGTTCTTCTCCGTGAATGTGGCTGCCGAGACTTTGCGGTGGCGGTTCCAGTCCTCTCCTTGGCTTGTCGCCAGGTTCTTCCCGTAGATATTCAGCACTTCGAAAGCGTCCAGGTCTCTCTCAAAACACCATTTCCTCTTCAGAATGTCACTCGTGATCAAGGGGTGGCACACTTTCAGCCAATTTCCGCCGGGTGTGCAGATCATGAACAAGTCGCCCATCTTGACGTGCGGGCGGCATCGCTCCCGTGCTTCCCAGCCACGCCGGTATGTCGCAATAAACGAGGTGGTAAACGGCAGATACTCGGCGATTCGCATGATTAATGGAGATAACATCATCCATAATGGAGAACCCGGCGAAATAAAGCGGATCGTGATAGGGAGGCCAGTCGAACTCGCCTTCTTGTAGTTCTGGACGAGCGTGATGGCACTCCATCCTGCGAAGGCGAGCGGGAGCGCTGAGAAGACAAGGAACACATGGAAGAAAGACATGGCGAGCCGCCAATGAGCCCGAGGTGGCACGGTGGATACGGTACGGGTGGAACGGAGATGGGAGGACGGAGACGGACGTCCACGGGTTAGAGGCGGGTCCGCAGCGCGCTAATCCATTTTCGATCTGGTCAGTTTGGCGGGCGCTAGAAATCGCGACCTCCCAACGCCAAGGACTGGTTCTAAGGAGGAATCATCCACTTCGCGCGCGTCTTGGACCTATACTTTGGACTTTGGAGGTTCGTGACAGGTTCGTGACGCGTGATCGGCTGACACGGACGAGATGAGTTACGATGTTTCATCCCACAGCGACGTAACAGCCCTCCCCTGCGAAACGTCGCCCATGTCCGAAGCCAACAAGCAGAACACCCCTTCACGCCTCGCAGACTCCTCGGAGATGCGCCGGTTATCCGTTCTCCAAAGCTGATAGTGCGGGGAAGCCCACGCGATGGATCTTACAGTCAACGCGACGTGGAAGTGATCAGCACAATCGTGCCCACGATTCAGAGTCCCCGGCCTCGTCTGCCACGACTGGATACGCCGGACCGCTTCTCGAAGCTATACGAGCTCATGGAATTCCTCAAAAATGTTCACCCCAAGTTTCCGATGAAAGAGACAGGATTTTGGCCCCCCTGATGGACCCAAAATGTCATGTCATTCGGTCTTCTCTCCGCCGAGCTATGATATCATCCCTCAACACCCGGTCCCTTAGCTGACCCCACCTAAGTACCCCAGAAAATGCCGCGTGCGCGGAGAAAGACTCCCGGGACCAAGCTAACGGGACCAAGCTAACGGTAAGCCGTTGCCCAGCTTAGCTTGATGTCTCTTGTTCTCCGCTTATTCCCGTGTAGGGCTCGGAGGAGCTCGAGGGATCGCGCTCAAATGCGACATATAAGATGGGGGTACCGGCCTTCCCGGATTCTTGTGAACCTGCATTGTTGGTCCAGGGTTGTGAGGAAGAGCACATATTTTGCTGAAGGGTCAAGATGGCTAATGCAAAGCAACCATACTTTGGTTTGAAAGGAGGATGGCTGACACTGTGGATTACGGTATGTCTGGGCATGTACCTACTTTCCCTTGCTAACTGAGAGCCAGATTGCTTGCGCCACGGATATGTCTCTGTTCGGCTACGATCAAGGTGTCTTCAGTATGACTCTCCCTTTTGTCTCCATTGCGTTTTCTGACCTCTCCAGGCGGCGTCAATATATCGCAGGATTACCTCAACATTCATAACCTCAACGGCCCTGGCAATACGGACACGCTCGCTATTGTCACAGCTATCTATGATGTCGGATGTTTCTTCGGAGCCATCGTCGCTTTCTGGATTGGCGAGAAGCTGGGACGAAAGAAGACCATTGTCATCGGGACTACCACCATGGCCGTCGGAGCCGCCTTGCAGACCTCGTCCTACAGCATCGCCCACATGATCGTGGGACGCATTGTGAGCGGGTACGCTCCTAGAGATATCGAACTTCCCGAAGTTCAATAAAGCTAACAGGAGGTCTAGTATCGGCAACGGCGTCAACACCGCCACAGCTCCCGTCTGGCAAACCGAAACCTCGCAGCTGAAATGGCGCGGCCAGCTCGTCGTGCTCGAAATGATGATGAACATCTTCGGATTCATGACTGTCAACTGGATAAACTACGGCCTCTCGTTCGTCGGCGGCCCGATCGCGTGGCGACTCCCGCTCGCTTTGCAATACATTTTCATCTTCGTCCTCTGGGGCACAGTTCCTTGGCTCCCGGAGTCACCAAGATGGCTGATTGCTCACGACCGCGACGACGAAGTCATTCCGATTCTCGCTGACCTGGAGGATAAGACCGTCAATGACCCGTTTATCAAGGCGCAGTACGAGGAGATACGCTTCAGCGTGGAGTACGAAAGGAAAAATGCGATCCGATGGCGCGATATTCTCCGCGGGCGAACACAATCTGGAACCAAAACTATACGGCGTCTGCTCCTCGGCGCCGGCACCCAAGCGATGCAGCAGTTTGGCGGCATCAACATCATGTCGTACTACCTGCCCACCCTCCTCATATCGTCTGTTGGCCTTTCTAATCAAATGGCTCGCCTCATCGCCGCGCTTTCCGCTGTCGCCTACCTGTTCGCTTCTCTTATTGCGGCGCCGCTTGTGGAGAAGTACGGCAGGCGCATGATGATGATCGTGTCGACCGCGATTCAGTTCTTCTGCTTCCTCCTTATGACTATTCTTCTCTACTATGCCAATGACCCTACGAGGTCCGATCACCAGACCTTCGGAAAGGCTTCAGTCGTGTTCTTCTTCCTCTACTACATCGGCTTTGGGCTTGGCATGCTGGGGATCCCATGGCTCTATCCCACCGAGGTAAGAACGCTTCTTCCAGACTACCAGGAGCACGCGGCTCATGTCTACACAGATCAATTCCCTCCCCATGCGTACGAAAGGCGCAGCTGTCGCCACCGCCACCGACTGGATCACTAACTTCGTCGTCGTCGAAGTGACGCCCCGCGGCCTGCAGAATCTCGGTTGGAGGTTCTACATCGTCTGGACGGTCCTGAATGCCGCCTTCCTGCCCATCTTATACCTCTTCTATCCTGAGACTTGTAAGCCTTCCCACACCCCTTGCAGCCGCATCGACTAACTGTTCGCAGCTGATCGCTCCCTCGAGGACATTGATGCGTACTATCGCGAGAACCCATCACTCATTGTTATTGGCGACAAAGACGCCATCTCGGTGAGGCGGCCGCAGAAGTTCGTTGATATGGAGAGGGAGGACATTGAGAAGGCGAGGAGGAACGAAGGAATGACTGAGAGGAGGATTCATAGTGTCAATGCTGCTGAGAAAGAGGTGTAGGGATCTTAGCTCTGCTATTCTTACCTCTACCATACGCTAGTAGCGGAGAAGGGCGAGCTGGGCATAGAACATAGTCATCATGTGGCAGACTGCTCGGAAACAGAAGGGAATGCAGATGCATTCCAGGTCCACATTTGCTACTTTATGTCTGCGCCGACTGGTTACAGAGTCAAGTTTCTCTCAAAACGCACTACATGTCTCTTATGGCTCAAGCATTCATCTTTCCATTACCATTACCCAGTGTATGTACATATGCATGAAAAGGCGCAAGGTTACCAGTTGCCCACTCTGCCGACATACCCATTCCCGAGGTCTGCATGCACACCAGCCTATCTCCTGGCTGACCAGCTCGCTAGCCATGGCTAGGAACACATCCAGAAAGTTCAATAGTCCCTGTTACGGTACGTTGCAAGGGCCGAACGATGCGGCTGATACACCTCCCCACGGGCATCTAGCCGTTCGCGCATCCATCTGCCCATGCCTCCGGAGAGCATGGTGACAGTACGTTTCTCCTCATTGGAGAAAGAGTCGAGTTTCTGCTCAGCCCAAAGGCGGGCCCCCGCAACGCGGTCGTGCCGAGGCGACTGATATGTGCCGTGGTTGTTCCTGAGACCTGAGACGGAGATGTACTTGATCGTTTGGATGTCTTTCTCGCCAAAGAGATCCACCGCATCCGTGACCATTTTATTGTAAACAGCATCATCATTCCTCCAGCCGAAGCTGCTAAGAGCAAGGAATTCGAGATTCGCCGCTCCCGAGCAGGCGTGCTAAAATCCATTAGCTCACTAACACACAATGCGTGACTAAGGGAGACTTGCAATCACGTTCTTGAGTTGCTTCTTTGGAATCTTATTGTCCCGGAGATGTTTAGGCGCTAATGAAATATCTAGGCTGCGGTCGAAGCTGCCGTAGAAGTCCTCTTACTCCTCGTCTTGGCATCCATTCCCCGGAAACTTAGCCTTGCACAGAACGCACAGGCACCGCTGCTGCCTTTGAACGCGGCCCGTGCCGAAAGCATTCTTTCACTCCTGAAAAGGCCTTCTGGACTGCGTGTACCACGATTCCCACGGCCACCAAAGCATCAAGTCTAGCTTATTGAATGCTCAAATACAGCGTAATAGGATAATACGAGGGCTACTGATGCGCGAAGCACGAATGACTCATGCGCAGAATTGCAACGCGTGCCGAGCCTCGCGATGGCGCGAGGGTGAAGGCAGAGGTGAGCGCGAGTGACGAGCCCGAATCAGGCTTAGCATCGCCTTGGCGTGAGCACGGGCCCGCGAGCACGGCGCCCGACTACCGTTTAAACTTTAAAACTTGCCCCTCTGCTCTCACTTCTTCTCCTCCATCCATGCCCTCGCGCAACCGCCAACTCGGCCTTCGTCTTGTCGTCTTTCTTCCGAGCCTTATCCTTCTACCGTCCTTGCTTCCCATTCTTGTCAGTACCTTTGGTCAGCCACCTTCTCCTCTCTTTTGCTCACTCACGGCCCCGGTCACACTCCTCCAACCGCCGCTCGGTCTCTCTGCCGCCGGCCAGCCCGCTGCCGTGACGGGCCCTTCTCTTTACGCCTTCTTTGACAGGCTTCTTCTTCCATTCTGCTTATCGGTCGTCAGCCCAGGCCCGTCTCAGAGAGTAAAACCCGAGAGTGCGGAGACGAGCGGTTACGGGGCACGTCGGATGGCGAAGAACGTGATCGCTCTGCTTGTCCACTGACCAGGTGAGAACGTTGGGTTGATCCCGCCTCTTGTCATCTGCCTCCGAAGTCCACACCGGGAAAGACTTAGGGATTTCCCTAGCCGGTCTCGCTCCTGGACCTTTGTAGAGGGTAAAACCTTTGCACTGTCTCCGATCGATGCCAGCCCAAGCCGAGCAATCGTAGAGCTTTTGCAACGTTTGCCCACTGGCCAGGTCCAGAAGGGCGGGATAAAACCTGCTCTTCAGATCTGCGGTCCCTCCGATGTCCATACCGAGCAATACCTAGGAGGTAAAACTCTTAGGCCCGGGCTCGCTCACTGGGCGGCAGCGCGGAGCTTGAGCAACTCCAACTGCATCCGGTCGATGTCAGCCCATGCCGTCTTAAGTGACAGGGGTGCCCAGTGTTGCTGTTCCAGAAGGGGCAGGCTCACAGCGCTGTGCGCTCTGCGTGCCCACTGACCGGGGTTAGGATTTTTCGGGAGCCGACTGTCTAACCCTGCCCCCATTGTGGACACCAGGACCCTCGCCGGACGTCTCCGACTCGGTCGTGTTCCCTCCACCAGCGACGAGCTTGACCCTCGCACCGCTGTCCTTTTCTATTCTTTTCATTGAAGCGTCTGGCGGACCGGATCTTCGAGGAAGAGAGATGTGCGCTTGAATATGGGAACTAAGGATTTCCTACATACATAGCTCAATTGCCCTACAAGCATCTTGCATGCACATGACATAATGTTAGTGAGAGTTCCAGGCTCATTCACTCCGCTGCGACGGCACTCGGAAACTTTCCGAGTTTTCTCTTTCACCGCCAGTGAAAAGAAGAAGTCTACGAAGCTAATAGAAATTTCGAGCGCACGAGCCGCGTCGCGAATGCGCTAGTGGCGGGAAAAGTAGGCGAGACCTACGCGACGGCCTCCGCCGTTCCTGTCCACTGCACCAACCACTTTTCTACGTCTTAGAGCATACCCAAAATTTTACAGCCCCCTCATAGCCCATACCTAGCTAGCTAGCGGAGCCGCCCGTCAAGCTCTGGTGTCAATCGTGCTAACATATCGACTTCAAGTGCACGCTCCAGCCGGCATGGCGACGCTTGTGGAGCTCCCGACGGAGATCTTGCGAATCATATGCGGTCATGTAAGCGGAAGTGAGCGGTTTAACCTCCAACATGCTAACATTCCACCAGCTCTACGAGCAGCAAGAGCGCAAGGCCTTAGCTGCCCTCTGCCTTGGGAACCGGAGGCTGCGTGACATTACTCAACAAGTGCTCTACAAAGCGGTCATCTCCGTCAAGCTGCTTGAAGTGAATAAGCCGGCGCACGTGAAGGTAGAGGAGCTGAAGCGGTTCCTGGGATACACCGAGATCATAAGCATCGATATCGAGCCGACCCAGGACCAGCGCGACCGCGCCCACATGTGCAAAGCCTTCGCGGAGCTCGCGCGCAAATTCCCAACCAATAACCGTGTGCGCGTTCTCACGTTCACATATACAAGCTGTCTGTACAAGGAGATGCGGGACGACTTGAATGAGCTACTTGGCCGCCTCACCAATCTGCGGCGTGTGTTACTTCCACCTGGAGATAGTCTCTCCCAGCTCCGGGCAAAACTTGGCTTCAACCCTAACAGCACGCCGAAGCTTGAGGCTGGTGCTTACCTTGTGCAGAAGGAATCGGATGGATCGCCCGACGACCTTGACCTTGCGCTCTCGGACGGCACCGATGCGAGGACTGCTAGCGCTTTGCTCAAGCACAAGTCGGACTTCACCTCCATCTATCTTGTCGGGAACGGCCAGCGCCGGCAACTATCAACGATATTTCAATCCCTCGCTATCCCGAACACCCTCACGACCAGCTTCCTCAGCTGTAAGGAAATGAGAGTCGGTGAGGTCGGACCCATATACCCAATACCCACATTAGGAGTTGATTTCTGGGACTGCAAGGAAACCAGAAGCGTCTTCCGCTACGTCATCGCTAATGGCCTCCCGCTTAAGAAACTACACTTTGCTGAGGTGATGCTGCCTGCCGAAGACTGCATCAAGAACGCCACCACCCTCCTGGACGTTGTCAAGTTGAGCAAGGAAATTGAGGGTCTAAGCATACAAGCCACCAGGATGAAGCAAGGCATGGAAGGCTCGACATTGGTATCCCAACTGGGCGCTGAGCTGCGATATCTTCTCCTACAATGTGGAAGCGAAGACGTCCTCACTACACCTCTCCTCAAGCAGCTGCTCGAGAACTGCCCCAACCTCGCCGGCCTTGGGATGACCTGGGATAAAGCCGGAGATGTGTTCGCAAAGCGTAACGCGGCTAACTTCAGCAAGGAATTCAAGAAGCTAGGTGTAAGTCCAACGATGAAGACATCGACTTCGTGCTAATATAAACTGAAGCACGTGCTGTCATCCGGAAAGCTTCGTCACTTTGGCCTCCGCGTCAAACCGCCGCAAACCCCCGAGAGCAAAAAGCTTTTCAACAAATCCGAAGAAGAGGCCTATCAGCGAGCTGCCAAGCGAATCGTGCGAGCTTTCGCGAGCCAAGGGTGCAACCTGATCACAGTGGCCATTTCCATGCGCAAGCACGAATACAGCGAGAACAGCATCGCCATCCCTATGGCCCAGGTATTCCTAGTGACAGAGCTTCGTGGGGACGGCATGCCAGCTGAGCATTTGACGGACGAAGATCAAGAGATCATTCGGGCTATTGGAGGAAACGCTCCGGGCAGCATAGGCTACCACACCATGACGATTGGCAGACCGATCCAAGACCTTCGTCCAAGGGAGAAGAGGGCCTGCATCGTTGCTTGAGGACTTTCGGTGGTACATACATGGGAGAGTGGGACGTATGGCATGCGCGGAATCGGGATGAGCAACGGGCAGCCTAGATCGCTCGGAGGTGATTTGCACGCACCGGACTGGCTGTTGACAGTACGTCGTGTTCAGCAAGCCTCGTAATGTCAAATGAGAATCCGTGCATACCTGCCAGGACCACGTAGCTCGATCCCCCCCTTCGCACGCTCCTCTTCGCACCTTACCTCACAAGTTCGCCTCAAACGTCACCTTCCCATTAGCCAATCCCACGAATGATGCCACACTCCCCTCTCATAGGACCGTACCCATCTTACCCGTTCCCTTCCCCATCCATCCCGAACCTCCGTCCCCCCCAACGCTCGGACGTCATGCCTGCAGAGCGTGCAGCCCAATAAATTATCTCAAGCCCGGTACAGCAAGCTCTCGCTCATTTATTTGCGCTCCGAGGACACATGCTGGGGTCGCTGGGATGCATATTGCTCGTGCAGAAGCTTTAGCGTCATAGCGCCATACATTGCCGGGCCGCATATGGTAACGGGAAAGCAGGGGGGGAGTAATGACGGGAGGCTAGCTGAGCTGTGGCCACAGCAGAGGCGCGTATCTAGCTACAAAGGGAGATTTCAGCGATATTGTGTTAAGCGTATGCGAATGCGAATTAGTTGCACTATGTATAGGGTGCGCGCGAATCAAATCTGCGACGTCTACAATGCCCATCTCTACTTCTCCGCTCCTCTCCTCCCTCCCGCGCACGCCGTTCACAAAGTCGCCGTCCATCCCCTATCCCTGCAGCCTCCATAACCCCGCTCTCTTATGATCTCCACCCCCTGTCCTATCCGCCCCGCCAAACCCCATCCGTGCCCCTCATTCTACCAAAAATCCGGTCGAGCGCTCTAACCACAACTAGGAAAATGTAAGCCACCCACAGCACTAAGCCTTCACTCAGAAAGAGCGTTCCCGCGCGCCAAGCGTAGCTTGAACGGATTCGCAACGGAGTTTTCGCAGCCTGTCCTATAGTAGAAATGTCCTGAGAAATAGTTGGCAAACGGCGAATGGGAATTCTGCACTGAGCGCAGTGTTGAGGAGGTGCAGATGGAGAGCGGGCGTGGTTGAAAAGGCAGAATCGTGGCAAAATGCGGGGTTGGGCGCGTGTGGGCAATCGGACTGGGAATATGGGGAATCGAGGGGGTGGATGAAATGAAGCTGGGCTGCAGCTGCCAAAGAATGGATTGGAGTCAGACTGACGTCGCAAGAGAAATAGGTACCAGTGCGCATTGCCACGAGGTTTAGAGATGGACACGATGGATGCCGTTGTGTAACAGCGGGAATCGGGTCGGATGTCATGCCTCTGCATCGCTCGCCCGCTCGCTAGCTTGCCTCGTACCACGAACGGACGACGGACCGTTCAAACGCAACGCTCTGACCACTGCGCAGAGTGGCTGCCGCTCAACATTTCGACCCTGAAAAGCCCAAACTTAGCAAAAGTCTGTTCCTCGGCTTCCAAAACGCCAAACGTACGCCCGAGGACGGCGCCTCCCTAGCGTAGGAGTAGTCGCACGCCACATGCCCATATCATCCTGGATTATGGATGATGGTTCTTCCCCAGATCAGCGCCGCACAGCAACGGCGCAAAGACTCCGATTGGGCGGCGCAGTTCCCCGTTTCGCGTGCTCCGCAGCTAGGCTTCCGTAAGGACACGTCAAACCGCAAGTCAAAACTTGAGGGGGAGGAAAAGCTCGTATTGGCGGGATTGGCAGTCTTAGTAGCCGCTTTTATGAGTGGCGCATGACCACCTTGCACTTGGAGCGGTGAGGTGCGAGAAAAGCAATGAGACGAAAGCGGAAGTCTTGGACGCTTGTGCTGTGGTTTGCAGATCAGAACCCAGGGTAGTTGAGATGAGGTGGCGCACTATGACCAAAAAGCTGGTCGAACACGAGCCCGCAAAGACGATGATGAGCGGAAAGAATTTTTTGGCATTCTCGTCCCGGGTTCAAGCTCATTTATCGAGATCCTTGGCGACGTATTGTGCACATCCGACCTATCGGATAAGTGCGAACGGGCTGCAGCCTGGGGTGCAGGACGGGGAAATCATGATGCACATGGGTTGCCGGCTTAAGAGAGTCGTTATCATAGGTGACTCCTGTTAAGATGACTAACTCAATTGAACACGTCGAGGAGGGCTTGAAACTGCGAGAAAGAGAATGCGGGGTGCGGCGCAGCTAAGGGGGGTGGTGAAGTTTTTGCCATTGGTAGGAGGAGGCACAGCCAGTCACTAGGAACAAGGTTATCGAGACGTAGCCGGTGGATACGTGTTGAAGCGTTTCGAAGCCAAGTCGGCTATGTCGCAGTCTTTTCGGCTGAGAATCGAAGCTAAGTAAAGCTGAAGGGTATTTGCTTATCGCGCATTTTTCAAGGAATGCACCACCTGTATGTCCTGCCCATGCGCTGTCATGTACAAGGAGTGGTTGTTGATGAATGGTAGCGAGGAAAGCTGAAGGCTAAACGGAGGAAGCGAGCGTGTGAGGTCCCGGTTTTCTCCAACGCCATACACAGGCCTCCCCAGGCTGAAGTGACCGACGCCATAGCCCAATGCAATGCGTGACAGTCGTATGAGATAGGGAAAGAACAAAGAAGATCGAAAGGAGCGTATCCGGGGGGTCGAATTTTGGCTACCGCCGTGCCACCATCTCAGGCTCTATGATTTCGGCTCGGATTGCGATTCCTGGTTGACCCCTTTGCGATTCGACTTCGGAGTCGCTTGCAAGAAAAGTACCTGTCCCATTTTCGACGTCCCCCACCTGAATTTCTTTCTGGACGAGAATGCCCCCGTCCGCAATTTGGGCCATGTTGGGAGGACTGACAAGTCTATCCTCGCCGCTCCGATCTGAATTACGGTGAGCATGGTCTGCTGCGCTTATGATTGACGACGAGAAGGTGTTCGGGAAGAACTTGGCAAAGAGTGCGCGGAGAGTCGGTAGCGACGCGCAGATGATACCAATGTTCAGCTCCATGGCGGACCAGGTGGCAGTTCCGGGGTTGTCCCACGTAATGTCCTGGCTCGCAGCGACGATGTAGAGGGCATGGAGGCGGAAAACTGATGCTAAGCTTGCACTATCAAAGAGTTAGCCTTGAGCGAACAGTTTTTTAGGAGAGAACTTACAATCCGCCGAGCCCAAGGATCAGTATCAAGCTGATCTTCTCACGCCGAGGCATCTGGAGCTTCCGGAGGATGAAAATGGGCAGCGTTATAAGCCAGATATCTTGACAGATGTTGATCGCAGCGTTCGCATACCACAGTGCTGGCTTGTTGACGCAGCCGCCAGGAATTCTGTCGTCCCAGAATTTGGCGACAGGATAACACGAGAAGATGCCGGTGATGAAAGTTTGAAAGCAATTGAAGAGCGTGATGTACATCAGGATCTTGCAGGATTTCCGGACTCCTCTGTCGACGGTGATTCGGAGATATTGAAGGATGATAGAGACCTTGGTCAGCGTAAGGCCGAAATTGTACATCATGATGCTGGCGAAGAGAGCCTGAGGTCGGTCAGTAACTGCTGATGGGATGATTGGCGGGATGAGAAGCTACCTTTAACGACCCTATGCCTTGCTCGAGGGTGATCGCTTGGATGTGACGGCCCATGCCATTGTAGACTTCTGTGTGGATGTTAGTCCAATGTTAAGAACCTCTTGCAGGGAGGAGCTTACGGAAGCCTTGACATATTGATGTCGCTACACTGAAGACCTGCGAGTGTACTGTTAGCTACAGTGATGCTGAGGGGAGGAGCGGACTGACCAGAGCGATCAGGATTGCAAAATCCTCATAAGATGGATTGTTGACAATCTTAAACCTTGTGTAGAGCCGCAGACCGACCGTGATGAGGGCGAGGCAAGGGAAGACAATGATGATGGCGAGAACTTGCGGGCCTTTGTTGGCATTGAGGTAGTCCTCAGACAATGCTGGAGCTTGAGCTGAAGACATTATAGCGCGCTTTGACTGTTAGCATAAAAGCAGTCGTTGTAGTTCGGTCATTGAAAGCTGGTAGCAGTCTGTAGTAGAGAACGGACGCTTTGGTAGAGCCACAGTCCGTGATGGTTCTTGCGCCCTAGGGGCGTGCCAGAGAAATATGATCGCGACGACTGGCCTCCCATGCTCTTACACCTGGTGCTGCAGGTCATACCCAGTGACGAGGTTGCAGATGGCGAACGGGTAATCCCAAGGGCCTTGCTCGTTCGAGTTCGTGTTTGATCATGCCCTGCAAGGAGCACTTTTCAAGCCAAGCGAGAACTCGGTCGTAGATGGTGGAAATCGAGTGTAGGGTGGCCGGCAAGGGTCGTGGTCCCTGATAGGTGTACTACATTGGTAGTAGGGAGACCTCGGCGAGGAGATCCCAGGGCACCTAGTCCAATGCATTCATTACGGATTTGCGAGGTGCATGATGAGGCGAGGCGCTCATCCAAGCAGCGGCTGTCAGAGGTTGGACGGTAGCTCGAGGTGCGCTAAGGAGTACATTAACCGCACATTTAGCCATGATGGACGAGTTGCTTAGCCCACCAACCCCGTGAGGAAAATAGCCAAGCCGGACGTCATTGCTATAAACTTTGTATCTGTTTTCGTCTCCTTGCTTGATGTTCTGCGAGGTTACCGGAAACGGTGTGGCACCTGCAGAAGGTTTGGGATACTGCAGCTGGCCACTATGCCCATACGCTGGTGCGTCATCAGCTCGTGATCCACTGCATATTTCGCCCATACACGAGGTACGTACCTTGGTCTGCGGTATCCAAAACCTGGGAAATGTACCATTAACCGTTTCCCGGGCGTTCGCTGAGTAGGCACGGGGGAGTTCGTACTGCGCGCCTGAAGGCTAGAAAAGCGGGGAGCCGGTCGCAACGCGCGATAACCAACATGTTAACCTTCTTCAAGCGAAGAAGTGTTTCAGGAATAAAGGCGACCACAACTCTGGACATCAACCTGAGGGTGGCGTCGCTGGCTTTTCATGCCATGTGCTACCCGCAGACTCTCCAAGGTCCTGGAGTGTGGTCCGCTATTGATTTGCTGATGATCATTTCGAAGGTCGGTAACGCCTTCGCCACGAGCTCTCTATGTCTCCGAGGGCCATGCACGCGTGAGGAAAACGAAGCGGCTCAGAGAATCGAGCTCAGAGCTGGCGATGAGTCCGTTCCAGCTCGCTCTGGAGGGACGCTGGGCGCTTCTTGAGCTGGCAGTGTTCAAAGAGTTCTCGACGTTGCATTAAGCTCGGTGATGCAGGGAGCAGTTGTGGCCGGAAATGGGTGATCTCCATGTCGTGTAACGTGTGCGGTATGGGGTCGAGTCCCAGGAAAAAGCCCTGTACAAATTGTCTTACATCGTCAGCTTCGGAAGCTACTAGAGGTCGGAAGCCCACTCTAGGCGAAAGATGTGTGACTACGAAGACGAAGTGGCGAGGGCGAGGGCGGAATGAGTGACAGGGTAGTTGTGCTTGCGGGAAAGCTTGGAAGCACGTGATCTATACCGGATTTCGAAGTGCAAATGGTGCCAATTACAGGGACGGGCCGCCGCTGTGACCGAAGGACGCATGCAGGTCGAATAACGGTCGGAGACGCTGGGCAGTCAGTGGCGAGGAATAGCTTTAAGGTTTCGGTCAGGGGCGCACCCTGGAGCCTTCGCCACGTGCGGATTGACGTTCTAAGTCGGGCCGGTATTCCTCATCCTGGAGGCCTTCAGAGCAGTATGTCTAGTGGGCGCATGGAATGTGTGAGCGATGGAGAGGACGAGTCCTGTTCGATGATTCCGAGGTGCAAATTCGCTCAGCGCGCTTAGCGTGACGCTTTGGCCAACATCCCACCATCCCTTTCTCCCCAACAGTTCGCACTCTCCCTCCACTAACACACAACGGCCGGACTCACTTATTCATCATGGACGCCACTACCTCTTCCTGTGGTATTTTCCTTGAAACTCTCTGATCATACTCCTTTGATGAAGACTAATCACAGTTTGTAGCGCAAGACACCGCAGCGGAGGAAGTCTCACGATGCTCCAGCCCGGCCTCGATCATATACACTCCTGCTATGGCGAACGAGGATTTGATCGCTGCGAGGAACGTCCAGGCTTCAGAGATCGAGCTTTACATGCGACTTCTGGACGATATCTGCCTCGAAAGGCTTTCACAGCTGGCCGAGGCTGAAGACCGCGCGCGCTCCGCTTCATATAATGCGACTCCTCACCAAGCTGGCTCGACTGGAGAAGCTCTAAACCGCCCGACACAACCAAGCATGTTAGGTCGTCAATTTGGCTCCGCTCTGCAAGGAAACCCTCCCCAGCAGAACCAGGCTCCCGCCAATGATGACAACGTCAATTGCGTCCTCTGCTCCGGCTGTGCCAGTATGTTCTTCATTATTCTCTCCCGAAGCACTTCAGGCTTGCTGATACATATCTAGACTGCCGCGACTGCGTGAGCTGCTCCAACTGCCTCCGATGCAAGGATTGCGTCAATTGCTCCAACTGTGTCGGTACGTTTCTCTATTTCAAAAATGTCCTTGCCGACTTACTTACGCGCTGCTAGACTGCACCGACTGCGTCAATTGCTCTGACTGCGTCGGCTGCTCTAACCTCGTCAACCGCAGCGGAGCGCGGAATGAGCACGGTTAGGCATGTGACCTGACCTCACGATAGAGGCCTGAGGGTCTCCAGCCTCATGGATACCTACACGGCTTCTTACACTTCGACCTCATACATGTTGGCGGAGTTCACTATTGCATTCGACGTTGATGGCGTTGATGGCGTTTCATGGATCAGCCTTGGCACATCAAAGGCGTGCCGGCTGCGAGATACCCAGTGTCTTTTCCCTCCGATTTGGTAGGCAGTCAAATGAACGCCGTGCCTCGAGAGGCCTCTACACTGTGTTCTATGGTCCCCTCGTCTGCCCTAATCCATGTCGTGGGGGCTGAAATCCGACCCCTCTTTCGCCTTATCAAATGACGTCGCTGCCCTGCATATCGCAACATTATAGATCGATCAGATGCCCTCGCATCCTCCTCACTTACCCTCCTTCCATTCAACTTCATACCCACCACTGCTTCGACTCCAGCACCGTCACCATGGGCTGCGGCAGTTCAAAACCGGCAGGCGATGCTCCGCCCTCATACGAGAAGGCGATGGGAAACTCAAACAACACCAACTGCAAACGGTGCAAAGACTGCTCGAACTGCACCGACTGCACAGGTACGCTACTCTCTTTTCTTTTTTTAAGCAATCATCGACCGCCCATCTCCTTTCTCTCCTCCAATGTAACACGGACAAATAGGCTGTGACTCCTGCCAAAACTGCACCTATTGCACAGGTACCCTCTTACCGCCTCCCGCTTTCATCTCTCGATTGTAACGCGAACAATAACAGACTGTGACTCCTGTCGTAACTGCACGGGCTGCAAGGGTACTTCGCTCTCTTCTTTCGCTCCCCCAAAGTCCCATTCCGAATTCATAAACGCCCATCTGTTGTGGAGGAAGCTGAAGACTCAATCCAGACTGCGTGGGATGCCGCAACTGCACCGACTGCACGGGTATGCCTCTACGCCCTTCCTCAAAACCTCTTGCGTAGATCTGATGACCGCATTTAGGATGCGAGGGTTGCAGAAACTGCACGAATTGTACCGATTGTATAAAGTGAGTTTCCTCGCGTTGGCAAGTGTCGCTCGGCTCGAGCTAATGAGCGGGTAGCTGTACGAATTGCACGGATTGCTCTGGGCTGAAGAATCGGCATAATGAAACGGGTGTGCATGAGTAGGAGGTGTGCGGTGGGAGGATCATGGAATGCTTCTGTTGCATTTTCTCTCTCTCTCTCCCTGTCATTGAATTTGTTCGACCTCAAAACGAATTACTTCCGCTTGTTGCTCTTGAGGGATGTGAGCGAGACTCTCACGGTTCGCGAACCCTTTGCTAAAATCCTTCGCCCCAAGGAGTACTGGAAATCGTAGATCTATGGAACACCTCGTGCATTGAGAGAGGAGTTTGTCTTGCTCAGAAAAACAAAAGAAAATCGAAGATAGCTCCTTGTTGGCCTGCTATTCTATCGCTGAGTCTTCTGAAACTTCCGGATAGCACGGAGGTTTGCTATAAGACAGGGTCCCCAATCATTGCAAGGGAGTATAAGACCACGACACCGACGACTCTATCAATAACTGCCAGTTCCGCATGGATCTTGCAGTGCTACGAACTTGACAACATTGTTCAGCCAGAACGTATATACCAACTCCAGTGCCTCACTCCTATAGCACCCCCATTGTGCACACTCGGTGGTCGTTCTCGCGATACGCCCAGCAAAGTGAACTTCGACAGATGCAGCATCCACAACCATGCTCTATAAAGACAGTGCCTTCTTTCCACACCCGTCAGCCCTTCACCGTACTGTCGAACAAAATCTCATAAGAAAGAAGAGCACGACCAAGAAAGAATGTCGGCATTTCAAAGAAAATTTACAAACCGCAAAACACACGCACTACCACCTCCAGAAGAGCTAGTTCTCATACGCCAGCGGACGCTCATCCAGCAATTACGTTCTGCGGAGAGAGTCGAAGCCACGAGGCCGTGGGAGGATCCATTCGAGGATTACGACGACGGCGCCTGGGAATGCTGCAATCCCTCGTGCGGGCATCAAAATCCCCTAGTTCATTACCACGGCGACTATCCGTTCTGCTTCCTGAGATGCGCTTCGTGTCACCACGTCATGTGCCGCAACTGCCCATCCTCAGAGATACTAACGCACATCATCCCGTTGGAAGGGAGTTCGGTGACGGTGTCGTCGTGCCAAGGTGAGGTCCCGTACATTGAAGTGTGCTCCACATGCGGGCTAACGCATAGGCCGGCAATGAAAGGACTGGGCTTACGCAAGGCTTTTAGGAACACCCGTGTCCACTTCAAGACAACAGTCTGTGAAGGTTGCGGTGCGCTTCCGAACGATGGCTGGGCCAGGTTCAAAATCGGCAGCAATTCTGACTGGCGGTATAGTATACCCCCACTGGGCACCGAGGAAGCTTACCCGCAGCTCTATGATGAGCCACCGAACGTACCGGCGTATCGACGTTTGGCTCAGCACGGCGAGGAGACCTTGGATATCACCATTCCTCTTTGCGATCCTGAAGATGATGCCACGATCGCGTCGGTAGCCTCGAGCTTGCGACGCCGTGGTGCTATACGGCGTCGAAACCGGCCACCACCTCATGTGTGGACGGGACTTGTAATTGCGTAGTATGCGCCAATAGGACGTAGATGAGAGTTTCATGAATTGATGATGGAAAGGCACCAGAACATGCTTCCGGAACGCGGAGGTATTAGAGGCGAAATAAGCCAAAGATGAGAAAGACCGACTGGGCACGGATTCAGAAACGATAGAGACGGCTCCCAACCTATCCCTATGATGAGTTAGAGCCACAAAGATTATCGGAATTGAAGAGTAATATGACATAATTAGAGAAGCAGAACTGAGCTCTGTGAACTGTCCATCTTTCTGTATTGCAACTGCCCCCCTGCCCTCTCAAACTGTGAGGAACTGCAGTGCCCTGATATCCATCCATAACACCATCTCATCGGAGGGTTCCCGGCCACTTTCGGGATCAGAGCGATGGTATCTAAAATCGGGATCGCCGACTGTTTCGTACACTGAACTTGCTACAGAACCCTCCAGAATCAGCGCTCTTCCTTTGAGTAGGCCCTCAAGCGGAGACTTCTCAGATTTCGATACTACGGCGCACACGTTGGTTCCTTTGAATTGGCAAAGGATGTCTCCTTCCGTAGTATTCCAAGGCACAATGGCCATCATGGACTGGCCCATTGCGAGCCGCGGCTGCAGGTCGAGAGCACAGTTTGGCTCCGTCGCAACTGGCGTGCACCTCCGGTAGGCTTTGGGTATTCTACCCTGAGCCTTGGATTGGCTCGTGTTCAAATTGCTTGAAGGTACCGAGGCGCCACAGAACCCCACATAGTCATGGCCCAAAACGCTTTCAACTGCATTGATTCGCAAGCAAACCTTATCAGTCAGACCAAGGATTTGTTTTTCAAGTACTGATACCCAGCTGAATCGATACCGCAGCGGCCATTCGGGTAAACCTCTTTTCACCATGTTGTATAGCTGCCACCATCTTTTCTGCCTCTCAAGTCTAGATATGCATCGGTGTGGTTGCAAACCGGGGCCTATATATTCGATGACCATTTGTGCATACCCTTTAGCCTCGATCAATGGCTGGTCTTCGTCAGTCGTTTGACTTTTCCTTGGTGGCGACAAACGCCTCAAGGTAGGTTGTATTCTAAGTGCACGCTGCACATGCTGCGCAAACTTTATCACGGGGCAGCCGCCGTAGATCCCGCGGTCTGTATTCCTATCCAGCCATGTTTTGGGGATGGAGGCGTGGTACTTGATCAAGATCTGAAAAACTTGGGAAACGTCCATATGATAGCTCATATCAGGCAACGGCATCTTCGGCGCGTCAAACTCCACGCCCCAATCCGACACTAACCCGAGAAGCCCATAGATGCTGTCTCTCCGATCCTCGCATAAGGTTCTATTCGTGAACAAGAGCAAGAAATGGAGTGTCCGGTTCCTTTCATCCCTGATCCATCTCACAAGGCTGGAATGACTGTAGAGTAAATCAATACTGGATTGGAATTCTGTAGCCAGTTGAAAGGTTTGCAATGAGACCCGATCTGAGCCACAAGCTATAAGGATTCTCCTGGCCAGTGCGAACTCCTGGGTGACCCATAATCGAGTCCAATAGCTTCGGTAATGGAGCCTGCAAAACGCTGCGTATCCTGTTCTGTTTCGGGTGCGGTCGTACAACTTCCTTGCTCCAGTGGTTCCTTTCGCTCCAGTGACTCGCAGTATATACTCAAAGCCGGCATGGCTATTGTCGTACGCAGGCCCAATCCAGACGATGACGGTGCTTGCCTGCGAGTACACCTGACCCATCAGTCGAACCTGGTGGCCGCGCTCGTCGATATCTTTTTGGTTGATGCACAAAGCATCTATAAAAATTGTCTAGTCCGTGTCTTTACTGCGGATATGCTTAAGGGCTAGGTAAAGATTTTGACGAATCGGGATCGGTACACCGTCGAGAAATATTTGCTAGGTAACAGAGTCTAGAGAGCCCCATTCGTAGGAGAGTGCATCGTATTTAGGCTCTTGGTCGGCCTCCGGCTTTAGAGAAATGCGATCGAGGGATGCATGGATCTGGGCATCGAACGACCCAGCTCGCAAAATCAAGATGCGGATTTCGCCTTCGGCGAGGGGCTGGTATGGATAGGCTAGCACCCGATCTTCAGGGCTCATCTTGCAATTGGTGTGACGGAAACCAAGCTCAAGAACTGATGTATTGCTGTTCGATCTTTGGATTGGGCATACTCAGCCCTAGGATTCAAGATGGCCGCTGTTTGGGGGCACGCGTTCCGCCTTCGCAGCGCGACAGCCGCGGCGAGAATACCGTAGCGAGAAAGGAGTTGCAGCTTGACGAGACCGCTCAAATAGACGGCATTATGGAGGATGTAATGAGAAAGAGCGCAAGTTGAAGAGTGATGGAACGGGAAGGCTGTGGTTGCCTACGTAGCAGTCAGTGAGGAGGCTAATCCCGATATGGGAAAGCGGGTTTCTCGCTTCACCGACTTCCAAGTTCCTCAACCCTCCCTCCTCTATTCTTCCCCGAAACTATACGCTATTGACGGCGAGAATCCACTAAGGAACATGCAGGCTCTGCGCCTCGCAATGTCGTTAAAACGTAAATGGGCCTAGAGAAACATCACCGAGACCACACTCACTATCTGAACCGACCGGATAGAGGATGCCAAACCACTCAGCAAAGACAACGCGCCCTCCCGTCAGTCAAGATGTGACTCAGAGCTCCGCTCAAATGTCTTGCTCAGCTATGTCTCATACCGTCCGACACCGTACACCGGCTAACTCACACATGTCTCCAGCCCCCATTGTAATGAAACACAGCATCACTCCTCAGGCCGATATAAAGGCCGCCTCCTCTCCAAACAACCCATCACCACAAAAACACACATCCGCGCACAATGACCTTCCTCTCACGCACCATGATCAAGCCCCTCAAGAAAGCCTACCTCAAGCTCAAGCGCCTCAAAAAGGCCCTCACCCATCTCAAACGCCGCCTCTCCCCCTCCCGGCCCACCGATGAAGACGAGCAACCTCCTCTCCCACCCCAACCACACTACCTCGTCCCCGTCTCCCGCCGCGACGGCTACTTCATCTGCGCCACCTGCGGCACCGAAAACACGCTCATCCATAGCCCCGGCCCATACCCCTTCGCCTACGTCCGCTGCATCAGCCCGTACTGCAAGCCCGCCGACCCTTTGGGGCACGTAATCACCGCTACAGCCGAGACGTCGCGCGTGATCCAGCGCTTCCCGTCCACGGCCAACGATCCTATCCCCGTGCCGCTGCTCACCGGCGTGCTGAAAGCGACGCCGCCGTTCTTCACCGTGTGTCCGGTGTGCGGGCTGAGCCATCGCGCGCGACGGATTGGCATGTATACGGCGCAGAAGATGGCGGCGGGAAGGCTGAGGGTGGGGAGGTTGCGCGTGGGAAGGTGGGTGAAGCGGCTGTTTGGGCTGCCTCCTGTTGGGGATGGAGTGAGTTTTATTGGGTTTGAACACATCGTGTGTGCGTGTAATAAGCAGGCGACGGGTCAGTGGTTGAGGTTTAGCATCAGGCCTGATTATTGCTATCATATTGATGGAGATGTGGGCGGGTATTATGCTGAGGAGCAGTATGAGTAGGCATTGAAGGTAAGATAGGGCTCGGTTTGGATACTGAGAGTATTCAGCTGGGACTTGTTGAAAAGCAGGGTTTGACTTGCACGCATGGTTTGCATGGATTGATCTATTACATGGGGCTCTGCTCTCGCAGTGGAGCGGACATCGTCGCTCATCGCATGTGCAAGTACTTTAGAATGTGCAGAGCTCACAAGGAGATTGAATGCAACACTTGAAGCAAATATATACGAGACATATTCTAGATGCCATAAATTCTATCTGCATCACTGAAGATATGTACATGAAGTGAAGAAGGTTGGCCACTAAATAAAGGAACAAGGGAGCCAAATATTTACAGATGCGTCTCCATGCTCAAGCCTAACACCCCCAAGCGGAGACCGCAGCCCGCTCAAGGCAGAGGGGTAGCCGGGGTGGGAGAGTAGTACCCTAGCTAGCGGCGTACGTCGAATCAATCGCGCCAAACTTGATATTGCTGTAAATGACCTGCGAGTCCGGACTGTTGGCCTCAACGTCGGTAGGGACGCCCGAATCCGTAGGGCAAGTGCCACGGGCAACACCGGGCGTGGAGGGGTCCTTATCAGTCGGGTACGAAGAATCGAGCCAGAGCATGTTGACAGCGTGGTCGTCCCAGACGGAAAGCGCGAGGACCATGCCGCGGCCGATAGCGCCGCCCATGGCTGCCATGCCGCCGAGGTTCTCGAAGGAGTTTGTGTCGCCGAAAGCGGTCTTCTGCTCGTTGCAGAAAGCATCGGTAATGCTGTCCGTCTCGGTGATGCCGTCGACCTTGGTGACACTGTTCTTGATGACGGTTCCGTCCTGGACGTAGAGACGGCGGATCTCGGAGAGAGTTCCAGAGTCGGTGCCGTCGTCGGTGACGAATTGGGTGACGACTGTGAACTTCTTGGTGGTGTCGACGGTCATGCTGGGGCCGTAGAAGGACTGATCGCCCATGCGATAGCTGTTGAAGTCGCAGCCATCCTTATCGCAAACACCCTCGTATCGCTCATCACCGTCGCCGCAGTCGGTGCCTGAGCAGCGCACCTGGCCGTCGACAGAACAGACGTGGGGAGTGTAGGCGGCGGAGATGCTGTTCGCCTCCCAGATATCCATCTCGTTGCAGCAGGAGCCATAGGTACCCGTGCCAGCATTGACGTCGTTGTCGCTAGGCTCCCAGCCCTCGGAGTTGGCCTAATCCACGCTTAGTGTTTTGTTCCAAATGCAGCGAGGAGCAGATAAAGAGTGATATGCTTACCTCTCCATTGATGAACTTGATGTCATGCGGACACTGGGTGTCGCAGTACCCAGTACCGTACTTAGCACCAGCCTTGTTAGTCGAATACTTGGCCATGCCACCATCCTCATCCATCTCTATCAGATAGAGAGCGCCGTTCAAGCCACATGGCAGCTTTGACACGTCGACGTCGAAGGTGAACTCCTTGTTAAGCAGCTTGAACATCTGGTACTTGGACTCTGAAGCCATCAAATACAGACGCGATCCAATGTTCGTGCTGTAGCTGCCCTGGGTAACAAACTTGAGCGTCAGAGCTCCACCAGATGCGGTAACTCCATAGGTGCTGCTGTAGTCGGCGCCGTCCAGCGCGCAGTTGGCCGCACAGGTTGCGCCGTCTGGGCACAATGTCGTGTTCCAGGTGTTACCAGTGTAGCAGTTGTCATAGCCCGTTGTCGTGTGAAGCCATCGCCAGTTGGCGTCGAGGGTCACCGTTGTGGAGAGAGAGCTGCAGGAACCCGCGGCCGAGCAGGACTGTATGGGCATTGCTGGATGAGTCTCCGTGGTCAAGGTGCCGACTTGTTGAGCCGACACACCTGCCGCGAGGACGGACAAAAGAGCAGTCTTGGAAATCATGGTGGGCCGAAGAAGGAGACTGAGGTTTGATGAGGTAGAGAGGATGGTGTTAGAGGACGTCTCTCCGCCATCTTATATACTGCTGATCAAAGCCAAAAGGCCTACGACTTCAATGAGGCTCCGGAGGTTCTCTATCGCCTGCCGTTCCTCTTCTGGGTTTGTAAATTGAACAATATGCCGCGGGCCTGTATTTCCGTTTACCTGCAGCGACTTCAAGCAGTATCCCCGTGTGTTGTTCGTGTGTAACGTGACCCTGCCCTGGCATTCCCCTCGTCGACGGCAATCTATCCGTCCAGGTCCACGGTCCTTAGCGAAGACTCCGAAACGATTAAATGAGATGAAGATGTGATACGGAACGCGGATCCGTCAGGCTCGTGACTTTCTAGAAGGCTGCAGCTACGTTTGTATATTGAGGTATCGCGGAAAGGTGTGCCAAGCGAGGTGATGTGATCTTCTAGAAACCTTCCCTTGTCGTCGTAGTCTCGGCCGTGCTGTCGAAAACGGTAGTGATATATTAACCTGTGGTTACCTGACTGGTGGATTATGTAGAAGCGAGTGCGCAAGGGAAGATCCGAAACGCGCGAGGCTTGGTGGATGGGGCCCACAACGATGGGAATCAGATATTAAAGCTTGTACTGTCCGAAATGAAAGCTTCGACTGGTCAAGAGACACAAAGATAATCTTACCGCGGGCCAACATGGCGTGAGAAGCGAACCAGGTCATCGGTGCACGCAGTGGACGTCTCAATTCGTCTTTGAGGTCTTGGCCGTGGTTGTCGAGGTGTATCCCATTGTAAGAGGTCACCGTGCGTAATGCATCTTGTGGGACGGTTGTTTATGATTCCCGCTTGAGCAGCAAGAGCCGGCTAGGAGGACGAGGATTGATCGAGGTTGATCCGAGCAACTGCAGTTCTGTGCCGATGGGCCCACTCCACTATTCGTGAGCCTAGGGACTGGCAACTAGGAGGCTGCAGGTGTGATGCATAAGGCAGCCTCGGTGGCAGACCGCGGATGCTCCATATAGAGTCCTCCGCGGGGCCTTCAACTCGCCCGTGAGCCGAGCTACAACCTCGAGCCTGGTGCCAAGGCGGGATGCGCATTCGAAAGCGAAGAAGCTGACGCGTTGCAGCGACGGAAGAAGAGGGGGAAAGGGTGACGAGTCCTTCCGGTTCGACGACGTCGGAGCGAATATGCAGAAGGCTGACCGAGGCCGTGCTGTGCCTGGTTTCCTCTATGCCTAAGAATGGGTCGACCTGGAATTGTGGTGTTCAGTTAATTTAGAGAGATATTAAACGGCCTGGGATGCCACGTCCTGGGCAACTTGTTCTCGCTTGAGCACCGCCACCAACACGCGCCACGGCAGGTTTCCGTACGTCTTTCCTAGATTTCAAACTTCATCTACAGAGCGACCCCGTCCGATCGCCACTACGATTCGCCGTTCGAAGCAATAATATCAGTCACGCATAGATCGATGCCGCAAGGCCTCAGGCACCCTCACAGCTCACGACAATTCCCCGCCGACGACCAATCACCTCCCTTGCTCCATATATGTCCGGGCCTTCCCTTTCGGCTCGCAGGATTTGGCCAGACCACTGGATCGGCTCGGTGTTTCCCGCTTCACGATGCCTCCATGTTCTCCCCATGAACGACCAACTGCATCTCTACTGTGGGTAGAGTTGAACGGACCCCAAACCAGCACCAACATGTCAGAACTCGATGACGACTTCTCGTATCCACGGATTCGATCCAGCCCCGCACCGTTTCACAGTGTCGCGATGCCAATACTTTGTGCTGACTAGCTGAGGCTGAATACGAGGTAGAGCTGGGCGACATACAACCCACCTTCCAATCTCAAGGGGGTTTTCTCTGGGCACTCCCTTCAAAACGCCATTGCTCGCCTGAAATGCTCTCCTAATGTCTAGTTCAACGGTGCGCGACTCGTTTTCCTCGTTTTGCGAGCCCTCGAGAGCAGTCGTTCCGCGGCTCGCTGTAGAAACGCCATGGGGTCGAAAATATTCACGCTCGGCGCGTCCGCAGCCGCCCTCGCGGTAGTGGCGCGAGCAACCCCGCAAAGTACGAGGATGAGGCTCGCGAGTGAGGACCCTGAGGCTGACTGTTGATACAGAGGAAGTCGTGCCTATATTTCCAATGCGGAATTCGACGAAGCCAAAGCCTACGCCCACAGACTCGGATCGATGCGAGGCAGCATGTACCGTCTACTACCCCGAGATCACCGCGCTGTCCTGGGTGCCGGAATACCAGGTCGTCTATACCACAGAGATAACGGTTGGAACGGTCAATGTCGTGATCATGACCAATGGGAACATGACGTTGGGGTCGGTTACGGAGACTGTTTATGGATACGTCCCCTCCGAGTATAATCTGTACATGCGGACTACAGACGCCGACGGGACAGCCGCTGTCGATGTACCCATCACTCTTTCCGACGGCAATATATTCTTCTCCCACCATGCATACCCTACGCCATACCTCGATTACTCGACGGAATACCATTGGGAGGGCGTGCTGCCAACACACAACAAGGAATTCTCCCCGGTCTGCGCAACTGCTACTGCGGAAGCGGCAAATGCAATTCTCCCCAAGCACCCAGAATACCCTCAGCCAAAAGAAGTGTTTCCGAGCACGGAGGACCCATTGGGCGCGGAGCACATACCTCTGTGGGTGTCTGTCGCAGACGAGCCCGACAAAGACTTCTTCGACGTAGCATTCCCATCCGAATCCGCCTTTACGTACTGCAAGTCCCAGTCGGGGAAACCACCTGTTACAACGCAATTCTCGGCGCCGAAGTTCCTCTACGAGACGACAACAATATACACTGAGCCGTGGTCGAAAGGCTTCGTCCATGATGAATCGACCGCAACTGGTTTTGATGAACAAACGACAACCAGAACACGCCACATCTCGTTCAAGTCTCCCCACCTGGAAAGCACCGCAGACGGGTGGGAAGAAACGCCGGCTGAAACGCCTACCGGAGTCCCTGATAGCCAGCCTCAGATTCCTCATTTCCAAAGTACCGCTACCGGATTCGAGCCTCCTGACGCACATCAGACTGCCAATCCGCCTGCAGATATCCCGAACGCTATCGCGAGCATCATTAACAATAACCCGGGGATTTTCACGCCGCCTGCGAATAGACCCAACACCGTAGCACGGCCAGCTGTTGCAACACCCGCACCTGCGCCCGCAAATCCGACGCCGCGTTTCACACTCGTACCCACGGTTGTCGGCGGACAAACTACAACGGTCCCAGCGTTTATCCTTCCCGACTCTGATGCGGTAGCAACCATAGGCCAGGAAGTAACGATCAATGGGCAGGCTACCGTCCTCGCCGCGCCGCCGGCCGTCTTCACTGAGGTCCCCACCACCATCAACGGCGTCCCAACGATGAGTCCAGCATTCATCATAAGCGGCACCAGCACCGCCAGCATCGGCCAGACAGTCACGCTCAACGGCCAGCCCACGGTCCTAGCCGTACCGCTGCTAGTCTTCACCATAGTCACGACTGTGATCAATGGCATGACCACGACGATTGCAGCATATGTTTCCCCCAGCCAGCCCACGATTCCCGCTGCCCAAACGCCCGTCCTTACGATGATAGCCACGACAATCAACGGCGTGGCCACCTCGGTCCCTGTCTATATAATAAGTGGCTCGATCACGGCTACGCCGGGCCAGACGGTGACGCTCAACGGCCAAGCTACAGTTCTCCCAGCAGCAACTCCGGTCCTGACAAGCATCACAACAACGATCAATGGCACTCCGACGGTTGTACCGGCGTATATCATCAGCGGCTCAATCACGGCTACGATTGGGCAGACCGTCACAATTGGTGGGAAGACAACAGTGCTTTCTGGACCTACGAGCACGGAGAGTATCGATACGCGCTTTGGTGGGCCCGCCGCTACCTCGACCGGGCAACCACAAGCGACTGGCAGTGGAGATTCGCCAGGCGTCGGTACCTTACGCTCGAGCGTCTCATGGGGTGCTGCGTGTGTTGGTCTCGGTGCGCTAGTCATCATGTGGTTATGAGAACTCGATGGGAAATTTTTGCATTGGGTATGGAGTTTGGACATCGGGCTGGACATATGCGCTGGGAAAGCGCATTTACGACACCACACGCGCACGGAAAAGAGGGCGGGATACATAGTTTGACTTCGCCGGATACCCTATTTTTACTATAATGTATATGATAATGCACCCTTTTGGGTGCTTCACTTAAGCCTTTACATGTTTGCCGTTGCTCGTGATGGCCGGCTGCGAGATACCTGACGTCTTTTGTACGGACATAGAGGGACGGCTAGTTGGAGCAAGGTACCGCATATTTAGGGCAGCGATCTTAGTTCTTAGTACTTTCCACCTATTCTAAAAGAACCCGTGAGGACGAGAGCGTGCGTGGTAACCCTTATCGGGGCGGGAACTGCAACGCACAGGGTCGAGATAGTAGGTGACCCAACCCAGAAACTTGTATATGCCGTTCGAGCCGCAATTCTATCCAATGGAAGGGGATGGCTGATGGTCCTCAGTACGGGTTCCTCTCGCCGTTGAGCAAGCGTATAACGGGCTGCAACACTCCAGGCTAATTTAAACTCTCCTCATCGACGAACTGACCCTGCACAGGGAGAGAGACCTAAGGCTTAGGATCGAGTCTGTACGCATAGGGAACGCTGTGGCGAACACGGCGCGCAAGGAGACGGCCGGTGGATAGAGGAAATGCGCAGTTCCTCCCTCCCTTCAGCAAAGGGAGAGTTATAGAAATAGTTGCATACACCTAACATAATATGCGCAGCAGAATCCCTCAATCCACTCAACAGCACTTCCCCGTAGCCCATTCAACAATCCGTCCATGTTTTGGCCGTCAAACGCGCCAGTCCCACCCACACGTGACTCAGCGTCACATCTGCTGCCTTCACTCCGCCAACACAACGCAACGCCACCACAAAAAGGCAGCAAAACAGCAAAAAGGTATCCTCTCTTAGCTATACTCGAACAGACGCACCCATATACCATATATATTCATAGGCCAAAAAAAAAATTGCAAAAAAAATGGGAGCTCTCGTTTGATTGAGTATGTCATCCTTAGTGCAGGGGCCATGCTAATCTTCTCTGTATCGTTTCAATTGACCAAATGCCCGAAGGCGAAGGAAATTGAAATAGAATAATATATATACACTTAATTGTGTGGTGGGGTGGGGAGCGGGACGTTGTGAAGGCGGCAGGGCTGTCACGTGCGGAGAGGCAAAACGAACGCGGAATAAAACTGAGCAGGGTGGGGTGGGGCACGCTAGCGTGGGGCTTATTTGCAGGGTTGGGCTGTGGGCTGGTGGAACAGTGCGTGGGAGGTATGTGTGTATAACTTTGCCACTGACGGGAGCACAAGGCATGTTTGAGGCTCTTTGAATGTCTTTGATGTAAACAAGACTACTATGAGCCTCTCGTCATATTCAAAAGGCATATGCACACGTTTCTGGGCTGATCCACCTCCCATCTTGACCCTGTGCATTGCAGTTCCCGCCCCGATAAAGGCTACCACTCAGGCTCTCACCCGGAACGATACAGCGAAGCGAGCAGTCCATACAAGAAGATCAAACACCTAATGCGCCATGGCAACATGGCCCTGGTTCGGAGACATATATATGGGGCGTCTTTCTGAGAGAGACCTCAGATATCTCTCTATACAAACACACAGAAGACATCTATTTTGTTGCTTATACGTTTCCTCTTTCCTACACGCGCCATGCTGGGTACGCTCTTGTATATTGATCGACTGCGGGTCAGATAACCACTCCAACCACCACCACCGAGGCACTAACCATGCCTTCGTCGCTTTACCCGCTGAAGGAAGCCAGGATTATGTTTGCAGAGTCCAACCAACATGTTGGCGCGGGTACAACGCCGCTCCCGCGTACGCAAGTTATGCGCCAGAAGCACTCTTGTGTATTGCTTGATCTTCGAAAGCATGTGCAATACAAGCGAGAGCACGAACGAATACGTTATCATCTGCAGCAAAGACTCATTAACTGAACTGACGATCAATTTAAGCCTTCCAGATACTAGGGGTCAGTCCCAGTACGCCGTGAGAGCAACTCAGAGAGCCTTTACAAAGGCCCCTCAGTTCCATATCCCAATAGCACCACCCAGAGATTCCCAAACGCCGCCTCCCAGCGCTGTCCAAAATGCACAGAAATATCTCCGTAGCAAGACCATTCAGACCTCCGTCTCAATACCCCCACCGCTCCTATCTCCATGCTTAAACAGCCCCTCCACCTTCGCCTCTCCCTTCTCCGCGGCATGTTTCATCCACGCCAGCGTCCTCGGGCCCTTCCACTGCATCGCCCCTCTGTTCCTGCGATGCAACTGCTTACTATGCTTCTTATAGTCCTTGATCTCAGCAATCTTGCCGCGCTTCCCATCCTTCTCCATTTCATCGTCAGAGTCCGAGTCCGACGAGGAAGAGGACGAGGCGTCTTCGGGACCCTCGTCGTACTCCATGTCGTCGTTTTCGTGGCAGGTGTCCAGGACTTCCATGACGTCGGCCATGTGTGGGTCTTTCTTGCCGAGCGGAGCGTGGTACCCTGAGAGGCCGGACCAAAAGGTCATCTTGAGTTCGATTTCGCCGACTTTCTCACCGTACTCGGGGAGGACGTTGTCTTGGGCGCGGGCTAGATCGCCCTTCCAGACGGCGAGGCGGACGGTCTGCTCCTCGTTGTCGGGGATATCTTTCAGCCAAAGGATGCAGAAGGCGGGCGTGCGATCTGCGAGTGCGGAGTCTTTGCGGAACTCGACAATCAGAGGAGAGGAGTAGCGCTTGCGCACCGGAAGACGTAGCGCATTCTCCTTTTTCGCCTTCCAGACAACATGGCCATCTTCCGTATTCAGCTCCTCATTTTCAGACCCAGAGTGCAGTTTGCCGCGAGCCATGTTCGTACGGATCTTCATCCTGAGGTGATGCAGATCCTGTGGAACATCAATAGCCTTGACGACGGGGTTGATGTCCAGAGTGCCGTAGTCCCAGCCCAGCATCCTCGGCGGACTCTGCAGCTGCACTGATCGAAAGACCATGGAGATGCGAGCGCGACCGTACCCGATGCCGCCAGAGAGCGGGTAATTGGTATTGATCTGACTGCGGTCCTTGAGCACCTTAGAAAGCGGGAGGTAGATGACGCCCAGAAGCGGATCATCCTCATGTACACGCGAGTCACGGACGGAAATATGAACCTCAGTGTTTCGGTAGTCGCGGATGAAGCGCTCGCAGCCGGCATTGAAGAAGGGCTTAGAGTTCTTGGGCTTGGTCCTTGTCTTAAAGACCTTCTGGTGGTTGAGGATGATGGTGCTGTATGCCGAAGGAAGGTCATCGCCCTCTTCTTCCTCGTCGCTCGCACCTTCGTTCTTCGACCCCTTGTTCTTGTTAATAGACTCAAGCTCGAGACCGGTGATTTGGTGGATTTGGATGCTGAGGATGCCCGAGGGGTAGTGCTGAGGCGGCGGAGAAGCGATGATGAGCTGATCTTGGCGGGCCTGTTCATCCACATTAGTACATCAACCTCGGATCCAAAGCGCGCGCTAGCTTACCTTCAAGTCTTGTTGCTTCTGCTGCTCAACCTCATCGCTCTCGTCCTTGCTAGCCTCCCGTAACTTATTCTCACTCTCCTTGTACACCTTCTCTTTCAACTGGTCAATGTTCTTAATCTCAGGGTCCTCTTCTTGCGCCGCAAGCTGATCGTCAGTGATTCTCGTCTTCGAGAAGTATCCAACGCTCCAGGTCAGCTTGCCCGGCATGCCCTCGCCGGCCTTGAGAGACTTGAAGCCATCCTCGCGATCACACATCTTCCCATTCGTCGCTCTGTCTTTCATGAGCGTCTTGATGTCCAGCTCGATGCGGCCAAGATCATCGTCCGCCGTTGAACGATCGGAGTCCCATAACTGCACCCGCAGCTTCTCTTCCACGTTCAACTCGTCTGGCGTAATGAGAAGATAGCAGGTTTCATCCCAGTGCGGCTCCATGTTGTTCTGAAGAATACGCGTCGACCAGAGCGGCTTGCCAAACTTGGCCCACCCCACGCTCACATACGGATCTGCCGAACCACTCTTGAATGGGCCAATCCCAGAATCGCCTTCTTTGAAGTCGAAGGCGCGTTTAATATTAACCACCAAAATGCCTCGTGCGCTTGTGTCCTTCTTGAAGTCATCGCCCATGAGCATGTCCTTAAGATCGAGAGTGAGCGATTTCGGCGCTACGTATTCGGCCATAGCGGCGTCCACAGACGACTGTACGAAGCGCGAGATCAAAGGAACGTCGAGAAGATTGGGACCTTGTTTGATCAATGGAACACACGCCAGATCGACCCGAGGCTGGCCGAGGAAGGTGATGGTGCAGAGGGAGAAGAAAGGCGGATCAGGAGTGAGCTGCAGTCGAAGACGCACAACTCCGATAAAGCCTTTGACTTCGACCCAGACAGCTATTTCCTGTTAGCATGGACCTCCACCCACCTTGAACGAGGTACTTACGCAGCTTGATGTTGGTAGGCAAGTAAAATGCGAGATAAAGATGGGCATTCTTGGCCCGCTCCTTCATACCCTTACGGCCAGTGGAAGGCCGGTATGCGAACGCAACCTCGACGTTGACGAAATCGCCTTCCTCAGCCTCCATGCCTTCGGCAACACCGTCATCTTGTCCGTCGCCGTCTTCATCCTTCTCGTCCGCACCACTCTGCATTTCGCCCTGCCCGGGTACCGTCCGATCATTCTTTTCGTCATCGGGAGCTTTGAGGCTGCCGTCGTGAGAGACCGAATGAGTTGCTGCCCCAGTCGGGAGCCACCGAACTCCAAGTATACGAAGCGCTTCGCTGCCTTGACCGAGGTCGTCGACAGAGACCATGCGGACCATCTTAGGTAGACTGGCTTGCATGACGTCCTGTGCGAGTCAGCGTCTACTTATTCCTAGTGTGCTCTGGCGCATAAGGCTTACCTCGAGTGTGTCTGAGACGCTGGTGAACAGATCCGGATTAACCAACGGCCAGATGGACGCGAGCAGCGAGTTCAGCCATTGCGCGCTTTCAGCCGTCTCGCTCTTCGCGAGGTCCTTGCCGCGCTCCCTTTCAGCCTGCCAGACTTCCGTCTCCCAATACCCACGTACCCTGTTCGAGGCCCATTCGCGCATACCTGTTATGGTCACCATCGAAGCAACGATGCCAGCTATTACTTCGGCAATAGCGATGATAGTCCGTGACCAGCCCATCGAACGTAGGGTAAGCTCGATCAGTACCACCGCGACGAGCAAGATGACGCAGACGATGCCCATACCCACCATGAGGGCCTTCATATAAACGTCATTCATCCCCTCCCTCATCATGTCGAAGTCGGGCGGAGGAAATAACGTCTCCATGACCCCGTGGGCGTTCTGTGACTCGTGGCCCTCTTCGGCGAGCTGTTTGTCACTCTTGTTCAAAGCAGGTGCGCCCGTCGCAGACCTTGGCTCAGATCCTGCGGGTGGTCCATTCTTCGGCGTCTTCTTCAGGTCCTTATCCGTGAAGTCGTGTATAGTAATCGGAAGGTGAGTAACAGGATCCGTAACCTGGCGCTCCGATCCATCGGCGTTGAACTTTTTCATGGCCTTGCGAGCCTTCTTCGGGTTTGCCTCGCTCAGCATGCCCTCCGTGGTATCTTCAGCCGTATCCTCATCCTTGCTCTGGTCTTCCTTGCCCTGGTCTTCCTTGCCCTGGTCCTCCTTGTCCTCCCTGCCCTCCGTGTCCTCCGTTCTTCCGGCATGGTCGTCCGCAATGCCCTCCTCATGCTCAGCGTTCTTATTCGCGGCTTTGTACGGCTGCGTGCTCTCGTTCGGGTTCACCGCTTCTGTACCGTGTCGAAGCGTCGTGTACGCGTCGCCCAGTCGGTCGAGCGTGCTTCGATCGTCTGTCTCGCCGTCGGACGCGCCATACTTCTCCTCTCGATCGTGTTTCTCTTCGCGGTATTTCTGGACCGTGGGAATCTGATGGTGCGGCGTGTAGGGAGATTTGTGCTTAATCCCCGTACCTTGTTCGACGTCCTCGACGCCGGACATGGTGTTGGTGGTGGCGGGGAGCTTGAGTCGCGAACGTCGTGGAAGAGATGTGAGAGAGCGGTCGAAGACTCCTATTCAATTAGCAATTCGTAGAGTCGTACTGTCGTCAGCCGGCAGTGGTTTGCGTTGCCTCATGAGCCGAACGCCGAAGCAGTGATATAGAAAGGGTAGAAGTGAAGTGGAAAAAGGTCCATCCAGCATCTCGATGGCAAAAGCGCGTGTTTCGAATTGACGTATGTACAGGCGTGGTGACAGGTTTTGGCGGCTTACGCTTGCCAATTATTCCCCGCTCGAGAGCCCCAAGAGGCACCAGAGCCCAGCACCTCCCCAACGCGATGGAATCCGCTTGGCCATTTCGTTGGCGATGACGTCGGCACATCCAACTTGGATGACGGGTCGCGTAGGAGCTTTGGCCACGTGCGGAAGGGGCGCTCCGACCCCTGACTCGCGAACTTCAGCACCAATAATATATGCAGCCCCTACCAGTCGGCTTCGCACACTTCCTTTCTGTGATCCTTTCTCATTCAAAAGAGAGTCAGCCATAGTCTAGCGCAGTTCAAAGTCACCGACCAACCGCCCGCAAGACTGCCAGCCCCTCAAGCGCGGAGGAACACCCAGCCGTCCTACAGGAATAGTAGAATAAGCTAAACATCTACCAAGTCATCCTTATTTCTCGTCTCCTTCCCAGTTGACCGTACATCGCGGCACAGATATCTCCATAGTTTAGCGTTAGCTTTAAAAAGTGGACATTTCGTAGGGCAGTGGAACAATAACCATCCATGAGCAGCGAAAGAAGCACGTAGACATAACGGCCAAGTGCATATCTCAACGGATAAAAAAGAAGAACGACATACTCAGCTATTGGCTGCTTTGCTTGCCTCTAAGACGTTTACAAACGTAGACCACCACAATCACAGGAAGAAAGCGCAAAAAAGTGCAGGCTGCAAAAGCTGCATCAGGGTATCTCATATCTATCGTACACAATTCTCTAATATCTGATCATTACAATCCCCGACCTTTCAGGATCCAGCTTCCCCAGCAACGGCTGGCACCTATCCAGCGCAAGCGCTCCGTTGATGACCAAACTCACGCTTCTCCCTAGAACCTCCACATACCTATCTCTCACAGTAGGATTGATGTGCTGCACACTGATAATCGAATCCAGCCACTCGCAAATCTGTTCATGCTGCCACTCGGGATTATACCCTCCGCCCATCCCCATCTGTGGGTTCATTGCATTTGCCGCGACTCTCATCTGGCTCAGGGTCCAGGGCGACCAGGCACATATAGGCGCCTTGTTGGTGACGGGTACCACGAGCGCCGGACAGCCGTCGAGTAGGTGGAAAACGATGGTACCGCAGCCGGGACGGCGGGAGGTGCTCCACATGTTTGCGCGGAAGGGGGAGATGCCGGTGAAGAGTATGAGCATGCGGTTGGTGCCGATATCCACGGTGGGGTTGGCTTCGCACATGCTGAGTACGTTGACGGATTCCGAAAGGAGCTTATGCGCAAGGAGGTAGTCGCCTGCGAGCGTATTAGCAGAACCGTATTGGACGGGAGGGTTAGAGAAACGTACCGCCCAAGAACGGACCAAAGAACTGGCATATCGAGAAGTCGTTCGCGCGCGGTACTGAAGGGGTTCTCGCGCTGGCGAATAAATACGGACAGAACCACCCTTTCTCACACGCCTGTGTGTTCTGCGTAGGATATATCCCCGTAAATCGCAGATCCGCATCTACGCCCATAAGCTTGTGCTTGATGCCGACCTGCAAGCTCTTCACGTTTGTGGTCTGCAGCATCTTCTCCTCCTCCGGCAACATATGCTCAAGAATGCCTTTGTCAATCGCCTGCTCCACAATCTGGAACACGCCGTACTTGATTACCGTGCTCCCCAAAATGACCCCCGCGCCCGAGTTTACAATCTCAGCAACGAAGCTGTCCGCGCCGAATGCCCCCGTGACGCCGTCGGAAATGCCTTCGACGAGCGGTGTGCCGACGAAGGCGAAGGTCGTGAAGAGGATGGCGTCGCGGTAGCGCACGTTAGGGAGGGTTACGGGGTTATTGTCGCCCCATGGGGAGAGAGCGGAGGGCATTTTGAGAGCGGACGTCGCGGTCTGGACGGAGGAGCGGGCGACGCGGCCGAAGAGGGTGTCTCCGAAGAAGCGTTGCACGCCGCCAGTTTGCTTCTCGTCTTGAGGTCCGCCATGGCCTCCGTGACCTCCGGATGAGTGTTTTGGACCGAAAAGACCAGATGGCGCCGTCGTTGTGTAGTGTGGCTTCTGGGGCTGTTGTTGAATCGGCTGCTGAGCCATTGGTTGCTGGGCCATTGGTTGCTGAAGCATGCCCGGAGGTTGGATCATCTGCTGAGGTTGTTGAAAGGCCTGCGGGCTCACTGTCTGCTGGGGAGCCATCATCTGCGCTTGCTGCTGGAACATTTGGAGCTTTTCGGATGGCATGCTCTGCATAATCAGCTGCACCTGCTGTTGCTGCTGAGGCGTCATATTGGGGGGATACTGGAGTGGTTGGTGGGTAGCAATGGGCTGTTGCATTGGCTGTTGGACAGGTCCTTGGGGTGATTGTATGTATTGAGGCTGGTGGGCCTGAGTCTGGAATTGCTGCTGTTGCATCTGAGGCTCCGGCTGCGGAAAGGTATTCTGTTGTACGGGAGCTTGACCGAAGACATTCTGGGTCGGCGATGGTGTTTGATTGGGGAGCTGTGGGGGTGGCGGTCCAGCGGTGTAGGGCGGTGGAGCGGGCGAGTTGGCGTCAAAAGAGTTGACGGAAGGCTGTTGCATTGTGGCACCCTTCCCGTTTGTGTTGGGGGCCGTGCTTTCCTTGCTTTCGGCTCTTGCGAGATGCTCTTGCTGAGCCACGAGACTCGTGTCGTAGTCCAATGTACGCCTTGCTCTTCCAAGCTATATCGTCTTTAAAGGGTTTCTATCTTCCCAACTCAACAAGGCGGAAATGGCCTCCTTGAATGAGAGAATTGTGTTTCGGGGTGGGAAAGCGAGGGGCTGGATCTCTAGAATTGAATCTTCTCGTAGACGAAGGTGCGATACACTTATTAGACTAGAGTGAAAGAAAAGGAGCGAACGAGTTTTGGAGAGGGAGAAGGCTAGAGTTAAGCAACGCGAAGGACTCGGATCAGGTTGAATCTAGCCCGTATCTGAGGCTGTAGCTCTTCCTCAGCCGCACGTTGTGGCTTCCTCCCTTACCCCTTCTGGTTTGAGGAAGCGAAGCATTTCGACCAAAGCGGGCCCCACGCCTATAGTGTGCATGTTCGTAGCATTGATGTACCTCAGCCCTGTGGAGTTGAGGTTTCTGAGGTGTGCATCCGCACGCGAGGTATACGCGCCGAGCGTACCGTACCGACAGGGCGGTAGTAGCAGTTGACGCGCCCAAAGAACCGTGGCTTCTTTGAGAAGCGCGGCGAGTGCCGAGATATTGAATCGAACCATCCAAGACAGATGGAGCAACCTCGAGGATGGCCCGCGACAGGGGAAACTGCACACTGTCCGTGCCGGCCCGCGCCCTTGCGCCGGCGATTTCTCGCTCAGAGGGTGCGGCCAACCATCCAGGCCACCGAGCGCCTCCGTTTGTATCCTTCGCTCCAGTCGAGCAGAAATATCTCTCCAGTCGGGAGCGGGAGAGACCCTTATGCGCCGCCAAGGTGATGGGTGGTCGTCGATTCGGCCGGCCAGCGCGTATATGGTCCAATCAGACGCCATCAGGGGCCCTCGGGCGCGTGCAGGGAAGCTCTCGATGCGGAGCCCAATACTCGACCTCTGCAGGAGCGCGATGGGAAGAAGGCTACGTAAGTCAGCTTCGCCTCAGACTGAAGCAGGGTAATTGCGCATTTGCCGTCCTAGAGCTGTCTGCCTCCTACATATACGACCACTGACCGGTCACTGGACCGCGCAGTACATCTGCCCGTTTACCTCTCCCGTGCCGTCAGCGTCATATCGATTTACCCCGCGAGCGCCCACTTACCCACGCCTGCCCTCGCACCGCGACTCGACCTGCAACCGTCTCCAAAAATAAGTCGACGCTTGTCATCGCCGGCGATCCAACAACCAAACAGGCACGACATACATAAAATCCGCATTTCGCGATGGAGGGCCGCAAGCAGGGACGGCCGGAAGAGGAGCTCTTCTTGCGCCCTTCAGACACGCCAGAGACGCCCACTGTCGGTCCGCTGAGGATCCAGAAGAGGGAATCAGCCTCAAAGAGCCCTCCCCCGAGGACGGACTCGGCGGGCAGCTCCAACCAGCCGGCTTTCTCGCGCCCTCCGCCTATGCCAACGTTCCCGGCACCGCCTACGACGGCGTTTCCAGCACCGCCTACGCATCCTCCCACCGCGCCGTTACCTTACCCGGACGATCGACCACCGAAGCAGCATACGTTAGTCCAGGGCCGATACACACCACTGAGTGAGAGAGAACGGGCAACGAAGAATGCGACTCCACCAGAGCTAGATGGACGGAGACGGGGCTCCTCAAGCGCGACAGGTCCCAGTCCCAGTTCGCCAGGCTCGCGCGCCCGGTTCGATGCGCACGACCCCAATAGACCGTCAGTGGCAGGCTACGGCGGACCCGGCAGAGCTTCAGATGGATCAATACAGCCGTCAAAGTTGGCGGAGCGGAGAGGAACTGCGCCCAAGCCTCTCCCAGAGTCTCCAGGCCCAGAGACCCCTGATAAGGAGGGCTTGTTCCAGCGGCCACCGCAGAGGGAAGGAGGCCCCGACGCAAACCCGTTTCCTGCCTACCACCAGCAGTACTGGCCTCCACCAGCAAATTCGGCTGGTCCGAAGTCACCAGAGCCGGCACTGCAGATCCCCAACCCTGGCGGTATCAATCGACTGAGCTCCACCGCGTCTACCTCCACCACGAAAGCGCAGCGAGGCTCTCCCCCACCACCGGAGACGCCCATAATGCCTCCTCCTAGCGGCGGTATCGAAGCGCGATTTGCTGCGGCGGGAATCGCTGGCGCCTCTACGCTGACGAGTCTACAAGCGCAGACCGCGCAGAGTGCTGCTGCTGCTCAGCGGAATCAGGCCTACGCCGGTGCACAACCAAGGCCGGGTGTCACCTCACCATCGGCAACACAGCAACCTCCGAGGAGGCCTTGGACTCCAACCGAGCAGCCTGGAAGCCAGCCACACGGTCCTCCCACCGTGTACCAGGGCATGAACCAGGTCGGACCGTCGAGCAGCCCTCCCCAGGCGCCACTTCCCCAAGTTCCTACCCATACTCCTTCACCGGCACCCGCGAATATACCGCCAGAACACCCCTTGACGCACGATATGGGGCGTATGAACTTGAACGAGGAGCCACCACCGGCGTACTCGAGCATCCAGCATCCTGCGGCCACACAAACGCAAGGCTACCCGAACGAGAAAGGTAGACAAGCCACTCCTGCCCAGGCACCCCAAGCTCAAGCTGCGCCGCCGGCGTCTGAACCGAGCTTGCAGGGACATCCTGCATTTGCCAATGATGCACGACCCCAGCAAGCAACTGCCTCAACGCAGCCCACGGGAGTGGTGGCTCCAACGCCAACAGCGAGCCAGTTCCCACCACAAGCACAGCAGACACACCATGGCACCACGCCGAGTCCGGCGCCCGCACCGGGACCCGGCCCTGCGTCTCCTCCGCCGCTTCCTGAAGGCTGGATAGCTCATCTTGATCCAAACTCAGGCCAGTACTACTACATTCACCTACCTACGCAGTCCACACAATGGGAGTTCCCGAAGGGCCCAACCCCGCTGAACTTGAACGAGCCCATGTCTCCGACCAACTCGTATGCCAATCCGCTGAGTTCCCCGGCGTTCGGAAAGACACCACTAGCATCGCCTGGATTTCCTACACAGTCAGCCGGCTATCACGGTGATATGATGGGTATGGCGCCGCTCGCGACTCCTACCACGAGTGGCTTCACAGGACCGCCTCCCACCGCCGGCGTGGACATGTACAAAGTTGCTCCCACCAACAGCGTGTACTTCGGCCCCTACCTGAGGTACACGAACATGGACATTGAGCGAGGTCTGTGGCTCGGCTCGATCCTCCTAGTCACAAACACCCCGCATCCGCCAACGATCCATATCCATCAGAGCGTAGACCTGTCGCCGAATCCACGCCAGCTAAAGGCAAACCCCATCTACACGCATCAGACGTGGATATTCTACCGCTACGACGTCGACCTCAAGATGGAGGAGGACCACGCAGCAAAGTGGACGTACGCCATCACCTCGCACCTGGGATGTACGCGCTTCGAGTTCTTGGTTGCAGGGCGCCACGAGACCAGCTGGCGCTTCATTGCTCACTCGGGCAATGACTTCGCTCTGAATGTGAATGCGAACGAGAGAGCTAAGCTTGGCGGGGTCGGGTTCATGTGGAAGGACATCCTGCAGAAGAATGCGGAATGCGGCGGTTTCCACGTGCAGCTTGGGCTAGGCGGGCAGATATATGCCGATCGGCTGTGGAAGGAGATTCCTCTTCTCAAGCAGTGGACAGCAATGAGCGGCAAGGAGAACCGCAAGAACGCGCCCTGGACGGCGAAGCATGAAGAGGAGGTTTGTCACGCGTACTTCCACTACTACACCAGCCATTTCGATCAGCCACACCTTAGAGAGGCGTTTGCACAGATTCCCCATATCCTGGCTCTCGATGATCATGATATGTAAGTTGAACTCATTTGAGTGCCTAATCAAGTTGCTAATCAGATGGCAGTTTCGATGGTTTCGGCTCGTACCCTGAGTACATGCAGTTCTCCAACATGTTCAAGAACATTGGGCGAATAGGCATCGAGATGTACCTGCTGTTCCAGCACCACACCACCTTGGAGATCCTCCGCAACGTGAGCAACGAGGTGGACCTCTTCACGATTACGGGCACTGGGTGGCACTTCATCAAGTATCTCGGACCCTGCGTCGTCGCCGTCGGACCAGACTGCCGCTCCGAGCGAAACCCGCATCAGGTGATGGCTGGTCCAACGTACCAGGGCATCTTTCCCAAGGTTGCTACGCTTCCGCCCAGCGTGCAGCATTGCATATGGATGGTTCCGGTTCCGATCGTCTACCCCCGCCTGGAGTCGGTAGAGCATCTTGCCACGTCGATGGCAACCGGGAAGAAAGCCGTGACCGGCACCTTCAACATGCTCGGCAAGGTTACTAGCTCTGTCGCAGGCGTTGTGGGTGCCAAGAACGTGGTCGGCGACGGCTTCAACTCGGTCAAGAAAGCGATCGGAAAGTCTGGTCTCATGAGCGGCGTGCTGAGCCCATTCGGCGAGATTGATCTCCTCGACGAGCTGAGAGACCAGTGGACACACGACTCGAAGGTTCGTTCACTCCCCTTATCCTCGCATAGCAGTCTGCTTACACATCACAGGATCTCGAGCGCACATACTTCATCCGCACCCTCCAAGGCATCTCGCACAACAAGTCGCTCCGCATGACCTTCTTCTCCGGCGGCGTCGACTGCTGCGGCGCAGGCCTCGTGCACGACCCGTCCAAGCCGCAGGACCACAAGACCATGTACCAGATCATCAGCTCGTCGGTCGTCAACGCGCCGCCGTCCAACTACGTGCTGCGGCTGCTGCACAACAACCGCGCGCTGTACATCCCGCAGAACGGGCACCGCAGCAACCACGCGCCGTCGGACACCAAGGAGGACATGATGGAGATCTTCACACAGGACGTCAACGGCACGCCGCGCGAGTACAAGCGGCTCATGGGCCGGCGCAACTACGTCGCCTGCGTCATCTACGACCCGGAGATTGTGAACGGCACGTTCGGCCAGGCGGTGCCGGGCCACGGCAGCGGCAAGCTGTCGTTGGCGGTGGACTTCATGGTGCAGAACGACGGGCCGTACAGTGCGCCGATGAAGTATGGCCCGGTTATTGTGCCGAGTCTGGAGTATGGACGGTGAGAAGCCATGTTTTCCTTTATCGGTTTCTTTCTCAGAGATATATGTGTGTGCGTGTGTATCCAGCATGGAGCGGCGATCTCTATGCTGATTTCTATGGGTGTATGGGTTATGTTATGGTGCATAGCAAGCGTGCTTTATCCAGCCGGCCGGGCGCTTAGCGATTCGGAGGGCCTTTTTTTTTCTTCTTCACGAAGTTCGATGCGCGGCATGAGGATAGTATAGTATGAGTTAGCGAATAGCAGATAGATGATTATACTTTATTTGATGGCCTATGTCTAGAGTGTTGCGGATGTGAGAGTGAGCAGTGCTATGGAGAGATCTGAGGTGAGATAGAGATTGAGAGCGGGGACTGTTTTGTAGGTGTCTGTATGGAACGGCATTGCAAAGTGAGCTGAGGCCTTGATGCCTAGAGTATAGACTCATGGCTTTGATGTGGTATGGTGGCATGAAGGGGAGAGGATGATATTGTGTATGATGGTCTTCCTAATCGGGACACTCCTTTCTGCGCTGCAATCTACCATCGGACGACCCGCGTATATCATGTAAAGATCCTGTTCAGAGCAACTTGACGCTTCTGTGTGCTCTGGGTGGTTGGTTGCAGCGCTGTGTGTGGTAGCGGACGTCAACGCAGCGTGGGAAGGCGCGAGGGGCATGCTAGAAAAGAGCACCCGACCTGTATGATGAGATGCGCACAAGGGGGCAAGAAGAGGGTCTCGAGGCGAGGAATACCTAGGTATGCAATAAATGTCCATTGTAGCGGAGGGGGGTCAACACATCGTGAAAAAGAGCGAGGGGTCAGTGCTGGAAGCGGAGCAAGCAGAGGCAAGAGCGACCCACAGCATGGCAAGTGCATCAGGCCAGAAAAAGAAAGTCAGTCCATCGTCTCCATTCTATTCACACTCAGAAGCGCTTTCCCTGGCTTGATGGAGGGGCCGTTCCGTGGACCGGGTTGGCCTGCTTATGTCATGCCGACCCAGCGTTCCGATGCCGGTCCAAACCGCAGCAGAGCTCCCGCGGTCGCCATCGTTCACGACCACGACAAAAACAATGCGAATACACGCCACGGCAGCGCCTGCATGGCGGAATGCCTCCTCATATGTGACCGCGGGTCCCCGATATGCGGCAGAAAGAACGCCCAGGAGCGGATGCCTGCTTGCTGGTCGCGCTGAGCTCCCAGGCCAGCGGGCAGCTCCATCGTCCCGCCGAAAATTCAGTGCAGCGACTGCCCAATCGAAGCACCACCGCGCCGACATCCTCAGCTCTGTTCAGCGGCTGAACGGGATCCCGAATTCGCGCCGCTATGCTGCTGGCTTTGCGGCTGCGCCAGCCGTCTTCCGCAGAGGCTTCAGCGCAACGGCTGCCCCGTCCAAGGACCATCATTTCGACACGCTGAAGTTTGTGCAGCGATTGAAGGACGAGGGGTTCACGGAGGAGCAGGCAGTGGCCATGATGAAGGTCCTCAGCGACGTCATCGAGGAGAGGTACGTTTGCTGGCTCCCATCCCATGGTCCCTTGTCGTCGCTGACGTGCCCAGCATCCAGAACCTCACGCGCACCATGGTCCTCCGCGAAGACCAGGAGAAGGCGACCTACACGCAGAAAGTCGACTTCGCCAAACTGCGCTCCGAGCTCATGACGGCCGATTCCACCGAGTCGTCGCTCACGCGCGCCTCCCACGAGCGCTTGACAAACGAGCTGGCAAAGCTGAACTCGCGGCTCCGCGACGAGATACAGCGCACGCAGGCGTCTGTTCGGCTGGATCTCAATCTCGAGAAGGGGCGCATACGGGAGGAGGCCAACGTGCAGGAGCTCAAGATCAAGGAGACGGAGACGCGCATCGAGCAGGAGACAGCGCAGCTGCGCGAGAGGCTCGAGGCAGTCAAGTTCTCGACGCTGCAGTGGCTGATGTACGTCGACCGCTCCATTGCGGTTAGGTCGGAGACAGCTAACGTGTTTGCAGGGGCGTTTGCACGGGCACTGCGGCCCTCATGCTCGGTGTTTGGCGTTTGCTGATGTGAAGCACCTGGCGCCACGGATGCATTCTGGAAGACGGGCGCATGAGGATGCGGTACTTGCACGGTACTTGGGCCATGGTTCGGCTGGGCGGATTCCTGCGCGATACCCACAGGCGGAATGGTCGATCGCCAGATGGCTTTGCTGGATCCCTGCTCCGCATAACGTTGTGCGGTGCCACAGCAGGCGCATAGCCACGATGCTGGCAGCACGGCGGGTTGGACTTGCGCGCGACTCACGATAACACGGTGTGCGGCAATGCGACAGTGGTACGCTAGTCGTCAACACTCGGTAGTATAGATTGCGGCTGCGGCCCATCATAGCGGGCGCCCTTGCCTATACGTCAGCCTTAACACTCAGGCAATGCGCCCGCCGGCTCGCAGGCAGTCTGATATTGCCCTCCGATGATGCAATGGCGCGATGGCAGCCCTGCTTTGCCACGCGCCCGCCCACGCTGGGGCACTGTTTGTGCAGGCCGTCTGAGACGCGGCTGCTCTCGTCACTGGCCTGAAACACTGAGAGAAATAAAGGCACTTTCGTCTGGACATGGTGCGAATCATAAGCGTGAAGCGGCCCTCTTTGGGTGGATCGCGACCAAGTTTTCCAGCTGTTTCCAGCGGACGGTGATTGGCGGGGGCCGCCCCTGGTTCAGCAGCCAGTCCACTTGCTGGCGGGCGCACCTCTGGGGCGTGACTGGTGTGACGGGACCACAGGACGTCGAAGGTGGCACTGCCAGACTAGTAGTGGTACTGTGGGCACGACAAAGGGCTGCGTTGGTAGAGCAGCCCCGGCCCGTATCCGCTCACGTGAGCTCATTTCAGACCCCTCTGCTGCCAAGGCGAGCCCCGTGAGGGCAACGGAGCCGTACTGCGTAGAGACAGGAGTCGGCGTGAAGCAGGATAGTACCTAGGTAGAGAGCACATTGAACGGCTGCCCGGCGCCGGCAGCAGAGGTGACTGCGCGACGGGGCCAGCGGAGCCACGGGGAAGGCGCGGGCGCTGTGCTGGCTCGGGGCGGATCAATCGCGGTCCTGTGAAAGACGAGAGCCCTCGTCAAAAAGGCAGCCTGCGCACCTCAAAACACCCCATCCCCATCTCCGACCCACCACCTGCACCGCAACACCACACCCGCACTCTCACCCGCACCCTCCGTCCGCGCCCCTACCACACCCACACCCGCAATCCCACCTGCAACTCCGTCGAAATGGCTAACGAGGTACGTACTGCTTTATCGCGCGCCGCCCCGCGCGCTGCTGCTGCTGGTGGGATGCCCGTCTGGGCGCCCGCCTGCAGGCCCACGATAAACGTCAACAGCATGCTAACTGCGGTGCCAGCGCGAGAGGTACGTCCGCGATGCCCCCGAGCCCTGCGGCTATCTTGGCCCATTGACCACGGAAAACAGCAAGACGTTCCTGGCCCGGCTCTGCGAACAGGCTGAGCGCTACGACGGTAAGTGCTGGCGTGCCCGCCGCCCGCAGTCCGACGCGCGTTGCTAACAGTGCCCGTTCTGCAGAGATGGTCACGTACATGAAGGTCAGTCAATCCCCCTGCAGCTGCTGTTTGTTGAGGTGCATGAGCTCACTGTTGTCCAGGAAGTCGCAAAGGTATGCCAACGCACCCCGTCCCGTCACGCCCTGCGCCGGCTGCGACGACGACGACGACGACGCCCAGCTCGCCGAACCGCCTGCTAACCCATGCACAGATTGGCGGCGAGTTGACCGTCGACGAGCGCAACCTGCTGTCCGTCGCCTACAAGAACGTCGTCGGCACGCGACGCGCTTCCTGGCGCATCATCTCGTCCATCGAGCAGAAGGAGGAGTCCAAGGGCTCGGACAAGCACGTCACCACGATCCGCGAGTACCGAAAGAAGATCGAGGACGAGCTCGAGAAGGTCTGCCAGGATGTGCTCAACGTGCTCGATGAGTCCCTCATCCCCAAGGCCGAGTCTGGCGAGTCCAAGGTCTTCTACCACAAGATGTGAGTCCCCTGACGCTCTCCGACAGCCCGTCAGTGAAGCACAGTGCAGCTAACCACTTTGCGACTGCAGGAAGGGCGACTATCACCGCTACCTTGCCGAGTTCGCGTCCGGCGAGAAGCGCAAGGTTGCTGCGACTGCCGCGCATGAGGCGTACAAGGTATGACGCAATGACTAACTAATATGGCCCTTGTCCACAACAACAGTCGCTAACGGACGCGTACAGACGGCCACGGATGTTGCTCAGACCGAGCTCACTCCGACCCACCCGATCCGTCTCGGTCTCGCTCTGAACTTCTCGGTCTTCTACTACGAGATCCTGAACTCACCGGACCGCGCCTGCCATCTTGCCAAGCAGGCCTTCGACGACGCCATTGCCGAGCTCGACTCGCTCTCGGAGGAATCCTACCGCGACTCCACGCTCATCATGCAGCTCCTCCGGGACAACCTCACGCTCTGGACCTCATCGGACGGCGGCGAGGCTGAGCCGTCTGCCGAGGCGTCTGCCCCCAAGGAGGACAAGCCAGCGGAGGCCGAGAAGCCAGCTGAGCCAACCGAGGAGCAACCGCCGGCTCCTACGGCTGCCTAAACGCAACCCCCATCTCTCGACCTTGTTTTCCTTCCTCAGCCGCCGTCATCTATTCCCGGATAGACGAAGGAGGCTGTCCTGGCAGCGAGCGTCTACGGAGTTGAGTGTGTATGTGTTTCTTGCAAAATCGGTTTCAGCGAGCGGACGGATTCCCCCACGACTTATGTCTTTCCTCTATACCGGCACCTTCCCCTTTTTGGCATGCTAGCCTCTGCGGCTGCATACCTATCTCTATCACTAGCGTACTCGCTCTTCTTGGAGGCGTCGAGTTGTTAGTATGGATTGCGGGTCTGCGCTTGGTGATCTCTATGCGATCAATCCCGGGATTTCGCACAACTTTTCCTTTATGCACTCTATATGAGCACCTCCCTATTTGACGGATTGGACGGGTGTGTTGGTTGGCCTTGGCTTATTCCCTCACATTGAGGCAGGACATCACTTTTGGGCTTCCTGGAGCGGGTTCGAGAGCTCCGGTGGGCTGATTGGCAAGGCACTGTGACTGCACTCTTGGGATAGCTTAAGAAACCTTTCATTTCACGCCTGGTGCACTTCTGAGAAGTGACTCTAAATCTGTCTATGCTTTCCAAGGTTGGACTGCCTGTCACCCTGTCCATACCGATGTGATCTGGCTTTGTTGAGGCGTGCGCTATCTGACATGTGCAGGTAAGACCTTGGGGAAGGAGCCCCGCCACGCGAAAAATGTCTCGGATGTTCACCCCGCCACACCCACTGCCCTCTCATTCGCGCCGCACCCCAGAACCCACAACTACTCTTTACGGACAACTTTAGGAGTAAGTAATCTACCCATTCGTCCACGGAGCATCGACTCAACTTCACAGGCTCCAGACTGCCCGGCCAGCGCGTTAAGTCGCCAACGTATACCCTCGAAAACTCCAGCATCAACGAACACGACGAGCTCCCCATCACGAACCAGCACTCGCTCGCGATCCCAACCCCTACGTCTACGTCTATTCGAGCTACAAATGGTGCAGATGCTATACACCCAGAACTACTACTCCGTCCTCGGCCTCGCGTCCCCAACGCTACGCTCCTCGTCCTCCGATAATAATGCCTCCGCCTCCCTATCCGCCTCCCTATCCCCAACCGCCATCCGCCGCGCCTACAAAACCGCCCTGCTGAGCGCGCATCCGGATAAAGCAGCACAGGGATCTACCGTTGCAGGACAGATGCACACGCAGCACGTCGTCGGGGGAGGGGTGGAGACCCGCGGTGCTGCACGACCGGAACGCAGCGCGGAAGGCACAGGGAAAGGAACACACACATACACCGTGGACGATGTCAAGCAGGCTTTTTCCGTCCTAGGAGACGCGGCGCGGAAGCGGGAGTATGATCGCTGGCTCGCTGCTCAACCGCTGCACGGGAGTCGTGGGGATGGGAGTGGGAGTGGGATGGGGAGGGATTTCGTCCTCGGGCTCGAGGTGCTGGATTTGAGTGATTTTGAGGTCGTGGCGCGGGATTGCTCTTCGGAGGAGGGGGGTACGCCCACAAGTTTTTCTGGAGAAGGAGATGATGAGGTGCAGTGGGTTAGGCCGTGTCGCTGTGGCGCGGAGAAAGGGTTTAGGATAAGTGAGGGCGAGTTGGTGGATGTGGAGCGCAGGGGCGGGAGGGAGGTGCTTGTGGGTTGTGAGGGGTGTAGTTTGTGGGTTAGGGTCGGGTTTGAGGTTGAGGTTGAGGAGAGGTAGGGGGAGGGGGTGGTTTGCTTTGGGAAATGTGATGTGATAAGAGGAAGGGGATAGGGGAGGGATATGAGGAGGGAGGGACAGAGGCCAGACTGGTCGGTCTTCTGCCCCGAGGGAGATACGTCTGAGGCGCTCACTGCTGTTCAGGGGAACGGGTGTGACTTGACGACTCACACGTACAAACTCCCGCTCCTACCTCCGCCCAGACGAACACGCAACAACGACAGCAGCGGCTCAGAATCGCCCTCGAACATGTGCACATGACCACACAGCAAGGCCACTGCCGTTGGATATTTCAATGCTGCATTACCTCCCCCGCCTCCTCGACATCGACACCCCTTCCCGCTATCACCTCCAGCCTGCGGTCCTTGCGGAACAACGTATCCACGACTTGCTGCATGTTCAACGGCTCGGTCATCTGGGAGACATGGGATATATACCATGCAAGTTGACCGCTATTCGGCACAACGCAACGCATATTCAGCCTGCTCTGCTGCGTGCTAGGGGATGTCTGCTTGACAGGGGGTATGTGCAAAGGCCCACTAGTACTGGACGAGCAAGGCAAAATGAGTCGGCACAGAACTGTATGGAGATGAGACGGAGGCTGTGTACAGTACAGAGTGACTTCGTAGACGAGCTTCTAGCACGGTTTGATCGTACGGGCAATACATGAATGGATATCGATCGATTGTTAGTGCCCAATACTGAAGGATTGATGCGGATGACATTAGTCTTTGGGAAAACACACACGGCACAAGACAGGCTCTACTCTAGCATGTAGATAGAGAACAGTGGAGCTTTCTTTCTACACCATGCCATTGTTCCGGCCGCACCGCCACCACCACTCCTTTCTTTCTTTCTTACTTGCTCCAAGAAAAGAAAAGAAAAGAAAATCCTTGCAACAGTATAGTGGAGATCTCTACTATCCCTCCCTCCCCTCGAAACGCGTGCATCCAGACGCAGACAAGCGCTATCGATTAGCCAGCGTCGAAGATAGTCCGCCGATGTCGAAATCGACGCCCTGCGCGTGACGTGATTCCACTGGGTGGACGCGTGCCTAGCATCGAGTCGACTCGATGAGGGAGGAGGTTTATCGTATGTTGGCAGAAACAGAGGCAGGCCTGGGATAGGACTTGCGGAGGCGGGTACAGCTAGTGCAGAGAAGAGACTGGTTGCGGGGGTGTGGGCTTTTCTTTAGTTATGGAGTGGTGTGGTGTGGTGTAGGGTTGGGATTGGGATTGGGATTGGGATTAGAGTGCAGAGGGAGGGAGGGAGGGAGGGAGGTGGGGGTTTGTGGATGGGGTGGAGTGGGATGGGATGGGGGATGTCCGTTAGGGAGGGAGGGGACTTAGGAGGATCCTGAGGTTGGGTGGGTGGGGTTATGTAAGGGGAGGGAGGGAGATTGCTTGCTTGCTTGCTTGCTAATACAATATATTGATTGATTTTGCTTGTACCGAAGAAAAGGTTCAGAGCGTCTTCTTGAAGACATCGCCTCCGTATTTCCCGGAAACAAGTTAGTTAGTACTAAGTAACCGACCATAAGAGTAGGTACCTCGACGTAGCTGGCGATACGTTCAGGACCACTTCTCCCATTCAGTTATTCCTCAAGTGGGCGAAATACCAGACCAGAGCAGACTAGAAAGAAAGAAAGTTAGCACTCGGGAAATCTTCCCCCTTAGCGTAGTTCAGCCAGCAGACTACAGACATCGAACGACTGGTGGCAATATCTACCCACGTGCAGCCAAATCACAATAGTAATACTATCTGTCGTCACCCACAAGGCATACCTACCTACATTCTTCTCCCTCCCCACCCCCGCACTGTGCATTTCCGCACTTTCCCTTTCCAGCCTCTGCCGCTGCTTCTACTAGTAGGTACATCAAAATCCAGCCAGCCAGCTAAGGCAATCCGGCACACCCGCGTTGTGCAACCTCGGGGTTGTGGAGTGAGATGAGTGAGTGCATGAGTGAGTGCGCCAGCCGGAGATCCATCGTGACCGGTCCTCTTGGCGCTCACTACCGACCGAGTGACCGGTCAGATCCCCGGATTCCGGTGAGTGACTGAGTATGCATGCGGGCGGCTTTGTCTGGATATGGATATGCAGTGAGTGAGGAATCGCTGAGAATCAAGAGTATGTCGCGCCACGTGCTGCACGTCCGCTGGTAGGTCTTGCATGGCATGTGATCACGGCTATTCTGAATTGCATGCATGCTATGCTATGCTACTCCGTACAACACTACGAACAGGACAAACAGCTAATCTGGTCTGGTCTAGTCACTCCGTTTCTAACAACTAACCAAGACTGATATGAGAAAGATGGGGGAGGGGTGAAGAGGGTACAACAAAAGCCCCCTAGATTGCAAAAAAGGCCGTTAGGGTGGAAAGTGTGTTGTAGGAGTCTCAATATGCTGTCTGTCTGTCATGCATCTTGAAAAGATTGTTCGTGAAGGTCGTCAACGTATATAACACCCCGAAGTCCCACCGCCGCTGGAACGCTTCAATAAGAGAATACAAGCCGTGAAATGTAGTAGAGTAACCCGAAAAGACAAAGTCATGAAAGATGGATGGATGCTTCGAAAACGGGAGCCACGTGTCCGAGGCTGGGGAAAAAGCCAGCCTCAAGGACGGTGGGTGCACGGAAAACTGGTCGAAGCGAGTGCGTGAAGTCGTTATGACGGCAGCCAGAAAGAAAGTAGGAATGAGCCGACAAGGCGAGCCGTGTACTTGGCCTGGTTCGAGGCCGAAATACTGATGCTCTGCCTCTTCTGCAGATAATCGGCTATACCATCGTTAGCTCCTTGATGCAACACACACGGTTTAAAGGCTATGGAAAAGACTCACTGTTATCCTTCACCAACTGCGCCACGCTCCTCACAAACGTAACGCTGCTTTCGTCGCCAAACCCAACCTCCTTCTCCCACTCGTGCTCCGCGTCGCGCAGCGGATTGCACTTGCGGTTGTACTTCCACCTGAAGATCTGGCTGATAAAGTTCATCCTGGCATCGACCTCGCGGCACGCAATATCCGCCTGTGCCTGCGCATCGCGCGCATCGAAGCCCTCGGTAGCCGCGCGCGTCGCCATGACCTGGTGGATAGTCTTCTGCTGGTCTTCGTGCGCCATGGCCATGCAGACGACGGCGACGAAGGCCGACACCCACTTGTCGCAGCCCTTGGATGATTTGAAGATTTGCTGGAGCTTGTTGAGGACGTGGGTTAGGGTGCTGCGCTGCAGGCGCGCGAAGAAGTATTTTAGTTGGCGGTTGGTCATGCGTGGGGAGGTGTAGTTCTGGATGTAGGCGGAGGGGCCGGTGTAGGAGTGCATTTTGGAGAGGGTTTGGGTTTTGGTTTCTTCGGCTATGGTGAGGGTGTGGGACATTATATAGGTTGTTACGAGGAGGCGGAAGACTTCGCGGAGGAGTTTGGCCTGTCGCTCAGTGTTAGTTCGTCTCTCTGGGGTTGTGCTGATGCGTCTCGGTGCTTCTTCCGCTCGTGCTTACGGTGAGCGTCCGATCGTTGATATGCCTTGCCACACTACGCACAAAGAGTGAATTGGGAAATGGAAACGTACCTCATCCTCAGCCTTTGGTTTAACTCTCGTCAAGAGCTTGAGCAATCTGGGAGCGAAGTCGTTGTCGTCTTCAGCCCAGCAGATATCCGCAAACGCATCCATGTGGTTATCCACAATCTCGTTGACATACTTATCGTACTTCTTCTCCTCATTATGATTGATATGCACCATGCCCAGCGCGGGGCTCCTCTTCTTAAGCGAGTACCTTTGCTGCGTCTGCGGATCCGTCTGGTACTGGATCTGCACGAGCAGCTCATCGCCGCGCGGCGCAAACTCGTACACCTTGACCGGGATCCGCGGCATGCTCTGGCTGCACGTCATGTAGATGGTGATTTCGGTGTTCCCCCACTGCTGGATGAATTGGGACACGAAGTGCGTCAGGTGCGTGTCCTCATGGATCTGCATGGTCAGCATGGGGAGGAAGTACGGCGCCAGCTCGACGAGCTTGATGCGCGAGCAGCCGAGGCCGCAGTCTGCATTGGGGCGCTGCGAGCGCTTCAAGCAGCGTTCGCAGATGTCGCCGGGTCCGCACTGGGAGCTGTCAATCCAAACGCCTCAGGAAGAGGGAAATCCAAAATCTTACTTTGTCTCGCTGTAGCACGCAGTGCCAGCACGCGACGATCTTGCGCATGTCATGTGCCGACTTGGCTACCTTTGGGTCCAAATGCGTTCCGAGTTGCCGTCCACCGGGACGGCCGGTGCCCTTATTAGAGGACGTCCGACGACCAAGCTGAGATTCCGGCTCCGGCGATGCATCGAAAGATCCTTCGCCCATTACCTCCACGGGCGATGGAGCAGGTGGAAGCCGAGTATCGAATGGCTTGTTGGGATAAGGATCGATCATCATATTTGCCTCCGACTGCGTGTACGAAGAGTACATGCCCTCGGAGCCGCCGGGGCTGGCTGCTGATGCCTGCGGGCTGGCAACTCCTCTCTGGAACGATGTCCGTACAGGATGGTCAATAGACGATGTGGTCGGTGATGCAGGCTGGTAGGAGTCTGTCCCGGTGATATATGTCTCCGTAAAAAGAGGAGACGTTGCGTCGAGGTTGACGAAGTTCTGGGAGTCTGGGCGTGGTGAGGCTGGGGTGAACTTCATCTCGATACGATTGTCGGTTTGCATTTGGGGTTGGTTCTGCGTGCGGTTGTTCGCTTGTTGTTGGATGAAGTTCTGCTGAGCTGCTATGGCGAAGAGGTCTTGTGGCGGAGCCATGGTCTCGTTCGGGGAGACGAGGTAGTTGGGGTCAGTGTTGTTCATGGCCCAGTAATCGACGTCATTAACGAAGGCAGAGTAGTCCAGGGGATCAGTGGCAGGGTCGAAGACGGCAATCCCAGAGCGCGGCGTATTGGGGTTTCGTGGAGGCCCTTGGCCAGTCCAAGGGTCCTGTTGCGGTGGCTGGCGCGTATAGTTCTGGGTCTGGCCAAAGAAGGTGTTAAACTGCTGAGACTGGACTGTGTTCTGGAGTGGCCGGCTTTGCATTGTGAACTGGGTGTGGTATTGCGGTGGTTGAGAGGCCTGAGCGGCCAACGTAGCATAGACTGAGTCTTGGATGGCTGTGACTTGTTAATCGCGGGCGCACTGAATCACGGAGTCACATACCCTGATCAGAGATTGTTCCTTGGGCTGTGAAGAACATGTTGGTCTCTATAGAGGGAATGGCGCCCTGGGAGACCTGGGTCGCCATGATGCCTCCATTTTGACTCTGGTAGAAGTTCCGTACGGACTCGGTGTCCAGCATCTCAACCTCGAATATGGTGTCGTCCGGCGTCCTGACAGAGGTGGGAGAATTGGATAAGCTGCCGAAGCTATCATCGTAGACCATCTGATCGGGTTGATCTGGCAGCACTTCAGGGCCTCGCGAGGCGTTGCGACTCTGCGGCGGGGTGCTCAGAGGGCCCGGTGAGTGTCCAGTATGATTGATCAAGGACGTAGGCGTTTTCGAGCGTTGCGAATCATACTGGCCATATCCAAATGCGTTCGGCGCGACCAAAGCCTGAGGCTGCTCCTGGTACGGGTAGAACTGTGAGTAGTTGGACATGGTGCGCAAAAAGGCCGTTGACGGCGGGCCGATGAGATTAAGCCAAAGTCAGACACTGACTGCGCATCAGTTGCCTTGCGGACTGCCTTGCGGGAAGAATTACGCCAGGGCCCGGTTCTGAAGGCTGGTGGCCGAAGGAGAAATCCAAGCACAGCTCGTATTGTCGCGCGGATTGGACCACGAAGAAGCGCGAAGCAAGCGACCGGGGATGCGACACTGGTCCGCCAAAACTGAGGGACGACCAGCGCAAGACTCGAGGGACGGTAAGAAGATGAAGTGTCTCACTGGCAAGCGGCTGAAAGATAGAGCAGCGCAGACGCTGCTCTCTCGCAGCTCTGCGAGCAATTACTCTGACCCCGCGCAAGACCGGTGAACAGAGGCTTGCGGGAATGCAGCTATTGGTCTAGCTCCATGGCCCGAGATGCACAGCATTCGGGTCGCACCAAGCGCAGTCGCGGGTAACTCGCCGCAATCACCAAACTTTTAAGAGGAGGGCGTCATGAGGAGACCAACGCGAAGCATACCGTGAAGAACCGAAGCCATTTCGTCCTCTCTCTTTTGTCTTTTGCCTCTCGATCTCCTGATGAATTGCCGACGGCAGGATGCCTCAGGCTCGTGGGCTGTCGCGAAACGCACACAGCCACGCTCGCTAACTGCTGGGCCGGCGCTCCCCAAGACGAAAAGAGACGTCGCACAAGAGCTGATGAAATGATGAGCGCGGGATTGGGGATTGTGCTTTTTGCTGCGGCTCTGCCGCATTGACCGGTTTGGACGAAGCACGAACAACGCACGCAGATAACAGGCCTTCGAACGCTCAAGCCAATCGTTTGCTCGGAGGGCGCCGCCAGTGCGCAGATTCCCATCGCTTGCGCATCCTTCTGCAGCAGCACACCAAGAGACGCAGCATGACAGTGTGCAGCAGATCGCCGGAACGCCAGCACATCCCTCGATATGAAGTCTTCCATGGGCAGAAGTGGTATGGACTTCCTCGGAGGAGTGCTGATCAGGACGGCAGCCACAGCCGTAGTTTCAGCCTTAACTTGAGGCGGTGCTGTTTGGCGTCAGATTGCCAGTGGAGCGGCTCTCCTCGTCGCAGGATGGATACGGCATGGGACGGCTGCCGGCTTCCTGGCGCTGCGTCTCTGACCGCAACTTCGGATGATTCTGCCTCGCTGCGCAGGACACTCCATCGCCTCGCTTTTCTTTTCAGGGCTTCCATCAGCGGTCATCGAAAGACGAGGAGAATAACGCAGCGAAGATAATCAGGCAGCACTCAGAGCCGCGACAATGGAGTCTCTGCATCTTGGAGGAGACGATGGACGACGGTTGATGAGTAGCAGCAAGGCGTAGCCCAAAAGGGCAGCCCTTTTATTCCGAGCACTCCGGTACTTGGCGCCTTTAGGAATCTCCCAACAACTCCAGCGAATCAGTCCCGCAAAACGTAATCCTACCGCGTCGACGATCAGCGCCGGAGCTCAAGATACCCTCAATCCTCCGTCTTCGGAGTCACTGCTGAACAGTCATGGACGAGCAATTGGGCAATGACCCAATTCCCACTTCCGCAATGACACCTGTCTCATCATCCTCGCCTCATCGCAGATTGCGCATGGCAACGCGAGATGCTGCGAAGAAACGGAAAGCCCAGGTCAGTCTCACTCCGAGAGCAGTGGTTCACGCTTACTAATTAATGTGTAGGTCTTGCGAGCCATGTCGAATCTCCAAGATTCGGTGTGACCATACGACGCCTACGTGCGACAAATGCCAGTCGCGCGGAATCACAGAACAAGTTAGCATCAAGCGGAACCATCATCATGCTCTTGATGTTGATGTTTGGATAGTGCTTTTACCATCCGGCGCCAATGACCAAACCACCCGGGACGCCACGAAAACAACCTGAACCTCGTCGTCGCGTCACGAAGTCCAGGTACTCCGAGCCATGCGAAACGCGCGGTCACGGGCAGCTCACGTCGCTGAGCTTGAGCCCTACCACGCTCCGGAATGACCTTGGCGGTGCCGCCTCAAGCCATGGGGCGAGCATGTGGCCAACGCCTCCTGATTCCGCTACGAGATCCACAACGCAGAGCGGCGCAGATCCCGCTCGGAGCTTCTATCTCGGCTCGACAAGCTATGCCAGCGTCTTTGCGGAAGAGCAGCCCATGCCGGATTCAATCCACGAGCAGCCTCCCGAAAGGATGAGTGCGACGCCGTCTATAGCGTCCAGCGGGCCGGTTGGAACACGACGTTGCCGAATGAGCATAGCCGCATCAATCGTGTCGAAGCTCGCTCCCTTCTCTCTATTCGAAAGATGCGTAGAGATGTACTTCAAGGTCCACAAAGCGTCCGCTTTAAATGGACCTCTCGTCATGTCTGTATTGCCCCAGCTTCGGAAAGATCTGGAGCAGCTGGCCAGCATGGCGGACCCATATCCTGCCTATGCCGAGATTACGAGAAACACTGCTCGGCCCTTAAAGGTGCCCTCCACCATGGTGCCGTCGGAGTTTCACACGCTTTGCACAGGCCAGAATCTGCGGTGGGAGACCATGGGCCTAGCCTTGATCATCTCCGGATCGATTGCGCAATTCAGTTCCCCCGATGCGCCCATCTTCGACCTGGGGAACGGCAGGATGATAGATAGAGATGAATTCATAGAGGATACGATGCATGTGAGCAACGACTGCATTAATCTCTGCCAGGTCCACGGCGCAGTCAACGACATCATGGTCTGGCTCATCTATGCCAACCTCCTCGTCACTAGCAACTTCTATGGAGACAATTACCACGGTGTTTGGCGACGAATGGGCGACACTGTATCAGCACTATACGCCGAGGGCATTCACTGCGAGGACAGCGATGAGCCGTTCTTCCTCCGGGAGCAGCGAAGGAGGATGTATGCTGCAGTATATAGGAGCGACAAGTGCTTGGCCGTATTCTTCGGTCGTCCGCCAATGATGTCGTGGCGCTATAGCGACCGGAAAGAGCCATTAGATATCGACGACGAGATCATGGCAAGCGACGATCCCGTGCTGCTAAACGAAGCGCTCTCGAAGCTCGACAGCGAGGGCTGGAACACAGAGGGCAGGATCTCTGCCATTTCCTGGATCAAGCTGCGGTTCCGGATGGCGAAAGTCAAAGAGCGCTTTCTCCAGCTGTCTCTCGCCGGCGACAAGAATTGCGACATGACAGACAAGATACAGTAAGACAAGCCCTTCATAATTCTACACGCCTCGTGTCTCGAAGCTGACAAGTCCAGAACGATAATCGAAGACTACCGCCAATGCTGGGAAACCATGCCCCCACACCTGCGCTACGACCTCTACGACGAAGACTCAGCCTGGTCCGCCGTCGGCCAGCCCATTGCCCTGCGCATGATCTCCGCCTACCTCGAATACCTGCACACCGACTTCCAGATGCAGCGGCTGCTGCGCCGCCAGACGCAAATGGCCGTGCCCGCGCTGCTGGAAAACTCCATGAAGCTGCTGTCCACGGTGCTCGTCTTCAACAAGCAGCGCGACCAGGAGTACGACATCCGCCGCCACTTCCCCACGCTCGTGCTATTCTACTGCCTGCCGAGCGCCGGCGTCCTGGCGCTCGAACTGCGCAGATGCACGCTGGAGAATGTGCCGCTGCCGAGCACGGTCAGCCGCGCGGATATTATACGGAATCTGTCGGTGCTGATATCGTGTTTGGAGTGGGCGATTCTGCCGGGCGACGGGAACCATAAGCTGTGCAGCGAGCTGAATAAGATGCTGGCGCTGGTGCTGGACGAGGTGCTGAACTATCAGCCGCCGGCGAATAATGAGAGTCAGGGTGAGGGCGGGAATGCAGGCGTGGTGGGAGCGGGTGGTGGAGCGGGAGGGACGAGCGGGTTCTTTGATATGCCGTTGATTGATGGCATGGAGCCGATTCCGACGGAGAGTGAGGACTTTTTGAATTGGTTGGATAATGCTAATTGGAATAATACGGTACGTACAATTTCCGTGCTGAGCGAGGTTGCGGAGAGGAACCCGTGTTCGTGGAGAGGTGTGGATCGTGCTGACAGAGGAACAGTATCTCTTTTAAGGTATATCCTTCGGGCAGGGCGTCACGGCATCGGCGTTAAACGGAAGCACACTAGATCGAAGCTCCCTTCCATCATGGATGCTGTGGATATGGCATGCTCATCATGGACAAGACCTAGCTCGACATACGAAGAGGTCAACGATTATACATTCTGTTACCTGGGTATTACTTCCAAAAGAACGCCAGTATTCATTCTACCCCCTCGCATGTTCCATTCCGCAACTTCTTCGACCCGGAGATGCGCCCTTGCCAGTTCCTATCACTCCCAAGCAACGTATCCTCTCGTTCTGCGTATGTATTCCCACTGCCCCGAGACCCCTCTACCGCGTCGACGCATACGTCGCCGCAGCAGCATAGAACGGCTCCTTGTTCACGTACTGCTTCGGCTTCTTCTCCTTGCTTGAAGTCGAAGACCCGGATGCTGCGGATGGCGTCAGTATAATCCAGAGGGCTCGCTTGAATGGTTTCATACACTTTCGGCGGTGGAAGATTCCCGTCAGACTCTTCTTCGAGCTATTCGATGTGACGGAGAAGGCATCGGAAGGTGTGTAAGGCGGTGGAGCGGAGGAGGTGGACACGCGTGGAGTGGACTTCTCATTCGAAGTATTCATAGTAGAAGAGGTGTTGGTATTAGAGGACATGGCGATGAGTCAGGCGTATTTAGCGTTCGACGACGAGAGTCACCGAGAAAGTCAGAATTGGTAGTTCGACAGAGATAGAGGAATGAAGACAGCAGAATTGATACTAAGTAGATATCTTCGAGCTTGTGGAGAGATGCTGAGTGAGATATCTACCTCCAGGCGTGCCATCCCCACATCTTATACCTGCCTGCCATCATATTCCTCCACCCATTCCCCCCTTCTTACCGGAATGACTCAACCAAGCCAACCCTCACAACAGCCGCACACCGTTCACCCGTCCCCTCGGACATATCTTACTCATATCCCGCTATAACGCAAGCTCCTAACCGCAGCAACAGCCATTAAGCGTGATGTCCCTCCAGGCAGAAACAGTCACCACGCACCCTAGCCTCGTATGGTCACTTCCGCATGCGGACTAGGCATGGAATTGGACGAAGCGAAATACGCGGCCTGGTCTGGCCTGGCCCCCGGAGGAATTGGGATTTGCGAGCACCGGTGCTGGGAAGGGAATGTCCGAGCACCGGCGGGTCGGCGTTGGAGGGAGGAGTTGGGTGTGAGGCGTTCGGAGTTGAATGTATGCCGGTGGGAGGTTTAGTCCGAAGCGAGGAGTCATAGAGGCGTAGGATTACCTAGGGCAGATGCGGTGTATTTGGCGGTATTGGCATCGAGAAAAGGGTGTTACTTGCGGGTGGGACTAAAAAAGCCTTGTTTATGCTGCCGTGGAGATGCTTGGTGAGCTTGTCATGCTGAATGTGGGGTTGGTAGAGGGGTCCTGGTTCTGGGGTTCGTAAGTGTCTTCCGCGTCTCATGTCATCTTGAGCGAGCTGTCTTCTTCTCGTGCATACTTGCTCTCTGTGTGAAAAAATAGGAAGCGTGTCTACGCGTCTAGTCTTCCTCTGCTACCCGGGCTTGTCACGCCAATTGAGAATTGTTCGAATCCAACTTTGGAATCCGAGCACTCAATGCCTCTCGCTTCCAGTACCATCAAGAACGCCGATTTGTTGATATTGGGGTTCACAGTTCTGAATGTCTCTTAAAAATGAAGATGTTTGCAGTGGTGGCCATCCCGCTGTGGAGGAAGGATGGAAAGCGCAGATTACTGGACCCGTCTTAGCGTGTACCTCTGTACTTGATAGGACTGGTTCGATCTATCTCCTTCCAATCATTCATCGAAACAATTAAGCGGCGACAATGAACCTTCAATGTCTGGGTAGCTGCACGTTGCTGCGTACAGAGTGTTGTGCCATGGATCAGCCCTGAGCCATCATAATAGAAGACTCGAAGATCACACTCTCTTATAGCTGCATCCGATTTCATCAATAAGCTGGGAGAGGAAGAACATTGGAAGCTTTCGAAAGGGTTATATTCGTTGGCTACATTGCGCATGGTGAACTTCCATGTTGAACCAATCGGAAGTCGGCACGTGACTGCTGGTGCCTTACGTGAACCTGCAGGGATAAGCGCCAAGACCGAGGGCGTGGAACTTGGGATTTCTGAGTGAACATGCCCTTTCTCTCATCCCTCTCTCCCACCACAGACCCCTTTTGCAGCCGCTCTCTCACGTCGGGCGGACCATCTTGTCTACCGTAAACTGCGGTCACTTTTCTACTGCAAAAACCATAGCCCGCCCTTCGCAAGACCTGCAATCCTCGACCACAACCTCCGCCGCTATGGCCGCGCCAAAGGCCGGCGGCTTCAAGCTCTCACTTTCCGGAGCGAAGAACAAAGCTGGACTCACATCAACTCCGCAGCGTCCCGCAAAGCGCCCACGCCTCGATCTCGGCGACGACGCACCCGAGGAGGACAACAAGCAAGAGATTTCGGGCTGGGACGCAGCAGAAGGCGGTGCAGTAGATGCAAGCGGCAAGAAGGAGGAATCGAAAGGCCCTCGGGTCATCCCGCCGCTGCCAAACCGCAATTGGCGCGAGGAGGTGCGGAAGAGGCAGCTCGCCAGAGCCGGTGGCCAGGGTAACCAGGATGGCGTGAATACGGAGGAGTCGAAGATGGCATACGGCTTGACTACATTCAAGAAAGACGCGCAAGAGAAGAGCCCATCTCCTGAGCCCATGGATACCGCCGAGGATGGCAAGGAGGCCGACGATGGTCTCACCGAAGCGCAGCGGCTTGAGAAGAACGCCCTCGACGCACTACTTCACGGCAAGGCCACGGATCACAGCATCATCCCTATCCAGTCCGAAGAGGAAGCCTTCCAGCACGACTTCCGCGAAGCCCCCGACGCACCCACCCTCGAAGCCTACGAAGCCGTCCCCATCGAAGGTTTCGGCGCCGCGTTGCTCCGCGGTATGGGCTGGAAAGACGGCGAAGAGATCGGGCACGACAAGAAACCGGCGGTCAAGCCTAAAGAAATCAAGCGTCGTCCTGCTTTACTAGGCATCGGTGCGAAGGAGGAAGCGGCTGTGGGCATTGAGCTGGGGGAATGGGGCAAGGGAAAGAATAAGGTGAAGCAGAGCTACAACCCGGTTGCGCTGCGTAACAAGGTCACTGGAGAAATTATCACCGAAGAGGAGTTGAAGGCTAGGCTCGAGGCGCAGAAGATGGTTGATGACGCGAAGCCGGAGAAGAATTCTAGCAAGTATAACGACTATGATGAAGAGAAAAGACGCCAGAAACGGAAGGAGAGAAAAGATCGGGATCTACGGGGAGAAGCCGACTACGATAGCGAGCGTCGCCGTGACAGCGATCGACGGGATGAGCGCCGGAGGGACAGAGATGACGACTCCTCGGACCGAGAGAAGAGGCGAGAGAAGAGGCGCTACCGAGACGACTATGACGACAGCGATCGGAATCGAGAAAAGAAGAGATATCGGGACGACGACTACAATGACAGCGATCGACGGCGAGAGAAGAGGAGGGACCGCAGCAGAAGCCCAGCCGACGAGAAGAGGCGCGAGAGGCGGCGTGAGCGCGATCTTCGAGAGCGGGATAGGAGCCCCGACAGCGACGACTATCGAAGGGAAAAGCGTCGCGAGCGTGAACGCCGGGACAGAGACCTGAGGAGCCCAGGCAGAGACAGCGATGACTACAGGAGAGAGAAACGCCGCGAGCGGGACCGCCACAGAGAGAAGAGAAGCAGGAGTCGGGATACTAGAGACAAGCGCGAGCTGAGGGCTTAAAAAATGCCAGAGTATCGTAGTAGGCGGTTCTGTGCTGCTTTCTGGGCCTGCTGGATGGGCGGTCGAAGGATCGCATTGGAATTAAGTAGTGACAGAACAGGAACAACGCATCCGGCGTACTCTTGCTGAGCCGTTGAACAGTGTCAGCGGTTTACATGTCAATCTAAGGAGTGCATGCATATATAGATTAGAGATACCCTGAAGCCAGAATGCGGCATCTATTACTACATGAACCCGCCCAATGTAGTGACGCAGAATCCGCAAAGGTAGCAGTACGGTTAGTAGCCGTCTTATTTTAAGGTAGTGATAATCCCAGCGTGCCTTGGGTCTTTAATGGCTTAAGCCCATTTAGGAACCAATTTCCGCAGTTGAAAGCTACCTAGGGTAAGACATGCTAGAGTGTGTAACACAATTAGCGTAATATTTGTAATCCCTTCAAGAAGATAGCAGTCCATCGAGGGGTGAAAGCACATGATAATTTCCGGGACTAGGTGTTAGAACTCTTAGGGTTATACACTACATACTACTAGTACACATGTATCCAGGTGATCCCACAGCCAGACAAGAACGCTCACGCTCATCTAATGCTTTGCGCCAAAACGCCGTCCCCCGCGGTCATTCCATCATCCGGGCGGGAAATGCAAAAGGGGAAAATATGTACAATGAAAAGAGACGGGCTCAGAAGTTCCTCGAGGCTAGCGGCGCCGGTTCCGCAGGCTTGTACGCATTCGCGTTGCCGTTGGAGTATCCATTAGCATAGCCGTTTGTGTTGGCATAGCCATCGACATGGCCATTCGTCGGTCCACGATAATATCTCTCCGGATTGGCAGCGCCATCGCCCATGTCGCCGCCCCTTGCCATCTCCATCTCGGTCTGGCGGCTCTGGTGGTGCCTGCTGCGGAGGACGGGCATGAAGTCGATGAAGAAGCTGGCGACGTAGAAGAAGAAGAAGAATGCTATGACCCACTCCAGCACCGCGGCGGTGTTCCAGTGGTGCTGGTTGCCCAGCACGCCGAAGGCGATGGCCAGCGCGAGCTCGATCAAGATGAAGTTGAGCTTGATCCAGAAGCTGATGCGCAGCACGCTGTGCTGCCGGAAGTGGATCCCTAGCCGCTGGTACTCCCAGCAGATGAAGATGGCGGACACGATGTAGCCGATGATGAAGACGGCGAGGAAGACGTTGTGCAGCCGCGGGTGCCGGACTGTGTCGAAGATGGAGAGCAGGATCAGGCCGACGCCGCCGACGATCGCGCCGACGATTGCGATGCCGCTGTATATTTTCTGCCAGATGGAGGTATTGGGGGCGAGTTTGCCCGTGTGCCGCAGCCAGCGCTCGAAGACGAAGGCGAGGTCGAAGGTTATGACGGTTACGGCGGACATGGCGATGAAGAGGGGCTTGAGACCTTGGGCGCCGACATCTGTTACTCTCTGTCAGTTTTTCTGTTCTTCGTTGGAGCATTTTAGAGGTTGGTAGGCCTTACCAGATATGTAGGCGATCCTTTGGCCCTCGTTCATGGATGGGTAGTGTGGTGAGCCCTGTGTCGTCCATGACACGAGCATGGCAATTAGCATCGCCAGCCATACTAATGAAGAAAAGATGGGGACAATCCAATAGGATATCCCCCACATGATTAAGGCAGTTCAATCCAGAGATTGCAGTGCGCTCGCGATGCTGATGCTGGCGTCCAGTGGCTCGTTGTTTGCTCGGAAGGCGCGCAATGCACGAAGGAGCAACGGCACGCGACCAGACGGAAGCAGAAGGGAAATAGAATCTTGGAAAAGCCGGGGTTTCACTCAAGGTACCGCGCGCGTCGGAGTACAAGTTCGTGATTCCAAGGAAGCGGCGACAGGAGCAATAAAATTGCATCAAGACTTGTCGATGCTACCTACCTAGGTATGATGTCACCACACATTTTACGCCGGATGGCCCGCTAAAGGCTCCGCACGATTCCGCGGCGGACGAAAGCTCGGGGTCCACGTCACTGCCGAGAATCGAGAACGTGATTCTGGCAAATGTGTCCGGCATATTATTATTGAGCGATCTTCTGATGTTGTGCCTGGATTCGCGTACGGGAGATCTAAGGTGGGCAATCCGGGAGTGGCTTGATGGCTGATGAGAAAGGGTGGCTTAGGGATTCGTAATGTGACTAAGCGCTCTGGGTTAGCGGAGGAGAGCGTTATCCCCAGCCTCGCACGAGGCTGGTGGCTGTCAAAGTGTCCACGGGTGAACTAGCCACGCGCTGGTTCCTCCATGTGGTGTTGACAGTCGAGGTTGGAGCGTCAGCAATGACATCTGGCCAAAGTTCACGATGAAGGATGAAGCGCCGGCGCTTGCTCTATTCTTGAGTGCTCAATCTCGCTTCCAAGCAGGAAATTAAGTGAGATGAAGTCCCAAACCGCGATCTCGGGCATGCGACTCTCGTATTGCTTCCAGGTTCCAACTGCTTCCTGCAGCTCCGACTGCGAGCACATCGTCATCTCAGTCTGAAGCCGTTCCGCTCTTCAACGTGGTGCCAGGCAAGAGGACCTTGAAGGCGGCCTGTTTCAGTCGAGAAATTGCGCAGCCAACATCTCTGATATGAATGGTATCCGGTGCGCCTATACTCGAGGCAGATATGGTCCGCATGAACGCCTGGTTTCGGCAGGAGGTACAAAACGCACCTCAGGCAAGGGCCCTTGGCTTGCAGGGAACCATCTCCCAAGGTTCCTTGTCGACGCCGGCGGTTACAGGACAAAGCTTCCGTGGAAAGCCATGGACAATTTCCGCCGCATGCTGAAATAATGATGGAGATCAGGTACGCGAAAGCGGAAAAGACGCATCAGCAGCATCTTCGATCGAAAATCTGCGACAATATGTCTGACGCGCTTGCTGAGCCGCCTGTCACTCACTATCTCGCTGTCAACCGCGACAAGAGCGGTGGGAGAACACGAGGAGGCGTAAAGTCTGGTTGAGCTAGTTCATGCATTCTGCATGTCTTGATGTGGCGGCATGGGAATTGGAATTTGGCGAGGCAGGCGGCGCCATTTTGAGCAGGCGACGCCGTTGATATAGCACCCGACGTCTATATAACGCTCGGCCGATGCTCCGAGCGCGACATGAGGTAGAAATGAGGGGATCGGATCCATGGAAGAGTTGGCAGCTTTTAGAAGCCGGTGACAGCCAGTGCTCGAAACTGGGCCACAACAGCGTTACGATCAACCGTCACACTTCCTGACGTGTGCGGATCCTCTCCAGGATCAGGCCTCGGACGCGCAGTGCACCCGCGAACCGAAGCTCGATTGGCCTCAAAGTGCCGGAGTTGTCGATGTGTGATTGGCGAAATAGTCGCAATCCTCGATGCGGGTTGGGCCGTGCGTGACTGGGGGTTTCACCTCGCCAGCTCTTCCAAGTTTGTGTTTACAGAGATGCATCCAGCTGCTTCTGCAAGACTCGTAATCCGCCTGTCACTCCCACGGACGCCTGATCCAACACCGATTTAACCATCTGGGCGCCTCAGAAGAAAAGAACGGCTTCTCTTTTCTTCTGCATTGAGCTATGAGTTCGCTGTGTCTTTGTTGACCCGCACTGGCCTCCCGTTCCCAGCCCCCACTACCATTCGGTAGCTTCCTCCGCTTAATATAAGGTGAGCTCTCTCATGTAGCTTCCCCGCCCTGTGGCCTCTCTAAATCGACTTCTTTCCAGCAGTGCTGTCCCAAATGTCTCTCGTTTAATCGGTGTTGAGCCGTGTTGAGCCGTGTTGCTCCTCGAATACCGTTCCCAAAGCTTCGACAACATGGGCAACGCTCAGAGTGCCGGCCACGACCATGAACACCACCACCACAGGCTTTCCAAGCCGAAGACGAATACGAACTCGCCGTCTCTGCCCGCGAAGAACGATTCTCCTGTGTCCATTAGCTCAAGATATGCGAACCTGAGCTTCAGAGAGCGGCAGCAGATCAAGACGCACCTGCTGTCGCCGATTGACACGGACTTTGGGCGTCCAGACTCCTCAGACGCCGACGATGAGTTGGGAGAGCTGGCTGCAACCCTCCAGAGGCGATTATCGACTCTTTCAACGTCCAACTCCCTGTCATGTTTCGGTAGCAAGGACAGCCCGACGGCCAAGTTTGGAAGCCTGCCTGGCTCGAAGGTCTCCCTGGTCTCGAACGGCCAGGTGGTGGATCTAGATACGGCTATGGAAATCCTGCAGGAGGTCAGGAAGAATGCTTCGCGAGAGGATCTTGCAGCGCTCCGTGGGTTGAAGCTGGAACGCCGCCTTGATCCTCGCTAACGTGTCTCTTCAGATCAAGCTCTACAATCTTCGGGCACTTGCCCGTCACCCCGTCCGTCTCCTGTTCCCGAGCAGGGCGTCACCCGTAGAACGTCCATCAACAGGTCCTCTTCCTCCCTTATTCGGCGACGCTCTTTACTTGCGACCCCTGGCGTAGCAACACGCAATTCGCCCATCGAGAGAAACAGACGGACATGGAACTCATGGAGGACACCACAACTTGAGTCTTCCGAGGGAGCGAAATGGCGAGTCGACATGATGGGTACATCTCCGCTCACTCGTCTTACCGCCCTAGATTTAGCGGAGCAGGGTCGGGACTCGCCCACCCCTCGAGCGCGGACGCCTGGAGACATGGAGTACTCTCATCTTGGATCACTGAAGCTCGGCTCCTTGGTAGTTACCAATGGAGCACCCTCGCCAGCACCCAGCGCGAAGGTGTCCCGTCTACTGAATTCCAACCCTGCTCCAGAGGAGGATTACTTCACGGCATCCGAAAGGTGCGACAGCCCCATCATGATGAAGCCCACCAAAAGGCGCTGGCACAAGAGAAGCAAGTCTGCGGTCCAGCCTATGACACCGCCGCTGTACCGAAATCTCCGCGTTCCCGATCAACCAAGGCGGGCGAAGACGGCATCTCGGTGCGATAGCCCCTTGAAGGCAGAAGCTCAAAATGTCCTTCTTGACGATGAGCCTGAGCCCGAGCCTATGAGACGCCTTCGAGTCATGAACAAGAGCGCAGACACTCTTGCAAAGGCCTATCAGGCTGAAATATCGAATAGCCCTTTCGACTCTTCTTTCAACCCTCATGCAGGTGATCTTGATGAGGGCTTTGTATCAGACGATGCGAGGTCCTTCAGAGAGCAAGCTTTTCGCATTCTTGATGGCACTATATTCAGCGAGCCTGCGACAACGCTTGAGCCGGCCCGGCTCGAACTGAAGCCAAGCCCTGTCGTAGAAACCTTCAAAGAGAAAACAAAGAAGAAGAAAAGAGCGAGCAACCGGCCTCCTCCAAAGAAGGCTGATTCGGGCTACTCCTCTGGGGGCAGCTTCCGAACCGCGCAGCACGAAGAAGCATTGAAAGAGGGTACTGTTCCAACACTCTCCAAGAAGCCTTCGCGCGTGGCTGACCTCGTTCAAAGTGGGAATGGCGCCGATAGCGACAACGCTAGCCTCTACACATTCGAAGAGATGCTACGCCTTCCCATTTCAAAGCCACTTCCACCAGTCCCGACTGGCGACAAGGTAGCGCCTCGCCCGCCTTCTTTGCAGATACCACAGACCACGGAGTACAGCGCCTCGACATCCACGACGCCGGATCTCGTCAATCGTGTTCTGGAGGTGGCTTCTCTGTCCAATGCATCACCTAAGACCCCGGTCTCCGTGGTATCCAAGTTTTCCATTGATAGCAGAGCCTCAGCCCAGAAGCGTCTGCAGAAGCGGAGACCTTCATACCAAGAGCTTCCCGTAGTCCAATCCTGCGAACCTGTTGTCGGAGGGACTATTCCTGACATTCCCGCTAACGTAAGGACCCAATTTGTTCGACGTCTCTCTTCGACTCCAGGTATGGAATGCTTGACGCGGACATACCCCAGCAAGGATCATGTCACCGCTAATGAAAGCGTCGTGGATTCTCCCGTAACCGTGAACATCGAGTTTCCTTCTCCCTCCACGTCGCCCGAACCACGGGGACGACATCACAGGCGCTCTGCAACCGAACGGCCACCAACACCGCCTCCTCATGGCTTCCGACGAAGCCTGTCCCTATTCCGGAGCAAGTCCACCGCAGAGAAGGAAAAGGAGAAGAACCGCGAAGAAGACGACGCTGCGTCTTACGTCGTCGATTTCGGTACTACAGCTACATCGCTTGGGCGATCTCCATACGACGCCGCGATGGCTAAGGTTCCCACAAAGGCTGTAACCTCGCCTACCCATCCCTACCAGCTGGGGAATATACTGCCACGAACGAAGTCCATGGTGAACATGGATGCTCGAACGGCGGCCGAGCTCGCTCGTACACGCAGCAAGGACCGGGCTATGCTACGGCCTGAAATGCCTCAACGATCGAGAAGCTATCACGACATGAACATTGATGCAGGAGAGGGTGCCGCTTATACCCGGCGTCCGCATAGCTTCAACCTTGAGGCTCCTACGATGCCCTCCGCAGAACCCAACAGACACATTGAGCTTCACGACGAACTCGCCCATCAAACACCGATTGAAGCAAGTCAGGGCCCGCTGTTCCGCGCTCGACAGAGCGGGCGGGGACCCGTCGTGTCTCAGTTGATTAACAAGTACGATCATTACGGGCAGCGACTTCCCGAACAGCACCCCCAGGACCAGAATTGGGAAGCGCATGCTCGCCTGTGGAGTCAGCGTCGTAAATCCATTGGAGAGGGCTTGCGCCAACGTGCCGAAGAAGACGCTCGATCCACAAGAGCTACGACCGAACCCCCTAAAGACGTGGTGGTTATTGATCGCTACAGTGGCGGGCTCGACTACGGATACGAAGGACGCGGCTACGGCGTCGGTGGCAGTGCAGGAACGCGCCAGCTCCACAGCTACGCAAGCCGCAAGAGCATGCATTTCAGCAACCAATTCGGAGTCGATTTGTCAGACGTTCCTCTTTTTGTCCAGCGAGTATAACATTCTAGGGCGTCTTGCTATGCTACGTTTTTAGCGATATACCAACCGCATGACGCAATTTCTTTGACTATACCGTCGGGCATTTGTGCATGGATTGTTCGCATTTTGGTTCGGGGGTTTTCGGCATTTAGCATGCATATATACACGCACATGCATTCGGGAGGGATGGGAGTCTGGCAGCGGTTTTATGATTCCCCTTGTTTGGCTCGTAGAGTATATGAGCTACGTACACGAATGAAAGCAACGATTTCAGACACATGGCTACGGGATCCTGAGTGGGTATTTAAACGTGATACGCATTGACATAGTACCTAGGGAGGATGGTGTTAAGCGCAACTCTGCCTCCGATCTAGAGTGTCTCCAGTGTGCTTGAGCAACTTCATGACACTTCGGATGCTATGCGCTTCTTTCTTATTCTTTCCGCTTTCGTTACAGTTTTTGCTTTACTTGCAGATCACCACAGGGCCACTGCCGGGTGAGCAACTAATTGGACTCGGGACCCCTTCAGGAAAGGCAATCCAGACGCAGTGGTCCACACACGATGTTATCTCGAATTATTTGAGGCTGTACAGAGATAAATATAGAGTCAAACTCCTCGTCAGTGCCTGTACTTTCTACACTGATCTAGAATAGCCGTACGGAGCCGTCAGTGACGAGGCTTGCGCGATGAGTGCGTCTTCCTGTCTTGAAGATGCGCTCAGCTGCTGCGATCGATGAGGAGGCTGAGAAGTTTTCACGGCGGGGCTGAAATGTGAGCCGCCTGTAATGGCTTGTGCACCCGCGGCGGCGGTGGCTGTTAGTGATGTCAGGGCGCAAAATTCACATGGGGCCGGGGGTAGGATTACGCGCTAGTGGGCGGCTTAACAGGCCCGGTTATTACTTAATGAGCCATTTGCAAGAGGCGACGAGGAACCGCACATGTGCGTGAAAATTGACTTCCACCCCTCCCTCCTACACCGACTCCCTCACAACTAGCACTCACCGGTCAACGGAGCGCCCCGTCCATAAAGCGCCCTTGATCGCTCTTTGCCCCGCCTCTCAATCGCTCCCCAGCGACAGCCTTTGGTCGTTGCAAAGGCACTTCCTCCACTACGGCCTCGGCCTTCGTCCCGTTCGACCTCCAAGTTGCGTCTGTTAGACCCTTTCGGCACGTCCTCAACAACCTCCCGCCTCCCAAGCGTGCCGTCGTCTAAAGCAGAGCTCGAGCGTGCTTTTTTCTCCCCCTCCTCAAACCGAACCCCGGATTCTCCACAACTTCAGCTGCCGCATAGGAGCCTCTCTGAAGTCTCTTCCTCCTACGAGGAAGAGTCGAGGAGACCTCGCCCACAACTAAGTCTCGGATACGAGCCCTTTCGACCCCCCTAACACCCCGCTGCGTCAGCAAAGTCAAGACAAATAATTCTTACATTCAAAACACCTCTCCTGGCATCCGTCGACCAGGGAATGGCACCTTCTGCCCTTACGCCTACCGAGGAATATCATAATCTTTTTGACAAAGACTTAACGTCTCACGATTATACCCTTGGTGCTGCTACCGGCAACCATGGCGCTGGCACAGCGAAGCAATTGATTGGGGAGGCTCTGAAGAGCCGTGTTGAGGCTATTGATCAGGATACCTGCGATGTTGGCGACGAGGATGCCTTCTTCGTCGCCGACTTGGGCGAGGTCTACCGGCAGCATCTCCGCTGGAAGAAGAACTTGGCTCGGGTCAAGCCGCACTATGGTGAGTCGCATTGCACACATTTTCCCCAACTTCGCCACTTTCCTGAAGAAACATCACTGACATCTGAGTAGCGGTCAAGTGCAACCCTGACCCTCAAGTCCTCCGCCTCCTGGCCGAATTGGGGCTCGGCTTCGACTGCGCGTCCAAGAACGAGATCGAGACCGTGCTGAAGATGGGCGTGGACGCCTCGCGCATCATCTACGCCCAGCCGTGCAAGACGAAATCGTACGTCCGCTACGCTGCACAGTCTGGCGTCAAGCAGATGACCTTCGACAACGCCGACGAGCTCTACAAGACGAAGCAGCTCTTTCCGCACGCTGAGCTGTACCTGCGCATCCTGACGGACGACTCAGCCAGCCTGTGCCGTCTCAGCCAGAAGTTCGGCGCTTCGCTAGACACCACCGCGGAGCTGCTGGAGCTGGCGAAGAAGCTGGAGCTCAATGTCGTAGGCGTGGCTTTCCACGTCGGATCCGGCGCCTCGGACCCGAAAGCGTTCCTCAAGGCGGTCCAGGACGCGCGCTTCGTGTTCGACCAGGCGGCTGCGCTGGGCTTCCACATGCACACGCTGGACGTAGGCGGCGGCTTCACGGGCGACCAGAGCTTCGAGACCATGGCGGCCGTCCTGTCGGCCTCGCTGGACGCCTACTTCCCGCCGCACATCCGCGTCATCGGGGAGCCGGGCCGCTACTACGTCTCCACGGCGTTCACGCTCGCATGCCACGTGATTGCGCGCCGCACCGTCGCGGACGCCACGCTCGGCACGACGTCCTATATGCTGTACCTGAACGACGGCGTGTACGGCAACTTCTCCAGCATCATCTTCGACCACCAGAACCCGGTGCCGCGCGTGCTGAAGAGCGGCGCCGCCGTGCTGTACGACGTGCGGCGCTCGGGCTACGACACGCCGTCGCAGATCGAGTACTCCGTCTGGGGCCCGACGTGCGACGGCATCGACGTTATCTCGTCGTCGTGCATGTTCCCCGAGATCGTTGATGTGGGCGACTGGCTCTACTTCGAGGACATGGGTGGTAAGTTGCCCTTCCCCTCCCTTCCCTTCCTATCCTATCCTTCTCCAGCCCAGTCACGATAGTTAACCGGCTTGTAGCGTACACCAAGTGCTCCGCCACCCGCTTCAACGGCTTCACCGACAGCCACGACGTGCTCTACGTCTGCAGCGAGCCGGGCGCCCGCGCTCTGCTCGGCCTCTAATGGTAATCGTAATTATGTGCGCACCGCAACACCAGTCCTTTCCGGCAGCATAGTCATGCTTTTTACTACCTTGCATACTTTCGGTTCGATACGGGAGACGTTCTTGTGACCTTCTCCCGCTCCGTTCTGCATCGCGTGGCGGTTAGTTGTGCTAGAGGATAGTGCTTTTCGGCGGCGGTCTGAGTGACTGACTCACTGGGCGGGCTTTTCTCTTAGAAGATCATATAGAATCCTATAGACGTAATGATGTACTCTCGTTCATGTCCTAGATTGTATCTATTGTATCCTGTGACCACGCCTCTCCACTCCGTTGCTAGAATGCGTACCGGTACATCTAGCAAGGCAGTACCTACTGCACCTTCCGATATAAAAGATGACAAGAAGTCACATAACCTCGCAAAAAGCACGACAAATTAAAGTCAATCAAGAGGCATATCCCCTTGAGATAGCCTCTCATCATATTCTCTCATCGTGGATTACTACTATACAGTGCATTGTGTGTGTATCCAGAAGGCCCTTTCCAATAATGGTTAATGCAACATCAAGAGCCAAGCCACCCAAAACCGTTCGTTACGAGTGGTGACCGCCTCTCCGAAACTCCAAACCTTTCCCTATTACCTAAATATACAAGAAGCCCAAAGCGCAGCGTGGAAGTTCCGCTGCTTACGCTATGTTACCAGCCAAGCCGAGGAAGAGTGCCTGAGCGGCGAGCTGCAGCGTCCAGATGCCGACTTTCTTTATGCGGCGTTTGCGAGCAGTGTTGTCGTCAAGGACGTCGCGGGCGAAGGCGTCGTACATCTGATGCGAGTATTAGTTGCTGATGCTGAAGGAACTCAATGAGTAAGAAGAAGCTTACCTCTCGCGATATGTCCTCCATTAAGCCGCTGTCGTAGATGGTCCAGCTTCCTTCGAACTCGCTGGCTTGCTTGACGACTCTGCAATTGACTGGTATGAAGGTTTTCTTGGAGTTGATGTACGCAACAATGGGCCGGACGAGCGCATTGTTCACGTAGGAGATGTCTTTCGTGAAGATTGGTACCGCTGCTCGTACATCATTGAGATGCACGCGGACATCCATGATTACGAATCGGAGGTCCTCGTCCTCTTTCTTTTCCTCCTTGGAGTCACGGTGTTGCTCTTCGAAATAGTGCACTGCGTGATCGGAGTAGTGTCTGTTGTTTTGCGTTACGGTAGCTTCGACCCGGTCGTACATGTCTGACATGACTTTCGCGAGGCTGCCATCGTCTTCATTGGGTAACATGACGTCGGCAACGATGTCGACGTTGCCTTCGTATATCCAGGAAAAGGGCCCCTCGTAGCCCCTGTTTAGGTGGTCAATGTTGAGACCATCAATCCTAATCCGGCTTTGCTTTTTCCAGCGGTTACCGCCCTCTGTGTCGCGGCCTTCGTTCAATTGTGTACCGGTATAGTTGTGCGTCTGTCGGGGGTGTATCGTAAACAGGGAGTTATCGTAAGATCCCGACATCATGTTGGCCGACAGAAAGTCATAGAACAGCCACTGTTTCCGTAGCTGTGGAAGATCGCAGGAGTAGATGCTGACGGAGAATGGGCGATAGTTGTCCGGCTGGTAGATGGTAATTAACAAGTCCTCCATCTTGAATGAATCCAATTCGAAATCGCCGGGGTGGTGCTCGTGCTTGTACGACCGTGGGTCAACGCCTTCGATCGAATGTACAGGGGTTCTGTCTACGACACCACGGATCCCTTTGATCTCGACATCCTTCAGTAGACCCTTGCCGTTGAACCACTTCGAAAACGACAAAGTGACGTTGACGGTGTCAATTGATATGTCGAATTGACTATAATTTGTGTCCTCCTCTTCCTCTACTCCTTCGGCAGCATCTTTCTCTTTTTGTGCAATAGCAGCAGCGGCGGCTGCGGCTGACGTCTGCGATCCTTTACTGACCTTCGCGTGACCTTGCCCCGGCCTTCGAGACACGAAGACCTTCCTGAAAGAAATTACTCCGTCTTTCCACTTGGGCACGACGGCTGATTCAAAAACTACCTTGATGCCGGAGGAGCCAGTCAGGTAGTTGCCGATCCACTTGGCCAACGTCTCCTGCGCAAAGACGGTGTTGATCAGGAAGACGGCCAACATGAAGAAGGTTGTGGTACCGAGGATGATCCAGAGGAAATGCGCAGCCACTATCCACGAAAACAGCGCGTATATTTCGTCCGCGTTGAAGGGACGCGTGCTCCTGATTGTGAGCCATTTGAAATGGACTTTTACACGCGACCAGAAGCCTGACGCTGCCTGGAGAAGCTCAGCTTTGCTTGGCCTGTATAGATGTGGGAGGCTCTGAGGGATGCGATCGAGGAAGTGCTTCCCGGAGCTCGACGACGGGTCGGATTCGGGTTTAGGGGGCTCTTTGGGAGCATTCGGCGGGTTGGGAGGGGCTTTAGGTTGAGGGGAGAGCTCGGCTTGCGGCGTGGAGGGACCTTTTAGCTTCGTGTTTGAACCATCCGTGACGGAGCTCTTGTTACGCCGATTTGCAGTGGTGGATTTTCGCAACTGTGTATTCGCCTTTGTTCGTGCGCCACGACTCCATGCTGAAGCTGCCGCAAACGAGACGCTCTGGTAGATATGGCTCGGTCGGCCCACCGGTTGCTGGAGGAGAAGTGGAGAGATCGGTGCGATGCGTGAGGAGGGTTGAAAAGCTATCCTAGGCGGACAGTGACCGAATGTGCGCGAACTCGAGGTAATTGACCGTCTCGCTACCTGGCCTCCCCCTCGTAAAAGTAGCGACGCTGCGAATTCGCCTCGAGGGAGCGGCGCATGATGTTGACGAAGCGGCAGGTCTCCGGAGCGCCGCAAAAACGCGCCGGTCGCGATGCCTACATTCCGACTCATTATACTCGCGGACACCACATGGTCACCGTCTGCCACCGGATGAAAGCGCAGACAGGTGGCTTATAGGAGGTAAAGACGGGTTGGTGGTGAGGGTAGAGGAGGGTGGGAGCAAGCTAGAACCGCGACATGACGTGCAGGGGCTTCTGAGGCTTCTTTTTCCGCTGATTCGCGCTAACCGTGGATGCCAAAAATCTACCCGCCACAGTGCCCTTATCGATAACAATACCCCCAATTCCTCAGCGACATTATTCGGATTCGACGACTACTACCACAGCTCCTCGGCCGTTAGAGATTCTTGCAATTTGTTAGTTTTGTCAGTGAATTCTTCACTTTACGATTCCCATCGACCTTTGCGACCCCAGCGCCACAACCTCGACTGCAAAAAATTCGGGATTTTGGGAGGAAGAGAAGGAATTCGAGGCCTACACATACAGAATGCCAGCACCCACAGCCCTTCTCCGGAAGCCCGAAGCGCTGGCCGAGAATCAGACCCTCGCCCCAGAATCAGTGCCACTCCCCGCAGACAATGACGTCGACCTGCTGCCCATGGAGGTTCTGCCCGCCGAGACACCCGCCAATGCTCCCGAAGCGCCGTCAGAAGATGCGCCGATGACCACTGATGAGACGGGTCGCCCTAAGTTCGAACCAGCGAGCTCCATACGTACGTGAGATTGGGATACATACCAGATGTCTTGGATATCGACCTCCAGTCTGTGCGAGAAGGCGGGGCACACAAGGGACACCAGGTCGCGATATACATCTAAGACAGGCTCGGATGTCGATTCCCTGCCATTCTACTCTCTCTCCTCTGTCCTGACCTCTGCTAATGTGCCCCCTTCAGCCCTTGCATTCCGCCGCGAACAGCGCAAAGTGCCTGGTAACGATTCCCCGACCCCTTGCTTCCAACCCCAATGCTTATCAGTCCAGTCCCGCCGCACCGTATGACCCCGCTGAAGGACTCATGGCCAAAGATATACCCCCGTACGCCCTCCGTTCCCAACCTACCGAGGGTCTCCTCCGACTGACTACTTGCAGCGCTGGTCGAGCACCTCAAGCTCCAAGTGCGCATGAACGTCAAGGCCAAGAGCGTCGAACTCCGTACTTCGAGCCTCACGAACGATACGGGCGCGCTTCAGAAAGGAGAGGACTTCATAAAGGCATTCTGCCTGGGATTTGTACGTACAGGCAGGACGGAGCATCCATGTCTCGTCGAAGCGCATGCGAGCTCTCGGAGGGCTACTCCAGTAGCATTCCGGGCATGCTAGCGTTTGGGAGAGACACGGAAGTACCATTCCGTTTCTGCGGTACACTGTACTAACTTCCTCGGTCTTAGGATGTCGACGATGCTATTGCCCTTCTGCGCTTGGTATGTTCCCCGTTTCCTCACCTCCTGGCCCCGAACACACCCCTTCACGCCCACTCCTTTAAGAGTCTCAGACTAACATCAAGCACAGGACGACCTCTACATCGGTACGTACGCCACGGTACACTTCCAGCAGTCGCAACGATCCGCTTTGAACCACCTCCCCCTTCTATCACTCCTCCCCCCATGGCATCCGCTAATATCTATTTCCGCGTTCGCAGAAACTTTCGAGATCAAAGACGTCAAGACGCTACATGGCGAGCATCTCTCCCGCGCCATCGGCCGCATCGCAGGCAAAGACGGCAAGACCAAGTTCGCCAGTAAGCCGCTCTGCTGCTCCCTCGCCCCATCCCATACCATCACTAACCTCACCCAGTCGAAAACGCCTCCCGAACACGCATCGTGTTAGCCGACCAGAAGATCCACATCCTCGGCGGCTTCAAGAACATCCACATCGCCCGCGAGGCGGTCGTGAGCTTGATCCTGGGTGCTCAGCCAGGCAAGGTGTATGGCAACTTGCGGACGGTGGCAAGCAGGATGAAGGAGCGGTTTTGAGCGCGCTGCTGTCTGATGAGTGGAGTGGAGTGGGCAGGGTGTGTGTGGCAAAAGTGATTGATGGCATTTCTGGGCGTTTATGGGGGGGGAAAATACCATTGAGGGAGTGATTGATGGAGGGATGGGATAGATCTTTGCTTGCTTGCCTCTTTAGCTGAGGACTTTGAAATGAATCATGTCTTGTCTATGGTACTCTTCATCGGGAGCTGAAGCACTCCAGCCCGAGTAATCCTAACGCCATAACCCCCACCCTCACGCCCCTCCTCGACGTCCGTATCCTATACCCCGGAAGCCTTCAGCCCCTATCCAACCTCAACCCATCCTCCTCCGTATCCCCCACCTTGAATCAGCCCCCTATCCATCCACCCTCCCCACCCCAAACCCGCCGACACGGCACCCAACTAACCCCTTCCCTCTCGACCCAGCCATCCCACCGATCCCAGTGGAATAACTCGCTCGCATAGATAGTCGCCTGTCTCCATTTCCCCAGCGCATCCGCGAAGCGCACATCCTCCGCATCGTGCGTGATCTCTCTGGCGCAGAAGCGCGCCGCGCAAGAAGCAGTCTGCGGATCGGGCTGCGTGAAGTGCGTCAAGGGGTAATCGCTTTGCCGAACGGCGATTGAAGACGCGGCCAGGCCGGTGGCGAGCCACTCGATGTTCGCGGCGCGCGGGAGGGCGGAGATATCCGCGACGAAGCAGGGCGGTGTTGGCGGCGGGTCTGCGGGGGAAGAAGATGAAGAAAGGATGCTGTTTCGGTGCGGGATTGCGGGTCGGCGCGAAGTGTCTTGGAAGGTGGGGAGGAGGTTCTTCAGGTCCCAAGCGTCGAGCTCTTCTTCGGCGGCAGATTGGTCTTCGGTGGGCGATGGAGGTGCGTGGATAGCTTTCCAGAGTGCTTGGGCGAGCAGGACGCGTTTTTCTTGCTCTTTTGCGGAGGGGATGGAGGGGAGCATTGCGAGGCCTGCGGTCCACCATTTCACGCCCTGCGTTCTTCCTATGCGGAAGAGGTGCTGCAGGGCGAGGACGGCTTCGCCCTTGAAGCTATCTTCTTCTAATATCGTGTTCAAAGAAGGCGTGAAGAGCTTCATTGAAGCGGGGACAAGCGGGATCTGGCCGGCGATGTGGACTATCCTTCCGGCGGCGTGGAGGTCTTCGGTGCCATTTACGGCGCTTCGATCGCGCGGAGGCAGCATGGTGGAGATAGCTTGGCTGTACGGACCGATGTTTGCTGGGGCCCAATAGCTCTGGCTTTGGACGTGAAGCCCTTTCCGGTCGCTGTCCTTCTCGGCGAAGACAGAAAGCGTGACGTCGAGGGGATTTGGCATGCAGTCTCCAACAGCCACCGTAGCTCGAGCAGGCGGATTCGTGTAGTCGAAGTACTGCGAGTAGATGTCGTTTGCGGAGGCAAAATCGCTCATGCGGCGAAGGAGAAGTGTGCAGTGGACGATGTCTTGCTTAGAGATGTCGTAGGCGGCAAGAGCGTGATCCAGACGGAGGAAAATGTTGGCCATTTGCGCCTTCACCTCCGAAGCGAGGCCAGGCGCCGTTTCACCGGTGATGTTGCTGTAAACAAATGCATTCTGCGTTTTGGCGCAGTTGTTCGTGGGCGGCGCGGTGTGGTGAGCAAGGTCGGGAGGGAGTGAAATGACGCCGGCGCTGGTATCCATATCCGCGCGCAGGATGTCCAGGAACTCGTCATCGAAGAGAGGGGGCCTCCTTAGGTCTTCCAGCTTGAACGACTCGAGCGGCTTATCCACGACGTGCGCGTTCTTGCCGTGCCAGATCGCAGTGCCACCGGACTGATGCACGACACGGTCAGGCTCTACCTCAATCCTCTTCCTCCAGAGCAGCGATGGCCCGTCAACTGCCAGCGTCTCGAACTCCCCTCCCTCGCCAACCAGGGCACCGTCTCCGTCCTCGCTAAAGCGTGCCAGAGCCTTCTTCATACGAGCCACAGTCCTTGAGTCCGCTACGTTCGCCCATAGGAAGCCATCGTCTAGCCCGCCAGACGCGACTTTGATAATCCGAGCATCCTGGCCCACGGCCTCCATATCGCACAGTAAGCTCGATTGCGTATACGGCGGCAGGTACGGGTATTGCCAGAGATAGGACAGGGGAGTCAGGCCAAGGCGGACAGCTACAGATTCCACGCGCGTGCGCTGGTACGTGGAGAAGATAGCGCCAGTCGACACCGCATTTGCCTCCGGATGCGCTTCTTTGATCCTCTTCAATAGTGGAACCAGGGACTCGGTCTCGTCGTCCTCCTGCGCGGTGTAATCTCTGGACGAATTGGCAGCGGAGCCGCGAATCTCCTCCCGATACAGCGGAATGCCCAGGGCTTCTTCGTACAAAGGAATCACGGCATGTCCAACGGTCTGGTACATGTAGCTGTTCAGGTCGTCATCGTCAGGAGTCGGGGGCGGGTAGAGATTTGCAAGAGCTACGACGGCGTGGCCGTTCGCCAGGCAATGCAGGATGGAGAAAAGGGAATCTTTGCCGCCGGAAATGAGCGCAATGACTTTGAGAGAGGACGCCATGATGAAGGAGCGACTGAAGAAAAGGAGACAGAAGGAAATGAGCGTGGCCGCGAGTTTGTGCTGGTGTTCGCTGCGGTCGAAAAGCTGGGGTTGAGGTTCTGCCTCGCGAAAACCTGCCCCTCTTCCGATGCAAACGCTTCACCGACTTACCCCCCTCCGGCGAGCAGCCATCCCAGGACGCGACGGATGATCAGGAGGCTCACAAGCTCAAGTGCACAAGACAAGTAGTGAAGTTATACACGATTTTGAATTGTTGTGCGCAGCACTCTAACCTACAGAAACGCAAGGGAAACGCTATGGAGTAGGGGTCTGAAAATTACAGCTTAAGAATCGAAGATTCCCAGAATGTCTGGCGCTCGAACAACGTACGGCGGACGAGGCCCATTACAACGAGTGTAAGAACTCAAAGTGTGTGAGGGGGTGGGGGATATACCACGGCGACAATGGCCGGTAAGGGATAGTGGCCATGCCGGTCGTGACACGAAGTGTGTGTGTAAGAAGCCCGAAAAAGTCAGACCAGGAAAAACACCGAATTTCTAAGCCGCTGATGAACCGACCGACCGAGCCCCCCGATCCCCTTACCAGTAAACCCCTGGAGAGAAACGCTGATGTGCCATGCAGAAAAATCAAAGCTGAGAAGATGGGGAGGAAATGTGCCGATCTTATATAACCACAAATTGGGCAGAGGAAAAGGTACATGGGAAGGGAAAATTATAGGAACGAAGGACTTTTGGTTGACCAAAGTGGTTATGAGATGCCCCGATTGACAGACCGCCACGATGAAACCCCAGGTCCGCCTGTCTAGAGTAGCCGCCCTTGCGTAACGACGTAAAGCAGACGGAAAACCACCTGGCATTAGGGAGAACTCCTTCTACGGAGCGGGGAGGTCATGAGAGTCATAAGGTTGAAAGCCGAAAGGAAAGGTTGAGGCAGAGGAGCCCTACTCGTCCCGCTTCCTCTTGCGCATCTTGATCGGCGTAGGCTCCATGTCCGAGTAGCCGTCCGAGCTGGAGCTCGAGATGTTGGCAGCAGCGGTGTAGAGGATCTGGCCGAGCATGGCGGGATCAGTATTGTCGTACGAGTTGATAGTCGCCTGCGGCGGCTGCTGGACCTCGGAGTGGTCAAGGACGCCCATGACAACGGCGCCGGTGCCGTGGGTGCGCTGGTGCTGGGACAGGTTGTCGCTGCGCGAGAACTTCTTGCCGCAGTCGGTGCACTCGAACGGCTTCTCGTGCGTGTGCAGAGAGCGGTAGTGACGCTTGAGGTGCTCCTGACGGCGGAAGCGGCGGTTGCAAAGGGTGCAGACGAAGGTCTTGGAGGGATCCTCGGTCAAGGACTGCTTGCGGCCACGGCGGCTCGTCGGCGCGGATTGAGGAGCCGGGGTGGTCTCATCGGAGCTGGAGGCGAGGGCGTTGTCGGTGGGACCTGATGCTTGTTGGCTTGATGCTTCAGACTGGGTGTTATCACCAGACTGATCTGCCTTACCCGTATACTCGGTGTCCGCATCGCTCGCCTCGCTGCTCCTGGCAGCCTTCTTGAGTGATCGCTTCTTGGGCGCGGGCGCATTAGACATGGCGTCGCTGAAGCAGTCGCTGTCGCACGGGGTAAGGGGTAGGCCGTGGATGGCGAGCTCGTCCTCGAAGTCGGTGAAGCTTGCGTCGCTTACGATATCTTCCTCAGGGGTGAAGGAGACCAAGTCGGTGCGCTGCCGCTTGCTGCCGAGGAACTGCGCGTTGTCGGTTGAGGGGAACTGCACGAGACCAGCGAAGTCGTCCTCAGAGTCGAGCTCGAAAAGGGGCTCGAAGGTGAGTGCGCCAGCGGTGAAATCAAATGCCTGCGCAGGCTCGACCTTCTCAGCCTTGGCAGCCTCACCCTTCAGGACTAGCTTGTGCTCCTCGTCGCCCGGGCAGAGCGTAGGCAGGCAAGGCAGCTGCGTGGAGGCAGAAACGGTGAGGTCCCGGGGGTTGCAGAAGTTGTTTTCGGCCTCGGCAAAAGATGCGCGCGGCAGTGGTGAGGGCGACGGGGATAGCGAGGGGCACGAAGTCGCGGACAGGAGGTACGACCCCTGGCTAGCCGAAGGTGGGTGGATGAACACTGTCGCAGTCAACACCCGCACCCTGACGCAACATTGCACATTTCACGCGGACTGATACAGGAGGATGCAATCTTGCTGACCGCAATCCAGCGGGAAAGAAAAAGTGATTGCTTACCTGGGGTCATCGGCGGCGACGCGGATCGCCAGTCGGCACCCGCAGCGAGAATCTCAGAAAACACCTCCTCTTCGCAGCCCTGCTTGACGCCCTCAATGCCCTCACCTGGGAAGAACGCGTTGATGGGCGTGGGCAGCACGTCGCACGTGGACGGCGGGCTGCTGATGTTGCTTCCGGACGATGACAGCGGCGGCGTGGCAGGCGCAAACCGCATGTCCGAGAAGTCAGTGTCGATCGGGTGCAGGTACGGCGAGTCCTGCGGCTGGATGAGGATGGTGGGCTTCTGGTACATGGGCTGCGGCGACGCGACGGGCGTCAGCATCTGGCTGGCATACGCCGTGTGCGGGTACGCGGCCTGCGAGTTTGACGACGAGGGCCTCTGGAAGATCATGTTCTGCGGCTGGTATGTCTGCGGCGATTGTCCGGACGGGTGAGGCGTGAAGTGGCCGTGTTGGCGCGCGTTCTCTCCGTGCGGATCTGGGTTGTAGTAGAAGAAGGGCGACTGGCCCATTACCTGGGCGGGGTGCATGGGATATGTGCCTTCCATTGCGGGTGTTGGTGTTGCTTCTTCACGCGGAATGTCAGAGATCGCATTCCACCACGCGTCGACTAAGGCCACTCACCAATCGTAGTCTACAACAAGGTGATTGTATGGTACAGGCGAATGCCGTCTACGTCCGATGTTCTTTCGGTATGCAGGCGTAGATGGGCGAACGGTATTACTGTTACAGCTGCTATAGCAGACGCAACGACGGGCAGGCGAGGTATAGTTAAGAAAAGGCCGAAGGAGTGACTGGACAACGACTCGTAATAACGAAGCCGTCTACTAATAGGTATTTACTGGGTCGAGGAAGATGTCATAGGGTCGTGCGTCGACGATGAGGGAAGGGTCCAAAGGAAGGGCTGGCAACAAATTACAGCTGTCGGCAGGAAGGACAGCGTAAATGTACACCAAAAGGAAGATCAAGAAGGGCGATGGGTGGGAAGAGAAAGACAAGCGAAGAGGTTGATAAACCGTCAAGCAAGGAAAACGCAACGAGCGAAGGGCAGGGCCGTGGATAAGTAGGATGGATCAGCGAGAGACGAGACAGCGATTAGGGTCTGAAGAAGAAAAGATGACCAGGCACAGGCAGACGGGCACGCGGAATTGGTTAACTTCATGGGTGGGAGGGGAGTCGGGAAGCGTGCGAAGGCGCAGCAAGCGGACTCCACATGGGCCAACCAGCGCAAGAGGGCATGCATGCTGCAGCACCCCCTGCGCACTCATGCACTGATGATTCTGCGACTAGGAATTGACTCGTGGGATTGCCGTGCTCAGCTTAGGGCAGCACGACGCGCGGCATTATTTTATGCTGCAGGATGCACTAATATTGGCCGCCAACTGCCAGGCCTGTCCGTGGCTGCACTGGCACAAACACCGTGGAGGGTCGCGAAATGACGACCGGCACAGCGTGCACACCGGCGTCACAACTCCAGGGCTGGCGTGCAGGGCCCGGCACGACTTGCACAGTGGTTGGTGGTTGGTGGTTGGCTCACATGCTGCTCGCCCACCATGAGACGACTCTGCGTATCGATAATTGAATCCCAGGCCCCGCCGTCATCAGGCATCCGTAGCGTCCGACTGGAGAGCGCGACGAAGGCAGATGGACGAAGCTGAGCCTCTTCGGCCAGCCCGCCGCCATGGAGAGTTGCAGCCGTCGTTGCAGTGGATGGCGGCTGGTGGTCGCGCTGTGCGAGGGCAGTGACGGCTGGTGTTTCGTTCGACGCGCTGCAGCAAGTGAGAGGTGAGAAGCGGACCGCTGCTGGTCTGCCATCGCCATTCAGCATTCAGCCTGTGATCCGCCGGGGACCATTCAGCCTATCCGCCCAATCGATAGTGATAAGTGCCCGTTGGACAGGACCCTGTTCCTAGCCTTGGCCGCGGGACAGGCGCTGAGACCTGCTGCTGACCTCCATGTGGGATGTTTGGAAACTGTTTGCTGGCCACACAGCGCGCGTCGGCGACCACCACGGCGTGAAGGTGACGCCGGGCGCCCACCAGTCTCAGTTGCACGAGATGCAGATGGGCCGAATCATGGCCGCCCACCGCGGTGCCACTGTCACGGCGGCGGCGAAGAGGCAACGCCCGAGGCGGCTGTACCTGACGACGTCGATATTCTCTGTTCGCCGGACGCGCCGTCAGTGGCCGGCCGCCCGAGTGGCCGCGCGCAGCATGCAGCGAATCCTCGAGGGCCTCTGCGGGTACGCTCCCTCAGGATGGATTGCCTATTGCGATGGACGACAAAGCCGCGATGGGCTGGATTGATGACTGCAGCGTGTGTTTCAACTGAGCATTCACCCGCTGCAGACCCGGCCCACGACGCGTGAAGCTACTGTACTGGTGAGGTGCGTCGCTGCGTCCTGTTGCAGAAGGTCTCGCGCGACGCGTGAAGGCTGCTGAGGAGAGCTGCAGGAACGAAAGCCATGATGCAGCGCGCCGCTGCCCGACGGGCGGGTCTGATTTGCCCGGCCAGCAGGCGACTTTTTGCCATCCGCCTGCTCGTGTGGGGAAACATGTCACCATCGACGGCTGCCCTCGATGGTGCGACGCGCTCGCGAACTGAGCTGCATCTCACGCTCGTCGCCATCGCTCGTGGAGGGTCAACACCACCCACGGTTGGCCCATCTGCAGGCCGCGATATCGCCCTCAGGCGCCCCCAGCGTCAAGCCGGGCGTTTCAATCGCGCTGTAGTCGAGCCCCCCAGCTGCAGAGGAGTGCAGACTGCAGACGTCAAGGCAGTCCTACGTTTTTGGCGGCGCACTGCTGGTGGTGTGCGGCGTCTTCTATCGCTGCTATCGATAGAATTGATAGACGGGTGGTCAGCACGGTTCATTTCGCGTTTCTATCTTCGCGGCTGCCATCGTCGTGCATCCTGGAGGCCATCGTATACTCTGTCAGCCTTCAATAAACCCTTATCCCGCCTTGTATATGCACAACCGTCACCTTCGCTGCGAGCTGCTATTTTGGGGCGCCTGGCGGCAAATTGTGCTGAGTTGCACACCACTATCCACTGCATATCGGCCGCCGGTGCATCCCCATGAAGCCTAGCGCTCTCGCTGCTTTACTCTGCCAAATCTTATGCAGGCCAAGGATAGCAAGTTCGCCTGCGTGAGAAACGGCGTGGACAGGCCGCGGGAGTGTCCAATCGCCGCCGCCCGCCGTCTGCCCACCCCCACAATGACGGTGCCTGGCCACTCAAGAGAGCAGAAAAGGCCCTTCTAATGCAGGTACAGCGCAGGAACAATGTCGAAAAAAGATTTTTGAAATTCCACCACCAGGCAGTCTTATCTGACCGTGCAGACGTTCAAAAAAGAACTGGAGGACACCGTTTCCGTCCCAAAAGGCCCAAGGCGAATCGACCCCGGCGCTATCTGCTGATAACGTATTGCTGTTAGTCGTGTTCTGGAAAGTTCATTAGCCGAGTTCTCCACGACTCACTGACACCAAGCACGATTCAGAAAGAAGCCCGCGCGGAACTGCTGAACCCTTCCGCCTCCAACAGTCTCTGCCGCGGCCTCGTTTGCCAGGGCTCCGGCGCCGGGGAAGCACGCGTGGCTTCCATACTAGCTCCGACTTCTCCACAGCATCGGTATGATCATTCGGCGAAATGGCGTCGAAGCACCTTGATCGTCGAACAAATTTCTTGATTCTGAAGGTTCCAGGTCGACGGCGAACAGTCTGCCATCGCGGTCCGCTCCCCAAACTTCGCGCCATCTGTGAATCCATGACTCGGAGCTGCTGTCCGCGATGCAACCTGGTGCCCAAACGCACCCAAGGCTCTGAGAATTGCAAAAACACTTCATGCGTGAGTGTGGCAGAGTGTCTCGCTTCCATCGCGTGAGTGCAATATAGGCCGCAATTTGCATTAGTGCGTCGTATAGAGTGCCTAACCTTCCACGAACCTCCGACACGGTTCCTGCAGGTTGCGACAGAAGCTCGTGATCCAGATTGTAGGGACCCTTCTCTTTCGTAAGGGCCCACCATCACGAGACGAGACGTAGCCTCTCGGCTTCCCGAACAATCTGCCGACCCGCTGTCTTGACACTTTGACGTTCATACGTCCCCGGCGTGACAGCGGCGAATTCTTCTGTAGAGGTTTAGTCTAGCAACCCACCATGTCGACCGTAATTTCATCGAAACATCGCAAAGTGGTCGCCCTCCCGTATAGGGCAAGAGTGCCTCTACCGGGCCAACCAGAAAAGGCAACTAGATGGATAAAACCCTCTCGACGGGTCTATCTTGCTAAAAGTCTCGAACTCTCATTGGCGGATCCCCGGACCCTGGTGGGATTTTATTCAAACGAAATTCAAACTTTATGCTGCCGAGGTGCCTGCAGGCTTGCTCAGGCCGCCAACGCGCTGGGTAGCTTTTTTCCCCGGGATCGTCTGAGCGCTGGCCACCCGTGTCTCTGGTCCGTGGCTTTGACGACGTTCGCCCATCTGTGACCCGGATCCCACCAACGATATTTGATGGCTGCGGCGTACGCTGCTTTGCAAGTTTCAATGTGTGCGATTCCGCTACTGGGAGATTACTCTCAGCCAGCTCTTTGACCAAGAACCAGAGAGGCGAAGGAAGGCGAGAGTGTTGAGAGACCTGTCTCGTCTACTCGCGTGTGTTGTGAGACAGCAAGTGGGCACCGGCGGGGCCCGTTCTGGAGCCATCTTGTGGCGAACGTCGTGGCGAATGGTCGGGTTCCTCCGCGTCTTCAGCTATCCGGGTGATCCTGGGAAGCCGGATACACGGAGGCCTGAGCACTCTGCGACGTCGAGATCACGTGCCATATGCTGGGGGCAACGGCTCTCGACATGATGGGCGATCTGATCATCGGCTCGAAAACTATGTGTGGCGAAGTTCGACAGAGGCTTGCCTGGGATGAGGCGTGCGGAACAGGCACCGCCACAGGAAATGACTGACGTAGATTCGGGCAGTCGACAAAGGATCATCCAAGTATACCAGCGCCCACAAAACAACCCGCTCCCAGCTAGCAAGCTGGTAGGGTAGTCGGTCCCTTGTTGTCGGGTACGCTGCTTTACAACCTCATTTCTTTCGCTCTTAAAATATCCCCGGTTCTTGATCCTAATCTATATGTCGGCTCCTCGACCAAGTGTACGCATAGATTGACATCTTGAAACGAAATAGCACGACTGTTTCGAGGATCATGTCGTCTGTTCGTCCTCCTGGTAACGTTAGCAGACTCTAGCCGTGGTCGGCGAGCATGATGCTGTTGACGTCAAGCGTCGAGCTGATCTTGGGCATGAAGAACGTCGACGCGTTGATCGCAATCGCGTCGTCCTGCATGATGATGTCGCTGTTAGCGTCTGTCAACGTTTCGTGTCAGACACGCGTCCGCGGAGAATACACGTGGGGTTAACGTGATCGAGTGTTTGGCTGTGAAGCGGTTGTGCCTCGGATGCCTTTGGTGCCCCTTGGGCCACTCAGAGACGGCCAGTCGCAGGAACTGAAATCGAAGCCTGGCGATACATTTTGGAGACCGAAGCGTGCGACTCCTCTCTCGAACGAGAACTCAAAATCGTTGCATTGTTCTTGGCGCATTGGGCGAGTATATTCAAGTACCTGGAGCAGACGATCCGCGGCGTAGCGACCAGAAGTGACATGGCGACATCGGCTCGACGACCGCGAGACTCGTAACCGTGCCCCATCGATACCGCATTGTATCCGCAGGCCTTAGAAACGGCGGTGAGGTTCTTCTGGGACGTTGACGAACGGTTCATCTCAAACGCGCTCGCGTGGTGCTTCGTCTCCATCTCAACCTCCTCGCCACTGCTCGCTTGCGGGCGAACAACCAGGAAAGAGACAAGAGACAGTGACAGGCAGACGGTGTTACTTTTCATAGCAACAGGATAGCCGTGGAAAGTGGAGACTGAAACTGCGATGAAACACAGAACGATGAATGGAAGAAGCGAAGAATATGCAGGGCCGCGTCGTCGGTTTCGCGGCATGTAAGGCAATTCCAGAAGAAGAGACAGGCCTCAGAACTGTAAGAGTTGAGATCAGTCCCAGCAGCACTGCGTGTGCAAGGTCATTCTCTTCCTATCATGTAAAAATAATCTCATCGTTGGCCATGGGAGAGAGAAGAGCACCTCGGGAGCGCAAGAATGAAGTTCTTGAGTCTCGCTAGAGCTTCTATCCTGGGTCTAGCGTGCGGAGCGGAAGAATCCTCCGCCCGGGCATCTACAAAATCTTCGCGCTCTTGCGAAACTTTTACATTCTTCGTGCGGCGGAGGTCTTCATTTCCCGTGTTGCTTGTTTGTTCAAAAACCATGGCTTACCAAGTGTCATTTGACCTCCAAGAGAGAACATATTGCATAATCGATCGTATACACTTTGCGGAGGCGTCCTCAAGTGGCGCTTTCGCTGGAAGAGGGTCGAACATACCACTGCGTCCTGATGTGCATGCTTCATAGCAAACCTTTGATGATTCACATCATATTCATTTCATATGCCTTGCTCGGGGTATGAGGAACACGGTCGTCTATACTGCTCATATCGCAATGAGTCTATAGCCCGTCATCAATCATCAGTCATCCTCTCCGATCTTCTCGAGCTTGCCCAACTCGCGCTTCTCCCCAGATTCCCCGATAATTCGGATCCTATCTATGCGCGTCCTCTCACCCTCACCGTTACCGTCCACCACAAAAAGGACGAGAGAGGTAACGTTTTGGAATTTCACGAACCGCAGCTCCAGCTTGGCGGTGCCGGTTGTCTCGTCCCAATCTGATGACTTGAGCTCGATAGCCTGGGTCGGTGGGATATCCTCAGCCTCCTCGAAGCCCAAGTTGTGCTGCCGGTTCGTGTACAGGTGAATGGTCTTCGGTCGAAGCGGTACTTCGTCGTCGTCTTCACCCTTTGGCGGACAGGACGTAATCTGGATGGTGTGGATCTTGAGCGACGACGTGAACGGCATGTAAAGCATTAACTGCTCGTCCACGTCGCTCTCCACCCAGTCCTTGTTCGATTCAGAGTCAGTCGCTGCGGCCTTGCCCTTGCCGACGGCCAGTGTGCTAGGCTGCGTCTTCTCGAACAATGTGCGCACCCCTCCAAACTCGCTGTCGCTGTTCATCAGATCCAAACCGGGCACATCGACCTGGTCTGTGACATCGTGGTATCCCCGGGGCAGCCCAGTTCCCCGCCAGCCACCGCCGCCGCTCGAACTCGCTTCCCCGAAGCCGCCGGAGGAGCCGTCTGATTCGGCCTCCGCGGCTAGTCGCTTGATTGCGTCGGACAACTGCTGGGGATTCGCCCCGGTGAACTTGGAGACTTGCTGGCCGTTCTTGAATACGATGAAGACTGGCGGACTGTCATGCAAACGTCAGCGTCGCGCTTCGGACCGCAGCTCTTGCGTCGGGTAAGCTCACTTTGTGGCACTATAGCTTTGCGCAATCTGGGCCTGCTGCTCGGCGTTGACCTTCGCGAACATGACATTCCCTGGCCTCGAGAGGGATTTCGCCAGCTGGTCATAGACGGGGCCTATCGTCTTGCATGCCGGGCTCCATTCGTTGTAGACTGCAGAGGTAATCAGTGCTGCGCTGTGGCTCGTAGATCCGGCGCATCTTACAATTGACGACCACAACGCGAGAAGATAACAGCAGTGAGCTCAGCTGAGCGGGTGAGGAGATCTGGACGGAGCCCGACATGGTTACAGGTGGTGGAGGAGTGTTGGCGCACGAAAGTTGGAAGGGTCGCGTTTGGTGGGGGCGGGGCGCGTTCGTCGGTTGTCGATCAGATCCGCTGGAATGGGAATGGCAAACCTCATGCCTCATGTCATCAAGCGCAGGCATCCACGAGCACACGCGGAGAACGAAGCTTCGAGAAGAAGTAACCACAACACTCGACCACGGAAACCGGTTGACTAATACGAAGAAATAGTCGTGAAGGAGGCAAAGACCTGGCAAAAGCTCACTCGACTGCGCCCGCAGCGCACACTCGACCTGCCGCTCCATAGACGGACACAATCTACCCATTCGCACGCCAGTCGTACAGTCGCTTAAGAGCCTGCATATTCCTACGCTGGTTGCTTCGAGTACGGTAAGCTCCCATCCCTCCTGGGCTTCCGCGACCTTACAATTGAGCCATAGCCTAACCGTCCAGCTCATGGCAGACTCGAACAACCTCTTCCTGAGCAGTTCCGAAGCAAAGCTGCTCCACATCGTCAATCTCATTCTCGTCATCGAGCGCTGCGACAACACTCGGAGGAACCACCGTTGGGACTGTTGGTACTCCCGCACCATCCTTCTCGCGAACGCCCCCGTCGCCGCCCTCGCCGCGTTCGGCCTATATAGACTATTCCGCCCGGCATAATGTCCCACGTCGTCGTATTCAATGCGTCCGCGAAGACGGTCAAGGTACCCACAACTCCAGTGAAGTACCTGACCGACGTGCGGGACGAGGCTTGCCAAAAGTTTGGTGTTAGCAAAGACCAGTTCACGTTGAAGTAGGTGATTTTCTTTTGCAAACCCTACAGAATCATGCGGCTTGCTTTGCTGATGCTTAAGGCATTCTGCGTATATGCACGCCGCCGCCCCATGCCGAGCAACGGAAAGCTGACATTATATAAAGGTACAACAACAAGCCCATCTCTCTATCCCAGCAAATACGACTTGCAAACCTTCCCCAAGGCGCGCGGTTAGAGCTTGTTCAGGCCTCACGTTCGCCCACTGTCATTTCAGTAGCTCTCCAGCTTCCAGCGTCCGAGAAGAATATCCGCCTAACGCAGAAGTTCGCCAGCAACACTTCATTATGGGAGCTCCTACGGCAATTCGAGAGCGGCCAGGGAGCCAATCACAACTTCACGCAGCGCGGCGTCCCGGAAATAAACGGCAGTGGCACGTCGGGCGCAGGCAGATTGAACTACGAGATGCCCGTCGTCACGGTTATGCCCGGCCACAAGGAGCACTCGACCTTTGTGGACCTGCAGAAGACGCTGAGCCAGCTGGGCTTCGACAGCGGATCGGCTCTTCTGCGTCTAAGCTTCAAGAATAGTGGTACGCCGCTGGAGGAGGCCATGGGGCAAATATCCAAGTACTTCAAGAACGCGGATCCGACACCTAGCGGTGCTCATACCGCGAGTTCTGCTCAGGAGGGCTCCATCCCTGATCCAGATAAGGCCGCTCCCGAGGCGACGGCGACCGTTGCGGGTGAGACGATTCGACCAGAGGAACCTGACCCGGAGCCGATGGAGGTAGACGAAAAGCCGCCGACAGAGTCCGCTGCGGAGCCTACGATATCTTCTATGGATGGCGCAGCAGATTTGCCTGAGAACAACCCTCCATCAGCAGCACCGTCTGACCCCTCTCCAGCTCCGGCTCCAGCTTCGCCACCGGAGCGTCTAAACGTCCCCCGCAACGTCCAAGTCTTCTCAGCACCCACCTCCTCCACTCCGCAAGCCGCACGGCAGACCTGGGACGCAACAGACTACGTGCCCACGATCGAGCACGCAAAAGCGCACCAAGCAGCCCTCAACCAGCAAACCAAGAACAGCCGCCTGCTCTCGGACAAGGAGCTCGAAGAGCTAGAAAACGAGCGCCTTGCCAAACTCGCCGCCGTAGCAGAAAAAGGCGGCTCTCTCCGCGTGCGCCTCCCCGACGGCGCCATCATCCAAATGGACATCAGCAAGTCCGACACCGCCGAGCTGCTCTACTCCTTCGTCGCCTCCTTTCTCGACAAGCCAAACGAGCCCTTCCAGCTGCAGTACCGCGGGCCGAACGGGCGCCCCGTGCGCATAGACAAGGACAAGAAGCGGCTGCTCCAGGAGCTGCGCTTCTCGCCCTCCGAGCTGGTGACCTTCTCGTGGGACGACGCGGCGAGCAACGCGGCGCGGCGGAGCAAGAACGTGCTGAGTCGCGAGTGGGCGGACAAGGCGCAGACGCTGAAGGTCGAGGAGCCTGTTGTGGGGGCCAGGGAGAAGCCGGCTAGGGAGCAGAGCAAGGCTGAGGGGAAGCGGAAGGCGGATATGAGTGCCCAGGAGAAGGAGAGTAAGCTTAAGAACATACTCAAGGGCGGCTTGTTCAAGAGTAGTAAGAAATAGAGCTTCAGGTGGGGGACTTGGGAAAAGTGCATGGGTTTTGATATCAATATTAATTTTGGTGGTTTTGGGCTACTCGACTGGGGAAGTCATAGATGGTCATCCATTAATATGGGCTAGTTCATAGTGAAGCATGTAGTGATGGGACCTTATGCCCCGTAGCAAAATACCACTTTCACAGTCGCATGCATTGCGTGACACAGTACGTCCCCAATCAATGGTCATCATGCTCTCCTGTCGAGCATCCTTACAGTCACGAAACGTCTGAATTGCCAGCGAGGCGTCATGGTGGATCGGCGTGAATTGATCACATTTTCATGATTTTAGAGACACTGCTAGGTATCTGAGACCCCGTTTGTGCATTGTCGCACTCCGAAATGGTACCGTCTGTTTTGTGCATCCTTCGAAGTCGTGTCAATCCGCCGTGAAGAGACCTAACACCCAGAGAGAAGTGGAAAATGCGGTCCCCCGTGCTGCTCCATTCCCAACTCGACGAATCGTTTAGTGACCCGCACGCCTCGCCTCGGCGATGATCTGGCTCATCTCGTCGACCTTCCTCTTCGCACGGCCGAAGGTGCCGAGCTGTTGATCGTTAGCTTCCGTACGTTCCATTGTGCACTCGGAGACAGGGTGTGGGGTTCGTAGTGTGGATCGCGGTGTAAGGACGTACCCTCTTCTTTGCCAGGCGACGGGCACGCTTGTCCTTGGAGTTTCGGAGCAATTCGATGACACGCTTCTCATATCTGCGCAAGGGTGAGTGGGGCGTTCGAGGTTTTGCTCGGGAGGGATATTTACGGTGCAAGTCTGTACACAATCCGACGAGTTAGCACACTGTCAATCAGACCAGGACCTCCGCAGTTTCCATCTAGCAGCTCCAGTGGTCTTGATAATGCAACGCATACGCCAAAGCCACCCAACAGACATGTGTGCGAAGTGTGTGACGTACCCAGCAACCTCACGGGTGATCTCCCGCACGAAAGCCGTTCGCTTCGACAGAAAGCCCTTCCTCCGCGAGATCCGGGGGGCCGGGGTCCTAGGGGTGACCTCTGTTTGTCGCTGTCAGATTGCTTCGCTCGCGCAGTCGGGAAGTTCGTCGTGTGGGGAATACGTACTGTGGCCAGCGTTGAGGCCGACGATGAGGCCTGGAAAATGTCAGTATACTGCGCATTGGTGAAATGACGTGAGGGGAGCTTACCGGACTTCTGCTTGACTTCCTTGGGCATGGTGTCGGTTGTCTGTCGTTGACTTGAAGTTTCGATGATCGGGAAGTTCGATAATTTGGGCTCGGTTGTGGGCGGTGCGTGCCAAGGCCGCTAGCCTTGTTCAGGTTGAGGCGCACGTGACCGGGCCATCGCCTAAAGCTCACGACATGAGATGGAAACTCCAAGCGGACTCGAATTAGAAACATGCTGTTTCCTGGAGTTCGCAGCCCCCTGAACCTCTTTTCAAGTGCAGGATTCCCTGCAAGTAAGGCTGATTGCTAATGGACCCATTCACCACATGCAGAGAACAGACGAGCCCGATAGGGTATCGTACAATTGCAAGAAATCTATATCTTGGTATCTGGTTTCGTCCTCGTAGCCATGTTCCTCGCCGCATCTAGCACAAAGCCAACATGGTGGCTCAGCGCAACCAACTCTCCACTAGCATCTCGAACATGGACTTCGAGGTCCATCCTTCCGTTCTTCACTTGCTTCAACTGCACCCGGATAGCCAACCACTTGACGCCTTCTGGCGGCAATGCCTTCTTGACATCCAGATTCAGCAGGAGCGTCGGATACCAAAACGGTCCCTGGCTCTCGTCCCGGTACGACTCCACGATCTGAGGGAACATATCCGCGACCAAGCCTACGCTCGTGTTTGTGAAGTTGGTCCCGTCTGCGAAACATAACCACTCATCAGCGAGGTTAGCCAAGGCTTGCCCTTTCCGCGGGAAATGCCATTTGACCTTCTGAGAAGCTCTCCTGAAGTTCGAAAATGGCATTTTGTCTTGCAGCTTCCAGTTCGGATCCTCGTTCCGCTCCAGCTTCGCCAGGTCAACCGGAGGAGGCGGTGGCAGCAGCTCGTACTGGGTATCGAAGCTCACTCCTTCCTCTGTGTCCATGTTCGAATTGGTCGCGTATGCTATAACCTCCTCCCTGCCCTCCTGAGACATATGTACGTGTACGATGGACGTTTGTCTGCCGAGTTTGACATCTTCAACTTTGAAAACCGCCGGGCCTGCTTGTGTTCTCCGGAGGAACTCGACATGGAGGGCGATGGTGTGCGGCTGGTTCTGCTTCGCGAGGGAGGTGCTGAAGTGTGTCAAGACGACTTGGAGGATGCATCCTGTCACGTATCCACCATTAGGGACTACAGGCAATCAGTGTATTTCCGCCAATTCAATTGCACATAGAGGCCTACCGGTGCCGATGCACCAGTCGTCATGGAGGGTGCAGGAGTACGTCTTCGTGTCGAGCTTCTGGACCGCAGATGCTTCCTCCCAGGACGTCATCGTAGGTTGCAAAATGCCGTCAAAGCGATCGGTATCCGAGATCGGTATATGTAGATCCGTTACATCGTGGGTGCAGTACATCGAAAGGTCCACCTCCGAGGTCAGATTTCCCCGCGCGAACAATGAGCCTCGGCCGCTAGCGACAGAAACCCCAGTCCGCATCATCACTCCGCAGCCATCCTTTTGTTACCTAGGCAAGCCGCATATGCCGCGGGTGGGCGGCATTCCCGCTATGTTTGCCGCGCTTCATTACTTTTCTTCTTCTTCCCTCTCTCGTCCTCCATAGAATCGAGACTTGAGAGTCGCAAAGCATTGCATTCCTCCAAGATGCCTTCCGAGTCCAAGTACCCCAGCCTTCCGATTCCGAACGCCGATCTCTGGGGCTTTCTCTTCGAGCGCAAAGATAAGCCATATCCAGATGACAAAGGCAAGTGATTGGCATTCTGAGACAAGCATCCAGCTTGCTAACACTATCGAACAGTGATCTACTTGGACCCGTACACGAAGCGCTCCTATACCTATGCCCAGGTCAAGTCCACCGCCATCGATTTCGGAAAAGGCCTCAAGGCTCTCTGGGACTGGCAGAAGGGCGATGTGCTTGCGTTGTACACTCCGAACTGCATCGACACGCCAGCGGTAACATGGGGCTGCCATTGGGCTGGTGGGATCCTCAGTCCTGCGAACCCACACTACACCGTCGATGAACTCGCCTTCCAGCTCAAGGACTCCGGCGCAAAGGCCCTGGTCACACAACTACCTTTCATCAAGAACGCCCAGGAAGCGGCGAAGAAGGTTGGAATACCGATGGATCGAGTTATCGTCATTGGAGACCAGCGGGACAAGACCCATATGGTGAAGCACTTTACGAGCATTCGGAATACGGCTGGCTCAGCGAGGTTTCGACGGACGAAGATGAAGCCTGAAGAGGATCTGGCCTTCTTGGTGTATTCCTCTGGCACTACGGGACACCCTAAGGGCGTCATGTTAACGCACAGGAACATTGTCGCCAACACGATGATGATCAAGGCTGGAGAGGCAGGGCACCTAAGCTGGGCAGGCGGACCAAACGGCGAGGGCGATAAGCTACTGGCTTTCTTGCCGTTCTTCCACATTTACGGTACGTTCGGATATCCCTGCAAGCTTAACCACCCCATTTTGGCTTGATATGCTTTTACAGCGTTTCTAACGCATGTTAGGTCTGACCTGTCTAATACATCAGAGTCTCTACTCTGGTCTACAGCTTGTTGTGATGCCAAAGTTTGACCTGGAAGACTTCTGCAGATTCGTCCAAGACCTCAAGATCACCTTCGCTTACGTCGTCCCTCCGGTCGTTCTCCTATTGGGCAAGCATCCCGTGGTCTCAAAATATGATCTCAGCTCCATCCGCATGATGAACTCTGGTGCAGCTCCTTTGACACGGGAACTTGTAGAAGCCGTGCATGGCCGCCTCAAAATTCCAGTGAAGCAAGGATACGGGCTTTCTGAAACGAGCCCAACTACACACACTCAGCCATGGGAAGACTGGAACAAGTCGATTGGCTCAGTTGGTACTCTGCTTCCGTACCAGACAGCGAAGTACATATCGCCAGAGGAGAAAGAAGTCCCTGTGGGAGAAGTTGGCGAGCTATGGATCAAGGGCCCAAATGTCTTCAAGGGCTACCTGAACAATCCAGAGATGACCGCGCACGTGCTCACCTCAGACGGCTACTTCAAGACCGGCGACGTTGGCTACCAAGATGAGGACGGCAATTTCTACATCACAGACCGCGTCAAAGAGCTCATCAAGTACAAGGGCTTCCAAGTACCACCTGCCGAGCTCGAAGGCCTCCTCCATGCGCATCCGAACGTCAACGACGTTGCGGTCATCGGGGTGTACGATAAGGATCAGGCTACTGAGATACCTAGAGCCTATGTTGTTCCGGCCAATGGACTGGGTGCAGCGGAAGAGGACGCGAAGCATATCGAGGAGTGGTTGAGCGAGAGGGTCGCTCACCACAAGAGACTAAGGGGCGGAGTCAGATTTACGGACGAGATCCCGAAGAGTGTAAGCGGGAAGATTCTGAGACGGGTGCTGAAGGTGAAAGCGCAGGAAGAGGACGAGAAGGCCAAGGCTAAGCTTTAGAGACGCCGCCAGCAAATTAGAGTACGACTCACCGAACGTCACCCAACCGTTTTCATTTTGTCGTTCCTTCCTCTTCTTATCTCTTCGTCTTCAACGCTTTGCCACACACCGGTCGCGGCACCATAAATTCCCCCGCTCCGCCACCGTCTTCTATTGCCCGCCTCTCCACACTCTTCTTATAGCAAGAGAAGCCCAGCATACGGGTCGCAGTCACCCCCCTTTGTTGCCCAGGTGCACTCCCCAGCAATGGCACCACCTGGCCCTCCCAACCGTGCGGGCCCCCTGGTACCGGAGCGTGTGCGTGAAGATATCGACCATGACCGCATCCATGGCGGCGACTTGCAAATCGTTCCCAACGAGCACGGTAACCGCAACATCGACGTCCACGTCGCTGTCATGTTCCAGGTCAAGCTGGACTTTAAGTTCGCCGCCTTCTTCCCACAAGAGATCCGTGACACGGTCGAGCGTATCTTCCACGACGAGCTGGTGCGTCAGCAGAACCCTCCCGCAGACCAGTCGCAGAAGGGATATGTATACACCATCAACGGGGGCAAGATCATTCGCAGCTTCCGACCAGCCCACTACTTCCGCGCCTATGGCTACAGCGAGGATGTGGAGAACGCTAATGTCAAGCTCCTAAACCTCATCATGAGGGAAGAGCCCGAGATGGTGCCAGTATTTCGCCGCAGGAACTTTATCCGGATGGAGCAGGGGCTCGCGAGCCAGAAGGCAAATCCAGATATCCTGCAGCATCATGCACTTCGCTACGGAGATGCTGGATGGAACGTCGACAAGCATCACGGTCTTGCCATTCTCTATCCCAAGCCGGAACGGGAGGGGCATACCCTTCGGGCCTACTTCGTCGAGCGGGTCGAAGTCAACCAGCCGGAGAATGAGGTCGCGGACAGGGCTGAGGGGGAGGAGACTGAGGTCAAGGAGGACGATATGGATGTGGAGCAAGGCTGAACAAGGCGGACTCACGGCATGATGTGAAGCACGGTAGACGACGTTCAGTTGTGCGGGGTTTGGAGTGCTCGGGCGCTCCTCATAACTTCATCATGCTAATGTTTGGCGTATATAGGTCCGAGAAGCTGGACGGAGGGGCGTTTGTGTCTAGAATACGACCATGATCCCTCGTCATCCCCCTACTTTACTACTTTTTGTCTTTGTGATGAATGCTGCAGTTGTGATTTAGTGTTTCTGATTTCTCCACTCCTGTTCGCTGTTCGTCTGGCAGTATCGTAGCAGACTTGCCGCCGCTCAATCCGTCTCGCCCTTCGTAGCTCGGGGACCTAAACAGTGCCGGCTAGGGCTTCGATAAGCACGGATACCTGACCCTTTGGACGAAGCAAGAATGCCAGATCGAGGACACAGAGACCCCTTCGAGGTGTAGTGAGTAGCCTGGACAAGTGGGTGTGCGTCTTCGTTCAGCGGAAGGGAATTGAGGCCGCACTGGTTCAAGGACGGTGGCAGAAATGATAATGAGGGACACATAAGGGGCAGGCGAACAATTTGAGCAAGTCGGAAGCATTCACGGGAACTGATGACGGAGCTTGGGGGATGTGGATCGTAGAGGCATTGGGCGTCGAATGGGAGCTCTCTATGTGCCGGGCGTAGCTGCAATTTTGTCAGTCTCCTGAGATACGATGGGAGAGCGATGGATTAGAACTGACGTTGCCACTTGCACTGCTTCTTTTTCTAGCATCCTGATTCCGCCTAGCGGATGTGATGGTGATGCATCACGTGAAGACGCGATGATCGCGACTTCCTCAACCGGACTTCCACCCTCCGAACCTATGCTCTCCAAGCAGCGATGGCTTCCATACTCCCGCCATCAGTCCCTCTACCCATCCACTACGAGTTCTCGAGACCCCCGGCGTCCCACACCCTCCTCAACCTCGACTGCAGCGCTGACCTGACCTCGTATTCGCGCAGCCTGGGTCCAGCAGCACCACATACCGGACAATCTACGCAAGCCCTAACGCCCACCCTCGACAGTGAAGCGCTACGCGCACAGTTTGAAAGCCATCACGAGCATCTGCTTCAGCATCGTCAACTGGAGCTGCAAAGACAAGAGGCAGTCGGCTGGGCCAGTCCTGCTGCGAACCTTTATGCGGCCGTGCCGGGTAGTCGAGCTACTCTTCATGGCCCAGAGGCTCATTCCATTTCCGCGCAGTCTTCCTACCAATGGCCGCCTCAGCGTCGAAAACCAAGCCCCGTCGCCGGAGACGTGAGCACCTATCCACCTGCCCTTCGTCGAGCCCTCGAACGATCCAGCGTCATCAACGGCGCCCCATCATCCCACGAAAGCACGGTATACCACGTCATCCGGGACATGGACAGCGACTATATGGAAGACACAAGCGATATAGTAGGGACGTATCGGAGTTTACACTTGGCGAACCTCGTGGCGGCGGAATACTTCATTAGGGAATTTTGGGATGCAGGGGAGGCCGCAGGGGAGGAGCCTGAGTTTGAACTCAGGGAGGCCGGTTGTTTGTATACGGAGGTTCAGACGGAAGGGTCGACGGGAGGGCTGGGGAGCGTGTACGTGAGGCGAGGGTCTCTTAGGTGAAAACTCGAGGGATGAATAGGCTGAGAATAGCTAGAATTGGGAGGCAGTCTAGTGGGGGGCACTGTTGCCATTCGGGTCATGAGCGTTTATATATTATTGCTACGCCACTATCAGGGATGCGAGCTTTAAGCCCGAGTTTGTGTAGACCACAGCTCGCCTTGACTCGGCCCAAGGAGGGTGGAGCGAATGAAGGGACATAAGGAGAGATCGTCGTTCCTTATGCGTCGCTAGAACGGAGCAAGCCCATGGTACCATGGTACCTAGATACCTAGGTGAACCGAGAGTACCCATAAATACATGTTGGGAACATGCGAGCCATTTCCTAACATAATCGCACTCCTTCCCCTGCCATCCGCACCGTTGATTGTGCCTGCCCTGTATTCGCCGCATGTCGCTGCTACTTATCGCGTCCAAGAGCTTTGACCTTGCCGTTCGCTGCCTTACCTTCGCCCTTCTCAATTCCCACTTCGCGCAGAAACGCAGCCCTCATTGCCATCGGAATTACTAGCGACGAGATCGCAACCCAATCCTCGATTCTCCAGAGCCACGGCCGAACGAAGACCTCCGTCCCCATCACCTTCCAGCCGGCCCAGAGGTGCACGGTATCACACAGCAGTATGCCCAGAACGATCGCCTTCCACACCCTCAGGTCCTTAGCGACGCGGAGAACAACGGCCTGATTGAAGGCGAAGAGGAGGTACGTCGCGGCGAGCTGGTCGAAGACGAGCTGAGAGTCGTGCGAATACTTGAGCTTCGGCGAGAAGGCGTGGAGGAAGAGCTCGGGCTGGAAGAGACAGAGGATCGAGCCATTGAGGGCGAAGACGGGCTCAATATAGAGGAGCAGGAGGCGGTAGGGCAGAGGAATGCATGGCAGTGGCTGCTCCATTCTTTGTTCGCGGGTGGCTGAAGAGCGGTGCTTTGTCGAGATCGGCTCGTGAGGGACCAGCCTAAAGCCCCTTGCGGGGAAAGCACACAGCCGCAAGCCGTGCACCGTGGCATTTCCACACAATCCCTTTTATGGCATAGTGATGGCGGGTCAACTGGACGCATCCACCGGCAACAAAATCAATTGGTGGGTTCTTTTCCTCAGGAATCGACAGCAGAGCCAGAAACTTTCCGCAAAGAGTATGTTCATTTAGCTCATTCGTGGGAGTAACCGTCCGGACCAACCATCGTGGAGGTGCTCAGCTCTTTCGTGTCGAGATTCGTCACGAGGTCGCGCGCGGCGTTCCATGTTACGGCAGCCATGGAATTTTAGAGTTCGGTTCTTGCGCGTTTGGGGGAGGCGACCTCCCTTGGCGGGTGTCGTAGGCCGAGTAGCGTTAGACACCGATAACGACCGCTTTACCACATCACGCTGGAGCACAACTGGAGCATCCGGAATGGAAGGAGTCTACCAAAACGCCGTGGGAGCTCTACAAGCCGCACCACATTTGTCAAAGGAACACCTCCACCAGGGCATGCAGCCGGGCCGTCGATCAACATCGTTCTTAGCCTAGCGAGAATGAGACGGCCATCCGAAGAACTCTACAGCTGGTATAGTGGACAACTTGGAATGAGACATGGCTTCCCGAAAGTTGGGTTTTGCTAGAAAGCGAATTCAGGGCATGAAGAGAGTATAGTTTCGTCTCGAAGCGCTTACAGAATAGGACAACACGTATATCGAGCACCGCCGCAATCCGCCATGCCCAACCCTTTGTCCGCAGACATTATCCGCGTGCCGCTTCTGACCGGGCAGCTTCTTCGCCGTAGTAGCAAACACCCGACGGCTTTCCCCTCGTCAACTTTACCCTCTGCGGTAACCGGATGCCGACAAGCGCCATAGAACCACACTCCAAGATGTTCAGCTCCGCGGCCGGGCGCTTTGAAAGGCTATCTGTGGAATGGCTAAAGTCTTGAAAATGTGGCGCACACTGTCGAGCCGGACAAACACCGAAGGAGTGTTGCGATGAAAACACGGGTGGCTCGTTCGATGCCGCTGCCGAGGGTGGAAGTAGTGGTGTGGATACTTTACAGGATGCCGATAACGGATGATAGGGAGACGTTCATGGTTTGCGTCAAGAGAGCACAGCATCGAGGCTCTAAAGCAAGGGGTTGGAATGAGAGATACATTGACAGGACGCTCGTATTCAATGTTCAAGGACTAAATACACAACATAGGCAATGAGGACTATACATACTTGAACCACTGCTGCCAATCCTCCGAGAAAACCAGAAGCAACAAGCGGGGAGTCTGCACAAAAGTAGGTGGTAAACATCCTCTAGGTCCTGCACAAGCGCACTGCATTGCCATTCCTATCAGATCGGATTCTCGGCTGCGGAATCGAATTCTGACTAAATCCCATCACGATAACCGTTCTCGTGGGCGGTTTGATCGTCCTGAAGATACCCTTTGTTGATTAGGGGCTCCACGTGTAACAGTGCCGGGACGCCCAAGCAGAGACCGCCGGCCTGGGCCGAAGTGAGTAGCTGCCGACCATACGGCGTTGGCGAGCCAGTGAGCTGACACCAACCCGGGAACACCCTAACTATCGCCAATGCTAACGGACCAAGACAGATCGCTACTAGGCTGTCATCGGGGGGTAATTGTGGATGAAAAGATAGCTTTGCGGCTTATTTGGTCAAAATGATGTGACAGTGACACGGCGCTCGAGTTTCGAGGGGGGGGCGGAAAGGTCATTGCGAGACTCCAGCGCCCGAGCTCTGCTGTGCCTGATTCGACGTCATCGCACCCCGCGGTCAGGTCAGCCCACGGAGCTTGCAAAGAGACAAGTATGCCCTTGTTGCGCCCCGACATCCCTCGCAGTCCAAGAACCAAGGAAGTTTCCGCCCTGAGTCGCAGTCACGCACGTCTCTTACCTAGGTATAAAGCTGCGGCTCATCGTTCCGAAAAGCCAAGCGCAGGCACTCGACGCCATCGTTCCTGCGTTACCCTGTGACGTGTGGCTAATTCTCGAATTCACTGGAAACTTTTTATCGCTTTGGACTCCACTACTCTCCTTTTGTCCTCGCCATCCTTCCCTTGAGCTTCTTGGGATCGCCTTTGCTCGTCCTATCTGCAAACTTCCTACTTTCCGCGCCATTGCTAGGCGACCGACGTCTGCTTTACGGGCTCCAACGACCAGCTGCCGACCATGACCACCTTCGTGTGTTCGCTGTAAGTGGTCCCACATCTCAAAGATCGCGCGAGTCGAGAGAAATTTTGAGCCCTTAGTGTTGCGCCTCGAAAATTCGCATATTGACTGACCCGGTGCAGGTTCCTACCCTACACGGTGGACTTCAAGGAGCCAGAGAAGGCAAAGCCGTCCAGTTCCACTGCACCACCACCAACATTGAGCGATGTTGGCAGGCAGAGCTCCACCGCTAGCATTCACCAGACCCCTGCCTCGGATGAGCGCGGACCTAGTCTGCTGAGGAAGGCTCCTAGCCACATCACGCTTCCGAAGACGCCTGCAGCGATGATTGAGCAGGAGGAGTACTTCACACCAACACAGCCGAGCGCAGCCACCCATTTTCTCCGTCCGTCCGACCCGCGAAGCCTAGTCCGCAGTGATGCACACGTACCTGAGTGGGGCGCCAGTGGACTCTTCTTCAATCAGCCGCGTTCGAGGGCCGAGCGGCCCCCGGATACAATACTCGAGTACACCAAGGCGCAAGAGCGTGCGCAAGCTCGGCGGGAGCGCTCTCGCCAGCGCGCGAAATCCCTGTACAAGAGCAAAACCGACCATGGAGACCCTCGTTGGACAGCCGAGTACTCGGTCGTCCCAGCGGAGCAAGGCAACGGTGGTCTTTCTAATGCCATTCGTGCCTCAATCGATCACGGCACCCTCTCGGACGTCATCACCGTTGGCCTCATTGGCTTTCCCACCGATGCCCTCGACGACGACAAGAAGACTGAGATATACGAGCGGCTCGAGGAGGAGCATCAGGCCCTCACGGTCTATGTCAGCGACAAAGATTACGACGGGCACTACGTCCACTACTGCAAGACGATCCTGTGGCCCGTCTTCCACTACGTAATCCCCGACCATCCAAAGAGCAAGGCGTTCCTGGACCACTCCTGGGTGTTCTACGAGAAAGTCAACCAAGCCTTTGCTGATACGGTTGTCAAGAACTACAAGCGGGGTGACGTAATTTGGGTCAACGACTACCATCTTTGTCTTGTCCCGGCAATGATCCGAAAGAAGCTTCCAGATGCCCAGATTGGCTTCTTCCTACATGCCGCCTTTCCGTCCTCTGAAGTTTTCCGCTGCTTGGCGTTCCGGAAGCAGTTGCTAGAGGGTATGCTTGGAGCGAACCTGGTCGCCTTCCAGACGCATGAATACGCCCACCATTTTCTGCAGACCTGCAGCCGCATCCTCGCGGTTGAGGCCACCGAAGATGGCGTACAGCTCGAGAGTCGCCTTGTCAACGTCTGGTCTTCACCAATCGGCATCAATCCGAGGGCCTTAATGCAAGCTCGAGATGAAGACAAAGTTCGGGACTGTATCAAGACCATGACCGACCGCTATAAGGGCAAGAAGGTGATTGTTGCTCGTGATAAGCTCGACACGATCCGCGGCGTACGGCAGAAGCTCCTCGCGTTCGAGCTCTTCCTCAACAAGAACCCAGAGTGGAGGGACAAAGTAAGTTTCCCGTGCTCAACTAGATATTGACACGACTAACAACGAATAGGTCGTTCTCATCCAAGTTGCGACTTCAACTCAAGATGATCCAGAGCTAGCGTCTACCGTGTCCGAGATCGTTACACGAATCGACGCAGCGCATTCCACCCTAACCCACACCCCGCTCTTGTTCCTCCGACAGGACATCGCGTTTGATCAGTACCTCGGCTTGCTATCTATTGCAGACGCGCTGGCGATCACGAGCTTGCGCGAGGGCATGAACCTCACTTGTCACGAGTTCATTATTTGCCAGGATGGCATGCACTGCGACAAGAAGTACGGTCCCGTCATCCTCAGTGAATTCACGGGTAGCTCGTCTATCTTTGATGGCGCAGAGCTTGCAGTAAACCCGTGGGACTACCAGAGCATCGCCGATGCCTTCAAGATCGTTCTGGAGATGGGCGATGAAGAGAAGGAACGACGATATTGGAAGATGCGCAACATGGTTATGCACCATACTGGCGATTTCTGGATGCGCAATCTTACCGAGCATCTGGCCAAGGTGTACGATGAGCAGTTCCGCCGTGACAGCATGTCGATCCCGCGACTCTCGATCCACAAGCTGATTAAGGATTATGAGGCATCCTGGAGGCGCCTGTTCATCTTGGACTACGAGGGAACCCTCGCCTCGTACGGTTCAGTCAAGAACACGGTTCTGACCAACATCGAGAAGGTCACAGATGTTCTTAGCGAGCTCCTCGCTGACGAGAGGAACGCGGTGTACGTGATGAGCGGTCGTACCGTCGAGGAACTTGAGCTGCTCTTTGGTCGGGTTCAAGGCCTCGGACTTATGGCCGAGAATGGGTGCTTTGTTCGAGAGGGAGGCTTGGATGAGTGGATTCAATTCCCCAATGAGGAGAAAACCGTTAAATGGAAGGCGGCCATCAAACAGATCCTCCAGTACTACGTTGAGCGAGTGGAGGGTAGCTGGGTTGAAGAGCGACACTGCTCCCTCATCTTCCACCTTGAGAAGACTGACCAGAACGACGCGCAGCGTCTTGCCGGCGATTGCGCGAACCACATCAACGATGCGTCCGAGCAGCAGCGTGTCAAGGCCATCCCGAGCAAGGACTCTGTCATCATTGAGCCCTCGGACTTCGACAAGGCCACCGCAGCTCAGCATATCTTCAACCGGTACCTTGAGGCGGAGCGTCCGGAATTCCTCTTCGTTGCTGGCAATGACCGCGACGATGAGACCATCTTCAAGTGGGCCAAGAACCTCAAGGAGAACTGGGTCATTCGGGACGTTCAGACTGTCACCGTGGGCGCTAGAAACTCTCTCGCCATGTCCACCCTGACGAATGGCACTACTGGTAAGCCACACTCTCCACCCCTTTCCGTTTAATGTCATATACCTAACAAGCACAACAGGCCTCTTGAGCGTCCTCAACAAGCTCTCCAAGATTAAGGCCTAACCTTCTTCGCCCAAGCACTTGGGTTCGTTGCTCGGGTTGTACATCAGCATTGGAGTTTTGACACGGAATTGAGGGTTGTTCGAGATGCACGATACCATTTCACGAGTGTTTATGAAGCATGGGAGCATGGGAGCATGGGAGCATAGCATGCTGAGCGATCGTGCATTGCATTGGAGTCGGTCGCCCGGCCATGTACCTAGATGAGTTTCCTAGGCCTAGCGAAACCATCAAAACTTTCACAAATCATCTCCTTTGGTCCTCGCGTGCTGTATGTGCCCGAAACATGGCGAGGCTCTTGAAGCATGCTAATGGAAAGCCCGCATGCTTAAAGACCTTGTAGTAGCTCGATCTGGATCAGTGCTTCGTAGCTTCTGTCTGCGGATGATGAGATCCTGAGCATCCTCAACGCCGACGAAATGCGCTACTCAACCATAGGAATCCCAAGGCCGCCAAAACGCCGCACCCTAAGCCGCTCTTCTTCCTCGAACGAGCGCGACGCCATGTTCTGTCTCACAGAAGGCCGCCCGCGAGGCTCCAGAATACAGTATGCCGCGAGGATGATGGCGGTATGCCTAGGGTCCCAATCCACTAGCCCCCCCGTTGGAGATCCCTGCATATTAGGCGGGACGGGACAAATTCTTGGACGATGTCATGTTACCTTGCAACGTTGACGTCTTGGAAATATCCCGGTTGGCGGAGCGGCTGTTTCGAGGATGATGATGGGAGAGAGCCGGGGTGGGGGGAGGACGAGCAGGGACTTATAAGTGTGACATCACCATGGTGCAGAAGAGATACGCGTCAGAGACACAGCGGAATGAATGCAGAGAGTTTGTTGTTGATGGTGATATGTTTGCGTAGCTGTCTATGCTCTGCTATACTCTGCTATCGAGCTGCAATTTCGCGCTGTTGTGGTTGGTGGAAATGGTATCTAAGTAAGAGTGCCGCCCGATGTGTACTGTATGCCTACTAGCCATACTTCGTGATCATAGACCCTAGAACGCCACCGCCATGACCGTTCTTCCCATAACGATACAAGAAAAGTTGAAACGAAAGGATGTAGCGGACTCAAGCCTTCCACTTCGCGGCTGTCCATTCGTCGTATTCCTTAGCTAGGCTCTTCTTGACCCACGGGATCGTCATGGCCGTCCAGACGCCAGCCCAGATGAAGGGCAGTGTCCAGCCAACCTGTGCCAGTTAGCATTGGAGAACAAGAAAGATGAGAGTGACGGTGTACATACCACATACGCAGCATCGCGCTGGATCGTAAACACAATCGCAGTCGTGACCACGGAGCATCCAATCGCGCCAATCGCCCAGAACAGCGTCAACCGGTGCAGCATCTCGCGGAACGCCTTGCTCGCCTGGTACCGCAGGTTGAGTCGCTGTCTGAACTCGGTGCCGCCGGAGCCATCCACGGCGCACACGTCCTCGATGTAGGCGTAGATTCCAGGGCGCAGTGGTGCGCCCATGGGGAGCGAGGAGATGCGGCAGGGGGCGCGGATGCCGGCGATGCGCAGGATGTCGACGACGAGGAGCTCGAGGCCGATGGCGAAGAGCATGGTGGCGGCGGGGATGGCGAGGACGCGGATGGGCGGGTCGTGGGGGCAGGTTCCGCTGCGGGAGCGTTAGTTTGAGCAGAGAGTGAGGGATGGGGGAGCACGTACGCAATCAGTTCGATCATGACGAAGAACCAGCCTACGGAGAGATTCCAGTGGAACCAGTCGAGCTGTGGAAAGTCAGTTCAAGTGCTTTCTAAAGAGGACGGGGGGATACGCACGTAGTATCTTTGCGCGCCAATGACCCTGCAGTTCGAATTCTTCCTCCACAACCTTCGGAAGCGAATGAAGTACTCCACTATGGACACCGTCCCCAGCAGCGCGGTACTGATACTGAAGACTGCATTGGCGCTCAGCTGATCCCGCGTCAAGCCGTACCACATGCCAAAGTACAGCCCAATGGGCATGCACACGCAGTCCAAGAATATAAGAAACCAGAACCAGAAGATGGCCTTCTTGCGCGGGCGCAGCGAGTAGTTCAACGGCGGCGGCCGTGTGAAGTCGGGGTCTTCGAATACGACTTGTGTGTTTGGATAGATGGCGGACGGGTTTGGAGAGGCTGCTCGACTGACGTTCTGGCTTGTGTTGGCATTCTGGGCGGCGCTTCGTGGCTGCCGTTCGTCGTCGTCGCTTGGTGCTTCAAGTGCGATGCCAGGTACGGCGAGATGCGCTGCTGCTGGCTGGTCTGGCGGCATCTGCTCAGGCGTTGACGACGGTTGCGTGGGTGTGGCAGCCCGCAAGGGCTCTGTGGACGGCGTAGGCGTCTGCGTGGCCATGATGTTCGCTGATGAAGAATGGCAAGAACGGACAACTAAGAAAGTGAAGAAATCGCCGGGGGCGCCGACAAGTCTTATGCCGGATGGCAGCGGAAGGTCTATGTCTTATCGTGCGTACGATGCCGAGCAGGAGTGGTGAGAGGGCGCAAGGAGTTGTAGAAAGCGCATGCTGTTGTAAGCAGAGTGCATGCGTATGCCGTGAATTATTTCATCGGCCGATGCTGCCATTCATTGAAGGGATAGGCGGTCCATGACATCACAAAGGATAGTTTGCGAAACGGCCCCCGGGCGGTGGACCTTGGCGCCAACTCCTGGCGTGAGCGCCGAGTGGTGCTGGCTTCGGGGCTGGAATGCCCCGGCACCACTCACTCGCCTGATGATCCTACCGCAAGCATATGACCCACTGGAGACTCTGACCTCACCGTCTCTCCGCACGCTCGCCTGCCTCGGAATATGTGAGAGACATCACCCATGGGCAGTATATTCGGCCTGTTATTGCATTCATTGCTACTGCTGGGCCTTGTAGCGAGCAGTCATGGGGAGAGCGCCCAGTCCCCGTTGCTGCAGGCCGGCAACGACACCATCTCCGGGGAGCTCTTCTTCGAGCTCGAGGAACTGGCGCGCATCGTCGACATAGCGTACTGCGTAGGCGCGGCTGGACTGGGCATCCAGGAGCCGTTCGAGTGCGCGAGTCACTGCGGCGACGAGGACTTCAAGAACTTTGAATTGGTTACCGTAAGGCCCCCGCTCAGATCGTCTGTCGCATGCGAAACTGACGTCTCTAGGCTTGGAATACCGGGCCTCTGCTGTCAGATTCCTGCGGATACATTGCTCTATCACATCCTCCTTCGAAGCCGCGCATCATCCTAGCCTTCCGCGGCACCTACTCGATCGCAAACACCATCGTTGACCTCTCCACCGTTCCTCAGGAATACGTCCCCTACCCCGGCGATGACGACGACACCACCTCAGACTTCATCGCTCCAAAGATTCGACCCCTGAGACCCTCCAACGAGGACGAGCCTCCGCCCTCCGACCCGCCCAAATGCGAGAACTGCACCGTCCACACCGGCTTCTACACCTCCTGGCTCAACACGCGCAAAGCGATACTGCCCTACCTCACCGAAGCCGTCGAAAAGCATCCCGACTACTCGCTGGTCCTAGTCGGCCACTCGCTCGGCGGCGCAGTCGCCGCGCTCGCGGGTCTCGATCTGAAAGCCCGGGGCTGGAATCCCCGCGTCACCACGTTCGGCGAGCCAAGAGTCGGGAACAAAGAACTCATGGCGTACATCAACGCCCGCTTCAACATCACTACTACTAAAACTAGTTCCAACGACTTCCACCGCGTCACACACGTCAGCGACCCGGTGCCGCTGCTGCCACTGGCGGAATGGGGCTACACGATGCACAGCGAGGAGATCTTCATCTCCGCGCCGGATTTGCCCTTCGCTGTAAGCGACATTCATCACTGCGAGGGCGATGAGGATCCGAGGTGTATAGCGGGAAGTGATGCTGATGGGCCTTCGTGGGGCATCCCCGCGCGGTTCAAGTTCTGGCAGCTGTTCTTTGCTCATAGGGACTACTTCTGGCGGCTCGGCCTGTGTGTCCCGGGCGGTGATCCAAAGGACTGGTATCGGAAATATCCTAAGCATGGCGATGGCGACGATGATCACCTTGAGGAAGCTCAGGAGCTCTGATTGTTGTATGCGTACGGGTTTGATTACGCGTTCGGAAAAGTACGGCGTTAATCTGCCTCCTTGGATACGATATCTTAGCCATGCTTTGAGTCAAGCAGGTTCTAGCGTATTCGTGGTCTAGTATAATAATTACTTCCACATGCCGCATGTCCACATCTTCCTCGAAGCATAGGCACATCACTGGTTCGTTGGCAGATACTAGCTCTAGCTTTCATGCAGTTAGTTAAGGGCCTCGGAATGGCTGTTGTATAGCCGCCACACGACAGTAGCGCTTGTAGCACTTTGTGGTGGCTTGGTGGCAACGTGTAATAGATAAAATAATAGCCATTTCAGATCTCTCGCCACGTCATGAATCTATCCATATTTAACCCTAGATTTCCCGCCCGTATCCCCATCTCAACCTACGACAGCAGATAAATCCGTCCCTCATACGACCCCAACGCCCCCTCCATAACATCATCAACACTGCTCACCAACAACTCCCTCTTCGCTCCCGCAATCTCCTTCGGCAACTTCATCTCCACCTCCCTGTCCGTAAAATTCAGCACTGTAACCGCCTTCTGGCCCCTCCACGTCTTCGCAAACACAAACAGTTCTTCGTGCTCCTCATGCAAGTCGTCGAACTCGCCGTAAACAAGCAGGTCCGCGTATTCTCTGCGAAGTTGCAGCATGCGCTTCCAGAACGCGAGGACGGAAGACTTGTCCGTCTGCTGCTGCTTGGCGTTGCAGACGTGCGCGTCGTCGAGGGGCCGCATCCAGGGCTGGGCTTTGGAGTCTGCGGGCGAGAAGCCGTTGTGCGGGCCGGTGGACCAGGAGAGGGGCACGCGGGCGTGGTCGCGGGCGAGGTGCTGGAGGGAGGCTTTTGCGGAGACGAGGGCGTTGGAGCAGTTGTTTGAGCGCTGGGCGACCATTGCGTACTGTTTCGATCACAGGTCAGCTGCTCGTCTGTACGAAAGAGAAGAGGAAGAAAGGAGGAAGGAAGCGGACCGACTTACGTAGTTCGAGCTGTCGACGTCCTTGTACTCGCTCATATCCCATTCAATGGGGAAGTTCGTCATGCCCAACTCCTGTCCCTGGTAAATAAACAGCGTCCCGCTCAACGCACAGCACATCAGGGCCAACAACTTCCCACTTGCAACCCTATGCTCTGGAGCATCGCTCGCGAACCGCGATATGGACCTTGATTGGTCGTGGTTCTCGAGGAAGACGGTGGTCCATGCGTCGGTGTCGCGGATGATGTCCTGCGTGCGGGCGATGGCACGCTTGAAAGAGGGGAGGGTGTAATTCTTGGGTGTTGTCTGGAATTTGTAGGGGCCTTGGCCGATATCGACGACGTCCTGCGGGCTTTCTGTCAGCGTATTTGGGGGCCGGAGAAGGGCGAAGACTCACAAATTGAAAGACCATGTTGAGCTGTTTCTCCTTCGCGGAGACATACTTGAGGACCCGAGCCATATCCGGCGTATGCGGACACTCGCCCACCGTCATGGCATCGTACTTCTCCAGTATTTCGTTCATCTCGTTCAAGTACTGTGTCATCTGGGGCCCGTTGCAGTACTGGAATCCAGCAAACTTGACGCAGTTAGCACCTCCACCATCAATCATATAACTCTGGGGAGACATACCTGCCACTCACTCTCCGGATCCGAGACCGGCGCATCCATCATCTCGCCCTTACTATACATATTCACCGTATCGACCCTAAAGCCATCCACACCCCTCTCCAGCCAGAACTCCATGGCACTCTTGTAGATGGCCTGCCGGGTCTCAGGGTTCTCCCAGTTGAGATCCGGTTGTTCGGGACAGAACAGGTGTAGGTAGTATTCCTGAGTCGTCTCGTCCCATTCCCAGCAGCTGCCGCCAAAGTTGCCGAGCCAGTTGTTAGGCGGTTTGCGGTTGCCGTTACTGTCGTAGCGAGCTGGCCGCCAGATGTACCAGTCACGTTTGGGGTTGGTCTTTGAGGAGCGGGATTCGCGGAACCATGCGTGCTGGGTGATAGTTGGCTACCAATCATTTCCATTGTAGAGGGAGCGTACCTGATCTGAGGTGTGATTGACGACAAGGTCCAGAATGATCCTCATGCCTCGGACGTGGCACTCTGCAATGAGTCTCTCCATATCCTCAACCGTGCCGTACGGCTCGTACACCTTCTCATAGTCCCGGACATCGTACCCCATATCGACCTGAGGGGAATCGTACATGGGACAAATCCATATGACATTGACGCCAATGGAACGGATATAGTCCAATTGCGAGATGATGCCGTTCAGGTCGCCAATGCCGTCGCCATTGCTGTCCTTGAAGCTTGCGGGGTAGATCTGATAGACGACGCCATCTTTCCACCACTTACGCTCGGTGACGGTCATATTGTATCAGCCTAAGGTGGAGGAATCGAACAATTGATGGGGTAGTCGAAAGAGGTTGCGGAAACGGAATGGCGTTGGGCGTTCGTGGCTTGCTGGAGGCTGCTTGTACCCTTATTATACTCGGCCACCTATTTCGACAGTGGAGAAGTATGGAGCTCCGTCCGCCAACTACACGTCAACACCCATGACGATCGCATAGGGAGAAGATAAGGGCATCGTCGCAACGGCGCTCCTGCAGCTACCATTCGTCCATTGTCGGCCGACGAGAGATAGAAGGCAATCGAGCTGCCGAAATACTTCGCGAGCCTCTCCACGGGGGTGGGTCTGACGCCCTCCGCATCTCCAAGCTTCCAAAATGGTGTTGAGCCGCTCTACGACGTCAGGATCGTTGCGCTCGGACCGACATGTGCCAAACCAAAAGCCGCCCTAGCAGTCGTTAGAAATCTCGGGGCTGCCCCTGGTAGTGGAGCCGAATTAGCCTAGCCTAGCGCCCGGCTAGACGCCTGGATTTGCCTTTTCCATCGCCACATGTGATCAGCGCGACCGACATTGGCAAGCTTGTCCCGCTGTCGGACCGGCAACACTCTAATCAAGATTGCCTCCGAACTTGCATCGGCCTGCAGAATCGATGATATCGGAGCCATCCCCGGAGCCTTCCCCAGATCCAACCCGTTCCTGGGGATTGGAATTGCCTCGCTTGAGCGCGATGGCTTCACACCCGCGCCATTTTTTCTCAGTCCACCATTATCTTCTCCTCTCTTGGCCCGTGTGCTTGGACGGCTCATTCATGTTTGTGATTGAAGTATAAGTAGGTTGGTGAGAGCCGGCCAACAGCTTCAGCATCGTATTCGAGCTCGCGCATCTCCAGCTCAAGGTTCAAGAAGTGGATCTTTCCACAACCTCAACTCATCGTCTTTCCTTCATCTAGAACATCCAATTGGAGCGAGATCGAATCGATACCAATCACCATGTCCCGTCGCAATAGCAGCGTCGTCGCTGTCGACGTTGAACATGTGCGTCGCATGTCGATCGCCAATCCTGACCTCGCCCACCTCACCGAAGATGCCTCAAAGGCCACCAAAGCCGAGCATAACATGACTCTGCTCGAGGGCCTCCGCCTATACCCCAAGGCCGTCGGTTGGTCTGTTCTGCTTTCGGCCGCAATCATCATGGAGGGCTTCGACATTGTCCTCATCGCAAACCTTCTCGCTGTCCCGGCCTTCAAGAAAGCATTCGGCGAACAACTCCCGGACGGATCATACGAAATAACGGCAGCCTGGCAATCCGGCCTCACGAATGGCGCCTACGTGGGCGAGATCCTCGGTCTGATGCTGAATGGTTGGATTGCGGAGCGATACGGCTTTAAGAAGACCATGATCGGTGCTTTGACCGCTGTTACGTTCTTGATCTTCATCGTCTTCTTCGTCCAAAGCATCCAGATGCTCCTCGTCGGTCTGATCCTCATGGGCATTCCGTGGGGTGTCTTCCAGACGCTCACTTGCACCTACGCCGCCGAAGTTACGCCCGTTCCTCTCCGTCCGATTCTCACCACATACGTCAACCTGTGCTGGGTTATTGGACAGTTCCTCGCGTCTGGTGTACTGAAGGGCGTCTCAATGCGCGATGACCAGTGGGCGTACAGAATCCCATATGCTCTGCAGTGGATCTGGCCCGTTCCGCTCATCATCGGCATCAGCTTCGCGCCAGAATCTCCGTGGTGGCTTGTCCGCAAGGAGAGGTATGACGACGCAAAGAAGATGATCCTTCGCCTCGCATCTCCCGGAAAGAATCCCGACTTCAACGCCGACGAGACGATTGCCATGTACAAGCATACCAACGAATACGAGAAGGCTTCAACTGAGGGCGCTTCGTACTTGGACTGCTTCAAGGGCACCGATCTCCGCCGTACCGAGATCTCAGCCATGACTTGGTTCACGCAAGCTTTCTGTGGCAGCTCTTTCATGGGATTCTCCACCTATTTCTTCGAGCAGGCCGGTCTGGACACTTCCAACGCTTTCAGCATGAGCCTGGCACAGTACGCTCTCGGGGCCATCGGCGTCTTTATCGCTTGGTGGCTAATGACTCGCTGCGGGCGTCGAAGCCTGTACATCTGGGGCCAAATCTTGATGTGCTGCATCCTCCTCATCATCGGGTTTATTGGCCTTGTGCCCAAGGACAATGCTGGGGCGCAATGGAGCACTGGCGCCATGCTCCTCATCTTTACGATCACCTACAACTGCACTGTTGGACCGGTTTGCTATTCGCTTGTTGCCGAGCTGCCGTCCACTCGTCTCCGACAGAAGACGGTCGTCCTGGCTAGGAACTTCTACAATATTGCCTCCATTATCGGCAATATTATTACGCCGCGCATGCTCAATCCCGGTGCATGGAACTGGGGCGCGAAATCCGCTTTCTTCTGGGCTGGTACCTGTTTCCTGTGCCTCGTCTGGACCTACTTCCGTCTTCCTGAGCCGAAGGGTCGGACGTATGGAGAGCTTGACATTCTGTTTGAGCAGCGTGTCCCTGCGCGGAAATTTAAGGAGACTGTGGTTGATGACCTGCACGTTGAGCCACAGAATGGTTTCGAGCCCGAGAAGAAGGTCGCCACTGCGCATCTTGAGACCATTGAGTCAAAGACTAGCAACTGAGGCCTTGAGTTGACAAAGACGACGATACGTACAAAGTGTTCCCAGCTGCTTGAGCATCATGTTGTACATAGGATAGAGTTCTTTCAATAGCATGCACCATTGTTCCCAATCTTTTGCGTATACGTTTTCATATTGTAAGTGAGTTGAAATCAGATGTTGAGGATCGGGACACGGACAGCTCCAATAAGGTTTAACGAGAAAGAGGCTTCGTATAGACTCTAGCTGGTGTTAAAAGTGGCCATTGAAAGACGTCTTGAGATATGATTCCAGGCCGCCTGTTGGCTGTCTCTCCGTGCCGATTGCGACTGCTCGAAATTCTGAACTGGGACTAGGCCTTCGAGGCCGGCCGGCTCGGCACTCATCTCGGGTCCAATCTTGGACTGAGTAACCTGATACCACGGATCGCCCGTCGGTGATTGCATGTCGAACGGCAAATTTGGCGAGTTTGTGGCACTGCAGACTTCGGGGAACAGGCTCTGCAGCCGTTCCAGCTTTCCAAGTAGGATGCCGCGACGTGTCTGGTCGAGAGTAGGAAACTGCAGGACGAAGTCAAGGATGAACAAGTAGTCTTCAATGCGGAGCGCAGTTTCCTCCAAGGTGGCGGCGGGTACGTGGATCAGGACGTCGGCGATCGTATCTGTGATTTCGAAGAGCTTCTGCGTGATACTGCTCCCATGAACCTCGATATCCTCCCGGGACATTTCGGAGACCTGGCGACGGAGGTTCTGTGAAAGTCGGACCGGGAAGAGCAGTGACAGGCACTCTTTCGACGAGCGGGAAGACAGTAGCGTTTGCGACATCGCGAGGCGCCATACCAAAGTCCTCAGCCATTCCCGCGTGATAGCGAGGTCCGCGCGCTGCATCAATAGGCTCTCCATTTCTCGTGCGTTGCTCTCTTCATCGCCCTCAAGCTCGCGGGATTTGGCCTCGATCCAGCTGCTAGTGACATTGCCACCTTGACTTCCAAGCCAGTTCTTCAGAAACTCGGGATCCAGCAGACGGAACAGCTTGATGATCTGGTTGAAACCATCATGTACCTGAATGGGGATGGTAGGATCGTCCTCTGGCAGGTCGTCGAGCGGAGGTAATACAGCGTGGCGGTAATCGAGAATGGCCACGAACCTTTCGTGGATATAGGCCTGCCAATACATGCGCTGTCGCCGTGAACGTTCTGGGGGAGGTAAATGTGCCATAGTCTCCGGATTATCGATCCGTAACAGCTGGACAGCGGTTATGGAGTCGCGCATATAGTGGAAGGCGGCGTCGCTCGCTTGCATAGTCATGAGGCAGTTGTGTATGAACATCGATTGCATAACTCTCATGACCGACGACCTGAACGATTTATACGCTGGCCTAATGGTCTCTATCGAATAGTCCATCAGCGTCTCGATTGTCTGGAGAACTTCCTCGGTTCGTTTGTCGCCGTAACGGGTGAGGTTCAATGTGCATGCGCCAAAGGCATGTACGAAAGAGCGTATTTCCTGGTCGGTATCCATGGTCGCAATGTACTCTCGCAGTTCGGTTTCTGTGATGACCGGCCAAACCGGATATACGCCATCCACGTAATCCGGGATCAGGTCGAGAAAGAAAGCTTGACCAAATTGAGGCCCAGCGTTTACGGGATGAGCCACTGTGCGACTGTCAGCAGGCTCCGCGTAGAGACATCGACGATTCAGGAGCAACGTGTTCCTGCTTCGCGGAGTAGTCGACTCACTGCCATTGTGATCCACCTGATACAGGCTTCCATGTGGCGATTGGGGTCCGGCATGCTCCGAGCTCGCTGGCAGAATAGGCGGCGAAGTAGCATTCACGTTTGCGGTCCTAGTCTTGTATTCTGAAATGACGCGGCCGCGTTTCCCTTGCGACCTGGACTTGCTGGAGACAGAGTAGACGCACCGTAAGCCGAGATGACTGCATTGCTGGCATCGCTCCTGCCCATTGCACTTGACCTTACGCAGTTTGCAGGCATCGCATGCCTTCGAGACTCTTTTTGGCGCTGACGACTCCATTGAAACCGAGCAAGGGGTGGTGTTGCTGTGGGAGGTTGGGCCGGCTGGAAGGTGGAGTGCAGGCAGATCGACAAAATAGGTTTAGTGTTGACGCACGTTATTGGCTAATGCCTCCCGAGGTATCCTTGCCATCGGCATTCGTCTCAATTAGTACAGGGATGAATTGTTTCGCGCTCTTCGTTGCTAGACATATATGCAAGTTTCTACGGAGGATAATAGCTGCTAGCTGTTATCAATCCATCAGATCGCTACGTCTACAGCCAGCATAACTGGGCCACTTAAGCTTCTTGAAAGATCCCAGGACCAGTAGCCTACATAAAGACATTAGGCCCTCTCAATGCATACTCGTCCTCCTGATGTCAGCAATGGCTCTCCTCCTGTAGTCACTCTCTGCGAACAGAGCCTTGATCAAGTCCACAACTTCCTCAGAGTCCATCTCCAGCTTCAGCTCACCGTCCGTCCAGAAGTACTTGATATCTGCCAGACTTGAATCCAAGATCTCGCTCAAGTACTGGAACTTGAACCAATTCGGTGTGTAGATGCTCGTCATATCCCTGGCCTCACCTGAGTCATCGTCCGTCTGGAAGAGAGAAGAAAGGGACGACAACGAAACGCAGTAGCCGTGCAGCTTCTTCGACTCATCCTCGGCGATATCAGACATGTCTTCGATGTCGGCAATGAACTTGGTAAGAGCGGTTGAAACGAGCGAGCCAAGGGACTGGAGGAGGACCGAGTGCGAGAGGACATTCTTCCACTGGATTTTGACATCGCCGATGCGGTCGACCGTCATGGCGATGGCGTTGTCGCATTCGGCCGCGAAGGGCATGTTTGTACAGCCTGAGAAACCTTGGGCAGCGTCAAGGTGGTCGCGGATAATAGTCCGTTGCAATTCCATCTCCCGCCCATAGGCTCTCTTTGAGAAGGTCTCGATGGCCTTTATATCATCCTCAAGCCTAGGTTTTAGCCGAACGGATGCGCGAAGGTACTGTGGCAGGTTTGATGCCGTATCTTTCTCTGCCTGCTCCTGAACGAACGTCCGCAGTCGGTCTGAAAGCCTTGTGCAGTCATTATAGATGAGCATGTTTGCGGCATCGTCCTTGGAGTAGTGCGTCGCTGCTGTGGCTCGGTACATAGCTAAAACAAGGCTTGGTATGGCATACAAGCCGCCACTTGCTGGCGCTATCGCAGATGTGCCTAGCTCTGGTGAGTTGAGAGTGCCAACATCGGTAACGACCTGGAGGATAAGGTCGATGAGAGAGTCCGGAATAGCTGTCACCGTATATGTCTCTCTCAGTGTGACGACTTTCTCTGCGGCGGGTTTCTGTGAGGTAACAGCCTTTCCATTGGCTTTATTTTCTTCTGTCAGAAGCTTTGCAGGGGATTCCGATGAAGCTGGTTTCGAATCATCCTCGTCTCCCCATTCAACACCCCAGTCGTCAGCATCTTCACCTGCTTGTTCCTTCGGATGTTCTTTAGGTTCGTTGTGAAGCTCCTCATCGTCCATACCCCATGCGCTCACATCCTCCTCTTCCACATCCTGGGCCTGAGGCTTGGTATCCTCCCCGGCCGGCTCCTCTTCTTCTCCCCACTCAGCTCCCCAATCCTCGTCTTGGTCCTCTTCCCTACCAAGCATGGCATCCCCTTTTGATATGACCTGGGTCTCCACTCGCTCCACCGTCTTCTTCACTTGCACCTGCTTCGGAAGGAGTTTCTGCACTTGGGCTATCGCAGCTTCTTTCTGTCGTGCCAGCCAAATTTCCGCAGACTTGTCAACCCAGTCGGTCAGGCGGTTCTGTCCAGACCATCCGAGGTCATCGAAATACTCTACGAGGCCAAGAACAAGAGAGAGAGTCTCTTGGAAGTCCAATACCCCCTCAGTAGATAGTGGAACCGCAGGTAGAAGCCAATTGACGATCAAGCGAGACGCGATGACTGGCACGAGCTTTTCGGACAGCGGTTCAGCAACAGTGGGAGGAAGTCGGGTGTTCAGATACTCGGCAATGGACTGGAGGTCCTCTAATGCAGCCTTGACGCTCATGTCGCTAACGTGGCCCACGATATGGACAACGTCGCCCTCAATTTCCAACGAGGATGCAACCCGGTCGGCCCCGGTGACAAGACGCGGAGAGATGACAACATTGTCGAAGTCCCGGCTCAAGCGCGCGACGAAATTCTCGAGCACGCCGAGCTTCGTCAACCCTTCCACGACAGTGTTGATGCTTATGGTGGCTCCTCGTTCGATTTCGTCGCGCAGGGTAACCTCCCTCTCTGCAGGATCGATGATAATCAGAGCATTCCACAACTCTTTCAGGTTCTCTGTAATTGCGGAGCGCAGCTGCTCGGCCCTCGACTTGAGCAAGCCCACCACTCTTGTATTCTCGAACGGACCCAGCCTCTTGAATGCCGCATCGGCATCTTCCAGCCTCTCGAGAGCATGCATGACATGCCCTTGTACGGCGGCATTTTGTGCGGATTCCAGCAGCGTCGAGATATCCTGCAGCTGTTCCACTACCTGCACCAGGCTCTCGTTGTATGCAATCTCTGAATGGAGAAAGCTGACTTTGGTCGCGGCATCCTGCACCCGCGCCGCCTTGTCTTTGCCTTCTTCCGCTTGCTGTAAAATCTCCTTCGCAGTTTCCTGGGAGTGTTTGATATCGTTTTGGAGTTTGCGTGCTTGAGTAATCCAGCCATCCACGTTAGAAGCGGTTTCGCGGCAGACTTTGCGTATCTCGTTCTGTGGACAAATAATCAGCAAATGAAGCAATTTCCCCTGGAAGCAACACACTTTCGTGTTTTCCCGAGCTGTGCCCACGACCTCTAGCAGCTTCGGTAGCACCGTCGAGGTGACGGGTGCTGAGGCCACATCTTCGGACTGCGGAAACGAGCCGTGTTCGACTGACTGAAGGATGGCGTCTCCGAGCTCCTGGACCGAGACTTGCGAAGGCATCGTGTCTATGGAGCGTTTGTCATGTCGAAACTGTGCGAAGTATGCTGTGAGCTGTCAACAGCAAGGTCCAAATGCTGGATTCGTGGCGTGCTCGACGTAAGGGTGGCCTGTGCGCTGCCACACTCAGCCCTACCGAAAGATCAATGCAGTTCACACCCCGCCATCGTATAAACAACTACCCCGCCATATCGCCGACAAGCTTTGCAACAGCTTCATAGTCGAAGACCTCGAGCGCCTTTGTCCCAGCCTCACCCACATTTACCAATCGGAAGACGGCAGCGGCCCGTGCCCTCCGTCAAACAGCTCGGAGTACCTCGTCACCATTCGGTGCATATTCGCCTTCCTGGCTTTCCGACTAATTTTGAGCTACGTCTTCGGAGGTCTCATTTGCTGTGGGGTCACTTTAGTGCGTTGGTAAGTACAACAACTTCAATCCGCATTGTCTAGTCTTTGTTGCATCTACAGGGGCAGGCAGTGCAAGCGGCACGAAGTAGTTATCCGTTCGGGGCACGTTCTGCCCATGTATCAACAATATGCTATAGGGAGGTGGTCTCCTAGGCCAAAATAGGAATCCATTTTGGATCTTCATTCCGCAGTATGCAAGCTAACGAGAACAATGGCAGTACCGATCCGTCACTGAATAAAGGCGATTGGACCCACGGAGCTACCTCCAATCGAATTGCAGAAGCAAATATTTTCAGTTGCTCCGCTCCGTCTTACACCTACAGCAATCTTAACACCTATCAACAGCCGTTTGAGTACGGCAAGATGGGCTCCATAGAGCAAAAGTCGCATTTCAAGAAGATCCAGAACTTCAAGGCCGATTACACTGAAGCAGAGTTCACTCAGTATGAATCGCAGCGAACGGGTATGCGGGCGGTGGTGGTCGATCGGAAAGGACCGAAGGTGTGTTTACCTGTCAATAAACTTGCTATCTGACTTACACAGTGCAGGTCTATGGTTACTTTGCTGTAGCCACTGAAATTCATGACGACTCTGGGTCACGTCCGTTGTCCCTATCTCTATAATCCTGATGACGACTGACCAGCGTAGCACATACTCTAGAGCATTTATGTTTTATGGTGAGAGTCACAGATCCCTGGCAGCTAAGCGTATCCTAACGATCATTAGGGCTCGCGGAGGTACCCTTACAAAGGTGTCCTTGACAAGTTCGCAACGCGAGCCTACTCTGACACCAATGCTTGGACGGATGTTGCCGAGACAGTCTACACTCTATCCACCGCTGGCTGGGAAGGCTTTGCTCAAATTCGTACGCTTCTCGGGCATCTAATCACAGCTGTAACTGACTTCCTCATAGTACCAATCTATCTAGACCACCTTGTAGTGCCTACGCTTACCGATGCCGGGTGCTACACGGAAGTGCATCACGTTGACGGCAATGGCTATGATGCAGGGTAGGTTTCCCACATTCCCTTCTTACTCGTAAGCTGACGGAGCTAGTGTTGTCTACGCGGAAATGCAGGGCCGGGAAAACCTTCAGGGCGACCTCATGGACTTGCAGATGCGCCGCCATCTCTACCCGGAGGGCGACGGGTTCCGGTACGAGACAGGAGGCATGACAGAAGCTTTACGAGTCTTGACCGCCGAGCGTATCCGTCGGTTCCACAAAGACATGTACCAGCCCAAGAATCTCAGGCTGGTTCTAATAGGCGAGGTTGATCATTCAAATCTTCTGGATATCCTCGACAAGTTCGAAGACGACATCGTGGATAGCGTACCTACGTACGACGCCCCCTTCAAGCGTCCGTGGGTTGAGTCCAAGCTCACACCGCCATTGAATAAGACCATCGTCGATACGGTCGAGTTCCCGGAAGAAGATGAGTCTACCGGCGAGATCCAGATTGCATTCCTTGGTCCTGAGGCCACTGATGATAAGTCTGAAACCGTCCTCAACACTCTTCTGATGTACCTCGCTGGGTCATCCGTCTCAATCCTTGTAAACACTCTTGTCGAAAAGGAGCATCTTGCTAGCATGGTCTACTTCTGGGTCAAGAGCCACTACCATCAGCTCATCCACTTCACTCTGACGAGCGTTGCAACCGAGAAGCTTGCTGACGTCGAAAAACGATTCTTTGAGGTCCTGAAAGATCATGCATCGAGGCCGCTCGATATGGACTACCTCAAAGATTGCCTACACCGGTTCAAGCGCCAGGTCAGGTATATGGCAGAAGTTGGCAACGAGGAGTACAAAGATTCGGTTATCAAGGACCACATCTACGGCGACCGCAACGGCTCCCATTTAAAGGAAGCTCTTGAGACGCTGGATATCTTCGATGAGCTTGAAGCATGGACCGAAAAAGACTGGCGGAATTTCTTGAAGAAATGGATAGCCGATGCTCACCACGTTTCCCTCCTCGGAAAGCCTTCCATAAAGCTCTCGGAGAAGATTAAAGCAGATGAGGTCGCTCGTGTTAAAGCCCAGCAGGAGAAGCTAGGGGAAGAGGGCCTCAAGAAGCTAGCGGAGAAGCTGGAGGAGGCGAAGACTGAGAACGACAAACCGATACCCCAAGAAATAATGGAGAAGCTGGAAGTACCCGGCACCGACTCAATCCACTTCTTCGAGACCGTAACTGCACGCTCAGGCCTGGCTAAGCAACTTGGAACGCCGGACAACAAAATCCAGAAGGTCATCGATAAGGATGAGAATGGGCTCCCGCTGTACATCCACTATGAACACATCTCGACCTCATTCGTGCATTTCGGTCTTATCCTTGGTACAGCCTGCGTTCCAACCGAGCTGAAGCCTCTTCTAGGAGTATATCTCACGAACTTCTTCGCGACTCCAATCATGAAGGACGGCAAGCGCATCGAATTCGAGCAGGTCGTCACCGACCTAGAAAAGGACACAATCGAATACAGCCTTGACCGAGGAACAGACGTCGGCAACTCGGAGATGGTATACATCCACTTTGTCGCGGAGGCCGAGAAATTCGAGAAGATCGTCCAGTGGCTCGCTACGCTGCTCGTGGATTCGATTTTCGACACAGAGCGACTGATCTCGGCGGTCAAGAGGATGCTAGCAGATGTGCCCGACGAAAAGCGCGATGGTAACAGCATGGCCTTCGCAGTGGACCGCATGATCCACTACGATGCGGCTTCTTCAGTCCGCGCGACCAACACGCTCGTCAAAGCCCTCTACCTCAAGCGCATCCTCAAGCTGCTCAAGTCCGACCCACAGCAAGTCATCGACAAACTAGAGTCCCTGCGCAAACACCTCCTCACCTTCTCCAACATGCGCATCCTCGCCATCGCAAACTTCACCACCCTCCCCTCCCCCGTCTCCACCTTCAAGCACCTCACCTCCGCCATCAAGCCGGGCCCTTCTCCAACCATAAACCCCGTCGACGACCGCAAAGCCGTCCTCTCAGACATCGGCCACAAGCCCGGAGGAGTGTCCTACATCATCCCAATGCCCATCGACTCCTCCTTCGCTGTCCTGACCTCCTCTGGCCTCAACTCGTACACCAGCCCGCAGCTCCCGCCCCTCATGGTCGCCCTCGCGTACCTCGACGCCGTCGAAGGCCCCATGTGGCAGTCGATCCGCGGCACCGGCCTCGCCTACGGCACAGGCTTCTTCCGGGACTTCGAAACCGGCTTGCTCAAATTCCGCATCTACAAGTCGCCCAACGTGTTCAACGCGTACACGCAAGCTAGAACCGTAGTCAAAGAATACGGCGATGGCACGCGGCCGTTCGAGAAGCTAGCGCTGGAGGGCGCGATCAGCACGATCGTGCGCGAGTTTGTGGACGAGAAGGCGACGATTGTGGATGCGGCGCGGGGCAGCTTTGTCGATCTGGTGGTGCGCGGCGTGGGCAAGGAGTGGAGCGATTGGGTGTTGAGGGAGGTGCGGAAGGTCACGGAGGAGGATGTCAAGACGATTCTGAAGGAGGTCGTGTCGGGGGTGTTTGATCCTCAGACCGCGGATATGGTGTGCACCTGTGGTGGGACCATGGTCGAGGTAAGTTCTTCCCTATATCACTCTGACTGAAAGGGATGAGCGTGCATGCTAACGATTGGATAGGGCCTCCAGAAGAACTTCGAGGAAGCGGGCTTCAAGATCCAGGTCAAGCAGCTGGTGGACTTCCAGGAAGCGTATGGATTAGAGGGCGAGGAGGACTCTGCCGAGGATGACGATGAGGATATCGACGATGGAGAGGACGATGAAGAGGGCAGCGAGAGCGGAGATTAGACGAAGGAGTAACGCATGTAGCTACTCAAGCTCGACTTGCATGACCGTGAGTCAAAAAAGCTAGACTATACTAGAAGGGCAACTCACTGCTCAGTTATAAAACGGCGTCAATCAAGAGCGCCTTACCATCGCCGTGCTTGCATTACTTTCTGTGGCAATGTGAAAAGTTCAGAGCTAGGTCTCGGGTGCATTGCGCTATCCACTCTACGATGAAGCCCACTATTTCTCCGTCAAGCCATTGCTGGGCCAGAGCCCTTTGGCATAACCATCTTCGCGCTGATAGACAGCCTAGAGGTTCCAGCTGCAACGGTTACGGGTCGGCAGGAAGAATTCTGCCAACACGTGACGCGGGACGGCGGCTCCGGTGCGGTCACATAGCTGAAACTCAAAGAAGCAAGGAAGACTTTGAGCACTAACCAAATGGCCATTATACTACATACAAGAACTACCCAGAAGCTATGCAACAAGCCCCCCTCGCCTACGCCGCGGCATTCGCCAGCAGTGGTGGGAAAACGAACAACACAAACTGAACCAGAATAGGCAGGATACCCACGATCTCGTTGAAGACGGCCCCGATTTCCTTGTCCTCCGGATCCTTGGGAGTGCCGTCCACCCTGTGGTGCAAATCGGCGCGCAGCCTGAGAAAGCAGATGATCCACTTCACCACGATGGTCGCGAAAAGACTGGAAAACAGCGCGATATAGATCCAAGAGGGGAGGTTGTACGGGTTGTGTGCGAAGCCGTCCATGACGCAAAAGTAGGCGAAGCGGGCGAACGTCTTCAGGTGATGCCAGTTGTGCAACAGGTCGCTCCATTCCCATCGGGGAGGGTCGATGTCATAGTCATCTGGGTTGAACCTTTCGGGCCTGAAGTCCTCGGACCAGTAGATGTCATTGTCGCTGAGGTAGGCTTGGATGTCTGCGATGGTCTGGCAGACGACATGTTGAAAGAGTGGGCTGTTGATGAGAGCACGCTGTCCAGGTGTGAGGTCATCTCGACCGGCGTAGATCTGGACAAGGCCGGTCGTGGTCGCCTAGTCTGCTGTTGGCAAGCGAAAGCCTGGTGAAGGTATATAGACGCACCTGTGCGGAGACTTTTTCAGACATAGTGCTGGGTCAGAATGTACAGAGAGCCTGGTTGTGTGTTAGCACGCCTAAAAATTGCATAGATATTGCAGCTTACCTGTCAAAATGCCTGGTATGCAGAGAGACGGATGCCGGCCGTGCCCAGGTGGTGCGAAAGGGAGAGGACGCAGAGCGCATGGAAAAAAGACTGGTTGTTGAAATCGCGATGGCAGCTACCTCGAAAACAGTGTGGCAGCGCTGTGACGGGAAAGAGGAAATCGCCTGTAGAAACGAGGAAGGAAGAGTAGACACATGACACTTATTGCAGGCACTACCTACCGCAGGCGGCCAGCTTTGGGAAATGCTCAGTCGAGTAGCCGTCGTAGGCTAAGAGCAGTGATGGAGCCATACGCGCCGGGCTCGTTTCCGAGCTGTGCAGAGTGCTCGCGTTCTGTTTCCCATCATTTCCGATCCAACAGTTCCCTGGCAGCAATGACCTCTGCCTCGTCGAAGCCTGTCCACCCCTTCTTCCCCGAGCCATACTGGCGCACAATCTCCGCAAGCTTGCTCGTCGCGAGCTCATCCAGCTTCTTTACGGAAGCCAAATTGGGTGGCGGAACGTCATCGTCATCGGTGTTGCGTTTCGCGTTGGAACTCGATGAGTCGGACAGCAGCGGGATGAGCTTCTCGGCAACTAGCTTTAGGCCGTAATAACCCCTAAGATAGTACTCGTTGAGCTCAACTGAGCGAGCGAAGTGCCGGAGCGCGAGGGAGAGCGCAGGGAGAGAGGTGGGCGAGGAGAGGTAATGGAGAGTCGCAACCTGAGCGTGTGCCTGAACAATACATATGAGCGAACCGCATAACCACTGGGCGGGATCGGAAACTTACACTCCAGGAGTTTGGCATTATTAGTAGAACTTCCTCCATGGAGAAGATAGCCTGGCCCCACGCTCCCACGCCCGCATACAGCTCGCTTAGCTCGGCCCATGCCTCTGCATCGATCGGGCTATTCTCCACGAGCACAGTGAGTGCCGTAATAGCATCCGCCGTCCTGCCCAAGCTCTTGAGCACCGCAACCCTCCTCTTCCTCACACCAAAGTTCGTCGGGTCGTCGCGCAAGATCTTCTCGTAAGCCTCAAATATCCTCTCCAGCGCCTTATCGTCCTTCGCGAGTGCTTCTTCGTAGATGCCGTGCATTGTAACGATGCGCTCGTTATCTTCCCCGAAGCGAGCGGTGAGCCGGTCGAGGATCTGCCGGGCGGATGCATCGTCGCCGGTACGGATGGAAGCGAGGAAGAGATTCTCATGGATTGCCCACGACTCCGGTGTTTCGCGGGTAAAGAGAAGGGACAATGGCCATGGAAGGGACGAAGTTGGGGGTGCTGCGAGGATCGGTGGCGCCTTTTGAGAAAGCTGCAGGGCTACTGGTGGTGGAATCTGGCTGGGAGGTGAGAGCAGATTTGCTTGGGCCATGTTGTATATTCCGGAAGAAGTTGCCGCTATTCTCAGAACTTTCCTTCGATCGATTGTGCGGGTTGGATGAGGTGTGAAATGGTAGGTGAGAGGTTCTTGGTTGGGACTCCTTGCCGAGTTCGTAGCTCCCAAGCTAGGGTCGTCGATCGGCGAATCCACACTCCGGCGGGCAGCTCTGCACGTCAACCTTCGCTCGACAAGGCAGTGTTGGCTTTCACACTGGGCACAACAAATCCCGAGCGCCCAAAAACCCTTCGATGTCCGTCCCGTCTCCCACTCTCATGAGGGCGTATCTTCGGTGATCATGCCCGCTGGCCTCCCACGCTACCGCCCACCTGCCCCTCCTCGAGCACTCAAATACGCTGGCAGACGGTAGCGGAGGCTGCCTGACCCGCAAACATGTATGAGAGAAGTGCACCGGCATCTTCGTGTTAATCTTGGTCTAATCCCCGTAGGTTCGAGAAATCTCTCTACGACCTCATCCGAGGCCTGCGCAACCACAAAGGCAGCGAAAGAGAGTACATCAGCGAGTCGATAAAAGAATGCCGCAAGGAAATCCGCTCCAACGACATGGACCTCAAGTCCACCGCGCTCATGAAGCTCACATACCTCGAGATGTTCGGCCACGATATGTCCTGGGCCTCGTTCAACGTCCTGGAGGTCATGTCCTCCCCCAAATACCGGCACAAGCGGACGGGCTATCTCGCGGCAGTTCAGAGCTTCAGACGCGATACCGAAGTCCTGATGCTCGCCGAGAACCAGCTCAAAAAGGACATATCGAGTCCCACGCCAACAGTGATTTCTCTTCCGCTAGGCGCAATACCCCACGTTATCAATCCGAGCATGGCTAATTCCGTACTCTCTGATCTGCTGCCGCGGTTGACGCATTCGCATGCGGCGATAAGGAAGAAGACGGTAGTCACCTTGTATAGGCTTGCGTTGGTGTATCCGGAGACGCTCAGACCTGCGTGGCCAAAGATCAAGGAGCGACTGCAGGATGATAACGAAGATCCAAGTGTCACGGCTGCGATAGTCAATGTGGTATGCGAGCTGGGGTGGAGGAGGCCGCAGGACTTCTTACCGCTGGCTCCACGGCTGTTCGACTTGCTGGTTGAGGGAGGGAACAACTGGATGGCCATTAAGCTCATTAAGCTTGTGCGTGGACCTCTGCCATATTAGTCTGCGTTACTAACAGATCTAGTTCGCGACTCTCACGCCGCTTGAACCCAGGCTCATCAAGAAACTGCTTCCGCCACTGACCAAGATTATCCGGGAGACATCCGCCATGTCGCTGCTGTACGAATGCATCAATGGTATCATACAAGGTGGTATCTTGGAGGCCGTTGAAGGCACGACAGAGGGCGAAGAGGTAGCGAAGCTCTGCGTCGGCAAGCTGAGAGGCATGATGGTAATCGAAGGCGATGCGAACTGTAAGCTATGCTCCGTATTAATATCATTGTCCGAGTCTCATTCCTTTGCAGTAAAATATGTCGCCTTGCTTGCCTTCGACAAGATCGTACGCTCTCATCCATTCTTTGTATCGCAGCAGCAAGATGTGATCCTGGAGTGCATCGATGACCCCGACATTTCGATACGCATGCGAGCTTTAGACCTGGTGGTGGGCATGGTCAACAGCGACAACCTCACGGCCATTGTGGGACGGCTCATGCGCCAGCTTCGAAATGCGCCTGTCGTTTCTCCCGCCGATGACCCTATGATTGATCGAGCACGAATGACAGAAGTAGTGCCCTACGCTGGGTCCGACGAGTCTGATGCTGAAGAATCTCTTCGACCACACGAGCAGAGATCCGACCAGCCGCCACCATTGCCCGAGGATTACCGGGTCAACGTTATCCGACGGATATTGGACATGTGCTCGCGCGATACTTACTCCAACATCTCCGACTTTGAATGGTACATTGATGTCCTTATCCAGCTTGTTCGCGTCTCCCCTGCGACCAAAGCCGCAACTACTATGGAAGAGGAGGACGATTCTGAACAGCCGGATGATGTAGGGCGGGCCATCGGACGAGAGCTCCGAAATGTGACTGTACGAGTCAGGAGCGTCCGATCGGAAGCTGTTGACGCTGCGCAATCACTCGTCCTTGTCGACAAGCGAGATCAAATGTTCCCCGCTTCTGGCAACGGTGGCCAGGGCGTGCTCGAATACGCTGGTTGGCTTGTTGGAGAATACGCCAGTTACCTCACGAAGCCCGAACCTGTCATGACATCCCTCCTCCATTCTTCCTCTCTCCAACTCCCGTCTAGAACTCTCGCGGTGTATCTCCAGGCGTTCCCGAAAGTCTTCGCCAGCATAGCGAGCAACGACCAGATATCATGGACTCCGGAACGGAAGACTCTCATGTCTCTCCTCATGTCGCGTATCATCTACTTCCTGGAACCGTTGTCCACACATCCCAACCTGGAGGTTCAAGAGCGTGCGGTTGAGTACCTAGAGCTCATGCGCCTTGCTGCCGAAGCCGCATCTGGAACTGAAACTGGTGCTGAACACGGAGAGTTCACGGACCCGCCACTGCTCCTCACACAAGCCATTCCCGCTTTGTTCTCGGGCGCGGAGCTCAACCCAGTAGCACCTGGCGCTCAGCGAAAAGTACCCGTACCAGACGACCTTGATCTTGATACCCCGATAAACCCTAACCTACAAACCCTTCTCTCGCAAGCGGAGCTTGAAGGCTTCGAAACAGACGAAGATGATGTGTATGCCGCATACACAGAGCCTATTGCTTCCTATACCGGACCGCCAACCACCACCTCAGCAGCTGAGCGTCTCGATGTTCCACATAAGGAACCCGCATCGTACCAAAATGCCACCGAGGAAGAATATCTCGATCCTGACATCCTTGCTCGACGGAAGGCCGAGCGAAGAGAACGCTACAAGGATGATCCGTTTTACATTGACCCTGAAGCTGACAAAGGGAGTGGAGCTGTTACACCATTGGGCAGGATTGTCCGAGAAGGAAATGTCGAGGTGGATATCGACTCTATACCCATCATGGACCTTGATCTGGAGAACCGCGCACACCCTTCCTCCAGCGAAGACCTCTCCAGGACGCGGAGTCCCCGTCGTGCACCTCGCCGTGTCGAAATCATTGGTGACGAAACGCTTGGTCCCGAGGAGCCGTCTTCTTCCTCTCGCGAAGACATCATTTCACCACGCCTCCACTCGCAGACCAGGCCTAAGAAGAGCCTGCTCGAGGTCGACTCTTCAGGCCTTGGCTCGCTGTCATTGGATGATGACGAGACTTCAGGGAGGAAGCTGACGAAGCTGGACATCGAGAGGAGAGAGCAAGAGGAGGCCGAAATGAAGAAGGCGCTCGCGGAGGTCGAGAGGCTGAGGCTGGAGATGCAGCGTGCCAGCGAGCGGTTGGAGGCTAAGGGTGAAGCAGTGGTTAAGAAAAAGAAGAAGAAAGTTCGAAAGGCGGAGATGGAGGGTGAGCTCGAGGGAAATGCGGACGCCAACACGGCTCCTGCTATCGTTGAGGGAGAAGCAGCACCAGCGAAGAAGAAGAAAAAGAAGAAGGCCAAGCCTGAAGGGGCAGGTGCTGAGGAGGGGGAGAAGGCGGATGGAGAGCCAGAGGGTGCGGTCAAGAAAAAGAAAAAGAAAAGAAGGACTGTAGTCATGGATGAGGGTGTGCCTGTTGCTGAGGAGTAGGCAGAACCAGGGCTTGCTCATAGCCAGACAGAGACGGACTACTAGTAGCAGCCAAACACACCGTATGATAAGATCGATTCAAGTAGTCAGCTGAAGTACAATATCAGCTCAGTTCAGCCATGCTCCGATGCCCATGTCCATGTGAACGCCAGTCCCCTAATTCTTTAGACGAAGAAAGTCATGCCCCCTTCCTAGTTGCTGCACGTAACCATGCCCAGCGATATACTGCACATAGCAACCCCCCTCTGTCCGTCCCCTAGAGGAGTCCTATCGCACACCCCTCACACCCCACCTACTACTCTCGCCGTCGCCTTTAGAAGAACAGCTTCAGCAGCTCGAATATCAAGCCTCCGCACAGCACGAACGCGAGCACAACTAAACCACTTGTTAGCCACAGCCATCACCATCACCAACAACCACCCAATTCCCCTCTCCATCGAACCCCTCCCTTCAACCCCTTCCCATTCCATATCCCCCCAAATCGCCGTCTCCTGGAGCCAGGTGTGGAGGGAACTGAGAGAGAGCAAACGCACTTATCCAGCCCCGGGAAATAGGGCTCTTGAAGTCCTCCTTGCGCTTGCGCGCCTCGACCGGCTTGCCCATCTTGGCTTCCTCGCGCTTGGCGAAGCGCGCGTTTGCGGCGCGTTGTTGGGGGGTTTGGGCCTGTGTTTCGTTCGTTAGTTCTGGAAGGAGGGGGAGGAAGGAGAGGAAGGAGTGGAGAGTAGGAAAGCGGTACGTACCATTGTGGATCAGATCTGAGAGGCGAGGACAGTGACGGTGACGGAAAGGGAATTGAATTGGTGGTTTAGGAGGTGATAGTCCAAAGCAATTTGTCGGGACTGGGCACGGAGAAGGTGCGCGCGTGGGTGGTGTGGAGAGAATTGAACGGGTTGCGCCCTCGGCGTTACGTGGGAAATGGGAGAGAGAGACGGTTCAGAGTGATGCAAGGTGTTCCCTTCGCGAAAAGATGGGCGCACGGACCACGTGGAATTGCGGAGTTGGAGCTCGGGGGTTCGCTAGCTGCCGAGTGCGCTTTGGAGAGCGCTTTCATCCCACCACCAAAGTTCTTTGCTTTATACCCAACGATTGCGTCGCGAGGACACGTTTCGATAGGAAGAGTCAGACGCGGTTCGATTCGAGATAGGACGACTGCGTTCTGTGGGATATCTGGCAGGATACGAAAGGGGCTAGCAAGGAAGGCAGAAAGATCGGTGCCTTGAGCTGCCCAGCCAGCCAGTACGGAGCAGGTAGGTACCGAGACACACGCCTTAGGATAAGCTGCTGTGGCAATTGCACATCTGTCACAAAATAGCTGAGCTGACTCCAATTCCAGACCCACATACAAACGACACCGACCAAACCACCCACTAAACAACCACCGAAATGCCCTCTCTCAGACCAACAACAACCGCCCTCCTTCGCACACCCACAGCCCGCCTCCCCCTCCGCCGGTCCTACACACAACCACCACCACCAAACCCCCCTCCCAACCCCACCCCCAATGAGCCCTCCCGCACCAGCGCCTTCTATCGTACCTTCGCCTCGCCGCTGCTAAAAACCTTTCTCGGCGCGCTCTTCACCTACCAAGTGCTGTACTGGGGCTGGTTAAAGCTAGAGGTTATTGAGGAGAAAGTGCAGAAGCAGGGTGAGATAATGGGGCTGAAGGAGGAGTTGAAGAATGCGGTTGTGGAGAGGAGGGAGCGGGCGAGGGAGGTTGCTGAGAAGGGGGTTGGGAAGGTAACGGAAGAGGGGAAGAGGAGGGGATGGTGGCCTTGGTGATTGTGAGTGAGGATTGGGAGGGGGAGGGGAGAGGGAGGGTTGATATGACATTCAGTGGTTGTAGAGGACCCACATGGGTTTAACACCCCCAAGTATCGAGTTACGTAGGACACCGCATACATGAGAGTGCAGAATCCACGCTATACTTGTTCTCTCCATTGCGTAGGGGCAGAGGATCCTAAAGCAGTCGGCGCCTTGATGGAGTTTGATTTACACAGCTCCTTTAACCTTAATAAACGGCACTAAACATTTATCCATTTCCATCCGTGTAATGCTGACTGACTGATATGCTGTTCTGTCGAAGAAGAAGAATCTATTATATTACAAGAAATTATAACCTCCAGACTCCATCCATTACGCAACAACTGGGGGTGGAGAGCCTGAAGTTTCTCCCGACTGAACCTGAAAAAGCCAGGCCCAAGTGGGAGCAAGGAAATGCGTAACATGCTAAACGTTCCTTTTTCCGATGCGGTTATACGTTCCTCCTAGATTATTTCGAAAATGCTAAAAAAGCTTGGGGTACTCGCTCGACAGCCTCTCCAGTGCGCGAACGCCTTAAAATGCGAATTATATAAAGAGAAAGAGAGATCGCTCAGAGCCTGTCTACACCCTGCACAAGCTCCCGCAAAGATGCTCCGCCGTCGTCGCGCCGCGGGGAGCTATTAAACTTGCTTTTCCTACTCGCAGCGATCTTGGCCCAACCATCGTCATCGTCAGTCTCCTGGGGTTGTGGGGAAGACTTCTTGAGAATCCCCTTGACGGTCTTGGGCTGGTTCGCCCCGCCGGAAGCCTGAAGTGTCATAGAACTGACAGTGGATGTTGCATCATGAGCGTGCTGCCCAGTAGCAACAGGACGGTACCTAGCCGACAGGCCGATATTAGAACGTTCGCTGGGCGCAATCGAAGGCGTGTATCCATTTTGCGGGGCGGGCGCTGATAGGAACCCACCTCCAACCTGGCTCGGGGTCGAATAGGGACGCGGTGGCTGGTTCATGCTCGACGACATTACAGACATAGGTCGCTGGTTGCCCATGACGGAAGGGGCATTCAAAAAGCCGTTGCCAAAGTTGCCAGGCGCAAGTCCGGGGTTCTGGAAAGCCATTGACATGCGTGGATCCTGACCTTGCCGCATGGCTTGCATCTGTTGGAGCTGGAGCTGTTGCTGTGCAATCATCTGCTGCATTTGCTGCATCTGTTGCATTTGCATTAGCTCGCTCTGTTGTTGTTGGGTCATGGGATATGCCATATTATTCACGCCCATCATCGGCATACCCATAGGGCCACCCATCATGTTCATCACCGGCGCCATTCCATTCATACCGGCCATGGGCATCTGGGACATCCTTGTTTGACTAAGGCCTGGATTGGGTCCGTTCATTTGCGTTCCCAGGAGGCCGGTAAAGGGTCCTTGCTGTGGTCTCTGCTTGTTGGATGCTCCGCCCATGTACTTGGGTCTCTGCATTTCCTGCATTTGAATCTGATCAACTAGTGACGGCGCTGACAATTGAGGCTCCGGGTACGTCATCGGCATGTCACCCATGACAGATGCAGGCCCACGGTTGAAGCCCATGGATTCACGGTTGGTCGGCCGGACAATCCCACCTCCAATGAACGAAGTGTGAGGGTCGTCAGGAAGGTTCCTTGCAAAGGGAGGCTTGAAGGCTTGCGAAGCACGGCTGCTCATTGCACCGACGGATGCTGGACGCTCAGGAAGCGCGTTAGGCGTGGAGCTCCTAAAGTACGATGGCATAACGTTGGCGGGTTGAGTTGGCGCCCGGTTACGGGCGGTGCTAGGGAAGCCATGCTGTGCGAGGATCCCAAGAGGGATGTCCTCGTCCTCCCACTCATCCGCCTTGAGTGATGTCTCCGAAGGGAAACCCATGCTAAACGGCTCGGTGAGGCTGTCTGGGTGGTTGGCATTCGGGTTCGCTGGCGCGGTCGTCGTACGACGCATGCTATCTCGCGCAATATCCATCTGCAATTTACGCCGTCTCTCCATTGCTTCTTGATGGGCTCTTTCTGCTGCCTCTTCCTCATCTTCGTAGTCTTCGTCCTCGGAGCTATCCTCCGGAGGTTGCGCATTCTGCCGTTGCTGCTGAGCGCGGAATTCTGCCTGTGTCATGACCCGTCGACTGAACTCCCCAGACGCGGGTGGTGGGGGACTATTCTCTTTGCGCCTGGGAGCAGCAGGTTTCTGGACCGGAGTTTCCTTGGGTTTCGAGGGCGCAAAGAGATTATCGTCATCGTGTTCAGACAAGGGAGACACTGCAGGACGCAGCGCAGCCTTCGGTGTGGTGTTGTTCGAAGTAGACCGAGACGAGAGAGGGGTTTGAAGGGACGTTACCGAGGACGATGCCATCGAAATGGGTTGATGCTCGGGAGAGCTGTCACGGATGGGTTTTCGGTGGACAGCAGACTGCCGCACAACCTTTGCATCTGTGTCTTCAAAATCGTTGGACCCATTCAGCTCCGGGCTATGCGATGCCACGGGGGCATACTGCGAATATTTATGAGGCGGAGGCGGCGGCGGAGGGGAGTCATTATCTGGTGAACGTGGAGATGACATCAGATTGTCCGCGGACCCACGGCTGTCCCAGGACTTGAGGGGGGCCTCAACCTCCAACTTCCGGTCGATCTTGATAGGCTCTGCTTGGAATGTCCGTTTTCCAGCGAGCAGCGAGCGTCCGGGGGAGTCGTGGGTGTAGTCCGGTGAATCTCTTCGGTCGATCCCACTAAACATGTCGTCGAAGCCCGTCGATCCAAAATTCAAGTCCGCATCAAGCGTTGGCGGTTTCGCGGTGCTGGCATAGCTAGACGAGGTCATGGCTCGCACGCGTCCGATACCCACAACAGGTGAGGTGGGCTCATCGTAGCTCCTGGAAACTGCCGGCTTCGGGATCGCAGGGAGCTGCTTCTTCGTGTACCCCATAGACAGGGCGCTCGGTGAGCTACTATGTTGTGATACATGAGGTCGTGGCAGGTTCGCGAACATGTTGTCGTTCGAGTCTGTATCAGCAGAAGACGGCAGGGTGGACGTCGACCCGAATTGACCGTTGTTGTAAGGCCGCGACGAGGAGAAGGACGCGGTGCCGTTGCTGGATTTGCTGTCCCTAATGTATGAGTTAGCCGAAGCATGAAACTGGCGGGCGTGTTTTGACATACCGCTTGGAAGAGGAAGGAGACTCGTCGTCGAAAGACTGGTTCCGTCCCTTGTGAGCAGCATTCCCAAAGCCGCTAAAGGGGCGAAATTTAGAAGCTGCTTTTTCCTGGGCTTTTCTCCTCTCCTCCTCTCTCTTCTTCCGTTCAACTTCAGTCTTGCTCATCAGGCGGAAACCGCCCGAGCCAGGGTCGGCGCCAGGCGCAGCATCGGGTGTGTAGACTGGCTCCCCCTCCTCCATGGCATTTCCTAACGACGACTTTCGACGGCCTGCGAAGAGGCCCAGCCCAGACTTCACCATGTTGTGGTCTAGGGTCGAGGGGCGCGTCGATATCGAATACACTTGCCCAAGCACACGATGGCCCTACGCGGCACGCTCGAGAGCGCTCATGCGGTGGCTCTCGGTGAGGTGTGAACGAACGAGGATGCGAGGTGTGCTCGGTCGAGAGCTTGCAGTGCTCTGACGGGAGAGGTGTTTCAATGAGTGACTCGTCTGTCGATCTGTTTCAAAGGCGGGAGTTAGCGCCTTGCAATTGTGAATGGAGTCTTCAGCGTTGTCGGAGGCGGCGAGCGCAGGGTGCGGATCTGTAGGACGTGACGTTGGTGTTGTGGGGGCAACATGAGGGCTGGGCGATGCGGCGGTGTATGGAGGCGATCACGGTCTCGCGACCTTTCACAGGCACGGAGGAGCTGACAGAGGGCAATTGCGTCTCCTGAGAGCTTTCCCGGCGTCGAGTCTGGCGGGCTGGAGGCTCGCGGCCGCAATTTCTCCCGGCGCCTCGGGAGCCCGGGCAGGGGTGTGCAGGTGCAGTGACTTACCAGACACAGGACGCGGGTAGCAGCCGATGCGGTACTCGCAGCGAGGGCGCGTGAACGAGAGACGGGGATGCGGAGACGGTAGACAGGAGCTGGTTGCGGTGGAGGGAGAGGGAAGAGGGAGGAGAGGGAGGTTGATGGCCCGGGCGCACAAAAGTTGATGCTGGCGGGATGGGTAGGGAGTTTGCCGTCCGCCGATGATGTCCCTCGTCAACGCCCGCGCGCAAAGATCTGCCGATGCAATAAGAACACAGTAATGTCGAAACCGTCGCGGGCTAGCGTGATAGGGAGCGGGCCCGGACATATACAGCAGTGGTAGACTCTGCTGCTGCAGGTATAGAACAGTGGCGTGTCACTGGCATGTGGATGCGTGCGGCGACTCTCAGGAGGCGCACACGAAGTCTGACGGAGCTCCTCTATGCCCGCAAGCAGCAAAGCTGTCGATCCAGCAGCGCCGGGCCCAGCACAGCTCTTGGCCGTGCTTAAGGGAAGGCAGTGTAAGCATCGACGGGGCCCGCCACCCATGGCGCCGCCCAGGAGCTACACTCTGTGCGTAGCGCTCCTAAACATAGCGAACCCAGCTCCACTCGCTCCCCAATCCAGGCACGCCGCCGCTAGCACCGCTCTGCTGATCGAGGCTTGACACGCAGCCCATCGCATCCGCGACGCACATGTCGAGACAACCTGACAACGCTCGTCTTCGCCTCTCCACTGAAGCCCTCTCTTCGGACTGTTTCAGGGCCGCCCTCAGCTTCCGGCGCAGCATGCACTGCACTCGAGGCCACAGAATATATTTTCGGAGACGCTCTGCGAACCCTCCACTTGGGTCCTCTAGCGGCTCTGTGCCGGAAGAGCGTGCCTGTACGAGTGGCCACAAACAAGGCGTCTGCCCTGCAACACCTCTGGAAAGCAGGGCGGCCGGGGCGGCGTTAGCCCAGGGGCGGACATCGATTTTCGAACCGCATTCTGCATTCAGCCTGTAAGGACCGCGCCCGAGCATTATTGCATCTGGTTTGCATCATGGCCAGGGCATGTTTCTTGCTCGTGCCTCGCATTTTTCTCGGTAGCGATGGCAGCCGAACCGGCCGATGGCGCCAGGAGCCGCTCTGCTCCGTATCAAGCAGTCCTCCCCCTCTACCACCACTGCGCACCCACCGACGCGCTCTGCGAAACTCGAACTCGTCCTGCCACCCGCGTGCTCCGCACGATATCGTCCGACAGCGCAGAGCAACTTTGCAACCATGGCCGCCAGTCATCCCAGCAACTGCGCACTCCATGGCTTCGCCAAGGCCACACAGAGGCCAGCACCGACCCTCATCTTCTCTGGCCGCCGTAGCTCTCCTTGAGGCTGCAGCAAGAGGCGCAGAATCCAGCCTCGCTAATCTCACCGCCCACACAGAAAGTTTATACAGTCTCCGGCCAGAGATGAAGAGTCTAGCTCGTGGTCGTCGAACCGATTGGCTGGCGAAGCCTGACGCCACAGCCACTGACAAGTGGCAGAGCGAGAGAGAGGCATTAGGCACGTATACCTACAATTCTTTACTCTTTCTGCTGTGTTCTCCAAGCTCCCGTTTCTTTGGTCCTCGTTGTGTCACATCGGAGCACCGTTTTCGGCCGTGCTGGCGGACCCCTCATCAGTGGGACGTTCCGCAGAGTCGCACAGATGACGCCGTCGACGTTAGCCCTCCCGCCCCTCTCTTTTCCCCTCCTTCCTCCATCCAACCTCTTCTCGAGCCCCCCTTCTCGTTCAAGGCCGAACGCGTAATCGACTGCCGCATCACTTGCAGCCAGAACCTTCATCTTGCATATGCATCTCAACATGCGTTCGAGATCGGATCGAGCGACTCTGGCCGCACACCGCCTCTACCGCATCTCGAAATGTTGCAACACCATCGCGAGGCCTCCAGCCCCGCCGTCGTAGCACCCGCGTCATTCTCCGCTTCCCGGCCTTAGCATGGCTTAGATGCCTTTCATATGTTTGTGCCGAAATTCTGATATGGCGCCCGAACGGTGTCGCAGTTACTTGATTGGTTTCCGAACGAAGAGCCTATGGGCGATCCATCGCGTCTTGAAGCAGGGTGGGGCCGCCGGGTGTGAGAGCCTAGTATGGGATGTCGACGAGTGTAGAGTCGTCTGCCTGGGATTGTAGGCATTGACCTAACACCAAGGCTCGCTCAAACCAAGCCACAGCGGAGCCTCCCCAATGCCGTGCAGGAAGTTTTGCGGGTCATGAGCCCTTTCTCCCCCTCACGTCGCTGCAGCTCCTTCAATGCCCCATGTCCGTTTTTTTCGGGCCCCTTCGTCATTCGCAGGACCCTCTCCAAGATGGCTAACTGTCCACCCCGGCGTTGGGCTGCGTTGCCACAATAATTGTCAGTCGCCATCCTGTCATCGAGATATTCCTGTCTTCTGATAGAGTTGAGCTGCGCTGTGGCATTTGTATCCCGAGAGTTTCTTTGATCCACCACGCCGGACCGCCGGACTGGGAGCCGTACCGTGAAGAGATTGGTTGCGGAAATACATGTGAGGCATGAATTACGCTGCGTTCACATGGACTTACTGCAGCCTTCTGCCGTCGGAGCGAAGGGTCAACGACGAGAGCCCGAGGCAATTGTTGACTCTGCGCCTGGATCAGCGCCCAGTCTTCGAAATCTAGGCTTTTCAAACGCAGGCGAAGCTGCTTCGGTTGGACCCACGAATTCGGTATTCTCCTTGTTGCTGGGCGAAGACGGGCTCATGCAAGTGTAGAGGTTGATCAAAAAGCCCCTTGGGATATAGTCAGCATTTTCAACCATGCGCTGTTTGAAGGCCAGAAGTCGAGCCTGAGAGCAAGGAACTGTTCCTAGTAAGCATCGCCGTTCTGAGTCGAAGCACACCAAACGAGGACGTCGAGCCAAAGGTCCGATGAGCAACAGCCAGCTTGAGATCTCGGCAGGAAAGCGGGTAGGCATCCGCCCATGCCGTCGCCCGTTAGGCGGAGCCTCCGCTCTCGCTTTATCGTCCCTCTGCGGGCGTTTCTAGGATGTCCCATCGTTGCTACTGCTGGTATTGTCCCCCACGGCCCTTTCCTAGGTATGGTGCCCGCACTCCCCCATCCTGCTCTGTGTTAACCAAATTCTTCCGCCGACAATGTGGGGCATCGCCGCTTGCACGGGATCCGGACGTGCGCGTCGAAATGGATGGCTTCGAACCGGTCGTGGATACAATTACGCATTGGGAGGTTTCCATTGATTGTTCCGGTCTGGCACGTTCGTTTCTGGAGTACCCTCATATTACCTGGCAGTTCGGCACCTCAGAGTCAGGACGGAGGAGCGCTTCACCGTTATCTTCCAACACGGTCAGTCACTCGAGAGTGGTCGCTGTCCCTTGTGTCTCCGCCCTCTTTTCCACGCTCCCATGGACCAAGTTGTCGTAGTATGCGACCGTCAGATACTGCCTGTGGGAGGAGATATAGCGGACGTTGTTCCAATCTCGAAGCGGGTCGAGACTCGTCGCGGCCGGTGTGCCGGTGTGCGACTTGACGAATGGTCGAGGCGAGAAGAGTGTTGGGCGCGCTGCGTTGCGAGAGACACGTGTGATGTTGCTCCTGCTGCCGCTTTGTTCGAGAAGTTGGTGTAAGAGAGATGCCCGCCGGTGGTGCCGCCGCAAGTGGGTCCTGCGAAGGTTGTTCGTAGGCGTTCTATTACACAATACGATCCCGTCCTCCCAAGCAGATTATGCGTTACCGGGCTCCATGGACGTCAGGATAGGCTGGAGTCGGTCGTTCTGGAGGCGTTTGAGCGCGTCGAGTCCCCGAGACTGTCCGTGTCAGCGCAGGAAGTGTCAACCTGTCAATATGAGACGCGTCAGTGATGTGCCGGGATGCCAGATGTCCGTATAGGGCAAATTCATGCCAGCGGTATCGAGCTGCTGGCGGAGATGCGCGGGTTGCTCGCGGTGCAAACGAATGACGCGGTGTCAGGTGCTGACGTGAAGGGGACAACACCACGATGCCGCCCAACATCAACATGGACAAACAGAAGCTCCGAAATGAATAGGAGCCTGATATCATACCGTGATGTACCTCGCAAGGTGTTCCAAAGCCAGAAAAGCCCATCCATTGCAGGTTGATCGTAGTCCCGCATGCACATCGCAATCACAACACCGTCCCCCTCAACACTGCCCTTTCACGCCTTCACCTCCTCATCTCCCCGCCACCAAACACATCCAGCCCCTCTAATTTGCCTCACTCAAACCCCTTCTCACAAACGCCCTTTCTTTTTGTCGTATATATATTATTTAACTCACCCCTTCTTCCATCAAATACAAGAGCCCATGGCTCAGCGGTCAGCGCCCACACGCTCCGCCTAAACAAACGATGCTCTCATACACAATGAGTAGGTACCACCTCCCCATTTCCTATGTTCTATCGCGTTCGTCTGTACTGTATACGATGCCCAATCATGTTTGCTTTTTGCATTTTTATCCTTTTTTTTTCTAGCGGGATTTTGATGGGATTTTGGAGGGATTGGGAAGGGGGAGGGTTCGAGTTGCAGGGGGGACGGGAGGGATGGTTGGTGAAGTGTTTTTTTGTTGCATTGGGGTGGAGTTCAGTCTGCTGGTCTATCTCCTGGTTGCCCATCACTTACTGCCCGGCCTTCCACCTGCATCCTCTCTCCATAAGCCTATGCTTACTCGCTCGATATACTACTCTCCCGGGCTTTATGTCTCTCTTCTACTAGATCTACCTCTTTTTTTTTTTTTTTTGCTGTTGCCCTACTTACGCGTTTGCGCGTCCTGTTTAAACTAGCTTATTGGTGATGTACGCAGGAAAGTACCTTACTCGGCTTTGAAAGACGCTTTAGCACTACACCTAATAGCTCTAGGCTCCCTAGCTTCTCCGGTATGCCGCATACTTCTGATTATTATCTATACTTACCCTCTGCTTCGTGTTTAGTGATGTACTTACCTTTAAGTGTTTGCTTTGCGGCGAGGAGTGCGTTTTGCTTGACGACTATTAAGCCTCTTCGAGCTAAAGAGGATGATAGAAGCTTTAATCTAGAGTTTGATAATTATATTCGTGATGATAGTGAGCATTCTCGAGGATAGGGACCGTGGCCACCGTCGTGCCTGCTCGATTACGTAACCCACAGCCTTACTTTCATTTCGTGGTTCTGCTTTCTTCGGGGCTGTCTTTCCTCACATCTACAACATCGATCCCCGCTGCGTTCAGCCAGCCCCTCGAAAGGCTCCAGAGAGCTGCAGACATGCGACGTGTCCACGGACAGGATATCGGCGTTGCACAATACTGTGATGGGTCAATACCGCTTCAGATACGACCAGGATACGAAGCCACCAGCGAATAAGCAATCTCCCATCAGGCAGCTCTCCATGGCACGGACCACATACGCTGAAGACCTCGCTGAGAAACCGGCGGAGCGTCTAGATCAGACCATGCCACCGTCGCGACGTCACTATACTATTTACGTTTACCTTTACGATGACCGAAGCAGAACCGCGCAAAGAGTGTGTCAAAGTAGCCGACGAGGGGTTCACCGTCCTTTGTGACTGCCCAGAACCTAAGGCAGAGTAAGTTGTGCTGCGTGGAAGAGGAAAGCATCTCGAACGCCAACACACTTTTCGTTAGCATCGTTCTCATCCACGGACTCCAAGGTCATCCAAAGCGAACATGGCTATACGAGAAGCCGAGTAAAATCCCATTTGGCAGCAAAAAGGAGACTTGCTACTGGCCTGAAGAGCTCTTGCCCAAAGACTCCCCGAACTGTCGCATTCTCACATACGGATACGACTCCCAGGTCAGCCATTTCTTCTCGGGAGCCGCAAATCAGACGAATATACTAGGGCATGCGAGGAACTTCGTTGAGGAGTTTGAGGAACAGAGACGGACTGCAACTGGACGGCCACTTGTCTTTGTGGCGCACAGCCTTGGAGGCCTTCTTGTCAAAGCCATTTTGAGACAAGCCTCGAACACCAAACCAACATCCACAGCAATGCGTACAATTCAGGACATATACCTGTCTATTATTGGTACGATTTTCCTGGGTACACCGCACCGTGGAAGCGACTACACAGACCTGGGTAAGACTGTGGCCCTTGCCGTCAGGGCGTTGCAGTTTGATCGAAGTACTAGTTTGCTTCGTGACTTGAAAGTCGACGCCAGTATCTTGGATATCCTAAATTCAGACTTCCTCAGGCTCCATAAAGAGCGGGATTTCGCGGTCGTTACTTTTGAAGAAGGGCAAGGCCTAGGCATTCCATTTCTTGCTCGAGAGAAAGTCGTCCGCTCGTGGTCCGCACATTTGGGCCTGCCAGATGATGTCGAGGAAACGTACGTAATCAATGCCGATCATCGAAAAATGTGCCGTTTCGAGGGGCCCAGTTGCCCGGGGTATGGAAAGGTGAAGAGGGCAATTGGACGGTGCGTTCAGCGCGCTGTAAGTGAATATTGCCCTGAAAAACATCCCAATGCACTGTTTTGTTGATCTTTCCGCAGAGGACTTACATAGTTGAAGCTGAATTTCAACGTGCACTGGATGCACTACACACAGCAGAAACGAGTCGGCGATATCGGCAAGTGGAAGCGGCATACGAAGATACATACGACTGGATTTTCACAGATCAAAACCTGGGGTTCGCACGCTGGTTGCAGTCTACAGATCCTCTGTATTGGATTAGAGGAAAGCCCGCTTCGGGAAAATCTACTCTTATGAAGCTGATTGTAGACGATCAACGAACGGTTGAAGCCTTCGACGCCCTCGCAAAAGGAACTTCAGTCGCTGCGATCACTTTAACGAGGATAACGTGCAGGCCTACCTACTTCTTCCATGAGCGCGGATCACGCCTTCAACACACCATGGGTGGAATGCTGCGAGAGATCCTCCATTCGCTGTTGGATGGCATTCCTGAGCTGAAACCCTTCTTCCGTGATATATACCGGAGCGCCCGCGCATCACGGCCGCTCAAATCTCCCGACGTGGACTTTGAGTGGGATGAAGATGTTACCATGGGATTACTCCGAAACATACTGGAGCAAAATCGCGTTGATGCGGCCGTTCTGATCTTCATCGATGCCATAGATGAGTACTCAGGAACGCCTGGAAACTATGGGCCAGTCATACGTTTCCTCCAAATGATCCAACGTCGTTCAGCGAACAGCACATTCTTCGTAAAAATCTGCTTTTCCGGCAGGCCTGAGCAAATATATCTGGATCATTTCTCGGACGTCCCCGGCTTTTACATCCAAGACTATACTAGAGCGGATATCCTGAATGTCATCAGCTCCGAGGTTCAAGCACACCCGAGGATGGCACGAACAATTCAACATGGCAGCGAGGCGGACCAGATAGCCGTTTCAAATTTGAGGGATAGTCTTGCAAGACTAGCCAACGGGGTGTTCCTTTGGGTCAGGTTAGTTCTAGAGGACCTCCTGAACGAATATACCGATGGGGCAAGTCTTCAGGAGCTCAACGACCATCTGAACCAAGTGCCACCAGACTTAGAGCGGTATTATGACTACATACTCGCTAAGATGTCCGCTAAGAACATCAAACCGGAGTATGCTAAAGAGCGGGAGACGATGCTTGAAATTCTACGAGCCGCTGATGGATCGCTCTCGCTCGTGCAGTTCTTTGCTGCTTTGCGATTGGCGCCTATACGGGACCTTCGGAGCTACCATCTGGCGTTGCCCGGCAATCTTGACGAAGCGTCACGTCTTTTGAAGAGTAGATGTGGATCATTGCTCGAATTACAGTCGAATGAATCGACCGATAAAGTGACGATTGCTCTATGCCCTCCGGATCTTCGAATGGCCGAGTACAGCGTTCAATTTCTACACCAGTCCGTGAAGACATGGTCCACGAATCGGTCACCCCATCGATCTACGGCCGAGAACGGTCACACGCATATCCTTAAGTCTATTGCCTACGCAGCAATGGTTGAGGCCCCTGAATTCGACAAACAAACTTCCCACGAATTTGTTCGACGTATCTCGCTGGTCGAGGAAACTACACATCGCAGCAGCTTTTGGATACTATGCCAGGCCCCAGCATTCTATCCCAACGGATGGCGGTTCAGAGAATATTCTGGGCGCACGACGTCCCCGAGTATCTCAAAGCTAGCAGCACTCGCTGGCGCCGTACTTCTCCTAGAAGAGTCACTTCAACATGAAAAGCTAGAGGATCGTATGGACTTCTGTCTATACTGTCACTGGTTCCAGATGCTAAAAGAAGAATTGGAGTACAACCCGCAAATAGCCTCCATATTACTGAAGGGGCTCCCACCTAACGACGTGTGCAGGGTGTGGCAATCTCTGTTAGCGGTAGGCAACCTTAATTTGACAACCGGCTTTGAATCACGCGCTATCGCTATTGCTGTCAATATCCTGTGGATCGCACATTGCGAGGGCATCAACCCCGATACTTCTTTCGAACTGTCTTACGAATCTGGCCCAACGACATTTCTCCACGAAATCGCGAGGGAAGAACATCGCTCTTACTTCGCTATCCCTATAGTGGAGACCGTTCTTTGCTGGGGTGGTGAGGTTAATGTTGTCGACGGGCGTTCTCGCACTATTCTCGACGTTGCTCTGGAGTCATTGCACAACCTTTTGAACGCCCAGTCGTGTAGGATTTTCGATGCGGATCACCTGGATATTTATATCAAAAGGCATCACAATCTGTGTGTATTCCTGCTGGACCACGGGGCAAAAGCATCTGGGCAGCCTATCAACGGACCCACAGAAGAAGATGTTCAACTCTTCAATGGCTATTCGCAGCAGAGCGGTTTATGGTTTGACGTGCGTCTGCTTAATCCACCTCTCCTCCCGCAGAAACAAGAGGGATGGCTTCAACGATTGCTTCCAAAATTTGGCAACTTCGTACTGTGGCACCGCCATGAGAATGACTCTTCGAAACAGACGGATCAACAATCTACAAGTGGGACACACCCGACACGAGACGGCAGCAATAGTACTCCACAAGCACGTCTTTCCGATTCCGATCTCAACGATACGACTGAGAGTGTGGCCGATTCCGACGTCGATGATACGGCTGAGAGTACGGCTTCTTCGGCTAGTCAGGACACCTGGACCTCTACTCGCGATTTCGGCGCAGAGCCGATTATCGAAGAGCCGCGCGAGCAGTGCAGCGGTTCCAGTCTCGCTGGGAGCGTTGATTGAGGGGATAATAGTCCGTGGCAGGTTCCTTCTTTGAGTGTGATACAGCGCAGCTCTTCGCGAGATTGAATACCACGTTCAGCGGGCTCAGTCGTGATTTTTGGGAGGCTGCAAGGAGATGATCGCACACTTGTTTCTCCTCAGCTTCGTATGCGCCTCAAGCGTACTTGGATGGAGCCGCCGGGGTGGATTAGCTACCAGCGCCTTTTTTTACGCCTTGGATAGCGCCTGAGGGAGCAGTGCCGGTAGAGCTTCGTGGCGAGACCAGAAGACATTCAGCTCTCCGCTTGTCCGTCGTTTGTGTACATGGGGTGATGTATCGGGCGGAACTTGGCACGCAAGAGAGCTCACAAAAGTTCTCATGCACTATTCGCAGTCTGGCTCGAAATCATGCTTTTCATTTGCATCGAAAACAGGGGAATATCGGTCTATAAGCACGTAGCTGTCATGCTCCCGCTATGCCATGTGTCAGTGTCCACCTAAGTCTGTCGTATCCCTCCAGACCCTGCATGTCTAGGACCCAGATAATCATTCCTTATAGCGGCCCGTAGCCTCCACATGGGCGTGCCTCGTCCACAGTCCTTCAAGGAAACATCTCCTTCAGCTGCCTAAACGTATCATCCGGATTCTTCACGGCATGCCCCACCGTCCGCTCATCCGAGTAAATCTCCCAATCATTGCCCCCCTTATACGCCTTATCCCCAAAGAAGTGAATCGTCGTATACTCGACGCCATCAGGCCTCTCCTTGTCCACCTCGATGTGCCGCAGGCAGTACGTCTTGTCCCAGCCGGTGGGGAACACGTCGAAGGAGATCTGGCCGCCGACGGAGTAGGTGAGGCCTAGGTCGGGGAAGGCGGCCTTGAGCTTCTCGATCATGGTCGTGCGGATGTGGTGCTGCTTGTCGTAGGCTTCGTAGTCGTTGCGCTCGGCGACGCTGGCGTTGCGGCCGATGGGGGACACGTTGATCATGCCGTTGCGGAACTCGACGAAGGTGCCGCGCTTGATGGGGAGGTCGAGGTCGGCAATGTAGTGCAGGATCCTGGGGGAAATCAGTGTTAGCTTTGCCCTATTCTTCTTGTATCCGCGTCCAATTGCTACTCTTGCGAGAGCACTGGAGCGGTACTGCCTTCAGTAGCCAGTCCACACGAACTGGACACGTACCACTTCACAAGCTCCTTGTACTTCTCCTCGCCAATCCACCCGATGAAGCTCGCGCTCGCAAGCTGCTCTCCCATCCGGTATGCCGTCAATCCGTTCTCGGCGAAGGCGAAGTCGAAGAACGTGGTTACATCGACGCCGTTTATGCCGAGCTGTTCTTGCTGCTTGACGAGATTGGATCCGCCTACGAAGCCGATCGCGACTTTGTGCCGGAGCTCGGAGAGGAGCTGGGCCATTTCGGGCTTGACGAGCTGGGGAGGGACATTTGTCAGTGCGGTCTCGCGAATCGTGGTTGGATTGGGGCAATGGGAGGAGAGTGCAAGTGGGAGAAGGAGAGATACGAGTACATACTTGTCGGGGCTTAGTGAGCGTGTCATCGACGTCGAAGAGGAGGACTGTGTTCTTGATGGGGCGCTCGTTCAGCGGGGGATAGACAGATGCTGCGGCGGCCATCTTGAAAGCTTTCCGAATATTTTGGGCTAAAGTCGTGGTGGAAAGGTATCTGAGTGCAGAAGCACTTCCAATTGACCTATTTACAAGTCCCGGAAGCAATTCGGCAGAGGAGCAAGGGTGCAATGACTGAGTGTCGAGGAAGGGATATATTTTGGAGTTTGGAGGGGCATGCGGCTATGCAGGGATTTGCAGCTCACCGCAGTTTCGCGCGTGGGGTATTGCAGCTAGCTTGATTGGTGCAAGTCAGGGACGCTGAGATGGTCTCGATGCTGTCAACGTGTTTTTGCTGGCGTTGAACGGCTCTATAAGCACCAGCTGAAGTTATGGAAATGGTGTCCTTTCACGACTCATAGTATCCATGGGACTTGCACTACGAGCATGGGCGTGTGATACACGCGTCGCCGTGGCTGTGGAATACGTGCTGTAATGCTGAGAAAGGTTCGCGCTAGACCGGAAGGGTATGGCTTCCGCTCACACTTCGACGACCTTTGAGCAGGTGACTGGGATGTCTTTATCCCCTTCTCCATCTCGCGCCTACTCGTGAGTCATCCTCAACGAATTTTTGGCAATGTATGTTTCTTTGGGGTCCCAAATCGTCCGGGTACATGATGTCCTAACGCGTGCGGAGGTTCTCTGGGCCCTTCGTCGTCGTGTCCTTTTCGAATACGCTTGACGCACGAAGATTACTCGAATAGTTGCTTCTCGGGGAATCTTCCCTCAACATTCGATCACAGCCCCTGCAGGGAAAACTGAGCCTTTTCAGATAATGTTTGTGTGGAGCTCTTAAGGCTAATCACCTTAACACTACTTTTTGTACAGCTTTAAAGTCTAGTTCTATCTAGTTCTAACCTAGAAACTACGAAAAGCCCTTATTGTGTAGGTATTTGTGTGGGCGGAAGGTAATTTGGTAGTCTGCTTACATTATCCGAAAAGGCTCAGTTTTCCCTGCAGGGGCTGTGGATGAAGGAAGCAGGAGCCTAGGAGTCGTAATTGGAGGAAGCGAGGCCGCCAAGGAGCTTTCCGGAGCTGTTGGCGATGCCCTATCTCCTCGCCTGCACTCTCGTCATCAAATGGTGCATCCTACGAACGAGAGGGAAGAGCTTTGCAGAGCACATCTCAGCCTTTCGAATCCGTAGACCCACTCTGAAGTGTCTAATCAACACGAGCGGAACCGGGTTATGCAGCATGAACGAGCATGTTGGAAACGATCGACGAGGAAAAGTAAACCTTTTGACGGTAATGAAAGCAAATATGGAGCGATAGCACCACGTTTGTTTCAGGCTTGTATGTATGCCAAAGCTTGTCGTATCTTTGCTGTAGGCAAGCGGGAAGCTCTGGTGAGTATGCAGCGGCATTCATTTAGATACGCTCTCCTGTTCATTATTCTTCGTCTTTCCTATCCACAGTTGAGTTTCTTCCGCCCTCTGCAATGACCTGTCGCTTGTGTTGACCTCGAGGGTGGGCTCCGGAAGTGAATCGGGCTCACTGCCCGGGATACCCCCTCCCGTCTTCCCGCTACACAATTGCTCTCTGGCTGGTCTGTCGCTGTACGGTTCGATATCTGTTGTGAAGGGAATAGGTGGCGAGTTGTTGGTATTTGTGCGCGCCAGTTCGCTCTTTCAATTGGCACTGACGGCGGACTCGCAGGGACTTGCACCGCCCTTGGTCCCCGTTTTCACTGGCGCTACGTCACCCATGCTCACGAAGAGGGTATTTCAGCTTCGGTCTGAGTTGCTCTCTGCCTCCAGGCTGCCATTAATAACATACTACATCACCATACCCAACACGACCGACCGCTACACCTACCTCCGCAGCGCTTCAGCCGATCCCACGCCGTATACCCACTGCACAACCTATCCAAGGGCCTCCAAGGTACTGCCCACTCGACGATTCGCCGCTTCTGTGAGCTCCAAGCCGCTTTAGCCTAGAGCATCCGACGTCTCCAATACAAGACCTAGCAGCATCGCACTCAGTACACGATGTCCGCTCCTTCGCAAGACCTTCAGCGCATCTACAACTTCTTTCCAGCTCTTCGAATCCAAGAGATTCGTACCCTCCAGGCCCGCTTGGGCGGCGCGCAGCGTCCGCTGATCATGAACCCCGATGGCAGCATTCAACAGGGCTCCCACTCCGCCAATGTCGTTCAGCTCTCCGTCCCCCCGGGCGGCTTCTCTCTCAAGCGAGTACTCGAAGTAGCGAAAACTGGGCCCTTGTTCGCCGTACATCGATCTATCAATAGCCCTCAACACAGTCTCGTCAATCTGGTATTTGCCAGAGCTGAGGACGCCGCCGATGTCTACCGCCGCTATACCGAGGAAGGCCTGGTAATCGACGGCATTGAAGTCCACATGCGTCACGGCAGCGATGCGAACTTCTTGCTAGCTCCAGAGCTCAAGCAGAAGATGGAGGGCCATGGCTTGTCGCGCCTTGTGGTGATCTGGAAGCCGAAGAAATTGCTTCCCAAGGATTTCAAGGAACCAGAGCCATTACCCTCCACGACGCGTCAGCTGCATCTTTGGCGCGACAGCACCTCCTTTGGCAACGGCCCGCCCCTATCCTACGATCACCCATTCTCCAAGCGAGCCCTCCAAGAGATCTTCAGCGGCGAGGCTCCCTCTGGGCTCATCGGTGCACAGCCCGGTGACAGCATTGACGTAGAGCTACTTCCCCACCAGGAGGAAGATTACGAGCCGCCGCTGAATAGGGTAACTGGCTACGTCTCGACGAAGGAGAGGGAGTTTGCTGCTGTATTCGGCCTCGAGAACGTTAAGCCGGCAAGCGTCGTTCAGCTGCAGCCCGTCCACGCGGCACAGACCGAGACTCACGTCGGCCTGGTTGTCGAGTACACCAGTGTTATTGAAGCTGCCAGGGCGGTCGATGAGCTGCGTGTCGCATCTCCCAACAGCATCTTCGAGTTCATCGCCGATCCTGCCCTCGATGAGACCTTCATTTTCAAGGGCCCGCCGCCGCCGCCGATTCCCGAATACCTGAAAGGCGCACCGCCAAAACCCGACGACTTCCCTGCGGAGATAAAGGCCAGAGAGATAAAGGAGATCTCAAAGCACATAGGGGACAAGACTCTCTTCTGGGAGAAGGTCTTGGTCGTTTATAAGCAGCGCAATATGTCGAAGGAGCAATTCCCAGCAGAGGAAGCGAGGCGGGCTGCGCAAGGCGAGACTGTGGAGAGAAAGCATGCCGACTGGGTTTGTCTTGCGTGCGGGAGATATAACTTTGGCATGGTCAAGAGCGAGGAGCATTTCTGCTATAACAGGGAATGCGGGAAGGATTGGCTTCATACGCTTGCACACCAGATTGCTGAAGCGAAGGCCAAGGAAGCGGAGCTCGGGCAAGAAGAGGAGGAAGAGGAGGAGCAGAGCTACGTGGAGGGCAACGTGGTCTTCTTGGAGAAGCCCATGAAGACACCAGGACTTCCGCTGATTGAGATGTTCTCTTCATGATCGGCTCCACGCTACGGCTTCTTGCGGCTTACCCTTCCTCCGGCTGGAGCTCTTAGTTCTTGGTTTCCGGGGGTAGTTCCACATTTGCCAGAGATTTTCTTCGGCTTCTCTGTGTTCTCTCGTGAAGATAATTTCGCCAGTGTCAGCTCGGAAATGAAAATAGCTTCACAATTCCTTTTTTGGATTCAACAACATGCAATTGCGCCCCAATACCTGAAGTACGGGTTCTAAGTGAATAGGAATCTGACTCATCCACGGAAACTCCACTTGTTGCTGGCACGGGACCGTAAGACTTCCCAGTGGATATTGTATCCACCCTCGAGCGGGGTTTCCTTGGAATCAACTCATTCAAGCCCAAAACGCTACCTCAGCTGGAGAAGGCTCGAACACCATAAATCTCACCGGCAACACCATCCAGCTCTACGGGTTTACCCGCGCCCCAATCTTTCTCAACATCCTCCGCAAGATCGGCCCGGGCTGGGTATACTCCCTCCGACGCTTCCGCTATGCCACAGTCCAACAACAGAACGGCGATGGGGCCGAGCTCTATGGTGTCGATATCATTTTTGTAGACCGCTCGGGCGCCACGACGTTCAACTCGCGGTTCAAATGGAACGCGGAGTTCGACGGCGAGCCGGCGAGAGTCAATGTGGAGTATAAGCGGGAACGGAAGGTGGTCGTACCGAGGGACATTTATAGGTTGTTGAGGAAGCAGGGCGTTACGAGGCAGGTTGTGGTCTGGAAACCGAAGAAGACCTTTCAGAAGGACTTGGTCAGCCAGGCTTACAAACAAGCTCAATGGACGAAAGCATTCCTTGTGGCCACCCCACCCACGCATTCGATTTCCGGTTATAACTCCATCTTTGCTCGGACCTTTGTCTCCCACTTCCATCTTGATCCTCTCGATCCCGAAGAAGTCGTCCAGATCCAGGTCTTTGCCGACCCACCGCGGGAAGGCCGGCGAGAGAGGGACTGCTTTGGCCTGCTGATAGAGTTCACCGACGTTGAGAAGTGTTTAGAGGTTGTTGAGCGTATGAAGGCGGATGAGTGGCTTGCGGATTGCTGCTACGCGTTCGTGAGGGATACTTGGAGGGATGGGCGTCAGGGGCGAGCGGCGCAGGAGTGGGAGGCTCTGCCTTTCCGTACGTTGATTGACGTGGGGAGGGAGCCGACGCCGAAAGAGAGGAATGCGGAGCTGGGGTTTGATCCTAGTCAGTTCTGAAGGCTCGTGGCAAAGCGGCAGTGGGCTCACCTCCGCTTTCTCTTGTTGATGGCCAGGGACGTCCAGCTTTCTCCGATGCTCAATCCGAAATTAAGAAGACTCCGTCAGGCACACAAGGGTATCTCTTTAGCTCAGACGAGCCAGTCAGAGATCTGTTACCGGGCTGGCAGGAGGCGGAGCCATGGGTCGTCGATCGTCCAAAGGTGAAGGCAAAGGAGGAAGTGACGGAGAACGACGACCGGACCGACGGCGAGAAGTTCTTGGGGATCAAGAAGCATTGGGACCCGAGAAAAGATCCTAATTGGGTGGTGTTCGGCGTTAGGAGGTCCCCAAGCAACGAGGAAGGAGGAGATGCGGGAGGAGGACGAGCTGCTTCGTAAAGAGATGGCCTTGAATAGGTCCTAGGAGACCCATAACCTTGAAAAATGTGTCAGGGATACCCTGCAGCTCATGATTATCTCAAGGGAATTGGTGGGCTCTCTCGCAATACGATCACGTGTGAAGGGAACCCGGAGCTCCTGCCTCGCCTTCACTCACTGATGCCGTAAGCTGTCTAGGGCCGTCCTTGCCTTATAAAATTTCTCCCGCTCACCTCGCCACATCAAAACACCACACTCCTCATCTCCCGCCACTGGGGCACAAAAAAATCTTTTCAAAGAGACGAGTACATGTAAGCAAACCGGCCGTACCGCTCTTCTCCTCCACCTGATCGCTATCTAACATACAGTCCTAGCGAAGGGCCAGCCCTCATTGGTTATGCAACGAAAAGCCGCAGTCGCCGGACGCCGGAGACCAAGAGGAACGGCGGCTGCGGCTCAAGTTTTGAAGCGCAAGCCTAGTCGTTGGGGCCCGCAGTAGAGTGTAAGTGAGATCCCATATCAAGGTATATCACGACAAGTCACTGACTGCCTAGGTGGTCGGACAGCCTTCGCGCCTATACTGCAATGGATCCAGGGCCATACGGGCCGCAATGAACCTTATCAATGACTGTCGAGACCTTGAACAGCAATCGGACCATGATAACTCCATGACTGAGGAGACCCTGGAGATGACACGCACTCCAGCCTATATGCCAGCGATGGGCGACCATGAATCTCATGAACGATTGCAAGGACCTGGAACAGCAATCCAACCACGATAACTCCATGACAGAGGAGGCTTTGGAGATGACACGCACTCGATAGCCTACCATCGGCAGGCCTACGCCCGAGGAGACTACTCGGGAGCTCATCACTGACACGAACGGAGACAAATCTGCTTCGTGAAACTCGCTTCTCAGCGCTTTCCCACTCGTGCAGTGCAGGCGTAAACGTCGTGCAGCACGTCACCGACGACTGCTTCGCTTGGTTCCTGCTGCCTCTTGTCTACCAAGATCACGGAAACCCCCGAGAGATCGCTATGCGCCAGATTGTCGGTAACCCTACCAACTCAGACGTCAAGAAGTCCGCTCTCCCTAACATCGAAGAGCACTGGAAGCAAGAGTGGGAGCTCTGGTATTTGATGACCTCTGGCGCCGGCTATTACGGACGTGAGGCCAAGCCGGTTCCGGATTGGGCATTGGGGAAGGCTGGACGTCCTTGACTATCTTCCTAGACATCGAAGACCACTGGAAGCAAGAGTGTGAACTCTGGTATTTGATGACCTCTGGCGGCGGCTATTACGGACGTGAGGTCAAACTGGTTCTGGATTGGGCATCGGAGAAGGCTGGACGTCCTTGACAGAAATCGAAGAGCAGAAGCAAAAGTGCGAGCTCTGGTACCTGATGACCTAGGAAATGTGGGCCAATAGAGAAACAAATGGAGATTGGAGATGTTCATTTCATCGAACCCTCATACATGATCGCTTAAAGGAAATCAGTCCTCCATTGAGAGACGTCATATGCCCATTGATGTTGATACACGTGAAGAGGAAAAGGGCAGGTCCACCTGGACCGCCTGAGTCGGTATATATCCGCCTAAAGCCCTTCGCCCCATTGACGCATCTCCAGCCATATCCCCACTATTGCCACCTATCCCCCAGTTTTCGACCATTCCTCCTGTGTCTACAAGAGGTTGCCGCTGCCGTACCTCATCTTGCCCCACGGATCCCGATCTAAGAAAATACTCTCTAGCGAAATGCTCTCCAGGGTTATGGATAAGTTTTTTTCTCACTTACTCCCTTGGTATGCACCCCTCTTGAGATTGAACGCCCGCTGGTCCTTGAGCCATCGACGGTAGTCTGCGACGCTGCCGATCTTCTCGCCATAGTAGTCGGGGACGGGGTTCGCCATCGATGAGGAGGTCGGGTCGACGCGGTGGCTCTTGATGCGGTTGTAGAACTCGCGCTCTTTCTTTGGGCGTATTAGCTCTGCTCTGTCACAGGCAAAAGCCGACAGAAGAGTGCAAGGGCAAGGTGACTTACGCGCTCAATCTCTCCACGAATTGCCCTGTACCTCATATTGAAGATGGCATTGCCGAAGAAGGGGCCAATAAGCCATCCCACAGCCAGCATGCCGATCGTGCTCAAGCCCGTCACCATGAGCGGATCGAGGCCAAAGCTAGCCGAAAGCGCGGCGTCGTAGCCCTGGTTGATGAAGACTTGGAGGCCCGCGTACGTAGTTGCGATCGCACTGACGCTGGACGCGGCAACGCTGATCTTCCGGCGGGTTCGACGCAGCGCGAGGAAATCGTTCCATGTCAGCTGTGCCTGCGGGTTTGAGGATGCAGAACTAGCTGTGGACTGGGTGTTAGCAGACGCAGGTGATGCTCCAGGGGCGGATGAAGCATATCTAACGGCTGGCTTGGTGGGCGGCGACGCGAAGGAGGAGCGGTCGGTGCGCTGGATCTTGGTCGGTCGAGTGGTGGAGGAGAACGAAGCTGTCGTTGCGGAACATTGCGCGAGGATTGCGGGCGGGAAGCGGATCGCGAAGGCCCTCGCAGGGCGCAGTGAGCTCGCGGCGACGAGCATGGCTGCGGCTGCTGTTTCGGGGAGAGTGGAGATGGGAAGGTGTCGTGGGGAGGTGAAGCGGAGAGCGAGGAAGTTTCGAGTGAGCTCAAAAGTTCGGGACTCTTGGCGGGTGGTGCGGAGGTGGACGCGGCTGCCTCACGCGAGGAAAAGGGAGGTGAGCGGCGGTGGGCGTCACTGGAACGGCATTCGAGCCCAGTGACTCCAATTGCTTTGATACTCGGTTCCAAGGACGTTCGAGCCGGTCTTTGACGGGGTCGAGGGGTGTTCTTCCTCCAACGTCATTTATCGAAGCCTTACGCTCCGACCACCGGCTTATGTCAGGCGCGAGGCTGCCTCATCCATTGGTAGGCGCATCCAACCACCATTTCTACAGCACCTCCATAATCTTCCACCGTAACGGTTCAGAATATCCTTTGTTCATCAATGAGCTTGTATGGCGTCTGGAAATCATCCTCCGTGGAGACACTGAGATCGATCTGTACCAAAACGCGGTTTCATCGCCCGGGACGTCGACGCGCACACTCAGGACTCCAGAGATCAAGAGAAAATCTATACAGATATAGATGCCAGCTCATAGATTACCCAATATGCGCCCGCGATGTGGTATTCAAGCCTCTCGCTCGGATTTGATAGTGCTCGATCTCCGCCAACACCCGTGGATGAACGACGTCCCCCTGCGATGGTGTCCTTCGCCTGCATCATCTGGAACAGGGCAACGGGCGGAGACACAATTGTACCCTTCCCATATCTCGGGCTATACACGGACTCTTGTACATCATGTCCCTTACCCCATCCGGCAGCGTTACCCCAAAGCTGATGGGTGTGAATTCCCATTGAGTCATCCTTCTGCTACCCGTCTTCCTTCTTTTGCCCCTCCCAACCTGCTGTACCGTTAGAAATAATGTGGGTTGCCCATTACTTGTCGCTCTTCTTTCTTCAAGAGTATCTTCTTTGCCGACGGCTTGCCAGAGGTCAAATCACGCCCAGCAGTATGAAACCGACAGCGGAAATGACGCGTCCTCGACCAACACTACTCTCACCGTGCGATGCGATCACGAGTCGATCTGCCTATCCAAGGACCTGACGAAACTGCACGACGATCCTAACGCAATCAGCGTGAGACTTTCGGCAGACCGACCACACCTTCCTCTCTATACCTAACGTATACCAGGACCCAATCCAATGCAACGACGGCGACTCTAACGTCGGCTACCAGGACTCCAAATCCATCACCATTAGCTTCACCATCAGTCCAGGCAAACTGGCCAGCGAATGGATCCCCGGTGGGTTCAGCGTCTCCGAGTCGTGGACAACGGGAAACAGCTACAGTGCAATGGCAAACAAGGTGAGACTGTTTGCGACTGGTATGAAATAAGACATGTTGCGTATACGGTGGAGAATTGGAGAGAGTGGACGACTCCCGTCAAGTTTGGCAAAGGCGCAATGCAGAGCACGGCAAGATTGACGAGTCCTTTGAAGGGCAACCCTAACGGAGGATATCGGTATGAGAGGGGCGGAAGGTGTGGCAAGGTGGAGGATTCTCGTTGGATAGAGGTTTGATGAGAGGGAGGCGGTTCCTTGGGAACAGAGTCGAAGTATGTGAGGTTCCTGGTGCGTGTGTCATTCCTTTTTCTTGATAAATATCGATCGTTGTTCCATTGGTGTCGTATTTGCTTCCCTTGCCAGATTGCTTGCAGGACAATTGTCGTTCAATTCAAGTTTTCAGCCAAGACCAATGGGCGAGACAGTTGTGGTCTGGAACTGAATGGAGAAGGGTTGATGGCGCTCTAGGTCTTGCATCTTACGTTATGCTTCCACTGGACGGCGTCGTAGGCTTGACTAGTCGGAAGTCACTGCCTGAGTAAGCGCCACTTGCTTACCTAGTGCTGTGACTGTGGAAAGCAACAGTGGCAAGCCTCTATCTGCAAAATGCCTTCTTTCATAGCACCGTTTGCGAGAGCGACTTTCGAAAATTTCGATGCGGATAAATATAGTCACACCTGCAGCGTGCTGTTTACACAACGCAACACATGGACAAGGATGCCAAGATGTGTAGCCAAGATGTCTATTCGGGTGCTACCGAGTAGAAGCCGTTACCCATGCACTCGAATTTGTGGAGAATATTGCGGTGAACTATTCAGAGAGACGCAAGAGAAGAATAGGAACAACTTACAAATCTCGGAAAAGATGATACACCAACACTTATTCTATAACCGGACGCCTCTGCGCCTCCTCTTCTCTATCGTATACACTTCAGCTGTCCAGCACAGCCATCTCCAATCTCGTTCCCATCGTGAACGGGAAGTTTAAGTAATGGACCCGACAGTCGAAGAGTAATCAGCGACAAAGACCGCTAAAGTGTGGCTACAGTCATTTCAGACACGATGCCACAGCCACAGCCTCGCCGGAAGGACTGCCACAAAGAAGGCAATTTTACACACTGTCGCCAGGTACGCGGTGACGCGTTGCGCCGAATACGCGCTTCCCACGTTGAAGCCATGAGGCTGGGATATTTTTGTCGCGCTTAGAGTTCAGCTCTTGGTGTTTAGTAATGGAATCGTAGGGCTGAAGGGCCACGCTCGGGGTGAGATGGCCGTCGGCCTCGCGGGATGGAATGCAGCCAGAAGCCGGTTGGAACAACGTGCAGAACAGCTGGGAGAGGCAATGTCATATCCCGAGGCCGCGTACACGGGAGCGCGCCAGGCGAAGCGATTCCACGAGATAGCGGTGTCGGTGTAATTCGTGATATTGCCGAATCCTGATTTGCGACGCCAACAGCGGTGAGTGGCTTGCATGGAAGCCAACGAAGACTTTCCAGGTTTTCGAGCGGCACAAAGTGGCCGAACGAGAAGCTGGAGATCTTCGAGCAACGGAAGAAAAAGGCAAACAGGCAAAAAGTTCCCCACGATGATGTCGCGCCGGCGCCCCCAGCAGATGCGCTAGAGCGATGCCATGCAGGGATTGCCATTGGTATCGATGGCGAACTGCGGAGGCCTTATCAGGGTCTCAAACCCCCCACTCGGTCGCGCAGGATAGAAGAAAAGCTGGCGTCTTCTGCGTGCGCTGCGCAGTGACATCGCTGGTATTACTGCCACAACGCCTCTCTTATCCACCATGCGCCAAGTAGTCGTATGGCGCTAAACCCTTGCCCGCGTGCGCTTCCAAGCCCAGTAACAATCTTGATTCGGAAGCGGTCCCTCGTCGACTCCCCCGCCCTCCACCAACATACCGAGACTTGACATTCAGCTTGTAGAGTCAGCTCCGCCGGGCTGTGGGCTGTCTACCTTCCATAAAAGCCTGGCGCCGATCCTTTCTATGCTAGCCAGAACTGCCCCGGACACGTTGACTGCCATTCCTTAGCAATTGAAGTGGAGAACAATGCCGCGGCCAAAGAAAGCCGGAGCTGGCGAACCGAAGAAACGGTCCCGGAACGGCTGTTGGTAAGCGCGCCTGTATTACCCTTCCTGTACAAGAGACCTCTCGTCTAACATGATAATCAGGCCATGTAAAGCGCGTAAGGTCAAATGGTAACCTTCCGCACTCGGATCGTTGCGCGACGCTGGATTAACCGTTGTACAGTGGCGAAGAGAAGCCGCGATGCGCCAACTGCGAGCGCCAGGGCGAATCCTGCGACTACAGCATCAGACTCAATTGGGGAGGGCGTACAAAGCGAGATCCTGCTAGACCGGCCTCTAATTCGGGAGCTTCGAGTACCTCAGGCAGTCCGCACATGTCCACGTTCTCGTTCGAAGACGATGCGTCCCCACTCTTTCCCCCGGAAACGCCTATGCCCCAGAGCAGCTTTACGCACCATGCGCGATCCCGGTCCACTCTATCGCCACCTACTTCTGATCCCAATATGGTTGATCCGGAGCTGGTACGCATCAGTCAGGCGCAGTCACAATCGATGATGGCTATTGGAGGACCATTTGACAGCTTCCAACAGCAAGACCTGAGGAGACAACCCACATCGGCTCCCATCGATGCCCGAATGCAAAATGCACAATATTGCAACAGCTTCGAGTACCCTTCCCCCGCCGCATCAAGCTTCGAGAGCCTCAACTATAGCAATGCCGGATACGCGCCAGTCAATGCAGACTCCCCCCTCTCCCCTCCAATGCCTCCGCCTGTGCGCAGCAGCGCATACCCAACACCGAACAGTCGGCAATATGCGGAGTCTGTAGACTCAATGTCCCTTCATCATACGCGTAGCTATTCTGCGGAATCCCCATCTACTTCAGATGCATACTCTCCACAGACAGGTCCGCCTACTCCCTACAGCCCCTTCATGGCGATGCCGCTGACACCAAACTCGTCAGCTGGCTCGGACGACCCCGCCGTGCGGACTGCATCCAAAGCATCAAACACGGGGTATACTCCTTCGGATCTGCGCCGGCTGTCCGTACAATCCTTGCTCACTGGACCACCTGGCGATAGCCCTCAGCACGGTCGGCAGTACCCAATTATTGATGCGGCTTCGACAACGTACGGCTACGATCTGGGGTTACCTGATCTCGATCTCCCTCGAAATGATGACATACACGCCATCGCGATTTTCAGTCCCCCGAGCGGCACCATAGGCTTCGATGAGGACACTCCCTACGGCAGCGCCGAACAGCGCGCCAAAGACATGGCCTTTGAGAAAGGGGGTTACTACGCCAAACCGGTACCGATCAAGATCTCAAAACACCTCGAGCCATTGCCGCCGTTATTGCTTGAGAACCCCATGAACCTCCTCTACTTCCACCACTTTCTCAATCACACTGCACGCATTCTGGTTCCCCACGATTGCGAACAGAATCCCTTTCGCCAGATCCTTCCAGAAAGTAGGTTCAGCAGCCATTTCGAGACCCTGCTCCCAGCGTGCTAACTTTTACCTAGTGGCCGTCCGCGACGAGAACATTATGAACCTCCTGCTGGCTTACAGTGCCTCCCACCGCGCCCGTATGCTCAGCCACCGCGAACCCTCCAACCGCATCGCCCTCTGGGTCCGCGACGTCTTTCCCAAGCTTCGCCACTCGCTCTCGACCGCAACGTCCCCCTCTTCCATAACAAACAGCACGCTCGCGCCCGCCATCATGATGGCCTCCCTCGAGATCATATCCCCAAATACCTTCGAAGTCCCAATCAGCTGGCAGAACCACCTCACCATCGCGCGGCAAATGATCATTGCGCGAGGCGGACCGCGGAGCATGGACAGGGGCGACCGGGCAGCATACTTCTTGAGCAGGTGGTTTGCTTACCTCGACGTGCTAGGCAGCCTGAGCGGAAACAAGAACGACCAGCCCCTAGGCTCCTTCTACTGGTCCTCTGAAAACGCCTCCGCCGACGAAGACTTCCAGATCGACTGCCTCATGGGCTTCACCAACCGCTGCGTCGGCAGCCTCGCCCGCATCGCAGAACTCGCCAAGCAAGTTGAGCCGTTCCGAATCGACGCTGACGGCAATATCCGCGACGACTTCCGGCCTTCGCCCGAGATCGTACGCCAGGCCCAGCTCATACGGCGCGAGCTGGAGGAGGGACTGTCCGGCGGCGTGGGCTACAAGGGCTGCAACCACCGCTCGTCGGCGTCCAGCGAGAGCGAGGGCGCTTGGGACGCCACTGAGATCTACGCCACGAACGAGATGTTCCACTGGGCGGGGCTCATCCACCTCTTCCGCCGCGTCTTCAACTACCCTTCCGCCGCGCCAGAAGTCCAGCACGCGGTCCGCGAGATCATCGGGCTTCTGTACAAGGTCCGGAGAGGCAGTACCGCGGAGGCGTGCCTGTTGTTCCCTATGTTCGCCGCGGGCTGTGATGCGCGGGATGAGGGCCAGAAGGATAAGATCATGGAGAGGCTGCGGTGCGTGGAGGGCTTTGGCATGACGCAGGTTAAGAAGGCGAGGGGCCTCATGCAGAGGGTGTGGGATACGGGGAAGCCGTGGGAGAGCCTGGTCGAGGGCGAGTTCTTTGGCTGAGAGGGGCGGGCTCTTGGATAGAAAGATTCACGCGTCAGCGGAAAGCAGCTGGGGCTGTCGAGCTTTACTAGCTACTTCTTGGGATTTCGCGTTGGCCCGCTCAAGGAGACGGGTACGGACGCTGGCAAACAGGCCTGTATCACGGTCTTGCGGAAGTGGTCCTCCCAGCTTGGGATCGCAGTACGCCGTGCCAGCATGTCAGGTCTTGCCGAAGCGACCCGCCGAGACGGTTTTCGCGTTCGGTCTCACACGGCGATGAGGCGAGAAACCATATTTGGGTGCCTTGGTGCTCCGCCACCAACGGCATGAACACCAGCCCGCAGCTCTCTCATGCTCTCGGTACCAACGATGCGGATAGAGGATATACCAACCTGAAGCTCTTTAACATGGGCAGAGTCAGATTGAAAGGAAAGGAAAGAAGATGACTCGAGAATGTAGAATGAATGTATTGTACAATGCCACTCCAAAACTCCATCCCTCCACTCCAACGCGCTTCCTACTCCGAAAAATGCATGTGACCAGACCCAATGCTAGGAACATACGTATCGCCTAGTACTTCTGTATGATAAAGTAGAACCCATCGTTCAACCTAGTGCCTAGTGGGGGCGGAGGATAAATCTACAACAAGCTGGGGTGGGCAAGAAGGCTAATGTGGTAGGACTTCAGATCCACCCTTGAAAAGTGGATTCTCAGCCTCGCCCGCCGGACTCCTCGTCCGCGCTAAAGATTGCAGTGCATGCCTGAGTCGTCCATACCCGACGCTGCACTATGCAGCAGCCTAGACCTTCAAGAACTCCCCGTCCGCGCTAAAGATTGCAGTGCAGGACACGCCTGGTGCGTTAGGCCCTACGAAGGGTCATGCGCGATGGAGATGGGACATACGGCCGATACGGTGATGGACTGTACGCTACACTACAGCGGTAATATCTTTACAGGATAACTCTGTATCGCTCTGCCATCTTCTGCAGGCTAGAAATATTGATTATTGCAGCAATTTATGCGATTTTCTGGCTTTGGTTGGATGGCGCAGCGATTCTGAGGAGGCAGCCAAGGATTACATAAGTGACCCATCTCCATCGCGCATGACCCCTTTGTACGCTGAACTTTGCAGCAGCACAGACCTTCAAGAACTCCTCGTCCGCGCTAAAGATTGCAGTGCAGTGTTGATGCCCAACGCTGCACTATACAACAGCACAGACCTTCAAGAACCCAAACCCAATCACAACAACCCCCCGTCCCTCATACATGCAAGCCCCCCACAAATGCATCCCCGTACTTCAGCCTCACCCTCACCGGTCAACGTGCCACCGCCAACACACGCGGTGGCACGTCACCTGGCCACGGGGTTGACCCGCAGTGCGCTATTAGCTCCAGCGATCCCAGGAGTTCCCGAACACTTCCAACCCGCAGGAAATCAAGTGCGAAGTCATGCGAGCGAGGGAGCCTCATTATAGGACCGACCAGGGAGTTAGTCAGCGAAACGCAGAAGGAACATCTATACGATTGACAGATCCTCCAATGCTCGAATACATAGCCGCCTACGAACACCCCAAGCCCCCACCCGTGCTCTCACAATGCGGGACGACATATGAAAACGAGAGGCAAGGAAAAAGACGAAAAAACCGTACGCAAGCAACGAGCCCCCTCCCGACATACACACAAGCCAGAAACGCCCGGCTTTGCGAGCAACAGACAGACAGACCGTTACGCCGTGCCTGTGGTTCCCTCCTGAAAGACAACGCCGTCCCAATGTCGTCCGTACTCCATATGCGATAACACGTGCAATTCCCTGAACATTCATGACTCCACTCCTTCCTTCCGCGTGTGCCTCATTTGTTCTGCCTCGCGAGATAGACCTAGCAAAAGCATCAGCTAGGACTCAGTAGCCGGCTTAATCATCAGCTGGCTCAACCCGAACAAGGACCTCTTCGAGGAAGCCCTCAAGGAAGCCCGCGACTTCTCCGCCCATGCCCACCTCGCCCCTCTCGTCCCACTTATCGAGCTGCTTGAACCGCTCCGCCAGCTCGCCGACAAGCCTCTTGACTTGCTCATGGCACTCCTGCCGCTGTTTGCGGCGCTCCATGAAGGCCTGCGGATCGCGCAATGCTTGCGCACCCTCCTGCTTGTTCTTGAGGTTGAGGTGGTAGGCGCGGCGATTTAGAGCGGCCTCGAGAGCTGGGACAACGACGCCGGTGAGCGCGGTGATCTCGGCGGATTGGATCGGGGAGGCGGGAGTATGAGGCGCTTTGGGGCGGCCGAAAGAGCCCCGCGACATGGGAGAGGGTTTGCCGTGGTTCGGGGTGGCGGGTTGAAGCGAGGGATTGCTCGTCCTCTGGTTCCAGTCACCGATCAGCGGACCGCCGAAGGGATCGTTTGATGATGAGGAACTCGGCCGTGAGGCTGAGCTGGGGTTGAATTGAGGAAGAGGCTGCTGTGATGTGAGCGGTGGCAGTGGCTGCTGACCCACAAGCGGCGGAAGTGGCTTTTGGACCTGAGATGGACGCGGGTTCTGGTTCTGAACTGGCGTTTGCATCGGCTTTGACTGGTTTGCGGCGGGTGCATTGCCGTTGGACGCAGTGGATGAGCCGCCACGGTAGGGCGGTATCTCCGGAATGGCCAGCGGCGGAAGCACAGAAGCTCGCGTTGGCGTCGGATTGCGCTGCGGCGTGACCTCCAAGCCCGCCATGTCCGCGGCAATGGAGCGCTGAATATAGTCGTCATAATCGCGGGCCAGCGGTGTCTGCCGTCGAGGCTGCTGAGGTGTCTGCTTCGTCGGCGTTACCATTCCACGGCTGGGAGGATGTGGTGAGAAGACCGCAGGTACAGGTGATTTCCGAACAGGTTCCTGGGCGGTCGGTGGAAGTAGGGGTGGAATTGCCTTCTTTTCCGGCGACGGCGGTAGAGGAATTCTCGCAGCGGTGCCTAACGTGCTGGCAGGTGAACTTGGCATCTGCGTTTGCAGTTTGGCAAGGCGTTTCGTTGGGGATGGCGGCGGGCTTGTTCCTCGAAGGGTGTCGTCGGACCCAATCCAATTCTCATCGCTGCCACCACCACGTTGGTTTACAATAGGTTTCCGCTGCGGGGACACGTTCCGAGCGTTTGCGCCAGCATCGTTCATGGGTTTCAGACCTGGAAGTCTACCCCCACCATGGACTGGACGAACTGTGCCAAAGTCCCACAGCTCTTGATTCACTGGACTGTGTTTCTTTTGGGGTGTAGACTCATCCGACGAATCATCCAGCTTTGGATGCCTCAGCTGCCAGTCTTGGTAACGAGAAATGAGCTCCTGCAGACGCGCTGGCTTCCCAGCTTTCCGGATGAACGTGGTCTGGAGGAGTTGCTTGGCCGATGGCCGGTCTCGAGGATCTTTCCGTAGGCACAGATCAACGAATTCCTTGAAGTGCGATGAGAAGCCGCCTGACAGCTGTGGTGATGGGTTCTTTGGGATCAGGAAGAGCACCTTCATGGGATGGATGTCTGCATATGGCGGCTCGCCATTCGCAAGCTCCAGTGCGGTGATTCCCAGAGACCATATGTCCGCCTTGTGATCGTAGCCCGACTGCTTGATGACTTCGGGCGCCATCCAGAAAGGCGTGCCAACAAAGGTATTCTTCTTCGTCATGGTCGCCGAAAGCTGTCCTGAGACACCGAAATCGGCAAGCTTCACCTGGCCGTTCGCGCTCACCAAGATATTGGCAGCTTTAGCTGGGTTAGTCTTTTACATCCAGATGTAGACGAGATGGCATACCCTTGATGTCCCGGTGAAGCTTGTTGTCATCATGTAGATAGGTCAAGCCCATAAGCAGCTCTTTCAGTATGACGGCGATTTCAACCTCCCCAATGGGCCCCGGCTTCATCAGATCCGCGCAGCTGCCACCGGAGCAGAACTCCATGACGATCCAGAGATCTGAGCCGTGAAGGTACGAGCCGTAGTACTTGGTGACATATGGTGAGTTCATGCCCGACAAGATGGCAATTTCGGTGATGATGTCGTCGACCTCGTCCTCGGCGTTCTCGACATCGATGACCTTGATTGCGACTAATTGACCGGTTCGCCTATCGATGCTGCATAGTGTCAGCACTGCGCCGGGGCGAGTCAGAAGCTTGCTTGAGCGCCTACCCTTTGTACACCTTTCCAAAGCTGCCTCCGCCTATAGCAACTGGTCAATATCTCTCCAATACGTGCTCGATATGCGCTCCTACCGATGCATTGCTGCTTGGTGTACAGCGTCGTGGGGTCCACCGACCCGCTGACGCCCAATTCCCCCGCCATGATCCTCGTGCCGCCTCGGTGCTCGCAGTTATTTCAGCGAAGGATGTGAGTACAGCCGAGGGCGTTCTCTCAGCGGAGGTTTCGGACGGGTCGCTTGCGAGCGAGCGTAACTTCGGGCGCGGGAATCGAGACCGGGCACGGCGTTTGCTGCGAGAGCGACGAATGGGGGACGATCGGAATGGTGAAAGCTCGTGCAAGTCCCTCCGCCGGGCGATGTGCGGAGTAGTGAAGGTTCCAGCGGCAGGAGGTCGAGGAGGGTGTTGCTGCTCGCCGCGAGTTAGCTCCGGCTCGCATGGGAATGGATTGCCCACATACCGCTCCCTGAAAATTGTTTGAGGGTAAGAATTGTGGTTGACGTGCGCGGAACCAACGGTTCCAACTGCCGCTTATGACGCTCGGTTCCAGACCTCGACTTGCACCGCTGGCTGGCGCTTGCTGATGTTGTCGTAAACAAAAAGGCGGCGGCGATGACGACGAGGGAACTCAATTCAAAGGCCCATGTCAACAGGACGCAATTCGGACGAATCGCTGGGGAAAAAGTGTCTGGGCCGGCCGGGCGAGTGCTTGTGGAAAGAGAAGAATTGCCAGCTTGGGCACGGCCTGTTTACTCTCCGTTGTCATGGATGGGCTGGCATGCCACGGCGCGTCGACGAGAGGACAGGGGTCCACCGCGGGGAGCTCAGCTTGCCTGACAACCACCTGCAGACGCGGCGGACACGGGCTGCACTCGAAGCATTCACGATGTTGGTCTTCATGCGCACGACCTCGAGCTGAAGGGCGTCCAATGCCTCCCGTCGCACGAGCAACATGTTCTCGCAGCCGTGGTGGGATGGAGGGGTAGCTCCGTTTCGGCTTCCCGCGCGCTGAAGGACACCATTCGTTGAGGCCAACCCACGTACCCAACGCTGAGATGGGCCGGTAGAGTCGTGTAATGCCGTGTTCTTCCGTATATCAAGACTCTCGTAAGTCGAATCATCAAGCTATCTCTCTCGCAATTATGCTCCTTTCCCGAGTAACACTGCCTAAACGCGGTTGGAGTACAATCGCCAAGCTTCCTAATCGGGCACTAGCGCCACAGAGATTGCTTCGATTTCTCGGAGCTATATACACTCCATACAATACACTTACACCCCACATGCCGTATCCCTCAATTTCCTACTTCAACAAACGCCAGCTCTACAGTGACGACCTCAGCTTTCTTTCCTTTCCCAGGAGCATCAGTCCCTTTGTACAATCTTGGATATCGTGAGAATGCGCATTCTGCTCAGCTGCAGCACATAAAGAGAAATGGATCTATTCGCAAGCCGCGCTACCTAGGTAGTGTCTTGTGGGCTAGCTTGTCGTGCCTCCCTTCCATATACCTGACCCTCTCGCGCCTCTCATTCTTCTCCACCCAACCAACATCCCTCTCCTCGTCAAGGAAATGGCGAGCACCAGGCCGTCAAGGCATCGTTCTTCACCCAGCCGCTGCGAGCCCTCCCAGCCAACCCTGCTCCTCGACAAGCTCCCCCTCGAGCTGCGCCAGCACATATACTGCCTCGTCCTGCACGCTGGACCACCTCTTGAAGACGGCGTGGATGAGATCGACCATGGCATGAACCGCGCAACGCCGATGAGGTACAAGTTCGTCACAACGCCAGAGGATGTGCACCATGGGTTCTGAGGCACATCAGGGACGAGTTCGACAATACGCTACGCTTGCTTGTCAAGAAGGAGGGCTGGATCTCAGGTTCGGCCTCATATGTCCCGAGCTCGGTAAGATTTCTAGCACCTGGAAAGCATGCCTAAAGGCGTTTGGCAGACCGACGGCCCATTCAGACATGCGGCTCCATCTCTTCTCTTTCTCACTTGCGGACGCGCACGCCGCTATAGAACTCGACGGGACCACGATTCTGTGCTGGGAGCCATTCCCCGTGCTCCGTTCCCACATCAACGGTATGCATATCAACATGGAATTTGAGCTAGAGCACAACGGGGACGGGGGCACAATACTCATACAGCCCAGAGCCCGCTGTTTCTTGGCTTGGGTAGCCCAGGTCCAGCTGAATCGGGACAGCGCTCTACACGACGAATGTGCTACTGAGGTATAACGCCTTGGGCCCCTCCAGGATACCGGATACCTCTGCGCTAGGAGCCACATTCCGACTTTGCGTAGCCTAGCTGCATCTGAATCGCCGGGCTCTTCCTCTCGTCTTTCCATCACGAGAAATTCCTCGTCTAGCATACTTACTTCCATCAGGCTCCTCTTCCCATCGCCAGATCCGGTTCCCCTACCCCTTCCCCTTCCACCACGTCACATCACCAGACCCGTCCGCTAGGACGTAAATAGCTGAACGAATGAAAAAAAATCATATATATTGAACTACACATCTCGAAAGAAAGCTAGCTATATAAAGAACCTAGGAGAGAAAAAAAAAAGTCGGCTCGAAAGGATGCCATGCATGCTCTCACGCAACCCTGCAGTCCATTCGACCGTCCGTTCGCTCAGGGGGTATCCATATTGTTGTTTCGCGGCCGTTAACCCGGTAGACCCGTCCATTCCATTTCCATTCTCACTTTAAGCCCCAGAGAGACCACAGTCTCGCTCATACTCCATGCGCCAGCCTCTTCCGAAAATGCAATACAGAAGCACAAACAAACGATTGACCGAGAACACCAGACCTCCGATGCATAAATAGAACCCCAGCCGCTGCACGCGTATTCCCCCCTCCATGTGCAGATATATTGCTTCCTATGGCGTAGATAGATGCGTCTCTTCCGTCACTCAAATTGATTTAGTACTTCCTCCTCACCCGCTCCGCAAGACTGCTCCCCACCTCGCTCTCCTCGGCCACCGGCGCCGGCGTCCTCCGCTCCCGCGCCCGATGCCCCCTCCTCTTCCGATTATGACTAACGTTGCTCGCGCTGTCGTCCGGGCCGATCTCACTCCTCAGATCCTCTAGGCCCTCTTGATCGAGATCGCTGACACAGCTCGCCGGCGTGTCAATCCTGACCTCGATGCCGCCGACGGTAGACCCACGGCGCGCCTGCGCTACCATGGAGAGCGCGGCGCCTCGCTCGCGTAGCCGACGGCGTACGTTTTCGGCCGAGATGTGCAGTTGCTCGAAGGCGTCTTCCATGGCTTCCATGCCGAGGTAGATTTCGCGTTCGATTTCGGCGAGGACGGCGATCTCGGTTTCTTCGTCGAGCTGGACGGGTGCTGGGCCTGTGGGGCGAGTTGAGCCTGGACGAGAGGATCCGGGTCGGGGTGAGGGTCCTGGGCTGAATGGCGTGTACGGTGTAGGACTCAAGGGTGATGTGAAGCGTTGAGGTCCGTCGGTAGGGGGAATTTGACCCGACGGGCCACGGGATGGGCCCCGAGATGGGCCTCGGGGACTCGCACCTGGAGGTGGAGAGCTCAAGTTGGGCATGTCTTCGGCGCCTGACCATAAGAACCCATCGAAGCGGCCGGACACGAGAATCTCCCACTCGTGCTTTGTTACCGCAGACAGAGTAGCCAGGATATTGTGCATGTCAGGATATCGGATCAGATACATGCAGACGAACTGGTCACGCGGAATCTTAGAAAGGCGGTAGAGCCGCTGCAATGCCAGCGCTGCCTTGGCAATCGTCGGTGGAGTACCTTTAGTTTTATCTGGTCGCGAGCGTGGGGTGGGTATTTCGTCCATGCCGTAGAATAACGCATAGAATAGAGGTCGCTGGGGTTGCTCAAGACGAGTGAGCATCGCAAAGGTCAGCGTCTCATCATCTGCGTCCTCTGGTATGGCGTCTTGCTGGCTGGAGAGCCACGATTGCACAGCTGCCTTGGTTTTCCGTGACTGCTGTTGATAATGCTCTCGGAATTGCTCTGGAACATCGACGTCGATGCGTTGACAAGGGTCTTCCAGCTCTGAGATGCCCAAACCACCTACCGGAGGTTGCTCAACCGGCGGCCAAGGCGGCAAGTCGCAGCGGCCAGACACGAGCTCTAGAATCTCGCCCCAGTTGACTCCGGCGTGGTCCTCGTGTGCAGGCGTCATTGGCCTCTCAAAGCACATGATGCATTGACAGTGCTCCGATGAAATGTTACGGGCGAAGACAGCCTCAAGGCGGTCCAAGAGGCGGCGTGCTACAGAACGGTAGCCTGTGGCTACTGCAAGCGAGCCACTGGTGTCGATCACTGTGTTGTACTCATTAAGGAGCTTCTCGAGAGGCCGAAAGAACGTCCGGGCATCATGCGTTTGAGGTCCAGTCATGCGTGGAGACAAGTACTGGGAGTAAGCAGCGACTGGTGCGCCATCAATAGCGGCCAGTAGGCAACGCGGGACAGGTCGTGATAGTCCGCCATTCTGGAGTAGATAGTCTACTCTTGGGGGGTCAATGAGCGCTGGTGGAGGCGGCGGCGGTGGCGGTGTCAATGGCGAAGAGCCGTACCCAGGGTCAGCTGACTGGATACGAGAAGCAGGGTCCGTGACAATCTCAACGGTTGGTGGCCTTTCCACTTTCTGGGAGGTGACGACAGAGGGAAGCACCGAATGCTGTGTGGGCGTGCGCGGCGATGAATCGACAACGGAATCGGGTGAGATTTCGGAGTTGGAGGGAGACGGCTCCGCTTGCTTAGGACGATCTGGAGGGACTGATGTGGCATCCGAGTCGGTCGACAGCGTAACCTCGGAGGCCTGCTGCGAGGCGGGTCTAACGGTCGTTGACGGCACCTTTCCTGGTGGCCGGGCAATGGATGGGCTGGCTGTCCGTACTTTGGGCGGCGCAAGCCTTGGAGACTTCCCTCGCACTGTGCTGGGCTGACTTAATGTCGTGGACGTCACGTCTGTTCCGTCCGCCTCGCCAGCTCTTACGCTGGAGCGCGAGGCTTTCCCCCGGAGCTCAGAGGTTACGCGGGTGCCGCTCTCCACGCTGCGTCGGCCCCCCTCCATCTCCTTGTGTATCGCCTCAGCGTCCTTCCGCCTCATGCTGTTCGCGCTGGCCGTCTTCCTCAGATCTGCTGCCGTCGTTGCCGTGAGCGGCGGACTCGGAGGCGCTCGTGTGGGCGCCGAGGGTGCTCGTTCCTTCTCTTGCGGTGCCTCCCCGACGTCGGTCGGTTCGGGGGTATATGGCGACTTCCTCCGTTCTACGGGCTCCGGGCGCGAATAGATGTTCTCTTTGCTGTGCGTCTTGGAGAATGTTGGGTACGACAGGCTGGTCTTCGAGCCGTTAGCGGAACCCACGCCCAACGAGCCCCGCCGTTCCAACTCTGGCACGACTGCCATCTTCTGGGATACGGGGGTCGACAACGACGACGTCCGGATGCGCTCCTTGGACGAGTGCTCGCGCGGGCGCTCACGCTCGCCGTCGTCCTCGCGCGAAGCCGACGAGCGGGTCTTGCGCGAGCTGTGGGCGGACTTGGACGGCTTGCTGCTCTTATGGCGCTCCCTGTCGCGGTCGCGGTCCTTGTCCCTGCTCTTCGGGCTGCTGCGGTCTCGGTCGGGGTCCCTTCGGCGGCGGCGCGACTCCGAGGAGCCCAACATTTCTTCGAGTCGAGGTGGAGGAGCCGGCTGGTGCTACGACAAGCAAGCCGGACGGCTGTGGAAGATTCTGCGTGTCAAGCTTGCACGAGAGCGGCTACACGATCGTGCGATTGGGCCCGTTTCCCCATGTGCGGAGTAAGATGCGCCTATCAACGGGGCAGCCGGCCATCCATTGCGGCCGGTGATCAGAGCTGTGTGCGCGGTGGAATATGCGGTGATATCGGCGTGAGGGCGAGAGCAGGCGGTTGTGGGCGGTTGTGGGTGGGATCATGCAAGTGTTTCTGACGTGTAAAGGCAGCCTGCAGGATGCTGCCCAGGTTGTCTGGAGATCGAGCTAGCTGCCACTCCCGGCGCAGCTAGACTCGACTGGGCAGTGCACCCTGCCAACGGCCGTGCATTTCGCTCGACAGTTCTAGATCTCTTATGATTCTTATTATTCTCTGATCCTCGGGCAGCGTGTCTGTATCGTCTCTGCCGTTCGCTGTGCCCCTCTGCGCTGCGGGGGCCGCCCAGCCCGATGTCTCAGGGGGGCACTGACTGGTTGCATGGCCAGCATCGCCCCGTTTGTGCCTGATCACTCTGGACTCTCCGAGGATCTGGTAGAGCAATAACCAGGGCCGTATGCAGGTCCAATGGACAGCTCACTCTTCAACAATTTACAACACAGGTTAGGAAGGTGTGGGGGCCTGCAATCTAGCTTCTTCTCCGACTCTGACGTGGAAGGCTTACGGTGTGATTCCTCACAGCCAGTGGACGCAAAAGCTCTCGTACTATTTTATCCCACTTTTATCAGGGGAAGCTATTGACCGGTCCCTTCGCAGGAAAACCCGTTGATCGGACAAATCTCATACCTGAATCCCATTCCCAAACCCCATGAGCCCATGTGTATTTGCTCCCTTGCCTACCAATCCGCGCAAATTGTCATATACAAGACACCTCCCTAATCAAAGAAGGCAGCGCAACTGTACCAGATCAAAGCCCGAAACGCCGCATGAGATCCTATCCTCCCGCTTTCGTAATTCGTGTAGCCACTGGTCAGCAGCTTAGCCAGCAGCGAGCCTAGAGCCCAACCTCATGGAACCTCGAGTCTCGGCTCGGGCTTCCCTTCCTCGCCGCAGTAGCATCCGCCGATGTAAAGTTTGGAGGCGGCGCTAGGTTCTCATTGAAGTTATCTCTCGCCTCTTCATAGTCGGACCCTCCTGACACTGCACTCAATCCGCTCGTTGCGCGTTTGGGTGATCGGCCTCTACCATCGACGCTGGAGATCGAAGAGACGTCCGAATACCGGCGCTCAGCCTTCTGTATCTGGCTGACGTGTGGGCTCGAAGGTGCCGAGTCTCGTCGAGAGGACGAATTCCGAAGAGCAGCGCCTCCAATGAAGCCCGGCTTGTCGCTTTCCGCAGAGGCAGCAGAGTGGTGCTTGGAACGGCGCTTGAACTTGTTGAGAAAGGATTTGATTCCCTTGGAGCCGGATGCCGAGGATGTTGGCGAAGTAGGAGACGTAGGAGACGTTAGATCCGAGGACTCCTGTTCTGAAGCCTGGGGCGCGTCATTACGAGTGGGATCTCGAAACAGATCGTCGTTCGCGGTTGCAGGAGCGCCATCCGTCGTTGGCGAAGTCGTCTCAGCCGCTTTGGATGCCTCCTTCGGCTTGCGCTTGTCTTCCTTTGTCATCCGTTTCTCCTCGGCCTTTTTCTCCTTCTCAGCCTCTTTTTCTTGTCTCGCCGCAGCCTTCTCTTCAGTCGTCCGCGCCTTTGCGGCCTTCTTCTCTTCCTCTGGGTTACATTAGCATATGATTAATACAATCTTGGCGGATGCTTACCTTTAACACGATTCTCCTCCGCCTTGAGTTCTGCAGCGCGTTCCTTCTCTTTCTGGGCTTCGCGCTTCTTCTCTTCCATCTCGAGCCGTTGCTCTTCTTCCTCTGCCAAACGCTTCTGAGTCTTCTCTGCAATCTCATCCAGCGTTGGCTGTATCCTAGCTTGGGCTATGGCGTCGATGTCTGCCTGATCCATGTACTTGCCATGGCCGATATGCACCTTGCCATGGTGTTCCATGCGAGCCTCGCTGTTCGCTGCCGCCCTCGCACGGGCTTTGGAATCCCATTCTTCGATCATCGCAGGAGACATTACACCCTTCTCATCGTAGATCTTTTTGTCGAGCCCCAGCATTTGAGCTTGCACTTTGCGCTCTGCGGCTGCGAGAAGATATTTGCGATCCTGATCTCGCTTCTTTGCATCAACCTCTGCCAATGTCTTATTGAACTGAGACATCTGTGAGCGAATTCGCCGAGACTGCAGCTCATCGTCGCTCGAGTCACCCGTCTCAGGGTTGCTATAGGCTCGGTTTCGGCCACGGCGAATAGACAGCTTGTTGCGAGTCGGTTTCTCATAGCCGTAGTAGCTTCGGTACGCGGCACTCTCGTCCATGCCAATCTTCGCCAGCCGTTCGTTGGCCAGCTTCTGAGCGGCCTCCTGAATACCAATGTAGCGCATTGCTTGCTCTTTGATGTCTCCATCGCTGGCGTATTGCTGCTGCCCTTGTGCTGCAGTAGCTCCAGTCTGTGCGTCCGACCTGGAGGGGCGCCCTGCCGCTTGGTCGATGTGATGCTGCTGCACCTCGTACATTTTCTTCGCCATAGATATCGCAGAAGCTCTGAGTGCATCCTGTCTCTTCTTCTCTTCGACCTCTAGCTCAACAGGTGGACGGTCTGTGTACATTTCTCGCGACACACCCTTCGCATGCTGGATTCGTGCGGCTTCCATAGCACCAGAAGTCAGGCGACCGGAATCGGCCGCAGCTGGAGAGGCCGGAGACTTCGCCCTCATCGAAGGTCTGTGGGCCAACGTCGCAGCACTGAGCGCATTCTTCGCAGAGTTCTCGGCGTCTGGGTACAGCGGAGGAGGTGCAGGCGTCGACTGCGCTCGCTTTCGGCCAGAAGTTGAGACAGCACCCGTGGCTGCTACCAAAGCTCTTTTCTTTCCCTCCTCCCTTCCCCCAGAGCCGACATCTGGCGCGGGTCCCTTCTTGCTCATGGCGATATTCGCTGCAGAATTCCCGTAAGCACTAGCTTCAGGAGTCCAGAGATTCATCTTCGCGCCATCTTTGTGAGCAAGCAAGGCTGCTTTAGAGCCTGCGGTGCTGGCCTCGGGGTGCCACAGAGGTGCCATCTTGTAGTCGCTTGCCAGAAGCGCGGCCTTACCCGCAGTAGCCGACTGCTCAGGTCTCCACCACTCCGGACTCTTCTTGTTTGCGTTGGCTAGGAGCGCGGCGGTCCCGGCGGAGGATTGCGTGTCAATGCCCACGACCGGAAAGCTCGGAAGGTCTTGGGCGCGCGCGTGCTTGAGGCTGGTGGCGGCACCTGTAGTGGGTGGTCAGAGTACGGCCCGGGGAAAGAGGAGCGTGAAAGTGGGACTCACTGGCTGATGATAGCTTTCCGTCGGATCCTAGCGGATTCTGCTCGGTTGCTCTTGCCGGTTTGGTGCTGTATAAGGCTGCAGCCGATGCCTGGTCCTGAAGGGTGTTGTCCTTTGTCCGGTGTGCCGAGGGGTCGGGACAACGCATGCTCGAGCGATCCGACGTGCTCGGGCCGGCACTGTCTTTCAAAGGTGTGCTGTTCGCGTCGTTGGGTGCCGTTTCTGTTTGTGTAGCCATAGTAGCCGTAGTTTATGGGATAGCCGTCTTCGTGGTTCGTATCAGGCTCGTCGGCGACAAAGGATGAGGAGACCCGCTGGAGAGGGGGAATTTATGGTCTGGTGAGAACCTGTGGACGGGGCAAGCAACAACAACAGCAGCCTCAGTGATAGACATGGCTAGTGGTGATGGCGTGTGGTGTACTGGGCGTCTTGAGCCATGACATCACAACGCGTGCCGCACACAATCGTCGGGGTTCGCGCCGGCGCCTCGGCCCTTGCACTTCTAGGCGTGGCCACGATCGACCAGATTTCGATGTTAATTCAACTCCGTCCTGCCTCCTATTGGATATTGGGGATATTGAGGATCGAAATACGGAAAACATGCATATGCGCCAACCACATTCAGGCCGCTTGATCCGAAAGAGGTTGTGTCTCAAGCTCCCGCTCACACCGATCTTCCATGCCCTCTCCAGCCTCGTATCGCTCTTCCTGGAGGTCGTCGATGGTGTATTCAGCTTCAAGTTGGCCTACTCCCACCTACTCATACTCGCTCTCGATCCAGCAAAAGTTCGATGGAGGCTGGCTTGATCCTGTTCCCGTTGGCTTCAGAAGCGCCAAGTCGCCCAGCTCCGACCGCACCTCTCCATCGACCGCAAGCAGAACTGCCTTGATCCTCGGAACAGACTTCATGAACTCCTCTTCAGGGAGGATGGGGAATCTTCGGATCACCTTATCGTAGGCTTCTTCTAATTGTGTTGTGATGCTCTTGTGACAAGGATGCTGGTAGGCTTGATCGCCCTCGTGCTCGATTGAGATATTGACGATGAGTTCTTCGATGGTGATGGAGGTGAAGGTCTTGCCTGGAAATTGGAAGAGCATTAGCGGTCGAAGGCCTCTAGGAAGGGTATTGCAAAGGAAGGTTACTTTCACGTACCGTGCCGCTTTTTGAGCGTGGATTGGAAGAGTCGGAGCAATCGCTCTACAGTCATGAAGAGGGCGCCGAATTGGTCTTCTTTGAGCTGTGGGTGAGCAATTACCTGCTGGTTGAGGTAGACGAGGAAGATCGTGTCCATGGTGAGGGTATTGATGCGGGATTGGAGCGCGGGAAAGGAGGTCCATGACAGGTTTGGATTGCCTGAGGATTGTAAGCAGTTGCCTTGATCCAAGGAAGAGAGAATAGCTAGCTAGCATTTCTGGAGTGTCTTTGCCTGTTGAGCGCCTCCATGAAAGGCTTTTCAAAGGCGAACGCTGTGCAAAGGTACTTACCCTTCTCAGGACAAGCGAGCTCGAAGTCCAAGTTCAGTCTCTTGCTCTTCACCAAATGGTGCACCGCGTCATTGAACTCTTCATTAAATTGCTTGTTCGCGAGTTGCAGGCCATGGTGGTAGACTTCTGGGGTGGCCTCGAAGTACAGAGATCTTGCTTGAACTTTGGGGCCATCCCAAAACCCCAAGCGCCGCACGGTGTTGATTTCCTTGAATTTGGGATTGAGAGGAGCTGCGTGGAGGAGGTGGCTGTAGATTTGGTGACGGATTTCGAGGGGGAGCTTGTCGAGAAACGGGGTCTGGATTGAGGGATCGTGAGTGACATGCTTGCTCGCAATTCGCACGGGGGTTGCAGATTCTGGCGCCATTATGCTTGCTGTGGGATGCCGATCTTGCGGAAGAGTGAGAAAAGTGAGGTGGGCTGTCGAAGGTTTTCAGCGGTGGAGCGGTCAAGTTAATGGAAGCTCGCTGACGAAATGGGACTAGCTCGCTTCGAAATTCACGAAGACCCAACGTCAGCGTTAGCAGGAATAGTGAATTCCTTCAAGAAACACCCTTGGTTTTATTCTCGTTCTAGGAGAACCGATTGTCGACATATCTGGACTAAACGAGCTCCATATGGCACCGCTATACTCGCCGTTAAAGAGCATACCCAATTTTCGCGATGTTGGCGTCTTCATCAACGATGCTACTGCCTCGAGGTACACCCTCGGTCAAACCCGCGTCTCTGCACGTACTGAGCGAACTACAGGCTTGTGAGGGCTGGTATACTATTTCGTGGGGCTCGGCCCGGTTAGTGCAATGGAAGACCGTTTAGCGGCAGACATTAATGTGCGCAGACGAGGCGTCGTATCAAGACAGGCAAAGGCTGGTCCAGGACTACGGGCTGAAGAGCATTATAGACCTGCGGACAAAGTATGGTTGAAAGCCAGACACGCGCACGCGCAGACACTCACCCCTACCAGGACAGAGCACATTGAACAGGCCCAAAAGCGAGATGCGAGGATCAAGGCTTCCGCAGCAGCCCCCCAGACGAATGACGACGCCGCTGAGCCCCTTAAGATCCCCGAGATTACCTACCACGAAATCAACTTCAATGGCTCCTCCTTCTCCCGCATGCTCATCTCAAAGCTATCCTGGATGGAGTTCTTTCGGCTGATCGGGCTTATGCTGTTCGGCTACCGCCTCGATGCCATCAAGATTCTCGCGCCCCACATGGAGGCGATGGGTCTCGTAGGGCTGGCTGTCGCTTCCCTCGACGTATGCACCTCTGAGGTGAAGCAGGTCTTCGATGTGTTGGCGGATGAGCAGAATTGGCCTGTTCTTATCCACTGCACGCAGGGCAAGGACCGGACAGGGCTGATCGTTATGCTACTGCTGTTCCTGCTCGAGGTCCATGTGGACATTGTGAACGAGGATTATCTGCTGTCAGAGCCTGAACTCGAAGCAGAGAGGCCCGGACGGGTGAAGGAGATCCAGAGCATTGGACTGTCGGAGCAATTCGCGCTCTGTCCTCCGGATGTGGTAACAAGCGTGCATGAGCATATCGGGACGAAGTACGGGGGCGTGGAGGAGTACCTGCAGAGCGTTGGAGTTACAAACGAGGCGGTAGAACGTGTGAAGGATATCTTGCAAGCAGACGCATAATGAACATGTTTTGGGCTCATCGTCGCTCTCGACTGCCAATAGAGTGCTTATCACTGAAGATGGTTGAGGCTAGCGACCGAGGGATCCCGGTCGGAGCTCTGTTCGCTTAGCGTCCCTGTCTCACCGTTCCTGCTTGGCAGTTGGGTTCCACTTTCCGCTGTTTTCGCACTCTGCATCTTGCAAAATTCAGCCAACATGAGCAAGATGAACAGGTCCACCTCGGAGGAGAACTTCGAGTGGATCGAGACGCCTCCGGCACCTTCTCCCACCACTCCTTCCTTCGATTGTGGCGTCAAGACGACCTCGGTATGCATAAATCACCACACCACCACAAGATTACCCCCACCGGCCATTGAGCCGTAGAAAGGAGAGATGGGAAGCTGATTCTGTGTTCGTAACAGTATCCGGCCATTGCCAATGCTCCCCTCCCCGCAGAAGGACCCAGCTCCGACCACTTCTCGAATTCGCTGCTCATCACGCTCCTCGTTGGCGTTCCCGCCTACTTCACCTGGAGTCTGGGTGGAGGCTTCAAGACATGGCTCTTTCTCGCCTTGCTCGTGGATCTCCCGATCCTCGCGGCCTTCTGGATCCTCACGTCTGAGTTTGCTCCCCGAAAGAACGAGAAGGCCAAGCTGCCAGACAAGCCCATCGAACACTACCTGACGTTCCACAAGGAGGAGGACCGAGACAGCTACTATGGCAGGCATAAGATCCCCATGGAGACGTTTCATGAGAAGTACTTCAATGGCGAGGTCGACTTCAACGGCGACTGTTTGGAGATCATGGAGATGCGCCATGACTGGGCGAATTTCCGCTTTACCTTTGGATTGATCAAGCACTTCCTCCTCGGCATGATTCCGGAGCTCATCATGCATACGAGGTCCCAAGGTCAGTCTTTCGAATTCCTCTGCGCTTTGTATACTTCGCCACATCCTAGCTTGAACGCAGGCTAACGATAAACCAGACGAAGAGCAGGTGCGCGACCACTATGACCGCGGCGACGACTTCTACGGCTGGTTCCTCGGCCCTCGAATGATCTATACCTCTGGCATCATCTCCGATATCAACCGCGAGGAGTCTCTCGAGCAGCTCCAGGACAACAAGATGGCTATTGTTTGCGAGAAGATCGGTCTGCAGAAGGGCGAGAGGATGCTCGATATCGGCTGTGGCTGGGGCACCTTGGCCAAGTTCGCTTCGACCAAATACGGTGCACATGTTACCGGCATCACCCTTGGGCGTAACCAGACCGCCTGGGGCAACAGCGGCCTCAGGAAAGCAGGTGTCGGTGAGGAACAGTCCAACATCCTGTGCATGGACTACCGCGATATCCCGGTCCCCTCCGGCGGCTACAACAAGATTACCTGTCTCGAAATGGCTGAACACGTTGGCGTCCGACACTTCAGCTCCTTCCTCCGCCAGGTCTACGACATGCTCGACGACGACGGCGTCTTCTTCCTCCAGATCGCCGGTCTTCGCAAGGCCTGGCAGTTCGAGGATCTCACCTGGGGTCTCTTCATGAACAAGTACGTCTTCCCCGGCGCTGACGCATCCTGCCCCCTTGGCTGGGTCGTCGACAAGCTCGAGGGCGCCGGCTTCGAGATCAAGATGATCGACACCATTGGCGTCCACTACTCTGCGACCCTTTGGAGATGGTACCGCAACTGGATCGCCAATAAGGACAAGATCACGGCCAAGTACGGCAAGCGCTGGTTCCGCATCTGGGAGTATTTCCTCGCCTATTCGACCATCGCTTCTCGCCAGGGTACCGCTACGTGCTTCCAGATTACGCTTGTGAAGAACCTCAACGCAAATCACCGCGTCGAAGGCATCCCGACTCACTTCTCCCTCTCTGCGGCCCTGGCTTCAAGCAAGGACAAGGGTATCAAGGGCTTGTAGAGCTTTGGGTTCTGGCATCATCACCATCAGCATCGTATCACCCGCGATGGGCTAGACTTTTACCAATTGGCGGCTCGGTGTTCGTGAAGTAATGGCATTTTGCGCGGTGCTCGGCGTGGCTCTTACTTGAGCTTGATAGTAGAGGTAGCATAATAATACAATCTTGACATACCTCACATGGCACGGCCCGGTGGCTGTAAAAGTGTTATGTGATACGGGCCCGTTGTATAAGATCTTTTCTTGCCGATTCCGCTTAAACTGGAGCAGGTGGATGCCGATGGGAGGAAGGCTGCAGAGGGTTGGCTCTCACACTCCCCTTCTCAGCCTGCAAAATCCAACAGACGAAAGGATTAACCGCCCCTCACTCCACCGGGTGGATGTTGCATGAGAACCCGTTGCTTCGATCGGTCAGTGTATGCTCTGTCGCGCTGTATCATTCGTATTCCAAGCTCGTGGAGGGGTCTCTTGCAATTCCGGTGAGAGTAGAGCAGCGCGATTGATGTTGGTTCGCTTAGAGAGGGAAATCTGCCTTGATCTGCCTACATATACGCTCACCGGCAGTTTTTTACCACGGCCTTATTTCTAGACTGACCAATAGACTATGCTACAATACGTGCTTGAGAGCACAAGATAGCAGCAGCATTTTGCACTGCAATCTTTAGCGCGGACGAGCAGATAGCACCCAGTGTGCAGATGGACCGGGGCACGGGGTATGGATGCATAACAGAGTCATTGGTTGGAACTTGCCAACACCCTGCCCAATCTTCTGTGCAGACGCTACCTGCACTGCAATCTGCTACCTGCGCTGCAATCTCTAGGGCGAAGGAGGCGGTCTTTTAGCCCCACCGCCGTGTGGAGGCCTTTCCATGGCGCTCTCCGTCCGCCCACCTTCCCGAGTATGAAGGAGGAAGTGTGCATGTCGCTTTCTCTCTCTTTTCGCTCTTTATGAGGACTTCTCTAGTATCCCTCTCGTTAGAGCATGTTCTTTCCCGAGCAGGTATATCTGGACTCTATTCTTGGAAGACATCTTCGGCATTTTCGATGGGCGAATGCTAACGAGGCGGAGTCTGGCAGTGTGCACTGCAATCTTTAGCGTAGACGAGCAGCTCGCAGGTCCTCCTCGTCCGCGCTAATGCATGTACGCCCGCGGCTGGGCGGGATATCTAATCAGCCTACCCCTCGCACTGCAATCTTTAGCGCAGACGAGCTGTTCTTCAGCCTTGCCCGCGCATCAACATTCCCCACCTTGCAGGGACGCACCGTCGTCCTCTCGACAAGCTGTTCAAAAGCGCGGTAGGGTAGGTTAGAAGGTGAAGAGACAACATGCATCACATCATAAGTATTTCTGTGAAGAAAATGCTTATTTACACTAAGAATACACGGAATAGATTAAATCCGCATCTTAAAGAATAATAAAGAAAGACCTGCAGTAAAGGAGCCGCGAATAGGAACGACTAGAGTTAGATGCTTAGAAGCTGCAGGTGGCAGATGGAGGGACAAGACACGAGAGAGGGAGTACTGTGATCTGTAGCGCCAATAAGGGCCAAGGTCTAGTAAGCTGGGAGCTGCTCGTCCGCGCTAGAGATTGCAGTGCAGTTTTTTTTTTACGCTAATGCAACCGCGCCGGTGCGATGGGACGTTCTTGCTTTCAGCCTCACCATCGGAAGCCGTTCCCAGAGCGTAGCGGTAGAGTCCTCACACTCGGAAACACAGCATGCGGAAGATAAGATGAAGTTAGAAGGTTAAGAGACGACCACCACGCAACCAGCGCATGCAAATAAAGCATCTATAGAAAGACGCCGCTTTTCCACCAAGGACTAACTACAACGCAACCCAAAGCAAAGCACATATTCCATTTTTTGAACGCTGGAAGCGAAGAGGCTGCGGTAAGCAAGTGAGTAAGGATGGGGCGGGGTGTAGATGCAAGGAGGAGAGAAGTGAGTACAGCAATGTCTAGCGCAACCGACCCCATCTCCCAGCCTCCCCACCGCATTTGAGCCTTTCCAAAGCACCCTTCCTAAGCCAGCAGACAAGCAGCACAAGCAAAGCATCAAGGTTGCTTTACATCATTAAGTACTGTTTACATTTCCCATGATCCTTAGGTAGAGAATGCTCTTTCTTCCGTATATATCTAGACGCTCTACCTTCGGATGGGCCTGTTCAACTTGGCGAAGAACTTTTTCAGGCGACGACGATGAGGCTGCGTCGTGTGTAGCTACTCATGACTCGGAAATGCATGTCTGGGGCATGGATGCCACCAACCAGCCTCAGTGTACTGCAATCTTTAGCGCAGACGAGCAGCCCGATGAGACAACGCCCTATTCGTCCACCCGCGCACCCCCAAAACTAGATTTCTGCCCCTGCGCTGCGATCTTTAGCGCAAACGAGCATCTTCCATCCTCCCTCCTCCCCCCAAAGTTCAGAAAGACCTCCCTCTATAAATTCCTCCTTCACCTTTAAAACTTTCAGGAGGCCAACGGGCGTCCACTCGACGGATAAAGAAATAAATCCATATTCGCGATCGATTCAAGGGCACAGTCTGAGTCTTCCCCAGTTCCCCAGCCAGCTAGGAAGACTACTCGACTCGACTCGACTCGACTCATCTCTCCTGCCCTTCGCCCCGAGTGAGTCTCGCAACGCAGGCAGGACTTGCGCTCAACGTCGGCTTCCCGCGTGCCTCGTAAGAACAGTAGACATCGAGTTAAGCGCGGAGATTTCTAGTAGCTTGTAATCCCATACTATTACCTCCACACGAGGAGATACGCGTCGCATTAGGCCGGCCTAGAGCTCTTCAGGCGCCTACCTCCATCCACATATTCGGCGCAGGCTGAAGTAACAAAACACTCTCTCGAGACCGACCTACTGAGGTTAAGCACTGAGTTTCCGTCTCGGCTGGAGCAGCGGCAGGAAGTTGCTCTCGCGAGAGGGCTATTGCCGCATAGAGGAGTGTCTCTCAAGACCTCGACGCCTTCTGCGCCGAACTTGTCGTTTTTGAGCGCCATGTGGTCCGATTGCTCCCTCTGCTAATTGCGTGACAGATGAGGGAAGCGGTCTCTTTGAAAGCTTGTCCTAGACGTCTATCATTGTAGAAGTAGCTGGCTCACCGATAAAGTGTACGGGCTGCTCGGCCGTGTGATCAGCCGCTAGTGATGGGCCTTCTCCAGCGCAGCTCAGTTACGCCAAATCGCTATCCGAAACTTGGTGCAGACTAGGCAACAAGTGCTACCTTCGTATCAACAGGCACATCTACTGATACCCAGCACTTCCGTTATACTTGCCAAATGCCCGCGTTCTTCCTCGCCTTGTCCGCGGCCCTCCTGTTCTCCCTCGCCTGGACCAACCCATAAGCGCCAACAATAGCCATGACCACGATCGTCAGGGGGATAGTCACAGCCCAGTAAAGCCAGAAGTGGCTAGTCATAACATCGCGCATGGAAAACGCATTCCAGTTGAGGATAGGCATGGCAAATAAAGTCTGCGCGCGGGGACACTTAGAGTCAGAAGAAAGAACCCCTTTCCGCGGTGCGCCTTCTACACTTACAGCGATACAGGTGCCCGGCAGGAAAAGCGCTGTCAGCACGGCGATGACCTTCATGGCCGAACTATCCCGCTTACTCGCCGCGGCCAGCTCCTTCGAGTCTCGCGCCATGCCGATATTGATGAGATTAAACAGCTGTGAGGCCGCGCAGTGACTCCGTTAGCAATTGACCTGCGAGTCCTTCCCACGTAAAAAAACCATGGCGAACTATCAATACCAAGGCCAAAGCACTTACAACAGTCTGCTGCGTCTGCATGCGCGGCCCAATCGCCGCAAACACCGCCATATGCCGCAGATTGCTCTGCAGCAGCTCCGCGCGATCCCTCAGCGCCGCGCCGTTCATGACGCCCCTGAGCCTGCGCCGGTTCGCAGGCGCGACGTAGTCGTTCATCAAGCCGATCTCCTGCAGCGTGAACTCGACCGTCGCGAGACTGCACTGCACAGCGGCGTTCATGAACGCGAAGCGGCAGCCCAGGAAGCCGAGGATGCGCGCCAGCTGGTGGTTGTCCGTGCAGTCCTGCATTTCCCGGCTCATGTCTTTCCAGTAGCTCGGCTCGTTTTGCATCTCCGCCGTGGCGGCGTCGTGCCACCACGAGGCTTCTCCGGGGGCGGGCGGTAGGACTAGGGCAGCGGGTTTGGGCGCTGCGTTGGGGTCTGCGTTTGCGAGGGAGTCTTTGATTTCCCAGTCGCCGGACTGCGTTTTGTATTCAGACGCGGTCAGGAGGCGGTTGATGTGGTACAGCTCGCGCATGAGATCGGTCGCCGTGAGCTCGAGCAGGACGGCCGAGACGAGCAGTGGATGGGCGAATGCGGGGAACTGAGAGCGCAGCTTGGTGCACAAATCCTCCAGGGAGATACGCGGCCCCAAAAGGGCGTAGCCGGTGGTGATATTGGCGGCTGAGTCGTACTTGAGGACTGTCGAGATCGTGCCGTTGTTGTTTGACCGGTGGTAGATAAAGACTGTCGAAGAAGTCAACCAACTCCTTGCTAAACGGCCAACAGTGGACAGGAGACCATGTCTTACTCGGCTGTCCGGGTATCCCAAGATACTTCCCGCAGGCACCAGACTTGGGCAAGTTGAGATAGGAGGAGGCCTTGGGCAAACCCAGGGCATCTTGGATGGCCTCGCATGTAGCCTTGTCAAAAGGCCATTTCATCGAGTCTTGCTGCTCCCAGCAAACGAGTCGAAGTCCAGCGGCAGGCTTGACGGCACTCTGCGTAGTCGGGCTGGGTGCCTTGAGCCAGTCGGTGATCTGGTCCCTGGTGAAGGTACCACCTTCAGATGCAGTGACGGGCGAAGCTCCATCAAAAACCCAGCACTCAACCTTATGGACCTTTGTGGTTGGGCCCTTCCGGGCTTGCGCGGGTGCAGGAAACAGTGGCGTCGGAGTCAAGTATGGTGGTGCAAGGTCAGGGCCGTTCACTGGCGGCTTGAGACGAGTTGGTGGCTTAGGATCGCGTTCAGGGCCTTGGTCCATGGTGTTGAATGCTATGCTAAACTGAGGATCTGCCTGCCTGGTGTGCAAGTCGTGAGATTTAAGAAGAAAGAAATGGAAAGGCTAATGCCCGCATATTCGATGGGGAACCTTGCGCAGCTCCCGATGTGGGTGATCAGGCACTCTCCCTCATTCGTCTGTGACGGTCCAAGCCACACGCCTCGTCAAGACGTGGGTTTCGCTCATTGGAGCCTTCGTGAATTTTTTTCAGCCTCCATGTCTGTTTCAGCTCTCATCTACCTCAGCTGTCCGTTTTGGGTGCGCTGCATTATATTCAGCTCTCGCCCAGCATCCTGTCGCCTCACAACGCATACTGGTTAACCAGCATCTTCTTCGATCGGGCTCTCAGCCGGGGTCATGTGTGCCTTATATGCCAAATCTGCCAATCTCTGTACAAACCACCAGATTTGGCCCAGCTCTAGATATGACCTCCACGACGGACTCAGAGTCTTGGATAACCCCAGATTCACAGCGGAGCCCAGATCAGCCACCGGACGACGAGCCCCTTCAAAGGGCGGACCACGAGACCGAGACCACCGGAAGCCCCTCTCCGGCTCCCGACACCAACAAATTCGTAGCCTTCCTGGAAACACCAGACATATGCAGCTCCCTAGTCGCAGCCGACAAGCGCTCCCTCATCCTCCACTGGGCCGCCCGAAACAACGAACCAGCCATCGTAGCCCTTCTCGCAACGCACGGCGCCGACCTCGAGTTCCGTGACGCTACCGGCCGCACCGCGCTCTCCCGGGCCGCCGGCGCCGGGCACGTAGAAGTGCTGTCCTGCCTGCTAGACCAGGGCGCCGAAGCCTCTGCGTGGGACGCACAGCGCCGCTCGCCGCTGTGGTGGGCCGCTGCCGGCGGGCATGCAGCGGCGGCGCGACGCCTGCTCGACCACGAGGGTGTTGATGCCGAGGGCCCCGACGTGCACGGGCGCACGGTGCTTTCTTGTGCGGCGTCCCGGGGTCACGGGGCTGTTGTGCAGGCCCTCCTCGCGGGTGGGGAGAACAAGGCCCGTGTAAATGCTGAAGACGCCCAGGGGCGAACGGCGCTGTCGTGGGCCGCGGGGTGTGGACAGGACAGAGCTGCGGCTTGTCTTTTGGAGATGGGGGCCGATGTGGAGATCCAGGACGTTCATGGGCGGACGCCGCTGCTCTGGGCGGCGGTGGAAGGGCATGTTGCCGTGACCGAGACGCTGCTCGAGCACGGCGCCGATGTAGAAAGCGCTGACCTCGGCGGCCGCACCGCGCTGTCGTGGGCTGTAGGAAAGGGGCACGAGGCGGTTGCGAAGCTGATCTTGCGGCGCGACAGTGTCGTGATGGATGCTCAAGATAAACAAGGGCGGACGCCGCTCTTGTGGGCCGCCGGGGCTGGTCACGAAGCGGCGGTAGCGCTGTTGATCAAATCGGCAAAGGACCAAGAGTCGAGTGTTGCGAAGAGATTAAAGCGGTATAAAGACGGCACGCCCCTTGACTTTGCTATGCGGTTCAAGGCAAAGCAGTATGTGATGTCAACGCTCGTTCAATACGGGCTGGATATCGACCTGCCAGACGAGGATGGGAGGACGCCGTTGGCATGGGCAGCTGGGACCGCGCACAAAGACGTTGTGACAGTTCTGGCGGAACTCGGGGCCGATGTGGAGGCAGAGGATATTAACGGCCGTACGCCGTTATCATGGGCGGCTGCGAATGGGCACGTCGCCGTTGTGAATATGCTCCTGGAGAAGTATGCGGTTGATCCCCACCGCGAGGACTGGAACGGCGAGTCGGCCCTCTCCAGGGCTACGTTTGGTGGCCACCACGATGTGGTAAGTGTTTTGGGCGGGATGGGAGCCGCTGGCCAAGCAGCGCCAACGCCGAGTAGTGACTATACCGACCTATTGTGGTGGGCTGTCAAGAGCGGTCATGGGACGGCAGTCGAGTTGCTTCTCCGACAAGGGGCGGATCCGAATGCCGCCGATCCCAAGTCTAAGGGCTGTCTGCCGCTAGTGTGGGCAGCCGCCAGCGGACACGAGAACGTCGCAAGGCTGCTGGTTGACGGAGGTGTTGACATCGAATCCGAAGGTTGTTTTGTTGACGAGTATCCTTCGGCGACGCCACTGTGGTGGGCGGCCAAGGAGGGCCAAGGGGCGTTGGTTGAATACCTTCTGGCAAAGGGCGCAAACTTGGAGTATGCGTACTACGCAGATAAGACACCACTTGCGATGGCAGCCGAGAGTGGACACGCAAGCGTCGTCGGTCAGCTACTTCGACATGGCGCCGACTTGAGGTTTCGGGACAGAAACCCAACAAGAGGGTGGTTTCGGCCAGACCCAGACACGCCGCTGGCGATGGCAGTGGACAAGGGGAGGGTGGACATCGCAAAGGCCATGATTGACCACGGCGTCGAGGTCCTTCAAGGTCGTCCATACGAAGAGCACGAACGCACTCATTGGAATTGTCGCCGTAGTACTGACTATCCAGACAGTTATGGCCGGACTCTTCTCTCTTGGGCTGCCCAAGTCGGACACGAAGCGGCAGTTAGGCGGCTAGTATCGATGCCCCATGTGGATGTTAATATATCAGAGGATAACCATCACCGGCCCTTATCTTGGGCGGCTGAAAAAGGACACGAGACGATTGTCCAAATTATGCTCAATAACGGAGCTGCCGTGGATTACAGCGAGCCCTTCACCCTCGCATTTGAAAATGGACATCGGGAGCTGGCCATTCGATTAATCGACAGATATATCGAGGCTCTTGGACAAGAGACTGAGGACCGGGTCTTCACTTTCGCGTTGTCTTGGGCAGCCCGTATGGGGCTGTTGTCGAGAGTGAGCCTGCTTGTTCCCATGTTCCATAACCGTCCGGATCTTTCCCAGCCCTTAGAATGGGCGGCTAGAGGCGGACACACGGATATCGTTAGATATCTGCTTGACCAGGGAGGTGAAATTTCGTCCAAGGGTGCCGATTATTCCTGGCAAGATCCAGGGCAGCTGTCTAGGGCTGTTGTGAAGGGACACGAGGATGTTGTCGAGCTGCTGCTCGAGCGCGGAGCTGACCCCAATGGCGAAGAGTCTGATGAAGGTCTCCGACCCCTAGGCCGGGCCGCCAATAAAGGGCAATTATCCATAGCCAGACTACTCCTCAAGCACGGTGCAGACCCGAACAAGCCGCAAACGAGCAGGAAGGCTAGTTATTCTCTCGACAGGGATGAAAGCCGTCCCCCGCTGGTTATTGCTGCCGCACGGGGCCATCTCGCCGTGGTGGAGTTGCTGCTCGCCAACGGTGCCGATCCGGTCTGGGAAGCGAACAGTGCAGGCTGGTTGGATACTTTTAGTTCCGGCTGGAGATCGGACGAGCCGTGGCAGGTGCCACAGCGCTGGTCATATTCGAGGAAGCGTAATGCGCTTTCATACGCAATCGAAAACGGCCACGAGGAAATTGTCAAGGTCCTCCTCCAGGCTGGAACAGATGCCAAGGACAGAGACTTGCCACTCGCGTGGGCGGCTATGGCGGAGAAAGCCGAGCAGACTGAGATTGCAAAACTGCTCCTCGACCATGGGGCGGGATTCGAACTGAAGAACTACGGAGAGACGCCGCTATCCGTTGCCGCTAGGTACGGTAATGCCAACATGGTGAAGCTGTTCATCGAGAGAGGTGCAGATATCGACGCCAGGGATAACGACGGAAGAACGCCGCTGTCTCTGGCCAAGACCGAAGAAACGGCCAAGGTACTGATTGACGCCGGCGCTGATATCAACTCAAAAGACAACCGCGGCCGCTCACCCTTATGTTGGGCAAGGGATCTCTCTGTAGTCCGGCTACTGCTTGACGCCAAGGCCAACGTAAATTCCGGACGCGAAGTCGGCAGGACGCCGCTCATCATAGCGGCCAAACAGAGCCTTGCAAAGAAGACGCGACTACTACTCCAGCACGGCGCTGAGGTTGATGCCAGGGACAAGAGATCGCGAACGCCGCTAGTAATAAGCGCCAAGTCCCAGCGCCCCAATCGAGATATCATGAAGTTATTAGTGAAGCACGGCGCCGATTTGGAGGCCGAGGATCACAAGGGTTTAACGGCATTGTCATGGGCAGCCTGGAACAAAGAGATAGAGGCTGTTAAGTTCTTGCTTGAAAGCGGGGCTTCACCGAGCGCTTTCGTAGGATACAAGCCATACCCCCGCCACAATCGCTTATTCTGGTATAGAAAGTCGGATTCGGCGGAGGATACGGAGTCGGGGTCAAACTCGGATAAGGAGTATACTACTGGTGCCGGATATAATCACTACTTCAAGTAACCATGGGTTATATATATATAGCCGTGTTTCCCGTATTCTTAACTAATTAACTCGTCTTAATACTTGCATATCAGGAGCAAAAGAATTGCGCTAATTCTTCTACTCTTCTAGCTATAATTCTCTATATCCGCTAATATTACACCTCCCCTAAAAACTACTAATTTCTCTAGCTAGAAATAGAACTAGTAAATATCCCGCCAACCACCTCTCCTAACCCTAATTCCTCCCTTAGAATCCCTATACCACTACCCCCACCCGACAAGATACGCATCGCATCAGGCTATCCACCAACCTAACCTCCTAACGCCAAGACCCCCCCAGTAAAATTACCACACCCCAAAGCCAGCACTGCAAATCCCCGAGCCTCACGGCGTCGACGTGGTTCTGTGATACCCTGTTCTTTTCTATTCCTTTTGTGCAGAAGCAGAAGCTCTGCTTTGCCGTTAGTTAGTCTGCACAACCAACCTCTATAGGTTTAAGGTTGGTAACTCAAAACAAGAAAAAATAATCAATCAATCAATCAATCAATCTAGGCGTCGACGCTTCTAATCTGGAGCGGCGGTAACCGACATAATAGGGCCAAAAAGGTCGTATTTCGACTCCTGGTCACCGCGCCCGGGAGCTTCATCGAGGGGTTCCAGCCAATGGAAGGACTCGTCGCGCTGCTGGATGAGGATAACGAGGCCGTACTTGAGCTGCCGTCCGTCTCTGTTAAAGGCATCTTGGGGTCCTGCAAGTAGCGTTGCGTAGAGATGCTTCGAAGGGTTGTGTCGCCTGCACCGCACATGACTCTTTGAAGAAACCGGCATCAGCCGTGATTCGGTAGCTATCTACTTATCGAAGCCGCCGCCCGACCCACGTAAGAAAGAAGGCTATCCGTCCTCGCCCTCTCGTCCATCCACCGGAAAGCAGCGCCCTTGCGAAACGCACGCGGAGCCATTCTCAAAGCCGTCCTGTACCGAGCCATCGCGTCGCTTCTACTGCAGCTTTGCGCAGCTAGAAGTCTTCCCTATCAATTCAACAGTGTTAGTAGCCCTATTGGTTTGGTGCATGCAAAGCAAAAGAAAAAGCAAAGCTAAATCCATTCTTGCAAAGCTCACTTGACAATTTTGCAGACCAGGTCGCCTGAGTCGACCGAGTCTCCTTCGTGCACCGACAGGTTGCCGATCTTGCCTGAGTGAGGCGCCGAGATGACCATCTCCTGTTTTTCGTTAGCTGCTGCTTCATCTCAGTGGGAACATATGGAGAGACTTACCATCTTCATGGCGCTGAGGACAGCCACTGGGTCACCCTTCATGACCTCGCTGCCATCATGGACGCGCACCTCGACGAGCACACCAGCCATCGGCGAACCGACCTGGCTGCTATCCGTCGGATCAGCCTTGGGCCTCCGGACGTTCTCGATAGCCGCATGCTGGTCTTCGACGGTGACGACACGCGTCTCGCCGTTCATCTCATAGAAGACCTCTCGCAGACCAGTCTGCTCGGAGAGCGGACCGATGGCGAGGAGCTTCAAGATGAGCACCTTACCCTTCTCGAGCTCGACGTGGAACTCCTCTCCGACTTCAGGACGAGCGAGGAAGTACCGAGTTGGGAGGACCGAGAGGTCTCCGTACTTGGTGGTCCACTTCTTGTAGTCCTCGAAGACCTTGGGGTACATGACGTAGGACGCGACGTCGCACTCGGTGGCGTCTCCCCACTTGGACTTGAGGTCGGCCTTAACCTTGGCGAGGTCGATGGACTCCAGGTACAGACCGGGACGCTTGTCCATCTTCCTACGGCCACGCAGGGCTTGCGAACGGAGAGGCTCGGGGAAGCCCCCGTAGGGCTGGCCCATGAGCCCCTCGAAGAATTCCAGCACCGACGATGGGAAGTCGAGCTGCTCTGCCTTGTTGATGACATCGTCGTAGGAGAGTCCATTGGACACCATGAATTGAGCAAGATCGCCGACGACCTTTGAGGTAGGAGTAACCTTGACGATGTCTCCGAGCAAGTCGTTGGCCTGCTCGTACGCCTTCTTGGTCTGCGCCCACTGCTCACCAAGACCCTGCTGCGAGGCCTGGAAGATGAGGTTAGTAAGCTGACCACCGGGAATCTCATGCTCGTAAACCTCAGGATCTGGACCGGTAAGCCCAGCCTCGAACGGCGAGTAGAGGAGACGGAGCTGCGCCCAGTAGGAGTCGAGATGGCGTATCATATGGCTGTCTAGGCCAGGATCTTTGTCGGTACCCTCGAGAGATGCGAGAATAGCGCCAATGCTAGGCTGAGAGGTCATGCCAGACATGCTGTCGATAGCCGCATCGACAGCATCAGCGCCGGCCAGAGCGCAGGCAACCATCGAGGCAACACCGGTACCAGCAGAGTCGTGGGTGTGCACGTGGATAGGAAGGTCAGGGTACTTCTCGCGGATAGCACCGATGAGCATGGTAGCGGCACGCGGCTTCAGGACACCGGCCATATCCTTGACACCAAGAATATGAGCGCCCATCTTGACGATCTTGTCGACGACCTCGAGGTAGTACTGGAGATTGTACTTCTTCTTCGGGTTTAGCATATCGCCAGAGAAGCACACCGTACCCTCGGCGACACCGCCGGCCTTGAGGACCGCCTTGATACCGACTTCGAGCTGATCGGTGTCGTTGAGAGCATCGAAGACACGGAAGATGTCGACACCGTTCTTCTTGGCCTGCTCGCAGAAGTGATAGATGGCGTTGTCTGGGAGCGAGGAGTAAGCGACGCCGTTTGCTCCACGGAGAAGCATCTGGAAGGGAATGTTGGGTACGAGCTTGCGCATCTTCCTCAGCCTATCCCACGGGTCCTCATAGAGGAAGCGCATGGCGACGTCGAAAGTAGCTCCGCCCCAGCATTCAAGCGCCCAGGCGTTGGAGTAGGCGTGGCTAGTCTCCTTCGCGATGCCGAGCAAGTCAACGGTCCTCACACGGGTAGCGAGCAGAGACTGATGGGCGTCGCGCCAGGTGGTGTCCATGATAAGGCAGCCCTTGTTCGCGCGGACAGCCTTGGCGAAGCCCTCAGGCCCATTCTTGAGAAGCACGTTCCGCCAGCCTTTCTGGCATGGCTGGGATACGTCGACCTTGGTGCCATTCGAATCGTGCAGAATAGGACGGATGATCTCGCCCTTGAACTTGGGCTCGCCAATCTGACCCTTGACCTGGCTGCCGTTGACGGCAAGTTCTCCAAGGTATGCCAGAAGTTTCTGGGCACGGTTCTGGGAGGAGATGAGTTCGAATAGCGCAGGCCTAACATGATTAGTTAAGTGACTTGAAGGCTACCAGGCCGAGACTTACGTATCGTCAATGAAGGTGGTCCAGCACTTGCCATCAATAAAGGTGGGATGTGTGAGGAGCTTGAGCAAGAAAGGGATGTTGGTCTTGACGCCGCGGATACGGAACTCGACCAGCGCACGAAGCATCTTCCGGCGCACGATTTCGTATGTGGAACCGCGGCATGTGCACTTCACCAACATGCTGTCGTAGTGAGCTTGGTTATGTTAGCTGGAGTTCATCCGGATACACAATGCAGAGAGCATAATGGAAGTTTAGGAAGTATACTTACGAGTGATGATGGCGCCGGCGAAGCCATTGCCACCGTCAAGACGCACACCGTTACCACCTGCGGAGCGGTACACCTCGATCTTGCCAGTATCCGGAGCAAAGCCCTGAGAAGGGTCTTCGGTGGTAATGCGGCACTGGAAGGCAAAGCCTCGCGTTGAGATGTGATCCTGGGTCAGGCCAAGCTGCTCGAGGGACGCACCCGCAGCAATCTGGATCTGCGCGGCGACAATATCGATACCGGTGACTTCCTCGGTGATCGTGTGCTCGACTTGACTAAATGAGGCTGTTAGCATTGCCATTGACCGCCTTGGCCCGGCGCCACTTACATTCGCGGGTTAATCTCGATAAAGTAGTATCGGTTCTCCTTGTCGACCAAGAACTCGGCGGTGCCGGCATTGCGGTAGTTGACCGACTGTGCTAGCTTGACAGCATCGTTCAGGATAGCATCGCGGGTCTCAATTGGCAGATCCTTGGCCGGGGCAATCTCAACCACCTTCTGGTGACGGCGCTGGACACTGCAGTCGCGCTCGTACAGATGGACGATGTTGCCGTAATTGTCACCAAGAAGCTGCACCTCGATATGCTTTGGCTGATCTAGGAAGCGCTCCACGAAGACGGTGCCGTTGCCGAAGGCCGACAGGGCTTCCGAGGTTGCTCGCTGGAAGGAGTCCTTGAGGGAGGACTGCTCGCGCACGACTCGCATGCCACGACCACCGCCGCCAAAGGCCGCCTTGATGATGATCGGGAAGCCATGCTTGTCGGTGAAGGCCTTGACGTCTTCGAACTTCGCGACGGGCCCCTCAGTGCCGGGGACGACGGGCACGCTGCACTTGATGGCCAGCTTGCGGGCTGAGACCTTGTCGCCGAGCGCCTCAATGGTCTCCGGGGCCGGACCGACGAACTATTGGCAAAAGTAAGCGTCAATTGCTGGAGCAAAAAGAAAAATTTTCTTGGGATGTCCGCGATCGGCGCGCACAAAGGCACACAGGAGCTCGGTGCAGTGCACCCGGCCCCGCGTCATAGCTCCCTCGGGCATCGATGGACTCAACAAATGGGAGCCGCAGGTGCGGCTGCCCACAGTCTAAACGCGTTTCGTCATAGGGTAAACAACAACGGGCGGTACTCACGATAAGCCCAGCGCTCTCAACGTTCCGCGCGAACTCGGAGTTCTCAGACAGAAAGCCGTAGCCCGGATGGATCATGTTGACGTTGTGCTGCAGCGCGATCTTGATGATCTCGTCGCCTGCAAGATAAGCTCCGACGGGCGTGTACTGGCCGCGCGCCCCGATCTCGTAGGCCTCGTCGGCCTTCTGCCTGTGCATGCTCAGGCGGTCCTCGTGGCTGAAGACGGCGACAGTGTGGAGCGACAGCTCGTGGGCCGTTCGGAAGATGCGGATGGGGATCTCTCCACGGTTGGCGACTGGCGGAGCTGTTAGAGACGGCGAGAAGCTTCAGGAGGGCCAATTGCGCGGCCACTGCTTACCCAGGAGCTTCTTCAGCTGCATGATGGAGCTGCTCGCGCGCAGCCGGTGGTGCACCGAGTTGCGGTGCGGGTGGTGCTCGCCGTGCTCGTCGTCGAACTCATGCTCGTCAATGGCCGACGACGCAGCGTTCTGGTCGACTGCGAGCGTAGTCATCTTGGATGACTCCGGGTAGTCAGGCAGCGAGGGTGTGGGTGGGTGTGAGAGGGGAGGAGAGAATGGTGTTGAGGGGAGGGCCGCGGGGGAGGGAAAAAGATATATGGCTGGAGGGCGGTGTCGGAGCAGTGTCCCAGCCAACACCCAGTAACACAGCTTCACGCGCCCGAGGGAGAGCTAAAAGGCGAGCAGCAGGCTAGATCTCTCACCTGTGACGGCGGCCTGCAATCCCGGCTCTGACGACAGTGCGGTCTGCAGACGGGGCAAAAGCAACTGAGCTCCCAGGGCCGGGGGCCAGCTGCAGGCCGGAGCTCCCCCTGCTGCCCCTCCATCACGCTTGTCGATAAAGCGCGCCGGGCACGTCCAGCTCTCCACTCCCCGCGCCGCCCGGAGGCACACCCCATGCACGCCGCGGGCAGCGTCAAACTTATTGCCAACCCCTCGGCGGAAGCGTCGAACACTCATAAAACCCGCCGCGTCCATCCCACGCCCTCAACGCACCCGTGACGTGCTGCCCAGCAAAAATTTCCTGCGCGCCCATCCGTGCATCGAACACTTCGTCCTCCGTCTCGCACTTGTTTTTGCTCACCGCCAGCCCGCCTGCTGCGAAAAAAAAGGCCACCGAGCCTACGTACTCCTCCCCCCTCCCCCAGACAAGCCCATCTGGCTGCGGTTTTCCGCCAGCGTCTAAGGCGCCTGGCACACTAGCTCGGCACAGCGGGAAAAAGGAGCAGCGATAGTTCCTGCGCGCGCTTTGCTTCGGCTCGTCATCTCTACCTCCTAGGAGTAGCCGAAGAACGGGTGCACAGCTGCTGCGTCTGAGGGCCGACAACATCGTCTCATAGGGCCATTGCGCCCGTGGCTGTTCCGAGCCCTACACCTCTGCTCGATAAACACCGCCGGCACCACCAGTAGCTACGAAGATGATTCGGATGAGCCTGCAGTTGCAATTGCGCCAGCGCTGTATGTCGGTCCAGGGGGTGGTGATAGCGCAGCGGCGGCCCGGGCATTGGTTCAGGGTCCAGTCCGCGTAGTTATGTTCCTTGTGTCCCCTCTGTCGCCTGGGTGGAGATCGCATTCCCAGCATCCCATCCAGCAAAACAAATTGCCCGAATGGGGAACCGTACCACAAAGAGACAGCTCAACAAGAGTACAGCGAGCCTTGGCGGAGGATCCGCATTAGTGGCTTGCCCGGCTTTAAATCCACGACTCCACATCAGCAGAGCGTCGAGACACCAATCAGAGACATACGAAGCCTCCAGAATAAGCAAGCAGGGACGCATCACCAATGGAAAGTGATTAGGTAGTGTAGAATACATGCATCTGAAGTGCTCGGCGCATACCAAGATGCCCCAAACATGGAACCCACCGTAAACGCCCGTAGAGTACATCGCTGCCCAGGACCAGAGTGTATGCACCCCGCACTCGCTTTTGCATAACCGCCAAAACGTCAACTATGTAGGTGAAGGCAAGGCCCCAGATTCGCGGGCGGAACCGGACGATGAAGGAATTTAGAACGCCCTGAACCCGGTGGGCTGAGGAGCAACACCGTTCGGCTGCTGGTACGGGCCGGGTGACGGCGCCGATCCCATTGGACCCTGCGTGAGCATCAGGCGAGAGCCCAGGATTGGTGTGTCCTCTTCCTTCTTCTGCTGGGAAGCCTCGCGAGCCTTGCGCTCCTCGTTGTCCTTCTTGAGCATCTCGATCGTGGCGGCTTGCTGAGCGAGGAAATTGATCATATACGGCTGTGGAGAAGTCAGTGACGGTTCCAAAAACAAAAGTAAATTGGAACATACCATTGTGAAGTCGTGAAGGCCGTTGCGCCATGAAACTTCCAGAATGACGTCTGGGCGGATGAGGTCGTAGCAGGCATAGAGCATGCCAACATAGCACTCGCGGCTACCGATATCGACAAACTGCACTTGATTAGCGGAAGAATTAAAATAGATTAGGAAGTACTCACGTAGCGAAGCAGGTCCTCAACCACATCGGTCTTGCCAGACATGGCTGCCGTCTCAATGGCATCCTTGAAAAGCTTGTCTTGCTTGGAAAGGGCGATCGACTTCTCCCATCGCTTGTTCTTGCGGTAGATGTTGGCGGCGATCTGGCGGAAGAAAACCAGGTCATGTCGCTCGAGACGCTGGGCAAGGTCCATGGCGTCATAGTTGTCGAAGTTCTGAACCGAGTCGCGCAGAGTCTTGTAGTCCTCCTCCTCGATCAGAAGGTCGTTAAGGGCGTTGTTGACCTCCCGCTTGTTCTGCCCTTGCACACTGAGAAGGAAGGGCTTGATTAACGGGATGTTGTCTGACTTAAGGAACATGCGGACGACGCGGTTGACATCAATACGAGGCGTAAGTGCTTGGAGCAAATCGGTCAGTAGAGTTGGCTGCTCCTCGAGGTAGAAGCCCAGGGCGCGATAGTAGATCTCGACATTGGCGGCCTTGGTGATCGTGTCCTTGAACGACTGGTGCTCCCAAGCATCCGCTGCACGCTCCATCATGGCGAGGGCGGCATTGTCCCACTCATCGTAGTGGACGTACAGGAAGATGAGCTCCGGCCACAGATGAGCTTCCTCACAGGCTCGAATCATCCGAGGGATATTTATGCGAGACCAAAAGAGGCGGAGGTGCTCCATGACGCGCTCCGAGTGGTATTTGGAGAGCGCAATACCGAGTGAGGTGAAAATTCCCATATGTGCTGGTTAGGGTTAGATAAGTTGCTGGACTTCTTATGTAGGTGGGGTTCAAAAAGGTGAACAAGCTTACCGCGCTCTAGACCAAGGCCAGCCTCAAGGAGGCTAATGAGTTCATCGAAGTACCCATTGTACTCATACTGCTTGACCAAATCAGCAAGCTCCTCGGCGTGCACAATGAGATTGAGACCGCAGATCTGGGCAAGGCGGAATTCCTTCTTGTCGACGCAGGCCTCGTTGACCTGTCGCCAGACCTTGATACTGTTAGCCTTGCGAGCACACTCAACAGCAGCCTGGTAGTCTTCGAGGTGGACAAGCGTTGTGGCAAGCTTAGCCCAGTTCGAGATGCTGGTGTAGAAGATCTTCGCGGCCTCGTGGTAGCCCTCCTCGTACGCCTTGTCACCAGAAGCCTCAACATCGGCGACGTTGGTAGCTCGCAGGAAGTCTTCAAGCTCTGGTAGCTGGTTCGTGCGAGCATAGCAGAAGGCCAAGGCGGTGTCAACGGGGACCTCGCGTAGCGTCTTACGGGCCATTCTCAGGAACTTGATTAGTTCCTCGTCTTTGCCTGCGTGTGTGGCGATTTCGATGACTTCCAGGAAGTTCGACGGATCCTGTGCGCGAATGTACGACTCAATGGAGTCAGTGACACGAAGACCATCGAGCTGAGCCTTTGCCACCCTGCTCCAAACTTCTGGAATATCCACACGCTCCGCATAATCCTGTGCCCTGTCGATGCTTACAATGTGCTCGATCAGGACGTTGACGGCGTCGACATGGCTCTCATGCTTCTTGTAGATTTCGAAAGCTTCCTCATACATGCCGACCTCGATACACTGCTGGGCAATATCCTCGGGCGTATAGTGCTCGAGCTGGTGGATATAGCCCATCATGCGGCCACGGTCTGATTTGGCTGCTGTGAGCATGAGCAGGTTCTGCAGGGAAGGGTTGTCACTGAAGCTGGACGGTTCAAGAATGATCTTCTCTAGCAAGTCAATAAGCTCTGCGGGCATATCGCCCGTGATGAAAGCCTTGACAGCAACTGAGACCTTGTCGGGATCCTGCGATTCGGGAACAGCCGTGGAAATGACCTGGTCGACCAAGGACCTCCGGTGCATATTGTTGGGGCTCAGGACATAGTCCCAAACCTCGCCGTCTGCACGGTCGAGCAGGTAGCGAGCCTGGGCCTTGAACATGGAGTTCTCGTTGGTAACGTTGATCAGCTCAAGATCATTCTGGCCCTTACTGTAGGCAATGTAGGCAAGGTTCGGGTCGCGCTTCTCGCAGTATTTTCCAACAACGAGAGTGTCGTATTGGTCATTCTCCTTGAGGAATTTCTCAGGGTTGTTGTTGCTATCAATGTAGATCTTGGCGAGAGCGTTGTACACGGCCTGTTGTTGGTTGCCAGCAGCCAAGGTCTGCTCAAGGAATGGCAGAAGAAGCTTGAGACGGTTACGCGATTCGACCTCCGAGACAAGTTCATCGATCGGGATGGAGGAAGGTGTCACGGAAGCCAAAAGACCCTTGATGATACCCTCGTCGCAGTCAACATCAAGGAGTCCACCGATGACGGCCGGAGTCCTAGCTGGGTTGACGCGCTGCACGTAGACCTCGATCGACTTGAACTGCTGTTTCTTGTACAGATAGAGGACGAGGTCATGAATGAAGTTAAACCGATCGCAAACGATGATGAGAGGTAGCTGTTCAGTGAGGTTGGCCTCCTTAAGGAAGTTCTTAACCTTCTCGGGATCGTAGAAGTTGCTGTGCGGCAGAGTTAGCAGAGTTCTCAAATCAAAGAAAGTTAACTCTGTAGCATGTCTTAGGTCTTTGCCTACTGAAGGCCTTCAGGAACAGCTTTCCGAGGGTGAAAGCTGGGACACGCTGGAGTGTGTGTCGCGACCTACGTACCTTTCGCGGCAAATGCGCTCAACTTCGTTCAACTGTCCAACGGTCGTTGCAGCCTCAATGTACTTGAAGTGAACGTCCTTATCTTCACTGACGTTGACAATCGAACCTAGGAAGAAGTAGAGGCCTTCAGCGGTACGATGCTTCTCCAAGAGATCGATGATCCTCGTAGGTCCAAGGAGATCAGAGTACTTCTGCGCGATTCGAATGACGGCTTGCAGGTTCTGTCGGATGTTCGCTGTAAGCATGGTATCTAAGCAGTCAAGCGAAAGTTCGACAGTAAGCTGGCCAAAGTAGTTGAGCAGCCACTCCTCTGGGAGCTTATCAGTCTGCACGACCATGCGCTTGATCGCCGTTGTGTCATCGGTATGTTCCAGAGCGCGAGTAAAAAGGCCGGCATTCTCGCAAAGCTGGGCGATGCGGGCCCGGTCGTAGTGCGAGAACATCTCGTTTCCGAGAATGGCGTCGGCTACTTGAGGTGCATTCAGCAGGTTCATCTCCAGCAGCTTGGTTTGGAGATGGCCCTCCTCCGGAAGGTTGTTCGAGAGGACATCCAGCAAGAATGCTGTCGCTTGTTGAATCATACCCTGGGACTGGAAGATGTCGACGACGCGATCGATGCTGATAAGAGGGCCACCCTCATGCTTGGCAAGGCTGGACGCAAATTCGCTCCCCTTGTCAGGATTCACACGCAAAATGTGCTGAAGCAGGACGTTGTAGTCTGGACGATACCCGACCGATTCGCAGTATTGAAGGATGAGATCGAAGTGACCCAATTCCGCTAGTGCCGCGACAGTCTTCTGGGGGACGTTCGCCTCTTTGTAGATGGCAAGTGCGAGATTGAGATCATGGGGCTTTGCGAGGTCTCCGAGCTCCTCGGAGCAGTGCAGCTTCCCTTCCTTCTGCCACTTCTCGATGAGGTGTTTCCGGCCTTGCGCGAAGACTGGGCGCGCCAGCTCTAGGGTCTCTTCCTTATTCAATCCGCCCTTATCGAGTAACTGGCCGAAGTACTGGAGAAGCACAGTAATTTGACCAGGTTGGGCTGGAATCTGGCGCAACCTGTTGATCGTCTGGGTCGTGCGCAGGAATCCACGCGGCGAGCTGGCAGCGACCTTTGCGGCTTCGGTATAATTGCCCTGCTGCATGAGAGTCTCAAAGCGCTGAGAGTACAGCTGGTCGGCACCTGGGAGACCGCCTTTAGAGGCCAGCTTGTATGCGATTTCCGCACACGCCGGGTTCTCCATGATGTACGGAATGAGGGCGTCTTCCTTAATAGTCGTGTGCAACACCTGCCCTCGCTTGTTGATCACTACAACACCCTTGCCATCGTCATCGCGCGCCGTTGTGAACACTGTCTCCTCCGATATCCTATTCAAGAACAGTGCGGTACCGGTCTCGAGGTCGTGTAGGTGGATGAAGCCGAACTTGGTTATCACGATCAGGATGCCGTACTTATTCGCAATGTGAATGCCGAGGGGAAAGTCGCCCGTACCCTCCGCAGGCCAGTGGATCGGAATGAGTCGCTTCGGGAACGCCGGGTTCGAAGCGTTATGGTCGACTTCGACGATGTTGATCTTGGCTTCTCCCGAGACGGACTTGACCGCGAAAGCAAACAGCTTGGTATCGGATTGGGCACCGTCCAGGCGGATACTACCGAATGTCGCCGCGTGGCCCTCGAGCGGTTGGCTGACATTGCGCGCCTTGGAGAACAGCTGCATGTTGCCGCGAATGCCACCGGTCGGATGCGAAGAAATGCCGACCAAGCACGACCAGCTCTCATCGTCGTTGGTTACGTAGTTGATGATCTGGTTGTTCTACAGCGCAATGTTATTATAATTCTTGCCGTGATTTCGGGAGACGTACCTCCAGCTGCTCCTGGCGATCGAAGATCTTCCGCGGAGTCGGGGGATTGCTCCCATCGAGCACATCCCAGTGATACACCGACTTTGTGCTGACGAGCGCCAGAGTGGTCTGGCTGATCCATCGCCAGAACTGGATGTCCTCGTGATGGGAGTATGTCTGCAGGCGCTGCTTGGTCTCGAGGTTGAACAGCTGGAGCGTCCGTCCTTGGGCCTTGAGAGCAATGATGGGCTCCGTCAGGTGCATGATGGCGCTATCAGCGCGAATCGGCCGCCGGATGACATTGTTCGTGTTCTTCAGGTCAATGATGACCGTCTCGGCGGGAGTGTTGGATTCGTTGTTCTGCTGGCGCACGCAGACATACTTGTCCGACTCGAGTGTCTGAAAGCGCTGTTAGCCGCTGCTCCCGCTGCTGATGCCCTTGGAGCGTATGCACTTACGCAGTTCTGCCATGATATCGATGCCGGCTGCCTCTCTTGTTAGCTTGTTCCCCCATTGCTTGAGCGCGCAGGAATCTGCTGGGCGGCTGACGTACGAGGATGTTGAGGTTCGTGAGCTGTCAATCATCTATTAGCGCATGTTCCCTTCTTAGTTAACTAATGGAGAGCTCACCAGCGTCGGCTGCGTGACGGACAATGGAATCTGTCGCTGGGCCATGCTTGCGCCAGACCAGCTCCGGGCTCACCGGACGCGAGGCAGCGGACGATTAGAAGAGGGGTATCGAAAGGAGGAAGGCAGAATTACACCCAGATGCAGAACGCCAGGAGCGCGCAATAGAGGAATGAGGGAGTGTCGGGAAAGTCACGGTGGGTAAGATTGTGGAGGTGCTGCTCTGTAAAGGAGCTCGACCAGGTGTCGTAAACTAACCGACCGGGGCTTGGGCGCTAACCCGAACCGGGTCGTCACGTGACTGCTATTATTTATAGGGCTGTCGTTACTTCAGATTAATATCTTCCGTAGAATCAGTCTGAAGTATGGAACTAGTCGTGCAGATTCTGATGGATGAATGGTGGCTTCAAGATATTTAGATACGTCTTTCACTACAGGCTACCCAGTTCTCCTGACGAAGAACTTTACGAATACAGGACAGGCAAAGCACGGCAACCTCGAAGTCAAGAGACTGATCCCGTTCCGCCTGGTATTACCTGGCATACTCACATAGCTATTGAAGGTCATCGCGGCTCTTAACCCTGCTACTACTCTTGAACTCCCCTAGAATAACACTCAAAAGGCCAAGGCTGTTCAGGATATGACTCTGAACTTGACGAACTGAAGCAGCGTGTCCGCTTGCCAAAGACACGTCAGACGGGCTGTGTGATGGGAAAAAGCAACGTCGACTGTGACTCCTCCGATTCCAAGCGGCCCTATCAAGGTGTTAGCATGAAATAACTTGATTTACGAGTCTGGCATCGTGTGGTCGAGCAACGGCTCTCCTTGAAACCATAACAGTGTGACTCAAGTTCTAGCGTCTGAGGTGGAGTCTCTACGTTGTCTTGCTGTAGCACATAGTAAGACACATTTCACATGCCCAGTCTGCCCTTCGCCTATCGTGACCGAAAATAGTGCGTCTTCTAGAAAGCGGCCAGTCCGCGGTGATTGGGCAGCAACGGGGCACAGACAATTTTGATGCCAGGCCGGAAGCGAGACCACCGTCCCGCCGAGCCCAACCTTCGTCTGCGACGCGCTCTCTCCGTTCCCTAATTTCAACCCTTCCCTCCTCCCTTCACCCACACACAGCGCCAGCGCCGAAAATATCGTGCCATCGCAGAATCGTCTCACTCCAGCACACATTTCCCGCAAAAAACACCCACCAACTGCGCTCTTAACCACCCAACCGCAATCATGGCGCCTAGCAAATGGGGTACGTCATTTCCGCTGCCGCTGTACGCATTTGGCAGAGGGCTGCACCCCGCCTTCGTCCCATGGATAGACACTGACAACGCGCTCAACAGATGACGAAGAGTCGGAGAGCACGCCTCCCTCTTCTCCACCAGGACCTATCGCCCGTCGTGGCAAGTTCGAAGACGAGGAAGAGGACAGCGATGTATGTCAGCCTCAAACCCCTGCATGCCCGACCACCCTCCGCCACCAACAGAGCAATCGTACTGACTTTCACGACACAGGTCCTAGAATCATGGGACGCCGCCGAGGACTCCGAGGTCGAGCGCGAGAAGGCGAAGAAGGAGGCCGAGGCAAAGGCAAAGGCCGAAGAAGCCGCGAAAGCCAACCACAAGACCAAGGCCCAGCGCGTCGAAGAGCGCCGGCAGGAGAATCTGCGCCGGAAGCAAATGGAGGAAGAAGTGTCTTCTGAGGAGGAAGAGGATGAGGCTGCGCGGCGCGCCCGGTTACGAAAGACGGAGCAGGATGCCGACATGGCGCACGCGGAGGACCTATTCGGCGATCTGGCTGTCAGCAGCAAGCGCACTGGCGGAAAGCCAGTCACCCTGGCCGACGACAGCGATCCCACAAAGGTCGTCGACCTGAGCGCCCTCGCCATCTTCAACCCGAACACGAAGGACCAGTTTCTGAAACTCAGGGAGACGCTCGTGCCCCTCCTCACCAACAACAACAAGAAGGCGCATTACGTCCTCTTCCTGCAGGAGTTCACGAAGCAGATAGCCAAGGACCTGCCGAGCGACCAGATCAAGAAGATTGCGAGCGGCCTCACAACGCTCAGCAACGAGAAGATGAAGGAGGAGAAGGCTGCCGAAAAGGGCGGCAAGAAGAGCAAGGCTGCGAAGACGAAGGCCAGTCTGGTGGCCTCGCGAGACGTCAGCTACAAGGCCGACACGCAGGCGTACGACGACGATTACGCAGAGTAAGTTGACCCCCATTTCCACGGCACGACCGGCTGTTGACAACACACAGTGACGACTTCATGTGAGAGACGACAACGACGACGCCATCTCTTCCTCCTCTGATATAGACTTGCCTTTCCCCGCCCCTTCTTATCCCACACCGGCAGACATACAACCATCGCGCCGCTTCTCCCTTCACCTCACAGCAATGTGGGCTGATGGTTGTACAATACCCTTTTCTCAGTCGGCTCCGGATCCAGGTCTAGCGGTGCGGGTGCGGCGTTTGGGCATTCCTCCCTTGTTCTATTGTTCGCTGGGCATTGCCTTGTTTAGTACCCTTTTCATTAGTAGCGTGCTTCTTCGTCGCTGGGAGGGAGTGGGGCGTAGCGTAGCATGGCATGCATGGGCGGGACTGGCTTTGGGGTATCGAGATGGATGGATGGATATGCATAGATAGGCTGGTAATGAGGACGCGTGAATGAGTCGGGAATTATTATGTGTACTCCGCAGTCTCAGTCGTGATGCTAGTTGTGGAAGGGTGTCCTGCTACAAAGCTGGGACGTGACGCTGTGCGCTCAATGCTGATCTGGTGCTGGTGCTGCTATTCTGTACTTTCTCGACGCATCTACGTACTATCTACCTACTCAGCTTTTCCTTCCTTCCTCACGGCTGAATCCAATTCGATCCGATGCAATCCAATCCAATCCAATTCAACAAAAGCAGAGAGACGAAAAGCGTGGTCCCTCCATGCATTAGAAAGATGCTAGAGCACGCCTCGCATCGCACGCACGCACGGGAGTCGTGTACAGCACGAGACAGAGTTGGCACTATAAAAGAAAGATAGGAAGGAAGGAAGATGGCTAGCTAGCTAGCTAGCTACTGTTCTAGCCGTACCGTTCCTCGCGAGATCGCGAGACGGAGATAGAGGTAGAAGGGTATGTATGTGTGATACCTGGATGGATGGACGGCTAGATGTCTGGCTCAAATGTTGGAGTTTGGACTGGAATGGACTGGACTGGACTGGTATATGAGAAGGGTAGGGTTGTAAAAGGAACGCTTGTACGCTTGGATCTTGGAGGGTTTGGGTTGAATATTCCTACCCACCTAGCAGAGGCTGTGGAGACCGTCGTCTGTTAGCTAGCTAGTCTATCGATGCGCCGCCGTTACAGCACCACGGGTGTATGTTCCGCGGAAGGTTGTTTCCGTTCTACGTATTGATGCGGGGGCGGTTTTGCAGGGGTGTCTTTCTTCCCAGTGGACTATGTAGCCTGTACTGTAGAGGCGCCACGGTTACACGGGTACAACTCCACAGCAGGAACAGTGGCGAAAGGATTCCCATTCAGACGCTACGTCGGCGTACCTATGATGGATGTGGCATCATGCTAGCGTATGTTCTACAGTGCTCCAGCCCACTATAGCCTCGAGCTGAGTCGAAGATTGTTCTTGATTGACACGGCTTGGCGCGAGGCTCTAGAAGCGGGTCCTTTGAAATCGGTCAGGGACAGCACTCAAAGGGATGGCGGGCCTTCGGGTAGGGCTGTACGGCTCGAGGCAGAATTGAGACGCCACAGTGTTACGCTGCGGAAGAACCGTAGACTTGGGGAGGCGAAGCTGTGTTGTGGGACTTGGGGGGTGAGCGGGAACGCCATCGAAGACGAAAGGACGGCTCGATCCGATTGTTACCATCCCGAAAGACTTCGAGATAGTCGTTACAGTGGACTGAGATGGCGCGCCACACCCTGGATAGTGCGAGCCACACCGCCCGATAACCGCGAGATCTGGCCTCGGTTTCTGGGCCTATTCGAGAGCAAGCTCCGGAGCAGTTGTATCTACATATTCGAAGGCATCCGGGGGTAGATAGGTAAACAATCTTGAAGGCATTCGCGGAATTCGCAGATATTGTTGTTCCGGGGAAGGCTGCAGTCGTCAGTTTACATGAAGCGCCACATAGTGCCACGCAAGCCAGAGACACGTGGACTTATCAGAGGATTGATTTGCTCCCCAGATTCTGGAGAGTGCGAATGTGCAGCGCGGCGCAAGGATCCGTTTATCCAGACTGGGGGAACCGGGTGCGTCCTAAAGATAGACGGGAGATATTCAGGAACAGATTTGCTCGTCAAGGGACCCTGCTATACGGCAGCCTGAGATACGGACGGCGGCGGACGAGGATGCAGCTTTCCGAATTTGAATTTTCAAAATTGTACAAGGAGCGCCCAGTCGGATCGACGGTTGAGACGTATACCGGCAGCACGCGGAAGCGTTCCATGTTCTCATAAATCCGCTAACGTGCAGGCGCCAGCTGCACTGTGAGACGTCACGCGTGTGGCTTGATATTGGTATGGCTGATTGCGGGGCTCAGATCCGGGACGATGGTAGAAATGGAAGGGCGGCCTTAGGCACTGGCTCGAGGCTGCCTATAATTAGCAGCTGTCTGGATCATTTCGAGGGAGCCCAGGTGTGAAAAGAGGCCATGCGCTAACAGTTCGGTTGGATGTTTGGTGGAAAAAGAAAAACGGTGCTCCTCAGCGAAGCGTAAGCTGCATCACGATGAGGTTTCGGGCGGCCTTCGGTGCGCCGCTTCAAGGCTGGTTGCGACGAGCGCCGCCAATGTGCCTGACGATCGCGATCAGTTTCCGAGTGCTAATGCCTGCCAACAGGGCAAGTGGTGCCGGCGCGTCCGGGTTGACTGCACATGGCAATTACTGGCTCTGGGGAAGAATGGATGTGCGCTGCGGTGGCTGACGGACGGAGGACTGGGGGTGAGACAGGGAGCGGATTGTGTGTGAGAGCGAGGCGCTGAGGCGATGGTGGCTGACCTGAGCCGGGGTGGATGGCGGATGGCAGATGGGATGGCAGATGGGACGGTAGCATGTCCATCCGGATGACAGCGCCTGTTTCGCTCTGGCCGATCCGAGTTTTCAGTCTGGAGGAGACGGCGACAACTGACGGAGGGCTGGCTGGTGGCCGGCCAGTAGCAGTGGGGAGATGCACGAGAGGCGGGCGTGAATGGCGCGAACGGTGTGTGGCGTGGGTGACTGATATTAGCCACAGCTCGATTCGAGAAACGAGATCAGGCTGTTTGGCCGGCGGGCGAGAGCCTGGACGAGGGCGCGGGCATCGCTGCCTCTTAAAGGCGGGCGGTGGGTGGGCAATTGGCTCCTTTGGGCGGTGCTGCGCTCTTCTCTGGGATCGTTACCGGCTGGTGGACGGATGGAGGGCTGGGGGTGCAGATGAGATGGGCGACGATAGCGATGGCGGCATGGCGCTGCGCCACTCGAGCACCTCCCCTCCTCTTCTTGTTGATCCCGTCTCGCGGCAGACGAGTTCTCCCACCACCACCAGCAGCAGCGCCGTGGTAATAAAGGCGGCGGCGACTGCAGCGACCTGTGGCGTCCGTATCGGCCTGTGGTGCGACTCTCCCGCCTGCGCTTTGAGCGGAGGGACGTACTTCGGCACCGAGCGGCGCCGGCGCGTGAGTGGCTCCCGCCCAGCCAGCAGGCCGCCGCCTCTCGAGCACAGCCTTCCTGGCTTGCGTCGTGCATCCACGCTCATTCGCCCGCCGCCGCGAGGAACCCATCCGCGCGTGAGGCTGCCCACTCTGCTCGTCGGCCACTAACTCCTCGCTCGCCCGCCAATTTGCGTCCTGCCCGGCGTCCCGTCACTCTCCTCCCAGACAGCACGCCTCCTCCCGATTGCTGCGGCTTTCACTCCCCCAGCGCCCATCGCTGCTGTTTGAGGCTCCTCCGCACCGCCGTCATCTCGAACGCCGCCATTATAGCTCGGCTGCGCTGGGGTCCGTGTTGCATCCCCGTCGTCGCTAGCCCACGGCATCCAGCCACAGCTTTCCCAGCCGGCCGACTTCGTCATCGGCACCACCAGCCCTTCGCGCCTCTCGTGCCGTGCAGCACCACCACGCCTCTTCCACCTCGCTGCGAGAAGGGAGAACGAAGAGTGCCCATCCATCTGACGCCCCGCCGGACCTCGTAGCCGCGAATTCTGCTCCCACGCTCGCGCCTGCCGCCCTGCATTCTGCTTCCGTCGCCCGCGCCGCCGCTAATCGCTGCTCAGCTCACAGCCTCATCGCCGTGCCTGCAGCGCCGCACTTGACTACCCGCATCGCGTGCTGCCCTCGCCAGTCGCATCGCGGCCACCGACCTCGTCGCTGGCCGTCCCAACGCCGTCCAGCTGCATTGCTCCCTTGAGCGCACCCTCGAACGGTTCCTGGCTGTCCGCTTGGGGCATAGGACGGCAGATCACCTTGGCTGAAGACGCATCTGCAGCCGCACGCCCTGCACGCCCTGCGACGCCCACTCCTGAGCGCATCGCGAATTGCGCTTGTCAAATCACTGCGTCCATCTGGAACATCTGCTGGCGGCGCATGCTGCCATGACCTGGGATTGACACTCAGCAGGAGGATTGCATCGCAGTGCGCCGAGCGAAGACGCATCAAAACAGAGGTACGTGGGAGCAATGCGCCGTGCGCAGCTCGAAGATGGCATCCATTGATGCGATTCCCCAGCATGCCCCCGCCGGTGACGGTGCCAAGCAACCGCTCCAAGGAATAAACACTGACGCGGATGCTAGCATCTTTGACTTCACATCCGAAAGTACGCGCTCCATCTCATGGCAGCTTCAACTCGAGCCATCACGCCCACGCACTCCGGCCCCTTCCCCGCGCCTAATCGGGCGAACACGCCTTCACAGAATTCGCACACAAGCGCCACCTTTGGCTCCCACCTCACCAAGTCCCCGCGCGGGCTTTCACCCCGACACTCGCCCCAGCCGCTCACAGGCGCTGCTGCGCTTGAGGACGAGCGTCGGCGACAGCAGGACATCTCGCGGCAGATGAGCCCGAACCCTGCGCTCGCTGTCGTGCAGAGCTTGATTGGCACCAGCCAGTCTGCTATGAGCAGGTCCAAGGACGCACCAGCCGAACCGTCACAAATGAGTGCGCCAATGGAGAAAGCGGCGAAAGCGCTGGTCATTCCGGAGCAGTCCGGAGTGACTGGCGACAACATGCAGACCAGTCCCGTGAGCCTGTCAAGCTTTGGCTCTGCGGATTCGATAACAACCGCGCCGACCGCAACTGCCATGGAAGCAACTGCCGGCCCGATGGCGATATCTGCCCAGGAAGGCGCGCCTCAGCCTCCGCAGCAACAACAAGCACCACCACAACAGCCACAGCCGCCTCACCACCAGCCTATTGCGCCAAACCCCGGCGAAGGCCCCGGCAATCGCGCATTTACTTTCCCAGGCCCAATGCCCCCAGAACACGATCCGCGCGCTCCCGCGCGGCAGATGAGCTTGCCTGGCTACGCGCAGAACAGCCCAAAGTCGCCGTCGACCAAGAGGCACAAGTGCCCCTACTGCTCGACCGATTTCACGCGCCATCACAACCTCAAGAGCCATCTCCTGACGCACAGCCAAGAGAAGCCATATGAGTGTCCTACTTGCCAAGCGCGTTTCCGCCGTCTGCATGACTTGAAACGCCACACGAAACTGCACACTGGCGAGCGGCCACACACCTGTCCTAAGTGTGGCAGGAGGTTCGCCCGCGGGGATGCCCTCGCCCGCCACAACAAGGGCCAGGGTGGCTGCGCTGGTCGCCGGTCTAGCTTTGGTATAGATAATGACGACATGGATGGAAAAGGCGACGAGGCCATGGACGGCGTAGTCTACCATGGCGAGCACGACGGAGAAGGGGAAGAAGACGAGGATCACGGGGGCCGACGTGTTAGCGAGCCGGCGCGTAAGAGGCAAAATACTGGAAACTCTACGCAAGGTCCGTATCATCAGCATTCCAGTACCTACCCGCCCATCGCTGCCAATCGAGCGCAGCCGGGCCAAAATAATCTTCGCCCGCTGTATCCACCCGGATCAAGCGGTACCCCGAGCAATCAGTCGACTAACATTTCGCCAAAACTAGCTCCAGGAAGCATTTCGTCACTTCACTACACTGCGAACCAGGCAAACATGTTTGGACAAGGGGGCATGACTGAGAGCCCGAAGCCCATCTCGCCAGGTCAGCAAGACCAGCATCGCCTCGGTGCACATGAAGGCAGCATCCCGAATCCGCGTTCGCCCAACATGTCGCAACAGCTCCAACACCGGGATTTCGCTCGTGGCGCCGGCCGAGGCTCGTCGCCAATGGGCATGGCACCACCTCAGGGCAATAGTGGCCCTCATCTGCCTTCGCTACCTGGCCTCACTCCCAGCATGATTCCCAAGCAAGGCTCTCAGGGCGGCAAAGGCAATGGTCCCAGCATGCTCCAGCACCAGCAGATGCCAGCTCCAGGAACGGCATCGCAACAGGGAAGCTTGTCAAGCCACGGCGCCAGCAGCGGTGGTAGCATGCGCGAGGTCATGGGCAATCCAGGTATCGACGTCTGGCAGTATGTGCGCGAGGTAGAGTCGCGCATGCAGAAAATGGAAAAAGAGCACGAGCAGAAAATGGTCTCGCTGCAGAACGAGGTCACTACGCTCCGTGCACAGCTTGCTCAACAGCATGCCCAAAACACTCAACAGTAAACGCGGTCGGGGTGTCTCGGCTTTCATCAACCAGGCAATAATGGGAACCTTGTATCAGTATGAGCAGAAAGGAGTAATGGGCAGATATAATGCGAACCATGGTACGACATGAGCTTCCCGACCATCACAGCGGCAGGAGTCGGTTGGCGTTTCCAGCAATGGGAAGCGGGTCCAGCACACGATAGCGGCCCTGCTCGGTGTTTAGTGGAAAATCGAAGGACGGGTAGGATTGGTAAGCAGCGGGGTTTCGCGCATCTGCGTCTACGAGCGCCATTGACATGGCGCGGTTCGGAGCTGTTTTTTCTCTTTTCACGACACGGTACTTCTATCGACTGGCGACATCAACAAAAGCTAGACCTCCGGCAGCAACGCAGGACCTCAGCTCGCGCGTTCCCAGCACGGACTCTCGTTTCCGAGCTGGAAAGTACTATTTCCTCGGGATCCATTTCCCTCCCGTTTCCCGTCAGTGTTTCCTTTGCGTTCAGGTCGGTTGGTCATCTGTGTGGGCTTTTTCTCATCCTCTGTATATTATAGCACTGTGTGTTGGTTGTTGTTGTTTGATTTTTCTTTTACTCTCGTTCGCCGGGGAACGGGTACACGGAAGGGAAAAGATTGAGCAAGGGCATGTACAGTGTAAATGCAAGATCTGCCTGAGCTGTGTTTCTCGCTGCTGGTGCTGCTGGAGATGGCGGCGTAAGAGGCTTGGACCTCCTGGTGTTTTTTGGGTTTTCGGCTCGCGTGATACCTTCTTAGTTAGTGGCGGGATGGAGGGAGTGCAGATGCGGACGCTGTATGTATGCGAATGAGAGAAGTTTCGTTCAGCTGTTGAGAGTCTGGTGTGTGCGATTGGTTTTCGGAGCGCTATCGTGTAAGACTTGCCAGGACAACATCTCTTACTACTAACTATGTTTTCGCTCCCGAGGCGGCGTATCCGGCGAGATATAGCCGGGTCGGGGACGATGCAGGATGGGCTGGTGGGGCAGGGCGCCGGTGCTCTTGGGTGTTGCTGTCTTGCGGTACTCTCGAGTGGGCTATCTAAGCACGGGTGGGAGAGATGTTGGCGAACTGACCTAGTAAGTGATGGTCGTCTCATTGCCCCTCTCTCGTCGTGGCATGGCACGGCATGGCACGGCGTGGCGTAGCGTGGCCTGGCTGAGAGATAGAGAGAGATAGAGAGAGAGCGGATCAGAATCTATCAAGAGGGCGGGCAGTCGACGACGATGACTATGCTATGCCATGCCATACCATACCAAGTCATAACACTGCAGCAGTTCTGTTCTGTTCAGTTCTGTTCATTTACTCACTCACTCACTCGCTGGGGCTCCTAGTGCTTCCTACGTCCACTTCTACTATTTCCATTCCGTTCCGTTCCGTCCTCTGGTAACTTCACCGGAGTCAGGGTCAGGGTCGGAGTGAGTCAGTCCTTCTCGTACCCGACTCGGGAGGAATGCAGCGTGCGTATTCTACCTTTCTATGTACTTGTCGGCTGCATACATGGCAGCAGGAGGGCGGCTGCAGGGAGGGAGGGGCGTACGTAGCACTCCTGTGCTTTAAGGTGCTGCTTTGGATTGGATTGGATTGGATTGGCTTGGTTTGCTTGCCCATCCACCGAGATGGCTAGCTGGCTGGCTATGCGAATCGCAAGAGAGAGAGAGAGCTAGTAGTGTGTGTGTGTGTGTGTGTGTGTGTGTGTGTGTGTGTGTGTGTGTGTCAGGAAAGCTTTTGGCAAGGAAAGGGAGTTGATCGTTTCGCCATCGACATCGAGGGGGACGGGGGCTATGCGATCGGGCGCGGAAAGGGAAGTGAAATCACATGCACCCATGTGTATTATTGCGGCAGTGCGTTCCAGGAGGATAACTCGTCGGCGGCCGTTCAAGGCGCTGTTGAGTCATGGTGTGGTCAATGGGTGGGGACTCCCTGCATGGCATTGCATTACGCCATTCTTTACACTTACGTCGACTGCCTGGAGGCTCGTGTAGAACCCGGCGCAGACTGGCTGCTCCGTTTATGCTTGTTGTAGCTACGATATCCTGGGCTTGGAAGTTGGAAAGGGGATGGAGAGAGCTGGCGAGACGCTTGCTGGTGCTAGAGGATTACGGAGTGGAGAGGAGATATCGCGGCTGGGGGATAGGTGGGGGGTTTATGGGGGAGGTCGATGCTTGCGGTAAGGGGGTTGCAGCAAGAAAAATGTTATGAATGCTGGCGGAATGTATGGAAAGCGCTGCTTGCAGAGGTTACCGGATTCCAGGGAGTGACAGCGATAATGCACGTCTCCGTGTAATGAAGTATGCAATATTGGGTTGTTGCTTTGCTCGACGGTGGCATCCATTTCCTGCAGCTGGCCGGATGCAATCTTCTTCGCTTGATGCCTTGTCCTTTCTTCGTGACCGCAGCATTTCTCTTGACCCTTTTCACCGGTCTTTCCGGCAATATGGCCGGCGCTGAGCGGCGGTCTACGTACGAAGCATAGGGTCTTGGGGCAGCTTCGGCTAGCGGACACGGCGACAACGCTGAGCACTGTGCCGTAACTAATTAAACAGACCATGGTGGGGAGAACATTCGACCGTGCTGACTCCAATTGGGCGGTTCCTGGCTCGTGGCGCAGTCGTGCCTCAGGCCCACACGAGTTCGTCGTCCGTATTCGCCGTTATCCAAATCGGGTCGACCATTGAAGGGCTCCCCAGGAACACTTTAACAGATGCCCAGTCGGCACGCTGATATCTAGCTTCAGTCAACAGGAACAAGGTGGCCTCACATCATCCGCACGCGCTGCTTCAGCCCTTTCGCTCCAGGCTCTTGTCCCTCAGCTGCTACAGTCATCGCCCATTGTCATTGCGCTTCGGGACTGTCTCCGCCATGACTGAGATTGCTCTCCTGACTCTTGCCCGTTATGCTCATGCGGATACGTGGGATCTCCAGAAGCGAACGCGGTGTAGAGCATGCAATGTACCGCCTCGGGCAAGAAGCCTCATGAACAGCCTCGTGCGGGTCGTTCTCGTGTTCTAGTAGTCTGAGGAATGAAGTAGTGGTGGCTGCCTGGTACGAGCCAGGCTACCAGTCACTATCGTGGAGGTCGAAAGTCGGTGACCCGGAGCACGAGATGTGGCGTCAGCGAATGACCAAGGGGCATCAAAGCCACAAAGGCGCAGCAGGCCTTAGCTAGACCGTTTGCAGCCAGGAACGGCAGATGCCTTCGACACCGTGCCTCCGCAAACATCAAGATATATCTTGGAGCGCACGTTTGCAGCGTCCATTGTTTCCCCAGCCTTCCAGTGTTTTGTCTTGCAACACAGTTCCCGCGAATTGACTCCTCGCGTCGTTTCCGTTTGCGATTGCGCTGCGTCCGTGCCCTCAGCCTTACGAATGGTCCCTGCATCCGCGTACGATATGACCCATAACCCGCCCCGCTATAAGAACCCCACTGACGGCCTTCTGCAGCTCCAGCACTCCTCAACCTTCACACACTTCCTTATCTCGGTCTTCTACTACTTTCTCAAAGAGTCCGGTGGGTATTGCCCAGGAGCGAGTACAACAGCTATCGAATCACTTTTCCCGCGCAAACACAATGGCTTCGGTGCCCAAGGACGACGGACCCGTGAACCTCGATGCGGACATTCCGGACATCCACCACCAGCTTCCACCCCTTCCAGCCACTCTCCCTAAACGGCATGAGCGCTTCATCCACTGTATACCCCCCACCGGTTCAACAACGCGCAAATACTCCGTCTTCCTCGCCGGCACCATAGAAATGGGCAAAGCGATCCAGTGGCAGCGACATATGCTGCACTTTCTTCAGGACCTTCCAATAGCGGTCTACAACCCTCGCCGCGGAAGCTGGAACAAGGCGTCCACGGACGAAGAGCTTACCCGCAATTTCCACACCCAAGTAGTGTGGGAAAAGGTCAATCTGGCGAGAGCGTCTGTCATCTGCTTCTTCTTCGACCACCCCACGAAGAGCCCAGTCACCATGATGGAACTTGGCGAATGGGCCGCCAGCAACAAGGTAGTAGTGTGCTGCAACAGCAAGTTCTGGAAGGCAAAAAATGTGCATATTCAATGCGCGTACCATGGCATTCCGTGTGTGGAGACCTTTGAGGAACTGGTCCCGCTGGTGAGGGCGAAGCTCAGGAGCAAGGGCCTCATGCTGGATAAGCAGGGCGACCGCACTGACGATCCGGCGAAAGAGGACCCGACAAAGCTGCCAGACGTCTCCATTCTGGAGCGCCGTTGTCCGGTGGATATCGAGCGCTTGAAGGCTATTGAGCAGACGCTGGCGTTCCAGGATCCCGAGTATCCCGACGAAGAGCCTTACGTGGAGCATTAAAGATGTGCCCTCCTTAGGTCGATTTCCGGCGATTTGAACATCAGCGAGGAGTTGGCGGCGGTGGGATGGGTGGTCTTTTGTCTACTTTCCTGGATCCTCGGCATGGTTCTGTTTTCCTCAGTCGATCTTCCTAGATGTGCGTCGTGTTTTCCTTCCTCTCTTTCCTACATCTCCGGCACTTTTTTCCCCTTGGTGCTGCTCCCCTGCGGTCCTGGCTTGTCTTTTCTTTTCGGCAGGTTTCTTTATAATTACATACATGTACGATCAACGACGGTGTCAATCTGTTTTCATGGGAGTGCGGTGGACTGGGCTGGAGTTCTTGATGTGTAGACGAGGCTGTATAACCTCAGATAGTGTCTTGTAGTTTCTATTACAATGGTTTCGAGAGCCCGAGTCCTCCTTTGACACGGTGCGAGTGAGCCTTTCTTTTGTTTTCCTTTTCCTCGTCATCGATGACTGACTCCTCCAAAAAAAAGTCGCCATGTGTCGAATCCCCTCATTCCGCTCACATTGCGAGGAGAGCTCAGACAACGCCAATCCACCACCGCTCCCAGAAGAGCATTTACCACATCTTCCTTCTATCCCAAGCTCTGGCGGGTCCACTAATAATGCAGTGTATCCCACTCCCACACGCACCTTCTCTTCCTACACCCTTACCCTCCTCCCTCCTATATACACTTCACTCAACCATATCCCACCGCCCTCTACCATGCCACCCGCCTCCCTATCAGCCACCACAACCCGCCCCGAAGGCCCCCCGCCCCCCTGGTACGCCTCCGAAGCCACCACCCCGCGCTCCCCTTCTTCCGCAACGGCAGCCTCGCCTACTAAGCCCAGCTGCCAGGCGACCTGGCGAACTTGCTGCGCGCACAGCCGCGTTTGGCGGGGGCGGTGAAGCAGATTGTGCTGCAGGGGGAGTCGGGGGTGTTGGGGTTTGGGAGGGTTTTGGACGTAGGGAGTGTGGGATAGGGGGAGGATGGGGCATCGCGGAGGGTGTCGGTCTAGTTTGAACTGAGCTAGAGGAGCATTTACCGTGTGCTATTAGACTGGGGCTATGTGGTGGGGATGGAGAATGGCAGCTGGGTTGGGGCTTGAAGGCCTCCGGGAGACACTCTTCGATTTCTATTGGAGTGGGTCTCCCTACGGTGAGCTAGAGAAACTGCTGGTATCTCTTCATGCGTCATTGCCTTTTGAGAATTTGTCATTCATTCTTTTTGAGTGCCAGCCCCCAATCGCATGCGATCCCATCAAAAGCTCCACGCCGCATTTCAACGGGACCTTCGGATATCTGAACCGTGTTAGTACCTAATCAGCCTTGAGATGGTCGAGAGACAAACATCCGTAGAGGCCAGCTATGCATTCCTTTCCTATGGCTTGACCACATGGCCGAATCTGGCCATCTAATACCTAAGATCGGTGGGTATCATATCGCATCTACTCCTCATCGCTCTCCGACATCTGCATCTCCGCTCCCTCGTCGTCCTCTTCCTCCTCCTCCTGCTCCCGCTCCTGCTCCTCGTCGCGTCCCCTCTTGACCCCCTTCGCCCCGTCCCGCGCCTCGTTCATCGGCAACGCCTTCATAGGCGCACTCCCGAAGATCGCCCTCTGCGCGCTCGTCTCCTCCGGCGCTTCGATCGCCGGCAGCGCTTTCTCGGGCAGCTTGAAGGTGCCGTCGAGCTTGGCGACGGTGTCGGACTTGCCCTTTGCGTATTGGATCAACTGCCGCACAGTCAGTCAACGCCGCACAGGTGTCTGCCTGGACGTATTGTAGACGCACCATGTCCTTTCCGAAGAAATTGAACCCGTCCAGCGCCCGCATGGCTTGCGTGGAGGAGTCGATGTCCCGGAACACGACGTGCGCCTGCCCGCGCATCTTGGGCGTCTTGAGTGCGACGACGTCGAGGATCACGCCGTAGGTCGCGAACAGCATGTACAGGCTGCGCTTGAGGTCGTCTTTGGGGAGCTTGTCGGGCAGGTTGTGCACGTAGATGCTGTCATGGTTAGCGAATGCGGCGAAATGAGAGTATATGGAGCATACGCACGTTCGGTTCGGCGGGAGAGAGACGGCCTTTGAAGAAGTGCCCGGAGGTGCCGGTACACGCGCGACGGTGGTGGCCATGATTGTGTTGTGGTGTCTGGCGAACCGTCGTGCGCCAGTGACGAGGTTGCGGAGGATTGATGAGGCTCCCCGCAAGTCGTAAAAATCATGGGGGTCTGTGCACTAGCGAGGGAGATCACCGCATTGTGCCTGAACGTTTCGCTCACTTCGAGACATCCACCCGTCACTGAAGGATGCAACCTAACTCAATGGCCGAATCAGCATGAAAACGCATCCACGGAGCCTCACTGAGCGGCTAGCTTCTCCGATTTCGGCTTTCAACCGCCCCAGACGGTAGCTCCGCGAGGCTTCCTTTACCTCCATTCACGCCCACGAAGCACTTCTGCTCTCGAACGGACGCGGACTCCACGGATTCCTAATACCTTTACCCCATTTTCTTCGGCTCCTTACGGCCATCATGACGTTCTCACCCGTCCTCAGCCCGCGGCCCAATCCACCAGGCACAAAGATGGCCACCAACGCAACAGCCGCAAAGGCGAAAGCGCTCGCAATCCTCAACAACAGCAGGGCTGTGCCTTCTCCGAGCGTGGCATCAACTCCAGGAGATGGCGGGCTGGATCTGGCGGAGCAGATGAACGACGAAGTGCGGCGGCGTTTCGTGTCCGGTAGGCCAGCCACTTCCCTCCACCCAAGGGAGGTATACTAATACTACTGAACAGGCACCCGCCTCGGCGAGGGTACGTACGCTATCGTATACAGCGGCCACTACCGGCACGACCCTAGCAAGCTCGTCGCTATCAAAAAGATCAAACTAAACGCCGACTTCAAAGACGGCATCGCCATGGACGCCATCCGGGAGATAAAGTTCCTCTCGGAGCTGTCGCACCCCAACATCATCCAGCTGCACGCCGTCTTCTCCACCAAGGACCAGAACATATCGCTCGTGCTCGAGCACCTCCCGCTCGGCGATCTCGAAATGCTCTGGAAGAACCACAGCATATCCTACGGCGGCGCCGACATCAAGAGCTGGGCGAACATGCTGTGCCAGGCCGTCTGGTTCTGCCACGAGAACTACGTGCTGCACCGCGATATCAAGGGCAACAACTTGCTGATATCGGCGGATGGCACGGTGAAGCTGGCCGATTTCGGTCTTGCGCGCAGCTTCGCGGACCCGGGCCGGGACATGACGTGCAATGTTATTACGCGTTTCTACCGTCCTCCCGAGCTACTGCTTGGATGCCGCCACTATGGCGGTTGCGTTGATGTGTGGAGCACGGGGTGTGTGATTGCGGAGCTGGCGATTCGCGAGTTCTTCCTGCCGTCGGAGACGGACATCCAGCAGCTGAGCGTCATATGCGACGTTTTTGGCATCCCGACAGAAGAAACCTGGCCCGGAGTCTCGAAATTGCGACACTACGAAGCGAGTTTCGGCGCTGCTGCACCGAAGCATCCACATGGCATAAACTACTGGAAGCAGCGCTTCCCGCTGCTGGGCGAGGACGGAATCGACCTTCTCCGCGGCATGCTCAGGATGGATCCGATGAAGCGGCTCTCAGCAACGCAGGTGCTGCAGCATCCGTACTGGACCAACGCGCCGCGGCCAACGAAGAAAGAAAATCTTCCCAAGCAAGGAGGCGGCGAGAAGACAATGGGCGAGGATCTCAAGCGGCGTGGTGGAGAGATCGAGACTGGCCGCCTTGACAAGGTAGCCAGGAAGCTCGATTTCGGGGCGATGAAGAAATGAGCGAGCGGCGTGTTGCTGGTCGCCGCATGTATTGTACGATACCGGGCGGAGACTCATGGGGATATGGCGTTCTGGGAGCGGAGCATGTCTCCCTAGCATTTGACGGCGTTTCTGGAATTGACGGGATTGCGCGGAAGCATTTCAGGGTCGGTCAAGATCGTCTTGGACTGTGTTTGACCACATGGTCGAAATTCTAGGATAATAGCAAGGCTCGTCCTAGTTGGATGGAGAGTCCGCCCCAGTCCTTGTGTCTAAGAATCCCCTCGCTCAACACGACATTCGGGCGCTAGCAACGTGACTATGGGAGTCAGAAGTGCCATCGCAAGAGCCTGACGGGACAGCCTGGATAGAAAGAGCCTCAGACGGCGCTCTGTCAGCGATGGGGACCACTCGACCTCGTGCGCAGAACAAGAGATGGGAGCATTTCAAAGGAGCGCATACAATATTCCCGCCGCCGCCGCTGGATTTCGACATTCACGTTAGCTCTTCCCCAGCTCTGATCGCGTTTCCTGTCTCGTCTTTGAGATTGACCATGAACTGCTCGACGTAACCATACTGGCTATTGAGTCGGCTTCTCTGATGCCACGTCCCGTCCAGATCACAACCAACACCACGGCTGTCCAGCACATGCACGCTTGTCAAGTGTGGTCCCTGACCTGGCGTTCTTCGCTTTGGTATAGAGTTGGGTCTGTGGTTCAGGCGTCCTTCATACTTAGTAGACTTACCGGTATTAGAACAGTGTACCAACTTCTCATCTTACAATCGACCGGGGTGGCGGTAGGTAATCTTCGATTTACCCACGCAGACACGTGCCACCCATGCGTGGGATGGATGGCCTTGCGTTTGGTATCCGCGGAACCGGCATTTGGGGAAGTCGGTGGTAGGGGCGTGGCTCCTTGGGGGTTCGACGTCGTGCATGGGAATTGCTCGCCGATAGGAAGATTCGCTACTTATATTCTGGCGGTACGCTTCAACGGGAGCAAGCATGTACATCAAAGTTGCGATCACTTCGCTGCTAGCCCGGCCGGGTCCAAGGAAGGATCTACCCCTCAACCCGCTACCGGTAAGCTATTGCTGCACATACAGTATGTGGGGGAGTACGCTCCCGTCCTCCCAGGCAAAGTAAGGTAAGCGACTCTCGACGACACGGCCCGAGATACCGTCTGCGATCTCCATCTCCTCGCCCTACCGCAGTTCCCGCGGAGGACATCGAACTACGGCCCGTCCAGCATCGCTTAGCGATTCTTGGACCTAGAGTGAGCAGCGAGGTACTTGATAGGTGAGCATACTCGGATTGCTAGAGCTCGAAGTTACAAGCGTGCAGGTAGTATAGGAGAGGGCGTTATAGTTGCAGTGTTGGATAGCAAGGGATGGATGAGAAACGGTATAGCATCAACTGACTGACAGCGAGCACGGCGTATAAAGCTCGACGAAGAGTCGCACTTCTCATCCGCCCATCCCCATCATATTCCTCAATCAGCCCAGCTCCGACACAACACACAACCAACCAACCAGCACTTCCTCCCACCCAGCAGCCATCCATACAGCACCAACAATGAAGTTCCTCCTCGCCCTAACCACCCTCTCCCTCGCCACCTCCGCCTACGCCGCCCTCGGCTGCGGCCACGCCGTGTCTAAGAAGGCCTGCAAGGAGGACTGCCATTGTCGCTGCGTGGGTGGCAATGTGCTCTGCGAGGGCAGCGGGGTTACGTGTCCGGCGGCGACTTTTGCTATTTGTGAGGGTACGTAGTCGGGTCCCTTTGTTTTGTTTTTGGAGGACTGGGGGAAGGGGGTTTAACACTGGGGTGGAGGGGGGATTGGTTGATTGGCTGACTGATTGATTGATGTGATAGGGGCTTGTCATTGTGATTCGGACCGGAAGGAGCCGAGTGTTAATGTTACGGGGAGGGCTTGGGAGGGATGATGGGGATTGCGGAGGGTAAGTTTGGGGGAAGGAGAGGGGAAGGTTGTGGGTGGGCGTGGATTGGAGAGCGGGCATCAGTGGATGGGATGGTGTCAAGGAGACAGATAGATCTTGAGGAGGAGTAATAGAATGTTCTTCTCAGCCACCACAGCTCTATACAGTTCACACGTTTGATCCACCGACCTGCAGCCTCATATTAGGCATGCCATACCGACCTGGGATTGTGGTTCAGGCGCCCCCCGTCATCTTATTTGTGGCGCTGACTGTCAAGCATATCGAAGCTTTCTGGAGCCTCAACATGAAAGCTTGTCTTCTTACCCCTTTCTGGAGTGTCCCATCTCAACGCAGAACTGCAAGCAGCAGTGCGACTGCCGCTGCCGAAATGGGCGAGCGCAAATGTGAAGGCGGGACGGCGATTTGTCCGGCGGAGAACTGCTGCCTTGTTTGGGTGGGTGGGTGGGTGGGATTTTTCTCCTTGATGGGCGGCGTTGGGTTGCTTGGTCGGCTGGCTGGGATGGATGCGGCGGAGGAGTGCGCGATCTTGTGTGTTAATGGAGCTGACTGCTTCTCCGGTATAGAAAATTGTGAGTGCACTGATGCCGAAGACGGCGAGTAGAGCGCAACTCTCTGTGGTTGGCCGGTGGTTTGACGACTGATGAGAAGACAAGAGGGCGGAGAGAAGCTTCGTTCGGAGCGGTATGCCTCGACAGTGAGATGATGCAACTAGTAGAGCTGAATCCATCATTCGCCCACAAAATGGGTCTTTGGACGTGCTCGGCACGTTCGTCCGCGTTTCCGTCAGTGTCTTCGCCTAGTTTCCCAGCTGTGTATTTGCCTCGATTCGTGGAAATGGGAATGTGTTGGATGGCGTTGTTATGTATGGAACGAAGTTTAACGATCTTCGTGCCGCCCTACCCAAAGTAAGTAGCCTGCATGCATAGCATGCAAGGTCCCGAGCCGTTCCTGAGAAAGGCGTCCGTGGCTGGCCTGACTCTAGCCTCATCCGGACGGGAAATACCTACATACACAGGCGAGTATAGGCGACGAAGAGCGAAGAATTGGTGGTGTTGTCAATTAAACGGAAACAAGATCTGCCTGTACGGATACCTCCTCATCTATCCTTTGAAGATATTATTCCATCTCTCACACGAACATCTTTTCCCCAACCGCCATACCCCCCGTATCCCCCACAATGCGCTTCTTCCTCCTCCTCCTCCCCTCTCCCTCACCACATCCACCGCATTCGCGGCTTACACCGTGCACTGTGGGAAAGCCCCCACCGCGAAATGCCACAATATATGTAACTGCCACTGCGAGCCAAACGCGATGGGATGCTAACAACGGCCTGGTGGCGACTGCCCTATGGACCCTTGGCTAAGGTGCTGTGATATGTATTTCCGGTGCCTCCTGGTGCGTTTTTGTGAGGCCGCGGTGCTGATTCGCGGCCGTGCTGTTGTAGATAAATGTGTTTGCAAACCTAGTAAGGAGCGTGGTCTCGATGGGAGCGTTGTGGAAGTGACAGCGATTGAGGAGGAGGGTTGAGGCTGCGCGTTATAAGGGCGCGTGTGAGGTTGACTTTGAGAGGCGGGTTGGTGTTTAGAGGTAGTGGTTGAGAGGAGGTGGGAACGGGAAGGGTCAGGATGCCCCGCGGAGGAAGTTGTAATCTAAGCCGCATGTGGTTAGTCATTCACGAAGACCGGATCGTCTCGTCGTTCTGTCTTCTCCGTCTCCACCTCCGACGCATCGTCTAAATTTACTTCGATATTTCCTCATGAATTACTGTCTTTGGGAATATCAGTAGCGTGGCTAAGACACTAGTAACAAGCCTTGCAAGCGCAGACGGTCCTCGAAAGGTTCCCAGACGGTTCGGCTGGTGAGAAAGCCGACGTCTCAGACAATGCCGCTCAGCTATTTGGTCCAGACTATAACTAATATCATGATCAGGTCCAGAATACGGCGAGCTCTCAGCACCTACACCTAGCATTGTGTATATACTAAAACAGTAGATCCTTTCCCTACCATATCGTCCTCGATTCCGATCCATCTCGCTCTTATTGGACTTGCTACAATGTATACCCACGTCCCATATAACGCCCCGATTGCGAAGTCACAAAGCTTCGACATGACCAAACCTCGATCTATATATTCCTTCCCGATCAATACACATCGTCTCCTCACTAGACTCTAGGAACTATGAATCACTCGGCGCTCCACTCGACCATCCGCACGGTAAAGCAGGCCTACTGCCGCAGCATGGACGTGTTCTACACCCCACGCATTTGTACCGTCATCAAGCAACGTATCAAGCGCCTCTTCATTCGCGGGAAAGAGAAAGCCGACAGCCTCTGGTCGACGATGAGGCCGGAGTCGGAGCATGGATGGCTTCTTTACTTCGACAGCGGAGTTTCAAGGAGCCTCCGGTTCTACCGTATCTTGCGGCTACACCGCGTATCGAGGAGGCCTTCTTCAAGTGGGAAGATGACGCTCGTTGCGCGGACAGCTATGATGGCTAGAGAATGGACGCGGTATGCGTACGCTTCAATCATTGGGACATCGCGAGCCCCAAGGGACCCCGGATGAGAGTAGGTATATGCACTGAACGGGAGGCATCGGGTCTGGACGCTTAAACTCTAGCTTTAGAGTTGAGGAATGGACGAGTTATGCCGCCGGAAATATAGAAAGACAATAATAGGAATCTTCGAAAATATATTGTGCCAGAAAGAAAGAAACCTATATTAATTACAAAAAGAACGAGAGGCATGCTGATTGGTTGACCTGTCTCATCAATGTCTCAAAAAGGTACGTGATGTTCTTTGCCGCTTTCGAATGTGAGTCTAACATTGTACGCTCACACTTCCTCTTCTAGTTCACGTTTCTCAGCGATGTATACCCGTATGCTCACACATAGCTATATGTACTGTTACAAAGACACCATGGCGATCCTAGCCTCGATTTGTATATATCTCTTCGATACCTACCTCTTCAGGGTCCATACGCTTCCATCACCAGTCAATTTGAACGTCCAGCTCGACGCGCAATCTGATACCCACACTGAATTTTCCTGAGGCGGCTCGGAACCGGGATGGCAGCACCTGTGAGTTTCGTCAACGCCGCTGAAGATAGGTGCGTTGTCATGAGTCAGATGGGGTTTGTGGACCTCATGGTGGCCGATGCTCATATCGCTGACCATACCCCACAGAAACACAGTGCCACCAGCGCCAAGACAAGCTGCTCGCAAAATCCCACAAACTCTCCAATCCGGCCCAAACTTGAGCGTAGGTATGCCACCACTACGGTTCCGCTATTCCACAACGCGGTTCTGCTTCCACTCACGGATGGTGTGCTTCAAGGCTATCCGCTCTATGTGGAAGCCTCCGGCCACCCGAATGGCTGCACGCGGACGTTTGCTCGGGTTAAGGACCAGCTCCTCGAGGTCGACATTACTGGTACGTTCAGGCGTCGCACTATCGCCCATGGAGATGGTAGCAAGCAACGTCGGTGTGGGAAGTGGAATTGGCGAGGCACTGTGCGTCAGTGTAAGCTGTTCGTGAAGCGGACGGGCGGGGCTAAGGTCGACTAGAGGATGAGGATTGCAAGATGATATAGTGGGTTATGAGGAAAATGGCATAGACTGCGAAAAGGATAGCTTGGTGGTAAGTGCGGTGGTCGTAGTCATCACCGACGTGACAGTACGACTGAGGAGATAGAATTCAACGGTCCGTAAGTTTTTCGGAAGCGGACGCTGTCTTCCTCCAGCCTGGAATCAGCTGTTGCAAAAGCGTATCCCGTACTGACCACGTGCCATGTATACCGCCGAACGTTGTGCATCCACAGCCATCTCTCTCCATCCATCTCCTTCCGCGATGTATGCCCACACGCCTCGTACGTCGCCCATCTATATTATCCTTCTGGTCTTCCGCCCGCGTTCTCTCATCACTATCCCGCACAACCAGCAACCCATGATTCCGAACCATGAGCTTCGCGTCCCGGATGTACTCCCTCTCACAGGCCGTACGGCACAAGCTGGACAGTTACCCTTCTATGTTTTCGCGAATGGAGACTCCTCGAGCTTATGTAGGTTCCACTGCAGACGCCGGTATGGAGCGTAGGACTGGAGGACAGACTGGGTTTTCAATTTTGAAGGGTGAGTCTCAGAGGTTGGTCGAAATGAACGCTGGTCGTTCTTTCGGTGACTTCGTTGTTGCCCGACGGGCTCTGACCAATATGGAGGCGGCGCGTACCGCGGTGGCTGGGATTGGAGTCGCGATTCCTATGATGCCTACTAATGTGGATGAGCCGCATGTAAACCGGAAACCAGCCCACAGGTTTGCACCTCCAAACTTCTCTCGCCCGCTTTCTACACAGGCTAGCAGGGCCACTCCGTATAAACCAGCGCATAAGGGGGAGTTTGGTAGCCAAAAGCCGAGGCACTCGACCAAACGTCCTCCCAATCCCTCTCGCAAGGTTCGGCCAGCTCGCCCAGGACTGTATCGAAGCAATGCGGTCCGATACAAGCGGCGTGAGTCGGAGGAACCAACAAGGGCCCAGGTCGCACCGTCCTCGACAGCTTCTAACGCGATGTTTGCTTCTGAAGTCTTTGTTCCGAAGCCTCTCCTTCGTCGCCACGGCCGGATGTTCGACCCGGGTGGGTAGGCCAGGGTTCCGATAGGTCCATGAGACCTTAGAAATCTGTAAATTGCACCGAGGAACCTGATGCACCAGAGGTGCGAACAGCGTAGGAATTGAAGTTGAGAAATAGGTCCGGGTGATGACGGGTCTACGAGACCTGGAACCGGATCGGAGAGACATGTACTACGGTTTGTCAATTGGAACACGCTGGCTGACGGGCTTCAAGAGCGTACACGGAGCAGGAATCATCTTCGACGAATAGACCTTGTGACGCTTCTGGCTATCGAGACTGCGGTGTGACGGATCGAATCGAAGAGCAGTGCACTGCACTCTGGGCGTTGGGATACGGAACCTGACTGCCTTCAAAGGCATTAGCAGAGTAGGAACTGAATTTGATAAACTTACCTGTAGCCCTCCCGATCCCTATTGGCTGTGACGATATCCCCCCCGCATTCGACGCAGGCGGTGAGCTCGATGCCTTCTGATTCGGCGGTGAACTGTTTGCTCACCAGTGGCGAGGGGCAGTCAGCCTGCTCTTCAAGAACTGTTCCTCCTCCTCAACCTCTGCATCCAGAGGAGAATCGATGAAGGCTCGCGATGAGGTATGCTTCCACTAAGCAAAGTTGCTTCCTCACTGACTGACGTCCTGAGCAGTTTCATCACCAGGGCGATGGCGCTCCACCGCGCGAGCCCAGCCAGTGAAAACAACACCGCGCTCCTTCCCTTGTCCACGAATACAACACAACTCCTTCGCCTCTTCGCCCTGCTCTTCCGCAACCACACTCTGCAGTCATGTACGGCTCAATGCTCGCCGCCCAATCTCGCAGCAAGCCGTCGTCATCTCCGCTCCAAGCAAGCCAATCCACAATGCCTGCCTCTGCCAGCGTCCCAACTCTCCACATCCAACGCCCCTCGGACGAGTCCGACAACATCCAAGAGCATGTCCCACTCACCATCGCCGGAGACTGGCACTGCTGCAAGTGCCAGCTCCCAACGCCCATCTACCTGCGTGCCGGCCCGCACCCGCTCGGCGCCCTCGCCTGCGAGTGCCCGCACAAGCCCTGCGGCAACTGCACCCTCACCAGCGATCTCGTGAAGCAATTCCTGCCCATCGACGAGGCCGAGCCCGCCGTCATCCCGGCCTCCCCCACTGGCCAAGAAGTCCCCTTCGGCAGCGTCTGCACCGCGTGCGGACTCTCCTGGCGCGCAAGGGAGATTAGCCGTCATAAGAAATCGCTCCGCAAGATGCCCTCGCTGAGCCTCGCGCAGCGCACCCGGAACCGCCTTGCGCCGGAGGGTGGCCGTCTGCGCAAGACGCAGAGCAGCCATGTGCTCGGCAACAAGCGCATCATCACGCCGCCGGGGGTCGGGAAGCAGGCGGAGTTCGCGGCTGTCGAGTTCACCGGGCGCGAGTGCACGTGTGGCTGGGTGATGGATCTCGGCGCGCTGTGCTTCCAGATCGTAGAGCCGCGGGTTGGCGAGGAGAAGGAGGAGCAGAAGGAAGAACTGAAGGAGGCGCTGGAGGAGGAGCAGGAGGAGGAGCCGCGCAATGCTGCCGTGTGGTCGACCACGCCGGAGCTGGAGGCTATGGGGCATGGACACCGCACCCTTGTGGTGCGTGGCGTCGAGCATCCGAATCCGCTGCGCAGCTGCCCTGTGACTAGGGATGACATCTAGGCGGTGGGGGGTGGACTCTACAGCGTATCTGGCTCCTATGTATGCTAGATGGATGGGATTGAAAAGCTGACATACGGCCAATCACCTGTATGCGGAAACCCCGCTGAAGCATATCAAGCTTCTTGTTACGTACTCCAAGAAAAAAACTACATGTCTTACGCTACGATCGACACCCATTCTTCCTCCCATTCCACTTTGACCAACAAGCAGATGACACACGCGTTATGCCCGCACTTGCACCAGGACTCAGTGAACTTGACCCTGTATGCTCTACGCTCTTCTGACTGTGCGCCCGGAGCATGGCTCGTTATGAGGTCTTTAATTGGCACTTCGCTCTCTTCCTGCTTCTCCTTTCTGAGAGAGCCAAGAAAGCGGCCACGGAAGCTGGGCCGTCGCAATCCAGACGGCGGTGGCGTTGGCGGCGTCGGCGGACGGTGAAGAGGGACTGGATATTGCTGATGTGAGCGTCCGCAGTGACAACATACCCAGACGAAGACGGTACGGGGCGGGGCCAGCTCGCCCGGCGGTATGGAAAGCATGAAGGACGTTCCCCAGAGGCGCTGCAGGTGCGACATGTTCCGGAGCTCCACCGTGTAGTTGGCGACTGTGCCACAGAGTCCGCATATAAGATATCCTAGAGGTCGGATAGCGGCTGTTCGTGTAAAGGCATGCGGTACGCCGCAGGTGCTGCATATCCACTTTGCTTCGCGGGGGATCCGAATTGGAGACTTGTGCAAGAGGAATCGGGGTCGTTCTTCCGTCGATACGCGCGGTGACTCGTGGTTGCTAGATTGCGGTCCTGATTCTGTAGATGAGCGAGTAGAGGGGTTAGGCCACGATGGGGGATTCTTCGAGGAGCTGTACATGTGCGCTGCGGTGTAGCTGTGGGAAATTCTGGGCTAGGGAAACTGGGGGAGAAAGGAGATATGTGTACGGGGTTAACATATGGAATGCGACGCATTGTGAATTGACTTGTGTAAATGAGAGATTGAAGTACCTCTGTGACATTTGCGACAGTGAAATCTATCCACGTAACTGCCGTATGTTTGGTGACGAGTCCAATGCCAGGTCAGAATGGCGGACGCCGTTTACAGGTGTGTATCTGGCATGATTCATCCCTTCAATGCTTCCTCGATGACTCCTACATCTACGAGTAATTGCTCGTCGCTCAGCCTCTTTCCAACAATCTGCAGTGCTATCGGCGCCCCGGCCATCTTCGACGGCTCGTACATAGCTTGGTTCGCCTCGTCCGCTGTGGATGAAAACACTAATCCGTCAGCTACTGGGTCTTTCTCTGGTTCCGCCACTCCAATTGGAATGACAACTGCCGGATAGTCCATGGCATTGACCCAGACAGTGTACATGTCGTTCGTCCATTTTCCCGGTTCGACAGCCGTATGTGGACCCGCTGGGCACAGCATCACATCAATTCCTTGTGTCTCCCATGCGTCCAGCATCTGCTTTTGCATGTCAATCTTCTTCGCATTCCAGGCCCATTGCTCCTCCGGCGTCTTCCGAGGAAGATCCCAGAAGCCGATGTCGATGACCGATGGCACAGGTGGTTCAGCGGATATATTGAACTGCTCGCGGGCGTACGAGAGACCGTCGATGGTGAAGAGTTGCTCCGAGACTTCGCGGACCTTGGCGAATGTGAATGGCGCATGGAATTCTTTGACTTTGAAGCCGGCACCTTTGAGTTTGTCTGCTGCTTCGGCAATACCGCGGAGTATGGGCGGATGTGGAATGATACCGTTTGAGTGGATTACGCCGATTACCGGTTTCCGGCATACGGTTCCGGCTTCGTAGACGAAAGGAATGACGGCTGGGTCTACAAGCCAGGGCTTCTGGTCGCGTACAGCGCGCATGAAGAGTTGCATATCTCGCACTGAATGTCCCATGGGCCCGCAAACAGCGGGAATACCAGTGTTCAGCCCAAGCCAATTCGAGTTGGCGTACCCAAGCAACGGGAGCATGCCGTAGGAGGGCTTGAAGCCATAGATACCATTAGCGGCGGCGGGAATCCGAATCGAGCCACCGACATCTGTGCCTACACCTAACGAGGATCCACGGAAGGCTTGTATGCTCCCTTCGCCGCCACTACTACCGCCACAGGTGAGGTGGGATACCACTGGATTAAGCGCCCGACCGAAGACGTTGTTGTGAGATTCAGCAACGAGCATGGTCTGTGGATTGTTCGTCTTCGCAATGATGAGCGCACCGGCGGAACGAAGAATTTGCGTGAGATATGAGTCGTACGTCGAGGGAGCAAAGCATCGTGAGATATAGCCGTCGCTTGCGTCAACGCCCTTGACATGGAAGCATTCTTTCAGCGTCATCGGGACGCCGTGGAGCGGTCCCCTGGGCTTCCCTGTCTCTTCGAATTCGGCGTCGAGCTCTCGGGCGGCCTTGATGGCTTCCAGGAAGCATATCTCAGTGAGGCAGTTGGTGAGCTGCTGGGCGATAGCGGCGCGTTTGCAAAAGGCAGTCGTGACTTCCTCAGCCGAGTACATGCCTGTTGCTATAGCAGATGCAAGAGATGTTGTGTCGTACTTCTCGTCGGTGATTTCGAGCTCCCGAGCAGACAGAAGGTCGCTTTTCTGTGCCCATGGTCGCAGGTCCCTCGTGCCAGGCGGTGGTAGAGCGTTTGATGGTATTTTCCACTCGTTCGGAATACGTGACTCCTGTTCCTTTTTCTTCTCCGCTGCTATCTCTTCCCAAGGCCGGGCTGTCATGGTGTTTGGGTTGCTGAAGCCGCGAATATTGTCGTAGAGGCGGGGATCGATAAGGGGCTATGCTGCTTCCTTCTGTATGAGCAGCAGTGTGAGTGCCGTAACCGAGAGGTCTTTAACCCCTCCATAACAATGGACTAGCGGCGGCCTTCTATCTGCAGGGATGGTCGTGACGAGAGCGGCGACGAGCGGTATAGTCTCTTCAGGGATGCAGCAGGAAATGGGAGAGAACCTCGCTGGGTCCGTGCGCTTATCGATAGCCAAACATATACTAAAAAGGGGAAGGATCCACTTAACACTCACCCTCCGTCCCCCGCTAACCCTACCTTTGTAGGCCATCGCCGGTCTATGCCCATGTCTATCGGTTCTATCAGACCATCACTATGCATCTGAGCACCTGCCGAACATTGGACCGTCCAAGGGTCCACAGACGAGTGCCCACCCGGGCTCCCCCAAGGAACAGCTCCACATCAACCCCGGCCTCGAATAGCGGGTCAAAGATAGCAAGAGATAGCCAGAGGACAATACCCTCCCAGATCGTCGGGAAATAGCGTCGGAGCGATAAACATGCGGGATACTGTAGAAGCAGGCTGATAGCAAGGCGTGGCTCCAGGGCACCTTGAACATTGCCACCTCCCCAAGGACCCTGGCTCTGGTGCTGCTATTGAATATAAATATATCGGCATCACTGCCGAATACTGATCTACGCCCTTATTCCTCAGATCCTTACCATGGCGGACATTGAGAAGACCCCGCAAGCGGACACCAACACTCCTTCACTCCACGGATCCGCGACTGGAGATATCGCTATTCTTCACGAACGTCAAGTGGAGCACATTGATATCGGCCTCGGACTATACCAGAAGTCTCTCCAGTACGACCCTGAGCAGCTCGCCCGCGATGCTCTCAAAGTTCGACGAAAGCTCGATTGGCTGGTGCTCCCCATGCTTTGCGGCACCTACTTGATCAGTTTCCTCGACAAGCAGACGTGAGCTCTAGATCCACCACGCCCATATGCAGTGCAACTGACACATAGCAGTCTCAACTATTCGAACGCATATGGCCTGCAGGAGGATACTCACATGAAAGGCGATAACTATTCCTGGGTGGCTTCAGGCCAGTACTTCGGCACAATGTTAGGCGCCTATCCGGCGAACTGGGCGCTGCAGAGATTTCCTGTCGGCAGACTTCTGGGTATAATGTGCTTCGTCTGGGGTATTGTCTGCATGCTCCAGGCCGCTGTGTTCAACTTCGGCGGCTTCATGGCAATCCGGATCGTCATGGGCTTCGTCGAAGCTTGCGTCTCCCCGGCTTGCGTCCTGCTCACCATGAGCCTGTGGACGCGCGAAGAGCAGCCCTGGCGATCCAACTTCTGGATCGGAACGAACGGAGTCGCTAGTATGATCGGTGCGCTCCTTGCATGGGGGCTCGGTCATGCTACCGGTCTTGCGGTCCCCAACTGGAAGCTTATATACCTCGTCGTTGGAGCAATGACTCTCGGATGGGCTGTAGTCATCACCCTATATCTACCAGACGGCCCTCACAATGCGAAGATGCTCACCGAGTACGAGCGCGTCGTTGCCGTCTGGCGCATCTCCAAGAACAAGACGGGCGTCAAGCACAGCAAACTACTCCCATACCAGATGAAAGAAGCTCTCTTGGACCCAAAGACGTACCTTGTCCTGTTATCCGGCAGTGCCCTTGGCATACTCAACGGCTCCGTCACTACCTTCATGAGCACGCTCATCAAAGGCTTCGGCTTCGATTCCTTGAAGACTAGCCTAATGCAAATGCCGGGCGGCGCTGTAGAAGTGGTGTGGTGCTTCTCGTTCGGCTACATCAGCACGTTAGAGAACATGATGGGTGCATCACTCCTGCGTAAGTGGCAAACCCCAGTGGGTTCGCCTTCTACTGATTGACATCTCCACAGTTGGTTGTGTCCCCGGCTTCGCTGGCCTTGTTGGGCTCTTGACTATTGATCGGACCAAGCGCTATAGCCTCCTAGCATGTGCATGGATACAAAGCGCCCTCGGCTCACCGATCGTTCTGAACTGGCAGGTCTGTTGTTCCCGCCTCTCTGGCGCAAGCTTTGCTCATTACGCCCAGATCCCCGGTTTCAATGTATCAGGGCATAGCAAACGCACAGTCGTCCAAGCTATGCAATTCGCAACCTTCGCAGCCGGTAACGTGGTAGGACCACACCTCTTCCTCCCCAGGGAAGCGCCTAAATACAAGTCGGCTATCACGGGTCTCCTCATTTGTTACTGCATTGCCATGCTCTTGCAGGTTATATACATGGGTCTTTGCTTCGTCGAGAATAGGAGGAGGGATGCGAAGGGCTATCGTGCGCAGACAGAAGAGGAGGCAAGGGAGGGTTTTGAGGATCGGACTGACCTGGAGAACAAGCACTTCAGAGTAAGCCGCATCTGATTGTCTCTTAATCGTCCAACCGCTAACACAAGTGCAGTACCGGATATAAGTTAAGTTATCTCCAGCCTCAGTGGGGACCCATGTAGGAGGGCTGTTAGCGTTGGCATGGGTGTGTCTATCGCACATGATTCGCATCTTGGCTACCCCACCTCATTCCTATCCACCCATGCATTCTTATCAACCCTTCACCCCTCCTCTTTTCAAATTCATCTGTGAACCCTCCCCACCATGTCATGAGCCGCCATGAACAGCCGGTCCCGCGCCGGATGCGTCGACTGTCGGAAAGCTAAGGTGAAATGCGATGAACGGAAGCCCACGTGCGGGACATGCTCCCGAAGAGGAAAAGCATGCCATGGCTATGCTGCGACAACGTTGCGGAAGCCCCTAAGATGGACGACAACAGTATTCAGCACTCAAAACCCACCAGCAAAGCGGTCGCGAAGAAGCATGACACGGGCACCCGGCAACAACCAGCGCTTCGTCTATCCACCTCAAGCTCGAGGAACTGCTGAGCAGGATGATGGAGGCCATGCCACGCAGCCGGATCCCGTTACTCTCGCGCCAATGGAGGAGGTTATGCAACGCAGCAGTTCGCACTCCGTCTTCCTACGGGAGCCCTCTCTGCCCCGGGAGCTCTCGTTCTTCTCCAGCCCGAGCATCACTCCCGAAATCTCAATGGGTATCGCCATGTACTTCGCTCGCCACCCGACCGAACTTGTGTTTGGATCCGCGCCCTTCTTCATTCATGAGATGAATACGCATGTGCTCGGAGTCCTGCAATCTGATGTGGAAGCAGTAGGCGACGGGCTCTGCGGGATCGGGTCTGTGTATATGTATAACCAAGGTTGCAGTTCTGGTCTGGAGCTGGCTCTGGGATCGAGAATCAAGACGCTGGCGAGAATTCGAAAGAGTGGCCACGAGGGCCTCGGACGCTTGACCGTCGAGCAGGCCGTGGCCATGATACTGGCTCTCGTCAGTATGGAAGTAAGATGTCCAACTATCTACTCTACTTTCTTATCGCCAGCTTACGACGAACAGCTGATTGATACCCACTACGATCCGGCTGAGTCGTCTCTAGGTGCGCTTCATTCGGCTGCCGCCGCCATGATCCACCATTTTGTTTCCGCAGGCGTCAAGTTATCCTCCACAGCGAAATACATGACCCGAGCTCTGGCTAGAGAGGATATGGTCATGTCGCTCGTTTATCGAAGAAGGAATCTCATCGCCACCTCCGTTTGGCTCGACGATGAATGCAAAGCGAGCGCAGATCGCTTCATGGGCTTCACCATGACACTTATGCCACTGCTAGAAGAGCTTTGTGGCCTGGCAGAGGACGCGGCACAACAAAATGACCACCCCGTCCTAACTGATCTAGATGGGAGTCTCGGAATGGATGGCGCTCAGACAAAGCTTGAGTCTCGTGCCGAAGACCTTCGTACACGCCTATCACTCTGGCGCCCGCCCTTCATCCCCACCTTCTCCGGCCCATCGTCGCGCAAATTCCTCCTTCACGCCGCCATGTACCGTACAGGCGCACTCCTCTATCTCCACCGCCTTCTCCACCCTCACGGCTCGTCCCCCTCCCACGACAAGGAGGCTTGCCTGATCGCATACGACGTCTTCGCCCAACTTTCCCCAGAGGCCCGCGACAACCGTCTTGCGCTCTTCCCTATCTTCCTTGCGGCCTGCGAGTTTCAGAAGGACGAGGATAGGCGCATGGCGGAAGAGTGCTCGGAAGCTATGTATAAGAGTCGGAATACGTATTCGACGTGGGTGACGGGTCGGTTTGTTAAAGAGAGAGTTTGGAGGGCTAGGGATGCTGGGGAGGACTGGGGATGGATGGAGTTGGTGCGAAGGTGGGGCGGTGAATGCGTGCCTATTTGACGCAAGTAACGAACAGGTTGATTGATATTTGCTACAAACCCACAGTCAATTTTGGATTAGGCATTGGCGATCCTACTAAGATTAGGAGTAGTAAAGCTGTAGCAACGCAAAGCCATAATGCTATCCATGCAAAGATCTATTACCTTATCAAAGTGGTAGTCTACCAAATCAAGACTATCTAGTACCTAGGTCTTCCGCAGCTAGTGACATGACGTGATCCGACTTCGACAGTGATAGCCGCCAATGCATATCCACAGGTACCCCCTCCCTCGAGCGGCATTCGACACCAACATCATAATCGGGCCCAGCAGTTACGGTCCACATCCCCGAATTTTCCGTCGTCGGTTGCACCCATCTGCCGTGGCGTGGTTCAATGTCGAAGCGCATGATAAACATCGCCGTGTATGCTAGGACTTCTGTGGTTGCAAAATGCCGACCAGGACAGAGTGTTGTTCCTCCTCCAAAGCCACGGAATTCAACCGCATTAGTCCTCTTATTCGCTTTAAGAAAGCGTTCGCAGTCGAATATCCCAACATTAGACCCCCAAACGGACTGGTCGGTGTGCTGGACCGATTGAGGAAGTAGAACTAGGGCCCCCTTCCGGAGAAGAAACTTGCCATCCAACATAAAGTCCTCCATAACCAGACGAGCCGATGCGCCGACGGTGTGTAAGCGCAACGTTTCCCGGAAGGAAGAGAGGAGTGTGGGGCAAGAGGATTTGACGTCAGAAACATCAATCGTCCGGATTAGTCTACCCTTTGCATCTGCACTCTCCTTGGTAGCATTCTCAACCTCTTTTCTGCAAAGTTGTAGCGCGTGCGGATTGGCGAAGAGGTGGTATAAGAGCCAGAATGTCGTGGGCACAATATTGCTTAGTACTCCCAAAGCAGCTCCGACTTCAAGCTTCGCGAGATCCTGGAGAGGCAGTTTGTAGTCGATGCTGTGGGCGTAATGTGCCTTGATTAGGGCAGAGGCCTGGCCGTGGAGCCCGTTCCGGAAATACCTTTCGAAAGCATCTGCTATCCTCTTGCGTGCCTGGACGGTGTCTTTCGCAAAAACGTCTAAGCCCATCAGGAGCTTAATGATTCCGGGCTCAAATTTCCTGGCAGCGTTAGAAACAGACGTTCTGTTAGTCTCTGATCTTGACGTACCAATAGGCCTCTTGGACGGCTGGATCTCGGAGGGTGAATCGTTTTGTAGAACATAAACATGAAGCCCCAGTCGCCTTTTCTGCCGTCGACGTTCTCATACACGATGCTGTGCGATTCTTCACTAGGAGCCAGGACACGAATCATTGCCTTGGCTTCTAAAGGCGGCATTGCCAAGATCTTTGGTTGCTTCTGGACAGCCTGGACAAGGGAAGCAGAGTTAACAACATATAAGCGCATCCCGGGAAGGCGTAAAGTCTGGATAGGAAAGCGATATCGGTCTCTGATCCCAATTTTAGTATTTTCTTACGCCTTAATACGCATGTTCCGGGTGCTTACCGGAGATCCACATAGTAGTTCCACTTTCTCCTGCTGAGACCAATGATTGGTTCAAGGAACGGTATCGTAGTGCCAACAGGGGGAGGCTCGCTGGGGCATTGAGTAAAACGAAGAAAAAGACAAGAGAGGACGTAAAGAACGACAACACCTGTCGCTGCCTGGGTGATAGTAATGACCATCTTGATGTCTCTGAGGTTGAAGACGTAGTATCAACGAGCTCACTCATTCTTATGGGAGCTTGACACTAGTGGCAAGGCCAAAGCTGCTCCGGCCCACACAGACCATCCCAGAGCGCCCCAGGGGCCAGTATCAAAAATGTGGGTTTGCGTAGGGCGAAAGGCTGTATCCCCCTGCAAGTAGGCCTTTGAGTAAATGACTTTAGAGTGAGACAGCATTGATTTGCTGCAAAAGGTCATCCAGTCTCGGACTCCGAGAGATGCGTGAAGCATGTACTACCTAATTACGCGGCGGTGGTGCTCAACTTTGGTATTGCTGCAGAATTCTGTTCTCTTCATTTCCAAGCCACCTATTGGTCCGGCATTTTGTGCAACTCTTGGGAGCTGCTCACTGCAGCATTCGTGCACCATGTCCGAAATATCGAATAACACGATCAATCATCTGACTGGTTACTGTAACAGCCCGAGCACCACAACGGCCGCACCGGACACAGATAGTTTCTTGCCGAGAAACCTTGGGTCGATGTGTTTCGGTAACGAGTGAATAGTGGTGGCATTCCGTATGTTTCGCGCGCTCGGATACTGCGCCTCCCGCCTTTATTCACCGATGTCGCACATATGCGTGAAAATGTCAGGGTCCCGTGTTTCCAAACAAATGCGGTTGCCTGAAAACGTCCACGTGGGACGAAAATGGCTCTGCAAACATTGTGTTCATTTCATTTACTAAGAGCATTACATACAATTACAGATCCGTTGGGATCAACCGAAACCGGGTCGGTATGTGTAAGAGCACATCTTCGAGTCGCCATTCGCTATCGGGCGGATTGTGTTAGGCTTCTTCGCGTGTTTGGACGTTAGTGCCCTCCACAATCCCTTTCTCAGCAGCTGTCTTGACGTTGCGATGCTCCATCCCAAATGTGAAAGCAAACGCAAGACATACAACCGCGAGAGCGAAGATTAGAGCATGACGGATCGCACTAGCGTATGATTCCAGCAGAATGCGAAGCAGCTCTGGCGTTGGTGCAAGACGTTGAAGGTCGGAAGCGCCAGCCGCAATCACGGCTGCAGGGGAAACGAGTGACGTTCTCTTCGATAGTTCCGAAGTCAACTGGTTGAGGAATAGAGTTTGACCAACAGCAAGGCCAATGGAGCTGATGAGAAGTCAGAGCTGTAACTCATAGTCGGCTGCAACAGAGACTTACGCTCCAAGCTGGTAAGCAAATTGCGAGATCGCTAGGTGTTGTCAGCGAAATACTCAAATCCGTGCCACCAAACTTACCATTCCCTAATGGTATATCAATCTCCCTTGTGGGAATTAGCGAAGCGTCGCGCATACAGTTGGACTGTGGCATGGACTCACGGAAGCACAACCTGTACAGCTGTGTATGGCAGGTTCACGCCAATTCCAGTCCCTATACCAGTCACAACCATGTATGCCGCCCACTTCAGCGTAGGCGTGTCTGTGTCAAGAGTGATAAGGAAGCCTGAGCCGACGACATTTATGGCAGTACCGACTATCATGTATGGAACCTTTGGCCGGATGGTTAGTAAATATCTGGAGCATTTGAAGATCATCGGACTTACATAATGACCCCACTTCGTAGTGAGCGCGCCCGCCAGAATCAGTGCGAAGATCTGAGGCAGTGCTAACGCCATGAACTGGAGCCCACTTTTTGTAGGAGAGGATCCTTTGATTGATTGGAAGTAGATTGGAAGATAGTACCCGTACTGTCTGTACTTAGCATTTATGTGCTTGCAACCAATTGGGGTACTTACGACATAGGCCGACATAGCTGACGAGAACAGGAACAAGGCGCCGAATAAAATTGAGCGTTGCCTCAAAACCCTCAGAGGTGTTGTCGCGTTTTCGCCCATCTTGTACTGCGCGAAGCAGAAAAAGAAAAAGAGCATGCCGAATCCTATGAAAAGTCCGATGATGGTTGCCGACTTCCAGGGTTTCGAATGTCCCCCCCATTGAAGAGCGAGGAATAAGCAGCAAACTGCAGCGATTATGGTAGCCGCCCCAATTGGATCCAGCTGCTTCATCTGCTCGAGGATCGTGCCTGGATGGGGTTTGTCTTCTTTGTGTTTGAGGAATATCAGAACTAGGAAGAAAGTGAAGGCCCCGATAGGAACGTTCCTACACAACGTTAGATGAGCGGAGCCTGAGCTGGGGGACACTCACACCCAGAAACACCAGCGCCAGCTAACGCCTTGAGTAAAGGCACCACCCAACACCGGCCCCACGCACGCGCTTATGCCGAACACGCTGATGACGATTCCCATATACTGTGGGCGCTTCTGTAATGGCACAGTGTTTGTAATGATGTTCAAGGCTCCCTGGAAAAGGCCGGCAGCTCCACATCCCGCAATGGCTCGCCCAACAATGAAAACTGCCGATCTCGGCGCCGAAGCGCATATAATCGAACCGACTATCCCACAGTCAAAATTATTACACATCGCTGTCGGAAGAAGAGGGGACATACCTTCAAAGACTGCTACACAAGCCAAATAGGTGTTCTTGACGCTGTACAGCTTGTAGATCCTTCCGAAAGAGGGTTGAAGAGCTGTTAATGTTATGAGGTACGCGCTCCCATACCAAGCAATGTCATCAAGGGAGTGGAACTGCGTTGTGATGGTTGGTATGGCGATGCCCACGATAGTGGTGTCCAAGGCGATTAAAAATGTTCCCAACGCGAGAGAAAGAGTAACCAAAGCAAGACTCCAAGAACCCCTGGCCATGGGCTTCTGGGGTGCTGCATTTGGGGACGGAGCAGTGCCAACGCCCTTTTCGCTGACGGAATCCAACGTTTTCGGCGTCCGATCGAGAGCATCACCTGGGATAGTGATAAACTCTAGATCCTGCGAAACGTGTTCTGATGAGCGTTTTGGAATCTTTGGTTCGGACGCCATTACGGTAATGGGAAAGGGAAAGGCAATGAGGTGGAAATGGTGGGAACGAAGGAGATCAAGAGAGCGGGTGAGCCGCGCGTAAAGAAACAGCTTGTGTCGAGCGAACAGCAGAGGCCCGAAGAACAGCCGGAATCAATAGCTTCTGGCCGCCAAGAACAAATCAAACCTGGGCGGCGCAGCTATTCCCTTCTGTCTGGAACCGGTTGCGCCCTCATCTACGGTGCATTGATTCCCGGCTTGGCATTGCCAAACCACTGGGACCAGTATCTGTTTGTACGTGCGCTCATTCTAGAGAAAGTCTTCTGAGGCAGTTACACGGCAGTCTGTAGTGAGATCGGTTAGAGGAAATGTGAAGAAGCGATGGGGCGACCAGCCATGTTCGACGTACGAAGTGAAGGCCGATGGGCTGCGCCGCAACAGAAGCTTACTTGAAGTATTCATCGTCTGCATCCGACCAGCGCCCTTCAGATCACCAGGTTAATTTATAGCATGTATAGTCGGTGATACAGGGAATGCTGGCTCAGGTGAGCGCACACGGGCGAATCTGCAAGGACTGAGGCTCTCCCTTTCGAGCGCCGTTCGTAAGAAGCGTCTCCATTGATGTGTGGCCATTCAACGCCGATGTTGGTGATACTAGCCCACTGATGGATGGAAGCGACCGTCGTTTTTACAAGGCCTTTACATGGCCTCAGCTTGCTCTGCATTCGAGTGCGCGATTAGGGAGAACACGATCGAGATCAAAGCGGCCAAGTGAGATTTTAGTCTATTCTCTATGGAACACAGACTGGGATGTACGCCATATGAATAGCAAGGAAAGATCCAATCTGGAGAGATGAGAAGGTCGGGAAAAAAAGTCTCCGCTAGCTACTTCTTCGCTGAGCATCTGCACCACGACTTCAATAACATGTGCATCCAAATAGAGCCGTGGCAGCCGAAGATAACTTACTGCTTGCTTGGAGCTATGGCTCTCAACTGCACATGATAGTCATCGTTAATGGAATCAAGACCTCCGTAGCTAGCATTCATTGTATCAGAGCTTTGCTTTGACCAATTACTCTTTCCAAACAACGATCCCAATCCAGTCAAGGCGGGTTTCGGTATCGAGAGACGGAGTCTATCAATTATGGGGCGAGCAGGTGGGCCTGCGGTTTGTGCGGCGGCGTGCAATTTGCGTTCCGAGCTAGTTTGGCGCGCTCTCCGGCGTTTGAATAGGACGATTAACACCGGTAAGCAGCTGCAAAGGATTCCAGCATTTAACTCCACAATTCTATTCTTTATTAGCACAGCCTCATGCGGACAAGGGGATTGACAATATGTACCCGAGTGAGTAAGCAGGGACAGTCACCCAGAGCGGGTCTTGAGAAGGCTTGGCCTTGAAACGGTATACTGTGCCCACGATGGAACAGATGCAAGCACTGTACCCTATCAGTGAAGTTCTACAGACTTGCCGTAGAAAGAAATAGGGTCCTACATGAAACCGGTGAAGAAGATACCACAGACGCTCAGCTTGCGGCCAAGAGGCAAATGAAGACCCATGACGAGGTGCATAGGAATGACCAAGATGTAGAAGTCGATAATCACGCCGACAACACCCTGGATTGATGGAACCAGAAGAAGAGCTGTTGTCACGGACTCCGGCTTTGTTGAAGTCCATCCGTTCTTCTGCCCCTTCGGTGGGACATATAGTACGATCGTGGCGATGGAGCAGGCGACGTAGAAAACGGCTGTGAATATGATTCCTACCCATATCATAACCCTCGTGTGGTGGACCGGGTGGAAAACTCGAAGGTAGAAGACGAGCAGGGTTACTTTGACGAAGATGGCCGAAAGGGCGTAGAGGCATTGGGAAGCGAGGTTTCCCTGTTGAAAAGTGCTGTTACTACCGGGTGCTACGTGTATAGGACGAGGTGGGCCTACCTTCGCATAATCCTCGGTCAGACGGCTTACTGGAACGTCCCATGTATGTTCTCCGAATGGACCCTCGAGAACTTCACAAGTAAGAATTGGAGACCATGTAGTTTCGTAGCGATAGCTTACGGTCTAGAAATATGCCGCAGAAAGCGAGAACACAGATCTTACTCAGGGTTAGCCATGATCCGCAAGCCGACGGCAAGGCAGGGCCCCTTAGCGTTCCAGATTCCTTCCGCTACGGAGCCTTCTTTTATTGCTGTCCATTCCGCGGAACGTATAGGGGGAATTATTTCCGTGAGGGGCACTGCGTCAAAGGCAGCTCGACTTACCATTGAGACGATGACGAGGTCTGGATGGAGTTAGTGTCTGTGGTCGCATACCCGAGGCAGACTTACAGTCATCTGCTCCCCACGAGCGCTGGATCCTCGCTCGAGTGTATAGACGCAGGAACAGAGGTACGATCGTTAAAGGCAACATAACATACATGACTATTCGCGGCTGACTGTCGAGCGATGGTGGGTTGACGAAGTTTGAGACAGTTCCCGGCGGTGGCGCTATGGCTGGTATGTGCTCCAGCATGGAGGGGTCAATGTTGTTGACGTCCATTGCTTCTGATCTTCGATCGGTGGGCGATGATGTAACAAGTTCCCTGTTTTGGCAGGAGAAGAGGTTGGTAAACACGATGTTTTGTACGGAGACGGCTGCGAACAGAGACCACGTGGGAATGTTGCGTTAAAGAGGTCAGAGAGGTTTCCCTAAGAAATGTCGAGCAAAGCAGATCTCCTGAAGGGTGTAACGAGCCCGCCCTGCCTTGTCTCGGTCTTCGTGTTTATACTGCGCCCAGCACAAGCGAGCCAGACATCACGAGCAATTTTGCATCACCCTGCGCGTTGCCGTTGTGTCTCTTGACATGCAGCATGCGTAAGCGTGCGCATCGATAGATAAACTGGTGAACCATTCCACCACCCACTTTGGGAAAGACAGGCTTGGGCTTACAGACATTGGTGAGGCTCACTGAAACTCGTGGGGGCTATAGTAGTGGATGGTATGCATGCCCAGCTTTTTGCGGGCATCAAAGTGAATGCGCCGGGCGCTAACCCGGCTGGCAAGTCGTGGGGGATGCTTGATTGGGTGATGAGGTTGCACGACTCTGTGGCTCAGCCTACCTGATTCTGCTTGTCGAGCTGGGTTCAGCCCAACCAACACCACAAATTGATTTAATTACCGCTTCGACGAATGCTCTCCGCGATGATGTTCACCAGGCATCTTGAAATGATGCGTAGCTAGCAGCGGGACGTAGACGTTGCGCCCGAAGTCCGTGCTGTAAGGCCCCTCCTGCAGGCAGGCCGTTGGAAGGCGATTCTCGCCTCGGGGGCTTCCCTGCGTCAGGCTGCATCAGTAGGCCGATCACTGCTCGGACCACGCGGCTAGCCGCAACCAAATGCTTATTGCCACAGCTTTCTTGGGGGCACAAGTCATGATATCTTTCAGGTGCTATAAACGAAGTGCTACGGGAGAAGCTCGTCGAAGCATCACACGACCGATCATTCCTCTCGCGTTCCATCATTTCGACCCGTTCTCGGCAGCCAACCCCAGAATACTCGCCAACTTTTCCAGCAACATGCTCTCCATTGAGATTCTTCTCATTCTGTCGCTCACCGTGGCTTGCCTGCTTTTGGTATCGCTACTATACAAGCTCCCCGTTTGGCTCAAAGCAATAAATGTCGCAATGGCGGTTATGGAAATGCCAATTCCAAGTGAGTCTCTTTTTCTAGCAAAAATCCATGCTCATAGTCTGATCGGCTTTTTTCCTCTCAGGAACGAAGATTCACTAAGGAATGTTTGTACGCAATTGTGTTGAGACTGTGCACTGCGGGGGGAGACTTGGAGCTTCACTTTTCGCGGTCACTCTTGGAGGCGTGCATATCAGAGGAAGATAGTTGGCAGAGAATGTAATGGCGGTGGCCAAATTGAAAGTCGGAATGCTGCACTGGAGAGACCTAATTCACATTGGCCCTAACAAAGCTGGTCTTGGGGAAGTTTGGCTGCACCGCTACTTCATTTGCTACCGATTGCACGCATAGGACTCAGATCTATAAGGGAAGGAATGTAGTGAATTTGTTTTCGAGGAATCCTTACTATCTGTTATGTGTAGTACGAATGAACTTTTCCCTCACATTTATAAGAAACAAAGTCGAATATCTCTATGCACCTGTAGAATGAGTATCCTCGTGGAGCTATTTGAAACTCTTCTGCTACTCTTCTTGCGTGACTAGTTCCACGCGACACGGGTAGCCATCCGAGGGGTGCGTCCCAGCCTTTTCAGACTGGTAAGCCCTGTCACCGTGGACCGTATTGATCCCTTCACCCCTGGTCCAGATGGCCACCCTCTCCCATATACCACGCTTCTGCTCCTGCAACCGGTCCCATTCTTCGTAAGCGGGCTTCACATTGAATGTTCTTGCCGTAAGGATCAGCACAATCTTGATTTCGTTCAAAGTCAATGGCTGCCCAATACAGGTACGGGAGCCAATGTCAAATGGACGATAGGCATTCTGTGGTGGGTAAAGCTCATGGCCTGGGCCAACAAGCCACCTCTCCGGGAGAAACTCTCGTGGTCGAACCCACACGCGGGGGTTTTGATGAACAGTCTGCTGCACAACGACGATGTTGAATCCTTCCGTGGGAAGCAACTGACCATTCAATGCGGGAAGCGAAATTCCTGGTTGCCCTCGACGCATATTGGCAGCGGGTGGGTAGAGTCGAAGAGTCTCCTTGACACAGGCAAGGGTGTATGTACACTGATTGAGCAGCGTGGGATTCTCTTTTAATAGGTGAGCCGCTCCAGAAACGTCGTCGCCAAATACAATGTCATGTTCTTGCCTCAATCGCGCCAGCGCTTCGACATGTTGGGACAGCATGTGGAAAGCGAAAGCAATAGTGCTCGAAGTCGTGTCGTTCCCAGCAAAGAGAAACAAGCGGATCTGGTTGGTGACAGTGTCGATGAAGGACTTGTCCAGCTTCTGCGGCTTTTGGCCATCTTTTCCCATCTCTTGGCCACCACCGATGTATGCCTCAAGAGCAAGCGATATCACCGAGTGTGCTGGTTTGGCGTTTGTTTGTTTAGGATTCTTCATTTCCAAGAAGCTCTTCTCAAGCTCCCTCTGGACGTATCTATTGATCACATTCCCGTTGTATGTCTGAACGATCGGCCGCAAGGGGTTCCATAAGATTCGGACGTCCCAGAAGGAGTGCCACTTTGTGATAGTATCGAATGCCGTAGGCAGAATGTGCTTGCCGCGTTGATAATTGACGTCGGCATCTCTGTGGAACTTGTCAGTTGAGCGCACATATACGCCAGGGATAACTGAGCAAACTCACAATGTGACTTTCATGATCACTTCGAAAGTTAGACGGGTAGCAAAGTCGTCCAGGGATATGATCCCATTGCCCGAGCTCTCTCGCAGCTTATCACAAAAGACCTGAACGCAATCGACGATGAAGGGAACGTGGTTCATCATATTGGATGCGCTGAATCCGGGATTGAGAAGGGACCTCCATGTCTTCCACTGGCTGCCGTTCATCGAGACAAGACTCTGGCCCCCCACAATGGGCTTAATGGCTTCGCCAGACTGTGGAGGCCTCGGGAGGTTCCATTTCTGGGATATCAAGGTGCATGCCTCGGGGTTGAAGACGATGATCGAGCTTGGGTAGCCGGGCCACATGTCCATTAGAAACATCTCAGTCTCAGTGAACTCCTGGCTCATCTCTTGCATAGCCAAAACGACGTTCGCGAGGGGCGGTAAGCGCTTCGTGTAACGGAATATGACGAGATTGTGGCCAAACCACCAGCTCCACTCAGCGGGCATCGGCTACGGCAAAATTAGAGTACAGTTACATCAACTTTGATAGCGGCAAGAGCAGCAACTCACGAAGCCCTGTTTCCGGAGCTCATTGATACGAGCACGGTGTCGATAGCCCGACAAGACGAAATACGCAACCCCAGTTGCCGCTAGTATTGCGATAGCAGCGAGGAAGTTGTTGGGGGCCATGGCGAACGAAAATTGCGGCGAAGCCGGTGCTGGCAATGGGCTGATATTGTTGGGCGGGGCGGAATCGATATGACGTAGTGTGGGTGAGAACGGAGTGAGAGCGGATTGACAGGTGTGGTGCCTCGACAGAGGGGTCGAATACCTCGCAGCCGGAGAGGGCAAAGAACAAGAAACCATGCATGAAAGAAAAAGAAGGCAAACGGTGGTCGGGCGCTAAGTGGCCCATGCATGCGCAGGCGCCGGACATCTCACGGTGCGGAATTCTCCGGATAGAACGACGTGCACAACAGCTACCCTGGAGGCCTTCGCGGGTGCGTACAATGGACGAACTAGCCTTACTTGTACGGCGAGCCCTTAGACCCAGAAAGAGCGAGCCTTGCATGTAGGGTAGCACGAAGGACGAAAGAAGGGCACGAGCGGCTGCGCCGGGATATAGCCGGTAAATTTGCATGTGACGTGGTTTCGTATGCGGCGTGGTTCTTCGTGCTCTTGCTGCGGGGTGAACCAAAGCGGCGGAATCCAAGCCTGCGCACTGAGGTTACTCAGATAGTCATCCTCTCTGAAACACGCCGAACGGACAATAGAATCAGACGCAGGAAACAGTTGTTGAACATGAAGGAGCTAGTATATAATGAGTCTTAGTGCACGACCAGGTCACGTCAAGCCGATTGTATTTGTGGCTCACCTTTCACTTCTTTCACTTCATGCACCTCCTTGTACTTAGCTCAGTCCAGCAGATATGTTGCAAGTCCTTTTCTACAAACTCTTCCTCGCAGTAGCCTTCGGATATGTACGCATCGGCCTGATCTTTTTGGCTGCCTGTGTAACATGGAGGGCGTTCACCATCTACCGTATACATCGAAATCGTCCTGTATGCATGTCCGTCCAAAGGCTTGCAACATCGCTAAATTCCTATAGAGAAACATCTATATCACCTCAAAGTCGTATTCGATCGGCAAATGGGTCAAGAACTTCGATTTTATCACCAATGCTCCGACTCATATCCTTCGAACATCCCGGAAGCTAGGCTACTCATCGTCGTTCGCTATCCCTTCCCTTGTTGAACACCAGGTACTTGTCGCAGGTCAACAGGATGTTGAGGCGCTTTGCAACAGCAGTGAAGGGGTCCTCTCTTTTCATGAGGCTATGACGGATGTAAAGCTCCCCTTCTTCACTCCACCGTAAGCGCATTCATGATGCTAACCGGATCACAGAGAATGAAACACTATTACACCATGTACGGCTTCGAACACAACAACATCGACCCACACGATAACGTTCCAATACGTGCTGTCAAAGTCCTTCTTCGAATGCATATTCCAGTCCTCCGGCCTTTGATTCGCCGCAAAATCCGCGAAGGATTTGAGACAGCGGTGGCTAACGGGCACAGAGTAAAAAGTAATTGGGCGGACCCTCTATTTAAAGCACCAATATTGCTAATTTCCTTCACAGATTGGTCGTCTGTCTCGATCTTTCAGCTTTCGAAGATGGTCATTGAGGAGTCGAACGCCCAAGTCATCTTAGGCGATGAACTCGGTATGTCAGATCAAACATGCTGGCATTCGTCTCACTCAGACTCTGATATGGCTATAGGAAACAATCCCGAGTGTGTCAGGGCGGCTATTCGGTATAGCACGGACGCAGTAATCACTGCCGAAATTTGTCGACAGCTGCCCCCTATGTTCACGCCGTATGTAGCCCTTTAATACCACCAAAATTGGGGTGACTCACAAATGCAGCATCATCGCCACGACACTTATGCGGTGGAGCGGCGCAATGGACAAAGTCGCCAACTTCATTCGACCGGTAGTGGAAGAACGAATGCGGACGCCTTCGAAAGAATCGAGCAATGCCACTTCCTACGTACAATCTACCCCGATGATCAGAGTCTCTGAGCCCCTTGTTAACAAGTCTGTATAGAATGACTGCATCCAATGGACCATTGACTCGTCACATACTCCGGCGCAGCGAGCTACCCCACGACTTGTAGCACAGATAATCGGTATTCTCCTTGCGTCTTCGCATCAGATGTCAATGGTAAGCTTTCTAAGGACTCACCTCACCTAACACTATCACTTATTTTTGTACTCACCCGTTCAATACAGGTCCTTGTGTATATCATATACGCCCTTTGCGACCACCCCGAGTACATTGAGCCTCTGAGGAAAGAAATTGTCGAGGCTGTAAACAAGAACTCTAAAGATCCCTTGAAAGAAATGCATCTACTGGACAGCTTTTTGACGGAAACATCGCGCCTCTATCCCCCAGACGCCCGTAAGAAGTCACCTAACCGCCTTAATGGAACCTTTCGCTGACCTGTATTTTCGCAGTAACGGTTCAACGCAAGGTTAAGAAACCATTCACTCTCCCAAGTGGGGCGGTCATTCCGACTGGGAATCTTATTGCCGTTCCAGTCCTTGCTCAGGCTCGCAATCCAGAAGTATTTCCGAACCCTGAAACATTTGATGGACGACGTTTCCTTCTCAAGGATGGCCAAACCAAGGATAAGGATGCAGTATCTCGGTTTACTGATGTTCGCTACTCATTCTCGTTTTGGGGCGCGCCCCGTAAAGGCTGGTGAGACATATCACATTGAATCCTGAAATGCCACATGGCTGACTCGATTGTAGTCCTGGAAGGTGGTACGTCTCCGAAACCTTGAAGCAGGCCATGGTACATCTCCTCGCGAACTATGACTTCGAGTTGGAAGATGAACATGCAAGCCGATTTATGTACTGGACCACCGCTATATTCCCACGGCCAGCCAGGAGGATTCTGTTGAAGGAGAGGGGGATCGTTTGTTAAAGAGACATGCGCTAGTCCAGAAGCTTGCAGATGTGCCTAGGCATATGTACCTGTATTTGGAAGTCTAGTCACCTTTATTAGATATCGGATGATGAACGCATAATTTGCAACTCAGTAACTATAAGATGCTTCTTCGCTTGTTAAATAGCATACATTCACGCCTACACTTGGCTACTACCCTCATCCAACCCCAATCATGACTATGAGCATGTACTTGTGCTAGAATGTAGCAGCAGTCAAGGTTGGAATATCGTCGTCCAACTAGTTCGTCTACTGAACTCATTGTGCACGCACGTGTCACGAATCATCCTACGTCCACTTCCTTCTCTTATAGAGCCCACTCCCTTCTGCTACGATATTCTCTCCCCATTCACACCCTCCCAACCAGCCATGCCTTTCGCCGAATCTCTCATGAAAGCACTAACGCGTTGCATAGCCTGCACCCCGGCCCCTTGCCCAATGGAAAACATCAACTACCGCGCCGTGATTACGAATCCTGTCACCGGCCCGACCGTCATTACAATTCCTACAGTTGCCATTATACCGCCTACGCCTCAACTGGGTGATATTGCGGAAGGTGCTACCCCATCGCGATCTGAACTCAACTTTGACAATCTCGTTGTTAGAGAAGTGCGGTGAGTGGGCGATTTTGAGGGAACGGAGTGAGGGGCATAGGATTGGGTAGGATGGCGGGACTATCTGGCTACGATGCCAGGTTTTGCCAAGAATAGATGTAGGTATGTAGTCTTTTTGACTGATATCTTCAGTAGGTCTCTTGTGTGACATCTGGTCTTAGTATGTCTTAGGGTAAGTCAAGCTCCCGTCTTCGTAATTTAGGATAGTGTCTCACTTTATCGTTGGCTATTAGAATATGTCAAGCCTGATTGTGAGCCCCTTGAAGAACTATGTGGATTCACTGTGGAGTTACTCCCTTCCCATCAGGTATCTCGATGTGTTCGTTCAACATTGTTCGTATATGATCCCACCGACCGTTCGCAGATATGTCGACATACAATGGCTTCCGACTAGCTTTCCTAATCGCTAGTGACCATGGGAAGAAGCATATATACTCCCCCGCCACTCTGTACGACTTCTTCAATCCCCTCTCCAGTCTCACCTAACAAGCAACGCTACAACATCACCGCATACCAACATCCCCCAAGATGACACCTAGAATACTAAACCGCCTCTCTCGTACCCTGACCCGCCGCTCGGAGGTCACGGAAACTCTTTTCGAGACTCTCCTCCGCCAGCTAGACGCCGCCGAACGAGCGAATCCCCGGGAACCAGGTAAACCTGGGTATCCAAAACATCACCCTCAAAATACGGGGCCCGTTGCAGACGGCTTATGGCTGTGCTGCCACTGCCGCACGGAGAGCGAGCTCGAACTCTGGCGCGGCGACTATCCCTTCAAGCATCTAACCTGCCCGCGTTGTGATCACATCATTTGCCGAGAATGCTGCACAACCGCCGTCTTTACTCCCCTGGAAGAAGGCTCAGGCCGCGTGCTGGGCTGGCGTGGATCGCCAAACGAGGAGCCGCGCTTTGGTCAGGTGTGTTCGCACTGCGGGCTGACTCACCGCGCGAAGATGGATGAAGTCACGCAGTATCGCGAGCAGACGCTTATGAGCTTCGACTTCCCGGAGTTTCTGTGTGTATGTGGATATGCAGCCGATGACACGTGGATTCACTTCTTCATCGGCTTGGCGGATGAGCATAGGGGTAATTCTGACGCTAGTGCCGCACAGATATCGGTCCAGAAGGCTGGGGGAGCTGCCGGAGGTTTGTTCGAGGCGCGGGACCGGCAACCTTTGATGGTAACGCCGCTGACCCAGCTCCCGCCATATCGTCCACCAGCATCGGATGGTGCAGCTCGTTTGCCGTCCTTGCGAGTAGTCGCTAATGCGGCGAGGTTTGCGAGTTCGTTGAAGCGGCGGGCTCTACGCCGTCTTCGGTAATGGCTCTGTTAAGTAACTAGTTCAAGACGGCGTTAGGTCAACGAGCTCAAGGGAAATAGCTCTGCGGGAGCTTTCATTCCGGTGGTGGCGTGTTGAATGAATAACTAAAGTTTGTGTTTTAATTTCTCCTACAATATCCCTTCTAGTGTATCGATGTCTCCTGGTCTCTTGATCTCGCCCGAATGTCCGATTGGCATCCGCGCGTCTTTTCATACTCATCGTCTCTGGAGTCACTGAGTGCGACACTCTTTCCTTGCCCATTCCTTATGCCCTACTACACATATTTCGATTTATTCTCCGCAACTGAGCTAGCATTGTGCAGCTACGATATCCGGACTTTGCTCTTCACAATGATGACATATATGAGCTCTACCACCATCTATATCCAGCTACAATGGCATTACTCTGTACATCCCTCCTTGGTGGAGAACTCTAACATAGCTATAAGTTCCGCGAGATTGTTCTTCACTGAAGCATTTCACATCAAGAAGCAACCTACTAGAGCAAAAATCAACCCACACGAAAGATGACGCTATTCCCAAACCTCCTCCCGGTCCTACGGTTCCGAGACAAGGCACAAGCAAAAACCGGATCACCACCACCACCGGTGCCGCGCAAGCACCATATGACACCGAGAAAGCTCGAACGCTATCTCGACACCGCTCGTCGAATCGAAGAGCCAAAGTCGCGTGGTGATGGCCTATGGATCTGCTCCTGCGAATATGAAAATACGGTAACGCACTATGAAGGCTTTTTCCCCTTCAAGTACCTCCAATGCGGCAGCTGCAAGAAGCAGCTGTGCGAGGTCTACCGCGACTCTACAGAGATTTTCACACCGCTTCACCCCAGGGCACTTGCGAATCTTATCTGGGTCGGGAAGCCGGATCTCGCGCCGTACTTCCAGGTGTGCACCGGCTGCGGCCTGAGCCATCGAGCGGAAGTTCGCGGAGATCGCGTCGAGTTCGACGATATGCTTTGTCCTTGCGGTGAAGTCTCTTCCAGTAAGTGGAAGCGCTTTCATATCGGCGACGCGAAGCGGTATCGGAAGGATCCTTTCGGTAGCTCGGCGAAGCTGTATATGAAGCGCGTCGAGAAGCGCGTGGAGGAGTCAGTAGCAATCTCCAAGGACCGATCAAACCCAACTCAGCCCAAGGATAAGGAAGCTGCCCAGCGCGTTCGCAAGCATAGGGCAAACCAGCGCCCTACTCGACCACCGGCGCGGCGGCCTGGCGCGCCACCAACAGACAGCGTCTTAGGGAATCGCCCTTTGCGCCCTTATATTTCGTTCGAGCCGCCACCGCTTGGCCGGTATACAAGTGCGTAGAAATATTTGAGCGGGTAGGGTATGATCAATGAGGCTTTTATGAGCGCGGTGACGACGTCGGACGAGTTGTGGGCGTGCTGTAAGATAATCTCTGCAATAGATAGCCCAATGAGTCGGCAGTGTACTGTACGCATGAATATGTCAACGGCCGCCGTGACATATCGAATTGAACAATAAAATAAAATAGAACATGATATGCGAGACTTTGCAGCCCTGAGGTGATTGAAAATGGTCTACCCTACTCCGGTGCCGATCCTTGGGTACGTACCAAGAGCAAGAAAGATCTACCCCGGAGGAAGACTTATTGAGTTCTGTGGCCGCGATTTTGAGCTTCTGAGCAGAACCGTCAGCCTTTTGCGATGCGTTATGCACGTCGATAGTCCCAAGCGTCCCTCAAAAGAATCTTTTCCAAGGTGATTGCGATTCGGGTGTCATACGACTGGCAGTCAGCGGGCATGGAACTATCTGAGGCGTTTCCGCTTGCGCTCGTCCGACGGCGGGATGGCGTGGGCTCATGCGGCCCGCCTAGTCAGGATTCCTTGGTGGTATGACGAGTAGGAGGTTAATCACCCTTCGTCGCGGTTGCTGGGGATAGAGAAGAGTAGATCAGGAAGCGGTTCTCGCATGACAACGGGACGCAAAGAAAGCCGAGCTGATAGAGTAAATGCGTTGTGCCTGGATCATGAGAGAAATAAACCGCAGTCTCATAAGCATCGCCAAATTTCGCCTAAACGTTCCGACCCGTAATATGTGGACGTGATTCGCCGAATGCACATGAAGGAAAGCAGACGCCAAGAATCACCTGCACGCAACCGTTAGCAAATACTTTCCGCCCCACAAAGCTATACATACTTCCGCTCCTGCAGCAACGCCCTGCCCCTAACAGCCATCCTCCCATTCAGCACAAATGGCCCCGGCTCATCCCCCCGCACACAGCGAAAGCGGCTAATTCGTCATCTCTTATAACCCAGGCCGTAGGGAAGATCATCGCCTCCAACGCCATTTTATACGCATTCCCCGCCATCACTCCACCAGGCCGAATAACCCAGGCCCGCCAAACATCCTTATGCTGTCCCGCAAACTCCACACACTTGGTTTCCGCAAGGCCCTTGATCTTCCGCGCGTTGTTGAGGAACTAAAGACTGCGGTTCTGATCGCGCTCGACGAGTGCGCCAGAGTTGTATGAATCGGAACCGTTTCCCGGGGCTCTTTTGCGTTGGGAGGAAGGCCTGTTGGAATGCGAGTGGGTAATTGAGATTGGGTTCCTCGTTTCCACCAGATGTTCCCATCGCCCATATCATGGCATCTGCGTCTGCAATATCGTCTAGAAGGCCAGAATCCCAGTGCTTGAAGTCTCGCACGACGATGTTCTCGCATTTTGGACTCGTCGAAGGTAGAGGCCTCCGCGTGAGCGTGATGACGGATGTGATTTCGGGACGCTGGAGGCACTGCTTGAGGATGACACTACCAATAATGCCCGAAGCGCCGGTGAGTAGGACCTTCATGATGGCTAGGAGTAGGTTGCGAAGCCTCTGAGCCGATTAGCTTAGGGTCCTGCGCATTATAAATAGCGTAATCCACATCTAAAATATAATCGTCTTTAATCCGGTAGCCTCTTAAGCTCGGACCGCAGGAGAACGAGAGCAAAAGAATCGTCGGAGATATTATGGAATCGGGTCAAATGGCCTCTGGCGCCCGTCCGGTCGCTTCATTCGCCTGAGATCCGGGAGCGTGCAGATACCACCACCTTCTGAATGAATAAGAGCCGGGGCGGTTGCAATCCTTCACTTAGTCGGAAGCAATCATTGAAACGCTGATTTTCGGGTTGCCGGACGATTAGGCTGGATTGACTAGAATGACTCTGTCACGTGCCATCTCGGCCGGTCGGGAGTGTTATCGGGCGGGATCCCGTGCTCCCTTTGAGAGGAACGTCATAAAACCATCGCCGCCCTTGTTTGTAATGCGAGAAACTCGCGCTGCTGGTCGTATACCAACTTGACCATGGGTGCCGCGTTGAGTCAGATGTTCCCACCGGCTCCAGCCTTCACCGAAAGGATGTGCCGGACCAAGAAGGCAAGGTGTGTTCAAATAGGCCCTCTACTAGGACCCAGAACATCGAATTGACGCAAAACTTTGCAGGTTTTCCTTATAACCGGAGCGTCAAGCGGAGTCGGCAAGGAACTTGCCCGAATACTCTACCCCCTCAACGCGAAAGTATACACCGCTAGCCGTGCAAGGTCGCGAGGAGAAGCTGCAATATCCGATATCCAAAAGGCCGTGCCGCATTCTAGCGGCTCGTTAGATTTCATTGAAGTCGATCTTGAGGACCTAGAAAGCGTGCGGACCGCAGCCGAAACATTCTTGAAAAAGGAAGATAGGCTGGATGCGCTATGGAATAACGCAGGAACGATGCTTCCTCCGGCCAGAAGCAAGACGAAGCAGGGGTACGAGCTGCAGACCGGGTCGAATACTCTCGCACCGTTCTTGCTTACGGAGCTACTGACGCCGCTGATGGTTCGGACGGTTAAGCAGCAGGGTCCGGGAAGCGTCCGCATTCTCTGGGTGGCTTCCTCGGCGGCAGAGCTGTTCTCGCCAACGAACGGAGTCGACATGAATAACTCTAATGGAGATGGGGTATCTAGCGGAACGCAATACGGAGTAAGTAAGGGTGGAATGGTCCTACTTTCACAGGAGTATGCGAAACGGTACAAAGTTGACGGGGTAATCAGCGTAGTGAGTCGCTGCCGCCTGCCAAAGTAAAGTGTAGTCTGACGAAGGTGCCGTAGTCGATGAATCCCGGTAACCAGAAGACTAATCTGCGCCGGCATGTTAATCCCCTCCTCGCCATTGCCTTCGGATGGATGAGTCATGATCCTATTAAGGGCGCATACACCGAGCTGTTCTCCGGATTTTCCGAAGACATCACACTGGAAAACTCCGGATGCTGGGGTAAGGTCTGCTCAATGCGCGGTACGTAGAATGCTAACCACTCGTAGTCATACCATGGGGACGAATCGTACCTGTTCGCGTAGACATCCTGAAAGCGGGTGTCCCGGAATTAGAGGGAGGCACCGGTGTTGGCGCAAAGTTCTGGGACTGGTGCCAGGAACAAGTCGCTCCGTACATAACCGCATAGGAGTGCCCCTAACCGTGTTCGCGAAGCTGACCTTTCTCTCGAATATCCGTACATCGGTCAGCCGTTGGGAGAGCAATAGCGGGAGGTTCACGAGGCCCAGGGGTACCAAGTTGATGTTAAATTTGATTCCAATCCCAGTTCGGTAAGTCGTGCTCTAGAAGACCGTCGAACAAAATAGCATCTAGATCGGATAGCGAATGCAGATCACCATTTTCCGTCCCGCCCATTGTGAACTGGGGGCCGAACGAGACATGAAAGGGCTCGACATTTGCAGTGGAGTCTGGACAATAATTCACCGGCTGTTGGCGTTGGTTAGGACGCGCCTGTTCAAAGGCAATAGGCGACGTGGTATCATAGACCACCGCCGAAGGAGCATACGGAGGCTCAACAAGCGTTGGGTTGGAGATGTTCGGCATGGTAATGGTGACGGTACCGAAATAGGGAACGGTCAGCTGCAGGTTGCGAGAGGCGCTAGGATCGGCTTTGTGATAGTTGAGCAGCTTTGCGAGGACATCTGCACTCTGCTGTGCTACGCTCTCCCTTTTGCTGCTTTTCGCTAGTCCGTCCATAGAGCGCAGTATTCGCTGAACAAGGCCAATATCACCTCTGCGTTCCGGTCGTGCTTCAAGGCTGGAATCCTGTATGTGAAGAAGTAGGATCGTGACGGCGGCCGTGAACGCGCCGAAGTCGGTTACGCGGCAATGAAGTTGTGTGTTGCCAACGCGGCGAAGGGTCAAGTAGTTCAGTAGGATAGAGTGTGATGAGTCCAGGCAAGAGGTTCGAGAGTAGCCGAATTTTGCCTCTCGCATAGCCCGGAATACGTACGGAAAGTGAGCAAATGCGCGAAGCTGGAAGAACCACTGCGGGCATAAAAGGCGATCAAAGTGTCGTGCAGCCTCCACGGACCGCCCATCTGCGGACAACTGAACACTTCACCAAGATTCCGGCATGGATCTCTCCAACGTGTTCAAGGCTTCGTCAAGGGCTCCAGTGGGAGTATGCCCATGGCTCGTTTGGGAGAGATTGCGATGAGCCAGACGCGTGGCGATGAGCGCTAGCTGCCTTTGGAAATTAGTATCCACATCGGCGAAGGCATCGTTCCAGAAGTCCTCCGGACCGAATGGTTCCTTCCCCGAGCCGGGCTCTAAGCCAAGAAGAGTGCTGACATGGGCGTCAGCCATAACAGCAGAGAGCTACATGCGTCGTTGTGCGATCACTTCCGGGGTACCCGAGGTTCTTGCTGAGACACTATAGCTCCCGTGCAGGCCTAATAGGCGCGACGTGTCAAGAGCTCGACGAAAGGTTAGCCACGCCTTCTGGAGCATACCGTCGTTGATGTAGATCATGCCAAGCAGAAGCAAGCACGTTACGCCCTCGGGAGAGCATAGAAGCTCCTCATCGGCCAGGACGAGAGAGCTGACATTAGCGATGTATGATTCAACCTTGGACTCCGCGTCGTGCATTTCAAGAAGCGCGAAATCGAAATCCGGAGGTAGCTGTTGGATCGACAGCGCTAGGCCTAGGAGAGCGTGACCGACTGCGATAGGTTTGCTCTCGCATGCTGAAGACTGATCGCATAGAGAAGATTGGTTTTGAGGAGTAGGCATGGCTCCGGGAGTGGCGTGGAGATTCAACGCCCATGCGTGGGTGTGCTTGGCAATGAGAGCGGCATCGTGCTCGGATGGCAATAGCGAGGTCAAGAAGAGCTGCCTCGTTGCCTGCCTTGCATTGCGTTGATGGCTTCTGTCTGCAGGAAGTGTTGGAGGTTGGACATCTAGGTGAGGATGAGGTGCGACCCCATCCAGGAGTAGTGAAAGAAGCGGCGGGTTCTGGCTTTGATCCGGCTCGATAGAAGGCGCGGAAACCAGCTGGGTTGATCGTGGAATGCTAAAAGCAATCTGGGAAGTGCGTTCTGTTGGTCGATCAACTTGGCCAGAAGTCTTTCGATGCGCTCCAATCTGTCATCATCGCTCTGCGCATTGTCGGACGGACGATGATCGTTTGCGGTTTCATATTCTAACGATAATGAGATGCATGGTTTGCCTCGCTTTGTGCACTCGGCACATGTAGGCTCGTCCCCAGTAGCGAGTGAACATTTCACCTTCCGCCTTCTGCCTGCTTAGTTCAGGAGCGAGCGCGTCGACCATGGGGGATGGACGTACACTCTGCGCAGCTCTTCGTCTCGCGCCTGATGCGTTTGCGCGGGCGGAGAAGCCCTGTATCGTAGTCGCCCTCATTGCTCATCGAAGCTCCCGAGGTTTGGCACGTATCTACGAAGAAAGCGGCCGCGCACGTCGTGGATGGAAGAATGATGTCGTCGGGTGGGACGTTTCGGGCTGCTTACATAACCAGCTAATGTTTGATCCGACGGGCCGCAGTTCCGTACCGCGCCACACAACCCCTGCGGCACCTTCGAGATGAAAATCCCCGTTTTATCTTATCCTAGGTTCATTGCTTTAAGTAACATTTTCTACCCAAAAAATACGTGTAGTTCTACATAATTTTAGGCACTCACAAGTGTACGCGAGATCCAAACGTCCAACTTTACGGTCGGTCTTTTCGGAGCCGTAGTACGTGCATGCAGTAGGGCGCGTTAGGGCGTGCAGTAGGGGTAAGTAAAGCCGTAGTGCGTCAGTAAGCAATTTCTCGAGTTCGTACATCTGTTCGTTGATCACGGAGAGCTTATATATTACTCATACGCTTACGGGATCTTATTTCTATCTATAGAGCTATATAATAATATGACGGAAAGCTAAGCTTACTAAGAAGCCGTAAGCTCACTCAGAGACTACAAGACAGAGAAACTACCTACCTAGGTACTACTATACGTCTACACCTACAAGGTTTAAAGGAAAGGAGAAGAAGCAGCTTCAATAGCTAAGGAGAGGCAGTTCATATATCTGTCAGCTCCTCAACGACGGGCCCCTGAGTTCCCTAGCTAATCCACAGATCCATTGTACGACGCTCCTCCACAGAAACCCCACAGAAGCTAAGCAGTAATTGATTAGCTGTACAAAATAACACAAACCGTCATCTTTGCGGGAAGCCAAAACAGCTTATATAATCAGATGGGTGAATTGCTTATTGGCTTGGCCCAGAAAGTAAGTATGGTACCTAAAAACTTTGCTAAACAGGCTATAAACCTGGCGCCGCAGGGAAGTCAGATATCGTAGACTACGCCGCACAAGTCAGGGTCTGACATAAGACGATGCCCCGTCTTCCCCCATCTTCGTCCTCTGTTCTTTCTCAACAGGACTTCGAACATGACTCCGTTGAGCAGATCAGCGTTTGCGGCTGCGGCCGTCGGCGCTTTTATCGTCTTTGTGGTGAAGCTGATGGCCAATCGACGACGTGTACGGAAGCTGCTGGCTGCGGGGGCGGTGAGTTAGTCTTGAAAAACCGTATTATGGGGGATCGCGGCTGATGAGTACAAGCCGATGCCGAAGTACCATCCTGTCTTCGGCCATTTGCCTGCCCTGAAAGAAAGCATCCAAGCGCTACCGCGAAATGCGACAATGCACGATGTGGTACGGCACATGGCGAATCAGTTCCCAAATGGCGTCTTCTATCTCAACCTGTGGCCTTTCAACGAGACAGTCATGGTTGTCGCGGATCCATCTGTGGCATTACAGGTCGAGGCTGCTTCCTTGAACAAGCCTGCCGGCATGTGTGCCAATATGGACATTATCAATGGAGGGGCATCACTGCAGACGATGCACGGAAGTACATGGAAGAAATGGCGAGGCCTTCTCAACCCCGGCTTCGCTGCTGGCTACATTATTGGACTGGCTCCTGTGATTGCAGACGAAGTCGCCGTCTTCTGCAGACTGCTTCAACAGCGTGCCAAGCAGGGGAGCATGTTCCAATTAGAAGAGTACACGCTGCGGCTGACATTTGACGTTATTGGGCGCGTTACTTTGTAAGTTCTGCTGCGAACATACGAAACACTTGCTAAATACTGCCCTAGTGATGACCGGCTCCATTACCAGACAGAGGGAAGTGCTCTCGCTGATTGCCTCCGAAGGCAAGTGTACTGGTCCCCATTTGGCACAACCTTCAATCCGTTTCGTCGCTACCTTAGTCCTCGTCCCCTAGTCCGGATGTATAACAACTATCGCATGAATCGGTATCTGAGCGAGGTTATCAACAAGCGATTCGAAGAATTGGCGCTTTCCCGCAGAGTCTCTTCGAAGGGAAAGGAACCTGGGACCAGGTCAATTATCTCGCTCGCCATGGACAAATATTTGGAAGAGCTGGGCGACAGGGGAGAAATCTCAAGGGAAGCGTTCAAAAAGATCGCCATGCCGCAACTTCGCATGTTCTTATATGCTGGACATGACACGACAAGCAGTACTCTTCTGTACTGTTTCCTATTGCTGTCCCGCCACCCTGCGGTCATGGCAAATGTCCGAGCCGAACATGACGAGGTATTCGGACACGACCTTTCCACCGAGCAGATATGTCGCGTCATCGCCGGCGACCCCTCGCTTCTTAATCAACTACCGTACACGTTCGCAGTTACCAAAGAGGTTCTTCGCATGTTTCCACCTGCGGGAAGCCTTCGCCAAGGCCGACCGGATCTCGTCCTTTCGGACGCAGCGGGTCATCGATATCCCACTGATCGATGCCAGATCTGGACGGTGCCTCTTATCATGCAGCATAGGCCGGACGTCTTCGTGAAACCAGACGAATTTATCCCCATTCGCTGGCTTGTCGGACCCGAAGACTGGCTTTACCCAAAGAAGGGCAGCTGGAGAGCATTCGAAGGTGGGCCGCGCGCCTGTATCGGCCAGACGCTAGCGCAGCTTGAGCTCAAGGTTGCGCTGGTCATGACGGCCAGGATGTTCGATATTACACCCGCGTACGAGGAGTGGGATGGACTGCATCCAAGAGAAGGCATAAAATCGATCGACGGAAACCGAGTGTATCAGGCTGAAATGGGTGGCGGGGGAGCTCATCCTGCTGACGGTTTCCCGGTAAGGGTTACTACAAGAACCTAGGAATCTTCCCTTCCGTGAGCCTAAAATGGATCCGCTCTCTTTGCAGAATGCAAGATCTCACCTTTCCTCATCTGCGCATTCGAAGGATTGCGCATGCTTCCCGAGTTCTGCAACTTTACAGCCTCAACTTCCCGTCTGAGGCCTTGCCCTACCCTCAGCAATTTACCAAGTAACCCAGACACCAGCTCAACTGGAAGCGGATATGATCGTCACGTTTGCGAACCCCATAATGCGGTATGGAAGCCACTCTACGTGGCAAACGCCTCTGGATCAATACGCGCCTGATTACACGAAGTGAAGATTTCGCGCCCGCTCTTTCCCGTATCCGGCACCGTTATCTGATCTACCAGGATCTACCAGGATCGTAGAAGACGTGCATGCTGACTGCGGGGTAAGAACTTGGACTGCGCCTTGCCATTGCCCTGTCTGACATGCAGCGAGCGTCACGTTCTAAAATCGAACCAGTAGGCTGCGTTTCAACATGGGGCTGGTACGATGCGTACCCTCCGCGGGTTGGAGAACGCACGCTCACCCACATTTGAGGGACGACATAAGCCTCCCAGGCATCTGTACGTTGTTATTGATAACCGCAGAGGTTTGAATCCTTTACTCACGCTTCTGTGGGCGTTATTGGCTGTCTGTTCTGATGCGACCTGGCCCGGACACCGATTGTATATGAAATGCACGAGACCTAGTCCAGAGGATTCAACCAGATGTAGACTTAAGCGGCTCTTGACTACCGTCTCCACAGCTAACTCTCCGAATCGACGTAGTCGAGGTTTGCGCACTTCATCGCGGTTTCGCGGGTCGAGTGCACAAGGTGTCTTTGTGAGCAGGGTACATTTCCCTCGACGTCTTTCGCCATATCCACTTCCTCTGCTGAGGGCAATCATGCCCGGCTCACAAAACACGATCACCCTTCCCAAGGGACCAATCCCACCAAGCTACTGGACCGACGATCGTGGGCACATTCTCATCACTGTAGGGATCGTGTTCATGGTCATAGAAATCGTCGCCTTCGGTCTGCGCATGTTCGCATGTCGATTGAGACGTGCCAAGTTTAGCTGGGATGATGTCCTTGTCATCTCCGCGTTGCTTTCCAACCTCGCCATGGTGGCCATGATGATTGGTGAGTGCGTCTATACAGCGGGTAGTTTGCAAGCTCGTGCTGATCCTCCCGACACTCCCAGCATCAGTATACCTCGCCGGAATAGGCCAGCATACGCTTGCGGCTTTCATGCACGCCAAAGATATGAAGTTCCTCGGCCAGATTGGGTTAATCATCGTGCCCGTTCTATACGCCGCGGCCAACACCACGTCGAAAGCGATCATCCTACGCCTGTTCCTCCGCATCTTCACCACACCCGGTCTGACGCGTTGGACTACGTATCTAGTTCTCGCCGTTATCACACTACATGCCACTGTTGCCACTTTCTTGCTCATCTTCCAATGCTCGCCAATCGCGGCGACGTGGGACACGCTTGTGCGAGGGAAGTGTCTCGACACTGCTGCGTTGTTCAAGTGGTCTTGCCTTCCGAACGTCATCACGGATCTGGTCATGCTGGTGTTGCCAATGCCGAAGATCTGGACGCTGAAAGCCTCATGGAGGATGAAGTTCGGTATAACGCTCATGCTACTCCTGGCAACGATGTAAGTTTCACATCCTCTTCATGCCATCGAGTCGATCTAACACCACGCAGTGGCATCGTCGCATCCACCATCCGCGCAGTTGAGTTCTTCCACGACTCGGACAAGATGTTCGGGGACCCCGCATGGTACATGCTCGATCTCATGACGTACACGATTGCAGAACCAGGGACGCTCTTCCTCGCGGCATGCTTCTCAACGTACAAGCCACTCGGGAGATTTTTTACTGGCCAGAAGATGCGCTCATTGCTGTCGCGCTTTCGTGTTGTGTCACCGCGGTATGCGACGCGCCTGGAGTCCCCGGACTTTCGACCAGACGATTCGAAAGAGAGGAAGCAGGGGGCTGGAAAGCCGGTGCGCGGGTTTGACTCATTTATCTTGTCGGAAATTGAGAGGGAGGAGTCAACGCATGGGTCTGCAAGAAGCGAGCGGGTCGTCTAAAGCGACTCGTCTGCAGTAGTTCTCGTAGAAAGTAGATAGCGGTCTAATCTTATTAGCGAGCAGCCGCAAGCTGCTGCAACGATGTGATGCACGAAGGAAAAGGTTCCTAAGGCAATGAGGGCGGCTCAGTGTTCGAAAACACGATAGCAAAAGGATGCTCTCTGGAAAAGTAAAGTCTCGGAACCAACAGAAGACGGGCAAAGTGGAGTCAGCAGGAAAATCGCATCTGATTGGTTGGAAAAGGAACCCGGGCCGTCACTCGCGTAAAGCCTCTTTGCTTACGCGCTCCGCAACACTTCTCGCCTTGCTTTCTACTACGCGTGTATCCGCGAAGCGTCACCACCTCTTAAACCCTACTCCTTCGCAGGACAAGTCGCCACTCATGGTTGCCTATCATGGCTGCAATCACGCGAGCCGTAGGCCAATCAGGTCGTCGTTATCTCGTTGAAAGAGTGCTACAGGAGAAACCAGGACCGCTTGGACAAGTGTATCTCGCTTCGTAGGTCTACTCAATATCGAAGTTCTGCAGTCTACCAACTCCTCATTTGTAGAGCTGGCAACCAGCAATACATCTTGAAGAGTGTGCCAAAGAACGACTTCAAATATTTTCAAGACATGTTCAGCGATCTTAGAAGGTCCCCCTACATCCGCGTGGCCGATGATGCAATTCCCGACCAATCCATATTTGCCTACAAATACTTCAAGGACCATCTACTTTCTTTCGCTCAGAAAGACACGCCACTTCCTCTAATAAAGGGAATATTGAGGGACTCTCTCCGAGGCATTACGGCATTACACGAGAAAGGCATCGTGTATACGGATATCAAGGCAAATAACATTCTGGTGAATTGGGACGAGACAGACGGTAATACCACCATTCAGCGGGTCCAGATTGCCGACATCGAAGATTCTGAGTATATTCCGGACGATTGTGCGATCGTTAGAAGGCAGGTTAGGAATTAGATGTGGCGAAGCCCCGAGGCTCATGCATCTGGTCATGTTCACAAGCCGTCAGATATCTTCTCCTTTAGGATCGTCGTAAGCTTTTGTGCGCCAAAGATCCTTCTATTGATAACTTGCTAAAATGCAGTGCATCTATGCTGTAACCAAACGGGTCATTTTCGCCGTCGCCGACGAGGAACTCGAGGAAGGCGAGGACAAGCTAGCCATCGTTCTTGAACGACAGCTGTCCTACTTCTCTAATATAGAGAGCTTAGGCGGTCTACTCTAGCATCTAGGAGACAGCCCTTGGACCCAAATATTCACCGTGATTGCAGAGGGCTTTAATAAAGAGCATCCTCGGGAGCCGTTCGCGCTGAAAGATATTGAGTCAGAATTCAAGGACCTAGTCGGAAAGATGACGAATATTGACCCGGAGGGGCGAATCACAGCGCACGAAGCTTTGTTACATCGATGGTTTGCCGATGCAGTGTGAAAGGGTCTTTAGTGAGCACAAGATGGGGCTTGAGGCCGCGGCCATGACGAAGTTCTGCAAGCCATCCTTCCTTGGTCTGAGTTTTGCCGGGTTTTCTTGCAGTCGTCGATAGTATGGCAGCATTGCTGATCCCAAATAAAAGATTCGCTTAATTATTCAGGTTACAGTGGTGTAGTCTACGGACATATGTGCCGCTATATTTCGGGCGGCTTCTGGGAGATGGCTTTCAGGACATTGTCCAACGGGACTCATCGACCTTTTTCCTAAGTCAGCCGGTCGGAAAGTAATGGCTGGACTCTTTACATTGAGTTCATGTGTTGTAACAATCCCGGCGCCTCTACCCGGGATCGTCCGATTTTTGATCTGGTTCAGCTAAACGCCTCTGCGCATCGTCCAGCAAATCACCTCTTCATGGACCACAGTCAGCACTTCTTCACATACGCCACTGCTGTGCCCCGTCGCGTGCGGCTGCCACGTCTTGTTCTCGTGCCATTCGACGTAGTGCCAGATGCGGAGGATCGTGAAGCAGGGAGAGCTGTTCGTCAGCCCCGCTGCCTCCATCTCGAAGCAGGGAATCCTATCTAGTTTGCTGCCCAGCTTATTCCGCGTGCGTCCGCGCTTCAAGGGTGCTTCGAAGTATCATCGCCAACTCACCGGCTTCTTTTCTCATCAAAGTAGGTAAAGATACCCTCCTATAACAAGGAAGTATGTTCGATAACATGGCTCAGCATACAACAACTGTCCCACCGAAGTACGCCTCGTGGGCACAGTCTGGCTGGTTGCGAGCGCTGTGCCGCAATACCGAAAATTCGCCTTGCCTGCCTCCGTTGGATGCCAGAACCCACTTCCCACTGCCGAATCTCGAGAGGCCACGAATCATTGGAAATGCTGTGCCGCAACATAGACTTTGGACTTGGTCAAAGCTTACTTGCCAGCTACCGCGACGGTGCGGTGCCGTTGAGCTGCTAAAGGTTCGGTCCGATCTATACTGGGGTGTTGTTGCGCCGTATGGGACCCCAATAAACGCCTGGGGTCCGAATTTCTATCATTCAATTAACAGCTACTAGGACGACCAGGCCTCTGGGGCACTATTCATGAAGTCTGGGCCGGCATTTTGAGAGCATCCTCCAATCTTGGTTCCCTTGAATTGTAACAGATTCATGGCACTGGAGGCGCAGTACTACCTAGGAGGATGATCGGCGTATCTGGAAAAGCTGTGACATTAGATGATTGTAAGATTTCCGGAGCAAAAGGATCCAATCCTTCTGCTCTTTTCAGTTATGACGCCTTATATATCCGCCAACATAAGAGGACTCCGACGCGGCAGCTATGCAATTGGCTAATGCGGCAATCTCTGCGCCAACTCTACCAAAATATCCGACACTTGCTGCTTCTTCTCTAATTGCAGCCAATGGCCGGCATCCAGATACTTCACCTCAACATCCAACAGGAAACCCTGCTTCTGCCCCTCCTCAGCAGCTACGCCGGCAGCTTCCGGTCGGGTAATGGGGTCTAGCTGGCCGTTGATAAATACGACTGGCTGACGAACAATGAGACTCTCAGGGGGTATCCGTGACCAGTTTGGCACATCGGTATTTGCAATCGCTGACTTGTACCTGAGCAGAGTCAGCAGTATATTCGCCACGGAGCACCCAACAGCGAATCGTGCAATGGTCTGTTTAGCAAGCAGACGGCGTATTCTTCAGGGGGCTGTTTCCAAAAAGAAACATAGATTCGTACCAGTTCAAGGGTGCTTCATATCCTCCCTCTATCATCACTTTAGAATGGATTGCTTGTTCCTCCTCCGACAACCAGACAGGGCGAGGCCTTATCTCTCCTCCATGCAACCATTCTTCGAGCTTTCCAGGGGGGCAGAAGTGTTCCTTTTGCAGCTCAGCGTCTGATGAGTAGACAATGGAGATGAATGAATCATGCTAGTTCAGGTATTAGAAAGCATTCTGATAAGGCCAAGGGTCTTTCTTCCATACCTTGCTCTTGATGATAGCGGCTGCCTCATCAGTTTTGAAGAAACGCCAGTATCCGAAAGTGGGATATCCGAAGAATTGCACCATCAACTGATCCAAGAAGTCTGCTCGAAGTCAGCATGCTTGGCCGTTCAACAGTGTCAAAGTTCAACGTACCCAGATCGATTGGCTCTAGTCCTCTGTATGGAGACGACAAGAATGCCGCAGCAGAGAAGCGATCCGGGTGATAATTGAGGAATCGTGCAAGCAGACTAGCACCCCAGTCATGACCGACTCCGATAACGGTATCAAGTCCCTCCTCCTTCAAGATATCTACTAGATGCTCCGACTGGTTTGCATATGCGTACTGTTCTACAGATAATGGCTTATCCGTTCCAGAATAGCCCAGAAGGTCGGGGATCAGAACGCCGTACCCAGCAGCGGTCAAGTGATCGAATTGATGTCTCCAATCGTATGCAGAACTTGGGAAACCGTGGAGGAGAAGAAAGGTGGCATTGGTTCCTTGGGCAGGGCGGAAGACGTAGGAGTACCGTAGCCCAGGTGCGACTGTAGCGGTCTTCAAATGGCTTTTGGAGATGTATTGCGCCATGGCTTGAGAAACTCAGATCGTGTTCAAGATTAGACAAAGCTTGCCGGTCTTCACATTTGCTCGACGGGAAGCGGCTATTTGAACAGAGGCCTTCGATAGCGTCCCGGTAGCACGGGATATTAACTGCAGCGGATTCATGGCACGGCGCATATTGCCGTCAGGGTTGTAAACGACCGCACCATTCTACATGCAGTCATCCTGTGGAAAAATTCGTGTTTGCTCTGAATAGGGCCAATCATCTACATGCTAGACTCATGCATGTGGAAGGCACAACATTCTACTTCAGGGGTTAGTGCATAGAGATTGCTTCTTGCATTAGCGCTCGGGAATCCTCCAATTGAGGGGAGGGGCGGCCGCCAAAACAACAACTAAGCACCTAATGGGACTTGCCCGGGGCAGTGGAAGCACTTCTCCCTTTTTTGAAGTAGACTTAGGAGTAAAGCGTTCGCTAAGAAAAGCGTGGGCTGATTTGTGGTTCTACTTTGTTGTGCAAATTTTGATTTGATCTATTAAGGCGAGACATGAATTTGCTCTGGTCGGCTTGTCCCCTTTCATATTCCTGGGTATTCAGACTCGACGATTGGTATAGAGGCATAAACTGTTTCCGCTCTATACAATCCTGTGAGCCTCCCGCATTGAAAAGCTTTCCCCGGATGTATCATGTCGAAGGCAGTTCTCCGGGAGACCATCATGACTGTCCCTGAGATCCTCCCCAAGCGAAATCCTGGTGACATTCTGCGCGCTTTCGGATTTTGAAAGTTTGCTACCCCCATGTCCATATGTCTTCTGAGACGATAGCTTCGATGATGCCTCACTCCGCCCTTTCGATCGCAAGCTGGATAGCTTCGAAGAAATGAAAGATGCGCTAGCGCGTGCGAGAGGTCGATAAGTGGGAAGGCAAGCGCAGATGATTCCAGTTCCAATATGAATGGTATTCCACAGCATATCCACCGCTAGATCGATCATGGGCTCTCCAGGGTGGTAGGAGACGGTGATTCGGATGATACCGGTGACAATTACGCTTGAATAGAGTTAATCTGACAGGTTCTGTGGGGTTCAAACCGACATATGAAAAGAATACCTACAAGCCACCTAGCAGAAAGATACCAATCACTCCTGCCCGAGTCTGACGGCTCAAATTCAGCTTCGAAACCTGAACTACAGGCAATGCCAATGTGATGCAGCATAGAAGTAATTCGGTGGAGACGATTACAACGAAAAACGGCGGGTAGTTGATGCAGTGAGCCGGGAAGTGGAAGATGTCCCACATTGCTGAAACAGGATAACAAGTGAACGTAGACACGAAGATCATCGGTATGAACCATACTACATTCAGGCCGAGGCATATTGTTGTAAGTCGCTTGAATTCTGGAATCGCAAATATACGGCGGTAGAATAGGACGACCGAGGTGTTGATCGCAAGGACAAGGAAGCAATAAAGCTCGCCTGTTACATAGACAAACTACGATTCGGGGTCAGCGTCTGATTATAGCTGCAAGGCTTTACGACTGTGCATACCTGAATGTATCGGGGCAGTTCAAGTGGTGACTTTATATCCTTTCCATAGAGACAAGCTGGGCGTCGTCAGTCTCGTGTCGATATTCATATGGAAGCTGCCGACCGTATATCTGCACGCCGACCAACCCATAGAAAAGAAACAGGGCAATTCCGATGAAAACGTCGTCAGAACCAAAGCCTGCCTTCGTAGTCGACTTGGTCCAGAATCGCAATCCAACGGCGATCGTTGTGAGGACAGTAAAGACAATGGCGGTTTGAATGACCTCAAGCCACTGCGCGTGAATCGCACCAACTTGGTCGATCATTTCGTCTAAGGCGAACTAATCGCAGAAAAGACCAAAGTGTATGTTCGATAGAACTGTAAGGAGTGAGGATGAAGTTAAGGCTACACACTGAACCGGACGCTCTGTTGAGTCGCAAGAAAGGAGTGAGAGATGGAGGGTGTGCGCATGCGCTTACCGCAACCTTCTGGTTCGCCTTGGAACGGGGCTTATATGCATTTGGGATGGCGAGAACAGGTGTCCTGCAAGGGAGGTATGCCGCTCGGACTTGGCACCTGCAGCTGGCAACCCACCAGCTCGAAGTCGATATTGCGGCACGGTGTCTACGCCGCAGAGGCGTTGGCTTTAATTTAGGTCGCGGACTCTACCTCGAATCAGGATGGAAAACACATTTAACCTACGGAGACCGAAAAAAGACGATGATCTTTTAAGAAACAAAGGGGATTAGCGAGGTTTTCTGATCGGGAGGCGCCGCAGCTCGTTTCGCGGGAGATGATCCCTGTCTCAGCTCTCTATGATATGACGAGGGACTAAGAAATAAGCCAAGAACAGACGTTGCAGAGCCGGCATTTGCGGCCAACTAAGCTCTTTCTCAACCTGATCTTGTAACTTCATCCTTCTAACGAAAATGGCTTTGGAGACCAAGCCGCACCTTCTCCAACTGGCCCAAGAGATTCAAGAGCTAACGGGGCGATTAGTAGGACATCTATCCGATGTGGGCAGCAAGGAGCCAGACTTTACCGCAGGTTCTACAGAGGTTCCTTCCGATGCTGAGTACAACGCACTTCGCGATCAGCTCAGTGATGCCACTGCAGACCTTGCGCAGCTTGTGAAAGGACCGAAAACTCACCTACGCGATTACTTTTCGAGCCATCACGAGCTAGCAGCCTTTCAGGTTGCTTTCGATTTTGACTTCTTCACGGCTTGTCCCAGAGATGGAACTATTAAAGTTGGTGAACTGGCGCAAAGGACTGGTCTGGACGAGGAGCTCATCCAGCGCGTGATGAGGCTCTTGTGCCTACATCACATCTTTGAAGAAGCTTCGGAAGGCTGCTATACTCATACGCATGGCAGTATCACTCTTGCAGAAAATGATGGCCTCAGGGCGGCTGCCGCCTACCAACTTGACGAGTATTTCCAGGCAGCATCGCACACGGCCCTTAGCTTAAGAGCGAACATGTCGCGGTCACTCGAGGAGCCAAAAGTTTCTGCGTTCAAAAGTGCACATGGCGCGTCACTTTTCGAGTTTTACGCGGAACACCCGGAACGAGCAGCTAGGTTTGCTCGTGCAATGGCCGGTGTCAGTCAACGTGAGTCCTGGGCTTGTCCCTCATGCATAAATGGTAGAGGATCTGACAACGCGTAGTTAATCACGACTTCAACCAACTCCGAAACGGATATCCATGGGAGAGCCTAGGGACCAAAGTGGTTGTGGATGTTGGTGGTGGGAGCGGACATATAAGTGTTGCAGTTGCAAAGGTAAGGCTGTTCCGCATATCTCCCATGGAGATCTACGCAACATCTGACTTTCCCAAAGACTTTGAGCGATGTTCGATTCGTTATTCAGGATGCAAATGAAGGCATGCTAAAGCAAGGCGAGATGTCAACTCGGCAGGATCTCAAGGGCCGGATTACGTTCATGAGACATGACTTCTTCACGCCTCAGCCAATAGTTGAAGATGTGGGCGCATACCTCTTACGCCAGATCACGCATAATTGGGCGGACGAAGAGGTCGTCAACATATTCCAACAGCTTGCACAGGGGCTGGAAAAGTGCGATCCTAGCACCCCGCTGTTGATCAATGAGTTGATCATTCCGGAACCAGGATCTAGAAGCCGTTTTGAAGAACGAATTGGAAGACAGATGGACATCATGATGCTAGTGGCGTTAGGAGCACGACAGAGAACTAGAGCACAGTTTGAAACACTCTTGACGAAGGCAGACCCGCGACTCAAGGTAAGGCCTCATGAAAGCATCACAGGGCCCCGGATTGACGCGTTCTAGATTACCAAGGTCCAAGGCGGGATTCCAATGGGTATACTCGAAGTGCATCTTACCAGGGGCTAGAGTCCTCGGCGACCCGCTGAGGACGGTAGGGTGCTCAAGATAGCCAGCACTCTAGCATATTCTGTATTTGAATAGATTGTCACTGAACGCGAATCTATGGAAACGGCCGTGTGGTTCTTGCAATGCGTCTTTATTTAGCAGCATTATCGGGGTCGGATGCGCTCCTCAATGGGACTCACCCTCCGAAGTGGATCCACCTAGACCACGCGTACGCTGCCGAGGTTGTCTTCTCAACAGTAAGGGGGTGCGGTTTGAGGGGCGGTGGCGGAAAGCAAATCTCCCTAGTGGCTGAAGAGCGGGATGCTGTGCCACCGGGTTTGGTGGTCAACCGTGTCCAATTGGACAGAACTCCGTTTCCGTGAGGGACCACGATTCGGTTACTCAATACGAAGGATCGAAGGATTCTCTGGGGCGCAAAATAATTTCCTTGTGACTCTTCAGCACCAGTCATGTACGCCAAGGTGGCGCGGACACCCACGACGGCCCGCATTCTCCGGATTTACCTAGCCTTGTGCGTGAGAGATACTGTATGTACGGTTCATGCAGACCGCAAGATGGGTTAGTGTGCGTCGGGCTTTCAAATAGATTAGCCTGATTGTCAACGTGGCTTCTGTGCCACCCCCATCAAGCCAAGCGACAAGCAAGCCTCTTGGGGCAAGCATCGCCTTTCCGTCCCAGATTTTAGAAATCACGTATATATCTTAAGATTACTTGCGAAATAATAGTCTTTATTGTCTATTCTGTTCTCACTTTGGAAGACGATTGAACCTACCCTCCGTCATTTGAGTGAAAAGGTCTGGAACACCACGCCAGAAGAATAGATGTGTCAGCTTCCAAGCGAACCCCAGTCAATTCCATGAATCCAAACGGGCGAGAAACCAGCATGGAAGCACGACTGCAGGGCCCGGAGATTTCTGAGCCTCGTGAAGAGAAGTATGCGGGCGATGAGTATCCCGAGAATCGCCTAGGTTGTCGTACACAGGGACCCTCCGATTCCAACACCGTTGCGGACGGTGGTCACGCTGAGCCTATAGTTATTGTAGGAATGGGTATGAGCACACCATGCCAATAGACTTTCATGCCACTCACACGAAGTCAGGATTACGGCTCCCTGGAGGCATCTCAAAGCCTTCCGACTTGTGGGATCTCTTATGCGAAGAGCGCAGTGGTCGTTGCGAATTTGGGAAGAATCAACTCAATATTGAAGGGTATTACCATCCAAACGCCCAGAGACCGGGAAGTCTTCATACAAAGGAAGCATACCTGCTCAGAGACAGCTCACTCCTGTTTGATCATACGTTTTTTGGCGTGAATTCTGCCTTGGTAGCCAGCATGGACCCCAATCAAAGGAAGATGCTTGAAGTGGCATACGAGGCTCTTGAAAGCGCCGGGGAGCCCCTGGAAAAGATATCTGGAGCGAATGTAGGAGTGTTTGTCGGAAACATGGCCGCCGACAACCAGATTATGCTGGCGCACGACATAGACTTTGCCCCCCAGCATGCTTCGACTGGAATGAGTACTGCAATCTTGAGCAATCGAATCAACCACATCTTCAACCTTCGTGGGCCCAGGTACGGATTTCGTCTTTTTAAGCTCAGAGCCACTAGTTGTGAACCTGCAGACGCTGACTCGCATCTGTAGCCTCACCATAGATACGGCATGTGCGTCCTCGATGTATGCTTTACACCTAGCCGTGAACTCCATTCAAAATGGAGACTGCAACACCGCTATTGTTGGCGGATCAAACTTAATAATGGGACCAGAAGTACAGCTACTCACCGCGAGACTCGGTGCACTGTCTCCAACATCAACTTGCCATACGTTTGATGCGTCCGCAGATGGGTATGGTAGAGCAGAGGGGTTCGGTGCGCTTTACCTGATGAGGCTTTCTGAAGCAAAATCTGGTGGATATCCAATACGAGCTTTGATTAGGGGCACGGCGGTCAACGCGTAGGTAGTACATGAGCCTATCTTTCCAAATACTAACGAATAATAGGAACGGCCGAACAGCGGGTATCTCGCACCCAAGTGCTGATGGGCAAGAAGCACTAATTCGCAGGGCCTATAAGGTCGCCAAGCTTCCAACTAAAGACACTGCTTACTTTGAATGTCATGGGACGGGGACTCCTGTAGGAGATCCCGTGGAGATATCGGCCATATCGAAAGTCTTCGGCCCAGAAAGAGTTGGGAAGTCACCGCTACTAATCGGGTCAGTTAAAACAAACCTTGGCCACTCTGAAGCTGTTAGCGGGATCGTTGGCATCATGAAGACTATATTGGCGATTGAAAAAGGATTCATACCCGCAACCATAGGGGTGCGCGAGCTCAATCCCAATAGTGAGTTAGACGATATGTTCATATGAAGGACGCTTACTGACCCTGATAGTTGACTTCGCGGCCGCTCAAGTCAAGGTCATCTCGAAACTTACTCCGTGGCCACAGGGTAGCTTTCGAAGGGCCAGTGTGAATTCGTTCGGATATGGAGGCGCAAACGGACATTGCATACTAGAGAACGTACCAACATCAGATGGTGAAGCGGGTTTAAGGAAACTGCGCTCGGAGCCGCACAGGCTTGTCGTGCTTCCGTTCTCCGCTCATGATCCAGTTTCGCTCGCTGCGAATATTTCAGCAACTGGAACAGTGATCAAGCAGACGAACATACTCGACGTTGCATACACCTTATCTACGCGGCGAAACATCTTCCGACACAAGGCTTTCGTGATTGCAGAAAGCCATGATCCCAAGGCCGCTCTCGAACCGAGCACTACCCACAGGCATTACCCGAACGCGCTTCAGACTCCGCGCATTGCCTTCATCTTCACAGGTTAGTCACAAGTTTCTCACAAAACTGGTAATCTCATACAGATCTAACAAACATCTAGGCCAAGGCGCGCAGTGGGCAGGCATGGGCACAGAGCTTTTTGCGTTGCATCCTTTCGAAATTTCTATCCGCCGTCAAGACGAAATCTTGCGGCGACTGTCAAACTCGCCCAGCTGGACATTGAAAGACGTGCTCACTGGATGTGCATCCATCAGCATCCAAGATGCAATCGTGTCACAGACCGCCTGCACTGCATTGCAAATTGCGCTTATCGACCTGTTGCGCGCTTGGGAAGTCACCCCTTACGTATGCATTGGTCACTCGTCAGGAGAGATCGCCGCTGCATATACGTCTGGAAAGATTACCTTAGAAGAAGCTATCGTGACGGCGTATTATCGGGGCTACGCTCTGGGGACCAATTCGCGCAAAGGCTCAATGCTCGCTGTTGGTATGACTGCTGAGTCGGCACGCGAGCTCATCTCCGGAATTGAAGAGGAGGTGAAGATCGCGGCCATCAACTCTCCTTCGAGTGTTACACTATCCGGGAATGCCTCGAGTATAGAACGCCTGGAGACAGAGTTGAAGCAAAAGAACGTATTCGCACGTATCCTCCGCACAGGGAACAACGCATACCACTCGCATCATATGACGGCAGTTGGGATCACCTACGAAAAGCTCCTGCTACGAGATCTGGCAGACATTGCGGGCACTCCTGAAGAGGGGGTGAAGGCGGTGCCCTTAGATGCTACCTGGATATCGTCAGTGTCCCCGAATAAGCGGAGTTTCTTCGTTAATTCGAATCCTGCATACTGGCGCAAGAACCTGGAGTTACCAGTGCAATTCTCCCAGGCTGTACAGAATATGCTCTCCAAAGACGGAAAAGGGCCAGACGTCGTCATTGAGATAGGCCCTCATGCAACCTTGCGAAGTCCGATGCAGGCGATATTTGCCGAAGTACAAGGGGCGGAGGGTGTCAAAGTGCCAACATACCTATCCGCTATGAAACGTCATGAGGATGGATTGAGGACTATTCTCGAACTTTGCGGCAACCTGTTCTGCCTCAATCATTCGGTGAACCTCCAGAAGGTTAACGCCGCGAGACCACTCGTCGACGGAGGGGTTCAGAACATACCTGGAAAAATGTGTACAGAACTACCACCTTATCGATATAATTACGGCAAACCAATACATCATGAAAGTCGCGTCTTTCGGGAGATAAGGGATCGTAAACATCTGCACCACGACATTCTGGGAGTATTGCAGCCTGGCTGTTCCAAAAACAGGCCTTCCTGGCGTAACATACTGCGCATCAAGGATACACCGTGGTTGGTGGATCATAAACTCATTCCGCAGGTAATCTTTCCAGCTGCTGGTTACATCGCTTTGGCCACTGAAGCTCTCGCTCAATATCAAAACCGAAGAGTTGCGGGCCAAGAGGCACCGATATTCCGGCTGAGGAACCTATCGATCAAGACGCCAATGGAAATCCCTAAGGACGACGAAGGTGTGGAGATCTTGATACACATTCAAACGGTGTCGCCGGGTTCAGAATGGCACACTTTCCTGGTGTCATCTGTATCGAAAGAGTCAAACACTTGGACGGAGCATGCTTCGGGGTTTGTTGCGACTCAGTCTGACGTACAGCAAAGGTTGAAGGTGCCGGAACGATCGTCATCGCCGCATTACTTCGAAGTCAAAGAGTGGTACGAAAAGTTCTCCCAATGTGGCTTAGGTTATGGCCCTTCTTTCCAAGGGCTCTCAGACCTGTGCTGTTACCCTGCTAGGTCTGTTACCATGGCTACCGTTGGTACGAATATGACGCAGGATATGTTCAACGGACCGGAATCGCAGTATTGCATCCACCCATGTACCCTTGACAGCTGTTTTCAGCTGTTGCCAATCGCAGCTCATGGTGGCCAGACCAAGCAACTCCAATCGGCTTTCGTACCCATCGGTGTTGAAGAGTTGACTATCTGGCCGTCAACGGATGAGGGTTCGCACGCTCGCGCCGTGGCAAGTGCCCGTCGCTCTGGCTTGCGCGGTGGCCGTGGAGACATTCAACTGTTCAGCCAGGATGGAAAACCAAGAGTCGAGGTCGTCAATATGCAATGCGTGCGGTACCAGGGCGGTCCAGTGATCGATAAGCCCATGCAAGCTGGCACAAGTCCCTATTCCCAACTGGTATGGAAACCCGACATCTCGATTCTGGCAAAGCAGAAGGCAATAGCTATGTTTTCGGCAGCCGTATCTATCCAAGATCGCTGGAAGGGATCGTCATACTCTCGGATGAGACAGGTGCTTGACTTGTTGTGTCATAAGAATCCAAGCATGAAAGTCATTGATGTCGGGACCGATTCCAGCAGTGTCACTGAGGCCGCGCTGGACGTACTTGGGGGAGTCCGATCTGCGTCACAAAAATTCAGCAAGTACGTCTGTACAGACTACGCGAGCTTTATGGACGAATCCATGCAAATAATGCTCGCACACTGCAAGGATATTTCTTACCAGCCTCTTGACGTTCAAGATCGTCCCGATAAGCAAGGATACCACGGCGACTTCGATCTTCTTATCGCAAGAGCCAACCATGAGTTGACGAGCAATGCCTTGGACGCGTTTCGAAACATCAGACAATTGCTTAGGCCCGGCGGTCATCTGCTGCTTGCAGAAGCGACTGGAAGTAGTGCAGAGTGGAATGACACCCTCACTTGGAGCGACTTTACCGGAGTTGATTTGCATTTCGAGGACGGCCCTTTGCAATTGCAGACAACGCGAACCATATTGGCAACTGCAAGCTCGCCTGAACCATTAGAGACGAACCAGAATTCGGTCCAATTGCTCTACGTCATCACTGATTCGTTGGAAGATCAATTTGCCCAAGCTTTAGTCTTGGCAGCTTCGAATGCTGGCGTGGACTCACAGCTTATCACGTTCAAAGACGCGGATATTGCCAGTTGTTCTCGGGTCATTCTAACGGCAAGAGCTGGGCACCACCCTCTTCTTGATGGCTCGGAATCAGAGTTTGGAGCTTTGAAGAAGATCATCTCTCGCTCATCCTCATTACTCTTCCTCACCGATGGCGATGTTTTGCGAGGTGCGAATCCGAAGGCTGCCTTGTTAACTGGCCTTGTTCGGATGCTAGTGACCGAAGACGCGTCGTCGAGATTCGGCATCGTACACCTGGAAGAGGGACACTCAACTTCCGATCATGCTCTTCTTCAAGCAGTCTTGCGCCAAGAGTCTGACCTGCATGACCACAGCGGAAGGAATGAGTCCGAGGTCGCAATGTACAATGGCATTGCTCATATTCCTCGTCTGCTGACCAACGCTGAAATGAACGAGCAATATCACGAACTAAACCCCGAGAAGCCGACTATTGTTGAAAGATCACTCGGTAATCGTACACCGCTTCAACTAGATTTTGAGTTGCCGGGTGTATTGGGTTCGCAATATTTTCGCCCCAACACTTCCTTCGACGACCCTCTAACGGAGAGGTGGATCGAGGTTGAAGTGAGATCGGCAGGTCTCAACTGGAAAGATATCGCCGCGGTAACCGGAAAGATAGATCTCGACTACTTCAGTCACGAGTGTTCGGGGATCGTATTGGCCTGTGGATCTGGCGTGCATGATTTCTCGCCCGGAGATCGTGTGTACGGGGTTGCATTGTCCAGATTCGGCAACGTAGTGAGAGCACCTGCAGGCTTCATGCAGCTGATGCCAGATGACAGCACTTTCTCCGAAATGGCAACCATTCCGGTCGCATTTGTGTCGGCGCTGTACGCATTGCTGCATCTTGGACGTCTTGAGAGAGGACAGCGGGTCCTCATCCAGTCCGCTGCTGGCGGTGTGGGCCTCGCTGCAATTCAAATTGCGCGTAATGCTGGCGCAGAGATCTACGCGACGGTCAGCACAAAGGAGAAGATGGAATACCTGGTCGAGCATTGCAACATTCCTCAAAACCACATATTCAACGCTCGTTCAACAAAAGACCTCCCTCGCATGATGGAAGAGACAGGACAAAAAGGATTCGACGTCATACTTAGTTCGTATTCGGGCAACTCTATGCAAGAGGCAATACAGTGTCTAGCAAGAAGAGGAGTCTTTATCGATCTTGGGAGGGAGGACATTATGAGACATCACATGATGCCAATGGACGTTTTCGCTCGAAGTGCAACCTTCACGTCATTCGATCTCGACGACATTGCCATACATGAGGCAGAGTTCTTGATGAGGTGAGTTTGCGTCCCAAATCAACCCGAATGCTCGATACTGACCCTAGTAGGCTGATGAAAGAGATGGATGACCTAAGGAGAAACGGTTTCCTTCGACCTTTGCCGTTTGCGAAGTTTGATGTCTCAAAGCTCAACCAAGCGCTCCTCCACTTGTCTAAAGCTAAGCATATTGGCAAGATTGTAGTCGGATACAAGCCCGAGGGTTCAATCGTCAAACAACTCGATGTTCCGCATGGCGCCAAATTTCGCCGCGACGCCGTATATGTGCTCGTCGGTGGCCTGCGCGGCGTAGGACGAAGTGTTGTACACTGGATGGTTTCTCGTGGCGCCCGTAAAATTGTCATATTCAATCGCTCTGGCAGCGCTTGTCCCGAGGCACTGTCTCTCGTCGACGAGGTAGCAAAAAAAGGCGCAGAGGTTAAAGTGGTCAAGTGCGATGTTGCAACTGCCAGCGAGGTTGAGAGTGCAATGTACACCGCCGCCGACTACGGACCTATCAAGGGAATTCTCCACGCCGCTGCTGTGTACGAAGACGGCGTTTTCAACACTCTGTCGTACGATCGTTGGAAACTACCACTGTCGGCTAAGGTTCAAGGCTCAATGAACCTGCACGACGTAGCCGAAAGCAGAGGGTTGGACCTTGATTTCTTCGTCATGATAAGTTCGATAGAGGCCGTGGTGGCGTTGCCATCACAAGCCGCCTATTGCGCAGCGAATTGTTTCCAAGATGCTTTTGCCCGATACCGCCGGTCAATTGGCCGTCCTGCTACGTCAATTGCGTTCGGATTGATTAGCGATATGAGCGAAGTCGGCCAATGGGCGTCCGCACGAGGCACCATAGCTCGCAATGGGCTTTACCCAATCGGCGAATATGACTTGCTCCGTCTCCTCGAAGGAGTATTTGTCGAGAAGCACAGATATGATCTAGGCGACACTGCTTTCGATCATCTCGCACAGGCGCAGATTGTGTGCTGCCTGGATCCCGGCGAATTGGCGAACCATTCTCTCAAGCAGGAGAGAATGAATATTCAGACCCCACGATGGCACTCAGACGCCAAGTTCTCACACTTGTTCCGTGCCATGAGGAGCTGTCTACGGGACAAGGATACAGTCTCCGAACCAGAACGAGAAACACCGTCGTTGACCTCCGAGGTAAATCAGCTCATCTCGAACGGGAACTTCGAAGAGGCTGCGGAACTTGTGAATTCTGCCATCATAGAACAGGCGGCATCGTTACTCGGAGTGGCGCCCGAAAGTATAGATTCTCGAAGGTCGATAGCGCATTACGGCGTGGACAGTCTCCTTGCGGTGGAACTGAGAAACTGGATTACCCACTCGTTCCAGGATACTATCCCACTTCTCAAGCTCTTAGACGAGAGCATCAGCATAAGAGATCTCGGGGCAATGATCCTAGTGAGCCAAAAGAAAGATGATGCCTCAGATGCGTCCGTCCCTACGAAGGTAAATGGCGTTGGAGATTCGCACGCGTAAGCCAAGGTGCACTTCGTAGCTTGACCCGACGTTCGGTGCTCTCGGGTATCTTGGGTTTGCCGAAACTTCCGACTCCGATGCCGATCCAACGATGGTTTGCCAGTTGATCTATTCATATAGGTTGGTGACTTAAAACGAGAAAAATCAATCAATCATGTAGATTGCCTTCCTTTTCCGATTGCACCTGTGACAGTTTTAGATATGACTTATTCATCAGACCTTGCGGAGACCGAAATTGTATGTACTATAGACGCCTGTTCAGCTCGTTTACTCTACTATATCTGGGAAAGTTGTCGCATGCAGATTTTCGAGTATGAAGCGCATGGCTTGCCTTCTTTTTGTTCCGCACCTCTCTAAATGCTGAAGCACTACGAGGTTAGTCTCTAATTTTTGCAAATTGTTTATACCTCCCTTATTGCGTCTGCTCTACCAAGACTTCACTTCCATCTCAAGATCATTAGCGCCTTTACTGCCGTCGAAGTCCCCAGGTCAGCAATATCACATGGCATTTGGAGTGTGGCCCTCTCATCTCTAAGCTTGTGATCATTGAGCTATCGAAGCTATTCAAACATCATCCGGACCTGCCAAACCCAGCGCCTGTCGCCTCGTCGGAGCCTTCGCATCAAAGAAGGGCTTCTCCGCCAAAGCCGTCACTCTGGTGCCGTGCCTCGGCTCATTGCCCTCGTAGTCCCAGCTCGCGTTATGGATTGTTACTCTATTGTCCCATAACGCCGACGTGCCTGGAGTCCAACGGAAACGGACCTGGATATCGACATTCTTCTCATACACATCGTACAGATAACCCAAGATCAGGTCGCTTTCCGCCTTGTCTAGACCGACGATGCGTACCGTCATTGCCCGGTTGACCCACAACGTTTTCCATCCCGTAGCAGGGTGGACGCGTACGAGAGGGTGAATACGCTCGATATATTTTGGCCCAGCCGTGGGATCGTTCCGGTCAAGATACGGATGGGCGCTGCGATACACTGCCAATTTCCCGTCTATTATCTTTCGGAAATCCGGTGAAAGCTTCTCATATGCGGCATATCCGGAGGCCCAGAGCGTATCTCCGCCAATCTTTGGTATAGTATCGTTGTGGAGGTGGGTCACCCTGGATCGTGTTAGCCTAGGTTTGCGTCTCAACCACTGTCCTTGGACCTACCCAGCCGGCTGGCGCTCATGCACCAAATCGGTGTGCCACCTAGATGCCCCACCAGTCTGCCTGAAGCTCGCCGCGAATTCCGTAGCTTGCAAGGCTGGCCAGATCACTGTGGTCCCTGGTACTCCCGGAACAGAAGGAACTTGCGGATGGACCTCGATCTCGCCGAACCACTCTCCGAGCTTCTTTTGTTCCTGAGGCGATATGCCCTGGTCGCGAAAGAACACCACGCTCCTCTCAGCAATCAGCAGGCCAAGCTCATCTTTTTGCTGGTCTGTGAGATCTTTCAACTGCAATCCAACAATCTCCGTGCCGATGTGAGCAGTCAGGTGGATGACCTCCTTGGCTGCGGATAGTAATGCCTTCTTCTCCGGGTCTGCTCGAGTTCCTGGGTCTACATGAGGGCGGTCGTAGTCCCTGATTTTGTAGACATCGTCCAAGTAGAGTGGCTTTGCTGGCCGGTACGGATAACCGTTGGATAGGTCGATACCAGCCTTCTCAAGTCTCTTCCTCGCCGCTTCGGGAAGACCCAAAGTATCCTTAATTGGTTGAACGGTGTCTTTGATCTCAGGCGAAATAGGTAAAGCCACGGGCGCCATAATTGCTCTTGGTCAGTCGAAAGGATGGCTCACCTGGTTTTGAGAGCAGGTTGCAAGCTTATATTCTTTTCCTATTCACTTCTCAGGTTTCGCAATTACACATCTGGCCGCCTGGTGTTACTCCAATGCGATGCCGCTATCAGTGTTAGTCTGCGGGGTAGCTTCACCATAGCAATCACATCATCCACCAGGATGATGGCGCATACCTAGGTACCCATTCTCTTGGGCCTTTCTTATCGCATCCGCCGAAAATCCCCCGTTATTTCCGCACAGATGTGTGCTCCGTCTGAGGTTGCTGTGCAGCCCCGTCTCGAGGCCACCAGCGACTAGCCTCGGATGATGCCATCTCTACTGCATATTACGCTTGCAGATTGTCCTGCTGTATCGGATCTGACCATTCGATAAATGTTTACAAATCGACATGTGGAGCTCAGTATCAATGGCACCACGGCATACCGTTTGGAGTGCGCGAAGATATACCGATCGGTATACCTGAAATGCATCGTCCCCAGGTGTACTCCGACTTTTACAGACACAAACGCTACTGCTACACCACAAGTCATGAGCTCGAGACCAAAACGAGTTGCTGTTATCGGAGCTGGGATTAGCGGAGTGGTTGCCGCAGCTCACCTGAATAAGGAGAACATTGAAGTCACTGTCTTTGAGCGTTCGAGTGCCGCTGGCGGCGTATGGTCAGTGTATATCCCCATGGCTTGGTTGAAGCTAACAACATCTAGGTTATTCGATGAGCGTCCGCCTTTAGAGGCATCTTACCCTTCCATCGTCGCCTCAGAAGCGGAAAGGAAACAACCTTTCGACCCAACGCTAAACCTCACCGAGGAGGAATACCGAAGACTCTTGCACGCGCCACCTGGGTACGTGTTTCCTTACTAAAGGCTGTATCAAACTAAGCAGACTTCTTAGAGTAGCCCTTGCTACGTAGGTTTGAAGAATAACGTCGCAACCCGCTTGCTGCAGACAACACTAAATTCTTTCCCGCCTGGAACACCTGACTTCGTCAGTCATAACGTCTTGAAAGAGTATATTCAAGATACCGCATTGAAGACTGGCATGTACGTATTTCCTGCGGTATCAGCGAGTCTGACCGTAATTGCGCAGCGAGGAACGAGTGCGCAATTACCTTTTCCACGATCGAGTTATGTATTGAGAGCCAAGACACGCCGGAATGAGCATTGCTAACTTTGTTTGCTGAATCTAGACATAGACTCACACATTATGACACGGAAGTGAAGGAGCTCTCTAAAAACGGCGATGAGTGGACAGTAGAGGCTGCAACACTAAGCGAACGCCGCGACGGTGCGTTGAAAGCGACCTCTTGGGTATCAGTAAGTCTGAAGCTCGAGTAGTCGCCGTTTGACTGACCTCAATCCAAAAATTCGATGCGGTGGTGGTAGCCTCAGGTCACTACCACACACCCAGGATCCCCGACATCCCCGGCCTAGCACAACTCAAGCAACGCTGGCCAACTCGAATCCATCACTCGAAGGGTTATCGCCGGCCTGACCGCTTCAAGGGCAAAAATGTACTCCTGATAGGCGCCGGCGTCTCTTCCACTGACATCGCACGCGAAATCGGACCGTTCGCGAACACCATTTACCAGAGCCACCGCAACGGACTGTTCGACCTTCCCGGTAGCCTTCTTCCAGAGAATGGGGTGCGCGTCGAGCAAGTAATCTCGTTCGATCCGCCCGCGGACAGCAAAACGGCTCTGGATATCTTGCCCGATGGCTCTCTTCCCACCATCGTAACGCTCAAGTCTGGGACGACAATTTGCAACATTCATGCCGTCGTCCTCTGCACGGGCTATCACACAACACTCCCTTTCCTCCCTACCCATTACGCCCCAGCCAACACCCCTCCCACAGCAGCGTCCTCAACGACACTCATAACCGACGGCATCCAACTGCACAATCTGCATAAAGATATTTTCTACATCCCTGATCCCACGTTGCTCTTCATAGGGGTACCCTATTTCACGGCCACATTTACCCTCTTCGAGTTCCAAGCTATGGTCGCTGCGAAGGTCGTTGCAGGGAAAGTGAAGCTTCCCCCAGAGGAGGAGATGCGGAGGGTGTATGAGGAAAGGGTCAGGAAGAAGGGATATGGGAAGGCATTTCACAGTTTGAGAGAGACGGAAGTAGAGTATGTCGATCAGCTGATTGGATGGGCGAATAAGCAATTGGATGTTAGAGAGAGACTGAAGGGTCATACAGCGGAGTGGAAGGAGGGGAAAAAGGAGCAGGTTGAGAGAATCAAGGCTTTGTTTGCTGCGGGGGAGACGGCACGGGGGGAACTTGAGGTTATTTGCTAGCATCAAGTTGGACCTTATGGATTAAACGTTTCGAGCTTGCAATCCTACTATTATGTTGTTAGCAATTGAAGAAGAAAAAGTTTGGATCACCTTTATGACGGTCCAATACTATCCATCCGCCGTTACCCTCAGACTCTACTATCAAATCACCCACTCCTCCATCTGCAGCATTTAGGCCACTGACGCGACTGCCGAAACGTCTGCGAGGGCTTATCGGAACGCGACACCGCCACTGTGCTACCTTCCAAATCGAATCTTATTCCCGGTACTCCACGAGGCGCACGCCATATGTACCCAAAATTGCACACCAAGCATGCCGATCCCAGCCAGCTACGCGCACGACTCATACCGAGTAGCCAAACAGCCCACGCACGCATCATTACTGCACCACACACCACTGCGCGTGCAATGACGCCATGCGAACTTATCCAGACATCGGAAGCCGTACTCAGAACTCGTAGGACATGTTATTCCGACATGGGTTCCCGCGATGGCCTCGCCATCGCCCCCCGGTCTCGCGTCAACCGGCTAGGTACCTCGTTCCGCACCTCGGTCCGTTGAAAAGCTTTGAGTGCTTGTATGATAAGAGTGAAGCTTGCCTCGACGTTTCGAAGGATGTATACGAGCTTTTTGGCCCACGATGGGGTCTTCGCTTTCGACTGACGCTAGGTTGACGAACACGCCGGGGCTGCAGGTGCGGGAAGAGAAGGAAGGAGGGAAGAAGAAATGGTATTATTATGTCTGGGACACGCTGGACAAACCCAAAGAGGAGCGGTGGTTCATGTTCAAGCTGGATGCTGCGCTGCTCACCTTTGCGAGTCTCGGTGTGCTGCTGTGCTGTCGCGGGACGGGACCGGGATCGCTGACAACGTAGGGTACTTCATCAAATACCTGGATCAGTCGAATATTAACAGTGCTTTTGTATCTGGAATGTAAGTACCTAATCCGAACAGTCTTCAGCTGCTGACTCTCGTTGCAGGAAGGAGGATCTTGGTCTCTGGCACAATCAGCTCAACTACATGCAAACCTGCTGGACTGTCGGCTACGTCATCGGCGAACTTCCCAGTAACATTATCCTTACGCGCTTCCGGCCCTCCGTATGGATTCCAACGATGGAAGTCACCTGGTCTGTCCTCACCTTCGCTCTCTCTCGCGCTAAAACAGCAAAGACGATTTACATCCTACGCTTCTTCATCGGCCTCGCTGAGAGCACATTCTATCCCGGGATGCAGTACATCATTGGATCGTGGTATCGCAAAGAGGAGCTCGCCAAGCGGTCATGCATCTTCCACACAAGCGCAGCCATTGCGACCATGTTTTCGGGGTACCTGATGGCAGGAGTATATAAATTGGGCGGGAGAGGTGGCTTGGCCGGTTGGCAGTGGCTGTTCATAGTCGACGGGGTGATCTCACTGCCGATCGCATTGGCGGGATACTTTGTCCTGCCTGACGTCCCTGAGATCTCGCGGCCCTTCTATCTGACGGAGGAAGAGGTGAAGTTTGCGCAGAAAAGGATGGAGCTTGAGGGCCGCCAGAGGCGACAACCATATACCAAGTCCAAGGTCCGCAACATCCTAACGTCGTGGCACATCTACGCTTTGACACTTTTGTACATCTTTTGTGAGTAACGCCAGGGTACAAATACCATTCCTCAGATACCTGCTAATGTACACTCGTAGTCAATAATGGGGGCGCGGGCTCTCAGCCGGTGTTCCAGCAATTCCTCAAGGCGTCCAAGCATCCAGAGTACTCTGTCTACGAGATCAATACGTACCCAACCATTACAAACGCAGTGCAGGTAGTCTCGACACTGGCGTATGCTTGGACCAGCGATAGCGTGTTGAAAGGCGCCAGGTGGCCACCTATCGTTCTCGGCGGGGCGGTAAACATCATGTGTTACGTGTCTCTGGCGATCTGGGATATACCAATCAAGTGGAAGTGGGCATGCTTCGCTCTATCCGGAATGGGGGGCGGGCTTTCGGGTCTCTGCATGGCGTACTGTCTTCTCTTCTTGTGTACCGTACCTGGCTGACACTTGTAGATGGGCCCACGAAATCTGCACTTACGACAACGAAGAGCGCGCCATTGTGATCGCGTCGATGAACGAGATGGCTTACGTGATCCAAGCTTGGTTGCCGCTGATCGTGTGGCAGCAAGTCGAAGCGCCGGAGTACAGAAAGGGTTTCATTACGGTCAGCTTTCTGAGCGCCAGTCTGATTGTAACGGCGTTGACGATCCGTGTGCTATTCGCGAGAGAAAAGGTCAAGCAGGCACGAAGGTCGTGGCCTGAAGATGAAGCAGTGGAAGTGCACGATGGGCCTTCCGGAACTAGCGTCGAGGGGTTGGAAGTCGAAGTTGGCAAGTGAAACCGGTCGTGGCAGCGTGGGGGTGGATTGAGCCGAGGTTGACATTTACACCATGTGCAAAAGCCAATCTCATCGAGCTAGACAGCGAGGAGGTCAATCCTCTGGATGGCGGCGTGGTGCCGTTAGTTGAAACGAATCTAAGATTCCCTTCTCGCCTGTGCCTCTTTCTTACGTATGTCGAGATTTAATTATACTTAACGTACTTCACAAGCGAGCTGGTCACACAAGCGAGCTGGTCACACAAGCGAGCTGGTCACACAAGCGAGCTGGTCACTTTCTCTTGGCAAGAAAAATCAACGAAAATCAACTCGTATTTCTTAAATAACTAACGTACTTTATCATCGAGCCGACCACGATTTCTTGGCAACGAAAATCAACGAAAATTAACTCGTTGTTCTTAAATAACTAAGCGAAACCTTAATATATTTCTATAAAAATTTATATATATATTCTTTATAGTATATTACACCTTATACTAAAGTTGCACTAAGATATATTACGTAATTAAAAAGCTATACGTATTTAACTAACTTTTAAGAAAAATCTAGTTTACTTCTAGGTAGTAGTATTATATCTCTATAATAATCTATAAAACTTATAGTATATAGTATTTATAACGTAATAAAGGTTTCTAGAAAACTTTTATAGAGCTAGCTCTTCTAGAGATAGCGTAGTAAGAGATAAAAGTTAGAAAAATATCTTCTTTAGAGTTTTTTCTTCTAACTATATATATATATAGTTAATCTAGCTATATAAACGTATTATTTTATAAATAATAGTAGGCTTTAACTATATAGAGCTTATTAACTAATAATATACTAGCTTTAAGTAGTTATATAAAAGTAAAGCCTTTTTAGTAGTATAGTATAGAAAGATAAAAAAATACTAAAACTATCTTAAAATTATTACTTCTAAATATATAGTAGACTTATAGTATATAACTTTATATAGCTAGATTATTTATATATATCTATAGTTAGAGAAGAAAACTCTAGAAAGACTTTTTATAAACTTCTATTTCTTATTACGCTATATTTAGAAGAGCTAGCGCTATAGAAGTTTTCTAGAACTCTTTATTAAGTTATAAATACTATATATTATAAGTTTTATATATTATTATAGAGATATAATATTACTAACTAGAAGTAAACTAGATTTTTTTTTAAAAGTTAGTTAAATATATATAGCTTTTTAATTACGTAATATATCTAGATATAACTTTATAATATAGTATAATATACTATAGAGAATATATATATAAATTTTTATAGAAAAATATTAAGGTTTCGCTTAGTTATTTAAGAAAAACCTATTAATTTTCGTTAATTTTTCTTTCTAAGAAATTATAGAGCGTTTAGTAGTATAGAGTATTTAGTAGTAAAGTACGTTACTAGAAGAAAACTAGATTTTTCTTAAAAGTTAGTTAAATACGTATAGCTTTTTAATTACGTAATATATCTTAGTGTAACTTTAATATAAGGTATAATATACTATAAAGAATATATATATAAATTTTTATAGAAAAATATTAAGATTTCGCTTAGTTATTTAAGAAAACGAGTTAATTTTCGTTGATTTTCCTTGCCAAGAAACTCTAGGGGGTTTGTTTATGTAGGAGGTTCGTTTATAAAGTACGTTATAAATTTTTATAGAAAAATATTAAGGTTTCGCTTAGTTATTTAAGAAAAACTCGTTGATTTTCGTTGATTTTTCTTGCCAAGAAATCGTGGGCGGTTCGCTTGTGTGGGCGGTTCGCTTGTGAAGTACGTTAGCAGTAACTATATCTAGCAATATTTTCTTACTACGGGTAATAGAGAGATAATAAGAGGTGATTGTTAAAAAGCAGGTGGCTTAGCAAGTCTTAGCATCACGTTGAGCACAGCCGACGATCGCGAAGCCCCGGAATTCCAGGTTAGTGGGTGGCGCGATACAACACCTATTATTTACTAATTAGAGGTATCGCTTTGGCGCGCATATGCAGAGACGTTGAGGCGCTAACAAAACGCGTGAGAGTTTGCATGAAGCTCTCGGGGGCTGCCAAATCACCAAATGCACGCGCGACCATATGATAGGTATCGGTGGAGATCGGAGAAGAAAGGAAAAAATTAGCCAGAACAAAAATCGCGTGTGCTGCCCTGCCTTCGCTGTGCCTTCCTCTGCGTCAACCCGGCATTTATCTGCAATTACCACTAGAGATGATCTTAGAAGTTCTCATGGCTCTAGGAACAGATACGACAAGTTGTGTAGGGGGGATCCGAACAGGGAGCTGATGTTCAGAGTGAGCTATATATGAAAATCGGTAATGAAGAGCACTGTGACGTGAAAATTGAGTTTCAACGCATCAATGGCGTTGCATATTCACTGTCTCCCGGGTGTCATCCATGTTTAGATCTATGAGCTTCGGCTTCCACTATGGTGGCTGCTTCAAGGCTCAGCCTGGACCGCGGGCTTTTTCTCTTTCCTTCAATATTCCCATACATCCAACGCCAAGATTTTTTGCATTTCATCTTCCCCAATATCCTTGACATTCAGATAGACCCAACGACCAGACCTGTTGTATATCACCCTGATAAGATTCTTGCTCAAGACTTCACGAGATGTGACTACTTGAAGTGGCGGGCCGGATGTCTCTTGTGCCCATGGTTCGAGTGGAAACCGTGGAAGGCTTGAGACGCCATACTGCCCAGTTCCAACAACACCCCGGTGCTGGGTTAAATATGTCTTCCTGGCGCTCTCGATTGGATCGGAGGCGAGCAATAGAGTAGCAGGATCGGCACCATAGTCTTTCAGTATACCATTGAGCACCATTGCCTTCATGACCTCGTGCGTGTAGGTGTATTTCAGTGCAGCCGTGACTACCTCCTTGGTCACTTGAAATGCTGACCGTTGGCGGCGGAGGAGAATCTCAAGTATGGTGTTCCTATCTCCATGACTCTGTACGACTGCCAGAAAGACACTGTCAGTGACAGGAAGCTGTTGTCCCGTACTCAAAAGTAGTTCCAGAATCGCGATCCCGCAGCGCTTGTTTCGAGAAGCCTCGATGATCACCTTCTCGGTGATCGCCATTGGCCCGCTACGTCGATCAAGGAATAGTCTGAGAATCTCAGCGCCGCTCTCGCTCTGCGCCTGTGCGACCAAGACATCCTCATTGAAGTCAATTGTAGCGAGGGTCTGGTGCATAAAGTAATTCAACACGGCGCAGCAGCCGTTCTTTGCGGCGACCTGGAGTATGTTCAGACCTTGCGCGTTCGTCCAACCGTAATCCACGAAGTCTTTTGCGTCGACGGCTCGAAGTGGTTCGATGAGGTCATTTGCTGAGCAAAGGAAGACCCCTGCCTTGCCGGTCGGATGAGCAAGAATTGTTGCATCATCAAAGCACTGCCATTTTCGACGCTTTTTTATGGGCCGAATTTTCACCCCTGGCACACGTTCGGCTCTGAGCCGATCCTTAAGTAGTCTGGCGTTTTTCTCCCATGTGGCTAGTTCCGGCGGCGAGGATCCTTTCCGATCCACATTGGAGATATCCCCCATGAGTTGGTTGAGATACACCTGCGACAGGATTTCGTCAACGGGGCTCATCCACTCCTTTGAATGGAAGATGGCTTCGCTCTTTCCAAATAGAAAGAACAATAAGGCGGTCTTGTATGCGCTCGAAAAGTCCTCCTCTCTGGCTGATTTGTAATGTCCGACCCAAAAACGGAAGCAATATTCGGCAATTTCTTCGGCATGGCCGAGTGCGGCCTGTGAATTCCAATTCACATGCGCCATAACTGCCTCTGTGGAAGGACTCTTGCTTCCACAAAGCATGATCCAAAGACTGACCTCAGCGATGAGAGCATTGCTCGATGGGTAAGAAAACTCTGGTTCGTTTTCGAGAAACTCTCGAACTGACAGGTGGGCGAATCGGAAGGTGTTCTGGACGGTATCGAGGACCACGAAGTTATTGCATATGTCTAGAATAAGACCAACGGTGCAGTACTGGACCCTGCAACCTTTCTCTATGCCTATGGATGCGGCGGACAGTAGTCGCTCAGTACTGAGATAGGATTGCGAGCACAGAAGCCAGCTAAAGATGTTCTTACGAATCAATGCATGATGCTCCCCTGGTCTCTCTGTCGCTGCTGTCAGATTTTGTCGATATGAAGCATGCAGCCCTGGAGGGAGACGCCCTAGGCTAGCTTTGATGTCGGCGTCAACGCTAAACGTGCAAAGGTATTGGAGTTGTAAGCTGGCCCACCGAAACCTATTGGGGGTCAATACTGCTTATCTTCATAATTTATCCATGCAACTTACATGCCCTTTGCTTTTTTCTTGACTTCGCTGGTTACGACATCTCTCATTTCGTCTTTGGAGTCACTATGACGAAAAAGCTTTCCATCCCGGATAAGCTGATCAGCCTCCTTTTCCACGAATTGATCAATATCATTCCGATTCTTCCAATGATCAAGTACCACGTTCGGGTAATCATCAAGCATCGATTTGATATCCAGATCGTCCCGACTGGAGATGAAGATCTTGACGAGTGAAGTTGACTTTTGGAGAATCGTTTGCAGGGTTTTGAGGAAATCGGTTCGTTTTGTAGAATCGCATTCATCCATGGCATCAATGACAATGGTAGTCATCGGATAGAACTTGATAAGCTCCATGATCAATTCGCAGCTTTCTTCGATATCGGGCTGCCACGTAGAGCCAGATGCGAAGCCAGTCGATTCCTCCTCCAGAAAGACTCTGATCACTGGGTCTAGCAGAGATTTTCCGAGTTCTGCAGCAGAAAGCTGTCTTGCTATGCTGGCGAGAATCGCTTGGGGATCAGATCGTGAAGCTTCTGCTGGATTCCGTGAGCAATAGAAAAAGATTGGCTGGGTATTGGTCCCAGCTCTGAAGCCTTGAATAAGATCTTTTATGACGATAGACCTGAATGCTTAAATAAACGCGTCATTATTTTATCCAGATGAAGTGAGAACTTACACGATCTTGCTTTTACCCGTTCCTGGTGCCCCATGGAGCCAAAGGATACTGGATGCACTTTCCTTCTTCCACTGCTTGAACTGGACATCCGAGAGCAGCCATTGCCCAGTACCAGGGAGCATGTCTCTGATAGCTTGCTTGTGATGTTGAAGATATGGCTCCGGCGAAAGCCATTGTAATATTTGAATCCGTCGTCTAGCTGTAAAGCTTGAGTGCGCTAGCCATCGTGACCGGAATGGGACTTACTGTCAAGGTCATCCTGAAGTGACCTCAAACTCTGGTCAACTCTCTGCATTGGTGCATCAATGTTCTCCAGGAGGGCCTTGAGCTCAGTATGCCCGCGCACTGAATCTGACAGCCTTTAGTGCACTGGAATCCACGCATCGTTAAACATACCGGCCTTATCAGCGAGTGATTGGCATCGTTGCACGAGCCCTTCGTCGAGTCGAACCTGGCCCAGAGTCGCGTCGAGCTGAGTTGTGCCAGCTAGTGTACCGAGAATGGATTTCCCTACATACTCTTGTTATTGGCATCCAGTGTTGTACTAACTAGAACCAACCATTCGTAATTCTCTTTGTATACCGGGTGGATTCGGAGAGAAACATCAAAATACTCGCGTAAAGCTGCACGAGGGCTCGTTTCAGCTCAACACCCGCGTCAGATTGTTGAGGAAGATATAAGTTCTCAACCACGGCACAGCGACAGATTATTTCCGCTACCAGCGCAAGTCCCTCGACGACAGCGGTACGGATATTGGAATCGTTAACCGCGATCTGGAAAAGGTTAATTGATTTTGATTTCGTTACATATGCAACCTTACCTGCAAAATCAAGCGAATCGCGGCCCATGGCAGGGCAGCATGTGCCGGATCGTATTGAACCGCAACATCACCCACCTGCTTGAATGTATCAAGCCATCGGATGACTTTCTCGAACACGTCCCTCACAATGACGGTCTCTCCATTTTTGCGACGAAACGTCCATTGCTTCTTTACAGCAGTTTGCCTGGCTTGCTCGGCCTCATGGTGTAGCTCCTTCAGAATATTGAGTTTATCGGGGCGGTTGAAGTTGATCGCTTTCTTGTCCGTTGAGGAAAGTTGATCGGCTGCGCGAGCCCAGAGGTCATCGCTAGCGGACCCGAAATGTCAGATGAGAACTTCGCTATGTGATTCGAGAGTACTCACACGGCAGGTCTTTCAATAGCAGGTCTGGTTGTCCCTATTGGAGCTGCCATAGCCAGGCAAGGGAGAGGGCGGCGCTCCACCCGCCGCCTGCGCGCGGGCCGGGCCAGGGCGCGATGCAATCTACGATATAGCGCGAGGCCCCCGGAACTGGAAAAGTTACCCTAACACGAATACAATTGGCAAAATAGAATTGGGGTTGAGAATGGACGAAAAGTGAAGCTGGTCGAGAGTTGTTGGCGAGCCTCTGACAACCCCGCAGCTGGAGGCCGTGAGGCAAAGTGCAGGCGTAAGCGACGGGTGAAGACCTCCGAGACCCAAAGTCGACTGCCTTTCTCAACCTCTTTGACAACAGTGCGGCGTGTGGCGACCGATGGCTTCCTACATGCGCGCGTTGTGCAGCACACCTCGACTCACCACGTTCTTCGGCAACTGACACGATCCGACAGCTGGAGCTCGGCCGGCAGCTTTCCAGGCATACGCGCGTAGACTCCACGCTTCTTGGGCCAAGTGCGGGTAAGTGGCGCGCTGCTCAAGTCGAGACGTCCTTTGCTAACCACGCGATTCGACAGCTCAAGCCCCCTCCCCCGAATCCGCCATCGCACTACTAAGGCGTGAATACCAGTATTCGGGTGGTAGGCGTCGCACAATCCTGGGGCATCCCGAGAGGGCCGGAAGTGTCAATGAATGGCCCATGCGCGCGGCGACAGACTGTCCAGATTACAACCGGGGACGCACTAGTACCGGGAGGGGAAGGAGAGGCCACGGTGCTTTTCGAGACAAGCACCTGCATAGCCTGAAGCAGCTGAGAACGATGGGCTCGACCTTGTCCAGCGTTTGCGATGGGGCCGAACCCGATGAGGTTATCGTTGGCTGGCCTATCCCCATCCGACCGCCGTCGGAAGAATAGAGGGGCACCGAGCCATCATGTGCATACGAAGTTGGTTAGATGTTCAAGGGGAGCATGCCTGCGAAAGCAATATCACCCGAGGCTTCGCTTTCACACGCAGAGCTCGAGGATGAATCCGATCTACACATCGACACGGAGAGGATTCCCATCTATGCCGGCAACAATGTGCAAGATGTTTGCATCGCCGGAGCTCTCCAATCGCCATTTCCCGTCACGAAGAACTCAACCCGAATAAGGTGTTAGCATAACGACGTGCGGCGTCGTGTTTGTGACGCGCATTCTATGCCTCTCTAATCATGTCGACGTTTCCTCCGGCTGTTCTATCACGTGTTTTAGCCTATTCTACTCGGCGTCTGTTGGCTGTCCTTGGCGTGCAGGTCACGTACGTATAATATACCATCAGCGTCTGTCGCGTTTTAACAGTCTCTTACCGCCGGTCTCTGAGGCTTTGGACTTCCCCGGCTAGTTCGCCAGCAAGTAACCTCCGCCTGGAGTATCTTCGTACGGTGGTTCGACGTGCCATCGCAACCCAGAGTAGCCTCGCGCATTATTGGTGGTACCAACGCCCAGGTTAACTCCCCGCCGACGACGGTTTCAAGACCTTCGGAAACCAAGTCAAACACGCGATGCCTTTTATCGCGCTTTTCTAGCATGCGTAAAGAGGAAGATATCGGTTTGAGGGTGTCTGCCATAGACCTCTCTCGATCCCGCCGTTCCGAGTAACCAGTAGCCTTGGGTGCCGCGCTTTCGGGTGCGAGTTCGATCCTCGTCGGCAAGTAAATTCATGAAAGCCGGATCTCCCAGCCAGCAATTGAAATACTTGAGGCGAAGCGATTATTTTAGGAGACTCTCCACTCCCCTCTTCGCTTGTTGGGTATTCCAGTCTCCGACCTAGCGACGAAACCACGCCAACCGCGGTCTTCTCAAAGACTAAAGCAGGGACTGTTGGCTGCCATGTCGAAGAAAGCACCGCTCCATTTATGAGTCCGCATGGTAAGTATCTCCAGCACTATCCGTCCTGGCACACGCTCTTGGGTTCAACTTCACTCTATGTGATATCCATACATCTGGCTTATGCTTCGGATGTGTTCATAGTGGTCCACTTTTCTCCTTCCTCCTAGCGAAAGGTCTCGATGGAAGCGAAGCCCCACAAATTGCCATCTCTTCCTGTATCCACCCCCATACTTCAGCTCCGCAATAATCTCGTTGATTTGTCACTAGATCCAGCGTCAACGCGGCTCCAACGGTAGCTCCGAAGGACCGCACCGCTTGTTTTCAAGGTCATGTATGCGCTTCTTATTCTCCTCTACTATAATACCTTTTTCTTCTTATACCAATCTTCTCCATCTCGCCTATCTCTGCTATTCTCTACTTCTTAATAGCGCTCGCTATACTTCTCATGTTCCTCGCACATCTATCACTTCGACGCCCAGGCTCCAGTTCATTACCAAGTCTGCCGCGTGGTAGACATTTCATGCCGCCGCACTTTAGTTCAGGCTTGGCTATCTGTCTTCTTTACTAGGCACGCATCCCCACGTGTCTCGGAGAAACAAGGAGAATGATAGAGCGTACGCCAGCACCGGAATGGCGAACGTCCCTGATGATTCTTTTCTCAGTTGAAGATAAGTCGCAGTATCGAACACCCCAAATTGTTGGCAGCAGAGGCAATGGTTTGCGCACCTCTCAGTGCACTAAGCAAGGCGTACGAGCTTACCGAAGTTCAACGTCTCCAACATGGCATTGAATCCTACTCCCCTTATCGTCTCTTTGGTCTGCGTGTGCCTGATCGCGCCTCCCCAGTACCAGATATCTTATAGCCATCTGAGCATGCTCGGGGCCAGCAAACACCGGATATTGGACGACTACCCGGGAGTCGCCGCCGTACTGTACGTACCGCAAAGTCCTGGAGGGGTATTGCAGGCAGGTCTTTGATGGCTTCATGTGGTATAGACGTCTTCGCGATAGTACTATCTTCTCTCCTACGTTTGCTGACACACCTGAAATAGCCCGACTTCTTCCAAGGTTGGCAATGTCCGCGTATGTCAGCCGACTGCTGAATCTGGGTCCACGTCGAACCGCGCGCCGTGAGACTGTCATCGAGGCACAATTTGGTACTGCTATGCGGCGGCTGTGGTTTAGCCTGATAGCTTTCTCGGCTTCATTGGCACCTATTCGCACATGCACGAGCCAGTCTAGTCTTGAATGAGGGTAGTGCAGATTGGCGATGGCTGCACTCTTTATATCCGCAGATCACCGTCGAAGGGTGGATGTCCTTCTTAGTCACGGCTCCTGTGCGCGGCTTTCTTGAGCAAATACCCTCCACACCAGGATGATTCTTTAGATGCTGACCTCAATTTTGTAGACCATGACAGTCCTACTGAAACCTGCCTAATTTCCCCGTTTCATTGAGGCTCTGGAACCGCGGCTTCTACCTAGCGTTAAAGAGCGTCGGACTCGTCCTTGCGCCTGAGAGTCTACTCTTACTTCTTAAGATTAAGTTCCTCTATCTCCCTGAGGAAATGCAAAGGATCGTTCTCGTCCTGTAAAAGATTATCATCGGGGCTCAGCTAGCATAGCGCATCCTCTGGAGGTGGCAATCCGTTCTTCTTAAGGTCTTTAAATATCTTCTTCTTCGCCTTTAACGCTTTCTAGGCTGCAGTTTTTGCCGCCTTCGCTTTAGCTGCGCCTGCTTCGCCAGCGGTCTCCGGTAGGTCCTCTTCATGTGTTCCATCCAGTTTCATCTCAGATTCGTGATTGCTCTCGAGTTCTAATCCCTCATATTCGTTTATGCTGTCATTTTCCATGTGTGCATTACCCCCTAGAGCGGTGCTGCCCCCACCATTCTGCTCCCCAAGACTGGCGGTCTGGATTCAACAGTTCAGTCAGTAAACTAGTTCTTTTCGTTTGTTGCTTGAAGCCATGCTTCTTTTGCACAGTCTCAGTTGGAGTTGAGGTCGAGCGCAGGTTGGGTGCCACGGTCCACACCACCAACTGCATCTTCCTCCACAACTATGAAGTCATCCAAGGACCTGGTGTGGAAAAGAAGGGGAACGTAGGCTATCGCCTGCTAGTATAGAGAACGCGGAAAGTGTGAGGCGTTTCTTTTCTATTCCCTAAAAGTAGACCGCAGTGCTGAAAAGTCTCCTTGTCTTTTGATACGTCTGCTTCCTCTTGATCCCCCCAGTCCGCCTCGCGACGGCGCTGTGATTTTGGTCTCTTATTATGGTCTACATCTGTCTCGCCTTCGTCCTAATCTCGTACTTTGGCTAATCATCGTTGTCTCCGCCCTCAGATCTCTCGGTTACATATCTTTAAGTTCGTGCTTACCCTTTCCAGATTTCTACTTAGCGGTCTAAGACGCGAGCCTCTGTTTGATCGCCGTCAAATTCGTTACCAAGGATAAACATGGCCGACAAACAACCTTCCTCAACCTCGCACGTTAGTACAATCTGTTTGAGACCAATAACCTTGTATATTAAGCCAGATTAAGCGTGACATTATGAGGACCGTAGTTCCGTCATCGCCAACCAGCAAAGCAGATATGCCAAAGGAGAAGGAGGAAGGAGAGGATACGGTGCCAAAGAAGAGGTCGGAATGATGACTGTGTGAGGGGCTGCAGAGGTGTGAAAATCTTTCCATTTATACATCTGCAATGAGCAGCGACCCTTTGAGTGGATTGTTCCCCGGGGGAGATATGCACCGGTGAGCTGGTTCGAGGAACGTCCATGCTTGTGTGTCATGCGAACGAAGAGGCGACAGAGGAGAAAGTTGCTGAGGCCTTCCGTCATTTTCTGAGCCGCTGTGACCGGACGAGGTATCTGGTTACAGCTCAATCAATCCAAGAATTTCCTTCGGGCCGTCACGTTGCTACGCCGCCTTGATTGAAGACCATGCAGAAACAATCTATCCATTTCCAAATGTATATCAGCGCCAGATGATGACTCCTTCTCCTACAACTTCACCGTCACCGATTTCGACAGCTCCGAGGACGAGGAAGCCAAGACAGACGAGGCAAATGATCTGCTCGAGTGCCCAACCTGGAAATGGAGTACAAGTCGCCAAATGGCTCTTGCTGCCATTCAGATGGGACGTGATTAATCGAAGCCACTGAGATCGCACACCTTGTACCGTTCTCAATGCTGCAAGAGCTGTGATCGGCTCCAACCTTAAGGTTTAGCAAATCAATAACCGGTCCCGGACAATTGAGCCAATAACCCTAGCCTGCGAACACGAGCGGTGGACAGTGTGCCGGGGTTGCACTACCGCTGTCTCTCTGTGGAGATGCACTGTTTTGGGAGTACAACGACGTGATAAATAAGGTGGCATAAGAGAACCCAAAGTGGAGCGTGTCTCCTGCATTTCTCCGGGCAAGACCCTCGCTTTCTGCCAGGGCTGGCCCCTAATAAATGCAGTGGAAGCGTTCGAGTCTCTGGGAGCCTCACGGAAGAGCTTGAGCAGAGGCACGTTTGCCTTGTTCAAGGGCCTTAGGAATTGGTACGTAAGTCACGTGCTCCTACATTCACCCTCAAATACAGTCATATGGCTAAACCAATAAACAGCTACTCTGTGGGGCCCCAGTCCTCAGACTAGCTCAAAGTGGGATAATGAGTGTCAATGATCAGCGCGTGTGGCGAGGATGTCTCCCAGGTCGCTAGGAGCTTGTATGTGAACACGGGCATTCAACGGCTCCTCCCTGTTGAAGTAATTATAATAACGCGGCTGCCATGGGTCAAGCTCCTGTTTTAGCTTAACGGATTGTTGGGGGTGCGCTCAGGTCTTACTCCGCTGCGAATACTATCCCCGCTCCTAACGATGATAATACATTACTTGCGGATTCACCTGCTAGCGGCGATAGGAGACACCTAACGAGCTCTTCAGCATGTGGGATGCGCTGAGGGTGAGCGGCGCGAATCATCGAAAAGAAAGGGGAAATTAGGAGGACCGGTGAGGTAGATAGCACGGAGGAAGAAACAGAGAGGAACCCTTTCAAAGGGCTAGGATCCAGAGCAGCTTGGTCGACCCGGCGCCGCTGCTATTGTGGGTGAAGCTCTTCCCCGAAATTAAAGCAACGACGACGCCGAGTTGGTACCAACGAGCTTTGGAGTCCTGAAGCTCCGACCGAGAAAGCAGCTATACGCTCAATAAATTGTGACTCGCCATCGCCGGATTCTCGCATGTCTACGCTTCTGCGAGGTGTTGAGACGACGAGCGCTGATGTCCTATTCCTTCAAGGGGTGTCCAAGAACGGGCTGGCGGCGTTGTTGGCGGGTCTTCGAATACAACAGCATTAGCACACAACCGAAGCCGACGCGTCTGCCTTTGGAAAACAAAAGTTCGCGACCGTCACCCTGGTACCCAAGTCATGGCTTGCAACTCATTGCATATCGCTCGGCGCCATATGAGAGTTTCATTGCCGACCCAGTTCGGGCTCGATGCCTTGTGTTGCGACTTGCTCGTTAATTCACCCAGCGGACGCAGCCTCCGGATCTTATTTATCAACGTCCACCTCAACTCGTTGCCAATCAGGCCTTCGTGGAGACCACAGCACCCTGCCGTCGCTGCCTCTTATCTTTCCGCAGCCGGCCGTGGGCTGGTCGCGGGCGACTTTAATCCGCTTTTCGCCGAAGACGACATCATTTGCAGCAACGGTCTCGTGAACACCTAGGCTCCGCTTTATCCAAGCGACACGGGCTTCACGGGGGGTGTATACGGTGAACACGCTTTCCCCCAAGCCGGCTCGACAAAGTTGCACTGTTCAACCTGGCGCTTTCAAGCATGCGTATCTTGCGGACAGGCGAACCGGACAGGTCGGATACAGGGGGTAGTGCAAGCATGGGTTCGGATGCCTGGGCGCATTTCAACGATCATTTCGGTCTCTTGTGCGAAGTTAGCTGAGCGGGAGATGACCAACGTTGTTGGCAAGCTGAGCAGCCTGGGGATACCTTGTAGTTCTGGTACACCAGTGAGAAGAGCGACTTAGATTGACTGGAAGACGGAGCAATTACGATGTCAGTCCAGAGCGAAGACCTTACATTAACGAATGCCTTCGAGATAAGCAAAGGTATGAGAAGCAATAGAAGCCGTGGAATGAGACTAGTTGCTAAGCAAGAAACAGAAATTTACGATAGAACGCGTGCGACGGGTCGCTAGCGGCAGCCTGCAGAAGCAGCTGTCTACGAGTGCATGCGAGCGATTCGCGCCGCATTGACGATCCGCGGTCAAGACTACTATTTCTTTGAAGGTACCTGCTGCAAGCTCCTAACAAAGACCTCTCGGACTACGGAAGAGGTCGATGTCGTAATCAAGAATTCCTCGATGTAGCTTCTGAACCCACGGGATTGGTTGGTCGAAGAACCGTTCTTCTAGAGCAGCAAGCATGAGCAATTCGTCTTTGTTACGATGCGGGATAACCAAGAAACAATCAGAGCCCAGCATAATATTCCAGGGATGCCGCTTCGTAGAGATCGTCGTCGTCGTAGCTGGATAGGGAAGCTTTCCGCTCCTTAAAGACATCAGGAACAGACTGGTACCGCTGCCTCGGGGGTTGCAGGTTGTCGCTGCCGCAAGAAGAGCTTCTCAAGTTAAAATTGGCAGATTGGGCTGAGAATTCCCGCCGCGAAAGTCCGAAGGGCCGAAGGACAGAGCAGATGTTTGTGCTGCAAACAGTCATGTATACGGAAGTCCCGCCAAGGAACCTCGCGAAGTATTCTGTCCACCTGCCCGTACCAGCCGTCAACACGTATGCTTCCAGCCTGGTCTCGGGCCGCCCGTAAGCCTCAACGCCAAGTGTATGGGAGCGGTGGCGGCGCGACTCATGCAGGCCGCTGGCAAGAGAAGTCAATCGCGGCGGTACGGCGTACGAGGGCTGGATACGCGGGTATGCGAGGGACAAGAGGTAACCGAGGTCAAGATCGCAATGGCAACAACGGCGACGTGGCGTCGGATTGAGGAGTCATGCAGGCGATGTAATATGCGCGAGGGATTAGAGAATAGCTCTGGAGGAAGCGAAGTAGGAGAGCGCCGGACCTTGTTACCCAATGAGAATGTGCGGGCACTCGAGATGCCTTGAGGCCCCGCGGGCGCGTATGCGAGTCTGGGACATACTGTGTACTATAGCCTCGCTGCGATCGATCAAGCCAGTTGAAAAGGGCGAGGTTGGATAGAGTCGATATGGCGGCGAATATAGGCGAACCCTAACCCAGCCCCACATTACGTCATCTAGCGCGCCCTCCTGCTCGGTCGCTCCATCGTTCAGACTACGGCATGGCGCTGAAACCGCGGCGTAGTACTCCGGCTGCCCCAAGCAAGAGCCTTACCGAAGCTTGCGCCAGTGTAAACAGTTGAGAGTAGGCGGGCTCTTTCAAAAGGTTAGCGAGGGAAGAAAACGCGAGATATGAGGGGCCGTCCACCAATCCGCGCGCAGACAAACCCTTCTTCAGCCAGCTCTTAAGCGACCTCTATCAGCAGGGCAGAACGCGCCGACATCCATCATATTAGACAGTCTTCAGCCAGTCAAGCCCGAGATCTCCGAGTCAGACTTCCTCGGACTATCACGCAAGATACGGGACGGGGATCTATCAGGAACTGTGGAAGACTCGCCCATCGTTACGCCGTCCAGGACGCGTTTGACTCGTCCGACGCCGAGTTTATGTCATCCAAGAAGTGCCCGTGGCTCCTTACAAGCGAACAAGTACTCTAAAAGACCTCCAGCAATTTCACAAGCATTCAATCTGATACTCCACCGATGAGAGCAAGCCCGCCTGAAAGCAGACCGTCGTTTCCCTCTCCTCGCGCCGGTGCCGGCTCGCGTAATGAAGCTTGAGGCCTGTAGCTCCCCAGAGTAGGGCCAGACAGCCGCTATGGACAGACCTACGGCAATTAAACGTTACCGCGCACTTGGAAGGTCGGGGTTGGATAACCTTTCCGCCAGCACTTTCCGCCACGGAAGCCTGCTGAACCCAACTTCTCGGCACTGCAACGACTAGCTGTGCATACGAACCTCCAGCGCGTCGTCATAGTCTGTGTGAACATTCTCCAGGAGATTCAACACTGCCTTCGCCCCACGCCTCATGACAGAGGTTTCGCCGGCAGGGGGGAGGTTTCGGCAACAAGAGGGTCAGAGTTAGGGAAAGAGGTAGTGCCAGTAGCGATCAGCGATCATACACGAACTACGAGAGCGTAGGCTATACCGGTTCCATTGGTGCTTATAGTCCGGTTGGCAGATCTCTACCAGCAGCTGAACAGCGCAACGACGGCCATAGGGAGAAATTCGACACCGCATGAATCCCACAACCCATGATCGCACCCGTCACACCTGCCCTCGCAACACGGTAAGCCCTCTCCAACGTCCCTCATTCTCGCCCATGCCGCGCTCGTAGAGGAAGCGCATCAAGCTTTTCATTTCCATAGCCTGTATCTATCAGGTTCGACATTGTTCCAAAAGTCTTGGGGCTTGAAGTGGCTCGCCCTTTCAGGTAAACGTCCACGCATTTTTGGAAGGTTTCACGTGAACAAGAAATCAACGCTCCTAGTTAGCCAGCTTGTTATTCGCCATTCTCTTTCACATCTTTTAGGTCACCTCACGCTAGGTGGCGAAGTAGTTTCAACGTCTTCGGCCAAAACTTCCCGCAGTGTGGACATCTCGGGCGACGGAGGCAGTGCGCCCCAACGTCCCACGGGATACCGCAAGCTCGTCCTTCTGCCCGCTCTCAAACGTACCTGCGTGAACGTGCTCTCATGACTTGGAGCCGCTACATCCACGATGAAAGAATCCGCAGATACGGTCCGCAGGACCTGCCAGTACGGCATTAATATCACATCTCCTCGGGGACCTGTAGAACAAAGAGCCGCTTGTTATTAAGGACGAGGTCGATAACACGGGCTCGAGTGTGAGAAAGACAGCAACCTCGGGGGGATGGGAAACTGGCAAGGAGGAATTGCTTGTTTAAAGTACCTGCCCGCGTTCTTTTGTTATTGTTACATATGCATGCACACTGCTAAAAATTGATGTTTAGATACTTAGAGCCCTGAGTACTCTATGCCTTACCTGGAAGGAGCTCCCTGAACCCTATTTCTTCGTCTAGCCTTCGTGCGACGCAGATCGACCGACAGACCGTGAAGCGAGTCTATCATTTTGCGGTTTTTCCGCCGATCACGATCACCACATTACACTTCAGCATGAAGATTGCCCACCAGAGCGTAGGGGTATGTTATTAAAGGTTATTTTTTTCGAGAGCGGGCAACTTTCCAATGCAGATACCACGGGGTAATTGTATCTGCGGTGATTGCGCAACGTAGTGAAGCGGGCGATTTACGAAATCACAACCGCGGTTAGTCTTTTCCGCCTGCCCGATATACTGATTCTATTCCGCAAGAACGTTGCCGAGCTTCGGAGAGTCGACGGGCCGTCGTAGCTTGAGGAAGGATAAGAGGGTCTTCTTATAGCATCGATGCGATCTATTTTAGACGCTGCGTGCTCCTTTTCGCTCTTGTGAGATTGCGACATAAGGCGGATTTGGTGCGCGAGGACATCAAGTTCACGCTGGGATTCGGTATCGAGGAGGCCGTTCCAAGTCGAAGCTCGAACCCAACCCAATTGTTAGTAGCAGAAGCCCCAGTCTGTGCGCCTCTCTATGGGGTTCGGTGTCTATTGCTATCCGCCGAGATTCAGCATGGAAGATGCACCGCAAAGTAAAACATAAAGCCAGACTAATGACTGAAATACAGCCCAGTACCTATCGTGTGGAAATCGAAGGCCTTTTACCTGGATGAAAATCCCGATGTCGCTGGCGGCGCAGTCATATAGGCGCCCGTGGAAGAAAAGCTACGTTCTACGGAATAGACGAAGGGACTGGGACGGTGTCTATAAACGAGAGGAACGAAGACTTCATCCGCTCGACACCGCGGAGCGACAGCAGTGAGGTACGTTGAAGGAGAAGGCCATAGGAAGGGTCGGACATTAACAGTCCGACCACTTCGCTAGTAGAATGTCATCAGATTCGTCCAAGAATTCCGTCGGCGTATTCATAGTTGGCGGCGAATCGTGTGAGTTAAGATGCCGCAAGGATTATAGAGATCGATGCCTGTCCCTAGCTGGCATGCCTGTCCCTAGCTGGCGACACTCCATTCGACAATTCGTCAAATCGATCCGAGCAAGATAGCAGTATACGCTCCGTCGAAAGCCTAGATTACATTGCATCAAAGAGCCGCATGCTGTTCCTGGTCCTTGTACCGTTGCTATTCCTCGTGCAAGAAGCGGTTTTATGGATATCGGCCTTAATTACACTCTTGCGCCGTCCGAGTTCTCAATCGTGTGGCTTTTATTATTCCCTACCGTCTCTTCTTCTTGGATGTGATCGGACTCCCGCCTAAAACTCTCGAACACCGCACCCAAATTGTTCGCAGCAGAACGCGCGGTTTGCGCACCTCTATATGAGGTTCCGGGTGGCAAGGGTGCCACGTGGTGCCCATGCCGAGGGTGTGTGCCGAAGCCTCGAAGGCTTGGAGGCGGGAATGACTATAACGAAAACATGAATCACAATGGGAGGTCTTCTGTTTTACTCTGATGACTTATGTGTGCAGGAAGTCCGTGCAAGCCCCAGTGCAGCCTGCTTATTCCAGCTGATGCCACTGCTCGCCGGAAGGCACTGAATATGTGTAACCTCCGTGCATTCGAGACGCAAATGTCTTGATTGATCAATATCCGAAAACTGCAGCCAGCAAAGTAGGAAATTAAGATTGGGCCACAGCCTGGGCAAGGGCAATAATGCGTTTTCAGACAGGATGGAAGTCCATACTAATTCACTCACGTGCTAGTTAATGTTGCCTTGCTTAATTCCTTTAGCACAAGCTCCACGCGCTCCTCAAGGCTGTTCGTGTCCTTCGGAACCACGGTATACTTGATCTGCCGCGCAGCAAGCAACTGACGGAACGCGCTGTCAACGCGCATCCACTCTTCCATGTGACCTGGCATGAGTCTTACTCCATCGTCCGTTAGCCAAGTGCACCCAGCTTCGCACAGGGCGACGAGTCCTGTCTTCATGCGCCGCTCGAGCTCCTTCCATGTCTTCAACTCCAGCATCTCCCCTGCTGCGTCCTCGCCGACAAACAATTGCGCGTATACGATGGGATCCAAACCGGAGCGGTCGGATATATACCATATCGATCGAGAGTTGAGGGAAACCGCGCTCTTCTCAGCCTGGTGTTGGGCGTCTAGAATGTGCTTCTGTAATTGGAGCGCTCTAGATGGCGATGTGGTGATGTCATCGCGGCTGAATTGTTTCTCTCTCAACACCGTGCGGGCGACTTCCCGAATAATCAACGGTCTTGTTCCAGGTAGGATTGCTTCGTCCCGATTGTATATCTCCTCGAGGGCGTTGACCAACGTTGTCTTTCCGGTGCACTGTGCGCCGATGATGTACACGCATGGGATTTCGGGCTCGCGTGTCGCCATTTTGTTAGGAAAAGGTTGAGTAGCCCTCTCTTTTCCTTATCAGGCCGCTTATCTGCTGTGGCGTCTTTGTGCGACGTCGCGTATGGACACACGTGTTCTGGCAATCGCCGATCAGCACCGTCCCGCGCGACCCCACCGGTGAGTACCGTTTGAGCTCACAACACTCACAGTATTAACATTTTTCATGGCCCGTCACACACCACCATGAGTAAGCTACGATCCTTTCACGCCGTTCTTTCCAATGGGATCGATCCGAATGCAACTTCGTGGAATTACGCCGTTCCGAACATGCCCCAGGCCAGTCAGACGAACGCTGCCGGTCTAGTCAAGTGTGTCTCGGTTATATCTTCGGATTCGAAGCAGGAAATCATTCTGCGCTTCGAGGCTGTGCCAGATAATCGCGTGACGCGCAAGGAACCACTGGGCAAACTCTTGCTAATCTCCCTCACCGACTTCTGGCTTCGATGGCCTGCAAACTCGCCGGAAGATCCACCGCGTTCAGCTACGGGCAGGGAGAGTGGCGAATACACGACAAGGCTACTGACGACGGGCGTGAAGCTGAATGGTGTTCAGTACCACTTCTTTGGTCACTCCAACAGCCAGTTGAAGTCGAGATCTTGCTTCATGTACGCCGCCTCCAAGGAAGAGATATCTGCCAAGATTGAAGCCATGGGCGACCTATCGAAGCTCAAATCAGTCGGCAAGAAGGCCAAGAGAATCGGCTTGCTCTTTTCGAGCGCAGAGACGGCTCTCGAGCTCTCACCCAAACGCTGCGAAGATATTGGAGACGTCAAGCGGGATGACTATATTTTCACAGACGGCTGTGGTCTAATATCCCTCCAGCTCGCACTTCAGCTAGCGCAGAGGCGAAATATCATCTTTCGCAATCTGCGTTACGTACCATCCGTCTTTCAGATACGGTATCGTGGGTATAAAGGCGTGTTAACATTGGACCGTAGTCTGCAGGGACACGTGCAAGTCCAGTTCCGAGAATCTATGAGGAAGTTCAAGGACGCTTCTGATCTCAGTTTTGCAGTCGTGGACTACTCTAAGGTGCGGCTTTCACAGGCTACTGCTGATATTCTGGACTGACTTAATCTAGCCTTACGCCTTGGGCTACCTCAACGACGAAGTGGTTGTACTACTACATACACTGGGAATTTCCGAAGATATCCTCCTTGGGAAACAAAAGCAGCATCTGGACTTCTTATGCAACGTAAGTCGAGGTGATTCGAGGGCGGCTTTCCAGTTCCTTTCGTACTGCAACAGGATCGATCTAGCAGAAAAGCTCCTCCTAGAAGGCCCTCAAGCTGTGGGGCCAACACTGGGAAGGCTAGTCCGACAAGAGTACGAGAAGATGCTGAACAAGCGAGACGAACAAAGATGCCGAATTCTGATCCCAAAGTCCCGGCTTCTATTTGGCGTATGCGACCCTACCAGCAAAAACGGACGTCCGGGAAAGCTAAGAGAAGGCGAATGCTTCGTACGGATCACACATCACAACGACGGGATCCCACGAACCATTATCAACACAGAGGTCATGGTTACGAGGAATCCTTGTCTGCACCCTGGCGACTTGCAAAAGTTCAAAGCAGTGGATGTGCCTGAATTCGCTACCCATTTGGTCGACTGCATCGTGTTCTCGACCCAAGGTGGAAGACCAAGCGCGGATCTTATGTCAGGTGGTGATTTGGATGGGGACAAGTGTAAGCGCCTTCAGTGCATCTTCGAGACAGCTCACTTACCACTTCGCCTAGTTTTCGTTACATGGGATCCAGACATTATCCCGCGGACAATGGCGGAACCCGCTCAGTACCCCGGCGGCAAGGAGCTTGTCACTTTCGGAGAGGTGACTGGGGATTCTCGCGCCGAATACTTCGCCAGATACACGAATGCGTCACTGGGGAAAGTCAAGAACCTCTACATGAAATGGGCCCGCCTCGGAAACGCCATGAGCCCAGAGTGCCAGCAGCTCAACCGCTTGTTCTCTCAATGTGTTGATGGGAACCACATTCGTATCCCGGAAAATCTCAAGGAATTTTCAAGGCTCGAAGATCCTCCGAACCCCAAGCCCAACGTAGCACCGTTCATTCTGGATGCATTGCATGCTGCTTGCACGCAGTTCATTAATCAGACGGCCGATTTGTGTCCCCACGACTCCGATGGAGCCGGCATCATGGAACTCTTCCTCGCACGAGACAAGATTGCGATTAATGAATTCGAGCTATTGCAACTCGTATTACGCTGGTGTGAGCGTAACAACACAGATGTTCTCAAGTATTGCCATCTCTTCGACTTCAGCGCTTTGACCGACGAGCAGCAGCTATGGTTCCTCAGCCAGCTTCCACCCACGGCAATGTTACCAAATCTTGTGCGGAATGGGCTTCTTCAGTCGGAATTAGTCACACCTGAGGAACTCCGAAAATTCCGTCTCGACCAGCCACGGCTTCACTGGAAGCCAGTTTTTAGATCGTCTACGGACCGGATGGGCAGGTTTCTGCCTACAGTTTCTCAAACACTAGAAACTTTCCACAAGAAGCTGATCATACTGACGGTCGACCAGCGCTTGTCCTTTGGAATGTATATACCAAGGAAGATCGCAAAAGCAAGCGAGACGCAAGTCGACACCAGCGTGCGAATCTTTGCTTTCCCGCATTCTCAGGGACCGCATTCTCCAGGTTACAGAGTCCTGCCGACCAAGGCGAACTACCAACTTTTCTGCGACGAGCACATCTTTCAACTTTACGAGCGCAAGCGTTCGAATACTTGGATTTTCTTACGGCATCCGCAAGGAGACGATACACTCTACCGAAATGAAAAGAGCAAAGGGGATAAACGACGCAAGAGGGAACGGACTGTCCAAGAAGGCATCAATTTCGACTGCAAAGCTAGTATTGCTTTGGATAAGGTTGGTAAGGACATTCAGCAACATGTCGGTAGAGTAAATCAAAATGGAGTGTTAGGCGCGGTAGGTCGCCCACATAATAGTTGATCAAGTGAAGGATGCTCACTACAAAGCAGGAGATCTATGTTATCAGCAACCGAGATGTGAACTCAATGCGCGTTCTTGATGAATGGCTGAACTACATCGATACAGATGAAGTTTTGCCTTTGTTTGAGAAACTTGAGATCGACTACACGATTCCCAAACTGGATGCCATCGAATGGGCGTCGTATCCAGAAAAAGTGGTCGCAGTTGTCCAGGACAAGAGTCTGTCTCATCTCAGATCTGTCGACGAAATCGAGCTGCGGAGCATCCTGGACTTGCTTATTGCCTACGACGAGAAGAAGAGACTCTGCAATACCTTTTCTCACATGCTCGATCTGGAAGCCAGCTCATCTTGTTTACTGAATGGAAGATTCGTAGCCTCAACTCTACTAGAGTATGTACCCGCGGCCGTATTTCTTATCCCATCATACCTGCAATCTCAGACGTGGAAAGTCCACAAACCAGAGCTGGAGGATACTCTCATTCACCTGGCGCCTACGCTTCTCCGACGTCTAATTCTCTCTTCCAACGAACTTGGAGGTTTTGTTCGTCAACCGATCTCGCTCCTTGCACTTGAACTGAAGAGCATATCGTTGCAAAACTTTGCCGAACTCATCGAGCTTGCTTCGCTCACGATTCACTCAGCCGAAGCCGCGCTCGATCTTTTCTTGGAGATTCTGGAACCCGAAAGCCCACGACTCCTTCTCGGCGGTCCAATTGCGATTCGACAATTCACCTCATCATTGTTCGGCATCGCGTTAGATCACATTGACGAGGCTTCAACAAGTCGCAAGCCAGAGCGAGAATCCCTAAGGCTCTCCCTAGATGGGGACGAAGATGGATACACAATAGTCAAGACTATGATTCGCATCGATTCTCCCTTAAACGGCGTTCTCCGGGTTGGCGACCACGTTCGGCTCACAGTGTCCAATCCGCCAACCAATGCCCCGATCGAAAGACCGTTCTCAATGGACGTAGTCGTTACATCTGCTGAAACGGGAGAAGCTGCGTTCCGTTGTCTCCACTCTCCACCATCGTACCTCGATCAGTGCGCGTGGAACATTACACGCTGTGGCTCCTTTATTACCAGCAAGACGACGTTCGATGCCGTAACTGCTTTTTACACGCAGCGCGAGGCTTGCTGCAGAATCTACGCTTTGGTCCTGGGCCTCTCCACGTTAGACCGGATACTGCTGTCTACGGTTGATCTCCCGGTGACCCTTGCTCCATCACTGAACGCAAGTCAAAATGCCGCTCTGACGGCCTCGATGAAGCACTCGTTGACCTTCGTATGGGGTCCTCCAGGAACGGGAAAGACACATACAATCGTAGTGATTATAACCCAATTACTGAGAGCTCTACCTCATTGGAGATTTCTGATCACTGCACCAACACACAACGCAGTCGACAATCTTTTGAGGCGATTCCTCAACGATTCCGACGCACGAGGTAGTGGAGTAATTCCGGTCAGAGTTTCGACACAGGTCAGTTCGTCTTCTCATTGCTTCTCTTAGCCGGTCAAATACCTGCTCACGCCATCTGTAGCTTTCCAAAGTTGCGAAGGATCTACAATCATCTACTTGCGACGCTATGCTCGGTAAAGATCTCAATGCGAACCTCCCCGCTCGACGCAAAGCGCAGAAACGTATCAAAGAAGCCAGACTCGTCTTCACAACATGCATCGGCGCAGGACTGGGCCTGCTTCGCAGCGAGAGCTTTGACGTTGTTATTATAGACGAAGCGTCCCAAATAACAGAGCCCGCTACACTCGTCCCGCTCGTGAAAGGCTGCTCGCGTGCGATACTGGTCGGCGACCACGTCCAGCTCCGAGCCACCGTCCAGCAAAACGCCGTCCTGACCGGCTACGATGTGTCGCTCTTTGAACGCCACTATAATATACCAGAGCAAGAGGGAGTTGCGAAAGTGATGCTAGATACCCAATACCGTATGCACCGTTCCGTTTGCGAATTCAGCTCCGTGGAGTTCTACAACTCGAAGCTGAACACTGCTG